GGCTCGAGTGAGGGTGGCCAATGACAAGGAGGCGGGAGGAGGCGGGGGGGAATCACTTGTGACGTCATGAAATGTCGTCTCAATTTGAGACCTGGTCCTTGAGATCCGAAGGAGCAGGGGGAGACTGTTGAAAAAATCCCCCTGCGCCCTACCAGCATTATTTTCCGCTCCTTGAAATCGGCATCCTTCAATAAGTCGTTCTTGATCATGGCTTCCAATTCCTTGCCGGTGGCAATGCTGACACCTGACCTATTGAGGCCAGTTACACCATCGGCGGCTTACGTTGAACGTTCGCTGCATTGAAACTCGACGCCGCTCCTTCGAACAACATGGGATCGTTGTCGAACGCTATCAGCGAAGGATATGAGGACTACATGTAGGTTATGCAACTGCGACGTCTCAGAGACTATTGTCTACTCGCTGATTGCTTGGTTCAACAGTGCAGAGTGGATTGCGAACGACCTCGAAAAACATGAGAAATGCAATGTCGATGACATGCTAGCGTACTTTCTCAAGCAATGTCTTCACGGCCAAACTCCTGCTTCAAAGAATACGAGCTCGACTTTCTTGCAACCATACCTCGAAGCGGTGCTTCCAATCTGCAATAATGTCGAGATAATGAGCCAGCTGACAGAATAGTGCGTCCTTCGTCCACACTAATTAAATCAAGGATTGAGAGACAATTACATAGCTGCGTAACTGGAGGCACCGAACAAGACAGATATCGACCTTTTGTCAAGCTTTTCAATTTAGCGCTCCAGAACCTACGCAGCGTCAAGGTGCCCAACGTTCGTTCCGCGAATGACGATCTTGGGATACTCTTCTATAGAAACAATCTAAAAAGGATAGAGGGATACCACAATAGTGATGTGTCTGATCGTAGCCCCGATGTGGTTGTGGTCTCCCTGGCTGCAGCTCGGGACGCAAGTGACTCTATTAAAATGCAATGGCGGCATGCCACTGGGCCCGCTCCTGAACAGCTTCGCACCGCGTTCGAGTGGTCGCAGATTCTCTGTGTTTTCGAGTTCAAGCGAGTTGCAAAGACGTTGACGCCGCCGCCCCTCAAATACTCCGGTTTTGGGACCGTCCGTGAACCTCAGCAAAACATATGGAACCTGTTCAATCCCGTTCTAGATCCTTCCGGAGCGACCAGTGTGGAAGCTCATCCAGATGGCGACAGATCTGAAGCGACGGGTGCAAATTCAGGTGGCGGTGGAAAGAGGCCTCGAGCGACAAGTGCGAGCTCGAGTGCACGCGCAAACAAGAAGCCTCGAGGAAGAAGTGCGAACTCGGTTCCACCGAAGATGCACAACACTCGTGGTATTAGTGCCTTAGCGAATCAACCTCTGAGCGCCTCATCGGCACCCATCGCGCAGGAAGTCGAAGTCGGAATGGAACCCGTGGAGCGTCCGGAACCGCCTATCGTCCAGTGCGGATTGTATGGCGTTGAGATGTTGTCACGGGGGCCATGCGTCAACCACGCCATCAATGTACTTGTCATTGGTGAGACACGATGAATCTTCTTGTCGCGGGAGGTTCCTCATTTTTTGCCCCAGACGATGTTATGTGGATATGGTGGTACGACAGACAAGGCGCGATCCAGACTCAAGGAATCAACTTCGTTCAAGATCTTCCGCGCTTTCTGATCCTGCTCTTCGCGTTTCAGAGGTTCAAGCTCGAGGACTGGGGGTTCAACACCATCCTAGACCCCCAGTCCGAGATCGTCCATGGTCTCAAGAAAGTTCATAAAAGCAATTGTTTCCTTCCAGAATCGCGTTTCGTGTTTCCGCCACCTGAACTGTCTGTCAGCGCACCGGTTGAGACCACTGTCCTGACGAAATCTCCAGTTTACCACGTATATAGCCTGGTGGGACGAGGCACATCTGTTTTCAGTGGTACTGCGTGTACGAAGGCTCCTCTGACCAGAGGTTCTGGCATACCTCAAGGCTCTGGCAAGGGACCCGTGGCTGTCGATGATATATCATTCGCAACCCCTGACAAGGATCAGGAAGTGGTAGTCAAGATCTATTGGCCGGAAGAATCACGCTTGAGCGAAGGCCGCATTATCAGTGAGGCGTATAAACGAGGGGAGGGCAATCTAGATATCGTGGAACATCTTCCGAAGATGTACCTCGAGCACGACTTCCCTGAACATTCGACAAACCATATCAGGGATGCGCTTCGTCTGACGTGGCCTGATGGACGGCGGGCTACTCGTATCCTTCGGCTTGCCATCTTCCTCAAATTGGACCCTATTATCGCATTGGGCGGGGAGGAGTTCATGAAAGCATATCTGGATTGCGTCCGCTGTGCGTCAAGCTTTCGTCTCAGTGGCGACAAATACTGACCCAAAGGTGCAGGCCACTTTGCTCTTTGGACACTGGGTATTCAACATAGCGATCTCAGCCTGTCAAATGTGATGATCAATGACCAGAATCGTGGTATCCTGAACGACTGGGATCTCGCCACGATCGAGGGAATATCAAAGCACGACGGGTGCGATCGCACTGGGACAGTGCCCTTCATGGCCTTAGAACTACTCAACAAGCGATATTGGGCCGGTAAGATCAAGCGCCAATATCATCACGACCTCGAAGGCTTCCTGTGGATTTTGCCATATGTATGCTTGCAGTACAAGGATGGTAATATGGTCACGTATCTGCTCGAGTCGTGGAACACGGACGATTACACCATCTGCAGAAGAGAAAAGAGCGATTTCTTGAGGAATCTCCGCACAGACCCGACCCAAATACCCAAGGCGACCTCTTCGTATAAATGGGAATGGGTCATATTTGATCAATTTGTACAGCGCATCGACAATAACTGGCGATCGCCACTTACCGATGAGGCCATAGCCGCAGCCATCAAGGGAAATATGGAACTAGCAACATCGGTACTTAACCCTGGCGATGTTTATGCAGAATTTTGGGCTAGGATAAAGATGGCGGCAGAGGACGACAGCGGACACTTGTTGTATCTAAAGAAGTATGTGCCTGACGGCTTTTGAGCGGTTTCCTTCTTAGTGTCCTGGGCATGATGATTGGTATGAAGCTTGTGACTTGGAAGGCTGGCACGCACACCTGATACTATACCATCCCCACATCTTATACTCCGTCTCAAATAGGGTGCGGTTGAAGTAGAGTATACTCGCTGTTACACATAAAACTACGTTTTTTTCGGATATTCTGGTCCGATCTGCAGTGGTTCGACACACTCAGAAATTTTGTCCACAGATCGGTAACCACGAGTGCAATCATCAGTACGAAGCAAACAGAAATCTGATCACAAAGTGGACCGGCGTCGATCATGTTCTGAGCAGGAAAGTCACGCTACACGTACAAACGGCACCATGCTTGCATACCGCTTGCATACGAACGACGGGCACACTGGCCGTACTCGATTAAGGAGGAATCGGATGCCAGAAGCCGGATTGCCCACGACCTCGTGAAACATGAACAGCGCAAATTCGATGACATGCTGCAGTATTTTCTCGAGCGATGTCTCATCGACACAAATGCTGCTCCGAATGATGCGGGCTTGAGCGTCTTGCAATCATGCCTCGAAGGGGTGCTTCCAATCTGCAACAGCGAGGATATGAAGCAAAGGCTTGTACACTAGCAAGTCTGTCTCCCGCCCTGTTCGAGATCAAGCGTTCACAGTCAATCTGAAGCTGCACATCAAGATTCGACGAACGGAGCAGACATTGGGCCTTCGCCGACCTCGCCAATGAGGCACTGAAGAAACTACACAAGGTCAATATCTCCGATACTCGTCCTGTAAACGACGATCTCCACATTCTTTTCCACCAAAATGACCGCGCATATATCCAGCCAGATCGCGGTCATCAGGCCTTTCGCAGTCCTGGGGTGGTCTTGGTCTCTCTCGCTGCAGCTCAGCTGATTGTGCCAGGTACGTTCGTATATGGTGTTTGTTGATAGTCTTTGGTAATACAACGTGTTCATTCTGGCTGGCAATCTGCTCTCACATTTGTATAGCAGGGGCAACTTCGAAGCAAGACGAAATTGAAGCCGAAACACTAGAGAATCCATCGTCTCCTATTGTACGGTGCGCGCTGTATGGCGCCGACATGCTATCAAGGGGGCCGTGTATGAACCACGCAATCAAGCTACTCCTCATCGGTAAAATTGGGGATTTTATTCCTGCTGCATGGTCCTTTCTCATTTCATGTTTCAGACGAATGATATGGATATGGTGGTACGATAGACAAGTTATCCAGACGGAAGGCATCAACTTGATACAAGACTTTCCGCGCTTCCTAATTCTGCTCTTCGCGTTTCAGCGGTTCGAGCTGGAGGACTAGGGTTTCAACACTACGCTAGATCCGCGGTCCAAGGCCATTTCCCTCAAGAAAGATTTCTAGAGGCTATCGTTTTGTCCTAGCCAGGAATTTTGTGTTCCCGTCATTTGGAATCCCTTCAGGTGGGTCGGCTGAGATTACGATCGACACGACTCGGCAAGTGCATCGGGCACATGGCCTAGCTGGGCGAGGCACATCTATTTTCTATGCCACTGCGGCTCTGGCGGTTTCTGAGAGTTCTAGCCAGCGTCGCCCGACTGACGATGAAACTACGGTTTTCAAAACATCCGAAAAGCTCCGAGAAGTAACAATGAATTTTTACTGGCGAGAGGAATCACGTTTGGGCGTACTCAGTAAAAGCAACAATCACCTCGCTCGTCGTCCAAATTTTCTTTCCACGCACGACTTTCCTGAGTATTCGACGGGACATATCCGAAAAATGCTCGGTCTTGGATCATCCGAGCGCCGGTCTCCTACTCATATTCCTCGGCTGGCTGTGTTTTCCCGACCGAGACCTATCACCGCGTTGGTCGGCGAGGCGTTCTTGAAAGCGTGGCTTGATTGCGCACGCGGTGTGTGTGTTTTTGGTTTGGTGTTGACGACTATTAATGCAGAGGGCTCAGGCCACTATGCTCTTTGAGAGCTGGGAATCCAAGATATCAAGCCCAGGTTGTCGAATCTCATGGCCGATGAGCACGAGCTCAGTTTCTTGATCGACTGGGAGCCGGCGACGATCTTCGGGCAGTCGCGTCATGACGGGAGTTGTCACATTGGGACCATGCCCTTCATGGCTTTGGCTCTGCTCAACGAGGAGTACTGGGAGGGCAAGATGAAGCGTCAATATCACCACGACCTCGAAGGTTTCCTGTGGATTTTGCCTTTCGTATGCTTGCAGGATGAGAACGGAATCCGCCTTTAAAGTCATGGAACACGGAAAATTACACCTTCTGCAGACTATTGAAGCTCGGCTTTTTGAATGACATCGAAGACGGACCTGCGTTGCTTAGCATCAGGAAATCGGCCGATGTCTGATCCAGGTCTGAGAGCTTCTGATTGTTCTGAACTCAGATGGCTCAGACCAATCAGAGGTCAGAACAAGACTCTGCTGTCAGGAGGTTACCTTTCTGCATCTGTCTTAGTTCAGACCAGTCAGAGCTCATCCAGAACAATAGTCAGAGATTTGGTCATTAGCTCAGACCCCATCTGCAGCCTCACACAGGTATTTCATACAACATTATTACCATCAAAATATTATCATTCTACTGTATGCAAAATACTACGAACAAAGGACAGCCCGGCATCTAAAATGAGCACACCGGATTGTGAGTGGCACATAGTCCTCCATCTTGGACTCTGTTTGAGGCTCGACAGTCTGCGCACGGCAACGAGAGGGTCAACGAAAGGGTACGGGTGCGGGCAGGGGGGGAAGCGGCAGCAAGAGAACATGAGCCCACACTCGTCTTGTGCAAGCGTGGGTGGCTAGCATTGGCAGTGGCAGTGAGAGAGCACAAGTGCAGGCAAGGTGGGCAGCAGCAGCAAGAGAACACGAGCCCGCACTCGTCTTGTGCAAGCATGGGTGGCTAGGATTGGCAGCGGCAGCGAGAGGGTACGAGCGCAAGCGAGGTGGGCAGCGGCAGCAAGAGGATATGAGCGCAGGTAAGGTGGGCGGCGACAGCAAAAGAATACGAGCACGCACTCGTCCTGTGCGAGCGCGGGCGGTGAGGATCGGCGGCGGCAGCGAGAGAGCACGAGCACAGGCAAGGTGGGCGGCGGCAGCAAGAGGATACAGGCCCACACTTGCGGGCGCAGGTGGGTGGCGGTATTAAAAGAAGACAAGCCCGCACTCATCTTGTGCAAGCGCAGGTGGGATCAGCGTCAGCAGCGAGAGGGTACGAGTGCGGACAGGGTGGGCGGCAGCAGCGAGAGGATACGAGCGCAGGCAAGGTGGGCAGCGGCATTGAAAGAGGCCACATCTGCACTCGTCTTGGCGAGCGCAGGTGGAGATCAGCAACGGCAGCAAGAGGATACGAGTGTGGGAAGGGGTGGGTGGCGGCAGCGAGAGGATACAAGCTCACACTTGTCTTGTATGAGCGTGGGTGCAGGGCATCGAGAGCTCTCATCTTGTGCGAGCGCGAGCAGGGGATTGGCAGCGGTAGCGAGAGGGTATGGGCGCGGTCGCAGGTGGGTGGCGGCATCGAGAGAAAATGAGACAAAATGAGTGCGGGCGGGGGGAGTGGGCGGTGGTGAGAGCAAGAGGCAGAGCGCAGCGTGCGCAACGACGACGCATTGACGTGGCGATGGCACGTGCCGCTGCCACATCTTTGCTGCCCTGCTTGCTCTCCCCGCCGCCGTCCACCACCGCCTCTGCTCGCGCTCGTCTTATCTCGCCGCCGATGCCGTCCAGCGCCACCCCCTTTGCCCGTGCTTGTCTTTTATGACGAGCATGTGCATGCCTCCTCTTGTCTCGCCACCGCCGCCGTCCAACACCGCCTCTGTCTGTACTTGTTCAAGACAAGTGCATGCCTGTCCTTCTCCCACCATCTCCGCCCGCGCTTGTCTTGTATGACAAGCGTGTGCACACCTCATCTTGTCTTGCTGCCATCACCGCCTAACACCTCTGCCTGTTCTCGTGCAAGACAAGCGCGGCCTCGCCTCGTTTGGTCTCGCCGCCGCCGCCCACCACCACCACCTCTGCCCACGCTCGTCTTGTTAGACGAGCGCATGCCTCCTCTTATACGATGAGCGCATGCCTCCTTTTGTACGACGAGTGCATGCCTCCTCTTGTCTCGCCACCGCTGCCGCCTACCATCTCTGCCCGCGTTCGTACGAGACGAGCACGGCCTTATCTCGTCTGATCTCGCCTTCTACCAACTCGGATCCTCTCGCTGCTGCCGCCGATCCCTGCCCACGCTTGCACAAGACAAGCTCGGGCTCGTCTTCTTTCAATGCCGCCGCCCACCTGTGCCCACGCTCATACAAGACAAGTGCAGGCTCATGTGTAATTAGCATCTTTATGATAAGATCACTGGCTTGCATTCTAGTACTTTACAAGTATGCTACTGCCAGTTCTCAATTCCTGTTTATCATTCTGGATAGTTCTGAGTAATGTCTGAGTTCAGAATGCCCAGAGGCGACAGAAGCCCTCAGAACTCTCAGACAGAGATCAGACATCTCAGACCACCTAAGGGATCTGCCGATTTGCTGATGTAGAATGAAGGCGACACCTTCACACGAGATGGGATGGATCCTGTTTTGTGGTATCTTGCCCTCGATTCATGAGTCTTGGTCCCCACAGTCCGGGTCAGTGTTTGACCTTTTTCTGTGCAGATCGACTGGGGTGGAAGTCTCGGAGGATGCTTATGCGAAGGTGTCGAGTAAGGAGACTTACTTGGACTTTTGGAAGCGCATGAAGACGCTCGCAAACTTACCACGAACGAAGGAACTCATACCTAATTTATGGAGATTTGTGCCAGCCACTTTGTTGGGAGCTTGGCAGCTACTATGAGAGGCTGTAAAGACCTCAGTACCCTTGGCCTTGCATACAAGATCATTAAAGTTGCTATTGTTAGCTGATGCCTGCTACTAGTTAATATAGAACATGATATGTGGATTAGGCTTAGAAACATGCTATATATAGCCTCACAGACCTTGTCTATCAGTACAGTGGTCAATACTGTCTCATACAGCACACAATTATTATTGCCATTGGTATTATAATTTTCAGTGCCATCTACATTGTTTATTGCCTTGTTATATAGAAGATGCTCAAACTTGATATTTTCCTCTAGCTATTGGGCTATGGAAAAGATGATTATGTTGGTATATGGTGCTAGAATGACATATTTGCCTGCCATATAGAAAATATGTGCACCAAGCATATGAAGATCATCTCTAACAATCTTGTACTTATTTATATATAGGCATGATATATATATACCCTTGTTTCTACCCTTCACCTCACCAGTGGCCATTTGGAAAACTCCTCTCTCTTATTGGATCTGAATTATTGATAATCATTAATAATACTAATTTGAGTTAATTATAGCTAATTATTCATAATCATGTTTTTGATCAAAGTTGCAAGTTAAGGTAGCATTGTCTATACTAGTAAAGTCCCATTGAATATCACACTCTGTTATAGTTTTATATATTCTAAAATTGTGCAAATGCCATAATTTATTTTCCATTGGTTTATTATCTTGTTAGCTGGTGTTTAAACTAAATCCTGAAAAACCTGACCTTTTGGGTATTTATTGACCTGTTTATTTGTAAGACAGAAAAAAGATAAATGTTGAATAAAATCAGAGATGTTGAGATTGCCTATATTATATCTACTTATTTAGATTACCAAGTTAATACATTAGACCTCATGGCCCAGTGGCTTAGAGCATCTGTTCTAGGTGCTTATATACATGAGGTTGTTGGTTTAACTCTGGCAAAAGGCAAGCTTGTAGTAAGGTATATTTTGTGTTTAGGTATCTAACTAGTGCTCTAATAAACATGACTCTATAAGAAGGCTATGAGAACTGTGATGCTTTATTTATTATTATTATTCCGAAATTTCAAGTTATAATCAATCCTAATAATTTCTAATTTAGGAAGATTATGTCTAATTAGAGCAGGTTTAGGAGGGGGGTAGGCAAATAATCTCTAATCCTAATTATTCATAATTATGCATAAATAGAACTAATTAGAGCATAATACAAGAGAGTGATTCCCCAGATGTCGCGGTATGGAAAGAGCCGATCTCGACAGCTGGGCCTCAGGAGGAGCCAAGCAACACCAAACACTCTCTCGACATTTGCGCTTGACACAACATATCTGTCTAACTCACCATGTTTCCCGTCTTTCGTCGCTGCTATGCCACCATTCCCGATGCTGCAGCGGCGGCTCGAACTGCGTCAACTCCTCGCGCAGTGCGTCTCCGTCGTCTGAGGAAACGACCTACTGTCGCGCTAGGTCAATCTGACGCGACAGCCGATGGCTTGACGCCCACGGAATTCGCTCGCTACCAGCGTGCACTCGCGAAGGGAGACCTCATGGGCCCTGATGGGCGGGAACCTACTGAAGGCGAATGGTTAGAAAAGCTCAACGCCCGCCGGATGCGCGTTCGTGGCGCGCGCGAGGCTGCATTGGCGGACGGTACCCAGGAGACTCGTGTCATCGGGCAAAAAGTGTACCTCCCAAACATCATCTTCCGTCTCGTTCGCAACCACACTCCTCCTGGACAACCTTACAACCCATACGAGGCGACGTTCCGCATTCCCATGTCTGTGACGAAAACGGACGTGCGGTCGTATCTCGCCTCCGTGTACGGCGTGCAGACGACATATATCCGCACTGACAACTACTTGTCACCCATCACTCGTGCTTGGAATGCCTCATGGACGGCGACCAAGTCTTACCGAACCTACAAGCGTGCGGTAGTCGGTCTCGTCGAGCCTTTCTATTACCCACAGGCTATGGAAGATATGAGCGCAGAGGAGCGGAAGAAGCACGAGCAGTTCATCGAGGAGACGTACCAGCCGCAAGGCGCGAAGGACATGGTGAAGACGTTCCTTCTGATGCAGACGAAGAAGAACACCAAAAATTGGTCATGGCGCGATGGGCTGACGGCCCAGAGAGGGTCGATTCTGAAGAAGATCTCGGAGCAGAGGGCTTTGAGGGAGAGATACATTCAGGCGATGAAGGAGAAAATGCAGGAGGCGAGACGAAATGGGGAGACCATCGTTTAGTTGCATCCTTGGTTCGTTCGACCTACTTGTCCGTGGATATACATTTTCTTCGAGTGATCATCATCTTCCTCTGTGCTTGATGTGGCGAAGTAATATGCTTCCACTGGAACATTGTATTTAAGCATCATCCACAGGACTCTGCAACCTTCCTCTATCCGCCAATACTGTGCGTATCATGTACTGCACGGTGCAGGTATTGGAAATGAACAGAAAACCCGGATTCTGCAGTCACGCTACTCCCCATATCTTACACGTGATCACATCGCGTCTGTTCAAGTCTGTTCAACAGGCTCGGAAGACATCGCTCTCCTTGTTTGAGCATCCTCAAAAAGTTCAACTTCTCCACGTCGAGCCTGTTTTCATGTTTTTTCTACTCGCCCTTGTCTTATCGTCCATCTTCCTTCGCACGGCGTACTCATTACATCTTCATCGCGCCCCCGGTGGATGCACACCATTCCATACTACATTTGCTGACGGATCTGTTGCCCGCCGCGGATCCCATAGCTCTGAGCCATTTGTATCCATCAGCCCTGACGGATCGTACGAGGTGGGGAGTGGCGGTTTGCAACTGTTCATGCAAAAGCCTCGAGGCAAGGTGACCAAGAGCGGTGAGGTCAATGACAAACTCGCAGATGGGGCAACGGTGAACTCGACATTCCTTATCTCGTACGTGACAGCTGTATCTTTGTGGAGAGGCTGACTCAAACACTGCATAGACATGGTAAGGTCGCATTTGAAGTGATTGCGCCCACTGTCGCCGGTGTGGTCACCGCCATGATACTGATAGGTAACCTGAAAAAAGAAAAAGTCTTGAGCGCGATTAGTTCACTGACATAATATTGACGGTCTTTAGCGGACGAGCATGATGAACTCGATGTCGAGCTCCTGGGAGCCGATCCAAATCATTGGCAAACTAACGTCTACGCGCCAAGTCCGAGCGACACAAAGCCGCTATGGGGCGTGTTTGGGAGCGTTGAAGATTTCCCCTCCACATTTCGAGCATCGGTTGGAGATAGACATCTGTATACCATCGACTGGAGTGCCGAACGAGTCCAGTGGGGTGTGGACGGACACGTCCTCCGGACGCTCACGCCAGGTACGTCGATGCAACATACAGGTTTGAACGCCTATGCCAGCTGCTGACATGTCATCAGAACAAACGCGCAAGGGCGGCAAGCTGCATTATCCAGCGCACACAGCACGCATACAGCTTGGTATATGGGACGCGAGCAGTCCCCAAGGGACGGCAGAGTGGGCTCATGGGCCCATCAAGTGGGACGACGCTCCGGGTAAGATCACAGCGATAGTAAAAAGCGTGAGCGTCGAGTGCCCGACCAAACATAGATAGAACTGATAGGCTGGTGTCGCGAGTTTGTTGTGTTGTCTTCGTCTTGATAGGTCTTGTTATGTCAAGGAGATACCCTGATTTTTGGATTTGTTATCTTCGACGGTGTGCCAGTGCCCTGTATGATAGGGCCTACTTATTTACGCAGAAGATAGTCGTTCTGTGTATAAGGGACCTACCTGGACCTGCTATACTATCTTGTACAAGAGCCTTGCGTTAACGCTTCAATGCGTGAGTTTGTTATGTTCCCTAAAATGGACTCAGGGTCCGTCAATAGCTCGATTGGACGCAATTCGCTAAGATGGGGCAATGGTGATGACGAGGGAGTGAGCGAGCAGCCTACTCGACAAGTCGCGCCAGCTGCGGGGCCATGGTGGAGTAGGGGCGACCACTTACATAATCTAATGAGAGGCTGGCGTTGACCGGACCAATTATCGTCTTCATCCTCGTCGTCGCTCGCGATGTCTGTCAAGCAGGCCCATCCGCCATCAACAACGTCGTCTTCATACTCCTCACATCCATCTCGGCATGACAACAGATCTGTATCTTCATCTGTATCTTCATCGTCCAAGGGCGAGCGCTCTAGCAAATCTCGCGCAAACGTATGTTTGGCTGCTTAAATTCATTGTATTTCATCCGGCTCATGTCAAGCATAGCCGGCAGTCGAATCTGCCGTCACACGCCTCCTCGTATCCATAAAACAGCTACTGGAGTCGCTCACGAAATGGAGTAATCAACAAGCATCGGAGGAGGAGGTCAGCGATGTCTACGTGCGCTTAGGGAATGATTTCAATGCCGCCGTTGCCGCGTTTGCAGCTTATAACATCGATATGTCGTGCGTCATCCTCGTGTTGATCATCGCGTGGTCCAGATCTCTAACCGTCGCAAAGGGAGCTGATGAATGTACCCGAGGACTTGCGAGGCGTCCTCGAGGACTGCCTTTCGGAAGACGCCAACTCAAAGAACCTCGACAAGTACCTCCCCAAAGTACGCGCCATCATCACGAGCTTGCTTCAAGGTTTGCGCGGAAAGCAGTCTGTCTTTCGCCAAATCGTTTCTGGCCCTCGACATCGCTCCGACGCTTCAGGTCACAGCCGCACTGACAGCGGCCGAGTATCTCGCTCTGATAGAGTCTCACGTCGCGACACCGCCAAATCGACATCGAGCGCCACTTCCACAGCCACCACCGAGACCGCGGTAGAAAGTCAGTCTCGCAGAAGTGCACACACAGCGTCGACGTCGTCCCGAAGAAGGGACACCCCATCTCATGATGCGCCGCCTAATGGAGAAGATGCATTTGTAGGCGGCTTTTCTCCTAGAGTCGTTGAGGCGACTCCCAGCCCAGAACCCAGCTCCCGCCCAGATCGCTCTTCTACATCTCAATCACGGCGACAGCTCTCGACGCCGGACATTCCACCACCACCGCTACCTCAACTCTTGACTTCTCCTCCACAAAGCCCCCCTCGCACCCACCTTGACCAACAGGACGGGGATGCTACCCCCGTTCCCGCCACTCGCAAATCCCAAGTACCTGCAAATGTTAAACGATACTCTCTCGTCGACAAGCCTATGCCGCCTCCTACAGTCGTCATAGACGAAGTAGCACCCCCCGACACGCCTCCGGGCGAGCCAAACGGAATATTGGATCGAGCTGGATCTTACTCTCCGCCGCCATCACTTGATACCCCACCTTTGGACTCCCTCACTGCCCCAGGCGTCGCAAGCTCCCTTGCTGCGCTCAAGAAGAGCGATGCTCTCGAACGGCGTGCTTCGAAACGCTTCTCGACGTACAATATCTCCAAAATGACCGGCACGCCTCGCGACCGCTCCGGCATGGGAAGCGGGCATCCCAATCGACGGTCCCTCGCGGCTTCCAACACGCTCACTGCTGGCGAGCTAGCCGTGCTCACCGAAGCGGATGAAGAGCGGCAGCCCGTTGCGAAGAAGAGAGAGCGGAGCATGACGCGTTCGCGCGGGCCATCCCCTTTGTCGGAGATCGAGGAGGAGCGGCCTCCGATCCCTCCACTACCGCGCACGCCAACGCCTGAGCCTCCGGAACCCGAAGTCGTCAAGGAGCCTCCACCGGTGATCGAACAACCGCCTGTTCCGCCTCCACCATCTGAAATGCCCCCCGGCCCCATCGCTGCATTCTTGCAGGTAGGCAGGGAAGTGAAGAAAGCCACAATTGAGCCTGGACTGTCGTTCCCTTCGCTGAGGATGTTGTTTGTCGACAAGTTCGCGTACAATCCCGGGCAGGAAAACTTTCCCGCCATCTATATTCGCGACCCATCAAGTGGAGTGCAGTATGAGCTGGAGGACATGGACGAAGTGAAAGATAAATGTCTGTTGTCGCTGAACATCGAACGTGAGTGTCGTAAATTCAACCTATGGACTTAGCTTATCAGCGATGGCGGCTTTAGCACTTGACCAGATCAAGCAACATATTGACATCCAAATTTCTGGCCTCTCTCAGGAACTGCGCGATCTGAGGAATGCGGTGTCGGAAAACCGGCGCGCGTCTGTAGTGATCCCCATGACTCAACCCTTTCCCGAAAGCCCTCCATCACCACCATCCGCTATGCGCCCTACCGATCGCCAACTCCAGAGCGTCGCACGCCGCCTCTCGCGGATGGTGCGCGATGACAGTCCGACTCATCAACCGATTTTCCCTCAGATGACAGGGCAGTCGATGCTGCAACCTCAAATGACCGGTGCATCCGTCATGTCAGAGTACTCTAACCGCGTTGTTACGGACCTCAGGACGCAGTTTGACGAGGTGCAGAACCTGAGGCGCGACCTGGGTATCATGCGCCAGCTATATTCAGAGTTCTCAAAGCAGACGAAGGAGTCGCTCGGTGCGCTGCGATCGCAAACACAGAAAGTGCGCCAAATGGCGTCAGCACAGGTTCCCGGGGCACGAGCATATATAGACACCGGGAAGACGAAGCTGGATATCAGGAGTCAAAACGCGCTGACCAAGATGGAGGAGTTGCAAGATACTGTCGAGAGCGTGAAGGACGATGTCCTCAAACGGCACGTGTCGCCGAAGCCGCATGTGCTCAAGGCGATCAAGCAGGACGTCGATGCTGTCGCGGCGGAATTGGACAGCTTGAAGGAGCACATCAAGACGATCAAGCCGATGTGGAAGAAGACATGGGAGGAAGAGCTGCAGAGCATCGTCGAAGAGCAGCAGTTCCTGAACCACCAAGAAGAGTTCCTTGCTGACTTGTTGGAAGATCACAAGGCAGTTCTCGAGGTATACGGCCACGTCGAGAAGGTCATCACAATTCGTGGTCAAGGTGGCGCGAAAGGCATCCGGTCGCGAGGGTTCAAACCACCACCCATGGACGAAGGCCATGGAGGGCTCAGCACGGTTATGCTCGAGATCAAAGGTGCCGCTGTAGACCCAGAACGACGCATGAAGGCCATCGCAGCAAACCAGAAGACTAGGGAGCGTGAACTCGCGAGCAAAGCCGACGAGTTTGAAGCCGAGCTAAAGGGTTTCATTGGAGGAAAGAAACTCAAGATGACGGGTGGAGCAGATGAGGTGGAGAGAGTGCGACAGCATAGGAACGACCTGGCACTTAAGGCTATGTTCAACGGTGGATCTACCGGGTCGCTTGCTACAGCGAGTCTGAGTGCGCCGTCTACTCCCCCGGAACCACCTGCGCTCGAGTCGTAACACGTCGTTCATTGTGCGTGCCGACCAGCGGGGCTGTATCATTGGATAAGGCGCCGAAGTTGAAGACGAGGTGTATGCTGTGTGCTGTGTAATGGGCGAGGCAGGTTCGGACCAATTGTGCGACCACATTTTCATTTTCTGACTTTATCACTCCTTCCTTCACTTCCCATTCATTTCTTTCCGTCTTCGCAATATTTATGACTTGGTTTAGCTACGTCCTCTGTATCTTTGACAGAACGGCACTATATAGTTGCGACGTGCGAATGGTGTGTCCTAATATCGTGTCTTTGTCTTAGTGTTGTGCTCTTGAGCTTTGTGTATCATAGATCGGTACATAGTCACGATATATCGTGGTATATCAACTTTTTGATGATTCTTTCCGAAAACTTCTACCACGCCTTGTTACTGCTATCACAGAAGCATCGTGCACTCACATGCAGCATCGTTTGACGGTTGCCATATGCCATTATCGCTGCTCGCATGTTGGCGTCGAAGGGTTGGAAGGTCCACATAAATACAAAGATCCGAACCGCACAAACGGTTTGTTTCAGTGCTTGAGTTGGATCTCACCTCCAACCTTTTTCTTATGGGCAGTTGTCTAATGTACAATTTGTGAACGACCGAAACGAAACTCCCGGTCGGCCTTGTGTATAGCAACATTTATCTTCCCGTACGTCATAAATCAAGTACCTTGCCCGTATTGCTTGTGAATTGTGTATCTTGCGCTTATGAGGCCTTCCTCGCTTGCTTTGATTTCTGCTCACAGTAAGATGTAAGTTTTTTGGACAAACAAAAGGGTTTCAATATCTCACGGAGAGCCAGATACGCAGAGTATTGTCTCGCTAAGACAAAATTCCCTCCAAAGTGATCTTCATCAGTCAAACTGGGGAAATGTCTATCGGAAACATCTCACCTTGTGCAAAGAATAAATGTGGGTGTCCGGAGTCGCGCCATACACCGTTCAACTCTCCTTCCTTGTCTATCCCCCATACCTCACCGACTTTGTCTACAACCTCAGGCTCACAAAGCTCGTGCGCTAGATCGCGCGCGTCGCCATACCTCAAAGTTCAAACACCTGTATAAAAAATCCATCATTGAGTGATGAGGACATGCTCACCCCGTAGCAAAAATAACAACTTCTGCGTCCAAATGGGTGCCATCCTCGAAGTATAAGCCATTAGATGAGAAACGCGAGATTGCGCTTCCGTGCTTGAGTTTAATACGCCCGTCAGCAATGAGCTGACTAGTACCGACGTCTGCGGAAGAGGTTACAAAGACGAAGAGCGAAACAAACACCCTCACTTACTCATATAGAATCCCCCTCTACGTGTGGTCAAAAGCGAAATGATTCCACCACCATCCACGCCCAAAGACAATCCGAAACCCACTTTTCTCAGATTGTCATGAAGTTCCCTGTGATCAGGAAGTTGTAGTAGAGCGTAGAAAATATTTGTGAAAGGAGCTCACTTGTCGACTGTGTCGGCGATACGTTGCGCAGCGCGACCTTGTAGCAAGCGCACAATGAAGTGCGGAATTGATGCGCCAAGGCGGTCAGCAACCTCAGTAGGTGGACCGTTTTCCACGTAATGTGAGGCTTAGTTGGTGGATAGTGAGCAGTAATCTCGATAAGAAGGAATCAAATTTACCCTTCAATTGCATCGCCAACGCCTTCGCAGAGATGACATACGTGGTCGACCTTTGAAACCTGCAAGGGCAAAGAAGTAGTTTTAGACGGTTTGCAGTATACGATGCATGAGCTTACATTGTAACATCCGCGCCATAGTCGTACAAGTCATGGGCAATATCGTGGCCTTGGGGAAAATCAGTGTTTGAAGAGTCTCAGAGTGGCGCCTTGTGTAGACCGACCGGAGTTGCAAGCACCAACCACCACCGCCTTCTTGCCTTGAAATTCTTGGCCAGATTTGAAATCTTCAGAATGGATTGCAATCCCCTTGAAGGCTTCCTGCGTAAGTCAATAATCAGTAAGGCTGGAAATTTATTTTCTCTAGTGGCTCTTTACTCGGCCTGCTATATGCGGGATATTGGGGACACCGCCCCCCGTCCCGTGAGCAAAGACAACATATTTAGGTGTCAGGACACGCTGTGTGCCGTCAGAGCGTGTCACATTGACTGTCCAATCCTTCTTAGTCTTGTTCCAGACGATGCTACTCGTAGAGGCAGACGTCCAAACGTTGAGGTCCAAGCTTTCCGCATAAGACTCTAGCCAGCTGCCTATCTGATGACGAGTAGCAATCAGAAATGATGCATGATGGTTCAGGCAACTGAAGCAAAATAGACACTGACTTTCTTTCCTGGAGGATATTTCGGCCAGGTTGTGGGAAAGCTTCACATCTCTCAGACAATTGGTGACAGAAAATCAAGAGAAAGCCACAGACGGGAGGTAAGCCAATTGATTGAACCCTGAGGTGCAGAATTTTTTTCAGCAAAGATTATCATCTGAGGAACTGGCTGTCCCTCACAGAGTGGGTCATGAAGGCATAACCGGTCATAGCGTTCGCGCCACTGTCAGTGATATTTAGAAGGAAAGTCTGATGGAAACCGGTGAATACGCACAACGTCTCCCACCCGAGGCAGTTTCTCTAATACGAGCGTTGCGACTTCCAGGTATTGGAGGCGCGCGGCAACCTGAAGCCCAATGTGCCCTGCGCCGATGACTACGACTGTCGGCTGGGTGTCGACGAATTCTCTCTCTCGAGCACGTCGCTGGGCCCAGTTGAAGTCGGGACCTTCAAATCGCGATGATGACACCTGTGATGATGGACGATCGACTGACGTTAACTCGAGATCGGAGTCTGAAACGTGAGACACAAACCCTCTCGGGAAAATCTTGCAGCTTGTCAAGGGAGGTGAACACAGTCCAGGCAAGCCACGCACCGTTGGCGGTAGGGACCAGTCGTGCGATGCTAATACCGCTTCCAATGTTCGTTTCAGCAACGAATCCGAACTGGATCCATGCTACATCTGGAAATGGACGAGATAAAACTGGCTCGAGTATTCCATGCGCCTCCAAATGCTCCTCCGAAGTAAGCGGTCTCGTAGAGAATCCTTGGGACGCGACCTGTGAAGATAACATGGTTCGGATGCTTGGAAGTGAGCGGACAGAGCGGAAATCCCAAGTCAACGCTAGGATATCCTTCCAAGTAGCGGTGGGAAGCAGCAGGTCATCTAGTTTGGCAAAGTCACGCGTGAAGAGGACATTGGAAAGTTTCTCAAGCCATGTCGACGCGACAAGATCGACAGCTACATCTGACGGGACCTCGGCGTTGAGTAAATCAAGAGTTGGAAGGGCAGTTGGACACGCGGGAAGATCAAAGGACATGATGAGAAACAAGGCGACACAAGCTATGTCGAGTCTTTGATAACGATCTTACCACTATCAACGGCCAAGCGAAAAGGATATCTTAAGGGCGCCATCAGCAAAGAACAAGTACTGTGTATATATTACCTGGAAAGCCATTGTAACACCTATCGCAATTATGGCGTCGATCAGCTCATTCGTGAGATGATACACTAGCTGAATGTCGTGATCATGGAAAAATCAGGCTGATGCCCGATCGCCGAGGCCCATGTGTATAATACTGTTCACAATCTCGTCTCTTTGAGAAGCATGAGTGCTCGCTGAACTTCTTCATGGCGTACAACACCTTGTAATTTGGCTCCTTACAACTTTTCACAGTATTGTCGCTCAATGGTGTACCTGTCTCCCATAAGCCCTTCTTCCATCGCTTTGATTTCTGATTGAAAGCGTGTCAGATTAGTACCAGTATCGTCACAGAGCCACTCACGCAGAGCCAAGTAAGTAGAATATTGCCGTCCCATCGCAAAGTTGCCTTTCAGAAGTATAAATTTCAGATTGGTGCTGTCCATTCGGAGATGACGGTCGTGACAACGCGCTTACCCATGCCAAAGAAGAGCTGAGGATGGCCGGAATTGCGCCACACGCCCCGCAACTCTCCCTCCTCATCAACTCCCCACATGTCCCCAAGCTTACTTGCAACCGCAGGCTCGCACAGTTGGTGTGCAAGGTCACGCGCATCTCCGTACCTGAGCGATGTTATAAGGATAGATTGAACAGCATAAGTATAGACGGAAACTCTCACCCAGTCGCGAAAACAACAACATCTGCATCTAATTCGGCTCCATCATCAAACACCAAACCCTTCGATGTGTATCGGGAGATACCGCTGCCTTGCTTGACCTTGATACTCCCGTCGGCAACAAGCTCGCTGGCACCGACGTCTATGCAGCACGTCAATATAGATTGTGCATGCAAGGTAATGCAGCATTGCGCACTGATGTAATATCCTCCGCGGCGTTCTGCCAACAGTGCAAAGAGACCAGCTCCTTCTAACCCCATGGTTAGCGCAAAGTTAGTTTTCTTCAGACTTTCGCGCAATTCTCTGTGTTCAGGAGGTCTAAGCGAACAGCTTTGGTTTTGTTAAATATCGGAATGTACTTGTCAACAGTGTTCGCAATTCGGTCAGCCACGCGCGCTTGCACTAGTCGGACGAGATAGTGTGGCATTGACGCGTTGAAGCGATCTGCGACTTCAGTAGGAGGTCCGTTCTCGAGGTATTGAGCCGCTGGCGGCATTATCAGAACCATTTGGAAACATCTTCACATCAAAGGATACGCACAGGTCAAGAGTTGGGCCAGAGCCTGCGCAGATATAACATATGTCTCGGAGCGTTGAACCCTAAATGCCACTAGATGTCAGTCAGACCTTTCTGCGTAGAGAGTAATCAACGTGCATCGTGACATCTGCTCCGTTGCGATAGAAATCGGCAGCAATATCGTGACCTTATCTAGACGGTTTAAAAACGGAGGGCATCGCGGAACTCTTGCTCGCACCTGAGTTGCACGCGCCAACTACGATTGCCTTCTTCCCTTTGAAATATTTTCCTGATCTAAATTCTGACGAATGGTACACCTGACCTCTAAATGCTTCCTGTATCGCTCATCCGACATCAGGCTTCCTGTTCACGGGCCTCGACAACTAGAACCGGATTTGGGACGTACCTTCTGTGGTATATCAGGCATGTTTGCAACTCCACCACCAGAACCATGGGCAAATATGACATACTTCGGCGACAATATTCTCTGTCTGCCATCCGACCGAGTCACGGTAACTGTCCAGTCTTTCGTTCCTTCATTCCACTTGATGGTTTGGGTGTTGGTCGAAGTCCAAACATTGAGGTCTAGGTTCTCTGCGTAGGCTTCAAGCCAACTAGCAATCTCCAGATACGAGAAAGGCACAAGTCAATATCTACATCGCGCGCAGCCGATTTCGCAAAGAACGCGCCACAGAAAAGTCGCCCATTGACATACTTTTTTACTAGGAGGATAGCGGGGCCATGTAGAGGGGAATCTATGCGCATGCGGTGAGGCCCCGCACTTGCTTCCATTGTTAAGTGAGGTACGAACGGAAGGTAAGGCATATGATTGAACCCTGTGAAAAGACCATCAGCTCATGATCGCTATACCGGATGTCGAATGCGTACAAACTGGATCGTGCAAGCAAAGGCAATCATAACGATGGCGCCACTGTCAAAGACGGTCAACTCGCTATTTGAAAGGGGCCATGTTTCAATGCGGTCCACTCACACTATCTCCAATACGAGGCGCCTTCTCCACAACAAGGGCTGAGATATCAGAGTACTTCAAACGCGCAGCCAGCTCGAGTCCCACATGGCCGCCGCCAATGATCAGAACAGTCGGCTGGCTATCCACAAAGTCGAGCTCACGAGCGCGCCTGTCTACCCAGTCCACCACAGGACCGACGAGACGCGCAGCGCCCACCTACCACGTAATTGTATGGATCTGCACCCCACTGTGAACGACGACGATCCATGATTACGCACCTTCTCCGGGAAGTCTCTCAGCTGATCGATGCTCGTAAACACCGTCCACGCTTTCCAAGTCCCATCCCCGGTCGGGACGAGTCGTGCGGTGCCGGTTCCCTGCCCGATCCCGGTCACGACGGCGAACCCGAACTGCACCCACGCGGTATCCGGGAACGGTCGGACCAGCAGGGACTTGAAAGCGCCGCGCGCCTCAGCGCCTTCTTCTGCCGTGATCGCCTGGACGGAGAACTTCTGCAGGCCGGCACGGGCGGCAAGCATGGTGCGGATGCTGGGGAGCGTGCGGACAGAGCGGAAGTCCCAGGTGAGCGCGAGGATGTCTTTCCATGTGGCGGAAGAGATGAAGAGCTCGTCAAGATCGTCAAAGGTTTGCGCAGACAGCGTAGCAGACAATTTCTCCAGCCATGATTGGGATACGGACTCTGGAGAAACGTCAGAAGGGACGGTCGCGTTGAGACTTTCGAGTGTGGGAAGACCAGTCGGTCTAGGAGGCAGCTCTAACGAGGCAGTCATGGAGCTAACGCAGGAAAGTTAAGTTGTCTGCCTAGGATCGGGCTCTGCTCTCTTATAACAGCCGAGGCAGCTTCCGCCTTGAGCGCTCAATTTGCCGCCTTTCGCCGTACTTACCGGTGCACCTACAGGGTTGACTCGATAATGGACAAGACTCAGGCCAGTCTCGCGCATGCTCTCCTTCAGCGGGAAGGCTTCCGGGGGTTCTAATTGTAATCAACAGGCTTCGACGATCAAAATGGTCATCCTGGCGCTGGTCACGGTGGGCGTCTGAGGATTAAAAACGAAGATCGCTTGATGCCATGGGTCAGTCGGTCAGTTTCAGCTCATCGGAAGAACAGGCACGTGTCCGGTCAAAGCACCACGAACTCCATGGAGATGCATCAGTCACAAAGCTCTGAGATCAAAGCGTAAGTGCATTACAATCGAAGCTGAGAGATTTCGTAGCTGCAAAAGTGTATGATGTCTGTGCTCTAAGTTAGGTTGCATTGGCGCTCTGATGGGCGCTACTCGAGAAATTTGTCATTTCACCACAAAAGCAGAAAAAGGCTTGCTGACCTGGAGTAGGAACACGAAAATCCATAACGGCATGCCATGCTCCCCTGACCACATTTCCGTTATCATCCCGCACACGTATCACACAAAGGCTTCGCTGCCCTCTTTGTCTATCTCATGATCATCGTCATCTTCTAACGGGATGAAGCGTCTCCTTGGGGCATCCTGCAGCACGGCCATCAGTCATCAAAGAGCCTACAAGATGGAAGGGACTGGCACTCACTGGCAGATTCAAAATTTCGCGCTTTCGTTCACGCAAGCTGGGTGGTAGAAGTGTTTCCTCCGTCTGTGGGAATGACGAGGCCGTGTGGTATGCTGTTGACAAACGCCCTAAAGGGCTCGTCAATTGTTCGCGCGACGTACCTAGTGCGACAGCACAATAAGCTCAATAAGTGCGAGATTGAAGATAATCTAGCGCACCATGCTCATCGGTCTGCATCCCCGGGACTCGGAAGGAGTGACGCGGTTTACCACCAGCCCGAAGGTCGGGAAAGCGGTGTGGTATAGGTGTGGACAACCTTGCCTGCATGGAGCGGAGAATTCGTCCACCAAACAAAGGTGATCGATGATCCATTCGTGGACCTCCCTCGCGCTCCATTGGAGCATTATGAGCCACCAAAACTGTAGCCGTGGACGAACCTTGAACAAATTGACAGGGATCAGGAGTGCCTCGCGCACGCCCGGAGGATAAGTTCTGCCTTTGGTTGGGGGTCACACCAAGATCCCGAGAAACAGACATGGGCGTCTCGGTGAGATCGTGTCGACTAGGGTGAGCGGGACCTCGTAACGACGTGCGGCGCAGCAGCTGCGTGCGATCGAGAGCGGCAGCTGTAGTCCCCTGCTCTCGCCTTGGTGCGGTTGATTGTGCATGACGTAGTGAGTGAGATGCCAGCCTAAGGAGAGGGGCCGGGAAAGGATGCCTCGGAACAGACGATGGAGTCGCTTGACGACGTGGAGAGGGCGGCGGCAATGCAGCAGAAAAGGCGCGTGCATGTACCACACTGGCAGGTGGAGCCATCGAGTCATCAATGCGACGCCTTTTGAGGGATGAGGTGTTGTTGGATCTCCGAGCTGCTTCATTTCCCTCTACGGATGAAGGCGAGGATAAACGATTAGACCGTAGCTCTGACCGAGAAGAGGCGTGGGACGAAGAGCATGAACATGCGCATGAGACTGGGCGTTTTTGCATGGCTTCGATCACGGCATTCCGAGCAACCTCCACCTGAAGGGGAATGGCTTGCAGAAGAGGAACGAGTGGCGTGATGAGTGCGACGACCTGAGCGTGCTGTTCCAGTGCGCGCATCTGGTGTTCTTGCAAGTTTTGCAGAACCTGCGACTGAGTCTGCGCGAGCTAGAATCGAACCGGATCCCGTCAGCCCCGGACAAGCAGCGACACCCATCGTAACAAGACTTTGAAGTAGAACGATCGAGGCGTACCGCGTTGAGCGAGGTCATTTTCGCGTCGACAGTGTCGAATCGTCGGTTTGTCGCAGTGAGCTCGGCTCGTGTTGTGGCCAGCTCAGCTCGCATATCGGACAGAGCGGACGCCTGTGCAGGTTCGCCGATTTTCTTTTCAATGTCGCTGCGATAGCGCTCGACTATACCACCGTTCAGCTCAGTACGATGCGCATATAGTCACCGTATATTGACGCAGACGGGTGTCCTCCGTGATGCCCGCCCTTAGGGTATAGACGCACCTAGTTTCCCAATGTGCTCTCCCATCTTCTCCATCTCGCTTTCCATTTCCTGCTGTGCTCTTACGAGGGCCTGCTGCGCCTTGTCAACACCGTCCGCGAGCTTACCCGCGCGCTCCGAGAATGTCTCTAGTCGGGCATGGGTGTCATGCAAGAGTATGCGCGTTGAGGTCCCAGCCTTGTCTACCGGTGCTATCTGTGTGTTTGCAGGGAAAGATGTCCCACTGGGCGTGCGCTGCGAAGACCCGGGCTTGTGGAGGAGGTATGCCCACAGAGCCGGGGTAGGAGTGAACTGGCTTCGACTGGCCCTGCTCGAAGGAGGTACTGAGTTAGTGTCATTTTCAGGAGAGACCGACATTTGGATGGGCGATAGCAAAGCAGAGACAGAGAGCGAAGGGAGGAAGAGCGAAGGCGCGCAAGTCATGTGACACACGTGAGAGGTTCAGGGCAGGCTCAATGGTCAGATACACGTCGAGGCCGGATTGGCAGATACAAGGAAACTCGAATACAAGGTTGAAAACAAACCGAGAAGCGTGAATACACAAGGGAGTGAGTATGGGTTTCATGGCGGTGGGATGATGGCGCTTTGCGTTTCGGCCATCTGGAGGGTCCAGGACTGCATGTCGTCGACTGGGAGGTCCTTCCACCTCTCGTAGACCTATAGAGAACAGACATGACGATCATGATGCGTGGTGAGGGTGGGATGTACAGACCTCGTTGAGGAGGGTAAGCATTTCGGTAATCTGATCATTCGCGACTTGTCGCGCCTTTACATTCTCTTGCATCTTACTCTGCAGTCGCATATTCTCGTCTTCCAGCTGCATGAGCTGTGAGAAGATACTGCCATTGGTATGAGTGACAGTAGCGACGGACCTGTGCCAACTGCGCTCGCAGGCGATCGCGCTCTTGTTGCAGGAGAGGTATTGTCCACGCCCGTACGGCCGCTCGTGGCTCAAGGTCTGGGCGCCATGCGTCCTTTCTTGCCTCACCGCTCTGTTTCCGAGCTCGCGCCTCAGTGACGACGGCGTGCATGCTATCGAGGTTCCTCTGCACGTCATAGTTGGCAAACAGCTCATCGCATAGTTTCTATTCACGATAGATCACGACGAGTGATACAAAGACGATAGACATGTACACACCGTGGTCTCGTTCTCCACAAACCTAGAGACGGTGTTGAAGACGCCCGACGCGCCGTTCTTCTCCTCCTCGCACCACAAAGGAAAGCATTCGACAAAGTCCTCGTAACTGATCTCGTGAGCCAACCACTGGCGGGGGAAAGGTAGTGCCACGTACGTCCACTTGTGCGCTGAGCGCTGAATGGCGAGCTGGAGCGCCGCGTAGAAATGCGTCCACCGTACGCTGGGCTGGCTGGCCGACGCGTTGGAAGTGGCCATGTTGACGCGACCGTGAGATCTGCCGTGGCCTGCTGCCAGCGAGAAACGGCAGATGCCGACGGCTGACCACGCGCGCTTCCCCCTGCTCGTCCTCGCACTCCTCTCCGCTGCTCTCCGCCGCTGGCCAAATGATCTGGCCTCGTTCACTCTCGAAGACTTGACATCGTCGACCCGCTCAATCGAATTGCGATGAGCACGCCGCAACCAGCCGCAGACCCCCAGAATGACGAGGAGGCTGGCCTTCCCGCACGCCAACGCCCGCGCAGCTCCATCTCGTCGTTCCTCTTCCTCAGCTTCCTCCTATTCATGCTCACGAACAACAACGGGGACGACGGCCCATTGCGAAATCAGTATGTAGACGCCTTGTCGTCCTTGGAGTGGCAGCTGGGGAACTACTCTGCGTGGCTGAATGGCACGGATCCAGCAGGGCTCAACTTTACCATGGTACGTCTATCGCTCATCTGCTAGGCGCAATGTGTTAGGTGTAACTGTGCAACACAAGCCAATCAAGCCACCCGCCGAGGAGCGCTTGGTCGACTTCTTCGTACCATCTGGCAAGATCTTAGACCCTTCGAGCATGTCCTACTTTCCCAATGTGACCGGCTTCATTCGTGGGTCGTGTTCAATGCACAACATCACTTCTGCTGCTATTCAGGATTCTCCAACCATCTCTTGGGAAACTTATGCCCGGGATCTGATGACGGGCGCTAATATGACTGAGATCACCAAGAGACTTGGATCGTGGAACTGGACCGCATCTGAGAAGGTGACGATGAGCGTAGTTGAGAAGATACCCGAGAGCAAGCTAGACGGCAAGGGCAAAGGGAGAAAGCCACAACCACCGTCTGATATCGCCATGGTTCATGTATGCATATCACCGTTCAGGCTTGGCTTGTTGTCACTCATAAGCATTCTAGGGCAAAATAGAATTTGTAGATTCCAACACTGCGGAGGAGATGCGGTTTGACTTTGAAGGCATACACTTCCTCCGAAACGGGTCTATGTACGGTCTGGTAGATCCTTCAGGGTGCGTTCGCCCTGATAGGCTTATGCTCTGACACCCACATAATATCACTCCATCAGTCACGCCTTAGATATTCGCACAATCCCCTCCCTGGTTCCAGAATCCATCCGCAATGAGACCGCGCACATCATCCAGCCCGAGCTTGAATCCCGCGTCTCAAAGCTGAAGAAGCTGATCGATTCCGGCACCGTCGACGACACGACGTCGGACGACTCACCCAAGCCTGCGTGTCCTTTCTCTATCTACGCGCAGCTGGAGCCGACGCACATATCGGAGGATCAGATGCGGGAGCTCGAGGAAGAGCTGCAGCATCCGACGGGCGCGACGACGGTGCGGCGGCCCAGGTTCGTCATGCACGGCGTACTGCTCAGTCAGCAATGTGGGATCATGTACGAAGTGAAGAGCACGGAAGGCCTGCGCTCGAGAACGTTCTACCACAAGATCACCACTTGTATATACCTTCACTCCGTTTCGCATAGCGAGCGAGGGCTGAATCTTGACATGCAGACGCTGGATTTTCTGGCCTTGTTTATCTTGCGCTTCTTCTCCTGTTGTCCAAGCAGATGACCCAGAGCCAGACTCCCGCGGCACTCGCCAGGATCTCGCGATGGACGTTCTTTGGCCAAGCATTGGCTGACTCGATCTCGTTCGCAGGCGTACGTACCATCTAACAGCAATCGTGCGCGACTCTGACATCTTTCGTCGGAATAGCACATCACGTTCGCCATACTCGCTGATGGGCGGCCGTCGCTATCTCTCGTGGCTCCAGCGTTCCTCGCTTGCGCCTTGTTCGCGCACGAAGTGGTATGGACGATAGATTTGTCCCGTGTGTTGGTTATCATCAACTTACTCACACCCTTGGAAGCAATTTGCGCTGCTCATACATCAGGTCCAGGCTCCAGAGGATGTCGCGCCTTCGCCTGCACCAGTTCCTCCTGCACCAACTTCAACGCCCACGATCAGCGCGCCTCTCAACCCATCTGAGTCCATAGCTCCTATCAATACGGCCACTACGCCACCCGCACCGCCAGCGCTGCGGCGCCCGTCATTCTTCCGCGCCGTCTGGGATCATCTGCGCGTCGATTCTCAAGTGCGGACGTGTAAGTCGCTGCTATGCTACGTTTCACGCTGATTCGCTTTGCATTGATGTCTCTGACAATGACTTTTCTCGTGGTGCAGGGGTCGTGATGTTCTTATTACTCACCTTCGTAGTGCGCATCATCTTGGCGCCTTCACTGGCCTTGATGTTCTTCGCAGCGCTCTACTCATCGTTCTGGGTGCCTCAGATCGTGCGTGCTGCACAGCGTGGCCGCACGTGTGCCCTCGATCGGACATATCTCGTCGGCACGACTATCGGGAGATTGTTGGTTGCTATGTGTGAGTATCAATATGATCTGTTCTTCTCCTTTTTTTGCCCCGGCGCTTATCTTGCCATAGATTTTATGTCGTGTCCGAAGAATGTGCTCGATGTCACTCCTCGACGTGAGTAGATCGCATAAATCACCGCTTGAATGTAGCTTAGGCTGTCGATTTCATGTAGCATGGATGTACTTGCTTGCGATCTTCATGTTCGCACAGGTCCTCGTTTTGATCCTGCAGGATGCCCTTGGCCCGTCCTTCTTCCTCCCACAGCGCGTACGACCATTTCCGATTATTATTATCGGCGTATTGATGTGGCTGATACTCCGTATAGTATTCGCGCGTCCAGACGTACGACTACCACCCGCCGCTGCCGGCTCCGGACTCAGAAGCGCCGGAGAACAGCCTCGGGGACTGTGCGATCTGCATGGACGCCATACGGCTGGAGCGGCCGTCGCTCGACGGCAACGAGAAGGAACGGGGTCGTGGCGGGTTCTTCGGCGCTGTGGGCGTCGGCGTCAGCGTGGTGGGTGGATCCGGGAACAGGAAGAATTACAGTCTGGCGCCGTGCCATCATCTATTCGTGAGTTCTTCGGTTCTTTTGGTCGGGCGTGCAGCTAATGACTATTTGTGGTAGCATACTGAGTGTCTTGAACGGGTAGGTTGTCGTTTGTTCTCATCTCGGGCTTTACTGATCATCCGCGTTGCGTTGCGATCTAGTGGCTTGCCATCAAGGTCAGCCTAACCTGTCATATCGCGTGATGAGCTGATCACTCATTATCCTATAGAACATTTGTCCGCAGTGCCGGCGACCTTTACCCCCTCTTTAGCTTTAAGCTTGGATAACGGAATTAGCTTCCGCGCCGTCGTAGAATACTGGTGTGGTATAAGAATAATTGACAGCTTGGTCTCGACCTGAGAGACCGCACTGATGCCCTGCATTTCTGATTTCTGAAGCAAGTGGCTGAGCGAACTATAGACTCGCCGCCCGTGTGTCGTCTTCTTGACTATACTTGCCGGTGTCTACCAGTGTTGTTGACTGACGCGGCAGGGTGGGTTGGGTAATTCCAGAGCAAGTAAAGTCAGCTCCGCGAGGATGATCGGCCTGAATAAGGCATTCCCTACATAACCGAAGTCCCTCGGTGTATATATATTCGTGTCCAAGTTGGGCTACCACAAGGACGTAGGCAGAGTGATCGTCGATGGAACGATCGGCTGGCTCGCATTAATGCCTGAACTCTATGCTACGCAGGTGGTACAAGACATACTCAAGCTCAGAACAAGGGCTGAGCGCTGAACGACTACTTTGCTCCATAATTAAAGGTGCTCCACAATGATCAAAGAGCGTGCATTTGTGAGGAAGAGATAATTGCAAGTCTAGGAGCGGAAGGATCAGCATTGGGAAGAATATAAAAAGAATAATCTATCAACACGATCAAATACGAAAGTCAGTGGAGACACACAGATGACTAGTGAACAGCTGCTGGAGATCATTGCACTCAGCTCTGATCTCTCTTGTGCATCATAAGATGTCAGGTCTCAACTCAAGGACAAGGATGAAAGCCCCAGAAGTCACCAAATTGATTGCCTAAATGCATTTTTTTTTCAAATTTTAGTCTGTATTATAGTCTAATGGTGGCATACCACATGTCTAGACTACATATGTATGGGATATCTACTAGTGGTGGGTATGGTAAGTATCATATAGTTTCTTGTGTGGTAATTCATGTGGTACATGCCATCTGTAACCATGTGTGCATGGACTCTGCCATTCATTGCTGCACATTGTTGGTGGCTCCATGTGTGTAGGTGTGCTGGCTGCTATTGTTCATGTCATATGCCCAGTTGGGTCATCACTCTCCTCTCTCTCTGCCCATCTACCCTCCCCTGTGTCTAAATCATTTGGTACCACTCAGCTCATCTTTGGTAGACTCATGTCTCTAAAGGTCCTGTGGAATTGTTGGGTGTCATTTATGTACATCTGGAAACACCTCCTCTTTTAATTAAATCTAATTATTCAAAATACTAATCTGAGCTAATCAGAATATATTATCCATAATCAACTTTATAATCAAATCTGTAAGTAAAGGTGACATTGTCTATACTACTATAGTCCCATTGGAATCTACAATCCAATTACAATTTTACACATTTCAAATCCATATTGTGTAAGTGCTACAATCTTATTTTGCCTGTATTCTTTATTTTTTATTAGTTTACTATATTATTGTCTAGTGCTCAAATTCAAATATCAGCCCTGATTTTTAGGGCATTTATTGACCTCTTTATATATAGAATAGATAAAAGATAAATGTGTAAGAAAATCAGAAATATTGAGATTGTCTTATTTATATCAACATATTTAGGTCACCAGGTAAATAGTTTAGACCCTGTGGCTTAGTGATTTAGAGCACCAGTCCGGGGTATACAGGCATGAGGTTGTTGATTCAATTCTAGAGATGGGCAAGTTTATAATAAGGTGTGACTTTAGTTTGATTAGTAAGCTCTATAAATACTCTATGATTGGAGGTGTAGTAGTAGTAGAGAAACCATAGAACTGGGTTGGTTGGTATTTTTCCGAAAATCCATATAATAAATTAGCTTTAATTAGCTCTAATTAGATCTTATAATTTCAGGATTAGAGGGGGGGTAAGCTAAAAATCCTTAATGGTAATTGGTAAAAATCTAGCTATATTTATGCTTAACTATGGTTGATTTAATATGGAGCTTTTCCCTGATGCCGCCCGCGTGACGGGGCTTTGCTGATCATCCCGACCTGCGGTGCCCAGTTAGGCAGGTATTGGCTCAGGAGCCCGGTTTTTTTCTGGCACGACACTCCAGAAAATTATGCAAGACCCTGTACCTTACAGTCAGTCATAGATATGTATACAGCGATATCAGCTGGATCATAGGTCTGCACCTTTTAGGGTTGTTTTTGTGTTCTGACTCAAGTTCTCACATCGGCTCCGGAGAAGTGAACTTGAACTCGAATCATGGTCGTTCAGCGCTATTGTAGCAGCAACTCGCAGTGCCATAGTTTCTCCCATAGCAGGTGTTGAAGACACCATGCAGCTTGACATTCTCCATCGCAATCCAGAGGCAACATCTCGCAAGTCTGAAAATCGCGTCGCCAATGCCATCGTGGAGGCTGCAGATAGTCGCGGAGATGGCTCTCAGGCCATTAATATACAAGCGACGATCGACGATTTGCCGGACGGAGGTTACGGATGGGTCATTGTCGCTGCATGCAGTCTCATATCGTACGTCCTTTTTCCGTTTCTTTGGACTCGTTGAAATCGATTGTTCATTTGGCGGTCCCTAGTTTCTTCCACATCGGGTTGACATACTCGTGGGGAATTGTCCAAGCGCGTTTGAGCGCATCCCACCTGGCGAAAGACTCCACGCTCTCGTTCATCGGCTCCACCGCTGTTGCCTTCGTTTCTTTCGCCGCACTCGTGAATGCACGCATCATTCGTCGGCTCGGGACGCGCAACTCTGCGCTGCTTGGTTGCTTTTCTCTTGGATTTGGGCAGATCCTGAACGGATGGGCTTCGTATAGCATCGCTGGGCTCTTTGTGACGAATGGCGTCATTGTAGGCTTCGGTACAAGCCTGTGCTTCATGGTATGTATAACCTTACTATCATACAGCTAAGCTTTCGCATCGTTTCTGATCTCAATATTCTATATCTTGAACAGACGTGCGGTTCACTGCCCGCGCAGTATTTCAAGCGGCGTCGTGGGCTGGCTAACGGCTTTGTTTTCGCCGGTGGAGGCATTGGCGGAGGGGTGTGGTCCCTATCGATCAGTTCGCTCATCGACCGCGTAGGCATCCCATGGACGTTCCGCATTCTAGGGCTCATCACCCTCACGACGACAATGCCCGCTGCCATGCTACTCAAGGAACGCGTGCGTCGTGCACCTGCGACTGTAGAATGGTCAGTATCATGACGCGTTCATGAACGTTCCTATTGACCAGTTTGTACCGCTCAATCACAGGAGGCTTTTCCTCGACCCAAAATTCATACTCCTCTTCCTTGGCTCGGCCCTCGCTACGTTCCCGATCCTTGTCCCCGCCTTCTTCATACCATTGTACGCGAACTCCCTCGGCGCGTCCGCCTTCACAGCTTCCGCACTTCTCGCGTTGTTCAACCTCTCATCAGCCGTCGGTCGTGTCGGCTTCGGCGCTCTAGGCGATCGAATAGGTCCAATCTCTGCGCTCGCGCTCACTCTGCTCCTCGCCGCGGTCAGCATGCTAGCTATATGGCCCGTGTCCGCAAGCCTCGCGCCGCTCGTGGTGTTCATCGTGTTGAATGGGATCGGGAACGGCGGGTTTTTCTCGACGATGCCGAGTGTTATCGGGCATATGTACGGCTCTTCGCGTGTTGCGAGCGCGTTGGCTATGGTGGTGACGGGATGGGCTTTCGGATACCTCCTCGTGCGCGTCTTTTGACTGGCCTGCGGACACATTCTCACTTGCTGATCGCCGTTACGATTCTCAAGGGCTCTCCTGTCGCAGGATGGTTACTCGATGCGTACGGAGGGTCGAGTGCTGGGCGCACCGCCTTTCGACCTGCAATCTATTTTGCGGGTTCTCTTTCTCTGCTGAGTGTGGTGCTGATCACAGCTATGAGACACATGGTGACGAAAAACAAAATCTTCGTGTTCGCATAGAAGCGAAATTCTAGAGTAGTTACTCCTCTTACTCCTCAAATGAATGATTTTCTCTCCAGCCAACCCAAATTCCGTACCTTGGGCCCATGATGCCATCTGTCTGCTCTCCGCCAACATTCCACACTCTCCATCCGTCTCTGCTCACCCATCCCTCGATGAATGCTGTCATGACATCTTCTGCGCGCAGCTCTGCTACCACGATGACGGATGTATGGTGCGGCACAGCGAGCGAAGTTAGGGTGTCTATCAACGGAGTAACTAAGGAGGGGTGGTATATGCAGTCGACCACGAGGATGAGATCTGGAGGATCTGATAGAACGGAAGACGAGAGCTGGCGATCGGCCGGGAGCGTCCAGTCGAGCGCTTCAGCTCTGATCGTGTGGGGCGTGAGAGATGAGCTGGGCTTGGCAGGTATGTGGGATATGTTTTTGCGGATTAGAGGGATGAGATCCGGAAGATCGGTGGAGGTATATCGTCGGACTAGTGGGCCTAGGACGACACTAAGAAGGCCCGTTCCTGCACTGAGTTATGCATGTCTTAGCGCATATATCGAGGAACGCTGATGATGATTACCCGAGCTCGATGATATGCGCTTTCATTATTGATTCGGGATTGAATAGAGTGCAAGAGTCGGGGAAGTGATATTGAAGGAGGAATAGCTGCGCAAACTCGACGCTAACGATACAATTCAAAACTATGTCCGACGAATCACAGTTCACCGCGACTCACCTAGCTCTCCATAGTACGCTTCCAGTATCCCCTTTACGACTCCTGAGAGCGGTTCCGTCCTGGAAGAGCTCAATTTCCAAGACTTTGGGCTCAACTTTCTTCGGCTTGCCTCTTGCCTTCTTACTTCTGCCATTGCTGCTCTTTTTGGCGACGGGGCTAGCAGCTACATCTGAGAGTGGAGGGGAAATCTCCAGCCTCACGGACAGTGTGTCCGTCTTGGAGTCGACATATCCGAGCCCCCGAAACGGTTCCATGGAACTGCCATCCGCCGGCTTCACAGAAGCAAGACGAGTATACAACAGGAAGATCTGTCACGACACGTGAGATCAGAGGGTAAATGAGCCGCAATACATGTCCTACCTCTTCATCCGGATCAGTGACAGCGACAGCGTACAATGGGATTTGGATAAGTCCACGGGGAGAGAAACGCTGCGAGCTAGATGTCTGGTCCATTCACACGGTCAGGTTTCAGTTGGCGATTTCATAGACCTTTCGGGTATGTCTTTCGATATACAGGCATCCTGAACGAGCACTGGTGAGGAGAGCACGATGATACTTGACCTGTATTGACTGACCCAGGCGGCCCACGGTAGTAGGCGAACAGTGTGGGCGAGGTACACTTAGCTCTAACCTGAACCTGGTACTCGAGTAAGTATTTCAAAGTCCGCTGACTACATCCCAAACTGTCCCAAAAGTTTGCTGCCAGCAGCCAGCAGCCAGTCCCATCAGGTGCTCCTTCACGATCTACGAAAGCAGTTCAGAAAGAGTTTCCACGTAAATCAAGGGGTGCGCAACACGCTGCGACACCATTAATCCGGTGATGATTGTTGTGGCTAGACTATCTGGTTCGTTTAATTGTACGCTGTCATCTTTGCTTGTATGTACTGACTTTGAGGTTGATCTTGAAGTATAACCAGAAACGACGCTCATGTCTTCACACGTTCGAGAAAGCCCGCCTCTACTCCCACACGAAATTTGGCGACACATCTTCGAGTTGGCAACACACGTCCCTGGGGTTCTAGATCCAGTTTTCGACGATCCATTTGAATCAGGAGCGCCTTTCAATCTTGGTATCGGCTGGCGGTATAAAGAGCAGGAGCACCACAGCATCCTCAAGTCCATCAACACAAAAAGCATCTTCGTTCGCGTTTGCAGACGGTGGCACGCTCTTGCTTTACCGCTTCTATACCAGGTCGCCGTCATCCGTGAAAGCCGCGATGGAGATTGGCATCCCAATAATCTGACCTCGCTTTGTAGCGTTTTCAATGTCGAGCAGAGACAAGGTCTCGCAGACGTGCCCATACCAGGATCCTATGTTCGCCGTCTGGATATGAGTGCGCTCAACCTCGAGGACCGTGGGACAGCACAGAAACTTTCCAAGTTCGTCGCGTCTTTTTCTAAATCTTCGTATCCTTTCCGTTTCAGAAGGCAATCATTACGGTGATAAAGAGCATAAGGCGAATATGTTGTGGACCGCTGTCGGCGCAAATTGCAGTCCAACGTTGGGAAAGCTCGTTTGGAAAATTGATACACTCCCAGGCTGCTCATTGTTTGGGTCTCTTCTCACTCGATTCACAGCATTGCGCACCATGATACTCGAACATGATGACCCTCTACAAGATCTATGCCCGCTCGATCTTCCAGCCCTTCCCAATTTGAACTTCGTTACCCTGGCTCATAGTCAAGAGACCGAGTGCACCATTTCTTCCGAACACTCGACCTCATTTCCCAACGTTAGACAGGCATTATTTACCATAATGTCGATCTTAACGGATGCTCTTTGGATTTCTTAGATAAGATAAGCTCTAGCCTCACCACTGTGTATCCTGTGACGAACATAGCTATGGCTCCTGGATTATGTTCGCAAATAACATCACTCTGTCCTCAACTGCGACACATTGTCCTCCTATTTGACCTTTACCATAAGAGCGGGTGGGAGGGCGTCGATTGGGAAGAGGACCGTCTTATCTTCTCGCCTGTCACACACTTGGGCATTCTTCTCCCACCATGTGGCGGATCGGAGTATCGACAGCTGTTCGCTTGGGTAGAGGATCACGCCGCCACACCCCTCCAGGTCGTGCGATTCTTGAACCCGGCCTTAGTGACCGAGTCAACCACTTTGCGTGCGAATATGCTGGCCGAGTTGATTCCCAGGTTGGTTGGTCTGCGGGTGGAGGATGATGAGGGAAACGAACTGAGTGCTCAGAGTTTCCATAGGAGTGCCTCTCCACAGTAGAACGTGCGCATCCTATTGTTTTCTGTCATTGCTTCGTTTATTGACCTTGATATCTACGCAGTATGCTGCTTATGCTCGTTTCACGGACTAGTGTTGGATCTTTGAATGTGACGTCCGACCAAGTGTAGCAGACGTTGTCTTCTGCTTACTGATCTCATTACTATCCAATTAATGAATATGTCACCAGGGATCACACTATTGCGCAGGAGGTTCGAGCACCTCATCACAGTGAGAGATCTACCGTCGTGAGCTCGCTGTCAATGCCTATTTTGATCAAGGTCTTCCCTCTCCCAAGCTGTCTAGTCTCTGATATGCATCGGCTCGGATAGCAGATGTTTATCCACCTACTCGCATCCTACCCAGATCTCTACTGCACACCAGGCCAATTTCTTGCGAGGCAAACTCGGAACTCGCGCTCCGCTGGATCACATCCTTTGTGCGCTAGTAAGATCACTGCGTGATCAACCTGATATCTGCCTTCTCGATGTAATCATATCGAAATATCAGGACGGCATCATTGAGCTCACGTCTGCTCACATCTCCGCGACACGGTGATCAATGCAACGGAGGTAAGTAGACCGGAGCAGACAAGCACAGATTCAGATTCAGACACATGACGTACACTCATATTCCTCGAAGCTTGAAATTTGAACGCAGTGACCATAAGTACTTCGGCAACGAGGAGGCAGCCGCTGTCCAAATCTTGAACTACGGCCTCGTTAGGTGTGCAGGGTTTCCATTCTCACTCCCACTTAAATATCTACATGAGCACTTTCTCTCGACGATATATAAGTTTGCAAGTTAAACTTGGATGATCTCAGACGGTGCCGACGAAGAGATTTCGCTCGAACATCGAAACTCAGTGGTGACGATAAGGAACGAATGAGCACAGCTATCGCTGTTCATCGCGTCGTCAGCTCCTGTAGGTGTCACTACATGCAAATTAGCTCATGGCGATCACTCACCGCTCTAGTCGCAAGCTCATATCACCGTTAGTCTGCCTCAGTGATTGTGATCTCATGACACCTCCATTCATAGAATAAACTTCGCCCATATCCCACCGCGGCTGCCTCTCGCCGCCATGAAAGCGTCTAAACATACCAATTGAGCATTCAAATAACCACTGCATCATTTTCCCATATTGCTCGAAACGCAGAAATTGGGCGCTTGGACGCGTTTAAAAGCAAGACTCTGGACCACCGCAGGCGCACCCCACCGTCCATCCTTCTCTCAGCGCGCCGTACGTCCTGTCATGTTCTCCCACACTTTCGTGTCGTCTGTCGTTGCTATTGGATTTGCATTGTCTGCAGCTGCTCTCTTAGCGCCGCAAGTCAACTCTAAGCGCGACACGATAGACTGCACAGACCCGCGCGGCCCAAACAGTTTCCTACCGCACGTGTACAGCGCGTCAATCACTAACAACGGAACGCAAGTCACCGACAGCGTTGCAGTCGATGGGTCCATCGTACGTCCTATTCTCCGCCCTCTCGCGCGCGGAAATCTCGACTGTGGTCTCGCCATCTAGGTCTCGTTTACTTGGGACCCGAACCCTTGCCGCCTGACTTCTGCCTTTATCCTTGGTGCATACACTGGCTCGCCCGTCAATGCTTATGCAAACAACTCTGATGGCTCGGGTTCGTGGATCGGGCCTCGTGCAGGCCCTTACGGCGGATTCAATGGCACTCACCATGGGAGCCTCGTGTTGTCGGGGGAGTATTTCACGAGGGGACAAGCATATGGTGCGCTTGACCTGAGCTTCTTCGCGAGTTTATCCTGAGGACGTTGGTCACTTGATGCAGTGGTCGATCTGTTTGAGTACAATGTGACAACGGGTGACCTTAAAGAGGCTGTTTCAAACCAGGACTTTTCCTGGGAGGTACCAGTGAGTTTCTCGCCTGATCTTCTTTCGACCTGCAGAGCTCATCATTGTGATCTACATCTTACTGCCACAGTACGGATCTTCCTGAACGTAGACTATTGGAGCTCCAATTGAGATCTGCGAACGCGGACCGGTCGGGTGAGGACATTTATCATATCTAACCTGTACTGGAGTAGTTAGTCTTAAAATGCATATCAAACCCACCGCACTCACCTTCACGCAAGAGTGCTCATGTTGCCTGCCCTACCCAGATCTCCACTGCCTCTCCACCTGCACCAGGAAGCGCGTTGATTTGGACAAGCTGCACGCCGGTTTTCTCACGGAGCAATTCCCAGAGCTCGCGCTCCGCCGAATCGCGCTGTTTATACGCCAATAGGATCAACGGCGCCTCTGCGTTCGCGTTCTGGGCTGTTTTTGTGATCTCAGACTCATCTGCAGTGCTTTCAGATGCGTCGGATGTCGTAGACTTGGGAGAGAGCGCGAGCAAGGCCGAGAGTGTGTTGACGAGTGCGGGAAACGATGAGGTGTTGTAAGTGACGTCCGCCATGCTGAAAAAACAAAATTGAGAGGCGTGCGCGTGGTCCGCAGAGCCGAAAAAGCACGCACACGATCATATCGAAACCGCCTCTCGAGCCCACGTCCAACACTTGAGGCGGGAGACCCCCGTCCCAGTCTAGTACGAGTGCGACAGGAACCCGAGCCGTGAACAATGAGTCGTTTTGGGTGATATTGTGTTCCATAACTTCCATGGACGATGCTGGAATTGCTTTGAGAATATGAGCAGTGATGAGAAGATGAGTGACTTACGTAGGTCTGTGGTGAGAATACGTGCTGGATATTCAGAGAGGGAGGCGTCCGCAGACCGCAGGGCAGCCATAGTGAGGGAGACAACTCCAGTTCCGGCACCTAATTCGAAATGAAGTGATCATGTCAGTGCCGGTAGTCCGATGGTACAGAAGCCTGTTGCGTATCGCACATAAGTAGACTATGGAACGCACCTAGCTCGATGATTTCGCAATTTTCCTTTTTGAAGAGGATCGTCATCGCTTTGTTTACCAGAGGATGTGTCTTCGGATTTTTGGGGTGGGTACTCGATGCATGCAGCTCCGTCAGCCAGGCACTCAGTCCGATTCCGCTGTCCCACAATTTCTAACAAGGTCCTAGACTACGTTAACTCTCCTCCCGAAAGAAATGGACTCTGCGATCGTAAACGCTCTCACCTTGTCGAGATCGAACGACGTTTGTTCGCGCACCCTCACGAGCGATCCCTCTGCATCAGAGAAACGGAACGCGCGTATGATTGATTCCTGCTTTGGGATTTTCCCTTTTGGCATGCGCAGGGAAAACGCGATCGGGAGCGAGGAGACAGGGAAGGGGGCCGAGATGCGCGTACAGTGCGTGCGAAGGTCTATCTCGCTCGGAGATGGCTGCATCGCAGGGGATGTGGTGAGCACGAGGCAAAAACGCATTCCATCGCGCACGCATGGGGGTGGGGGGATAGAGAGTTCTTTGTACGCGTTCGCGCTGCGCCATGTGGTCAATTTTACCGGCGTTGAGAGGGGTGTTGGAGATGCGGGGGGCGGGAGAGTCCAGAAGTAAAAGATATCGAGGGGGTCTAGGAGTGGTTCCGTGCGGAGGTCGTTCGATACTTGGGGCGTTATGGTTATAGGTGCGGAGAGTGAAGATTGCAGGGGTGGTGGACGAAGAAATGAGAGGTAGTAGTACATATCTGAATGAACAGAACAGTTGGTCTCGTTCTTGAACGGAAATGTGTGGTTGACGCACCTATTATTCACAGTCGTTTGGGTGAAAATTGAACGCAGTGCGCTACATACGCGTTTGTTCGTGTTGAAATGACGAATCAGATGTTATCCAGGCCGAAAGAAGAGCTTTTCTGTGGATTGAGGTTGCGTTTACTCGGGAGAGATATATGAAATATGATGCGGATGGAGGTGAGTGGACAAGATTCAGGTACCGGCGTACGCTCACCGCTCTTGCACAGCGTCCGAGTCTATGTCCCTTGCTCCACCTCTTCAGACTACATCAAACCGCAGCTCTCTGCGTTCGAAGCTAGCCGTGGGTGTGCGAATATATTGGCCCTGAGAGCAAGAGAAAACCCCCTACAAATTCTTCGAAATCGACTCTAACACTCACACTGCTGAACATGAGCCTTGACCAGAACCTGTTCACCCTCAATGTCACCCCGAACGCTGAACATCCCTCGGTCGTCGACTTGGTAGACCCCAAAGGGACAGTGCACTACCGGAAGGAGCGAGAACCAGGAACGCTCTACAGGATCAACGTGTACGGTGCGTCTGTTCTCATCCCTCCAGATTCATCAGACAGAACGGATTCTCCATCAGAGCCACTGTCGGAGTCGCTGCTCGCATCCGCTACTGCCCCCTCCGCGACGAGCAAGCAGAAGATCATCGAGCTGCACAACCCGTCCCAGGTTGTAGAGCTCAAGTCCATCGGTACCCTTTCCTTCAAGTGGAGCTTCAAGTGGGAGGAGTGAGTACTGGCACTTCACCCAGGCTTTCTGCAACATTACTCCTGCTCGATTGAGCTGATTCTTTGGTGTGATATAGACATGAATTTGAGTGGAAGCGTGAAGAGTGTTTCATGATTCGCAAGCCAGATCCTCCTGTCCTCGTCGCAGTGACCAAGGAACCTCCGGGGAAACTAAAGACGACTGCTGTTCAAATTCTTGACTACAATCTCAATAGGTATGTTATCTTCTCGCTCTTCATACCTCTCTGTCCCCTCAGACGTTCCTGCCTTCCACTCATGAGATTCGACATCAACGATCGCAAGGGCCTTGAGATCGCCCTCCTCACAGCCCTTCTAACATTTCACGACTTGAACGACTCTTACCATAAACCCTTACCAGAGCAGACCCCTGCGATCACAGAGGCATCTTTGCCTCGACAAGCCTCCGGGAGTGCTCCGCCTCCCCCACCTAAGCCCGCACCAAAAACTGGCGTCGACCGCATTGCGGAGATGCACGCGGTGCGTGGCGAGGTGAACGATATCTTGGTAGAAGATGAGGGGCAGGTGAGCGACTACGCGCAGTACGCGATGAATCTCCTCGAGGTACGCTCGGTGTGCCCATGCCGGCGCCTTGTCACACCCCGTCTGCTATCTCCTGATCTTTATACCAATCCAAGGATGAAGCAATGCTTTTCGTTACAATACACTCATCCTCGGCGGCGGATGTCCCAAAGGTATTACAGGTTGTTGAAGAAACCAAGCGGATCCGACACAAACGAGGTTCGCACCATATCAAACATGTCCCTCATAAATCTTCAACATTTTATGCATATCATCTAGGTCTAGCATGCGACACAGAGCTGCACCAATACGTCATCTACGACCGCCCTTTAACATCATCATTACCGCCACGCGGAGGCCCGCGACGCATCGTCCTGGACGATCCCCAAGCAAAGAGCAAAGACGCGCCGAAGAGGGAATACAGTCCTCCCAGCAGCCTCACCATCCATCTCAGTAAAATACCCATGCCCGAGCTCCAGCCCCGTCCGACTAGTAGCGCTCATGCGCCCCCTCCCGCCCCCAAAGCCCTGCCAGGACGCCCCAAGTCTCATTATCCCGATACCATTTCCAAAGGAAAGGGAAAACCTTGTGCGCCCTCGTTTCCCCCGTCCACCGTACATTCACAGAGCGCCGAACACATTCACTAACTCCTTTTTGCGACACAGCTCGTCCCCCTGCCTCCCCATCTCCGCAAGGTTCTACGCTCAAGCCCCCAACCCCTCCTCGCCGCCCGCATTCCCGCGCACACACGCCTTCAAACCAGAGCTCAGCGCACAGAGGAGGCCCGTACCCTGCGCCTTCTCCCGCGCAGCTAAACAACCCCGCATTATACGCCGCATCTCCTCCACCTCCTTCTACTTCCACACCCAGACAGACTTCCGGGCGCGTCTCGGGGTTCCTCGACCGTATAAAGTGGTGATCAGACTGCGGCTCCTACTCGCGATGAGGAGCAGTGCCATTTCTTGCGCAAGTTGCAAGCATCTCTTGTACAGTGTTGACATGGGCCAATGACTTACATTCAATGCATGTATATGGATCTTTGCCTCTAATCATTGTACCTCAATAGTTTCTGTACTGATTGGTAAATACCATCGAACTTTCATCATCGAATTACCCCTCATGCTACGATCATTTCGCTGGGACAGTTGATAATGTTTCACTGATACGACATGGAATCTAAATTGACAATTGTTACATTTCTCGTCTCAACTCGGCTGGACATACAACGTCATATATCCTACAACACGACAACAACAGCAAAGCATAGATTTTACAGCAACATTCGAATGGGCGCAACTTTGGTCTGATGAAATCCTCTAAGATCCTTTAAGCAATGGTGATCTTCTTCGGGGACGCCTCAGGCGCGGACTTGGGGAACGTGACCATCAAAACACCGTCATTCATCGATGCCTTAATCTCTTCGTTCTGTGGACAAAAAAATCCGTTAGATTTTCGTTGAGTCAAACGAAGGTTTGTGAAAAAGAGGCTCACCTTAATCCCCTGAGGCAGCGGGAGCGTCCTGGAGAACTTGCCGTAGCGCCGCTCACGGATGGCATAGCCATCCTCGGTGCGCTCCGAGCTGATCTTGTTCTCTCCAGAAACGGTGAGCCGATCGTTGTGCACGTCGATCTGCACGTCCTCCTTCTTGAGGCCGGGCAGCTCGAACGTCGCGGTAATAGTGTTCGCAGCTTTGTCCTCGTGCACGTCAACCCTGTCGCAGCGGCGTGGTCAGTCCCTGGTCCGAGGTGTCCGAATTCGATGGGAATGGGGTGTGCTTACCGTGGGCGGAACGTGCCTGAGGTCAGGCTAGATTGGGCACCTTGCGCACGCCTCTGGGCTCCGTTGTCCGTGCGAGCGTTGAACGCGTCGTCGAAGAGGCGGTCAAAGTCGGAGAGCGAATAGAAAGGCTCATAGAAGAAGTGGGTGAGCGACATATTCAGAGTTCAGGTAAAGCAGAAGTGTTTGTAGCGCGACTAGTAGTGTTGTTTTTGATGATTCTGAAGAAGCAGACCATGGTGCGCTTATATACGAATGGGATGAAGAGGTTCTGGTAGCTTTTAGAACTCTCCAAGAATGTCTTTGCGTCACAGATGACTACCTCCAACGCGTCCGCATCCTAGATACTCTAGGAGAAACTTTAGTGGTCTAGAATTATCCGGACGCAGAAGTTTCTCGAACGTGAAGATGGAGCGAGAAAACACAAGTATTGAATACTGAAAATTTGGGATGCCTACCAACATTAACCACATCGCGTACATATTGAGTAGCATCACAATGAGCAGACTCAACGTCGCAAGGAAAGGTATATAGAATCGGACGGTGGTAGTAGCAGTACGGGAGTCAATCGCTTTCGCACGACGCCGTGGTATGCTCGGCAATGCCCGGATGAGGCATGACCATTACGTCGTTGTTGCAGTCTCTTGTTCTCCTTCCACGACGTTCGATGCATCCGTTTCCTCTCAATGAATGTCCTAGACTGCCTTAGACATGAGGTAGGCCGCAAATCTGAACTGGATATTCGACTCAAGTAAGTTAGGGAATTCGGAAGGTGGTCTTGTTCTCCGATGTGAGTAGTTCGACCTCACGGTAAGCGTTTTTGCACAATACATCAGCAACCATCGTCTTTCAATCTCTGGAGAGCACGAATCCCTCACTCACGGAATCCCTATGGTCAAATTCTTGCCCCATTTGATCCTACCAACTGCACTGCTTATCTCGTCGTTCATCTTCAGAATATACTTTTATCAAGGAGCTTTCAGCTTCCTATCTTCATCACATCAAGGGCTCATGGCACAGATCTCAGAGGCAGTTGTGCATGTGAAGTCGTCTCTGCATTCATGCGGAACCTCGCTGGGCATTGACCCGGTTTATGATTGTTGGACTGCGATCTGAATTTTTACAGGCTTCCTTGATCAGGAAGATCATTCCCGTGGCCTGGATCATCATCTGGGCAGCACAGGATACTGAGTCGGTACATGTTTAGTTGATAGTTGAGCTGATGAGCATTCAGCGCGTTTAGATTAGAATATGCCACGGCGTGGCAGGAACTTGATCTCGATATGCACCCTCCTTGTCATCAGCACGTTCACATATGGATACCCCAGACTTGTAGTCGAACAGCCCACGCATCGCCTCATCAAGGGCCGCTCACATTGTCACATTGTCCCACCTATACATTCACCCGTTCCTCGCCTTGTGACACATAAAATTCCGATCTTACTTCCTCGGAGCAGATTAGCACGCCTCATTGACGAGCTGCACCCGGTTGGCTCACATTCGAGACTTAGCGTCGACATTACGGCCCGATTCCCAAGCTAGCAATAAGAACCAAAACAAGGCGACGCCGCGGCTCATCGCCTAAATTACCCGTTCGTGCAGCATTGACGCTTCAACATAGGGCAGGAAGGGCCTTTTAAGTGACTAGCGCCCTACTATAGCATCTATTCGATGGACTGAACCTGCGTTGGAACCTTCCGCACCCCATGTTGATGTCAAGGCGGGTTCTAAAAATACATCGACATCGTGCAACTCCCACACGCCCGGTCTCCACTGAGAGCTCGGCGCTGCCCATCTCGCGCAAATCGCGGTACGTTGATAGAGGCGGGAAATGCCAGTCCATTCCTCCTACCATCTGATTTGTTCGATTTGATGTGATGACCCTGAGCACTTGAGCGCTGGGGCAACGTGATTTTGGCAGCGCTCATCAGTGTACAGCAACCGTGTGGTCGTATTCATGAACGTTGGGACAGTCACAAATTCGTCCAGAGCACCCGTGCATCACAGCATTGAACCATATCGTATGTGCTTGGCGGTCCTACATTTGGTGACTTGTTGGGTGAACTAGCAGGTGCACAATGAAACAACAAAACCCGTGCACGAAGCTGAATGAAGCGGAGCATAGTATCTCTACAAACGACTAGTCCAGAAAGCCGGAATCGAAGAGACATACAGTAATTGTGCGTCGAAAAATGGGGAAATACAAATAACATGGGATGAATGACGGTCTGCGTGGGAAAGCGTGAGGGAAGGAAGCAGGGAGGGCAGTGCGGAGCGAGGAAGCATGAGATCAATCAGAGCAAGAGAGGGCATTATAAGCGTGCACTGTACAAGGAAGGGAGGGGGAGAGACGAGGGCGGAGAGCAAACATAATGTACGAATAGGTAAGAATATGTATACGGTGGCAGCTCGCACATACAGAGTGACAGAGTACGGGGGATGAAGCTCGATGAGGAGCAGTGTCCGTGCAGAGTGTCCGAGAGTATGCGAATGGGGTATAGGACAAGAAGAAAGGGGCTGCTATGTGGGAGAAAAGAGCAAGGAAGGAAGCTGTGACAAGGTGGAGATAGGGAGGAGCAGAAGGGAGCAGAGGATGAGGAGGAAGAATCGTGGTAAGCGACGAATGGCTTTTTTTTGGAACGATGTTGGTCCTTTCACTAGAGAAGGCCAAGGATAAAGCGGAATGGAACGAAAACGAACCGCAACAGAGCCGTTAATGAGGGAAGAAGCGAGATGTGAAATGGAGCATGAGATGACACGTCATCGGATACCAAACCGTTCCAGGGTCGAACCGTAAACGGACGAAGTGAATGCGAAACGTAGCAAAGTTCACTATAAAAAAAACATACCGAAAAAAGTATTAAGCTGCTGTAGAATGTTTGCGTGGTCTAAACGCGTATATGCGAGTGAAAAGGGTAACAGGGTAATGCACATGAAAAGCGAGCGGGAAAAACTTGGGATTGAGAAAACAAGGTTGCGGATCGTGATGGGGCGTGACGGGGGGAAAGATGTACAGGTTGTACATCCCAATCGCTGCTAAAGTGAAGAGTGGGAGGAACGTCGCCTGCAGCAACAGTCATAGCGCACTAGCTATTTCCACAACACCGCGCCAGCCAGCTAGCTCGTCGTCTCGAAAGTCGAGGAAATTCGAGAGCGGGAACCATGACTCCATCGTACTTCTGCGTCTGCGGCCCTTGGGCGGGCGGGGAAGAGGCGGTGTGCGTGCAGGTTCTGGCTGGGCCTGGGCCTGAACCTGGGGCCCTCCTTGCGAGTGATATGGCAAGGGCGAGTGTGCTGGAGGAAGTGGTGAGACGGGGAGAACACGATCCTCATCCTCCATAGGCACGGGCCTTTTTTGATCTTCTCGCGAGTCCTGTCGTTTCTCATCACCCTCCTTTTCTTCCATGATGTTGGCCTCGGCCTCGTCCTCGTCTTCGTCGTCGCTCAAGCTCATGAAGTCACTATGCTTTGAAATTCGCCGTTCCTTCGCCTTCTCACGTGTCCGCGCACGGTCGCGTATGCGCCCTTCCAGGGCAGCCAATGCCTCTGTGCGGTTTGCGAGACGCTTACTGGGCGTGCGCACGGAAGTCACGTTGGAGGCAAAAGAAACGTGCGACGTGCGACGGGGATAGAACGATGCTGCGCCAGTGCTTTGCGAGTATACGGACGGAACGCTGAATGTGGGAGAAAAGAGGGATGGCAACGGAGATGTCGGCTCGGGGGCGATAGGACGATGAGAAGCAACATATGGCGAAAGGCCGGGAGACGGCACAGGTGAATTGACGTATGGGAGAAGCGACGGTGATGGCTCAGGTGCGGTGACATAGGGAGAACGGTGGAACGCAGGCGAGACCAACGGAGAACCAAACGAAGTGACAAGGGGAGTGAGTGCACGCGCGTTCGGGCGCTTGGGGGCGGAGATGGGAGTGGACGGTGCAGAACCATAGCGTGCCACTGGGAGCTCGGGAAGGATCGACGAGGGCGCGGGCTTCGGCAATGGTAAGGGCCGGAGGGGCTCTCTAGATGAACGACGCGCCGAAGGAAGAGGAGACTGAAGAGGAGAAAGAAGACGGGGAGAAGGTGCCGGACTTTGGGCCCTGTTTCAATTTTGAAGAATGAGCATATTCATCAAAGCGGTGTTCGACGGTACGTACGGAGTTGCCGAGAGGAGCGGTGAAGGTAACGGAGAAAGAGCGCGTACACCGAGTCGTGAAGGTGCAGGAGAGTAGGACCTATGACAGATGTTCAATATGAGTAGCAAGATAAGTGAGGAGGAAGGTGTACGTACGGGACTGTATTTGGCAAAGCTTGAGTGACAAGGCGTGGCGAAGGTAGAGGTGTATGCGAGCTATCAGAGTATAGATAAATGTGAGCGCATTTTAAAACAATGCGAGAAGCTTACGGGGCAGGAGATGGTGGAATGGGAACGAGACGAGGCGAGGGCATTGGCAAGCGGGGTCTGGGAGGAGAATCAGTATATGCGCGTCTTACGCTAGTATGGAGGATAGAAAATGTGGGTACATACTGTGAACTGACTAATGGAGTCTCAGGCTCCGGGATGGCGAGCATAGGGGTCTCAATGCGCGGTGAAGGCGGGGGTGCAAAAAAGATTGAACTGACATCGCTCCGACGACGCGCAGAGCGCATGGATTGTGAGTCTGCAAGGTCGAGGGATAAGAAAGAACGATGCAAATTCAATCCTTCGTCCAATACTGCGTCAGGCTTCGTGTCGCCGGGCACGTCTAGGCCGGAATCACGGTGTGTGGGGTTGATGGTGAAGTAAAAAGAATCTTCGGGCTCGATGGGAGATGGCACGATGCTGAAGGCAGTGCCGACGGAAAGAGTCGACGTTGGCAGTGATGTCTTGCGCTGCTTCCAGAACGGAAGCTTAGGAGACGGAAGATCGTGCGAGAGCAGGCCCGAAGTGAACAGGGCGGAGTAGTGCGCAAGAGGGTCGGCAAAAGGCCGCCGAGGCTGCATCGTGAAAAGATCGTTCATTTTGTGTTCGTTCTTGACTTCACCGTCGGGGGCGTCCTCGTCGTCGTGGGTGGTGTGGAGGGAGGGAAGAGGGCGAAGGGGACTTATATGCGGAATGGGTTTCAAATTGCAAGGATTTGCTCTGGGGTTACATAATAAGTGTGCGCTCACTCTAGATCCTAATCGGGCCGAGCTGTACCTTCGCTGCCCGCCGGCATCCCGGTGTTACTGTATACCCCTCGCGACTGTATCCACCACGCCTTTTCGCTCTCTCGTTTCAGGTCACCATCTGTTCGTCAGTTTGCTTCTGATATCTATTGAATATCACAGCGTCTGCACCGGGCTTCAAGGGCTTTCCTACATTCGATCTTCGGCGAAGCGCGGAGCTAGCCTTCGACCTGTGCAGTCTCATTTCATGGCTTGGTAGGCCCCTCGAGGCCGCCTGGCTGCCTCGTCGCATCAAAGAGTCGCAACAAATCCGAATGTTCAGTTTGCCTGGCCTAGATCTCAATCATACCACCCAAAACAATTACATTTCCCCGCGCTCCGCGCCGATCCTCCGTTCTTCACATTCTTCGAAGTCGTGACATACGCAGGTAATTGATTCCCCGCTCCGCCCTCCGACAGCTTCCGACGGAGGTTTCACTTCTCTATTAGCAAACTTTGTCCTCTACAATTATTTACATGCCTAGTCAGCATCGACGAGACAATAGATACCTCCACGAGGCGTCGAAGTGGAATCAACGGAACCCTGGGTCAACACATGATCCTCGTGCCTTCTCTCGGCGACCTTCCCATCGCTCTTCCGTCCCTCGATCAACATCTGGGCTATGTCGGACTCGCTGTCTCAGATGACGGGCGTGCGAATGCGCACGCCACTCACCGCGTTGACCTATGTCCATACACACCCCAAATCCTTCCAGAACTTCGACCAGCATCTGGGATCTGGGGATGGTGCGAGCGTCGCCGTGATTTCCGTGCATCTCGAATGTGTGGCATACAAAGTATCACATGTACCCCTCCGAGTCCACCTTTTGTCGCCTCGAGAACTTGTTCACGTAGATCTCGACGGACAGCCGCTGTCAGCGCCACCTTCGGACTTCATGGGGAACCATGCTGCGTCGGAACTGAAAAGCATCGAGAGGGCCAGTACTCTTGTTCTCGGTATCCTCACAACACATGGGCGATGTGCGATCGCATCGGTCCGTGATTCCATCTTACCTGCAACTCGCCAGGCACTGTCATTTATTGGCATACATGCTCGCTCGCGTTGTCCAGGTCTGTCGAGGAAGCACAACCATCTACTTCCATCGTCTTTGAATTGACAGGTGCAATCACACGTATGGGCGCACACATGGAATACCCTGGTTTTCAGGCGCCCGCCAACTCGACGTGATGATGGTCCTCCCCGAAGTCCAATAGCCGAAGTGCCCGAGCCCTACCTCAATGATCCTGATGACCATAAAATGACTACCCATTCACCTTTTCTGTGCTCACGATTCCCGCGGGAGAAGCTCAAGCGGCTTTCATCAATCTTCCCCACAAAGCTAGATGTCGACGCTGAAGAACACACATGGAGCGCAGCAGCTTATATGCATCAGACACAACGTAACGCTCATCGGAGGGTTCTAAAACGGGATGCAGACCTACCAAAAAGAGGAACCCTCCGCCTGCACTGCTTCAGCTTGGCCGCTCGCACCAGACATCCAAGGCGCCCCAGAGAACTCACCACACACCGCATTGGGCACAATCTGTCTGGAGTCGCTCGCGTCGGAGAGGCAAAGATTGTCAGCACGATAGGACCCGGTACGTTGGCGATGGGCGATCTGGCGATTTCCACGTCGCGTGGTGCCGCGTGGTAGATCTCGCGTCGACACCAGCTCATCGTCTCTTCAACCTCTGTTGTGTTGGAAAATCGTACGTACTTCGTCCTAACCGTCGCTTGTCAACATCCTTCAACTTGCCTCCCTACGCAATCTCCCAGGCACCTTACATTGAAATCGACAGCAACTCTCCTGACTGCATGTCAGGGCAGGAGACGCGCTTCTAAGCCTCTCATGCCCATTGAGGACGACGGTGATAACAACGGCAACGTCGATGGGGGCGGACGATTCGCATTCTCTCGAGTCGGCTATCAGAATTCGGGCTGTCAGCGACGTGTGGGTGTATGTGGAGCGCCAGTCGGTGGGATGTTGCTTTCACCTGAATGTTACTGAATCCTGACACATACGAAACAGGGCGCGTACGGGCGTCACATTGCATGCCATTTGAATTCGCAAGGGGTAACACGACCTTCAACGCGTAAGGGGCTGTAACCTGGCTGTAATCATCAGGTGAGTCTCGTGCTGCCTCGTGCATAGATTCGATGTTACCGCGTGGAGGTGGATCAGTCCAAGTTTTATAGAGGATCTACATATCATTTGATTCTCTCAGTAGAGTTCTTCGAGGGCCTGGCATGACTCTGGCATGTCATTCCGACAAACATGTTTTTCTTTGACCATCTAAGCTCTAACCATATTTGCATCGAATTTCCCTCACACCCGGATCATGTGCTCGTACCTCATCCCGTCGCGCGCAGCTCCAAGAAGCCGAACTCGATCTACACGCAAGTAGGTTTTTAATACGTGATGTCCTTGAAACCCTGGATAATCGCCAAGTCACCTTGCAGGTGACGGCAAATCCTTTTTCATGAAAAATTTCGAGAGCAACGCACCATCCCGAAAACTCAGGTTAACACCCATGACATTGATATGAAGGATGGATGGCACTGATACAGTGCGATGCGAAGGACAAGTGTCTGAGACAGTGTGAGTGGTAGCTTGTGGTGGCTGACACGAGCATGTGATTAATTTTACCCGCCTTTTTTTCGTTCTGGTCGCCATTTGACCGACATCGACGTATCTTGATTGAGCCCGATGACGATCTCGCGGTGTGGAATCTGGCAAAAACTGTCACAAAAGGCTTTAATCCAGGCACGCATAGATGAGTGAGGTGTTTCACATCGCACCATGTATCCTTTCTGAGGTATAAATCTCTTGGTTCAATAGACTCTTGTGAGCAGCAATGCTGGTGTTTTCCGTCTGCGTCGCCACAATGTGCCTGGAAATCATACACGCCGAAAGATCCGTCCTATTTACAGCGGAACAGAAAGTGTCGCACGGAATGAACAGCCTTAGCCGCTGTGAATATCTACCAACCCTTGGAAAACGCTGAAAACTGTCACAGCTTGATTGCGTACTCTTTGCGCCGTCGCCTGACTTTTGCTTCTATGCTTGAGCGTTCAATGGAATTCCGGCTCCGTTACTAAGGGCAATACATTGCGTTTGTATTCGAAATCAGGGGCTCTTGTCATTCGTGGACACCCACCCAAGGCTTCGATGTAAACGGAGTCAGGATTCACCAGGTCTACCATCACGCACGACCACCTACGATCACAGACACCAAGCACGGCCAAATTACGACGAGGGTTCTGTTACCGTCTGTGGCGAAGCCTTGTGTAAATGGGACTCCGCCATGGGCTACCCCTGAATCGTCATGTCCGGAGGTTGGGTACGATTCCCAACAGACGATCTTCTCCCCTTTCAAGGTCGGTATCCTCAAGCATGCTCTTATCGCCCAACCGCTATCCTCGAACTCATACGTGTCCATGATGAATGGATGAAATCCGCACGACCTTCAGGGTAGGGCAAGTGTTGTGATTGTATAGGATTTAGGTCGTAGCGGGCTCCAATGTTTCTGGGCCCCACCAATTTTGATATGTAGAAGCGCCTGAGTATCGTTTTTGAAACTCACGAGTAAGGCAAAATTGATTGACGCCTATTGATTCTATAGCCAAACCAATGTACAAAACGAGAATATATAAAACGAGCTACTTTCTATTTAGCTAATTCCATGACCCCGCTGCTCTTGTTCATGCTGGCTGTTCAGGTAGCGTGTACCCCTCCGTCTTGATCTTCTCACTGACCTCCGCCCAGCGCTCATAAGTATCGCGCTCCGCATCGAAGTTGACCAACCATTCCGGGCCCGGCGCATTGAGTTCATCCCCTCGCGATTCGGGGGTCAAGTTATGCCACCTGGTGCGCGTATCAAACCCTAAGAGCTGAGCGTGGCGCACACGTCGATAGCTGTCGGACCATTGCGACATGCAAAATGGTCAGGTTCAAGTGAGTGTAGAGGAAGGGTGCGGGAATATGAGAAGATACGCACCGAAGGTGCTCCCATGTCTGAAAGGTAAGGGGAATATTGTCCCGACCAGCTATCTGCAGTACATAGGCAAGCGAAACGCCATCTTCCATTGCTTGCGACCCGCCTTGAAGGCTCGTCCTGAAATCAAGAGGCAGTTTCAATTTTGATTTATGGAGCGCAGATGAAAGACCTCAAACGGACAACCTAGAATAATTGATCGTTACTCACGGAAGGAATGTGTGAGCCGCGTCCCCAATAAGAACCATCCTCGCGCCAGGGCTGACCCAGGTCAGAAGTGGATCACGATAGAGAATCTTCCAGTCGACAAAGGAGGGCGCTTTAAATAAGATCGCATTGCAACGAGGGTCCCAGTCTTTGACAATCTCGAGCACGTCATCCTTGTTCCCTTCGAACTGAGTACGAGTGCTGACATCTACGGTATCCCTACAAATTGATCATCGCAACATAGCGAGGTCAATATTGCGGCGCTCAGAGAATCAAGTAGGGTTCGCGAGAGGCGCACTTGTGAGTCAAAAGACAAGTCACGGTCTCCCCTCTCCTGGTGTTAGCTACCAGAAGATGGACGTCTGGTCCTGTCACATACAACAGATATTCCATAATTCCAAGACAAGGGAGAAACAGGCACCCATGAACTTACCCAACCAGCCGTACAAGAGATCTTCGTCGGTTGCCAAGAACTGAGTCAAGGGATCCTTGTCGACTCCTGCTTCCTTCGCGTTGAACCAGGTTCGATAGATCGCATATCCGGATGACATGGCCTTGTCTTCGTGTCCCTAGAGATAGAAATGACAGTGTCATGTATAGTAGAATTAGGCATCAGTAAAGCACTCACTAGAACAAGAGTCCTCCCCTTGCTCCTCACGCCGTCCGCGCCAACGACCACATCAGCCTCTATACGCACCTCATTACTCACCACAAGGGCCTTGCCGCGTTCTATGTCCTCAAAGAACTCTGTGATATCTTCTCCCATCCGTACCTCAATCCCCAGCCCGATGGCATAGTCAACGAGGAGTTGATGCATCTCCGCCCGATGACCATTGCAAGCGTGCGTTCCATAGAGTGCTTGGGAAAAGTCTTGCTTCTCAACTAGTTCTCCCTTGTATTTGTGAAAATGTACGTATTCTGCATGTCCACAGACTGGCCAGAGACTATTTGAGTGCGATGACAATGTCAGGAGGCGAGGAGGCCTATAAATGGGAGGAAGAAGCATACGTGTCGTGCAGACCCCAGCGGTCAATGAAAGGGCCTACATTCAGACCGAGCGCGATAATCTACAGCAACAGGTGAGGGGTCAGCTAGTCAGTAGTCATACCGAAGCTGATCGTAGCAATCAAGACCGTGGTAGAGACACACATCGCCTGGGAGAAAAAACGTCAGTGCTTAGACTTCGAATCTGGAAAAAGATTGAGTGATGGTGTACCAAGCTGTCTGTGTTCCGGATCTTTCTCAAGTATGACGACCGAATGACCCTTCCTGAAAGACTCGATAGCACAGGAGAGGCCAGCAAAGCCGCAGCCAACGATGATGATGCTAATTCCAGACGAGTCCTTGGGGAACGTCTGAGCAAATCCAAGCTCATAGAGACATTCGTTCGACAGACACAATTGAGCTTGAAATGTCATATTTTATCCAGTTATAGCGCGTAGAAAACAACGGAGAGGCAGCGGGGAGCTGTGGAAGATGTGAGGGGAAACACAGAGAACCTGAGCTTTATGTAGCAAGCTAGGTTGTGAAGCACGATGGCAATGTTTGTTATCGGCGCGATGTCAAGTTGAGACGACCTCGCGGAGAACATCACTCCGGTCTGAAGACATGGAGTTTGGCGTGGACAAGCCCATACCCTAGTAATTATCAATATCAGCCACATATCCTTGCTTCGAACGGCGCTACCTCGGGTTCATTAGTGCTTGCATCTCGTAACTCTGTGAGAAATGGTCGCCGATGAAGATAGGTGAGGTTTCTAAGGATGCCGTCACAAACGCTGTGGCGATCGAAACACGGGGGCCGAATATCATGAACGAGCTGCGCGCATTGTTCTAAGCGGCACCCGACGAGAACAAAAACAAGGACTGTGCATTGACCCTCTTGTGATTGCTTGAGCGTGCCTACATATTGCTAAGCCTAGGATGCTTCAAGCTTGTCTAATCTCGCCTCGTAGACCAACACTCGATTTGCTTCTGTTGCCACATAGAGCACGAGGACTATCCTGTTGTTGGATATCGATCTGGAAAAGTAGTCAGCCCTCCCAAACTTAATTCAACTTCCTTGGTTCTCGGTCCGGCATTCCAGGGAGGGCACCGTCTTTCACCTCGATATTCTTCTTGTTGTCCAATAAGCAGTGTATGATGCGTGTCTAGAATCTCTTCTCGTTAGTGGCGAGTATTCATCACCTTCGTCAAGCTGTTAGCATGGGTGCATGCAAGCAACGGACTTGTCACTCTTATGAGCAGCTTCAAATGTCATGCGAGAGAAGAACTGCTTCACAGATGTACAAATTCGAGCTTGTTGACTGAGGCGATCATGAATCATGAATATCATCGGGCAAGCGATCGCTGTTCGACAAAAATGAGAGGTCATGCTCGTATGAGTTTACTGACCAACGGGAGATCTAGTAGGTCAATTAGGCACCCTAGCTGGATTTGACATGAGTCATACTTGTCCAGCATGGTAAGTGGACTTGTGGAGGTGGATGAAGTCGATGTAGCAATTGGTCATCATGGTGGCACCCGGATGGCGCCGCAGACGGTCGCCTGTGATTTCCCGGGATGATCTAAGATCATGTGACGTTGTATGGCTCACTGCTGAAATCTAGCAGCCCTGATTTTGCTACGGATTCATCCAGGCCACGATCCGCCCGTGCGCGGCACAAAGATAATGTCAAAATCCTCATTGTCCAAGTATGCGTGCGTACGGAACTTATGCCCCCCAGTAAATGATAGCAAATGATGTATGAGGTTCCGGTCAGGCTACGCGACGCGCTATTAACAGCCCATCTAATCTAACAGTCCATCCCGAAGGAATCTCTAGCAGCACAGACGGGGTCTACCCAGAGCAAATTCTAAAACAAGCGAGCGACAGTTGAGGAATAAGAGTGTAAAAGTGTAAGAAAGTGTCCAAGGCTAGTACTGCACCGTCCACGAACAGTCCGATCGAGCGCCGCGGCCGAACGTGACATTCGACGTTCGACCGCACAACCACAAGCAAGCCACTGAGGAAACAGGCGGCTGGATTCATCGACGACTCAGACCATCTCCTTGGTCATCACCTTTTTCTCGATCTCGTCCTGGATGACCTCCTCGCTCTTCGCGAGGAAGATTTTGCCCTTCCAGAACGCCATTATCGTCAGGACGAAGAGGACGAGCCACACCGTGCACATGATGACGGCCATCACGAGGTGGACGGCGTAGAAGCCCTCGATGTTCAGCGTGTCACCGAGCACGCGCAGGGTGGAGATCCAGCCGACTGCAAAAGCGCCTGTCAGCTGCGGCAGCACGCGGATATGCACAGATTACCCACCGTTCGGGAAGGTCAGCGCCCAGCCTATCCACGACCTAAAGTCAGCTCTACGCTCACAGGAATGCATCCTATGGAAATACGCACAGCCAAGGATCTCGTGCAGGTGCTTGTGCAGCTTGAACCAGTAAGGCAGTACGCCGAACACGAACAGGAAGATGGCAAGACCAAACAGCAAGAGGCCCGATAGGACACTGGTCGCGAACCAGATCTCACCCGCCTGAGGAGATACGAGTCCGTGCTTAGGAAGACTGGTCCGATGAAAAGAGGATCAGCATGCAGCTAGAACGAAGAGCCCATCGACGCACATTTCGCGCGCGCGAGAGCCAAGATTGATCAGAGCGAGAGCGGTGAAGCCTGGTGGGCCACACGCCACAAAAGCGCCATTGGCTTGGTGGCCGTCCATGAAACCAGTCTGCGAACCACAACACACGTTTTCAGCATCGCACGATCCTGTTTGTCACGCATTATCAAGGAGCAGTACATACCGTCATGACACTGAAAGCAACGTCAGAGCGAGCAGAATAAGATTGAATGGATGAAGAAAAAAGGAGGCTGGAAGCGCGTACCGGATCATGTAGATGCAGATGTAGAAAAGCGTGACGAAAAACCCAAGACCTTGAAAGAAGAACCCGACAAAGAGTACGCCTATCGCGTTTGGATTCGCGGGATCCATGACACGCAGGACGTTGAATGCGACAACCCCGACAAGCATCTGGTATCTATCATCAACGAAGTGTCGTCCGTAAGAAAGTGATCGACGTACCATAGGAAAGACCTAAAATAGAAAGAACTCGGTTAGTCGAAAAGGAAGACGTCGGATTGCCTGACGTACCAGGAAAGCCCAAGCCGGGGTGAAGGTGGTAAGGTCATGTGGCTTGTTAAACCAAATCATGAGCATCGGGAAGCAAACCATGACTGCAAGGAAGACGTAGACCCTACATGACGGAGGGACTGTCAGTCAAGAAGAGAAGCAAGGGAGGATCCGACGAGCGCACCAAAAGAGGCTGTATATGAATCCAGGGTCGACATGGCCCGTTGGCACAGCGTAATTGATGGTGCCGATGATAATTGTTGCAAAAGAGAGGACCTTCGAAAATCATTCATCTCAGAGGAAACAGATACATGACGAATGAACATACAATCAGCGGAACAAAGACACCCTTCACTGGGTCTTGGAGAAGACGCCACGCCTGTTTAGGATACACTGCAGCGCTCACCAGGGTCAGCCGTGTTCACAGGAGGATATCGCATCAAAGCAGCGATGCTGAATGCACACTCACCGATGGCTTGGATAAGCAGTGTCGTCGTGTTCAGGACGAACAAAATCATGTTCAGGAAGTAGAAGATGGTCTCGATGGTGGTGAGCACAGGCGAGTGGTTCTTAAGGCCAGAAAGCGTGACGTAGACGGCGCCGGTGCCCATACCGATGGGGAACTACGGTTCGGAGGAGCGAGCACACACACGACCACGATGCAAGATGAGCAACACAGATACGATGAAGACAGGCAATGCACAACTCACCGCCTGCCATGACCACCCGTGGATGTGCCGCGCGAGCCTGCTGACGTGCGATGTGCCAGGCATTGGCTTGTTGGCTGTCGAGAACGATGAGCGGTCCTGCCGCTGGTATTGTTCATACGCGGGCGACATGGTATGCGGGGACGGTCTCAAAAGTGAGGGGGACAGAAGGAGGGGGGAGTGATGGAAAGAGGAAAGAGAAAGAAAGAGAAAAAGGGAACAAAAATAAAGGGAGGAGAAGAAAGGGAACGCACAGCGCTTGAAACCTGCTCGAAAGGAGGCTAGGCTGGTTCCACGACAAGACCTGCCTATATACCTTGGTATTGGGTTTTCGTGGCTTACTCTGGCTTACTCCGCACACAAAGATCGTGGCGGAAGAAAACAACGCGTTGCTCCAGCCAAGCGCACCAACTATCCTCTCCAATAGCATCACGTCTCTGCCGGCCTTCTCGTCCTCGCCAAGCGTGAAGCGGTGTCAAATCCCACTAAGGACTTACGATCATCGTGATAATTGTGATGTGATGATGTATATAGGGCCATGACGATGCATAGGTGAACAAACGTCCTCAAGGCCTGATATCGACCCCATCTGACACAGGCGGCGTGTTCGCTCGACCTGTTAGAGCCCCCAATTGATAGCTTGGCAATTTCATCATTCGTCGCGTCCATAAGCTGCAGCTCCTTGGAACAATCCTGCCAAGCTTGATTTTGAAATCTGTTGTCCAAAGTCCAAAGATGAGATGAATGGAAGGCGTCGAATCGAGCGCATTTGCGCTCGGCGGCGTCGTGCTGCGCAGGGACCAAGAGCGCGACGGCACGACGTCCACCATGAAGCGCACTCGCGAGATGGTTGGATGGTCATCGAGGAGCGAGCGTGGGAACGACAGGAAACTGCGATGGACAGAAACTGACGCATAGGCTCGAGGACATGCTGTTTGATTGAGAAATCGAGAACAAAGATGGATCGAGCTTGGCAGACTTGGCCCAACGCAACGGTATCTCCCGAACATCTCATCTCTCATCGTATGGAGGCTATGCACAGGCGCGGATCCTAACTCATCAAGCGGACCGACCAGCGACTTATGAACCTGACGACTGTAGTCGCTGGAGAATGTGGAACTGCATGCGCGACGACGACGAAGACTCCGTCCAGCGCCTACCTCAACCTGCACCCGCTATGGTACGTCACTCTCATGGAACCTATCATCTCCGCGTTTGGGGCGACACTTTCAAAGGAATCATACCTCGATATAGCTCCAATACAACGCCGCCCCCGTCGCTTAGCCGCCTTCCAATCATGGAGTCTACTCACCGTCAAGTTCGATACTATCACTCTGGCACTGTTCGGTAATCTAGGGTGTTCGGTAATAGCTCGAGAAGCAACGAGTCCTCAATCGATCTTCTTCAAACCATCTGTAGGTTATTTGGATATCATTACCGAGGTCTCAGAAAAAAGCTGAATCTGAGAAGTTCACGGGGAGAGAGAAGGTTCAAGGAATGCCAGTTCGGTAAAATCTGTTTGCTCACAGAAAATGAAAGCAACATGATCCAGACCTCCTGGAAGCGGAGTTGGAATGCGGTAACCACGGCTTCGTGACATCGTCGTGACCATCGTGCGGAGAAATTACTGAACACCCCTCAAAACCACCAGAAATGTTCCGCTCAATGACATACTGGCCTTCTGGTATATTTAAGTACACAGGAAGGTAGTGTGAGTGTTTGCCAGTATCCATGCCGAGTCTCACCCTCTCGGAGTCCCATCTCAAAGCTAAGGAATATTTTTACGGTTTTCTTGCCGAACAGTGTCGGAGTGATAGTACCACATTGCGGCCGCCGTCCCATCCCAAGCCGAACAGGCAAACGAAACGTGCGCTGCCATACGGCAGAACGTGCCCAGATCTACTAAATACAATCTGGCGCGGGGAAGAGAGCAGTGAACGCACCGACCAGCAAGCAATGTCAACAGTGGTAGCATCAGTCTAAAAAATCTACGGAATTCTATGTGTCGATATAACGAGGACGATCGGGAGCCGAGAGTCAGGAGCCGAGAGTCGGGAGTCGGGAGTCAGGGATGCCTGTATAGCTCTGTGTGTAAGTGGAACTCTGTTCCGCTCTATAGGGTAGGATGAGCAAGAGAGGAGAAAGAGTAAGAGAGAAAGGGAGCCGAATATCCATGTACTGTGTGTGTGGAATCACATGCGCGCAGGCGATGACAAAACAAGGCATGCAAAACTGGAGCAGAAGATAGAGATGAAAAAATGGAAGAGAAAGAGAAAAAAAAACAAGAAATCGTTACGAGAAGATCGTGTCCAATGCACTCCTCCCAACACCACCAGACGAACGCACTCTCACACCTCGCCCTCCCGCACCGCCTTCGTGTCCCGCAGCACGTCCTCCCCGCGCGCGAGGAAGATCTTGCCCTTCCAAAATGCCAAGACCGTGAGCCCGAACAGGACGAGCCACGTCCCGCACATGAGCACTGCCATGGTGATGTGCACCACGTAGAAGCCTGGGATATCCAGCGTGTCGCCGAGCACGCGCAAAGTCGATATCCACCCGACTGTATAGGTGTGTATGGTCAGTTTCCAAAGCTAATCAAGAAGCACAGCCTCGTCGGAGAATCATTAAGATCCAATGTGGGAACATACCATTTGGGAAGGTCAACGCCCAGCCTGGATCGAGTCCTTGTTCAGTATCTGTAAGCCTGATAACAAAAAAGGCCACGCACAGCCAAGAATTTCGTTGAGATGCTTGTGCAACTTGAACCAATATGGCAGGACACCAAACACAAACAGAAATACCGCGAGGCCGAAGAGCAACAAGCCCCAGAGCACGCTAGAAGCGTACCATATCTCGCCGGCCTGGGGAGAAACGAGGTTGTGTGCTGGCAGGCTGATCACAGACATGCGCATGCAATACGCAAACGGCATCCGTTCATTTAGAGCACGATCGAAATTAAAACCAAATATCATTTGGAAACCAAGACTGTTAGCGGATAGCCCATCGTAGAGGTCGACATGAAGTTAGAGGGACGCACATTTCTTTAGCGTGTGCGCCAAGATTGATCAGCGCGAGTGCAGTGAAGCCCGGTGGACCGCATGCGACGAACGCGCCATTAGCTTGATGGCCATCCATGAATCCCGTCTGCATCGGAAACAAAGATCAAACAGCAGAGAACACCAAGCGAACGTCAGTGTCAGCATACAACAAGACGCCAAGCTTTACACACCATCATGACCCTACAACTGTATATTTAGCGAAAATCGATGATAACAGGCGGATAAGGCAACGCGCACCGTAGCATGTAGATGCAGATGTAGAATAGCGTGACGAAGAACCCGAGGCCTTGGAAGAAGTACCCTGTGAAAAGGACACCGACGGCACGGGTATCGGTAGGCTCCATCACGCGCAGGACGTTGAAGGCGACGACACCGACGAGCATCTGTTGCACGATCAGTCGTACTTCTCACCGTCGACGCGCGATGCGTGGACTCACCATCGGGAATACCTACGGCGCGCAACGTGAGATTCAGCATGGGAGGGAGGAGCACAGGAGAAGTCGACTGACGAGGAACGCCCACGCAGGCGTAAATGTCTTCAGATCGTGCGGTTTGTTGAACCAGATCATGAGCATCGGGAAGCATACTAGCACGGAAAGGGATACGTATACCCTGCATATATGCGCGGTCAGCGGCATTACGGTCAAGTTGAACAAAATAAAGCGAACCAGAAAAGGGCATAGATGAAGCGCGGACCTATATGTCCTGGTGGGACGGCGTAGTTGATTGTGCCAATTATGATTGTCGCAAAGGACAAGACCTGTCAGAAAGGCTCCTCAGCGGACATTCAAAAAGTGCAGGATTGCGCATACGATGAGAGGGACGAAGATCCCTTTTGTAGGGTCTGTGATGAGACGCTTTGCCTGTCGTGGATAGACTATATGCATGATTTGAGATGAGTGTCCTCTTTGTAAAGATGCATATATGGACTCACGGAGTGCTTGAAGGAGCAAAGTCGTCGTATTAATGATAAACAGGGCCATGTTCAGGAAGTAGAAAGCGGTCTCGACGTGCGTGAGCACGGGCGAATGGTACTTGATCCCAGACAGCGTGACGTACACCGCGCCGGTGCCCATACCTATCGGGAACTGCGGATGTATTTAGAAATTTAAAAATACCGACGACGGTAAACAGAAACGCACGGCCTGCCATGACCAGCCATGTATCCGCCTCGCGACTCTGTTCACGGGGGGACTCGACGTAGGCTGAGGCTGCCTTGTGGACAGCGGGGGCGACGGGCTGAGCGTATATCGACCTCCAATTGGGGCCGCGAGCGTGACAGTAGACGAAGCGCGGCTAGTCCACTGGCCCAATGGAATGTTTTCGTGCTCCAGGTGCGACGAAGGGCGAGCGGATTCCATGATCTGCGGCAACATACAGACAGAGAAAGAGAAAGAGGTGAAGAAGAAGGAGAAGGAGAGAGAGAGAATGGATGAGATGCACGGCGTGCTCTCGAGATGTGGGCGTCGAGGCGACGGGGGGTTGGGGTCTGGGACGGTAAGGAGCGAGGGGGCGGATTAAGTAGTTGGGAGAGGGGTACAGGTACGTATGGAAGAGGAAGAGGGCTGGGCTGGGTAGACAGCCCGGAGGAGGATGTCGAGAGAGAAGGAGACACGCCTTGTGGCGCTGGCTGCACCGATGGGCTTCGACGCGTGCCGACTGGTGCGTCCGCGACCATTAGTCGAGCCAAGCCTCGATCTGACGGATGACGACGACCTCGCCCTCGGTGTTCTAGCGTGCCAAGCATCCAGGCGGTGCCAGTCGCGATAACAGACGCGTCCCGTTCTCGACTCCATCCTGTCGCACGCGTTTTTTCGTTAATGAACGCGAGCAACCGCCGGCGCCTATTGGCCCAAACGCTGCAGCTCTGCAGTGGCGCTCCTCGGCCCATGTCCGATCCCATCTCCGCATGACGCAGCGCCAAGTTCGGGCTCCGCGATCCACGTTCTTTCTTGCTCCCTCGCTCTTCGATGGGCCTTGGCTTGGCTGTTGCGCAGATCTCTTGCCTCCGTCGACGCGTCAGATTCCATATGCTTCCGCAGCAGGCGAGGCCGTTCGGCCAGTCCAACTCGATCTCCCCGAGTGCCCCTCGATCGAACTCCAAGTCGCCGCCTAATTCGGTTTCTTACAACCTTTACTCGGATACTTATGGTGTACCGTTCATCACACCATCAAAAAAGAATCAGAATCTGCATGGCCAAGCACGGTCGAATCCAGAAATTTTCGTCGTCATTGCAGCATCATCCATGCGTCGTCGTGACGCCTGCAGGAGATGAAATGCACGAGGAATCCCAAGCCGATGAAGACCCCTCGGCCACGGAGGACCAACCTTGAGCAGACAAAGGAAAAGAACAAAAAAAAAATCCGCCGACCGCTCCATCACCTATCACATCACTACCGGTGCCCAGACAATAAGCGCACGAATGATAATGGAAAGGAAGAAGAGCGATGAGAAAGAACACGACGCGGCGGGCTCCGATACACCCGAGCATATTCCTATCAGATACCTTTCTGGGTGCATTCGCGTCGCGATCCACTCTCCCATCGATAGCGAGGCTACAGAATGCACCCATCGCTGACATGATGTAACTGATGGTCGACGTGCACCTGTGGAGCCTCTGTGGCATTTGCGACGAAACCGAACGAAGCCATCGCATTGCAATCGGAAGTTTCCACCATATTCATGTTATCATCGTACAATCACCTCTTCCAATGAAGCCACCGCATTTCCAAGCGCCACCTCCCGCACTAAATCCGCCCGCCTTGCTTGCTTCCCAATCACTCCTTGGAAGGGAACCCGTTTCTGTCAAGCCACTGCAATGCCTGGAACGCAGCCGCGCCTTTTGCAAATTCCAACGACACGAACGAGGCACCCTCGCCGATCCTCTCTGCATCGACTGCATGGAACAAGAACCGGAACCAAAAAGCCACAAGGAGATCAGGCGTGTCAGCATACGACCAGCGACAAACAGAGCGCGGACGGATCACGCACATTTGTAAGTAGCGAAATACTTCCCATCCGGCGTGCGTTCTTCCACCGTCAGTTTGTCGAGCTGTCCATGCGCGGTCAACCGATCCTGCAGCCTGGTCACATATACTTCCAGAATAGCTGACGCGCGAGGCACAAAGAACGAGATTAGCTCATTGAATAAAACAGAGCGCGGCACGGAGAAGGGCAGCGACGCGGGTGAAAGGATGGCATCAGATAAAGCGACGCACCTGCAGCCTCAGATTCCTCAGATATTCGAGCCATGGTGCTGAATAAGGGAATACGGGATTTAGACAACGCGTGAACAAAGGGGTGCACGGGAAGAGTGGGGAACGTGGTTCTATTGACGCGTCGCGTCATTTATATATGAAAAAAGCGCGCGGCCAAAGCTCAGACCACAACATATGTGGCAAATGGCAAGGGCCCATAAGGAGAGACATATGCGGCAGATTTGCGTCATCGAAGCGTCTCGACCTGCAGCCAGGATGGCAAGGGCAGTGCCATCCCTCCGCCTCCACCAATCATGTACTTGTGCGGCGACTCAGTTCGCCTTCTCAGATCCAGAGACTGATAAGAGCCAGGATTAGATGCGGTCTGAGTCCCAGCAAGAGCAAAGCCACAGGACGAGTGAAACCCCGACATCAAAGCCACCACCCCGCATGTCTCGGACCGTGCTTGGCCATCGGAGGCCCTTGCACACGCCGCCCAACAAGAGTCATGCACACGCCCTCGAGGACACAGCGCGCGCACGCCGAGCACATTCACGTCCATCGACTTGCCCGGCAGCCAAGCTGTCACTTTGCGAAGCACCGCCCACAGTTTCAGCCAAGTAAAATCTAGTAAGATTGGATCGAAGTGGAGCTGCTGTATAGCCACTCGCCTATGTAGTAGCGCTAATGGAATGGACGGGATGGCCGCCGTCGCCTGCAATTGTCGGGTGCCATGACACAGTGCTCGGGCCTACGGGAAGCCACTGATGAAAGTGAGTCGGACATGCTAGGAGCTATAGCATAGCTCTGTGGAGCTACTGCACAGCCGCGTGTGGAGTTGGAGAAAGGATAGGTCATAGTTCATGAACATGAACATAAACAGGGAAAGCGTCGACTTCGCTGTCGTGACATGCCTAAGCAACCGGAAGTCCGAGCCACAACGCCGGTCCTGCCTCAGATCTCGCCTCCTCAAAATGAAACCCGCCTGACCTCATAGGTGAGATACTGTCAGATGGCCCGAACAAGACCTCTCGAGCATGACACATCGAGTCAACAGGCTTTAAACACGGGCCTGCTCGCCACAGGAAAGTCTGCATATGTGTAATATTCAGCTTGCGGTCTAATGTCCAAGGACCCTACACCGACACAACTAAGCGCTACTACAAGATAGAGAAGGCCAGAGTAAAACGAGTGCAGGGCAGGCATATTATATCTACAGCTGTCCAGCACAACAAACCGACGTCCTAAAAACGATGGTGGTGAGGATGTGGATGCGCACGCGTGAAATAAATGTACATACTATGGTATAGATATTTTGGGGGCAAGGCGTTTATTTGCCACCAGTCGTACCCATACCCATGGCAGCCTTGAATGAATCGTAGATCCACCATTGGAAGCCTACAATCCAGATGAGCCACTGCAAGCACGAGAAGCACGAATAAGATGGGACTCACCAGTGAGGGTACCGATCATCAACACACGGGTACCGAGACCTTTCGTGGCCAAGTTGGAGAATCCGACCTCACTGGCGATAGCGCCAAGTGACTTGCCCCTGTTCGCAGGCTTACCGAGCTGAGAGACGAGCGAATCGGCGGGGTGCGAGACGACAGCGCAGACGACACCGGCGAGGTAACCAGACGCGAAGGTGACACCAAGCTGAGTTGGCTTGCTGTAGGTATCCTTGGGAGCAGTGAAGACGTTCTCGTAGAAGAGGCCGACGAAGTACTCGAAGAAGAAGAATTTGGCCATAGTGTACGGGATCTGAAAGGCACCGCGTATCAGAAGACAGACAAAAAAATCGAGGCAAATTTGATTGAAACTGACCTGGCGCGACCACAGAGGAACGAGAGAGCCGAAGGGGAAGCGAGTTTCGATTTTGGTCTTGCTCATCTCCGCGAGGGCAGCGCCGAAAGGAACGGGGAAAGTACCGGCTGGGGACGTCTGGATCTTGACCTTGGTCATCTCAAGAGGGCAAAGTGCGATATCCGCGAAGAACTCGGCGGACGCGGAACCAGCGAGCCAAATCGCACCCTTGTACTTGGCGCTGGCCTCCTCACCAGCCAAGTTCATGTATGCATCCTTGAAGATCTCGTACAGGCCGTACTTGAACATGCCCTGGAGAGAATAGCCGACAAAAGTGGGGCCGACACCTTTCCAGATACCCTTCTGACCCTCCTCCTTGAGAATCAACGACAGACCAGAGCCGAGACCCTTGAATTTACCGGGGTTGACCTGCGATAAAGGTAAGAAAGAGGCCATGATAAGATGAAAAGTTGAAACCACAACTCACCTGCATGTTGCACTTTGTGACATCAAGCGGGGTGATACCGGCGTGGGTGATACCGCACGCGAGAACACCACCGAGCATGCACTTTGCGTAGTAGCTAGCATCGTGAGGAACAGGGCCGAGGAGCCTGAAGACCGTATCGCATCAACACCGAGACCAACAGAGTTCGCCAACAAAGAACGCGGAATACACACCTGGCGTCCCATTTGCCAGAAGGTGCGAGATGCGACATGATCGTTAAATTGTGTGTATCTGTAGAGGTCTAAAAGGCTTGACTGGATGGCCTGTCCGAGTTCAAGCAGCCGCAGAGGGCAGGGAGTGGATAAGAGGGAGAGGTGGTGGGTGGTGGGTGATGACAGCGAACAGCCCCGAATCTGCCTCAAAAACTGTCGGCACAGCGCGCGCGGCCTAAATTCCCCCGGTCTGCGCCGAACATACCCGCGGGCAGACGCCGACTCCACCGGTGTATCGAGCACGTCCTCGCTGTTCACTTCGTTTACATTGTCCCTATTATATGGGGGTCTGTGCTGGTGTATTTACACTGGAGGTGCCCAGCTCATCGTGGAATCTCCCGTCTTCGCAATGACTGCCCCAGCCTCGCCAGGCCTCGGGATGACTGGCTCGCGCACGTGTCACAGGCATTTGACGGATCATGCGCGTCAGCAGATTTATCACCTGGCAAGGGCGCTTGAAAGAGTCAGATTCGGCCTCGTATGTTTTGCTCACTGGTCTCCCGAGCTGCAACATTCCACCCTCTTGTGCGTTTGTAAGTTGCTTGGAAAGTAGTGTGGTATATAACGGCTTGAAAAACAACGGTCGGCTACATACCTTGATCAAACGCCGTCTTGTCGATATCATCCATGGCCTCCGCAGCGGTGAGCAGTCGTTTCATCCGTCATGAGCTGGTTCAAACTGACTTCGGCACAGACGGCATCCACCTCGGAACCCGCAGAGCTAGTGTCGGTAAATCACTGGCATCCCAAATCGCGCGACGTTCCTCCAAGAACTGCTTTTGCATTCGATCCCATCGAGGATGCGCTCGAGGCGTTCGCGCGGGGCGAGTTTCTTGTCGTAATGGACGACGAGTCGCGTGAAAACGAAGGCGATCTCATTGTGGCTGCGTCAGGGTGCTCGACGGAGCAGATGGCATGGATGATCAAACATACGAGGTTCGTACCGCTCACCCTCACCCACTCCCAATTGGCATATCTCGACTTTCATGGCATATTTTTCACGACCCCAGTCGAATAATCACTCTTCACTATTCTTGCTCTGACCGGTACCCACGGACATAATGCTAACGCCCTGTACAGCGGTTACATCTGCATCGCTCTCCCAGGCGAGCGCCTAGAGGAACTCCAAATACCAATGATGGTCCCCCAAAATGAAGAGCGACACCGCACTGCCTACACCGTGACCGTCGACTACAAGCACGGTGCGTCCTACCCTCCTCACTGTCCTCCACGCGTCTGATTCTCCCTCTCCATAGGCACCACCACCGGAATCTCCGCACACGACCGCGCCCTCACCGCCCGCGCGCTCGCCTTGCCGTCCTCGACGCCCGCCGACTTCACCCGCCCCGGCCACCTCGTGCCTCTCCGCGCGCGCACCGGGGGCGTCCTCACGCGCCGCGGCCACACCGAGGCCAGCGTGGATCTGTGTCGGCTCGCGGGGCTCGCGCCCGCCGGCCTCCTCTGCGAGATCGTGAACGACGACGAGCAGGGCAGCATGTCGCGCCGCGACGAGTGCCGCGCGTTTGCGGATCGGTGGGGCGTCAAGATGATCAACGTCGGGATGCTCGTGGACTGGCGGCGGAAACTGGGGCCCGCTCTACAGAACGGACATGTGGAGGACACGTAGGCCCCGGACTCATAGCCAGGGACAGAACGGCAAACAGCAAGAAATAATATTTAGGATGTCTTATCATGTTATTTATGTGTGCATCAGCGACTGAAAACATCTTTATCTTAACTTTCTTTCAAGCAGTATTGCAGGCTGGTGGGCATCTGGCTTTTCAAGTAGATATACATCTCTGAGATTAAATGCATCAGAACTGCAGAATAAAAGTCGACAGCCGGAGTTTACACATAGAGCCAATAGACGATGCCTCATTCGAGCGAAGGCTCTCTATGCATGCTTCATCGCGGCCGGTTTGCCTTATGCCATTAGTTGGAACTGAGCTTGACCAGTCTATAGTCCACCTGCTAGTCTTTCGGTGAGCATGGCGCTGTTGCTGTGGTATTTTCTTTCGTCCAGTCCGAAGCATATAGTTAAGGTATGGGGTTTGCCGTTGCGTGCTGCGCTCCGTGTGCGAAGTTCGAATTAGGGGATGGGTGACTCTTTTTCACCGCAACTGGAGCTTAGCTGGTGTCTATGAGCGGGAAGAGTTGTAAATTGAGTTGTGCTGATATACAGAGATGTGGCGATGGTTACATGTAATTCTTACTGTTCATCTGGTTGTATTTCTCTGCGTTAGTACACCGTAATCTAGGCCTGACGCTCCGCCATATGTACACGCTCTAGGCCCCAGTGCGGTTCCCGCCCTTACTACCTGGGCGCTCTATTGAGCTCCACTTCTTGAGCTGTTGTGTTGCGCCCATGAGGCGCACCCTCGTTGCGTCCCAGGCCTGCATACCATATGCGTAGTACAACACCCCGAAGGCGGCGCCACCCAGATGCGCATAGTGGTCCATGATTCTAAATTACATTTGATCAGCGTCGATTCGAGAGAAGAGTAATGATTAGGGAGAGATATGAAGGAAGCGGTAGGGGAGACGATGTTTCATAGATATAAATAGAGATGAACCTACCTCCATCCACGTAACGCGCCAACGCAGTCTAGCAATAGTAGCCCCCCGACCCCATATCCGATAGGAATGGATCCTGTCGGCGGGAACACGAGGCTGACCTCCGCATTCGGGAACGCAAGCGCAGAAAGTATCACCGATGCGTACACCGCGCCCGACGCGCCGAGAGATGGAAGAATCGCTGCTGCCGGGGTTGCAGCCTCAGCCGCTGCGATGGCTCCTGTCACGGGGGGTGGCGTTTTGGCGACGGACGTGAGGCTGGAGGTCAAGGTCGCTGCGACGCTTGTTCTGGCTGTTGCTTCCGACGGTGGCTTGCGCGCGAGCTGAGCGACGAGGCGGGGGAATCGGAAGCGAGCGGACACGACATGTGAGACGAGTGACGAGAAGAGACCAGCTGTAAGCGAAGGGTGTCAGTCGCGTAGATTTTAATAACATCATAAGATGTAGCAGGAGATGATGATCTCTGAATTGAGGCCGACGTTTCGATCGAAATGATGAGAGACCTAAATGTGAACGCACCGGAGATGAAAAAGGCATAAAAGTGATATATCTCAGTGGCCTCTTGAAGCTCTGAAGTTGACCTTTGTTCATGTCCCATCCAGTTGCCAGCCGCGGATGCTGTGGTATAGAAGTATATATGTAAATTGAACACGCGGCACGAAATTGCAGCAGGACACACCAAAGCTGGTGAGAGCCATGCAATTGAAGACTAGATGGATGATCGAAGCATGGCTACGGCGACCATTAATCCTGTACGTCTAGCATGTGCACATGTCGCGCGATTCGCTCACCTGAATATGCTCGTAAACATCGTATAGGTTTTACCGCTCAGCGGATTGTGCGCGAAGTGAATGTGCATAAACGGCCTCAACCGAGGTATCTGCCATGCGGCCCACACTGCGACATTGACGGCACAAAGCGCCCAGCCTGCACGCCGCCCCTCCGATGACGAAACGTACGTCTGCCCGAGGGAGGCGTATGTGTACACCACGACCTGCTTCATAAGCGCAGGCAAGCTCGAAACAAACTCGCTAAGATTGTCGACTTGCTTTTGGACTTTCTGGAAAAGCGGGATGTTTTTACTGATAGGATGAGCAGAGCATCGAGCGACTTGCCTTGACGAGGAGCACATCGCGCACATAGTGCATTTCAGCAGAGTTAGGAGACCTTTGGATTGCACCGACAGTAGAATCCTGCGTAACTTGTCGGAAATAGCGGGTGTATATGTCGGTGACGGAGTTCGTATTCTGTGCAGCAATGCCATACACCAATGCTGAACCGCCCAAGGCGAACTGGAGACACAGTGAGCACGAAAACAATAGAGCAGATAAGTTCACTCACAAGGATGTGTTTCAGGACTCCTGGATACTTCACAGAGTCTGCAAAGGACTTGACCGGACTTGTGCGCGCGACGTGCTCACGAAACGACGGGACAGCGTTCTTTGGTGAGTATGCATTCCTCAGAGTTTGGCAAAAGTGTGGAAATTGGAGCCTCTGGTTGAGTGTAAAAGAACGAAACTGATGAGCTCTTGCCAGAGGAGGGTGACATGTTTGTGCACGATGAAGCCAAATCATGGCCATAAATTGGAGAACGGCGGCAGCAAACGCGTCGCGGTTGGCGTGCCAGACCGTGGGAATCTACGTCACATCCACGTCAGACCGCTTCGATTTCTTCAATCTACGAACTCAGGTACATTGTATACAACGCATCCTAATCTTCTGTTGCGACACCTCTTCCTCTTTCCAACATAGATCTGCGGCGGCATCAGCCCTCCCTTGACTGTTCGCAGGGGGCCACTTCCTAATCGGGAAGTCTTCGTGTTCATGAGCAGGTCACTGCAATCCTTGAGTATCGTCCACGCTTGACCTATGTACGGTCGAGACAGCTCTATCCCTACTGCTAATTTCTGGAATCTAGTTTGAAGCCGTTGCCGGTAACGTGCAGTAGCCTGTGTTACATTCCTGCACTGAAAAGGTGAGCGGTCCCTGGCTCTGCATGTTATTGCCGGATTTCAGAGGATGCTCAAAGATGATTTACTGACCACATTCCGGTTGTGCTCCTCGCGCATCGCCTGACTGTCACAGGTGATCTCAGCTTGCCGCCCCAATTGCACACGACAGCATAACTGTAGGTGCTCCTGTGGACAACTGTGAATGCCCATGGACATAGTGCTGAACCCACTCCAACCTTCATCAGCCTAAAATGCTCGCATATAAAGCTTATCTAGTTTGGATGACAGATGTCTGTTCAGCAAAAGAGGAGATGCCATTTGTGGCAATATCAGTGTCGAAGAGAGAGGAAAACCGGGCCGAAGGTATGCGGAAGGTGGGGCAGAAAAACCCGGCGGGGAGTGCATTTGAGGAATGTGTCACTAATCGATTGGCGACGATCCGCAAGGTGCGCTCAAGTTACAGCTGTTTGCAAATCGATAGTCCTCTCGAATCCAAACGCACAGCGCTGCGGATGGCTGTATATATCGATTTTTGCACAGCCACTGGAGTCTAGACAAGGCTAGTCACCTCGGACCTTATACGCTCCTACCATGGCTGTCGGTGGGACTCAATGGCACATATCCTTGATTCCTCTCCACAGAAAGAGCTTGTGGTTTATATGGCTGTATGACTGCTGTATGAACAAACATGCGTCCCAACTAAGATCTCTGGCACTATAGGCCTTCATGTTCAGACTGTGCGAGTTGTTTTCACAATGCTTTGTCAGGCCTGTGAGCAGTACTCAATATCTGTGAATGTCTCAGTCCATTTTTTGCATCACTTGAGCAGTGCAAGAGCCCTATGCGACTGTGGGGAATATCTAGATATGTGAGCAGCATAAGGAACATAGAGCCTGATTAAGGTAAGTTCTAGGCATGTCACGATGTCAGCATCAACTCACGGATGCATGTTCCAGTTCGAGAGGACTATTGTTTTGCAAACAGCTGTAAGTACCGAAGGCACCTACATAAGCACTGATCCAATGAGGTGGGAAACTCCATCAGATGGCGTACTTAAAGGTTGACACTTGACCTCAAAGACAAGCATACACATGCTGTATGTTGTTGACCTAACTCGTACTAGGATGCATACTGTGATGCATCTATCCTCGCGATTGCCTGCATGAGCGGTTGCAGAGGGGGTGTTGCTGCAGCATTGTGATAAGAAGATGCTATTTATCACCGCACATCCTTTATGGTAAGCCATGTCAGCATCCGCAGTAGTGTGACGTATGCATCTGATGGAAAGATGAGCTGGTCCAACTGCTGGTCCTCTTGGTCGGGTGCTCGCTTGCAACACGTTGACAGGAATAATGCCTTGTACCGTTATGGGTACCATTGCCTTCTGTTTCTCACGTCAATCAATGCACGGAGTACATAAAGGCACTGGCCATTGGAATGCCTTCCTTCTCCCATAGCAATCACCCTCTCCATTTACACACCATGGTCCGCATCACACCCCTCGCTGCTGTCTCCCTCCTCTCCGCCATCCCGCTTGTAGCTGGGGGACCAATCTCCTATGGACTCTGTCAGACTGGTGCGTTGTGTACCTACACTAAGCTTTCTTCCCCGTATTAATTCATAACCTTTCAATGTTGTCCGCCACCTTTGCTTTTCTGGGCGCAATAAAAGGCTGCAATACTGTGGCGGTGGCATGTTACGCAGCTGCTGGCTTCCAGTTTGGGACCGTGGTTGCTGCTGCCGCCACGCCTGCAACGATCCTGGCTTGCAACGCCGCGTTAGGAACGTGAGTGCTCTCTTGCTTTGCCTTCACCGATGAGTCTCATCAGATATTCAAAGATGCTCCGCCACATGTGCCACTCTTGTACTTTTTGCGCCGATCCCTTGATTTTTGCTGTCTAAATTTTCTCAAGTGAGTCAACCTTCGAGTCGGTACCTCCAGTACATATACTCATACATTCCACCGCAGGTCACTGTAGTTTTCGCTTTTTGAGGTTCCATGTCGGTCCGGCCATGTACGAGTACGAGTAAATAGTCAATGAAATGAGCATGCGTTTGTCACGCGAGCCTCTACCATCTTCGAGTAGTAATTAGAGCATTTAATCGATGAAGAGGTATACTGCAAGAATAAATAATACAATGTGCTTTCCGACCTCGTTGCGAGTGAGTTGGTCGCCACACAGACCACATGGTACAGTTGTTGGACCGTCGTAGTCGCTACCGCATTTTCTCCTGACCAATGGAGCCTACGCATGCGGCGCCATTCATCATAACGTCGCATCAGAGGGCAAAACTCTGATTTTGGGTATATGTCAAAGATGTTCCTCGAATTAAATATTACAGTGGCTGGCATGCACGCCTGTATGAAGTTGTATGTCTGCTGTGTAGGTTCTGCCACCTGGGATGTCAAATAGAAGCAAGAAACGATAGAAGCATGCGGTACAGATGGCGGAAACTGAGTGTTGGTCAAATTTGGACATCAAAGCAGCTATAAGAGGGTAGAATCAAGACGTATGGCCACTGATGAGAGGAACTATGATTGCTCCGACTTGCGTGATCTAGAGCTCTCATCCTTCCTCGACAGACTATCTTTGAGCAATGTGAGATACACGTCCCCCATAAGTTGATATAGCCACAAGGGTCCGAGCTTTCGCCTTAGATCATCCCACAGCTCCGCGCCGTACAAATAATATAGTCCGCCGAATGCCGCGCCACCAATATGCGCCCAATGATCGAATCGTCTGTACGTGAAGGTTTGCAAGAGGTCAATAATAAGGTTTTGCTTTGTAACGCGAAAAAGAGGTTCGTGATGCAAGGCGCACCTCCATCCGTAAAATACGCCTATCGTATCGAGAAGTAAGGCTCCACCGAGGCCATGCTGCACCCCAATGCTCAGACCTGGCATCCAGTTAAACGAGGCTCGTACATCAGGATATGCGAGAGCCGTCACTGTCGCGAGAGCATAGATGGAGCCAGACGTGCCAAACGAAACAGGACCGGGCATATCTTTGAACTGTCCCTTGGGAGCTGGGGCAAAGAACCTGGATATCCGGAATCGGAGCGATGAGAGCCACGAGCCATGGGCAAGCCCGTCGGGCAGCATTGCATGAACCTGAGAGGGCGTCCGGCCGCTCATAAGACGGCTCCAGCCTAGCGTCAGAAACATGGTCTTCGAAACGACGTTGGATACGAGAGAGGCTTTGGGACAATCGGCGAGTCAGTGGAATGACACATACAGGAGTGATGGAGATACCTGTCAAGATGAAAGCAAGAAGGTGATATTTGGATGTCGCCTCCGGGAGCCCCATATTGGATGGACGATCCTGCTGTCTGCTCATCCAACTCGCGGTAGCAGCCCCTGAGAAAAATGCATATCATGAGCCGTCGTTGGTGGATATGTTACCAACTCCCATACCAAAGCATGGCAAAGCTGCACAAGTAGCAACTAGATGCACAAACGACCTATGACTTCGGAAGTAGGGCAACAGAATCTGCATTGAACCAACGGCCCCTACGTAGTGACGAGTGAATCATATACCTGAACATGCTTGTAATAAGTGTATAGCGCGACTTCTTGAACGGATCGTGCGTGAAACAGCGCGTTACGAGCGGTCGCGCCAATGGCACCTTCCACAAAAACCAGATGAACACATTGGCGGCGCAGATCTTGAGGCAAATCTTGGCACCCTCTGTAGAGCGATAATACTTCCGCATGACCTGCAAGTAAGTGAGAGCGATCAATTTTCTCCAAATTCGGGGTTTGGCCATATCTTTCTCTTTGATTTTTTTATTGAGATGCACCCACGGCTATCCGCCGATACCGATCGGCATGAGAAGTATGCATCACGACGAGGAGGCCAGAAGGGGCTCACCGCGTTCGAAGCGTGAAGGGCATAAATCCTGCGTAGCATCTCATTGGTCTGGTGCGGCTGAGCAGATTTTGTGCGTGAACCCCACACAATAGCAGCTTTCACCTTCACGGTATCCGACATCGTGAATAGGCTAGCGATTCCATATATCACTGGAGGTACAACGAGAGCAACCTGGGACACCGTGCAGAGTACGAGTAAGTTCATCGTTATCAGAGGCGCCGTCAGGTTCTGCCTGAAGACGAGGTCTCGCAACGATCCACAACAGCGCTGTTCTTCCATGGAGACTGAAATATGAGAGGATACGACTTACAACAAGCCCGGATATCAACCCAGCGCGGTCTATACGCTCCGAAAACGGCTTCACACGGGCACCCCGCGCGACCTGCTCGCGAAACGACGCCACAGGTGGCGTCAAATCCGCCTTCCCACTCCTGTCAACCCCGAGACTAAAGTTTCCGACGCTGACATGTCTCCCGACGCGAGTCAATTGACGATTCGGAAACGAACAGTCTAAAGTCGGTCTGCAGGCGAGGAGCATCGACTGCGCCCAGCGCCGTGACGGTGCGCAGTCTGAGACGCTGGCGAAGCGCAGTCGCGACGTCCATCCAAACATCGTGCTGATAGCGGGTGGCTGGTTCGCTGGCTAGATTCAGCGCTAGATGAGATGAGCTGAGAGGCCCCGGGAGGTCGATGTCGCATTGAACGACTATCGAACGATGAACAAGCTGGCTGCAGCGCGCGCCGCGGTCGGACGCGATCATACCGGGAAACAGTGGAAAGTCAACAGGGCTCACGGCTATCTCGGCAAACATCGCGGAAGTCGAAACGTCCGTCGGAGCTCAAAGTCGTCCATATCCATGATGCGAGCAGATAAAACTATTTTCAAATCTAGTAGATACATTCAAGAGAATAGAGATATTCTGTCCATCGTACCTGGAGAACCTCCAGAGAGTCCAGTCCATTAAATGATCCTACGTAGCGTGTAGAGAAAGGAGCGTGAGTGCGAGCCTGAAGTAGATGCCGATGTAGAATGATGCAAATGAGAAGAAAAAACCAGATGGAAAGCCAAAGATGATACTGATTGTGAATGCGGAATGCGTGATGAAGATGTAGTGAAAAAGAGATGGATCGGGGAAAACATGAAATCTCGTGAGTGAGTATCTCGGAATATTATGCTACAGCTGCTCTCCCCTCTGCTTCGCCTCAAAGTTGTTTAAGTGTTTCTCGGGTTCAATTTGATTGATATGATGGGTTTGATTGCTTCGTACACCGTTCGCACCGGCCGAGAATCCGTCTTTCAGAGCGCTTCAACCTCCAAATGACCAAGCGTCGACCTAAATAGATCACAACACGAGCACACCCACCGCTGCGGTCATCAGCGCCGACAACAACACCGCCGTCCGTGCTCCGCGCTCCATCACAATCGATTGCGCTGCGCTCGCAGACCGCCCAGAGCCCGTGACGCTCGCTGAAACAGAGCCAATCGTAGGCGAGGGTACAGTACCCGTGGCGCCGTTCATCGCGACGGCGGTCTCGGAGAGCGCGGCAAACCCGATCGAAGCAGGGGACGCGCGGAATACTGAGTAGACATTTTTCTGCACGAAGGAAAAAGATAAGAGACGAGAGAGACGATGATGGAATGAGGATACGTACGAGAAACGTGTCACCGACGATCCACGACGGCGCAGTGCTCGAGCTAGAAAACTCGAAAAAGGCGCCGAGGCACTGACTGCTAGAGACCTGCGCCAACTGGAAGTCGGCGGGACTGATTGACCAGTCCTTGCCTCCGAACGACAGAGTGACAGACACCGTCGTATCGCATGCTGCAGAAAGATTGAACAATCAATATTGTTAGATCGATATGTACGATTTCAACAAGAGTAAAATGCGAGAGGATACGCACGGTACAAGTAATACCCCTGATAATTCCCAGTTCCAGCAGCCGAGTTGGGAATCTGGGCGAAGATTGCAGCGACTTGGTCTGTCGGGCCACCGATCAGAGTCGTGCCGGTGTCGATCGCAGCGTACGACGACGAGCCAGAGGCGAGTGTTATTGAGTTGCCGTTCACGGTCAAGGTCTTCAGTGGCAGCGTCCAATACGTCGGGGTGCTCGTCGGGATGTCTTGATAGTCAATATCGCCGGTGTAGAGCGACGAGTTAACATTACCTACGAATCACAAAGAACAGATTGCAGTCAGCATCTGTCTAGATATACGCAAGCGCGAGGGGCAGAGGAAGACATACCCATTGTGAACGTTCCTCCGGGCTCAAGAGCGGCCGCGCGGCTGTCGTTCTGATACCGCGTCAGCTGGAAAGCCATGACGGGCTGATCCCAAGCATTTTTCTGGTAGAGGTTCTCCCAAAAAGGTGTCGCGCCAGATGATGCTATCGATTGCCACGCGAGGCCGAGCAGACCGGACACGGGCTCATTGAGAAGACCAGAAGAGACGACGCTACATACACCTACACATACACGATGTAAGACAATGAGCGTGCAGACAGGAAAAACAAATGAATGACAGTCAGCACACGCTTTCACACCGCTAACGAAGCGAGGGGCCAAGAAGCGAGCCCACAACGCGACACGCACCAAACACCTGCTCGTTCACCTCGAAACCGGCCATCTGCACGACATCTGTTCCGAGCACGCCGGCAGCCTGACCGCTCCCATACGTGATCGAAAATGCGGTAGACAAGTTCTTGAATGAGGATGAGCTGTCCGGGTTAAATGTCGTGATCTGGTCGCAACCGGTGGTGCACGCCGAGTCGGCCAGCCAGAGGTCGGAGGAGCCGGTGTCAAGGATAACATTGTACGCAGTAGCAGGTGTGCCGAGGGCGAGCGAGCCGTAGTAGCTGCGGAAAGGCGGGGGCCGGAGTCAGCCGCAGAGCGATACAAACAAAGATAGGGATAAAATAAAAGGGGTAAGGGGTAGAACGCACCTCGAGTCTGCATTCTGGTTAACGATGCTGCGTAAATTGGGTCGTCGTTAGCCTGCTGCATTCGGAGAATAGGGGGCCAGCAGACAGGGGACGCACAGATTCATGCCCTCGGCACGCTTTCGTGCGGCGTCGCCGCTGTATTTTCCTTCGAGGACATTCTTCTGCTCTTTCGCCCAAAGCCCCCACTCTTCTGCGGTGCGCTCGGCGGCGGCGCGGCGGACCAGGGGGACGTGGAGCGCTCGGGGCGCCCGAGGCGCTGCAAGTGCCAGGGCGTCATGGGCGCCGATGAGAAGGGTGAGAGCAAGGGGGAGTGAGTCGAATCTCATCAGTAGGAGGATGCGAAGGTTGTATTCTAAGGGGGGGAGGATAAAGTGTGGTAGTGGTAGTGGTAGTGGTAGTGGTGTGGTGATGGTAGGTGTAGGAGAGACCAGGGGGAGATGCTATTATGAGAGAGTACTTATTGAATCGGAAAGGAGAGAGAGGCGGTGCAGGAACGGGAACGCTGCGGACCTGCACAGCTATGAGTCTGTAAGGAGATTTAAGATGGAGGATGCAGAGAGAGGAAGATGAGGAAACAAATGCTGAGCAGGTAGCCGGTGGTCATCGTGGTCGCCAGCCCAGTGCCGAGCCATCTCTCCGCCTTCCGATCCCGGCTGGCCGCCTTCTGCCGCCGTCCGCTTTTGGTAACCAACTGCCCCTTTCGTCTGTAAATCTCTGCAAATCCGGTGCTTTTCTTACATCAACGAGAAGCCGAAAGAGCCGATTGGTCGGGCTTGCTTCCGTCTGCTTACGCTGCGTCATGCCGGTAGAGTCAGCGTGTCGCTCAGCACATCTTGGCTGTCTTGGACGAGTTTTTCTGTTTCCTTCACCGCTGTGCCATCACACATAAGTGTGGATCACCCTGAGCTTGTTGCGCATTCGCTCATCGCCCGCTATCGCTGGCATCGCATTTATTGCAGGCCTGCGCACGATACCTCAGCTGACCTGCTTGTCATCGTCGTCCGCAGCAGGAGCGCACTTTCCGCAGCCCAGCAAACCTTCTCGGCGTCCGGCCTCAGGGCCAAATGCGATGGCTTGGTCTCCTGGGCAGAGAGCCTGGGATATTTTCGGTCCTCCAAACTCCTGCTATGGTCTGCCGCGGCCTCAACTCGTCTCGCCCCAAGGGCTCATGTATGCAGAAGTCTATGGGTCTTTCTGAGCGTGCGGCTGCGTGCCGGAGGGACCAGACAAGAGGCACGGCTTTCGGTTTAGACTGGCAGCAAACGTTCCAAAAGTGTAAGAATGTGTCATGAGGACAATAATGGCTTTCCTTCTACTTTTTCAGTCTGTTTCGGCGGACAGCTGAGAACTCCAAATTCTCACCTCAAGGCCTCAACTCCAAGTCTCACCTGTATCATTTGCTTACAGCTGGCGTCAGATCTGGCAGAGTCTCCTTGGATTTGGAGCAGCTCACGCAGTTCTATTGTTGGTCATGAAGATCTGTCAGCCGTCAGCGTGGAGCAAAACGAGGAGGCTGCAAGTCAGGAGGTGCTTATAGGCGCGCAGACCCACTCGTCGTACAAGCGCGCGGGTACAGGCTTCGGCGGAATCTGGCCTGGGACGCCTGGATAAATGAACGGATGTAAGCCTCTTGCAGAATGGTGCGTCATCGTACGAGTCATCAACGTCAGCGGATATGTACTTGTCACGACAACGAAATCTCATGTACGGAAACTCGAACAAGACGTATCTCGAAGCACAATGCATTGAACAGCCTCTTAGCGAGGCAACCAGACATCTCTCTATGGCCGTTCATTCGTTCATCATTCCTGATCTTGGAGATGATGAGCGTCTACAAGCTAGTTGCATGACAGTTGTTGTTGACCACGAGAGATGAACATAATCAGGGGCGCTGTTCTCATCATGAATGGCTCTGACTTTGACTTGATAACCCCTATCATCAAGGATAAACATGATCTCTTTCCTGTCTCACATTGATACCATACATCCATACGCTGGCAGGTCAACCACATAGGATCGCGGATCGCACACTACTTTGAAGGCTCAGAGATGAAGAGAAAAAATAATTAAGATAGTACAGTCGAATACAACGCTACCGCGTACACCCCAATGACGTCCCACACAATATACACAGCCGAGCAAACAAGAGCACGCTTACGACCGCTCGCCGCGCAACCGCCGTGCGAGGGCGAGATCTTTTGGCTGGATAGTGACACGCTTGGCGTGGATGGCAGCGAGGTTGGTGTCCTCGAAGAGCGAAACGAGGTACGCCTCGGCGGCCTCCTGAAGCGCCATGACGGCGGATGATTGGAAGCGCAGATCAGTCTGGACGGTGGCACGACAGCATTATCAGTCCCTCGAACGACAGTGCAAGTAGCAAAGGCAAACGGACCTTGAAATCCTGCGCGATTTCACGGACGAGGCGCTGGAAGGGGAGTTTTCGGATGAGGAGCTCGGTAGATTTTTGGTAGCGCCGGATTTCACGGAGGGCGACGGTTCCTGGGCGGAAACGATGAGGCTTCTTCACACCACCAGTTGCGCCAGCCTATCATTTCGTAGGAAAGGAAATCATGAGCATGTGGCTTTTGGAAGTGATAAAGAAACTAGCTTACGGCGGCGGTCTTGCGGGCGGCCGACTTAGCGGCGAGTTGCTTACGGGGCGCCTTGCCTAGTGTCAAGAGCAGGTGAGCACTACGAAGGGGTAGAAGGGGCAGTGAATACACACCACCGGTGGACTTGCGAGCGGTCTGCTTGGTACGGGCCATTTGAAGTGAGGCTTGAACTGAAGTAAAAAGTGTGTAAAGGTTTCGAAGGTGACGGATGGGCGGTGGTGGTTGAGGGGAGAGTGAGGACGCGGGCCTGCACGGTATTTATCCAAGGCCTAACGCGACGCGACGCGGGTCACGTGCAGTCAACGAGCAGCGATCAACAGAACCTTATGCGCGTCGCAGCACAGCCACCGCGCCGTGACAGCCACAAACAAGGACAACAATAGGGCACACGCCACACCGCCGGCTGAGGTACTTATAACCCACGCGTGTCCTTGCTTTCCGCCTACCGCGTCCTTTGTGTCTACTTCCACCCTCGCACTTGGCCTTTCTTCTCCTCTGAGCCTCATTCTCGCGCAACGCAAGCAAACTCAAGCTTCAATCCAAATATCCATCTTATAAACAATGTCTGGACGTGGAAAGGGCGGAAAGGTGCGGTTGCATTCCTCGTCCGAGTTGCCTAGCCTAGCTAATCTTGTTGGCTCGTCTGCGTAGGGTCTCGGAAAGGGTGGTGCTAAGCGTCACCGCAAGATCCTTCGTGACAACATCCAGGGCATCACGAAGCCCGCTATCCGCCGCCTCGCACGTCGTGGCGGTGTGAAACGTATCTCGGGCCTCATCTACGAGGAGACCCGCGGTGTTCTCAAGATCTTCCTCGAAAATGTGCGTGCTCTTCCTCCGTTTGCATGCATCGTTGCTGATAGCGATGGTGGTCGTTGGTTACAGGTCATTCGCGACTCCGTTACATACACCGAGCATGCGAAGCGAAAGACGGTGACGGCGCTCGACGTCGTGTATGCGCTCAAGCGGTCCGGCAGGACGCTTTACGGTTTCGGCGCATGAGTTTCTATCCGCATCTGTCGTTGATGGTTGTGGCGTGGCCGAGGCTGCGGTGTACTTCTGTATTGCTACTGTAGTTTTATCTATTTTTGTTCGCTTTTCTCGCGATCGGTCGCTAAGGGTCTAATCATCTTGCAAGAGTGTCTAGCTTCCAAGGAACGGGATGATACTTTTATATCTCTGTCATCAACGTGCACCCTAATGTTTTGAGACAGGTTTGGCGTATCCGTCGCTCTCGACGAGTATGATCACCTGTCTTTATCATATCTTACTGACGATATGGGACTGTTCTTCCAGGTCAGACTTAGATTCGGGGTTGCACAGTGGTTGCACAGTCAGGAGGTATTCTCAGACACTCATCAAGATGAACGCAGAGTTCGAATGCTACATTCCTGACGACTCGAGCTAGCTACATGTTGTACATACCAACTATCACGATCGACCCGCATCGTTGAGCATATCGTGCAAAAGCTACCGAGTATCAATGGTTCTAACGCAGAAAGAACGCCGCCGCCATCCAGCGGACAAAGATCCCCTGCTCTTAACAATGTCCCAGACCTCGATATGGCCAGTTTGAGATCCCGACACCATCTGTTTCCCATCAGGCGAGATTGCAATGGAGAGGATCTTTCCACCGTGACTTTCCATCGATGTCCCGATGGGCCCGCCCGTTACTGCATCCCATTCTTGGATTGTTTGATCCTCTGAGCCTGAGACCATGCGTGTTCCGTCTGGGGAAAATGCGACGCAGGTAACAGGAAGTCGGTGTCCTTCCAGAGGCTCTCCAATAGCATGGCCAGTCTCAATGTCCCAGAGTTGGACCACTCCATTCTCAGATCCCAAAACGACGCGCGTGCCATCCGGGGAATATGCGATGGAAGAAACCTGACTCACGTGTCCACAGAGTGGTTTTCCGAATACAGTGCTCGTCTCAGCGCCGACAATATCCCATGCTAGAATGCTACCATCCCAAGACGCCGAAAGAAGCCTCTTTCCATTCGGCGAATACGCGACAGAAAAGACGCTGGATTGATGCCCTGTTAGTACTTCGCCCAGGGCCTCGCCGCTTTTAGCGTTCCAGAGTCGTATCGTCCTGTCGCCTGAGCCCGAGGCCACACACTCGCCATCTGGAGAAAAAGCGACAGAGTTCACAGCGTCCTTGTGCCCCTTCAAGGGCTTCCCAATGGCTTCTCCAGTTTCCACGTTCCAGATTCGGACCGTTCTGTCACCACGGATCGTTCTATCAACAGAACCCGAGCCCGAAACAACATGCTCTTGGTATGGTGAATATGCAACCGAGAGGACTGGGCTGGTGTGTCCTTTAAGCGGCTTCCCAACAGCTTCGCCGGTCTCTGCGTCCCAAACCCTAATCGTCATATCGTCTGAGCCTGTGACGACGCGTTTGCCGTTCAGGGAGAACGCAATAGAGTTGATACTGCCTTGGTGTCCTACGAAAGGGTAGGCCCGCCACCATTTAATGCTCCCATCTATACTACTGGAGACGATATCACTCTCGTTAGGCGAAAAGATGACAGAAGTGATGGATCCCGTGTGTCCTGTGAACGGAAAGCCGACGGCCTCACCAGAATCCGTCTCCCAGATGCGGATCGCTTGATCTACAGAGCCAGAGACGATATGTTTCCCGTCACGCGAAAAGGCGACTGAAGTGACTGCACCGCCATGTCCTAGGAATGTTTTGCTAGATTGGCCAGTTACCGTGTCCCAGAGGCGTATGCTTCCATCCATAGAGCCCGATACCACTCGATTCTCGAGAGGTGAGAATGCGACGCATATAACAGAACCTGTATGCCCCTTGAATGGCTGGCCTATGGGAACACCTGTCGCCGCATCCCAGACGCGGACCGTTTGATCCAAAGAAGCTCCAAAAATGCGTCGTCCATCCGGCGAAGACGTGACATAATGGATAAAAGCAGCTTGATTAATCGTCCACACTGCATCTCCATTTTCCGTGTCCCACAGTTGTACGGTTCGATCGAGGGAAGCTGAAGCCACACATCTAGAATCTGGTATGAATGCGACGCAAGTGACCCGGTGTTCGTGTCCTTTGTATGGCTTTCCGACCATCGCGCCAGTGAAGGCATCCCAGATGATTACGGTGTGATCCCAAGAGCCGGAAGCAATCCTCTTCCCGTCGGGCGAAAATGCAACAGAGGCGATCGGAGCCGAGTGCCCTATGAGACGTCGGCTGGAAGATGTATTCCAGATTTTAATGCTGTTATCCATGGATCCCGAGACAGTGAGTGACCCATCGGGAGAAGTCGCAATCGATGTCACTCCCGAAAGTTGCGCCGCGTATCGTCCGGTTATGTCAACAATTTTTCCCATCTTCTTCAGCGCAGTTCGGATAGCGTCTTGCGCTGTCCTGAACGCCGTTTCCGTTTCGCACAGATTCTCCCAAGCAAAAGATAAGGAGTTGATAGCTTCTGGTACTTCGCAAAGAGCTTTGATTCCTTCATCTGGGTAGACCACGATATATCAAGTGAGCACTCAGTCGAGGCGCATGTGTTCTTTACACGCACCGAAGGATATTAATTGTTTCAGTTGTCGCGACACCAAGGAGGCATCCTCAGGTACGCTCTCAAAGCCCTTGATAATCGCTCTTGAGATATCATAGAGGTCTGATTCCACCCACGAGGACCAGCCTTCGAAAGGACGAGACCACGAAGGATTGTTTGAAGATGGGATCAGATCCTCCCAATCCCTCAGTGGAAGAGAGTTTTTTGGAAGAAGTGCTTGCGGTTTGTATGAGTCCGATAAAAATATTACCGATGCATGTATCTTTTGGCCAGGTTGAACTTGTCGTCCAGCGGCACGATGCCAGCTAGAGGCAGAGTCTATATGCAACCTTCGACAAGAACATGAAACAGCAAGACTTACAAGCATGTCGTGCTGCTCGGGCCTTCATAGGACAGCCTTTTGAATGGTAGATACTCGCAAAACTTCCAAGATAAGGCGAGCGATTCGTCGACGGAGCGAAGCCTCTCTGTGATCACTACATTCCCTGAGACTTGGAATCGAAGTCCGGCCTGCTGGGCTTCTCTAGACATCCATCGCAAAGGAAAGATGCTGAGATCCTTGTTTTTGCTCCCGCCCCCTCTGTTTGCAAATCAATCGACGTCAACAGTTGCATGTCTATTTGATCACTTACACATCAGAATGTCTGCCGGCGAACCAAACTTCTTTGGTATGGGGACTCGCAGAAGTTGATACTGTGATATCTGATATGTCCAACCCGTCGGGTCGCGCCACTCCGCCCCATGCATATTCTGGTAGGAAGTTGACGCGAAGCTCGTCAAGCGCAAGAGCATGACGGAAAAAGCAAACATGTTGCATTCCCTCAGTCGTCCCAGGGTGAACCCTACCTCGCCCGACCCCCACTGAAGACACGGTATCCCTTCAACGCTCACGTTTAAATAGATATATAGCTTCAAAACCGTATGTTACGCACCAAGCACCCACGAAATGCACGTGGACTTCCTTGCTGGAGAAACTTTCCTTGAATTCCTTGGCACCACCAGGTTCCGAGCCGTCCGGGCTGGAATCAACATAAGATTTGTAGGCACTATTGACAAAGTTAGGCCTCCGAAGGGAAGATCATAACCAAATGGAACAAACCGCCAAGCTCCTTCTTCGTCACTTTTTGGAATTAGCCCAACCTAATCGTGGACGTCGGTCGACTGACTAGCGGCAGACTGATATGGACTCGTTACCTTGTGAATCATTGCGGACAAAACGCGGACTTGGTAGGCTCCCCGAGAAAATCCTATGAAATATGTGTCGGTTATGAAGACATCACAGTATGAGGTCCAGTTACCGAATAAGAAAATCTGATCGCCTTCACTATGATTGTCCGCGAGCCAGCAATATGCTTTGATGACGATCTTTTCGACGTTACTATGCATACAGATCAAGGATGAGAGATGAGCGGAAGAGCGCGTAGATAGAAATTCATTACCAAGCAAAAGCGGAGTCAAGTTTTGGGTCGACAAGCTGCTTCAAAAAGCTGACTGACCGCCACGGCGGTTGAAGGCTTGCTCCAATCCCGCTACTATAGAACGCTATCTGGTCTTCGTCCTTGACAAGATCACCATGCAGAGCGATCACATTGGTGTTCTGATAAAAAGGCATTGAGAAGAATTTGAAGTCGTTATCGAGGAATCATGAGCACCTTTGGACCAAACTCATTCAGGGTGCCATCAATACAGACGACCAAGTTCCTCCCCCTCCTCGAACATTTGCAGGGCCTCGCCTCGTGCTCCGAATCGATATATGCAGGGGGAGGCAAGTCGTACCGATCCGGCTCAGTGTCCCTGTAGGATACAACAACCGTCAATGCTAATTTGAGCTGGTAGAAGAGAGCACTAACCAGTGCTGAGAGGTGATGTCGTGGTTCTGCATGATCATATCGAATTGAGAATATCAGTAAGAAGTATCATGGGTCACAATAAGTCGCAGTGGAAAGAGAAAACAGCGGGGTTATGTAGTGCACAAGTATACTGTCATGTTCCCCACGTTGAAGTGAAGGAAGATAGGTATTCCAACTTGGTCTGTGACTCGACGGGGTTGATGTGAGTGAAGCTAAGGTTTTCGAGTGCACCTATGCCTTGAAGAGTGCGCAACATGTAACCGTCCCTTAAACTCGATCATATGAAGGGATCAGATGAGGGAAATGAGAACCCGATCCGGTATCGCTTAGTCGTATTCAGGTCTACTGGAGCTAGCGCAGCTGAGTAGCAGTAGTTCGGGTCGACTATTAAGGTCGTGGTGTTTTCTTGTTAAACTTGACCTTAAATCGCTTGTTTCGACGAGGGCCAACACAGATGCCTCAGCTGCGCGCATATCCTAACGCTGACTTCTCCTTATATGCCTCTAGATCTTTTCAAAGTGCACAGCCCTGCGCACAAAGATCGTGAGGTGACCAGCCATGCAAAAGTGAAGATGTGCTGCACGAGGAGTAGGTGCGGGTCTGGTGTGGCGCCCACGGTGCTGGCTATAGATAAAGCATCTGCTGGATATGGTGCGCGGGAGTGCCGAAGACGCGTGGCAGGCTTGCGAGTGATAGGACGCTGTGTAGAACTCCTAATTTTTAACCGGGTTAATAACAGGTGTTAATAACGCGTTATTAACGCGTTATTAACAGGCACGTATCGGACCCCTTGGTTTTTAAGGTTAATAGCTAATTTCCCAAAATAGCAATATATCTCAAATTTGTTGTTATTCAGTGCAATCTCTGTTTCTGAATGATTGTCAAACTCACCTCCTTGTCCGGAGGAGGCCTCCAAGGTGGTGGGGGCCGAAAAGAGGGCATACAGTGTCGTTGTCGTCGTCCCAGCACTGTTCTTGTTGGCGGTAGCTGACACGTGACACATGAGTAAAGTATTGTTAGTTGACTGAATTCTGGAGGCATATGAATGATTTTTTGGATTTTATGGATAGTGCCTGAACCTGATTAGGTTGTGGTGTATTATTTACAGAATGTAGGAGCTTGAATGATGTCCAACTTGCATCATGGTGGCTTCTCTGGTTCTGCCAACTCCACAACCGCTTGCTCAAATCATCCTGTCTATGCTCCAGCCATCTAAGCCTCTCCAATTCATTTAGGCTTAGTTTACAGAATGTATAACACTGAGTGAGCTATGAGCTATCATTTTGTTTGCCCATTTTCTCGATATTACTTTCATTTTCCCACGCTCACAATATGTAGTTATTAACACTGGTTATTAACGCGTTATTAACAACTCCTGGTTAATAACCGGTTAAAAAGCCCTGCGGAGTTCTACACAGCGCCCTAGCGAGTGAGAGTTAAGATCACATAACGTCATGCATGCGGAAAACGCGTCTTGGAGATACTCATGTCAAGGACGAGAGTCTTCACAGCTTCATAGTGGGTCGTTTCGATCATATACTAGCATGTGTAGAGTCAGGAAAGGAAGCATTGAAATGAGAAATAGCAACACCCACGAAGTCAATTAGTCCTGCAACATTTAGCGAGCCCGCAGCTAGTTGAGAAGGAGTGCTACAGGAAGGTTGAATGGGCGACAACGTCATGGCTTAAGCTTGGAACGGTAGTCGTACGTTCGCTCGTGGTCGGAGTCCTCGACGGTCATCGACAGTATCCCCCGAGTATCTTCCGACATCTTCCGTATGCTTCTGGCCACTTTGCCTCGATTATATCTTGCCATTTCTTCGCTGCGCATCTTGAGATAATTCTCGAGCGCACGCTGGCACAAAATGTATGATTAATCTGGCTCTGTATCTCGCAAAATGTCTTTTACATCTCTCCCTATACCGGAGGAATGAGTGATATCACAGTGTCAGGGACTCAGACTACGTCACTACACCAGATGACGAGAGTCAAGGAAAGGCGAGGGTACAGACACGGTGGGTGGACGAACGAGAACGCATATACACTATACTAGAGGTAGGATTGAATCGGTTTCAGTTATTTATGCAGATGAGAGGTTTGAAAGTCCTAACCTCGTACTTCATATACTGAATACAGGTTATTGACAACCTGCATGGTCAATTATGTTTCAAGGATTTCTGAGATGCCGTGTCGATGGATTCGACACAAGGAGAATGAGGCTGCCACCTCGCGGACAATGTGCCAGTGCTCTCCCCCTCTTCCCTGACCCAAACATTGATGAAACCATCTTTAGAACCCGACACCATTCGTTTTCCATCTGGCGAAATCGCAATTGAGAAGACGGCCATACCGTGACTCTCCAATGGCTGTCCAATCCCTTCTCCAGTCGATGTATCCCACTCTCGGACTGTTTGATCTTCGGATCCTGAAACAAAGCGCGTGCCGTCTGCGGAAAATGCAACGCAGGAGACAGGTTCTCGATGTCCTTGCCAAGCCTCACCGATAGCCTCGCCACGCTCAGTATCCCAGAGTCGTAGGGTTCCGTCCTCGGAGCCCGAAACAGCGCGCGCACCGTCAGGAGAGTAGGCAATACACGAAGCGAGTCGTGCGCGTCCGATAAAGGGTTTGCATACGACTCCACCGGCCGCAGCGCCAGCTGCATCCCATGCCAAGATAGCTCCGTCCCAAGATGCCGAAAAGATACGTTTTCCGTCTGGTGTATATGCGATGGAGAAGACACCGCTTCGGTGCCCGTGCAGCGGCTTTCCAATACCTTCGCCAGTCCTTGCATTCCAGAACCGAATCGTTCTGTCTCCTGCGCCCGAAACGACGTACTTCGCGTCTGGCGAATATGCGACGCAGTTCACGTCATCTCGGTGCCCCCCGAATGGCTTCCCAACAACCTCGCCTGTCGTCATGTCCCAGACGCGGATCGTCCTATCGACCCCAGGCATCGTTCTGTCGACAGAACCTGAGCCCGAGACGATACGCTTTCCGTTTGGAGAAAATGCGATCGAGTAGATCGCGTTGGTGTGCCCTTGCAATGCCTTTCCGATGGCGTCCCCAGTCTCTGCATCCCAAATCCTAATTGTCTTATCGCCCGAGCCCGTAACGATGCGTCTTCCATCTGGCGAGAATGCGATGCAATTGACGCTATCTTGGTGTCCTATGAAAGGGTAGGCTCGCCAGAATTTGATAGTTCCATCCAGACTGCTGGACACGAGATGTCTCTCGCCGGGTGTAAACATGACGGATGTGACGTATCCATTATGCCCCTTGAAGGGATCGCCGATGGCTACGCCAGCATCTATCTCCCAAACTCGAACAGTTCGATCCGAAGAACCGGACACGATGTGTCTCTCGTCAGGCGAAAAAGCTACCGACGTGATGGTGCCGGCATGCCCTTGCAGTGAGGTTCTGGGAAATCCGGACACCGCATCCCAGACCCGTATGGTCTGGTCCACAGATCCTGACACGATACGCTGTCCATCAGGCGAGAATGCGACACAAGTAACGAAGCCTGTGTGTCCTGAGAACATTTGGTCAGTAGGGCGACCAGTCTTTACATTCCAGATTCGGATCGTTCGATCTAAAGAGCCCGAAACAAGGCGATTCCCATCTGGCGAAAATGCGAAGGAATTGATAGAGTAGGGTTGTTTGAGAATTATTGTAATTTTTCCTGTTTGTGTATCCCACAAACGTATCGTTTGATCCACGGAAGCTGAACCAACGAATTTCGCATCTGGTGAAAAAGCGACACAAGTGACACGGTTCGTGTGTCCTTTCAACGGTTTCCCAGTGATTTCGGCGCTAGCGACGTCCCAGATAATTATTGTCTGATCCCAGGAACCAGAAACGATTTTCGCCCCGTCATACGAAAAGGCAACGGAGGTGACTGGAGCACTGTGCCTTTCGAAAGACGCTATAAGATGGTTAGTGATTGCATCCCATGTTCTAACAGAGTGATCCATCGACCCTGAGACGATGAGTGTCCCGTCCGGAGAAATCGCAGTGGACGTTACACCGGATGTTTGAGCTGCGTAGCGACTGAAATCGTCAACAATCTTTGCTGTCTTTCCCAGCGCGTCTTGAATGGAGTCTCGGGCTATTTCGAAATCCTTCTCGCACAAATTCTCCCAGGCAAATAACAAAGAATCAGTTGCTTCTGGTATCTCGCGGAGAGCAGAAACTCCTTCGTCTGGATCGATCCAATGGACTCTAAGAGCATATAATAATACGAGCGTGTATTTCCACGCACCAATTGATATCAATTGTTTCAAAGCTCGCGCTCCCAAAACAGGGTTAGTGGGCAAACCCTCGAAATGCTTGATGATTGCTCGTGCGATATCATGGAAATCCATGTCCATCCATGGTGACCATTGTGCAATGGAATCTGATTGTGAGTATTCGCCTAGGCATGGAGTTGGATTGACGCTTTTTCTTAGTGCCAGAGGGAGAACGCCTAGCTTGTACGATTCAGAGGGAAAGAATACTGTTGGATGTATCTTTTGTCCAAGCTGTATTTGTCGTCCAACGCTACGGGTAATGCTATAAATGGAGTTTTAAGAAGTGATTTCTGATAGATGAGACTGGCGAGACTTACAAAGCTGTCGTACTGCGCACGACCTTGCGCGACAACCTCTTCATAGACATATCACGGAAAGCACCTTCGGTAGAGGATTTACAAACAGAGTCATGTGGGCTCCAGTCCAATCTCGCGTCCGTATTCGACAGACGAAGCCCGGCAGATTGTGCTTCTCGGCACATCCACAGCAAAGGCGGCTTGCCGAGTTCCATAGTAGTGCCTTTGTTGTGTTTGCCTCCTCTATTGACAGCTGAGATCCGAACTATACGGCGTATAACGTTGATAGACTTACAGGTCGCAATGAGTTCCATCGAACCAAACTTCTTTTGTATGTTTGGATGTGTCGTGCTTATCCGCCTCTGAAGGAGTCGAAAGATATTTAACTCGACGCTCGTCAAGTGCGAGAGCGTGTCGAAAAAAGCAGACGTTCATACTATCGGTCGTACCGGGCACGGTTTTGCGTCGGATTGCCCCAATAGACGACACTGTTTCCCTTGGAATGTCACTGAGATAGCAGAAAATACAGATACGAACGATGCATACCAGGCGCCCACAAAATGTACCGTCACCTTCTTCGCAAAAATCCTCTTGAAGCTATCTGCAGAATCTGGTGGTGTCGCTCCCGGCTTCCATTGTACTTTCTCAGAATCGTCGTTCATAGTACTCGATTGTAGGTCTTGTTTCTTTGATCTTGTATACAGCTTGTATGCGCTATCGTGGAAGTCAGTCGAGTGATGAAGAGGAAAGTTGATCAGCATGCACGCACAGAGGAATTTGGTCGCGATCGCCTTTGTGCACGAGCCCAACCTGATCAAGATTGTCGCTTAAACGGTGAGGTAAACTGGACCGTAGAACTCCACCTTGTCGATCATTGCAGATAAAGCGCGAACTTCGTAAGCTCCTCTAGAGAAACCTGTGGGGCATACAATCAGCACGAAAGTGCTACATGTCGCAGTTCATATAATCACCGAATAGAAAAATCCGGTCTCCTTCGGTGTAATTTTCCGAGAGCCAATGATACGCGCTGATAATGGTGCCTTTGAATTTCCTCAAGACAATCCAATCTCAACACCAAACTTGACTAGAAAAGAGGAGTGACGTCTGCTCACCAAGCGAAAGCGAGATCAGCCGTGTGGGACAAAATCTGCTTCCAGAAACTCAATGACATCCATGATAGCCTTGTGAATGTTCTAGTGCCGTTGATATAACATGCCACCTGGCTATCGTCTTTGACGAGATTCTGGTACATCTCCATCACATTGGTGTTCTAGCGGCACGGCGTTTGATGCGTAAACAAGTATATGGACCCATGAGATAAGTACCTTTTGAGCGAAATGATTCGAAGTTCCGTCAATGCAAACGACGAGGTTTCGTCCCGTTTTATGACATGTGCAAGATGGATATTTAACTGCGTGCTCTGATTCGTTCTCTGCGCCTATACCCAGCCGAGGCATGCTATCACTAGCGAACATTGGATGGGCACTTTGACATGACGAGTCGAAAGCAGAGACGCACAGAACGGAGCCGGTCTCATCAGTCGGGGTCTGGACTTCCATGGGACTGTAGACAGTGAGAGAAAATAGTAAGATCTGTGAGAGATTTGTGTGGTGTTTGAATGCCAGGAGTGGGCAAGAAGACGCACAGTCAAACTTGTGTTAAGTAGGCTCCCTAGATTAATCGCAAAGTCATTTCGCAAGCCTAGATGCCCCACGTGAGTTTCCTGAACCCATCACATGCCCTCACACCGATCATCCGAATTCATCTCGTTCCACGGCCTGTAATAGCAATGTTAGCCACCATAGCATAACATAACTTTCACCGAGATCCGTCACTGAGCTAAGGTGGCAGTATATCGCTCCCATCAACTCTCTCCTAGCAAACAGGAAGCGTGTTAATCGGTCAGGAGGCCAGGCAAAAAAAAAAATGAACGCTGCCCAACCCTAGCGATGTTGAATCCTTCTTCTTGAGCGCCATTTCTTCGATACGACCACTTCTGCTACAGCGACACATTCTGGTTGAGAGGCAGAGCACTCATCATATTATTCGGGGGTTCCGTGGCGCCGAGGAGGTATACTCCTCAATGGATAAGTAGTGCATACGCCCCAGGCCCTGATCTCGATCGCCTCGGAAACGGCACGGCATTTAGGGACGGAAGAATGTAGACTCCGATGCGAGATCGCTCGAGATATAGCCTGGTGGACATGCGGAGACCATGCAGCTGCAAGCACGCCTGTCTTCAAATAGAAGATGGCCGGCAGAGTTTGAATATGTATCATGGTGCAATGCGGGAGAGATTTATGAATGGGCATGATAGGTTCCGTCGCAGAATGAAGCAACATGAGGCTTGTAGCATACATGGTGCGTTTGTGGGTGGTTCTGCGTGTGATATACATTTGCGGGATGGCCTAGGATGGCCTCGCGGATTTCGAGCTCCATAAGGCTACATGGGGGCTGGTTTTGACACCTGCGCGCTCATTATTTGCGTGTGTAAAGGACTGACTCCCGAAGCGTACACTGAACACTGCTGTCCAGAACCTGTTAACGACTTATACGAAAGCGAACAGGTGGATGGACGTGCCATACCTGTTTATAGTCCCGGTGCTCTTGTCCAGATATGTCTCCGATTATTAAGGCCCAAAAGCAGCACGTCGGAATGTCCCTACATCTCGTTGCTGTCCCCAGAACCACATGTACCTGAAACAGAGGAACGAAGTTCCGAGTCCAAATACATCGCAAATCATTGAGCTTATCGGAGGGAGAAGGGGCCTCGAGTGGCTGATGCATGAACACATACCTTGGCGCCGTAAATCTCTGTGTGGTCCTGTCATTTCGAGCGATGGGCGTTCAAGTGTATACAATTTTTTGGATCCGAGGTGGTCAATCTGAATATCACTGTCAATGAGGACGGCAACATCCGCAGGCTTGAAGTACGTACTACGTGAGAAAGTGACTGTCTGACAAACTCGCGATCAACGTGCTTGCAAAGGCTTATAATGACTCTGGCGAGCTCGGGCGAAGTCGACAACGAAGTGACGAAGTCAAATGCAATACACGCCGCATTTACGGTATATGGTCTTCATTTTTCTATGGCAGCTTGTTCAATTTGAAGAGCTCGAATATACATTACGACGAACCCGACTTGTTTTCATGCTATTCTCTTGTTGACGCCCTCCACGAGTGGAAATGGATGGGAACCCGCAGACCGGTGCACACCGCAAAGGTTTATTCTGTTTCTGCCTCTATCACGCCGCCTATTGAGCTCATGTACCGCCTCATTCCGCTCCTCATATCACGTTACCGACGCCTACACCGAGCAGTCTACAGTTACTGATCCCGTATCGGCTCTGTCAACATGGACAGCCGGCTGCGTGGAATGCGGACATCAAGAGGACAATCAGGAGACAACGTGGGCGGCGCATCCGCGATATGACGCGACAGGAGATGCAATGTACGTATCTTTGTCTTTGGGTACGTGCATTGTGTTCCCAGGTGTCTCCTGTCGAGCCAGAGAATAGTATCCTTTGACCCTATTCCTCGAAATACGCTCTTGCTCTTGCTCCGCTACCTCTCATTTGCATGCCTTTCCTTTGACAAGAACTGAGCATGTAAGCTCTAGGACACAGACAAAAGTCTTCACAAGTCGTCGCAGTCATGTGATTCCATTGCTGCCTCAAAATTCTCAAACAGCATCATCGAGAATTTAAATGTAGAGGCATGTTTTTCCAGGGTTACGGAAGGATATCTCCAGGTCAAAAATGGCACGTATCATACAGTCTTAGTATGCCAAGTCCCATGGGTGTTTTTCCTATCAAAGGTCCAGCGCTAAAGATCGTACATCTACTCATGTGGGGCCCTGCGCCCGCGGACAGGTTTCCCAACAGCAGCAGCTTTGGCGGTTATCCTTCAATTTCCGCCGAATATCAGTTCTACGTGTCTTGGACTCTATTTTATCCGGAGACTTGTTGAACGACACTCTGAGTTTCGACTCTCCCAAGCTCCACGCGTGGACTTAGATCAACCAAAGCATGGGGACAGCGTTGAACGTTGATCACTTTCGTAAGTAAGCTTTGAATGCTCTTGCCGTCATAGAGTCTTATATCTCTAAATTATCAATCCTTTGTCTCACTGGGCATATGGACTAAAGCGGAATGTCGGCATGGACCCGAACAACGTCTGAAAATTTGCCGGGAAATACCGTGGAGTGACAGGCGCCTCAGAAGGCGCTTCGTGATCATTGCCTTTAGAAGGCGCTTCGTGATCATTGCCTTTAGAAGGCGCGCCCACTTCACTCATACACCCTCTTTCTTGTGATGGACATGACATTGACATACTCTGTTCTGTATCGTCGCGGCGCTGCGGCTTGTTTTTGTTCGTTTTCGTCGATAGGGGATGATGTGAGTCCGTACAGGGTCGCGGGTATACCGCGGGGGTTCGGGAAGTGGGATCATCCGAGCGATCGGATGGTATTGCCTTTCCACATCATGGCTTTACGAATATTACACATCGACGTCAAGCACGCCAGGCGCCTGTCTCTTCCACCTGATGAAGTTGCGAACACCTACATACGGTTCAAGATCTTGTGAATTGTCGCATGTAGATCCTTTCTGTGCGGCGATGCAATCTCTCCATGCGAGAGGTGTATTGGCCTAAAGCGTTGACGCTCCAACAGCGGACTAAATTCAACCCCCAACAGCTCCTCACGACCGAGGATTTCCGACATCGAAGCGCCCACTACATCTCTCTCGCCTCCTTGCTTAAATTGAGCTGCACTGTGACTGCAAGGGCACCAACCAGCCCTCCGTCCATCCATCAGTCTCCCTTTAGATGCCCTCGATGTCCACTCAAAAAAATGGCGATTGGGATCGTTATCCCGAGCATACCATCATTACCAGGGGCGTGCGAGGTCTCGATGTCACACTTTGGATTGACATGATCAAGAGGCGTCTCAATGACGCTCCTCCGGCTATCGTCACAAAAGTTGAGCACTTCAAGTGCACTGGCCGCTTCAGTAACGAATTCCTAGCCATCCACCTCAAACATCCCATCCGCACCGGACTCAAGAAACACCCCACTGTCCTCTTCATCGATCGCGTCGCTTACCCAGATTTCCTGATTGCTCCCGGTTTCAAAAGCCCTTCCTTCCCTTCCTCCATTCTCGCTAGGGAACGCATTTCAATTCCTCCCCCCGACCAAAACTACATGCAGTTCGTCAGCCAGGAGCGGGGCGAGCAGCGCCCCATTCTTCTGTCTCGCCTCGATTTTTCACAGCACCCGACGGACGAGGATCTTCTCAATATCCTCGAATTCGCTTCTGAGAAGCATCCTCCCCACGAGAACGACTACCAAGGATTTTGGTATGCCGGATTGGTCTTCGATGCTTTAAGTGACCGGTTTCCGAGTCAACGATATGAAGAGCGGGCGGATGAACGTGGATCATTAATTGGGAAATGCGAGTGGGCCAAACTCAAGGATGATTTCGAGGGTTGGGTTTAATACTGTGGGTGTGCACCGTTCCATTGGACCGAGTTGGCGGGTCTTTACTCATTATCACGGTTTGCTTCTAGCTAGGACTACCATGATACAGGTAGAAGGCCATCTTCCAGTGACGATAAGGACTAGAACTCGCATATCTCTTCCCATTAGGTTTTACCGGAGGTCAGCGGGGAATCGCAAATGTTGCTACGTTTAGGAGACTGATCAGATTCTTCAATTCTACGCTATCTTCTCAATCAATCTATCTTCTCACCATCTTACTATTTCCATTAATACTTTCAGATTGTCTCGGTCTCTTCTTAGAGGCGTTGCTCATCGTTGTTATAATGACTTGTCCAGGCCCCAGAGGCTGAACTCTCAACCACGTGGCCCGTTCTTCTACCTCTTTTTTACTTGTTACATCGAGTACTTGGCTGTAATAAGAACACCTTCGCAGTACATGATTCAAGAAGATCGATACGTCGTTACATTGCATGAATGACGCAGGCGTTCACTATTGACTCATAGGACCGTTTTGTCAGGCGACAATGTGATTAGGGCGACAACAACATGTATTTTGCCGCGAGCGCTGAATTCGCCACTTCTGAGTTGAAATTTGAAAATCATAAGGTAGCCTAGGTGCCGTGCAAAGACTGCCCTAGATACGTACCTGTCTTCGAATGCCAGATACAAACCGCTCGAGTCAAGGGGCATAGGAAAAGGCCGGGCTTCATCTGGCGAGGACGCGACGGTACTAATCAGGGATATCCGCTCGAGCTTTGCGGCTAGCAGATTCCCAATTGAATGACGATACTAGGACCACGGGTGCGACGCGCACCAAGACGCGATGAGATGCAAACCTACTGAACGGATAAGGATATGAGAACAGACAAGACAAGACATCGAATGAACAAAGCAAAAGGAGTGCAGAAGATAAGGGCACCGATTAAGTCTCTTCAAAACGATGAAGGTCGATCGCCGCGAGATAGTTGCAAAAGAGGTGTTCCTAGTGCTCGCCTGCGCCATCCCAGCCTTGAGCCGCTCGCTTTCTTTCTGAAACAGTCTTCTTACATTCGTCGAGGGCGCAGAATCAGGCGGTATAAACGGTAACACTCGTTGAGCATCACCGAGAGAGGTACTGGCACGCGCATAGACGCGCGTTCACCGCGACGTCGAGTTGGAGTCCGCGCCTCAGTCTCAGAGGACTAGCTTCCCACCTGTCGCGTTGCGACGGCACAACCATGCTTAGCTGATCTTGTTTGAAGTTTGACAGCCATCACAGTAAGCATCGTGCTATGAAAGAGATCAAACCGCTGATAGTCCTGATCTGAACCTTGACTAGCTGTAAGCGCTTCTGTCGAACTCTCAAATGCTGTGCCCAATGTCCCTCATCCCTACTTATCCGTCTGAGCCATCAATATACCGTCTTTCGGCTCTGCGAGACGCGCGGCATTGAGACGGAATTTTGGGGAATGCAGTGCGGTAAGTGTCGCTCAGGTAGGCGCAGCACACCATCATGCTGAACGAGAATCATGAACCCATATATTTGACAAATTCGAAATTGAACGCACACATCAGACCGATTTGCAAGATAGGTACGGTATGCTTGTCTACCATGCAGCCCTTTTTTCAGTGGGGTCCTTGAAATATCTATAGTCAGATCACTAATTATGGATTCGTTAAGCTAGAAATGTGCAGCTCGCTGTGCAATGTTGGGCGGTCCTCTAGTCATTTGCATGACGTCGGTACTCTGCCAGAATTGAACACATTCATCTGTTCCCAGAGTGCATTGTCCATTTGTGCGAGATTGCATAACTATTGGTACATAGTGAGCTATCAACTCAACTCTATTAAGGATTTTGCATTACCCTACAAATGTAGAAATATGTCTTAATGGATCAATGGCATCCACTAATGACTGGACAGCGGACAATATGAATTGACATACTCTATTTCTATTCATTCTGAATCAGTGGTCATTTGTAAATAGGCAAATATGACTATAGTACTTACATCACTTGTAGACACTTACATTATTTCTATAAGCTACTTTTCCTTATTTATTCTCCATAAGGACCTGTAAGTGTTTCTAGCTTGCAGCAAGCATCAGACCTTATAGCAAGCTTCATCTGCTATATCTTCATTTTCCAAGTGTTATGCAAGGAGCAATAAGGTCACTTGAGCAAGCTTTGCAAGTGCCAATGATAAATTCAATGAATAAAACAGTTTCAACTACTATATTAGTAGGCCTTATAATTATCTAGGAGGTACCTGCAATATATAGAGCTCCTATTAACTTGAAGCAGTTTTTTTGGACAAGTTAGGCTGGCCCTTGCATAACTCAGACCCTCTCAATCTTTGCTTTTGAGATACCTTTCATATGGACAAGACCCTGTAGGCATGAACAAATAATGTCTTATTTAAATGAGCCATTTTAGGGCCATGTCACTCCCATCAATGTCCAAAAAGCAAAGATTTAGAGGGTTTGAGTTGTATAAGAGCTAGTCTGACTTGTGAAAAAAAATTGCTCCAAGTCTATAAGAGCTCTACATATTGCAAGTATCTTCCAGATGATTATTAGATTTTCTGGTGTAGTGGTTGAGACTGCTAGCTTTGGGTTCCAGCAGGTGGTCATGTGAGGTCTACACCCCCAGGGGATTACTCAGGAAAAAGCTGAGTTTGAGATCCATAGCAAGATACCCGGAAAATGCTGACACCACAACAAACCATCAGTTCTGAAATCATTCCATATCGCACTACCTCAGCATTATTCTGAGATTGATCAGCATCATTTCAGCTTTGCCATCTCAGAATCAAACCAGCCCATCTAGGCCCTCGTCATAGATAAATCCCAATCGGGTTATATCCTCTTATTCATATCATTTAATTTAATCGTGTGATAAAAATTGCCTATAAAATTATATTTCTCTATCGACAGACATTGTTGTGATACTACATGAGGACCTCCTTGCTGGCATCGTCAACCACCCCGACCTTCCTGACTTACAGAATCCTAGAACTCATAGTCTCCACCAATCTTCCACAATTAGCATTGCACCACCAATTACTACACGTGCAAAATTTACTTACCGCGCAAGGACGGCGCCGATAGATGTTCTCATACGATCTTATCAATAATACCTATATAACAGTACTAGTGAACTGTTCATCAGTCCAGAAACTTTGCTGGGCATAGGGATAAGAAACACCACTCACCGACATGCTATAAAACCTGGTCCGCCTCCCAAGTCACAATCACTCCCAACCCCATGCATGGCAACACCTGTGAAACAAAATGTGAGATGGTACAGCCCGTCTTTCACACTCCCTGCGGATCTTGCAAAAGCCCAAGGTTGACATGCAGATAGAACACCCCAAGTCACCAAGCTGCGAGCATAGCAATCAAGAGCCGTCAGTCAGATCCCAGCAGCCGAGAATTTTCTAGATTGTGTCCACAGCAAGCCCCAAGATTCAGCTCAAGCCAAGTACCAGTCCACATTGGCAGTCCAGAAGTATTGGTATTGGGTGTCAGAGCCTAGACACATGCAGACAAATTGCATAGGGCAGGAGATGCATGAGGAAAAAGACAAGGGCTGATGCACTGATGGTGCCTGCGAGGCGCCATCACCCTTTGTCACACTCGTCACATTGCCCTCCCCTTATGGACCACTGAAATACTGGCATTCTTGAGAGCATTCCTTCACAATACTACAGCAGGAAAGTGTATAGGAATGGTATTCTATATGATTGTATTTAATATACTCAAAGGCCCTACACCAGGAGAGGCAGCCACGGCATGGGGTGTGACACCGCGGCTAGGTCCTGCAACACCTCTTGAATGCTCCTTGACATGGAACAATCGCAGCCTATTGGGCAGGTGCTGCATCAGTGTACCAGGTCCTTCTTGGAATATGCAAAGGTTTAGCTGAACTGTTTCGGTGATGTATCTGTAGGTTGGATCATCAGTTTAGCTCATCAACACAATAGTAAGACCTGCATGTAGCATACGACAGACTCACTTCCCCCATCTGGGATCCTTGTAGTTGTTTCCCCAGAGCTGCACCTTGCTTACAAACCACTGGTCAATTTTTGACCAGAAATCCTCCTCTTTGGCCACCTTTCCAGTCCCCTTGTGCCTTTTCGTCGATGGCTCCCTCACGGTGTCACTCAGGCTGGCTTGTATGCACGCCGCTGATACGCTAGAGGTAGCTCTAAGTGCCGAACACAACACTAAAACAACCTCTAATGCAGGGGTGCTGGAGCTAGTATCTGATACACAAGGAATTGTAAGTGGTGACTTTGGAAATTGAAGGCGTACTGAGAAGTGATCGGGGAGTGTGAGATTATAGCGCCCGAACGGTTTCGGGACTGCGCCGAACACCGACCGAATGTTCGGTCGGTTGTGTCGGCGATGCAGTCGGTAACGAGAAGGTAGTGTCGCGACCGACAACTACGTGCTTCAAGAACCACACGGGACTCTGACAATATACGAGGGAGGACGGGGGTACGAGCAAAGAGACAAGTATGAACGCGAATAAGGCCGAACAACAAGGATGACAAGTTTTTGGAAGTCGACGAAGACGATTTCGATGGTTGAGACGGGTGCGAATGAGCTCTGAACTGTGGGGTGCGAAAGCTGGTTTATTCCAGAGGTGTATGTAGGTTTTTATAGTAAACAGAGCCTCTAAGTAAAATATTAAACAAGAAATGAGAGTAGATGTCAAATGGGCGCCAAGCCTTAGCAATCAGAGAAGATAAGAAGGTAGGTGAGATGTCCATATGGGTTCCGAAGGTGACAAGGTAAAAGTTAATCAGCGATGGCGAAATCCCGAACGTTCGGGATCCATCGCCCGAGTGTAGGTAGACGGTGATGAGCATGCACCCGCGCTAGGGTCCGAGGGAGGTCTTCGGGAAGCTTTGGGGAGATACCGAACAGCGCTCGACAAGTACCGAAGATGCCGACTTTTACCGAACACGATCGGTCCCTACCTGACCGACGACAAGCCACCGAAGGACGTCCGGCAGCACTTGGGTCAGTTTGCCCACACTTCACGTACTTACCATGACCGCATAGGAGTGTTACGATAAGTGTTTACGAGATCGGAGCCAGTATTCCGTATCGGCCGATGTCCTCCGTGAGTCGGTCGGTCCTTATCGCTTATCTTCCTGACTTCCGCATGGTCGGTCAAACGCGATCTTGCACCATTGCTTGGCCACCCCAGTCGTACAACACCTCTTCTTTATTTTTCATTGGCTCTCCAACGCCTGTTCCTGCTACCTACGCTCGGGCGACGGATCCCGAACGTTCGGGATTTCGACATCACTGATTACCTTTTACCTTATCACCTTCGGAACCCATATGGACATCTCACCTACCTTCTTATCTTCTCTGATCGCTGGGGCTTGGCGCCCATTCGACATCTACTCTCATTTCGGGTTCGATATTTTACTTAGGGGCGCTGTTTACTATAAAAACCTACATACAACTCTGGAATAAACCAGCTTTCGCACCCCACAGTTCAGAGCTCATTCGCACTCGTCTCAACCATCGAAATTGTCTTCATCGACTCCCGAAAACTTGTCATCCTCGTCGTTCGGCCTCATTCGCGTTCGTACTCATCTCTTCGCTCGTACCCCCATCCTCCCTCGTATATTGTCAGAGTCCCGTGTGGCTCTTGAAGCACGTAGTTGTCGGTCGCGACACTACCTTCTCGTTACCGACCGAATCCCCGACACGACCGACCGAACGTTCGGTCGGTGTTCGGCGCAGTCCCGAAACCGTTCGGGCGCTATAATCTCATACTCCCCGTTGCTCCTCAGTACGCCATCGATTTCTAAAGTCATCACTAACAATTCCTTGTGTATTAGATACTAGCTCCAGCACCCCCTTGCATTAGAGGTTATTTTGGTGTTGTGCTCGGCACTTAGAGCCACCTCTAGCGTATCAACGGAACAGGCGTTGGAGAACCAATGAAAAATAAAGAAGAGGTATCGTACAACCAGGGTAGCCAAGAAATGGTGCAAGATCGTGTTTGACCAACCATGTGGAAGTCGGGAAGATAAGCAATAAGGACTGACCGACTCACGGAGGACATCGGCCAATATGGAATACTGGCTCCGATCTCGTAAACACTTATTGTAACACTCCTATGTGATCATGGTAAGTACGTGAAGTGTGGGCGAACTGACCCAAGTGCTGCCGAACGTCCTTCGGTGGCTTGTCGTCGGTCAGGTAGGGACCGACTGTGTTCGGTAAAAGTCGGTGTCTTCGGTACTTGTCTAGCGCTGTTCGGTATCTCCCCAAAGCTTCCCGAATACCTCCCTCGGACCCTAGCACGGGTGCATGCTCATCAGCGGGAAGCAGAAGAAGGGTTCAGCAATTATCTGGCGGGACTGGACGAGAACAAACGATGAGAAGACGAGATGATCAGACTACTCATAGAAGACTTCGACAGACCCTCACCTTCCCGCTCTCCCTCTCCACCACCCCTTATCCGCACACAGGGCGAAGGGATCATATTTCCCGATAGAGAGACGTACCTAACAACTCCCGTTGCCTATATGATGGGACTCATCAAAGGAACACCAAACACTGAGTTTGTGTCAGGACCCACACGACCGGAGGTACAAAGGGCGTTGGAAATTTTGGAAGAGGAAAGGAGCTTTGTCCGACATGCACAAAGGGCTTTGCAGATTTGGGAAGGAACACTCATCGCCCATATTAATGCGGGCAAAAGAAGACTTATGGGTTTGAACCAAACTCCACACCTCCAAGACTCCTTTCATCCCGCTGACAACATCACTCCCATCACCAAATATCACATGCCTACCACGGCTGTGGTATCTCGTGCCTCGTCTTCGACCTCAAATGGAGCACCGCTTCGCCCAATGCTGGGGGCTTATCCCATGGAACGCGGCAGGGGAAGGGATATCTATAGATTCGCGCAGATTTCACCCCGCTACCACGTTATACCCACGCGACTGGGAGTAATCCGCTCCTCTACCCGAACTCGACCTCCCCTCCCCTTCATCGAATATGACTCCAGTGAATCCAACACCCAACCCATCGTCCTCCGCCCTCAAGGTGCTTAGAGAATGAGATGCTGACATCCGGTACAATGTAAAACTGCCGGGGCAAATGACGGTTTGAATCCGTTGGGCCGGTACCCACTGCCATGATGAGACGAGGGACTCGGCTCTAGAACGCAGTCCCCGCATGGTTAGTAACGAGGTGGGGTATCATGATGTCCATACTCAAGAGCTATCGCGTCATGACTCGACAGTGGGCAGCAAGAATCTGTGCCCTAAGTATTATTTTGTATGACTCGGTTTACACATATTGCTTATGTTTTTCCTGGACTACTACTTACCGTCTCTGGCACTGACGGCCTAGAGGGGGGGGTAATGTTATGAAACGCCTCACTTATGCTTACCTACTTTTCCCACCTTCTCGATAAGGACTTGTAAGACCTTTCTCCCAACCATACCTCGAGTTCCCGCTCCATTGATACTTGGTCCATGCTCCTGTTTGTACATATTTATAGATACTGCGGCACAGGGTGGAAGCCTTAGGCTATCCACTTCTGTCCAATCTAAGGACTGCTGTTCACACAGTCTCCTCTGATTCCAAGGCATTAGGATTAGTCCCTCGACTCCTTCTAAACCCCTTAGTATTGTGTGTGGCCTAGGATCTCCTTGTCTCGAACAGCCGTTCATGACAGCTAGAAAGTCAGCAAAAGAGCTACAAGATAATGGTATAGGCATATATGAAGAAGAGTAATGTGCTGAAATAGTATAGAATGTGCCATATCTTTACCTTCTCACTAATAGAGCAGTAGTACTTACTATTTCCTACTGCTAATTAAAGACTTCTTAGTATAGAATTAGTGCTAATATCATGAAATTAGAAACCAATCCAATGCTCACAATATGTTGCTCCCAATTAGGAAATTAGACACTTTTAGATGCTATTAACACTTTTAGATACTTTTAGACACTATTAGATATAATCCGGAGCTAATACAAGGAAGTGGTTTTCCAGATGTTGCCATTGCTGCAATACACCTTTGGCTCCTGTGCTACATGTACAGTTAAGACCATTGTTCCACTTTTCCTCTATAAGCAACTTAGGGAAGAACCTCCTACTCTTGGGGCTATCAAATGAGCAGTTTATAACACAATGCATTTCATTACTATCTTCAATAAAGAGCACCCCAGAGAACTATTCTCTATGATCACATCTTGTGTCAAACATTGAAGACTTGTGTAAAGAAGGAGGGTAGTGCTAGAACCATGTCCTAACATGTGCTTTACATGGGATCTAGAGGATCAGTTATGTGGTACACTTATGAGTGGGATTCACACTAACAAAGTTTTTAGTGCTTATTAACATGCTTATGCATGAACACTTATAGTATATGATTCATTCACAAGCTTTGGCTCAAACATTTACTTATATTGATCATGATTGAGACTCAATGCTTACTGATGCAAACAGACATTTGATATGATTACTATATTAAGATACATTACAGATCATGGATAACATATCTTGATCATTTACATCTAGAAAACCACCTCCTTGTATTAGCTCTGGATTATATCTAATAGTGTCTAAAAGTATCTAAAAGTGTTAATAGCATCTAAAAGTGTCTAATTTCCTAATTGGGAGCAACACATTGTGAGCATTGGATTGGTTTCTAATTTCATGATATTAGCACTAATTCTATACTAAGAAGTCTTTAATTAGCAGTAGGAAATAGTAAGTACTACTGCTCTATTAGTGAGAAGGTAAAGATATGGCACATTTTATACTATTTCAGCACATTACTCTTCTTTATATATGCTTGCACCATGATCTTGTAGCTCTTTTGCTGACTTTCTAGCTGCCTTTAAAAGGAACATAGAAAGAGAGAAATGTGCATTGATGCCCCTAGCCACTTTGTTAGCAGCTTGGCAGCTGTTATAAGAGACTATGAAGACCTCAGTACCTTGGCCTTGCACACAAGATCATTGAAGTTGTCATTGTTAGCCAATGCCTACTACTGGTCATTATAGGACACAACATGTAGGTTGGGCTTAGGGATGTGCTACATGCAGCCTTGCAGACCTTGTCTATCAGTGCAGTGGTTAATACTGTCTTGTGCAGCACATGATCATTACCACTATTGATATTACAATTCTCAGTGCCATCTACACTGTCTATTGCCTTGTTATATAGAAGATGCTCAAACTCATTGTTTTTCTCTAACTATTGGGCTATAGAAAAGACAGTCATGTTAGTATGTAATGCCAGAATGATATATTTGCCTACCATATAGGAAATATGTGCACTAAGCATATTAAGATCATGTCCAACAATCTTGTGCTTATTTATATATAGGCATGCCATATATATACCCTTGTCCCCACCCTCCATTTCACTAGTGGCTATTTGGAAAACCCCTCTCTCTTATTGGATCTTGATTATTTATAATCATGTTTTTGATCAAATTTGCAAATTCAGGTAGCATTGTCTATACTAGTAGAGTCCCATTGAATATCACACTCAATCATAGTTTTACACATTCTAAATCCAAATTGTGTAAGTGCTATAATTTTTTTTTACCCTATATAAAGTATATTATTTATTTTCCATTAGTTTATTATTTTTTAGCTGGTGTTTAAACTAAATCCTGAAAGACCTAACTTTTTGGGCATTTATTGACCTGTTTATTTATTAGATAGAGAAAAGATGAATATTGAATAAAATTTAAGATGTTGAGGTTGCCTATATTATATCTACTTATTTAGATTACCAAGTTTGTATATTAGACCTTGTGGCTTAGTGGCTTAGAGCATTTGTCCCGGGTGCTTGCATATATAAGGTTGTTGGTTCAACTCTGGCAGAAGGCAAGTTTGTTATAAGGTATATTCTGTGTTTAGGTATTGAACTAGTGCTCTAATAGATATGACTTTATAAGAAAGCTATGAGAACTATGATGCTTGATTTATTATTATCATTCCAAAATTTTAAGTTATAATCCATCCTAATAATTCTTGATTTAGGAAAATTATGTCTAATTAGAACAGGTTTAGAGGGGGGGTAAGCTAAAAATGTCTAATCCAATCTTTCATAATTTAGTATAGTAGAGCATTAATTATAGCTAATTAGAGCTTAATACAAGGGGGTGGTTTTCTAGATGTAGCTTACTTAGCATTTAGAAGCACAGACTAGATTTGGATCTAGCCCTAAATAGTGTATACATATAAATAGCCAAGATAAGCTTCTGAGAAGCTTGGCTCATTTACTTTGTATACAACTCAATCTCTGCACTGTGCCTAGCATTTGGCTACCTTCCTAGCTCATGCATTGCAAACTCTGCCAGATCCAAAGTATCATACTTAGTCTGACAAAGCACTGGACCCACTGATACACTAGTAATGCCTTTGAGTGTGAAATACACCTAAGAAACACCCCTACAAGTGCCGGTAGGCAAGAGCAGGTTCTAGTATGCAAGAAACTATAAGCCATGCAACAACCAACAAGGGAGCATACTGAAAGTGTTCAGAGTATAGCAAACAAACAACTCTAAAATCAAAATATTTGGTTGGTCAGTTGGTTGGTCAGTTGGTTGGTTGGTTGGTTGGTTGGTTGGTTGGTTGGTTGGTTGGTTGGTTGGTTGGTTGGTTGGTAGGTCAGTTAGTTGGTAGGCCAGTCAGTTGGTTAGTCAGTGTTTGATCGGGATTCAATTGGGATGCAAAGGGGAGGGAATGGGTACAAGGCCACACTAGATACTGGCAGAGGATGACAAACTAGATGAGAAGAAGAGAGCAAGACAATAAGGGCTCTGACAGAGGGTTGCAATTGAACACAACAACACAAACAAAGGGGCAAAATGCAAACAAGGGTTGGAATGCAATAGCTCAAAGTCTTATGGGCACAAGTACACAAATAGAATTGAAATGAGAGGGAAGCCAAAGCTCCTATATTGTGAGGCCATAGGTGCCCTTTTATAGTAAGCCCGAACAGGTACAAGATAGGGAGATCGGCAGAGACATAGAGCAATCAGAAATGCATGCCAAGAGCGATCAAAGGTAAAGAAGATAAGGGAGTAATGTTGCAAACACTACCAAATAAGAAGCAATAATTCTAAAGCCTAAATAAGTGGAGAGATTGCCAAGGTGAGTCTACATGGACCTGGAGATAAGAACCACATGCCACATGGGTAAACCATTTTAGAAACTTGGGAGCTCTAAAGATAACAAAGGATAGATCAACGGAAGGCATAAGGACAATGATAATTAGAAAGACAGATCTGTTCTGAGCCAACAAAGTGTTTGGCTGCCTCTGATTTGGGACACCGAAGCTAACCAAATGTGCCGACCATGTAAAGCATACCAAACTGATTAGCAATTGGCCACGACAGTCTGTGAAGAGCCCCTAATGTTGAGAATGATGATAGATGTATAAGATGACTGTGAACAGCTCTGAACGACTGTGCAGAGGTCTAAATGGAAAGTTGGCACCTGACAAATGGCTGAGATCGCTGAATGGATTGGGATCGGTTAGTCCTAAGTATGCCAAATAGTCAAAGAATACTGAAAAGCTGCAAAAAGTGGGGTATTGGTGCCTAGGGAACACCCATGCTCATCACCACCTCAAAGCCTTACTTGCTCTCATTATGCTACCATGTATCATGGACTTTCTGCCTATCAAGTCCTTTCCTAGAACCCTTCAGGAAGTAATCTGTTGGATCAGAGAAGATGTCCCTGTTGACAATGATCATCATAATGTCATTGAGAAGCATCTTCTACATCTCTTCAAAGATAAGATCAATCATGATGAGTTCTTCCTTGCTCAGGCACAGCAAAGAGCAATACTCTTCATTCATTGGACCATTACTATTCAGATAGCCTAGGGACCCTCCCTATGTGATTGCAGAATACATAATAAATCCAATGGTTTAATAGGTTGTTGGTTTAACTTAGGCAAAAGGCAAGTTTGTTGTAAGGTATATTCTGTGTTTAGGTATTCAACTAGTGCTCTAATAAACATGAATCTATAAAAAGGCTATGAGAACTATGATGCTTGATTTATTATTATTATTCCGAAATTTCAAGTTATAATTAATCCTAATAATTCCTAATTTAGGAAGATTATGTCTAATTAGAACAGGTTTAAAGGGGGGGTAAGCAGATAATCTCTAATCCTAATCATTCTTAATTATGCATAAATAGAACTAATTAGAGCATAATACAAGAGAGTGATTTCCCAGATGCATCTTGCTCATGCACCCATCTTCTTAAGAACACAGGACACCAAAGACCTATATGGAATATGTTCTGGGCTAGCAATAATCTCGAGCGCGCTGATGAGGTCTGCTGCGCTGAAATACGCCGATCCACGATCGCTATCTGATTTTCTGAGGCATGGATCTTGCAACAGGAAAAAAAAAACATTAAGAGGCGAGTCACTCATACCACGATATCGGGCTGATCTGCAGCTCGCATCCTCGTGGATCCTCATTCGTTCTATTTGTTTCAGCTACATGATCTCCTCTGATTTTGCATTGCTCGCGAACCCGATCGCATATCGGGTTCCTTGTTATGTTTGGATGACCACCCCCTGCCTTTCCTGTTGTCGGAAAATATGCCTTCTCCGATTCGCTCCTTTGGACCTGTGACCTTACGCTGTTGATTTGCTCGTGACCAGATTTCAATTCAGTTCCGCGCACCCGCGCACCCGCTGCTCCTATACGTACGTGCGATAGGGACGACGCGGATGCCCGCCAACCATTGAATCGTTGGCTCTCACACCCGCTATAGCCTTGCTCAATCGTCAGGGTGCAAACGGAACGCGTTCTCCTCAGGCACTCTTGCCCCAATCTGCCGTTCCTGGCATCCTCACTTCGTCCGTTGGCCGAGGCGAAAGGGGGTCAGCGGAACGGAGCCACGAGCATCTGAATCCCAGGGTCTGCGGCATGCCACGGCACTGTGTTCCGGGAATGCAGTCGTGCTGTAGGAAGGTGAGCGGGCCTTGCCATTCCGTCATCTGAGGCATTAATGTGCTGTATCAACGCCTTGAATTCATCGAGTCGCTATTTTTCTACTCTATAGGAGGCAATCAGGACAGATAACAGCGATAAGCATCGAGTTCGCACATATAATATGCTTCAGCCGTCGAACGTGCCATATCGGTGCGTCTTCTTCGCCTGCCGTTCGACTTCGAGGCTCTATTAGGGTTCGATTGTTCGACGGTATACATAGGCCTGTGTAGCAACGGCCTATGCGTTGGTCCCGTGCGACCTCGTGTGGCACTGGCTGGTCAACAAGGGTTAACGTTCACATTCAAAGACGGCAGAGTTCGCGGGTACCGGTCCCTGCACCTGACTCATCACGGAGAAACTCCTTGCCCAGCTGGTCTTCGGCTAAGACAGAGCAGGATGCGATTGAGTGGCTCCTCGCAGTGCGTGCCATAGCTATTAATACAGACCGTGTCGATGGGGTTCGGCGTGCTTCTAGTCTGAAGAACGTGCGCGGGAATTACCCCACCCAGGTGGTCGACTGCTTTGCTTTTGGCCTTTTGATAGATGGCTTTGGAAGTCTGGAAGCTGGGAGAGGCAGTGTCGATCGGGACAATGTCGTAATGTGCGAAGGGCCCGAGGATCTTTGACTCGGGCATGAGGGCGACCTCTGGGGCATGCGTGGGTTCCGCTACGGACATTGGGCGATATTTGGGTGCCTGCGTTTATTGCCGCGCCTGCTGCGTGCACCATACACGGTTTCCAGATAAGTGTCGAGCTGACCTATGTCCCGACAGAAGATTCCAGAGTGCTGCGTATAGTCTTGCCAACTGCCGATATGTATTTTTCTTCAGCGTTGAGAGTCTGGCGACGGCCGTACTACACGCGGGGAACACGGCGGTTATGCTTCTCTTCGCGAAGCATACGGTTTGTTGTGCTTCGAAGGCCGGGACAGACGGGCCATAGCTGCGATGCAAAAATATGCCAGTAAGAGAGTGTTTAGTTGTTCGGCAGTACACAGCACGGAGGAATGGCAGAGTCCCATGACCCACCTATCGAGCCAAACTTACCGTTGGCGTTCCGAGGACATAGGTCGAGCATTCAATGGGCGTGGACGGCGTGCGAGGCCTGGCAGTGGCCTGGCTTAGGCCTGGCTATAATCTGTGTGTCCTTCTGGCGACGGTTCCCAGCGTCGTCTGTGATTTCTCCATGGACAGAAGCCAGCCAGGTCGGGGTGGTTACATACATACGGTGAGTGCCCCGCTCGCTGGGCGCGCGCGCTGGCTGAACGCGAGCGCATGGGAACGGGCGAGGCAAATATTCCGCAATTAGTCCGCCGCATCAGTCGCCGCCAGCCGTAATCGACCCGGATGATGAATGCTGGCTTAAGACAGACGTCGACGCGGCGGATGGTCTCCCACCGCCGCGCTTCCCATGTCTCGCACTTGCGTCGCCACCTTCGCCGACCCAATCTCCTCCGCGAGCGATCCCTTTCTCGCAGCCCGTGCAGCGCTCTCCGCGACGTCGCCCACGCGTCCGGGAACAGACCACACACCCGCGCACTTGTCGTCCCCATCGCCCCCCTCTCCCCCGACCGCGGGCATCTGGCTTCCGAACGAGACCCTCAGCGCAATCCTTGGCTACCTTTCCCCCGAAGCCCTAGCGCAGGTCGTCCTTGTGTCGCGGCGCTGGCACGCCGTCGCCGAGCGCGTCCTTTATGAGTCCATCGTCATCTCCGAGGCCATTCCCCGCTCGTTCCCGCCGCGTTCCCCCAAGTCTCCATCCGCGCCTATTTCACCACCCTCCGTGGACCCTGCCTCTGCATCAGCTTATGTTCCTCCGCGCACGCTGCGCTGCTGCGAAACCCTCGCCAACCGCCCACACCTCTCCCTCTACGTCAGGCGCCTCCACCTTCGTTGGTATACCTCCGCGTCTGCTTCCTCCCATCACCCCACCTCTATCCTCCTCCTCACTCAGCATATCACGCATGCCTTGCTACCCACACTCGCCTCCCTCGCCTCCCTCTCACTCCTCCTCCCGGTCTCCTCGCTCCTCTCATCGTCCGACCTCGCCAACCTTTTCCCCTCTCCGCCGCCGGCGCTCCCAGCGCTCCGCCGCCTTACCATCGGAGGTCTCGGAGATCCCTCGCCCATCCTCCTTGTGAATCCTCATCTCTTACACCTCCACCTTGCCGACACCGACCCCTCCGCACCGCCGCTATCACTCCCGCCTGATGCTCTCTCGGAGCTTCGTGCCTTTCGCGGCCCCATCGGCGCTGCTGTTGCCCTCCTCCCAGGTCGGCCGGTACAAGGCCTCGCACTACTCGATACCTGCGGCACAGGCAGCAGAAGCAGTGGGAACAACAGTAACGGGGGCGTCTCGAGCGCGGACCTCGCCCGCCTGGCACACGCAAGCGCCCCGCTGCGTGTGCTCGACCTCGGCGGCGTCTCGGTGACGCCCCCGCTCCTGCGCGACGTCTCGCGGTACCTCCCGCACGTCGAGCATCTCCGCGTGCGCCTTGCCCTGCGGCACACCTTGCACTTCGCGCTCTCGGGCATCGTAAGTCCCACCCCCACCCCCCACCCCCCCTGACCCCGTCCGATCACGAGCCGTAACCCCCATTCTGCATTTTCCCATGTGCGCCCCGCCAGAGGCTCCTCGCCGCGCTCACCCCCGTCCTCGGCGCGTTCCACACCCTCCGCAGGCTCGACCTGTCGCCTACTCATGCCGTGGATGGCAGCGGCATCGGGGCGGCGGGCACGGCGGAAGAGGAGGAGCGCCGGCTATGCGCCGCGTGGGCAAGCGCATGTTCGTCCCTCTGCCAAATCGTGTTCCCTTCTAGAACTGAGTGGGGGCGCGAGGCGGGAAGCCATGTCTGGGTCTCGCATGCGCCGATCGCCACCGGCCGTTCATTGCAGGGCTGACCACCAGGCGCCGATACCACGACCCAATCGGTGAGACAAAATCGCTGCTCTATCCACCGGAGGCAGATTTTGGGCGTACATTGATACTTTCAACTTGTAGACTGGCCTCCGCGCAACGTAATTATCTGTTTCTCGCTTGTTGGCCATACTTATATTGCGCAAATGGACGTTCCTCGTAAAGTTGTATCTTCCGCGCACTGCACATACTTATATCTTGCACCACCTGTTGTATTGTATGCTCAAAATACTCGCGTCCTCGCTCGAGGCCATCGCTCGCAATTCCACCTACATGCCGCTCAATTAGTAGCTATCTCGCTGTGCATGGATATTGATAGACGCGACACCATACCCAATTGCACAATTACAAGTTTAAGATAAAAGAAAAGAAAAACATGTCGACGAGAATACATCATGGGGACCCGCGGGGGACGCGCGAACAGAATAAAGTATCGATGCCAAAGATGTCCGAATCATAGAATAGACTACACATACTCGGAAAGAGGGACAGAGGTGGATCGTGGATGGGGTGAAATAGATGGATGGATTGGGGTGTGAAAGGATAGTAGAATAATGGTAATCCAGAAAAGATGGGGTTGAAAAGTTTAAAGCGCCCGCGGACACGAGGGGTATATATATTACAAGATAGCCATATTGAGCCTCGGGGTGATCGTGAGTAGCTGCTGCCGTGATAGCAAGTAGTTGCTGGTGGAATCATCGTGTAACCTGGGCCCTGAGATGCGAGCGGGATAGACACGATTCATAATGTTTCGCCTTCGTCAATGAAAATATCGGTATAATGATCCAAGATCGTCTCGACGGCCTGCAGACGAGGTATCAACACACGCCCACAGTCGAAACAGGAGCTCACGACGCACCTTATTTTGCAATCCAGCATCGACCATGATCGGTGCACCGTTTGAGCCGTTGACTGCGCCTTGAGCAAACAGTGTTGGCCCAAACACGATCGCGAGATTTGAAATGGACATGGAATTATGTGCCTCAAGCTGCGCTACCCTGTTTCAAAGTCGGCGCGTCAGCCTTTGACTCGCATGCACTGTGGATCCATATCTTGGGGACTCGTACCGGTGTAAATGCCCTAGAAAGTACTTCAACGTCGCATAATTCGCATCAGGCAACTCGTTGACGCGCTCGTGTAACCGTATGTGCCGAAGTCGGTCGTTCTCGATCTCTATTGTTGATCACATCGGCATCATTGGCATCATCACCGCCTCCCTGCTGGTTAACCGGATGATGAGACGGATGACTCACTAGCAGCTTCAAGAAACCCCTGATGTAAGCCTGTGGTCAGCAGTGGCTCAGGCAGCTCCCGGAGCCACAACTTTAGCACGCTTGTCACGTTGTTAATGTCAGACGCCCATTCGTCCGCGTCGAGGTTCACGGTGTCAAGATCTGTCGCACACGCATCCGAGCCTCAATTCAGCGAAACGGACTTCACGAGCCGCCGTTGCTCCGCACGCGGCTACTCGGTATGGACGAGCGGAACAAAGCGAACTCACCCTTATCAAGCCGTTCCTTGAGCTTCGCAATCTTGCTCATCGTACCGCTGATGCGATATATCCCCTGAGAGTATAGCCCGTACTTTTCTATCGCCTCACAGCATTTGACCATCAGCGGCGGGACCTCGACGTTGTCTCGTGACATCTGCTCCGCGAGATCAACCCCGAAGGACGGGCGACCACGATCAGGCAATGCTACCGAGCCGCCATTCGGAGTGTTCGGAGCGTACGCGACGGGCTGCGTATGGTCTCTATGAGGCGGAAGAGGGGGTAACTGAAACATGTGGGAGTGAGAGCGGTGCGATAGCGATGGCCAGCATTGCTTACGAAGCCTTCATGCTCAGGACCTGTGCGCCGCGGCCCGCGTTGCACGCCGCCGTGTGCATAAGCGTAGTGCTGCATATAGACCTTGAAGTCTGCACGATTGTCGATAGACTCAATTGTGGCTTTGAGCCCAGGACCTGAAACCGACGATCAGTGATGTGATCTGAAACAGGGAAGAACTAAACAGAAGGTACCATCTTCGATTCCCGATGGTGCCAGCGTGGAGCCATCGCTGAGCATGATACTTTCAAACAAGAAAGCATATCGAGTGAGATGATACTGCGTGCCAAGATCAATCTCGTCTGCACATTCTTTCAGAGCCTAACATATGCCTCGTCAGCAAATAAGCGGAGTCCTGACCATTCCAGAAGTGAACCGACACGTAGAATCCGCGGGAGCTGGAAATTGAAGTATTCTTGTCGCAGGCCTTGAGTCTCGTGAACTGATTTCCGATACGAATCTGACGCTGTCGACACCCTCGCTCGGATGTCATCCTCTTGCCTTTGAATCTGTGCAAGCGTAATGGTTGGCGCAATTATCCATCATAAATCTTGCAAAATGACATACATTTCCTGGGTTCTTGCCTTTTAACAGCAATCCGCCTTTGGCTACGGCCTTGCCGATGGCTCTCTTTCCTCCTGGAGATCGACCTTGCATACCTGTATCTTTGAGGGATTCACCTTCCTTTTGGACCAAGATTCGCTCGAGCTCTTCGACGCTAACATCAAACCGGTTTTTGCTTTTCTCTGTGGCCATTTCAGACTCTTGCAGGCTTCGTTCGTAGCGGCTAGCCAACTCTTTTGTCTAAAAATGCGTGTTTAATTGGTCAACATCGAGCGTATGAAGAACGGAGGCGCACCTGTTTTCGGTTTTTATCGACTTCCTTAGCAAGGTTAGCGAGTTCCTCACTCATCTCATTGAGCCTCTGAGCGAAACGTATTCTATTTTCGGCCATTATTTCGTGGATCTTCATCATCGACTGCCAAGAATTGACAAAAGAGCTGTGTATCCTCCCCCTCCAGAAGTGATCAGGAAGGCAAGCACGATGAACAAGCGTACCCAGCTTTTCCGTCATTCATTGAATATACTTCCGATGTTGTCTTCGCCAACTTCTGCATGCCTCTGCCATACTCTTCCTCCAATACTGCTCGTTTCTTGAAAAAGACTGACGCTTCCTAGCAAAGACTGGTATTGAAAGGGACATAGGCAGGAAACAAGACCGTGTGCGTACCCTACATGAAACCATACTCTGCTTTATTCGATCAAGTAGCAAGGGAACACCGCACTGGATTAATAAGGAGATAAGTCGCAGACAAAGTAGCTTAAACACCTTCTACTTACATCCAAGTCGCACAGCGCAAGAAGAACAGTCTCATCAAATCCCGGCTCAACAACACTCATCTGTTCTGGTATGGCAGACTGCTTCTTTTCCGCAGCGGTGGAGACACTGTCCCGCCACCTTGAAGTAGACGTTCTACCTATCGATTCGGTGTCTGTACTCGCGCGCGGAGGTGAGGACGATATAGAGTTCATAGATGGTATCGCGGACGGGTTAAGGGTAGTGGAATTGCTGGAGGACGGTGGCATCGGTGAATGTGGATAACCAGCAGGTAAAGGATGGGAACTGTAGCTGGTCGCGGGAGAGCTCAGCTCTGGATAATCAGTACTGTCGTTGGCGTGTCGCGAGAAGCCATCTTCAGACATCGTTGGATTCATCGATGCCTATGAGCACGATAATGCCGTTGTGGTCGCCGTCACCGTCGTCGCTACTCAACGCTGCCGCGGTCACTGTTGTAAACGGGCTCGGTGATGAGAAGGCCCAAAGCAGGGCGATTAGATAATCATATTGATAACCTGCCTCGGCAACTCCCCTGCGGCTGCCAGCAACTTCCACACTGTGCAATTTGTCCTTCAGCTGTGTCTATTGCTGTCTATCTGTCCTCTGCATCCGTGTTCCTTCATCCGGATAATATCAATGGTTCTTTTGAAACCACGAGATACGATGAAGTGCTTCAACGTTGGATTGTGTCGATGAATTGTCTAGATTGACTCCCATGACTGTCGTGCGTCTGATGTTCAAGTGCGCCTGTGCTATTGAAACAGATCACAAATATCCACAAGTCTCCTATAAAGATGTGAGAATGCCTCCTTAGCTTATATTGATCCTACACTCCATACAGTTGCTACAAAGAACTGATCTAGCAGGACCTCGCAGATGTCTAATGTTCTGACTGCAGGCTTCAGCCCTTGTCAAAATCCCCGATATTTAGATAGGCTCCTGGTAATCTGGTGAACAGCTTGTATCTATCTACCGGTTTGGGTTTCTCAGAGATGCTTGTGAATTTCTGGGTTTGTCTTCGTCACTCAATGATCTACATTTGCCTAACTTGCACAGAGTTACGCCGATCTCTCCCGTTGCACAGCATGAATGTATTGTGTGCATAATGTGTTGTGGTCAGTATAATTTTCAATTACACGCGATACTTACAGCTGCAGGGTCGTGTTGGAGAGGGTGAATCGCCGCCCAGCACCAGCTCCAGGTATCACTAGGCATGAGGCGAGGAAGTCTTATCGTTTAGCGCCACTCTACTCGCGATTTGAGATCTTGGCATCTGACTCGTCTGTTGAATCCACATTTAACGTTCTCGTCCGACTCGGTGTCTGAGATACACACAGCAGTCCTCTGTGAACCAGAAAATGCTTCTGACTCAATTAGGCGTGCTAGCTCTGAGTCGAACACTGACAGAGGCTGTTCACGTTTACTGCTCTTCTGCGATCTGCCTTATCGGGCGCGCATCCTCCCGGGCTCTCGGACACGCCGATGTTCCTCATTTAATGGCTTCTAATCACGTCGGCTTTCGAGTTATGGCACTCAGAGTGCGGCCTCGCTTGCACGGTACATTCAGACGACGACCTGGCTATGGGCGTTCGCTTTAGACGCCCGTCCATTTCCGGCGCTTCGCGGTCTGCTTCCCTGGTCCTTGGAACGTGGGGACATGGCGCTCGCCACATCTCACTTCTTTGATCGCGCGTACAAGAGATCCATCGCTTGTCATAGTGTTTCAACGGTGCCGTAATACATATCGCCTATGGAAGCTACAGCGCAGGTTACTCCGCATCTACTAGATAGTAAAAATGATAACCTTAAAATTGAACCGCTTTCCTTTGACCCGCGAAGTTCACCTGCACGCGTTGGTATGTATGTTCAATGCCTCGTCTTTTGAAGAGCCCTTTCACAAGGCAGGAAGGAACGCTGTATGAGTCTCTCGCTAACTATGAAGATATGACTGCATCATACGCAGACGCACGAGTCAATGGCGGCAAGTCAGAATTCTCTTCAGCGTCTCCAATGACGACGTCGTCTATAAGTCTTACATCCTAAAGGATATACTGAAACACGCAATCTGATCTCAGAGGCAATACACTTAAATATTGGTCTGAAGTTTTGAACAACAAGATGTTTAATTCTTCAAGAAATGTGATACAAGTCTAGGGCGCTGCTACTATGTGGTGTTACAATGACCGTATCTCGAAAGAGAAATACAAGAAATCCGTCAGAGACAGGACGCTACCTAATGATATAGTAAAATATAATCAAGATATAATAGCTCGGCAGCGAAAAAGCAGACGGTCGGATGGTATGATGCCGATGACTTGTAGCACAGGGAACATGCAAGGAAATGCTCTTAAGAGCACCTGGCGCAGCTCTCGATGCTTTCAACATTCCTGGTTACGCGAAACCTACAAACAGAAGGTAAGAGCTCTTAGACGGGTACCCAAAGTGAGCGAGGACGTACTCTTGGAAGCATAAAGAAAGGCAAGGGTGGGGCGCATGGTCGTGGTAGGGGCTCTGTTTGCAGTGTGGGTTATTGCAAGACGTCACCACCTGTGAATTGTTGTTATAAATATTCTGGGGGCGAGCCTGGACGAAAATTTACGGGTAAACCAATGACCGTTCTCGAGCCACATTTCTTGCATTGGTGGACAAGGAGGACTTGGTTACACATGGTGAAAAATGACTATAGAATGAGAGATGTTCGGAGAGTCTGCTGGAGAACGATGATAAAACATGGAGAGAAGGTAGAATCCATTTATACGTTCAAATGTCCTGTGTTATCATCGGTAGTCCTAGTTCTGCTATGATCATCAATTCCTCTCTGCATCTCCCGGAGGACCCGTTCGATACCCAAACAGATTGAGAATGAACGGGCAGAGGAGTGGAAACAAAATGGTGTATCTGGCACGCACCTTGAAAGCGAATGCGTTCCGCGATCATAACTATCAGACTGGTTCGACAGCATCGAAGTGGGCGCCTGCTGGCACAAGGAGACTGAGAAGAAAGCGATCACTTTTACAAGCGATCAGGACCCGGAGACTGCTCCTCGGCAGGCCATGATCCTGCCCATCATTGACGTCCAGAATTCGAAACCTCATGCAGTGACGTTGTGGTTGAGACGCGCCTGTATCCATCTCGTCGTGCCAGATCCTAGGGATGATCTGTTTGAATCGCTGAACGGTTAGAAAAAGTGATTGAGCAGCCTTAATTTGGAAAACGGGAATCAATAAGTTGAGTTAAATCCGAGATAATGTGTTTCATCTTGAAGGCAGAGCGGGCACGGGGTAGTGTCCAGCGCATGTGAGAGGATCCGAGAGCACTGGTGAATGCAGGTCCCGGGCGAGTACCTGCCGCCAGCAGTGACGAGGTCGGTTGCAGAATGCACTGCATCAGTCAGTGCCTGTCGGACACAGCAAGAAGACCAGCCAGCAGGTCGCGCCTGACAAGACAATTTTGCCTGGCTGGCCACACAATCTGGAGAGAGACTGCAGGTATTTTTTGTTTTATTCCATTTGTGGAATGACCCATGGCTCACCACGGAATGGAGAAGAGAAAATTTTAGCATTCCGCTCGATGCATTTGTTTAGCATCGATGATCAAAACCACGGACAGCCCAGCGTATGCATGATGTAGCAGTTGCACAGAACACCCGTCCATCACAGGTGCCATAGACATTTTCAGTCGCCGTCAGCGGATCATTAATTAAATGAATTATCCAACTTCTACGTCACTACGTCACAGTCACATTGTCTCACGTCGCGCCTACCATGGTACACTTAGCATAATATTTAGCCAAGGCCAGCCGTGTCACCTTGAGCCGCTGCAAAGCGTCTTTGAGGCTCCCGTTTTTCATCGTCTTAACCAGCACAGATAAGTAATCCTCTCCTGAGCCTTGAATTGCTCGAATATTGACTTCTTCTAAGCGCTTCAGCAACTCGACAGCGCCAGAAGAGGAAAACAACATCAATCCATCTGACCCGCATTGATCCATTAGTATCGGGATCCCCAATCGGTAGAGCCAATATTCGAATCACACTCACCAAGTTTGAGAAGCTCCGTTGCGTCTACAAGTAGTGTACCCCACCATGACTTTGGTGCGATCTCCTCTTGAAACATCGACACGAGATCCAAGGCCGCCTCTTGAAAGTCGCCGTCCATGCGTCTCTGGTGATATTCAGCGTATCGCACAGCAAATGCCAAACGATGAATGAATACGCCATTGGGTCCTTGGTGTATACGTGGATCCTGGAGAGAGGAGGCAACAGTCGCAGCTGCGCGAGCGAACGTTTCGGGACCTACATAGAGTGATCAACGGGCGATGACATGACATAGAGATTTACTGACCATGCATGATATATTCAGCTAAAACACAATCTACAACACGACCGAGACCAGACCAATTATTGGCAGCAATCATGTAAGACATAGCTGATTTGTAGTTTTTTTGCTTAAGGAAGGTTTGAGCGCCCAACTGAGGACGGAATGGACATCAATGTTGCAGAGGAGAATGAAGGAAAACTTACAGAGTTAACAATTCTTTGAACTGACTCCCTATTGTGTTCTGAACAGGTCCTACTAATCTCCTTCAAGGTGTTGACGATCGCTTCAGAATTCAAAGTTTCATCCTCTCCCGCTACGAGAGCAGTCGCTGTGCCGTCTCGATGGGCTGGGTTAAATGGAACACGCATCAGTATTTGATCCGCCCTTTCTTGACCAATGACACCGCATGAGTACATGTAGTCAACGGTTATACGCCATAGATGTGGGTCCGAATGAAGGTATTCAGCATATGCAAGAACATGCTGCTGCCTCCGTGACATCCCGGATCTGAGTTGTAAATTTAGTCCATGAACAAAAATATGCTTGCAACACGTACTCTTCGTCAACCTTAGGATCCAATAGATCTACAGACTCCATGATATCTGCCAGATGAGCCGCTAACCACAAATCTAACTTTTCAGCGTAAGATAATGCTTTAGCAGGCTTCCCAGCACATAGAGAAACATAGATCATGTCTTCAGAACTTGTCGGATCGGGTGGCATCTCGTCCAGAATCTTTGGAAGCACCTCTCTGCGACAAGGTTCATCAGACATATGCGTCAGGGAAGAATCCTACAGTGACCTACGGCAACTCATGTCTTCTTAATCGATTGTCAACGAAAATGGCCCAGGCGGCGCACACCTCCTTCCAGTCTGCACCCAGATCAAGACAAACCCGTTGAATGACTGAGTGACGACCTTCGAGAATGCCAACGATGTCGCTGAATGAGTCCCACCAGTTGTCTCCACCATCTTGCCTCGCATCTTCGGGGACGCGGTCAAGCTCAAGTCGTAATGACTTGACTTGGTCCTTCCATCTACGCGAATCAATGACAAAATCACGCTCAAGATTGTAGTCGCTCAGACGTGGATGGTTTTCCACGAGTGGCATAAGGTGTTCTGCCATGCTCTGCAGATGTGAAGAAGGATGTCGGGTAGAGAGAACCTCCAAAAAGAACAAAGAAGATTTCGAAAGTCCCCGTAAAATAGTTCTATTCAATGCATGATCAATTTCAGACTGTTTGAGTCAAAGTAGGCGCAAAAAAAATACCTGATCAAATATGGCCAGAACGACTCGTCCTCCCATGGACGATCCTGTGAGCTAAGTTGATCTCCTTCCTCTGTTGAAGGTTCAATGAAATGCTTGTTAAGCCACTCCATCAACTCGTCTCCGACCGGAACATCTACGACTTTACTGTCCGGTGCGTACAAGAGCACGAATAAGTCAAAGCATGTGTAGAGACTCTGGTAATGGTCCGCATCGAATTGTAGGGGTTCATCCCTTGCCATTTGTCGCTGCATCAAATATCAGAACAATTGGAGCCAAAATTGGTTGGAGCTCTTACCGACGTGTGCACCCAACAGGTCTTGATAAACTCGACGTAGTCTGCACATAGTTTCGTTATTGCTTGAAGTGTTGGTTCGTCTTGCAGTCTATTTATGCACTTTGAACATCTGACTAGAACTATAGCAAGCCACGCACGGTCGGGCGTTCTGCGTCGCTTTCATGAGATTTTGGAATGCGGCAAATATGACCGACGTTTCTGATATAAACTGAATGGAACGTTAAATTAAATATGAGTATGAATGCCCAAGCACATGTACTCCCACACACCAAACGATGTTCTGCCGAAGGTATCTGGTCTGTACTCGCGGTGTATATGTCCTGTGGCTTGGGATACTCTGAGTTGATATCATGAGGCACTTTGGGTTCATTCTGATGCACACATATTTTTAACGAGGAAACAAGCTGAGAAGAAAGAGCACGCACAGAACTCCCTGCAAACACAGCCAGAGAGTTGTCCCGCGGTGAAGCGGCTATTGAGAGAGACCGACCACTCTCAAGAAATTCCTCTTCTTGCCCTCGCTCGAACAACGGAGGGTATAATGTTATTTTCTCCATGAGTCAATCGGATGTACGGGGATTATCAATGTGGACCTTGGATGAGCTCGACGTCGAGTTGTTGATCGAGGTGGAGTCGCGTGAATCAGTGTGACGGGTCCCGTCACAAATGCGTGACTGAGCCGCCAAAATCTCAACGTTCTTCAACGCCGTGTCGGCTTCGCCCAGCGTCGTCCTAACTTCCTACAAACTAACGTCGTCTCCTCTCCGTCACTCGTCATCCGCATCTGTGGAATTTAGCCGCGAACAAACACTCGGACCATGGCGGCTATCTTGACTGAACTGCGTACTTCTCCCTCTGACATATAGCTGTCCTTGGGCGACTCCTCCTGGCTCGAGCGCTTCCGGGGCTTGACTCACCGCGCCCATACACTCGTGTTGTGAGGTTCAGAATTTGTCTGCCCACTTGCGCGCTGATTGATCTCCGTCTACCCGAGAATCGGCGCCAGTCGTGCTCAGCAATGTAATTTCCGCGCCAATCTCGCCTGCGTCTGTGATCATTCCGTGTTCTTAGATTTGAGGATCTTTACACGTCCATAACGGCATACAGGCTGTGTACTGGATTGTATCCAGTGAAGAGGAACAGTGGAGACCCGCGAACCGGGAGCACATGCTGACTCACGCCTTCGATGGCCTAACTTCGACCGGAGGATAGGTTCAATGGATCTTACTTGAACTTCCTCACAGATGCTCAATGACCCTCAAGGCTACATTTGATCTCAAAAGGGGCTCAAGGTGCTATTATTCTATAACGCTAACGAACATTAACAGAAAGAAGACCTCGATAGTGTACTATTATCAGAAAAACGCCTCAGAATAAATGGTTTCTTGATTTTGGTCCTTCACGGGATATCCGTGTGTAGGGCGTCTTCACACGCGGGAAGTTATTTCATATTGTATATTTGACCAAATTTATAGCGCTCACAATCCTTGGACGTGTGGCCGTAGTTCGCCATGATCCGGTTCGTAGAATACGGTTATCCTGCCTCATGATGCTTACGATTTCATCTGACTTGTTCTTTTCCTGTATGCGGGCCGGGACAGTGCGCCCTGTACGCCAAGCGATGTGGTAGCACATCCAGCCCTTCACCATCGTAACGCCGCAGTGCACGAACCCTCGAGCTGTAAGCATAGCCTTAGAAGCACGATCTCGTTACAAGGTTCAACACGTTGAAGGCTCATTGCGAAATGCTATCGTCGTAGGCGGTGGTGCTCTTTGAACATGGGTGATAGAGCTGAATCTTTCGCGTGACGTTAACAATTTTACGCTGAGGGCATTTTCAGTCGAGGGCCAAGAATGCATACGACACATACACAAATATCTTCTCAATCCCCCAGGATCTTGCACTCTTATCGTACGGGAAACAACCCTTCAAGACTCATAGATTTCTACGTGGGATGTTGAGCGCCAGTCCCCCGCAATTTGGTGACCGGCGAACGTGAAGTGCAGGCGGATAGTTCGCAGGCATTCCGAATCCTTACTTATTTTGCGTGCTTCAGCTGCCACACAAGAGCATCAAGGCCGGGTCCAAGTGAATCAAATATCTGTATGGCAGAGATGAGAACCAATCTACTATCGAATAAAGGTATGTTGCATCATAGACCTAATGAAATATGCGATATAGTATGCAACATTTGAGCATGTAAATACTGGTTTGCGAGCTGATGTGAAACGAACCCCACCTTAATATAGAAGGCCAGGATATTCAGGATACCCACACCCGATGTTCTTCGTCTGATAACTTGATCTGCTTGCGCTTAGATCCAACCTTCTCCATGTGACCAATCCACCCATCAGCGTCACTGCCGGCCCTCACAAGGGTATGACCTTTGTCTACTATCATCCGGAGCCGGAGAAACCACTGTTCATAGTGAGGATCGGGTAGGATTCCCATGTCGCGGAAAATTTGAACTTGTGGAATCACGAAAATCGTCGTCATGGACCAGCAGCCGAAACTCCCCGAGTTTCAGTAGATGGTAAGCGGGCCTGCCACTGCGGGTAAATTCTCGACAGCCTTCTTGGCGACTTCGATTATCGCATCGTGAGAGGCAATGGACTTGTCAAGTTGAGCTCTCATCTGAGGGTCGAGTACGTTCAGATGCGACAATCGACTTTCAAGAACCTGAAAAGCAATGGCAGGGTTGCCCGACAAGTCCTGTCTGTACTTGAGGTGAATTGAGAGGAAATGAGAAGGGAAGTCGAATGTTTCGATGGTATGTCCGGACAAACGGATGGCAGAGTATGCGGCTTGTTCAATAGTCCTTCGGTGTGTTCGAGCGAACTGGTTCACAAGCAAGAAATCATCGCGCGGATGAGGCCTTCCGACGGAGTTGAGTGCAGAAGAGTGCGCATCAGCGTGTGCAGACAACATGCCTAATTGTTTTTTGAAACCTGCACAGATGATCCTAACGGTAAGTCAGTTCAAAAGGATCTCTCGACAACAGAGATGAAGAGCAACTTATGAGTGCGCTATGAAGTTCTTTGACATTGTGCGCTACAGTAGACAACCGCTTTGCATCCGAAGCAAAGTTTGTACAAAGTATCAATGGAGGGTGCAAAGCAAGCAGAACACGGGTCATGTTTTTCTGCAAACTGCGCCCTGCTTGGAGGTTGATTGAAGATGTCCATTGCGAGATACTGGGATCGTAAATCTGCGAAAACCGCATGAAACCTCATAGATACCTTTTTGGGACCGTGGGAATGACAAGTCCCATGCTGCAACAACAAGGCCGATGGTTGCGTTGAACGGCCATGAGCTCTTCAAACACTCATGCTGTTTCCCAGCCCCCGATCGACGATCGGGCTTTGCTCGACCGAAAACTTTCTGAGAAGCGGCGCCTAGCTATTTACAGAGCCCAAGTCAACGCGTTTATAAATGCGGCGGACATCGTAGAATTAACCGAAGATATCTTAAAGGATATTCTAGAGGGATTCGACGATCCTCGGTATGACATAGAAAGTGTAAATGACGACAACGCGGACGAGGTGGACGAAGCAGAAGCAATCTCGGACATTGAGCATCATCTATATTGTGGAGAAGGTGCGCCCTTGTCATACCATCAATCTCAAATTGCTTCAACCTCGCCGGCTATCATATCCCGCAGAGATTGTGTCTTATCTGTGGAGTAAAATCGAGGTTAAACGAATGCTGCATCATCTGAAAGAAAAGGGTGAGTCGTCTCATACGTTGAGTGGCTCTGACATCAGTCTCATCTTATGAAGGAATGTCCTCCTTTATCATGGAATATGTGGTCATGCGTGCTATTCCCGTTTTCCAGCTTCTGGTGGCGTTCGGGATATTGCTTGTGAGTCAGTTGTTTTCAAACATTGCTCAAGTGTAATTACCTCCCCCAGTGCGACGAGCTTCAGAGCAAGCAGCCGGCGACCCTTCTGTATTTCCTACGAGTTGCCCTTTCTCGGGAGTGAGAACACGGTACTACGAATCTAGTAAACCCGTGATCTGACGCTATGCAACCAGGCTTCAGATGCGCGAGAAGGTTCCCCAATACAATACCATAGATGATGCTGTCAACTTGATCAAAGTTTCAAAACGTATATTGATCCTTACTGGTGCAGGCATTAGTGTGTTACTTATTTCTTTGAAGTACTCAGATTTCTCTATCTAACGAAGCCTTTCATTATACTAGGTGTTTCATGTGGCATCCCCGACTTCCGATCAGAAAATGGACTGTATGCTAATTTGAAGGATAGAGGAGAGTATGAGTTGGACGATCCACAGCAGATGTTAGTCCTTCCACTCTGTGACCCTCGGTTATAACAATCCGCTGACATGTCTTGAAGGTTCGATATACAGTATTTCAAAGAAAATCCTTCTGGTGGGTATTTTTACTTTCTTCATTTGCAGATACTGAAGTTCGGCAAATCATTTTCTGTAGTATTTTTGTATGTCCTCTCACGTAAGGCATGATGCATCGCAGGCTGAGTTACAATCGACATAGTTCTTTTGCTAAACAAATATACCCCTCAAATTTTACCCCTTCTCCTTGTCACCGGTTCATCAAACTAATCGAGGACAAGGGCAAGGTACACAACGGTCCACCTCATCTCCGCAAACCATTTGATCGCTGACATTTGCTTCATAGCTTTTGCGTGTAAGTACACTTCTACATCATACATCATGGCCTCGCCGAACATCCCCGACCTCGTCTTCCCAGAACTACACGCAGAACATTGACACCTTGGAAACTCTCGCCGGTGTCCGCAATGTCCTTCAATGTCACGGCTCTTTCGCGACAGCCTCATGCCTCCACTGCCGCATGCGCATGCCGGGCAGCGAGATCGAGACGGAGATCATGAATGGCGAGGTCCCGCAGTGCAAGCAATGCAGCAACCTGTCCAGCGCACAAAAGAAGCCCGAGCGGTCTCGCAAACGGAAAGGTGGAAAACGCCACGACTACGAGGACGACTCAGACGAAGAGCAGTCTGGCTTTCCACCGTGGATTATCAAGGTAGGCGTCTTGATCGCAAAACATTCTCCTCGCACGACCAGTTAAATATAGCAATCTTCAAAATGCCCAGCCCGATATCACGTTTTTTGGTGAGAAACTCACAGACGCGTTTGACGATGCTCTGCACGTGGACAGGGGAGAGGTTGACCTGATCCTCGTCATTGGCACATCACTCAAGGTATCTCCTGTGTCAGAGATCCTGAGTGAGTCTGCATTCCATCGTCGCTGCAACTGAGCTGATAGTAGAACGCCCTTAGCAAACATGCCACACTCTGTGCCCCAGGTACGAACGACGCGCCGTTGCATCTTCCCGTTTATCACAGCTCTGCTCTGCACCAGATCCTTATCAACAAAACTCCTGTAAAACACATCAACCCGGACGTGCGTCACGATGTCCTTCCCTCCGTTGTTCCTCCCTGACCAAACGGGCCGTGAAAATGACTCGTCTTTCACAGATCATTCTCCTCGGTAATGCGGACCCCATCATTCAATATATCTGCGACTGTTTGCAGTGGACGCTGCCGCCCGTCACTCAGCGTAACGATGCGGTCGTTCCCGACACAGTGCACGTCCGGAGCTTCCTACAGCCCGCCATCACACCTTCAAATGACAGGAAACGGCCATTGGAAGACCCATCAATACTCGCTCCACAGCCACAGCGCGTAGGAAACAGGTGAGTCACGTCCCAGACAGTATCAATAGGTGGCAGATGCGCCGGGTCTGATGTTGTTTCGCTCCTCAGCCACATTTGGTTGTTCGAAGGCGCGGAAGGCGGGAAATGGCTTGAAACCCGCCAGGCTGAGGAGGCGGAGAGGAAACCTCAAGAGTCCCTCCCTTGGTCGCCGACAGAGTCGCCATCCACAACTACGTCTCCGCCTGCCGATGTACCCCGTGAAGCGAAGAAACCTCGCGTAGCGTGAAGAGGGGTACATCAACGGGTGTACATGCTCAACGGCGCAGGCGCAGACGGAAGGCGTTCTTGGACGCGCGGGATTGAGGGTCAAGGTAGTCTTCATAAAAACCGACAATGAACTCCTCGGCCTTGAACCCGAATCGGTTATACAAGAGCTGTGGAGGGTGCCACGCGTGTTTCAGTTAGGCATGCGTCACTCTGGTACAGCAGAAAGCAGGGATGACGCACCATTGCAGGGCTATTGGCTGAGACGTGCAGCGTTAGATCTTTGTGTGGATTCCGCGTAATGAGGTGGTAGAGCATCGATCTAGATTCGTTAGGAATAAGTAGGTGGTTAATGCGTATCATTTCCGTTAATTTTATTGTTTCGAGAATGAAGGAAGAGCGAGGCCTACGTTGCAATCTGGGCGTTCTCCCAACCTGCACGAACGGCAAGGTAGGTGATGTAGGTCTCCTGCGGAGAGCTGAGAAACGCACAACCGACAACCAAGCGCTTGTAGATCGCGATGATAGTCGCCCGCGATGGGTCATACTGTAAGGAATCAGTGACTGGTGGTCCATAACCTGATCAGCATCGAAGCAGTGATGATAGCACGTATATGTGCAACAGACCGTCAATGCCCATCCAGAACATACGATGCAAGAGATCATGGACTTGCGGCAGATGCTCCGCACGCAGAGTGACATATACGATAGCCGCGGGAGACATATCTGGTAGTTCTCTATCTGGACTGTGGAAGACCTCAGTCAGGAAGGGGGAGGGTTACGGGGCGTCGAATAGGTAAACGACAGACAATTTGACCGCATAGTGTGCCCGAACATCGTCCATCAGGTCCATCCACGGCGCGCGGGTCTCCCAGTCTACAGCAACCACATTTGATGCGTCTGAGAGGCTCACACCGTGCAGACGTGAAAGGAAGGAAAACTCGAAAGGAGTAGTTCTGATGGCGTAGAGGGCGTTGAGGGTCTGTGGATTGGCTGTTGGCGCACGGTAGGCAGGAGGTAGTGCGGTGAGTGTGGATGGGAGTGGCGGACGGAGGACAGGGTGTACGAGTCCATGGGTGCGACGGATCTGCAAAGCAATAAGACATGATGAATAATGAGACGACAGTAGGAGAAGGAGTGTCTGACACGTTGGAGCTTGAGTTTACGAAGAATGAGAGCGTCATTTGTGTCTAAACCATACTCTGACGAGACTCGTCTCTTTTCCAGGCGCTCGATGAACGTCTCCTCGTCCTGAGGAGACAACAGTAGGATCGGCCTCCCCTGAAATCTCTTTCAGGGCCCTGATCATAAAGGTTGAATCACAGGCCCACATATTCATCTCTTTCGCTCCTTGTCTCTATCTCTGTTTTTACCCGCATATAGTCTGACAACAGGGGGCCTATAATCTCGTCGAAAGACGAATCCATTGCCTCTTCGGCGGCGTAGCGCGACGTGAGCGCATCCTGGAGCGGCTGAATGGACAGTGTGAATGGCGACGACGATGTAGGCGATGGTGAAAGTTCCTTTTTGACTGTGAGCCTCAGAGCAGTTTTCCTGCGCTTGCTTCTCATCGTGCGTCTCTGAAAAAGGGAATCTCCAATCAACTCAGTGAGGATGAGCGACGCGACAATTCTCGTACACTGCGATGTTCGACATAGGCCCCATCATCCCCAGAGTCGCTGTGATCAGAGTCAGCTTCTACCATGATATCGAGGGCATTGTAACGTTCACAGGAATGACGGCGTGCGGTGCAGGTTGAGTTGCTTGGGCGCAAAACGACAGATTGGGTGCATCACGTGGTATAATCATTAATCGTTAATTGATTGAAGCGCTCTTGCGTCTGAACCACCTCAAGGCGTGTGGGACTGTGGGTGCTTATTGCCTTCCTTTTTGCAGATTCAGAAACCATAATGGGTCGCACTCTATGTCACTTGATCTATTCAGGTCTTCGCCAATACAATATCTAAGGTTCGGATGTCACCGCCGCGTCATGTACGGCTGAACATTAGCATCATGGCCCTAGTCAAAGGGTAAGTGTTTGCTCCAACCTGAATATCCCGCAAACCCTTTCCCATGACAGACTTATCCATACGTCATGTAAATCACCTTTTCAGCTGAGCTGATTGCAGTATCTGCTCTGAGAGGGGGCAACGTTGCCATCATCATAACGAACGCATTCATCGACGCCCAACATAGCACTTGACTGCCTCAAGCGGTATTCAACTCCAATCTTCCATAAGGCAGGACGTATATATTGAAGGCTCTACTCCAACGTCCCTATCGCGAGACATGTCTTCCGCCGACCCCAAACTCTTCCATCCAATCCGTGTTGGAAACATCAACCTCCAACACCGAATTGTATTGGCCCCGCTCACGCGTTGTCGCGCCAACGCAGAGCATGTACATGGTGACTACGCCGTGGATTACTACTCTCAGCGTGCGAGCGTCCCAGGCACGCTGCTCATTACAGAGGCCACATTTATCGCCCCTCAGGCAGGTGGAAACACGAACGTCCCTGGCATCTGGTCAGACGAGCAAGTCGAAGCTTGGAAGAAGGTTGGTGGAGATTTTTTTTTCTTTTTCTTTTACTGGAGCAAACGGGACGCAATGTTTCAACAGGTCACGGACGCAGTTCATGTCAAGGGCTCGTTCATATACCTTCAACTCTGGGCCCTCGGACGTGCAGCGGACCCCACGATCCTCGCCGAAGAGGACCCCTCTTTCCCATACGTGTCCTCTGGCAACATCCAGATGACCGGCGCCCCGTACCCCCCACGGCCGTTGACGATCGCAGAGGTCAAGGAATACGTCCAGCTGTACGCGACGGCCGCGTCCAACGCTGTCCATAGAGCAGGCTTCGACGGTGTCGAGATTCACAACGGGAACGGGTACCTTCCCGATCAATTTTTACAGGACACGGCGAATAACCGGACGGACGAGTACGGAGGGTCAATCGAGAACAGGGCTAGATTCTCGCTCGAGGTCGTCGACGCCGTTGCAAAAGCAGTGGGCGAAAAGGTCGTCGGCATCCGTTTCAGCCCATGGGCCCCCTTCCAAGGTGTGTACATACTGTAAATCGCCTGACACACACGCGGAGAGAGCAACCGCTTTTCTTCGCCAATACCGTGTCGTCTCATGCGCATGCTCGTGCTGATCAGAAGCAACTCGGCTCGGATCATGTACTCTACTGTCCGGAACCTAGATATGCGCATGGCGGATCCCATCCCCACATTCTCTCATCTGATCACCGCGATTCGCGACCGACACCCCGAGTTTGGCTACGTGCACCTCGTCGAGCCCCGTATCTCGGGTGACGGAGATAGCCACGTAGGGCACCCACACGATCTAGAATCGAACGACATCTTTCGGGCCTTGTGGGGCCCCAGACCGTACCTCACTGCCGGGGGGTACAATCGAAGCAGCGCCATCAAGGTGGCCGAAGAGAAGGGCGGCCTGATCGTATTTGGCAGGCATTTCCTCGCGAACGTGAGTACATACACACTTGTTCTGCTAGTGTTCTGCGATGCGGACTGCTGGACGCGCCGCGGCCATACGGAGAGGACTGGAAGAACCTCAGCTGATTCTTGTTGTCGTCTGATTTTCGCAATGTAGCCTGACCTCCCGCTGCGGTTGAGAAAGGACCTTCCTCTGACGCCATACCACCGCGAGACTTTCTATCACCCGAGGAATAGCCCGATTGGCTACACCGACTATCCATTCACCAAGGAAGAACCCCAGATCGCCGGCATCGCATAAATATGTGTGTATGTAAACATAAGAGGCTTCTTTGCTCTCCGCCCTTCCGTTACGATACATCTATTACTGTCGGTCTCTATCGATGCACGTAATGTTGACTGTAGCATGTCGGCTTCGTCGCATTCGAACAAATTGACAACACCCGACATTGGAGTCTTGACTGCAGTCTGAAATGAAAGCGGAGACAGAGCGAACATACCAAGTATAGCTGGCGATATGATTGCGATCAATATGATGTCAAGCAGCGCGACGAGCCAAAGTAATAATCACTGAATGACCACTGGCAGGCGATCCGAATAATATACTGTAGAGAAGAGAGGGCGCGACAGGGTATAGATCGTGAATGCAATGGCTACATCTGGTGGTGGCACAACATAGAGACTGAGCGAGACAAGGACGATGCAACGTACAGGTATACGTCCAAACGAAAAGCGATAGCTAATTTAGATACGAGGAAAGATGATGGAGGACATCGCAGCCGGAGATAAGCAGAAGAGCGAGGGTGAGGTGAGGCAATTTCGTGGCGAAAGCAAAGGAAGCTGATGAGCTTGATGAAGCGTGGGCAGTAAGGAACAATGATGTGTGATGTTCCTGGGACAAAATGAGATGGAAAACGTGCATGATGTCGTTGGCGTCGTCGGGAAGTCGCAAAGAGACGAGAAGATAGGAGGACTAAGGCCGGCCAAACGCACGCCCTCTCACCACGATGCCTGCGTCGAACGTGGAAACGTTCCACCCGTCCTCGAGCAAGGCCATCTTGATCGCTGGTGCAAGCACGCCAACGCGGTTGACGGAGTGGTTCCCCCGTCCCGTAATAAACTTTATCGGCTGTGCCGACGTAGCGCCGTGTTCTGTGAGTACCTCCTTGGCGATTGTGATAGCTTCGGCGACCGTCGTGCCGTGCAGGTCGACCGTGGTCCCCACTGCGGTTGTCACACTGCGCGAGACAAATTAAAGTCAGAACATGTCCGTTTTGTAACTTAGAACAGATGAACGAACGTTTTGGCTTCGACCCTGCTCCTCGCAGCTACTAATGCCTCCTTCCTCACCTGCTCCTGCAATTCCCTTGCCTAGAGGCACGCAAAAAGAAGGTAAATTTAGAAATGAATTCAAGCGAACATTCCGAGATCGGCGACAAAGACACTAGAGAATCAAAGAGTAAACGCACCTGTTCTGCGTAGAACATAGCTACCTCGCCTCCCTTATTCTTTGTATTGCCCTTCTGCCAAGCCCGCCCCGCCGAGAGAATCGCCTCGGCGCGGCGCACACGCAGCTCCTCCATGCGCCGCTTCTGTTTTTGCGCCTCTTTGCCATCTACACCGCCCAGCGCGCCCAACACTATCGCTACCTCCCTTGCGCCGGCGCGCATGCTGCCAACGTCACCCGGCATGGCTATTTGAGCGCGGGCTTTGGCGCGGGCTTTGGCGGAGACACCGTTGAGTGGGTTGTACGCGGGTATGGAGGCAACAAGGGGGTGGAGGCCTGGAAGCGGCTTCTTTTCCGGAACGGTATTCCATGCGTTAGACTGCGCCGGACGCGGGGGTGGTTCCAAGGAAGATGTCTCGATACTCATCATGGGTCTGTGCGCTCGGGATGCCGGCGCGGGGCGCTTTGCGCTCGGAGGACCCGAGGGGAGCTTCTGAACGTGTTTGGACGGGGGTATCGTTGGAAGGGGGATGGCGCTGTGGTAGGGCCCCATCGCCCATTCTGCTTCGGCGTCGGTATCGAGGTCACGGAGGAACCACGTGAGCTCCATCGCTTCGTCGGGCTGGGCTTGCGTTGCGCGGAGGCAAAGCGCGGCATCAGATAGGAGCCGGTCGCGTGCTTCGGCGTCGAGGAGATCGTAGTCTGGGGAAAGGCGCAGGAAATCATGCATGTTGAAGAGGAGGAGCGCGTTCTCAGGGATGATGTCGTCATCGGCACCCGCAATCGAGGTAAGGGCAGCACGGATAGCTGTAGCAGGTGTGGCGGATTCGGGGGAGTGAAAGAACGATTGAAAGAATGAAGGCGGGTGCGAGGGGACGAGGCTCGAGAGGTGAGAAGACAGGGAGGATACTTGGGTCCATGGATCGGGCGGCGGGAGGCTTGGAGCCATCGGTCCGCCGTTCTTTCGAGAAATGTCTGGGCGGACATGATGCTGCTGGCGAACATCGTTAAGCGCGATCGTTTTCCCCTTTCTTTTCTTCTTCGCTGCTTTTTTGCTCTGCACCGTCTCCCAGCTCTGACGCTCGTTTGTCCGAGGCGACAGATCGTCCAGATAATCGTCCAGTGCGTCTAACCCCCTCTCCTCCAAATCCTTGACATATTCCTTGCTAAGTAGCCCCTCGATGACGGTCACGATGTCGATGTCCTCGACATTATCGAAAGTGTATCCGGCTTCGTTTAGAGCAGCTTGCAGACGGTGCCGAGGTATACGCGGAAACGCAGCTTGCAGGAATCCGAGAGGAGACGTGAAGGATGCGACACTGGATGACTCCGATTTCGGTGAATTTGAGGTCGGAGATGTCGTCGCAGAGGTAGAGGTGGCCCCTGAGCTGGACGCGTCGTAAGGGCCACTGCTGCTTCTAACACTGTCGTCCGTGATTCGTATATCTGTGAATGCCTCGTTCAAACAAAAATCCTCCTCTTCAGCCTGCTGTTCGGCATCGGCAGCGAGGAGAGCGAGGCTGAGGCGTAGATCGTCGATCTCGCGTTTGGACGGCGGGTCCGAACCGAGGTCAGCGATAAACGCAGCGATGAGTGAAGTATCAAGCGCACAAAACTCCTCCTAAATTCATCGCACAGTGCGAGAGAACATGTTGGAATGCGGGTGGTAGGTGAGGAGCTCAACCTGAAGTTGATCAAAAAATTAAAGACAGTTAGAAACGGACCTGGAGTTCTTCCTGTAGTGCTAGCTTTGATTTCGCGACAGGCATGTCTGGCTGCAAATATAAGCAATAGGGTTCTGAATCTGAATCTTGGAAGAGGGGTAGTGTGTAGGGGCAAACAACCTGAGCGTTGTTGGATGCTTGCTCTGGTATAGCAATTTCGGAGCAGCAACGCACAGGTCGGCAGGGCGGCGGATGCCGATGGCCAACTGGCGGGTCAGTCTGGCGGTCAGTGGTTTTTGTTTCACGCTTGCCGCCTTGCAGGCTGTTGCCTTCGTTCAGACACGTTGAGCATGCATGCGAGGCTACACGACAACCAAGACTTCATTCGAAACGCACATAAAAGAGAAGAACAAAGAGATGATGGATACAAGTAAACTTCCTGCATGGTGACGTATCTACAACAAAGAGTTCGATAGGTGACTGGTGATGCTTTCGAAAGGATTTAGACAGTAAAACAACGGAATAGGCACATCACCTACTTGTTCTTGATCGACGAGTTGGGACACACTCACTCTCTGCCCCGGCGAAACTTATGTGGTTTGTGAATGAAGGCTAAACCTGAGAGGTGATCGGTGAAGGGAAGCGTGGTTTTGTGTATGAATGTTTCCATATAACGTTCCCATGAGACCCAGTAGAGCAAAGAGGATTCTGAACCTGTGCATAGCCGCGCAATCACAGACGCGCCGAGCGGGGCAAGCTGTAGTCGTCAAGGTGGGCCCAATTCCGATCCAACACGCCTATTGGTAAGGAGGTGTGCCAGGCCCTGCCAGAATGTGATGCCGATTCGACAACTAAGAATCAAGTCAACTCCGCCGATAGCCAACAAGCAGTGAAAATTCCCTAGAGCGTAGACAGTAGCGCCTGAAGATGGTCAGAGTCTGTGACAGATGTAGTTGCTATCCGGGGATTACAATAGAAAAGGCACTATGGTACATTAGTGGTACAACGTGTTTTCTCGAAGAGATTGGCGACGAAGTTGGCTCGTGTCCTCCTTGCGAAGCGCGAGTGGAGGTAGAAGGGTGGATGGTTGAGGTACGACTCGACACTTACGTCGGTATGTGAGTGGGTCTCGACATATGGGATGGGAAGTGTGAGTGCCTACGAGGAAGCCGCAACGGCGGCGCAAACTGGGGTTGTCCCCCCGGGCTATAACAGATGAAAAAGAATACCATGCGGGATGAAGATGCCATTCCCCTATGGGACAGTATGGACTCTCTCAATCAAAAGACATGCCAATGTCGAGCTTACCGTTCCAGGATAATCGGATAACAAATGTCGATCATATTTATTCTCTAAGGGGGCAAACGGTTATGAGCATATTCACGGTCCTGTGAGAGATTGGAGTTCGGGCATTTGCTTCGTGTCTGTGAAATCAAAGACAAGATGATCAGCAACCCGACATCAGCACCGCTCTGGCGTAAGGCGGTGAGCCATTGCCATGCAAGTATGGAAATTTCCGTGCTCACCTACAGATCAGAGCGCAAACATCTCCACCGCTGTCGACATCGTCGTAGGCGATTAAGAGCATTCCAGCCGCAGCTCCCGCCACTTCGCACGGCCCGCCACCGCCGTGACGCCGCACGGCGCTCCTAGCGACCGCCGAACGCCCGAATCGAGAATCACTTGTACTGACAAACCGCGCTGTCCACAGAATGTTGTTCTACCTTTCTCTTCTAGCACTTACAGCATTGCTGGTAATGCGTGCGTGTTTCCTCTCTTTTCCTCGGCTGTTGGCAGGAGACACTCACCCCCAGTTCTTCCTTCATTTCCCCTATTTTTATGCAATTCATACATGACCACGTAGTGTTGTACCGTTACCGCTCTACTCTTCCTTTTCCGCAGCGCTTGCGCTCCTTCCTCTCGCATCCCTCTTCAAACAACTATGCCCCTCTTTCAACTTTCGCAGACCAGGCTGCCGCAGGGATGTCGAGCTCTACATTTGACGTCGAGTCGGACAATATTAGGGAGGGGGATACGAGGATGGGGTTAGACGAACAGGGGACAAGAGAAATCATGGAGATCATGAGACGAGAAGGCGTGCAGTGAGCGACGTTGTCTTGTTATCCAAGTGCGTACTTACTGACGTACACTTCGAACATCGTCCATTATCACTCTAGATTCGACCAGGCGCGGCTCATCCGTCACAATCGAATCCTTGCGCAGAATGGCATAGACCCATCCGGTGAGAACGCACAACAACTATCGCCTGTAATATGCGCGCATTCAATGGTGATCCTGATCGTTGGGTTTCCTTTATGTATTCTATTTCAGGCATGCCGCTCGACGCGAAGGCTGTCACTCGGCTGTGATCCCATTCATCAACCCAGGGGCACTGCCGTGTTCGCCCTAGCCCATCGTGGCTCACTTTGGGCGTTAATCTCGACGTTTTCAACGTCATTCACACGTGTATCAACGATGCTCCCGCTATCTAGTACCGAAAGTATCCATGTACATGTTTTATTGTCGGGGCTTGGTTGGCTTCTCTCGTCTGACCCATCTTCCTGTCTGATCGCTCATTCATCTTGCTTTGGACATCCTGCACATATTTCCCTCATCAGATCTCACTGCTCCACTCATCTCGCAATCGTCTCTCCCTCACCTTGTCTCTCCGTCTCCTACTCGCTTTTTAGTCCCTTTATATCGCGTCATGACTGGATCAATGTACAACTACTCTGGTAAATCCCATGATATCAATGTGTCTTTTGGGTACGTTCGCAGGTTCCGACATGACGCGAGCTTCACTTATATTAGCGCGCGCGTGTTGGAAAATCGGGGTGGAAGCTTGTTAGCGTCTGCCAGAACGACCTTCTGATTGGCGCTGTACTTGAACGCCTGCAGAGGCGTCTCTAATCGGACGATCTCTGAGCCAATGCCGGTATGCATTATGGCACCTTCGCAATTTTCCCCTTTGCCCCCCACGTCATCGTCTAATACAATGAACGCCAAAGTTTGTGTGGTCGAGACTTCGGTCATGGTGAGTCTGATGTTTTCGTCGTGTCTCTCCAATGCATGAGCATCGTCCGCTCATTGTCTGCATTCAGATATTTGATTTCTGCCGGACATCTCCCCCGACACCTACGGCACCGTGAGACTCGGAGTCCGACTATGTAACAAGAATATTGAGTTTTTGATGGACATGAAGTGGTCTCGGTGATTCCGTACGAGTCGGTACGTTATCATCTGAATTAATAGCGCTCATATATGCTCATTGGCTGCCATATTTGCTTATTGGCTGCGATACGTCACGTTATAGCGTAGCGTTTGTCCTGCGCCACGAGCAATCGTGGACTCTATCTCTTTCACTTATGCCGAATAGAGCTACGCACGGGAAGAGGTCTTCTGACGCTCACAATCACAGTAAGTTACTTATCGCCGGATCTCCAGAACTCGAAGTTGCGAATCATTGACGAGCAGTATCTATGATAGCTTTTGGACTCTCAGCTCTGTGAGCCACCTACAAATCGCGGAATTCTTGACCATATATTAGCAACAATGCAAAATGCGAAGGGTCAAATTGCGGAAGCTCAAGCCCCGCGGGTGTGAATCTAAGCACACAAGTAAAATACCTTTTCTATCGCATATATGTAGTAATCCTGAGTCCTGATGCGCTTGGGCCGGAAGATAAGTGACAGTATCTAAGAAGCAGTAGTTCCGTCCGAGTGCTACTACGCGTCCCATCTTGGGCATTTATGAGCACTAACAATCTCCACGGGCGCAATCTTGAAATCCCGAGCTCATCGCTGTCGACGTCATTCGATCATAGCTGCTTCAGTGGCTAGAGTCAAGCCGCAGCACGGCAGAGACGCCACCACAGCAAAGCGAGGAAGTCGAGTGCTATATCAAAATCGTCTAGGTTTCTATCGTGTTTTCATCTCCAATCAGGGGAGGACCTCGGTCATGCATGCATGGTCGTTCTCTGGCTCTTTTAAGAACGATCACTGACTTGCCCAATCAGTCTAGTCATTTTTTTGGTCGATTAGTCGGTGTTGATCTGATGGCGATGCAACCGCGCCAAATTCGATGAATGCGCACAGATACTGCATCGCGGCTTCGGGTGGACGTAAGACGAAGATGTGCAAACACGTCCACCTTCCTGGCTCTTGCATAACAGCCTCCCTACGCGATAAGATCCGTCGGTAGCGCATGTCTGCCAGCGTCCAGATTTTCTCGCTCCGATATTGTTTACATATCAGGGGAGAACCGGTGGCAAGGTTCACCAGTTCGATGATGTATAAAGGTCCCCCAAGATCAGTGGAGACCCAACCTACATCGCCCTGTTCCAGCCAGAGGCCTTTACCAATTCTTGGCTGTGACCACCATATTCTATAGCTTCCTTCCTCACATCTGACCCATGGCCGTCATCGATTCATTTAAGGCCAACACCACTAGCGTCGATGTGAGCCTCTCGTGATCTCAGAGCAGACGGATTGATGCTAAAGCATTGTTGTTGACAGTTCCAATGGCCTGTTGAGGTCACTGGTCTCGAGCGTATCATGCTCTCTGCCCATGGCGATTTGCAACGACTACTCAGGTACTTACGTCGATCAGATGTTTCTATTCGGTTCTGATCAAACGCCCATCTAGCGCATTTTTTGCTCGCACCATCACTATCAAGACCATCTACTCGCATACATCTCCTAGAACCCATCCCGCTTCCCTCGAAGAGCCCCTCACACAAAGGCGAGAGGTTCATCTCGTCTGCAACCGCAAGACCGTATGTGTTGCCACTTCAACAGTCACGATCACGACGCCACACTGCGAGCGCCTCTTCCTCGACGAGAAGTTCGCGATCGGCCAGATGTTCCGCAAGGTAGGCAAGGTCCCCGAGTTCGCGCTCCTCAACTGCGGCCTTGAAGATGCCGAGGGTGACGTACAGAAGCTCTGGCGGCGCTATATCTTGGCGATGGACGGCTTCGAATGCGACATCACGGAGGTGTTCCCTGACAGGGACATGTTCGTTCGAGACTCGTGGATTGAAGAGGGCATCACCGGGGATGTCGGTGTGGAGGAGGGCAAGCAGCGATATGCTGCTGCACAAACTTCCTCTCACGTCTCAGTTGGCGCATGAGCGCGCGACTGATACATCACGCCACTCGCACCACAGAAACCCACTTTCGGGTTTCACTCCGTTTCCAGCATCTTACTCGTTTGTATATGGATATTGTACTTCTGTCAGTACCGACCCGCCTCACTCCGGTGCACTTTTCTCGCTCCTTGAGCGACACACGTGATCACTGATATCTAGCACGTGCACATATTGGGGCCGCGTTTCGCACACCATCTTCTTTCCTTCCTGTCTCTTGTTCGTCCAGTCTCGTTCAATCAGTTGTACTATAATACCGCATAGATTTATTTCCTGTTTTCTCACTTGTCGCAGCTCTCCGTATGCAATATGCCGATTCATTCTCGTAACTCGTTCCAAGCGCTGGTTTCGCCCTGCGTGCTACCGTCTAGAACAATCAATGACACAAAAAATGTATTCTTCAATGTTTCGGCTCTATGTCTCGGACACTCACTAGCTGTTGCATCAAAAAACCAGCGTCACCTCCCCACGGAAATCCTCGATCGGATAGTCCAGGAACAGCTCCAGTCCTCTGATCATGCCTTTTCGTCCACCGCAAACCTTAGCCTCGCTTCGCACAAGATGCGCCAAATCGTTTTCCGGCGTTATTTCTCGTCCATGACGGTGACAAGAAACAGGGATATAGAGAGGCTTGGACATCTGTCTGAATGGTCTCATCATCTACGGTATGTGATATGATGCATATATGCGCCCATATGCGCATGTTTTGCTCAACATGCTGCGTAGCCGCCTCACGACAACCTCGTTGATACTAGTCACAAAATCACTCACGCTGACGAACATGCACCTCACATTTCTTGAGATTTCCTTTCATACGGAGACTATATCGTCGCTTCGCACTCGTACCCTTCTTCTCTCCGGACAGCTTCCAAGCACTCTTATTAGTTTAAGACTCACCTGTTTGCCTAATATCACCAAGAAGCTTCTGACTATGATAGCGGAGTCCTGCAGGAAACTCGAAAGGCTTGATCTGGTAGTCTGCGACGGGCTTGAATTGGGATGTTGCTCGAGCTGCCTTGAAAGCACAGCTAGTCAAATCGTGCACTCGCCCATCGGGAACGGATTTGGAAACTATGAGGAATTGATGGTAAGTACTGGTTTCACGGAGCGACACGGTGAATGGATTGCTTGACCTGTGTCTCCGGTATAGGCGTATTACGCTGGACCTCTGAAAGGCCTTCGGTACTTGCGCCATCTTTCCTTGGGTATCTTCCTATCGCACCACATGGTCTTGGATAGGCATTTTGGGGATCACCATCAAGATCCCATAAACGTTGACTGTGCATTACAGTCACGCGACAGTGACTGGGCTTCTCTTGAGGACGAGTATGCGACCGCCCTAGAATCCTCGAACGTCCTGAGCCAAAGTAGGATGGCGTTCCACAACCCCTCGACGAAAACAGCCAGCACAAGCAAAGGACCCAGCTTCTACGAGGCTCAAAAGCATACGACTGGCGAGCCATCGACCGCTTGTAGCGCCTGCGCTGCCGCCAACCACAGCATACGGCAAGTCGAGCTCTTCGCATCCCTCAGGATAGCACAGCAGTTGCCACGTCTGGAGAACATCCGGTGGGCATCATGGTTCACTGCGTCCGTTGAGAGTGTTCGGCGGCCCCCGTGGGTAACAGTCTGGATATCGAAAAAGGACGATGGAGGGATTAAAGCGGCAAGAAAGCCACAGTCACCAATTCGTGGATAGTTTATCAGATGGACTGCTTCACATGTATATTATAGCCGATGATTAGACGCTGAAGATGCAGTCTGGCGCAGGCCATTTCCAAGACTCTATAGTGCAGAGATATGATAGTCACGCCTCGAGTCATGTATCTTTTGTCGCTTACGGTTGATTCATGACTGCCTGTAGTCGTTCTACGGACATGTGCCTGTGAATACACAAATCCTCGCCACTTCGCCTTTTCATCTCTCGGAGGATGATAGTAGTTGGAGTTGCGGCCCGTGATAGGGACACTGCAGCTAGATGTCAAACCGTCGCCAATATTGCTGCGTCAAACAGAGATTCCACATTAGCGAGACGATGCAAGGCCTCAACAGAAAAATGCGATATACACATGTCCAAAACCACTGCAGGTCTGTCCACATGCACGTCCTTGTGCCGTGCCAACGTGTTTGTGAACAGTGATTGAGACAAACGCTATGATTAAGGTAGCCAAAGGGGCGGACTTTGAACCGTCGAATGCCACCCGAGGTGATGTCCTTTGGTCCAATGCCACAAGACAACTGGGAACTCATTAAAAGCCCATCGCTCAAGTCCGACTCACCTCACTCGCATGAGCATCCTCTAGGGCACCCTTCCTCCTACGGTCGTCGCATCCACTCTCACCAGCATGGACGCCCCCGTCTTCTCAGTCCCCCAAGGCAATGGTCCCGCCAAGCATTTCAAAAGCCGCGACTTCGAGTCAATGACGGACGAAGAGAAGAAAGATGAGTTTGCAAGGCTCTTCTATTTCTTCTCCAAGATCACGATAGCACAAGACGAAGCGCAAGACGTAGAGCACAAGACGAATTCTACTTCCGATAAAAAGGTTGGTGAGGAGGTAGTCCCGAGGGACCTCGCACCTCTGCTGAAGAAACTGGCCGCCGCCCATGGAAAAGGTACCACGTCTCATGATGAGGAGAAGGTTGATACCGACTCTGACGGCGACGAGCGCGAGAGAAAGAAGAGTTCACGTCATAGCAAGCGCTATCCCTTCACCTTCAAGATGCTTCTGCACAAGTTGTACACCCTTGATGATTGGGCGGTGAAAATCAACGAGGTTATCACAGAGAGTAAAGCACAGTACCTCTCCATGAGCGACCCGGAGTACGGGAGCGTGCCCTCGTCGCCAGCCACCCCTGATTCGGCCTTCCTCTTACCCAATGGTTCCCCTACAAAGAAGAGATTCCGGGACATGTCCAACGTTTATTCCGGTGCTCCAGCGACTTCGCCACCTACTCCTCGCGGGTTCAAAAGACGCATCATCAACCGGCGGTGTTCAATAGGCGAGAACGAAGAAGAGGACAACGCGGCCCGCGCGAGAGGGTGGATTTATGAGTTAGCAGTCGATATCGAGAATATGGGCGAGGGAGAGTGGAGCGATGAAGGGGAGCCGAGACGCAAGAAGGTGATCCCCTTTGTGCTGCCGAGAACGATACAGTCCAGGAAAGTCCATACTCAGCAGAGGGACCAGGAGGGTTCGGTGATCCCGCCAGATGACAAGAAGGTAGATGTGGAAAACGAGAAAGTCGATGAGAGGAAGCAAGAGGGGATAAAGGAGATCCAGACCCAGCTGAAGCAGACGCCAGAGGAGCGGAGGGGTAGGCAACGCGAGAGGAATTTTGTAGATCGAAAGTTCAAGGTGAGGGATAGGATGACCAGCCCGATGAGGACCAATATGACTCGGCGAGCATTTGTGTAAACCACCTGTATGTATTGACGATCAACCATATGAACAGCAAGGTGCGTTCATGCTTCCGCTCTGATCGATGGCCCCTGCTTATCACTGACTGCGCCCTTCGCCAACAGACGCCGTGTCATGCCTCCAATAACTATATGTACCTTTATGAACACCTATGAACCATTCATTCAGTTTTAATACTAGTATATTTAGAATTAATGCATTGATTTTACCTTTCATAGCATATTGGTGTCCTATCAGTGTGCTCAAAAGCCGATTTTGTGTTTGACGACTCGTGCTCAGATGAGCAAAGCTGGAACCGGAGACTTTTTAAAGATACGATCAAAACACTGGTACAACGCACTGAGTTATACTATCAGCGATATGCGATACATCGAGACTGATCGTTCCGCGCCAGGACTCACAATGGCCAGTGACCGAAAGTGGGAGCAGAGAAGGGCAGAGGAAGTTAGACGGAGTCAGCAAAGTGGGAGATACCGACGGCTGTCCGTGTCTGAGCTTTGCCGACTCACTGCCCACTCCCACTGTCAACGTCTTTGTCAACAACACTGCGACCACCGAAGTCGTAGAGGCTGCCCTTCACCGTGCCGGGGTTCGCGCGCTCGTCAGCCTAGCAGCAAGATTCAGAGGCAGCACAGCCATGCTCACTGCAATTTACTGCATCGCACTATTGCAGACTCTGACGCTGGCAGCCCTTTGTAGACAGTTGGCTCCGTGACGGGCCAATGCGATGAGAGCTGGGTATGTATTGGCGTATTGGGTTGCTCACTCTGAAACGTGCTCATTTATTCGTGTCCACAGGAGATTGAATTGATCTTTTTAGACTTGATCGTTCGTAGGCTCATCGCGGTTTTGGTGCATTAGGTATGCGCTACTGTTTATGAGAACAACACCATGTAAAGCAATTCTTTCCACCAAGCTCAGCGTAACCCTCCTCCCCAAGCTTGCTTCTTGTACACTCGAAACCAAGGAACAAATACCGAAACTCCTAGCCTATTCTTCCGAACGATTCCGAACGAGCGAAATGCTGTAACTTTATCTTCGGGCTATCCGCTGGTATCTACATCCGAGATCCAGGAGAGCCCTTCGATACAGTTCGGTAACGACTGGGAATCTTGGAGCCGTTTGCGGTGCAATCTGCCTCAGCCTCTTATCACGACAGGCAGATTGGTCCCTATTAGTCTGCGTTTGCGGATAGTAGCCGGCTTTTCTCTTAAAGCAGCTGCATCAGGCGATCATCATCTGGGATGTTAGAGATCTAAGGCCGCTTGACGCCACTTTCACCGATGAACGGGTAGAGGGCTTCACGGACGAGGCTATACTGGGATCGTTGGTATACCATCTAGACTTAGGGCCACGACCTATTTCAAAATTGATAATTTGATCTTTTAAGGGACGATGACGAAGTTCTCCTTGCGGAAGATGATGATGATCTCGTCATGGCTAGGGATGCTTGCCAGTCTTGCTTGAATCATTCTTGGGGCTTCATGTATTGGCTCAACTGGAATCTTTTGGATGACTAGAGAATTCGGGCTTGTGCGCCACTGCTGGTTGAAACAAACACTCGACGCCCCGGTGATACGTCACTCGGAGCTGTTCTCGCGCGATTGTTGAGTTCGTGGATCGTTGCGCTTGGCTATTTCGGTCGCTGTTAGAGGGCGATTTCTGTCGTTGACTTCTAAGCTTCCCTTCCTGACCTGTACGTTTCAGCCCTGGTGCGTACCGCGGACTCCTCATCCTTGAAAAGCCGATGGTGCGTTTTCTGACGATACGAAGATACACGGTCGCTTAACTACGTCGAGCTTTGACATAAATTTATCATCGACTCCGTGACCCCACTGCGCTCACAGACATAAATGTTCGAACGAGCGGCGATAGTCAACATCTCTGACCTTAATGTCTCCACGTCACTATTATCCTCCAGTAATACGAGAACCTCAGCACGCCAATCTACAGCAAATCACTGGACGGCGAATGCTCGAAGAACGCTCGTATTTACTATGCATCGAATAATCTTGAATAGCGTCATTCGCGATATGAATCCAAAAACATGGTTCTATTGTGCAAACTTTGAAGATTTGCTAGACGACAGCAGGTATAGGGACAATGATGAATACAATAAGAATACAGTGTCCAAGGACATCTAATAGACGACACCCGACAGAACTATGAACGCTCGCCACGTAACCGCCGAGCGAGCGCGAGATCCTTGGGCTGAATAGTGACGCGCTTTGCGTGGATGGCTGCAAGGTTGGTGTCTTCAAAGAGAGAGACGAGGTAAGCCTCGGCAGCTTCCTGAAGTGCCATGACGGCGGAGGACTGGAAGCGCAGGTCGGTCTGGTGGCATGCATAGATGAGCTCACAACCAATGAGATAAGTCCACAAGGAGACATACCTTAAAGTCCTGTGCAATTTCACGGACGAGACGTTGGAAGGGAAGTTTGCGGATGAGGAGCTCCGTCGACTTTTGGTAGCGACGAATTTCACGGAGGGCGACTGTTCCGGGGCGGAAACGATGAGGCTTCTTCACACCACCAGTTGCCTGTGACGTGGAAGTGAGCACAGTAGATTGAATATCGCTCCAAAGGCTAATTACCGTTGCGGCTGTCTTGCGGGCTGACGATTTGGCTGCGAGTTGCTTACGGGGTGCCTTGCCTAAGGAGGATGAGGCTAATGAAGCTGAAAAGTAATAACATGATGCTTACCACCGGTGGACTTGCGAGCGGTCTGTTTGGTACGAGCCATTGAAGATGAGTGTCTGTAAGGGCGAAAGGGACGAAGAGGTGATAGTAGTATGGATGAGCGAGAGGGCAGAGGTAGGCCGGGAAGGGGCCGAGCACAAGCCTTATAATGATTTTTGGAATGAGTGCGATCACGTGCAGTCAACAGACGCGTTAGCGCGTCGCGTTCAATCAACAAGCACAGCCACACTTATTGCCTATATAAGCACCGTGCCTGTTGATCCTCTTCCCAAACCGCTCCATTGACTTCGCTACAAACTCTTACTTCATCCCCCTTTACCTTCAACAACACTTATTTGAATCATGTCTGGACGTGGAAAAGGTGGAAAGGTGCGCCTCTCGGGTTCGACACGTCGGTCATTCTTAATTCTGATTGTTGACTCGATTTAGGGACTCGGAAAGGGTGGCGCCAAGCGTCATCGTAAAATCCTTCGCGACAACATCCAGGGTGCGCATTCTGAATTTATCTGTTGTGATGGGTTTACCGACCTCATCTAGGTATCACAAAGCCCGCCATTCGCCGTCTCGCCCGCCGTGGCGGTGTGAAGCGTATCTCAGGTCTCATCTACGAGGAGACGCGTGGTGTTCTCAAAATCTTCCTTGAGAATGTACGTCAATCTCATGTCTCCGTCTCTAGCTCTCGTTGACATTCCTCCGTCATCGTAGGTTATCCGTGACTCAGTAACTTACACGGAGCACGCCAAGCGGAAGACCGTTACCGCACTCGACGTCGTCTATGCTTTGAAGCGCTCAGGGCGGACGCTGTACGGTTTCGGTGCATGAGGGTATCTGTCGAGGAGGCTGTTGGGTTCATATACTCTTGTATCATTATTATTTTATGTTCCAGCTCTAGTTCATCTCTGCATTTTATAAACAGTTTCACGCATAGTCATTTGACTCATCTGTCATAAAGGAGTGTGCCATTAAATTATCTTGAAATTATGATGGACCTGGTTTTGTTCCAGATTGGTTCCCTGTCTAGGGGGCGACGCGAGGAGCTCACGTGATATTCCGTTGTAAAATGTCATCCTTTTTTCGATATCGCGACTGCCGAGATCGTCGATTCATTCCGCCTGAATCCAGGTGCTAGCTCGGCGCAGAAATGAGTCCATCAAGGAATTGAAGGCACAGAGCCGAGTCAAATCGCGGCGATGAAGTCAGCGTACACACCCAGATTTGCGCATTCCATTGAGCAACCTGGTTCGGGAACTCATACAGAGGATGTGATGATTCGGGATGACTGAACACGTATATATGCGGTGATAGTGGAACATCGGGGGTGAGAGCGACTCACATGTCAAAAGCCAAAGCCATATCCGACGTGGAGATGTACGCAGGCTAGCGCAGGGGTGTCGTGAGCTTTTTCAATGCCGTGGCTCAACCGCGCGCTCACAGCAAGGCGCTGCTTTCTTTGCTCGCCCCATATGGGATATGAATCCGAGAAAACATCCAAGTCCACACGGCCATACAGACTGTTGTGAAATAGTCACCCGATAGACATCGTGTCGTACTGCAGCGGGAGTTTTCAATAGCTTCAATGCGCAGATGATAAAGAGAAGCGCTCGATTTGCCTCAGTCACATACATACCTCAGTCACATGCATACCTTACCTTGATGTCCTACTAGCAGCCTGTGAGCTTGAGATCGACGTACTATACTTACGAAGACCATAGTCGAATCGCCTTGAGGATGGTTTCTATAATCAACCCACGAGTGTTAGGTTCGGGTTGTCCTAGGCGTAACATCAAGATAGGCCATAGAGGGTTTAAGACCTCTATCGCGGACCGCAGACTCAAGAGGAGACAAGATACCTGCGCGTCGAGAGGAAAGTGATGCACTGACTTATCAAAGACAAAACCTGGAGCTGGAGCTGTCATTGATGTGTTGCATTGCACCCAAGGTCTATCTTCTTCAGGAAGACTCGTGAGCCTTCGAATGTGGTCGTCGTCATCGCTGCTGACTGAAGCTCCCTGGCTAGGTAGACATGATAGCGAGCCTCGGAGATATCGAAGATCTCGAAAAAATGACAAAAATGATGATGTTGCGAGGATGACAGCTGTCGCGAGTATTGGCGCCCGCGACACAATTCTTTTGACCATCTCAGTCGAGCGATTTATGGTCCTCGGTCCTGAGTCGATCTTTGGTTTCGGTCGCTCAAGCAAGCAATTAACGAACGGTGCGCACTCACCGCGTAGGAAGTTCGAGTATGGATGGACATGAATGGAGAAAATGAGTTCGGATCCATTATCGAAACCTGTGTTCAGCCAGTCTGCAAAACTCCAAGGGTTGGATAGCTTGACGCTCGTTGTATGAAACTTGTCTCATTGCATCGGCCGGCTGCGCGATGGCCCAAGGCTGACCGACAGCGCACCATACACATAATCTTGAAAAAGTCTTATTGGTCAGTCAATGGTCAGTCGTCTCCGTACAGGGAGGAAAATCGCCTGCAGTCGCGTAAGTCCGTCGGTGATACAACAATGGCAGCGCTCGCGACGCGTCGTCCGCTATCCCCTCGGCCGACGGCACCTCCTCCACGCGTATGACTCGCGCGATAAACAACTCCGACGCGACCCCGTCGCCTCTGTCCTCTTCCGCTTCCACCTGATCCGAATGGCCCGAAGAGCCGCTCCCCAGCGCATCTAAATCGTGTAATGGCCATGCACTGCCAACGAGGCGACATGAAAGGGCTCCTAGACTGCCGTGTATCGTGGGAAGGCCTTCTTTCGTCGAAGACCACTGCAACGCCTCAAAAGGGCGGGGATGTAGATCCGGACGAGAAAATATTCGTGCAGTAGATGATTGGGGTGCAGAGAGGAGGTTGATGCAGAGGGGGGCATTTAAAGCTGAGGATAGAGCTGTTGCGGTGCGGGATGGGACGCGAAGAGAGAACGCGACGAGCGGGTATGGAGACATAGATATCGACGTGAAAGACGAGAGAGTCGCGCCATGGAACGTCTGAGACGCTGATGAGGCGAGCAGAGACGGTGGTTGAGATGACGGCATGAAGCACGTCACAACGGCAACAGGCTGGGCTGTCTCGCGGAGAAGAGCACGTATTCGGTTATGGAGTTTGGGCGCGGGAGCAGAGTTCGACAGATGGGTAGATGAAAACCGCCTCGAAATACGAACGCATGGTGATCTCGTGGAATTGCGGAGTCGGGAGACAGAAATGTTCATAGCCCAAGCTACGAGTTTGTATACCCCACAGATGAATAAGCAGGCGTTGAGACGCTCAGTTTGGCCTTGTTAGGATCTAAGGGTGTTAGACAACAAGCACAAGCAGAGCAGATAGCGAATGATCTTTCAGCCGGTGGTTTCCGCTGATGTGATCCGTAAATGCGGCGATCAATGTCATCTTATGCCGCCGGTTCAGTTTTCATTGGTACCAGTCTGTACCAGTCTGGTACCAGACCATGCCAGAACATGCCCTGCGACTGCCCTGCGTTGTTCTTTTTGATTTGTACTGGTAGCCCATTTCGGCGCACTTGGTTGACATTTTGGGCTGTCCTCATGAACGCGAGTAGCGCCTGCAAAGGCTGCGGCCGGATCAGGAGAGCCGGAAGGGTCAAACGGAAGTCCAAAAAAACAGCCTGCTCAAACAATAACCGAATCGATCATTACTCTTTATAAATCGCGGCTACTGGTCCGCGCAATGCCCGGCCTGCGTCTTCGAGTCATTCCCCCATCTCACAGCTTTCCGCCGCCGAGGATTCATCTCGTTCCCCTTGAATCGAGAGCACCAGGATGGCTGTGACGATGAACGAGAATGCGAACAGCAGCGAGCACACTCTCGCAGTTGGTCCATCTCCCCATGTGGCCGGGCTTGCGGTTCGGAGTCTGGATCAGCTAACAGACCTTGTTGTCGATCCTAGAGTGCGGCTCGAGACTCGGCCAGATGCTGAGGAGCTCGACGAGGGACTGGTGACGCAGTTGAGCGATGTCCTCCATCACAAGGGGCACCATTATAAGTCTCACGAGTCTTCGCAGTTGGAGAAAGGGTCTGTGGAAGGCGAGAAGCAGGAGATTTTTTATGTAAGTACACTCCAGCACGCATTTCCCTCAGTGTATTCGTACCGCCCTCCGTTATCCAATTTCTATGGGAGTATTGGTCTATTTGGTGGCTTCCCGCGAGGTTCTGTTGTGCAGCTTTCTCATCCTCGTATCATTCTAGGTCGAGTTTGAGCCAGATGACAAGCGGAATCCCGCCAACTATACTCCGAGAAGGAAATGGGCTATCACTCTTACAGCTTGCGCATTCACGCTTCTTTCTTGTAAGTTTTTTCGCCATGCTCCATCCGCATATCGACAGGATCCTCAATTTTCGACAGCTACCGCGGCAGCGACGTACAACATGGGGTTCGATTCCATGACACGAGACCTCAACTGCACCGAATTCCAAGCCACGATAGGGCTTAGTGTCTACTGTCTCGGTTTCGGAATTGTCCCCCTCGTGACCGCGTCCTTCAGCGAAGAGTTCGGCCGACACCCACTCTACATTGTCTCCTGTTTCGGATTCATGATGATGCACATCATGGCCGCACTGTACGTCATCTCTCCCAATTTTGTCATCTGTTGTTCTCTAACCTCGAGCGCCAGTTCTAACAACATTCAGACCGTCATTATTGCTCGGTTCTTGGGTGGGGCGTTCGGTTCGACGGGGTCGACAATGGTGGGCGGATCTATCGCGGATATATTTGCTCCTCATGAGTATGTACCATCTCTCTCAAGGCATCTCGGCATGCACTATCTCGGTCCGTTCACGCGAGATAGCTGGCGCTGATGGGGATTTTTATCGCAGGCGCGGTGTTCCCATGTCCATTTTCTCTGTCACTGCTATCGGAGGCACCGGTATCGGCCCTGTTGCTGCTGGCTGGATAGCAGCGAACCCCCACTTGCAGTGGCGCTGGATACAATGGATACACGCCATGTACGTACCTACGACGTCATCTCCTACATGTGCTTTTTTGGGAGCTGAACTACTCGGGATATAGCGCGACAGGAGTTTTGTTCATTATCATCTTCGTGGCCATGAAGGAAACCCGGGCGACAGTGATATTGACGCGCCTGGCGAAGAAGTTACGGAAGGACACGAATGACCACCGTTACCGTGCGCGCGCCGAGGATGAATCGGCGAGCTTGAAAACATTGATATATATCTCTTGCACGAGACCACTCTGTAAGTCTTCATCAGCAAGAAAGATGTTATTGCTGACGTCGATTTCTAAATAAATAGATTTGCTCTTGTCAGAGCCAGTCTGCATGAGCTGTAGCGTGAGTCAAATCAGCTAAGAGTGCTTCGCATGTTCACTGAATCCCTCCCTCATAGTTGTGGGTAGGATTTGCTTGGGGTGTTTTGTACTGCATGATAGAGTGAGTCCCATGAGAACAATTTTCTTATCATTGTTTATTTTCGAATGTGTAGATCGATTGCGCCTGTCTTCCGCACGCTTCATGGGTTTACTATCGGAGAGATTGGAACCGTATTTGCATCCGTCATGTCTGTCCATTCTCACCGTTCTCGACTGGCTTGGTAGACTGACTGCTTCCCGTCAGTGTTGGGACGTTCCTTGGGTTCCTGAGCAACCTTCATCAGGAACGTCTGTATCAGTAGGTTACTCTCCTCTGTCTTGCCCACGAACAGACTCTGATGGCTCTGATCAGGCGAAACGTAGGAAAGCGTGGTCCCGAAGCACGATTATACTGGCCGTGCATCGCAGCGGTTATCTTCCCCGTAGGAATGTTCATCTATGCATGGACCACATTTTCGAAAGTCCACTGGATAGCCCTGGTCATCGGCTTGGTCGTGCGTTTGCGTCCCATCAATGATGTACCATCACGTGCTGACATACAACCGCAGTTGATCTTCTGGGCGATCTATATCATCTACCTTGCCGTGTTTACTTACCTAGCTGATTGGTAAGTGCTTTGACCGCTACTTGCATCGCTACGTCGCCCATCGTTCGCTTCTCGTCGTAGTTATGGCCCATTCGCTTCATCGAGTCTTGCAGGCCAGAGTCTTTGTCGTAAGTGGTTTGACGGCGACCTCTCTCGATTGACGTGGTCAGAACTGATCATGTTTTACTGTTCTGCAGGTAACCTCATGGGCATGGCTTTCCCGCTATTTACGCAGCAGATGTTCAACAAGCTGACATACAAATGGGCTAACACATTGTTCGGATGCATCGCTGTCGTTATGATCCCGATCCCCATCGTACGTTGATGTGGCAAGTCGCTCTGGATTATTGGTGAATTGACATTGACATGACAGATCCTGTTCACCTACGGACCCAAAATCCGTGCTCGGAGCAAATTCTCGAGGGTGGCCATGAAGAAATAATCATGGCACCAATTGGGGCACCGCAGCGCATACGGACCGATTTGAGGAGACGAAACTTTATTGATGACCATGCCAGCCCAGCTGCGCTGAGCGCTGACGTCTCCAACTCCTTGGAACGCTACGATCTCACGTATAGACAACTATAGAGCTAAATTACGACCACTACGCTAATAATAGCAAGTTCTGTTTTCCTATGGTGGTCCGGGCGTACTCAGACTGCATTGGACTTGAACCTCTCTATCGAGCCCCGACAAGGCTAGCGCGGCAGGGGTGAATTGATTCCTCAAAAATCAGATATACATGGAACATTTTCTGGTTGGAGTATCTTACAGTAGGGTGACGATGAATGTGCGAAGATGAAAAACGATGAGAATGCAAGGAGAAGAAAGAGGGCTGCCGGTATCGCCACTCGTTCGTCTGGGATTTCTGTCACGTGCTTATCTGGGGCGCTGGTAATTTAGAGACGCGACTGAACCTCTACCACCACCACCAGGGTGTGCACCGTGCTCTTTCATCGCTCTCCTCTCCCATCGACGTCCACGAACTGCCCTTTCACCATGCCATTCAATTTCACGTTTAATCTACCCCTTCCCGGGATCACCAATCCTTTTTCCTCACCTTCACAACCTCAGCCAGACGCTTCAGGCTCGTGCCCACCCGCTCAAACTCCAGACGTTCGTCCGCTCCGCCGCCGGCCCTCATCTGGTCGGTTTTCATCGCCGGAACCTCTGAGCAGAAAGAGAGGATGGGTGCCTGCCACTGCGGAGCCTAGCCTTGCCACCGCCGTCAATGCTTCCTCCAATGGGTACCTCGACACCCCTGCAAAGTATCGCGAAATGGTATATGGGAACGGCAATGGGAACGAAATTGAGGAAATGGCCGCCGGTGAGTACTCCGGACGTGTGTCACTCGGCCTGTTACATACATAAATAAACGGGCGGTTCGCCTCTGGCCCGTGGACGGACATGCCGCATACACGTGCCCCCCGCGCATGGAACGCTCATGTCGTCCCTATGCCTGCGATGTATTTTCCTCCCATTGTTATATACTCTGCTCATGTTTTGGGTAGCGCTCATGCTGATGGCTTTCTCTCTTCATGTTTTCGTAGACCTCCCGCCTGCCAAGCGTCGTCGTACGCTTGCAGGCACTATTGTATCCACCGCTGTGAGCGCTGCCCTCATCGGGACAGCTGTAGGCCTCACTGTCTATCGTTTGTGAGGGATATTATTATCCTCTTTAATGGATCCTGGGTTACTGATGAAGGTTGGAGTCTCAGATGGAGGGATCGGGGCAGGGAACCCGAGCTGGCACCTCCACCTTACGAACAAGGCAACTGGGTGGATCCTGATGTATGTGATGCACATCGTCAGCCGCTCTAACCAAACCTGACGTCCTGTACAGCCTCGGGAAGGTCAGCCCCCTGTAGCAATCACCCCTCCGACTCCTCGTGCAAAGAGGAATCGCCACATTCCAGCTTCGTCGAGCCGGAAGACGCTCACACGCCATCGTCGGCCACGTACCCGCGTCCCAGTCACCATCACACCTTCTCACGATGTATCTCCTCCGAGCTTTCAACCACAGCCTGAATTTAGCTTCAATGAGGTGGAGGAAGTGGAGGACGTCGTCGAGGACAAGGTAAATTCTATCACCTGCCCTACTGTATTGCATTTGAATGAAGTGTTGTAGATGGACTGGATGGGTGATCGGCTTGCGCAACTCATCGAAGAGGGAAAGAAAGCCCTTGGCAAGGAGGTAGTCGTGATGAGTGACGCGCAGGAAGACGAGGTGGACGATGGCAGTGGAGCTTGGGAAGAAGAGGCAGGCCCGAGCACGAGCTCTCGGCGAGGGTCATTCCGTCGCAACAAGCGACCCCAAAACTTAGGCCTCCCCTCTTCGTTTTCTTCGTACATATCTCCTCCACCAAGTGTCTCCCCACGTCGGTCACGCTTCGACACACGCAGTTCTCCGGGATACGTTACAGCTGCGCTGTCCGTCCCTGATTCATTCTCTCTCGGACCTCAGCGCGGTGCATCGGTAGATTCAATGCACTCCTACGGAAGCCTCCACGAAGACAAGAGCCAACTACACAGTCCCGAGCTCAGGGACACTATGGAGCGCGCGCGCGCAGCATATCTGCGGAATAGGTCATGAATCTCACTCAGACTCGGATCCTTCATCGCTTGTTCTCTTTATTTTTATGGTCGTGGAAATCGAAGGAAAATCCTCCCAGGTAAATGGGGTCTACAATCATGTTTTTTTGGAAGTCTATGTTCAGCACTACTTGTTATTTCTCCATTGCTTTCTATTCTATCATCGCATCGCTCTTTATTCTTCACACTGCCCAGTTGCATCATCCTGTTTCAACACTTCTCATACCTTTCACCATGTAGCACCTTCTGATGACTCGTTACGACGAATAGAGACACGTTCTCTACGTTCCTGGTTGAACACCTTTATCCTTGCTTTTGCCTGCCCGCCGAACTTCCTTAGGTGGCAGGTCCTGAACGGGCCGGGAAGCACTTGCAGTATTCGTTTTTTTTCTCACTAACCGTTGACCCTGCGTAGAAACGTGTAACACTGACCACAGTCAGCCACAGTCGAGATCAGATTGAAGCGGCCAAATCTAGAAGGCCTGTTTCTAGCTGAACGGCGGTGTCTACAAGGCGACACGTCCATGTGCACTGGATTTCAACGAAGAAGCACGCGGGACAAGGGCGGGACCCTGCTGGACCTGCATGCAAAAGGAATCGTCCAGGCGACTGCAGGAAATCGAAGACGGAGCTAAGGACCTCTAAGGACCCCTTACACTCAATGGACTCAAGACCTTCTCGAATTTATATCAACGGGCATGGGTATGTATTCCACATTTATATCACTGAGCTGACCGTTCAGTTGCGTCTGCGCAGGTCTGTGCGCAGGTCAAGAATCTCGTCATCGTCGATATGCAAATCCACAGGGGTCGTCAACATCACATGAACTCGCATGGGATTCTTTCTCTTCACCTGCTTCCTAGTTAGACGATCTCGCTTGATTTGGTGACGCTAATGTCTGGCCTTGCGCTAGAGCGATCTCGAGCGCCGAGCGGCGCCGTGGTCGGGAACTACCAACCTGGTAACAGTTTACGCCGTAACTTTGCTCCGGCACCATATATGCCTGCCCTTAGCCTGCATCTTGTCACCAGTGTTCGCAGGACATTCAACTCATAGCGCGTGACGGCTGGCCTACCTCTTTCTGACCTCGTCCTCCATCGCTGCAATATTCGCAGTTGAACTTGTTGTACCCTTTCCTGGTCAACAGACACACCGGTCGCTCTCTCCAACGTAGACCTTTCACCATGCTAGCCACCCAACAGTCGTCGTCCGCATTCTCTTCTACTCATATGCATGCTGCGAGCATCACCACTGCTTACCGCGCAGTGCGTTCGGTAGCACGCCCAGTGCGCACCATCACCTTCTCTATTCCTGTTGCCCCGCGCCCGCGCCGTGCAGCATCATCTTCCTCGCTCCACCAACCGTTCACCGTAAAACGTTCTGCACACATGGCGACCGAAAATGCCTTGGCCGATCTCCATGCCGAAATCCTCTTCCCTTGCAAGAGAGCGCCCCGCTTGTTGCCTGCATCGGCTGCCAAGAGCCCCGCGAAACCGCTCACGCCCGCCTCTGAGCGCAACTTCCGTAACCACGCATTTGCGCGCCTCCTCCTCAATCGTGCGCATGTGCGTCCTATGCACCGGCCTCTTCCTTCTACAGGCCCGAAGACGTACGTGCCTAGCCGTCTCTCGTGCGTCGTTGCCGCGGAGGATGTTGATGGCGACGCTTGAGTCGTTTCCTCGAGCTGACGGAGCACGGCGGGATACTCCTAATCTTTGTATACTTACCCACAGATCCATCATCACCACCGTCCTACTCCAAAATATCTACGCCTGAATCATACTACTGTACTTGTTTTTACGTTCAACGACCATCAGCTATCCTTCGCCATCTCGCCAACGTACATACTGTATTCCTCCGCTGTACTCATCTTTCGCAGATACGCACATCAACTCTCCTCCATCTGCTGCCTGTATGTTTGCTACATTAACCACTGCTCCTAGGTAAATTCATCACGCCACCGTCCGCTTTGTCTACAACATCGATGTTCGTTTGCATGCTAAGTTCGACCTCGAGCGTGCCCCCAAGTGGTTCAAGCTCTCGAACAGAGATCTCATCATTTCACCCTGGTTTGGGTTTCAGATGTAGCGTCATGAATGCTGCGAGGGTCAAAATGTCCACAAATGCATCTTTCTAGGTGCAAACGCAGGCTGTCATTTGATATCATCAGCAACCCGACAGACCGAAGACATAAGTCAATCCACACACTTCTTCGAGAGCAATCAATGTATCCTCACTGATCATCAGAGATACTGAACTGTTAATAGCAGAAGGAAGAGGCAGCGGGATTTTTTTGACGAGGCAAGGGAGGTTAGTTTTCAAAGGTACGGATTGCAGCCAGTTCCGAGAAATAACCGTTTCAGCAGTGACCAGCTCCCATCCGTCTAACAACTCTCCGTGCCTGGCTCGGTCAACTCTTGCTGGATGAAAGTCCAGAATTTGAATTTCTTTGTCAGGGCGGCGTCCAACAGGCTTGGGGTTGATAAACCTCATCCCGAAAATGTAGCAAACCCAATCCGTCTGTGTTGGTTTGCCGCGGACCACTGCGCGGCTGTAATGAGGGCCCCATTGACTCCATGATAATGTGTCTGCGCGTAGGTCGCGGGCGCGCTCCAGAAAAAAGCGCGAACTGACGAACAGATCCAGTGCTCGCAGATTATTTCGTCTGGGAGATATGACATAGGCGAACAGTGTTATGACGAAGAGTCGCTCCGCGTGCATGGCGTGAAAGGGAACGGCCAGGTCTCGCCTCGGCTGCCAATTAGGCGCGGGATCTGAGCGAATGAGAAGATCGTGTAGAAGGGTGTCTACGCCCATTTCAGGGAGGGTGAAAGCGCATCGATACGGTATGTCGCAAATGTTGGTTTGTTTGGGAGACATTGCATCCAAGTCGTAGACTGCTATAATAGGGCTATCAGCCAATGGATCTCTGTCAATGATGCGGGCGACCATGACGAAGCGTTCGTCGAGGAACACGAATGACCTGATGTCATCTCCCGTCAACCACTAAGAAAGGTAGCATAGGCGTCAGAGAATTTCAGGCCATGACGAGGAGAATATAGGATGTGACCATCAAGATTTTGCCCGATTTCCAATTCCAAACCACAAACTCGGTATCGGCGTCTCTGGCTGTGTCCATGAACATAACACCGAGACGATCACCATTTATGACAATGTCATACCCCCACTCCCCCTCCATATCTGTGATGGTGTGTTCCAAAACGGATGCATTATATGCTGCAGGATGGGCGTTACCCGACGACATTGCTTGTAGATGTACTTTCGATTTGCCGGTGGATGAGTGGACTCTGATAGAGGCAACTGGCATTAGAACTTGACCTTGCCTTCAATAAACACGATGCGACGTACTGCAATGCGACAAGTAGATCCTGAGACGGATCCATTGTAAAATCACAGACATGGAATCTGACATCAACTCTCCATTCGCGGGCTTCAATTCCTCTCAGACGAGAGGGCAACTGCCTGAAGAATAGCGTTTCCCGATCCTCGGAGCACTCTGCGAAGACGCCTCCGTATAGCTCCCAAGATCCCCCATCTTGAGTTGGAACACATGTGTGCTCTGTCCATTTTAGTTCTTCCCAAGCATCCCGGAACCCAGTTAGCATCTGTAGCCGTTCTGCTATGCCCAGATGACTGGACGAGCCATCTTGTTGACCAACAGCCGCAAGTGCGACAACATATCGTAGCGTCGTCGACTGATCTATCAAGACATTTAGTCTGCGACATATCTACAGTGATGGTTTGCGGCGATGATCAGCGGTGTGCGCCTGAAATTGGGTGTGAATGAGAACTCACACGTTTGCATGCAAGGATAGATCGATAGTCAAGGTCCTCCAGTATCCTCAAAATCAGCTCTATTGGCAGTCTCAAGAGGCCCATAGACGCTTTGGTGAGCCACGAAAGTCCCACGAAGGTGATAGTTGTCGAGTCAGTGAGGAAAGTGACGTGAACTTACCTAGTCTATTTTCGGCGTCGTGGTCACTGGTGTGAAACTCACGCGCGGACTCAAACCAGCTTGTAAGCCCGAGCTGCTGATGATCCTTACGGCCACCCTTCGCTGACTGGACAGCACATTTCGTTCAGACTCTTCGCGTCTAGCATTCGATATAGGAGAATACAGGGCATAATCACGCGTGTGAGACAGCACTGACTCGGTGACGGAATGGCCACGATATCGACACAGCTCCGTAACTTTAAGGAGCCAGACAAAGACCAGCAGACTCAGCTATTCTTCGCAATCCCACACGAACATGTCAAAGCTGCGAGCGAGACGGGGCCCAATGAGGGACACGAGTCTATGGAGATCAGTGCTGTATTGAGCTTGGGCGTGCATGGCGAGGAGGACTCCTACGTGAGTCGGCTTTCACTGGAACGATATCACAGCCCTGCCATGGTCGGTGGAAGCTAACAAAGTCCGGATTAGGCCGGTAAACTGCACCTTTTGCCGCCATACCTGGCGTTTGTGAGCTTAGATCGCAAGTCCGTCAGATTCACCATTCCACTATGCACTGTCCGTCGCGTCGAGCGCTTGAATGCGCGCGCCGGTATATACGCGCTCAGTCTTTCTCTATGGCATGGGATGAAGATCGTACGTCGGCACGCTACTTGTGATGCGTATCGTGCCAATGACTTGCTGCATGTTCTGTAGATCGTCCAGCTAACATCTCTCCGTCCTACCGCGGATCTCTTCTGTTCCCTGTTGCGTGATGCACTCAAAGCAGAATTGCAGGCTGGAAAGATGAAGTCTGTCAAGGGATTCGCCAAGACATGTTATACAGAAAATCTCGTTTCCGGCTCGTCCACTGTCGCTGATAACGAAAGGGAGGACGGAAGCCTGATTGACGGGGGTGAAGCGGTAGCGGATGGATTTACTAGCACACGTTCCTTTCACGGGGGACTAGGGCTCAAATTCAAGTTTCCTGGTGACCCAAAAAAGTGGGTCCCTTTGGTTTTAATTCGACGCTCGCGGGATATATTCTTTTGTTTGGCAGGTTGCGTGAGGCATCCAAGACAAAGCTGTGGACGAACTACCTCAAGGGTGAGTTCTTGTCTTGTCCTACATGAGATAAAATAATGATCCGACCACTATCTTCAAGTCCATGGCCGTCACCTCACGCTTCTGCGCTACCCACAAAGCACGCGTCTCGTACAGGTAGGCTTGCCCAATCGCCTACGAGGTGAAATGTGGGAGACTCTCTCTGGTTCTATCTTCCTCCGATTCTACAATCCTGGTGTCTACGAGCGCATACTCGAAGAGAACAAGGGCCGCATCAATACGAGCACTGAAGAGATTGAGAAGGACCTGCACCGAAGTTTACCCGAGTATTCCGCATATCAGTCCGAAGACGGGATTAGCGCACTCAGGAGAGTGCTGCAAGCTTACTCGTTTAAGAATCCCGAGACGGGATATTGTCAGGTTAGCGCGTTTTGTTCTTCAATTTTTGTATGAGAGAGCGAAAATTCTTATAGGCTATGAACATCCTTGCGGCGGCCATTCTTATGTAAGAGTCGCCTTGTCCTCCATCTTCGCCGTAAGCATACCTTCATGAACATACAGCTATATGTCAGAGGAGCAAGCGTTCTGGCTTCTGGAAGTCATCTGTGACCGTTTGCTACCAGGATATTACAGGTATGTCTAGGGAAATGCGTATGTGATTCCATGCTGACATGCTGCGGACAGTATGTCGATGCATGGAACACTTTTGGATCAGCGGGTATTCGAGTCGCTGGTGGCTCGGTGTCTGCCGATCCTTCATGAACACTTCACAGAAGTGGATGTTCAGCTTTCTGTTGCATCCTTGCCATGGTTTCTTAGCTTGTGAGTCTTTGCTGTGGCACACCTGATGATTATTTATTGAACGGCTTTCAGGTTTATCAATAGCATGCCTATGGTGTTTGCATTCCGAATAGTTGATTGCTTTTTCTGCATGGGCCCGAAGGTCCTGTTCCAAGTCGGGTGAGTTACATTAGTACTCAAGCCGTTCGGCCAACTCACTTGAATTTTAGGCTAGGTCAGTCTCTTATTCACACTGCTATTGGCGATCAGCAAAGCAAACATTCATTTGCCAGCTATATTGAAGATTAACGGCGAGAAACTCCTACAGATCCAGGATGATGGAGGTTTCATTCAGTGCGTATCTTAGCTGAATTTGATCACAAAGACTATAGCTAACGAGTTCAGTCCATCAGCTTAATGCGCGATTACTTCAGTTCTCTGGGGGAATCTGCGCATCCACACTCTACCGACCCACGCGCTCGCGCAATCACTCGGTTCCAAGAGCTTCTCCTCGTATCGTTCCGTGAATTCGCTATCATCACCGATGAGACGATCCAGGCTGAGCGTCGCAAATTCCGCAACGAGATCATCACTAGCATCGAGTCGTTCTCAAAGCGTTCGGCGATCCGAAATTTGAGGACACTGGAGAGGTTCACGAAGGACCAAGCTGGATTCATCTACGACGCTCTGTTCAAGGCAGTTTGCATAGAGCCGCCTCCCGTGGCGATCCAACCACCACCATCGTTATTGACAACCAAAGATGCAGTAGAGGAGAGGCCTGAGACGAGGATTGAGCTCAAAACTTTCAGAGTTTTCTTGAGCGAAATAGCGACATGGGCGAGAGATGAGAAGATAGTCACGAACGGGTTCCAGGTATGTAGCTCTTCGTGACCTGCCCGTGAGATCAAGCCGCGATATTGATTCTGTCGACCAGCAACGAGTGGATCGAGAAGTTGCGGAACATGAATTCATTGACCGTTTGTTCTATTTCTGGGATATTTCATATCGTGGCTCCTTGTCTCTACAAGTATGTCCTCTACTCTCGCCTCTGAATCTTTCTCACGATTTATCTCAGGACCTTGTGTCCGGTCTCGACGGGGTGATGTTCAACGATCTCATGGAGAACATTGAATGGTTCTTCAACCTGCACGATAAGAATAAGGATGGATTTCTCACCAAGGATGAGGTTCTCACACTGTCCGAATCCATGCTGGTGCGTTCTAATTCCATCGGCTTCATCCACCTTTTGTTCAATTCTGACTTTGTACTAGTTTATATTCAGGTTCGAGATTGGCGATGCGTATCTTGGCGCTATCAGTCGATTCATGTCAAATGCCTTCGAATACGGAGATGCTCTTCTTCCTAGATCGGAGGGCGAGGAAGAAGGAGAGACTTCCCCGCAAATCGAGTCTAATCAACCTTATCTCAACCTCGCCACCTTCCGGATGGTCGTCCTCGCGGATGAGGTACTCGAGTCGTTCTTCGAAACCGACCTCTCGGTCTCGTTTAGATTGGAGCCAGTGCCTTTGATGGAGCTGCCACCGTCCAACAGTGGGTTCCTCGGTGGGCTGTGGTCGAACATCGTGTCGGACGACAATAAGAAGCTGTTCAATAAATTCAGCGACGAGCTCGGCAAGACAATTGGGAAGCATCAAATCATCCATCGTCCATCCATCGGGCGATACACATCTGTCGAAGAACCGAGGGCGCGCGAGTCGCTACTGATGCCCTCTATGCGCCGGTCGTCGTCCAAGTCGAGTCTCTCACCCAGCACGACTAGCACTGTCGTTGCGAGCGAATCGACTATATCAATACCTTCTTCTGGGGCAAAAGCGCTGAGCGTAGATACCAAGGGTACGAGCGATGTGGATGGGGCAGCGCAGTTGAGCCCGATGCCTCCTATGGCGTTGGTAGAGGCTGCAAACGCCGCATTGATGGAGAGAACGCCATTCGCAATTGATGACGCGAAGGATGATGAGGATGACGAAGATGAGGAGGAAGAGGATGAGGAGGATGACGGAGTCATGGACGAGGTTTGTCAACTCCTCAGTTGCAACGATCTTTTGGCTTACTGATGGCTCGCATAGGTTGATGCATTCCTAGAGGCGCACGATTCCGGCCTAACAGACGCTGACAAGCAGCTGGCAAAAGGTTGATCGTCTTCACTTTTCCAAACTTCAATCGACTGATCATGTTTTCATGCGTTGCAGATTTAATCAATGCAGAGCCAGTCAAATAATTCAGTGTTCTCTCGCTCATCACAATTTCTGCCCCTTTATTTGCTTGCTCAGGCAAACTGAAGCGACTGATCAATTTTCGTCGTGTTGCTATCCTCGCACATATCTTGTATCACTACCCACATGCATGAAAATGATTTCCTTGGAGCCATTGTACTCTTCAGTGTCGCCTAGCAGTTTGCGGACAAGTCATTGGATAGAGTCATATGTTATTATTCACCTTTCTGCATCGTCGTTCTCTGCAATTCCAGCCAATGCAATTTGTTTGCATTCTCTGTAATCGCGGCACCGACTTGGGCATCTGCCTCTCCACCGTCGCCGACTGTCGTGGGCGGGTAGTAGCCTAGTTAGGCAACTTTGTCCTACGCTTCGTAATCTCCCCCGACAGACGGTTTCCTGATCGTCTCCTTTTCCAGACGTGCAGTTCACACCTGCCTCCTGGCTCGTATATATAAAATGGGCATTAAATCTGAAGAAGGGCACAGTCCTCATCCCCTCACACAAGCCATTTAGGCATCCACACAAACTGCCTGTACTATCCCTGCTCAGTCTCCTTCGATCGGCAGCTTCACCTCCCGTTGTCCGGAATATCAAACTTCTACCCTCACAGTCGCCCCGACACTATTTAGTCAAGTCTAGTATGTCTACTAGCACGAAGGGTCCCGTTGCCTTTGTCCCTCGCCCTAACCAAGAGCGTGGCAAAGCCAACCATGGGTGGCTGAAGACCTTCCACACGTTCTCGTTTGCCGAGTGCGTACATCATCATATTCACCTCCTATGCCGAATCTTAAAGACATGGATTTTCTACAGCTACTTCGACCCAGCGCATAGCTCGTTTGGATGCTTGCGCGTCATCAACGAAGATCGTGTCGAGCCCAAGACCGGTTTTGGCACGCACCCGCATCGCGAGTTCGAGATTTTCTCGTACGTCGTTTCTGGGGAGCTTCAACAGTCAGTATGGTTTCTCTCAGGGAAACTTCTAGATCGAGCTGAATGGATGTTTTTGGTAGTAATGACTCGCTTGGAAACACAGAAGTTCTCAAGCGTGGTGATATTCAGATGACGTCGACTGGGACTGGGATCCGGCACAGCGAGCATACTCATGGCGCTAAACAAGTCCATTTCTTACAGATCTGGAGCAAGCCTTCCCAGTCCGGGCTCAAGCCTACCTATTACACTAGGTTGGTCTGCCTTCATATTATCCTCGCTCTCGATCAATCTGCAGATGCTCACATCTGCATCTAGACACTTCACCGACGAAGAGAAGAAGGACACCTTCGTGCGCGTCGTTGCTCCCGCCTTTGCTCCGGGGATCTCGCTAGAACGGGAAGCACCTGGCCCTGCTCCCGTTCATTCGCCCCTTTCCCTCTACGCGTCTCTCATATCTCCGGGAAGAACCCTCTCTCACAGGCTGGAGAAGAAGGGACCTGCGCGCAAGGCATATATCCATGTCGTACAAACCTCTGGCTATAACACCAATGAGGCCACTGGCGCGACTGTGCGTGTGAGTGCGGAAGGGGCGGGCGAGCTCCTGTTGAAGGAAGGTGACGGGGTGTACGTGTTGGGCCTGCCAGGGAGTGAACTCAAGGTGGGGAATGTGGGCGAGAGTGTTGCGGAGGTATTATTGTTCGAGATGGAATGATTCGGGGACGTCTTATATACTGCTCGCTCTTGGCGTACTGCTACTGCGTTATAATTGTCGTTGTATCATAGCCGTACGATGCGATGATGTATCACTGTCGTTCTATAGGTCGAATGTCATTCCAACCCTTAACCTAAGTTTAAGGTCTGCATATCGAAACAGCCAGGTTTGGGCCTCCATGATACCACGAACGTCGAATGGCATCCACATTAGAGGGGAGACGTGAAATAGCTCTTGATACTCTTCGTCGTACGCAGGATGTGATCTCGTTTACGCCGGGCGCATCGGATAGATCTTTCTTTATCAACGATCAACTGCCCTCCCTCGATTCCACCAAATGCCCACATCTACAGAGCACCAAGGTGCATGTAGTGGGGACAGACTCATATACAGCAGCGAGAGAAATACTACGTGGATTTCCTGAGGCCATCGGGAAGACCGCAGTGCTGAACCTTGCCAGTGACGAGAAGAGGGCGGGCGGTTGGATGGAGTCGTTCACGAGGACTCAGGTAAGCATTGAGAGATGTGAGATCACTCTGCCGCGTCTTGACCTACCCAGCGCAGGAGGAGGCGCTGTGTTACTCTTCCACCCTTTACGCGACTCTCAAAGAGGATTATTATCCGTGGCCGAACCTCGGTCCTGGATCCATTGCAGGCATCTTCTCTCCCGATATCGTCGTTTTTAAAAATGATCTCGATCATAACTGCGTCGATCTCCCACTTGAGGAACAGAGGCTGGTCTCGGTGATATCCGTGGCAGCACCCCGAAATCCGGCACTTACGAAAGATGGGACAAGCCTCGCGAACGAGCGCGACTTGGACGACTTCAGAGGAAAGATCAGACTGGTGTATCGGATGGCCGGAACCTGGGGCAAACAGGCAATTGTCTTGGGTAGGTGCATCCAACTTCTGGTGTGTTTAGAATATGCAGGGTGAACGCGTCTTGCGAATATAGCCGCGATGGGATGCGGCGTCTATGGATGTCCGCCCCGGCAAGTTGCAAATGAAATGAAGTCTATCCTCTTGGAGGATGAGTTCAAAGGCTGGTTCCGGAGCATCGTATTTGCTGTTTACAAGTCCCCTGACCGTGCGACTTCTCCGAACTACGATATCTTCAAAGAGGTCTTCGAGGATTTACAGGTCTAATACAGGTTCGGGGTGTCTTACATTGCATAAAGGATCGCAAGCGTAGGTTCCTGCAGAAGAGCCATTTCTATCAACGCAGGCATATACACTGTACAGGTACAACAAGCTTTGAAGTCTCCTCGAGAATATGGTCGAATAAGAATGACAATCGACATACTATCATCGTGACCGCGGGATACTTTTAAAAAGCGTAGTCTAGATTTTTATTAATTTTTCCATCTGAAGAGAGTCAGACAAGAGATGTAGATGTAAGTGTCGAAAACTCACATTTTGACCGTTCTGTCACGCCCGCCACTGACGATCTTATCGGCAACGAAGTCGACACAGTACACTTCGTCAGTATGACCCGGCAGGTCGGTTTTAAGCTTGTATGTTTTCAAGTCCCAGATCTAAGGCAGCCAAATATCAGGTCCTTCGCGACGTGGGAGGACAACCATGCCGAGTGCGTACCTTGAGCGTAGTATCTTTACTCGCGCTAACCAGTAACCTCGAATCTGCAGACCAGGTGAGGCGGTAGACGGCACCGATGTGTCCTCGCAGCGTCGCAACAAACTTTCCCGTGCGACCTTCCCAAATCCTGACACTGTTATCCCACGCGGCGCTGGCAGCCCATCTGCCATCCGGGCTGAACGCGACTTGGGACACCTGCCGCTGATGGCCCGTGAGACGAGCAAGAGGCTTCAGTTTGCCGCCGTTTGCCGCCGCCTGCTCGGAGCTGGAGGTGTCTGCCGCGCGAGAGGGGAATAGAGACCAGAGGAAAAGAGTGTGATCATCAGAGCCAGAGATCATGAGCTCTGACGTTGTCGAGACCAGAGCGTTGTACCGTTCTAATGCACGAGTTTGCGCTGCGATACAGATGAGACAAAAAAAGTAGTCTGATGTTGTAAGATCATACCTTCTTCATCCGATATTGGTCGCTTTCCGGTGTGGTCAAAAGGGCCTGTTCGAAGGACGAAGTCCGTGTTCAGCGCCAGCGTCGTAACCCAGTGAGCATGATCTTTTAATATATGCAATAACCTTCCCTGTATATAGCATAAGTATCTCGCTATCATTTTGAGGGTGATTGAGGGAAATGGATCTTACCCCGTTTGCGTCCCAGATACGCACTGTCCGATCGGAGGACGCAGTGTAAAGCACCCCCTTGCCGTTCAGCCCCCCACCGCCCCATCGTACAATGTTTACACTCGCGGTATGCCCGCCGAGGGTATACTCGACTCGGCGGGTAAGGAGGGACCAGACACGGACGGTGCCGTCTTTTGAAGATGATGCAAGGCGAGGCGCGGCGGGATTTCTGGGTCAAGATTCAGATACGAGGCACCCGACGTCAAGGACAATCTGCTTACATGTGTATTGGCTCCCATGACAAGGATGTGACCCATTTTGTGTGTCCTTTGAGAGCGTCTCCGATCGGCTTCCCGGTTTTAGGGTCCCATATACGCACCTTTAAGAAGTTAGGATTGGTACGCACGCCTTGTGAGTAAACAAACAACGCACCTGATTATCGTGACCGCCTGTGGCTAGTTTTCTCTCCATAGCCTCCCACTCTACGCATAGCACCCAACCTCTGTGCCCCGACAGTGTATGTGATGGTGTTTCTGTGGACAGATTCCATAGACGCGCGTTGGCGTCCCCAGAACCAGTCGCGAGGAGATTTCCGGTGGGGGAAAATGACGCGCACAATATAGGAGAGGTGTGTCCTTGTAGACGCGGAGATGTGAGGATCGGCCGGAAGCTCCTCTTCAGTTAAACACATACCAGACAAAGTTGATGAACATCGCGTCGCCGGCCGCACTCGAAACACAGACTGCGGTGAGCAATGGACCACAAAGACGTCCTCTGGTGTGAAAGACTGCGAGGGGTGCGACAGGACATCCGACTCAATCGATTTTGTTATAACAACTCTCGTCGGCTCTCCCCCACTTGTAGCGTCTGCCGGCAACGTTATGTGGAATTGGAAAGGGACGGGGTCGTCGTCCTTACAAAATAAATTAGAGAGCTCTTCGCGGATCTGCTGAAATGACCGAGGCTAACTTTGGAGGTGAGTCTGTTGATCAGGACTTGCAGGTCCTCTCTGGAGACGTTCGCAGGTAAATTGATGGCCGGTGCTAAAGATGTGCCATCGTCTTCAGAGACGAATTGGACGACGATATTTGGAGACGGCGCCGGTAGCTCTGGCACTGGTTCTGGGATGCCATGATAGACTTTTTGGCGCTTTGGAGGGGGCAACAGTGCAGCCATGATATTTCGTTGTGTGCGAGTAGTTCAGCGAAGAAAGCAATCCCGATTTGATTTTCGGCGAAAAATAAGTGTCACGTGCAATGAATCCCAATTGCATTCTGAATTTCTTGCACCATGAGCTATCGACGGGAAAATACCCTCAAAAGACTGTTTCGATAAGAAATGCTGAGTGCCATAGCAGCTCGCAAGGCGCGTTTGAAGGACTCCACACCTCTCGAACCATCTTCCCCCCCCAAAACCGCGTCACCCGTACAGCCATCCTCAGAGCCTGTTCCTCACGCGAAGCCATCCAAACCGTCCTCGAAGCGCAAGCAGAGCATCCAGTCAGCCTCTCCTTCTACACGCAAGAAGCAGAGGAAGGCCAGCTTCAAGGGGCGTAAAGATGGAGAGAGTGCCAGGTATTTTGCAGCGCAGCGCGTGGAATCGGACTCGTTCGAGGAGACCGGCGACGGACAGGTTGATTCGGACGTGTCCATGGCTTCTGATGATGATGAAGGTGCCGTGCTCGACCTTGTTCCTGTTGTAACCCCGAGAAAGGACTCTCAAAAACGCGCTTGGTCCCCGAGTCGACCCTTACTGGATTCGTCGGACGAGGACGAATCTTTGCCTCATGGTGCAGGTGCGACATCCCGGCGCTCTCAGTTCGATCCAGAACGCGTGGTTTTGTCCACTTTCCGACCAATTCAAGACCAGAACTCCTTCTCTCTATCCTCAGAGGAGCTGGGCTCAGTTGGTCTTTCATCCGACGCTGCGGTGGTTCTTATACTCTCGCCCACCGACACTCTATCTCTGCTAGGACCGTACCAACTGACCGTCCTCCGAGGGTCTGTCTCGTTGCTCGGCGTGACACTTCATCCCTCTCAAACACACCAAGTCTTTGCTTGCCGATCCTCACCTATCCCGACTCTCGAGGCTTTGGCAGAACGCGGGGAATCTTCTAGGGTCGAGTCGGTTGCCATTCCAAGTCGCATTCGACCAGCTGTCAGGGATTCGGACAGCGTTGTGGTACTTCAAGAATTGAAAAGCGGGATCGAAGGTCTAGGACGCGTTGTACGGACATTCAATGGCATCTTCAGTCCGTCCAGGTATGGTCAGACGGACTCTATTCCCCTAGCCATAAGTGGTGTTCACCTAGTGTGTACTAAAGCATTTTTCCATTTTAATACGACAATAATATTTTCTCAGTTGGATCAACCGTCTCGGGACATCCAGCCGTTCTATCTGCCACACACATGGGAGGCAGCTTTGTCCTTGGCCTGTCCGCCGTCACCTTCGCAAGCAGGCGAAGCTATGTTGACGCCCCCTGTGACTCTGATCAGGGGACCAAAAAATTCAGGCAAAAGCACATTTGCACGAACGTTGCTAAATCGATCGACCATGCGGTATGCTAGTCTTTCCTCTCGGTCTCATCAGAGGAATAAACCTAAGTGTGCTCAGATATCGCAAGGTCGCATACCTTGAGTGCGATCTCGGCCAATCCGAATTTACACCTGGCGGGATGGTCGCTCTTACTATCATCGAAAAGCCTGTCTTCGGTACTGTTGCATCTCACTTATCTGGATCACCACTCACACAAAATGATCTAGGACCCCCATTCACACACCCTACCCTTCCTCACCAAGCCCACTACATCGGCTCCACTTCCCCTCGTACCTCTCCGTCCCACTACCTCAGCGCTATCCAAGCGCTCATATACACTTACAGACTTGACATACAGTACGCCACATCCCTGGTCGATGACCAAGAAACAGAGGGTGCAGACGATGGACGTATCTCGGATGTCATACCTCTTGTCGTCAACACAATGGGGTGGACAAAAGGTCTCGGAGCCGACCTGTCATACAAGGTCGAGGAACTTATAGAGCCAGCGCTCATAATCGAGCTCGACGCGCCCTCCTATGACCAGAGCTGGTCCAAGGCTCGGCCTACCGCTGCTGGGACTCCATCCACAGGAAAATCCAACATACAAACCATCGAGGCTATCTCGTCCAGCATACTCTCCACGCGCTTCACGGCGTCCGACCATCGCGCGTCATCCATCCTGTCTTATTTCCACGCAGTGTTCAGTCCGTCGCTCGCCTCTGGTACCGTGAAGCAGGTCGCAGCAAGCGCGTGGAACACGGCGCTTCCTCTCTGTGCGCAGGTGCCATACGAAGTAGACTGGAGCAGCGCCGTCGACAGAGTGTGCTTGCTCGGCGCAGGCACTGAAGACGTCGTTCCCTCCGAAATTCTCCGTGTCCTCAACGGTGCCATCGTCGCTCTCGTGCGTGCGAACCCTGACGCGGACGGTGACATTCTCCCCAACGCTGCCGCCTCGGGTGAGACAGCCACCGTCGACATCGTGCCGTATATACAAGGCTCAGCGCCTCCGAACCCCTCGATGTCGACTACCCTCGGCCTCGCGCTCATTCGCGCCGTGTCGTCCTCTCCTTCACGCTTGCACGTCCTTACGCCTGTCCCTAGCTCACTGCTCGGCCAGTGCCGCGTGCTGGTGAAGGGGGAGATGGAGATCCCGATATGGGGAATGCTGGATTTCAGGTCGGAGGGGGACATCGCTGGAGTTGAGCGGAGCGCGGTGCCTTACTTGAAATGGGGCAAAGGTGAGGGGATTGGCGGGGAGAGGAGACGGGTCAGGAGGAACTTGATGAGGAAGGGTCAGATGTGAGGGGTTCATAAAATGTGTACCGCGTAGTAACGATAACCTGCGAAGTCCAAGTATTGGATCTTTTGAACTCAATAGTATAAGAGCAGTCACAGCATACTACACTACGAACCATAGCCCACACGTATCAGCTTTTGAGCGCACACGCCTCGGCGATCGATCGCCTTAGCTCTTCGATGCCCAATCGCGGGTGCTTCAGCGCGGAGGTGACGACGGGGGGCAAGCACGTTGGCGCGAGTTCGAAGATCTCTTTCTGAAGCGCCGATAACGCACCCGTCCCCTCCATCGTGTCCGCCTTCGTGAGGACCGACTGGAGCGTCCAGCCCGCCCCACCCGAGGCCTGGAAGCGCGCATCGAGGCTCTGCAGCATCAGCCTATCGGCGCTGTTGAGGCCGTGCTTCGCGTTGAACAGAATGTAGACGCGCTTCAACCTGCAGCGAGAGGGGAGGCTTCAGCCACGGAGTCCAGAGCAGCAAGCACGCGGGGAGACGGGGAGCGGGAGCGAGGCTAACTCTTTGCGCGTGGCGAGGTAGTGGTCGAAGAGGCTGCCCCATTCTGGGCGGCCGCGCGCGCCGTACCCCGGCGCGTCGACCAGGACCATCTTGCCGGGCGCGGCCCCCACGCGGAAGAAGTTGAGGCCTTTGGTGCGGCCCTAGGGAAGCGTGTGAGGCCACGAACGACGCGGGCGGACTCGCCGCGAGGAGGAGGGGAAGGGCTCACGGGCGTTTTGCTAGACAGCATGAGGTCTCGCCGGCCGACGATGGCGTTCAGCAGAGTGGATTTGCCGGCGTTGGCGCGCCCTGCATCATAGAGGTTAAACACACGGATAGTTGGGTGGTCGAGCCGCTTATCGTTGGTTGATGCCCACCTGTGACCACGATCTGCCAAGGTGAAAGTGAGCAATGCGATGTCCGACCACGAGTGCCGTGCCGCATACCTCTGGCAAGCCATGAAGTGCAGGAATAGAGGACGGCGATGCTGCGGCCGCTAGAAAGTCTGCTGCCCCCGGATTCGAGAAAACTGCGTCTCTCGGTGTCGTGGAGGCGTATCGTTTCACAGTCGTCGAGAGGCTCAACCATCGTTTCCCATTTTCCAGCAAGCGGAAGGACATGAGGTGGCTGGGTTGGTCTTATTTGGACTCGGCTCGCGACTCCTGCCATGGATGCGGTGTCGGGGGTCTCTCACCTATCACCTCGATTCGACTGCATCCTCGGTTGCCTCTACGCCGGGCTGGTACACAAGTTCACAACGGAAAAAATGGTTGATCTTGGTAGTCGCGACCTTGAAAGAGGATGGATATATCTATCTTCAAATTCATTATACAACGAATTACAGAAGTGACAACAATTCCCAAGGCAGAAGATTATTAAACAATATTCATACCAGTCCTCAATTGGAATGCCCAGTACGACAGCCTACCCACGAAGTTCCGTGGACAAAGCGGCTTACATCCACGGTGATCTTTGACGGACCCATGATCGCAAGAGTCTGTGGCCATCAGAGTCCAGAGCGACAATTGGGAAGTACCCAGAAGAGAAGTTCACCTCCCTGCCCAACAGCCCAGCCAGGGTCAGAGTAAGACAGGGTGGCACTGTCCCACAGCTGACCAGCGGGAGCTAAATTAGCAGACACAGCGACAGGGAGACTGTGAGGCATGATATGAGGGGAGGGAGAGTCTAGGACTTAGGTACTACCCATGCTCTTTGCCTTGTAAGCCCGCTCGTCTACCCTTACATTCCACACCTGAATCGTTGCGTCCTGAGGCCCGGAGACGATGCGCTTGCCGTCGGGCGAGAACGCGACGGATGTGACCCCGTCTGTGTGTCCTTTGAATGGCGGGGACACCGCCTCGCCTGTGTCTGTGTCCCACAACAGAATCGTCGCGTCATGAGACGAAGACACGATGCGCTTGCCGTCGGGCGAAAATGTGACGGATGTGACCGTGTCTGTACGACCTTCGAACGGCGGGGACACCGCCTCGCCTGTCTCTATGTCCCATACCCGGATTGTCTTGTCATGAGACCCGGAGACGATGCGCTTGCCATCGGGGGAGAACGCGACGAAATTGACAGAGCTCTTATGCTTATCAATGAAGAGAATGGGATATTGGGAATGACCCCTAGCTATGCCACCTACATCGATCATGTTAGAAAAAAAAGGCCGGAATATTTGTGTCATAAGTGAGCCGAGCGGTGTGAAAGGAAGAGCTGATAGATAGATATGAGGTGCACTCTCTGTGATGGGCTCTCTGAAAGCTACCATCTGCAAGAAGAGTTTTCAAATCTGGCATCGTGATCGGTTTCTGATTCCCTCGTAAGAAGCGTGAGAAGCGTGAAAAGCCGAAGGAGCTGTCTGGCTCACCGTTGTAGGTGAAGTCGCGATCTTCCTCAAAGAAGTAGTAGCCTCACGGACCCTGTCCAATCCGCTCATCGCTTCTGACCAAAACAAACGTACCTTGCGAATCCATTCGGTGTTGGTATCGGTATTCAGTATTGTGTCAGTCTGAAATGTCGACAATGAGATAGGCATGATAGTTAGCAATCAAACTAAGAGAAACGTACAATGGACGTATCAACCAGCGAGGCGAGGGTGCGGAACGCGCGCACGATGTCCTATCCATCGCCTGAGGCATTTAAGGCTCGCTTCCCTAAACTACGAGGCTTCGTCTTCTCGCCGACAAAATTCTGAACGATGACGATCGCCCTGAGATGTTCAAGATCAAGGGTTAGACGAATAGTTCTCTAAAGATGAACTTCCGGCTGACTCTGTTAAACCGTCTATGCGATCGCGAGTATGTGTTGATATTTTGCTTTGTTGGCATAGCGTAAGGACCTGGACGAGCGCTTGAATCCTGGCTGCCACATCGGCCAGCTCTGTTTTTATGTCATCCATTTTCTACTCGCTTATTGCTGTTCAAGTCGTACCAACAGAAGGGGAACCTTGCTTACATCTATCCTATCCATCGCTACCAACAGCCCACTTACAGCCGCCTTCAAAGGGGGGAAAGGGTCGGAAACCTCCTTGACAAGGGCTAATGTCTGTGTCAAAGCTATCCAGCCAAACTTGCGCGACCATTGCGTCTTGGAGGGCGTGTTCTCCGGAGGTTGAAACGAGGAAGCGATTTGAGTGTAGAAATTCGCAGTCAGTTCTGGGACAGTGGTTTGTGGAGGGGGAGCTAAGACAGACAAAGACTGAGAGCCTGGCGACGGATGATCCCTCCCGATTAAATTTCGATCCAGGGGCCGAAACCACCGCAAGAACTTGTCGCGTCGTCTGCCTGGCATTGTCTACAGTTTCCGAGGTTGGTGAACGAGAGACGAATTGATGAGAGGATTGATGGGAGCTGCGAACCGGTAGACTCACCTGATGTAGATTGCCGCCGGTCTGAGCTCGTTTGTTTGACGTCTACACTACCATTTTGTTGACTGGAGGACGCCAAAGACAAACACCTACGCTTGAGATGCTTTCCTGCGCTATAATATGATCATGTATCCTTTTTTTCCCAATGATACGCGAATCATTTCCGCCTGGAGGCATCACGATCGTCAATGTCCAAAAGGAATTGTGTCCACACCCGCTCGTCGCGTTCTCGCTTCGCGTCTTATCCCAGATACGGATATCCACGTCGAAGGTTGAAGGACAGTCATCAACGTTGCTGCCTTCGAGAGACCAATCCAGCACCCCCTCTGCATCAACCTCCTCTCTGCACCCCAGTCGTCTACTGCACAAAGATTCTCTCGTCCGGACTTACATCCCTGCCCTGTTGAAAGGCTGCATTGATCTTCAACGGCACAAGGCCTTCATGTCGCCTCGTTGGCAGCGCATGACAATGATCTGGGATGCTCGGGATTGGCTACTCGAATTATTCGAATCAAGGGAAAGCGGAAGAGGATAGAGGCAACGGTGTCGCGTCAAGGTCGTTTATTGCGCGAGTCATACACGTGCCATCGGCCGAGGGAATAGGATTGTACAATGCACTGTGGATGAGTGCCCACTTTTTGTCGACTTCGTGTTCGAAGAACTGATACGAGCCAAATATCGACTCAAGACCGAGGAACATAATAGTTTGATTCAGATGGTTAAGTGAATTCCGTCCATGAGCGGCGAGCGTACTGGCACGGTGAACGACAGCTGTCATACCTCGCAACATGAGGCATTTGTGCAGATCGGTGAAAACCCATCGAGGCATTGAAACTGAGATGTCGTACAACTAACGCATTGTATATTGATTCGTTACAACAACATATCGTACACATCTATTGTTTTTACACCCTAGAGCCGTACACATCCTTGGGCTCGACACCGGCCTGGCCCTTGCGGATGTTGGCCTGCGCCCATCTAAACCAGAAAGCACAGTCAGATAGAGCATCCACAACAGGCGCCAGAAACTGACTTTTTAATCCTGATCGACTCAATCTGGATGAAACCAGAGGTGTCAGTGGGCTCGAAGCCACCGAGCTCATCCATAGAGGACTCCTTCTCGTCATAGAGGCCCTGATCGCAAGACAATGAGCAGATGCAACACTGGTCAAGGTGTAAAAAACGCCGGCTGACCTCCGCGGAAGACCTGCCCTCGACGACGACGTTGCCCTTGTACAGCTTCAGGCGGACGACGCCGTTCACGGTGCGCTGGCTCGCGGGGATCGCGCTGGTCACGAACTCGCGCTCGGGCGTGAAGAAGTGGCCGTTGTAAAGGATGCGGCTGAGCTCGACGGTGATGAACTGGTCGCGCAGCGCGCGGACGTTGCGGTCGAGCGTGAGGCCCTCGAGATCGACGTGCGCGGCGCGCAGGATCGTCGCGCCGGGCGACTCGTAGCACCCGCGCGACTTAACGCCGATGAAGCGGTTCTCGACGATGTCGATGCGCCCGATGCCGTGCTTGCGCCCAAGCGCGTTGAGCGCGAGGAAGATCTCGACCGCGTCGGTGTGCGTCTTGGGCCCCGCCGTGACCTTGACCGGGAGCCCGGCTTTGAACTCGATCGAGATGCGCTCGGGGGTGGCGGGCGCGTCTTCGACGGCGGCGGTCAGTTTCCACATGTCGGTGGGAGGGGTGGTGTCGGGGTCCTCCAGGATACCGGCCTCATAGGAGATGTGGAAGAGGTTCTCGTCGGTGGACCAAGGCTTCGCAGCGGTCTGTTGGACAGGGATCTGCTTCTCTGCGGCGTAAGCCAGGAGCGCCTGACGGCCGGCAAAACGATGGTAGAAGGCTATTGACATCCGTAAGTACCTGATCGTGCTCTGGAAATTGAGCAGGGCATGGTACATACCGGGAATGCGCCAGGGAGCGATGACCTTGATATCGGGCTTGAGACCGTAGAACGCCAATTCAAAACGGACTTGGTCGTTACCCTTCCCGGTGCAGCCGTGAGAAACAAAACTAAAAACATTTTAGAGACCAAATTATAAGAGCGCTGTGTGCACTTACTCGCACCCCTCCCTATCGGCGACGGCGATCATTCCACGAGCAATAACTGGACGAGCGAGCGAGGTGCCAAGCAGGTAGACATTCTGAGGTGAACGGTTAGCTTATAGAAACTTGGAGTAAGATATGGGCGAACCTCGTAGATCGCGTTTGCTTGCACCGCAGGGTAAATCAGCTCGGTAACGAACTCGCGCCTGAGATCCTGCGTATCGGATGGTCAATCAAGCGTGAAAGGTTCGATCTATCCTTGGCACGCATACCTCCAAGAAGAACTTCTTGGCTCCTACAGCAAGTGCCTTTTTCTTTGCGGCCTCGAAATCCTGCAAAGCATCGGTGGGTTATCGCAGATCACAGAAATGTGTTGTGACAAACCTCTTCCTGGCCAACATCGGCCATGAATGCATGGACCTCATACCCTTCCTCAATCAACCAAGCAAGGATGCACGAGGTATCTTCGAGCACCATCGATAAATCTCATAAAATGACCGGTTTGAGGAAGGATACGACATACCGAGGCCTCCGGAGTAAGCAAGAAGAACGCGTCCTTTTGAAGCCGACATTTTGGAAGTACTAGTAAAGAATCGGGTCGTTCAGAGCGAAGAGATGGCGAGACGGAAAAAAAGCACATACCTGACCCTGTATCTGATAGATCGAGTCAATGAATGCTGGTTGCCTTTTTGGGCGCGGAATAGCAGACATGTCACGCACCACGGCGTAGGTCACGCAGTCACCAGGGCCGTTGAGGTCATCGAGACCCTCTTCCGAGCGCGACATTAGGCTTACAGTACTGCGCGGCCCTGACTGCAGCAGCCACCTATTGCGCTCATTATCATGGACGACCTCCGCACCACCGTGGCACGGCACGGGTTTCGCGCACGAGACAATGCTCGAAACTATCACAAACAACTCCTGTCGAACAAGAGCAAGTCGCCAGGTCCGATGCAGTCCGACGACGATGCCCTGCCCCCGAAGAACGATCTGGCCAGGAGGAAGAGACACGGTCTTGCCCCTCCTCTCGCGGGCCCTAGCGGCTCTCACACACCCGTCGACGAGCCTGCGCAGGATAGAGTCGCAAAGCCACAGACGAGACACAGGACGCGACCCGTCCCAGATTTCGCGCTCACTTCGGCCTTATCCCCGCGACTTACTCCCAAGGGCAAGAAGGAAAAGTCAAAGGAAACGCATCGCTATCCTCCGCGATCGGCCAACCTTCCCTCTGAGGACGAAGACGAGGACGCCGTCGATCCCGCGCCGCAGGCTGCCTACACTGGGCCCCTGGCCGCAGCAGAATTCAGCAGGTTGAAAAAGGAGCTAGAAATCCTTAGGAAGGTACGTGGCTCAAAGGCCCCTGTCATCCTCGCTTGACACTGACTCGCATCGTGCCTCTATAGCAAACCAACGCCAATGCCAAATCGTTCGATAAGCAGGCCAAGGTTCGTCGACTTTTCGATGAGTTCATCATACCCCTAATCTGAACGACAAGCAGTCTGTCTTAGACCTCAAACGGGAACTCTTCACAGCGAATAAGGTACTGGTATCCCGGTTTGTCGCGCGGATACGATCTCACGTCTCCCTAGACTCTCAAGGAACGTAATCTTCAAATAGAGGAGCTCAAGTCCAAAGTGAAACAATCGGACGAGGTACGTTTCAACGTATTTGACGAGAAGCCCACCTCAAGGGATTCCGCCACAGCTCTTAAGCAGCATCGAGAGCACTCTCCAGTGCCAAATCTGCATGGACACTCTCGCCAAACCCCACGCGTGCGTATATCTGTCATCGATGCTCCAAGTGTTTCCCTGACGTGGTGTCACCCAGCCTCTCTCCCTGCGGACACGTCCTTTGCCAAACCTGCCTTCAAGAATGGTTCCGCGCGGCGCCGGTAAACGAAGACGACATGTACATCGACGACGCCCCCTTGATCTTCCGCAAAAAGTCCTGCCCCTGCTGTCGCGCCACAGTGCTGTCGCGCCCCCTCCCTGTTTTCCTGGTCAAATCCCTGATCTCGACCCTCGATCGCGCCAAAGCGCCCGCGGGGGCCCACGAAGTGTCCCCTCCCCCCGATCTCGACGACCCCTGGACCGACATCTTCCCGCCCCCGCGCGGCTCCGAGTCCGAGGACTCAGATCAAGACGACGCCGACGACGACGACGACGATGACGAGGAGGAGGAAGGCTTCTCCGACGACCTCGAAGTCTGGGACGTGGAGGACTACGATGAGTACGCGGACACGAGCGACGACGAGTACGAAGGCCCGTACGTCGAGCCATTCTGGGAGCCGCCGCACCACTGGCTCGACGACCTCGCGGTTGGCGACTTCGCCGACCCGGACACGTTCCGCATGATCCGCCGTGGCGCGACGAGCGACATGATCGATTACTATGGCATGCTCTACTCGCACGAGAAGGGTCTCATCGCGCACAGCGGCGGCATGACCATCTACCTCGGCTTCAACATCGACCTCAGCGAGGGCGACATCACGGGCGAGCGCTTTATGGACTGGCTCATGGAGGACATGGACAACAGGCCCGACCGCTGGAAGCTGCGTGCCGGCACGGCGACCAAGTTGGTGCGGGGCGACGAGGTGGTCGAGTACGAGACGTCGGACTCGGACGCCGACTTTGACGACGATGACGAGGAGGAGTGAGGCGCACAGGGAGTATATCACTTACTGTCGCGGCGGAACGCAATCGTTTTCCTTCTGTACTTCTTTCATGCTATCTGTTCTTTTTGTATCGTCCACACTGTATGCGTACTATATAAATTATCATATGTCGGATGGGGTCTATGGTGATGAATGCTTCAGGCGGTAGTACGACGTGCGAGAACAAAGCTTCCAAGAAAAGTGCGAACCCGAACCCAGGTCACAGCCCGACGACCTCCAGCCCCTTCTCCTTCTCCTTCTCCTTCGCCAGCCCCTCCTTCCGTTTTTCGTGCTCGTAGTTCCGCAACCGCATCTCGACGAGGAACTCCTTGTCCCGTATCGACTGCGACCACGAGGAGAGCACCGTCGCGGCGGTGACCGCCATCCGTGCCACGCCCGCCGCGGCGAAGATGCTCGGATACACATGCATGACTGGCGGCGGATCAGCAAGCACGCAAAGAGAAAGGACACGCGGGACGCGGTCGGGAGGGGACTCACAGAGTACTCGGTAATCAAGCGGGATCGGGGAGAGGCGGCAGACGGCGAGGGCCGCGAGCGGGGGCAGCACGAGCATGCCCACGAGGCCGGCCACCAGCGGCGCGATGACCAGGCGCGTCGCCGAGACCGGGTGCGGGTTCGACCACCCGTGCTGCTTGATCTGCCGCTCAAAGGTCAACATCGGGCGCGCGACGCAGCGCGGGACGAGCTACTCACATTGGTGATGCCAGCCGCGAAGGGGGCGTTCGGGCGCATCCCCTGCACGCGCAGGACAATTTTGGCGTAGACCAGGCCGAGGGCCCACATGTCGACGATGCGGATGCGGGGGACGAGGTCGGGGTTCAGCATGAACCGTATCGGCAGCGCGATGTACATCTCCACGACGAGCGCGAGGAGGATGGGGACGACGACGCCGATGAAGAGCATCATGTACGAGATCTTGGCCAGCCAGAGGATGCTCCGCTTGACGAAGTAGAGCGGCCACTCGGCGCGTGCGCCGGTCGCGCCGCGTCGCTGACGGCGTCTGTCCATGCGCTCGACGGCGTACCCGACGACCCAGCCTGCCCACAGCGCGTAGAACCCGACGAGGAAAGAGTAGCCGTCGTGCACCTCATCGTTAGTGAAGATCCGAAGGATGTTCCGGCCGACCTGGATCGGCGTCGCGAACACAGCCACCAGGAACACGGACCCGACCACCCAAAGCGCAAGGATGAACAGCACGATCCGGTAGCGGAAGTGGGGCGGGATGTACACGACCGTGTAGTCGTCCTTGAAGTTTCTCTTAGCCTTTTCGGCCTCGGCGTTCTGGGTCTCTATCAGGTGTCGAGCCGCATCATCCACAGGCACTCCGGCACCATCGACCTCGGCAGTAGCCCTCATATCGCGAGGAATCACCACATTGTCGCTGGCGGGGACCCTCCTGTAGCTGCCGTCAAAATGTTTCATGGCGATGTCTTTCGGCGGGAACCACGACCACGTCGAGCGATTGAACTCTTCCTCCATCCTGCGCTCGCCGAACATGTACGAAGAGAGCCGCAGCCCTGCGCAGAGGTACTTCCAGATCCCGACTGAGACCTTGCGCAGTACCTTCTTCGGCCGGAAGAAGCGCATCGTGTACGGGAGGACGATGTGCAGGAATAGAAGGTCGATCGGGACCTCCGAAAGAGGCTCGCTTCCGAACACACACACTTTAGGCCACGCACGGAGCACGGAAGACAGGAGTTACACGCACCGAGGTTTCCAACGAAGGGGCAGGACGGTGGTGCTCAGTCGCATGATGCCGCCCACGGTGCCGACGCCGCACGCTACCACCAGCGCGTACATGAGCGCACTGACGCAGAGCTTGCGCAGCTGGACCATCGCCGGACGCTCCAGAATATCGCGTATCGGGTGGAAATTCTGGTCAGACGGGTCTTTGATGAACCACATAGCACCGGGGCGCATGAGAGTGCGGCACCCTGCTAAGAGGATGGCAAATTGATACCTGCCGAATGCCTGTCTTAGCTGTCACGGATGAAAAAAAGAACAAGCAGGCCATACATGAACATCGTGCCAACCACCCAGTGGTAGAAGATGGCGGTCAACGGCGCGTAGTGAAAGAAAATCAGCCGGGATTGAAGGTTGGCTTCGGGGAACAGCCACATAGTACACAAATCGAGGTTGATCCCGCATCCCAAAGGGAAAACAACCAGCTCGATGACGATAAAGGCAGCCACCTAGTCGCCAATGTGCGTGTCAATTCTTTGCACCAATGCCTCTACCACTCTGCACTGCGCATCACGAACCTTGATCACAAGCAGCTGCTGCCGCACCGCGCTCCGGACGGCTCTTCCCGCGCTCTTGACGGTCCCGACGGTCAGGACATTCAAATAGAGCGCGAGCATGATCCCGACGACCGCATACCCGAGGGCCACCGCGAACGCCTTCTCCGCATTCCCGTCGCCTAGCGCCATGCGCGTCCAGAACTCTTTCGCGTTCTCCGAGGACACCCTCACCTCCTTGCCCAGAACGGCAAAATGTGGCTCGGCGAGCCGAACGACGGGATGCTCAGATGAAAGGATGGCATCCAGGATGGACGACCGCGGAGGCGCGGTCTCGATTGTTTTTTCTGTAACGCGCGACATGCCAAGGTATCCCGACACGACGCCCCAGGGCTGCGCTTTCAGTCGGCCGTACTGCTCACTTTAGTCAGCCGAGCTCAGAACGATCTATATCATTGTCAAAAACGCACCAGAGATGCGGCAATGAGAGAATAATCGTCGACGAGGCCGTTGTCGAGCCACTTGGACGCCCAGGACATCACCGGCCGGAAAACGATCCTGAGAAGCGCACCGACGATGCGAACGGTAGCAGGAACGACGACCGTCCCTATCAAGAACAAAACCGAGTCCGTAATAGGATCCGTGATGACGCGCATCACACGGATGGGCCAATGGAGGATCTGCAGCGCGCGCCGGGGATCGAGCTGGCGAATGCGAATGCATGAGTGCAAGCAGCATGGGACGACAGCGCGGACGCGAACGCACAGATAGGAGCGCCGTCGACTTGCCAAGCGTGAACGGGAGCCACACCGCCAGGCCGATGGCGGTGTCGAGCACGAATATCATGAGCGCAGCCTGCGACGCGCCCAGTCAGCCAGCCTGCAACGAGAAAACGGAATGGAAGCGCTCACGTTCTGCGCGATGGTGTAGATCGGCCCTCGCATCCCGATGGCTCCTCAGAAGCGTCAGTGACCGCAGCTCGACCATCTGAAAGTGGAAAATACACGACACACCTTCCAAGGCGCCGTCCATGTCGTCCTCGACGTTGATATCCATATCATCCACAGGCTCCAACGCCTGCCCATTCTCCCGGCCACCCTCACCTTCACCCTCGCCCTCAACCTCGTCCATCTCTCCCTCGTCATCGTCGTCTATCTGCTCCGGCCCATCGAACTGCGCCGGGTCCCACGCAGCGCGCCGCCGAGCCGCTCGCCGCGGAACTACCTCCATCACCTCCTCCTCATCGTCGTCGTCCTCAGAGTCCGACGGCACCACCGGCGTCGGCACATCCCCGTCCCGCTCAGCCACATGTCCCTGCTCACTAAAATATCTTGCATGCTCGCGCCTCAGCACCGCCGTCGAATCCTCGTCGTCGTCTGCCCCGTCCCCTTCAGCGACCGTATCCAAATCGTCCTCTGCGTCAGCAGCAGCACCAAGCTCGAAATAGTCCTCCGCCTCCGGCTGCTGAAACTCTTCCGGTGCACGGTACGTTGCGAGGCTCGGCGATGCGAGCTGCACCTGCTCCTTGCCCCAATAACTTCCCGCCGCGAGCGACGGCGTGGGCGGCGTCGTCGGCGCTGGGAGTGTCGCGCTCGGCATCGGCGGGCGGCGCGGCGGGGATGGCGGGCCTGAAGTTGCCGCCGTCGATGGTGAGGGCGATAGCGATGATGACAATGGTGGGGACGCGGTAGTGGACGCGGACGCGGACGACACAGGCGGGGGTGGGGACGCGACGATCGGGTATGGCAGAGGCGGGTACGATGGCAACGGCGCAAGCCGGGCTGCGAACTGCGGCGGGGGTGCGAATGAGAACGATCCGTCCGCGAGCGCGTCCGCCGTGCGTGCGCGCTGCGCTGAGTCGGTCGACACGGGCGGGAGCACGGGGCGTGGGCGGCTGTACATCGGCGCGCGCGCGCGATGCGGGTGCGGGGTGTGTGCACCGTGCGATGGGGGCTCCGCGGGCAATACAAATGCGTCTTCAGCCAGCGGTGGCCAGGTGTCGGGCGGGGCGAGCGCGCGCCATGCGGGGTCGTCGAGCTGCACGTCGACAAGCTCTTCGGGGAACGCGAGCGGTTCCTCGCCCTTCGCGAGGCTCTCGTCGCGGAGGCGCTCGTACAGCAGCCGGCGGCGCATAAGGAACTGGCGGCCCAAGTCATGGAAGTGCGCCTGCTGCGCGGCGTCGCTGAGCGTGGCGTCGGCGGGGACGGGGGCAAAGGCGTCAGCGATGCCCAGGCGCTCCATTTCCTGGCGCTCAGCGGTCCGGCGGAGCCACGGCCCGACGGTGCGTCTCGGGCCCGGCCGCGGCATAGGCGCCAGGATGTCCGTCGCCGCAGAGGCTTTGCGGGCGTCCGCACCCTGGCTCGCGACCGACGGCGGGATCCACTTCATCATACGCTCGCCGTCCTCCTCCCCCCTTTCTGCCTCCTCCTCCGACATTGCCCGTCCCTTTCCCTTTCCCCCGTCGTTTTGTTCCTCCAGCCGACGGTGGTCCGGCGGGTTCCACGTCTCCAAATTCTGCTCCAAATACATCAAGTCGGCTTCCAACTGTGCTTGTTTGCTCTCTGAAGCAATGCCCAGCGGAGCCGTAGCAGTACTTGCGTTGCTCGCAGTGTCCTCACTCCCACTCGGCGCGGGAGCATCAGCATCGGGGGCACGCCTTCGCGCGCGTAAAGGCAGGCGGCGCATCGGCCTCTCCTCTACCGGCGGCGGCGCCGCCTCGCGCTCGTGCTCCTCCCGCGCTCCTCCCGCACGCATCGCATCGACCTGCACCTGAAGCGGCACGCGCTCTTCCTGCGCGGCGCGGAGCTCCTCGGCGAGTAGGTCCGGGTCTTCGAACACGCCGGGGCGCGCGTTCTGCGAGATCCACTCGCGGAGGAGGAAGACGGCGATGAAGGCGAGCACGATGAGCGTCGCGATGATCTGGCCAGTGAAGATGTCCTTGGACAGCGCGCGCACACGCGGGTGCGCGATGAGGCGCGCGAGCGGAGAAGCGGGCTCGGCGGCGATGGCGCCTGCGGCAGCGACGGTCGAGTTGTCGGGTGCGACGGTCGCGTTCACAGAAGGCGCGTGTACCTGACCGGTGAGGGTGTAGAACAAGGATTCATTGGCGGTCGTCGGGCGCGGACGGGCGCTGATCCACCACGCGCTGAAATACACAAGGGGCTCAACGGTCACTGCTGCTCGGGAACCCACGAAGCGGAGAGACGTACGTCGAGCTGCCCATCGCAAAATAGACTCGCCACGTGCAGATGGTGATGTACGGCAGCGCGCCGAGCCAGACGACCGCGACGAGGACCGCGCGCAGGCATAGGAGGATGGCGAAGAAGGTCTGCTGGGCAAAGCGGCGGAGGAGGAGGATGACGGGGAGGTGATCTGGCATGTTCTGCGCGTAAACTGGTTCCACGCGTCAATGACATCACGCGGGCCCGCCGCACGCGGACGGACGTGTAGACAGACTTACCCTTTGTGAACGCGTAGGGGTATTTGCACACGTCGCAGGTCTTTTTCTTGCTGTGCGCGAGCCATGTCGTCAAGCTGGCAGCGCGCGATATATTTCCACAGCGATGAGTAATTAAACGCGATCAGGACGTGCATAGGTAACTGACCAGTCCTGATGGATGTAGCGGATGGTGCCGGAGCACTTACATGGGTGAAACAAGGGCTGGTCTGGCTCCGAGGGCGCGCTGCAGATGCGACATGTGTCTGGTTGAGGGGCGTCGTCGTCGATGAGCGCCTGCGAGTCAGATGGCTGGATCAAACTGTAGAATGCGCACCTGGCTCCTCCTGCATCATGCCAGGAACGAATCTGGCCGAGTGCGTCCAGGACCCACAATATTAGATTGTATGCGACTGAGACAAAGGAATTGAAAGGAACGTTTGCAAATAGACAGGGACGGAGGTGGTGGTGAGAGGACGAGCAGAGCGTGTACAACAGCGCCGCTCGGTGATGATGAAAGGCTCGAGCGCTCACCGCCCGCTGACAAACGCACCTGCCTTTCCTGTCGCTGACCGCGGCGTTTGCCGGAGGCAAGTCAGCACGTCCGTATTCCAGCTCTCGTCTCCGTCCTACTATGCTAGCAACTGCTAGAAATGCTGCTATTAGTACCCACAGCTGCTCTGTAGTCTCCCACAACGCCAAGACTATCGAGGATTGCCATCCATTTGTCGGAAGTCGTGCGCTTCTGCTTCCGCTCGCGGCAGCTGATGGGGTTTTACCTATGAAGACATAGAGATGAAGGAAAGCAAGGAACCCTCTAATACATCTCACACTGTCTCAATCCACTTCTCTCGCTGATCGCGATTCACGATGCCATGTGCAAGAAATCATCATCGCTCCCATGACGGTCCTCACATCCCTTGTGCGCGTGCACCTTTGGGCTCATGGCGCGAATGATAAAAGCATCGCGACATTCGAGATTTCAAACCGCCCATCCTGTCGTACGAGGCCCTATCTGACACTGTGCTGTCTGATGGGACAAGAAAGAATAGAAAGCTGTCGTCATTGAAGCTTCAAGCCTCCAATCAGAGAACGAGTGCCATCTATCTAAAGCCGATAAGCAGGCGGACTGCCAAACGGCCTCCAATCTCTTCGCGAACACCCTCGTCGTCGAGCACGCGGTACACGGCCTGTGCCCTGCTGAAGCCATGCAAGAAAGCATATGCAGCGGAGGGCTCGCCGCTCTCGAGAAGGATGCACCATGCTGGCGCCATACCATATCGAGCCCGGACGCCCTCCAATCCACCAGAAGCCCTGCCCTGCTTCTCCCCCTTCGCGCATAAATACCATGGCTTCTGGCACTGTCGCTTCTCCCCACCCCCAGGTCAAGCGGCTCCTCTACGATGTTGTCGTTCGTCCTCTTCCTCGGCGCCGTCCCCGCAGCGCTTGCGTCCCTTCACGCTCCCCGCTGGGACGATCTCAAGGTCAAGCATGCCTGGCACGACGTCCCCGAGGGCTGGCTTTGCGACGGCGCACCTCCTGCCGATACGACCATGGACCTGCGCATTGCCCTCAAACCCCACAGGGAAGAGGCCCTCGTCGAGGCCCTCTACGAAGTGAGCGACCCTAAGCACACCCGGTACGCGCTGCATTCCATTCCACCTTGCATTCAAACTCACGTGTCTACCCCATGCGCATAGCTACGGCGCACATCTTAGCCCAGAGGACGTTGCCAGCCTCGTCGCGCCCCACCCCGACACGTCCGACGTCGTCTCCGCGTGGCTCACCCACCACGGCATCCCCTCCGACTCCATCCGCTCCACCCCCGGCGGCGACTGGCTCACCCTTTCCTCCATCCCCGTCTCTCAGGCTGACATGCTCCTCGGCGCCCAATACAAAGTCTACCGCCACGCACACACCAACGAGTCCCTCGTCCGCACCACCTCCTACGCCCTCCCCTCCATCCTCCACGACCACGTCAACGTCGTCGCCCCCACTACCTTCTTCGGCGTACCCCAGGCATACCGCAAGACCGTCTCCATCCGCCTCGGCGCGCCCGTCCTCGCCAATGGCGACGCCGCCCTGCGCGCCGAGATCGCCAAGCTCTCCCCCCTCGCGACCGTCCCCAGCAGCTGCGGGTCGACGATCACCCCCGCGTGCCTCCGTGCGCTCTACAACACCACCTCGTACACCCCCAAGGCGACCGCCACGAACAAGCTCGGCGTCGCGGGCTACCTCGACGAGTACGCCGTCCACTCCGACCTGAAGACCTTCCTCAACCGCTTCCGCTCCGACGCCACCAGCGCGGACTTCACCGTCGTGCAGGTCAACGGCGGCGGGAACGACCAGAGCAACCCAGGCTCAGAGGTATGCAGCCCACGCTACGTCGGGCGCGCTTCATCCGTGACGCTTTTTGCAGGCAAACCTCGACATCCAATATACCGAGAGTATCTCCTACCCGACGCCTAACATTTACTACTCGACCGGCGGCTCCCCGCCGTACAAGGCGGACGGCAACACCCCGACGAACACGAATGAGCCCTACCTCGACTGGCTCGACTACATCCTCGCCCAGAGCTCGATCCCGCAGACGATCACCACCTCCTACGGCGACGACGAGCAGACCGTCCCGCCCGACTATGCGCAGAGCGTCTGCACGCTCTTCGCCCAGCTCGGCGCGCGCGGCGTCACCGTCCTCTTCAGCAGCGGCGACTCGGGCGTCGGCGGCGGCAACTGCCGCACCAACGACGGCACCAACACGCGCAAGTTCATCCCCAACTTCCCCGCCACCTGTGAGTTGCACCTCCGTCGCGCCGCATGCAATCTCTGACCGTTCCGGCAGGCCCGTACGTGACCGCCGTCGGCGGGACGACCGGCGTCAACCCCGAGGTCGCGGCGAGCCTCTCGAGCGGCGGCTTCTCCAACTACTTCGCGCGCCCGAGCTACCAGAGCACCGCCGTCTCCAACTTCATCACCAGCATCGGTACCAAATATTCGGGCCTCTACAAGTGCGTGCGCCCTCTCGCCGCCGTGCCTCGCGCGCGCGGAATCATGCATTTTGATGGTTGTTGATGCTGATGATATTGGGGTCTATAGCGCCAGCGGCCGCGGCTTCCCTGACATCGCAGCCCAGGCGGAGAACTTTCAGATCGTCGTCGATGGGAGCACCACCGCCGTCGACGGCACCTCCTGCTCCGCGCCCGTAAGCCCCCTCCCTTCCTCTCTTTCCACGCACTCGCACATTGCTAAACCCCGCGTGCCCTCCTCGCAGACCGCCGCGGGCGTGATCTCGCTGCTCAACGACTTCCTCATCGCCGCGGGTAAGGCGCCGCTCGGCTTCCTCAACCCGCTGCTCTACTCGACCGGCGCAGCCGGACTGAACGACATCACGTCTGGCTCGAACCCTGGCTGCAGCACGAGCGGGTTCACGGCCGTGAGCGGATGGGACCCGGTGCGTACTCTCCCTCACATATATTTATACATACGTGCGCGTGTGCGCGCGCGCTCCGTCGTGGCCTCCGTCGCGAGTCGATCTTCGTTGAGTCTCCCGCTTCACATTCTGCCCTCTGTGCTCCGCACGAGAGACAGGAAACGCGAACGCGGCAACAGAAAGAGAGAGCGCGCGCATAAACCTCGGAAATTGCAGGCGTGACTGACGCGCTTCCGGACTGGTTCTAGGTCACGGGACTCGGCACGCCCGACTTCGGGAAACTCCAGGCCATCGTTGGCTGAGCTGCAGCCGCGACCGCGTCACGCGCGGCCTGTCCCATGCAGTCCTGTCCTATACTTACTGTACTCGCACGTACATACCACGACTGACGGCATCGCGCGCTACTTACGACCACGACCATGTATTGATTAGTACTGTGCCCCGCGCGCTGCGGCTGTATGTGTACGCATATGACTGAACGGGACCCTACCGATGCGCGAATTTACGTAAACACGCCCCGAGGGGCCGCGGCAGGCTGTTTCTGCTCTGCGGGGATGGATCGGCAGGTAGCAATGCCTTGCGCGAGTCCCGTTCTGCGGTTCTGGCAGGCACACTGCAGGTACCCGCGCAGGCGCCAATACGTAGAACGACTATCTTGTGGGTAGGGGCCGCTACGGAGACTGGCGCAGGCGTGTTTCGCATGATCCGCCGCAGCGCTCGGGCGGTCATCTATCAGTGCTAGTGCCTACAGTGGATGCACGGCTCGCGCCTGTGGCGTAACTTGGTTTATATTCGGTACTGCGTGGTACATGCGTGCTCATGCGGCTAACGTCGAGCCGCGACGCGTCCACATCTTGTCCCCGTCGCATCTCGACTCCGGCCTCGGCCAGCGGCTGTCGATCCCGACCGACGTCGATGATCAAAAAAATACGCGCGGGCGCGCGACGGCTGAAACGGCTGGAAGGACTGAAACGGTTGGCAAAAGACACACGCTGCCTGGCACGACGTCCGCCCCGACACGACAGACACGACACGACACCGCCGCCCCGACTGCGGTCCGTTGTGGAGGCGGTTATATTAGGCTGACAAAGCTGTTGCCGCAGAAGAGACAGCGGCGGACGGCGCCGAGAAGCGCCTCGACGACCCAGCTCTGCGCCGCGGGCGGGAGCCATGCGGGGCGCTCCGCCACGGACGGATGTCCGGGCGGGAGGAACGCCTTGCGGGTGCACCCGACGCATGTGCGCACCATGGGTGTCGCGAGGATGAACGACGTTATGGAGCAGCGTGCTGCACGGCGCACGCATGTGGAACCGGTGAGAGAAGCATGGGGGAATGACGCGGAGCGATCGCGCACGCGTCAAGACGGGGAGTTATGTTATGTGGGTCAGCCACGCGAAACAGATGTCGTTGATGACTGACGCACCCCACATATGTCCGTTGGCACACCGAGCGCTCGCGATGTTGTCCAGAGCAACCTCTATGCCGCAAGCAGGGCATGTTTCCTCCAGCCCAGACGATCCTTCTTGATCATTGCCGGGCGGCAGCAGCGCATTGACGGTGTTTGATAGCTGGTGTGCTTCGGTTGAAAGGTCCTCGGGGGTACCTGGGAGAAGCGATTGAAGCACAACCCGCAACAGGAAAGATGTGTCCTGCTCTGCACACAGCTTCAGCCAACGCAGAGGGATAAAACACGACGGCGAGCTGGCGTACTGGTAAGCAAGGTTGTGATCGCTGCAAGATGCCTGATTAACGCGCGCAAGACACGATGGGATATCGACTCCAGTATGGACTGAGCGACCAAACCAAATTTCCCCTGTGCTTCAGGATTGGGAGCGTATTTCTGCGACAACGTTCTTCCATCAGTTATCAGACGCAAGCTCAAGCATGTGACCGAAACGTCACCCAACAGAAATCTGCGATTGCCAGAAGTAGACGCAAAGAGAGCAGAGTGTTGAACCCGAAGAGATGCTGTGTGAGGCTCCGACCAAAGTCCGTGCGGACATCGGCGGTGAACTCCCTGGTGAACGGTGGGATCGCGATCGAAGTGGATTCATCAACGGGGAGGTCTCGTAAAGTCTCCAATAGGCGCAGCTGTAGCTGAGATATTTTGCCCGTTTTTTGTAGATGGAGAAAAATAGGACGGAGGATATGAATTGGTGCATGACCGGCAGCTGACAGCTTTAGTCAGATGATGAGCATTTTTTGGTTCTAGCCTCGACCATACCGGCACTCGAGTTACGGGTGATGTTCAAGAGCATCTCCATGAACATATCGTCTCCAGGTGGTGTCCACATTTCTGCCACCACGAACACGCTGTCATGTTTGGCCTCATGCTTGTAGCTGAAATCCGAGGGGCAACAGGATCTAGGCTGGCGTGAGGTAAGTCCACGGATTCGCAAGATTTTAGCTCACTCATGGACCCAAGCGACTGTTGATGCTTCGTCATAAGAGATCATACCACTCATTCGACCCATATCATCCTCTGTCGCTTGTTTCTCACTCTGCAAAAATACGGCACGGGCCGACGAAGAGAGCGCCCAGGACGACAGATCAGGGCCCATTCCACTGACCGGCGTCTCCAAGGTCGGTTCCGATGATACCTCGTAAATGACATGGAAAGACCCGTCAAAAAGGGACAGTACGATAAAATCGTGAGGGTCGTGGTATGTTATTCCAGTCACCGGATGGAGAGAAGAAGCACCGGCGGATGTCTTTTGGGTCCGAAGCTTGAATGATCGCAAGCCAGACCATAGCCCTACGTTTGACCACAAGTGAACTGTTCCTGGTTTGCAATACACGAGCACCGCCTGAGAAAACAGGAGGTTTCATTCAAAAATAACTTAAAAAAGGACCATAAACAGACCTCTTTTGAAGGCAACACAATCCATGTCACACCTGTGATGCCTCGCTTATCGACGGATTCGGGTCTTTTAGCCAGAATCTGGGTTTGTACCTCAATGCGATATCGAGGTGCAAATGATTCTGAAGTTTTTTCCGTGCGAAGAGTTTGCATGATGCTTGCAAGAAGAATAGAGCCGTCAGAACTGCTGCATGCTATGAGAGCGCTACCTATACCGCCGATGAACAACGGTCAGCTCAATCAAGCGATCAAGACATAGCAGACAATTCATAAATATTGATTGGAACAAGAGCCTACATGTATAGGGACGCAATAATCTCCACGGCGACCACGCAATGGCAGTAATGCATTGCTCCGTAAAGTCGATTGTGTTGACATGCTCAAGCGCCCCGGTTTGGCTCTCCTGAAACCTATGTAGCGCCGCATCAATGTCCAGATTGGCGGCAACCACGAATGCCTCCCAATTACCTCAGCAAGACTATCGAACCCACTTTGTTGCCAACGGCAAGAAGTGACCCATCACAATGCGAAGGGATGACTCCAAAGTCGCTTTGTGCCGACCACGCAGAACCTAAAGGAGACATCAGCACTAACACACAATGATGCAAGTGAAATCGACCCACATGTAGCCTGGGCCTGAAGAGTTTTCCTCATCATGGACGTTGAGCTCGTCGCCGCTAGAGATTTCAAAAAAGGCGTAACATCTTGAAGCTACATATGTTAGCCATTCGCGTGCAAGCGATAGGATATAGATTAGTACCTTCACCCATTTACCGTTCAGGTGATTCTTCAAAGGAACCCACAATGAGAGTTCCAAGTTCGAATTGATGATTGCCAATACACAGCTACATGGAAATCAATCAGATCAATAACTGATCGCCCATGCGCATACATACCCGGCATCTGCGGTTATATTACTGGGTGAAACGGAAACAGACCGGAGGGCCAGGTCCAGTGACCCCAGCACCACAGCACTCCATTCTACAACACGACATATCTCATCAGTAGGTGCCTAATTAATTGATTTGGCTCGCAAGTACCTTGCGAATCGACGGGCCAATGGCAAGCGATGATTCGGTCGTACTCGATCATGGTTCTAAACAAGGAAAGTGGCTTGGTGGGAGCGGCATCATCGTTCATTTTCGAGGCCTTGATTGTCGACGAAGAGTCAAAGTTGATACCTGCGTCAGGAGTCTGTCGAAGCAATTCGGTTGCAAAAGGCCATCCGGTCAAAGTACGATCACCGAAGCCAATATCTCTACGTACGATGATATAGATAGCTGTTTTGGTGAGGAAAAGAATTTGCCCATCATTTGTCCATTGCAAACAATTGATGGAAGGCTGTGAGCCCGCGGCCGGAATGGTGAGAGCGTCGTGCACCGTCATTTACAGTATCTCTCTTTCCTCAAAAAATTGGCCTTAAACTCTGTTTCGAGCCTGGGTCCGTCTAGTAATGAGCATCAGGATGTGGATTCAGTGCCTCTTTACCACTTTGGCGTTTCGTAGATGCAGAGCCAATGCTTGAGTGGTGTGGCGAAGTACTGTGCTAGCCGATCCGTCAGGCCAGTATGAGAGCTGGGTTTGCAGATGGTCGTCGGTGATCATCGCATCACAAAAGTTGCTGGGCCACCATATGCTTCTTTTCATGACTAATCAATGCTTCACAGCTTGCGCCACAGACGCGTCGTTTCAGTCTCGTTACCATATGAGCACGGCGGCTGGGTCTTTAATAATTCCACTAACATGACAGTCTGTGCAGTCTATCTACCGCTCCAAACAATATGCTCATACAGAAGACCAGGACCTCACGTTCTGTTACCTCCATATGACTTCGAATGATCTACAAGTCATCGACACCGTCGGGACCTTGGAATATCTAAAGGGAGACTTATCGGATGATGGTGCGTGTTTTGGTCTTGTTTCACCAGCTTTGCCACCAACTTGAATCGTAGAGATGGACATTCCACCACACATGATCCCCCCAAATCCGGACGACTCAGACAGTTCGTGCACATAATGAGATCATATTCACTTCATCTCATGTTTGACCTCACAGTTCTTCCCTCTCATGTCCACCCGTCTTATCCGTATGGTGATCCCACAAACATCAAGCACCCTGCTGCTCGGCCGCGTGTGCCATATGACCCTGCGTCTCGAGCCTTGTTCGAGGACATGGGCTATGCTGGTGGTGGAGCAAATGGCACACTGAGATGGAAGGACCTCGCACTCGATATATTACTTCCTGTAGATTATGAGAAGGAAGAAGCCGAAAAGGCCGCCCAAGCGCGAAAAATGGCGAGCGGGACTGCCTCAAATCATCACCAAACTGCTCAACAAGTGCCCGGGGACATGGCAATGGAAGAAGAGGACGTCGACGACGAAAATGATGAGAACGAGAACGACGAGAACAATGATGACGATGAAGAAGACGAAATGGATGGTGATGACGCGGGAGACGAGGAAGGTGGGTAAAGTGAGGATAGGTCATTCGAGCAGGCGACTTTTGTCCAGTAGCATTCACACATTATCTGTAGATTACACTTGAAACAAGGGAGTCACCAACATCCTCTTGGAGTAAATCCTTGACACTAAGGTCATGTTCGACTGCCCACTCGTAGGCTTCCAAGAGAACCGTATCTGTCAATGGCACAGAGTGATTTGCCAAAACTCGAATGATGTTCGTCACACGGGATATAGCGATCCTGGTCGCGTTGTCGATTTCCTACACAATCGTAAGCAAGTCTCTGGGAGGTTTGTTTCAAAAGGGCATAATTACATCATTTCGATTCGAATACACAGCTTCCGTATCGAATCCTTCCTCGCCTTCTTGTTCAGTCACTTTGACGTGCTTGCTCACCCAGATATAACCGTTGAGACCGAGGATCAGGTCAACATCACAGGGAAGGGTGACAAAGTGGGATTTGAGGCGGCGGACAAGCACAGGCGGAATAGTGACCAATTGGCCGTTTCGCAGCTTGTATGATTTTTTGTGAGGTAGATGCGGTATCTTTACATGCCTCACGTACCTTGCCGTACTTGAGTGATCGGGTGTGGAGGGACATCGCCCCGTCGGAAAAGAAAGCTTGCACTTCCGCGACAAGTAAATCACCCTCTTCGAAAAAGTTGCGCATTTGCAATTCGTCGCTTTCTAGCTTTCGCCGCTGATGTCCGATGTCAGTCAAAATCACATTGCGAAAATTGAAGGGGTCGACGTGCTTGGACTCCACCAGGTAAGTTCACGGAAGACAGCATCAAGACAGCGTCTTGGCGCGAGTTAGCATCAACCTTCCATCGTTTTGGCTGGACCTGCACCATAGACGTCGGATGCTTAGCGAAACATGTAGTAGCAGGATCATTGTCTTACCTCGCTGATGCGGCCCACGACGAGGTCTCCGACCTCGGGATTATACCTGTTTGACATGAGCGTGACAGAAAAATTTCGGTCTGCTTAGCTTACCTCGTCCGCATCGCACGTACCGTTACTAGCTTGTTGACGCGTTCAACGACACCAGCCACTGACGCGATCACTTCATCATCTTCCACATACGTTCCGTGGCCACTAAAATGCGGTGTAAAATAGCAGAGGGCGGATGCTCAAGCATGAAACCTACCGCATGAATGCCTGAGAGGATGTCAGTGGTTCACCAGGACACGTTAGTTTCGATGGATTCATTTCGAAGTCATCGTCGAGATCGACGTTCATGTACGCGTCGTCTGTCATATCAGGATGGAGATTCGCGGACCCGGCCGTGTGCAGAAGTCCGGAACTAGAGGGGAACGATGTAAAGTCTACCATGATACTGTCGGACACTCTTGAGCGTCTGCGATCGACGTGAGCGCTCGCAGCCTGGAAGTCGAGGTTGAACGGAGTTCCGAACTGCAAAGTTTGTTTCGGCGTTCCACGAGTGTGGCGCGGTCGGTCGCCGGCCGGCAAGCCCCATCCGTGATACGTTTCATGGAGAATCGAGTTGATGAATCAAAGTTCTTTATAGATGGGTTTGTTACCTTCTCAACGAAACGTACGAAACACATGCCAAACGTAGAGATGATGAGCTCGTCAAGTCCTATAGGATGAAAGCAGTGTCACAGCAACGAACAAGGCAATCTTGGGTAATATACAAGGTTCGATAACATGGTATTGGGACGGTCAAATGGTAGCAATTCAAAAGTATCGAAACTTCACATGGTAGTCAATGGCAGATTCATTATCTGAACGTTGGTGTTTTTTTTCCAACGTGTGACAGGGTTGGCCGGAATATTGGCGGCATCTATCCTAAGCATTCATATGTCGCCCATGGGCAGCTACTTGTCGTCAATCAGACTTGCTGACAACCCTGAGGGAGATCACGAATGGTATCGGACTTCGAACGTACCGCGGTGTCAATGAATTTCGGACGTAAACTCATGAGTGTCTTGAATGCTTGAATTTGTCTAAAAGCTGACATACTGTTACAGGAGAGGCTCATTGTACTTTCGGTTTACACCGTCGATGATTACCGAAATCCGGCTTGCAGATGCGAAACTGATCAACGGTTAAATATAAGAAAGCTGTGCGCCCCTACTTTGGATACGTACGATGCCAGAAATGGCAGGGATCCCGGCGGTAGCAGTAAGCTTTGTCAGATTTGGCGCTAGGCAGTAGGCAGAATGGCATGTGAGAAGTCATAGGACCATAGTGAAGGATATATAGTCTATCAAGGATACAACAGCATTATAAATAACAGAGTCTCATAACATAACAAAGCAGCTACGATGAAAAGGGGTGAGCCACTGGAGAAGCGAAATATCAGGTAAGTTGGTGACTTACGTGGTATCATTTGTAGGCGAGGAAATAAGCAGATAAAGCGGGCAAGTCGTTTGACCCGGCGTCTGAGTACCCTTGTCTCCGTGATCCGTTATATTTCAGCACAATGACTGATCCACACCAAGCTTTTGCTGCAGCGCCAGATGTTATGCGATAGATGGCCCGATTGATAGGTGTATTGGAGGACAAAGCAACTGGAGAGTACCAAACTTGCAACGGGAATCTTAGGGGCTCGCCGTTGAGACCTTGTGTCAACACAACACTGCCAGTCTGGCCGCCTGGAAAGTATTGTGACACGAGTGGAGTGGGACAAATACCCTGCGCAGGTGTTTGTGTGGGCTGACAGTTGATGGTGATTATTCGAGGGCGCTCTGTTTTGTGGGAAGAGGTCAGAAAAGAAAGTTACGGGAAGAGTGGATTCAATGCCAACCTTCTTCAGGAGCAAATAGAATAGCGGACACAGTGATAAGTTGAGGTTGGGCCGGCGGCGGCGTGGCAATGACATTGTACTGTTGATGCGTCGAAGCTGCCGGCACACACTCACGTCGGTGACGCGGCCAGTCCTTAGAAGGGAGATGAGGGTAAGCGCCAGGGTCATAAGCCAAAAAGTGGCGCATACGCTGTTCAAGTGTTCCGGGGAGCAGTACCAAGCATTCTGGCAACGACTGCACCACATAGAAGTTGGCTGGCAGCAGACCGCACAGGGATGGCTGATGAGAGGGATGTTGGTGCTCATGGCTTAGGGAAGAAGTGAGAGGGTGGTGCGAATGTAATTAGAGGCCTTAGCTGGACCATGCCAGCTTTTATTCCGATGGATGGCGGAGTTGATTTTCCTAAACATTCAGAAATCACTATTTAGTTCTCACCTGTGTTAGAAAGCAGTCCGGAGTAGTGACGTCTAGCGACAAGAAAATAAGGACACCCGGGCTCTGGAGAGTCAACATAAAATCAGGGACCGTTGTGATCCATTCGTGATGGAGCAAGCGGATGCGCTGAGATCAAGATTAGTCCAATTAGCCTCTCCCCCGATGCGCAGCCCACGAGGCTATCCATTGCGTACAGCGCCTAGGGCGAGGCATGTATGATGTAACTCGGAGCGAGATGGGACGAGAGTTCAAGTACAGAGTCGCGCGCTTCAGGGACGAGTGACAAGTATCAGAGAGGTGTAGACTTTCATCGGGTAGTGGATGCATCAAAAAAACAGAACTGCCTTTGATGTATGAAACCGAGTTGTGTAAACTCAGGAACAGGAGTCGATGAAGGAGGCAACTGGCACAAAATCACCACAAAATATATCGACACAGGGCAATCAGCCGTAGATGCAGAGAACAAGATGGTGACACGGCAGACGGAGGACTATCTGTAGGCATGATGCTGTTATTTTTTAATGATTTGCTCCAAAATGGTCGGCCAGACTCGCCTTAAACAGGCTTTTTCCAGAACGTAATCGCGGCTGAACAAACATTGGTCCGTGATGCGGGTACCTGGACCAACCTATGGCAACAAACTGCTGTTCGACGTACGACAACAATAGCTGAGCGAGCTCATCATGCCTCATGAACTATGATTGTTCGACATATATAGTCAGTTTAGTTAGGTAGTACTTCAGGACAAAATCAGATGAGTCTGTGACAGTTACGTCACATCTGCTTATATAATCCAATCTGAACGAAGCTGGAGATTCGAAGTCGGCCAGAGCAGTACATTCACCATACGATCCGTTCCCCACTTAACGTCCAGACAACCATCATGTCTGACGATGAAATGAACATTGATGAAGGTGCATTTTCAGTGCTATCCCAGCGAGTGTTTTAGCTAATTTAAACTCATTAGTGGCTGCAGGAGGTGGACCTGTCAGGAAGAGAGGGCGCGGGTTTCAAAATTCTACTGGCAAGTCCCCGGATCTATGATGTATTCAGTTCCCGGGAACCTGATGACTTTTATTTGGGTTTGGGCTTTCCAGGCAGCAACGGACAAGGTGCCACCTCAGAACAGACATACGACCGTGTCGAGACCACTCAAGCGAGAGATGCGGACACACGAGCAGCACGTTGTGAGTCCCGGTCACTTTCATGTCTCTGATCAAGTACTGACATCGTGTATGTCTCTTAGCTGTTGAGGGTTGGATCGTGCTTGTAACAAATGTCCATGAGGAAGCTACCGAAGATGATGTGACGGAGAAGTTTGCTGAATTCGGGGAGATAAAAAACCTTCATCTGAACTTGGATCGGAGAACCGGTTACGTGAAGGTACGCACTACTGCCCTGGTCTGTGCTACTCTCCGTCAATGGCTCACACATGGCTCAGGGCTATGCGTTGGTGGAGTACGAGACCATGGCGGAAGCACAGGCCGCCATTGATGGCGCCTCTGGAACCACGCTGTTGGAACAAACCCTTCAATGCGACTACGCCTTTGTTCGTCCTCCACCTTCTGGTCCCAAGAAGGGTAGAGGAGGCCGTGAAGGCCGGGGACGGAGTGCGAGCCCATCTCGCCGACGGGATTGATATGGGTTGTTGTGTGTAGTATATCCGACTTGTTCTATCAGCTTTTCACCAATCATTTTGTCAAAATTTTTCACCCATGATTCGTTGGGTGTAATCCTATCGCATCCTTGCTGCTGAGATCTGAGACGAGATTCAAGAACATGTCTCTTGTGGTGTTTTTGAGGTGGCCGGGGGCTTGAATCGCGGTATTCCCACGGGGAGGCTTTGTTGAAGCCACCAGTCAACACGCTGTCACGTCGCGCTCAGCCACTACCTCGTTGACCCCACTGTTCATCATAATTCGTCATGGCTCGTGCCCAATTGGCTTCTGAGAGTGAAGGGGAGTCAGATGAGGTTAAGCACTCCTCCAAGACCAACAGAAATACCGCCACTGGGGAAGAAAGCAACAACGAGGAAGAAGCCCGAGAAGGTAACGGCGAAGAGGATGATGAGCCAGAGTACGAGATTGAGCAGATCTTGGACGCCAAAAATGGCGTGTTCCCGCAGGTGTGTCTCTTTGATTCGGGTTTGGCGCGTCTTTCCAGCTTCAACGCGACGTCTATGATACCAGGGAAGGATGGGGTACTTGGTTAAATGGAAGGGTTTCAAGGAGGAAGACAACAGCTGGGTTGATGAGGAAGATGCCAGGTCAGTTCGTACATGTGCGCGATTCCCTTGTATACTGACGCATATGCCTGTCAGGAACGCACACGATCTTATTGAGGCATTCTGGTCCAAGAAGTCAAAGGAGAATAAGGGTAGGACGGCGCGCAAGTCGGATGTAAAGCCGTCTGCATCTGTCGGTCGTGCAGGCCGGAAGTCTATCGTCGATGAAAGGGTTTCCGACGACGAATCGACCTCTACTAAGAAGCGTGGGAGAGGCAGACCACGAAAGAGCAAGGTCGACTCAGAGGATGAAGAAGATGAGCGCGCTAGAGTCAAGAAGAAAGCGAAGACGAACGGGTCGGCCAAGGCCAGAAAGGCATCTACTCCTGTTGATAATAATGAGAAAGATCCAATTGTGCCAAGCACCATCAAGAAGTATAGGGATTTGACCAGCTGGGAGGACCTCGTCGCAAAAATTGAAACTGTTGAGAAGTCGGGCGACGATCTCATAGTGTTTTTCAAGCTGTGAGTCCGTCATATTCTGCCTTGAAACTGGTGTTAAAACGCGCTTTATTCTGACTGTCAGGAAAAAGAATGCGGAGCCTTGCAAAGAGGTGTCCTCAATTTGCAACGAAAAATTCCCGCAGAAGGTACGTTGTTGAGGAATGAACGCTAGATATCCCTTCACCGACGGCTTTGTACGACAGATGATACAATTTTACGAGTCAAATTTGCGCTGGAAGCACAGCGAATTATCTGACGAAAATGCCGGCTCCGATCAAGCTTGACATAGCCGGTCTCATGCTTCCCCTTTGTACACTTCAATTTTTTGTATTCTGATATTCTTGCCTTGCTGATTCATTTTTTTTCGCCTCGACGATTCGCTCCACTATGCTTTCAAAGCTGATAGATAAATCAAAGAACTCCCATGTTCAGCCTCTCTGGACATGTGTCACTGATATTTACATAGGCATCCGCAGTACGACAACTACTGTACCTGAGTCAGGCGCGATGAGAAGCTCATGGAGCGTTATACGATGTTCGTTCTTGGTTAATGCCGGTGACTCTCAGTGGCTTGTGTAGGTTAGGTTCGCCATGCATTGGCGAGCTGTATATATTTCCGAGCCTGCTACTGATGGTTTCAGTTCAGCACTATGAGCTTGTTCTCAAACATTCCGTCTTGTTTTCCCTCATTTGGCATCCTTCGAGTTGTCGGGTTGAGGCACCGATCAGCTGGAACGCTAGATGTCTCCAGTGTAGTTACACATCTCTTGTGCGTCCAAGAAACCCGATATTGCGAGCAGTTCTATTCTTGAGCCTATGGGCGATGTCGCGGACGGCTCAGCGAAACATGCTCCCGATCAATGACGAAGACGTATAGAATCGTAACCAAAGGGAACAATGCTATTTATTACACGCAATAGCCCGCAAAGCGCTCTTGATGTCGCCGCGATGAAAGACGAAGCAGAGTGGTTCTTGGCAGTAGCATGATAAAATATCAATCATAACGCGTTAGCTTTCAGCATCGCATGCCCCCAAATGAACCACTGACTTTGACATGCCAAACCTGGTCCGAAAAGCGCGTACATACTTACATGTTTCTTCGATTGAACGTGATGTCGTCCATGGAGACACACTGATGCCGTCAGTTCCGAGCGCCCGGCCGCGTGAGCTCAGCGAGTGGCCATGCGTTGCGAAAGCACACTGTGTGGTGAAGACAGGACTGGCGTTTCAAGACATATTAGTATGCGCGTGCGAGGCGAGCGCCAGGACGCATATCAGGCGCTGGCCGAAGCTTGGGTACACGGTGAGCATCTGATTCATCAACTGAAGCTACAGGCAGGATAATCCCAGGCTCTGTCCTGTTCCCGTCAAAAGCTGTGATGATGATTAGATTGTAACTGCACACGGCAACGACGGAACCTGATGGACTAGACGGATCCGAAGGTGGAAGACATCTGGCATTGACTAGCGTGTTTGACTAACCACAGCTGAGACATGGTGACATGTACGAGAGTACTGGCAGTCGAGGAATTGATAACCATGGAGAGCAACGTATAAGCATGCGCATAGACTTTAGGGAGAAAATACGTCCAACAAAAATAGGTTTCTGTAACGGAGTCCCAAGCAGGCAAGTCAAAACGTGCCTGACAACTATAGACCCACTCTGTGTCGTGGACAAGGAAAAGACGAGACTCACAAATAGCGCGAACCCAATCAAGGCGCAGATGGCAACGCATCACAATTTATCACTCTCACAGCTCCTCACGAACGGGTGGTGTAATGGCAGACGATACCGGCACGTCAGACTGCGCCTGCGCCTCCACTTCACGAGCTATGCTGCTCGCGACCTTCTTAGCGCTATTCGCTTGCTCCTCGGGTACGTTCTTGTAGCCTAGCAAGGCTTGCGCGCGCGCTAGTGCCTCCTCAACCTCCTCCTTACCACGACCGATCACATTGAGCACTGCCTCTTTCACCTCACCTCGATCCGAGGGGACAGGCAGAATGGATACCAATGGCTCCTTCGCCGCTCCCACGTCCCCATCCAATACATCTTCATCTGAATGTGCATCCTCCGGAACTTCACCGCCGAAAGCACGATCACCGCTGCGTTTGATGCGACGAAGTCGTGTCTCAAAGCCGGCGATGATATCCTTTACTTCCGACTCAAGCTCCTCAAGGGCTGGCTGCACGGGGTTGATGGGCGGCGAAGGATGCGAACCGTTTTGGACAGATTGTATATGCACCGTGAAGTTATCGCTTTCTGTGATGAATCAAATTGGTGAGGATGCAGCCGAGGTGAGCCAGACTCGCGATGCTCACGCTTAAGGAGGTCGTGATAGCGTTGCCAGTCCTGGTATGTTACATCATCTAGCCAAGCGTAGTCGAGACCGATGTCTGCCTGTGCGCGGTCAGCGAGATCCCTGACCTCAGCAGCCGCCTTCACTACCTATTAGAGAACAAAGACAAGGAACAAGACATTAGATGCGTTAGAGATGGCTGATGTGTCAACGCCTGTACCTCTTCTTCTTCGCTGCTCAGAGCCTTGTTATACCAGTCGTTGACCGTAACTTCAGTCTCTTGAAGACGATCATTGAATTTCGCATCGACCTTCTCAACGACCTTCGACCACAAAGTGAGCTTGTCCTGCTGCGTCCTCGAGTCCTTCCTGAGGTTCTTCAGGTAAGCTTCGGCACCTTTCAGGAACTTCTCGGCTTCTACCACCAGGCCATCGATGCTCCCCTTGATATCCTTGGAGGATTTCAGTTCGGCGGTTGCGGCTTTGCGGAGCGCGACAAGGGACTTGCGGACAGCCTTCTTTTTCTCTTTGATCATTTTTTCCAAATCGTCCTCCCATTGAGTATGCCGTGCCATGAGCTTACGCCGTTTCTCGGCAACTTCCTCCTTATGCACACGAAGGCGCTCCGCTTTCTCTTCCTCTGTCTCGACCTCCTCGTGCACGGCTTCTTGCTCGTCAGGAACGGCGTCTTCCTCGTTATCCAGTCCGAGATCGGCGGCAAACGCATCAATGTCAAACTCATCGAGATCATTGGTGATAGGCGGAGCCAAAGGGACGGAAGATGACGACGGGGTAGGGTCCAGCGAGGAGGTAGAAGAAGGTTCAAGAGTCTCCGACACGACCGGGGCGCCTGTGTGTACAGATTGGAGAATAACGGACGCGGCAGACTCTACTGTTTCGATGCGTTCTGGGGCAACGGCGGACTCGGTGATAGCAGAATGATCGATTGATGATGTCGATGGAGAACCGGCAGTAGGGATGATGACCACCGGAGTAGATCCCACAGGCTCGGAGGCTTCTGGCTCCGCCGAAGAAGGGCTAGGTACAGAGGCAGGCGCAGGCGGGACTTGCTCAACAGCGGATGGGACGGGGATATCACCATTTGGGATTCCACTACTGAGTTCCTGCATCCGAGCCCAGATTTTCGCCACGTGAGGATCAACAAACTTGCGGCGCTGAATACGCAATAGCATGAGGAGATGTTTTACCAATGCCTTGACGCGTTCCCAGAGAGGGACAGCATAAGGCTTAGCGATCTGGTAGCCCGAGTAGGACTTCTGCGCCGCTAGAATAACATAGGGCTGTGTAGCACGCTGGAGCCTATTGGTGTTATGAATGGCCGAGCGCAGATAAGGTCCTAGCTTGGCCTCGTATTGATGCTCAATCGCTGTTAGGTATGGCTCGACCTGTGAGGTCACGCGGAGGTACTGAGGCACGACATGTTGCTCCCACTGAGGGACCACATGCTTGTTCCATTGAGGCACAACACGCTTCTCCCACTGAGGTACGACACGTTGATTCCACTGCGGTACGACGCGGTTGGTCCACTCGGAATGAGTGCGCAATGCAATCGGCATAGCGATCTGTATAGCACGATCGGTGTAGGGCTTCACGCGCTGAACATGCGGAGCAATGGAAGGATGTGCGAGAGCGGTATTAATGGCAGGAAACACGTAAGGCTCGAGGATGAGGCGGCGATATTCAGACAGACCACGGCAGACGGAAGATTCAAGTTTGGCGTCGTTGGGGCAAACAGAGAGCGTGTAGATGGTGAAGAAAAGGAGGAGATATCGAAGAAGGACATCGGCAAGGCCTGCGCGTCCCTTGGGTTTCTGATGGCGATGTCAATGGGTAATGATGCAGGAAGATGAAAAGGCAGCGAACCTTGCCCCCTTTCTTTGTTTTCTGTTTCGACTTTCCCTTCGTTTTCTTGGAGGCATCATCCTGATTGCATGATCAGCAGAATGCCCCATTAAGCACAATAAGAGAAGCAGGAAAGGACGCCTGAGCTGCAATGCGCCCTAGGCACGAAGTCGAAGCTAGGAGCAATCCGCCTATGAGATGGTGCAGTCGATACTCTACCAAACATGAGCGGCATTGTCTTCAGTGAAAAGGCATCACTCGGTTGAGACAGTCAGCGGTCGTGTAGTTTTATAACGGTATCACTAAAATGTCACGCGTCGTTCCGTTCCTGTCGGCCCCCACACTTTGGAGGATTTTTCAAGCACATGTGCGCCCTTGCGCAGCGGGCACGAGGGTAGAGCCACTCGCTACTCCGAGAAGAAGAAGAGAAAATGGAGAATGGGAGCACTCACGTTATCACGCGAGCTCCCCTTGGAGTCGCGGTCGGCGTTCTGTCCGTTTGCTAGAGCGGCGGACAGATCGGAGGCAATGGTCGTGCCCTGTCCGAGCTTGCTTTTTGTCGCAGCAGAGCGCGGAACGAGGTGCGAGGAGTTTGTACGAGAGGCAGGTGACAGTGGGGCAGCTGGTGCTTTGCGAGCCACGACCATGACGGCCTACGAGAAAGGCAGTATAGATAAACAGAAACGAGAGACCAGCAGCCAATAAAGCTGAAATGTATGGAGAGAACCAACGAAGGCTACGACGACGTGGAGGGAGGAAGGAAGAGGGTCGGTCGATCAGTTGGTTGCATTCAAGACGCGCCACCCTCTGACGAAGAGGGCTGATGTAATTCAGTCACGTGGTCGTCCCTTTCGACGTCTCTTACTCGTCCCTTCGGTTTCTTGGTCGGAGTCCCTCGCTTCCTTCTTTGCGTCTCAAGAATGGCGACGAAACAGTTGCAGAGACCGCCGTCCACGACGTACTCGCACCGAAAGCCACGCCTTCGACAGTCTAGGGCGTCGTCTTCGTCTCCGCTAAAAGCACCAGAAAAGGACGATGTCACACTGCAAGAAATGTGGCGTCGAATGAAAAAAAGAGCGCGACAGCCTACTGCGCCCGTAGCTTTGGATCCTCTCGAGGTAGAACACAACTCGAAAAGACACAAACAGGACTCGGACGTTACCGCGGATCTAGACAGCATCACGCTTCCGAATCTGTCTCGCGACTACATTATCCCCATCACGAGCAGGAATGGTAGTCTCTTTGATCAGTTCAAGACGCCTGCCAACGCTCCCCTTTCTCCACATGTCTCGCGCTCTCGATCTCGCCGCTCTGTCTTACCAGAACAATTCTCTCCGATGCCTGTTTCTCGCCACAAGCTTGCTCGGACCAGCTCTCGCAAATTAAAAGAAAATTCAAATATCTTGGATGGGCTCGCATCTCCTTTCCATAGTCGCCCCGGATCAAAGACAAGTTCTCCGGGGAAGAAAAAACTAAGGAAGAATCTACATGCAAAGTCTCGCACCCTCTCTGATTCTCGCCCTGTGGACCATTCTAGCACCGTGCAATCTCGGACGCAGGCCTCGTCTGTTCGCGTCGGCAAACCTGTGCATCATGCACGCTGTCCCTCTGGTCCCGAGGCCTCCACAGCGTACTTGCTTGACCAGATCTCAGACGACGACTGGTTTCGCCCCGCCAGGGCTCTGACTCAAGGCCCGTTTCTCGTCGACGCCATGCCTCCTGGAACACCGCAACCGGACTGGAGTTTCAGCACCGAATCATTTTACCGCGATTTCCCCCTGAGGACGTCGACTCCGGTGTCAAAGAAAAGGGCGTTTCGACTCGCTCACGACGAAGGGACTCCGAGCGCGCCGAACACTCCCGAGATGCGCGACAGGAATGCAGGAGAGGACGTCGTGATGGCAGATGTCAATACAAGTCCCGAACAGCCCCCTCGGCGCACGTACATTCACTACAGCAAAAATAGCATCTTTTCGTCGTCCTTTGTCGACTCGACCACCGCCCCGCTGTCTCATCAACGTTCAAAATCTTATGAAGATTCTCTTTCTTCCATGTCCTTGACCGACACGGTCGTATCAAGGAGTATTCCGGGATCGCACCTCGGCCATTTCGACATGGCGGACGGCATTGCTCCTGAAGTCGTCGCGACGCCATGCTCTAGCCCTATCGCCGAGGAACTCAGCGGAATGCTGGTCTCCATGGGCTTCTTCGGTAAGTTTGACCGCGCGATGCTGATTGTTCCGTTTCTTTACGCGCCATATGCGTGTCCCCATGCGCCTATATGCGTCTGCCACCGCACCCCCGTGTGCAGTCATGAGCGGCGGACGCATCCGCGTCCTCCCGCGGTCCAAATTAACATCCTATCGTTCCCCGAGCTCCCAGAATCTCAGCCTTACCCCTTACAGACCCACCCCCGACGTCGACCTCGAACGGCGCGCTCAACCGGTCTCGCTCGCTAGACAGCTCCGCGCTCGCGGGCGACGAGCCCGCGCAAGGCCGCGCTCAGAAGGACCTGGGCCACCGGCGCAACCGCACCCGCGCAGGCACGATCCGCGCCTCGGACTACGCGCATATATCCGCGAACAACGTGTCCGCGCCGCTGATCACGACCGCGACGACGACGCGCACGCGCTCGGGGACGATCCGGCCCGCGCGCGCGCCCGTGCTCGCGCGGACGAGCTCGGAGCCCGCGCTCGCGCCCGCAGAGGAGGCGCCCGTGCTCGCGGATGACGGGGATGAGGACGTCACGGTGTCGGATGACCCGCTCGATTGTCTGTCGTCCAGGTTCAGGGAGAACGGGGCCCCAGTGGAGCGGTGCGTGCGCAGGCGGGCGGGGACGAGGCCGATGCCGATGCCGATGTCGCGGGCGGTGAGGAAGCGCGTGGCGGAGATCGCGGCTATGGATATCGACGTCGGGAGCGACGAGAGCGACGACCCGCTCGATTGTCTGTCGTCTAGGTCTAGGGAGACCGAGGTGGTGGTGGAGAGGCACGTGCGCCGGCGGGCAGTAAGGGCGCGCGAGGCGGAGGACGTGGCTATCGGCGTCGAGAGCGGCGAGAGCGACGAGGAGCCGCTGTCGGTCGCGAGAGACGGAAGCAGAAGGGGGCCTTGACCGCGTCGGGATTTTTCGTTTTTCATTTTCGTTTTATTCTTCGCTGTGACGCGTTTCTTTTTCTCGGTTTCGGGGATCTCGTGCTCTGCTTTTTTCTGGGTGCTTTTTCTTGTCGACCGGCCGTGCTCGCCGTGCTCTGTCTCTCGCTCTCGCTACCCTGCTCTTTCCAAGTCTCGCTTCGTTGCTCTGCCGCGTCTGCGCTCGCTCGTGCTCTGGTCTCTCTCTGGCTCTCATGCCCCACGCTTCCCCTCGGTCCGTCGAGAACGAAACTCTCGATCGCCGCTTGTACCATAACTTCCAGCTCTGCCTGTCTCCTCTCACCGCTGCTGCTGCTGCTGCTGCTATTTTCTCACGCGCTCGCTCGATGCGTTTTTGGAGGCCGTGCGGCTCTCCCTCTGTCTCCGGCTCCGGCTCCGTCTCTAGCTCGTCTGTTCTGTGTTCTTGTTGCATTCGCCGCTTTCACTGCTTTCGACGCTCTCACCGCTATCGACTCTTTCGACGCTATCGATCGGCTTCGTCCATCACCGACTTCTGGATTCACTCTGCCGCCTTCTTGGGGGGGGGGAAATACATGTGTTATGTGTGAATCAGTATGCATATGCGTATTTGTATTCGTATGTGTATTTGTACGGGCGCCGTCGTCGCCCGTGGACGCTGCGCGCTGTTTTTCTGTAGTCCTGTAGGTCGGGATGTAATAACACCTTCGTGATGACGTTCGCCCGTACAGTAGAACTGAAAGAGGAGTTTCGTGGAACAAGGTGTGCGGGCGCGGGTGCGTGTACGGCCTCCTGGCGAGACGCGCAGCGCGCGCGATGTGCAGTCCGTGCGTCACGCCGTCGCGGCCTCCGGTGTATCCTCCACCGCCGCGTCAGCGTCAGCGTCCCCCTCGAGCAGAGACGTCGGCGGTGCCCACCCGGGTACCGGACGCCCCTCGCGGTCCTCGACGCGGCTGAAGAAAGCGGGGTGCAAGAAGCCGCGCGCGTCGCCCGCGGAGAGGACGACGCCGTTGTCGGAGAGGGAGAAGGGGATGCCGGCCGCGAGGGCTTTTGGGAGGTCGATGTGGATGAGGATTTGGGCGGAGGCGCGCATGCCTTTTTCGTGTGCGTGCGGGGGTGGGGGGAGGTTCAGAGGGGGAGGGGGGGAGGGGGACTGGGAGAGGGAGGGGGGGGGGCGTGCGTACCGCTTATGATGCCGTCGCCTGGGATGCCTTGGGCGAGGTGGATGTGGTTGCGGGACATCCTGGAGAGGCCCTGGCGCGCTGTGTTCGAACCAACACGGGGCGGGTCAGCGGATCGGCGCCGTGCGGGGTGGGGCGGGGCACGTACAGATGGATTGCCAGGCTTTGCGGGTTGTGCCGTGCACGGCCATGGGCACGTCTGTGGGGGACGTTATTGGCTTGAGGACGAGCTGGACGGCCTGTGGGGCGGGGTGAGTACGGACATGCGGGGACTGGTGGTGGGGGTGGGGATGGGGGCGGGACGTGCCTTGATGGAGTGCCCCTGGTTCGCTTTGATCCACCAGATCGCGTCTGCGGAGGCGGCGGCGTCGGAGGGGGGCTCGGAGAGGAGGGTGTAGCGCTGCTTGGTGTCGGCGGCGACGATGCGCTGGAGTGCGGGCCAGTCGAGCTGTGCGGCGAGCTTCGGGGTCGCGAGCTAGCGTGCGTGCGTGCGTGCGCGCGTCGGTACGGAGTAGGAGTCGCGAGGGGGCGTCGCTGGGGGGCACGGAAGAGACGGCGGGGGCACTCACGAGGTCTTGCACGCGGACGAAGCCGTCCGCGCGCATGGGGAGCTTCTCGGACTGCGCGCCGTGGCGCAGGAGCCAGGAGAGCGTCTTGGAGAGGCGGACTTCCGGGGCGTCCTTTGGGAGGCCGCGTAGCTTGCTTTTGGGTTTGCCTTTCTGGTGAGACGGCGGCGGCTGCGATGGCTGCTGCGACGGCTGCGAAGGGGGTGCGGGTGGGTCGGGCATGGGTGGACGCTTGGAGGAGGCGGCGGGGGAGGCGGGGGAGCGGGAGAGGGAGCGGGAGAGGGAGGCGAGGAGGGCGCGTCCCGACGGCGGCCTCGGAAGGAGCATGGCTGGGTAGAGGGGTTACGTAACTCGCGGGTTGGGCGTCGCTCCATCGTCTCAGACTCGACCCAGCACCCGCCGCGAACGTCGCCGTCGCCGCCGCGCTCGTCGCTCGAATATGTCACCACCCCCTTGGCACGCGTCTTTGTTGTCCTCCTCGTCCTCCTCGTCGTTGGATGGAAGCACGCGCGCGCGGGGACACATCCGCGTCTTCTGTTCATGAATGGTATCGAGCACACGTCGCGGGGAGCACCCGCCGCTCCTCCCCCCTCTGAGCATCTCTGACATCCCCCCAACAGAACTCGCCGCCTCGCCTTTGCCTATTCGCCTCGCCCCCGCGCACGACGGCCTCCAAGCTTCGCGCGGCGATGCTCTGTGTCGGCTCGCTCGCCACGCGTCGTGATTCATGATTGTGCAGGGGCGACCGACCGGTGGCCCTCGACGTCGGGTCCTTATAATATTGGGAGAGACCGCGGCGGCGCGCGCAAGCAGCGCCCTCCCTCCCTCTCTCCCTCCCTCCTTCCCTGCCCACGTGCCCTGTCTGATATGCATGCATGGCCCCAGGCGGCCCACACGAGGCTTCCCTCGCCCCTCTCCCTGCGCATCGGCACCCCTCTTCCTCCAACTCTTACTCCCATTCCTACTCGCACTCCCACCCTCGCTCTGACTCTGGCTCTGACTCTGACTCTCGCTCCGTTTCCACCCACCCACTCGCGGTACTCATCGCTTTTCTCGTCGTGAACTGTACGTCCCGCCCGCCTGCTTACCCGCGCCCGAGAACGCCTCCTCACCGCCATCATCGCCATCGCCGCACTCTCCCTCGCCATCGCCGCCCTCGTCGCCCTCGCCCGCTCCGCAGGTCCCCTAGCAGCCGTGCTCGCCCTCCGCGCCCTCCTGTGGGACGCCCCCCGCCGCCTGCTGGGCATGCCCCCCCCGGACCCCGCTCGTGCTGGCCCCGAGCAAGCGCCCCGCCCCGTCCATCCGCACCCAAATTCGCATCCGCGTGCACATCTTCACGTACAGCCGCGTCTGCAGCATATACATACGCACGCGCGACATCATCTGGCCGCCAAAGAACCCGCCCCCGCACCCGCGGCTGAATCACCGAACGCTATCCCCACCACCCCCACACAAAGGCGCCCCGCGCCCCCGCAACGACGCAAAACCGCCCGCACCCGCACCCGCACCCGCACCCGCACCCGCACCCGCACCACCATCCACCACCACACCACCCCCCGCACCGCCCTCCTCCGCGCAAAGCTCCGCCGCCTCTGCCGCGCGCTGGCCGCGGAGCAGGACGCGCGCGCCGCGGGGCAGCGCGCGCACGAGTGCATGGTGCTCGAGGTGCTCGAGGCGCGGGGCGCGCGCGATGCGCTGGCGGAGGAGCTGGGGGCCGAGCGGGCGCGCGGGCGGGGCGGGGCGCGTGGGGAGGTCGAGGGTGAAATGGGAGGTGAGGGTGAAGGAGAGGGAGGAGAGGGGGAGGGGGAGGGTGAAGGAGAGGGGGAGGGGGAGGGGTGCGCGGACGTCCCGGTGGCGTTTATTGTTTGCGAGTTGGAGAAGGTCATCAAGGAGCTGAGCGCCGCGGGCGAGGGCGAGGCGGGCGATGGCGGGGAGGGTGAGGCGGTCGCGTGGGTGGGCGTGGACCAGGGTGTGCAGACGCACGACGACCGGGAGGAAGTGAGCGAGGCAGATACACCCTCGTGTGCGCGCGCAGACGCGGGCGTCCAGACCGACCCCGAGACCGACCCCGACCCCGACCCCGCCTCCCCCTCGCCCACGCACGCCCTCGAAGCCCGCTGCCTCGCCCTCGAAGCCGCCACCGCCGCCTCCCAAACGCGCGCGGCCGAGCTCGAAGCGCACCAAGCGCTCCTCGCCGCGCTGCTCGCCGAGACGCGCGCGTGCGCGAGCGCGGTCGAAGACGGGTACGAGGAGCTGCTGGCGTGCAAGGACGCGCTGCTGGGCGAGCTCCACGAGCGCGTCGCGGCGCAGGGGCTGCGGCTGCGGGCGCTCGATGCGGCGGAGGCGCGGGCGGCGGCGGCGGAGGCGCGGGTGGGGGAGATGGGCGAGGCGTTGGAGCGGGCGGGGGAGGTGGAGGCTGCGCTTGGGGAGGTGCGGGGGAGGCTGGAGGGGGCGGAGCGCGCGGCGGTGGGGGCTGCGGGGAGGGTGTGGAGGGCTGAGGCGGAGGCGCGGGCGGCGAGGCGGGAGAGGGGGGAGGCGGAGGCGGAGGCGGAGGGGTTGAGGGCTAGGTGTGTGGGGTTGGCGGAGAGGGTGGAGGAGGTGGAGGGGGAGTTGAGGGTGGTGGTTGGGTTGCTTGGTGGGGGTGGGGAGTTTGGGGACGAGGTGGAGGGGGAGATGGAGGACGAGGTGGTGGAGGAGGAGGGGAGTGCGTTTGGGGTGCGGGAGGCGCTGGCGATGGATTTGCCTACTATCGATGAAGAAGAAGAGGAGGAGGAACAGGAACAGGAACAAGAACAAGAACAGGAAGAGGAAGAGTGGGTCGTTCAAGAACAGGACGAGTGGGCCGTCGAGGAGGACGCGGAGGGCGCGCACGGCGCAGCGGAGGACATTGCGCCGGACGAAGACTCGGACGAAGACTCGGAGGGCTCGATCGAGACGCTCGTCGCGGACCTCGGCGGCGTCTACTACCGCCAGCCATCAGAGCCCGCGACCAAAACCGACGCGGCGCGCGCGGGCAGCGCGCCGGAGGCGGAGGCGCGCCTGACGGAGATGACGCTGGAGTACGCGGCGGGCGGGGCGGCGGGCGGTGGGGAGGACGGGGGGCGTTCGCCCGACTCGCCGTCGGTGGGCGTGCTCCTCGCGAAGGCGGTCGCCGCGGCCGCCGCGGCGGATGGGAGCGGGGCGCGGTTCGCGGGGCATCTCCCGGACGACTGTCTGCCGTTCTGGGAGATGGATCTGGAGGTGTCGCCGGATGGGGAGGACGAGGTGGACGGGGTGGACGAGTCGAGGGCGATAAGGTACGCGGCGGCGCCGGTGCCGGTGTCGGGGCGGACGAACACGTCGTTGTTTTATCGCGCGCGGGTGGCGGGCGCTGCGGGTGCGGGTTATGGCGGTGGTGGTGGGCGCGCGCGGAGGCCGTACGGGCCGCGCGGGTTCATGGACGGTGTGGACGTTTACGATTATCGGGTGGACTGAGCGTGTGTAGTTTGTCGCGGGGACGCGTGCTCCGCCGACCGACGATGTTTGTCGGACACTCGATTGACCAGGACGTGTTCGTCGACGATCGTTTGTGTGACCGATTATTGATAGTGTTTGTGTCGTAATCCACGCACAGTATTAGCGCTGAGGACGGGGTTGCCCTGCGACTGTCGTCATACAGACACGGCCAACGCTCGACGGTCCACGCAGCAGCGTCCGCCCGCGTCCGGCGCCACTTCCCTGCTATCCCACCCGGCGCCCTTGCCGCCTATCGCCCCCCACTATATCTCTCTCCGAGGCGGATGCAACCCCGCTCCGTCCTGCCCACACCCTCCACGCACCCACCACCACCACCGCACACCTCCACCTCCACACCCTCACGCACACGCACACGCGCCCACGACCGCCCAGAGCCCCATGGCCAACGACATGCGCGCCCCATACTGGAAGTCCCTCGCCTCCGCCTCCTCGTCCCGCCTCTCGTCCTTCAAGGACTACCTCGCCCAGCGCGACCGCACCCCGCGCGCCGCCCTCAACCTCGGAGGCCCACGTGCCGCAGAGCCCCCCGACGCCGCCGCCCGCCGCCAGACGTGGAAGCAGTGGGCGGGCCAGAAGATCGCGAGGGGCGCCGCGGGCGAGGACGCCGCGGGCCCGAGCCCGAGCGCGGAGAAGGTCATTTTGTTCCCTGGTTGGGCCGCTAGGCGCTACCACGCCCGACCGCAGGACGCGCAACAAGGTGCGTGCGCCACCGGCTGCCCGTCGTTCGTCTCTTCTGCGTCTCCCTTCTGGCGGCCACCCGTTGGGGCGGGGTCAGGGACGCGGCTTGGCGTCACCCCCCGCGCGTGGCCTCGTCCCTGCTCGTCCGATGCTGCCTATTGCGGTGGCCCAGACGCCCTCTCAGACCCTGATGCGCTTCGGCGCCTAATAATAGCCAGTGCGCAAAGGCAAGCCGGGCCCTCCTTCCTCCTGGGACACCGCTGCTGCTTCGCCCGTTCGCGAACGAGTGTCTATTCTCGCCTCGCTCCTTCCCGAACCCGCACCGCGCGTCGCTGACCACCGCCGCCACGCACCATAGGCGCTCCGTACGACGTCGACATTTTTGTGTCCGGGTACGCCGTCAAGCACCGTGCGCCCGGGCTCCTCACCCGCTCGCAGAAGACGGTCCTCAAGCTCGCAAAAAGTACAGTCGCGCGCGCGTGCTCTCCGATGCGCATCATCTTGCTCACACTTATCGCGCCGCAGCCTTTGCCGCGCTCCCTAAATTTGCCGGGCCCCCAAGCCCAAGCTCGAGCCACGAAAATCTCTCCAGGATGTCTCTCTCCAAATCAACAGAAGAACTCCTCGCATCGATGGAGCTGCCCCCCCGGCCGGACGAAATGACCCCAGAGCTCGAGCTCCGCACGCTCCACAGCTCGAGCTCGCGCTCGCGCAACGGCTCGTCCGCCACCCTCGCGAGCACCTCGCAGACCTCGCTCGTGCCCTCCTCCACAGGCTCCTTCCCGCCCGCCTTCCCCGACCTCCCGCCGCTCCCCGGGAGCCCCCCGCCTCCGGCTACGGCCGCGTCCGCGTCCGCGCCCCCGTCTAGCCTGCAGAACGAGCTTCAGCGTCTGCACGCGAACCTCGAGTCCCGCCTCGCCCCGTTCTGGGCCGCCGCCCTCTCCGCGCGCACCGTCCGCGTCGCGGTGCACCCCCTGGCCGCGGCCGCTGCCGCCGCCGGCGACGACGCGAGCTCCGACGACGGGCGCGCCGGGGGGCACGCGGCGATTGTGGCGGGTAGCGCGACGACGAGCGCGGACGGCGCGTTCCAGATCAGGCTCACGATCCCGTGGGAGGATCTCTGCACGCACCCGATGGGCGTGCACGTCGCGTTCGGCGACCCGACGCGCGAGCACGACTTTGTGCTCCGCGCGGAGCTGCTCCCCGCGCCGACGACGCAGCCGACGACGCCGACCGCGACGTCGACCCTAGCGGGCGCGCCCGCCTCCCGCACGCCGTCGCCGCCCGCGGCGCCGAGCGCGGCGGCGGAGGCGGTCGTGCCGCTCACGCACTCGCCCGTGCGCGTCATCTCGGACATCGACGACACGTGCAAGCTGTCGCACGTCGCGAGCGGCGCGCGCGCGGTGTTCTACAACGTGTTCGTGCGCGATTTGCACGAGAGCTTGATTCGCGGCATGGGCGACTGGTACGGCGCCATGTGGGCCCGCGGCGTGCGCTTCCACTACGTCGTGAGCACCCCCCTCCTCCCGTTTTGTGTGCTCGCGCGCTGACGCTCGCGCCCGCGCCCGCGCCCCGCGCCCCGCGCAGTCCAACGGCCCGTTCGAGCTGCTCCCCGTCATCACCGAGTTCTTCCAGCTCGCGCGCCTCCCGCCAGGCTCCATCCGCCTGCGGTCCTACGGCACCCGCACGCTCTTCACGGGGCTCCTCTCCGCGCCCGCGACGCGCAAGCGCGCGGGCGTGCTCGACGTCCTCGCGAGCTTCCCGCGCGCGCGCTTCCTCCTCGTCGGCGACGCGGGCGAGCAGGACCTCGAGCTCTACGCCGCGCTCGCGCGCGAGCGCCCCGCGCAGGTGCTCGCGGTGTTCATTCGCGACGTGACGCCGTACGGCGGGGGCGAGGTCGGCATCCAGGACCCGACGGGCGAGGCCGCGCGCGAGCCGGGCGCGGTGGCGCAGGCGCTCGCGATGGGCGCGCCGGGCGCGGTCGGGCGCACTAGTACGGGGAGTTATAGTGCGAGCAGTAGCGCTAGTGGCGGCGGCGGGTGGGGCGGGTGGGGCGCGCCGCGGCACTCCGAGTCGCTACCGACGTCGCCGACGGAGCTCGCGCCGCCGCCGCCGATCGGGATAGGGATAGGGAGCGGGGGCGGGGGCGGGAACGGGCGGTCGTTCTCGGGCGACTACTTCTCGTCGCGGCCGCTCCCGCCGCGCACGCCGCCCCCGTTCGCGCAGACGCCGTCCGCGTCGAGCTCGCGCTCGAGTACGCCGCCGCCGCCGCCGTTGCCGTTGCCGCCGCGGTACTACGCGGAGCCGGCGGGGTACGCGGGGTACGGGCCGTCGTCGCCGGCGGACTCGCTGGCTGGCGCTGGCGCGGGCGCGGGGGCCGGGCGGGCGTCGATGAGCGAGGTGGACAAGCGGCGGTATGCGCTGCAGGTGCGCGTGTGGAAGGCGCGGGCGGAGATGCCGCGGCATGTCGTGCTGAGGGTGTTTAGGGAGCCGGAGGAGTGCGTCGAGGCGGGGGAGATTCTGGATCGGTTGGGGATCGGGATTGGGAGGTGAGGCGGCCGTTTTTTCGGTATTCGTTCGGGCAGGTTTTTTTTTTTGAGTCCTTGTTGTGCTGTCGTGTCGTGTCGTGTCGTGTAGTGGGTATTGTTGTATTAGTCCTTATGGGCGCCGCCCTCGGTTTTTTTTAGTATACTGTAGATGTACTAGTCGTGCTCGCGCATGTGTAGCGGGTCTATTTTACATGGTTGTTGCGCAGGGAATTCATCGTCGGCAGGGAGGGTGAAAGTGCCTAGATGAGCTCGACGGCGTCAAACCTATACGTGTAAGAGTTCATATAACGAAGCAGCGACGTAGGACGGCATGCAGCCTGGGACTACAAAAAGAGATATAATCATCGATGCGCTCGACATGCCGTGGTTCTTTTCCGCTCGATGTATCCTCAATGCTTCTTCCAGCCCCGACTGGCCCGCAGGCGATATATATATATATATATTCACGCTGCGTGCACGCCAGCCGCCCCTCAAGGGAGGGCAGCCGATTCGTCTGGCGCTAGAAGCGCGGCGGATGCCCGCCCGGACGAGATGAGCGCAGAAGCTCTGACGGTCGCGAGCGACGGCCGCGTTGTCCATGGGGCGCAGGCTCAGGGATGCAGGCGCGCCTTGGGGACGCACATCCTGCGGTATATAAACTGCGACGGGCGAGGCCGCAAGTCCTCGTCCGCATCCAGGCATCCAGTTTTCTTTTGCCCCCGCGCTCTGTTTGATCTCGAGTCGAGTGTCACCGAGCGACGATGTCCAAGCTCTTGCGGATCGTGGGCCTCCTCGTGAGCGCCTGTGCCCTCGCGCGCGCGTCGTCCGCCGCTACGGCGCAGGGGTCCTTCTCCTGCGACGTGGGCGAGGCGCAGTGCTGCGCGAACGTTTACTCTGTGCGTGTCCCCCTCTTCACGCTCGCCTGGCCTGACGCTTGACGGATGCGCGCGCGCGCGCGATGCAGCCGAACGACACGCGCGTCGGCGCGGTGCTCAAGGCGATCGGGCTCGACGCGTCGGGCGCGGCGGTCGGGGTCGCGTGCGACGCGATGGTCCCCGGCGGCCCGAGCTGCGAGTACACGGCCGCGTGCTGCACGAACAACGGCTTCGTGAGTCGTCTGCGTTGCTCGTGCTCTGCGTGGTGCGCTCATCGGTCTGGTTCGTGCAGAGCGGGATGGTCGCGTTGGGGTGCGCGCGCGTTTGAGATGCGGCGGTGGAGGGAGCGGGCGTATCGTGTGCTTCTTGCGGGTTCTTAGACGTGTTGAAGGGACGCTGCCGATTATAGTATGTGCATGACGCCTTGATTTGAGTGGATGTGAGCAGGAGGGGGTGAGAAGGAAGACCGGCCTATTCCTTTCAATATTCGACGTCCCGAATGGACGTCAATCAGACAGTCTGCGTGGATGTCAAGGCGAAGAGTCTGACGGGGCACCTGCACACATGTGCTGGGAGCAAATCCCTGGGCTTTGCATTGCGAAATAGGTTACAGACGTTCACGAAGCGCGACGGGTCACAACGTTCTAAGGAGAAGCAGTAGTCGCCAATGACGACACGAGAAACATGCGATTGCTGCTATCGAAGCGTGCCCTAGAGATACAGAGGTCGACGAATGGGGCGAAAGCGTCAATAAGATAATAAAATCACTACAGTCCTTCCGTAATCAGAACGCGGGGTATTCATGACGGCGCATCATGCCGTGACAGCCTGCTGTGGTGGTTTCCCCGATGGCGATGCGCCGTGGTCGCTCTTGGCTGAAATCTGCAGGACGCGGTCGATGTCATTTAGGACCCCAATCATCTCCTATAGGTCGGATCGTGAGCAAAACGTATTTGGTAGGTGATGAGAAATTGCGTACTGGATTCTGCGGCTCGAACTGAAGCCCGAGTTCGATGGCCTCGCGCGCCTCCCTGATACGGTTGAGCCCGATCAGAGCCTTGGCCTTGCGGAAGTGGCCCTTGGACCAGGGCTTCTTGAGCTGGATGACGACGTCAGCGTCGGTGAGCGCGCTGATGAAGTCGCCGGCCTCGAAGTAGGCGGCTGAGCGGTTGGAGAGGACGGTGGAGAGCTCTTCGCGCATGACGCCCTGAGCCTCCCAGGGCGCGCGCTGGGTCGCATAGTTGGCGGCTTGAGTGTAACGGCCGATGGCTTTTTCGTGCTGGCGCGTGCGGAAGAACGTCTGTGGAGGCGCGAGGCGGTCAGCCTCACTAGCCGAGCATTTCTGAGGCTACAGGGCGACGCACGTTTCCCTCTTCCTTCGTGCCGTTGATGGCGCCCGAGAGCGCTTGGTTGAGGACCTGCGCCGGGGGCGGGCAGCGCAAGTTTGGATTTGAGACGAGGAATTTGGAGATGCGGTTGAGGAGGAAAAAATCGACGTCGCAGTCTGTGCATTTCTCGAGCGAGTGGGGTTTGCAGAGGGCGGTCGCGTTGTTCGGAGGGCCGAGCTCGATGTCGACGGGTTGAAAGTCTGCCTCTATGAGAGCCTGCATGGCAGGGTCTGGCTGAGGAGCCATCGGCTGCTGCTGCTGCTGCGGTTGCTGCTGCGCGGGCGCTGTCGTCGTCGTCGTCGTCGGTGACGGTGCGGACATGGTGGTCGCTGGCAAAGACGTGTTGGAGGACGCGTCGGCCACGTCGTGTGCTGTCGTATGTAAACGGGACTTCCGGATTGGGCAGGTGAGGACTGATCGTGGGAGAGTTTGTCAGCGGAGGGTGAATGGCTTAATTTTTCGAATGGAGGGTCGACCATCACTTCACCCCGACCCACCATCCCCCGCATAGACACAGTCCCTCCCCCTTCAAAACAACCCGTTCCCTCTCTAATATGACAAATGGAATTGTAAACGGCTCTTCTGGTCTCGAGAATCAATTCGGTTAGTACAGCGTCCGCCATCGCCGTCGTCGTTCCGCCGTGCTTATCCTGCGTGCTGTCAGCTTCTCTCGGTATCAACGGCACAAAGTCTGCGTACGTGCCTCCTCATTTACGAAGCTCGCAGCGGGCTGCCTCATCCCCTATCACTACCACCGGGTAGGCCTCTTCATGGCCCTTTGTGCGTTCCTTTTTCGCTGATTGTCAGTCTCCGTGCCTCTTTGTCTTCAGGAACGGCTGGAACGACTTGCGTACCTCGACCCCTCCCGCCCGCGGCGGCATCAGCGGTAGAGGATTTGGAGATAGATCTGCCAGTGGCTTCAGCTCCCCCGGGGGCGCTCGTCGTGTTGACAGCTGGTCCGAACGTCCTCCCTCCGCCAGTATCCCTCATGGCGGCGCTCCCCGAGTAGACAGTGGTCCCCGCGAATCCTTCGGCTACGGCGTATGGAGGGATGGTGTCCACGTCGTCGGTGGTCGTAACAACAGGCTTGAAAAGGAGCTTTACGGCGACGCCGCTGATCCCTCAAAGCAGCATACCGGTATCAATTTTGAGAAGTACGATGATATTCCCGTCGAGGCTACCGGCGCGGGCGTACCGGAACCCGTGAACGTTTTCACTAGTCCTCCGTTGGACCCTGTTCTCTTGGAGAACATTGGTTACGCTCGTTACACCTCCCCGACTCCCGTCCAAAAGTATTCGATCCCTATTGTCGCAGGAGGCAGAGATTTGATGGCATGCGCGCAGGTGTGTATTTTTTTTTTTGCTTACCTGTTCCTTTGTTCGTCATCTCATTCGTTTGCTCCACAGACCGGTTCTGGAAAGACCGGAGGGTTCTTGTTCCCGATCCTCTCAGCGTCTTTCGCCAACGGCCCTCGGCCTCCACCGGTCGAGAGCCAACAGTCGTTCTCGCGCACGCGCAAAGCGTACCCCACTGCCCTAATTCTCGCTCCAACCCGCGAGCTTGTAAATCAGATCCATGAAGAAGCTCGCAAGTTTGCTTATCGCTCTTGGGTCCGTCCTGCCGTCGTCTACGGTGGCGCCGACATAAACAGCCAACTCCGCACTATAGAGCGTGGCTGTGATCTCTTGAGCGCTACACCCGGTCGCCTGGTTGATCTCATCGAACGTGGCCGCATCAGTCTCGCGAATATTCGCTACCTTGTCCTCGATGAGGCTGATCGCATGCTTGACATGGGTTTCGAACCTCAGATCCGTCGTATCGTCCAGGAAGAGGATATGCCCGGCATTCATGACCGCCAGACTCTCATGTTCTCCGCCACTTTCCCTCGCGATATCCAGATGCTTGCCAAGGACTTCTTGAAGGACTATATCTTCCTCTCTGTCGGTCGTGTTGGCTCGACGTCCGAGAACATCACGCAAAAGATCGAATATGTGGAGGACAGCGACAAGCGCTCAGTCCTTCTCGACATCCTCGCGGTGCAGAGCACTGGCCTCACCCTCATCTTCGTCGAGACGAAGCGCATGGCCGACATGCTCTCGGACTTCCTTTTGTCCAACTCGTTCGCTGCCACTTCCATCCACGGCGACCGCACGCAGCGTGAGCGTGAGATGGCTCTGCAGACCTTCCGTCAAGGCCGGACGCCCATCATGGTTGCGACCGCTGTTGCCGCCCGTGGTCTCGATATTCCCAACGTCATGCATGTCGTCAACTACGACTTACCCAGCGACATCGACGACTACGTGCACCGTATCGGTCGTACCGGCCGTGCGGGTAACACTGGTGTGTCTACTGCCTTCTTCAACCGTGGCAACAAGAACATCGTTCGCGACCTCGTCGAGTTGCTTCGTGAAGCGAACCAGGACATTCCCCCGTGGCTTGAGACCGTCGCTCACGAGTCGGCCTTTGGCGGTGGTGGCAGCGGTTTCCGTGGACGTGGTGGACGCGGTGGAGGCAGAAGCCGTGGTGGAGCAGCGAGAGATTATCGCCCCGCCGGTGGAGGGTCTCATGGTGCCAGGGGGCCCAGCTACGGAGGTGCTCCCTCGTACGGCGGCAATGGTGGTGGCAGTGGTGGTGGATACGGTGGCGGATACAGCGCCGGTGGCGGAGGAGCGCAGTCCTGGTGGTAAATCACCAGGGTTCGTCCAATCCTTTGCCTTCCATCTCGCACATGCCCTTCACTTTTATGCCTACCCCCTTCCTATGCTTCCCATATTCGTCTCACAGATGCGCGTCGTCGCTATGACCCTCCAATAATCCAAACATCGCATCAGTTTCTGCAAGGACGGCTCGCATCCATCTTTCTGTCATTTTTGATTTCTCTCCCTCCCACTTGCGCTGCTCTCACGACTACACATGTTTTGTCTCGTCGCTCTCTTGTCTGGCATGAATGACTTTATGGCCCTATTTTATTCGCTTCGCTTCCCGCTTCTGTTTGTGTCTCCATATCATCATATCCCTCCGCGTGCCCCCTCCCCCTCCCCTCTCATGGCTCCCCATCATCCATCATTTACGCCCTCTCCTTGTTTGTGGATTCATTGCCTGGCACGCACCAGCGTTTTTGCTGATTTATAGAGATCGAACGGATGGGTGGTACGATTGATAACTGTCGTAATGCATACCCCTCTTCTCCCAACACCCACACCCTCACCCTGCTACTTACTGCTTGTAGGTTTATTGGCGCGTCGATGGTCGGTCGGTTCACGGTTACGCGTTCGTTCGTTTATTTTTTTCATGATGACACATTCCCACACAGTCACCACCACCACCCACGCAGCATGCATTTCGGCATGCCATACAGCACAACATTCCCGGCCAGCATTACGAGACATACATACAATCTGATTGTTAACGTTAGAGCATCGCATTATCTTGTACTCCTTTTTTCCGGCGTGGTTCCCCTATTAGTCTATCTTTTTTAGTACCTGTCTCTGTCCCTCCCCCCGGAGGCCTGGATATTCTGGTCTCCTGACTATTGTATATGTCGCTTCTAAACATGCTTGTGGGCGCAAGTTTAATGAACGTTCGCGTAGACAATGCGGCGCGATGACATGATTGGCGGGCTAGAGCAAGCTAGTGTTTCTGACCGTCATTGCATTGCAGTCAGAACCGTCTATTTGTGAGCAAAGCCGTACGTTGGGTGATAAGCACCGTATAGTACAAAGATACGGACGTCACCACCAGATCATGCCTCGCCAATGAACATGCGCCAAAGCCTCTCGTACAGAGAATCAGCGGAGCGCTGAGAGACGATTCTGAGACGAGTGCTTGATCGGTAAAAGTAAGTCATGCCTGATCATGGGAGATCATGCATCATGAGGCGATGATCGCAGCCCTGAATTCCGATGACCATGTTCGAAGCCGTTCAAAGCTTGTCAAGTAGGGGAACGGATGCGGATGAACCATGAGACGATGGGGCCGATGGGGCCATGAGGACCGGGGGGAGGAGCGGACGGCCATACAGGGAACAAGGCCGATAAACAGATGAATGGATGGAGATGGACAGGCGAGTTGACGATCAGGGGGACGGGATCAGAGGGGGCGAAGACGAGGGTGAAGATGGAGGCGTCGAACGTTGACGGGTGACAGTGCTGGGCTGATGGCGCGTGCGTGGTAAAAGGGGAGAAAGGCGAAAGAGGAGGTGGGACCGCGAGCGTCGAGGGACGGGGAAAGGAAGGAGGGAAACGTACCTGACCGCATGAGGCCGTGATGCAAGGATAGAGAGAGGGTCAATCCGGGTCGCGCTGATGCAGAATCACTAGAGATGCTCGTTCGGTCGGAGGCCGCGGCGAGTCTCTGCGACGCTGTAGCAGCGTCGGCGTTGCATGGCTCGATGAAGGGTGTTCTGCGTCGCCCGTCATTCAGCGACGATGGCTCACCGGGATCGCACGGGAGGTTCCGCAGCTATTGATACGCAACTGAATGGAAATCAACAGGAATCAGCAGGGAATCCTGGATCATGTCGTCAGCGGGCTTCGAACGGAGGGAACGTACGTTAGAAGCCCACCTCTGGCGGATTTGGAAGATATGAATGCACCATGCAGTGAGCGCACAATAAATGTTAATTGGGATATCCTGCGTCGCCTGCGTCCGCCGGAGGATACTGCATTCCGATAGCAGCCCTTCAAGAGCGCAGGGCTCTGTGTTCTCGTCGACAGTGGGATTGGGCCACGTAGGCAGAAATAGAATGTGATAGAGTTGTGTTGGTTGTGTGAAAGCATGAATAATTCGCACTGTCGGCTACAGCTGAATAAAGTCCCTGCCGGCATGCAGACTCCCCCCTTCTCTCTTGCGTGGCACATACTACACTCCACCAGCGAGCGTAGGTTCAGAGGAAAAATAACACGAAATAGCTGCGAGACGAATCAGATCAGCCTTGACATTTCCTAGATCTCCATTAATTCCTTTCGATCGCATCGCATCGCACATCGACTCTGTCGTTACTGGTTCCCGTCATGGACAGCGAGGAAACCCCGCCACACATTATGTATCAGCCCCCATCGCCTATCTTCGATGTTCCCGAATTTCCATCCCTCAGGAGAGTCAAACCATTGCCCAAGCGTAGACGCACGTCCGTCGACGCACCGAGCGCGGCGTCCCACCCGCTCACCGGCGGCTTGCTGCCCTCGATCCTGCCGACTCCACCAGGGCCGGATGCGACGGCGGAGGAGCTAATCGCACACGCCGAGGAGCTCTCTGCGCAGATGGCGCTCCAGTCCTACTACATGCCGATCGTCGGCGGCGTGCAGGACTTCGGGCAGCCCGACTCGGCGCTTTTCGACCGCGGCGGGGCATCGCCCGCCATCGACTTTGGCCTGGCGTTCGGCACACGCGGGTGGGACTTGGGCGAGCAGGAGGAGGGCGACTACGTCGACCATCTGCCGCAGCCGGGGAACACAAAGAAGAGGAAGGTGCCAGCGAATCAGTCTGGCTCGCGGGGCGAACTCGACTCGGTCGACGGGCGGTTGGGCGGGGAGGAGGAGCCGGCGGACAGAGCGATCTTTGTGGGCACGCGGCAGGACGACGAGGCGATGGATATGCTGCGGGCACCGTCACCCGTGGGCGGCGGGGCGCTGCGGAGGCGGGGGCGGATGCTGCCGGCGACGCTCGTGGGGCTGCAGCATAAGGAGATGCTGAAGAGTAGGAAGCGGCAGTTGGCCGCCGTGCTCGGCGCGCTGTCTCATGGCGACACGCTCGCTCTAGACCAAGCGCTGTCAGCGCATTACCCGCTCCTCGCCGCCGCCGCATCCAATGCGCACGCGAGCACGCGCGGCGCTGACTGCAAAGACGCGGATCGCAGGCCTCGCGTACGGAGACGAGCACCGCGCACCGCGCGCCGCATGCTCATCCAGAACACGCCGTTCTCGTACGAACCTACTCTCCCGGCGGTCGACTTCACGTTCGTCTGCCACAGCACGAGTGAGTGTATCGTACGCTCGACATCTACGGCTTCAGATCTGAATCTCTGGCAATTTCACTTTTTCTTTCACGCCCCGCTTCTATTTCAGCTTCGGAGCGGCTGGTCGCCACCCGGGAGGAGGTCGCGGTGCTTCACGCCCGCTTCGAGGTCGAGCTGGCCCGGCAGGCCGCCAAAACCGCCGAGGCAGCGCAGCCTCCCGCCACCTCCGCGTCGGAGGATACACCTTCGAAGCAGCTTGATCACGCACGGCAGAAAGCTCGCACAGGCCCGTCGGCCAATCAGGCTGCGGACCTGGCGCCGGATCCGATGCTTGGCGTCACCAAATCTCGAGGGAAGAAAAAGAAGCGATCGGCGCTCGCGAACGCGTCCAACCCCCACCACCTGCGCAACTACGTGCCTTCCCGCCTCCCAAACCAAGGACAGATCAACGCTGCCCAGACCCAGGCCAACACGCAGAACTACATCAGCCCGCTGCCTCTCCGCTTCTTGTCTGCCCAGATCCCCTCGCGGCGTAAGGACGACCGCGCGCGCACGCCGCTGTCGTCGCTGGTGGATCCCGCGGACGAATGGATCTGTCCGTTCTGTGAGTATCAGCTATTCTATGGGGACGAGCACGCGTATCGGCGTGCGTTGAAGGATCGCAAGAAGATCCTAAAGCGGCGACGAAGGGCACGGGAGCGTGCGGCGGCCGCGGCCAGTGGAAACAGTGCCGCATTGGACAAGGCACCAAAAGACGAAGCGGACACGGAATATGAGCCGGAGCTGACCGCTCCCGCTGCTGCGCCGAAGCAGTCTAGATCCAAGGGGGAGAGGCAGAAGGAAGGAGATAGAGGTGGGGATCATGCGCACGGGGTGGGTAGATAGAACTCTCTTTTTCATGATACGCACAGCGCTTGGGTAGTCATAGCCATACAATTGTTTAGTTAGCCTCTAGTATGCAGACCTCGGAACTTCGCCATCCTAATTATTACATTGCACTGACGGGAGGTCGTCAGCGAGACGGGTGCTTGGAATGCGGACGGAGAGCGACGAAGACGTCCGATTCGGATCCCCCGGAATGGGGATTTACGATAGAATCTATCCAGATATGGCTAGATAGCGACGAAAAGGGGGATGGCGCGCGAACGATTCCCGAAAAGGCTATATATTTCACGAGCCGCTCGGGGGTCAGCTACCCGAAAAGTCAGGAACACCAAGTCCGACTAGGTTCCGTCAGGAGCATCGGGAGGTAAGCACGGGTAAGCAGTTCTAGGGTGGTCTCTGGCTTCAAATAGCTCAACGCATTGCTTAACTGACACAAAGTAGTTTACAGATCTCAATCCCCGTCCACCGACACGATCCGGGACACCTCCAACAGCTCTCAACCCAAGGAGCTCGGCGTCTGGCCCCTTGAGTATTTGCAAAAGTTTAACTACGGTTGACATTGCAGATATCAGTGTATGATCCCGGTTAGTAACGTGCCACGACCCGATATCAATCCAGGAAAATCAGAAAAGTAAGAATCATATCTCCTTTCTCCTGATTTTCACCGTTTGTAGGTCAGATCAGGCAGCTCGTTCTATTCGTTTTCTACCATTCCTTGTTTGACAATGGCGTTGGCATCGGGCGTTCTGAGCGACCCTGGGAGCGACCCATCTCGGTTAACGAAAGTAGTCTTTTGAACCGTTTCTTTGGGTCACTTCTCGTCGCACCTCCCCAATGTCTATTTTACTGCGCTAGGCTACTGCTCTCTCTTATCCTTTCATTCTACACGTAGCATGTCCTGTCAGTGTCACGCGTGAAAGGGATGATGCCCTTGGCCCGCCTTGATTCAGTTCTCTTACTCTCATGTCTTCTCATTCATACCACGACCGCTCATATTTTCCTGGCGCAGCGTCCTCTAGCTCATCCCGCCATACTCAAAATCCCGCCGTGCCGCCAGCGCGTCAAGCCTCTTACTCATCCTTGAACGAGGCGTTGGGCGGCCCCGACAGACAAGTCGACTCGACTTACTATCGCGCCTCCGACTCGCCAAACAATCAGATGTCGTCAGACGGACGATATATATATCAGCATCAGCCAGCCCCTGCGATGGCCTCTTACGACTATCCAGCGTACGCTACAACATCCTACGACGCGCAGCCTCCACCTCCGTTTCCGCAAAATTCCGCACGGCCGCCGCGAACCGCGTCCGCGCAGTCCCATTCGCCGCCTCAACAAGGCCCGTACACCACCTCGCCCACCCCCTATCATCCCTCGTATGGCTCCGCATCCTACGCCGTCCCGCAGACCCAGCCCCAGCCTCAGTGGAATGGCGAGGCGTGGACGCAGTACCAGCAATACGTTCACCCGTCCATTCAGGAACAACCTATCATGCATGGTCCTGGAAGACCCGAGGTGGCTCCAATACCCGTCGCCGCTGCTCCACAGCGCGCATTCATTCCATCCCAACAGCAGCACAGTCCAGCAGTCCAGCGTGGCGCGGACCCGCCAGCCTCGGCTGAGCCGCCGCATAAGGCTAAGCGCGTCAAACGGGACAAGGAGACCGCGACGCGCCAAGAGACGCCACCTTCTTCTACGGGACTCGACTTTCATAAAGTGCGTCGTCGTCGCTCTGCTCTGCTTCCTTCCTCTGAGCGCACGTCGATGTGCAGCTATTAGATTCTTATCGCGTTATAATTGAAACTACCACCACATTGTCCAACGATGGCTCGACTGCGCAAGGCCGGCCATCGTCTGTCGATGCAATACAGCGAATGATGCAGGCGGCGATGTTTGGCTCACAGATGCTAGGGACTGCTACTGGACCACCACCGGCTACCGTGCCTGTTCCTGAATCGAAACCGGGCGGTAATGTGAGCGCGGTTGGGGAGGAAAGCGAGGGGAACCCTTCTAAGCGACAGGCATGTTTTGTCATTCCATCACACCTCGCCCTTTCCGCGCACACCCTCCATTTACGTGCTCATACTCGGGCCATCGTTGTCTAGAAGTCTGAGGGTCCTGTACCCGAAGGGCAAACGTGTCTGGGGTGCAATGCTACGTCGACTCCCGAATGGCGAAAGGGGCCACTTGGTAAGCCATACAAATCGCTATGATATCACGGAATCCAGGCGTTGATTCTCGCGTTCGCTGTCAATTAAGGCCCGCGCACGCTCTGTAACGCCTGTGGACTTGTCTATGCCAAACTCGTATGTCAATCCTCCGTTCAATCATGGAACATGCCGTGTTTCCTGTCTCACCGCATTATGTCGTATTGGCTCCTATAGATCAAAAAGAGGAATCGAGATGCCGCGCGACGGTCAGGCGCCGGGATTTCTCTTCTCGGTCGTACAAATGACGGCGTTCCATTGGACGAAGGTCTCGGCTCGAGCGGAGAGGAAGACGAAGACTCGTACACCTCACAGGATCTCCGCGACGTCGACGATCGTGGAGGGAGGGGGTGATCGAATCCCAGCAGGCGCTTTGCTGTGGTTAAACTTGGGCCACACTTCACAATCCAATTCATTCCTTTCTCTGTCTCTGAATCGCCATCCTACGATCATTTTTCTATTCCATCATACTCTTTCCTTTCGTCTTCAATTCGCTGTGCTTCTTCGGTATGCATTCGGTGAGCTTCGCTGTAATACGATACACATTTTTGGCATATGGCTGCTATATTCCTATTAGGTTCATCATGGCCATCTTTCCTCATCGGGCGTTCCGCCTTGCAGGACTGTATAGTCTTTTAATTTCGCTCATTATTCCAGACCCAGAGGTGATTGCGATTGATCACATCGGTTTCACGAACAGCCGCCTTGAGTCATGCTCCTGGTCTAACGTGTTCTGGGCGACCAGCAGGCCTGCCAGGTTTGTTCCCTTGCGTCTTATCATTCCTTTATCCGCTACGCGGGCAAGCGACGCGACACACGGTATTCCCGCTTGGAGACACTCCAATATCAGCACCGGCACGGATCCCGACGACGGAGTAGACGGGCTGTGGGGTGGTCGGATGACGCGGACAACATTGCATCAAAGACGGTTAGTCACGATCGAGCCTCCTTCATGCCTGTGGCCTGAGGGCCTGACGTTTTGACTCACCTGCTCAACGTTCATACGTTCAACGCCCATGCGTCCTACAGTACTTCTCCAGCGGCCTTATCCCTATGACTAACGCATGATGCAGCTTGGGTTCTTGTGGACCTAAATCTCCCGCATGCAGGTCATGCTCACAGCGCCTCGACGAAGTCGGTGTGTTACATATGGTGGTCATTTCTATGGACTTTCGTATGGCTTAACGTCAGAGTCAGCCTTCGGCCGCCAAGACATCGGTAATGGAGTGCCAGCGATAAGTAATCGTGATTCGTCCACGGTGCACATCCAAATACTCAGCACTCAGCACTCATTTGTGTCCACCTCACCCGAACAATATCAATGCTGCTTGCGATGCTGTCTGTGCAAATGATCCTCGTCGGTTCGCTAGACTGTTCCGTTTGCTTGGCCATGGATGATCTTTGTATGGTTCCAACGAGAAGCCATAGGAAGCCATCCGGTCAACGTTCGGATTTTCAGCGAATCCCGTCTGACATTCGCAAACGGCAGGTCGTTGGCTGAGCGTGGTCAAATGACGAATGATCCGCGACGGTCAGATGTGATGGTCTAAGAGGTAATATTGTTCGCAAGGAACCTTACATGATAGCGTGTCGGGAATCAAGCGAATTGGGAGAACAAGTTTCATCCCATTTCCACTGATACGCAACGCGAGTAAGACAACTAGTCGAATAGCGAACAAAATATCGATTGCCAGAATCAGATGTCGAGCCAAACAATTCTAGCAAACTGAGTCATCCGAAATGAACTACATTTACACGTACGAGTACACACCGAACAAATGCCGTCGAGCCCATGGAGTAAGAAAATAGTAAATACAAACGATCATAGATAATTACCACTCATCGTCCCTGCATACCTCCACTTCCGCCAGCTCCTCCCTGGCCAGCCTTGTTTCCGTTCATATTGACGTTGATCGGCATCTGCGGGACCTGACCTTGCTGCACCTGACCCTGCTGTGTCGGCACGCCCCTTGGGTATCCCACCGGCCATGCAGCGTATCCTTGTGGCACTCGCATCTGAGCCACACCGTACATAGGATATTGAGCCATGATCTGCGCCTGGACCTGTGCAGCTTGAGCCTGAGCCTGAGCCTGAGCCTGCACTTGAGCATGGGCCTGGGCCTGATCAGGCTGTTGCTGCTGCTGTTGCTGCTGCTGTTGCTGCTGCTGTTGCTGATGGGCGAGTTGCATTGCTCGAAGATGAGCAGGACTGTACTGGGAGAACATCATATTCGTTTGGGCGGCATGGGCGGCATTCGGGTGCTGGGAATGCTGCTGCTGATGTTGTTGTTGATGCTGCTGCTGTGGTGTGTGTTGCTGCGGCTGCGCTGCGTGATGCTGCTGCTGCTGCTGTTGTTGTTGTTGTGGCACGTGTTGCTGCTGAGGACCGGGCATGGGAGAACGGTTGGCGATGGGTTGGGCTTGGTTGGTGACCATCGGACTGCTCGTCCCTCCTCGCGTAACCTGCTGTGCACCCTGGACCAGAGGACTGCGCGCCATTAGGGGTACTTGTTGCTGGCTAGCAGTATAGCGTATCATTCGATAGTACTGTTGCATTTGTTGCGCCTGCTGTGGTGTCATGGTCTTCGCACCATTGTTCTGTTTGAATGCTGCCAGCGCCTGGAGATAAGCTTGCTGTGTAGGAAGTTGGGCTTGGGCGTATGCGATCTGCTGTGCCGTCGGGTGTGGCTGTGGCTGTGGTTGTGGTTGTGGTTGTGGTTGTGGTTGTGGTTGTGGTTGTGGTTGTGGTTGTGGTTGTGGTTGTGATTGTGGTTGTGGCTGAAGCGGCGGCTGTGGTTGAGGCGTGAGGCGTGGGCGGGATGGCGGATGCGATTGCGATGGAAGGTGAGGTTGCGGATGTTGATGCTGAAGGTGTGGTTGCGGCTGTAGCGACTGAGTTTGAGCTTGCGGCGTTTGTGAGTGAGGGTGCATGAGTGTTTGCGTCTGCGGCTGCGTTTGTGGCTGAGGCAAGGGCTGAGGCTGAGGCTGGGGCTGAGGCATAGCTTGAGATGCTTGCAGAGGTCGTGCCCTAGATTGTGGTGGCTGCAGCTGCGGCTGCGATTGTGGATGCGGTTGTGGATGCGGTTGTGGATGCGGTTGTGGATGCGGTTGTGTTGCCTGTTTGTGTGTCTGTGCTTGCGGTGTGGGTGGAGGAGGATGGAGTGCATGTACGTGTGGCGAGGCAGTGGCAGCAGGATGAGCTGGAGACGCCATCGGCCTTGGGGGCTCCGATGACGCCGCAATATAGCCACTCGCAGCGGCAGGATGTGGCGAGCGTGAGGTGGGTCGCGGTGATGGTTGGAGCTGTCGAATGAGGTGGGGAGCGAGTTGTGTAGGAAGAGGAGCCGGCGTCGGTATTGGCATAGGCGTCCCGGCGTTGGTGGGGGTTGGATCGCCCGACTCAATCTTCTTGAGGGCCTTCAATTTCTGAGGATCGGGAGCAGAGGATTGAGCTGAGACAGGGGTGGCCGACGTCCGTGGCGGCTGAGCGGGAACAGCTTGAGGTATAGGTGTTGGCGCGGCCGGTGGAGGTTTAACATCTAATGGCTGCCTACTTGTGCCGTTCGTGCCACTTTTCCCCGCCTTCACCCGTTCTATCAGATCCAGTACCCGGTATCTGAGGCAGAATTTCGTGAATTTATGATCCAGACGAGAGACAAGGATCACGTACGAAGGAGTCACAGAGCGATTCTGTTGTGGGTTCATGAACTGCATAATCTTCGCTTTGCGTGCCAAAGCTAATTCGTCTGCCTCGCCTTGACCCAACGCCGCAGCTTTCCGCTTTCTCGGTCGCAAAGGCACAGGGGTTCTGGGGGCTGAGACCCTGTACATGCTGTTCGCTATACGGCCAAGGTGAGGATCCGGGTCGAGGCAGATGGGCCCTGACGTGGCGAGCTGTGGCGACGTGATGTCAGGGGAACCCAGATCGAACCGAGAACGATGGACTGACTAATATACGCGCTTCAACTTCCAGTGCATCGTGGTCCGTCCACTTGCTACCTGTCTTCTGGTTCAATAGACATAGGTCGGCCCAGATGCTCTCGGGATTAGGACGAAGCACCCAGCGTGTGAGTGTATAAGGTGGCCGAGCTTCCTCGGGAATTCTCTTGTCTTTCGACTTGTTCGTATAGTCTTGTAGCTCGACTATCATACACCCTGGTAATTAGCCGTCAGCATGAGAAAAGCATTCGGCTATGGCGAGAGCAGTTATGAACAGCCTTTGCAGAAGTCTCGGATCACGAAGTCCATGACATACAACCAAGGGGTCATACAGTGCGCATATAGGGTAGACTTCTAACAACATTGTCGCACTCAACGTCATTACCATTGCCTGCGTAGATCCTTGCTGGCAGATAGAACGGATGCCCCTGAGGCATCAGGCCACGAATGTAGATCGCAAATGAACCATGGTTTGCCACTGAACGTCGCCAGACGGGATCAAAGATACTTGTGATGCAAACCAGGTCTCAAATCCCAAGCAAGACACGATATCTGCGGCAATGGGAGCGGGCACGCACCTTCATAGAAGGGGACCTTGGCCGCATCGAATAGCTCAAGGAGATCTACAGGTATCCGGCTTGCTCTGATATCATCTAGGAGAGCCTAAACGATCACTGAGCGATGTCCAATATCAAACAGTACAAGAAGCTTACAGCCGCCGGGCTATTGTACAGAAACTTGGATCCAGAGTTCAGTGTCCAGTGGTCGGGGTATAATTGGATCGAAAGGGAGGCTGGTGCGTCCCCGTACTTGTCAAGAAGGTCTGAGGCATGGCGCGTCAGATTATATGTCATTGGGGCAGACTCGGAGATGACACTGTTGCACGTAAGAGAGGCTAGAGAGTCGTAGAGCAGCGTGTCGAGTCGGTCAGAGCAGCAGCTCGAGCTGCGAGTCGCGCTGCAACGCGTCAAGAGCATGATTAGTCAGCTCAAGCCCGCTGCTCATCAGCGGGCGATGTAGCCGTGAGAACTTCGCCTTCGCCATGGAAGGCCAACTGCGAGAGGCAAGTTCCTCCTTGCCTCCCTTGCGAGCCAACATTCTCAATATCGCGTGCAGCTTCTCCCGTTTCTTCACGATCGAAACCCCCAAGTGCGGCAGATTGCTCTGTCAAATTTACTAACCCAAACACCGAAGGATGCGCCCCATCGCAAAATCTTTTTCTCTGGATCGCAATCCGGTGGTCTACAGAAAGCAAAAGACAGTGATGTTATTCGAGATCTGAAACTTTTATGCAGGGATAGTCTGGTATGTTGCGACACCGTCCAACGTAAATGTGGAAGTTAAAATTGAATATAGGCAGTCGCGCACGACGCATTTCGCGCGTTGGTAAACCTGTCCGATTCTTCGACCCTCGCCGCCTCTCTCTCAGAGCCTTCTTTCCTCAACTTTGTTGTTTCATACCTAGCTGTGAGTAGCTCGTTCCGACCGTTATTAGATCGTTTGATGGAAATTGTCCAGAATCCCCAAGCAACTTTGGCAGATCTTGCAGCGATGCTCCTCTCCAATCTGACTACGTCAGCCTCAACATGCGCTGCGCTGTTGTCTATGAAGATCTCGGTTATCGCAGACAAATCGTCATCGGTTTCTATCTATCCCACCCAGTCGCGCTCCGGAACCTGTGCAGCCCCTGTTCCATACCCCGCAGGTGACGAGCTAAGGGTCGACGCACTACCTTTACTACTTGATGCATTCGTGCGCGGTGCAAATGCAGAATTAATCGTAGAAAAGGAAAAACGAAGGCAGAAGGGCGAGCTACACTTCCTATCTAGCGTCTTCGCCAATCTGTCTACGGTACGATTTCTCTTGTTTCTGAAAGGACATCGTCTGAAAAATCCAACCTTCTTTGTAGACGTCAGGTGGTCGCATGTTCTTCTTGACACCACGATCAGCGGATGCCTTGTCGCCTGGAGGCTCCTTGGAGTATCCTTTATCGAAACTTGTCGTCTTCACGGAGCACAAGGATACTATCCGTCGAGGGGGTGTTATTTCGACGCTGAAGTACGTTTCGCTAAAATTCGCTTTAATCATTCCAATCGTGTTAAGTTCTTCCGATCAGAAACTGTACATTTTACAAGCAAGGACACCAAGCCATCCTGCTTCCCGAATCCGAATCTGTATCTGTTCCTCCTTCGCCCGAAAAGGCACCAGGAATCGAAGCATTACCATACATATTATTACCCCTTGCTGGACCCGAGGAATTTGACTTAGAGGTGTGTTACACGCTGTTACACGTCGTTCGCTGCTTCTGGGAGGGTTCTTTACACGGGCACCGTAGATTCAGGAACTCCTTCCCGCAGCACTGCAATTCCTTCCGCCCACGAAAAAACGCGAGGCTGATCCAGCCCTCCGTCTGATGTTGGTTGAGATGCTATTGCTTTTGTGTACAACGCGTTGGGGGCGCGACTATCTGAGGGGCAACGGAGTTTACGAAGTGGTGCGCTCATTGCATGAGAACGAAATGGTCGACAAGGCGAGTGCTATTTTTAGCATTTGAAATACACACACTCATGGAGCGCCGGTAGATATCCGAACACATCGAGAGACTTGTAAATCTGATTCATGGTGATGAAGCTGAAGGCCCTGAGACTGCGGACGAAGGACAGATTGAAGAAATCGTAGAGCATGGGAAAGACGACGAAGACGATACGATTGAAGAAGTATAGAAAGCGTTCCGCTCGAAACATTCACCAGATGTAAGCCTCTCACGTGTATTTTCAACACATTGTAGCCCTTTACTTCTCGTATATGACCTGCATCATGATCGCGTCAGCGCGTTAGCGCATGCAGAGGCTTACTTCACGCATCAAAGTCAAGTTTGTATGGTGCGATCATGCATCAAGTTTCGAACCCAACAAAGCAAAACGAAGTCCCCTCGTCGCCGCAGCGGCCATCTCGCGCATGCAGAGGCATGCAGGCATCAGCTTGGCGACTCACAGCCCATACTTGTTCGCTCCACGCCCCGTATCCACTCGTATCCATGGCCCTTGTTTGCACCGGAGCCGGGTTGTGAGGCTCTAGTTGCCTCCATTCTATTTTCATCTCTCGCGGTGAATCTGCTGGAGATTCGGTCTCGATTTGTCTAAAAGACCCACTAAGATCCAGGGCAGGCGTTTGGAAGTGCGTTTACATAACGAAGTCGCCATAAACATATTTTCGCACACAACTGGCCGGCCGTATATAAAAGGGGAGGGAGTGGTAGGTGGAACCCCAGCTTCGCTCGCTTTGGTTGTTAGTCCTTTCCATTCACCTTTCCTTTTTTCAAACTTTCTCTCCGCGCCGGTCAGGAATCGACGCGCTGAAGCTCTATACGGCTCCTTAACACAATCGTCCTCCCTCTTCGTGCCGCGCACACATTCTTTCCGACTCGAAGTCGTCCTCTTTGTTACCCTTCCCTGAGCACCGTCTTCACTCCCTCGCCCGCATTTCAAGATGTTGTTCCGTCAGATCCTCGTTCCCGTTGCTCTTGCCTTCATCAGCTCTGCTGCCGCTGCCCCCACCATCATGGCAAGTATCTACCCCTCCCTGCACATGTAGAAGGTTATGCTGATATATATAAAATAGGGTCGTGCTGGTGACTCCGTCGCATATGCCGGTTTCGCTCGTAAAAATGTTAGACTCATATCTAACTCTCCGTGCTGCATGTGTGCTTACCTGTCTTTCCAGAGCGCAGCTCAATCTAGCAGCACCGCTGCCTCGGCCGACAGCTCGGCGGCGAACTCTACTGCTGTTGATAGCGCGTCAGCGGCGAACTCGACTTCTGTCGACAGCTCTGCAGCCAACTCGACTTCTGTCGACAGCTCTGCAGCCAACTCGACTTCTGTCGATAGCTCTGCGGCGAACTCCACTTCGGTTGACGCTGGATCCGCGAATGACACCGCCGCCGCTGCTGGTGCTACTGCTACGGTTACGGTGACAGTTACCGCCGACGTCGCGGCTGCCACTGGTAACGCTACGGTGAGTGTTCGAGAGCGGTTTGTTTCCATATTTTTCCATCAGGAGGCTGATGGCGAACATTAACAGGCTACAGCCGCAAAGAAGGCTAAGGCCAAGGCTGCAAAGGCCGCGAAGGCTGCGAAGAAAAAGGCGGCTGCAGCTGCGAAGGCAGCTGCCGCAGGCAACTCTACTGCTGCCGCCTCCAGTTCGAACTCGACTGACTCTGCCGCTGCCGCCGCCGCCTCGGACGCTGCCGCCACTGCGGCTGTGACTGACTCTGCCGCCGCCGCCGTTGCTACTGGTGCGGCCGCCGACTCTGCCGCTAACAGCACGGATGCTGCAGGCGCAGCGGAGGTCGTCAAAGCGCTCAAGGCCGCTAAGTTGATCGACTTGCGCAGGTGAGCCCTATCTGCTATTTTCGTCTCCCGACATCCCGGAATTCACCATGGCGATGCGCAATATTCAGGTCGGGCATGCGCCGCGCGTACCTCAACCGCATCGACTGAATGTTGAGATCTTGAGATTGGACGTGATACGGCAGGAGGATGTCCCGTGCATGGATGTTTTATCTTCGTAGTCGATGCACGGACACTTGTTACCCCCACCCCACGGACTGATGGACTTTTGTGTTGTCGTTCTACAGTAGCTCGAGCTTCAGTTTGTCATCCTTTTAGTTTTGCTTGACTGGATATTCTTTCCGCCAATGCAAGCGTCCGCAATCTTGAAAATCCCATGGGCAGAGGAAAGCTAGAAGATTTGAGTCGAGGCAGGGACATTGGATGTGTTCGTGTGAGCATCACGAATTATCACCAGAAGAAGCTGATCCGTTGGAGCATCAGGTGCATCAGAAAGGTTCTGATTCATTGTATAGACGTGTATCCAGAATTTCATGTCTCGATGGACGTTGCGAATGACGACCAAACGATATCCTTGAATCAGCTTCTGGCTCCATCGAGGTGCTTGCAAACCTCTCGGACTTCGTGTTCGACTGCTTTGCGTTCTCTCAACGAAGCAGATGACCGAATCCTTGACGTCATACCCCTTTCTGTCTAGTAAACCGAACTAGACCTTACTCTGAATGCACCTCGTGCGACAAGCAATGGCAGAGTGGAAAAATGGTAAATATGGAAACAATAGTGGTGTGTGTGTATTTACTGACCGGTCCGATGTCAATCTACGTATTGTACTAAACACCACGCAAACTAGCCAAAGATGTCAATGTCACGATGTCATTAAGATGCGAGGTGCTATATGGGAATGAATACGCATAAGACGAGAGGAAGTGAGGAGAGAGAGGACAAAATATATGCAAGGGTATCTGAGACGAAGGAAACGACCAGGTACAACAAAAAAGAGACACAACATATCACCTCGCCGCTCGCACGGCATCTAATACAACCGAACATGGCAATCGCGCATCCTTCCACAATCAGAAGCAGGAGCGACAAGAGAAAGAGGGTCCTCCGCGGTCATTTGGACATCGAACTCGGAGCCCTCGACGTTCGGGCGCCACCAACCCTACTGAACCCGGCCTCGCTTCCGCGCCACGCGATCCTCGCCTCCCGAAACATCGACCCCACGTCGTCCACGTCCACATCTACGTCCACGTCCATGTCCACATTGATATTGATGTTGACGTCATCGTCGTCGTCAAAATCCCGCCCCTCGTCGCACGAAAGCGCGTCGTCCGTGTGCACGACGCTTGACTCCGCCTCGCTCTCGCTCGTGTCTGCCGCAGCGCAGAGCGGCGACGTGGGCCCGAGCGAGAGCCGCGAGATGTTCCGGCGGAACATGAGGCTCTGCTGCTGACGGGTGGCCTCCGCGCCGCGACCGAAGGCGTCACGGTCGCGCGAGAGTCCTGCCGCGTGCCGGCGAAGGCTGAACTTCACCAGGGTGTCTTCAACAGGGGGACTCGGTGGGTAGAGCGAGAAGGGCGAAGGCGGAGGGAGGACGGGCGACGGAAGGGCCTTGAGCGTGAGGTGCGGAGGCGGGGCTGTTGTGCTATTGGCGTCTTCTTTGAAGGGGAGGGTGAAGTATGAGAACGAGGAAGGGGTGGATTCGTCGTAGTCGGATTCCATTGCAGGCGAGAATGAGGGCGACGACGACGAAGAGGGGGCGTTTGAGGAAGGTGGGGTTGGCATTGGGGAAGACAGGAGCACTGACGATGGATACGGTATTGAATAGGAAGGAGAAGTCGAAGAAGAGTGAGATGGAAGCAGAGGCGAGGGCGGGACAGAGCAAGAGGGGGATTCCGTAGGTGTGTCGGTAGGTGTGTCTAGAAGTGGCAGGAAGTGGAATTTACGGGCGATCGGGAATCGAGGAGACGGCGAAGATGTACGGGATGGCGCGAGCGATGATTCTGTCGAGGAAGCGGGGGGAGTTTTCGGAGGAGAGGGGGCATGTGCGGTGGCCATTGCTATTTGCGCGAGCGGAGGGGGCGATGGCGGAGGCGGATTTATGGGAAGTCGAGGAGATGATGACGAAGGCAGACTCGGAGGCTGCGGATCCGAGGACGAGGGTGAGTGGGGTAAGAGAGGAAGGAGACCAAGCGGGACTCTGCTGAGGTACTGAGGAGTTGCGGGCCGGTTTGTAGGCTTTTCGGGATCTGGGAGCTGCGCCGCGCGCGGGAGCGAAAGTTGTATCTCCTTTAGCTCAAGTATGTCCCTGTCGGAGGCAATGTTCGTGGCAAGATGTCAGAGCTCGCACAGAGGTTTGAATTTATGGGCGAGCTGCATCTCGTGGGGCGGCGCCTATTCATGACGCCAGCGGCACGGGACGCGTTCGAGAAAGGGGAAAGAAAAGAAACCGGGCGGCGCACGGGGGAAAATGGACGCGGGCGGCACAAGTATGGAGGACATTTATAAACACTCACTGGTAAGACAGCCGGGACGATACGTCTACGGGCGAGCGGTCCCATTCATCTGCGACGAAAACTTGGTCGCAGGTCCTGGCGCAAAACGTGACACACTTGTGGTGAGCCGCCTGAGCATGCGAACAGGACGGTCCCGATGGGGTATGTGAAGGCGACGGTGCATGTTTGAGACAACCCTTCATCGTCTTTTAACGTCGTCGTCGTCGTCGTTTGAAGGCAGAGCAATTGAAGGGAGAGTGCGAAAATAGTGCAGCTGTGTCGACAGCGAATGTGGAGCAGGAGTTCAGGGGCTGGTCGGGGAGTTACGGAACGGTGCCGTCTTCGGCCGATGCCTCGCCCTACCGAGTCCGAAACGAACAGGCAGTGAACAGGCGCCTACAGGCGCTAATGCTGCGGCCTGCCGCCTGGCATGAGTCTCGAGACTGATACTTGTAGTCTAGAACTGTAACGTCAAATCCCACTCTATAGCAGATTGAATGCGGGAAGGGTGTCGCCAGAACCTTCATATGTCACAACATCTTATGAATTCTCAATTCCTCGCCGAGTCTAGCAGACCGATTCCTGCCATCTCGCCCTGCAAACGATGGCGCTTGACAACGTTGGATCGAAACTTTGCTAGGACAGCGATCAGCGAGATGCCTCGAAGGGCTCCAGCGCCCTCATGCTGCATGCCCTGTCGTACGCAGCCGTCGAGACACAACGAAGCGCATGCATGACTGAGATTGGCGACGAGGTCAACGCTAGGACACTATGAAGTGTCGTGTTGCCGGTCGCTCTAAACAACAAGAAGAGCGTGAGATCGTCCGCGAAGAGCGCAATGCCGAGCTGACTGTAGAGAAACGGGTTTCCACGGCTGCTGTGACAGTGAGCGTCCGCATGCACATTACAAAACAGGCTGAAAAGATATCAGATCTAAACCCGTCCGCCTTGGCGCCCTGTATTCCAAGTCGACACAATCAATGAGTCTCGTGGGCGGGCGCCGGCGAAGAGACGCCTTGAGGCGAAAACACGCACGCGCTGGGTTCCTGTACATTGGTCTTTGAAATCTTTCGTGAATTAAATGTCCGCGAACGAAGGTAAGATAGGGGACCGAAGCTAGCCCACCGTGAATGGGGCGTAGATGGTCCACAAAGATCGGGTAATCAACTGCAGGTGTTGAATCCGGCATGAAAGAAGCACTGTGATAAGGCGCATATTGCACTTCTTCGTTAAAAAATCTTCGGCCAGGTAAGAGGCCATGCAAACAGGTGTCCGCTGGGATGCCGCGAGAATCTCCCGGAATGGCCATACATAGCTGCGACGATCAATGCAAGCGGGCAGAGAAGATTGCAAAATGTACAAGTACAATTGGATTGTGTCGTGATGGCGGGTATCACAGGAGTCAAAATTATGACTGTCCTAAGTAGATGAAGCTGATGACCCCTCGCTAGTCTTAGATACGATGAATGACACCTGGGAAAATTCTATGGAACGCGAAGTCAACAGTCCGTTCACGACGCGCAAGCTGACACCATACGCACCCTAGCGCGCCCACGAGGGCAATAATAAGGCCCCAAACAAAAGGGACCCACCTGCACGAGTGACACAACAACGATCAGGCTTGTGCCCAACACGAAACAACAACGAAATCGTTGACGCACGTGCTCATGCTGAAATCCGCCGAGTGGTACAGGCCCGCCAATATGTACCCTACGATGACGCTCTCTGCGAGAGCCGCGCCGACGGCGGCAACCATGAACGTGAACAGAACGAGAAGGGCATGGACAAGCGGCGAGCGGCGGTCGTTCTGCTGGTGCAGGCGGGGCGGCTGATCCAGGAAGGACGGCGTTATTGGTGTTATCGGTGTCTGGGAGACATGATGGAGGAGGGCAGAGGGAGATGTCGCTGAAGAGGAAGAGAGGGGAGTTAGTGGGATGGGGATATGCGGAGTCGACGGAGGTGGTGGGAAAAGCGTGTGCGCGCGCGGAGGACGTGCTGGTGTTCGTGGTCGCACGCGCGGAGGTTTGAAGCGACGCGGCGGGAAGGCGATGTTGACAAACGCGTAGAACCCGCAAAACAGAAAGAGCGGCGCGTGGAAGATCAGAGCCCAGTAGAATGTGAAGCGGAAGATGTCTGCGCGGGCGGTAGCAATCAGCCAAGCTGCGTCGAGTAAACATAGACAGAGTGCTGAGGGTATACCGTTTGCATTGTATAGATAACGTCCGTTCGACTGCACCGGTCCGTGATGTTCAAGATTATAAACCTCGATGACAGGGTTATAGAGCGATGGCCATTCGGGTATGGGCGACCTTGTGGGCAAGGCAGCATCACCGAAACTCATAGTTGAGAACAATTAGGTCCTAAGCGCTCGGGTGTTTCAAGTAAGCCAGCTCAGAGACTCCTGGAGTATTCGAAGACGATGCTAGCTCACAAGCATGTAGTTAGTTGCAATACAATGGGTTCGATGCAGCCTGGTATTAGAGAGCGGCGCGGTCCGTGGGAAAGCGTTCCCAATATGGAGCCACCACAACATTGTCGAGCTGACATTCTTCGTCCCGCGTCGTCATGAACAACATACACACCATGGCCACAACATATTCTACTATGCGTCTGCGGTCATCGTTTGGTGTGCTACTTCTCTAACGTCCTTGTCACCTCCCATCCATTGGAAATAGAACCACAAAATTTTCAATAAACACAGGTTGCTCTGTGTTTCGAGTTCTCTCTTTACTTCGTCTCAGTCGTAAGTCGCGACCACACTCAGGAGCCACTGTGTCCATCGCAGGTCTTGAGCACTCTCTTGAGCTGGCATGGATCAACACGAGTTGCCGGACAGAACCAAGTACACGGGCAACAGGCCTACTCTTCGCAGTCGTAGTCGGTGTCCATACCAGGTGGTGCGGCATCTCGCATATCTACTTCAGAGATCTCCGAGTCGCCGTCGTTCACTATCCGCTTCCGTTAATTTTGGTCTTGACCAGCGAACTCCTACGAAGACTCAGCGCATGAAGAGCCAAGCTTTCCAGCAGAGTCCAAGCTCATCTCCAAGAACATTCCAAGACCTTGCAAGCATTCCTTCGGCGAATTTCGAAAGACCCCTTGTCTTGGCATTCAAGAAACTTCCTCTATTAGCCTCTACAGTACATGTTCTCACACTGTTCCCATTTGACGCGTTCAGTGGGGTGTAATATTACGAAGCTCGATATTAACTTTCACCAGTGCACTCATCTCGCCCGTATCTTCAGCGAGCTACGAACAAATATTCCGTTGGTGTCGCACCCCCCCCCTCTTCGTCCTACGGTGCATGGCTAGAAGATCACGCATGTCTTGTGGTCCCTGCAGCATACTACCCTGTTCTAAAAATAACTCCTGTGTCTAACGAGGAACTGAGACCCATTGTAGCCCATTGTATCCTTATCCCCCGCCTTCCTCCACATGCTTCTAGTCACCGCCAGGGTCATAGACTTGAATTTGACAGATAGTACGCGTGTTCTGGTGGCTGAAGCGAGCTAATGCGGCTCTCCAAAGGCCACGAGGATGCCATAAATAGACCTTTGCGATCACGAGCACACGGTAGCAAAGGAGTGCAGGAGGAAGCTCGGAGTGCATCACCGAGCTACCCTGCGTGATACACGTTGCCCTGTGCGGATATCGCTGCAGCACGCACATGCATGATGCGCGTCGAAAAGCATTGCACTTTTGCTGCTGAAGGCGTCATGCGGGAGTTGACGCAATCTCTTCTATGCTTTCAAATTTCATACGTCGTCCTGATCTGTTACTTCCTGTTACTTCCGCCCTCTTCTCGCCCCCTTGGAACGCACAAGCACAGGCGCGTCGAACGTTAGTACCGGCATAGTACCGGCATGACCGTTCCACTCGAGGTGATTACATCCTCTTTCGGAGATAATTATATCCTCACGCTTCCTTCCATACGACCATTTGAGCGACAGTAAGCAGTCAGTAAGCATGCTGTACGGAGAACGTGTATTTGTGATGTCTATCACGATGAAGTCGCTGTGCAACTCGACTGATTGAAACCTTTTTTTGACGACCGTATCGAATTCAAAGCAGAACTACTGGAATTTATGAATCCCATCTACTACTGCCTACCATCTGGTTATTTGTTCGTGAAGTCCTTCACAGCGAGTACCCGATATTTCTACGAATAGCTCTTCTGCTGGCCACCGACTAAAAATGTAACCCAGGCATGCTTGCCAATTTGGAGATTGGCAATACCACGCGGACTTGGTGTTCTTATCCGTATTTTTGACCAACGGGTCCGCACACTTTTGCACATCGGAGCACATGGAAATTCTGTCGGGGACCGATCATCTGTTCCGGGGCTTCACGTCCAGTTTGAAGACCCACTCTGTGCAGTGTGTATGGGCCTTGAGGCCTTGAGGCTCGACGACATAAAAGGGCCTGTCTTCGTTCAGGATTCTACACCGGTCTGCAGTCCCTCCTCCGAGCTTCGGCACTAGTCCTTTCAGCGATCTCCGTCGAAATGTTCTTCCCCACCGCCTTCGTCCTGGCTGCCATGCCATTCCTTGTGGCCGCGACTCCTCTCGTCGCCTCACCCAGCACTGGCGTCGCCATTCCTATCGCAAAGCGCTCGACCTTCCACGCTGCCGATGGCTCTATCAACGCTACCGCCTTGAGCGGCCGCGTTCGCCATTCGGTCGCGTGAGTATCATTACAGACTTTCGTTGGGCTGGCACTAATATTGGATCCAACGTTCAGTAAGATCCAGAAAGGTTTCACGACGTACGAGAAGAACACTGGATCGCCTCACCCGTTGGCCGCTGGTCTGTCCAAGAAGGCCAAGCGTGCCACGGGCAAGGACGCTCTGACTGATGACGATGCTGAGCTCTGGTACGGAACCATCTCCGTCGGCACTCCCGCCAAGACATACACTGGTTAGTTTATTATATCGTTCTCGTTCCTCGCCGCATCTCACATTTCGAACCATTTAGTCGACTTTGACACCGGCAGCAGTGACCTGTTCCTTCCCGGTCCCTCTTGCACCACCAACTGCGCCGGTCACACCAAGTACACCCCGAGCTCCAGCTCGACTTCTGTCGACCTCAAGAAGACTTTCTCTTTGGGGTACGGTGATGGCTCCACTGTCAGTGGCGAGCAGTACACCGACACCGTCTCCATCGCTGGGTTGACTGTAAGTAACTCGCACCCACCCGTGGCCACAGAAATTAAAATGTAAACGAATGCAGGCCACCAAGCAGACGCTCGGTGCAGCAAAAACGTACTCGACTGGATTCTCCAGCGACAACTTCCCTGCTGATGGTTTGCTGGGCATGGCCTTCAAGTCACTGTCCGACTACAAAGCCAACCCGCTATTCCAGTCCCTCGCGGCCCAGGGCAAAACATCTTCTTCCGTCTTCAGCTTCAAGCTCGCCTCGAGCGGCTCTGAGCTGTACCTCGGTGGCAAGAATAGCAACCTCTACACCGGCAGCATCACATACACCCCTGTCACCGATGCCGTAAGACGACTTCGACCTCTAACAAGATGCGATTCACTGACATGGTTCATACATAGTCCTACTGGCAGGTCGACATGGACGGATTGGCGGTTGACGGCACCTCCGTCCTTTCGACGACTGCCGTTATCATCGACACGGGCACCACCCAGATTGTCGGTGACCCTGACAACGTCGCCACTGTCTACGACCAGATCAGTGGTGCGGTGTCCGCCCCGCAATACGGCGACGGCATCTACACAAGTGCGTTGGGAATACAGTCTTCATTCGGGCGCCACTGCTCACTATTATGTGTCTCAGTCCCTTGCAGCTTCAACACTCCCATCACGCTCACCTTCAGCGGACAAGACTTCACTGTCGACCCGAGCACCTTCAATCTCGGGCCCGTGTCGAGCGGCTCCTCTACATGTGTCGGCGGACTCGCCTCTGACTCTAAGATTACCAACAGTCAGTATATCTATTTCCGTTCTGATGTGACGACAGCTACTAAATCTTCTTGTTACAGAATTCTGGATTGTCGGCGATGTCTTCTTGCAGAATGTGTACACCATATTCGATGTTGCCAATACTCAGGTCGGCTTTGCTGCTCTTGCGTAGACTGGGTTGCGCAAGTCATCTGTACTGCCAGCGACGATTGTACCTGTTGTCGAGTTTGTTGTGGGTATATTATATATCAATGGATCTGGACTTGCTTTCAAAATCTCCATATTTAGCTGAGCAGCCTGTGAACCACTTCCAACCGCTCACACATGAATTTATTTTCTGTCCTTCTCTGCAATGATGACATAGCTACATAGTATCCCAGGTCCAGGGCGGGGTAAACCAGGACCGGCTTGAGAGAATTCCATGAAAAATCATAGAGGGTAATTCTCGCGCTTTGAGGGACTGTAAATCGATTATTTGCTATTATATCGTTGAAAGGTGACACATACCTTAGCGACAGGCTTCATGCATCAATGATAGGATTTCGCCTCGCGCGAGTGCATTCCCTGCCACAACTGACCACCGCCATTTAGTTAGCGAGAAGGATTTTGAAGCGATTAACATTCCATTCGTTCGCTGAATAGGGATGCACTGGCGAGTTTTGTCCTACGATTCGAGATTGGATTTAACGGGGTGATATTATGGCAGAGAGCGCTGAAATAATAAGAGATCTTAGCTCTCCGGCGCTGATTGTTCACATAGTTTCGGATATTGTTGGGGAGTTTTTCAGAGGTGAGTGAGCGGTGGGAGCTGTGAGAATTGAACAAGCGAAGATCACCCGGTACCTATATGTGGCAATCGCCTGTTTGGCCACATATCCTTGACCACTCTTACAGCGCTGATCGTTGAGTTGCAGAGGCTCTTACATGGTCAGTTCCAACGGCCATCACTTGTTTCCTGACGAATATTACTCCGCCCCCTTCAATGTTTGGACAACAAGCATCCAATCGACATCAGAAGGCTCGCGATGCTATCTTGACCGTGTCGAGCATTGGAAATGCAAGACAGACATGGAGCACGAGTACCTCCTCGTCTATATTCATGACCAGTCGGGATATACTGGTGTCATGGCCATGGACAGAAATGCTTCTGAGGATGAGCAATTCTCTTCTCTGACTTTGTCACCTTCGCTTGATGGTTCATTGGCGGCTAATGGTCACTCGAATTCGAAGTCCACGACGCCCGCCTTCGATCGGGTGGAAATATCACACGATGGCTCAATTGATTGTATTGTCGAGCGTCGCGGCATGTCTGTCCTTCTCACCACACTCATCTTTCCAAAGGTCACTCCCACCATCCATCAGCTCTCCGTCCTACTCCAGATTGTTCATGAAGAATGTCCGCATTATGCACCCCTTCAGCACCAGTGCTACTGGTTTGCACGGTCTATCTTCGTCACACTGGCCGAGCTATTCGATGGGACAGAGAACCCTGATTCAGAGAATATCGCGTTGATGTCGACGTTCCGAGGCACGCACGTTTCGCTTTTCGAAGCATCCAGTGCGGCCATCCAGAATATGCTCCTACTCCCTGTATTTGAATTTCCGATCCTTTTGATCCCGGCATCCTTGATGGCTTTATATACCACCGTCAAACTTTGTCACGGGCACGTTGTCTCGAGTGAGAATACAAGGAGGGAGGTGTGGTATGTCCAGTTTCGTGCCAGTTGAGGCACACTGTCTGATGAAATTTCGGCAGTGATAATAATATTCGAAGACTGTGCCTCGCACACAAGTATCAACAAGCATGGAGTGTATTCGTTTCCAAACCCGCCAAAGGTACGATGAGAGAGAGAGCACCTCCTCGATTTCCAGCTATTTACTTTCATTTATCAGATTTTTCCTGATCAGTTGAATCCTGATCGACGTTTTTGTGCACACTACAATGAATGCTATCCTTCACGTAGAGTGCCACGCACAACTTTCTTCGATATCACTTACAGTTCGTAAGGCATTGTCGTACGACGTGCCCACTGACCAGTGCTCGCGACCCTCCACGATGCGACCGATGGGCTGTTTCTTGTCTGGAAAGGGGTGAATCAATCGACCTGTGAGCCTCATTGACTCTATCTATGGTCCTCTTACAAGTTCATCTGATACCAGAGTACTTACGTGAGGAAATGCCACCGATATTCCTAACCTTATATATGTCGTGCGGATGAAACCATCTTCACAGATCGCTCGGTCCAATATGAAAGTCTTTGAAAGCAAATCCATCCACTGATAAATACACACAACAAAATCGACAACAGGTGATACAATTGTCGTTATCAATCCCAATAACTCTCTGGATACCTGCAACCCCTTTTACGCAAGCGCAGCAAAGCCGACCTGAGTGTTGGCAACGTCGAACACAGTGTAAACATTTTGCAAGAAGACGTCGCCGACGATCCAGAATTCTACAAATGACACTCAGTCCTCATTCTCACCTGAAAACACAAGTGTACTTACCGTCAGTGAGCGAGGAGTCAGAAGCCAGTCCGCCGACACATGTAGAGGAGCCGCTCGATACGGGCCCGAGGTTGAAGGTGCTTGGGTCGACGGCGAAATCCTTCCCGTTAAAAGTGAGCGTGATGGGAGTGTTGAAGCTGCAAGGGACTGAGACACATAATAGTGAGCAGTGGCGCCCGAATGAAGACTGTATTCCCAACGCACTTGTGTAGATGCCGTCGCCGTATTGCGGGGCGGACACCGCACCACTGATCTGGTCGTAGACAGTGGCGACGCTGTCAGGGTCACCGACAATCTGGGTGGTGCCCGTGTCGATGATGGCGGCAGTCGTCGAAAGGACGGAAGTGCCGTCAACCGCCAATCCATCCATGTCGACCTGCCAGTAGGACTATGTATGAACCATGTCAGTGAATCGCATCTTGTTAGAGGTCGAAGTCGTCTTACGGCATCGGTGACAGGGGTGTATGTGATGCTGCCGGTGTAGAGGTTGCTATTCTTGCCACCGAGGTACAGCTCAGAGCCGCTCGAGGCGAGTTTGAAGCTGAAGACAGAGGAGGTGGTCTTGCCCTGGGCCGCGAGGGACTGGAATAGCGGGTTGGCGTTATAGTCGGATAGCGACTTGAAGGCCATGCCCAGCAAACCGTCGGCGGGGAACTCATCGCTGGCGAATCCAGTAGAATACTTCTTTGCTGCACCGAGCGTCTGCTTAGTGGCCTACAAATGTCTTAAAGTTAGTTGGCTGCGACGCTTTGTTGAGATCAAGTACGTGCAGTCAATCCAGCGATGGAGACGGTGTCGGTATACTGCTCGCCGCTAACAGTGGAGCCATCACCATACTCAAGAGAGAAGGTCTTCTTGAGGTCGACAGCAGTCGAGCTGGAACTTGGGGTATACTTGGTGTGACCATCGCAATTGGTGGTGCAAGAGGGACCGGGGAGGAATAGGTCACTGCTGCCGGTGTCGAAGTCGACTAAAAAGTATGAAATGTGAGATGCGACGGGTAACGAAAGAAGTGAAAAACAATGGTTCATTCACCAGTGAAGGTAACTGCGGGGGTTCCGACGGAAATACTTCCGTACCAGAGCTCAGCATCGTCATCTGTCAGAGCGTCACTGCCTGTAGCACGCTTGGCCTTCTCGGACAGGCCAGCGGCCAACGGGTGAGGCGATCCAGTGTTCTTCTCGTACGTCTCGAACCCTTTCTGAATCTTACTGCGCATTGAACATTATATCAGCGTGAGAGTAGTAAAGGTCTGAGAACGACACTCACGCAACCGAGTGGCGAACGCGGCCGCTCAAGGCGGTAGCGTTGATAGAGCCATCGGCAGCGTGGAAGGTCGAGCGCTTTGCGATAGGAATGGCGACGCCAGTGCTGGGTGAGGCGACGAGAGGAGTCGCGGCCACAAGGAATGGCATTGCGACCAAGACGAAGGTGGTTAGGAAGAACATTCTCAACGAAGATCGCTGAAAGGACTAGTGCTGAGGCTTAGAGGAGGGAAGGCAGACCAGTAGAGATCCCTGGCCGAAGGCATGCTCTTTTATGTTGTCAAGCCTCGAGGCCTCTGGCTGTCCGGAGTTCATAGTGTACAGATTGGGTCTTGAAGCTGAAAGGTCGCGTGAGGTCCTGGAAGAGAAGGTCGCTCTCCGACAGATCATCCATGTGCTCTGCTGCGCAGACCCGTAGGTTGAAAACACAGATAAGAATACCAAACTCGCGCGATGCAAAGCGGTAGACGCGATCTGCCAGCATGCGGGTGTTCTATTTTTAGTTGGTTGTGAGTGAAGTCTTAGAAGACATCCTACTTTCATGTGAATGTAGACTTTTCAACTGGAGCCCACCGTGGAACAGGTTGTGAGATGCGCGACCAACGGAAAACCGCTTGTAACCAGATGGCAGAGGCATTAGTAGATGGGACTTACAGTGAATGCTCCACTGTGCTCCAGTGTTCATTAACCTCGATCTGTAGGTGGCCGCGTCATATCGGTGGCTGTGCCGTTCGATTAAGTTGCATTGATGATACCAATATCGGTCCCCGTGGCACAAGTATATCGGGAGCGAAGAGGAAGATACAGAACGATAATCGAAAATGGAATCTCCGTGCAGCATGCCTAATATCGCGCCAAATGTCCACATGGGAGCAATTAAAGGCCCCGAAAGAGGACAGTATAACATACAATGGCGTGCACAACATTGATACCGATATTCGTCGTGCTTGCATAGAAGGAGCGAGGCAGAGCTGTCAGAGCAGAAACAACGCAGATGTCGTGATTCGAGAGCATGGTGCATAGTCTGCGCATGGCACATCCTATAGGATAAGTCTGACGCCTTCCATAGCGCGCTATACACATGTTGAGCGACGAGCCACGAGATACGTGTAGCACGATGGGTGACCTGAAGATAAAGTAGGTAGCCTAGTTACGAATCCCAGTGGGTGTGGCCTTGTCCATAGGCGCTCACAGTTTTCAGACTGGACTGACCCTTTTCTGCACGCGTGAGAGATGAAGATCAGCGGTCTTTGAATGAGAGGAGGACCCACACCTTATACACAGAACAACTAGACCCACACCGAGTCCAAACATGATGCTTCGTCTCGAGTCTTCCCCTACCGCTGAGCGACTGCGTGCCGCTAGCTTAGCACAGAATTTATGGGATCAGGGCTTGCATGGATCTAAAGTAGATCAGCATTGGCGACGTAGACATAACAAAAAAACAGCACGATACCGTTATCTGCAACTGCGTATGAGCACCGCAGGTTGAGGTGATCGTATATAAGTTAGCTATGAGACTCCGCATATCGGAGTATGCTACTTTTTGCATGGTCTGAGACTTGAGCGCACTGCCAAAGATGATATTTTGACCTAGATATCGGAGATAATGTTGAGTATAGCAAGCATCAAAAGAATCGCTAAGAAAGCATGTCGTAGTTGTCGCCGCCATCGACAGCGTCAGCTTGTCGCATGGGATATTGAATCAGAAAGTGAATTCTCACGGTCTCCAATACCTTGGATTTCATTGCTAGATGTAGATGGCGCCTTGCGGTAAAGCAATTGAGTATCACGTATGATGACAAGTGGGAGTACAATGCGAGTAAATAATGATTACAGTGTATAGTGGGGCGCGACTTCGACTAGCACGGAGACCTGAAGACAATACGACGAAATAAAGAAGGATGGCGATTTTCTATGACTATGATGGGCCACGATCGGCCCATATTCGAATCGACAAGTCGCTCTCTATGGAGCCTGACGCAATCATATTTTGCTGTGGGTGGGTCTATACTCATTGTGAGCGGCCTGCGAGGGGAGATATATACGGAGACTTACTGCGACCGCAACAACAATGTCTGGATCAAGAAACATCAACTCCCTTCTTTTATTCGTTTTAGAGATGAACCCACCTTTATGTGCATCTAACACTTGCACCACTTCCCTGCTTTGTAGATCCCAGAGATAGACCTTGTTGTCCTCGCTTCCCGATACGATCCACTTCCCTCCGGTAACGCTGAAACATGCAGCAATGCAATACTTCGAGTTCTGATGGCCCATGTACGTTTTAAGGCAGCGTGAAGTGTGGTAATCCCACAATCGGATGGCACTGTCGTGCGCCGTGGATAGGATATATTTCGAGTTTGGTGAGAACTGAACGTGTTGGCTGTCCCGACGCTTGAGCTCTGAGCTTGCCAAGAGCTCGTGGATACTCACCAGATGGCATTGTGACCTTCAGCGAGTGTTTTGAGACATTGTCCAGAACTGGTATTCCAGATACGACTAGACCAAAACTATCAAGATACTTATCGGGATGGAAGAGATCGTCACGAACATTAGCCCATCGAGGGCACAGGACACAATGAGAGAGGCATCCCGATTGAAATGTACTGCAGTGACATAGTCTAGGTGCGCGTTGAGGGTCTTGGTACACTTTCCTATTGTAGAGCGACAACAAGAATAGTAACCTCAGCGCGATGTGTTCGTCTTGGATGCATGCTATTTGTTCTCGCACCTTTTGCTAAGTTCCATATTCTGACATCTCCGTCGCATCCACCGGAGACCAGCTGCGTCGACTCGGTATTGTAGTTCACGCAGAATACAAAGCTTGTGTGCCCTTTGAGCGTTTTTGTTGTTAGACCCTTCGCAGCCAGATCGGATTAAAAATGTATTTTGATTATCGTTGTGTGGTAACATACGGAATCAACATCCCATATCCGAATAGTCGTATCGTCAGATGCTGAGGCAAGATATACACTGTCTGAAGACCAAGCTACATCTGACAAGCCTTTCGTATGTCCATTTAAATTTCGGATCAGCTGCCCAGTGAAAGGCGACCATATTTTGACGGCATTATCAGCGGCTTTTGCACCACAGGTAGCGGAGGTCAGGCTCAAGTTCGTACGGGTGGAATGTAAACGCACCACAGGAAGCCAGTAGAGTGCCATCAGGGCTGAATTTTACAGATGATATCGACTGTGTATGCCCTATAAGAGTATGTTTGAGTTCATAACGAGGCCGTTCACGAGCACCCGGTGCTGGTGCTGGTGCTGGTGCTGGTGCTGGTTGCTGGGGTTGAACGGACGGAGGTGGTTGTTCAGGAACTTGAGGATCATCCTCAGTAGTTTGGGATGCAGCGTCATCGTCGGTGGACGATTCATCCATCCCTTCGAGTGGATCCATGACAGCAAAGAGTATTAGAGATGGAGCTAAGGAATACTTCAGAGCAGTTCGGAGCCAAGTTCCAGAGCTCGTGACTTCTCGTGACTCAAATGTGACGCTCGCGTGACGATTGCTATTTGTGGAGAGTGTCGTCGCCGTCGCCTCCCACGAGCACCGTCCAGGTTCCTTTACGCTTGTCAGCTCTTGGCTATGAACAAGGAAAATAAGGATGATTTCACGTTCGCAAGGTTATCTGATCTCAAGCTCCCAGTGACTTTTCGAATGTAGGTGCGGATGAAACTTTCGATTTCTACTCAAAGAGTCATACCGACTTGAATTAGCTCCCAGCTTGAGGGCATACGACACCCGAAATCGTTTACGGAGGTCATTGAGAATCCAGAGCTGCGCTTTCGCGGCGTCCAGTCTTCGTAAGCTGTTGTACTCAGCGTTAATTGATCACCGCTATGAACCTTTCTACAAGGTCGCTTTCCGACCTTTATGTCACTTGCCAATTGGTCGCGGATAACAAACCATTGACCATTCCTTTTCGAACGTCGTATAAAGCCTTCAAAAACAATTACACGTATGTCACGAACAGCTAAACTTGAATGGTCGTGTTCATGTGATTTGGACGAGGCGCTTTCAGGTGGAATGAATGGATCAGCTTCCCAATCCGATACTGCGATCTTCCCCTCAGCTCTCAAATTACATTTACAGTTTGGGACACTTCAGGGCCTAGAGCGTCCGAACCTGTCGGAGGGTCGACGTTTCGCTTGTTCGGCAAGAAATGGTGAGCGGCCCTCGCTCGTTCACGCTATGCCTTTCCAACAATTAGGATAGGACACTGCGAAGAGGGAAACACCGCCTACTTCTCTGCCTTGGGAAAGAAGCTGATGGGTCAATTGAATCGACAACTCCGAGTAAGATCGGGGCCCGAGATGAGATGGGCCGGCTTGAAAAGGTTTGTCGTCTTCGAGACTGTATTCCTGTCGCACATCACGACGTGTAATCCTGACATTTTAAAAGCTTGTGAAGAAGTACGAGCGTGGGGATCTACCTAAGTCTGACTGGCTTGACAAGATGGCGTTCCGGAAGATGACTGAGATTCATGCTGTGAGTCCGACCAGCCTATGTTATTGAGCAACTTGACCTTACCAGGACACAGGCAGAAACCGAGAAGTCAGATACCTTGTTTCTGTATATCGACATGCCGCGCTTTGACTTTCCTGTCATCTTCAGTGAATCTGTATGTTCCTACTATATGTTTCCGAATCAATCTCTGAATATAAATTCTATCAGGAGGCCACAACGGCATCGACGTCATCCCCAGCGGTTGTCCAAACGAGCGCCCACCCACCTATCACACCATCTATCTCAACCTCCTTTGCATCTGACCCTTACCTCTGGGTTGTCCTTGATCCAGATGGGCCCCGAGATAACCCTGTTGAAGATAAGCATCGTAGGCTGGTCCGTAGTCATCGAAGTAGCCCTTACGACCGGGAGCTCAAACCGAATACAAAGATTCGTGACGACTTAGGGGTGGGCAGTATTCAGTCGTTTTTGTGATGCACTCTCATCCATCGACATTCACTCTAGGAAATTCTGAGTTACGCCCCTAGTCAGCCCTTGAGCTCTGAAGAGAAGGATCTCATTTGGAAGTTCCGCTTCTATCTTGCCAGGGATAAGCGAGGGTTAACTAAATTTCTCAAGTCGGTGACATGGCGTGATGCATCGGAAGTCAAACAAGCAGTCGAAGAATTACTCCCACAGTGGACAGAAATAGATACAGACGATGCTCTAGAGCTGCTTGGACCTAGCACAGTTGACTCGCGTGTGAGAGCGTTTGCGGTAAAGCAGCTCAGCAGAGCTGATGATGATGTGCGTATGTTGAGATTCGTCAGAGAGCAAAGATACTGAATAGCTTGATATGCAGGAACTTATGCTTTACTTACTACAACTGGTTCAAGCACTGAAATTCGAGAGTACAGCAAGCGAGCAAAGATCGGCACGGTCAACTGCCAGCGCCATATCTTATGATGACAGCGGTCTGGCTGATTTCCTCGTCGCCCGAGCAGTTGAAAATCCGGTATTAGGGAATCGTCTTCATTGGTATCTTTCTGTCGAAGTGGCTTTAGGTGTAATGGCCAAGATGTATGCCAAAGTTGAATTCAAGTTTCAAGAATTACTAGTGGTACGCAGCCCTCAAGCTCCTGTCTTACTTCGCATCTACTAATGCTAGGTTTCCAGGCCCAGAAACTTGGACACCGTCGCAATCTGATGGCCCGGCAGGGACAGCTAATTGCAACTTTGGCTAGACGTGCAAAGGAACTCCGTATGTCCAAAGATCCGCGTCCCAAGAAGATTGAAAAGCTGCGCTCGTTCCTCTCCGACTCCAAGAATGGTCTCTCCTCCATGGAGCCACTTCCCCTACCCCTGAACGCCACGATTGAGGTTACTGGAATAATTTCCGAAAAGTCATCCGTGTTCAAGTCAAATCTGTACCCATTGCTGCTGTATTTTTCGTGCAGCGATGGCTCCGAATTTCCCGTCATCTTCAAAGATGGGGACGATCTGCGTCAGGATCAGCTCGTCATACAGCTATTCACGTTGATGGACCGACTTCTTCGTCAAGAAAACCTTGATCTCAAGCTCACGCCATACCATGTTCTAGCGACTGGCCCACTGCAAGGAATGGTTCAGTTCATTCCCAGCAAGACGCTTGCCGCGATTGTCAGCGACAATGGGACCTTGCTGAACTATCTACGGGCAAATCACCCAGATGAGGGCAGCGTTGGCACATACGGTGTAGAGCCAAGCGTTATCGACACATTCATTCGCAGTTGTGGTACGTAGACCATAAGACTCTGAACCCTATCGTGAAATTTGATTTTTATCCAGCTGGCTACTGTGTTGTTACGTATCTGCTCGGTGTAGGCGACCGCCATCTCGACAACTTACTATTAGCACCTGATGGTGAGCTTTGGTCAAACCTTACTCGTGCAGTCTCGCTCTAACGGCTGATTTTCAGGTCATTTCTTCCATGGTGAGCTGATCTCATTTGATCGTTATTTGTTCCCTATCATATCATCATCATGCAGTCGATTTCGGATACATCCTCGGCCGTGATCCAAAGCCGTTCCCTCCTGCTGTCAAAGTATGCAAGGAGATGATTGATGGTATGGGTGGCGCCCAATCCTTGCACTACGCGCGGTTCAAGAACTTTTGCTTCACGGCGTTCACCATCCTACGCAAGAGTGCAAACCTTATCTTGAACTTGGTAACCCTCATGGTGGATGCCAACATACCTGACATCAAGCATCGCAACGTGCATGAGCAGATACAGGAGAAGTTTTTGCTCGACTTGACAGAAGAGGAGGCAATCAAGCAGTTCGAGACGTTACTGAATGAGACATCCTACTTTACGAAAGTCGTGGATCGGTTCCACGACTTGGCTCAATACTGGCGAAGCTAGACATGGTTCTAGGGGGATTGTAAGATACCATGGGATCGCGATAAATATGCACAGTCTATAATGCCTCGATTACATAAATGTCATTCTTCGTTCCGGGGCTGTTGAATGGAAGCTTAAATCCACAACAACAATGAACATATATCTCAACTCCTCTAGTGAAAGTGGTGCAAAGTACACGGTTCACGTTCAGATCATTCGTATTTGTCCAAATCGTGTTCCAAGTGCTATCCGACCCGAGACTTCAGCAAGTCCGAGAGAGAGTAGATCTTCTATAACGGCTGTGAACGAACGCCCAGTCGGCAGAAGCGGTACATTACTTACCTCGTAGATCATAGGTGGTTAATTCGTACACCGTATGTGCCTCGATCAATGGGGCAAGCAGAGAGCAATCATTCCGCGCCTCATGTTCATTGTCCTCGCTTGAAGACTCGTCAGACTGATCGTCCATTGAGTCGGTTTCGCTGTGATTGAGGCCTGCCCCGTCTTCGAATGGCTTGGCAACGGAAACCCGCGCGCTGTGGTGTCCCAAATTTGCAAGGTCTGTCTCCCCAGGAGCAGAAAACACGAGGATCCTCCAAGTGGGCACATCCATCGACCTCTCGATCCATACACCTCGGCGTCCCTGCGGTCCAAGCGCCAGAGCATTGATAAAGCCAGGAGGATTGCGCGATACGTTGTATATGCCGGCCAATTTCACGTCAAGGAGTGGCGGAGCCGCTCGCTGAGATGATGAGTCGGCAGAGGGGGTGAGCGTGAGATTGTAGAGATACACGCCGCGCAGCGCATCGTGGGCAAGGAAAGAAATTGCGATCGGCACGAAGGGGGCCGACGAGGAACGTCCAAAGTTCAGAGAGGAGAACGAGACATCCTTGTATGCAGCGTGTGAGCTGAGTGGGAATTTGTATCTGGCCACAGGTTGAACTTGATGGGCAAAATAATTCGCCTGGGGACTAGTGGGCGACGGTACCGGGACACGAGCCGAGATTACAAAATACGAAAGGTGAGGCGAGAAGGGTACCTCAAGCGAGTATACCTCAATCGCGCGAGCCCGGACGCAAAGGAGATATGACCCCATGAACTGCATCCCGATTATGCCGTCATACTGCGGAGCAGACGACAACAGATGTCAGCAGAGGCATCATTATTGAACGTTTGACAAGAGCATCTACCATGTATTCTGATCCATCAAGGGATACGTTGATTGTCATACCGGAATTAGAGGACCAATGCACAATATCAACGCAGTTTCCACGAGAGAATGCAAGCAGCTCTCGAGAGGGGTCGATTGCGTGTAAGGATTGACCATATATACCGAAAAATGTGTCCACTTTGTCGAATTGTGCGCCTCCAGATGCATGCAAATCCATAAATAATGAGGGTGTAGCGAAGGATAGCTCGTTGGGATGTATTCTCATGACGACAGTAGCGGTCCTAGTGCAAAGATCAAAAAGGTGTTCGAAGAGCGCGTAGATACAGACACCCACAAATGCGGTCTTTTGCAGAAAGACAAAGTCATTATGTTAGACGATTGAATTCAAGTGTAGGGAAGCATCGATAGAAAAGAATCACCCGTCTTGGTATCTTGTGACTGCTGCGTAAATTGAATTGGTGAAAACGTCCAGGAAAGCGACAGCTGTCGTCCATGGCCCTTCACTCCCGAGTTCCCAGCGCGCTCGCTGAGGAATGATTGTCTCTTCCAGATTGTTCCAGTCGGCCTGCACAAGCTCCCATAGTACAATTGCACCATCCCCGTAAATGCATAAAAGCCGTTGATCCAAGGGGATGAGGGCTAAAATATTGTGGTATCCTTCTGAGATGCCCACAAAGGAGAGGGATTTTGAGCAAGGAAAAGGCCAATCCCTCTGAGAGAGGTGTGTAGAGACAGCCATTCTTTCGATATCCAGGGTCGGTAATTTCGTCGACGACTCTAGGTCCCTGGCATTGAAAGGAAGGAGGAGGTCAAATTGCTGGTGACGAAGCTGGTTCAGCCACACTGCTTTCATTCTTGTTGAATCAGCCAGTACTCTGCATGTCTGGTGATGCGTGAGTCAAATGCGCACAAACGAATGATGCAATGGAATATGAGACCTTGCGGAGGGAGAGTACTTCTGAGACATCAAGCAAAGCGATGATCTGGAGCATGAGTTCAATGGGCAAACCGAGAAATGAGCACATCTTCAGTTGAGTGCTCAATCCACATAAATCGGCCGTCGACGACCGAAAGTTCGATGTGGAGTTGAGGGTGATGTTGAGGCCTCAACGTCAACGTTCAACGTTGTGTGCAGTGGGGACATGTGGGAACTTGGCTCGACGCGTTAACGCCGGACGGTCACATGCTCATTCGGAATTATTCCGAGACGCGTTCAGCCGTGCTAAACGCGTCCGATGTGACTTGCCCTCCCTACGCTGGTTCCGTTCTTGTACACAGTGCGACCCACTGAAAATCTATTCGGAAACCGTCCCAGACACGAAACTTTTGTCACCCGTGAATCCTCAGCTTTCGACGCCAGGGGTGAGGGTTGTTCAGAGGTGGCCCTGAGTACCAGGTACGTCTGTCATGGTAAACCAGACTTAACATTCTAAACATGGGCACAATGGCTGTTTAGCGCGCAAGCTCCCTCTTTCGCGATCTACATTGCTCGACACTAGACTTGAATCCCCCTGAAACACTTAGTGATATCCGTATGCCGCCCAGGAGGCTGTGACGAAAATTTGCGTCAGTGTTCAGGTTATATATCGCTGGCGGTGCTCAATCTGCATCATTACTCCTATAGTCGTTGCGCTCTTAGAAATTAATGGAAAGGCTTCAAGCTGAACTTAGACGACGCGGTTCTGATCTTTCTAACGACCATTCAATGCGCATGGCTCAACGCCCTGGTCAATCCACTTCCCGCAAGGGAGGAGCTTTCGAATACCTGGGCACCAGCAAGTTTGACTCCCAATCGCGCGATAAATACGACAAGAATATGCACAGTCATGGATTCAATGCTAGGAACGCTCTGGCTGACGAGTCTCTTGACGAAATAGACTTTCTATCACAGGAAAGCAGGAGCCGAGACTCAGATGCTGATTCTACATCGAACCGAAAGAGAGCGGCACCTTCGAAGCGGGCGAAGTCTCCAATGGCGGATAAAGTTGTCGTGGGTGGTAAAGCTCTCGACTACCATCCTGATTATCAACCCAAACCGAAGTTGCCGAGCTTCAAGAAGACTAAGAAAGCCGTGAGTGATCACAATGACCAAACTTTGCCAACAAGCTCTCAGGGATCGAGCACACCTCCGTCACTGCCGAAGACTAGACACGCTACCCTTGCTCGCCTATCGACCCACAACAATGGCATGTCATACACGGCTCCTGATCATTCCAAACTTCGTTCTCATGCACAGCCGCGAGGCTCTTCACTCGTCGGTACTAGAAAATCATCCCGCGAACCACAGGAGTTTCCTCTTTCGAGACTGTCTCCTTTGCAGAGGACTGGTCGAGAACGAGAGCTATCTAAGGCCAAAGGGAAGGATAAGGTCGCGCCTTTCCCAGTGTCTTTTTCACCTCCAGCTTCTGACGATTCTTCCGCATCGCCTCACGATTCTCTCAAAATCCCTTCTAAGAAGTCCCTGGCTGACGGTACGCACAGTAAAGGACCTGCCTCTAGAGCTCGTCCACTTCCTGAGTCTGATTCAGACGATACTACACAAACACTTCGGACACACAATCTCCCCTCTTCTGGGAACGACTCTCGCCTTCGTCCTCGTTCGCGCAAGAAGCCGCCAGCCGTCAACACTGTCAAGACCGCAGCCTCAAGGGCTCGGCGCATCCGTGACTCTGACGATGAATCTAAGTCTGACGGTGGCATACGAAGTATTCCAGGTGACCTTCCTGTTGACGACTCTCGGGATCTCTCTGGCAAAAAGCTTCTTGAAAAGCCTCGCCGGGTTCCTCCATCTGAAGACGATGACAATGACAGGAGGCCGACTCGTGCACGCGTCACTCGCAAGCGTAAATCTCCCGGCATCGAGGTGCTCTCTGACATTGAGCCTCTGGCGAATGTGGAATCACGGCTCGGCCCGCCCGCCGAACTTGTGCTGCAAGAGTTCCCTGCTTTGAAATTGTCTCCTGTGCGCGGCAGTGCCAAATCCACGCACAAGGGTATAGAGAGACACAGGGACATGCCTATCTCTACACACCCGTCCTCGCCACAACGTTGCAAAAGGTCCAAAATAGACAGCTTCCCAGTGCCGTCTCCATTCTCGTCGCCAATACTTGCGACATCTCCGAAGGCCAAGCAGAAACTGAAACAAAGCAAGAGTCTCACATCGCCTGACGATGATGATGAGTCATTCATGACGAAGAAAGACGAGATCGTGACTCGCGGAGGCCTGCAGCCGTTTCCAATGGCTTTCAGCCAGTTGGAAACTTCCGGAACCCAAGAAGACCGTGGAGAAGGTAGTAGCCGACAAAAGAATAGTCGCATTGCGGATCATCCAGTCCCTAGTCCTGAAAGTCCTTTGATATTGCTCGATGATTCTTGTGAGTCTCGCATGCGGACGTTTTCAATTGTCCCGTTAATGACATTGCCACCCTTAGTATTCCTTGATTCGTCCGTCGATCCATCCACGCTCTGCCCGTATTGTGATGAGCTCCTTCCTTCTTCACCGACACCACTTTTGAGATCCCTCATCGCGGCTGCGAAGAGCAAATCAAGCCCGGACCCTCGGCCAGGCAACCTGTATGGCCTTAAAGCCCAGCTTGCTACATTCATCTCAGTATGCCAACGACACGAATTCGAGATACGCGAGATTCCTCGTGCTCGAGCTCGCGGCTGGCCCTCAAGTATTGATTTCAACAAGGTCAAGAAAAGAATTGAGGGTCTTGCAGCTACATTGAAGAAACTGGTAGCGAACGCTGACGACGAGAGGAAGAACAGCATATTTTGGCGGCAGGTTGAAAAGGAGGTCCAGAATATGGGTTCACGCGCGGCAGCCGGTTTCAAAGGCCAATTTGACAACTTCGAGAAGACGCAACCTGGATAGTGAGTCATCATGCACAAGGCTCAGGCTCTTCACTGAACATGATTGTGACATTCATCGACTGTGTTCGCAGCTATGGCGAACTAGGTTCGATGGTCATTCACCAAACACTCTACAATTTGTTTCCATTTTCGTCCATCGATGTAGACAGCATCGCGCCGCTCACTTATACGGACTTCATCAATCGCATATTAGTGCCCGAGGCTGCTTTGGCGCTCATCATGGAGGACATGGGACAAGGTCTGGAGGAGGCTGCTCGTACTATGCATCACAGCGCCGCGTACGGTGTAGCGATGTTTCCTGACAGTGGGGATGGAGATGGCAAGAGCGTGGGCATCAGAGTCGGAGAGAACATCGTGAAGGAGCGCGCACGGGTCAGAAGAAAGGAGCTCGAAGAAGAAGACAGGGTAGAAAAGATGATGATCCAGGAGCAGAAGCTTGAGGAGCGAGCAGCTCTGAGGCAGAAGGGGAAGAAACGCCAATTTGATGACAGCAGTGCCACTGCCACAGAGAGAGAACGCAAGACGACCGCTACCTCGAAGACCAAGAGGAAAAAACCATCCCCAGCGGTGAACGAGACCGAAGGCGATATGTCATCTGCTCTCAGCGATGCAAGCGAAGCTCGTCAAAGTACCAGGGCAGTGACACGAGTGAAGGCCTCAGTCACTCGGAACCGCAAGAAGGAAACTCGCGTCGCGCATTTCAACGCTGATAATGACCAGGCGTCTTCAACAACTGTTGTGCCACTCTATCATCGGAAGGCCAAGGGCGAGGGAAGGGTGTCTACACCGTCGGACGATGAGCCTGTGGAGATCGTCCTTCCTTCCAGCCAACAGACCCCGAAATCACGACTCCGTCCCCGTCTCGTTGCTACACTCAAAAGCAAAGCGCCCTTCTCAAGTGACGTCGATGACATTGACGATGAGAAGACTCCGAAACCCAAGGCCAAGGGACGTGGGCCAAGTGCAGAGCCTGAAGATAGGCTCGCAAATGATAAGAAGTTCTTCCCTCTCAAAGCTGCGCAGCGGAGAGAGACGACGACAGAGTATGTTGATGATTGCTCGACATATTTTCTCACTCGTTTATCCGTTTACTGACATGCATCCCTGCAGACCCATTGGGCGACTCCAGAGAGAAGACTGGCGATTTAGGATGGCTGACCCTATATCAATTTCAGGCGACTCATCAGACGACGCCTCCATTGAAGCTCGTAGCCCACATAGAAAAACACGCAGAGGCCACACCCCGGACTCATGGCTTGATTCTTCGAGCTGATCGACGTGTTCTTTTCACATGCCTCATTGCTTTTTGCGTTGAACCCTTATCCTTCACAAGTCAGACATACTGATATTGATATCATCGCTGTACTAATGCTACAATAAACGGTTCTCTACTATCGACCGTCGCGTCTGACATCTGAGGAACAAGCACGACCCCGCGGTGTAGTAGAGAATTAATAAGACATTCCCTCCTCGACCATTCCCCTCGCCTCGCCACGCTGTATGCCGGCTGATACTAGGTCTCGCACTTCAAGGCGCTTCCACACCCATTTCTGCCCCTGCTTTTCCAATCGGCCAGCTCTCCACATGCGATCGTCTACAGAAAGTTTTCGGTATACCATCCCGGTAAGCACCCCCTTCTGCAGTTCTTGGAACCAACGATGATGATCGCATTTCCTGAGCCGTGATCACGTACTCGAGTGGAGATGTACAGCCCACATTCGGAAGGATCCGTCGACAATGTACAACAAGGTCAATAAGCCCACAAAACTGTCGCCAAAATCTTGATGGCCGCGTTCCACGCTCTTCTCACGAAACGGTCCCATTTGGTCGTACGAGGTTCTGTGATCGAGGTCTGGCATGTCGGTGAGTGAGCAAAACTTGTATCCTTCCATACTTAACGCCATGCTCAGGTTTCCATCGTGGCCCTCACGAGAGCGCAGATCATATCGCAGGTATTGGGATGTGTAATCGAATTTATCTACCCCACCCTCGACCATGAGGGCAGAGAGCGATGCCCTCTGTAATAGAAATGTGAATGATGCGAGGAAGCCATTGAGCAGCGTCAGCCGCTCTGCTTGTATTGGCAAAGCATGTAGTGAAGGGGATTTTGCCGCGAGCAAGTTCGTCCAGGTACTTGGTGCGCTCTGCCAAGGTCTGCGCAGTTATGCACAAGGACCTAGAGGTGACCAAGCACCAATGATATGAGCGGTGCGTAATGAGGTGGTGACTGAAGGCTCACTTATGTACCTTCCAGTCCTGGTGCTGGCACTCGATCGAACAATATGACGCAGTTTTGCACGCGCCGCACCTTCTGAAAGGAATATTGTTCTTCGAAGGTGCGGAACAATTGGAGCACAAGTCGGGCCTCGGTAACTTGGAGGAATGAAACACCTTTTGCATTTTTTACTGGACCGAAGGCACTGCGATCGATGTAGTCCTGGTGACTGTCCTAGTAAGATGGCTGAAGTCAGTGACGTGGCCTGGCCTGGCGCGTGCGACATTTTCATCACATGCCAACGACTCCCGTTGCGGTTATCATCATCATATACCGTCAGTGGAGAATCTGAAGTTCACCGTGAGTGCGTCTTTCGTCTGCTACATGGTGACTCAGATAGCTCAATCGCTAGAGTAGGGCAAATCCAAAGCCGAATATTCACGTGTCGTGGTTTTACTTGTAAGTCTGAAGATCAAGCCGTCGAGACGACAGTGCGAGTGCCTTCGAAATTTCGAGTTGCTTCGAGGTGGGCATCACGTGCTGAGAATTTGTTCCACACCTGGCGAGCCTCGAGTCCAACAGCAGGCCTTTGTATGCGCCCGCAATACAGTCTCTTGATCCCCATCATCCTAGTACCCACAAATTGAGACATATAAATAGCTAGGTGCGCGTTGAATACACTAACCCCCTCTTTACGAACCCTTCGCACACCTACGCCCATCGGTCATCGGACAACAGCCTTGGAGCTTAGAGCATGGCGACAAACTTGTACGAAGTCCTGGGGTTGGACCGCAATGCGTCCCCAGAGCAGAGTACGCTATGAATATCGAGTATACCTACATTATGTGAAGGCTCACGCTGACACTGTCGACAGTCCGCAGGGCATACAGACAACGGGCGCTTCAGACTCATCCTGACAGACAGCCACCCAATGCGTCTCAAGCGGATAAAGATTCCGCCACAGAAAGATTTCGATTGGTGAGCAGGTTTTTGTCAGTCGCAACACCACGGAACGTGCTGATCGCGTATAGGTTGGAAATGCCTATGAAGTGCTGAGTGACCCAGAAAAACGTCGCGTAAGCTGTGGAACCTGATATCACCCCCGTTGTTAACACCTGCTGATGCCTATGCATCGCGCTTCTAGCTATATGACATCAATGGCGTTTGGCCGCCTCCTAACACCACAAACATGCATCAACCAACCAACAACTGGCAAGAGCCATCAAGATCCTTTGATAACTCTTGGGGCATGCCTATGCACGACGATCCTTTCTTCGGCTTCCCTTTCGGATCCCGCTCGGGGGCACATCTCACTGATCCCTTCGAGCTGTTCGACTCTGTGTTCGGGAGTATGCGCCAAGCGTTTAATGATCCGTTCTTCCATGATCCGTTCTTCGATGGTCCCTCAGCCAATCAACAATTATATAATACTCCACGAGGAATGGGGACGATGGCATTGGGATTCCCTTTCGGAGGGAACATGTTCTCCCCAAGTTTTTTCGGCGCGCCTGCTGGAGGACGGGTGTACACCCAAAGCACCCGGAGAGTGACATCGCCTGGTTCCGGCTGGGTTTCTGAAAGCCGAATGACGCGTACCGTAAACGGCGTGACGGAAACGGTATGGAAACGCACAAATTCGCGCGTAAGCTTTGCTTCCCTTCCTAGTCGATTCCATCTTGCAAACCTTTCTTCTATAGGGTGAAGAGCATGCAGTGTACACATCCCCTGACGGTCGTGAACGCCGTACTATCAATGGTGTAGAACAAGGAAATTCTGATCCGAGATATATTGAAGCTCCCCAATATCCTGAGCAGCATGCTCCTCCGCTGTATTCCCCACCTCCTCCCCAGGGCTATGCCCCTCCCCAGAATTATCGTCAACCTCCGAACAGCGCTCCCCCTGCTGCCCAGCCTCTTCTCAACCAACCTCCCCCGCCACTTCCGGGGACAGTCTACGCTCCCCCTGAGGGCCGCCGATCATCCAGGCGAACGCCACCCCCGCCTGCGATGGTTTACAACCCAGCTCAGACCAACCGAGCGCCCAACCAACCGCCACCACCAGGCCATCCCCCAGGTCCTCCGCCGCAGCATGGCATCCCTCCCGCACAGCCTGCTCCTGGTACCCAGCTTTTATTTCTCTCTCGGAAACTGTACTGATCTTCATTTACAGGCAAAAGTCGTCCACGAGAGCATGAAAGTCGTCACAGTCGTACGCCCTCGTCACGAAATGAGCGTCACTAGTTGTAAGTTTACAGTACGTTCGTTGATGTTTTGCTGTTTTCGTCGTATATTATCCCGCAGTCCTGAATATCCAGTTTTGGAACACCCTGTCTTGTTGCTGTGGAAGGACCCTCGTATGCGCTTACTGTACGCTGTAGAACCTCTGTCGAAACTTGTATCTCGATTACTGTATGATGGAATGTATGAACACATGGATATAAGCATGCTGTCAAGAAGATGTAGCGGCAAGAATATTCTCTACACGACTGGTTGAAAATTTACAAGCGTAATGTGCGCCGAATCAAGTCGTTACTGGTAAGCGGTATAGACTGGGGAGATAACAGATGAAAAGAAATGCAATGGTTTGAGACAAGGAAAGCCGAAGGGATTGAGGTAAGAAGTTGCTTCAGTCGTGACGCAGGCACTGAAGAATGGGCATGATCACGCCCTGTGAAACATGACAATAGCCAAGAAGGACAAGATTGTTCATGTCCATGCCTACTAATGTTATCCCTCTCTCCTGCTTGAGTAGGATATACCAAATTCAGATTTTTAGGCCAAATAATTAAAGATAAGCACTGGCTTACCACGGAGTCGGACTCGAGATATTTCCCGATCCGCCTCTTGATGAACTCAATCAACTTTCTCAATGTCACCGGATTACCTTGCCCATTTCGAAGTTGAAGCTGACAGGGCTTTTCCTTGCTCGCCTCCTTTGCGAATGCAATCTGTAGTCAGGATAAGTTTCGTTCTCTCAATTCTCAAATAGCCACAAGACGTACGTCAATCATTAACTTCACCGTCGATCTGCCGTGAAGCGCAGACGGTTCGTCCACATTCGGAACAGAGTCCAAATCTCCCTTGAACTCATCGGCGAGGCGCACGCCGATACGTCCGTTGAAGTATACTGGGTCCTCGAGCTGAGAGGTAGCTTGCTCCTCCCTCCTCTGACCTATGTAGGGGACAAAGCAATGTTGCTCCACCACCGGTCCATAATCGGAGTTGACCAGCTCATCCTGGTAGTCGTTGTTACGCAAATGTTGAGTGATTCGAAAAGCGGTTTGGGGCGGAAACATGCAACCCAGGTATCGGAAACCGAGCATATAGAGGATGCTTTCTTCCTCCGATGTCTAGGCCCCAGAGTAAACGCAAGTCTTGCACGATTACGAGATTACACGCTACTCACCGGAACAGTCAAAGCTTCAACGCCTTCATGCGAAGGAACGCTAGCGATGATGTTGTCAAAGTCGGTGAGTAAGGATTCCATCGTCAGGTAAGAAATGTTTGTTGCAAAGTCCCGGCATTCCTTCGCGTTATATCCTCGAACGGCGAGGATGTAGAACTGTAGAATATCGAGGACCTACAGCCATACATGTGCTGAAACGTCGCTGTTAACACACTGGAGAGTAGCGGGATGCAGGTCTCTCACCTGTAGGCCAGCTACAAAGCTGCATGTCAAGCGAGTGGGAAAGTGTATCCTACAGTCACAGAGAGAGAGAATTCAAGGCCCTCGCGCTACATTCCTCGCTACCTACAGCTGGTTGTTGTTTTTTCGAGTAGGGGAAACAGCAATGGCTACCGGATGTCATCCCAGTAGTCGATGCTAGTCAGCTGAAATCAAGGATTTACAGGTAGTAATCAAATACTACATGCCCCACAACTGAGGGCCAAGACACTGTTACGGACTCGGGCTTCAGGGAAATTTGCCCTGAACATCTGATCTGCAAGGAAGCATTACAGGTGTCTGTATCGGGGGCATATGTAGGCCATACTAACCAGACCCTCAACCCTAGAACGTTTTCTCAGGATACCTAGCTGAGATGGACCAGATAAGCTAGCGGAATATCGACTCCCGAGGTCTCCAAATGTTGGACCAGACTGTAGTTAGCAGAAAAGGCAACTAACCCCCCCCCCCCCCTCCCCTTTCCTAAATAGAGTTACTGAAATGAATTGTTGGCAGTCAACTTGAGCTTGTGTCGTAACCAGCAGCATCCAACAGTCCTAAATAAGCTGACAAAAGTAGACGATTCCAGCAGAATCGTGTACAATCGGAGCACTGACTAGTATGACCCTCGAGCATATACAACAGGCCATCTGGTAGGCCCACTCAGAATTTGAGGAGATGTCATAGTATTATGTCGCCGCAGGTAAGAGGAATGAGTCAAGCTGGAAAGTAACAAACAAGCGCAAATTCTCCGTGCGGTCGCCGAGACTGCCAGCGTCGCCTCAATAGTGCCCTCACAAACCTACCACCTTCTGCCCTCATCAGTTGATTTTCTCTATGTCCTTTGGGATCGATTACCGCCAGGGTGAAGTCTCGAGCGCGTTGGTTGGCCAAACCTCTACTCTCAATCAGACGTAGCGAACACTCAGCGCGTCATTAATCCAAGAGTCTCTAAGAGTCCAAAACCCACTGCACGCCTTCCGAGGCCCCATCCATCAGGCCATCAGACCATCAGGCTTTGTTCCGCGGGTTTGGACTCTGTGCGATTTTGCATTCATCACAACTCGCACATTTGTAGCACCATAAACCCACAAAATTCCCAGGCGGGTCTTCATTATTTCCACGTGGAACCCTCCGACGTCGCGGCGGAACAATCGAGAGTCACGAATTTTATCGGGCAACACTCATTTCAAAGTCTCACTGTCGTCTAAGTATCGCGCAGATGTCTGACGATATTTCTTTTCCCACTCTTTCCGAGATCTTGGATGGGCTCGATGGATCCTTGAACCCAGATAGTGCATTATCTCGCGCCCTTGCAACCCTCTTCGAACCTTCGCCCATCCTCCTCTCAGAGGTTGTTCCTGCACTGCACCAGGAACTTACTGAACCCACCACTCGCCCATCTTCTTTGACCTACTACTCTCTAATTGACCTAGCGAATCACACACTCTCTTCCCTCACTCCATCTCTTCAAGCGTCTTTCGTGGGTGCCCATCCACGCATCGGTGAAGTGAACGGACTCTCCCGCCTGAGTGCGAGCGAACAAGCGAGCCGTGCAACACCTCCGAAGGTCCTTGATCGCTTGGCCGTGCTCAATGCAGCATACGAACATCGATATGTCGGATTGCGCTATATCACCTTCGTAAATGGGCGTAGTAGGAAGGAGATCATGGAAGAGATGGAGGAAGCTCTGGGTGTAGGAAAGGAAGACATTGATCTTGAGGCAATCGACCGGGAGGAGGTGGAGGGTGAATCGTGGCTAAGAGAGCTTGAACGGGCTGTTGAGGATGTGGGCAAGATTGCTAAGAGTCGGTTAAGGGCTCTGGGAGTCGATGGGGATGCGACTGTGCAAAGGATTTGATGTGGACAGACTGCAATTTCCGTGTGCCCACTGCCCTTAGATCGGCTTAGGCTAATGTCATTGTTAAGAGCATGCAAGACCGCTCGAGCGCTGGTCAAGTATGGAAAAGCTTTGTTTTCAGGAAGATCTCACGCGTAATCTCATGAGGAGAATAATCCTAGTGTCGATCACAATCAGTCGACGACAGGAGCGCACAGCTATTCACTCCATCTCACATTCCCGACGCATACAAGTATGCGTATATGCTGTATGACCCTTACCTCGAGCACCAAATATTCAGCCGGAGCCCCCGGCTCCAACAGTTTATCAGGAATGCAAGCTGGAGACAGTCTCTCCAACAGGCACATTTTTAAATGAGTGAGACATCTCCAGCCACGAGATCCCCGATGAACAGGTACTGTGGAAACCCCGAAAGATGTTCGTCATTGATGGGGATCAGGAACAACAGTGAAACAGAGTTGGAGAGGAAAAGCAGGTCGAATGCATGGGGATCTGCATTATGCGTGAATGTGCGGACTGCCGGGCAACCATAGGTTCGACCACCGGTATGGGGTGGACATCGCTGATTTCAGTTAAACCAATGTCAACAGCTCGGGAGAAGAAATTTGGCGCATCATCTGGGTCGACAAGAGAAGACATTATCCAGTTCTTGTGCTGCAGCGCCAATGCTGGGCGAGGGAGGCATCTGCCCTACTAGATCGTGACACACCGAGTGTTTTAAGGAGATAATATGACTCACGCTACACATGAGGTATTCAGACGAAGTGAGTGCTTGAAGAAGATTGCAGGGGTGTTCTATGAGTTGCTGGTGGTCCATGGTCTATGAATTGAGAGCACAATGCCCGTTCATGATCCGTGGGGGAATGTTGAAGATTTTGAATTCTTGGCCGGGGGCCTGACCTGTAGATGCGGGTATCTGGAGGACTTCTGGAGGCCACATGGATGTTTGGGGAAGCGCGCCGTCTTGCGTCATGGATCCTGCTTTTGGGCTGAAAAGCCCATGGAGGTACCGCTACAAACCGGCGCCCTGAGATGCGCTGACACCAGCTGAATCGGATGTGCCTGAATACTTCCCCAAAACAGGACAGACACGTGACAGTCGATCTTATACTTATTTTCGTGCGCAACTTTTCTTTTCCTTAGCCTGCTCTTCAGCCTCTTCGGGCTCGTTCAACGCAAGAGGCTTGCCGTCGCTCTCTGTCGCATTTCCCCCGACACCAGCGTCGAATCTGCTCTGGTACATCCATTTCCACAGGGCAAAACCATGTCGCCATCAAGCTATGACCCCGATAAACCCAAAACTGACCCGGCTCTGACCTTCGAGCCTTCTCTCCCGACACTTAGCAGTGCTTCGTTTGAGGCCCAAGAATCAAGGCCACGAATTGCTTTCAACTCGGTTGCGGCGTTCTCCAATAGCTCATGGAGGCGGTTTACGAGCATGTGGACGAAGCGGTTCATCCTTTCCCTACTCGCAGGCCAAGTTGTGTCTCTATGCATCACCTGCACAAATGTCACCACGACGGAGTTGATGCAGCGGAACTGGTCCTTACCGACCACCCAGACCTTCTTCTTGTATGCCCTCTCTCTCTGCTTGGACTCCGATTCGTTGGAGAGATAATGTCTTATAGCGACTCACTGGAGTGCACCCATTATTCAGGTACTTTTCTCTCTTTACGATATACACTCCGTACACCATCTACCAATGTGAGCCTGTCACTTTACCTTTGGGCTCCTGGCAGATCGTTTATCATCGCATGCACATAGATGGATTTAAGGGCTGGTTCCAAATGCTTTATCGAGACGGTTGGAAATGTTCGTTCACAACTCAAAATTGCACCTCCATTCTTCTTGCTCACAGCGCATTGTTCAGACATAATTCTAGCCGCTTGCGATGTTGAGGGGAACTTCCTCGTTGTAAAGGTACGTCGCTTGGCTGCGGATAGCCAGGAACTCGTGATATAACGTGGCGTACAGGCGTATCAATACACCAATTTGCTGTCATGTATGCTTCTTGACGCGTAAGCCTGACACCTTATTTCAGGAAAATTGCTGATGTGTTCCTTGACAGCTGGGCAATCCCCGTTTGTATGTTCATGTCATGGGTGTATATGCGTCCCCGCTATCATTGGACTCAAATTCTCGTAAGTCATTTTTGGATGCCCTCGTATTCAATAGCTAGCGCTCCGACTTACAAAGAATTATTGGAATTTCAGGGCATCGTCGTTTGCGTCGCTGGTCTTGGGCTGCTGGTTGCGTCTGACCAACTGACAGACAAAGACTATCCCGCACTGAGCAAAGGCAAGGGCGACGCTTTTATGATCATCGGGGCCACATTGTACGGTTTTAGTGCGTATTTGGATTCTTACATTTCTTTACAACCACATGTCGAACTGATTTGGTTTTTGGCAACTAGCCAATGCAACGGAAGAGTTTTTCGTGCGACGATCGCCCTTGTACGAGGTTGTAGGACAGCTAGGCATGTGGGGCACGATTATCAACGGCATCCAGATGGCAGGCCTCGAGCACAAAGGCATGAGGGAAGCTACTTGGAGCGGTTTCAACATCGGGCTTCTGGTAGCTTATACCGCTGGTGAGTGCTTATTGAGTCCTTCGCTTCAAGCATTCTGACAAGCAGCTGACCGAATTTAATACCGATGCAGCCATGTTCATTCTCTACACCGTCGCGCCGCTGCTCTACCGCCTGGCATCGTCGACTTACTACAATTTAAGTCTACTGTCTAGCGACTTCTATGGCTTGCTCTTTGGTGAGTACCGACGCTTGATGGCTCTCGCAGCTCTGTTTGACCATTTCTGTCGTAGGCCTATTCCTATTCGTACGTTTTTTTTTCGGTTAGTAAATCTATAAGATATTGATATATCCCGGGACACCGTAGCATTACAGCCCATACTGGTTGTACTTCCCCGCGTTCGCCGTCGTGATCTTGGGACTGATCATTTATTTCTGGCACACAACTCGTGCGTAATCTCCCTCTCTGCAGGTTCTCCCTCATTGCTGATGACATGTTGATATATAGCCGAAGAACAAGGCAAACTCGACATTCAAGCGCCAGCGTACGTCGCTCGTCGCAACGAGAGGGAGTCAGATCTATCCGCACCTCAATCTGTACCAGTCTGATGTTGATCTGTTATCTTTCTTTTTGAGCTTATGAGGGTTTCTACTAACCGTGGTCACGAAAAACACAATGTACACCCACCAGACAACATATATGTCCTTCATGGACATATCTCAGCTCATACGATGTATCCTCTACCTGCTTGAAGCTTGACGTTCAATGTTTTGATTATCCCAAATGAGCACCCTCTCGACAAGCCTCGTCTCGGCATATTCGCGCTGGCGTTATCATAGACAATGCGATTGCGCTATGTCTGGTGCAAAAATAAACAGTCAGAGGCTTGCTGAATCCGACGTGTTCATCGCCATAGCCGTGCATGCAATAATTTTGGGCGGAGGAGGCATACAAACATGTCATAGAAATGCATCAGAAAGCGAAGAAAACAAAACCATCAACCCTCTACTGCTCAGCAGCGCGCTGCTTCCTCCTAACATCACGCTCCTCAGCAATGGTGAGCTTGGTGCCCTTGCCCTTGGGCAACGAGATCCATGGCTTGATGCCCTCCCCGATGACGAAGATGTTGGTTATGCTAGAGGGTTTGGTATGAGCTCCCGGCCCGCACAGAGACTGAAGAAAACTTACCGGGTGGCAAAGGTGCGGTCAAGGGCATCCTTCACGTGCACAATATCGAAATCGCCAATGTGCTTCTCGCGGTGAACAATGACACCAGCACGACCCATGTTACGACCACCGGTGATCATGACGATGTTGCCTGTGTCGAATTTGGCAAACTCCGTGATCTTGTTCTGCTCCAGGTCGAAACGAACGGTGTCGTTGACCTTGATCAGAGGATCAGGGTAGCGGATGGTCCGGCCATCGTGAGTGACGATGTATGGAACACCCTTGGTGCCAATGGCAACCTTCTTGACCTTCAAAAGCTTGTAGGTCGCCTCCTCGGGGGTGATGCGGTGGATTGTGAAGCGGCCCTTGACATCGTAAAGGAGTCGGAAGTGCTCGCCAGACTTCTCAATGGAGAGGACGTCTGTAATGTTATGTGATTACGATATGGAAACTTGCCTATATCAAACGACTGACTAACCCATGAAGCCCGCAGGGTAGGTGTTGTCCGTGCGAACCTTGTTGTCGACCTTGATGAGACGTTGCTGGACGATAGAGGTGACCTCGCGGCCGGTGAGGGCATATTTCAGCCTGTTACGGAGGAAGATGGTGATGGGGAGGGATTCGCGAAGCTTGTGGGGACCAGGGGAGGGACGCGGAGCCTGTATACGACAGATTCACAGTGATGTGAGTTTGCATTTCCGGTGGGAGTACACAATGGACGCGCACGTAAGTTCCGCTCAGCTTGTCCAACATCCATGATGAGGGCGCGGCAAGGCGCTTCAAGTGCTTTTTGGGTCCTCGGGCCTACGAATATCAAAATATGAGCATTCCATGTCGAAGATATGCACAAGCAAGTTGGGTCGTCTGCAAGGTCAAGGGTGCATCCAGAATCCACCGGCAGCATCCACCCCTCCCCACATCAGCCAACCTCGCTTCGACCACCATTCCTGCTCCAGAGACATACTGGCAGCCGTCCAAGAGCATAAAACTGACCATGTTGGGTGTCTTGCTTGCGGGACGTTGACGACGGCGGCGACGGTCTTGATTTTGCTTGCGATGGGACGGCGCCCAGTTACTCTGAGTTTGCCTGCCACGTGCGGCCACTAACTTTAGTCACATCTCTTCCCAGCACGTGACTCAAACGCGTCTATGATCCAGTCCCCCTCTACTAAGGCTGGATGATGTTGATAGAGCCATGCACCACCCCTTCACAATTCGTTGGTCAAATATCGCGTTCATTGAGCCAGTCTCCTGCGATACTCAAAGGAGAGCTTGAGCAAAAGCACATTACAATATTGCTACAGATGATCCAATCTTCATGCCCTAACTCCTCACGCTCTCGCTGCCCTAGTGATCATATCTTCCAAGCTGATGGCTCGGTAGTTCCCTTCGGCGTCCGGCGCCCAGACCGCGTCATCCAAAATATATACCAGAATCCCGCCCTTTCCATCCGCCGTCAGTGACACCCTAAACAGCGGCATACGCGACTGCTCATGCACACGACCACTCGGAATGAACAAGAGATTGTGCGTCGATGCATAATCCTCGACGATTGCTCTGAACGTGATCTCCTGGACTCTTGCAGATATCTTCGCGGGGGGCTTCGCCGACGCCAGTGGTGGTGGTTCGAAAGAAGTGAGACGATAGTCGGGACGGGGAAGTTTGGACGGCGCGTCCGGGCCTAAATCAATAGCCTGATTCATCATGTCCAATCCACGAGTGAAGCCTTTCTGAACCGCAGGCATGTTCCGCACAGTCTCCGAGAAGACTCGTCGATTCCAAAACTCATGCCAATCTGCGATCTCTGAGAAGTTCGGACGGGGCTGTATGAGCCATATATGAAGTATGTCGAGCCATTTGGGGAAGAATTCGGTCTCGAGCAGCTGAGATAAGATCGAGGGTCGGAGTAGAGGAGCCCACAATAGCACCCTCTCCAAAGGCAACATGATCTGTTGCCGTGGGTTGACACGAAACTCGTCTCGCAATGTCGCGCTGAGTTTTGGAACGACATATTTGAGCAACATTGCGTCCCAATCGCCCGGATCGAAGACTTCCCGCCATGCTGACAAGTCAGCGGGAACGGCGTCTGTGACTACCCAACTGCGAAGCAGCGATTTGAGCTTTCGCCGAGCGTCGCCCAACAGGTCCTCGAGACGTAATCCGACGTGGGGCAACCAAGGAAAGACCAAAGTGCGGAGGGAGGTACTGTCTCGTCGTGGATTCCACTCCGCCACGGCCTTTGATACTTTTGGGAGGATAAGTTGGTCTAGGAAGTTGTCACGGATGAAAGGAGGAAGGAAAGTGGACCAAGCTTCGTAGAGCTCAACGGCGGGATGAGGCTCGTGAGGATCCCAGTCGTTGTTAACGCATGAGCGAACTCGGGGCAACCAACCATTCCAAAGTAGACTTTCAAATGGAGTCATAGGCTCTTCATCCTTTGGCCTTGACGCGCTCAATGTTCTTGTCCCGTAAATGTCAACCTGTGTTCCGAGGGGTTGGACGTCATGATCAGAGAACTTGAGTGCTCTGCGCCATCGTTTGAAGATTGGAAGGAAGACGCCTGGTTCCTCGAGGGGGTTCCACTTTGCAAACATTCGCCGAGCCTAGGGTGAGTGTCATCCATCAGTCCATGACAAGCCTGAAGGAGCGGAAGATCATACTGTAGGTGCAATTGCTGCCACGACGATTTCGTCGAGGTGATATGTATCAAACTCGTGGGGAAATTCAGAAAGCAATTTCTCGAAGTATGGGGCGAATAATTCTAATGAAACCTCGTCTACTAAACCAAGTGCATACGCCTGCGCGGTAATGTCGTCGACGACTAGGTGAATTTGCTGCAAACGGGAGATGACTATGTAAATGACAGATCAGGTAACAGCGCAGAGAACAGGTTCATACAAACGAGACTTACGGTCAGCTTCCTCGGCAATCTGCTTTCGCAGCCGCTGGTCCTCGTCTTGTATTTTTTTCTTCCGCTGTTGCACATGTTTAGCCTCTCGTGCGAGGCCGACAAGGTCGCTGGTGGTGGTTTCTACAATGAGACGCAGATTATGCCGCACTTCAGGTATTCGAGTAGAATCTGTCGACGGTGTCCATGATGCCCTAGACACGTCTGCCAATGACGAGACCTCGCGGGGCTGAAGGCTTTCATGAGAACCGGATAGGGCGCATAATGCGAGCCACAACTTACCCTGGCACCTGTGGCATCGATGATGATACCGATTCCTGGAGTAGCAGCATCTGGACCGGCCTCTGCAATAATTTGCTCATAGGTCTTGTGTTCCACTTTGGTCTTGACCTTCTTGGGCTTCTTCCAAGCATCCGACCTGTTTGGCTGCTCCTTTCCTTTGCCTTTCGCTTTTTTGGCCTTTTTCACGCCTTCCTCGTCTTCGTCATCGCTGACTACCTCACCTCTTCTGCGCGCCTCCGCCTTCGATTGGCTCGTTCGCTCTCCGAATCCACGGAATGCGATACCCATATTCTTCGGGCGCACCTTAGACTCGACGGGCGCAACGATTCCCTCGCCCGCTGTACCAAGACCCTTACCAGCTTCCCATCCCATCTTCGCAAGCATGCGCAGACCGAAGGAGCCTTCGAGCTTGCTGAGGTGGGCGCGCTCCGTCGTGGAGAGGGGAGTGGCTGAGCGCGATGCATTAGCAGAGCCTGTGTTGTCGCGGACGAAAGATCGTTGGGGTCGTGCGGCACCAAACGCGGTGGGTAGATTGCCGTGGAGAGAGGCGGGAGGTGCTGGAGATGGGGAATGTGAAGCTGCTGGAGAGGGCGAGATTGCGGCTGGACGGGAGGAACCTATACCGCCCTTCGTGAACCCGGAGAAAGAAGTTGAAGATTGGGATTTCGATGCCCCAAGCCCAAGTCCGCCGAACTTTGGTCTTTCTTTTTGCTCCTCCTCCTCCTCCTCCTCGCGAACGCGTGGTGACGGCGGTCGGGAATGTCCCTCATCCCCATCTGTATCTGCCTCCTCCATTTCCTCGTCCTCGTCCATCCCTTCACTCTCCTCCTCCGCATCCTCCTCGACCTCCATGTCCTGCTTCAGATCCACCTTCTTCTCCCCGGAGACGAACGACGGCGCCTTGGCCCAGTCACTCTTCTTCGCAGGCTTTCCGTTCCTCTTCTTCCCTCCAAAACCCTCCTCCTCGCTATCATCAGCAAAGACGCCATACGTCGCGTCCTCCTTCCCGTTCTTTCGTCGTCTTTTCCGTTGATATGGGTCCTCGAACAGCGCGCGCTCCTCACGTGCGTCGGGGTCGGCTTCGTCGAATCGGCCGCCCAAGTCGTCAGCATCGGAGCCCTGGGATGAGTCAGAGTCTCCATCGTCCAAGAACCCGCGTTTTCTTCGAGCCATGAAGTTTGTTAGAGTGGAATCTGGAAATATCTGTTGCTCGGTCGAGGGACTCTCGCCAAACGACTGGTGCAGTCACTTGTCCCATGGATGGTTGTATGACGTAATAAAGTGATGCTTGCCGCTTTGGGTCATTTTCAGTAGACTCATTCGACCACAAGCCTATCGCCTCCAGTACCTCAACGTAAACACATCTGAAGAAAATGATGAATCCGTTATAGCAGCCATGACGCCGTCGGAGGAAAACAAGGAACAGGAAGTACCATTATTGGAGCATAGAACTCTAGAATACCGAGGTGCGTACGTAGAGCGAGTGGGGCATCAGAAGCTAAACAAAAGAGAGAAGAAAACGCAAATCCTAAAAGAAATGATGGAGACCAACGGACGAGCGAACGAACAGAAGGCGAGGCGAGCGTGTCGAGAGTGATCGGGATTCGACCCTGACAAAACGAACAGAAACAAGGGACACAATGTGAGTAGATCAGATATCCAAATATAACCGCAGAGAGATTCGTGCGAGCTGATGAAGCGAAAGAGACTCTAACGCTAAGACTAAACCAACTGAGTAGACATTGTCTAGGATGGTGAAAAAGGGAGGGGAAGAGATGTGTACTGTAATTCAATTGCATACAACGAGAGCGAAAGAATCAGGCGGTTGGCGTTGGCTCAGCCGAGGAAGCTTCGGCTTTGGCAGCTGGGTCGTGAGCCCCGTCCGTAGGGGGCTTCGCTCCTCGTGTCGTGCCCTTGGCGGTCCTGTGCTTTGGCTTGTTCGCCGCGGCTTCAGTAACCATGCTGAGAACAACAAGTCAGCACTGATTGCTAGAAAGAAAACCGAGATGAGGGAGGTCACACACCGTTCGAGCTCTCTTCGTTCTTCATCCGACTCATCCGGTACAGTGCTTTTGAAGATGGTACCGATGGTCATTAAGCCCTATCGTACCCCGTTAGCTGAGTATACAGACGGTCGTGAGAGTGAGCACACCTTAGCTCGGTTGAGTAAGACGGCTTCGGAAACGCCGTGCTCCTTCAAGACATTCTCGGCGACCTGAACACCAACAGTTTGATACGTCTTCGTGAAGCAAGTAATAAAGAGACAAACCGCTCGGAGGACCTGCACGACTTCGAATCTTGTACCTCTCCAGGAAGCGAGCATGATCTTCCCTGTGACGTCCATCTCAAGCGCCTTGATATCGGCTGGCGTAGCATCAGGCTTTGCCATGATGCGATCCATATCCTAGCACAGACGAATATAACAAGTGAGACTTATGAAACAGTCAAATGTGCTGATGGACAACACACATGCATGAGCTGCTGGGCACTCAGACTGACAAAAAAGGTCAGTCAAGTCACAAGCGAGGGAGAACGGACTATAAGACGTACGCGCTGCCGATGACACCCCAAGCATCCTTCGCCACAGAACCCTTTTCCTTTATCCGGGACCAAAACCCAGGGCTGGATGAAGAAAATGATCAGATGAGCCTCCTGACAGGAAGAGAAAAGCATATACACGTACATTCCGAGGAACTTACGTGACTTGAAGAACAAAGTCGCCTTGGAGATGTACACCGTACCAATAGCGTGCAGGAGCTACGACGCGATCATCCATCAGCCCCGAGCATCGCGCCCTGTGATCGAATGCGAACGAACCTCGACGCCGAAGCTTTCCAGCTTCAAATCATCTGCCTCCTTCCGGATCTTCTCCTCAAACGCCTTGGTCTCGGCGTCGTCCTTATCGCCCGGATGCTGAGCCTCCACGAACGGCCGCAGACGGTCGACGAGCTTCGTGGTGAGGATCTTGATGCGCTCGTCCATCGCCCGCTTACGCTCCCGATCATGCTCTTCGGCCTTCTTGCGCTGCTCCGGCGTCACCTTCCCCCGCTTCTTCGGCGCAGGGCGTTTCTTATCGCCCTCCGCCGATGTCGATGGTGATCCGGGTCCCGAAGCCGGCGCTGACGCTGGGTTTAGCGCGGGCTCACCATCTGGAGAGGGTATGGACGCGGGGGGCGCTTCTTCGCCGGGCGTCGCGGGTGAAGAAGAAACGATGGACGTCGATGCACGTGGGGTATCTGGAGCGGGCGAAGAAGAAACTGCTTCCGAAGGGATGTGGGCAGTGTGTGCGGGATGAGGGGGGGTCGCGAATCCAGGTGCCGAGGGCGTCGGGGGCGTTTGCCCGCCGTTCATCTCCTTTTCAAGCTCGGCCTTTTCTTCCTCTGACATGTTTTCCGCCGCAGACTTCATCTCCTTCATCAGGGAGATCTCGCCGATCTGCAAAACACGTCAATCATCGCGTCAACAGGGGTGAATGGAAGGGTCAGATAGGGCACACGCGCGGTGATTCCCGGTTGACAAGGAACGCGGTGATAGGGAAAGTCGGCGAGAGTAGTCAGGCCAAGTCACGAGGGAAAAAAAAACACACGTAGTCCATGAACCGCTCGCCCCCGAAGACGTTTGCGAAGAACCCTGCAGCATCGTCGACGCCGACGCCGCCCTCTTTCTCCGTCTATCGTTGAAAACACGAGCAGTCGATCAGCATGCATGCATAGCTATGCACATGAGAGCACAAGCAATATCGTACCATCTTCTTTCCATTTTTGTCGTACACGGCGCGCAAATTCTGGCAGAAGAGAAATCGCAAGCGTGAGTGTGCGAGTTCCCGCAACACATACACACGAGCGTCTGCCATTAGAGCCGGGACTCACAGAATCAGACAATACTTGGTACGCTTTGCTACAAGATCGAGACACCGAGGTGAGCCACACGAACGGCAAACAGAGACACCAGGCCCGCGCCGCGCACCTCATTTCCTTGAATTTCTCTTCCGCATCGGGGGAAGGGTTCTTGTCGGGATGATACTACGCCACAACGCACAAGACGACACGGTCGGCCTCAACAGCAAAGACGTGTACGACGCCAGCACGCACCTTCATCGCCGCTTTGCGGTACGCCTTCTTCAAGTCTGTGTCGCTCGCGTCCGTCGGTACGCCCAGCTATCATGCCCGAGGTCAATATGACTGAAGTGCGAAGCGGTCTGGCCTGCCTGCGACCGCTATCACTATCGGCACTCACCAGGTCATAATACTCGGTTTCGACAGGGGCCATAGTGGAATCAAAAGAGCGTCGGGTTGTGTGGGTAGAAATTATTAAACAGAGCGGTGGGAAGAGGAGAAGAGAAGGAGAAGAGGATATGACCTGTGGTTGGAGGGTCTGTCCAACAGGTCGAAGGCCTGGCTTATTCCCACTTCGACCGGCGCCGTCCGTCCGGCCCTTGTCATCGCCGTGGCGCTCACGGCAAGTCGGCAGCACTCGCCTTCCTCTCCCACACCGCCCTCGCCAATGATCTTCACGTCCATTCGAGCAGGGCTTCTTTCTCGCAAGAACCACATGTTAATCCGCCCAGCATCTCCAAAAATACAACGCTTTCGCAACGACACCGTTCCATGCATAATGCGACTGTAGTAGAAAGACAAACAAGCAGATGAGATAATAAATGAATATGTAGATGTGCGAATGATTGCGTGTACACGGCAGCTGTGATGCGTGCGAGAATCCTGTGCAAAGGCTGCGGCTCGCGGATGTAAGGGTGCGAATGCCGTACGAGAATGTCGAATGGCGAATAAAGATGTGGAAGTGCAACGACGATACAGATGATAAACCCTCAAATGGATGCCTGGAGATCAGGATCAAGCGAGAAACAGAAAAAAAAAGAAACAGCAATAGGCTCAAAATGGCACCGAAACATCCTGTTACGGTGTGTATAGATGTGAGCAATGAATCAACCCACTCGAGGGCTCGCGGAGCCAGTAGGAGGGGCACACTGAAAACCCGATCCGAACCCGCCAGAGGAGAGAGCCTACACATGCACGGCTATAGGCTGTGTCGCTGTCTCTTCAAACCTCACCGCCTTCCTGGCCGGCTCACTCACCGACTCCTCACTCGACGTCACCCCCATACCTTCTAAACTCCCCCCGGACCGCAACGGCAAGAAGCGACTGAGCCGCAGCTTGCCTGGCAATGCCGATAGCGCGAACGTGGGTGTAGGGGGCGCGGTGGACGACGCGGCCGAAGAAGCCGACACTGCCGTGTCAAGGGTGGTCAGTGAGCCGGATTTGGTGGAGGCCGTCGATTTTTTGAGCGCGGACCGGGTAGGGGGAGGCGGAAGGGGGTTCATGCGGGAGCGTCTGCGGGAGGGAGAGTGTGCGTGCCGCGAAGGCGAAGACGAGAGCGAGGGGGATACGGAAGGAAAGCGATGTAGGGTCGACGAGGACTCGAAGGGTGCCGGTTGAGCGGTTGAGTCGGCACGAGAGCGGAAATAGGGCTGAGAGTGTCGTCGGGAGGAGTAGGATGGGCGAGGCGAGTGCTGAAAGGACGAAGAGGATGGGGATGGCGGTGCGCGGTGATGCTGATGCTGATGCGGTAGATGGGACAGGTGCGGCGGGAGGTGAGGTGTCCGCGACAGATGCAGCCCCATGGCAATCTGTTCAACTGTGGGGCGGGATGCATCACGATAGCGCGAGCGCGACGAAGAACGCGGTGGGTGCGCGTGCTGGTCCTACGCATATCGGTCAGTGTCTCACCACACCAAAACACACCCGACGAGGGCAGGACTCACGATATCCTCTTCCCGCTCTTTCGCGCTCTTCGAGGAGCCGAGTGATCTCCGGAACGCAGAGAACATCCTCGACGAGGCGCTCTTCGAGGCTGAAGCCGACGAGCTCGAGGGGTCGCTGTTGGACGGACGCAAGGGGTACATCGCTGTGCGCAGTAATGTTCAAGTGAGAGCGCCGCGTGGGGTTGGGGCGCCTGGCTGGCAGACCGAGAAAGGGGCTGTTTCGCAGGGTTTAATAAAGCCGGTCAAGATACGAAAGAAGCGCAGGTGGGAGCCGAATACGTGTTGTCGAGTGCTGTTGGCGAAATTTAGAACAGACAAAGTGTGCCAGTAGGACAAGAGTTGAGAAGGAAGGATGTGGGGGTATAAGCGGTACAGTCTATGGATGCGTGCACAGGCGTGGGGGATTTAAGTTAGGTCAAGGAGGGCAAGGATGTAGCGTGTCTCTCTCTAAGCATGACACAGGGGATGCGACGTATTGGGGTCGGCCAGGGTCGGCCAAAGCGGAGGACTGCGCCCCGATTGTCTAAGCTTCTGTGACACGTGATCAGTGTCCACAAGCACGTGTTTTGTTTCGAGCGCGTCCCATCAGCGTGGTCACTGACGCGTAGTGGAGCCCTCCCAGCCACAAGGACTGTGTGTGGAGTGCCAGACACAAACACCGCAAGCATAAGTATGCATTGAAGTCTCTCTTATCGAAGGCGCGCATGGAGCCGACCCCTCCCGACCCACCGCGAGCTTGATGTCACGGCATACGTACGCAAAACTGAAGTGCTCATCGATCACCCAAACTCCATGACCCTGTAGATCTGCCGGTGTGTCGTCAGTGATGTAATCCGACAGACACAGACGCAGGCGCATCTGGCATCCCACTGCCGACGCGAAAATCCCGATATGTAGTTGACAAGTTGACAAGTCGATATACACACACGCTCGTTGCAGTTTGTATCTTCTACAGCGTCACCGCGGCGCTACAGCTTCGCCTTCGTGGTGAACAAGTTATACATCTCCGTCGCAGCCCGTGCGATCTCCTGGACGAACTCCGCATTCGGCATCTCCGTGCGCGACGTCACGGTATACTGAAGACAATCTATAAAAATAAAATAAAACCCCAACGTCAGGCCGTTTCGTTCCGACGAACGTGCGCTGTTGGGCTCACCGTCGAAACCCGTCATGTACGCGACGCCAAAGCCGTCTGGCACGACCTAGTAGAAACAATGAGCGGCCGGGTGGAAGGAACTGGAGGTGGTGTGGGACGTGCCTCGCCCCAGCCGTACGGCCCGAAGTGTTTCGAAAAGATGGCCGACGTGCTCAGCGCCCAGTAGCTCGATCGCTGCACCAAGGGATCCTGGAACACCTCCGGCACGGCCTCACCCTCCTTGAGCACCTTCTTCAGCCCTGTACATGATTTCCCGATCAGCCTCCCCAAAAAACGAAGGAAATAGTACAGCCCGTACCGAAAAGGTGCCTATCGACGCCCTCCGCTTTACCCGCAGCCCTCGCGACCTCTCCATGCTTCTTGCACGCATCACGCAGCTTCCTCTTCCTCGCCTCCACATCGTACGCCACGTCGTCCATCGCCCGCACCCACTCGTCGCTCTCCGCACTCACGACCCGAATGGCCTCCGTGCGGCCCTTCAAGAACCGCCGCGTCGTCGCAGCCTCGTACGTCCCGCCCGCGCGCCGCGCGCCCGTCGCGCGCAGAAGCCGCGCATACGCGAGCTGCACCACCATCTGCGCCCACGAGTCGGGCGACACCCCGAACGCCTTGATCGCACGCTTCCCGTACGCCGTCCTGTGGATCGCCATCGCCTGCCCGCCGATCAGCGCGCGCGCGTCCGCCTCCGCGCGGCGCATCGCCGCCTCGGTCTCTGCGCCCACCACCCAGTCCAGCGCCGCCGGCCCTGCGACGGCCGCCCCGCCGGCGACGGGAGCCCCGTGGTCAAACGCGGGGTCCGCGATCATGTCGAGCACGGTGTCGCACAGCGTGACGGTCGGCGTGCCGTCCATGACCGAGTGCTCGCCCATGATCCCGGCCTTCGCGTTGTCGAACACGATCATCTGCACGGGCTTGTCCACCCACCGGTTGTGGAGCCCGAGCCGCCCGGGGCCCGACGCGCCGTGCCAGAGGAAGCGCGAGTGCTCGATGAGGTCCGACGGCCGCTCGGTGTCCAAGCATAGCACGAACGCGGCGGAATGGATCGCTTCGAGGATGGACGCGTTGTGTGGGTCGGCGGCGAGCGCGGCGTAGTCCTTCGCCCAGACGTCGCGGTTGGACGCGGTCAGTATGCCGACGCCGGGATAGAGGTCCGGGGTGCTGTCGACGATGTGCTGGATCTGCCTGCGAGCATAAAATACAGATCAAGTCGTGCGAGAGAGGATGCGGACGCGTCTCGAACGTACTGCTCGAGCTCGGCCGTGCTAAGGATGCGCCCGTTCTGCGCGGCGTCGAGACGCCAGAACCGCCCGTTGCGGAGCACGATGACATGCCCAGTATCCCCGCGGTCGCCCGCCTTTGCGTATGAGGTGCTCCAATCAAGGCCCTCAGGTCCAGGAACACGACAGCAGTCGAACATCCATCTGCGCCCTCGTCAGTTCGACAGAACCGCATGAAACGGAGCAAGCGCCTACCGGAACGTGTCCATGCAGAACGGCGCGTCTTTGGACCCCTCGGGCTTGACCTGCCCGAGCTTGAGCTGCTGCCTGAACAGCATGGTCGCGCGCGTGATGCTGGCGGCGCGGTGGACGGCCGTTTGCGGGAGATGAGCGGGATGCGCATCGAATCCGTCTGCGCAAAGCGTTAATCCAAAAATCGACGCGCCCCGGCCGCCCAGCCACGCACTCACAGTAGTACGATACGTTCACCACGACCTGCGCTCAACATTCAACGTTCAACCATCGACATTCAACGCAACCCATCCGACACGCAGCGACGCACTCACCGAATCGCGATAACCAAGGTACCCCCCGTCGTCCCACCACTCCTCAAGCCAATGCTCCCGCCCCTGCGCATGCCGCACCAGCCGCGCGTGCAGCTCGCGCCCCGCGCCGCCCGCCGCGCCGAACGCCTCGACCTTGCGCACGGCGGCGGCGTGCTCCGCGTCGGACCACGCGAGCGGCGCGAGCGACTCTTTCCACTTCTGCAGCGTCGCGTCGAGCGCGGGCACGGGGAGCCGCGGGAGCGCGTGCTGCGCCGCGAACGTGGGCGTGCCAGCGAGCGGCGCGGGCGCGGCTTGCTTCCAGTTCGCCGGGCGTTTCATGGTGTGGATGTTGTTGGTGTTGGTGTTGGTGTTGGTCTGCGCGTGGGCGAGACGGCGGAAGGATGCTGCGGGGGGCGGTCGGTGGGCGCGCAGGCGGAGGGTCGTGAGCATGGCTCTAGTGCGCGCTGTGCATGTGAACGGAGCTTAATATATGGTGCAGAAGGAGCAGAGGCAGACCGGAGACCTTGCTACCCCGCATTCGTCGGGCCGGGCTTACCTCAGGACATTGGCAGCTGATTTCGACCTGACCTGGCCGCAACGGTTCCGCGGCCGCGTCGCGACTCGCTGGGAGCAGGCATATGCATGAAATACGAGTAGGGCATCAAGCGGTCAATAGTAGTAATGGATCCGTATGTGTATTGTATCGACCCGACACTAGATCTAAGAAGATTGTCCGACCGGCAGTGGCTAGGATGCAACGCGATCGACGGTATGCCTGCATGAAGTCCAATGTAGTAGGAGTATCTCTTCGATGGCAAGTCCGGGCAAGTCCTCGCGGTGCTTCCCGCACCCGACGGCGCATCCGCTGCAGCTCATCACAACAGCGACGCGACGAGCGCGGCGACGCCCGCACCGACGGCGGCCAAGGAGCCCGGGAGCGAGAGGCTCGAAGAGGCGCCGCTGGTCGAGCCGCTGGAGGACGAGCTGTTGCTGTTGGACTGCGATGCCTTGCCCGAGGCCGAGGTCGTGTTCGAATAGGGGAAGGACGCGTTCTTGTTGGTCTCGACGTACAAGTTAGTGGTGGGGATGTTCATGCACTGGCCGATGGGCTTGAGCTGAGGGGGTAGGAACACGTGAGCGGATCGCTGCTTGGCGCATCACACGAGGTACGGCTTACGGTGAAAGCAGGGTTGTGCGAGAGCGCAGCGTTGAGGGTATAGCCTCGGGCCAGGTCAACCGTGGCTTCGTACAGGTCGTGTTGCAAGACGATGAATCTGCAAGAGGGTCAGCACTACCGTCGACGAAGTACGCTGTTGATGACACGCACCCGGTGTCGATGATGGAAGCGTTGCCGAGGATGGACTGGAAACTCGCGAACGAGTCCGTTCCAGAGACCAAGCCGCCAGGAACCTTCCAGTCTAAACGCCACGTTCAGTGTCAAGAAGCACCAGAGGGAGGGGGATCTGACCATTGGTGTCGAATTGGCCCGCAGACGGGGTCCGGGTCCAGATGATGGGGACCAGGCCCATCGCCAGAGAAATGGCGCGAACGCGGTCATCTACGGGCGGCCGATATCAGATCTCACGACGAGCACACTGAAGGCACTCCGACTGACCGATATCACCGTAGGGCGGGCGCATGGTCGTAGGCGTCACGCCGAGGACGGTCTGGATGGCCTTGCGGGTCCAACCCAACTCGGCGACGATCTGCTCGTTCGTGAGCGATGTAAGAGGCTGCGAAACACGCGACCCGTTAGTTTGCGCATCGCGAGCATGAGAGGGATTCGAGCGTACCCTGTGCGACCAAGTGTGCACGCTGATCTCATGGCCAGTCATGTACTGTTCGACCAAGACCGCCGGACGTTCGATGACACGCGAACCGACGACGAAGAACGTCGCGTGGATGGCCTTCTCCGTTAAATAAGAGAGCAGAGTTCTGTGACAGAACGACTGAGATAAGCGGGATCGCGCGGACCAGGCCAAGCGTTACGTACTGGGCTGAGATATGTTTCGGTCAACCGACGAATGAAGCGCGACAAAAACGGAAACAAAAAAGCTCACTATATGGGCCGGGGCCGTCGTCGAAGGAGACGCCCCAAGTGAATTTCTCCGGGCAGGCGGTGATATCGGTGCTGCGCGTGTACCCGCCGCACGTCCACCAGCCACGGTCGGAAGCCTGAGCGGCAGCGGCAGGGTCCTCCGCACAAGAGCCGTCGGCAGTGGGCGTCCACGAAGGGATGTTCCAGCCGTTGAGCTCCTGCATCCACCCCTGGACCTCATCCGAAGCTGCAAGGGGGTGTGGGCCTCAGCGACGATGCTTCAAGGCGGCAGACGACTCACTGGTATCGGGGACCTTGTCCTGGGCGGGCCACTTTCCAGCCTGGAACACGACTGAAGCGGGCGGAAGGCGTCAGCACGCGCACGGGGCTTCTATTGATAAACGTACAGGCGGTGGGAAGGGCGGGAGCGCCGGACACGGGAGGGGACGCGCCCGCGCTGAACGTAGCGGAGACGGACTGGGTCGTCCCCGTTGGCATGCCAGAGGTGATTTGGCTGAGCGGTGGGACGCCCGTGCCTGCCGCGCTGGGCGCCGAGGACGCGCCGCTACCCGCAGCGGGTGCGGAAGAAGACGGTGCCGCAGCGGTCGCCGACGAGGCTGAAGAGGCGGCGGCGGAGGATGAGGCGGACGATGCTGCGCTGGAGGATGCGGGGGCGGAGGCAGAGGAGGTGGAGGCCACGGACGACGTCGCCTGACGTTTAACGACGCGAGCGTGTCGCGAATCGTGAGCGGCGTGGGCCGAGGCGACGGTGACCAGGGTCAAAAGAGCGGAGAAAGCGGCGAGCTTCATGAAGTGCAAAGTGTATAAGGGATAAAGGAGTGTCTGCGAGAAGGGGGGAGGGGGCGAGCGCGGGCTGCTCGAGGACGACAAGTGCGACGGCGCGTAAGATTGGGACGGGAGAGAGGGTTGGAGGCACGGCCGACCGCACCTTCTATAAATGACTTCGCTTGCTGTCGGCCTTGGCCGCTCGCTTGGCAGTCGGCTCCCTCGGCACCGCGCCTGGCCCAGGCCCCCCTCCCCCTGGTCGAAGCACCACCCACAACCAGGGTCCCTCTCAACGCCGACCACGAGCGCGTGCATCTGCCTGCCGCTCCACCTCCAACTTCCCAACCCGCCGCCGTCCGCGCGCCCAGTCCTCAGCATGCCCTCCAGACACGACCAACGACCCAGACATCGTCGCGTCCACCGCCCCAGAACGCTCGCCGCTCGCCGTGCATCCGAGCACTCCGCCCCCTCCGCTTGTTATAGATCTACGGTCGCCGCTCCCATCATCGCTGGAATACAATTGCAGGTAGGATATATATATGCTCGAGCGTGCGAGATGACTAGATAGAGTACTAGAACGAACGAACGAACGATCAAACAATCAAACGATCAAACAGATAGACAGATAGACAGACAGACAGACAGACGAAAAACACATGCCAGCGGGCAGGCGCAGCAGAAGAGTGAAGTGGAAGAAAAAAAAATAGAAAGAAAGAAAGAACAAAAGTATGAGAGACGCAGAGATCAGACGCAGACGCTACTCATCGCCTCCCTCGCCCTCGCCGTCGGGTTCGTATCGTGTCTCGAACAGGCGCAAAAGAAAGAACGCGAACGCGTGTGAACGACGCGCCAGAATTACAGCACAGACTAGGGCAAGAAAAAGGGCAAACAAACAAACAAACAAACAAACGAAAAGACAAAGAAGCGAGACCGCATCAGCGAAGCGCGAGCAAGCAAAAGCGACGCCCCCTCAGCCGGGCGACGCCATCCGCAGCGCCATCACCCGGTCGTCCGACACCATGATGATCTCGCCCCGCCCCTGCCGCCCGCCCGCCCCCGCGCCCGCAAAGGGCCCATACGGCGGCGTCCCCGGCTGCTGCTGGCTATACACAGACTGCATCGACTGCCGCGCGCCGTACGACGCCTGCGTGTACGCCTGCTGCTGCTGGCCATACTGCACCCCGTACCCCGCGGGCGGATACGGCGCGTACGACGGGCGCTGCGGCGGCGGAGGGGGGCCATGCGCGCTCGTGGGCGGGGTGTCCGCAAAGAGGCACCGCAGGTTGTTCCCCTGTATGATCTGCGACATCGCGCCCGTCTCGACGTTGCGGATCTCGACGAACGTCGGCTCGAACGCGAGCACGAACGGGTACTGCAGCGCTGTCGACCCGCAAACACGCCTCGTCAGTGCGCGAGCGCGAAGAGGGGGGTTGGCTTACCGAAGCGCGTGGGCGCGCCTTCCCAGTGCACCATAAAATCCCGCCGCGAGCGCCACCCGTTGCGATTGATATAAAACGCAAACTCTGCGCCGCGCAACTTAGCAAACAAACACGCCCAGGCCGACCGCGCACGCGCGCACTCACCGTCATAGCACAGCAAAAACTCGTTCTCGATCCTATATATCGCCATCGGCTTCGGCTTGACGTTCTCCCCGCGCCGCTTGACGAACTCGAGCGACTCGTCGCTCGGGTCGAGCAGGCCCTGCGTGTCCAGCGTCTCCGGGTCGATGATCTCGAACCCGTTCACGCACGCGACGCAGAGCTTCGTCTTGAGGAAGTGGATCGAGCTCGACTGCACGGGGATGTAGAACTCCTGCCCGCCACACACGCGACTCGTCAGCTCCCGTCCCCGCACCGCGCGCGCACGACGCACGACGCACCTTGAATATCCGCAGCGTGTCGTTCCCGCCCTGCAGCAGCTTCCTAAACGTCGGCTTACTGCGCCCGCGCACGTTCTGGTCGATCGGCTCCAGTATCTTGATCGTGCTCGACAGCGGGCTCGTCTTGACGACGCACACGAACGTCCGCCCGACGCACGTCCCCGTCTTGAAGAACGACGTGTGCGACGCGATCCGCTTCGCGCGCTTCAGCCCCGCCATCGGGTCGATCGCGTCCAGTGCGTCCAGCGGGAACGTGATCACCTGGCCCTCTGCCGTGCCGCGGGGCGTGGACGGCAAGGACAACGGAAGCGGAAGCGAGAACAAGAGATGCAGGGAACGGCACTCGCGTCAGCCCCGCGCGACGACGACGGCGAACGGCGGCGGAGGGGACTCACCCGAGAGCACGATCAAGAGCCCGTAGTCGTCCAGCACGTCCACCTGCGCGACGTCCGTGAGCGCGAGCATCTTCACCGGGTCGCGGTTCTGCTCGCGCAAGTCCGAGATGTACACGCCGTCGTCCGTCCCGTACACGACCTTGCGCCCCGCGGCTGCACACGACGCCACCCCATCCACCCACAGAAGAAGAGAAGCTCGACTCAACAACGGATACCCACAAAAAAAAAAAAACCAGGGAAAAAAACAGAAAAGCGACGGGGACGCACCGAACGGCGCCGCGCAGTTCGCGCGGTTGAGCCCGACGAAGAACCCCTCGCTCAACGCCTCCGTCTCGAAGAACGTGCTCCGCTCGCGCATCCTCTCCTGCTGCCGCGCGATGTTCTCCACCCACTTCCGCTGGCTCACGTGCGTGCTCGCCCAGAGCGTGATCTGGTAGTACTTCCGCCCGAGGTGCACGAACGTGATCGAGAACCCGCCCTTGCCGCCGTTCTCCGTCTTGCCCACCGCCGGCGGGTACGGCGTCGCGCCCGGGGCCGGGGCCGGGGCCGCGGCGCCCCCTTTGCCGAACGACGCGCGCTTCGTGAGCACCTTGCCCGGGCGGCTCGTCGACGGCCGCACGGTGCCGTTCGCGCCGTCGTCGCTGAACGTGACGAACAGCAGCTCGAGCGGGATCGGCTGCGCGCGGAGGCGGAACAGTCAGACGCGGCGGACGAGGAGGAGGAAAAAGAAAGGGGGAGGGGACGGCGAGGACGGACCCGTCGGTAGACTTTGTACTGCTCGCCCTTGCTCTTTTGCTTGACCATGAGCAGCGCGTGGTCGAACAGGAACGTCTGCAGCTCGCCGCTGTCGCCCTGCGAGCCCCCACGGCGGTTCAGCGCGCCCTTGTAGATCAGCTCCCGCCCGTCCTCCTTCAGCCGCAAATCCTGCCCACGCCCTCTCGTCAGCACGACACGCACGCAACGGCACGCGACGACAAAACGCGATACGCACCACCTGCTCGCCGGGGCGGAACACGAGCTGCTGGTCCAGCTGCAGGAGGTTGAACCTGTTCTCGGCCTTGCCCGTCTGGAGGTTGACCTCCGCGAGGAACTCGCGCACGAGCGCGACGACCTTCGGGATGCGCTCGCGGTCCGGGTTGTCCTCCGGCGTCTGCTTCAGCACCGCCTCGAGCAGCAGCGGGTACCGCGCGAGGCGCGTCGTCGGCTTCGTCAGGTACCCGTTCAGCTCGAGCTTCCGCGACTCGGGGCGCCGCTCCGTCGTCTGCGCAGCCGCCCGCCCGCCCGTCCGTCCGTCAGCGATCGTCGTCCTCGTCGCCGGTAACAAAGCCAAAGACGCGGCGCACGCACCTCCACAAACTGCGCAAACGCCGGATTCGCGCTCTTCTCCTTCTCAAACTCGTACTTGCCATAAAGCTGATGAGCGCCGTACGCGACGAACGGCGCAAAGTGCGGCACCGCCTCCGCGAACACGTCCGCGATGCTCTCCACGACCGCGTACGCCTTCTGCCGCTTGTTCAGCGCGTCCCGCAGGCGCGTGTTCACCGCGATGATGTCGTGCACGTTCCAGAACACCTGCGTGATGAAGTCCGCGCGCCGCGCTTCGGGGATGATGTCCGACGTGCGGAGCGGCGCGATCCACAGCTGTGCGGCGCGCGAGGTTGGTCAGTCGGTCAGGTGAACGATCGCGCGCGCGGACTCACGTCGCGCAGGTACTCCATATCGCGCACGAAATCGCGCTCCGTGTAAATGACCTCGTTAATAGCCTCCTGGCGGCGCTTCTCCGCGTCCGACACGCTATTCACCACCTCCTGCGGCACCGAATGCACCCACAGCAACCCAGGCTCGACCAGCTCGAGCTCGCCCAGGCTCTCGCGGCTCGGCGCCTTCTTCAGCAGCAGGCCCGGCTGCGGCTTCATGTGCAGGCGCGCCTGCTGCTCCAGGCGCCGCGGGCACGTGATGCTGTAGCACAGCCGGTCCCGCGAGCAGGTCGGCGAGTAGCAGTCCGTGAGCAGCGTGAACACCCCCGTCGGCAGCGGCGCGGCGTCGTCCGCGCCGACGGAGCCCGCGCGCACGGGAGGCGGCGTCGGCGAGGAGTCGTCGCGCTCGGGGTCGGGGTCGCGCTCGGGGTCGCCGGGCGACGGCGACTCGGTGGACGAGGGGTCGTGCGAGGGCGAGGAGCCGCTCTCCTGCGTGAACGCCGAGTCGGGGCGCGCGGGCGGGACGAGCTTGCCCGCTGCGTGCGCGTGCGCGCCGGGGATATCGCCGCTCGCGAACGGGCTCGGCACGCGCGTCTTGAACTGGTACACGTCGGCGGCCGAGTCGCGCAGGCGGTGGTCGTACGTGACGGCGTGAAAGAACTTTTGCGCGTCGAGCGCGCGGCCGAGGAGGAGCGCGAGGTTGCGGTCCGTCGTCTTGATGATGTACGCGATCTTGTCGACTGCCTGGCGGCCGTCGAACGCGTCCTTGTACGCGAGGCCGTCCTTGACGCGCTCCGCGAGGGCGATGCGCGCGCGGAAGGCCTCGGCGACGCGCGAGAGGAGGGCGGGGTAGACGATGGGGGTGCGGCGGCCGGGGGTGGAGGGGGGCGTGGCGCCGGGGCGCGGGGAGGGCGCGGGGAGCGGGGGGAGGGAAGGCCGGCCGGTGCGCGAGGATGGGGATGGGGAGGCGGCCTGGTCGAGGAGGGCGGCGCGGACGTGGGCAGTGCTGGCGGCGGACATGGACTTGGAGCGGTCCTGCGGGGTGCGGTCGCGGCGGTGGGCGCCGGGCATGGTGCGCGAGGACTCGGAGGAGCGGCGGGAGGTGGTGGTGGTGACGACGGCGGAGGCGTCGACAAAGGAGGAGGAGGCGGGGGACGTGCCGGGGTGGATGGCGGCGGCGGTGTCGAGCTGGAGCGGGTACGGGCGGGCGGGGTCGGCGGGGAGGGCGGCTGGAGGAGAGGGATCGGGTGAGATCGCGGGGGGTGGGCGGGGGGTCGATACGTACCGGATGCGCGTGTCCAGAGGAGCTCTGCCTGGCTCTCGTCTGTGTCGCTGGGGCTGGGGCGTTCCGTGAACTCGATGCCGAGACGGCCATTGTCGGAGTCGAGGTTGACGCCGAGGTAGGAGGGCCCCGGGGCGGATGGGTCGTTGTCGTAGGGCTGGTAGTGGCCCTGGGGGAGGTAGGACTCGGGATGTTGCTGCCAGCCGTTGTGTTGCTGGTGGAGGAGCCGCTGCTGCTGCTGCTGCTGCTGGAGGTGATGCTGCTGACCGATGGGGCTGTTGAGGTAGACCTGGGCCTGGTAGGCCTGTGCGGGGGTGAGGCCTGCGCGGGTGAGGGACTCGAGGGTAGCATCTGGGGGGTCCTCTGGGGGAGCGACGATGACGCCGGGTGCGTGTGGGTTGCTGGCGATGGAGTGGGAGTGGGAGTGGGAGTGGACGGAGGGGGCGGGGAAGGCGCTGTAGGGCGCGTACTGGGGTTGGCGGTAGGGGGCCTGGGAGTACTGGTGCTGGGAGTATTGGGTGGGGAGCGGGTAGTAGGACTGGGGGTAGGAGGGGCTGGAGGAGGCGGTGGAGGGCGCGTAGGAGGTCCTGCGGTCGAGGGGATGCTGGTAAAGCTGCTGCTGCTGCTGCTGCTGGGTGTGCTGGTACTGATGCTGCTGCTGATGCTGCTGCTGATGCTGATGCTGCTGCTGCTGTGGATACGGGTACTGGGGGTGGGTGTAGCGTCCGGAGGGCGGGTAGTTCATCGCGGACGACGAGGGGGCGGGCGGGGAGGGCGGCGGGGGGTGGGCGGTGTCGGTGCGGCCAAAGATGCTCTCGTACGCGGCATGGCGCTTGTCTGGCTGGCGGGGGCCGAGGGGTCTGTCCATGGGAGGCAGCGGAGAGCACTCGGGGCTTGCCCGGCGTGGTCCAGGCGAGGCCGGCCCGTGACCCTCCGTGACCCGCCTGTCACCCCCGCCCGCCAGTCCATCCGCCACCCGCCACCCTCGCAGCTCCCAGGTCCGGGGCCCTCCATGGCCTCCCTCGTCACAGCCGTCCGCAACAGTGCGCGCCTCTCTCTCTCTCTCCCCCACCCCAGACCCTCGCTCACGCCCCCGCACCCACAGAGTTCCTCGACGCCGTCCGCTCCGTCAACCCCCCCGGCAGATGGAAGATCCTCGTCGTCGACGACCACGCCCAGCGCCTCCTCAACGCCGTCCTCAAGCAGTTCGACATCCTCCAGGAGAACGTCACCCGTGAGCACCGTCTCCCTCCACCCACCGCACCGCATCGCTCCTCACCGCCCCCGCCAGTCATCGAGTCCATCACCGGCCATCGCGAGCCCCAGCCCGCCTTTGAGGCAATCTACATCCTCATGCCCACCACCCACAACGTCGACCGCATCATCCGCGACTTCGCCCCCGCGCGCCAGCAGTACGCCGCCGCGCACCTCTTCTTCATCGACGGTCCGTCCCCGCCCCCGCGCCCGACGATATCCATGCTGACACCGCCCCAGGCCTCGCGGAGCACCTCTTCGAGCGCCTCACCGCGTCCCCCGCCGAGCCCCACCTCAAAGCCCTCCAGGAGCTCTTCCTCAACTTCAACCGTGCGTCCCTCCTCGCGCACACACACACGCACGCACGCACGCACTCACGCACGCACTCACCCCCGCCCAGCCATCGAGGCCCAGGCCTTCTCCCTCAAGATGCCAGCCCACTTCTTCTCCATGTTCAGCCCACCCCGCAACGACGCCGCCGCCCGCTCCTCCCGCGACAGGATCGACGAGGACATCCGCTTCACAGCCAAAGTCGTACGCCGCGCCCCCGCCCCCCCCCCCTCCCCCTCCTCCCCTTTATACCCCTCCGCGCGCGCGCTCACCACTCCCGCACAGATAACGAACGTCTGCATCGCACTCAACGAGCTCCCCTACATCCGCTACTACCTCCCCGCGCACCACCCGCCCCTCGGCGCCCTCGCCCCGCACGCGACCACCCGCGCCGCGCCGCCCCCGCCCGACACAGCCCGCCGCTGGCGCACCGACCTCGCCCGCGGCGCCGACGCGCGCGCCTACGAGGCCGCCGACTCCGACTTCCTCCCGCGCGTGCTGGCGTTCGCGGTCCAGGCCGCGCTCGACGAGCACAAGCGCGCGAACCCCGACTTTCCCGTGCGTCCCCGCGCCCGCCTGCGATCCCGTGCGCGTGCGTGTATGCGACTGATACCGCGTGCGCGTGCAGAAACAGGAGCCCGGGCGCGCGCGCGCGACGCTGATCGTGACGGACCGCTCGATGGACGTCATGGCGCCGCTCGTGCACGAGTTCACGTACCAGGCGATGGCGAACGACCTCCTCCCCATCGAGGACGGCGCGAAGTACACGTGCGTGCCCCGCCCCCTCATCCCTCTTCCAATCGCGCTCACGCGCGCGCGCAGGTACAAGTTCCAGTCCTCGCTCGGCGCGTTCGAGGACAAGACCGCGACGCTCTCCGACGCGGATACCGTCTGGACCGACGTGCGCCACATGCACATGCGCGAGGCGATCGACAAGCTCATGGCTGACTTCAATCGCTTCATGGCGGACAACGCGGGCTTCAAGGGGTGCGTGCTCGCTCGCTCGCTCGTTCGCTTTCGTTCATGCGTGGATGCTTGATTGCCTGGCCGCCTGCGTTCCTGCCTGCGTTCGTCTGGACTCGTTTCGTTTCGTTCCGGTTCGGTTCGTCGCGCGTCCTCGGACGCCTTGCAGGGAGGGCGCGGCGACGCTGAACGACATGAAAGACATGCTCGCGAGCCTCCCGCAGTACCAGGAACAGCGCGAAAAGGTCCGTCCGTCCGTCGCGCACCCCATACACACCCCATACTCCATATCACACACTGACGCGCCCCCTCCCTCGCACCCGCACCCGCTCGCACCCGCACTCGCGCGCGCAGTTCTCGCTGCACCTCAACATGGCGCAAGAATGCATGGACATCTTCGAGCGCGACAAGCTGCCCGCCGTCGCGAGCGTCGAGCAGGTACCGTCCCGCGTCGTCCCCTTCCCGACGTGCCATCGTGCTGACGTGCCGACTCGCTGACCGACGCTCGCGCCGCGCCGCGCCGCGCGCCGAAAGAACTGCTCGACGGGCGTCACCGCGGACGGAAAGTCGCCGAAGCACCTCGTCGAGGAGATGGTGCCGCTGCTGGACAGCCGCGAGGTCATGTCCGTCGTCCTTTTCTCCTCCTCCTCGCCCGCTCGCTGATCGCATCCCCCCCGCCCCCAGCAACGCGAACAAGGTCCGCATCATCGCGCTCTACATCCAGTACCGCGAGGGCGTCCCCGACGAGGACCGCCGCCGCCTGTACCAGCACGCGCGCCTCTCGCTCCCCGAACAGGACGCCGTCAACGCGCTCGTCCACCTGGGCGTCCGCATAAGCAGGGTGCGTGCCCCCACCCCTCCCTCACCCCTCCACTCGTCCTCGTGCGTGTCCGTGCTCCCCCTCGCTCACGCTCGCACGCGCGCAGGGCCCAGGCGATAAAGACATCAAGCGCAAGCTCAAGCACAAGATGTCAAACGAGGAAGAGTACGAGCTCTCCCGCTACAAACCCCTCCTCCGCACCGTGCTCGAGGTGCGCGCCCCTCTCCCCTCTCCCTCCCTCTCTGCTCTCCTCACCCCGACCGCGCCCACAGGAGCACGTCGCCGGCAAGCTCGACCAATCCCTCTTCCCCTACGTCAAAGACTACCCCTCCGCAGCCCCCACCGCCCCCGCCGGGCGCAGCCTCCGCCAGACCTCCGCCTCCTCCGCCTCCTCCCCCGGCGGCGCGGCCACCGCCCCCGCGACCTCCCTCCGCAGCGCAAAGCCCAGCTGGCACCGTGCCGCGCGCCCCGGCGCCCCGCCCGAGACGCGCGACCGCCTCCTCGTGTTCGTCGCAGGCGGCATGACCTACTCGGAGATGCGCGAGGCGTACCAGCTCTCGGGCACCCTCAACAAGGACATCTACATCGGTGCGCACGCCCCTCTGCCCCCTCCTTCCTTCCCCCGCAGCCTTCCTCGCCCGACGCGCTGACGCCCCCCCCCCTCTTGCCCCATTGCGTCCGCGTCCGCCCGCGCACGCCAGGCTCGACGCACACGTTCACCCCGCGCCAGTTCGTCGACGACCTCAAGGTCCTCGAGCTCGGCGGCGTCGGCTCGCGCGCGCTCCCGAACGGCCTGCGCGACCCGCAGGGCGGCAAGCGCGCGTACCAGGACTACTACGACGAGCTCTACTTCACGCGCGACGCCCCGCCGCCGGCGCAGCCCCCACCCCAGCAGCAGCAGCAGCAGCAGCGGCAAGCGCCCGCGCCGAAGCTGTCGCGCCCGAGCCCCGTGCCGTCGCAGGCGGGCAGCGCGATCAGCGTCGGCACGGTGTCGTCCGCGGGGCTCGGCAAGGAGGACAAGAAGGACAAGAAGAAGAAGGGCTTGTTCAAGTGGTGAGGCGTCGGCGGCTGTCTTTTTTGCTCTCTTTCTTTTACTTTACTTTCTTTCTGTGGACCTACCTATTGTTGCTGTTTCGGGACGGGGGGCCGACGCCGGCGGTCGTGGCGGGTGGGAGGGTCGTTCTTGTTGGGGCCTTCGTACCAGGTGGCAGACCGCCCCCGTAATCAACTTGTCGTGCCTTCTTGGAGTTTTTTTTTTTTTTTTAATACGCCGGCGAACGACGTTCGCGAGGTCAGGCAGGCAACGCGCGTCGCGAGGTTCCCAATCAAGTCCATTAGGAATGCCACTACAATACAACGCCGCACGGCAAAGGGAAAAAAAATCTACGCGGAGTACTCCAACTTGGCTGTGGGAAGCGGTGGTCAGGGACGCGGCGAGAGGCGCAGAAAACCGGCGGGAGGGATGCGTACTCTCGTGTTTCTTCGACTCGCCGACCTTCCGCACGGCCTTCATGAGATCGTCCTGCTGCATGAACTCGCTGTGGACCCGGAAAGGCGGTGAGATGGCGTCCGGGCGCGAGAAAAGATGAGAGGCGGGCGTACCGATCGTCCCGGATGGCGAACATGCCGGCCTCCGTGACCACGTTCCGCAGGTCGGCGCCGTTGAACCCGTCAGAGAGCTAGAGAGACGATGACGAATGGGCGTCCGCGCGCACAAACGACGTCGTCGAAAAGAAACACTGCGCACCTTGACGATGGCCTCGTAGTCAAACTCGCCGTGCTTGTTCACGGGCGCGACGTGGATCTTGAGGATCTCGAGACGCGCGGTCTCGTTTGGTAGTGGGATCTCGATCTTGCGGTCGAGGCGGCCGGGGCGGAGGAGGGCGGGGTCGAGGGTGTCCGGCCGGTTGGTGGCCATGATGAGCTTCGTGCGGCCGAGCGAGTCGAAGCCGTCCATCTGGTTCAGCAGCTACCCCGTCCGACCCCGGCGTCAGCAATGCAAGCAACCGCGACGCGCACGGTGGCCCCAAAGTGGCACACACACACCTCCATCAGCGTCCGCTGGATCTCACGATCCGCGCTCGTGCCCTCGGAGAAGCGCCGCCCGCCGATAGCGTCGATTTCGTCCATGAAGATGACGCAGGGCTCGTGCTCGCGCGCGTACCCGAACATCTCGCGGATCACGCGCGCGGACTCGCCGATGTACTTGTCGACGATCGCCGAGGAGACGACCTTGAGGAAATTCGTCTTCATCGTCGCGGCCACCGCGCGCGCCAGCAGGGTCTTGCCCGTCCCTGGCGGGCCGTAGAGCAAAACGCCCTTTGGAGGCTTGATACCGACGCGCAAGAAGAGTTCTGGGTTCAACAGGGGAAGTTCGATGACCTGCGAGCAGGCGGCGTGGGTCAGGAAGCCGGAGAATGCGCGACGGATCCCCGCACCTCTCGCAGTTCTCGCACTTGCTCTTGCAGTCCACCGATGCCAGCAAAGGTCGCTCCTCCTGGGTCCTCCAAGGCCATCTTGTACACCGATGGGTCGACTTCTCGTGGGAGGATGCGCATGATGGTCAGGGTGGTCATGTCGAGGCTGACGCGTGTGTTGGGTTTAAGTTTCGCGGCGGGGAGAGCGGGTCGATAGGATACAACATAGCGCGGTCCTGAGGATGCTTTCACGATGACTATGAAGCAAAGCCAGTTGTAGCGAGACGCGGTGGCCGTAACAAAAGGGAAACGTACATCGCTCGTCGTCCAGCTGCTTCATGACTTCGCCGATGATCTGCCCCACGGACTGTACTGCCTTGATGTCGTCTTCCGTCTTCTCAAAGGATTTTTCGAGATCTTTGAGCGAGAAACGGACTGCATGGCAAGTTTGATCGAGGTGCGCTAACCGGGGGGAGAGAGAGAGACGCACGGTTCTTTAGGCTTTCGCTGCTAGTCTCGTGTGCACGCATTTTCTACGCAACCAAGTCAGCCAAAATACGACAGGAAGAGGAAACGCGCTCACATCCCGATATGCCTTGAGAGCATTGAGCCTGCGTTCGTCCATGCTGCCCGACGATGTTGAGGCCTGTGTGCTCATGGTCGATGTCAATACCGAACAGTGCTTGCGCCTCTCGAGACGCGTAAGCCAGTGACGCGTCTAGCGATGTATTGCCCTTTATGTTGACACAAATGGGGCAGTTCCCATCGGCCTGGTGGTCTAGTAGTATGATTCCTTCTTAGGGTGTTTCATCACATGGAGGAGGTCCCGGGTTCAATTCCCGGCCAGGCCCTTACAATGGACTTGTGTCCGGTTCATTCTTTTGCTTTTTTTCCTCTCCATATGACGCAGTCTACCGTTTGTAGTTTCCTCCTGTCGAGCAAGCGAGTCAAAAGCGAAAGCTATCAATATAGACCGAACCATCACGCCAAGTTGCGGCGAACTTCATCCGAATACTCATCACGGTGTCCAACTCCAGCAATCCAAGGAAAGTCAGGAGTCCAAACATTTTCCACATTTCAGAGACACATGCTTGTCTAGTACAGTTACAATATACAGATCAAAAAACCCCTTTGTGTGTTCGCATATAATTGTGTACCTATGCGTTCATTATTCCATGCCGCCTTGAGCGAACCAGCTTCGCAAAGGTTTCTAGAGCCTGACGATCGTCCTCTTCACCCTGTACCGGTTCTTTGAGAGCGTCGTACAAGTACCCCGTCCCCTCGATCAGCCGTACGTAGCTAGAGCGCTCGAGAGTTGTATCTTCGTCATCGCGTTCCGGCTGTACATCGAGCGCCGTCAATGTCTGCAGTTTCTCAGCAAAACGAGTCCAGATCCACGACCATCGGCGCGACGGCTCTTGGATGGCGCCATCGACGGTGATCCTGCACTCGACGAGATGCAGCGCTTTGAGCGTGGATTGGTGCCGAATGATGAAATCCTCGACGCCGGTATCCTCGTTGAACAAAATCCTCTTCAACGAAATAGACTTGAGTGCAGACAAGTTCAAGTCTGAAAAGTTGACTGGGGTGTGGGCTCCGACGTCAGTGCCGCTATGAAGCGTGAACGACGTAAGGGTCGCGGAGAAGGGGAGAGGCGAGTTGAGTACACTTGACATCGTGAACTGCCAAAACATCCCATAGTAGCGATCATATACATAATCTGTATCGCCAAGTCCACCCAGAACTGTGATCCGCAGACTCTCTAGTGACTTGAAAGTGTTTCTGAAGCCATATAAGGCTTGTCTTTCCACTGGGATCAAATTGCGGATGGTGAGAGACTTCAAGTGAGGAAGCTCAGGGATGGCAGGGATCAAGCGCCACTGGAGCTGCGTGGGTTTATACAGTCTGTAACTTGAGGGATGGAAGACGTCCTTGGAGAAACACGGATAAAACGTCAAAGAAACCGATTTGAGGACTGGAAATCTGTCAAGCCGACTGAACGACATTGTGAGAACATCCTGTATGGAGTCCAAGGAAGCGATGTGTCGCCTCTCGAGAAATGGCTCCTCCTCCTCAGAATCTGCCTCGGTACATGAGCTCTCCATCCACAGAGTGAACAACCGTGGATTACTCACCCAACAGTATGATGGAGCCTCGATGCACACGATAACGATCATGCAGAAAATCGCCATTCTCGTCCACATCGCAATGTCGGAAAGCGACTCCTTCAATATGTTGTACAAGCTTTGGACTTCGAGAAATGAGTTCAAATGATTCGACACTCTTCATAGTATTAGTAACATGGACGCGTTGAAACAGATAGGGCGTGGCCAATGCACAGAACGCCTTGTTTAACGCCCGAATCTGTGCCAGGGCCTCGGGGGTCGCCACACTTATAATGGCCTCGACGAGTTCGATGGGAAAGGTATCCATGACGCCGCAGTGCTCAACCTGGACGGCTGGAGGAAGTCAGATTGTGGATGCGAGCCACCGACGATGGAGACTGAAAAGTCAAAGAGCAGATTTGAAGGTAAGCCAGGTGGATCCCACGGAGAAGCGTGTCTTTTCCCACGATTGCGGCAGTCAGAGAAGAGAGAAATATGTTGCAATACATGTCGGGAACAACAAAGCGAGGCTTCCACATGAGGACAATCAAGACACGGGGAACAAATAACACTTGCAAATCAGGGGGGCACGGCTTGTGAAAGGTCGACACGGTCCTTCGAAAATAGCCCTTCAAGCTTCTTCCACAAACTCATTTCTGGGACCGGCGCCGTGTCCTGACCACTAAAACCCACACACAGATTTCCGCTGCGAGAGTACAGCTGGCAGTGGTCCGATAGTATGGAGTCAGAGGGAAACGTTTCGATGGCTCCGACGAGGATGAGCAATCGATCATCCGTAGCCTTGAGGATCCGCGCCGTCTTTGCGAGGGATGGGAGGATATCCATTCTGCCGCGGCGAGAGCCAAGTTCGATCATGCCCTTGAAATTATGGGGCAGGAGAACGATTATATTGCCTGTGATGTAGTGTCAATCTATGAGACATTTTTCGCGACCATGACACGTAGGTAAATCCAGCACAGAACTCACCTCGTCGAGAATAAGCGTCGATGTCGACGTATCTCTCCGGGCCCTTCTGGAACTAGAATTGGACGTGAAAATGCGCTCGCTACCATGTACAGCAATTACTCGCCACGTCAATGTGCATGTTACCAGTGCGGGTTGTCATCCGCATCAGTGCCTTCGGAGACTCTAGGGATGTACCTGAGAGCGCCAGGCTCGCGCGTATAGCACCATGTCTGGAGCTGAAAGCGACGTTAGGGGAGAGGTCTGAAGCTCTTCTGAACCTTCTCGGTATACGACCGATACGATCTTGAGAGGATGGACGGGGAAGTGAAGGATCAATATGCCAAGTGCCTGCAGCAAAATCAGGTCGGAACTGAATTAATGACGAAAAGGGGTGCACCTGAGATATCATTGCGGCGCGTTGTGAAGACTATGTCGTTCATGAGTGGACCATCCTGATATTTGTGCGCGGTAGACGCTGTTGAAGCCACAGGTGAAGACCTGCTTTCTGAGTTTGCATTGACCGCCCAGTGATACGAGGGAGGTGCATCTCCCTTCACAGGTTGAGGGTCATCCTGTTACAATATTGAGATTCAAGCAGTTCATAAAGTAGCCTACTATGGCATTTGCGGGTTCTACGCACGACATTGGATGAGGCGGCTCCTCCTTCCCCGAATTGTTGGGTTTTGTCTAATATCATGCTGGTCTCTGGTTAACAAGGCAGGACGTGAACAATCCATGCAGCCATGGAGCAAAGCTGCATATATAGGGATGGTGCTGCGGAACTGAGGTATGCATCGTGCATGTGAGCAGATGCAATGAGCGTGCCGGCGTGCGTCATGGCGCGGCACCGTTCTTGCACTTCTGCTTTGCGCTTGCAACTTGTCTTCAACAGCAGCGAATTCTCCTCGGTGGGCTCGCCCGCTGTCCAATCATTTAAAAACACACCTCTCGCCTTCAGTGAACATGTTTCATTCAGCCTCGCAGGATCTTAACATCTCCTCACCCGATCTAGGACCTCAGCTTTTGTTTCCGCCGTCCACAAAGATCTCTTCCAGCAGTTCTACGGCTAGTTTTGATATCCGCGCTATTCCTGGCCTTGATGAGTATCCTTCGCTTCCGTCTCAGTCTTCGAGCTTCGGATGTCTTCCATCGCCTGATTATGACAGCGTTTTCGCTGCAGAGTTGCCGCCGTGCCCTCTTGTGGCCAGAGAAGTGGCATCTCGGTTGTCTTTGGTGGACGCAGATGCTGGCTTGCTGATACCGATAAGGAAAGGTTCGGAGAGAGGTCAACTTGGAGATGTTCTCGTGTCGTCTTTGACTCGCACGCGCTCGTCTCTCATGCCTGAGAGCGATCGTGACTTGGAACGATGGAGGGTGCGTGCACATCTTTGATTCATTAGCGTGCTTCGTTTCACGGGCTTGGAGGGGTTTCAGACTGGCATCGAGGACCTCAGTCAAGCGAGCGTTGCGTCAAGGACATCCGATCTATCTTGCTTCTCTATTTGTGCCTCTCCATCTGGCCTCGATATGGCCGCATTCAACGGTCTTGAACCTTCTGAACCTTCTAATGCTGGAAAAATCCTGTCTCATGGCCTGTTGCGCGAGCATAGTACACCCTCTGCCATCGAATGCTCATCTCATGCACTAGATACATCGATGAGCAGCGACGGTTCCCGCAGTCAATGGTCTCTGCTCGTCTCTGCAACCGATCGTGAACTATGCTTACAGCTTGGCGAATCTACTGTCGACATCCATCGACTTGGCGTATCTCTACTCGCTGATATGGACAGGATCGATGCGAACGTGGCTATTCTGAACGAGCTCCGACATCTGAACGTTCCGGACATCAGGATATCGGCTTCGACCTGCACGCTGCCGCAGTCCCCTTCGTCCAGAGGTGGATCTCCTTCCCCAGACAAGCCTATTCTTCTCGCTACACGCCGGGGACGAAACCTACCTACCCCATTAACTCTGAAACTGGCAGAACCACCTGAGGTCGACTCATATCCTGGAATACCCACTGCGTTCAGAGGCTCTCCCTTGGATCAATCACCACGGTTTTCTCTGCAGTGCGACCGGAGTGTCTCGCCCATCCCGGTCAGCGACATGATCGGGAATCTCAGGTCACAAATTGCCAACCTCACGCTACCTTCTCCTCAGGATCCGAGGTCTTTTGAACCGCCGCCGTTGCCCTCTCGCTCACCCCTGCTCTCGCCCGAAGACGAGTGGGCATTCGCTCAGGATCTCTTAGCTCAGTATGGCGCTCTTGCTATGCCTTGGCCATCCATCGTGACCAATCTCGATGCTGCTGCGTCCGTGGATGACGATCAGGATCTTCAGCCTTCATTCAAGGGCCGGCAGCGATCTTCTGCTCCAGGCTCTCTCACTCGTCGACCACTCGAAGCTCAATCTCAGACATACACTCGTAAACCCTCTCGGATCGATCCGCCCCAAACGGGCGGCCAGAGCAAGCGCCATTCAGAACGGATTCTTATCGATGCACGACGCCCACAGTCTACCCCCGCCACTTCAACTCGTGTTCCAGCTCCCATAACTGTTCCACTTTCTCCGCGCACCGATCGGCATATGGGGCCTCGCGTGCTTGCGTCTTCCACACCCGTGACGCCCGCGTTTATGGAGTCGGATCCCGCACGCGATGTGCCTACACCCAGGAAGATCCACGGGATTCTGAAACGCGCAAAAAGTGTCCACTTCGCACCGCCGCCCGCTAGAGACGGCGGGAACGCTTCCGCAGACAGGACACCCACTCAAGAACCGTTGAAGACCACATCGCCAACCTGGCAGCCATCGCCGCTCAGAGAGTGTTTCACCATTGCAGACAACGCGTTCACCACGACACACCTCGCCGATGCTTCTGTCCTGGTCAATGGGGACAGCGCCTCGGCAAATATCACTCTCCCCCATCTTACCACACCCGATCATCGCCGCCCGCAAGCCCATCATACGCCGCAAACCCAGAAAGACAACTTTTCCGGGGCCGGAGTCGGTCCCTTCGTCGACAAATTGAACCGCTCAGATCTCACCACCGTTGTCTCTCCCGGACGGGTTCCTGCCGCCTCGGCTAAGGTCCCAAAAGGCTCTCGGTCCGTGTCCCCTCAGCTCCACCGCAAGTCCAAGGGGCTGCGCTCCCGAAAGGGCTCGATGGCGTCTACGGAAAAGGAGAACAAGCGGTCGCCGTTCCGTATTTCGTTGGGGACCGCGTCAATCAGTACGCCGCAGCGTGGCCGGAAGAACGAGAACGAGAACGAGGCCCGGCGCGACGGTGGGGGTGCAAGTCAGAGTGCGGGAGGCCAGACCCCACAGAAGGGCAGACGTCGGTCAACGCCGTTGAAGTCGTTGTTAACGTTGAAGCGCCTCCGATGATTTAGAATTGTCAGACCATTGTTTTTTTCTGTGATGGAATGGGAGATGGACACTTGACAGCTTTATTTCGCACATGCAATCTATTGTACGTGTGCATCAACCATCAAACTACTCTACCTTTTGTACTATGTGGGAACAGAAACGACACTTTAACGTCATGACACTGAAAAGCGGTTGGAATGAATCAGGTGAAGTATTAAGTACTTTGCGGATGAAAGGTACAGACGCCCAAGGGGAATTGTAGAGCTCTCCGTGTAATTCACGATTTTCGTCATGGTTCATTTGTTTGGGCGAGCTGTGATATATGATGCGCCGCAGGGGCCTTGTCTAGATGGACTCGTGGCAAACAAATTTTCAGCCAGATCAAGAGAGGGAATTCTAGACCGAGTGATTAAGAGTGACACTTGACGGAGCGCGCATGGGGCAGTGGACCTCGCAAGCGGAAATATTATTTTTGTTGGGGCATGTCAGCGACTCAAATCAATCAAAAATGAACCGCCAGATTCCCGAACGACACAGGACCACGCAAGGGCAGCCAGGGCTTTCACATCCTGTCCAGCGAGCCGGGGAAAAAATTGTGAAACGCAGAAGTCATACCGATTGCACCACCGATGTGCGAACGTCAGAATTGGGTTATCGTTGGGTGAAAGATTATGCTGCGAACCAGTCAGAATTTAGTGGAGAACCGCGGATGTTCTTCATGGTGGCCCCATGTAAGGCAAGCCCCTCCCCTATAACCTGCGCGCTAAGAGTACAGGATCACGAGGTTCGATACTCTCGGGCCACAAAGGCGGCCGAGAAGTGGACTCGCCCCTTCCATGATGAGAAAAAGGGCTTCAGCCTGCTGCTACGCATGTAATGCACGAGGTCTCAGAAAACGATCCTGGAGGCAGCCTTGTGATCACTTCTCTTCAAGGAGCATGAATAAATAAATCACCTTATCACCCCCTTCGGCGCAAATGAAGAGTGTGCGTTTGTCAATGTGATGAGAGCAAAAGACATTGCCTCCATGTTTCGGTTGTCAGTATATTGTCGAGGAAACGGTGATTGGGGGCACTTTGATCATCTTCCCATGCTCCGGATAGGATTTCATGCAGTAGAGGACACCTTATAAGCGTGAATTGTCCTTCTATCAGAAAAATCTGTGAGCTGAGGGGAAACAGTCACGGATCTCCATCATGCCTTCCGTAATGAAGAGGGAGATCCAAACGAAACTCTGTAACGCGGAGTTAGTGACCAGCGAAACGACGAGAAACCTTATTGATACTTAGATCCAGAATGAAGGATGTTCATGAGCGCTTAACCCATCTGCCTTGCGATGTGTGAACATTCCAAGATCTAGAAAGACCATCGCTGCTCATTCGCTAGTACTGGTGGTAGATGGGCATCTGCAGGATGATGAGGACGGAGAATATTCTGAACATCGCGGAATGTGAACTTTGCACCGCCACCATAAATGAAGTCCGCCGTCTCAACTCGAGCCACATTCGCCACTGCACCCGTTGAGCGCACAACAGCATCTGGGCAGCGTGAACCTTCATTTCTTCCGATGCCGCGAGGAATACCCAACATCAAGCGAGATGACACGCAGGGCATGCGTTACACGGGCTTTCATGTACCACTGCAGTCAGTAACACGCATTGTCATGTATCTTTGGGAGAGCTGTTCACCAGAGACGTGTAACCGATCGCGACAGGCCGAACCCAAAGCACATGAGCACATCCTATTTAAAAAGCGAGTCACAAACCATATGGGCTCGAAAAGCTGGCAAACAAAGAGCTGCTGAGGACGTATCTTTGACTTCTACGGAGGTATCAGAAAGACTTATTTCATCTCCACTCCAACGCACTCAAGGATCGCACAGACTAGAAGAGGATCTCGAGTCATCGTCATCCATCCGGGGTCGCAAAACCTTCGTATTGGACGCGCTTGTGATATGAACCCTGTCACGATCCCAAATGTCATCGCCCGGAAGGCTAAAACTCCAGTCCCTCCTCCCATCTTTGTAGAAGGCATCTCGCGCCCCCGCAAGGGGCGTCCAAAGATGACTGCTTCGTTGTCTAGTAGCGATGAGTATGCTGTAACGCCTGCCTCCGATGACCCAGTGAGGTTTTTGCTGTGACAGCCCGCAGACAGGTACTGACACCTGACGAGAAACCAGTTTGACGAGAAAATCTCGTTGATTCAGACATCTTTGCGAGATCGGATGCGATTCTACAAACTGCGAGTCACGCCAGATGCTGCGAATAAGGCTTCCATGTTCAACGAACAAATTAAACCAGAGATCATAGCAGAGGAGAACGACCCGTTCCGTACACAATGGATACTTGAATCGAAGGGGGACGAGTTTCTGGTGGGAGAGAAGGTGAGCCTTCAACAACATTTTTCGGTTGAGTCTCAATCCTCGCCGAATCTTTCTAGGCCCTTCTTTTATCAGATCCATCACGTCTAGGATACACTGTGCGGCGGCCTTTCTACGGGACGAAATTCAATACGAGGGACTATCCTTCCAGTCAAATGATTCTCGACGACGTAGAAACAATAATAAGTGTAACGTTGAGTGACAGATTCGGCATTGAAGCACGAGCTTATAAGGTATTTTATATGCCACGTCGCATTGGCTTAGCTGACTCGATGCCAGGACTATTCCGTGATGTTGGTGATACCAGACTTCTATGACCGGTCTTATGTTCGCGATATGGCCTCGTTGATACTGATGAGAATGGGCTTCAAGCAATTGTGTGTACAGCAGGTAACTTATCCGTCATGTCGTCTCCGTATCTGTCATGATCAATATCGTCTAGGAATCCCTGGCTGCAACGTACGGTGCAGGCATCTCGAGCGCTTGTGTTGTGAACATGGGCGCAGTTACCACAACAATAGCATGTGTTGATGAAGGCATGATCGTCGCAGATACTAGGTAAGAGATCTTGTTTACAATAAACTCATGCTCAACGCACACAGGATGTACCTCAATATGGGCGGGGACTACATTACAGAGTTTCTGTACGTGCTGCTTGAGAGAATTAGTTTTCCTTATCGAGACATCAACCTTGCGCGATCCTACGATTGGGCCGTGATGGAAGATCTGAAGACCAGGTTGTGCACTTTAGCGGAGGTATAGATGTCGAGTCCTCAGTATTATTACCTCGACTAATTGCATAGCTCAGGGCGACGTCGCTCTCAATCTATACGATTTCGTCGTCCGGCAGCCTGGAAAGGCTACAGAAAAATACGGGCTTCGTGCTTATGACGAGCTTATATTGGCACCCATGGTATGTTTGCTGCAATTGATTTTGTAGCATCTCCTTTCTAACAACATGTACCCCATCAGTGTCTCTTCGAGCCTCGCGTCATCGAATTTGAGAGAAAGCGGATAGGAATGTGGCCAATTCAACACCCTGATGTCTCAGATGAGATATCTGACCACCGGGAACACCGCGATTCTCTTCCAGCAGACCAGTATGTGCGTCCGAAAAGTTCACCTCATTTCAGATGCAGTTTCTAAGCATCAGCGCATAGACCCAAGCTATGATCATATCGACACAGCACCTTTTCACGCGTCCTGAGGCCGCCTTTTCCCCCGGCCCGACAGAAGTGCGACAAGCGACGCCATCGAGTTCAAAGACACCATCCGTGGCGGGAAAACACAATGGTGCACCCTCGCCTCCACCAGCCTCGGGTTCGAGAGTTTATTTGTTCATCCGTTGGTGCAAAAAATGATGAGAATGGAACCTCCAGGCACGCCTTCAGTCACAAGTTCGGGCACGCCAACAGAGCAGCTCGACTCTTCCAAGCTACCAACACCTAGTCAACCGTCTGCCGAAGAAGGTTCAGGCGATGCGGCTGCAATGGATGTGGATATCGAAGGTGATATCAAATTGGTCGCGGACCCGACGGAGAACGGTAAACAACAGCCCACCGCCAACGTCCCCCGATCAAAGTCTCCCGGAACATACACCAATCGGTTTGACATTGACATATGCTTTGAAGCAAGCAAACTCCCTTTGGACGTCGCTATCTTCAACTCTACGCGCGCTGCTGGCGGTGACGAGAAAATCCGCAAATACCTTCAGGCAGTGCTCGTTGTCGGGGGTACTGGATCGATGCCTGGGATGTCGCATGCTCTGGAAAGCCGGTACGTCTGCATTTCTGTATCGGCTTATGGCTGTAGCATTCCAAAACCGACCTCTGGCATTACTTAGACTTCAAGCGATCGCGACGCCTTTAGTTGTAAACATGGACAAGGTGCAAATTATCCCTTCACCCAAAGACGTTGATCCACGTGTTCTCATGTGGAAGGGGGCCGCGGTCTTGGGCAAAATGGATGGTGTAACAGACTTATGGATCACACCATCTGACTGGGTAAGGGCATTTCTCGAACGCAGCCGTCTCTTCACTGAACGTGCATGAATTGATACACAGGACCTCCTCGGCATGCGGGGGCTGCGTGAACGTTGCTTCTATTTGTAAATTTGGTTTATGTAGTACAAGATATCGCTGTCATGAATGGAAGGCCTGGGGAGTCAGATAGCTACTTCGGCAAGATAACATGGGCATTGAAATCATGCAACACTGTTCAAACGCGTGATCAAGGTAGTATATGGAATAAACAAAGAATTGATTACATGGGGCAAACAATGAAGCCTCGAGGCGAAAGGAAGGACGCTCGGGAGTGGGGGAATGCACGTGTTGCGAGGAAAATGGAAGGCGTGCACCACCGTCTGAACCTTGTGAGCCGGGAGATTTCAGCCGAAGGCGACTTCGTTCAAAGACGCTGCACATCATACTCCTAGACGTTTCTTCACGTCCAAAAAATCATATGGTGTAAGAGAAACCCATTGCGACGTGATGAAGGCCATCTCAGTGCGCCCACGTCTATGACCGCCAAGGTTAGTCAGGGGATGTACGAGTTATCCTCAGGTGAATGGGATAAAAGAAGTGTTCAACCCACTCCATTCTCTTGGTCCAATCCTGCTTACTTGAGCCGTTTTCGGCCCAGTCCATAACGATAGGTGATATCTTCTCTTCTTCTATTTCCGACACCTTCCGTTTCTTCTTATTCGAACCTCCGATTGTGATGTTCATAGCGCGAGACGCCAACGCCCCCATAGCGCTGAGTTTGGTCACGGAGTCGTCAATTTGGTTTCCGACAAGGCGGTTCGGAATGAATGGGCATGAAAATATAGACCGTGGCAGGAGCCCGTGGGCGATTTGGGAAGGCGAGCGACAGATAGGGCATTCAACCTGCTCATGCCAACCTCCACAGCCGTGCAAACAGGAGAAATACCACTGTAACAAACACAGGCCGCAGAACGTATGTCCGCATCGTGGAGCGTTGAGTGCGTACGGACACGCCCTGCGATGGGAGTCCGCAGATCATGAGCACTTCGAAACGGCTCAGGACGCGCGACATACATGACGTCCAAGCACCTGTGTACAATCATATTGAGATATACGATATTGCTTCGAGAGGCAAGCGGCTCACAGTGGGCAGGTGAAATCTGCTTCAAGTCGCTGCAGACTTGCCTCTGCACCAGGTATGATGTGAAGATCCACAAATTCGAGCAACTCCTTCCTGACCGACGCTAAAGCGGATTCGCTTTTGTCAATAACGAACTCAACTTGGCGCATAGTCTCTAGCTTCTTATCCACATCCGCCTCTCTGCGCTTTATGTCTTTTTCCTTCTGCTTCAATGCTGTCTCATGCTCCAAGAGCTTCTTCTGTGCCTGCGAAATGCGTGGAAGTTGGAACGATGGGACTCGCGAGCCCTTGGAGGCAGAAGGTGTGGCCAAAGGGATATTTTCTCGCTCGCGCTTGCGCTCAACGCTAGGCGACCGCTTCCTCTTCAAAGGTCGCCTGACTGATTCGATCTGTACGAACATGGTGGGTCCTAAGACCGACGGGGGGTTAGCATTCTCGTCCGCTGCCGCTGATCATATACATGATAGAATCTACGGATGCGCAGAACGCCCCGGGCCATTGAATACAACCGAGCCAAACTGGCTAGAGAGCGTACCTCGCTTTGGGGTTTGTGCTCCACTTAGGCGGTCTGACCGTCTCGGTTTGTTCTGAGATCTCGTAATGATCACACTGGACATCTTGATCCCTGAGTAGTACTAGACGCCGGATGGCTTTGAACTTTCGATATGGTGATGCAAAAAAGAGGCTGAATCTGTGAGGTGAAACCTCCAATATCGTGTAGTGAGGAGAGCGGAATTGGGAGTCAGCCGGTGTGATCACAGATCTGAGGTGACGCGCAGCGACACAATTTAGCGCGAAGCATGTCACGCGGCGGTGCCCGTGAACGCTTCAGCAGCGTAACGCTCATCCCAACCCTGGCCTCCTGCAGAATCTCAGCTTTCAAAAATTTCATCAGCACTGGTGCCAGAGACTGTCAGCTGAAGGAACAACCTCTCAAAAGATGCTTTGGATCATCGACGAGCTGTATACAGCTTTGACTGGATGCTTATTGTCGTCATGTCCCGTACGTCATGTTTTTGTTCTGCAGGATGCCCACCTGTCATTTGACGCATTCACGCCCGCGTACCTTCATGTGTTCATTTTCGTTCCAGAGGCAGGTAAGCCTTCCCATCCTTCGTCTCACTCCGAGTGACTACCGGGCGCTTCATGACGCAATTCGCCCAATTTTGAACACAGAGATACCACCATTGCTGTCACCCCACCGCCTTCCATCAAGAAAGTATCTACACCCCTTTTTCTTGCTCATCAAGGTTCAATCACATACCGAGCATCGAACACAGCAGAGACACGTCAAAGTCTCGAAGGCATCGGCTCATTGACGGATTCGACGGAACTTAGAACAGTCGCTCCACAACGTACCTTGGCATCCGGCGAAGCCTTGGTCGCTGTCAACTGGGCAAACAAGTCCGAAAAAACACGGCTCTGCGTGCCCTTTGAACCGCAAGATTAACGCTCATACGTCTCCGTAACTCCATTGCAGCTTGTTCTGCTATCTCTGTGCCTATCACTGCATGAAATAGGGTAACAGCCGCACCTTCTCCCATCCCCCCGACAAACACATGTCCCCACGTCACCGCCCGCCCCCGCTTTGGGCCGACTCTTTCAGTGCGCGCTTACCCCGTGCCTTTGTTATACAACAATGTTCCTGGTGCCCCTGTCTCGTAGACAGTCTGTGACTGGTCCTTTTGCTGCTGCACCGGTTCCGACGTTCATTTTGCCGTGATGGTCACCTGCTGAATGAAGATACGGTCGTGCCGCGTCCGCGAGGGTCAGCGGTGAGGCGTTCATGATTGGTCGTGTGCTCACTTCGTCATCTGGGACCCACATAAACCAACATCAAATCTCCGGGACTTGTCATCGTGAAACTTTGGCAACGCGTTCCACATATGTGTCACTTTCTGTCGTCTTGCTCCTGGAAAGTACTATGGCGACAACAGGAGTCATGTCTGTGACATCGGGTATACTAAATACGGTGGTCCACAGTCCACATATACAACTCATAACAGAAACATTCTTTGGTATTGTGAATGCTGTTATGAAGACGCCATGGCCACCCCCTGACATTGATATCTACTTTTAGAAGGTGCGTGGGCGAGATGAGAATTCGCGCAGTCAAAATGACGTGCTGATCAGGAAGTTCGTATCCAAGGGTATGTCCTCCCCTTACGGGACCCCTGGCGATAGAAAGGTTCCAGACGCTTTGTTCCACAGCATGACATTCAAAGAAGCTGCAACTTGACAAGGTTTGGATCTTGAAACTCAATTCAATGAATGATAGTGACGCTTTAGCCGCAATGTATGACGGCGGAGTTTCATCCGACGTTGAAGGCAAGGACGGGTGCGACCCATCGCTCGAGGTGAAGATGTAATACAAGGACATTCAGAGTACGTCAATGATCTGTTACGGATATAAATCACTCGTCGAAGAATGTCACCTCTCAGATTCGGGTACTTGGTACTTGAAACGAGTTGGGAATTAGATGAATGTCCATAAAGCTTCGGAAAGACGCTGCGGTCAAACGACTGAAGCCCCGTCGGATGAAGGCTCACAAGTCCGACAGGGAGAGGGAAGGCAATTGTTGTATAATGAATAGCGTCCCCTTTGCACGCGTTATCCATGTTTTTACCTTCATAGGTAATGACGACTGCATCATTGATTTCAAGCTGGTCTCGTGAGGCCTCGTGTCGCACAAAGAGCGCTTCAGGTGTCTGAAATGCTTTCCGTCGATTCGGTCATGAGGGGGACGAGCTGAGCTTCCTGACTTTTTTCAAGTCAGCTATGACACAGCCCTTCAATCAATTGGAGGCCTCCTATGAGCTCGTGTGTAGCCCCTAAATCCCCACCATTTCTCCGGCATCGTCCAGCGTCGATTGATCATCGAGCGCAGTTTATATGTTGGTATCATCACATTGATCCGCGTCGGCATCGATATATGGAAATGCGAAACAAACCCTCATGGCGAATATGAGATCACGTCTCGGACCAGTCTGCCGCAGGATGACGACGTTTTAGGCGGACGTGGCTGTCATGCGGCACGGTGTCAGAAGAAACATTCATACAGGGAAAAAATATTGGCCAAAGTTTCGGCTTTCAAAGCCACCTCCGTATTGTGGGCTTCCATGAGCCATTCGGACAGGGTCGATGGGCATGCTACAGATAACCGTAGTTGAGGTGTGCGACCACGGCGGACGATCTGTTCGATCCACGTCCCTGCGATATTGATGAATGATGTGGTATATCATCTGGTGCCATCGAGTCCCTCAGCACCACGAATCGAAAAGGGACGTAATCGAGGGATATTGTCTAGTCCGCAAGCCAATCTGACATACGGTTCGGGGATAGAAGTTGAAGAAGCGAAGGTGTGATGTATCAGCAAAAAATAGGAGTAGAAATGAAGACCGAAAAAAGCGCGGATAGAGAAATTGACGCCAAATGCTGCGTTGAACTGGCTCTCTCGCCTCGAGGTGGAGAGCGCTCCAAGGGGCAAGGGCCGGAGAGCACTTGATCAACAGACGTGTGGACTCATATATCAAGCACCTCGAAGGGTCTATCAGCCTCGTGGCTGAGGAAGCGCCTCGAGCGCCATGGTATGTCCTTGTTGGGCGAAGTGGGAAGTGGGAAGCATGTATTCAAGGTTCAAACTTTGCGTTCAAGACATTAGACACGACCGGCCGCAGACCACGAGCGCACTCGATTGCAGGCGAGCTCTGGAGAATCACGGAAAAGCGAGTTGATCCGGACGTCCGAGGGGGACGCGATGCGTATCCCGACACGGACGCGTCTGGCATGGAAGAGGAAGCGCGTCCGCCTGACCGCCTGTCAACTGTCTGCCCACGCCACAATGCATCTATCGACGCATGGCTGTCACGCGCGCCGATGCCACCCGCCACCGTCTTCCGAGTCAACAGCGCCGGCCGTGTCCATCGCTGAGCCAGAGCCACTGCATTCAGCGCAAATCTTCCTCCTGCCAGATCCAGCTGTCGCAGCGTAGCCCGGAATCAGCGTGTCAGAACTCCCTCCCCCGCCGCATCGTGATGGTCCAGATACGTATCGCAGACAGCGATAAATCCATGATCGCAGGCGTGTCGAAGATGCGATCTCCATGGGCAAGCTAGAACCTGTGGGACGATCAAAGGATCGAAAAAAGAGGCGAATAATGGAGGGTGGAGGTCGCACTCAGTGCACATCTATGCCAAAACAGGACTCGAGGACGCGGGCGAGACGGAGCTGCAGCTTTCCATTAGCACCTCGATCGCGGTCGATGGAATGACGGCATGGACTATCCTGCTGTCACGCTAAAACGCGGGGGTTGTGTATCATGTGATGGCCCGACAGTCCACTCATGGTCCTATTACTGCATATGAAGGCACTTGGTTGCGCAAGCAGTTAGCTTTGTCGTTATATCGAGATGCATATGAAACGAGACAAAGACCTGAACTCGGGCTGGATTGTAAGGCTCTACGACCTCCTATGACCTCCTATATCCACCGAGATATGCTCTCCCCTTGCTGGAAGATCTGGCGAGCAAAAGCGTGAAAGAGAAAGATGGGAAAACGATGATACGACGAATGAGATCGGACACGTACGACCCAAAAGGTACTCACGCGCCGTTGATGTGGGTGAAACTTACAGGCCTCGATAGGTCTCGATGTCCATCGAGAGTCCTGTAGCGTTGAAATATCATGAGCCAGTAGGAAGTGCAAATACCACGCTTATGCAGTTAGCTGCAGAGATAGAGTCTTCAAGTCGTCAATCTTCCGCGTCGCCATGCTGTGTCTGCCTGGCAATCTACATGCACGGCCATTCATTTAAGCGGGAAATATATCTCCCGCACGCCCTCCAGCAGTCCTCCAGTGCATCCATTCGATCTGATCGCCTGCGCCGACTCTCCGCTACTCTCCGACTCTCCAAGTGATTTCAAAAATATGGACTTATTTCCTTTCATGGGCCCGATGACCATGACGAAATGAGGAGAGCTGAGGAGCCACGGCAGGATGCGGCTTGTAAAACGCGCACGCTGTCAGAACAGGGCTCGCTGGGTGCAGAGTTTGACATATTGCGGGGAAATCTGAATAACCGCGCTTTTTTTAATTAAGAGCAAGATCCCGGTGGAAGAAGAGGCAGGAAGAGGAAAGGCGCGCGCCAGCGCACGGAAACCCAAGTGGATATGGCGTGAGCAGCGTCAAGCGTAGGTTCACGTCGAGCGAGATAGCAAAGGCGCCGCGTCGGGCCGACTCGGAGCTGAGCATCAGCACGAGCGCGTCGGTGGACGTGGCGCTTGCGCTCATTCTTCCACCTCCGCTTCCTGTTCGCTGTGGCCCTCCTGCGATGTCCACTTCTCAAACGAAGACGAATGGGGTAAGTTTGGAGCTGTTGGAGAGCCATCAGAATCCGTTCTGGAAGCCTCAGACCCTCGACGTTCTCAGAACAGGCCCGTTTGGAGTGCGTCAAACGAGGTGACGTAGGGGCCAGCTTTCTGTTGTAACGAACGTGGCCCATTGACTTGCGCGCCGTGCAGCGTATCGTCCGATGCACGGCCAGAGAGGAACGTCCAAGCTGCGGGTAAGATGTGCCCATGACAACAGGGATTAGGCATCGGTAGCAATGAGCGGCCAAGCCGTCGCGTCCATGCTGACACTGCGTTTGTGAGCCTCGAGGACACTCACTTATCGCAGTACCAAGCGTTCGCGTGTGAACTGGCACACATACATGGACACCCCCATCATGTCATACATCAATCCCCAGTTGCTCGAGAGGATGCCATCAAAGCGTAAATGTTGAATCTGTCAAGTAAGTACCGCGTCACTCGTCCAGACGGGGATAAGGCTTCACCGCGTTCACGATGGACGTCGCAGACACATTCGTCAAACGGTCGTTCTCGTATGTGCGAGCGGCTTCGAGTTCGGTGCTTCGGCGCTTCCTGGTGTTGTGGTGAAATAGCCGGCTCCGGCGCACGGGTGTGCGCTCGACTGCAAAAAGTGTTCATCCGGGCGTTGTGTCGGTAGTTGTTGGTGACATGCAGCTGAGCGTCTCTGCGCGCTTCCTCGTCCGACGCTCGCTGGATGTCAGCCCCGCGCCCCACGACAAGCAGCGTCTCGTCCCATCGGATTGTTGTTCGCATCTGGGTGTCACATGGTGTGACGGCTCTCTCGGTACGCATCGACATCATCATCTGCATATCGCGTCGCGTCGCATCGATCTTGCAATCCAATCTGTATCTCCCTTTGACCGTTTCATTTCAAACGAGTGATCACACTTCATTATGTGAAACACCCCACGGCGTGGCATGGCGATGGAGGGTGTTGGCGGGTGTGCTGGCATCTGCTGGCATATCGGTCGATGCGGCGTGATTTGGTCGCTGGCCGGGGCCCCCATCGGGAGACGCGGACTCGCGGTGGGCTGTTTGTGGCCAGATCGCGTTGGAGATGGGCAGATGCGCTTGGGGGACCGATTCCGGCTGTCAATCGTCTCTCGCTTCCCTTCTTTCTTCTCTTGCAGACAGCCAGACGCGATCCTCGCCGAAGCAAGCCCGTCGCACATGGATCGTGGCACGTGCTCTTTGTGGGCGTCTGCTTGCATCAGCGATACACTCCCACTGCACTCCGCCTCAGCCGCTTCGGTCCTCGCCCTCCGAGCTCCAGTGCATCGTCCGAAGTCGAGGCTTTTAAAATTTGCAGGCTTCGGGCTTCGACTGGAAGAAGGGACGTGCATCTAGCGAGCACAGTCCTCACAAGCCCTCTCAGCTCTCTTTTGCCTCTGGCGCGCGTCGGGCCCATGTTTTTTGCGGCCTTTCGGGCATGGGCAGTCTCTGTGCTCGTCTGCGACTCCGCCGCACCTCGAGGCGCGCGCGCCTGCGGTCGGCTGCCGAGCTTCGAGTACAAGCAAGTGGTCCGTGCGATCCTCGTCTGCGCTTATTATCTTGCTCAGCTGCGCTTTCTTCTCCGCGCACGGCGTCATCGCACCGACAGCGGGGTATCAGCTGCTTATTATGAGCAAGTGCACGCTTATCTGATCTGAGTTCTCACTTTGCGCAGCTTGCAATCGGCATCAGAGCCGCACCGAAGCATCAATGATGTATCTGGTACGCGCCCGCCCCGAAATGAACCTGTGCCCCCGAACGGCCGCTGGATCTTCCCTCGCCACATGTGAGATCTGCGCCTGCGCCTTTCCCCGGTCCACATCTCCTTTCTTTTCTTTTGTCGCCCGCCGCGCCACGCTCACGCCGCCCACGAACCCCCCCGCTTCCGACGACGCTCGCGACACCCGCTGGAACAGTTCCAGAAATCCCCGCCCGTTGGGGAACCGGCAAGCACGCTCTGAGCAGCACACCCACGAGACGCAGACATCAGAGAGAGACGTCTTTTCCTTTCATACCCAGCGTCTGATCGCGAAGCCAGTGGCACCGCGCCCGCCGGCTTCTCTCCAGCCTTCTCTCCTTCCTTCCTTTCCTTCCTTCGAAGAGCTGACGCACGTATTCCACTGGGGGTGGTGGTGTTCTCGCTGAACGTTCCCCGAGCACGCGTTCGCCCACTGTACTTATCGTCCCCGTCCCCCCCTTCCGTCACGCCCCGCCCGTGCGTTCTCGCCTTCGCGCTCTCCCGCGGGCGCGGCCATCCCCAGGCTCGACCAGGCCTGCTCTTCGCTCTTCGTTCATTGCCCCTCTACCTCCCCCTCTCCGCAGCGCCCTTCTCCCCGGCCACCCATCGCAGCCCGCGCGCGCGATCGCGCCGAAGATTCGAACGAGACACGCCATCCCCGTTCCGTATCGCGCCTCCGTGTATGCGCGTATGTACGCATGCAAATACGCACGTTTCGCGCGCGCGGTGCCTAGGCAATCACAGGGCCACGCTCTGCACAAGCACTCGCGACCCGGAACGCGCGAGGAAGCGGGGTGTCCATCGGCAGCACGATGGACCCCACCACGGCCGCCACGCTTCAACTCCATCCTCCCCTCCCCCTGAAGCTTGGACCTCGAGGGGCTGATCATCGGGCGTTGAATGTTGGACAGACAGCGGTCGAACAGGCTCGCACGCCCGTTCCCCCCATCCGCGTCCGTGGTCCTGGCCGCGCCCGCGCGCCCCGTCCCCACGTTCCTAGCACGCTTACTCTCCACTTACATACTTTTTACTTACTTACCGACCCCGAACCCGAACCCGAACATGCACATACAACACCCGCATAACGTACTCTGGCGCACACTGCTCCCACCACGCACGCGCACGCGCCGACCTGCCGCATCCAGCATTCAGTCGATCACCACAAGCCGAGCTATTTATAGCCATCCTGGTGTGCGACTTTGGGTTCGAAGCCAGCGCATACGTCTCTCCCTAACGTCTCTTTCTCTTTCAATCAATCTATTTTTTTTCCCATTTCAATTATCAGTTCTATTTCTACGTCTGTCATCGGAGGCGCTCCAGACAAACGTGTGCGCAGGATAGAAGTGGAAGGGGGCTCGGGAGATGTCCCGCGGCCGCCTCGTCGGCATCGTTGTACCGGCCGCGACCGTAATTGATGAGCTGCTGGACGAGGACGGGGGGATAACACCGGTCGCAGAACTGTTCATCAGGCGCGTGGAGTGGAGCGATGCGGGGCGGGGAGAGTGCGAGGCTTCCGAAGCGACGCGAGGCCAGGCAAGCAGAGCGCAAGGAACGAACGCGTGCTCTGCAGCTGCCCGGCAAGGGAGGCAAAACCGTATAGCACGGACATACACGGCGTTCGATGACGCCTATCCGATACATGACAGAGAACGAGAAGCAGGCGGAGGGGGGAGGGAGAGCAGAAAGAACAGAAAAACGCCAGCCAACCAGAGAATGGAAAACAAAAGCGAAAAAAAGGGGCGAGCGAGGGATGGACTGGATTGGCCATCAAGAGGCGCTCGCGAGTAGGACAAGCGGCCCGAGGGACCGACAACATGCCGACTTGTTCGACTTGCCAGTCTGCGAGCTGCTGCTCCTTTGGGAGCTGTGTGCGCGAGTCCCGGGGCGCGCGAGTCCTGCTTGCAGGCTACGAGTAGGCTGTGCGTCCACGGGCGCTTCATTCGACTCGTTCCGTCGGGACATCGGATGGGGATACCGTTGAGCCTCGTCTCAGGTTTCAGTGAGACTTTTGAGCTTTATGCATGGCCGCTCTGATCAATCCATCGAGCGAGAAAACGAGGGGCCTCGACGGATCCTGCGGGGATAAGAGCAATACAATCAGGATAGGAGTAGTCGGGGTGCGGATGCGGATTGGTATGGATGATGAGGATAGATGGGGTGATAAGAGTTTGGCGTTCCAGTCCCAGTCCGCGTCCAAGTCAAAAGAGCGAGTGGATATAGCTAATCAGGACCGACGTGGCCAATGGCCATGGCCATAGCTCTAGACGCCTCTCTGAAGCTGTTTTTGGCGTCGAGTCATAAGACCTAAACAGTACGCGGGCCGAGTCCAGACCTGTCCACACAATAAGACCTCTGGAGGATGTGTATGGTGTGTGCGCGACGCCGCCGGCGCGTCCTCCTGCATATAATGCGGAAGAAGCTTTCAGGGAAGAAGGGATGGGCGCGCTGGAGACAGCCGCGTCCGTTTTGCGCGCAGAGAATGTCGATCGTGGCGTCGAAAGGAAGTTCGACGGGCACCTGTCAACGCATCATCATCGAAACCAGTGGTAGATGAAAAAATGATGAAATTCGTGGTCCAATTGTGATGAGGTGGTGTGCGGCTGGAGATGGGCGGGAGCGCGGACGGGGCGCGGGAGGGGGATGCCGTGATGAAGCTGATCAGAGTCGTGCTATTGCGACCGGAAACAGGGTACATGCTGGCACTGTACATGTGAGCCGAATGCAACGACGAAGAAGGAAAAAAAAAATCGTGCAAAAAACGAAGAAATGGAGAGGACATTTTTTTTTTGCGTGCACCTGTGGTGGCGGTGGCTGCGAAGACGCGCATGGTGATGATATGATACGAACGACGGGGCCGGATGTTTCGAAAGCGGACGAAATTGGGGTCGCGTCGGGTAAGCCGTCAGTTGCTTTCACGCGACGTCGCGAGACGAAATGGATCCGGATATCAAACGTGGGTGATCGTTGGCAAGCGCGCGACGGGCGTCTATGGGTGGGGCACGGGCCACGAGCGGATAGGAGGTGATTCTGGGAAGGGGACGGGAATGGGGACGGGGACGGGGACGGGTGTCGAGCGGTGCGCGATCGGGGGTGGAGGAGGATCGAGGCGGGGGAGCAGCACTGCGCAGACGGACTCGCGGATGCCGAAGGAGCGATACGGTCACGGAGACGGTCACGGGAAGCAGGGCTGGGTTTCCGCATAAGGCATCATTGCGCCGGCTGTCAGGACGGGACAATGAGAGAGCGATGGGGAATAGGTCATTTATGTGTCGTGGAGCGTGGCGGCGGGGCGTCGGGGGAGTGGGACGGGGGGCGGGGGTGACGGGGGGGCGGGGGTGTGTCGGAGGGATCGTGCGCTGGAGGGGGGTGCGGGAAGGGGGGGTGCGGCCGGGGTATGGTCGAGCAGAGTGTTCTGGAAGGGCGTTCTGGAAGAGGCGAATGACGTTTTGTCAGCGGAGGAGGGCCGGGAGGGGGGCGTTGGCGGTGATTGGGGGAGGGGGAAAGGGTACGAAGGGAGGGAAGCGGAGGATGTGAATGGGGAGATCTGGGCAGCGATCTTGACAGAAGGGCAGAAGGATCAGGTGCTTCTATGGTGGTGGCTGGAGTGGCAGACGGGGCCTCTTGGCTCGGACGTCTGCTCTACTTTAGTCGACATGGACGCGGGTTCGCAGCCCTCTCCCGCGCGCTCCTCGCCTCCTTTTCTTCTGTCCCTCCATGCTCGTCCTCAGACACAACCCCTCCGACTTTTTCCTCTCCGACGCTGACCGCCTCCCCCTCGTCGCCACCATACCTCCCAAACTCTCTGCCCCCCGTCCTCCCCCCGCCTCTGCCTCTGCCTCTGCCTCTCCCGAGTTGTCGTACCAGGACCCCTACCGCTATGCCCACCGCGGATCCTTCGACGCGTCCGCCCCGGCCCCGCCAGACATGCACCCTCCAGATCGGGACGACGCTCCCTCCCAATTCGACGGCGGCCCATCGTGGCTAGCCCATCCCTCCGAACCCTCGTCGTCGTTGCTCGACGATCCCTCGTCCTCCGGCCCAGACCATCCTCCTCCGCCGCTGTCGCCCCCCGACGCCTCCAGTCGCTATACCCGTGCCCCGGGCTCGCTGCCCGAGCACGCCCGATATTCTTATCCTCCCCCCGCTTCTGGCTCGGTCAGTCGTCACATGTCCGATCCCAACCTCCACGCCGCGTCGCATCCCTTCCCCGCCTCGTACCCCGTCTCGGCCCATGTCGACCCCCGCCGCTTCCAGCAGCAGCAACAGCAGCAGCAGCAGCATTCGCACTTTGCGTACCCGCACGCTGGCTCGCTGCTGCACTCGCCTTCGCGGCCGCTCTCGTTCAGCTCCATCGCTGATCAGCGTCCCGACACGGCTGGCTCTACCGCCAGCTCGGTCTGGGATCCTCCCTCCGACGCCGTCCATCCCTTCCAGACGTCCCTCTCCGGCCCGCCCCACGACGATCCCACCTCCCCCCTGCACTCCGCCTTCTCCGGCTCGTCCACGTCCTCCGCCCACGCCCCCGGCCGCGGCGTCCACTCGTCCCCCGCCTTCCAGTACCTCCCCCCGCATCACGCCTTCGACGACGAAGGTCCCGCCGACGCCCGCCCCGGGTCTTCGGGATACATCAGCGGCGAGCAGCTACACTACTCCCGCCCTCCCCACGGCTACCCCCGCGCCACGTCCCCCCGCCCCTCGTCCTCCGGCAGCCTCCTGGCCCGGACCTCTCCAGCCATCCGGTCCACGCACCCTAAAGACACCAGCGACGACTCGGGGACCGGCGCCCTTTCCGACCCACAGTCCTCCAAGACCTACTCCTTCGTGTCCCTCCCGGGCAATGCCGTCAAGAAGCGGCCCCGCAGGCGGTACGACGAGATTGAGCGTCTCTATCACTGTTCCTGGCCTGGCTGCACAAAGAGCTACGGGACCCTCAACCACCTCAACGCGCACATCGTCATGCAGCGCCATGGCACCAAGCGCAGCCCCGGCGGTCAGTCTCTTTCCCTTTCCTGTTGACCGCCCGTGCGCGAGACGCGGATTTCCTGCAACCGCGGAGCTGACTTGCGTTCCTCGCGCTTTTTTTTACTGCGTCTCATCCAGAATTCAAAGAGCTCCGCAAGCAGTGGCGCAAGGCCAAGAAGGAGGAGTCGGAGCGCGCAGCTCTCGCACAGCAGCAACGAGAACAACACCACCACCACCAACAGCATCAGCACCATCCACACCAGCATCCGCAAGACGATCCTTACGGCCTGCCGACCCACTCATCGCACCTTGGCACCGCCCACCAGCAGGACCCGCGCTTCTTGCCGTCCTACGTGCGCCCACACGCTTACAACGCTCAACAGCCCGTCGGCATGGGTATCCCGCTCAGCCTCGCGGGTCCCGGCGTAGAGCGATACCCGCTCGGGATGGACGACATGCCTGGCTCGAGCGCCGGCATGGGCATGCGATACCTGCCTCCGCACCAGCAACAGCAACAGCAGCAGCAGCAGCAGATGCTCTACGAGCACCGCGAACGTACGGGGTCCGCCCACCAGTTGTATCCCGTCCCGCAGGGCGTGGGCCAAGGACATGTTCAGGGTCAGGGCCAGGGCATGCAGATTCCACCGATGAACGTCGGATGGAACGTCTTGTCTGAGCAGGAACAACCCCGTGGGGGATATGACTACCCGCCGCCCGCGCGCCAGGAGCCGTGGGCGAACTCTTTGGACTACGAGCGCCGCCAACAGCAGCAACAGCAGCAGCAACACCGTCTCTCCTCCCGCCCGATCCACCCATACGCTCTCTCTTCCCCCTCTTCCCCCCCGCCGCACTCGTCGCAGGTACAACAGACGCACGGGCATGGACATACGCACGGGCAGGCACAGGGCCAGGGTCACGGCCAGGGCTCCGTGCAACACCAGCAGCATCAGGGAATACAGCGCACGAACACCCTCCCGCCAGACAGCACTCTTCTCACGGCGCTGCCAGGATACGAACCGCCGCTGCCGCCTGCGGACTCCTTCGAAGACGATCGCGGAGTGGTGGGGGAGGGCGGGGCGGAGGAGCAGAAATTCTGGGTCAATTGAATGGCGACCGCGCCCGTCGTGTTCTGTTAGGCGCAGCTGGACAACCGCTTCAATGTGCGTGTTCCTAGATATTGTGCTTTTTTTGATCTGATCTAATTGACTCAACGTGGATTTTAGACGGTTCATAGAGCACAATATTGGGCTATCATGCCTTTGCACTCGACGCTGTACCGCACCGAATTCAATCTGGATCGCCCATCTCATCCACGCTCGCGACCGCTCCTGCTCTCTTCCACCTCCCTCGGATTCGAGCCATCTCTTTGCGCCCTCATTCGTCCCCGAACCACACATCCTTCACCGCTTCACCGACACACATCGCCGTCACATCGATCAATAGCGTTTATCTTACTATCACTATCACCCACCCTCCCCACCCCGCAAATGTACATCAGCCCTGGGCCGTTATTATTTTCTCCTCTCTGTCCTCCCATTCGACTCGACTATCTCCCTTTCCCAGTCTTGAGTTTTCAGGCTCTGGCCTCTCCCGACTCATGACCGTGTCTTTATGCTACTAGTTAGTGAGTAAATTCGCGCACATTCAATCAGTACTTCATATTCCGATATTCCTGCCGTCGCATCCCCGCGTGCGCCACCCCGTCTCGTCCGTTGTATACGCGTACATACTTCTACCATAACAATACTTTCTACTTCGCTGCCTCGAGCCCGCAGCGCAGCGCACCCGCATCCATTACGTTTATCGTCCACACTTTTTACTGCCCGTACCGCTACTTTCAATCATGTTTTACTGACTGATTTAACCCGTTCCTCACTTCCGTCTCCTCCCCCCCGTCTCGACCCTTCGGAGTTTACCTATTTTTCTATTTTCTTTTAACATCCGTTTATCATAGTATACCTGTACAGCTGTGCAATGGAGCTAGTGAGGGGGACTCCTCCGACGTCCTAATCGACATCCTACTAGTGCTGGCTGGGTTTCATACACATCCGTGCGTGTTTGTTGTATTGGTTTATGGATAGAGATGTGTGTACACTAGGCGTCATGGCCACGTTTGCGGTAGAGTATTATTACGCATGTTTGTAAACATCGCTCGTTGATGACTTATGGCATTGTTAATGGCCGAAACGGGCGCCCTGACGGATCACCACGGCTTTGCGGACGTTTCACCTCGTCCGTCCACATCCACATCGACGCCCGCACAGGGACCCAGCCCTACCCCTACCCCTCCTCCCCCTCCTCCTCGGACCTCCCGCCTCGCTTAGACAACACAACAAAAAGGAAAGCGCGCATTTGCGCGGCGCTCGGCCACCTAGGTGGCGTCGCTGGTCTGCTCGCTTCCGCGCACTCGACTCGACTCGCCTCGAACCGAGTCGAATCGGGGTTTATGACGTCCCATTCAGTCCGACGGGGCCTCGTGCCCGCATCAATCGTGCATGAAGCACACAGATATATAATGCGATATCATCGTGATACGGATCGTATCAAACTTTGCGAGCATTCGAGACGCGCGTGTCGCCTGCGTGGGAAGCTGATCGCGGGGGTCCCAGCTGCTGGGGCGGGAGGCTTCTTCGAGCGCCGGCGCTGGGAAGCGCAGCGTGCCGAGGTGGGAGGGAGGGAGCGCGAGGGAGGCTTGGTAAGTGCGGTGCTTGATGCGATACTTACGACAACATGAGAGTTCGGCCGCGCGACGCCATTGGCCGAGTCGCGATTTTCAGCGCTCGGCGGGAGTCGAGCACGCGTTTCCCCGCATCGAGCCAGTCAGGCAGTCAGCGCACCGCTCGCCGGGGCTGCGAAATCGCAAATGACGGCAGATAGAGAGGCGCGGATCGCAGAGGAGGGCAAATCGCGTCAGGCGGTATGCGTGGGCGGAGGCCAGCTGGGCGAGACGCACGGGGATCGAATGGACGCAGGGCTCCGTGCCACGATCAGCGGGGCGCGAGCCCCTGCGCACCCGCGTGCAGGTCAGTGTGTGTGGCGGGCGGAGGCGTCGAATCCTCGCTGCGTCACGCGCGCCGACGCGCCGTGCCGGCAGCGCGCGCTTCGAACGGAGTCGGATTCAGATTCGGGGTTCGGGTTCGGGTTCGGGTTCGGGTTCGGGTTCGGGTTCCAGTCCTGTGCCGCCCCGGGCGAGCGTCAGTTGACGGTGATGGGTGGCTTCCCGACTTCCATTCCCGGGCGCGACTTCGCGCGATCGCTGGGCCAAGAATACGCGACCGTTTCTTGCTGCGGGGGGTTTGGTGCAAGCGACTCGCGCTCGGAGCCTGTGCGAGCGTCGTATTGGAGCACAGGCTGGGGGGTCGAGGGGCCGCGCGCGCACACGGCCGACGAAGGGCTCGTCGTAGTCAGCATCGCACGGGCCCGTATCGTCGTCGCGTCCCGAAAACGCCCAGGCCGCGTCAAGTGAAGCGCATCTGGATCCCCATTCGTCATGTCCGTTAATTGTATTGTCCGACCGTCCGACCGTCCGACCGTCGGCATCGCGGCGCCGAGAGTGGGTGCGTTCGACATATGACGATGTCTTCTGGAGAGATAAGCGAGGCCGCTGCGCTCGTTGAGAACAAGTGACCGGAGGATCGACCCGCTGCCTGATGGCATGGCCGCCGGCGCATGTGCGCGAGGGGCCTCGCGGGGCGCGAGCGTGAGCGTGATTGGAGCATGTTGCAGGCCCCAGGCGCCGCACCGGTCAGCATGGTAAGCCGGACGCGGTCGTCATCCAGGCCGGAGGGGGAAAGGGAGGGAGGACGAGCTGCATGGGGACAACTGGTCGAGCGAGACGGGTGCAGTTGGGAGAAGCAGAGAACAAAGTTTCAGGCGCAGCGCGGTTCTATCCATGATGCACGAGTATCTCAGCCTGTCAATCCGCATCACGCCTCTCAGACCCTCCGACCGACGTGTGACCACGTTTAGGACGCGCTCCCTGGCCACGCAATTGCCACGTTACGAGGACCCGAAGCCGCCACAAGCGCGTGGTGCAGACCGAGCCAGCGGGCGCGCCGACGCCGACGCCGACGCCGACACCAACGCCGACGACTGTGGGGGCCGCCTTCTCGCACCGATGTGACAGCATGCCTACGTCCGCGCTCCCACTCGCGGGTGTTCCGCCCGCGTGGGCGACACGTAATGCACCGCCGCGAATCGTCGACTTCCCACCGCGAATCTTGATCCCCAGGCTTGCCAGAGATTCGCGCGGCGCTGGCACGCTGGATCGGCATCAGCGCGGGAATCCTCGCACCGCGATGACGCCAATCTCGTTGACGTTTCTTGCTCGCGGGCGATGGGAAGATGGCTGGGTCGATGGGTCGTGGGAAGGCCGATCCTGTCATCCCTATGACACATCAGAGGCAGAACAAGAAATGATACGAATTGAGCTGCGCAGAGTTGAGCCTTGACGTCCACAGGCGCGAGTTACCTTCGCACTGGTAGCATGATGCTCAAAGAAGCCCGGGAAGCGCCGGTCAGCGGTCGACACTGCAGTTTCCTCGGAAGAGCGCCTCGGAGCACAGAGAAGCCGGAACTGTCCCCCGCGCGACGTTGGAGCCAGCTCGGCCTCGCGGAATGCGTCTCCGCTGAAATGAGCGCGGGCCGCGCGCACGGATCCCTCCTTCCATATCGCCTCCCTGTCCGAGCGACGAAACGTGAGATCGTGATCTGCGACGCGGAGGTGCTGAAGACGTCGACGTTGGGAACCTCGTGGGCAAAAATACCCGTGCGGTCTTCGAGTCGTCCTCGACACGTTCTCAGACTCGGAGCTTGGAGCTTCGGGGGGCCGCGATGAGGCTGCTCTGGCCTGGAAGAACGTGACGCGGGTCTCGAAATACTCGCTGTGGGGTTCGGGCTTCGCGAAGCAAGAACCGCGTCGCGTGGAAGGCCAGGCGTCAGGCAGAGAGATCGTCCTGCCCGCCAACGCGGGGGGGTGGGTGGGGGGGGGACACAGCGATCAGTGTCGTGAGGTCGGCGCGCTCGGCGTCTGGGGCTGAGATGGTGCTGATGCGCAGCTGCCGCAGGGTGCACAGGCGTTCGCGCGCCGCGATCGAGGCTCATCGCGGCCTGCCCTCTGACTGCTTCCCAGCGTCCGACGCGCCATGCTTCGCTTCCTCGCAAACGCCACAAGACCGCTCTTTTCGGAACATACGACGCCTCCTTCCGCTTTCGCGCAATGAAGCGTGGACACGCACGCACCTTGTTCACTTTCTCTTCTCCTTCGCGGTCCTTCACGAGCCCAAAACACGATCTCGACTGCCACGTCCCCGTCTTCTCTGCCTTCGTCTTCGAGACTCCATTCACCCAACAAAGCACGAAAAGAACCCTCGTGCGCGATATCACGTGTGGCGTCTGTCAGCTTCGTTGAAACTTGATGCCCCGTCCAAGGGAAGCCAACAGAAGCGGAAGCGGTTGGCAGCCTCCGAGCGCCATTGCGCCGCCAGCGGCAGAGCTGATCCCGCGACACATGCATAACTCTATCGTGCGTTGATCTCGCAAAAATGGACAGCACTGTATGCTTATGGAGCAAGCGAGGAGGAGGTTCTGCAGGGTCGTGAGCTGGCGAGGCTCGTATGTTTCTGCTGATCCGTGTTGCTCAGAAAGCGGGAGGAAAGAAGAAGCTCTCTTCATGGCATTTATGACGTAATGTTTGGTAACAGATGAATGAGATCTCATCTTTCTGCTGCGTCTTTGGAGTCGACGACGACCGTACGACTCTCTTTGATTTGCAAAGAGTCCGAAGGGAGCTCCTTCGAATTTGTACGTCACAGAAAATCGAAGGATCGCTTCCGCGTAGCAAGTCCCACATTTGGTATTCCTGGATGCTTCTACCAAGTATAATTTTGGCCGGGTGGGAAAATCTTTCACGTACCACCCCACCGATCCATACTTACATGTGGCCACGAACGGCCTGGGATTTGTACGGTTCCTCCAAGTACAAAATTTCTTCGTCGCTAAGTTTGACATGCACGCCCTCTGTTGGTCGATTAGAACTCGAATGAAGAATACGCGATGCTGGATGCTGGAAGACGCGGACTCACCGATAAGATCGTGAAGGTTTATGAGACTCGTAGGACCAACAACAGGGGCAGAGACGCCTGGTAAAACGATGAAGCAAGGTCAATAAGATCTGCATTCAACGGCTGAACTTGCGGGGACCCCCAGCACACCTTCTTTGGAGCACATCCACGCGAGCGCGACCTGTGCCATGCTGATTCCCCGCTTCTTCGCGAGCTCCTCGACTCTGATATAGACAAGTGGAAGTCGGCGCCCATGTAGGTGTCAAGCGTGCGTATGATGAGACAGGCAAAGATAGCGCACCGGTTAATGATATCGTGAGCGCCCGATTCCGGTGGGAAACCGCGCGCATAGCTGCACAATTGGTGTGTCAGGATACACTCGGTGGCTGAGAAGGGCGACGTACGGATCGGTCTCTGTGCGTTTGGTTTGGCTATTGAGCGGCCGGGTGAGCAGACCCCGGGCGAGGGGCGACCATGGGATGGCACCTACACCGAATAGCTGACGAAGCCGTCAGTCTCGCATGTCTCTCACAGTGCCGGTATATACCTTAAGTGTGGGGAACATCTCACGCTCCTCCTCGCGATAGAGAAGGCTGTAATGGTTTTGCATAGATATGAAGGGGGTCAAGTTGTTCGCAATAGCGTAGCCTTTGGATGAACGTCAGCATCGATTTCAACTTGTCCGATCCACGACGCACTTTGCATTGCATGAACTGCGTATCAGCAAGGTCGCGTCAGCACCGTGAATGCAGAAGGATAAAATTCGAACATTGATAGGCCCAGCAAGAACTCATTCCGATATAGCGAACGAATCCAGCCTTCACGACGTCGTGCAGAGCTTGCATCTAGATCAGGTAAGCCCCCTTTGGCATGTTTCGCACCGCGTGAAAGCAAAAATAGCTTACCGTTTCTTCGATAGGGGTGTTGTTATCGAACCTGTGACCTAAAATAGACTCTCAGAGATATATGACGTACAAAAATAAAGCGGCGACTTGCATTGGAGGACGTCGATGTAGTCAAGCTGGAGTCTCTCCAAGCTCTTCTTCACGGAGTCGAAAATATGCTGGAACCGTGCATCAGCAATGTTGGAAATCTGATGGTTCGAAACCGACCGACCTTGCGGCTAAGGCCCGTCTGGTTGACGTACCCAGCAGCTTCGGGCCTGGGTACATTGATGTAGCTTTCTTGAGGGGTACGTCCAACCACAAAAAATACCTGTTGGAATGATTTCATTATGTTTCATCCTTGTTGACAAAGCTTCTGCACGGGCCTTCGTCATCACAACGATCTCATCGCGAGGAAGGTTCCATTTTTCGATAGCTTTGCCGAGGACCACTTCAGATAGACCATTCGAGTATGTCTGCACAGCGATTCGGTCAAGTCGTATCAATTGCGTTCAGAAAGTGGAAAACGAGCGTACATCCGCAGTGTCGAACGTCTGAATGCCAGCGTCATAACTGAGGTGCGCGATGAACTGTGGTATAGGTGAATGACGAAGTCTTCACTCACGCCGCCTTGATGTGGTTCACTGCCTCCTCCTCGGGTAGCACCCAGCCTTGCCAATTTGGGTCTCCGTATTGCATGGTCCCAAGAATGATCTTGGACACCTTCAAGCCAGACTTGCCCAAACGGACTACATACGCATCATCCCACCGCCGATCAGTGCGCATCACAAAGAGCAGGCAAGATCCTCACCATAGGGCATCTTCTTCGGTGCAACCTTTGCCATTTCGCTCAAAATTTCAGTGGCTCAGCGCCCCTTCAAATCGAATGATAAGAGGAGATTCATTGAATAATGGGATCTGAGCACTTTTATACTTCTGGCCATGGTCATGTGTGTGCAGCTGAATGTGGGAAACATTACCTACGACGTCCGAGATCGGTGGAAGCGGAAACGCACCTGTCAGGCAGAAGCTGAAGACGTCGATGTCATCGCCTCACCCTGACCAGCGCTTACGGCGAGAGGATGGCAGTAGTTGCGTTCAAGATTCTAACAACAGAAAATCCATCATGTGAGTGTCGTTGGGCCTGGCTCCAATGAACTGCGACGCAGAGGGACAAGATTCGTAGCATATATGAAGGTGACGCGATCTGACACGATACGTTTCTGCAGATCTGACTCAAGAACAAGAGGGACACAGAGTGGACTGCGGTCACCTGACTGAATTTGATTTTCACTGAGTTCGCAGTGCTTGCGAGTCAGACGTCGTCGGCGTACACAAGCTGCGGCCTGCCTGATGGCAGAATCTGCAAAACGCTCTCATTTTTGATCCACTTTCGTGTAAACGGACCCGTCGTAGCCGTTGATGCCCCAATAGCGTGTATGGCGTTCATCCTACCGAATGTCGGAAGCTCTGCACGGGATTTCTGCATGCTGGAGCGAAATTTCCTCTCCCATATCAAGCTCGCGCTCTTGCTTCTTTTGCTATTCTCCTCCACCGTTCTGCAGGCACGTTTATCCGGCGTCGATCCGCCAGGTAGCTCCTCTCGTCCTTCAGATACTAGCATAGCACTGGCATCGCTTCAGCTAGCTGCGGCGCTGTGCCTGGTCCTGGGAGGTTTTTGGGAGTACGAGTCCGGGTTCAGAGACATGCGCAACATGAGGGCTTTTCTGGTGTCTACCAAGTGAGTGTCCAGTTCCACTCTATGCGTTCGAGGTGTGTGTTGATGACGTTGGGTTGCAAGACCTCATCTAGCGATCATGACGATTGTATTGGGTGTCGTATTTACGACTTGTATCGTCTTGCTCGCGGATCAGCAAGAAATTGGTTGACGCTATGCTCTGCCCGTCAAGTCTCCCTATACCTGGCCATCATGGAGCCATGTGAGCGGCATTTCCCATTTGTCGTTTAAGCTATGACCTTACTTTGCCGGCAGATTTCAGGAACTGTCTGTACGAGAGCTTGTATGATAGCATTGTACACATCATCCAGGGCTCCAACCTGCACACTAATTTGAAATATTGCTACGGTGCATCAGCGCTTGGATTCGATTTCCCAGTTCGTACACATTGGTCTTCAAAAAGATAGAATGGGTGCTACTTGATTGCAGTGATCTGTAGGAATGTATCGCGCCTCCTGCCTCGTGCCTGTTAATCTCTCCGATTTAGACTGAATGGAGGACCCCTCTGATTGTTACGCGCAGAGCTTGAGGTCGCTGGTGATTTGCTCTCCTCCGTTGAATGATGGATGGTGTGGCTGTAAGGTTGTGTAGCTTCGACGCTGAGCGTAAACCTGTATATTGCGGCATTGCCACTGTCCTACTGTCACTCTCTGGGATGGCACGTTGATCGGAGTATCAACCATGCTAAAAAAAAGTCTGGATGTCGACCCGACGCATCACCGGGATCGCGTCCGTAAACATTCTCTTGAACTTCGAGTTGAACACGCCACTTGAGTGTTTTCACGTCAGATCTCACAGACGCGAAACGTAATGAGCACGTGGGACAATTTAGCAGTCACGCCACGCGAAACTCCCAACGGCAATTTAGTCGGCAGGCTGAACTGCTACCCAAGTCTGTGACCTTCGCTTCCCTTTCCTTTCCCTTCTGACTTGCTCGAGCGGGGGTTCACTGTATTGCCTATATTCCTCTTAATCTCACCTTTATCTCCAATTCACTTCAAATCCAACCCACGACCTTTGTCACGCGATCATGAAAATCAGTAAAAAGATCGAGCAGGCTGCTAAAGACGACAAAGTATGGTGGTCTTTCGAGTATTTCCCACCACGGACCGCGCAGGTGAGTTATATTTCCAAGCATGATATTCCCACTCTGATCAGAGCTTGGTAGGGCTTGCAAAACCTGCTGGATCGTATTGAACGCATGCGGGCGCTTGGCCCAGAGTTCATTGACATCACATGGTAAATTCAATGTCTGACACTTTCGGTCCAGATGCTGACGGCTTCCAGGAACGCTGGCGGACGGACCTCAGACCTCACTTCCGAGCTGGTGAAGACATGTCAGAGTCTCATTGGCATTGAGACCTGTATGCATTTGACATGCACGAACATGCCTAAGGAGAAGGTGGATATTGCGTTACGGGTGAGTCCGATTTTCGATGCATTGGGTGATCTTGGTTATGCTCACAATTGTTTTAAACAGGAGGCGAAGCAGCACGGCTGTGAAAACGTCCTCGCACTCCGAGGTGACCCTCCCACGGGAAAAGACGAGTGGGAGGCTGTCGAAGGTGGCTTCGCTCACGCCATTGACCTCGTTCGGCACATCCGACAAGTGTACGGAGATCACTTTGATATTGCCGTCGCCGGTTTTCCCCAGACCCAAATCCTTCCTGCCGAGGAGCGTGCTCTTGAGATGAAATATCTGAAAGAAAAGGTGGACGCCGGAGTCAGCTTCATTTTCACACAGATGTTCTACGACGTCGACATCTTCATTGAGTGGGTCAAGTCCGTCAGAGAGGCCGGAATCACTATACCCATCGTGCCAGGGATCATGCCGATCCAGACATGGAACGGTTTCCAACGGGCGACCAGCCTTGCGAAGACCAAGATTCCCCAATCGTTCTTAGATGCGCTGGAACCGTACAAGAACGACGACGAGAAGGTCAGAGAGATCGGGACCAAGCTCGTTGCAGACCTTTGCCGGCGCATATTGAAGGAGCCCATCGGCATTCGAGGCCTCCATTTTTATACCATGAATCTCGAGAGAGGTACAAAGATGTTGCTTGAGGAGCTCAACTTCGTCCCGAGAGTGGAGACTATCAAACCCCTGCCGTGGAGACAGGTAACGAGTCCTTCTTATAGACGCAATCAAAGAGTGCTAAACATACATATGTAGTCACTGACGCCCACACGGCGTCAAGAGACTATTCGTCCCATATTCTGGGCGAACAGGACGAAATCTTATCTTTCCCGCACAGAGAATTGGGACGAGTATCCCAACGGTCGCTTTGGTGACTCCCGTAGTCCTGCCTACGGCGAGCTCGATGGCTACGGCGTATGGATCAAGCAGACGGTTGGTCCCATCGTTTAATAATGTACTTCTACCGTTAAATCCGGCCAACAGAAAGAAGACGCACTCGCGCTTTGGGGTCGCCCGGCGACTTTCACAGATATCGCCCATCTATTCGAATTGTTCTGCAAGAAAGAGCTGAGCGCTCTTCCGTGGTCCGACCAGGCCGTGTCGACCGAGACTTCCGTCATTGCTGAGCAACTGGCCAAGATCAACGGGCACGGGTTCCTGACTATCAACTCTCAACCCGCTGTGAACGGCGCGAGAAGCGACGACAAAGTCTTTGGTTGGGGTCCCAGCAATGGCTACGTCTATCAAAAGGTCCGTTCCCCCCCCTCCCCACCGAGACAACTGCATGCATTTGAACGCGTCCGTGAACCCATAGGCATACCTCGAATTTTTTGTCTCCCCAGAGCTGTTGGCAGTCCTGCTTCCCCACATCGAACGAGATCATAGTATCACCTATTATGTCATCAACAAACGTGGTGATCTGAACACCAACACGACATCTGAGGGGCCTAATGCCGTGACTTGGGGGGTCTTTCCTGGTAAAGAAATCGTCCAACCCACAATCGTAGAAGCCATCAGCTTCATGGCATGGAAGGTCTGTATGCTGTCTGTCATCGACAACTTCGATGCTGATATTGCTCTCTATCTGTTCATCCATCTGTTATAGGACGAGGCATACGAGCTAGGTCAACAATGGGCTAAGCTCTATGAAACCGATTCAGCATCCCGCAACCTCATCACCAACCTTATGGACAAACTCTTACTTGTAAACGTCGTTCACAACGACTTCACCAAACCCGAAGCCATCTTCGAACCATTCCTCAAAGCTGGCGCTGAGTTCGCTGCTGCCTCTGCTGCCACTAGCGCCGCGCAACCCGAAGGGCTTCCGAACTGACCGTCTTACTGTCCTTACCTTTTACTAGTTATCATTTCACTCGCTGAGCTCCCCGTTGTATCATCTCACTGCTGATTTCTTTGCTTCCTGTTGTCTGATTAATCGCATCACCGGGTTCAACCCCCGTTGTTCATTGTATTAGGAGTTTTCTCTTCGTCTCACCCGCATTTACGTGTCTTGCCCTTCTTTACACCATCTAGCATCATATCCACACGCATATCTGCATCAACTGCACTCCATTCTACCCATCTCATTATGCATCATCACCCTTGCATCAACTGCTTGCATATACGAGTACATTCTTCTCAATCAGTCGTGCGCTCATCCGCGCTCTAATTACAACAAACTTGTTACTGCAGACCCGTTGATATCTCCAAGCGGGCGAAGGATTCTATGTAAAAAAGTCGATAGATACTGAGAGCAAGGTACAATCATAGAGATTCAAAGCACAAACGCCAACTCCATAACACTACAGTAAAATTATTGGGGGTCATAAGTCTGAAAAGAAGAAATCATTGTTCATGGGGGGCGGTCCTGCCGTCAGTCCACTTGGTATATCCACTTTATCACCAGAAAGATCTAGGGAGGACACAATTCTTCTGCGTCAAAAGTCATCTCGCAAACATTCCGGTTGGACTCACCTAAAAGTTTGATCTTGAGGCCGATTTCGGTCAATGCTGTCACGAAATCAGCGGTCTCGGGCGAGGCGACATGGCCTCCGTCTCTCCTAAGGATGTTCAAGCCATCGGTCCAATCCGCCCATCTCGACTGGTCAGGTGCGATTTGGTCCGCGAGAGACCCCTCGTGGGTGCTCATCAGAGAAAACGAAAGAGGCGAGGCCACTGCGGAAGAGTTGGGCGGGAGATCGCCTGGGACCATATTCGGTGGCGGCGCACAGTTAGCAGTGGCTATCTCACTGATGAGCGAAATATCGATACGCTCCGGGAGGTCCTCTAGCCCATTTCGCACGGGAAACTTGACCTGACTATCCACGTAATGTAAGTACTTGAGACCGTTATCCTGAGGGGCGAAGGTAGTAATGCGCTTCAGTAACGGAAAACAGCCACAACGGATTCAGCGTACCAATCTCATAAAACGCCATGGCCGGATAGGACGGTTGGTGTTAGGCGCGAACACCGGAATGGCGTTCATGAACCAAGCACCCTGGAGGAGGCAATGGATACGTTGCTGACGCACGAACTCATACGACTCCTTATAAAGCTTATTGCGTAGATTTCTTTCCGACATCTCAGCATGGAAGACTGTCACACTGTCGATGTGCTCACCGAACGGGAACCTTGTTCAACGAATCATCCTCTTCCTCCAACTCTTTCATCTGCCTGTCTCTCACAGCTCGGTATTCACAATCAACAAAATCTTGTTCAACTTCATGCAATGGCCGAGCACTTTCGTCTCTTAGCGCGACATTGATCCTGCCCATAATATGAATACGAGAGTGCAGCTTGAAAAAACGATGATCACTCACTGACTACGGACAAGTGCAGAAACACGAGAGAAATCGTTCAGTGCTGCACCGCTTTCGTTCCACATTCGTAGAAAGAAGTTGGTAGCAAGGGCATGAACCTTGTAGAAATTCAGAAAGAATGGCTGGAAGGTCGGTGAGGTTGCATCTAAGATACGAAGGTTAATGTTTCACTAGTTCAGGAAGGATGACGACACACATCCAGGAGCAAATATCGCCCAGTGATCCGACAGCAGCTCGACTACCTCATTCGAAGCCTTGGCCAAAGGACATCTGCGTTCTGGTGGTCGACTGTTCTGTTCTTGAACCACTTTAGAGAAGAAATCAGGATCGTTCTGAACCAAGTGTCGCTAATAGTGGGGGTCAATCTCAGATAAACGATAAAAATGTCAGTCGCAAACCAGACAGTCCAACCCTAGCAGCCCAACTTCCCCAAATTCACGACTCAGATTTTCTGAGCCAAATCCTAATTTTCGCCATTTCAACAAGCCGCCCTCTCCGTCATTTTCTGATTGCAATTTGCTGTTAAACCAGATGTACTCCAGCGCATCGCGATGCGAGCTCTCTGCTTCGGGCTCAACAAGGGCGGTTTTCTTGCGGTAAGTCACCCTTGCTATATTGCCTTGAAAATCAAGGACGCAGGAGGAAAGGTCTTCAATCGTATGTGAGGACATAAGACGCTGTAGGTGAGTTCGACTCTACTTCAGATATGTAGAGAACGAAGATAAAGACGCGACACTGACGATGACAGCCCTTCTTGTATTCAAACGCTCTAGCTTCTCGATGAACTCCCCCCACCATGTGTCGGTCGCGTGTGCTAACAACGAGTTGATCAACATCATACTGACGGTAATACGTATCAGCAACGAATAGTCACATCCTATATCACGATAGACAACGGAACGAGGTTCAATCAATGCTACTGACCTATAAAGAGCCAGCGCTGTATCTGCACTGCCCAGCCTGCTGACCACGGTCTCAAGCAGACCGGGTTCCTGCTTCATCTGATCGAACACGACATCAAATCCATATCGATAGACGGATCCCGGAGAAAGAGTGGGGGGATTCCGACTAGAGCTGGCAACCAAGGGTCCTGGAGCGCTTATCGGATCAGCCTCTACGAGTCTCTTGAGAATTGCGGTCGCTGGTCTGCAGACGTTGATGAGAGACTGTGGGGAAGAAAGGATCTGGACGACTTTGAGGATGAAAGCATCGTTGAGATTGTCCCAACCGTAATCCAAATCCATCAAGTGCTGCATGGCTGTCAGGGCATACTAGAAGAACAGATTGGTGCCTATGTGAAGGGATTTGTTGATATCTGGTGAAGGGGGAAAGCGTACTGCGAGGGTATTGCCGTGGGAGGCATTGATAATATCTATCAGCATGTGAACCCCATCACGGTTGAGAAACTCTGTTGCGAACTGTTGTTCCTATAGCGTGAAACCTTCAGCATCGGCATGTTTCAAAGGAACAACGAATTGCTTAGCGCACCCGACTGAACTTCTGGAGCGAGAAGAGCGTCATTCGGAAATTCCTGTCATCGCGAATGGTCAACTTCTCCACGATCTCAGCAGCTTCCATTGCTGGGGAGCTGACGAGTCTGAAGACGTGTGAGTGAGCCCATCAAGAGAACACTGCTCATTAAGGATCATGGAGATACACATGATATAATGACGCACTTCAGATTGGACTTTGCCTTGATTTTCTTCCTCAAGTTATCATTCGTGACCAACTCCCCCTCCTCATCTCGAAGCGCATAATTGGTCGAGGGCTCATTGACTTTGAGGTTCACACAAAGTTGTGACACGACGTCGGCCACGCTCACCGTGGGGTCAATACGCGCACGTAGAGTTACACCATTCTTGGTAGTGACGCTGTTTGTTGGTATGAGCCCCGTGGACCTAGTAGCCGTGGCGCCGTTCGTAGTGGGAGCAGGCGGTCGATGGCGTGAGCTCTCACCATTCAGACCTTGATTGTTCGACGGCGAATGAGACATGAGCTAACTATTAATGAGTGATGTCGCGAGGCAAATATCAGGATTTGAGAAGGAGGTGTCCAATGTGACGATGGCGAGGTGCGTAGATGTAGTCTGCAAAGAGGACGCGACCGAAGAATGAGCTCAGGTGCAGGACAGTGAGAAAGAAAGCGAATCAGATTATGCGAAAATAATAACGTCTTGTGCCAATTTTCATCCAAGAAAACGACTCTGACTGACGTGCAAATGTCGAAATGGTTCATCGTGAAAAATGATACATGATCTGGCGATACTCACAACTGTTGGTAGGGCTTGGCTTCAATAACCTCACGAAAGCTCGGGTCTAAGTGTGATAGCAAAGGTATCTGTGAGAAAGAAACCTGATCAGCTCGGGTCCAACGCATCGAGAAGACACATAGAATCAGATAAAAGCGAAAATGATATCGTCCTGCACGATTTCTCAAGAAGAGAAAGATGCTCTGACTGACGTGCAAATGTCCATATGGTTCATCATGAACGGAGAGATAAATAGAAGGACCTACAAGTATGAGCTGTGTAGAGAAGATTTTAGAATGCTAGACAAAGTCTAGAAAGACTATGAAATGGAGGATGTGAGCTGTGTGCTGTGATCGAAGGAGCGACGGCCACAAGAAGAGGTATGAATCGAATCAAACGGAAGCTCATCCTCAGTCACCACTAGAGATCCGGGAGAGATGATTGGGCGAAGACTCACCAGGTCTATCCTCTTGCCCTATAGCTCCTAGAACTTCCAGGAAAAAAGTCAAGAAGAAAAAAATTATATACAGATGCAGATGGGGTGTGAGGGGCGAAAAATGGCGAGGGCGCCAAATGGGAAGCTCTCGGGCAGTGCAGCAGCGCTTGACACAGCAATCGAGCTATGAGATGTAGTGCAAAAGATGACAGGAAAGACGGGGATTGATGGCAGAAGGAACCACTCGGCACAGGCTCGCCGTAGGGAAGAGAAAACCACAATCGAGAACGGTTAGGAAATGAGGAATCACCAAAAAGGAATAAGCTACGCATCTGTATTTATTGACTCATGATTTTCCAATGGGAACATAGATCATCGGCCTGGTGGTCTAGTAGTATGATTCCTTCTTAGGGTGTTTCATCACATGGAGGAGGTCCCGGGTTCAATTCCCGGCCAGGCCCTTTCTTTTGCACGATTTTCCCTTTTGGTCCGCGCTGTGTGCGCAGGTAGTTTTGGCACCCTGGACGGGTGACGACGGGTGACGATTAGTAGACAGCGCCTTGAATTTGACGGGCCGCGGAGCAATCTCGCCAACTGCATGTGGACTGAGTGCTACGTAACCCTCCTACTTATTCTCATGGACGCAAGGGCTAGTTTCACGCATCGAACCTTGCGAGATCAAAGGGAAGAAAACATAATGTTAAGCCAAAAAAAGTAATACTACATGAAAAGCTACATGAATAACGACACGGCACAGCACAGCAGCGTATTACCAGAAAGCACACCTGGCCGATAGATCAATATCAGGCCTGAGAGCCAGAAGAGCCGCGACTCACCATCCAGAGAAACATTGACACAGGTTTTCGAGAGACGTCGCCTGAAGAATCAGCTTGTCGACTTGGGCGGGTACGGAAAGGACAACATCGGGGTTGAAGTCACGTCCTGCAGAAACAAACAAGCCGCTCTCGGTGTACATCCATTAATGAAGATGAACGGAGAATAGCTCACCGGTGAGCTTATGTTGCACACGGTTGAACACAGCCAGAGCGCGTTCATTGCGTATTTCCTGTGCCTCATTCAAGATGTCGTTCTCATCCGCCTTCAATTTGCGAGTCGGTCCTTGGGGATAGGCCGCGACTCGGGCCAGATCTGCGGTTCGGTCAGCATCGGCGCCCCCTAAGAACTGTTAGACTACAAAAAGGCGGAGTGAAGGGCAGGCGTACCTCCCAACCGACGACTGTCCATTTCGGTAGGCATCAGTCTCCAATTGATGAGAGGGTCGTACACAAATGCCTCGAGCACGGCTAAGAGGGATTCCTTGTTTACGCGCAAGACCTGCATCGTGATTTCGCAAGTGTTGCGGAAACTGCCTTCAATCCCGCTGACCTGCGTGTCCCATGGCGTCAAGCTAGGAATCGATGTGTAACGGCAAAAAAGCTTACCTCCATAGCATGCGTTAGCATCCTCGTCAGCCTGAAAGGGATCTTCTCTGGGAACTTCTCGCGATGCATGGCCACCTCAAAGCAGTCACCAAAGTCAATATGCACGACCTTGCCGGTCTTTCTCTCCAACATTAGATTCGACGGATGACGATCCCCGAGCCCGAGAATATGGCCAACCATGCTGTTCACTGCGAGTGATCTGGTATATGCGGCACGGCGCTCGAGCCAATGCTCAGAATTGACGCTCTTCAACCACAACACTCTGTAAAGGTCTTGTCCTGTAGTGTTTTCGAGAGCATATTCGAAGACCTCGATCTTCTGCAGCAACATGAGGAGTTCGTAATCAGGCGCCATCTTATAATATACCTATCAGTAGAAGATGAGTTACATATGGTGAATGTCCCACCTGGAGCATCAAGCGATATTCAATGTTCAGAAGAACCTTTCGGGTTTCACGATAATCGCGAACAAGCACGTGCAGGGTATCACTGTCATGTACCCAACCAAGCAAACCTGCGTGAGGCCCTAGTGGAATGACAGGGTATCGTTGGATGTGTAGGCGCCGCTTAAAGCTGTTGGTATCCACAGAGAGCAAGGTGTTCACGAGGCTGAATAGTTGCATGACTCGCTCATCCTGGCGGAGATCCTCATGACCTGGACGAGGAAAATGTCAGTCGTCGCGCCAGACGTTGGATGTTAACAGTCACCTTTAAGAACATATTGATAATCTTTTCCATCGCTCCCTTTCAATGACAATCGACGTGGTCTTTGTTTGGATGAGATGACGGAGAGCTTCGTAGCGAAGCTCATTATTCTAATAATGGGCTTGCCGCTTTGATATGTACCTGTGCATTAACCGATCAATGTCAAGAAGCATGCGTGTGATATTTGAAGGCTCACCAGGAACTGCTAGATCCAGATTGCGAGCTTTTAGTAACTCCGGTGAAACATACTGCAAGTCCAAGGTTGTCAGCTGTGGTAATTGTTTCTCCACCTTCCTGAAGACCTGAATTAGAGAGAGGCCGTAGTTCAGTATACGAATCAAAAGATGACAATGTCTATATTTACCCCGAAATAAAGATCCCATGCCGTGTCCAGGTCCTTGATTTCACCGTATTTGGAGTAGCGTTGGCAAGCCTCACGCGCCTCATGCAGCTCCCTACCGAACACTTGCGCGAATGAAGTCTCTCGCGCAGTGGTGGGTCCCTGTGCCACAGTCAGAATTTATATAGAGATAAAGAAAGAGACTTACAGCATCTAGCATATCGTGCAATGGTTCTAGCGCAGCGATCATGCCTTCAGGATTGTGCTCCACAAAGTACAAGCGAGACGCCTCTTCCAATCTCTCGTGCCAAAGTTCATGCCAGAGGATGGCCACACGAATCAATTCCTGACTAACAACCAATGCCTGTTGGAAAGTATGAATAATGCTTGAGTGAGACAACAAGAGCCTTTGCCTACTTGTTCCACAATGATGGCACTGTGCTCTCTCATGTGGTCCATAATCCCCAGAGCTTCCTTCTTGCGGGAGGCGCTCGATGACTTCGACGCCACAGTGAGAGGGTATATCAGTGCCTGGGGATGGTGCTTCCCAACATCAATCAGAAGATTGGTGATATTTCGACGAATATTGGCGCTCGGAGTTTGAATACGAGCGATGATCTGTGCAAAGATAATGATCCTGAAGCTGTGCGTGGACAAACGCTGCCTCGTACCTGTGGTATAACTTCGAGCCAGGTGTCGACCTCAACGCTGCCAAAGCCGCTATCCATGGCGTGACTGACGTCATCATGAGATCCAAATTTGAACCAGAGAGTCAACAGCCTCAAGGTATCCTGGAATGCATTCTCGCTGCGCAGAGAAATCGAGCGGAAGAAACCTGGTGAAATTGTTGGTCAGTTGAGTGGACATATAACGCTGACATGTAAACGAACCTTGCACAGCTGGAACAATGTGGGGCACCAGCGCACTGCCAGAGATATCATGGGACTTGTTCTCCACTTGACTTGACATATAGGATACAACTTCGAAGTTCGCTAGCGCCCACGTATGCCAGGCCTTGTACCATGTAGGATCGTAATGTGTGGCCAGAAGGAATGAGTGGAGAATATCCTTGACATTTCGCTGTGAATATAATAATTAGTATCGGGGTGAAACCTAATAAATTCTGACCCTGACCGTTCCCCAGTTATCCGTGAGCTCCATCTGCCATTGCCCGAGCTTGAAATAGCATCGTGCCAGCAAGCGTGAGAGCTCATTCAGCTTCTGTTTAGGAACACTTGGGCGTTGCGCACGATCTGAGCCTTCAACCTTTATATCTTTTGCGAGGTTTGTCGAGAACTGCTGCATGAAGTTCAAGCTATCCTCCTTGTTTCCTGACGCCCACATGAATTTCAATTGTGCGTAGACAACATTTGGCGGTGCTTTCAAATTCTGCGGATGATAAAGTCAGCAAGAATACGCACAAGGCCAAACGAGCTTCATACTCTTTCTGGCGATAACAAGGAATTGATGGTCTTCTCTGCTAAATTCATGCGATCCGATTTTCGACAAAGATTGGCAAATTTGATCCACATAACAGGGTCGTCTTCAGGGCTAAGCACAAGCGTGCGTACTTGAAGGATACGTTGCCAGACTTCAACGTCGGGCTGGCAGCCTTGTAGTCTGAGAGGATAGTTATAACGCTGCCTGTATGCTTTACGCGAACTGACGCACCTTCTCATCCAAGTCTTCCTTACGGTCTGTTGTCGCTCGGGCTGATCTGCATGCTGCTTGTAGTTGATGATTTCTTCTAATTCCGAGAGCATTTGGGCTCGGACCATGGTGCTGAAGACTTATTAATAGTTGAACTCATTCGAAAGGCGATAACTTACTTGTATGAGCGACCATAGCTCTCCCCAACCAAGGAGGTAAGCTCCAGATCTAGCAAATCGCGAGCCTTGGTAATATGCGCCAACGCCTTGGGAAATTGGTTCTGGTGCACTGAAAGAATTCCCCGGTAAAATGCACGATCGGGGGAATCAGCCTTCATCGTGGCAATGTAGTCGTCCATCGACTCCCAAGCATTAAGCGACCAAGCTGCAGCCGCAGCCATGGGAGCAATCTCTCTACGATCCTCATGATTGGCATTCGACCAGTTCTCTTCCACCTGCGCTGCAAGCTTGTCCCACTCGCCAAGGGCATGTAGACACTTCATTCTTCCGATGGCGATATCCGGTGCATCGGGGTCTTCTTGAGCCTTCCGCTCGTAAGTTACTAAAGCTTCCTGCCATCGTCCTAGCCGCTCGTACCATTCTTCATGCTTGCTCACATCATACTGCTCGCGAGCAATCAATAGGGTTCCCCAAGCAGCGTCGTGCTGTTGAAGCTTGGTATTGATGTTGATCAATGCTTCGATGATGGTCGGAGATGTAGTCTCAGCAAAGAACTCGAGTTCCTTGTAGTGAAGGGCTTTCGCATACGCGTGATACTTCAAGGCATATTCGCCTAGTGTGCTGTTCTCGATAGGAAGACGCTGATCCTCATGCTCCATGAATTCGCATAGATTGAGAAGACGGTGCACCAGGTCGGAGGGAATTTGAGGCGTTGTGATTGCATACTCGATGGCACGGACCAGATCTTCCTGTAGATTTTGTGAGTACAACAAGCGAGATTCGAAAAAGAAAACTCACCTGATAGTGTTCAAAGAGCTCCTTCCAACACGATATGAACGCTGCATTGAACAACTCCTTGGCGAGGGGTTGATGGAGGTCAACAAGAGTAATGCAAGCCCGCAGAGCGTGAGAGGGCGACTCTTTCATGAACTCCACAGATATGCGATGCATCCATTTGGCCCAGTCTTCCTTAGTTGATACTTGTGAAGTATCCCACGCCTGTTTCAGATGCTGCTGATTGACAGTCATTTTCGCAGCTTCGGCTGGAGCTGAGACTTCGGGGGTCTTTGAGCTCTCATTCATACTGAAGTGCATAATTAGAAAAAATATGCGTCCGCGAAAGAACACGGCTTACATCAGTTCAAGAGCGCCTAATTCCTGAGGCAGTCGTTCTCCATTCAACAGCTTGGAGATCAGATTTTCGTACTTCGCATGAGGAATTCTGTTACGAAGCAAAGCCTATGACGGAAAGTGAGCATGGAGATTGTAGACCGAGATTACACGGACATGCCTTGTTTATGGTGGGGACAAAGATAGCGAAATCAGAACCAAGCTGAATGACCAACGAGCAGAGCGTGTCCATCACCGCCATGCGAAGCTCATTGATCGACGAGTTGAGGACGCGCACGAGGGGATGTATGATTCGTGAAGCATGGTCGGAAAAATTTACTCTCCCGGATAAACCGTCGATAGTCACGATGGCTCTCTTACGGAGCGCCGCAGGACCATCAGACCTCTCGTATGTCTTGACAATGATTGGAATGACAAGATGAAGGTACTCTTCAATGTTCGCCCCGAAGGTCAAAAACGCATCGAAGATCTTGATCTGCGTATTTGACCGCTTTTCATTCAGTTCACCGTCGAAAACCTTGAGTATAAGTGGCAATATTGTGGGTAAGAATGGTTTGAATTCGGCGTCTAGAGCCTTGCCTAGGGCCTCAATGAGAGATACTAGAGGTAGTTGGAGAGAGGTGTTTTCCCATAGCTCGGTGACTAGATTAAATATTTCAGGCATGTAGTTGCGGACATGTTGTTTGATGATCCCAACAAGGATAGCAAGCTCTTGAAGGTGGAAATCCTGGAGCCGTGCTGCGGAGCTGCGAGTCACAGCTGCAAACGCGGGTATGATCTATATAGCGTGATGTATGCGACCCGCGTAGGTAAGTTGGAAGAATGACGAAAAAAGTAACATACCTGTGGTAAGAATGTGACACACTTCAAACCTTGGGTCTTGAAAATGGACATTATCGCGGCAATGACGGTGTGATGATGGCCGCTGACTGCCTGATCTCTGAGCATAGCAAGCAAGGCGTTGACGACGACGGTCTGATAGTAGTCATCTGATGCGGAAGACGTGGTGTACGACAGATTAATGACGGTAGCAGCAGGAGTCGAAGACTCGTCCACCGCTTCCTCGTCTGGTTTAGTCTAGGTAGTCCTCGCGTTAGCGGGCATCTCACCAGACAGTCGTGACTATACCTTGCGCTTGTAGGGGTCCAACGATCCAAGAATGCCAAGAACCCTGATCACCTCCCTCCTCACATTCTGTGTCGGCTCGGTTTTCAAAATCCTACTCAGAATAGACAGGAGCTGGGGGTAATCCAACAGCGGTTGTATAACGTATCCTGTACTTGAGCATACTTGTCCGAGCGTGTGCAACGCAGCATCTCGTTTGACCAAAGACGGGTCCGATAGCTTGGCGATGACGATGTTCATTAGCTCCGGTACGTGTGGCTCGACGTCCTCACCGCCTACACAGGACAATTCGCCGAGGCACATTAAAACATTGGCAGCCACTGTGGCGTTGTTGTCGTTGGCCTTCTGGATGAGTACGCGCAGCATGGGAAGTGCGTATGGCTTGATAAGACGTTGAGTCGCGCTAACTAACAAGGTCAACAGCTTGGTGCACTCCTCCCGGTTGCGACTGAGATTTTTGGAAGTACAATGAATGATGATATAGGGCGAGAATAGGAAAAAAGACATACGTGACTGTCGAATATTCCAACTCAGTCAGCAGTTGAATCAGGGCTTTGCGAAGCGATGGCATGACGTAGGCTGGATTGTGTGTTGCGAGACGGCCGATCAAACCCACGGCCATCTCTCTGTTCGCGAAGACTTCGTCATTCAAAGCGATAAATAACGACCTCACATTCTCAGCTTGAGCAAGATGCTTGTCAAATTGTTCATGCAGCGAGGACAAAACAGTCAAGCGAATAGTGTGATCTGTGGCCACCAAAACATCAGCATCAATGCTTCTGACCTTCGAGAAACTAAGCGAACCTGGATCAGCGATTCCGACAGTCAATAGCTTGTCAAGGACGTCGTTGATGATCTCGATAGAATGATTACTGCTTTGGTAACATATCGAGTCGCGAGCGAAAACACGGCAGCAAGTCAGCGCAGCAGCACGTCGTACTTCTGCCTGGTCCTCCTCCAGATATGGGAGAGCGCAATTACGAACAAACTCGTTGAGCACATGCCCTGAATAGAAATCGTCAAAAGAATGTTGAAGATATAGAGATTTTGACGTACCACTGAAGTCGAAGGAGCCGAGGGTCGTTAAAGCCAATGTGATGAGTTCTGGGCTCTTTCCACTTCCTGCATTCTATCAAGTTGATTAACTCTTGAGCAAAAGAGATCTTCGGATGAGCATACTTGAGGTGCATTCAACTCGGTCAGCATATTCGTCACATTATCTCGTACGAGCGTTGGGGGTGCTCCGAGAGGTTTGTACACCTGTCCACTCAGAGTAACGGATAGAAGATCGAGAAGTCGATCTAAGGCAGCAAGTTGAATATATTATCCAGATACGTAGATGACCATGCATCGAACATACCCTGGATAGTTTTCAGCAATGGGGGAATATGCTTCGCAATTGCAGTGAGCGCCTGCCGCAACGGCTCGCTCAACCCACAAGCAAACATTAGGTCCAACTGGTCGTGGAGAAGCTTTGTCAAATTGGGACCAACTGCCGATGCCAGCATCCCAACGCATTGAAACATCGGCTCCTCCGTCGGGGCCTTTTTGCTGTGGTAACATAAGAACTAACTTCAGTATATCAAACTTCTACTAACCTTCTATTCTGCAACCCTATTTTGATCTGCGCCATGATGGAGTCCAGGAAAGGCTTCATGTCGCTGCCCACAGCGAGCGAAACATGGCCAATGGCGATAAAAGCTAAATCATGATGTTAGATATGGAAAAGCGAAGATAAAGTATGTAATACCGAAAGAGCGCTCATTAGGCTTCTCTAATTGTGTTAATAGGTGTCCCATCGCCCTATGTAGAAAATGCTCTGAGAATGTCTGCGTGTCGTAAACTGCTAGAGTAGGAATGAGCGTGATGACCATCTTGCGAACGAGAGCATCCTTGTGAGTTCTGAACCGCAAAATCTGCTCAGCGGTGTCGAGAAATGTTTCCTTCATGAACTAGAGGGCTCGATCGTGAGAATCATCAATAGATGTAACCCTGAATGCGCACCATGCCTCCATGAAGTAGAAGTTCACGGAGCGTCAGGAGAGATCCGTGTATGATCTCTGGTTGAGTTGTCTTTAACCCAAGCTGTGCATCTTTCAAAATCTGGTAAAGATGGCTGCTGGGCGCTTGTCTCTCCCTCTGCGTGATGATCTCCAAGCACGCTGCTAGCAACTCTGCCGCGCCCTCTCGGACAATCACCCGCGCGTCCCTGAGGGGTACAAGAATCTTGTTCACGACCAAGTCGATGTGTGAATGGAAGTATACAGCGCTATGTCGCGCCAACTCCTTCAGAATGAGAACGCCGGCATAACGTGTCTCGCCTTGCAGATAATCAATGGCGTCAGGAACCTCCTTTGCCATGAATCCTTCGCCAAACTCTGCGCCGCCCTTCTCTACAATTTTTCCCAAAGTCTTAGAAGCCGCCAACATGATGTTGATATCAGGATTTGGAAGCAAGACTTTCACATAGTTGTAGATCCGAAAGAGGTTCCGCGGCGATTCTACGCCCTCGTCATCGATTTCTAACAGATAGTCTGAGATGTTGCAAGGAGCACTCGGGTTAGTAATTGGACGATACACAGTAGCCACTAGCACATACCTATGGCTGTTATACCACCAAATTTGTCGATGTTGCTGGTGCTATGGATGAGTTCGAAGAGCCGGCGATTGATGCTGTCATCCCATAGCTTCGCTGCCGCATCCGAGGACATTTCTGCAAGTTTGGTAGATACCTTAGACAGAATGTTAGGCAGCACGTATCCCCTGAACAGACAGTAGTACACACATAGTGCCGAAGCTCTGATGCAGATTGATGGCGCGTTTCCGAGCTTTTACTCCTAAGGCCAGTAAAGAGGGTGTTCAAAATCTCCGGCTGAGATGGCGCGGACATCGTCGCGATGCGACAGACTATTCGTGAGAGGTGCACACTACACTGCTGCCACCAACTTGCATAGCTTGCTGCCAAGGTGCAAGATCCATCGCTAGGGCGTGATGACGTAAACAACGCTGCCTAGGGTTAGGTGTTGACCTAATAATATGTTATTTGGCTAATGTTTGGTCTTAGTTGAACCTGGACCCACACTGCACGAGAGATACTTACTAGCCGCCTTCTTCCTTCAGCCAGCACTCTTTCATTCACTCACGCCCTTTCTCGTATCCCCTCACGCTCTTTTTGTCAAGTACATACCACACGACCATCGAAATGGGTTTCTTGAAGAGGCTCTTGTCCATGGGAAGCCGGCGGAACAAGAAGAGACGCGCCGTTGAGCAACTAGGTGAGATCCCAATCAGCCGAGAGGATAGGGAGAAAATCGAGGAAGAACAAGAGGCCACTGCTAGTCGCCTACTCCGTTCATCTTCCGCTCACTTCTCCGTCGTCTCCGAAGTAGACTATGCGTCTTTACCGCCTCTTCGTGAGTCTCAAACGTAGCCACCGAGCCGTGAAGTAGAACTAATCAAACTCCTCAGCTCATCCGATCAATGGCTTGAACGTAACTCCTGTACCCTCTCCAAATCGCGCTGCCAGCATTCAAACGCGTGGAAAGTATTCTGTTAAAGTTCACGATCGCAAGATCGAAGCGTGCACAGAGTTCCCAAATGCCAACCCTCCCATCGAAACGCCTACACGCGACTGCAGCGATAACGGCTTACCTCAACAATCTCGCAGACACGCCATCACTCCGAGAGACCAGAATCGCATGTATAGGCTTCGCCAGGACCCTTCTGTTGTCAGCCTATTGGACATGTACGACAGTCATGGACAACTCGATAACAAAGCATTTTCCAACAGTCCCGTTAAGGAAGGACGCGCTCAAGTGAAGAGGAATGGTTCTACGCTCCGCCAACTACTGGGCAATCCAGAGTCCGCTACACAGAACGGAGATGCGATTGAAGGTGACATCTCTTGGGCTGAACGATTTCTTGAGTAAGATGTCTCTACTTTCCTCAATGTGCCAAATCGCTGATGGGGGGACTTCAACCATTAGCGAAGGAATCGATCATCGAGCACGGAGTTCTGTGATGCCTTCCTTTGAACCTTTTGGACTCGATGCAGGCGGTCGCGCACGTAACGCACATGACAAAACGATTACTGTCAAAACAGACACCACATTCATTTACGCAGACGATCATTCGAACGAAGATTTTGACAACGACCGCATCATTTCTTCCATGGAAGTGGAGCTCAGCCTTGACTCAGAGGAGGCAAGAAATGATACCCACGCCTCAGGCCAACAAGATTTATCCACGCCTCATCGCGCATCAGAGGTGTTCGGCTTCTTGTTGGATAAAGATAGGCGAGGAGAGACTCCGAGGCAGACTCGTTCGTCTGACGACTCAGAGCACCTACTTCCCGCGATACCTCCCAACCTCAATGCCGACCCCTCGACAAAGAGTGCCAACTCTCCCGATTTTAACGTTATTACTGCGATACCTTCTTCCAGTCGAAGGGATGCCTTTGACTCGATCCCTTCATCGCGATCTCCAAAGCAGGAGTCCCCGTCCTCGACCGGCTCGATATATGACGATCCCCCACAAACGGCGATGATCATGAACAGGACTCCCGTTGCCGTTGCTGATAGTATGTTGCGCCAAGGCTCTCAGGCACTACAGGTTCAGGTGACCCCTTCGAATCTTCCTACGAGCCGGATCCCCCGAGGTCCTCGTGGTCCCCGCAGTTCCATTCTCATAGATAACCCCTTCGAAACTCAGACGCCACGAGCTCAAGAGCCATCCCAGCGCCGGGTATCCAAGGAGAGTACCAAATCAAGTATCAGACCGTCACAGATCCCCACGCGCGACGTTTTACGCGCAACTACCAACGCGTCCTCGAAGAAGCTGAAGCTTAATTCCGCACCGCGCACTCCCGTGAGTTCACGAAAGGGACAGCAGCGGTCAACCTCGCGTGGATCGGCGGCATGGAGTCTCGTTGACGAGCCGAGTATGTCACAGGTCGGGAACGAGACCATCACGCCCACTGCAGCCAAGTCAAAGCCGTCCAGAGCTCGTCCGCTGACAGATGTTGGCAAAGAGAATACTCCAAGCCCCAACGCTTCGATCGAGTTATCAAAGGCATCCGGCACCAGTGCGTTTCAATATTTTGTTAACCTGATGCTCGCTTGGTTGACCTGTTCAATTTCTCAGAACCTCATCTTCATGTGAACTTCAACAAGACTAAATCGCCCGTCACGCCTGCTCGCTCACGTACTCTGTTTCACCATGCGCCCTCTCCAGCGTCTTCCTCCGAATTATCGCCGTACGCGCAACAGATGATGGCAAACGTGAGGAAGTCACGGTCAAAGAGGGAAGAGGGGCGGAAAAGGAGCAAGTTCGCCGAAGTGGTCTCGCGGGCATAGTCTCGTCCGCATCTTCCTCATCTATTTCGCGTCTTCTTGAGATCATGAACTTTCATCGATCTCCTGGGCTCCAGGCTTATACCGCCGTGGTGCTCATGTTTTCTCCAACGTCCTGCACCGTATTTTTTTTGGTCCTCCAGTTGTCGCATATTTATTCGCTCAGTTTTCCCTCAGCTGCCTGATGTCGAATTGTCGCTTTGATATTCCTTCGCTGTCTCTTTTCTTGTTGTCTTGTGGGTTATATTGTCTTCCGGTGATACCCCTCTCCACTGTTGTTAGTTACACAATATGATCTATGTCCTCCAGCACAGACCCATCCAGAGTCTGCAAACCCGCTCTGAATTGGTCTAAACTCTTCTGTCCAATCATGTTTTTTCCATTACGTACGCAAGCCTCTGGTGTGGCGACCTGTGGCAACGTGATAGCTTTCGCCTGAGCACCACCACATATCTAACGGCGTGCTCACTGTATCGTCAGGCTTGCCGCCTCGAGGAGCCTCAGGGACAATTCTTGAGCGTGAAGGGGTAAATAAGCGCCTCACGGACTATTTTTATCCCTATCTCGATCTCGGACTCTGGCTTGGTTGAGTTATCCACCACCGAGCATTCCCCTTGCCAGTGCCAGTGCGAGCGCGGTAGAGTTCAGCACCGCCCAAACACTCACAACTCCGGAACGGCGAGCCGTGAAGGACAAGTCTGTACGCGATTTGAGTTGGGGATCAGAGCATATTGAAGAGTACGAGATGGTGCAAAGCTACAGCGCTACAGAAGATGTGAGAGAGGTGGAGAGAGTGGAGGGTACAGGGGAGTCTGAGGGGAGTACGTTGTTGGGAGGTACCGTTTCACGGGGAGTGAGCGAGAGACCGGTAGAGAAGAGGCAAGGCCATGCAACATTGATGAGCAGTGCTAGCAATCTGGCGAATACGATCATTGGCAGCGGTGAGTCTTGGTCGCCGTCCACTCACCGTGGTCCAACTCTCCTCACGGACGACATGGTGCTCATGAGATTTAATACTGCTTTCCAGGAATGCTCACATTTCCCCTTGTTAGTTTCGCGTATCTACCCCTATCATGCTGACCTCCCTACTGACTCGTATCCCCAAAACAGGCCATGGCTTCAGCTGGAATCATTCCTGGCATGATTACATGTATCTTCTCGGGAAGCGTAGCAGCATTTGGTCTCTACCTCCTCTCCGCTTGCGCGCGCAAAGCGCCACATCGCCGGGCGTCCTTCTTTGCCGTCGCGAACCTCACTTTCCCAAGGGCAGCCGTATTTTTCGATGCGGCGATTGCGATCAAGTGCTTCGGCGTTTCTATCAGGTTCGGCCTACTTACACGTTGTTATTCGTTGCGACTAATTGAAAGACATGCAGTTACCTCATAATTATCAAGTCTCTGCTTCCGAATGTTGTAGCGTCGTTATACCACGATCTCACGTCGCCAGATACCAACCCACCAGCGTGGGCACTCGATGGCCGAAATTGGATCACGCTCCTTATGGTTATACTCGTGCCGCTTGCGTTCCTCAGACGACTGGATAGCCTTAGACATACAAGCTATATTGCTCTGTTCTCCGTCGGTAGGTGTCACGCGAGTCTCTTGTATATGGGATGCTCATCATAGTGAACTCAGCCTACTTGGTCGTCATTGTTATTGTGTGTTATTTCCACCCAGTCGAGGGCACGCCTGCACCGGGCGAAATACACCTTATTAAATTCACGCCGAACTTCGTGTCGACGTTCCCGATACAAGTATTTGCATTTACATGTGCTCAGAACGTACGTGGAAATATATCTTGTTGTGGCGATGCTTGACTAGCTTCTTCAGCTTTTCCCTATTTTCAATGAGGTCGTTACCAACTCTCAGCACCGTATGAACATCATCATTGGCTCGTCCATCGGGTCTGCTACGTTAACCTATGAAATTATCGCTCTATTTGGATATCTAACATTTGGTTCTAATGTGAGTAAAGGCGATTTCCATGATGATGATACCTCGCTGATGAAGTTTCAAAGGTCGGTGCTAACATCATTGCTATGTACCCATCAACTTCCCTCTTCATTGCAGTAGGACAGTTGGCCATTGCAATTCTTGTCATGTTTTCTTATCCGTTGCAAGTGCATCCGTGCCGGAACTGCCTGGACAAGGTTTTTCACTTCGGGGCCGTGCCTGTGGAAGTGAAGCGTGTGGGTGATGACGAGGAGCCTTATGAAGATGAGGACGAGCACGACGCAGGAGATATGACCCCCTTGAAACACACAGTATTGACTGCTGCGATCATTGCGAGTGGGTTTACGATTGCATATTTCGTGGATGATCTACAGATGGGTAAGTGGACTTTGGTCCTGCTTGGTCAGGGTGTTGAGGCGCTGACTTTTCGCAGTTCTATCCTTTGTGGGAGCTACTGGGTCTACAACAATCTCGTTCATCTTGCCCGGGCTATTTTACTGGAAGGTATGCGGGATCATGCGGTAGGCAGACATCATGCTTACTGCGGATTCACAGATGACTCGAGATGATGCCGACTCAAGCAGACTCCTGAACTGTGCAGCGTTAGCGCTGGCGGTATATGGGACGTTCATCCTTGTATTCTGGTACGTGTATCATTAAATGTCGGCTGATGAAGGAGGACTGAGGTATACTTGGCTCGGCACGCAGCTTAAGCTTCAACATCTATCAGGTGGTACACCCTGCTGCGACCGGAAAACTCGCACATTGAATTCCATTAGCGTAAACAGATGATGTACGATATGACTGAATATACGGTGTCGGAGCAATAGCCAAGGCTTGTGCATCTTGAAAGGCGGTGTGGGCTGGTGGCTGGAACCAATATAATGGCTTACCAAGCGAGGCCATGGAAGCCTAATTAGGAGCAAGCGGCGTCAACGACTGGCTTTGCACCGACGACGGCTTCCCCTCTGACCTGATGCACGTTTCTTGTCGTTCTGATCTCCTTTGAAACACGCATAGACCCACAAGCATCTTTTAATGTCTCTTGGTCAGTTTCCTTCTTCTTTTTCTTCAGATCGCCAGTAAGGGGCGTTCTCAGTGAGCGACGCTCCTCTCGCGTCTGTCCCGTGCTCGACGCTCATCGTCCTTCCTTGAATGCAATCCTGATAGAAATCCCACGGGCGCCATCATCTCTCCCTCTATCCATCCTTGACTCCAGAGCGATGTCGTCAAGTCCAGCAACAATGGCCGCCACCGTCGGTCTAATGAGACCCCCCGCAACTTCCCCCAGCGGCTCTCAACTGATTTCGACAAGCCACACGGCTCCGTCTTCGACGGTAGATGATCTACAGGCTTTTTCAACAGACCCTACAAGCAATTTGGGCCTCGACACCGAGGACATGCACAGAGAAACTGGTCTTGCGGAGGTCGACCGGGCAATCATCGAGGCGCTAAGGGGCAAGGAAAGATTATTTGTTCTTCGCGTCGGAGAACTGATGGAGGGCCTCATCAGTGAAAGAAAGTGAGTTATCTTCTCCTTGGCTGTCAAAAGAGGTTCGATTGCAACGACCAAAAATGTGGGGTCGCGTGGGGTTGATGTCCAAATTAGACGATAAACGTGTTCCGATCAGTCATTACAACGACGGGTCAGTTTTGTCGGGCGGAAATGTCGAGGCTTCATATTTGCTCGACGACTGAAGGTCGCTCAGTTTTTCTCCGCTCGTCTGCAGTCTCACAGTATCTTGGGACGATGACCTGATTCTCGATCGTTTCAAGGCCACGCGTAGAGGTGTCTCCGTCGTCGACATATCAGCGTCTTCTGGTTCACCGATGTACGGCTTACTACAAAGTCACACTTGAGCAAGACGGCAAGGCTTACTACCTCCACGCCGCCCCAGAGAGTAAAGTGTAAGTATCCCCATTACGGCAATCCGAGCTCAATGTGACTTACAGTCAACCTCTATCAGTCCCATGCGACGAATCTCTGACCTCGTTCCGGCGGAATCGACTACGCAACCTGCTTTCCAAATCATGCGCCGCACTCCACAAGAGCGAATGCGTAGTACGCCCCAGTCTCGGACAAGTTCTGTCACGGGGGATGACCCGGACATGTCTGATATTGAGCCCTCGGAGGCTAGTAGCCAGGGTGGGCGTAGTAATGCGCCGGGCAGCGCGAAAAAGCACCTCACATTGGAGCAGCGGGAGGCTTTGTATAACGAAGCCCGGTCCCGGATCTTCATGGAAAAGGCTAAGGAAAAGGAAAATGACATGAGCGCGAGCTCATCCACGTTCAGCGCTGTTTCGGGCTCAGCATCAACGAGTGGAGGAGGGAGTAGCAGCGCTGGGGATCTTGATGACTCAGTTAGCAGCGCTGCAACGGAGAGCGAGTGGTCTGGTCCTGCTGGACGCGAGAAGAAGGACATTCGGCGGGGAGGCTCCGGAGCAAACTCTGCTGGATCGTCGTCCCGGTCCTTGCGCTCTTCCGCGCACCCTAACAGCTCTCGTAACTCTCGCGCTGCATCCCCTACCATCTCATATGCCTCCCTCTACAACGAACCGCCAGCACCACACGTACCTTACGATACACCTCAAGCATCTACCCAGGCTCCCCAGGGCTACATGCCCCCTTACATGTACTACCAGCCTCATCCCAATCAAGTCGCAGGCCAACCCTACTACGCACCATATTTCTTTCCTCCCTATCCGTATGCCCCTCCTCAGCATCCATTACCTAACTCCGATCCTTCCAGTCCTGGAGAGGGTATCTATGTTCCAACTCATCAACCTCCTCAGCCGGTTTCCTATATGGGCGCATATGGATGGCAACCGGCGTCTGGTCCACAGGGAGCAGCTCATTCGGCCGCACCATCCCCGCCGCACGGTGTACCATATGGGTCGTATGCACCTTCTCCTGCATACCCGCCGTATGCGATGCCCTACTACCCGCCGCCTGCCCCTCAAGTCCATGCTCCGCACATCCAATCACCAATGCAAGCCCCTGGGCAGTCGATGTACCCTCTAGAAGCGCCACAAATGAATGGCGGTGGGCTTCAAAACAACGGCAATGGATCTAGCGGGCCCTTCAGAGCGCCACCGCGTAATGCAACAAGCGGCAATGGGGGCCAAGGAGCCAACGGGCAAGGTAGGAGAGGGCCACAACCAAGGCCAAGGGGTGCTTGGAGTTACGGACCTGGAGTTGGTAACGGTGGGCACTCGTATGGTACTGTAGGGAATCTCGGTGGCCTTGGTTCGGGCCCTAGCATAGGCCACAACGGAGGTATGAGGGTGGGTCCTGGAGCAGGTTTCGGTGAGAACAACGTGCCTGTAGGTCCACGGTTGCACTCTGTGAGAAGGACATCGGGAAATTCGAGTGGAAGTGCGGGTCACAGGACGCCTGCAGGAACTGGTGACGAAGCGTCGTCGACGGCAGTGAGTCATTCTTCGTTTTGCTCGCTTCCGTATAATTTTCGTCGTGTTTCACCATTGCTGATATGACTCGTTCCATACATCTTTCATGATCCGTCTTGGGGTCTTTCAGTCATCAACATCTTCGTCATCGCGGCGGACCTTCACATCGACAACGTCCTCGCAGCACCCTCTCCCCGCCCGACCAGACTGGGCCGTTGGCCTCGTCGCTCAGCCTTCCCTTCGCCCACCATACAATCACGATCACGGACATGGCAACAATTCTCACGCCCACAGCCAAGCCCACAATATGCCATCACCTGCCCAACAGAACGAATCGACACGGGCCCCACACCATGGGGCTTCCGCTCCAGTTGCACTGCAACCAGCAGACTTCCCCCCATTAGGTGGCGCGGGTGTGGCAGAGAAACGTACAGCAATGACCGTGCCCTATGGCGCGTGGAATAATGGGTCTTCAGCAAGGTCGATAGTGCCCCCGAATGGGCAGACATCGTATAGCAGTGCTCTCACCAGCTCTACCGGTGGCGCAACTAGTGGTACTACCGTCACCGCTGGAGGGGCGGCTGCGGCGCCGGTGGCGAGTGGTTTGCGCTTCGACGAGCCAGACAAGACTTATGAGCGGCCGCCGCCAAAGAATGTGGAGCTTTTCGACCCCAACGCAAGTTATCATTAAAAAAAATTCTTGCACAAACTGGCTAATTTGGAATTATTTTTCGTGTGCTCAGGAAGAAACCGCCAGTGCTGGTAAGGATGTGCCAGTAGAGGCGATCATCAAGAAGTTGGGAAGTCTAGAGGTTGAGGACGGTAGTGAGGGTAAGGGCGGCCGGTCATAGTGTCTGCATCGATACATGCTGTGGCTGAGGTCACAGTCACGTCGTCGATTTTCAAAGTTTGCGTGCCCCCACGGCTCGAGCCTATGGACATGCGATTTTTTGCATCTTGCTCAGGGCACGCCCTTTTCTTTTTTTTTTCTTTTTCTCTCTCTTTTTCTGCCTCTCTTCTGTCCTTTTCTTGTTGTATTCGACTATGTTGCGGGGGATGAGGGTGTTACGGGACGGCGTTCATGTGCGAGTCGGATGTGTTTGGCCCGTTACATATTACTTGTTCATATTGCATTTTTCGCGTAGAAATACATATACATACAGTCTGTACAACGGCAACTCATGTGTTGAGCCGCTGTCTCGCGCCGTGACGTCATGGCAGGTTAAGATCTGTTCGAGATCAGGTTTGTTTAGCAGAATACTTTGACTCGCAGATTTGGAATGAGAAGGTTATCAAAGGATACGATTGTAGGGAAGGTGCCATCATACTAAGGACGAAGACGTTGTTCCCGGTACCTTGTACGTACGCTCATGTATCAAGAATCGGCTGTGGCTGACTTCAGGAACGCCGCAGCCAATTCAGCACCGTCGAATGATTCTAGCTGACTCCAAGGATAGTCACCAGTAACTCTTGACCAGATCATCCGAGTTTTCTTTGTTCGTTATTCCTACGTTTCGGAATGCCGTCTGTACATGACCTACCTGTCGAGGTCCTTCTAGATCACCTTCTTCCTCTTCTCCCCATCCGTGACCTTCTCCTCCTTGGGTCAACCAACAGATTCTTCGCGTCGATCTGCGCCGATGACACCTTTTGGAAACGGCGATGCGAGAGGGACTTCAACTTCTCGGGAAATGAGACTGCGCAGAGAAACGGGTGGAAGGCGTTGTATCATGGCTTGAGTCGCCCGCGGGTGTTTGTTTGGGGGTATGGATTGTTGATGCACGACTACGAAGCTCGTTGTGCTGATTCCGTTGCTCGATAGAACTCGTGGAAACGGAAGGCTCGGTTTGCAGTCCTTGCCCGAAGTCAGGGGACCTGGCATTCCCTTTCCCGTAGAAGTAAAGATCCCTGGAGTGCGAATTGTCTCTTTGACCGCTGGTGGAATGTGGGGGAAATCCTTATGTCGATCATCGACAAAATTGATTGCTGAAGTCTACCATCGAACAGGTCCTTCCATGCATTGGACTCCCAAGGGTCCATTTATGTCTGGGGTACGTTGTTCATACTACATACATGCATCTGTCTGTTAAGAATGGTGGGTCAGGTACCTTGGATGGGCAAAATATGGCGCTGAACAGCGAGGGCTTCTCCATACCGCACAAGTGTGCACAAGTTCCCCACAGACTTATAGTACCCGAGCCCGTCCGTAGCATCAGGTATGCTATATCTGTTGTCGGCTTTTCGAACGAAGCGCGTTGAATTTTAATTTATTCAGTTGTGGAAGATTGCATACTATGATTCTCGATGCCAAACTGCAGGTCTGGACGTTCCTCAGTTGGGGCCGGCCTTTCCGGTTCCAGTCTGCTCTCCTTGATTGCCACTCGCCAGACACGACACCGGCACAAATCGAGAGCGGTTGGGCATTTTCGTCAATCCTCACCACCTCCAGAGATGTCCTCGTGTACTGGCCGTACAGCGGCACCCTAAAACAGGTCTTAGATGCGAAATCCGAAGAATTGGATGCTGCGGGAGATAAGCAAGCCTATGCCACTTCAGACCATACTATTCCTTGCGTCATGAGCACCATAGAGGCTGAGCCATTCAGGCTGCCCGCGATACCTGTGCTTCCTGTCCTCCCAGATACTGGTTTGTCCCAAGAGCAGTTGGACGAAGAGACGAAGTTGATCAAGATCGCCGCGTATGATAATATCATTATTGGCCTTACGAATAAGGGTCATGTCCTTAAATTCGGTGGCCTAACAAACGAAGAGGATTATCTTCACAGCCGCTGGGAATACGTGAGCTTAAACCCCTGTCTCTCTTTTTGAGCGCCTACTCACAACAGATTGCAGTTGCCCAGCTTCAGCGAAGCTAGTCTAGTCTGTCAACACCCCACCTTCGCGGGCGAAAATCCTAGATGTAAACCTCCAAGGGCAATGCACATCACGCATGTGAGGATTTTCTGCGCTCTCCCCGCACTGTCAACTGATCTTGCTCATCCATATCTTCGCATATCTCTGTGTAGGTCTCCGCCCACTTCCGCACTTTCGTCGCCTACTCAACTGGCTCCAGCTCCACCACCCTCATGGGCGACACCGAAACCTCGGCCAACTCCACGCCTGAGATCATGCCTGCCCTGCAAGACCGTTCCATCATCTCTGTCATGCTCGGAGACTACCACTTCGGCGCGCTCACCTCGACCGGGCAGCTCTTGACCTGGGGCTCATACTCCCATGGCGCGCTCGGCCTCGGGATTCCGACAGACCTGCCGCTCGGCGCCCCAGGGGGGTATCAGACGCCGCAAGACGTGGAGACGGCGCGAACGCGGAGGTGGCTGCTCGAGCCGCCCAAAGTCGAGGAGCCCGCTGAGGTGGATTTCAATCTCGGAAGGAAAAAGGCCGGGGAGAAGTTTTGTTTCGCGGCGTCTGCGGCGGGGTGGCACACAGGCGCCCTGGTGATCGGCCTCGACGTGCGTACTTTATCATTTCCATCGTCGTCCCTCATACGGACTGCTCACCGTCCGCTTGCAGCCCGACAACGAAGAAGAACCTTCTGAGGCCGAGCGCAACGCTGCGGACCAGCGGATGCCGGGCGGATTTCCGAGCGGGCCAGGGCGATCCACCTCTGAGCTCCCGCAAGACCCGCATGGGCTGCCTCTGCTGCCGGGACGTATGATGGGTGGGCCTTTTCGCATCGGCTTTGCTGGCAGGGGACTTGCCTTGAGGGGGCGGCTAGGTCGTGGTGGGGGAGGGCGGGGAGGAGGCGCGCCTCTGCCTCCGGCTGCTTGAGATGTTGAGCGAGGTGTATTTCATGAGACTCTTGCGGAGGATACTGTATTGTGTATGAAGTTGTACAAATACAAATGCCAATGACATACGAATGAATTGACAAATTCCGTATCTGCGATACCGCTCTACCTTTCTTCAAGCATGACAAAAGGTACGGAAATGCAAGTCACATAGCAAGAAGTATCAATCACATTGCGGGTTCGTAGGTGCTACATCGTTTACACTTTTTTTCTATCGTTTACAAGATGATAAGTTGGGGCCAGCAAACGCAACACTCAGTGGCCAATGATGCTCTGAGACCGATAAGCCTCCTCAAGGTATTTGATCTCCTCGTCGGTAAGCTTGACGTGCACACCCTCTGTTACAGCAAGTCATCGATATCAGAGAGGCGAACTAAAGATAGGGCAAAGACTTCACGTACCGACGAGGTCGAGCAAGCTCTTGATGCTTGTGGGACCAACGACCGGCGCAGCGACAGCTAGTAACAAATGCCATGATGTCAGCTTTTGGGATGGATTAAAGAGTAAAGAAGGGGTAGACTGACGGTCCTTGGAGAGAATCCATGCAACGGCGATCTGAGCCATGCTGACGCCCTTCTTCTTGGCGATCTCCTCGACACTATAGACGCGTTTCACAGTGAGCATTCCGTCAAACTTACCAGTAGATACGAGCAACAATAGGAAAGACATGAGACTAGAACAACGCACCGGCCGATCGTCACGTTTGCGCCTGACTCGGCGGGGAAGGGATATGCGGCATAAGGGTCGGTCTCTGTCCGCTTGGTCTTGACCTGGCTGTTGGCCGGGCGAGTGAGGAAGCCACGGGCGAGGGGAGACCAGGGGATGGAGCTGACTCCAAGCATCTGATGAGAGCGTGAGATTTCCTCGCATAGACCAAGCATAAGGGGAGCGCACTTTGAGAGCAGGCATCATCTCGCGCTCCTCTTCACGGTACAGCAGAGAGTAGTGGTTCTGCATCGAGATGAAAGGCGTGAGATTGTTCGCGATGGCGTAGTCTATAGACAATGAACATAAGGATTCTTCGTAGGGTATGAGCATGGTGAAAATGAACGTACTCTGCATGGCCTGGACTACACGCCGGTCGACCGAGAATTTCAAATCAGTCAAATAGCAGCACTGTAAGATAGCAACATACACTGGTACGCCCAGCAAGAGCTCATGCCGATGTAACGAACGTAGCCTGCCTTAACCACATCGTGAAGGGCTTGCATCTGGAAATTCAGGACTTAGTTGAGACCGCCTCCAACCATTACGAGGGGTGCCTCACAGTCTCTGCGATGGGAGTGTTGGGATCGAATCTGTGGCCTATGAAATAGATGAGCCAAACTTTCGGAGTATATGCAGTGCCGCCGGCATACATTGGAAAACATCGATGTAGTCAAGCTGGAGGCGCTCCAAGCTTGCCTTGACGGAGTCAAAGATGTGCTAGAAAATTCCAGGTAAACTCTCAGTAACCAAAGACCACCGCACCAAAAACTGACCTTGCGGCTGAGACCGTGCTGGTTGACGTATCCTTTATCGTCTGGGCTGTAGACAGTAATGTAACTATCGCTGGGGACGCGTCCAACGACCCAGTAGCACTGGAAATATATTCAGTTGCCGGCTTCTCAACGGCAAACGAGCCCCAAGATTACCAACCTTGGTCATAACGACGATCTCATCACGAGGCAAGTTCAACTGCTTGATAGCCTTGCCCAATACGACCTCAGACAAGCCGTTCGAGTAGGTCTACACAGAACATCAGCAGACCATATAAAACGCGTGACGGGCAACGCACATCGGCGGTATCGAACGTCTGGATACCCGCGTCGTAGCTAGATGCCAAGCAGCGTCAGCTATTAGATCCGCAGATGATCGGATCGGTGCAGTTCAGCGTCACTCACGCCGCCTTGATCGCCTTGATAGATTCCTCCTCGGGGAGGACCCAACCCTGCCAGTTGGGGTCGCCGAACTGCATGGTCCCAAGGATGAGCTTGGAGATCTTCAGTCCAGAGTTGCCGAGGCGGACTACACAGAATGGCAAGATGACCGTTCAGATGGAGGTCAAGCACGCGGCACTGGAAAGTACAGACCATAGGGCATCTTCTTCGCAGGGGCAGACATTTTGTGTTATTTGTAGAGTTGGTACAAGTCGTGAGAGGGAACAGGGCTGTTACTACCTTGACAGCTATCCGCTCTGGGTTATATACAAGAATTGTATGCGGTCATGTGCATGATGGAACCCTTGCAGTTCCGGGACAGCCGGAGAAATAAGTGAGGCTGAGCGGGATGGAAACGCATGCATTGAAGCCTGGCTGACATCGAGGGGACGCGCATGCGCAAGACAAGAGAGAAACGGGTTCTCGTTTGTGGATGTCCGCGTTGCTGATTCACGTCGAAGGCGGTGGCTCTGCCTCGACGCTTACCTGTAGCCTCCGACGGGACCGTGGTGAACCATAAACTTATGTCAGCGCGACGTCGCCTGTCGCAGTTGTTTGTTCTCTGTTTGGCCGTGATGAAAACGGAGGCTCTTGCCAAACAAGCCCGGCGAGTTTCCTAATGACTACCCGTTTGCGCCACAGGCCCAATATCGAGGAGGAAGATGCCGCTGCGTTAAAGCTCGGCCCAGGCACGTGGCATCGCTGTAGACTCCTGCATACACCCTGAACCCTCTGCTTCCAGAGTTCAACAATGCAGGTTGCTTGCTGATTTCAGAGGTGAAATACCTTTTGGAAAACCGGGAACAGGATGCACCAGACACGGCGTACGGAACCTCGCGTCATCTTCTCCTTCGTCTGCTTACACCCGCTTTCAGGGTCTACAATAAAACGCTTGAATACGTGAAGACCTTCACGAAGTTCAACACGACCGACTCTGCCTCTGCAGTCCGAGAGTACGTGCACGATTCTTGTGTGTCTCCAACCCGCTTCATTTCTGATTTGCACAGAACACTCCGGAGAGAGGACGCCCTGACACAATTCGAGACGGCACAGATTGCTAACCTCTGTCCAGCTGACGCGGAAGAAGCCAAGAGCATCATCCCAAGGTGCGTCAAGTGCCCTCAACCCCACAGCCCCTTTCCTGATAAATATACCCTACAGTCTTGTGAAAATCGATGACGACCAACTGCAAGTACTCCTGGACGAGATCCAGTCGATGCGGAAGTTCCAGAGCTAGGCCTACACGCCCATCCCTCATGTATCATTACACTTCTTACCAGGTCTTCCCTTTTCTTCTTTTCGCCTCATGGGCAAATTTTCGTTAGCTGCGGGCTCCGTGTGAGTTAAATTTTTGGGGTGGTTGACAGGTGACAGCATATGACTATAGATACACGTATCTTCACGTTACACCATTGACTTCCAAGGGCGGAGTACCGAACGCCATGAACTGTTATCCAAACAGCTCGATCGCTATCCTTCCATCTCAGCCAGCTCTGCTTTGTCCAGCGTGCTCTCCTGTTCTGCCTCCCCTTCTTCTTCGTCTATCTCAAGATCGATCTTCCCACTCGAAGAGAAAGATGTCACGTCAAATTTCCTTCGCTCTTTCAAAGGGTTTGCCCTCCGCTCGCCCTTTTTGATAACGGCGGACGGTGGAATGATGCCCTTCGTATTGAGGTAGGCAAGGTCGTTGCCAGAGTACGCATCGATTGAACGCACCCAAGCGTCGAACCTACACGAGCATCCCAGATTAGCGTGCAGCGGGATACAGATTGCCGGAGGGAGATAATACTTACACTCCGCCTCGATCTTCGATGTCCCTCATCCGATCGTAGATGTGTTCCTGCTTAAACTGTTCAATCGCGTCTTTGTATATGTCGAAGTCGATTGGGGGTCGATATAGCGGGTCGGTCGGCGAAAGCTTATCATTTACGCGCGCGATTTTGGCGTTGTAAGATTCAAAGATCGGGTGTTCGAGCAGGAGGCCAAGGGAAGGCATTTTCGGTACGAGGACCTGCCGCGGGCCGTAAAGCTACGAGACCAGCAAGGAGTGAGCAGATGCAAGCAATGATCGAGTCGGCCATTTACCTCATCGATGATCTGTGTGGGAGTGCTGGTGCGACAGGAGAGCACTAATGCCGACATCATCTTGCGCTAAATGGACTGGGATCAATGAGTGAAGCTACGCTGGAGACATGTTTCTCACGATCTGCGATGTTTGTGGTCAGACTTCTCATCTTGTTGTAGGACTGTTAACCACGCACCTGATGGAGCATGAAGCTTTGCCCGTGAAACATGACACTAATCCACTCCGTCTCACCATACACGGTAGGATCAGCTACCTTTTCAGGAAATCAACTTATTTTGACTACAAAAAATAGGAGATAATGCGCATACCTCGATCTTTTTCATATGTCTCTGAGTGCTCCGATCACTGAAGTCCCTGCCGACTGTGAAATTGTGGAAGTTGTGACTGGCTTCAAACTTTTTCGCAATTTCTCTGAGCTTCTCAACCATCTCCGAGCCTACTCTCCATTTTCGCTTTCTGATCAGATCATCCTCTTTTGTGCTATCTGCATGTGCAAGCTCAGACCAAAAAGGGTGCGAGGTGGGCTGCTCAACGGGGGCTGCATTGGAAGCGGAAGAGGAGGGCGGTAGGTTGTTCAACGTCTGATCCAGTCCGCTCCCTGGCTTTGGGGGGATCAGAAGATATGAAGGGAAGAAGTAGGTATACTTGCGGCTGTCGCAAGACCTGTAAACAAATCTCCCGGCATCGTAAGCGGCACGAGTGAAATTACACGAAGGACCGGGACCCACACGCGAGCATTGAACGAATTCTGCACACGGACATAACCCCAAAGCCGAATTTCGGGCGGTAGAAAGGAGTTGATGTGGCTGACAATGTCTGGAACGTCAGGCACGTCTGTGATCATCTTGATGGAAACGACGTTTCCGGCTGCATGCACGCCCGCGTCCGTGCGCGCCGCTCGCCCCAGGTTCACCTTCGAAGCGCGACAGGGCGGTCACACGACGCGCCTTGCCGTCTAGTCATTGGAACGAGGCGCACCTTGACTGGATCGTCCGCGTTGTCCTGCGACACCGCACCGGCCTTCACCATGGCCTCGAACAGCACACCCTCGATCGTGCGCACGTTTGGCTGTCTGCAACACCATTACCGTCAATATTCACACTCGCATGATGTACACGACGTGTCGAGTAGCACACGGGCGGGCGAGCGGAACGCGAGAACACGCACATCTGCATCCCGGAGCACCCCGTCCCGCAGAACCCAATGAGCAGGGCACACTGTCTCTTCGGTAGTCGCGGAGCCTTGTCCACATTTTCTTCCTCAGAGCCTTCCTTCGCGGTCTCGTCGTTCCTCCGTGTCCCCCTCCCGCTCCTCCTCCCAACATTCTTCGTGTCCTTCTCCCTGTTCTTGCGCGATTTCGCGAAGCCGGCCGACTCCCGTCTCGTCGCGAACCTGTTCTTTCGTCCTTCCGGCTGTGCCTCAGCGACCAATGTAGACTCAGCATCGAGTATGCTTTCGGATTGAGAGGGATCAGCAGCATCCGTTGATGATTCCATAAGTTCCGAATGAATTCTTGCGCGTTTCGAGTCTGAGCCGGAGAGGGGCGAGGCGTCGACGGGCCTCTTGTCGGGCACGGTGGACCCACTCGCATCTGCACCGCTCGTCATTATGGCACGAAGGTGACGAAGGGGTGCACTGCGTTGTTGGCGTGGTATGGGACGCAGGTGAGTATTTACAAGGTTGGGAAAGGCGTGGAACCGGAAACGAAAAGCCAGCATCCGAACTCGGACTTGGAGTTCGCAAAGCCAGACTCCTACAACAGGAGCAATTGCAACTCCGATCACATCTGCAGAAGCCAGTCACAAATCTGCGCTGACGCTCTCTCGACTAGTGAGGACATGGCTGTAGATGTCTTTCAAGGAACACGGCTATATATTACTAGAACAACAGGTTGAATTATCTCTATGGATTTTGTGGAACGAAACAGATGGTGGCCGCAGTCGCTGCTCAAACAATAATTTCTGAGAGTGTGAACGAAAGTATGATCTTGATGCAAAAATAGCCGGGCATGCACTTACGATAACGGACAAGGCATGGACGCTGAAAGTCAACTGTAGATGACAAGGTTTTAGAGCTCCTTCGAGTGTATTTTCAGGCAGTAGAGACAAAAATCGTGGCTTGGTGAAGGTCTACATCTTGGCTCAGGATTAGGACTGCCCTCAGTCGGTTCGTGTCGAGCCCAGCAAACGTTGCAGACGAAATATTACACAAAGTAATGGTTGAAATCGACATCCAAGCGTTACTCGGCACTGAGAAGGGTGCGCGCCATGGTGTCCAGACCGCGCAGCTCAAGGCCCATCCCTCTTCGCAAACAGACGAAGGTCTCGTACATGGCGTCGAGGTACGCCTCGATGGCCTCTTGCGTAAGTCCGTGACAGACAGCGAGCCGAAAGGCCGTAATGTAGACCGTTGCGAATGACAGGATCTTCGTCGAACGCGGGGGGAAAGGTGTTGTCCTGTAGAGAACCTGGGCTAGGGTCGAAGATAGAGTTAAAAATCCCCTCGCTTGTCTGATAGAGGGGTGTCGCTTTCAAGATCAGGTAAGGCTTCCAGAGATTCCTCGTTGTCAGATTGTAGAGGAGTATGTCTCGGAGAGTCAAAGAGTCCACAGGTTTTATAATCCGAGCGCGGGGCCAACACAGGAGCAAGCAGTGAGTCCGAACGGGATACAGAACCCTGACAGGAGTCATCTGAGAAGAGTGTGACCTCTTCGTAAACATAGTAGGCGTTGTCGTCGTAAGAGGGCCCCGACATCAAGGCAAGTAGTGCATGCGCTTCAGCGCCGGTGTCTGTGTCATCATCGAGCGCATAGATGCCCTCTGCGGCGTCATTTTCATACGTAAATCTTATTCAAATGTGAGGTACTGCACAGTTGTAAGGAGTAGTGGAGGGGAAAAGGACTCACCGTACCCCTTTGATCCTTCATCGGTACGCTCGCACTTCCCCACATATCTCTCCTTTGCTTCCGGTTCCTGGATCGGGTAATTTTTTACGGATTGGCTGTTTGAAAACGTTTCTTATGTTGTAGGTTGAGGCGAGCATGTTTTACTGAGTGATTCGTTGAGTTTCCGTGCGTTGGTGGATGGTAGTGGATGGTGCGGCGGCTCCGACGGCGATCACGAGGATGGATCAAAATTGGCACGGAAGGATCGCTCCGAATATACCCCGCACCCCGGACGGCCCGCTTGCCCCTTTACAACATTGGGAGACCTACACACATCGTGTAAACCGTGGCCCATGGGATTCTAGACCTCATTGGGATGCTCTTAAAACACGCCCGCACCGATCCCCTCCGTCCTCGCTCTCTTCGCCTTAAACATGTCTGCCGATCCGCTATTCCTCGGGCTTGATCTCTCGACTCAACAGTTGAAGGCCATCGTGATCTCGGAGGACTCTGCCGTAGTCCACGAGGTCTCCGTCGGGTTTGACAGGGATCTACCGCGCTACGGTACTATGAATGGTGCTCTGAAAGGACCGGATGAGGGCGAAGTGACCTCGCCTGTCGGCATGTGGTTAGAAGCCCTCGACCTGCTCATGCAGAGAATGAAGGATGCTGGTGTTGATTTCAACAGCATTATGGGGATCTCTGGGGCAGGCCAGGTCAGTAGGAAATATCTATAGCATCGGACAGAATCGGACGCGTACTGAAGGGCTTGTGTGGACTTACAGCAGCACGGTTCCGTATATTGGTCTGCGGAAGCTAACTCCGCACTCTCGTCTCTGGATCCTAGCAAACCTCTGCATGTCCAATTAGCACCGAAAGCATTCTCCCTTCCGAATGCGCCCATCTGGCAGGATTCCTCCACGATGCGGGAGTGCCGTGAGCTGGAAAATGCCGTCGGCGGAGCACAGGTCCTGGCGGACCTCACAGGCAGTCGAGCATATGAGCGCTTCACCGGGGCGCAAATCAGACGCGTATGTTCCCGAGATATAGAGTTTCATGTCAGAGGCTCATGACATTGGTATTGCAGATTCGTCGCCTGAGAGCAGAGGCATACGCCGCTACTTCTCGCGTATCTCTGGTTTCATCGTTCTTGCCTTCTCTATTCTTGGGCACGATTGCTCCGATAGAAGTATCGGATGCCAGTGGAATGAATCTTATGAATGTTCTCACCTGCAAATGGGATGATCATCTACTGGAGATCTGTGGAGGGCCCGAGCTTCGGGAAAAGATCGGTCCAGAACCTGTCCCAGGCGGTACCGTCCTCGGCAAAATACACAAATGGTGGACCGAACGTTGGGGCTTCAACCCAGGTGACTTTGACTTCATATGACTGTGATCCTAAAACGCTCATTATTTGCGCCTATTCTCAGAATGCATCGTCGCCCCTTTTACAGGCGATAACCCTGCTACAATGGTCGCTCTTTCTACACCCGGAGACGCTGTGCTCTCATTGGGGACCTCCACCACATTCCTTCTAGCGATTCCTCCAGCAGACGCTCCCCCGGCGCGCTTCACAACCTCTCACCTCTTGTCGCATCCGACGACGCTCGACGCACAAATCGCTATGCTTTGCTACAAGAATGGCGCTCTCGCACGAGAGCAGGTTCGTGATCGCTACGCCAACGCCGATTGGGCTCGGTTCAATGAACTGGTCGAAACGACCCCGCCGGGCAATGGAGGGAACTGGGGTCTGTACTTCCCGTTACCCGAAATCATCCCGCCGGGTGTCAAAGGCAACTTTTTCTTCTCCTCGAGCCCGTCTATCGCACCAGTCGACGCTCTGCCGCCGACTGCGCACCCCCGCGCGATCCTCGAATCTCAGTTCCTCTCCATCCGGTCGCGCATCGCGGCCATCCTCCCGTCTTCCTCTCCGCCCTTGCGGCGGCTCATTCTCACTGGGGGTTCTTCTGCAAACCCGGCGATCCGCCAGCTTGCTGCGGACCTATTCGGGATGGCCACGTACGTGGCTGAGGGGTCGAAGGAGGCCGCGGGCATGGGTGGCGCGGTGTTAGCCAAGTTTGCATGGTGGCGTGCCCACAACGGGGGTGTTGGGACGTTCGAGGAGATGCGCGCCGGGGACGTAGAGCGCTTGCGTCAGGTTGCGGTGTCGAAGAGGGAATTCACAGCGGTGTACGATAGTCTGGTGGAGCGTTATCGTGCTTGTGAGGCCGTGGTAGTCAAGGCTTGTGCTGCGTAGAATTACTTTTGGGTTTATGGCCATGGCTTGGTCGCGGGGATCTTCTTTTCACATCAATTGGGCTAATGGGGTTTACATTTTGATTATGGGTTCATACATAGAGTTGTTCTCAAAGCCTTTGGCCATCTGCAGAGTACGCGTTATGAATATGGATGCTGGTAAACTGCTCTGCGAACCCAAAAGGGAGTAAAAGGATTGAAGAATAAAATTGTAGATGATGGAGGGCTCACCCAGCATGGAGGATTGAATTGGATGACCTGTGACAGGGCCTATTCGTTTGAAGCTTGAAACTTGTTGGCCAAAGCATTGCATCGTCACTAGATAATCTTGAGGTGTGTGATAGACAGATTCTAAATCCAGCGCATGTTGTATCACATCTTCGGGGAGCCAGCTGACTTGGGTAATCCATCGTATAGGTCAAGGTAAATGTCCAGATGGGTCGTACGATGCCACGGAGATAATACATGGACATGAACATCAATAGACATTGCGCGAGTGAGGAAAAAGAATCTAAAGCGTATGGCTGCTTCGTTAGGCGTCGAGCATAATCATAATGGTTCGGTCTGCTTCATTGAACAGTGTGGGGGTGCAAGGTGCCGTAGACTGGTATTGTCTTACGAGGTAAGAGTTTCAAGAGTATTGCTCCACGCACGAACTTTTTCGTGCACAAAGACCTACAGAGGCGAGTCAGTTTGAGTATAATGGGGGTCGGGACAGCCTTGACCTTGTCTGCGCTGAAATTCAGAACTTGCAAACCATCCATAGACGTGGCACGGGAAAGTGCGACATAGGCTTGCCCTTCGAACAGATAAAAAATGGCTGAGTCAGATACAAAATGAACGATAGCATGTCGCTCACCTTTTTCAAAGACTTTTGCAAGGTCGACTTTGACACGATCCAGTGTTTGCCCTTGCGATTTGTGTATCGACATAGCCCAGGATAAGATGAGAGGAAGCTTTCGAAGGATTGCCGAAAGTTCAAAGATTCAGTTGTATACTAAGCAGAACACATAACTGACCTGTATCCGGGAGGCCTGGATCTCCCCACTTGGCAATTCGATTTTCCAAGTCTCAGGTAGAACTAGATATTCTCTTCTCCCTCCTCCTGGAATCGTGAACTCGACTACAGGATATTTTTGTTCTGTCCTCTGTGTCTTTTTGGAACTACCACCGGCACTACTCGATGGCTTCTCGTTGAAGAGTACATCCGGCGCGCCGACCTCTGTTGCGTATGTTGATGGTTCGGCAAACCGCACAATTTTGCCCATAGAGCCATTTACAAGTGTCTCGTCGACGTTCTTGATGAGCATGACCTGGGCGTCAGTTGCGAGGGTCAGCCGCTCGGGAGCCATCAGGTTCTCAAGCAACTTTTGGCGATACTCAGGGTTGGCAGTGCCATTGTCAGTTGCAGTGTAAGTGCGATTTTCGCCGCGCAAGCGACCCATGCGTATGTTGTTAGAACTGTCAACGTCCTGGCGCCGCGGAAAACTGTGACATATGGTATATTGTCAAGACAAGGGAAATGTGAAGCTGTCAAAAACCCACAGTTCTGTAGGACCCAAACCATCTTCATAAATGATTTCTCTCGATAGCATCTTGAACTTCGCGATCGACTTCTGAGACAGCGTGCCATACCGCATCTCGTTCAGCATGTCAACGAACTCTGTAGAAGAAAAGAAGAGTGTTCATAGATCTGATCTACCATATAATTCATAGAGCGACACGCGAACATAAGTCGCAAGAGAAAACACGAACCCTGATCTTTCTGTCGAAAGACTTTGGTCAGTTTGATCATCCGCTTGATTGCGACTTTCCATAGATCTGCTTCAAATGCAAATTTCATAGGCTTGCTGCCTTTGTTCACAGGAGGAAGTTGGAAGAAATCACCCGTGACAACGATCTATTGAATTAGAAAAGTTCAGGAATGAACATGAGTGTCGAGCATAAAAACGAACTAACTTGAATGCCGCCGAATGGCTCTGATTTTCGTCGCAGAAGACTGCCGATCCTAGCGAGTTTGTCGAACAGTTCACCGTCAATCATAGAGACTGTCAAAGATTCAAATTGAGCAGACTTGAGCAGACACAGTTGCAAGGAAGGTACCTTCATCGATGATAAGCACCCTCGTCCGAAGCCACCTCGCACTGGCCTTTTTGTTCTTCTTGATCTTGTCTGCGAGGTGTTCGGCACTCTCAAGACCCAACCCAATCCCAGCAAAAGAGTGAAGCGTTACACCGCCGATATTACAAGCTGCAATGCCTATACATCCCACGCGGAACAACATCGTAAGCAGCAACACGAGACTGACTAGTTCTAGACAAACCGGTAGAGGCAGTCACGGCGACTGCATCTTGAGATCTGACGAATTTCTTGTGCAAGGACCTGATGATCTCCCGCAGGAGGACTGATTTACCAGTTCCTGAAAGAGCCAGAATGAATACAGCATATCCCAAACGCAGCGCAATCAACTCCCAGGCATTGCTCCACTGACAACTCAACGCAAGCTTGAGATGCAAAGGCAGTACGAACGCATATATGGACACAGAAAGATGACTGAATTGCTCACCAGCACTCCCAGTATAAAATATATTTTTTCCTTCGTTCACAAGCTGCAAGATCTGGCGTTGTTCGTTACTTAGAAATATCTCCGCTGGATTTGTACTCGTATTGGCGGCGTTCGTCGGGACTATGAGTGGCTGGTTCTTTCCTGTAGCGATTGACAATAGTGATGACGGTGGGCTTGCCGCTGTAGAAGAGTGTGATTGAGTGGAGGTGGCATAAGATGTAACATAGCTAGACGATGGAGTGGAAGTGTCCCACGAATCTGGAAGCTGGCGGCGCTTAGCGGATGGGGCTGTCTCTCCTCGGGATGCGAAAGAACGTTTGGACGATGAATTATACGTGGCCGAGGATGATGCGGACGACTGTGAAGCCCTCATCTTGTCATCTAATTCCCTACTCGCCACTCCCTCTTCGATTGCTCTCCTCAACGCGTCTGAGATGGACGACCGTTTCGATGCTGTGACGATGGGAACTAGCTCTTTTTTGACCATATTGGAAGAAAAATCGCGTTTGACGGCTCCAAGACCCGACATGCTTTTCTTGGAAGAGTTGCTCATCGTAGCAGTCTGAGGGAGTATTACCGGGTGCTCAACAAGTGAACGCGACGGGGAACACGCTGGAACACGTGAAGCGTGTACTTTAGGTAATCGTCCCACGAGCGCGCACAGTGCATTTGCAGCATGATTTGTTGCACACCATGCCATAGACATTGAGGAAGAATGTTGTGATATCGTGCAGTCTCAGAACAGCACTCAAATTCTCAAATCTTTATAGGCAAACATTCAAAAATCACATTACTCATGGACAGCTGGAACGAAGTAGCAAAATTAAGGTAGTTTATATGGTAGCAACAAACCGTGTCAGATCCCACTGAACAGAATCTGCACTTCTCTGGCACCAATCCATCCGTTGATTAGACGGCGGGTGAGCATTCCTGTGGGCCAATCCAGAACCGGTGCAGGGTGGGGTGAAAGCACTGCCCGAGCAGAAGTAGGCCTGATAACATCGGAGATCCCCCAGAGCGATAAATCTCGAGTATTTCGCACGATGAGGAAGATTATAAGATAATAAGAACTGAGGAGAGTGGGGCTCAAATATTAAACGTTCCACGTTCCACGTTCACTGATTTTTGAGCTTTTGTCAAGGAGCAAGGAGAGTTCATGCATTCATGCTGGAACGAAAAAGACGAAATTTATGGGCAGAGGGACAAACAACGGTATACAGACAGTCAGCAGTATCGTGACCTATCGTGATCAACGCGTCGCGTGTCACGACTCCGCCATATTCTTGTCTCGAGCGCATTCTGTGCCGCATCATTTCTCTCATGAACACTCTCAAGGCTGTCTGTAGGCAGCTAGGGAGCGAAAAAGTCAAAGACAGACAAGAAGGCCTATCCTCCGTTCGCACTGTTTTTTCTCGTGACTCTGTAATCGATAACCTCGACGAGCATGGCACCGGGAAGCCTTGGCTCGCTATCTTCCAAGCCTTATTTGAGACAGCCATCAAGGAAAAAGCGATATGCACCAAGCCAACGACCAAGTCAGGCTCGACAAATACAGCAGAGAGGCGACTTAGCGAGGTAGCCTCTGTCATCAGATGGTTAACGGAGAGAAGTGTACATGTACTACACAGGAAGACCATCAAGGTACTCCTCATTCATCTTCTACAGATGTGTGTCTACCAGGGACAGTTGTATACCCCAGTCGCTCTGGACTATGCCAAAACCATACGGTGTGTGGTCAGTTATACGCCACACTTGGAGCATCTGGACAACGAAACTTGGGTGAGAATTGTGGAGATGGGCTTCAATGTGGTCCTAGGTGACTCATTGAGAGTGAGGATTGGTGGTGAAGAAGGCGATGAAGAAGGGAGCATTGACATGGGTACGGAAGGGGGCGACTCAGATCTCTCGCACGATGACGAAAACGACACTTTTGCTACAACCTCTACCCAGACGAAGAAGCGGCGGAGGCGAGAGGCCAGCGGAACTCCAGGACCGTCTTTTCCTCGACCATCTCCTTCCTCTACAAAGGTCTTACGCTCGGTCTCCCTGGAACAAATCGAATTTGCATCCCTCCTCGCAATCCTTCTCCGGTCACCTTCTGTGCCGCTCCTGTCTTCTAAATATCCTTGTCTGGCAAATGATGTCTTGACCCGCCTTCTTCGATTTATTCGGAATTATTCTGAAGATACATCCCTCCACCAAGACTTCCTCGCTGCGCTATCTGCTACACTTTCTCACCTTGCCCTGAATAAGCGGAGCGCCGTTTCTCAATTTGCTCTCGGTGCCTGGGATGGTCTGATCGGGATATGGGGCACCAAGAACAAGAGCATGAAGGAGGGCTTGATCGTTGTACTAAGGATATTGTTTCCCTATTACACCGCAGACGATCCGAAGATGAAGGAGGTTTCCCTCGATGGCCCACATATAGATGGTATAACCAAGCTTTGGAATCTACTCGGCGGCACGGTTGATAATCGTTGGGGGTTTCAAGGGCTATCACTTGACTCTTTGAGGCTACAGCTCACCTTACCTGACGATTTGGAAGGATGTGGTCCTGCAGCTTTTGTTGCTCGAACGTTTCGATACGGCTGGAATTTTGATCCTGCCCAAGCATTAGCATGGGCAATCCTTGAATTACAAGCTGACTGCGCGGCAAAGGTGCATTCGAATCTATTTGGACACTCAGATTTGTTGATCAATGTCCTTGGCAGCTGTTCCTTCTGTCCGAATCCATCCATTCTGCGTCGCAATACAGCAAAAGGGATGGAAAAAGAATCAAGCTTGACAATCCTATCTCATCGGTGCTGGATTCTGTCCGAACTCAGACACCTTCTGCCGTTCGCGCGTACAACCTCCAGAGATTACTATTTATCATTGATCGACACTGGTCCATATTTCACAACAGCCTCCGTCAGGACATAATGTCGACATTACTCCAATTCTTAACTTTTGATGATGCTGTGGTCCAATCTTGGACTTTCTTGTGTCTTTCTGCCATCGCAGACAGGCAGATGTCCCTCGGGCAGCCAGCGGCACAGGAATTCAATGGACCATCGACTTGGGACCCTATTTGGACGCATGCGATGCGAAGAGCGGTTGTCCCCGTTGTCTGTCGTGCAGCGTGTCATGTCGCGTACACGCTTCTCTATCATTCCAAGCGTCTCCTCAACTCGCAGCGCGTCCTGGTGGAGATTGAGACTTTCGCCAAAGACCTTGACGTCCAGGGTCCTCCTTTCCCATACGATTCCGTGTGCGTCTTCATGGCGTTGTGTCTACAAGTCGCTGTTCAGGACATGCGGCTCTATCGCATGCATCTGGAGGGAAAGGTTCTCAGTTGGTTGGTCGACAGCTGGAGCCTTGGTGTCACGCGCATAGCTCGAGGGAGCTCACTGGATGGTAGCAGGACCAAGTCAACTCACCCCTCTGTTGCCGACATGATGACCTTACTAGAGAGTATCTGCGGATTGTCGAAGAGGAGCAGTTTGATTTGTCGGGCAATGCTACCGGAATGTGCCATCGTACAAGAGATGCAGGACGAGTATCGAACAGCCATTATCCGCGGGTTCCTGCTCTACGCTCAACTGCCCCCTTTTCATCGACATCATAAACTGGAGTCTAATCTGTCAATCACCCCTACTCTACCGCCAGCAAACGCCAACAAGCTTACAGATCTTGCGCAGCCAGGCAGTCGTGAGAGGAGAGTTTCCGCCGCTCTCCTGAAATTCTTAGAGTCCCTCGTTTTAGATTGGGAGAGTCTACCAGAAACGGCCGTTCATTTGAGCGCTGAAAAGGCTCGACGCTTTTTAGACTGCGCAATTCTTGCTCTGTCTTTCGAGTCTCTTCTGGTTTTTAATGGCATCTGGTCGAACAGGCGTGTATTGCAGACCGCTTGCAAGCTGATCGCCCACGTTGTGCCCCTCTTAAAGATGCAGCGATGGACTTTGGAAGAAAAGGCTGTCGTTCTCTTGGGCTTTGAACCCCTGATTGCGTCTGAGGAGGAACAGGATCATGCGGGTTGGGAGGGACTGCTATCGCCAGTACAAGGCACTGGGATACGAAACAGTGTGCTGCAGGAATTGACATCGAACGTGAAACAAAAGCGGAGACAAATGGCAATGTCACGACGCGAGTTGCAACGAATAATCTGGCGCAGCTCGGATGTCAGTCTCTCATATCACTTATGAGATCTTGGACACTGATATTCTTGATACAATCAGGTTCAAGATGTTTCCGCGAAGGTTATGGTTGTTATGAAGGATGTGCTTCGGATTACACTGTCCAAATTGACGGGTGGTAACAGCTCATCGCATCCGATGGACATTAATGACGAAGACGACTTTGCACCAATTCGAACAGCACTACCCGCCGCTACCAGTTTTCCGGAAACTCACAGACAAACACATGGAGCGTCGTCTGCCCAGTATATCATCACAGTTTGCATGTCCTTTCTAGCCCTCGGCCCAATCCTTCAGTCGCCATCAGGAGAGCCAACTAGAGATAAAGAACTGACTATGCTCATCTTAAACAGTAATGCAGACGAGTTCTTATTAGCAAGTCCATCATATTTCAGCAATGTGCGGCAAAGGACTATGAACCTCAACATCACAGCCCTCGACAACTTCTTGGACAAGTTCGAATCATTGCTTCTTCAATATACCTATTCACGAAGCGAGACGCTACAGCTTCTAGTTATTCAATTCCTAGATTCCACTGTGTCTCTGTGGACTGAGGAGTCTGTAGTCAGTGAACAAGCAGGCGAACACGCTCGCTCGCTATGTCGCTGGCTTTTGGAGACTCTCAGAACAAACAAAATTCGATCTTGGAGGATTCGAGACTCCCTAGTTGCTTTTCTAGACAGATATCTCGCCGAAGATCCATTGGAATTAGTTTGGTCTGTACCATATCCTGGCGAAAATGGCGAGGAAATCAAGTCTGGTGTCGTTCCGACCACTGTGCTTCCTACTATGAGTATCGATGAAGATATTCGTGTCCGCTTTCGGGTTGCGTGTGTCAACGCTCGTCTGTTCACCCTTTCGCGCTTCAGGAACGGTGATTCGATGGAGCTCTACGGTAAGATACACAGCCATTTGTCAACGCAACTCACCGAGTAAGTATTCCATCCATGATACTCCGGATACCGACTGATGACCGAGTTCTACTTCTAGGTATGAGCATATGCTAACTCGATTCATCACCTTAGGCAACATCATGGTCGTCAGTTCAGCAGTCCGAAGAGGGCCTTACTGGCATCTATTGGAAGCTTGCAATTTCACTGATGACTATTCTCGTCATATCGAGGCAGTCTTCAGTGGTGTTTCCGAACGGATGGGCTTATCCAGGACCGCCGAACTCTTTGAGATCTACATATCTCAAATCGCGTACTCCATCTATAAGGGAGGTCACGACTTTCTACGATTTTCCCCTCGTGTTTTAGGATACCGTGATCGGAGGGACTGTGCCGAGGCTGCTTTTCGTGCTTTCACCTCGGTAAACATTCTTGCAGGTGACAATGCTGAAGAAGTCACTCAGGGACAACACTTCTTTGTCAATCATTGCAAAGCAGTCTCCAAGTCTGTCACACAAGGTTTTCGAGAGTGCTTTGCGGATCTCGTTGGTTACCAATTGACTCGTTCAGTAGAAGCTCTCGTGGAGTCTGGGGCGAATGCATTTTCAAATGCACTGGAACATTCCCTCATCGTGAAATTCGCTCATTGGGATCCTGACATGGTGCTAGACAAACAAATGCAGAGAGACGTTGATGGCATCGTTGTCGCTATCTTGCGAACTCTTGGCGACCAAGATTGCAGTCCAGATGGCAGTATCGTCCAGGAGCTGCGACTACATCAGTCAGATCGTGCTGCTGAAATCTTCCAACACTTGACCCATCATCGGATTCACAATGACACCTTTGCCCATCGACCAAACCTGCCAGCTTTTGAAACCAAGAGCGTCCTTTTGACCTTGAATTGGTTTGCAGCACGAATACCTGATGCTGTGTCAACCGCGACTTCGTATCATGTCCTACATCAACTACTCGCAGCTATTCAACAATCGCCCTTGGTCAATGAGCAACTACGTTGTCTTAACGCCTTGTGCCTGTGGATATCATGCCACTATCGGCACTTTCGAGAGCCCATAATCCTTCATGCTCTCGTCAACGGCGCTTCTTCGTTGCTGACACAGATTGATCTTGCCCGTGCGGCTCAGTCCATTCTACAGTGGGCTTTTGCGCAGTACTCAAAGAGTACGGAAAAGGATTTACGTCTTTCAGATGTTCTGATCCGCATATGTTGTTTGGCGCACGACTATTCCATGAGTGTGGATATCAACGTTTCTCGCATCGGCAACGATTTACTTCAATGGCTCGAGTATCAAGTTGTATATCTCTCGACGATGCCTCACATCAAACCTCAGGTCATCAATGCTTTGACGGCCTGGCCACGAAAACTCACAGCAAACCTTGCCTTGCTCTACCAAGACGTCTCATTAAGCAGCCTCTCATCAATCCTCGCCGATCCCCGTATCACGTCAAATAAGTTCCGTATAGTCAGGAGATTTAGAGACTTATCTATCGCCAAGCAGTATCCTTCAGCGCAGTTCTCTCGCATAGACTTCTGGCGACTTAAAGACTGCATCCCACCTTCCCCTGAACTTCAAGATGATGATATCGATGCCTTTGCGATCTTGCTTTTGGTGCAGAAGGGACAGGTTCACAGCTTTGGAACGAATCTCCTCAGTGCTCAAGTGACGCATCACCGACGACAATGTATCTCTCAGACAAAAGTATCGAAGGATTCTGCGCCAATGGTGGATCCCTCAGATTCTGAGCGCTCCATTCTAGAGGCGTTACTGTTGATGCTTGACTCTGATGACCCCGTCCGAGTCAATTCTGCCTATCGTGTTTTAAGGACTCTAGCGTCAACAGAATTGCCAGATCTCCAGCTCTGGTCCTCTGAATATATCAACGAAATGGCTTACTTTCGTATCCGCCCTCTTCCCTCCCTAAAGAGACCTGCGGCCGTCATCGACAGCCTGGAATCGCCGTCTTTTGTTGATATAGCGAAAGATTTTCGGACGTGGGTGTCCACAGTTGCTACCCTGATCAGCGATGTTCTCAGTGTTAGCAATCCTTTCTATTCACAACTCTCCGTCATTCTACAATCAGACACATCATTCGCAGGCCTGACTTTACCCATCCTTACGCACACAATGTTACGCGGCGATCTGGCCAGTACGGCGACGACAGATGGAAGGTCCTGTCGAACAATTCTCTCCCGATATTTCGCGTCCGTCCTCTCTTCAACAGATTCTGATGTCCAGTCTCTTCGTGCCGTGGTGGACGTTGCTCTTCATCTGCGACAATGCCGTCCTGGACACTCTAGCGATGCCCTTGCATATGACAAGTGGCTTGATATAGATCTCATCTTGCTCAGCAAAAGTGCGATTGCCTGTGGAGCATACACGACGGCTCTCCTCTTCCATGAGCTAGCAGTCGAGTATCAGGGCGAAATTATGGTCAACAAGGCCGACGATGCCGAGAGGATACTGTTCGATATATACAGTCATATTGAGGAGCCGGACAGTTTCTACGGTATCAAAGCGCGCGATTTTCATCATTTCTTGATGAAACGGCTTCATCACGAAAAACAATGGGAAAAGGCATTTCAGTTCCATGGCGCTGCTCTAGAGGCCAATAGTCGAGATCCGGGTGAAGCAGAAGGTGTTCTACAGTCACTTCATTCGTTCGGCTTTGACAACTTAGCTCTCAGTGTTCAACATCATGCATCCGATACCATGGGAGGAGTACATGCATCCGCTGCAATGAGCTACCATTTAGGTTGGCGTACAGAAACATGGGACCTACCAGAAAAGATAGGGACGGATGACTCTGGTGCTGCATTGTACCAAGCTCTCCGAGCTGTCTATCGTGAACGTGATACACGATCCATAGACACGACCGTGAGAGCCGCGCTTCTAAAAGAAATGGAACGACTGCGCTTAATGGCGGACGAAGACCTGGTTGGCATTCACGAGGTGACGCAGAACATCATTTGTCTTCATCAGGTCAAGCTTTGGGGCAGCAATGAGATACAGAAATGCCTTCAATCGAAGGACCTCAAAGCCATACAATGGGCAGACTTCAGCCAAATTGACCCTGAATTCGAGTATGTCCGTCTTCTGTTCCTGGGATCTTGTCTCTAAGAAATTTCAAGCTTTCCGGTGCTGGAGAGTATTATGGCTACGCGCATCGCTCTCCTTCGATCTGTGCGCCAAAAAGAGCAACGAACGCTAATCGGGACGATGCGTACCCCGTTCGTTTCTGAGCTGTATGATATCGAGAAACAATGTCTTCTCCGCATCTCTGAGGCAGCTCGCGAGTCGCAAAACTTGCAAATTGCGCTAAATTCAGTCACTCGAGCGCAAAACCTGGAGTTGAAGGAGGCCAGCCCTGCTCTCTCGCAGGAACTTTCCCATGTTCTTTGGCTAAAGAAGGAGCCAAAGTCTGCTGTCGGGTACATGAAAGAACTCATTAAACGCCACTTTCCAGCTGCAAAACTCCAATCTTCGTCTCTCCGCCTCCAAAAAGCCCAGCTACTCGCCCGTCTCGTGAGTTGTTACCCAAACTCTTTTACGATTTACTCAGACGTTATTGACCAGGGAGCTTGGTCGTCCGAAGCTTGTCTTCAAAAGCCAACGGATATCTGGTCTCATTATTTCGATCCTGCTGCTACCTTGCTGAGCGACATTGCTGCCCCAGACTCAACGCATGCCACCGTCTATCACGAATGTGCAATGTTTGCAGATAGGCAATACCAAGCGATCGTGAAATCTCCCGACGCCATCCGGCTGAAGATGTATGTCGATCGCAAGGAGAAAGAGATCCACGATCGCCACAAGCAAATCAAACAGATGTCTAAATCCAGCCGTGAATATGGAGACTTAGCACGTGACCAAAATAAGGCCGAGAAACAGCTACAAGAAGACGAGGCACGATATCACAAACATACCGAAGCTCGAAACATATTCTTGCAACAGGCCATCGATATGTATTCTCGATGTCTGGAAGCGTCCGATGCTTTTGATGACGATGCACATATCCGTTTGACTTCTCTGTGGTTCGCCAACTTCGACGATCTGCCTCTCCAAACCAAAGTTCGCGAGTCTGTGGGGCGTGTCCCATCTCGGAAATTTGTCTTCTTGGCTCACCAACTCTCTGCCCGGTTATCTAAACCTTCCAAGGAAACAATGCCAACAAGTCAAGAAACATTGCAGGCCCTCGTCCTTCGCATGTGCAGCGATCATCCTTTCCATAGCGTGTATCAGGTGTATTGCTTGATGCCCCATCCGTCGAGCTCTGCACCCAGCAGACGACTTTCAGCCCGACATGATCATTCCTTCTCACAAGGGGAGCGAGCAGCAGCGGCTACAGATATATTTGACCGTCTTCGAAGCGATTCTTCCTCCGGTACAAGGATCAGTAGCATAGAAGAAGTATGCTATGCTTCGATCCATTGGGCCAAATTTCCCGTCAAAGAGAAAGGGAACAGCAACCAGAAGAAACCAGTCGGGCCCTTCCCCATTCCAGAGACTGCTCCTATCCGAAAATTACAGAATGTTCCTGTCCCTGTGCTGACAGCCCATACTCCTCTCGATCCAACTGCACGATACCAAGATTGCGTTTGGATCAGTCATTACGAAACAATGTACGACACCGCCGGGGGCGTCAACTTACCCAAGATTACTACCTGCTGTGGCAGTAATGGGACTAGGTACAAACAATTGGTAGGTCGAATATTGATCTGTAAAGTTGCTCTTATTGAACGAGATTTCTTAGTTCAAAGGAGAAGGGGATGATGATCTACGGCAGGACGCTGTGATGGAGCAGGTGTTCGATCTCGTCAATGTTGTTCTTCGCCGTGACAGAGAGACTCGAAAGCGCAATCTCAACATCAGGGCCTATAAGGTCATCCCGTTAGAGGTACAAGCCGGCATCATTGAATTCGTGGGCAACACCTCCCCTCTCGTTAGCTGGCTCCTAAAAGCCCACCCAAAGTTTGTCCTCTCTTTTTTCTACGTGATCATAACGGTGACAGATGGTGGGCTAGGTATAACCCTACGGACATCTCACGAGAAGAATTCTACAAAAAAATGTATGAATTGCGTGAGAAATACAAAAGGGATTCTACCGTCAATTCCAGGCTGATTGCGCTGTTCGCCGAGCTGAAGCTCCGCTTCAGACCGGTGATGCGGCACTACTTCACGGAAAAGCACAAGCTCCCAATGTCTTGGTTTGCCATGCGGTTGAACTACACGCGAAGTGTTGCGACGACCTCCATCGTGGGCCATATTCTCGGGCTTGGTGATCGGCATACGTCAAATATTCTCATGGACAATGCCACCGGTGAAGTTGTCCCGATAGATCTCGGGATAGCCTTTGAGCAAGTTCGTATGAGAGACCTTTGCAAGCTACTCACCGTTCCTCACCTGGCGGTTCGTTTATAGGGCAAACTCCTCCCAATACCTGAATTAGTACCCTTTCGAATGACCCCGGATATGGTTGATGGCATGGGAACTTCGGGAACTCAAGGCGTGTTCCAGCGCTGCGCAGAAGAGACGTTGCGTGTTCTACGGGAAGGGTCGGAGGTCATCCTCACGGTCCTAGAAGTGTTCAAATACGACCCGCTTCACTCGTGGTCCGCCTTACCTTCTACGGCAAATGATTCAATGCTGATCTCAGGTTGGGGTTCAGGACGGCGACCGAAATGAAATTGAAGCGCGTCCAGGGCGGCACCACCGGCACAGCGCAGCAACAACCCACCCACGACCAGACACATCTGGGAATCGGCATCGACATGAGCAGCGGTGGCGTCGACGAGGCGGCGGACCGTGCGCTGACATCCGTCGCGCGCAAGCTGGACAAGTCGCTCAGCGTCGAGTACACTGTCAATGAGTTGCTGGCAGAGGCGACAGATCCCGCCAACTTGGCGTGCATGTTCATCGGTATGTCTGCATGAGTGACTGACATTGTCTTCTCTAACACACCTCCCGTAGGATGGGGTGCATATTGGTAGCATGTCTCTTGAATCTTTTACGAACCCACCCATCTAGCTGTATCAGTAGCGTTTCACTATATGTATCTCTGACAGACATGCTTGTATTTATTCAACCTCACCATCAACAATGTCTTTTTCCATTTCACCGTCCATTAATACCACATAGATTGCGGAAGCACACTTGCACTTATCATCGTCCGATGTATCGAAACAACTTCACAGCTTACAGGTTAAGGAGAGCGAAACAAGACGAGTCGAGGGAAACGACGCCGTCCAACTCGGCGCGGAAGACGAAGAGTACGGTAAGAACAGCCCTCGAAAGTTGTTTTGTTTTCTAGGTGTCTAAGTTAGCGAACGGGACGACGGGCGGACTAATGAAGGGTCAGCGGCGACCGGGAGAACGTGTCGTCGACAGCGCAGCCAGAACCAAGCGTTGAAGGGAGGGTATCGAGGGTATCCCATTATGGATCCTCAAGCGGCGCCCGGTGACTGGAACTGGGTCGCGACCGCGATTATAGCGGGTAACAACGGGTGTGCGACAACAGATGTTGCATTGACTAGGGAAATGTCCAAGATGCATCACCGAGGGGGGAAAGGCAAGTGGCGTAACGGGTGGGAACGGGATGGAAGTACTGGAACGGGCATGGCGTGCCGCCGGTGATAGATGCTGGCAAGTTGATGAGTTCGATATTGTAGAATAGAACACAGACGATAGATAGAAGGGTGGATGGGAAGGGGACATCATCAGCGGACATCGGCTAAAAAAGTCACTTCGACTTCGCGATGTCCCGTGCCGCCTTGATGAGCGGTGCCAACGTCCGGAGGGGCTCTGCACCAGCGAAGAATGGATGCTAGATTAAATGAGAAGATCGGTGCATCAGAGCTTATTCGGATATGAAGGATCATGTGTGCCATACCTGCAGCAGCTGTGCCGCATCAGGCCGCTTCTCCGCGTCCACCTCCAGAGTCTTCGCTAGATAATCCCGAAACACAGGTGACAGCGACTCTGGGTTCGCAATTGTGGGCGTCCCGTTCGTCGCAATCAAGTACAGTGCCTTCAGCGGGTTCTGGTTCAGATATGGCGGCTCGCCCTCGATCATTTCTGACGATGGATCAGGATTGCATAAGACGGTGGAACAGCGAACACGCATTCTCACCAATCGCCATGATACCCAGACTCCAAATGTCGACCTTGGGCCCGTACTCCTTCCGGGTGACAACTTCGGGTGCCATCCAGTACGGCGTGCCGACCATAGTGGTCCGCTTCGCGTGCGCGGGGTCAGATATTTGCGCGCAGAAGCCAAAGTCGGCTGCAACGGGATCAGAGATAGACAGCGGTTGAGTCCGAGGAAGCACACCCACTCAATTTGATATCGCCCGTCATGCTCAGCAGCACGTTGTCGCTCTTGATGTCACGATGAATGACACCGTGCTTGTGCAGGTGCTGCAGGCCCTGTGCAGTCTCCCTCGACACGGCTGCGATCTGGCCCTCCGTCATCAAGTTAGCCGTGACGACATCTGTGAGCGACCCGCCCTCCATGTACTCCATCACAACCCACAGTTCGTTCTTGTAGAGGAACGAATCGATGTAGTTGACGATGTTCGGGTGGCGCGAGGCCCGCATAACGAGAATCTCGTTTATAATGAGATCTTTCTTGGGCTGCTTGTCGAGATCCATTTGCTTGATCGCGACGGACATGTTCGTGCCGACCTGATATGCCGTGAACACACCGCCCGACGCACTACGATGCGTGGCGCAGATGGTCAACAAGTTATTACAAAATGAATGAATGGTGAGCACTCACCCCTGGCCGATCTTCACCAAACTTCGATATAACCTTGTCGGGTCCGCATCCGTACAGATCTGCTGCAGGCGTTTCACGATATCCGCCTCCTTATCTTTGTCCTTCTCCTTCTTCTCCCGCCTTCTTGGTGTCGCAACGCCAGCCGCCTTTGCCAAGCTCGACGCCGCAGGGCTCGGCTGCGCTGGCGCTCGAGCGCGATCGGGTGTCGGACCTACAGAGGTTTTTGAGGTCAGGGAAGAGTTTGGGGGGGTCCTTGACAGTGCGGACTTGCCTGGAGGTGTGAAGTTCGGGATTGCCCCGGGGGTACCCTGCGTCTGCGAGTGTGCGTGATGGGGCGTCCCGGGTCCGGGAGACCGCCGGTCCTTGGTCGTGTTAGAACGTCCGAGGGAGTCGCCGCGTGGCGGCTTTGGTGTCGTCCGCTGGGAGGTCGACCGATCAAGATTCGGGGATGCCGGTGTCGGTGGTGTCGGGGCTGGGCGGAAAGCAGTAGGAGACGGTGCGGGAACAGATGCAGAGTGTGTGACGGGCGGAGGCTGTGGTTTTTTCGGAGGTGGGGGAGCAGGCCGCTATATTGTAAAGCTCAGCAGAGCTGAGCAGACGGGGAGAGATGCGAAACGCACGGATGTGTACAAACTCTCATCAATAGGTTTTGGCTGCTGCGGCGTTCCCCCAATAGGCGCTGGAGCATGCCCCATCTTGTCCCAAACATCGCCGCCGCCTTCCTGATAGAACTTGACTATCTCCATCACCGCCAGAGGGTTCTTCTCCTGATCCAGCTTAGAGATTCCACTGTCCTGTAGAAGTTGTTGCCATTCCTTCGGAAGCCCTGTGAACTCTCCAGTAGACGAATTGAACCCAACATGAGTAAGGTGGACGGGATCATACGGAGTGCTGATCTCCGGTCGCTTGCTAGAGTTGAGGAAGTCAGACATGAAACCGAGCATGCCCTTCTTCCCCTTGGTCGCAGTCCCACTCCGTGATCGATTGCCGATGCTGGGTCGGTCGGGTCCCACGGTTGGCGTGGGCGGAACGCTGGGAGGCATCCCACCGTACACCGTGGATGGGGCGGTCGACAGCGACAGATAGTCAGAAGATTCTTGGGACGTTGGGCTCTCGAACATGTTGAGATTTCCAGGGGTGGAAAGACGACGGGAAGCGAGGGCGTTAGGATCGTGGTAGAGATCGTTCAAGGTGGCGGTATTGGCGCGCGAAGGCCGAGGGGGAGGCACGGTTCCAGACGCCATGTCAGCAGTTTCCGCGTGAGGAGGTAGGGAGTATGCGGGGATAGAAGATGTGGGGGACGCGAAGGGATCACGTTCGGATTGGATAGCAGCGAGAGGAGGGGAGGGCAGACTGTGCTTCCGGTGACGGGGTTTCTGCAGAGAGTTGCGAACCTTGTGAGGAAGAGAGGAAGGTTCGGCTTTGAGTTTCTGATGAGGGGAGGGGGCGGGAGGGGGAGGGGGAGGTCTGGAGGGAACAAACGGGTCCTTGTACTTTGCTGCGGCGGCAGCGTGGATGTTGGCGTTGGAGAGGAGGTCCTGGTACTCTTGTACTGACTCCCTGGATGGCCTGTGGTATTCCACAGTGATTTTTGATTGGCGACGATTGGAAGAGGGGGACTGGTGGGAGTACGGCTTCTGGTCGATGATGCTCTGTGGTGAACTCGAGGACATGTCCTGATCAAAACGCAAAGGGCTGGCGTCAATGATTTAATGGTCCATTCACGGAGCTCTCAGTCCGGTCTCAACAGCTGCAACCCGGCCCAGGGTGATGCAACGATCTACCCCGGCGATAGCTAGGATCAAAACGAGGCGCAGGGTGACAACCGGCGACAATGAGACAGGATCAAGATGGTACGAGCGCTACTCACCAGTGAGATATTGCAGGTGAGATGCTGTGTGCTTGGGCACTGTTGCACGGTGAGTGGGAGGAGGAGGAGGAGAGCAAGGTGGTCGACTGGTCACAGCCGTTGGCAACGCCTGCTCCTCTACGCCTCTCTCGTCACGCAGTCACACTCCCACTTTCTCTTGCGTCACACCCTTCCCACGCCGATTCTCTCGATAACCTTCTCTCGAACTCTCTTCTAGCGCACTGACGTCTGCGAGCTGCGCAGCTGCGTGCGTGGTCCTTTAACGTTTTAACAACTGAGCACTGGTCACTGATCACTGGTGCCCAGGGCTGCTGGACCATGTGCTGTATCAGGCGTATGCAAACAGGTTGTGTCTGACATGCAAATTTTTTTTCGTCAACCCCATAAATAACTTCTCACCGTTATAGATTTACCCCTGAAATAAAAATGGTTACATGTTCAAAAATAACCTCAGAACCTTATTCCACGAGGCTGCTTTGTCTTCTGGTCCTCCCTGCGCGTCGCTGCTGCATTAAACAGGCTATCGACCGACTGCCTTGCCAATGAGTAACACGCTCTCAGATTCGTCCAGTGCATGGACGTCTTGATGATGACCCTTTGTATCAGGTTCGCCCCCAAAGCCGTCATTCGAGGTGAGCTTCGCGATTCTCATCATGTCTCCGCCGTGAATCCTACAAAACCACCTGATACTACGAGCGTATCAAACCTGCAACTGAGTCTATTGGGAGGCGTCCCAATACACTCAATCTCAGTCCTTACCAGGCAACTCAGTACCGTCAGGGAGACTCGAGACTCAGTTTGGCGCTGCACCGCCCATCCCTTTGATGTTGATTTAAATCCATCTCCACGCCGCATATAGTACCCCAGAGTACCCCAGAGTACCCCACGATAATCTACGTATCAGAGCGACTTACCATGCAATTCGATAGCGCGGTTGTGAGGGTCTACAGCGCGCCCTAACCGCCCAAGATCCGCCACCACTAAAGTCCTCCAAAAGAACGCTCTCTGCTCATCTTCAGCAGCTCGTCAATAAATCGATTATCATTCGTAATTTATAGCCGTCATGCAGCGTCTGGCCTCTTTCATTTCAACGGCTTGAGACGGCAGCTCTCGGGGTCCTACAGGCCAGCGCTCAGCTGTCAAACACTTCAACTCGCTCTCGAGTCCCATCTCTTCTCACAACTACCAGACACTCATCATGCCTCCCAAAGGCTCCGTGAAACCTGCTGGTAAGTTTCGATACTCTTCCGCCCAGATTTTTCTATATCACTCAGTGATTGGTCCTAGCTCCGGCATCAGGGCCTACGAAACCGACGATGGTCGCCTCTGTCGCCTCTGTCGCCTCTAGCAACTTCGGCGTTGCGATGGGGATTTTGACACAGGTTGGTGAGCTTGTGCAGAATGTGCCGTACGTGAAGGTCGTAGCGGCATTGTTGCTTCAGATCAAGCAGATGAAAGATGTGCGTCATTCTCCCCGCTTCAATTTGTTCCCCCTCCTATATTCGACTGATGATCTGTCACACACTTCAGGATCTCGATAAGTACAAGGACGAGTGGCAGAGCGTGATGGACAATATCGAGAGCATCCAGGCCATCGTTGACGGATTTCATACGCGGTGCGTCGACGCTGGTAAACAGGAAGACGAGTTGCCCGAACACCTCCGCAAGGCATTTAGAACACTCGAGAGGTGTGTTCATACCCAACCCAGCTTGAGGACTGCTTCCAGAAAAATGAGCGATGCGTTTCAGCTGCATGATTAAAGTTCTCAAGTTGCTCGAAGAGTCCCAGTTCAAGGGCAGCTATGCTAGGAAAACGAAGCTTTTCTTTAGCCGCGGCCGTCTTTCGGAGGCTATCACGAAGTGCGGCCTGGATGTTCAGAAGACACTCAGTTTGCTTCAAGTATGTGCCTGCTCAGACGACCTTGAACATAAACTAACGCTACCCAAAATTAGCTTGAACTTCAAATCTACACCACTGCGCAAATCCATGATATCTGGATACGCAGCGGGGCGCAGGTAAGAACAATCTGCGCCTCTATCGTCCCTTCTCTGACACTACTGTACGCTCAGCCCAAGTCTGCGATCGTCACGCCGTATGCCCTATTTCGCCCTGTCATGCTATCATCTGACCGGACCCGCTCCGCAGTACCTCTCACGACCTTCCCTCCGATCCTACCAAACGCAATGGCCTCTTCGGCAGAGAGCGCGAGATGGAGATCATCATCGACATGGTCGCGCATCCTACCCCACCCGCCACTTCTGCGCATATCGCGATCCTGGGCTCGGGCGGCATCGGAAAGACGTCCCTTGCGCAGGCTGCTCTTCACCATGCGCAGGTCGAGGCGCTGTTCCACGACTTGCGCTACTTCGTGCCCTGTGACGCGGCGACGTCCGGCGACGCTCTCCTGATCGAGCTCGCAAAAGCCTTGGGCGTCCCTGTCGAGGGCGAGAATCTGCAGAGCAGAGTGCTTGCGCACGTCAAAGCGATGAAATGCATCATATGCCTTGATAACTTCGAAACGCCCTGGGAAGCAGATACGCGCCCTGTTGAAGAGCTTCTGGCGAAGATCACTGCCATGCCCGACGTCACGATCATTGTGACTATCAGAGGTGCTCAACGACCCCTCAATACTGCTTGGATGGAGCCCCTAAGGCTACCTCCTATACGGCCCTTAGATGAGGAAGCCGCAATGAAAATATTCGAGGCCATCTCCGGCCACTCTGATGACTATGCTCTCCGCTTGACGAAGGCGGTCGACCGTGTCCCTCTGGCTGTGACTCTCCTGGCTCACCTCGCGCAGAGCGAGCAGACCGAAACGCTGTGGGAGGAATGGAACGAAAACTATACGTCCATGGTCCAGCGGGCCGGCGATCATCGCCTGGACAGCCTCGAGTGCTCCATCCAGATGTCTCTGCGGAGCTTTCGGATGACAAAGAACAAATCCGCCAGGCTCGTGCTCAGCCTGCTCAGCCTGCTCCCTGCGGGCATGCAGCTGTCCAAAGTATCCGTGTTCCAGACTGCGATCGCGTCCATCCCCGATATCCGCAAGTCGCTTTCGACCTTACAACAGTGCGCACTCGCCTACTCGGACAACGCGTACGTCAAAGTGCTTTCGCCGATCCGGCTGTATATGCAGAAAGAACGGCCTCTCTCGCGGGTTCAGATGCGCGAGCTCGAAGCCTATTACCTGTCTTTGGGGCTGCAAGGCTCCAACTACTTCTCTGTCGACACGCGGAAAGAGCTCCACCCTGAGATCGGAAACATAGATGCTATATTGTCGTCTGCCCTGGATTCATCCCATGACGAAGGCGTCGCCGCGTCGATCTTCTCCTTTGTCAAATTTTGCCAGTATATCAACCTGTATGATCAACGGCTGCTCACGACAGCCGTTCACAAGGCAGACAGGCTCGGCTTCTCGGCTTCAGTCCGAGGCGACGGCCACTATCTATGGGCGATGTCATCTTACTTCCTTTCTCAGTGGAAAGATGCGCAGGCGAAGCTTGAAACTGCACTGAAGCTTCACAAACAAGGTGCAGACGAACTAGGCCAAGCCAATGACCTCTGGAGATTAGGAGATATATTGTATCTACTTGATAAACCAACCGAGGCCGAAGAAACTCTCGACGATGCCTATGATCTAAATGTCGCTCTGAGGAACAGTGCTGGTCAAGGATATGTCTTGCAATCCCTGGCGCAACTACATCTCGGCCTCGAACAGCTGAATAAGGCGGCAGACGAATTGACGGCTGCACGGTTGGCGCAAAGCAGAGCAGACAACAAGCTGGGACAAGCCAACGTCATGTACGCGACGGGGCAGTTGTATCTAAGGCTTGGGAAGCTGGACGAGGCCAAAGACGTGACAAGGAGAGCGATGGATATTCACCTCGAAGTGGAAAGCTTCATCGGATACGCCTACGACTTGGTTGTACTAGGAGAAGCCTACCGAATGCTCAAAAATTATCCTGAGGCAGAGATAACTTTCATCGAGGCGGTGCAATCTCATGAAAAGACTAGAGATGTTTTGGGTCAGGCAAATGCACTTCAGTGCTTAGGACAGGTTCACCTGCATCTTCAAGATTTAGCCAAGGCAAAACACGAGCTCACACAGGCACTGGATCTTCATACGAAAATAGACGAGCGCCTTGGGTTAGCGAACGATTCTCAACTCTTGGGTGTCCTCCATCTTCAGCTCGATGAACCTCTGTTGGCTCAAGAGATGTTTGAAAGAGCTCTGAAGAGGCATTGCGAGGTCAATGACCTCCTCGGTCAAGCTAGCGATCTGTATCACCTAGGCAAAGTTCACTGGAAGCTCGGGCATCCAGAGATGGCAGTAGAGTCACTTAAGGGTGCAGTCGACCTTTATACAACCCTTGGGACGGGCGTGATCTTGCTGCTTGGGGATGCACAGTACCTGTTAGGATCCGTTCATTTTGCACTCAATCAAACAGATAGAGCATTTGATGCTTTTGAGGGCGCTCGTCGGGCCCATGAGGAGGTTGAAGATATGCAGAGGACAGCAGATGACTTTAGGAGCCTAGGTCTGGTCTACGTGCGACGGCTTCAATTGGAGAAAGCAGTGGAGATGCTAATACAAGCCTTCGACTTACATGGAATCACACAGGATGCTGTTGGTCAAGAACAAGATTCTGGGCTTCTGGATGTTATAAAACCCTATCTCCAGACCACCAAAATTGTCGAGGGTGACCGATGAACTAGTTATTGACTGGTTATTGTACTCCGTCTTTGCAGGTGCTCTTGCATACTATCTTAGCGAAGCCACTCTCCGAACTACAGACACTGTGGGCAAAGTTCCATGGGATCACTGATCCCATGGAACTTTGCCCACGGTGAGACTTCGAGAATCTGAAACGGACTCCCATCAGGGCCTGGAATGTTTGTCGAATCGAGTAAAGAGGGTTGTAAAATGGCCACGCGCGACAGAATGCAGAAAGAATTGCGAGCGATTTGGAGATCTACTTATCCATGGAATAGTCCAGTTGAATTATTTTGAACATGACGTTCAGTCCGGAAAGTGGCATTAGCTCCGCCACAGGGTTTCGTTGGAACAATAGTGGATGCCGCCTTTCCGAGAAGTCTCAGATCTCAGGCCGTCTATAAGATTGAAACAAACTCGATCTGGGAGCGTTCCGTGCAGGAAGCAAGTGATTTCGTAAGTCTGACGTTGACCCCGATTCCGCCAAGTCGTCGCAAAGCGGCCCACTCGGAGCTTGGATCCAAAACTAACGCAAGGATCCTATAAAGAACGATGGACCTTGCGCTACTCAACGCACAATTCACCCCTGACGCTATACCACCGACACGATCTGCTTTATCCACATAACACAAGCCCACTTGTCATTCAGTCATTCTTGCGGGTTTACCTCACGAACTCAGGTCACCTCTACACGCGAATTCGCCCAGCCCTCATGCTCCAGTACCCTGCCTCAGAGCCTAAAAAAAGCAATGCAGAAGGGTTAACAAGTCACGTCGAGATGAAAGCCACCGAGGAATCAGTAGATGTTGCTGAGACACCGAAAAAGATAGTCAAGAAGAAGAAGAGTTCAGGTGATCTGCGAGATATCTTTCAACGTGGGGAAGACGTACATGAGCATGATCAGGAGGAGCATGGGGCCGCGTCATGATATGCAGAAAAAGATGTGGAATGCGATGCCGACGGTTCTACTGCTGGTGAAACCTGGCATGATCACGGCGAGCCTCAAATTCTTCGTAAATGAATGATTGGGTCAATCATCTGTTCGTCGGGCTTGGATAGACAGTGAGATGTCCGGTTTGTTACGACAAGCACGACCTTTCATGACCATTATGGACAAGGACCGCACAGACTTTTGACGAGACCACAAGCCTCAATAGCATCAGGCACCACCCCGAAGAGTGTATTTTACAACAATACAAGAACATAAATCACTTGCTCATGCTGAGAGAGGCACGTTAGTGCCATCTAAGGCGGTCAGGGCATGGAAGCACTCACCGTATGGGAACTCTCTCAGTCGTCAAATAGTGGCCTGAAGGACTGTGTGACATTGTGAGTCCATATCCAGTGCGATCTAGAAGTAAAGGTTCCAGCCTACCTTATATTCATCAAGCTCCTGGGTGGGACCCATCTCGTCAGATTTGAGACTAACACTATCATGGTCAAAGCCGCCGTTTTCGACCTCACCATCCCCATTGAGACTTTCAGGAGGCAGAACTCTCCTATTGTCAAATTCGACTTCCTCCCCTTCGTCCTCCATCATCGCGTGAAACTCATCAGCATCCATACCATCAATTCCCAGCCCAGACGCACGGAGCGCTTCTTCGTCAGCTGCACTCATCTGCGAGGATGGCAGGAAGAGCGGTTCGCCCTTGCGTTGAGAACCGCTAGGTTGAGACCACTGAGACGGTGTCTGATAGTGGGATTCCTGCGACCATCGCGGCATTGAGGGGAGTGGTGGAATAGACGAGGGAGGTGGTGGCATTGAAGGAGGTGGCATAGACCCAGAGGCCCTTGATTGGGCTCTATCGCTGGAGCGCATCTCGCCCATAGCTTTGGCAAGCCCCGCAGTATCAGTCCGTTCGACTACCTTCATTGGTCGTCGCCGCTCAGGCACACGGTTCTCCCTGCTGTCCTGATCATCTTCCCGTGCTCGTTTACGTGTCTGAGAGACGGAGGCATCAGTTGTTGATCGTGCTTGACTGGTCCCACGACCGGCAGTAGATGCGCCGGGAGCGTGACTCGTTGAGACGACAAACAGGCCTTCTATACTGTCGCTTTCAATATTAATAAATAAAGGTGCCGCTGGATCGGTGAATTTCATCTCCATGTCGAGAGACATGGATTCTGCATATACAACTGTAGCCTGAAGCAAGGTCACGTTAATATACGCAGATGCCCATAAAGCTGCCCCTCACGTTGAATTCACGCAAGTGAAAGACTAGGGTTGTCGGAGTGAGATAGATATCGTACACATCAAACCCATCAGCGCCAAGAGTGATATCAGTCGACATTTGCGTGTGGCCTACATTTATTGACTTGATTCAGCGATTTTGGCCGTGATGTAGGTTCCTCTATGGACGTCACCTTTTGCATTGAGAGAAGATTCAAGATTCCCGACACGTAGCTCGGACGAATCAAAGCACCAAATAAGTTGCGGGTCATTTTTGCTGCTCCTGCTGGTGCCAAAGTGCTCAACCATCTCTTTCAGCATCCTCGACCCAATCATAATCTTGGACTCAGTTGGATCATTGGGAACCCCGGGCGCCATTAATGATGTTGGGGTCAACAGCAGCAAACGATGAGTCTTCACGATCCCTATAGATAGGTACTTCAGTAACAAGCTAGGAGCTCAGATCGAAAGTAGACAGATAGGGCGACAGTCCATTACCATGTTCGCAATGGAGACGTACAATCAGCTTGCTCTCCAAACTGTCCTGGTCTTCATTGTCCTCTGACTCAGCGCCACCTTCGATGATTGATAGTTCACATCGGTTGACAGTTTTATCCACGGTCCTATTCCGTAAAACAGACAGTAAAGACTTTAAAGTCATATGGATCGAGGTCAACGATGTCGAACATGGACGCATATAGTGAGGTACCTGCCTTGGTCAACAGCTGACCAGTGACAACCTGTACCTCTTCAACATCCCTTGCAAACGACCCTGAATTTACTCGCTTTTCTCCCACACTGTAATTGACGAAGAACTGTCGCTCGTACCGGAACCGACTATATGCTGACAGAGATGAGTTCGTTGCGGATAGAGATAGGCTATCTGGGGCTGCGTAGATTGTGAGGTCGTCCCCGTATTTTAATAAGCACGTCAGAGCGCGTGTAAATGCTGCAGTTCGAGGAGTGAACAAGACGCGTATAGGAATGTCTTTCCATAGGGAACATACGCTTGAGTGCTGCCGCATCGATGACTGCTCGCATCAAATCGTCGTGCAGGATTGATCAGATTCACTTCGACAGTTGTGAATGAACCAAGACTGGTTTGGGTGGCTATGAAAGGACTCGCGTATGGAGCATACGATGAAGAATTTTATCGACTACTCGCATCAAGCAGTCCAGGTTGAAAGCGCGTCGCGGTACGTGGAAGCAAGGAGCGCGTTTCTCACGTGGGACCGTGGGACAACTTTCCCCGTAGGGATACCACTAACAGTCCCAAGAACGCTGTTGAAGTGACTACCATTTCATTAAAGAAAGACCGCTATCATGGTCTCTCCTGAGGTGTACAATGTCAAGCAGCAATTCTTCCTCGGTAGGCGAGTCCAGAAACAAACGCGGCATCCAGAATTCATAGAGTTCTAACTCACAGGTGCATTCAAGGCTCTTGTAGACCTACCGCCCCCCAACCCCTCCAGTGATGATTACACGCCCATCCTTGTTTATAAAGCCCGAGCACACATCGCCTTGGACGACTCAAAATCGGTGTCAACTTTTGTCCCTGCCGACACAGACAGTCTTTCTTTAAAATCCGTGCTATCGTTATCCAAGTATGTGTCCGACGAGGCAGATACGGCTTTGGAAGAGCTGAGGGATCTGTGTGTGGAGATCGAAGGAGACGATGTGGATGCGAGCGAGCGCGAGAAAGGGTGGGTGCGCGTGATAGCTGGCACCGCTTTTGCGCGCGCAGGTGAGCTCGAGGAAGCTTTGGAAACATTAGGCGCGGAGGCAAGCACAGAGAACCTTGAGGCGTACGTCGGCAACCTTTGAGATGTTCGCTGACCCCTTCTGTATGTGCATATTCGCTGATGCACTTTTTGTGAACAGCGTCGCCGTGATCATCCAGATTTACCTCTCCATCCACCGACCAGATCTTGCGCGCAAGGAATTTGAACGCGCGAAGCACTGGGCGGAAGACGATCTACTCCTCCAGCTCATAGAAGCTTCCATTGGCCTTGTCACTGGCAAGGATGGATATGCCGACAGCAACTCTTTCTATACTGAGCAACTCGCCAATCCTTCTCTGTCTTCTCCACACCTTCTCACAGCACGGGGCGTCACGCGACTACTCCGAGGCGAGATCATAGAGGCAAAGTCTGACTTCGAGGAAGCTGTGGCACAACAAGGTGGAAAGGAAGACGCGGAGACCCTTGCTGCAAGCGTAGTCGCAGCGGGATTGGGAAGTGCTGCGAAGAAGGGAGATGCGGAGGCGCTATGGAGGTGCGTATATTGTCTTTGATGGGCTCCCTGTGTGCCTCGCCTCTTACTGATGTATCCTCAGCCGATTGGTATCCGAATTCCCCAATCATCCTTTGGTGACCGATGTGAACACCAAAGCAGAGGAGTTCGATGAACTGACTGCCAAGTTCGAAGTGCCCCCTTTAGCTATACCTACCGCAGCATGATATGTGACATACACAACCTCTAATCGCACCCGTGTATATGAGGTATTCATTCATCATGGAACGGAGTTTGAGACTCCTATCTGTTTTTGTTCAACGGTTCCGCAAAGTAAAGTTGGATCATTCTTCCACGATGCTGCGCGTTTCGTTGGGCTGATATTATATCTCTCTCTCGGTGTCAAGGTTATCATCGCTGAATGGATTGCGGTTGACAACGAGAAATATGAGATACCAACGTACAGCAAATGTCTAGACTGCTCACGCTCACGCATCGAATTTCATGCAGAGTAACCAAGTCCTTGACCTCGTTTCTCTCGTCCTATCATCGCAAAGCAACCCCATCAAGTCGGCTTTTCTCACGTGGAGCTTTTGTCTCCCTTTGTCTCACCGGATTTCCACGTTCATTAATGAGTCTGCTCACCGAAGTAGGCATCATGCACGTTTATTTTTAGTACGCGTATTTGAGGTCACGAAGTGGACTTCCCGTGGGAGGGATGCGGCTGCGGCGAGTGTGAGAAATAACATGGTCGAAACATGTGTTGACCCAACAAGGAAACGTGCAAGGTTATCTAAGTTTAAGTATGCAGGTGGGAGGATGGAGTAATGAGGAATGAAGATGAAGTAAGAGATCGATGGTGATAAGGACCGAAGGCCGACGATGCGCGCGCATGCAGCAGCGCAATGGCCACAAACTTGGAAGTCTTCGTCATCACCAGCAGAGCAGAGCGACTGGTTCGTGTCAGTAGTCACAAGTGTGCGCGCGCACTAATCGATGTGGTCAAATCAGTGTCCTTACGTTCCATCGTAGGCAGTCCGCGCTTCTGCCCGACGATCGACATCGAACATCGACACATCGACAACGATGTTCGGGAAAATCCGACCTGGATTGAGTTCTTTGATTGCTTGGATGAGCGGCGATGGGGTGAGGGTGGGAGACGACATGAAAGGCATGCTAGGGCGCGTGTCGACTGTGCTGGGGTTGTGAGGAAGGAGCTCCAGCCCGGGCTTCTTGAAGCGTGCATTTGCCGGCATCTTGATCAAGGCTCTTCGGTGACTGCAGACCACTGCCGGCCGCTCGAAAAGGCCATCCGAGGCCATCACCAGGGCTCCCGGCAAAATCAAGACTGGTTCAGTGCGCAGTCTGGTTTCCTGAGCTGCAGCCGTCCACGCGGTCAGCGCGCGATGGGGTATGCTGATGGCACTGACCTGAACGAGGGCGCGGGAATGTAGGATTGAACAGACATTCGGCGCGCGGAAGTTTCAGGTTTCATGGGAAAGGAAGATACAGGCGAAGTGTGGCGCTCGGATGTGCAGTGCGGGCTGGTAAGGATGCTCGTGAATAGAAGAACATCTAGCATAACGACGCGCAGTGTGTAATGACAGAATCGTGACAAGGAGAGTGCGAGTGGCTGGAGAGTGCGAGGCGCGATGGGAAAACTAAAGCAAACGCATGTGCGAGGGCCGGACAAGATGGTCGACCCATAAGCAAACGGTAAAGCGTCGCAAACATGCGCATATGGAACGAAGAACAGTCTATGCAAACTCTGGGCGCCGCTGCAGTCTCCACGAGGCGACACCGAGCGCGCCAGCGTGGGAGGCGGGGTCTGTTGAGCCGCAGGAAGCATTACACGGAGAGGCGCGCATAGATCATGCACCATAACTCGGGTCGAAATGATCCCGTCTGTCCATGGTCAAGCCAGAGCTCCCTGTGAGGTTAGTGTGCGGGTGACCATTATTCCGAAATCACATCCGCTCTGTCTGCGATGATACGGTGAGTTCCCAGGACACCGCAAAGGGGGACAAGCACAGATAGATTGGTGATACCCCCTAGACCAAGAATGACGCAGGAGCTTGCAGTCCGACTCGGATTGGTGTATGCCTTTTAAAATTGTGCGTGGCGCATCAAGGGGCCCCAGCTAATAAATCAGAGACATCCGCAGACGAGCTTGAAGATATGGAGGATGCACCAAGCGCTCGAGACACGGAGAAATCAGATGGTAAAAGCCTCGTCGAGAAGTATCACCGAAAGAATTCGGTGAATACATATGTCTTCGTATCCCAGACATGACTATAATTCCAGACAACGAGCAGACGAGAACAGGAAAAGCAAGAAAATTCCGGCGTAGTGAGCCGCAAAGAGGTGAGTGAAGAAAAGGTGAGCGAGTCTTACGTAACCCAATATTGGTTGTCCGCCGCCTTTACAGCGCTCGCTCGACGAGGAGCACAACGCCAACATCACCGATGCCGATCAAGCACTTGGATAGTGAGCGTTTTCATTTCGTCGTCCTGTCAAAGGTGACTGAGGAGTCGTGCAGCCTATCTATCCGACAAGAAGCTTCTCCAGACACACCCACTGAGCGTGCTCTCCGACTCACGCCTTGGTATCGACGCGGCGTACTACTTGCAAACACTCTATGATCATCCACCGTCACGCGAGCCGCTGCTAGCTGCTACAGGCGGCCAGCCGCTTGCGCTTGCGCTTCAGATTGAGACTGACCTGCGCGCACTGGAGCGCCTACGCATCAAGCCCGTATTCGTGTTCCCTGGACTCGTGCCCAACAAGCGCTTGCGACACCAGCAGCTCAACGTCGAGCAAGCCGACGCGTGCCGTGACCGCCGCGAGGCATGGCAGAAGTACGAGGCGGGCCAGGAGGAGGCCGCCACGAAACTGTTTGAAGCAAGGAGTGGGCTCTCGCATTGGGATTTGTGGAGGGCCGTGCTCAGGCTTTTTAGGACTCGAAATGTAGAATTCATCGTTGCGCCATATATTGCGTGGGCCCAAGTGCGTTTCTTTTGTCTTCGTCGACTAGGTCTTTTTTTTCGAACGACAGCAATTTGACTGACGATGGGTTCTCACGCACAGCTTGTATACCTGCAACGGCACTCAAAATCTTATATCCACGCCATTTACGGGCCGACGGACGCATTGCTTTGTCCTGGCATCGACAAGATCATCACTTCCATTGACCTCTTATCTCCCTCGCCGTCTTTCACATATGTCTCCAAAAAGGCAATCCTGACAGACATGGGGGTGACAGAGGAGCAATTCCTTGACATAGGGATCCTCGTCGGGTGCGAGCACTGCCAACCGTTTCCGCCCACGTTGCACGAACAGGCGCTTAAGGCGACTTCCGACATGGTCAAGTACTACAGATCGGGTCATGCCGCTGTCGCGGCGCACCATGAGCACGCGGGCGTCAAGACGACGCAGTACGCAGACCTCTTCGCGCGAACCCGCGCGCTCATCAAGCATTCACTCATCTTCTCCGCTGAGGGTACCGTTCAGCCTATCTCCCTCGCCGCCCCTTCGCCGCCCATACAAACGTCCGGCAACTCCACCAACGGCCCAGGCGGCAGCGGGAGCTCGCAGGCGGTCGCACACGCGACGACGGCGGCGGACGTGCCCTCGGACCTGCATGAGATCTTCACACACCGGCTACCTGACGAGGTCTTCTTCTACCTCTCGCGTGGCCTGCTCAACCCACAACCCCTCGTATGGCTCGCGAGTGGACAGATCATCGAGCCTCCCCCGCTTGACAACGGCGAGACCAACGAGTACCGCCGGTTCGTGAAAGAGGTCGTGACGGAGGGCCAAACAGGCCCGCGGGCGACCGCGCTCGCTCTGCTGAGCAGCGTCATGCATCATTTCTGGGCGAACAGGCGCGTCGCGGGGGTGTTTTGGTTCGAGAGCGGGCAGCAGCAAGGCCAACAGGGTGGTCCCGGGAACAAGTATGGGCAGCATGGACACGTTCACCAGCAGCTGTCGACGGTGCAGCACAACTCAGCGCAGACGGCACAGTTAGCGGAGCGCGTCGCAGGCTGGCATGTCCCATACGTGATCGTGGAGGAGGAGCTGCGGCGACAAAACGTGTGATTTCGCGCCTTCTATTCTCGTCTCTTATTTTCTCACGTTCTGAATTGACCCAGTGGTCGACGATCGACTTTGCACTCTGCCTCGGGGCGACCGCTACCGACAAGCAAGCCGCGCGGACGAGGGCGCGGACGACTCAGAGCCAAAATGGCAGTTCGAACTCTAACGCCAACTCACAACACCCGCATCATGCGGCGCCGCCCCTTGAAAAGAAGGACGAGATCGTTGCGAATGCGATCTGGAGGTTCTTGGAGCTACGTGGGTGAGTGCGCGTGTGCCTCTGCTTAATTCCCTTTCGTTTTTTCTTTCTGTGGACGTTTCTTGGGGCGCTTGTGAGCGGATTTGGTACTTGATTTGGGCCACCGGTTCTCATCGGTGCTGCGAACGTATTGCACTGCCCCGTGCTGGCGTCGTCATGTCAGTCTCTTTGTGTCCATTTAGGTGGTATGAAGGCACTGCCTGACTGGCAGGCAGCAGCGGATAGTCGAAAAGTCAGGAGCCTACACAGCGTGGGTTGGCGTTTGGATGCTAAGCGCTGGGTATAGCTGATCCCGTTGGGGAAATGCTAGCTTGGCGCGCGCCCTGTGGCGTCTGTGGGCGTTGGCCTTGTTGCGTTCATGGGCCATGACTTTTACGGTTAGCTTTGAGAGCGCGGCGCGGCGTCGCTCGCGCCTGATGGGATGCGACGTAATTTGAGGGCCGGATCGGGGAGCATTTTTTCTCACAACCTTTTCAATGCTCCTCGACCTTGATCTCATTTCACCCCTCATTTCATTTCATTTCATTTTTCTGACCGCAATCTCTCTGTCTTTGATTTTCTCCGAAATCAACGCCGCCACCGCCACCGCCACCGCCTATATCATCTATCGCCTTGCGCCCTCTGCCGGAACTATCCCTCTCCACCTGTCGGTCTCGGCTCCGCCGACTGCTCACGTACAGTTTCCTGCTCAAAACGCACGAGCACTCGCCGCTCGCGCGCGCGATGCACACGGCGATCCGGCGCGCGCGGGTGACGGACAAGTTCCAGGACCCGCTCTATCTCTTCCTCGAGCTCGTCCGCGCGGGCGTCATGCATGGCCACCTCTGGTCCGGCCGCGCGTTCAGCGGCGGGCCGAGTTTCGGGACCGGTGCGTGCTCACGTCTTTCCTTTCCTGCCGCTTTTGTTCGCGGGATGAGTTGATTGACGAGCGATGGATCTCCGCTGTGCAGACGACGAGAAGGCTTGCATGCTGCTCGTGATGCGAACGCTGAGCATCGTTCCGCTCAATTTCCAGGTACGTCTCCACCTTGTTGATCCATTCTTGCGTTCACGTCGTGTGTCCCTTTGCGCGCAGCCTGTCCCCTGGTCCGCTCCGCTCTCGCGCGAGCTGCTGGTGTTCAACTCGTTCGTGCGCTCGCTGACCCGTGCGCTGCGCACGCTCTTGGAGGTGACGACGCTGAACATGCTCCTGCGCACCGACGCGCGGCGCGCGCGGGACGACCTGCTCGACATCACGATGTCGCTGCCGTTCCAGGGCGAGGTGAACACGGGCTTCGGGGTGCTGGCGAAGGTGTACCTCGACGCGCTGACGCACCTGCACGGGGGGCAGCGGGTGCGCGACGCGGACGGGCCCGGTGTGCGCGACGCGAAGGCGGTGGCGCTGGAGATCTGCGAGGAGACGTTCCCGGGCGTCAAGGCGCCTAAGATGGAGGTCGAGCGGGGGTTCCGCTTTTGGGACGTGGTGAGTCGTGGGCTTTTCCACCCGTTCTAATTCCTTTTAGGCGCATCGCTGTTTTTCTTTTACCGCGTGATTGGAGGGCTGATGGATTTCCTATTTTTTTTTTTGGTATTTGCGGCAGGCACTGATGGCGATGCGGCAGCTGCACGCGGAAGGGTCGGTGCAGGCGGAGCTGATCGACCAATTCGAGGCGGCTGAGGCGTGGCTGGGGCCGATGCGGCCGTGAGTGGCCTAGTGGAGCGAGAAGGGGGAAGGGAAGCGGGCGAGAAAGGACGGGCGAAGGGCGGAGGGGGGAGGGGAGAGGGGGAGGGCGTCGTTTGGGCTGGGAGTCGGGGATGAGAGGGCCAAGGCGCGGTGGGGGCGGGGACCGGTGTTGTGCGGCGAGGGCCTGGGAGGGGGCGAGCTGTGTGACTGTGTCCGTATGTAGATATCCATATCCGTCACGTCTGCCTGTTATTTCTGTCACAGGGAGATGCGCGATCGCGTCGTGGGAAGCGGGGGCTCAGACCGGAAAGGACACGGCTATGGGGATCGGGCCTCGAAGCGCGAGTCGAACCGACCGTCGGCGCACGGGGTCCGGATCGGAAAGGCCATCCGAGCCGCGAATCGATTCGCGTCGGACGAAGACAGACAGCTGGGAAATCTGGATGCGAGAGACGTCCACGCTGGACCAGCTGGTGGGGTCGGATGAGCGTGTGTGGCCAATTTGCAAATGCGGGGGTCGAGGAAGGAGGGGGCCGATCGGATCTGGCCTGAATGTTTTGAGGAGCCGTCGCTCGCTCGACCGCTCAAAACCAGCCTTTCCAGAACAGCCAACACACCGTCCCCTCCTCCTGTCCTGTCCCCCCACCGTCCACCGCGATGCTCCACCACCCGCCCCCGCTCGTCCCCGTCGTCTTCACCGACGACAACGTCCCCGCACCCAACGACAAGACCGCTCCCCTTCGACAGCACGCCCACCCACACCACCCACACCAGCACCACGTACAGATCATCCAGCTCGTCGAAGCCCCGCGTCCTCCCCCCACCGCGCTCTCCCATCCCCAGCGCTGCGCCCCCTCTCTCCTGCCCTCGTCCTCCTATTCTTCTTCGTCCTCGGCGCCCTCTGCATCCTCCTCCCTCTCGTCCGCATCGGCATCGATAGAGGAAGAGGGCGAGGCCTGCTCTTCCTTCTGCTCGTCCTCCGATCACGATCCAGACCACGATGAGGACGAGGACGAGGACAGGGACGAACCACCAGAGCTGCCCCCACACACGCGCCGCGATCCCACCCTCGATGACACTTTTGGCGTCCGCATGCGTCGCGTTCGCGCCTGGCGCGATGCAGTCCTCCTGTCCGCGCCGATCCCTCTTCCCAACTCCACTCACGGGTTCCCAGCCCCCGACCCTGCCCCTGCACCCGCGCCAGCCCTCGTTCCCATCCCCATCCCCGTCCCAAGCTCGCCACTGTGCCATCTCAGCAGTCGGCCGGAAGGCGGTGACGCGCGCGAGCTCGATCCGCCAGGTACGTGCAGCACCACCCGCCCGATTGGGCTGGGCCCGGCTCGCGTGGCAGCGTGGTGTCCGGATATAGACTGATGACTTCCTGTTACAGGATCAGGATCGGCGCGGGCGTTCGCGTCGGCAAATGTGGCTGCGCCCGAGTCGGCGCCGGCCTCGGCGCCCGTGTCAGTGTCGGCGTCGGCGTTTGCGTCGGCGTCGCGCAAGCGGAAACCGTTCTCGACTGCATCGGTCGAACTCTCTGTCTCCGCCTCTGCCTCTGCCTCCGCCTCTGCCCCGTCGTCGGCTTCTGCGTCGTGGCGTGTCGAGACGTACGACGACGCTGACGTCGTACGTCCTTCCCTCTCCCCTTCACCCCCGCTCTCTCACACACGCACACTTCCGCAGACCCCACCCACGCCCTCGAAGCACCCCCGTCCCCTTCCACACTCGCCTCTCAATCGCCCCCCGCACCCGTTCACCCACCCGTTCGCGCACCCACACTCGCGCTCGCTCGGTCCGCCTTTGCATTTGAATTTTATTCCCCACTTGAATTTACACCCGCACCTCACCTTCCACCCCCATTCGCATCCGCGTACGGGTCATGCAGGAGGGAACAAGGACGCATGCTGGGTCGACGTTGGCGTGTTGCAGGAGCAGCCGTGGCAGCTGCCCGGGCGAGTGTAGGAGCGTGTGAACGGGAGGGATTCGGGAGCGTGGGAAGGGTGAGGCCAGAGGGCGGGAGGGCGGGGGGCGTGAAGAGCGAAGAAGCCATAAAAGGAAGCTCGTGCATTGGGGGAAGAAGGCGGAGGCGGGCCCGGGAGTGGAGCACGCGGGCCCGCGGAACGACGAGGGCGATTTGTGGGCGTTCGGGTGTGCACGGGCGTGACCTGCGCCGTCCCCTTTGGGCCCGTGCGTGCCGGATGCGTTTGCGTTGCGGCGGCGGCTGCCTTCTGCTCTCCTCCGCCCGCATTCGAAGTTGTTCTCTTTGCATCGCGTTCAAGTCTCGAGGCTGCCGCGGCATCCACCGTCGCTTCCCTCGTGCGTGCACATGCGAGGAGGCGGAGTGAGTAAGTGCGCGGTTTCGTCGGTGGATTCTCTGGCGCGACCACAACCGCGTACCCTCTGTACGTTCACGCAGCGACGCGACACGATGCGTCGTGATTGCGGACCCACCCTTGCGGGGCCTCGCTTCTTCACATCTCGTACCGCACCTGAGGCACCTGCCTGCGATGACGGCACCGCGAAGTCGTCAAACTCCGGTTCACAACTTGCGCCGACTCGCTCGATTTGGGCGCGTCTTCGCGCGGTGCACTGGACTTCATCAGCGACGCTGGCTGGCCGTGTCTGGTCGCGTCGTACGACCGACGCCCTGCGGTACGTGATCAATGCGATCACTGCGGCAAACGGCATGCGACCAGTTTGCTCTGCGCTTCTCGGCACCTCGCGTTTCTACATCTCACCCGCACCGGTCGCGACGACCCATCGCCCGATATCCACGTCTTTTGTCCATTGTACGGCGCACATTGACTTCATGCCAAATGGCGAGCAGTGTATCTGGTCTGGGAGCCCGGGGTCGGGGTCGGGACGGCGGCATCAAGCAGGTTCTGAATCTCACGCCGCCCGTTCTCAGCATTGTCTTGGCCGTTTTCTCAGCATCAGCCTTCGCTCCCAGCGCGATCCACCTGGCCATCTGCCCCTTGTTCTTTTTTCATCTGCCCGTCGCTTTTTCTTCTCCGTGTCATTTTGCGCGTTCGCACATCCGCATCGCCCGTCATCTTCGTTGTGTCGCCTACAACAAGACGAGCGTTCTTTGCCCCTGTCTCTGCTCCGTGCGCCCGAGGAGAGCGAGGACCTCGTGGATGTCACACGCTACTCTCCTTACCCCAACGCTGCTGCTGTCGCCGCCGCCGCCGCCGCGACCCTTCTTGTACTCGTTCCCGTTCTTGAGGCTTAAAGTTCTCCGTCCATTCGTCTGATTTTTCATCACCGCTGCGCCCCTTTTCCTGTCTCGTTCCCCTCGGAGGGAGCCAGGCACGCGCATGGTGCCCGTAACGCACACGCGCATCATCGTCATCGTCTCGCATTCGCACTCCCATTCTCATACTTCGCCAATCCGCTCTCGTCCACGCGCATCTTCCGCCCTCGCTGAATCCATCTTCATGCCGCACCCACGTCCACGCATCGCCCCCGTCGCCGACCCGATCACAGCATCCATCACCACCACCCCATCTCGCGTCGCACGCTTCGCCTTCCCATCCTCTGCTTGCATACTTTCTCACCACAGCTTGCCGCGCATCTCCATCTCCATCTCCATCTCCATTCTCATCTTTGGTCCTTGTCTTGCATCCATTTTCGCGCTTCCTTTCTCTCGAGCCCCCCTCTAGGCTGTACATATTCACATCGATGTCCTCCACCACCAAGAACAATCCACGATGGCTCCCAACCCAATCCACCACCCCGCACGCATACGAGTATCCATACACTATACATCATACTGTATACTTTTTGCACTGTCCTCTTCCGGTGTAATAACGCGTGCACGCGCCGACCGCCCCGCGTCGCAATTGTCCGCGATGTATATACTAGCAGCAGCCCTCTGGCAAGCGTTTTACTTATTACTTGTACTCTGTGTGCGCGCGTTTGATAATCTGAATCGATCCCTGTGTTACTCGGTTTCTTTTTCCTTGTTTATTTTTCGCTACGGCGCGTCGCCTGGCCGGGCCTGATCGGGGAGGAACAAGAAGACATCTGCGCAATCGTCGACATTCTGGATTCCCTGCCTGCCCCTGCTCTGCCGCCCAGAGCGTTCGGGCGACGCACGTGCGAACCGCCCCGCGACCGAACCGACGCGCGGTCCTCGACAGTTCCTTGCTCGACGGACCTCCCGGCGCGTTCCTCCGGCCTCAGAATGCACGCGGAACGCGGCGCGCGGCGCCGGTCCGCATGCCAGGCGCAGGCCTGCGCAGGCGCGCAGCGTGAGTGCGCGTGCGCGCGCGCGTGTGTGTGTGCACTGTGCGCCTGCGCCCGATGGCGCGCTGCGTGAGTGCCGCAGGCACTGGGAGCAGCTGCCTGCGAATAGCTCCGGAGCCGCTCGGGGGAACTCCGGGGGGCCGCAGCCGCAGCGCGCGGCGCAGTTTCGTATCAGCTTATAGCTAGCAACTAGCGCCCTCGCCATCGTGAGAGCCGCGTTGCCCTGCGCACGCCGCCGCAGGTGCGAACGAGCGTGCGACGTGCGTTGGACCTCAAAAATAGGCGACCGGACGCGCATGTGCGTGTGCGTGTGCGTGTGCGTGTGCATGTGCGGGTCCGGAGACGCGGGGAACGCGTCTAGGGGGCTGGGGCGGCCCAGGGGGGTCTGCGGACTGCTCAGCTGGCTGGGCAAGAGACGGGAGCGCGTTGGCGTTCATGGGAGAGAATCACGCAGGCCCGGCGAGGGCAGGGGCGAGTTGCCGCCCAGCGACGAAAGCAGGGCCCGTCGTGCGAGCGGAAGCCCGCATTGGGCCGGCGAGCGCGCAAGGCCCGACAGTCCACCAGCTGCGCGCGCGCATGGAACGAGATGGAACGCAGAATGAAAAAAAAAAGCATGAGAAACTCGAATATTCAAATTCGCGAACGAGTTTCAGGCGTCCGTGCTTCAGCTCAAGCAGGCTCGCGCCCCATGGTGGTCCACCATCAGGCTTTCGAGCGTCAAGTCTCAGGCGGGTCAGGAAGCGCCGACGGGTGGCGTAGCGTGAGAGCACCGATACTGCAGTTGTCCTAGCCGTCGCCCGTCGCGATAGGTGGCAGAAGTTGGGCAGCTGAGTCGTTACAGTGAGTAAAAGTACGTAGCGTGCGCGCCTAGGCGCGCCTGCGGGCGGCCCCTGGGCCTGAGAGAGCACCGGCCAGTGGACTCCAGTGGAGCTGTGTGAAAGCCCCGATGTCCCTGAAACTGTGGGCCGTCGTCACCCACTGGTGCCTACAATGGGGAGACGCGAGCTATAGGCTGTGAGGCTGCGATCGGTGGTCTGTCTAGTGCGCCTGCACTTCCGATGCTCGCCAGCGGCCGCCGTGCGCATGACATACCAGCTGGCAAGGGCGGTCCAAGTACGTTAGTTCATGGCTCAGCTGACAACCCGTGGAGAGCTGGCACAGCGGGCATGGTGCGGGGCCGCAAAAACAAGGGCAATGAGCAAGCGGGCCTGCGCAGCGGTACAGTGCTAAGGCCAAGTTCACGAACGAATCCCCGACAGGGAGACAAAGGCCTGACAGCTAGAGATGGCGCCTACAAGGGCGGGCTCCGATCTACGCGAGAATGAACAACGTGCGACGTGTGGCACTGTATAAGGCCATATGGGTTGCAGAGAGGTCTCAGGCGTCTTCTCGGACCCGAAGCCTTGAGACCCTTGCGATCGGCTTGCTCATGTTTGCTATGTATCTCTCGGGATGTGCTGGGAGGAATGACACGACACACAGAGACAGATTTGGACTGCGGGCTGTGGGACTGTTCGGACTTGTGTGGGAGGCCCATATGCGAATTGAGCAGGTGCCTCGGGGTCGGGAATCGGACAAGTACACCTCGGGGTTTTGCTGGAGAAACAAACCGTGAAAGATGAAAGACAGAAAATCAAGTTTACATGAGAGCTGTATTGATGGCAGCTTGTGTGGGATTCAGGCTGTATGTGAGATTCGGTGAATGGGAAGGGGCACGGCCTAAGATGGATAAAGACACTCATTTTGCCAGAGCAGCAAAAGTGAGATGAAACGGAACGGAACGGAACGAAGCGTTTCAGTGATCTCGAATCTACTGAGGAGTCCTGAAATAGATAGAATTCAAGAGCGTGTACAGACGCAAGATGGAAGACGAACCGGTAAAAGATGCCGGTCAATTGAGAAGCTGTTGGATTCGATCATCATATGAGAACAGGCAGAGGTCCACTTAACCTTCCGGTCGAGACCTCGTATAGGCGTTATCGGCGAGTTAAACGCGTACCCGCGCGTCCAAGCGGGCCATCGAACTGCACGGCAGTGACTTACATCAATCATGGTGTGACCCCAAGGTCCAGTTGCTCATATTCTACCCGTGCAGCCGAGCGGCCTGAGCTCGTTGCCACCATAAGAATATGGTTCGGGATATACTGGGTATACTAGGGCGATTCAGACGCAGCGATGCTCCGTCGAAGGCGCCGCGCCGCCAGGAATAGCCCTTGTCCCAGGATGATCAAGGCGATAAGGGCCCGGTGATGTCGATAACATCGAAGAGCTGTCATCGATACTCCAACAAGACACAGAAATGCCGGGAGGAACTGAAATGACGAACCTGAGAGGTACATACACTACATGTGGTCCGTCAGTAGTATCTAAAACCAGTAAAGCAATGAACATACACCATACGATCACAGATTGAGGGGGATGCGATACTACAGATATATCCACTGCGGAATTGCCTGCACGCACTCGCGCAACTGCAGCTGCACACGCCAAGTCACCCGAGGGGAACACGTTTTCCAATCAGGCGCAAGCGCCACCCCAAGCCGCCTTAGCCCCCTGGTCCATACACCCTCTATCGTAGCATGACGCGACGCGTACACGCACCGAACTCCCCGATCCATGGGCGGCATTCAGTCCAATCTGATCGTGACATACTCCACGCTGCACACATGGACATATGGCGGAGCGCGAGGGTCAAGCTAGGTGAGATGTCAAACATCCCTCATCGCAGCGCCGCAGATTCTCCGAGGTCTATCGCGAGCGCAAAACCAAATCCGTTCATGCCTCCGAGCCGTGTAACATTAGGCTTCGCATTCGCATTCGATTGTTCGGATTCGGGGTGAAAGTGAGAAACAGTGGGAGTGCCACGCATACCGTGCACTTGAATGGATCCCGTCGTCCCGAGAGTGGAGCCAAAGGATCAAAGATATATGCCTGATGCGACACGGTGTTGGGATCAAGAACAACGGGTGCAAAACATAGCTCTGACAGGTATGCACATCGCGGATCGGGGATCGGGAATCAGGAAGTCGAATTTGAATACGTGTGTAGAACGAGATGGCACGCTACTTCTGCATGTGTATGTGCGCTGTGGGAATAGTCGAAAATTGCTCGATTTGGCGGACCCTTCGTTTGTCAAGTGGCACCAACGAGTGGATATATGGGGCTAGACGGTGCTTGAAGTAGACAAAGAACCGATACGCATCCCGCCGTATGTACTGTAACAAGCAGGGCGTAGCAATCCGATGAATGACGTTGGTCCGGATGACCAGCGCCTAGTCCTACTGTTAAAGGGGTAGCGCTTGCCCGTCTTCGCGTGGAAAGCCGTGTCCACGCACGGGATCAAGTTCAGCAGGGTTGCCTACACCTAGAGCGTCTAAAAATAAACGGATGGAATCAATCGGGAACGAAAGAACCGATGTCAGAAAACCGTGCATACCGTGCAACAGTGTCTTGCCATCGCTAGATGAATAAGCCCATAATAGGGAACGATATCGATGCCCAGCGGACCAAGTGCGAATGTGGCCGTGAATACAATGATTGTTGAGGCTTGGAGGGAAGCTGTCAGGAGTGAATATACTCTGTCTAGTAGGCAAGCGGAACGAAAGGATCACAGTTTCTCCGCAACAACGGCGAGATACCCACGAAGATCAAGGATTCTGATGTTGTCAAGTTCCGGATGGCTGCGCGCCTCGCACGAGACATCGGGCTCGCGTCCGACATGCCCCATAACGAGGACTCAGAAAGGATTGGTCAGCTGGGAAGATAAAGAGACAAGGTATATCCTTGTGCAGCCTTGTTCGCAGAGCGCTCCGTCTGGCTTTTTGAAAAATGTGCGAAGGGTCATAGGGTGGGGCCAAGACAGTTTGAAGCCACGCCCGCGTCTGGTGCGTGACGTATGGGAGTTAGGTGTGGATGTTTGAGGGAGATCAACTGCAAAGGGATAAATGACTATTGGTCAAAATCGAGTTCATTGTTGATCGCAGCCGTTAGAACTGCTTTAAGGTTCAGCTAGCACGGTCAAATTCAGGTATCAACCACGCTGACTATGTGGGCAATCAGGGGACGTGAATGACACACGTTTGAATCGAATACAAATATCCTGACTGCGGGAGCAAGCCTGAAGAACAGCAACATGTGTTTTTTACCACTGGCATCGAAGATAAGATCATGCGCACCAGGATATTGAGTCGCACCCCTGCATCGTACAGGCATAGCCATGATGGCAATGAGGATTTACACGCGTGCGTTCGCGCGCCTGTTCGTCAGTCGGACGCCGCAACGACTCGAGCACCGGACCAGTTCATATGCTGTGGAAAACCAAGCCCCAGATCCCAGGAACTTCCAACAAACGATCAAGATTGTGCTGTCCAACCGGGGAGTAGGTGATGACTTCGTAAGATTGCTGCCATAGAATGCAGCACGATGACCAGACCGAACCGGCGTGTAAACGGTGGTCTTGGCTTGATGCGGTAGACAGTAATTGGTAAACAATCTTTACAAAAGCAATACCCGAATTGTGAGGGTTTCGTGTGTCACACTTTCGAGGCGTTCGGACCCAGTGCATATAGTTGGGAATAGGGATAGGTGCGATAGCTCGATGTTGACAGGAAATGCGGCAGATAGCCGTGTTGTGGGGAAATGCCTATTCACCAGAAAGTGGCAAGAAGGGTGTGTTCATCGAGTCGTGAAACCTCGGATGAACGTACGGAGATAATGAGCTCGGCGAAATTATGTGGGCGCGCAGGCTTGACAAGCCCCCACGATGCCGACGAAGGGTGCAGTATGAAGTTTGACTGTTCTGATTTTACCTAAGAAAAATAATGACTCGTGAGAGAGGATACTGTTCTTCGCCATGACTAACTGCACCGGCTGCCGATCAGCGAAGCAACAACTTGTTGCGACGAGGTGGTCAATCTATTCATGCTGCGAGGCAGTTGTTGATGCCCAACCTGCTCCATCCTGCGAGAACACTGTCTGATTGTAAGAAGCCCAACGGCGATGATTTTCCAGGACATCACTCTTCTTGGAAAGCTTACAGAAAACCCCACAGTCCAGGCGTTCCTGCGGTGTTTTTGCTGAACATGCGCGTTGATCTTCACATGAGAGAAACAGCATTACAAAATTTGAATAGATCTCACCGCACTAGCCCCGCGGAGATGCGTTGTGGGAGTTTCAAGGCATGAATGTGTGCTCAGGGCTATGAGTATGAGTGGACCTTAGGGCCGACGCATACGCCCATACAGTGGGAGCTGGCTCATCTCTAGAGTTTGCGGCAAGATATCGCGAGATGAACGGAAAAATCGATGATATGGCTTGAAGAACTGCCGCTGGCCGGGACAAGTAAGAAGACGTACATGACGATACATGTGTATTACGAGTAGATCTGAGGAATCGTACCAGAGACCAATCATCGAAAGCTTGCAGCTACATGAAGTGACCGTGAGGCCTCGAGGCAGAAGAAAGGTCGGGATCAACTTGCAAACGTCATGGCGACGCCTGGCGACGCGTATGTGCGCACGTGCTGCGACAGTGTGCCAGGATCACGCGTCGCAGATGTCAACGCATCTGGGCAGGTCTGCCCGTCTTTCCTGACCGGGTTCAGTCTACAAGTTTTGGGTTTTGCCTAGGACACGTCTGCTTTGGATCCAACACCTGGACGAAGATATCTTATCTCAGCATGGAGGAAGTACATGAAAGAGGTGCCTTCATTGTCATCGAAGGCCTCGACAGATCTGGAAAGAGCACGCAGGTCGCCTTGCTTCACGAACAACTGCAGGCAGCTGGTATCTCCACAAAAATCCAAAGGTTTCCTGGTGAGTAGCTTTCCTTTGTCATGCGCGACCCAATGCCATGCACGCATGATGCCTGAAAATACTGTGCAGATCGCACAACGCCAATCGGAAAGATGATAGATTCATATTTGCGCTCGCAGTCTGATCTCGACGATCATGCCATCCATCTCCTTTTCTCCGCAAACCGTTGGGAACTTGTGTATGCTTGCCACATCCGTAACTTGGTTATAATCATGACTTAAAACTCGAATTTCGACCAGGACAGCACTGAAGGAAACCTTAAACGCAGGGACTACAGTCCTTTGTGACAGATACGCTTTCTCTGGCATCGCGTTCTCCGCATCCAAAGACCTTCCTTATGATTGGTGTCGCGCGGCCGACATCTCCCTTCCCGCACCTGATCTAACACTTTTCCTGGATATCTCACCCGAGAAGGCGAAGGAGCGCGGAAGATATGGTGAGGAGAGGTATGAGAACGAGGAGATGCAACGATCAGTGCGAGATGTGTTTCGGCGCATGGGAGAGGAGATGCAACAGCCCGCAAATGAGCAAGACCAAGGCAAATGGATAACGGTAGACGCCGGCCAAGACAGAGACCTCGTTGCGAAGGAAATCTGGAACCATGTCCACATAGCTATACAGAATCATTCTCGTCCTCTTGGCGAGCTTTGGACGGGACGGCTCAGTTTGTGAATGCTAATTTATTAGATCGTTATACAAGCGTCACGACCAAGGAACCAAGAGAGAGGGAAACAAGCAGTGCTTGAGACAGAAGAGAGTGAGAGATATTGCAGATGGAGAAACCTGGTGTAAAAGAGCGTGATCGTATGGCCATGTGTTAGGGAGCCAGAAAAAATACTGGAGACGTATCGTGAAACCCCCTAACCGTGTCCGAATATAAAAGGGAGTGGTGGTGTAGATCAAGGTCGCCAAAGTATACGTCAGGCGCTTGAGGTGATCCTAGAGACTATGACAGCGAGTGCGATCAATATTCCCCAACGCCACTTCTCCCAGACAATTTGACGCCACCCTACTCCCCAGCCTCTGCTCGTGTCCGCTACGCCAGGCGTAGCAGTAGGCGGGATCCCATTCAGCTTTGTCGCCTTCTTTCCGCGCGCAACAATGCCAGCATTCTTTGGAATCGGTGTTGCTGGAGATGCCGGTGCTGCTTGAATAGACGCCGGAGATGGTCCCGCAGTTGGTGTTGATGATATCAAGGGTTCGACAAGTGGTAGGTCTGGTTTGCCTCGCTCTTTCTCGCCCATATTTGGTAGATCCCGGAGGTCAGGTGTGCAGAACTGGATTTAGAAGGGTCAGTGAGTATCGATGTCGTGTATTGCAGATTACAAGAACGTTAATGCACGCGCGAAACCGATACCAACAGTGATCGGATCTTCGACAGCTTATCACAGCCCGACAGCATGGTCAGGTGAGATAGGGAGGTGTAATTGCGATCGTTATATGTTGAATGACCGGTAGACTCACATCGGGAAAAGCTTCCTTGAATCTCCGTTGTTCAATGTTCCATATGTGACTACGGGCAGCGTACGTGCGCTTGTCGGCGTCAGAAGTGGTTACTGACCCAGTAGTCATCTCATCTGACAGCATGAAAGACACCAATCCAGTCAATCTAGACATGAAATAGTCAGCGGCCGGTCAATATCATAAAGGAGAGGGGAGAGTCAAGAACAGTAACTGCAATCGAAAGTCAGAAACTCACATGGTTGCGACGCTCCACGCAGGATTCCACTAATACGGAGAATCGTGTCAGTACGTGGGTGTGGCCTAAAACTGATGTGCATACTGATCCTGGGTGGAAGTCGGACATAGAGAAGCAGATCTTCTTGTCAGGCTGAAAACGACCAGAAGGTGTATACATCTAAGGTTGCATGCGCCCTCTTAGTCCGTGTGAAAAAATTGGGCTGTGAGAAGCCATCACCTTGATGCCAGGTGGTTTGAAAGGGTATTCTGAAGGGAAGAGGAGGACGCCATGGTATTCACCGCCTGCAAATGGAGAGTCTGGTGGTCCACGCTTCAAGCGGGAAGGACCACCCTATCAGCGATCGTCCGACAGGAGATTTGGGGGCAAACATACAAGAACATAATTCCCTGAGTGTCTAGACTTCAGCAAAGATGTCAGGTCAGGATAGAGGATAGTACACACATGTCAATATGTCCTTCTCATCGGGCGCAGCCCATACGAAAGGCGGCGGTTCCTTCTGCATGGTGACATACTCTTTAGAAAGCTAAGGAGAGAGCACCACTGTCAGATTAATGATGATCAGGGAAAATGCCAGAGCCGTACACGTTTGTAGGCAGCTTTGGAGGCCATGATATGCTGGGGGATGTGTAGATGCTGCAAGAAGTATGGTGGGGTTATAGGCAGTCTTGTACAACAAGCTTGCCCCTCTTCGGTCCGCTTGTGATACCCCGGTACCAATACCAAACATGATCAAACAATCAATAATCAACACCTCACCGTCACTCTATCGAGGGTTGTGACACCCTTGACTTACTGATCAAGCTCAAGGCTGTCGATAAAAACAACACGTACAATGAATCTCCTTGAATAAATGTCTACCAAGCTTCTGCATTGCATATCATAGTTACGATCTGCGTCACCTTGGCACAATTCTCAGTATGACTGGATGTCATCCGGACCGCAACATGCATGCCAATGATCCTTTCGTTTTCGCAGACAAAAGAACCATGTTGGTAGAGTGGTAGCATGAGGACAACAACGACAAGGCTAAGAAAAGCGCATGTCAAGCACAATTCGACTGAGTCTCCAGCTCAATGAAACTCAATCAGACTCTTTTGCACCGGCTACCTACGATGAACCCGTCCACCTCTTTTGACATTCTGCAGTCTCTTCCTCTCGCGCTCCTCCTCTTTTGCTCGTGCACCACGTTGGCGCGGATCAATGACCTCGTAGTCCCTTTCCGCCTTTTGGGCCTCGTCCTCATTGTCCTTCGGGAAGGCGAGAAGATGCGACATGAACCCTGTATCATCGTCTACTTCCATCCCTTCTTCAATTCCACCCATCGAAGCTTCCTGCTCCCCTTCTCCCTCGGTTGAATTCACGTTGATCTCGATTTTGCTTGGAGCCGATCCCTTCAGCTTTGTTCTGAAACTTGTCAATGCGGCGAGAACCCCGGATTCGTCCTTTTTCCTATCTTTTCGATGTAGTCCTCGACCTTTCGAGTATCTCGCGAGTTCTACCTCCAAATATGAGCTTTTTGCCCTTTTCTTGCTGGGTTCATCGTCGCTGTCGTCATCTCGTCGCTTGGTCAATTTCCGGATCTCAGCCTCCATTCTCTCGATTTCCGCTTGCCGAGAGTTACTGAATATATGCAATTGAGCTCTGTTCTCGGAAGCATCTATATAAGTACTAAGCAACGCACCTGGATACAGTCTGTTCCTCCGAGTATTTCTTTCGGATACTTGCTATGTCATCTTTCGTTTGGTCAAATTTCTCTTTTGCTTTCTATTGGTTTGTAAAAGTTCAGATGCAACAAGGAAGAGGTACAAATGACCATACCCGTTCTTTCTTGCTCTCAACAGGTTGATCATCCGATTTCACTGACCTTGGAGGTCCAGGAGCCATGAAGTCGGGGACTGCGACGGGTTGTAAAGGAGAATCGGCCACTTGATGGATGCCGATCAAATCAGAGAGAAAAATCAGAAAGGATACCCCAATGAACATGACGTACAATCAGGTCGAGCTATGTTTTTCTTGTGAACTGACACGTTTACCTCATCGGCCTCAAGGTCCTCGTCAGCGCCAAAGCTCAGCAGTTTGGTGTCCCTGTTTCAACAACATAATCAGTACGGGAAACATAAACTAACTAGGCACCATGGTACTTTTTTGCGCCTCTACGCCGCTCCTGCTCCTCGCGTTCACGCTTCCCTTGCTCCCTTGCTCTTAGCTGTACTCGCTTCTCGTCGGCCGTGATGCGAGGAACAATGTCATCAAATGGGTTGTCCACGATTCTGATGCCCTTAATCTTTGGAGGGCTTCAAAGGCGCACAGGTAAATTAGTGAGTGTCCAGGCCCGGGGTGAAACGATGCATACTAGAGTGGGCGCCCATCGTCGTCGATTTCTAAATGAGGTTTGTTGAATGAAATCCTGTAAGAACTGATTTGAATCCGTACCCATGGCACCAATTTTCATCACATCTTCAACGGAACATGTCAACTCTCTCCAAGAAATTGATTGTGCATATGTGCACGTACTATAAATGGTATCGCCGATGCATCTGCCAAACAATGTGTGCTTGCCATGAAGCTCATCAGCTCGGTCTGAGTGACTCGTTTAGTATGATGTGTGTTTTGTTGGCAACTCACACTCACCTAGTGTGATGAAGAACTGCGAATCATTCGAATTTTTGGCCCCGTTATTGGCCATTGCCACCAGCCCACGATGCGCGAACCGTAACCGCGGATGGATCTCATCTTCAAATGGCTCTAGAGGACATGTTCATGCATCTGTCATCGAGTTGGAACCTCATGTACAACCCCAGCCTCAGTTCGAGGCGCAGACGTACCTCCGTAGAACGACTCCCCTCCTCCACCCGTTCCTGTCCTGTCGCCCGTTTGTACTAGAAAGTCCGGAACAACACTTCAATCCCGCCCGAAATCAGACCGATTCGAATGATGATTACCCGAGGTGTGCGTACCGGTGAAAGATGACACCATCATAGTACCCTGTATATGTTCATATACTGCAGTAGCATGCCTCCGTGCCAATCAACAATGAGAGAAGACTCACCTTCCATAGCAAGGGCTAAAAAGTTCCGACATGCTTTAGGCGTTTCCTATACACAGAAGCACCAGAGGTGTTTCACATAAAACAGCTCAGTACAAGAGGAGGTCACAAACTTTCGCCCATAGCTCAATACCAATCTCGCCTGCCGTCGTGTCGATGATAACACGGCCCTTAGTTGGAAGCGCCATGAAGTATACCCCGATAACAAGAGGCTAGTACAGAAGGTGAAAAGCCGGAAGATGCGAATGATGAGATTCAGTAGCCACAAGTGATGTGAACGCGTTGTTTATCTACAGCGTCTAATCCTAACAAACGTACACGTGGCCATAATAAAGTTCGCAGAAATCATCGTTCGCCCCCAAAGCGTACACTGACTGCTGAGCTATACTATTGAAAGATCAAACAGATAACATATGTCGCACGAGACGCTCCCGTGGAACGGGATTCACGATGCAATAGACTAGTACAGCACTACCAAACAATACAAGGGCCAGCAGAGGATGTCAGTGATGATTGATCTTCACTTTGAGCGAATCGGATTATACAAGGTCCCATTCCATCATTTGATGGGCCACTGCTACAAGGGGCCACAGCCTATCCGTTGAACTAGAAGAGAGTCTCAGATTTAAGCTTTGGATCAACGACTGATCACAACATACCCTTCCTCGTGTACTTTCTCTTGAAGCACAAAGTTCATCGTGATATGCCTAATGGGCTTGGAAGGCACATCCGTGGTTCCAAACGAGCAGTGGGCTATGAGTAGAACACCCATTCGCTTTCCAAGATAGACAACGCTATGGTCGACAGTGATAGGAGATGAAGAGGAAAATTTGTGCGACTCTAGAGCAAGGAGTCCTAAAACGACCTCGAGGCGAGTTTGTCTTAGTCGAATTGGAGATGAAACTCCTATAGATGGGTCTATAATTCTTCGATAGGGACCGGAAACTGTAGCTAGCACAAAACTTACCGGAAGGAGGCTGGGTCCCTTCTGATGGTGCATGTTTTGGGTCTCGCGTGACGGACTTGGGGGCCCTTGTATGTCGATATGTGAAGGTCGCATCGTGCGAGTATGCACTTGCGAGGCTCGAGCGATCTTTCTCGAATTCTATGATATAGCTGAACATACGAGACGTGAACATTGGATGAGACATTTATGCAGTTCACGCACGTTCTCAGGTATTCCACTGCGGCGGTCTCTAGCCTTGCAGTTTCTTTTTCATCTTCAGGCCAATCTTCGGAGGAACCAAAATCGTTACATGACTGCTGATCCGGCCCAGGGGGTGTGATAGTAGGTGAGGAAGTCTGAGGTACGGGGGATATGTGTGGAGTGTTCTGAGCCACGGTAGGATGACTGTTAACCAACATCCGTGTCTCAGTTTGAGTGTCATTGTCGAGGACGTCCAGTGGAGATTGTGAGGGTGTCGTCGACTTGTGAGGCGATCTCTCATCCTCTCCTGGATCAAAGGTCGGTTGTTCAAAGTGCGAGCCTGCCTTTCGGGAAAGATCGCTAACAGCGGTTGGTAGGGACACGCTAAGTGCAGGTGTTAATAAGCTACTCGGGTGCGGCGCTCTCTCTTCGAAGTGATCTGGGGACTGTACAACTGCAAGAGCATCTCGAATGGACTGGACACGAGAAAGACCCTTTTCACGGTAAGCGCTCGGCAACATCGTAGATCGCGAAGGCTGTAGCAGGGAAGATGGTGACCCAATTGTCTGCATCAGTCGAGTTGGAGATGCGGATAGTTCGCTCCTGATGGGCCTCATAAGCCTCTGTGAATCTAGCGGTGGCCCATTCCCGAACCATACCACGGAATCTGGAGGCAACGCACGCGGTTGTAGTGGACTAGCCGTAGGAATAGGCTGTCTTGAGGTTTCGCTTATGGCGGGCTGAGAAGGAGGAAGGGATCGCCTAAGCGGCTGAGGGGGAGAATTCAATGGTCGCTTTCGTTTTTGAGAGAGGGTGGAGAGGTACTCGGTGTGATTCATCGCATGAGCACGTTGGATAGTGCTAGCTAGATCGTACTGATCAGGTTCCAATGTGTCGTTCCACACTGACTTCGTGCTCTCCCTGAAGGTACTTTGTTTAGACAATGTATTTTGTGATCCAGGCATGATTCAGTACACACCAGTCAATAACCATCCCATCGTCTCTGTTGCGACCTTATATGGGTGTGGGTAGGTAAATGGCAGCTAACAAGATGCGCACCTGAAAAATTGGCGAACAATGGTCAAACCTCTGTTCACAAGCGCTTCGACCTCGCGCTTCGCCCATGATTCCCGGTGGCCCTTGTAGCCTGGGTATGGCTTGCGGCAATTGGTAGGTATGTCGGAGTAGAATTTTGAGCCTGATGTTACCAGTTTCCGTTGTGGCACGTACGGGGGCGAGATACTACGTTCCTTTTTCACTCGGGCATCTGGTGTTAGTGTCTTAGGAGACGATGCGTATGTCGAGTCTAACATGCTGCATATCGGTCAGAGGATCCTGGATAGTCGTGACTTGCGACATGAATTGCCCTACCGGCGATATCCGGCAGGGTCCGGCAGACGCGACATGTCACGTTACCGAACGGAGAGGTTCCTAGGGGTTTAGATTGGTCTTTTTCGTTCTTCACAAGGGGTCGAATTCTATCGTTCTAGATTGTCTAAAGAGAATGCGTGTCCTGTACGACAGAGGAGCGAGTGGAATGAAAAGTAGTATAAACCCGACAAGCACAACAACAAGATCTTATAATAAAAAGACGGAATAAATACACGAATCCCTCTATAGTCTAAAACCTAAAGTCAGATACAATACTCTACAAGCAGTGCTCTTGTCAAAAAAAACATTACTCCTCATAGTAGACATTGCTACTAGCCATTGGTTGCAGCATGCTGTACTTTTCTCCTCCTATGTGACATCAACCATCGACTTATGGGACAATCACTTGGTTGCCTCCCACAGCCCTCCAATATGCAGGCTGCTTGTTTCGTAGCCCTTGCAGCAGATTGAATAGGATCTGTCGCACCTGGGGCATATACTTTGCGAGCACCTGTGGCGAAGCATCTTCGCTCAAACAATTCTCGAGTACGCCGCGAAGCTCCTGTGGAATATAGTAAAGCTCGCTGCCAGTAAAAGATAAAATCAATCTTCAGCTGAATTTATGAGCAGATGGCGACGCACCTCATATCGATAGAATAGTACGCAAATGCAGTGACTGTAGCATTGAACTCTGTCCCGACGCGGACGTACACGTCGCTCACTTGCGACTCGTTTGCTTGATATGTGGACCACAGCTCCAACATCTCCTGCAGCCGCTTCGTCGTCTGAAGTAAGGTCGCGACGGCTCGGGGGACGTCCGCAGCTGGCTATGACATATGTTGATATGTCAGAATCCAGGGAAATCATAGAAACAGAGGATCTCACCATGATGTTTATCTGGGTTCGTCCATTCATGGGGGCGTAAACTGCAGGATAATTTCTTGTAGTGTACATAGCGACTTCTTATAGTCTCGCTGCGGCTTGGGTCTGGACCGAATTATAGGACAAGCAATGCGTCCCCGAGTGTCTGAATGGTCAAATTTGCAACGTGGCCGGCTGGATACCGTGGTTGGTTTCGAAGGGGAAAGATTATATAGAAAGGCAAAGAGGCGAAGAGTGGGGGACAGCAAGATACACTGTGCATGAAACGGTATCGCCGTGCATCACGCCGTGTCCGAGCACTGCCGCGGTTGCACAGATCACGACTGTAGTCGTGGATCATGATACCGATGATGGACGCGGCGGAGGCAAGTCGCTTGCCATTGCTGAGCTGGGATTGATGCAAGGACATTTGATCAAAGACGTATTGTGGCAGGAAGGTTCTGACTGCCCAGGTGCGGTGACAGACTGTGTTTCAAGTTTCAGACAAACCAACACGTAGTGCGTGAAACAAAAGATTTCCGGTGGATCTACATAGCAGTTCCATCGTGGTTGAATACGTGTGAGCAAGGAGGTGGAAACAACCGGATTCTCCGTCTCAGCGCCACATCTGATTTCACACAAGGACGGAAGTTGCATGGGCGATGCATTTTTCGGCGGGCTTGACTACGGCTCAACAACTTATGCAGGTGGGGTACCTGAGGTTATAATCACGAGTTCAGGTTTCGTATTCGAAGGCAAAGATATTTGGTGCCTTATGAGCAGGAAGGACATCGAAGCCGATGCAACTTGATACAACTTGATTATCATTGACGGCGATAAATACCAGCGAAAGAAGGGCCATCTAGGGGCGGGCTGTACCCTGGCAGAGTACCCCTTGATGCATCTTGTACATTAGTGAGAGATCGCTCACCATCACGACGACCCCAAGCCGATCAACCCAACTACAGCATCTGACGAAACAGTAAGTACATGTAATGATGTCGAGAACCTTCCTACCCATATGCGAGAAACTCGCTCTTATCCCGTAAGGTGCGGTACTATAATTCTATTAACGTTTCTGCATTGCAGGTAATCTGCGTCGTGGGTCAACTACTTCGACATCCTTGGTTTTGTTTATGTCTAGCTTGAAGCTAGGCTGCCGAATGAAGGAGTCGGGCTCAGTGAGACAGTAATTCGGTGAGTTGTGGAGGCACGGAGAACTCACATCCGACTTATACACATCCAGAAGTGGCTGAACTTGTCTCCATACCCAATTGTACTCGTTTAACATCTTGAGCTGCTGAGCGTGGTCTGCAGCTAGAAACCTCGCAATTCGCACTTGGGCGTCTTTGCTTGTGGTCCTTCGATATTCGTCAACCGACCGCGGAAACATGGCAAGTTGTTGGCGGCGCGCAGCCTCCTCCTTGATCTCTAGCTCCGCCTTCTGTTTGTACAAAGGAGCCAATGCCTTCACGTGAGCGTCACGTATCTGGCTCAGTTCATCGTTGAGTCCGCTAAGAGTCACCTTCCGCGAGAGCTTGTACAACCTCTGAATAAAAATGAATGAAACGTTTGATTGAGAGATGACAGGATCCACTCGCCCCCAATATCGCCGCAGGATCATCAAAGTCCACATGGGATGTCTGTTGCGATGCTGGGAGAGCAAGATCGTCATCATACTGGAGGTACCGATCAAGTGCTTCATCAAGATATTGATCTGCTTGATGCTTGAACAAGTTCTGAAGGTCCCTGTCATGGCGATTCTCGAGGTCTTTGATCTGTTGCTTGACATTGGCTAGAGTGACTGATTCACTCTTCTTCATTTCTGATAAACTGGCCAAGATCTCTATCATAGTTCCGTGCCGAAAGGAGGAGAAATACCTCGGGAAGTAGCTGCCTTTCTCTTCTAACACGTACTGAGCGAACTCGCGCTGTCTTAACGCGTCCCATCGCCGAGATGTTGATGCCATCCGTTCGGGAGCAGAGGATGCGATGAGATGAGGTGTTTGTACGCCGGAACGCAGTCACCTCTGGCCTGAAACACGATCCCTCCTGAAGTGAGGTTTCTAACAGATTTGAAATCACCAATATACAGATAGAGCAGCACGAACAGCGATGATGAAGCCGACGGTCTGAGCTGGTCTGAGCTGTGTTCGCTTATTCAGATGGGTTTGATGAACTCCATGGAAGTGTGATGACGGTAGCGCCGAGAGAAGTGTGACGCGAGGCGCGTTCCCCATCTTCCCCACTTTGCCCCCGACTATCATCGCTTCGTTTAGTCGGCGCTCTCCAGACCTGCAAGGTCAGCAGTAGAACAGCCAGCTCTTCATAAACTAACGTACGAATATCATCTGCAGGATCAGTCTGGTTGCGAAGGCCAATTGCTATACTCGTCTGTACCTCGCCCCACTACTGCATTCTGATTGAAAGCATAATAGGCCGGTGTGTCTGATGGCAGAGAAACGCGATAATCTGTTTCCATCTGGCTCCATTGGTCGTGTTCATGGCTCCCAACTTCAACGAGCATCGTCGCCCTCCCCATCACTGACTCGCGAGCCCCTTACTGCGCATCCTCTTCTATCACCTACCCCCTCCAGCACGGCAGTGAACACGGCTGATTCGGTAGAGGTGCACGGCGTATCTACTGCTCCTCGTTACGTGCCATACACTCCACGGCATCGTACAGCAGCAGCTACAACTGGGACATCCTTGCAATCGTCCGTGACCGTTTCGCCGCAACAGCAAAACGGTGGGGCAACAAGTAAACTCCAGCTCATGAACTTGAAAGCAGGAGCACAATCAGTCGGGTTGGACACTGGCAGCGTGGGCTGGGAGATATTAGAGAAGCTTGTCGGGGAGCATAATCACAGTCCAGATTGGAGCGATATATGGACTGCGCTTACAACAGGCAAGGTGTGAGGAACCGACTGGCATTCTCTAGCATGCATTAACTTGTGTCTAGGCGACATTGTTGCTTCCTTTAGAATCAGGATCACACGAAGACATCACGGCCGATTTCATGAAGGATCACATCGCGCTGTGCGATGGGGCTTCACGGAATAACGCATCCATGGTGACTCTATCTGGGCTCAGAGGGGTTCTCGTCGAGTAGGAATCTCTAGGCTTCATTGCTGCAATGGACTGATCAATCTCATAGCCAAACACTGACTCTACGATCTTCTCTTCGACCAGGCTCCAAGCCCTTTGAGGCTTTACTTGTACCATCCACTCGAGCTTCTGCCCTTGCTTCCTTACCCCCTTTACCTCCCACCTCGTCCTCTCCATTTTCGCAAACATACCCCACATTTACCCTGACCTCGCACACCTCGACACTCCCACTTATCCCGCATATTACGACTAAACCGCCGCTGCCCCCTCGGACTGCGCAACGCTCGGTTTCATCGCAAGCGACTTCATCTCGACTGTCCACATCGTTTGCTTCGCTATTTGGGAAATCCTCCACACCTTCCACACCTTCGCCAACATCTGCTGCCTTGCCTGAAACCGAACATGCAACTGATGTGAACGCATTTTCGATCGACAGACGTATCGTCAGGAAGGATGTTACTAAACACATTAACAGGGCACTGAAGGCTGAGATCAAGGAGACACTTTCGGTGTCCGGTGCACCTCCATGGGTCGTCGACCGTGTAAACGAATTTACAGCTGGCCTCTATCCCTTCACAAAAGGACTGCCACACTCAAAGGGCCCATTCTCACACGGTGAGAGTGGCTCTCCACCGTCACCTGTGTACATCATAGATCCACCGAAGGAGACCCCAGAGGAGCTCTCGCAGCAGTTCCAAGATTTCTACGATATTTTAGAAGAGGAGTTGCATACCGCAAAGAGTCCCACTACCGCCCGACCGAGAAACGAATCTTTCGAGGCCGAACAGGAGAAGAAGGCAAACACAAATTATACCGATGAGGTGTGGATCAGAGATATTCTGGAGGCTGTTGAACGTGTGACGTGCTCTTTGTTTTACGATAGGTCTGTCATGATATTCAATCTTTTGTGACTTGAGACTGAAGATGCATCTGAAGGCTGTATCTGCAACCTACTTCTGACGATGCATCACACGATGAGGCACTCTCGAGTCGCGTAGCTGCTCTCAACATGCTTGATTTAGGCCTGGAACACCTGGGTGTTGACGTAGGCTCGTCCAGCTCCGACGTGCAACTCGTTTTGAAGGGATGCGGCGAAAGTGAGGACGATCTAAAAACCTTATTGACTGCACCTGATAAATTGGATTTCCAGCGTTGTCCCAACTGGAAGAGTCGGCTTGTAGGTGCCCTGCAGACAAGGCAGCGATACTTGTTGCCGCTCATAAGATCCTTGTTGGTGCGTGCATAGATTGGCGAATACACTGTCCATTGTTCATTTGTCATATCATCCTCGTGAAGATGGCCTGTCGCGGTTACCACCGATACGTTTGAAATCTGAAGCCGAACTTGAACACCAGAAAACACCAAGAGCATCCTCTGGAAGCACGGCGAACGGTATCACAAACTCGGGATCTGAGCAGATATCTGACGTCCCCGAAACTGCACTCTTGATGACAGGAATGGACATGCCGCCACCAATAGTTGTTTCCCCTGAATCTGACCTTGCAATGCGTATTCCGTCCCCAATCTCCAATGACACGACAACACTTGATATTCAGAGTTCTCCATCAACGCTTTCGATATCCCTGCTCGATCCTCGACCCCCATCACCTCGCCTCACGATCTCCCCACCACCTTCTCCAACACCAGTCTCTGGCGACCTTATCCTCCCCTTGATGATCTATGCAGTAGTAAAGTCCAACCCTCAGCACCTCGTCTCACATCTCCTGTTTACGCAAAGGTTTCGGAATCAAAGGTTCGGCGGGGAGGAAAGTTACTGCATCGTTAACATCATGGCGGTCGCTGATTTCCTTGAGAACGTCGACTTGAAGGCGTTAGGCCTAGGCGAAAGCGAGAAGAAGGTTATGAGGTATATGTCCATCCAGTCCCACAACAAAATCCTAGCTAACGATGTGATTGCAGCACTGCTGACCTTACTCCTATTCCTGTCACCCGTGTTGCTCTGGGCGCTCAGTCGCCTACTTCACCGCAGGGTGTCCCCGCGCGCCTTCGTGGACGCGTCGAGCAGCAAGTCGACGCCATCGCTGGTTCAGCAAACAAAGTGATCTCTGGCGTAGTCGATTCTTCCTTCGGTGTCCTCCGCGCGCTGCTTCCAGGCACAGTGGACGCTCAACAAGCCGTTGCATCCGTGATTGATCAGGATGCCGCACCTTGGAACGTTGCCCGCCCTGGTTTCGGTTTACTCCGTCGTGAGAGTGGTTTCTCCATCGCGAGTCTTGCAGCATCACTGCCGGGTCGTGAGCGCGCCAAGTCGATCAATAGCACAGCTGCTGTCGAGGAATCCGGGCAGATGATGGTGGAAGTAGCGTCTAGACCTGGATCGGTGCGTTCCGCATACCTATCCGACGCAGAGGAGAGCGAGGAGGCCGAAAGTGAGGAAGACGAAGATGAAGAAGACGAGGAGGAAGACGAGGAGGAAGGACAAGATACCAGAAGTATAAAAAGTTTTGAGAGCATGATGGGCAAGAAGCATCGCAGGAGGAACATCAAGGCGAGGAAAACATTGTCTGATCGGCTTGCCAGTATGCCAGGGCTTTCGAGACTATCAGGTGCACAACCAACCGTGGTCCGTATACCTTTGCTTCCACTGCACTTAACTGCACACAAAGCTCACTTAATTGTTGTCAATTTTAGGGATCTCCGCCGGCCTCACGACGGTCATCACTTCTACCAGCACCGCCCACGTCCAACCGATTTGATACGCCAATTTCATCTCGACCCCACTCGCCCATTGGTATAAGGCTAGCCCCGCCGAATAGACGATTCCTGGAGTGTTCTGAGGACGATCTCAAAGTATCTGAAGTCAGAGAGCTTTTACGGGAGTATAAGCGCTTGGCAGAGGGTGTGAGAGCGATGGGTGGGTTTGAAGAATGATTTCCGTATTACGCATCGAGCCTATCCTGTTGGTACGTCTATCGAACAAGCTGCAACAGACTACAGCGCACCGACAGACAATGCAACATAGAACAGATGCCTAACATACGTCACCATCAGGATTTTAAATTGGATATAATTAGCAGAAATCAATCGCGTCGAGGGAGCGTAGAGCAGTAGTCAAGCTTTCAGAACTGATGTAAACGGATTTATAGTAAGATATAGAGATGTCCATTACGCCTTGGTGTCTCGGGGGAACTCAATGGGTTCTACGTGCTCGTACTCGTGTGTCCACAGAATATACACCAAGAAAACAGGCCCGCTAAGCAAATCCGCAAAACCATAGTAGATTGCCGTATCTGCCGTTGATATCACACCCCAACCTTCCGAGAAAGCCCAGATGATGGGATATATGGTCCATATAGAGGCTAGGGCAAATATCGATCTAACATGCTGCATTCGTGTCTGATACGTCGAGGTGGAGTGTGCACCGTGGACAGTATTGGACAGGAGATGGCCGCTATAGAAATCAAACTGTCAGTTTAAAGAAAGTAACATTAAGCAGCATCTTCACGAACAAGACATTGAACAATGCTGAAACACTCATGATAAAGTAGGCCCATTTGTATTGCTGCGGAGCAAGGGTCCCAAATAGGCCGAGTACGACAGCAGCATCGGTCATCAACAGCGGAAGGAGGCTATCGATCAGGGGAAATCCTGCGTGGACAGAGTAGGTCATGATGACAAGGGGTGCGTTGAAGAACCATTGTGCATAGCGCGTATACTGTGGGTGTGGATCAATAATTTGCGAAGACAATGGCATAGAGGAAATTACGGACCAAAATGGCTTGTGCGCCGATATAATCAATGTGCTCAGAGCAAAATCGTGATGCTATAGAGAAGTAAAATATCAAGGACGATGTCAGGACGGCTAATGTTATCCGATAAAGAATCGCGTTAGAACGCTTTTGAAATCCCGAAGACGCATAAGTGGGAGCTGTTTTGTCGAGTGGACACAGACAAACCTTTCTTCGATACATGAGAAGGACGCCCAAATCACCTACTGACATGCAGATGAAGTCCAGCCACGGCCAATTCAACAGCCCAGATGCATGATTGAACAGCTGACATAGGCTGGAAGTCGTGGGTAGCATCATACTCAGACATGCAGCGTGGGGTTAGAGGAGAAGGAAGTAATCTTCCCGTGTTGGAGGATCGTTGACCAAGAGCGTCTCGAAGATAGATGCCATGCTTATATACTTGTGCGGCACGCAATACGAGAGTGGGTTCAAGACAGGGTCATACCTGGCCGAGTGTGCCGAGCGGGGCTATTAGTTGTCGACACTTGTCAGTCTGGGTTCAGAATGCTACTGCTCAGGGGCAGGCAGCGCGTGAGCATTGATGGAAGGTATAACTGAGAAACCCCAGCTTGAAGAGAATAAGTCAACATCCAGGTCTGACTGGAAAGCGATAGATTTTGGTTGGAAGAGAAATTTATGCATCACAATTAGTTAACCATTCAAAAGGAAACAGTTGTGTCTGCCCCGCGGGGTGCCCGGGTGTATACAGACGACATGCGGAGAAATACAGGGTGCCGTCGAGAGTTGCACGGAAGAGCTTGAGTCCCGCGGCTGGAGGTAGCCGAGGGATGGATTATGACATCTCCAGATTACAGCATCACCATTAGACGCCGCCATGTGTCAATTTTCCCATACGCCAAGCTAATCGCAGCCACTTTAGGAAGGTTGAGGGCTATCCGGCAACACCGTCAACGACGATATTGACAAGAAAACGACAAGATGGTGAGTGTTGCCGCCGTTATATTGCTGTGGGGGGTTATATTTGTCGTTGGTGATGGAAAGAATGTCGGATCAGTCGATTCGGTAAAGTTGGAAGGATGGATGGGCTGACCTTCGGATGGATGACACCCCCCTCTCACCCACCGCTTCACTATTGATTTGAAGTCCTTCGGATGCTGACTCCTCTTTGTAGACGAAAGGTCTGTTGGAAACTGGATTATCAGTTGTAAAGAGGAAGGCTGACGTCGTTCTGCGTTTCGGTACCTAGGTACATCGTCCTTTGGGTGTGTGTTTCTCATTTTCCTCATATCACACTTCTGCTAATAGCCATCCTACAGTAAGCGACACACCAAGTCCCATACTCTCTGCCGCCGTTGCGGGAGACGCGCTTTCCACAAACAGCACAAAGGTCCGGATTTTTAAATAAAATAAATTTTATAAATCGCATCTCGGTCGCTTACTTTTGGCCTCATCGTACACAGAATGTGCGCAGTGCGGCTACCCTGCCGCTAAGCTGCGGTCATACGAGTGGGGTCAGAAGGCCAAGCGCCGAAAGACCACTGGCACTGGTAGGATGCGGTACCTCAAGACTGTGTCTAGGCGTTTCAAGAATGGATTCAGGTGAGTAATGTAACATATCTGGATCTAACAAATCATATAACTCTTCCCTGTAGGGAAAACACTGTTGCCAAGAAGGTCGTCCGTGCAGCCACGTCGTCTGCATAAGCTTCGCGGCCCATCTCTTCCTCTATGCTTTCTTTTGTCACGCCCTAGCTTTCCTTATCACTCGATGCACAAAATACATGATCCATGCCAGGCTATGCATGCTCGATTCAATCATTCCCTCATCTCCCTGTTCAAAGTGATACATCAATAATATTGAAGGTGAAATCATAAAACACAGTCGACCGTAGGTGTCTGTAACTTGGATCAGCGCACTCGAAGATCGCTTGTCGATTCAAGCTGGTGAATCGATTGAGACTTCCCTTACAAGCTCTCATTAGGCGCACTTGACGTATGTGTTAGAATCTGGTACATCTCAATGTTTGGGTGCCTTTTTTGGATTGTTTGTCTTTCAGGGGCTGAAGTCGATGCATAGACCGTTCCCGTGCGCATGCCACCCACTGGCGAAACACTGAACGCTTTGAACAATAGGTAGTGAGCCGGTGTGGCGGGTGGTCTGCTAACCTTATATAAACTCGCTGTTGAATCCTGAAGAGCCCACCGCTCCCTATCTTCATTCACTGCACGCTCACACATTATCCCGGAGCATTGTTCCATCTGGCAATGGTAACCTCTTCTGCGACGCGTCCGTTTATTTCCCGACCCTATCCCCTTCAGAAGACAAGGCCCACTCCGACATCGGTCACTCCTGCCACTACTACGCACGCGCCGACTTCCCAAGTTGGCTCAACTAGCGGCAAGTTTTTTAATTGGATACGCAAGGACACCAAGCGCGACAGCCCGGAGAAGGAAACTAGCAAGAAGCGGGCTCGTGACGGCGATGAGAACAGGCATGTCAATGTGGCCTTCACGCCACGGATGCGTCAACGGGTGACATCCATGTCTTCTATCAATACTATCCGAGCCACCCCTCAGCAACAGACGAATGCTCCGGACAAGGACTATACCAGAAGGGAGCGTCGCGAACCGAGCACGAAGCGGGACCTCGGGGCCATCAATCCTAGTCGTGATCATTCATCCAGCGCTGTGGAGAACAATACACCCTTGGACACTCCTGCTCGATCTCGCACTTACAGCGCAGCCACCGGCGCGAGGACAATCCCTAGCGATGCGAAGCCATTCGCGGATAGTGGCAACGTGGATGAAGCAGCCAGAGGAAAGTCTGGACGCGGCCTCCGTCATGTGGGTAAGGTCCATTTCCCCACTCAGGACCAAATGAGCGGCATGAAGGAACCTGGGTCACTCGCCTTCAAGCCCGCCTCTCGCATCCCGCTGCCGACTTCGCGCCCGCCGACGTCTCCCGCTTCCAGTGCTGTGTCTGCCAGAGTCGCCCCTTTAAATAGCGGGCCTCGATCGGGTCGATATGATGGTTCTACGCAGATATCCATGACGGCAGCCATGGCTGTCCCGCCGCTCACATCTCGGTTCCCTGATGAAGAATTCCATAGCGGTCTCCGCATTCGGGAAGTGTACTATGGAGAAAATCATTTTCCTTTTGTCATGACTGCTAAGGACCGCGCTACATCTTTCTACGATGAAACGCTCTTGCATCGCTACAAACTCGATTTGTCATTCTCGAGCAATCACACAGAGTATTGGGATGTGCCTGAAAGGTGGGTGATGTCTTTTATCAATGTGTGCTGAGCCACTGACTGTCTCATTGATTTCTAGGGGCGTCATCGGCTGGGAGGCAACTCTCCACTTCACTGATACTCAAGGGGACGGAACACACAACACACTAAGGCCCCCTATCGATTACCTTGACATTCTCTGCAACCGAATCAACGAGCATGCCTCTCCGCAAGTTAGCGTCGACCTTCCCTTCTCAACTTGTTGGATTGGAGAACGTCGTACGAGTGATACAATCGAGCGCACGCAGTTTACTATGGACCCTTCCAAGGGAATTATCGTGAGACATGATTGGGAACAGGTCAAGAGCTCCCTGTCAACCGAAAGGCAGTGGGACCTCAAATTCTGGGTTCCCGTTCCAGATTACCTCTTCGAGGGTATAGAATCTCGATTCTTCAGATTGGAGGCCCAGGCTTGCGCTTTCGAGAGGACGAGAGGGAAGAGGGTCAAGGTATCCGGCGAAATATTTGGCAGCGTCTCGTGTTTGAACAAAAACAGGAATATGTATAGCTCGCTCCTCAAGAGGGCTTGAGCTGGGATTTTCGCATCGGATTGTCCTTGAAGGACATGTACACAATCTTTTTAGGTGGCTCGGTGGCACTCCAATGGTTATGTGATTCAATCGGTTCTGCCAAGTTTATGCATCCTTCTGTACACATGTAGTACAGCTCTGACTCTCATTTGAACATGAATATCTATTTTGATATAATGCTTGACAGCATTACATTATTGTATGATGGCACTGGTAGATGTCGCGGAGTTGAACACTCGCCTCCTGTAGGGTCTCGCAGCTGTGCGTCCCAACAAGAGACTTCCTCCGGATGTCATGTTTCGCTCGAACAAGCAGCTTGACTAGACATAGCCTCCGCATCCTTACACAGAATACAATCGCTCTGGGAACGCATAAGCATGTTCACAACGGTGATTTCGGTCCGATTCTGCATTTTGCAAGATATTGGAGCTATTACATGAGCATGGAGGAGGCCAAACGTAGCATGCAAGATTTGTTTCTTCGGAGGGTGTCCATCTAGTTACTTCAATTTGAAAATAATGTCTGGTGCTCGAGGAGCTTGGCACATTCATAGAATGAAAATTTCGTCATAGGTAGCCCTGAGGCCGCATGTGACTCCATCGTACACATTGTCCATGCCTAGTCGACACATTCCTCCCGTTGTTGCTATACTGGTGTTTAAATCCCGGGATGACCCTAGACACAGCAAATGAGGAAATGGTAGGCTCACAGGTGTCCGGCGCAGGGGATGTGGCAAGGCAAACCAAATTTTGACATCATAGGTATGAGCGGATAGAAGAGGAGCGCCTAGAAATGTAGAGGAGCGCTCGCTGTCACTACAGCATATGACATCATCACTAGGCTCACCGATCTGGCAGTGCTCCTCGAGAGGACGGCCTCGCGTCCGTCCGTATTTCTTCGTTTGTTGTAATGAGTTAGCGCATCTTCTCTTGACTGACAGCAGCCATGGTCAATCCGCTCACAACTCAGCAGGTGCAAGATGCCGCAAAGGCACAGGTTGACGTTGGGAGCGAGACGCTGATCATATCGAACGTCTACGTGCGTGTGCTCTTTCCTCGCAAACGACACAGAGATCATTGACCGACCCACTCATATAGCTCTGGAGGAACGATCAGCCGCGATTCCTTACTACAGCAGAGGAATCTTACGCGGCTACATTGCGCGGCGCTCGCGCAGCCAACCTCAAGCTGACAATCAAGCGGATCACTAACTCAACTGACGGGGAATCCCTGGAATTCTCTATCCTCCCTTACATTGTCGCCGTGCATGTCATCCGAACTCATGAATCTCTACCCTCCACGCCTTCCGCCGACGATCCACCTCCTGATGCTCCTACGTCCAAGCATTTTGCCTGGCCTTCTCCAGCCCCGTCGATGGTTCCAGAACTCACCGAAGAATCTGCTGGTGCGAGGGGTTTTTTCTTCCCTCGAGAAATGGACAAAGGGAGTGCTCTGTCGTTATCAGCATGGAATGGCCCGCGATGGGGTGGTCTGCGGAATGGAATTGACGACACGATCACGTTTAACGCAGTGGTGGAGTTTGAGGGCGGTATCTTTCTGAGAAGTGGAGATGAAAGATTGAGAATTGTAAGCTAGGTAAGCTCTCACGGACGTCATCAATATGCCTGCATTGAAACTTGAAAATCATCTTAGCACGTCACCTGCGGGAATGTTGTAAAATTATAGATACACGGATAAGGTCTCACTGCGTCACCGCGAAATATGCATCAAATGACTTCTGGGTATGTTGATGCTGTTAGACAATGCATCGATATGCAAGACACACGGGGCTCAAAATCAAGATATGAAATGATGTTCTCCTGAATCTCATCATCGACCTTCGGGAGTTCGTTACAATTAAGCATACAGACTTACAACGATTTCGCCTCAACCTACGAGGTCCCATCGCTCAAGTCTCCGCTAGCTTGATAATATGCTTTATGTAGTGCAGTTTTGCTGGCCAAGCGTTGAGCGCAGGAATCACAACGAAAAAGATAAATCGTTCCGTGGGTCACTTCTGGACTAACCCGTCCCTTGTCTCAGTCAATTCAGTAACGAGGGGACAATCATCGAGTCTCAGCAAGCCTGCGAGATTTGATGTCGTGTCTGTTAACAGGACATGATGTAAATATGATGAACATGGCTTCCGAGGAACCCTTGCCATCGTGTTTGAAATAGGCAATGATACGGAAACAACGGGGGGGGGGCACTCACCGGTAGATGTCTCGTTGCAATGGAGTCAATAGTTGAGCTCTAGGTGCTACTTCCCAGTTTCCATGAAGCGGATTCTCCATGTGAGCTCTCTGGCATCTTTCAAGAAGGTGGGCAGCGGTGATGCCTTTCAACAGCATAATACACGAACATCGACGACTGTTTACTTCGTCGGAAGATTCAGGAGGTATGACGGAGTCTTCTATTTTATGTTATTCGACTCGAGGCATGGCAGGATACAGAAGATGCCAGATGATGACAGATGGTGTCGAAGGGAGCCAACTCGGGTCTTGGGGCGCGAAAGAAAAGCAGAGGCTGCAAGGACCCCGTGCACTCCAGGGCGCTTGGGAATATCACGAATATTGTGCGTTCGAGATGTCATCATGGATAAATACGAAAGTCCAGCGTATGATGGCGTCCATGTGCCCTTGCACAGGAGCCCTTAGTGATACCGATACACACGACCTCTGGCTAGGAAAGCAATGTATCTCCCTGCTTCCATACACAGATCGCGACAATGGATCTGATCAATCCTGATCAACCCGATAGAGGACTTGACATGGAATACTTATATCAACCTTCATGCCTCAGGGGTCGCAAGTTTCACGGCTTGACGTCTGAAAACTATGAAACAGTGAGTAATTATGCTGGGAGCAACAGCCTTGAAGACTGCTACAGACGACGTTGGTCACCTGGGCATGTGGTCGGTTATAGGAGAAAGTTTGAACATATCTCTATTCCTTTCATCATCGTCAATGTGTATGTCCTGGCACCACCCTCAGTCACTCATCTAGGCATGAGATCCTGAGGGATTTATCGGAACTTACCCGAACTACAGTGACTTCGACGGGGCCATTTGTTATGTGCATTGTGGACAGTATGCCACTGCTCGATGTGTCGACGTTGCGGAGAGACATCCGCCCGTTGAGACTGACCAAAGATGGGTCGATCGTCATTCATAAGAAGTGGGTATGGACACGCACGATGCGAAGAAAGAGTTCGAGTACACTGGAATGAAGAGTTAGTTGGCAAAGGCTACCTTTGTACGCACGCAGGAACCTCACGTTTCGCGTAGAAAAAGGAGACGCCGATCCACAAGTCTAAAGATGGTGTCAATGATCAATCATATATTTCGACTTGAACATACATGTATGCGAGAGCGCTGTGACCTGTGTGCGTAGGAGGCATTGATAAGTGTATTGAATGCATCATCGGAATCTCTTACTGCGACGAGCATGACGACGGCTGAGACGCTGTAGATATCCATGTTTTGAGCTGCTAACAGAAAACTTCCGATCATCGTACCTCGTAAGGAGACCAGTTTCTACAGACAGATCAGTCTCAATTTGATGATCCAGCTATTGCGAACTAACCTATAGTCCATAATATGAGCCTGTTGACCAACTTGGACGAGCTTCACGATATGGGTAAGAGACTAGACAGGGATAACAGGATCTGGGTCTCGAGACTAACAGCATCGTTTCTGGTTTTTGCTTCCACAGTAGATACGTCAAGGATCCTGTGTTGACAAAGTCCACAAGGACATTCAAACCAAGTGCCGTCATGGGCAACCAGTTGTAGCGCGCAGCAAACTCCGTCAACGTCACTTTTTGTGTGAGGGGATACATGCTGATCAAGCAGATCATCTGCAAAGAAGAGCCTGTCCAAGACACGATGGATATCGAGAGACACTGTGAGAGCACATAAATCCGGTACGCGAACCAGGCCTACGAACCGACGAGTTGTTCAAGTTATCATCGCAAGAGGGATGTATGCAAACCTGAACTGTAGCGCCGATGAAACCATTGAAAATTGCCGACAAACCCAGTGTCCAGTGATGCACTATGATAATGTCGATATCTCCATAGTGCCGCACGGTCAGGCGGTAGAGGTATGTCCAAGTAAAGGATGTGTGAAGGGCTTCGGCCACCCTACAACCTGGCTCAGCAAGTAGCAAACAGAATAGACGCAGTACGAACCAAAGGGCAGGGACCTGATGAAGCTCAATCAGCGTTGGATAATAAGCTAAGCGAGATGACGCAAGCTCAACCGACCATGATTCGTATGAAAAGGTTATCTCTGAAGGCATTCTTGTAGTAGAGATAAACTTGTACACTTGTGATACCGAAGAGAACAGACGAGATAAGGGTCCCAATCTCAACAGAGCCTACCGTGAGCTCGATGGCCGACATCGACAAGAGCACGCACTCTGATATGTACAAAAAGATGAAAGTGAGGGGGGCAAGACCGCGAAAAGAGAGATCGATACTGCACCTTCTCTATATACCACTGGTGATGGACTAATCAGTGATCAAGTTCTTCTGATCGGAACTTGAAGCTTGAGACCTTGAGGAGTCGGCGGCAATTCTTAGGAAGCATCGGGTGCCGTAAGTGGAAGCGGTGCACTTTACATCACTATGCCGCCCAAAGACAAGTGGGGCACCGGACCACGACCAACCTAAACCCCGTGACTGTGATGGGAGAGAAGGTACAAGTGTGCACGAAGAAGGCGATCAGCTGGTGTTTTCGAGACATTCAACAGTGGTCGGCGCGAAACATCGGCGTAGAGGATAGCGACCAAGTGATAGCTTATCCAACTTTGTATCAAGATTATGCAGACAAAAGTCCTTCGAGTCTTTCTAAATAATCGCACTTGTCCAGTGACACTGTCGACGAGGCACCGGTGCCGAGTGTGGTCTAGGAGGGTCTAGTGTTTTTGCCTTGGATTGGATATTAGGGTTGAAATTCACGACTTGGCCACCTATTATATATCAAGGCAATATGGGAGCATGGTAGGAGCGCATCAACTGGATCAAATCTGCAGGCGTGGCCTTCGTCGTGGCAAACGCCAAACACTCACGGGTCCGTGGGCTCCATGATGGGTGAGTCCACTGTGAGTCCATGATCATTGGGAAAAGGATCTTGAGTCCCGCTAGCCGAGATCCTAGGAGAGCATGAATATTCCTGTAGATCTCGTTATGGTGAGCAAGATTGTCGGGGCTAGATGAGAGTGAACGGACTGTAGGCGGTCACTCACAAGCTTCAAAATAAAGCGATCGGACGATCTGCTGCATCAGTCAGCATCGGGCTTGCATCTACTCACAATGCACAACTCATCATCTGCGCTGCCCTCGGAAAGGGTTCAAACATTCACCAGCTACCTCCGGGCCTCACGACTGCTTCACGTGCCAACTTGGAACGAACAACGGACACCGGTACAGCATTGCTACAATCGTGCGTGCGAAATACAGAACCGTACAACAACAAAAAACACCCACTGATTTCAGCCTCTAGTCGAACAGCCCCGTCTCATCTGCATTCAGTATCAATCTGGCGAAGAAGCGGATCATCTCCACGAAGCCTTCCCCTTTGATTGCTGCGGCACGACAGATATCGCAATTGCGTGGGAGTGAGCAAAAGATCTATGACCGCCGTGCTCGTAATGAAATGGCTGACCTTCATTGATCGTGTGTGCGCCGTTGTACGCGTCCTCCGTGCCGCGATGGCCATAGCGGAATATGTGCCGCGTGAGATTCCAATAATACCTCGTATCTATGGAAGGAAAGATAAAGATTTAGGAGTGATGTAATGATGTACACCTTACCTGTGTTGCCTGTTATTCGCACCGGCGAAACGGTAAGTAACCAGAAAGTGAGTACTTCCCTTCCGGATCAGGAATCTGATCACGCACCCAAGGACAAGCCAGGCACGACCACGGCGTCTTTCTCCGCATACTTGCTCCTTAGCGCCGTCTCTAGAGTGGACAGTATGGTTCCAGATAATAGCTCCCACGGACCATTGCCCGCCGTGGGCGAGATGGGCGCTGGATCAAGCGCGGTGCCATACGCATCTGTCAATTTGACACGGCCGACGAAGTCCTCGTCATCCCTGTTGCCGTGCGCGAATTGCTTACCGAAAGCTTCGAACGAGAGGTTAAGACGCGAGGCAATCGGCGCAAGCAGATCGACGTAGCGCATTTGCAGGGCAACAACAGTGCTTCGCATCTGCGTCAGCCTTGATGCCAAGTGCGGAGCGAGTAAAGACGACGAGAACCGCACCTATGGTCCGCAATGCGATGATCCACGACCGCCCACGCGCTTTCCGGCAGCGCGTTCACTTTGACACCGCCTCCGACCAGATCTACCGCCTGCGTCGTTCCCGTGACGGCCCTGAACCGACTCTCATCGGCGCTGGTGAGGACATCCTGCAGAGCGCGCAAAGCGCCGTCGTTCAGCCGTGCACGATCGATCAGGTCTCGCGTTTCGTCCGAGAGCCCAGGGTCGTGTGCGGCAGTGCACTGCAGCGAGCGGAAGTAGGTGCTGTTTCTGTAGAGAGTCGCAGGGAGCGGGTTTGCTTCGAGAGAGGTTATGAGTGCTGAGAGGAGACCAATGCTCTGAGGGGGGACAGTCTTCAAGGTGGGCCAGCAGACAGGTAGAGAGGAAGAAGGATGGACGAACTGTGTGGGGAGGCGGCACGCTAGAGTGCCCACCAGGAGTCGTGACCTCGATGCGCACATTTAGCTTGCCTTTTTCTGCTACACTGGGGGCTGAGAATATGACTCCATTGCGTTCTTCGTATCCTCCTAGTGAGATACGGGGAAAAAAATCTTTGTTATCAGACTATGAGCATTTATGATTAACGTAGAGGTGCCTACCCCCCTCGTCGACCAAGAAGGAAAATGCGTGTCGTCCATAGGTCTTCAGAAGGTGATCGCGGATGTGCGACGCGCCCTATACGAGGATGTTGAGACCAAACAAACACACTCTGCGGAGGGAAACTCACATCTACACCACCCCGCTCTTCGTCGATGCCATACGCGAGCACGACCGATCTTGCAGGAGAGAATCTTTTCTGAAGCAGCGACTCCACAGCTGTTCTATATTCGGCGTATGTAAGCTTCCGAGAAAATGGACGTCCTGAATCGGAATACCCACAAGCTAGCAATGAGACCTGATTTGTCGTCACAGCTTCCACGACCCCATATCCATTCGCCTACCCGCCGCGCCGCATAGTCAAGTACAAACCTTTTGGCAGGCAGAGGAGGCAGCTTACCATCGAAGTAACCTGAATAGGGCGGCTGAATCCACTGATCTGCAGTGCGTGGGTCCACCGGTACGACATCTGTGACAGCCTCGAGAATGAGGACAACAGAGAAAACATAGGAATATGTTTACCTTGATGCGCGGTCAGAAGCACGGGTTTCAACGACGCGTCTGTCCCTTGCCAATGATATACCAAGGCAAACTGGTTCACGACTGTTTTCAGCAGGTTTGCATGTCTAAAACAAGGTGTTCAATTGGTCTGCTGGAATTAAAGAGGCAATGGCACGCATACACGAGAGGGAATCTGTTCTGGAGGTAGTCGTGAAGGAGCAGACGCGTTTCCCAGCGTGGATCTTCGCCGGGTTTACCAAGATCATCGTACGTTTCCGTTCTGTGGCGTATACGCATCTTGTGTTCATCCGAGTTCTGTTGTAACAGTCGAGAGGTTTACGCACGGTATTCTTACTGCGCCTCCCAGACTCTCGTATGCCCATAGCCTGTACTCCTCTGTGCTGAGTTCCTCGTCCAAGGCGTCCGCTAGCACTGCATATATCTCGGGCGCGATCGGGTCAACTTGTGGGCATAGCGTAGGCTCGTCGAACTTCCAATCCAAGGCGACGATAAGAGCGTCAGACATGCTGAAAGAGATCGCCTTCAGCGGCGCAGGGTGCAGGAGAAGGACCAGGACTGCGAGACCGATGACGATCTGAGACAGGTGCCATGCACGGAGGAGGTGACGCCAGTAGTTAGCGCGAGAGTCTTGTCCTTCGTCAAGCTCGCCTCGGCCAGCCATGATTCTCCTGTCCAGCCCGAAGGCGACCTTTTCATCGTGATCAGAGTGAAGAGCGTTCGTCCCAGACTCCATACTTCACGAGAGAAAAACCCTGTTTGTTGGACTTATCGAAGAGTCAGTCAGAGGGAAGGGGTGAGATGAGCAGCAAACGCCATTCTGGTTCTCTAAGATGTTCCTCATGAGAGTCGAAGACCGTAACGGCTGGGAGCGGGCCCGGAACGCACGGCAGCCACGTGCACGTGGACGCTCCGAATTTCCATTCGCAGACGAGCAGTTGCAGACGTGAACGGTGTCTCCTGCACACACAACAGATGTCTGCCCTCACGGCAGCGGCACACTCCCGTGCCTCTCTCCACGTCATATATATCTCAAAGCATGTGGGTCCCTCGCTGCTCCAGCTTCAGCAGAGAAGAGGATATGCCGCAAAGCCGAAGAAGGCTCAAAAGAGAGTGGGAGGGACGAAGGTTGGCGGTGAGTGTCTGCTCTCTGACGTTGGCTGCGTGCCCGATATTATTTGGAGCGCCATGCTCATGGTACTGAATCTCCTGCATAGCCCAAGGCTTCCATGGTTCAAAGAAGGGCAACAGCGGCGACCCACAGCACCGATCAAAACCGGAGAAGAGCATCGGGGTGCGTTTGACTGTCTCGGGATGCGACTTTGTATTCACTTTGCGCCCTGTACCTAGGCGTTTATGCCCATGCCCGTCGGCCAGCTCCAGAATCCTATATTCAGGGACCAGCGAGTGGAAGAACTGAATTTGGCGACATTTTACCCCGTTCGTAACACCTGCCTTCGTAGATGCCTCGCGATGGAGTTTGCTCACGTTAAAGCGTCGAACAGGCAGCCCTGACGGAGCACAATCTAGGGCAAGCCATGGTGCTTCCCATGCCGGAGAATGCGCCTGCACGCGTGTTCGGTGTACCGAGGAATATCCTGGTCGAGGTACGTCTCGCTCAACTCTCGTGCGCGCCCTGGCGCTGACTCGGGTTGAAATTTGGCGCAGTATCGGATGTTGACGAAACCTGTTACCGTCGTGCGGGACGTGTCGCTCATAGTTGCGGACAAGCTGCAGGCTGCTAGCCAGGAATCGAGTGAAAAGCATCGGATGGTATTCAGTAAGTAGCTTTTCAGCATGGGGCGTCGCGTGCAATTCTGAATGGTGCTCCGTAGCTGGTATGAAGGGGAATGGCAAGAGTTCTCTGTTGCTTCAGGCTGTTGAGTTTGCTAGGTCAAACCGCTGGATCATCATGTACATCCCTCGAGGTACGTGCCCCCACCTACCCTTGGACTCCTCTAGTTTGACGCGACGTTCCATCATCAGCCGTCGATCTGGTCAACTCAACGACACATTACACCTATGACCTGCGGACACAGACCTACCTTCAACCGGTCTTCGCATACCAGACGCTGCAGCGCTTCAAGACGGTCAACCTCTCGGCGCTGCAGTCCCTGACTACCGAAAAGGTGATCGAAGTCGAGAACAGGTCTCCCGTACCCGTTGGAACGAAGCTCGCGGACTTGGCCGACATCGGCCTAAACGACCAGGCCGTGGCGCCGACGGTGCTGTCTGCGCTGATGGAGGCGCTGGGGGCGCAGACGCAGTATCCCGTTCTACTTGCCATCGACGACTTCCAGGCGCTGTTCACGAACACGACGTACCGGGACCCGCACTTTGCGATGCTCAAGTCGTGGCATCTGTCTATGCCTCGGCTGCTCATGGAATACGCCGGCGGCGAAAAGACCTTCGTGCGTCGCCCTTGATATTTGACTACATCGCGTATTTATGTAGACCGTCCTGTTGTAGGCACGGGGTGCGGTCCTCGGCGCGCTGTCTTCCACCAATACCGCGTTCAAGCTCAATGCGCAGCTGGGTCACGCGCTCAAGCTGCAGCCGTGGAAGAAGCCCTCGCCGTACCTCAAGATCCCACCCGAGATCCTCCGGTACACCAAGGGCATCGAGCGGCTGAGAGTCCCCGACCGTCTGCAAGTGAACGAGGCGGCGTCGATATTTGAGGTGTGGTCGAAGACCAAGGCGCTGCACACTCGTGAGTCTCCCGTTGCTGTGAATCTGTATAGAGACTGAATCGGGATACTCGTAGACGCGGACGACGGGCTGTTCATGGCGAAGTATACGGAGGCGAGTGGGAACGCTAGGGATTTTGTCTGGAAGGGGCTTTTGGCTACCCTCGAGACATAGTATTACCTTGTGTTCGACGGCGCATCATATATACTAGTTTTAGTTTGGTTCGCCTTGCTCTCCAGCTCATTGTGCACCAGAGGGGAGCCACAGCAACGCCGTCACGTGATTGACGCGACGTCTGGAGGGACGTAATAATTGGGCGCGGCTAAGCGCTCTGTTGAAGAAGGCAAGAACATCATGGCCTCGTCTTCTCGCTTGCCCCGTCCCCATCTCTCCTCTTCCGACCACCGTCCGACGCAGCTCCCGACGTTCCCGATGCCAGCGTCGTTCTCGATGGCCCTCTCCACCTCCGTCGCAACCCGCAAACGCAAAGCAGCCGCCTCGGAGGACGACACCGACGTCGCACAGGACCAGCCGCGCAAACTCCCTGCCATCGCAGAGCACGGCGACCAGCGCCCCGTGAAGCCCCTCCGACATAACCGTGCCGCGACGAACGTCCCGTCGTCGTCGTCGTCGAAGCTCAGCAACGGCCCGCCCCCACTGACGAAGCCCCGCGCACCGACGCTGTCCGGCTCACGAATGGCCCGCGCGACGAGTGCGCCGCCGAAATCGGGCGTCGGGCGCCCCATCACGCGGTCGGCTGCCGCTGCAGGGCTGCGTGGCGCCACAGGGAGGACGACGTCGGGCCCCGTGCGGCCTGCGAACGTGGGCGACAAGCGCATGGAGTCCGCGCGTGCGGCGGACAACGCGCGGCTGGCGGCGGATATGGAGGCGGAGCGCCTGCGCGTGTCCGAGATCCAGGCGAACAACGCCGCGATCGCGCGCGAGCTGCAGACCGCGAAGACGCAGGAGCTCTCGCAGCGCCGGGAGCTCATGAACGCGAACGACGAGATCGAGGCGCTGAGGAAGAAGCACGCAAGCGAGGTGCGCGAGCTCGAGGCGGACATGAAGAAGCGGGATCGGGAGATTCGCAACCTGGGCGAGGACCTGCGCGTGACGCGGGGCGATCTCGAGCGCGAGCGGGAGGTGGTGGGCCAGCTGAAGACGACGGTGGCACAGCAGAGCACGGCGCAGCTGACGCTGTCGTCGCAGAACCAGGCCTTGCAGGCGCAACTGGGCGCGCTGCAGGCCTCGTTCAACTATTCTTCAGAGACGCTTTCGTCGTTGAAGTACGACTTGGAGCGTTCCAACAAGAGGATCGAGGAGTTGGAGCAGGAGGTGAGGGAGGCAGAGATGGTCCGACGGAAATTGCACAATATGGTGCAGGAACTCAAGGGCAACATTCGCGTCTTCTGCCGTGTGCGGCCCTTGCTCCCCTCAGATATCTCTGGGGCAGAAGATCAGGAGAGGGCGCGCCAGGAGGCGATGGCGGACATCGCGTTCCCGGACACCCGCGACCACAAAGAAATCGTGCTCTATTCGGCCAGTGAAAACGCGATGGGTCAGGAGAGAAAGGAAACCTGGAATTTCGGTTTTGACAGGGTGATGTGCACGTCTCTGCGTCTTGGGTCACTCACTGACGTTCGGAGCAGGTGTTCGAGCCGCATAGTACGCAGAGTGAGGTCTTCGAGGAGATTTCTCAGCTTGCGCAAAGCTGTACTGATGGGTACAACGTTTGTATCTTTGCGTACGGTCAGACGGGTTCTGGCAAGTCGTTTACGATGGAAGGTGGCTCGGTATGCACAGACGCCTTGCTTTCTTTTTTCGTCTCAACATTGTTTTCGTTCAGACTGAGGTGACGATGGGCATGATCCCACGAGCTGTTGAGCAGGTCTTCCGTGTCGCCGACGAAATGAAGAGCAAGGGCTGGAAATACACCATGGAAGGCCAATTCCTCGAAATCGTAAGCCGCTCTCGACATCTCCCCCAATCATGCCCTATCACGTCGCTTGGTCTAGTACAACGAGACGATCAACGACCTCCTCGGCAAGGGCGAGTTCGACAAAAAGAAGCATGAGATCAAGCACGACAAGAGCGGCACGCGCGTCACGGACGTCGTCGTCCAGCCGCTCCACTCGCCGACGCAGGTGCGCACGCTGCTCGCGCTTGCGCAGTCGCGGCGCACCGTCGCTGCGACGCTCATGAACGAGCGCTCCTCGCGCAGCCACTCCGTCTTCACGCTCCGGATCAAGGGCACGAACACGCACACGAGCGAGGCGTGCGAGGGCTCGCTGAACCTCGTCGATCTCGCGGGCAGCGAGCGCCTGAACGCGAGCGGTGCATGGAACCACAAGGACAGGTTGAAGGAGACGCAGAACATCAACAAGAGCTTGAGCGCGCTCGGGGACGTGATTGCCGCGCTTGGGGAGAAAAGCGAGAGGGGGGACAAGCACATACCGTATAGAAACTCGAAGGTGCGTCTGCGGATGATTTCTCGCAGCAGATCAGAGGCTGATGAGCGCATCGCCGCAGCTGACATACCTATTGCAAAATTCATTGAGCGGAAACTCGAAGACTCTGGTATGTTCTCTTCCCTGTCTTGTGGCGCCTCATTCAACCAATACGTTATAGATGGTGCTCAACCTCTCACCAATGTCCGCCCACCTCAACGAATCCCTTTGTTCGCTTCGCTTTGCCACCAAAGTATGCCAGCGTCTTTTGTGTACTAGAAGGCCACCTCTGATTACTTTTCATCCGCGCAGGTCAACAACACGACAATCGGGACCGCGAAAAAGCAACTCAAAAGCTCATGATCCTCTCGCCCCCACGGTCCCAGTCCGCGTTGTTGTACTTTGCCATTTTTCTTTCCTGGACATCGTTTTCGTGCGTCTCTGTAGAATAGTAATCGTTATTGTTGTGGTATCCAACGCGCAATGGCTATATATTCATCAAAAGATGTACGAGCAAATAGTATACAAATAGGTATAGGTCACAAGAAGGTTGAGTATGCTTACAGGATGATGGGTCCAAAGAGAAGGGGATGGAAGATGGTACATCACGATTTTTTTGCGTTGTTAGCGCGCATGGCCTCCCGCTTCCACTCGCTCGACCACTTGAAGAAGTTGCACTTATACCGATGGTCCACCTCCTCCCTCAGCCGCTCACTGCGCCCCTTGTCGTACCCTGGCCCGACTGGCCTAGAAGGTTGCCCCACCCACCAAGTTCAAACCGTCAGCCTCTCCATACAAAGGAAGTCTTTTCTATAAACAACCTTACCTAGAACAGGTGTAGAACGTCTTGCCCTTGTTCGGGCCAGGCTTATTGACACGCAGCTCCTTCGCCGGCTCGCCGTGGGCGGCACATTTGGGTGGTGCAACTGGGGCGAAGAGGGATGCCCAGGCTTCTCTGCTTTCGGACGGATCCTTCGTAGAGCCCTGCGATCCCGATGCGGAGGCGACGGCCTCGCTGCGCGCGAGGGCGCTTTCTTGGGACGCAGAGAGCTCACAGGCGAGGCGATAGTCCGCATCCATCTGCTCCTGGGCCGACTGGCCTGGGGTCGATGCCGGCGGTGTCGAAATGAGCGCCGCCCCGACGGGGCCGTCGTTGTCGTCATCGTCCGGAATCTCGACGATCTCGGGAGGCTTGGGCGCCTTCGCCGTCGGAGGCGGTTTGGCGAAGAAGGACGAAAGCTTCGATTGGCCGCGATTGGGCTTCTTCGATTTGGCTGCGCCTGCGGGTGCTTCTTCGCTTCGCGGGTGCTTGCGCCGGTTCTGTGATGGGCGGAGAGAAGGGCTAGCGGAAGGCGGTGCCAGAGCTGGGTGATCTGACACAGTGAGTGTACTAGGTGCTTCGCTTCCGTCTGGCGAGATCGTAGCTTGAGAGGTGGTGGGGATCCCCGTCGTCTGAGAAGGGTATGCATCGATCAGAGTCGTGGCAGCAGACGGCTCTGTCTGATAAGATCCTAATGCATCGAAAGCGGCTGTGGGAAGAGGCTGTGTGGATGAGCGAGCGAGTGTCTCTGAAGGGGGCGTTTGTGGGGAGCCTGCCACCTGCGTAGTCGCCTTGCTATGGTCGCGCTTGCCGAAAAAACTGGACAGCAAGGTCTGCCTGCCGAGGAATTCTTCCCAGTACTTGGCGGCGATACGGGGCGGATCGCGCTTGCTGCCGTCCATCCGCATCGCGTCCTGCAAGGTGAGCTTGTCGCCCGAGGCGAGCGTGATCTCGTCGTGCAAGTCGACATACACAGGACAGTGATCAGAGCCCTTGACCGCAGGTTGGATGTCACTGTGTTTGATCCACGGCAGCAGGCCGGGAGTGACTAGGATATAATCAATCCGCGTACCATAGTTCGTCTCCCGTGCACTGATCTTGGTGTTCCAACCTGCAGAATGATCAGCCGGGCGATAGCAGGAGACGCACACGAGGCTGCCTACACGTATACATGCCCTTTCTATCAGGCCAAAAGTCGCGCACCACGTCGATCATGGGGCCATTGGGGTGCAGCCACTTATGAAACCACTCTCGGGCGGGGTGATCCCAGAAAGTGCTCGCATTGCTGGGCAGATGGCCATCGCAGTGATCAATCGGAGCAGCACAGACATTGATGTCACCGAGAACGATCACATCGCGTCCTTCTTCGATAAGCTTCCTGACGCGTTCCTGCAGGAGTAAGTGATAGTTGACTTTGAACGGCAGCCGAGCATCGGACGTCTCGTTCGGGCAGTAGAGATTGATTAAGACAAAGAGTCCGAGGTCGACGACAAGAGCACGTCCCTCGGAGTCTAAGCTTGAAAGATCCGAAGGTGTGTTGCCTTCAGCGTCTGGCATCATGTCTATCTCATGTGCATAAGGATATGAAGGTGAAACACGCTCCTCGGGTGACAGCGCGGGTTTCGGTTGCAGCTTGCCAGAGAGACCCTCCTCGGCTTTTAGCGGGACTACCGCGTCCATCTTGGTGTAGACGGCGACACCGCTGTAGCCCCCTTTCGAATATGGGAATGAAAAGAACGAGTCAAACAACTCCGGCAATGCGACATCCCGACCGATTGCCGCGCGTGTTGTTTTCATCTCTGTTGTCAGCGTGTCAGAATCACGATGAACGCGTCTGCGGGGTCGAACGACGCGCCTTGAAAGCACAGGATGTCGGCACCCAGCTCCTGGAGGATCCCGTTCCATGACTTGTGCACATTCCATCTAAAATCAGACGTCTTGAGAAAAAGCAGGGTTCAAGCGCGTCGGGTGACGGTATCTCACGGGTGATACTGTGGAATTGTGCGGACTCCGTTCTGCAACAACGCGTCAGACCCGTCGTAATGAACGTGAGACGCGTCCTCATCCCACTCACGAGATTCCAGGTCAATATACGCATGCCACGTTCACGTCGAGAATATTGCCTCGTTATCCCTTACGCATAAACGAGCTGAGCTCGAGGCCAGAACGCAGACAGACGCAGAATGCAGTCGCCTAGCCCTGTGATGACAAGGGAAAAGTGGAGGAAACAGAAAGGAAACAAACTTGAGCGCTCCGCCATTGCCGCCGCGGAGCTCGAACGGCACGCGCTGATCGGTAATACCGGGCCCCCCAGCACATATCAACTCCTCCTATACTGAGTGCAGCTGATCCGTAAAGCATAATCAGCGGGAAATGACAAGAAATAGATCAGTTGCATACCCGAAATTCGTATCTAATGGCCCTGGCTTGCTGCACAGCTGTACCACCACGAGCCGGAGGCTGCCGAACAGCCCAGGGACCCCCAAGACCCTAGGATGCATCTTTGCGATCCCGATTTGGACACCCAAGGCTTTTCCTCTCCTCGTTGCTGCACAGATCCAATGGGCCGCCTTCGCCGCTCCCGAACGCACAGAGCACAGCGAGACGTCCATCGGGCGTCGCGGACGCGGGTGCGCACCCCCTCGTGACTTATCCCTCCCCCCAACTGACCCCTCGCAGGCCCGCACGAAAGACCTCGACCAGATCCAGCTGATAGACCTCGACCCAAAGGTTCCCCCCTCTTCCTCTCATCCTCCTCCCATTCTAACCACCTAACCACTCCATGCGCTTGACTCTACAGAACCGCGCAAAGCTTGAGGCTCAGCCCCTGGACTACGAAAAGCCCGGCCTGGCGCAGCACTACTGCGTCGAATGCGCAAAGTAAGCACCAGCACCTCCCATCCCTCCATCCACATTGAAATGACATTCACACACACCCCACTACCACCGCGCCCTCCTCCACACTGCGCAGATACTTCGAGACCGACGCTGCGCTGCATACCCACTGGAGGAGCAAGGTCCACAAACGGCGCTGCAAGCAGCTCGAGCAGCCTGCGTACACAATCGAGGAGTCCGAGCGCGCAGCAGGGCTGGGACGAGAGAATAAACGGCCGACAGTGACAGCTATTGCTGCTATCGAGATGGACGTCGTCGTGCGATGATGATCAGTTTGCAGCACCCTTCTTTTTATCTCTTTTGCCCTCTTCCCTTTTTCTCCCTCCCCGTATCTTTGAGTGCACCTCTTTGTACGATTCATGGTGTAAAAGTACCCTAATACGATTATATGATATCTGCCAGACTTGTGATTCGTTCACGTCTTGTTGTGAGATGTAGGTGATTCCGCTCAGGCCAACTTTTATTCAGGGGCGAGGGAACGTTCAATGCATATCATCTCAGTTACTGTGTACTCGTGCCAACCATCTTTCACATTGCAGATACACACTGGCGATGTTTGCGGTCAACACTACGTTGAAAATCTATTCTGCCCAACATTTTCAAACACTTGCCAGGGGACATGTATCGGGCTTAACGACGAGATATGCAGAAGGGAAGAAGAGTGAATGCGGCAAGCTCTGAAATCCAGGGAACAGACGTGGGTGTAGAAAGGGAATTCAACATTCCGAGGTATTTGTACTTTCAACCTCATGACGGGGCACTTACTTTTGAACGAACGTCGCATAGGCTTCCTAAATAACGATCAAAATTGATTATGCGAGTCGAAAGCATGCTGGCCATGATGCATGTCATATTGCAATATGTAGGGGAGAGCGAGTCGGGAACGTGACAGAAATACAGAATCAGATGTTCGACGGGTAAAGCATCTGGAGGCGAAAGAGACAAGTTAAATGACTTGAAAGAGGGCGTTGTGGATGTGGACCTACGATGCGGACGCTGGCGCCGAATGCGTGTGGCGGCAGGTTCGACCTGAATTTTGATTTCACCACGCCAGAGTTGCCATGAGAGCGCGTAACGCGTCTAGAACGAGGGAAGCGTCCCGCATAGTCAGCGCCTCTATCCATCGAAACGCATAGCGCAGAGAGATTCAGCAAAACACTCACCCCCAGATGACACGAACCTTCGAGCCCTGAATCTCCCTCTTCGCGCGGTAGACGTATGCAACGCGCTAACCGACCCGACCATAAGCACCCAGCGCGGGAGCGTCAAAAGCAGGCGCAAAGAACTCACCTTTCCGAGGTAGAACTGGGCATCCTCTTTGTTGGCGACGCCCTCGATCTGGAGAAGGGAGGTGTTGGGGCGGGTGTTGCGCTTGCCGCGCTTGTGGCCGAGAACGCGGCCCTTGCTGTAGAGTCTACAACAAAGCGGCGCAAAAGTCGATATCAGCGGCGGCACGACGGGGGGCGGGGAGGGCGTCGAATAAGGGGAGAGGCGGGTGCAAGAGTGTGGGGTTGCATAGACCAGGCCCTTGTGACATCCATTCGAGAGTCCACGCATCCATCCCGCTCAACCTCACAAATCGACCGTTCTTGCTCTCGAAACGACATTCCTGCATTCCCCAGCCCTGTCCCGAAGCGTGGACTCACCTTGTTGATGCCATTTTATCCCTCGAAGGCCCGTAGTCGTCGAGTGCTTGAGGATGTCGATTTGCGTATGCCCTCGGACATTGCCGGGGCCAGCTATCGCATACCTGTTGACGCGTGTTTGGCCGCACGCCAGCGCTTTGCCTGTGCGTCGCGGCGCGTCTCTGTTCTGCACGTCATTGATGCAGTCTTTCAGAGCTGCACTCGACCGCCGCCGACACCGCGCAGTCGAGTAACGGAGCAGTGGCAGAGCAGCGTCTCTTTGCGCGTATCCTTTCCCCGCGCTGTCCTCACGGGCAGTCGCACCGCTTGTCTTGTACTACAATTTCACGACCGGCGCTGATGGAAGGAAATACATCTTTTTTTTTTGCTGTTTGTCGAGCGCCAGAAGATGTGAACAAGACGTCGATGGACGCCCAGCGTGCGTACAAAAGGCAGAGCTCGCGTCGCTCGAGTCACGTCCCGAGTCGTTCCCGTGAACCACCATGGCCGCGCGCCGTCTGCCCGCCGTCTGCAAAAGGCTGTCTTCGTCGTCCGCAACCTCGACGTTCACCGCCAAAGCCGTCCCTTCCAAGGCCCACCTCCACCAGCCCATTCCTGATGCCTCCTTTCCCCAGGGCTACGCCCTCGCCGGCGTCCACTGCGGCGTGAAAAAGGACCCGAGCGCCCTCGACCTCGCCGTCCTCCTCTCGACCTCCCCGCGCCCGACGTCCACCGCCGCGTGCTTCACCCGCAACGCGTTCAGGGCCGCCCCGGTGACAGTGTCCCAGGAGGTGCTTACCGGGAGCGCCGGCCGTGCCCGCGCACTCGTCGTGAACAGCGGTTGTGCAAACGCCGTGACAGGCAAGCAGGGGCTCGACGATGCGTGGGCGATGGTCCGCGCGACGGACACGCTGCTCGTGCCGCCTCCGCCCCCGCGCGCCAATGCGACGCTCGTGATGTCGACAGGCGTCATCGGACAGACCCTCCCCATCGCTAACATCCTCGCCGGCATCCACGCCCTGTCCCCCTCCACGCCCCCATCTCCTTCTGCGCCCTCTGCGATCCTCGGGGCAGGCTTCCCCGCATGGGAGCGCTTCGCGCGCGCGTTCATGACGACGGACACATTCCCAAAGCTGCGCGCGCGCACGTTCGCGCTCGGCGGGCGCACGTACCGCCTCGCGGGCGTCGACAAGGGCGCGGGCATGATCCACCCGAACATGGCCCCGCACGCGACGCTCCTCGGGTGCATCGCGACCGACGCCGCCGTCTCCCCGCGCAGCCTGCAGTCCGCGCTCGCGCACGCCGTCGACCGCAGCTTCAACTCGATCAGCGTCGACGGCGACATGTCGACGAACGACACGATCGTCGCGTTCGCGAACGGCGCTGCGGCAGGTGAGGAGGGCGCCGCGGTCGAGGAGATCGATGAGGAGCGCGATCGTGCGGGATACGAGGCGTTCCGGGACGAGCTCACGAGCTTCGCGCAGGATCTGGCGCAGCTAGTCGTGCGGGATGGAGAGGGCGCAACGAAGTTCGTCACCGTCTCTGTTGATGTGCGCTGTCGTTTCGCCTCTCCGGTGTATTTCAAACACCCCCTTATCTGACCTGCATTTTTCACACCGCAGGGCGCGACGACGTACGAAGACGCTCACAAGATAGCAGCGCGGATCTCCACCTCCGCGCTTGTCAAGACTGCGCTCTACGGCGAAGACGCAAAGTACGTGCACGTTCTCTGAGCACCCTGCCCCCTTCGCTCACCTCGAAATCCGCAGCTGGGGCCGCATCCTCGCCGCAACCGGCTCCATCCCGCTCTCGACGCCCCTCGACCCCACGCGCGTCAGCGTCTCCTTCATCCCCACCGATGGCTCCTCGCCCCTCGCCCTCCTAGTCAATGGCGAGCCCGAGAAGGTCGACGAGGTCCGCGCGAAGGAGATCGTGAGCCTCGAGGACCTCGAGGTGCGTGTCGAGCTCGGGCTTGGGAGCGAGAGCGCCAAGTACTGGACGTGCGACTTCAGCTACGTGAGCATCCTCCCTTTATCCATCATCCCTCAACGAGACATCTGGCGTGCATATCGGACGAAAGCTGATGGGCGCTTTTCGTTGTGTATACAGGAGTATGTCAGGATCAACGGCGACTACAGGAGCTAAGTACCACAGCGAGAGACTGCATACGCATAAATTACTTCCTCCACCGATCCGCTGAACCCAAGAGAACAGAGAAATTCGGAAACCCGCGCCATGCTGCTTCAAGCTTTGAAACACTTGTGAACGATGTCAACCTTAATAAAGAATACAACACTATCTGACTATGCACTTGCACGATACCCGCACTCGGTGGTGCTCACAACGCGTCATGCAAGCTTCATGAAAGAGAACAAGCTTCCCATGTCAACCCATCTGCGCCCGTTCCGGTCCAGATACTTCTCCACCGTCCGAGACATTCGGCGCAGAAGCTCACTCTGTAAACTCCCCAAGGCCATGATATCGTCTGCCAAACGCGTCAGAATCGGTGGGCGAGGCGGGTGCGCGAACGAGCATACCTTGTCTCTTTCCACTCGCGGCCGATCTTATCGCCTTGTCCACATCGAACAAGTGCGAATAATACCTCAGCTGGGTATATAGTTGTGCATCGGAATACTGGAGGGGAAATGAGTCTCTGTCTCTGTTGTACACCTGAAGTAGAGACAAAACATACCTCAAACATGACACGGCCACGACATCCAGCCTTCAAGCATCGCCTTCCGTAGACCCCCATCATCCTCGTCCGATTGCCGCACGTCTGATCATCGCATACTGTCCAGCTCTCGTAATAGCGACCGATGTGGTCCCTGATCTGGCGGTCAAGCTGCACTTCCAAACTAGCAGTGTTGATGGGTTTCTGGCACGACTGACAAGTCAGGCCCGAGGGAAACAGCATCGACGTCTGCAACATGATGTCAACACCCGCCTCTGATAGAAGCTGAGCTCAGAATTCAAAATCACCTCGCGGTCACCGACCGGGGCGAACGGCATGTTTTCATTGCAATGGCGGCATTTGACGACGAACGGATCGACGTCCTTGAATCTTTCGCTGTCTGGCATCTGCGAATCGAGAGTTCCAAAGTATCGTTCATCGGCTTCGCCTGCCGCACTTGTGCGGTAACGACCGGGGTCCAGCCCTGCAAGAATTGTCAGCTTCCACAACTACAACCATGTCAGCATACGACATACCTAGACACTCTGCGAGGCGGGCGCGGTCCGTGCCCTCTATTGGCTCGCACAGACGTTCGATAGGCGGCAATATCTGCTGAGACAGATAGTGCTGATAATCTGTAGGATCAACTGAGCAAATGGACCTAATTGATCGCACAACAGGATGTGCCGCACCGATCTTGCAATCGCTTCCGACCTTCCTCAACTCATCAGGATGCCTTGCCCGCTCAGCTTGTGCAGTCTTTCCCGTCTCTGTGGTCTCTCCGACGCAGAAAATGTAAGGAATGACGTCCCCGGCGCGGGCGTTTCCGCCCTTCGCCTTCATCTTCAGCGCGACTTGAACATGCGGCTGGCTCTTAGCGTCTGGATACTCCGCTGGATCTTTACCGAGCCGCTTGAAGATGATGAACTCATCCAGCTTGATCTTGCCCGCGCGCACGTCTGCACCCATCGTTGTCAGGTACTCGTGGATACGCTCGACGACTGTCTCGGTCGCTTCTCCAGACAGGATCTGATCCAAGACGTATCTGTGTCAAGCGATAAGTTCGGATCAAGGATACAGGTTGAGTCGAGGTCGAGACACACTGGGATACTGTTTTTGACAATGCACAGTATTCTCTGCGTTTCATGTCAAGACCCTTGATCTCCGTCGACGTCCTGGTTCCCTCTTCGACCTTGATGGCCGCGTATTTCTTCTTTTGCAGAAGCAGCAACCGCTGGAACACGCCGTCAAGATCGATCTCCAACAATCTATATCGGTCGTTGACCGCTTTCTTGAATTCAGCGGATATCTTCAAGGCTTCGGAGAGTTCGGTGACGTTCGAGTTGACGAACACAGAATCCGTGTCACCATATACAACCTGCGATTTCGTAAAAACAAGGGATGAAGGGGTAGAACAAGTAAACGTACATCGAGCCGCAGGCTTTCAGCTAGCTCTCTTGTCTGTGTGAGGATCTCACGACCCTTGAACGTCGTGAGGGCGGCAAGAGGACGAGCGTAGAACCTTGAGTACTCGAACCCAAGACACCCGTACATACTGTTCGCAGTGAGCTTCAGCGCTTGCTGCTTGATATCATACTTATGCCTCGCTCGTCAGAGATCGATGGAAAACTCTGAAAATACAATTATCTATTACCTGGAGCAGCTTTGCATGGGGAATGGAACGGTCCTTCATCAAGGATTTTACTTGTCGTCGACGACTGACGAGAGTAGCGATTAGTCGAGGGAGGACACCCTGTGGAACCGCAGAGTCTGGGGGTTCCGGAATCTTTTCTTCGCCACCCTGCAACACCTGATGAGTAACTTGCATAGGTAGAGCCCGCAGCTACATACTTGATATTCCACCCTTTCCACAGTTGTAAAGTCGATATTGTACTCTTGGATGATACTTGGGTACAACGAGTTGAAATCCATGACGAGGATGAATTTGTCCCATAACCCTCTTTTGGGTTCAAAGACAAGGCCGCCTTTGTACTTGTCCTTCTTGCTGGATCCTGTTTTCGTTGCTCCTTCGCCATCCTCGCCATCTTCCACAACCCGAACTGGCGCAGACTTTTTGCCCCACTGTTTGTCAGGACAAATATATTTGAGCCTGTGAAATTCGTGCAATAAAATGTACTCGTTGCGCTCGGCTCGACCACCATTCAGCGTCTTGTTCCTGTGCAAAAAAATCCGGTTAAACCCAAACCCATCCGTAAGCCGTAGTACGAGCATACCATGAGTTACCAGCTAGGTTTGTCAACTGCCGCGTAAGACCCAAAATTTGGACCTTGGATGCAATGGCCATTTGGTAATGTGCGTCTAGCTCACAATGCCTAACGAACGTTATGAGCCTGTCGGGAGAACCCACGCTTCCATCAAAATAGCTTGCAGTATCATCGGGATCAATGTCCTGCCGATCGCTTTTCAGTTGAGTCTTACACATCTCAGTCAGAGACCAAGTTGTGGAGGAGATCATGCTCTTCGCGCCGTCGCTGGCGAGGTCGCACAGGAGACGCCCATTCAAGAAACGCATATTTGTGCCTTGTTTGCCGATGTTGGGCCAGCGCGAGCGACGGAAACGACCCATGCGGGACCAGTGGTCGACTTTCAGCTCCCTCATACGATGCAGGAGGACGTCGAGCGAGACACCAAGGAACTCGTGACCGATAATCACGTCTGGATCAAACTTGTGTAGCGTCACTGGATACCGAAATTCAGTGAAAACAAGATGGACGGGTGGGGACGGGCAGCCATACCGAGCAAGCTACCCAGCAGCATTCGCTCGTTCTTCATGGGTGAGATGAGGCCTTTGGCATTTGACCTAGCTTTCGCCTCAAAGTGCGGGGGAAAGCGCTCCAGTGGACGTACAAATGTATGTACAGAACAAGGAAGTGTTTCAGGTGGCGTAGGATCGTCAATTTGGACTAAAAGTATCCATTCAGATATCTCGCCCGGTTTCGCTAAAGAGATAAGGGTTATAGCGTACTGTTTGACCATATTCTGGCAGTAGCACAGACAATCTCTCTCTTGTTCTCCTGGTGATTTACAATGGTCCGAACACTTAGACTCGCAATGTTCAACGGAGGGAGATCTCTCGGTGCATCAGAATCCGTTTCCGAGAAGGGATTGATATCTTTCGGGTCTGTGATAGTCACCTCCAGCTTGCACCATGAAACCTGGAAAAGGTCGGTTGAAGGTTCTAACAATCGTGACTACATGAAAATACTTACTCCCTTGTGCTCGACATGAGGTTTCTTGATCTGAAGCCAACATGGCCCCATGATCTTGCGTTTCAAAACGAGGAGCTCGAAAGCGCTCGTATTCGTCCCAAACACACGAGAAAAGTTAGGGCTGGTGACATTAGGTATCTGTGGTTCTAGGGTATAAGTATGTGTCAGTATCTTAGACTCTCAATGCGAAGTTTAATGCTGACCGTTGAATCCGTATACCACCTTCAACCATTGGGTCTCTTCCTTGGGAACATCAGGCTCCTCAAATGCATACTTCCTCTTTACGAACTTCCCTCGCCATGACTTGATTCCAGCCTGCTGACGCACACGGTCGAAGTCCTGGTATATATCACTCATCTCAGGCACCACATCCGTCTTGAATCCGTCTTCGTCAAGTTGGTATTCTCGTGGAAGAACGAATAAATTGCGCTGCAGGTTCATCACCGTTACGCAGCACGAAACGTACGCCTTAGTCGTCTTGTCCACGGTTTTCCCGATAAAGTAGAGGACTCCTTCGTGCTCCATGTAATCAAGCCAGAAGAACCTGAATGAGCCATCCTCCTCCAGCGCTGAGATATTGGATGTCGGGGGGGATATTGTAGTTGCGGTGTTTAGTGTACCGAACGATTCATCAGTGGCCACAGCGAGAGAGTCGTAAACGGAGAGCCAAGAGGGCTTGGAATCAGCCTTATTGAGTGGCTTCGACGGTTTTTTGTCCCTCGATGAGATGGCCGTATTTGACTCAATCTTTTTCCGCTTGACATCTTCCTCCTCGTCAACTTCCATGAATGCCGCCATGTCAGCTTCGTCGAAAGAAGAATCGTAGTCAACATCGTCGGTCACCCCAACATCCATGCGACCTAAGCTCTCGATCGCTGGCATGATACCACTTGTCTCTATCTTGACCCTCTTCTTGGGGCTCATCATCACGTCGTCATCTGACGATGGACCTTGAGCTAGATCAAACCCATCTGACATGTGGCCATCAGAAGAATTATCGGCAAATGGATCACCTCGGCCACTCGTTCGGCCACTGCGAGGTGTGCGGTACGAGGCGAATGTGTCGGGGGAGGATGATTTATCGTTAAAACCAGGTGAGGGCTTTCTTTTGCGTGATTTGGAGGCGTACTTCGAGGATGGTAGAGCTGTATCCTTCAAATTATCCATATCACCAAGCAGAGAAGACATGAAATCGGTCTCTTGTTCAGCTGATACAGCTGGCCGGTAAGCGCTCATAGTGGGTTTAACGGGAGGAGGTTGTCGAGCTTTGGCTTTCACTGGTGCTTTGCCCGTGTTCGAGGAGCGCTTCGCTGCGAAAGGTCAAGCGTGAACAGAACAGGATCACATTGTTCACTTACGCTTTTTACCGACGTCATCGTCTGAATCTTGTGCTGCTTGCTCGCCATTCCCCGCCCAGTCATCCATGCCATTGTCCATGTAGCCTCCGATACCGTCATCGACAACGAAATCATCTTTCGCCAGGCGACCTCGAACAATACTCTTGTATTGGTCTTCCGTGACTTCATCATAAAGATCAGTGTCTTGTTCCTCCTGTAGGTATAGTGACATCAGTACATCTGCTACCGCTATACTCCCTTCGCAGGTCAAGTTGAAGAGACATAGAAGAATGAGTACATATATTAGGATATACGCCCTTTCATCGATGCTGAGATGACGCGCATTGTAACTCACGCTCGCGATTCTGACGCAAGAAATAGAGATTTAGATGAATCAACACACCTTCCAGGCTCTTCCACCTCCCTCCCGCGCGCGTTTATATGCTGCTAGCTTGTCTAGCTTGGACTTTGTCTCGCGTCTCGATCGTTCAGTCATGATTCCGTGTCGGTCAAGATCACGAAAATGGGCTGTAAATATGGAAAGTCGTGGAGAGCGTGGAAGAGCAGTCAACTGCTACGTTATTACGCGACGCGCTCAAGGCGGAGATTGAAAGCGCGTCACTACCGTTTTCGGGTTATTTACTCACGGCGTTCCACTGACAAACTTCATCTGTCGAGGCACAGCACCCAAAGCATACAAGCTCATACTTCAGGTTACTATTTGCTATATTCCCCATGTTACCTTCTCGCCTCTTCCGAAACACAGGCATATCACCTCGCCTACGATCTCTGCTCACGCCCTCTCCATCTCTCCCCGCGACACTATCCACTCAGCTTCGCTTCTACCTAGCCGTCCGACATTTGTCGTCCAGCAAACCTCCACTACCGAGCGCGTCTTCCCTGCCATCAACACCTTCATCAGGACTCACAACATCACAAACCATACCGTTGGAGCCAATCGAGCCTCGCCTCTCATTGACTTTCACATGTACGGTCACAGACTGTGGCGAACGATCTACACACCAATTTACGAAGCGATCGTATGAGAAGGGCATAGTCCTCATCGAGTGTCCGGGATGCAAGAACAGGTGCGTTGATTTTCTCATAAATTAGCACCGCTGTTCCATTCCTGCCTGGATATGCTCACAAGTCCTCCAGGCATCTCATTGCCGATCACCTCGGTTGGTTTAAAGAGTCGACCGAGGAAGGCAAGCTTCGTACCGTCGAGGACCTTCTTCGCGCTCGGGGTGAGAAGGTTCGCCGTGGGCATCTGGGTCCCGGGGGCGTCGTTGAGTACACACCCGATGAATGATATACACTTGGGACAGATCATAACGAATGCATGGCCTTCTGACAAGTTCATATGGCTTATGGCCCTCTATAGTGTACGTTCACCCTAATTGCATAGAGGTTTAGAAGGACTAGTCGTAGATTAAGGCAGGTCATAATTGAGAGCTGTTGTAGGCCTCGAAGCGGATAGACTGTACCCCGAGATGAAACAGAGTTTTCACCGTCGGTGCACTTCCTATGAACGAAATATTATTTTTCACTCTCTAAATGGAGACTCCCGAATCTAGGAAGTCATCAAACAGCGTGCTCGTCAAGTAGAAAATGACTCAAGATAAAAATTCTACCATGTATGAGCTGATGAGTCCCTGATTGGAATGACTGACGTGTATTGAAGAAGGGCGAGATATAGATACATTTGCATCTAGCTGCGCATGTGCAAAGATCATGACTAGATGCCATTCATGAAGAGGCTGGTTGTGCAGAGGGCTCAGCCTCAGACTCGGAGCTCTTAGGAATGACATCGTTCTTCTGGAGAAGTTCCTCGAGTTCCCCCGACTGATGCACTATGAACGTAAACAGAAGTCAATCAACGCCATTAGCCAGCTCAGCGAAGACATCGACGTTGCAGGCACTCACTGCCTAGAACGATATCGCAGCCTCCAATGAACTCGGACTTAACATAGAGCTGTGGTACGGTGGGCCAGTCACTGTATAGGTACGCAACTCAGTGGATCATCGGCCGACGGATATGAGCAAGCAAAGACCCACGAGAAATCCTTGATCCCACTCCGCAACTCCGAATCTTCCAGGACATTGTACGTCTGCATCTTCTCTGGGGGTACGCCGTGTAGATCCAGCACCTGAATCACCGCTCGCGAAAACCCGCACTGTGGGGCCGCTGGTGTGCCCTTCATAAACAGGACGAGCGGCGACGAGTCCACGGCCTTTTGAATTTGCATGCGAGCCTCATCGGAGAGCATGCGGCGGAAGAGGAGCGAGGAGGGGGCCCTCGACACCGTCATGGGCGCTGTGCGCGCAAATGAAACGAGCTATAGAGTGCATTATTGTTTGTCAATGCTCTGGCGTTGCACAGAATAATGTAATGCGTACGGGCGACCGGAAAGCACTGCGAAACATCATGGGATAGTTGAAGAGGTGAGGGTTTCGAGAGAGGAGGGATCGACTTACTCAAGGTCTGGCTGGGTGCCCGAGGCTGGCCGCGAGCTGAGAAACGAGGATTACATCATCGATTCACCTCCTTATTTGGAAGGTGCTTCAGAATCGCTGGCTTCCCGTTGGTTGAAATATGCACTTCAGATTGAACCTCTGCAGACAAGGGTCGCACACGTACGTGGACCTATAAGGTCGAACGCTGGTGCACTTTTTCCTCAAGACTCACATGTGCTAGATTTATGGTATTCTCCGGCCGTCCTTTGCATGAGATTTACGCTAGCACACTGGGACACTGACCGAAGCAACACAGCTGCACGGACGTTCTTCCAGAGCGTTATTGCTATAAAGATATTGCTGATAAAGGCTTGGTAGATTGTTACAGGTCGTTGACAGCCTCGAGAAAATTTCAAGTTACAAGCGGATGCGGCCATCGACTGGTCATCGTCATTACCGCAATTTTTGCCCGGAACAGAACTCGGGGACGACATCGCTGGAAGTCAGTGAAAATTCCAAGCTAGATCAACAACATCGACGAAAGCAAGGCGTAATGATTCTATATTTGTACAACGAGCGCTACTTCTCCGTATCCCGCTTTCGCTTGCGGACACATGCCGCACGCCAGCTCCGTTTTAATGGTGGAACAGCCTGAGCGAGGTATGCGCGAACACGATCCCATGCTCGTCCGCCGCCTTGATGCACTCCGCGTCCATGACGCTCCCGGACGGCGCAGCCAAGTACCTGACGCCGCTCTTCCGCGCGCGATGCACGTTATCGGGGAAGGGGAAGAACGCGTCGCTCGAGCACGCGACGCCGTCCAACAGCTTCGCGTGCTCCACGCGCTCCTGCTCGCTCAGCGGCGCCGGGACCTCCTCGAACAGCGACTCCCACTGCGCCTTCTCCCCGCCCTCGAGCGCCTCCCCGCCGACGAAGAGGTCGATCGCGTTTGCCTTCTCCGCGCGCTTGACTCCCTTCTTGAACGGCAGCGCGAGCACGCGCGCGTGGTGCCGGAGCCACCAGTTGTCCGCCTTGGACCCCGCGAGGCGCGTGCAGTGAATGCGCGACTGCTGCCCGGCGCCGAGGCCGACGATCAAGCCGTGATAGGCGTACGCCACGCTGTTCGATTGCGTGTATTTTAGCGCAAGCGTCGCAACGATCAGGTCCGTCACGGCGGCATCAGGGAGCTGTTTCTGGTCATTGAGATAACACGGCGCTATCGCAAGAGGGACGATCATACCTCTTTATTTTTGGTGACAAGGTTATCAAATAATTTAGCGTCGACCTTGGCGGTGTTCCGTCTCTGTTGGAGGGACACGCCGAAGACCTGTCTCGTCTCCACTTCCGAGGGGACATAGTTGGGGTCGACCTGGAGGACGCAGTACTTGCCGCCCTTCTTTTTCTTCAAGACGTCGAGGGCTTCGGGAGAGTATCCCGGAGCGATGATGCCGTCAGAGACCTCACGAGAAATGATGCGGGCCGTGGCCAGATCGCACGGCGCAGACAGCGCGATAAAATCACCAAACGAAGACATTCTGTCAGCGCCTGTGAACTGATCGTGAGGAAGGGGTGTGAATTAGGGTGTGAAACACGCCTACCACGCGCCCTCGCATACGCAGATGCCAGAGGAGTCAACGGCTCTTTGAGATCGTCCACGCCATACACTTTCTTCTCAGTCTCGCTTAATTCAAGGCCGACGGCAGCTCCTGCTGGGGAGACGTGCTTGAAGGATGCCGCAGCGGGAAGGTTAAGAGCCTCCTGTAGCTCCTTGACGAGTGCATACGAGTTGAGTCCATCAAGGAGGTTGATGTAACCAGGCGACCCGGCCAGGACTGCAACACCACCTCAGCGAACGAGCGCAGTTGAGAAGCAAAAAATATACCCTTGAATGGAAGCTCCCCCTCCGATACAAAGGCCTGCGCGGGCTTCTGGTGAGGGTTGGCGCCGTAGCGCAATGCCATCCTCTGCACCGGCCCGGCCAGGCTCTCGTCCGCCGCGGCATCAGCATACTGTTCCCTAAAGTACCCGCTGATGGCCTCGTCGTACTTCGCCGTCATCTCGAACGCCTTGAGCGCGAGCTTGCTCCGGATCGCCTGCCCGACGTCGCCCTTGCCCGCCTTCCACGCGTCGAGGAACTCGGCGTAGTCCGCAGGATCGGAGAGCACCGAGACGCGCGCGTGGTTCTTCGCCGCTGCGCGGAGGAGGGTGACGCCGCCAATATCGACCTCCTCGACGGCATCTGCGAGCGTGCAGTTGGGCTTCGCTATGGTCTCGGTGAACGGGTAGAGGTTGCAGACGACGATCGAGATGGGGGAGATGGATTGGGCGGCGAGGTCCTTCTGATCGGAGGGGATGTCGCGCGCAAGAATACCTGTTGACCAGAATGGGATAAGGGTAAAAAAAAACGGGAAGGGTAGGAGGGTTGCGCACCACCATGGACAGCGGGGTGGAGAGTTTTGACGCGTCCGCCTAGCATCTCGGGCGCCTTCGTGATATCAGACACATCCCTGTCCATCATCCCGCCAATCGGTCAGCCGGTCTGCACCGCAGAAGAACAGACCAAGAACAGAAGAGAATAGAATATTCAAAGTGACGTCGAATCTCACTCGATCGGTATGCCCGCATCTCTGATCTTCTTCGCGGTACCCCCTGAGCCGAGGAGGCGCACCCCGGCTGCAGAGAGGCCCCGCGCAAAGTCAAGGAGGTCGGTCTTGTCGTACACGGACAGGAGCGCTGGTTTATGCCATGAACAACGGGGCCTCAGGGCCATACGGCATCGAATACAATCTCACCGATGGGCGTCGACATGGTTCGAGAGGAAGAGAGGTCCAAATTCCCGATCCGTGCTTTACAGTGGTAAAACTTTTGCCCCTGGTTTGGGGTTAGGTCGCAATGTTCACTGTCTTTTGGCATCTGCAGCGCTGCGTCGTCGTACAAACATGTGCTCTCCGACGGCGCACAACCGACTCGACAGAGCAATGAGGAGAAAAACAAGGACTCCTGCGCTCAAAACCTCCCCGGCAGCCTGCTCGCCCCGCTCAGGCGTATCGTCTCCCCGTTCACGTACGGGCACTCCACGACCCACTTCACCGTCCCCGCGAACTCCTCCGCGCTCCCGAACCGCCGGGGGAACGTGAGCTCGCGCTCGAGGCTCGCGCGCGTCTTCAGCGGCATCTTGTCCGTCATCGCGGACGCGAACGCGCCCGGCGCGAGCGTCACGACGCGGATCCCGTGCCGCGCGAGGTCGCGCGCGAGCGGGAGCGTCATGCTCACGAGCGCGCCCTTTGATGCGGAGTACGCCGCTTGGCCGGGCTGGCCTTCGAACTGAGGGGCAGACGTGGCGCGGTCAGGGAGGTGCGAGGAAGAGGGGAAAGGGTGCTCACGGCGGCAGAGCTGGCGACCATGATGATCACGCCCCGCTCGCCGTCGGGGCCCTCGGGCTCCGTCTGAGCGAGGTGCTTGCACGTTAGGCGTGTCAAGTTGAATGTCCCCGTCAGGTTCACGCCGATCGCGAAGTTCCACAGATCAAGCGAGTGAGGCTCGCCGTGGATGTCCAGGACCTGGCAAGTCCATAACATGGTCAGCGCGTTCTCGGGAGCATAGACGCGGATTGTTGGGCATTGCACTGACCTTCGCAGCAGTGCCCACGCCCGCACAGTTGACGACCCCGCCGAGGCGCGCACCCATCGTCTGTGCCCACGCGACCGTTCCCTCGACCGCCCGCGCGATGTCCTCCGCGCTCGTGATGTCGGTCTCGAAGAACTTGACGCGCGCGTCGCCCGACAGGCCCTCCGCGGGCCTCAGATCTAGTATGGCCACACGCGCGCCCGCGTCGAGCAGCGTCTGCACCGTGGCGAGTCCAAGCCCTGAAGAGCTGCGAAGATTCTGTTTGAGATCGAGACGCAAGTCCTCATGATGTGCCCGGACGCGCACTGTGGAAAGCGAGAGTTCGGAGGGGCGGAGGGTACTCACCCACCTGAGACTATGAACGTCCGGTTCTCGATTTTCATGATGATGGAGTTGTTTGCAACGAATTTCTCACTCGTTGGTGTCGATGCGACCGAGACTGACCTTCAGAGGGAACTTGATGAATCACCCCATGGGGTCGTCGAGGTGCTCAGAATTCACTTCCGGCACGCTGACAGCCGGAGTCACCTCACGTGTTTTCCCCGAGATGAGTCCTCACCATCAGTTGACCAATGCGAAGTCGACGAAAAGGGACTCAGTTCCCGCCATAATTAAAGGAAGCAAATAATGCCAGACTTTGCCAGACTTCGCTATGCAAGGACGATCCTTTGTTGGAGCCCTCTTTATGTGTACGAAACTCTTCTAGAACACCGGTGTGCTCTACGACCCTATATATTACGAGACCAAGACGCAGAGACAAACCAGGTTGTTTACGATCACGTCTCGCACAGCCCCGCCTGGAACGCCCCGATTGAGTGCGCCCAGAGATCACCGAGAGCCTATCTGCGGCCTCAAAAAGCCAAACTTGTCGAGGACAATCGCAGGCAATCGCCTGGAGAAGATCGGATATGTTATCAGATAAGACAAGGACACTCGTGACAGCTCGATGACATTGCTTGACGCTCCAAGACGTCGCGGGATTGTCTTGCGAGGTCTTGTGTCATTTTTTGAAACGTCAACGGAACGCAGCGCCGAGCGGGGCCGCGAGTAGGGCGCCTGGCGGGAGGGTCCGCGGCGCTAGGAGTTAGGCGAGGAAGGAAACTGAAAAGCGCCGAAGACTGAGGCGAGGCTGGGGGGCGAGACAATATTTATAAGTCAGGGCTGCGGCCATCAAGTCAGTAGTGATTATGCACGCACGACGAGACGGAAGACATCGAAATTTGCCAAGTCCGCCGGCTCGGAAGGTGCGCGGCCTGCGGTGTTTTGTCGTTGAAACGATCAAGAGAGGGCTGTAGAGGGATGATGGGCTAGATCAGTGATCAGACCGAGACGGGTCGGCGTGGAGGATCGATCCGCAGAATGGCGAGGACTTGCGCCATGGAAAGGCGAAAGGAGTGGGGAAATTGGCGAGCAGGTCGCGAGCGAAGACGAGAGGGACCAGGACTCGGCATCGGCAAGCGAAAGAAGTTGGGAGGAAGCTGGAGGAAGTTGCCATCTGTTGCCAGAGGACGTGGGCCAGACTCCCAGGGGAGGGGGCTTGGCCGATCTAGCGCGGGCTTATCTTATCGGGGGGAGAGACATGCCGAAAGCGATGATGGAGGAGATGAGCGAGACGTAGTGAACCTTGATGGTGATGTCGGGTTGGGAAAGCGAGATGGGAGTGAGATGGGAGTGAGAACGGAGGGGCGGCTTGGAGGGACACAGCGGGGGGCCAATGCCGGGAGGGGGCACGACGGACGGGGGACGTAATCAGAGATGGGCAGGGCGTGGGAAATGAGGAATGCGTGTGCTGTGATTGGACGGCGGGGGGTGTTATCTTGTGTGGATTTATCTGGCTCGCCCGGTCGCCCCTCCAGCAGTCGTCGCTCTTCGCCTCTGCGCTAGTCTCCTTCCCGTCCTCCCTCCCCTCCCTCGCCCTCCTATCTCCTCTCCCTTATCGCTCCTTCCCCCCGTCTATCTTACCCTCCACTACACTAAACAAACACACACCGCACCGCAATGTCTCCCGTCGTGCTCGAGCCCCCCATCATGCACGCTTCGCTCTCTTCCATATCTAGGCTCCAGTTTAGTCCCACTCTCCATAATCCCTCCTCCGACTCCTTCCAGGCCCCCCCTTCCCCCTCCAGCTTACAGAACCACTCTTCTCAGCCTCACTTTCTAAAAGACGTCGTCTTCCACCCCCACCTCCCGCTTCACGAGCAGGGCCACGATCAGGTCAACCAGGGCTCCCCTCCCAACCCCCCTCCGTCCGCGACTGCATCCTCAGGTGCAGTCTCCTGCGCCAACTGCGGCACTTTCACCACTCCGCTCTGGCGCAGAGACGGCGAAGGCAACACCATCTGCAACGCCTGTGGTGAGTGTCCGATCTCCTCCCTGTCCGTCACACAGACCCGCTTCGCTCTCTTTTACTACTACGCCCCCACGTGTCCAATGCACCTTGCCATCTCAGCGCGTGTCGACGGGCAGGCCTTCATCGCTTCAACGCGCCTGCCCGCCTGCACACTACCTGCCTCCTATCTTCATTGGCTCTCGCCCGACAGCGTTCACAGCGCGTCTCCCCACACACTTCCTCGTGTTCTTGATCGCCGTTCTTTCCGTCGTATATACTCATCTCCTCCATCATGCACAGGCCTTTATCTCAAGTCCCGCCACACCCCTCGTCCTACTTCCCTCGGTAGGAACCCCAGAGGCTCCAACGCCAACAGCGCCAACGCCCACATCGCCAACCAGGACGCCAACCACATCAACCGGCAACATACCCACTCCCCGCCGTCCTTGCTGACCCCAGCAGCCTCGCCGGGCCTCCACCAGCCCCAATCTCCCTCTCATCAACAGAATCCCTCCGGTGCCCCCGCAACAGCGTCAGCACCCGTGCATCACAGCGGTGGAACCTGCCCCGGCGACGGACGCTGTGACGGTACAGGCGGAACGTCAGCTTGCTCCGGCTGCCCCACATACAATAACGCGCTCAACACTCGACTCGAGATGGAAGGCTCCTCTCCCTCGGCACATCTGCCCTCGACCGACCAGGCGGGCCCGGCCTCGTCTCCAGGTTCCAACGGCGTCGGTGTCGGCCCCGGCGTTAACGGGAAAAGCCGGACCGCTAGGGCCGCCGTCGGCGCGCTTAGTTGTGCCAATTGCGGCACGTCGACGACACCGCTATGGCGGCGCGACGACGTGGGAAACAACATCTGTAACGCTTGTGGTGCGTATCTGCTCTGTTTCACCTGTCTGCGTCGTCTTCGTTTTTTTGTTGTCCTGTTCGTCGAATCGTCCTGTTCGGGACATTTTCTCCCTTATGCGGTCGTTGAGGGTGTGATGAACGATTCAATTCCGCCCGTCGCGCACTCACGGTGTGTGAGAAACGGAGATTGCCATGCGCTGGGGTCTTATCAGACAACCGTTTCCACGAATCTGATAACTGCGCCCAGCCCAATCATGACATGCCCTCTTCGGCCTGCGTCCCCTCTTTTCATGCATCTAATTTTCCCTATCATTATTTGTTTTTTTTTCTGGGAAACATCGAATCGGCGCTAATGGTTACGTCTTTTCCTTTGCTCTCTGCCAATGGCGACCCGACCCGACCCGTCCACTCGAATCGTCCCACGTCCCACGTCGTCGCCTCTTATCTCTCGTCTCCCATCGCCTTTGCCTCGTGCGTCTGCGTCTTTGCGTGGATCGACGCATTCGTAGGCCTGTATTTCAAGCTCCACGGCACGCACCGTCCAAACTCGATGAAGAAGACCGTCATCAAGCGTCGGAAGCGTGTGCCCGCCGCGGGCCCGCAGGGACGCATGTCCGACCAGGCTGCAGCCGAGGCGCTCGTCTCTGTCGGCCGCATGCACGAGCTCGGATCGGGCAGCGGGCCTGGCGAGGGCGAAGATGACGAGGAGGAGCTCGAGATGCCGAAGCGCAAGCGCGCGCGTCGCGGGAGGGGGAAGGACCGCAAGGACAAGGCGACCGACGAGGGTGAGGTCGACGAGGGGGACGAGAGCGGGCGAGACGGGATGCCCCCGCGGGAACGCAGTCGAGAGTCGGGGCACGGGCACCCGCACGGCGCGCTCGGGCACGGCCAGTGGCCGGACGTGCACTTGGAGGCGCCGCGGCCGTCGTCGTCAGGCGGGATGGGCCTCGAGCGCGCGGCGTCCGCGTCGCGCATGCACCCCTTTGCGGGGTCGCCGCACCACCACGGCGGGTTCGACCTCCCCCCGCTGAACGCCGCGCTCGGCGGCGCGGGCTCCGGAGAGATGATGACGGGCCCAGGGACAGCCGCACGCGGCGTCGGCGCGTTCCACGGGGGCCCACCGAGCTACTTGCGCGCGTCGTCAAACGCGCCGAGCAGGACGCATTCGCCGCTGTCTGGCCCTGCCGCGCCATTCTACGCTTCAGCAGGAGGGGCGGGGGCGGGGGGGCTACAGGCGCAGGGCCCGATCGTGCCGACCGTTGCGGAGCTTGAGCGGCACTACTTTGAACTGCATGAGCAGCGACGGGGGCTGTTGGAGATGCTGGAACGGACGGATCGGCTGATGGCGGGGGTGAAGAGGGGGCTGGACGAGATGAGGGGGGTGGCGGCGCCGGCGGGGGGGATGGAGGGGCAGGCGAGCGTGCCGTTGCAGAGGAGCGGGTCCGGGGCTGGGGCTGGGGCGGGGGCGGCGCAGCGGGAGAGCGTGTGGCCCGTGCAGCAGATGCAGGGCGTGGAGGTGGGTCGGGAGTGAGCGGTGTGCTCGCTCGTCCCGTCTGCCATGACGCATCGCAAGCACCTGCGTCGCCTTCTTCGTCGTCTCGTTCGTCTTCCTTTTGGGCCGTGCACTCCTCTCTGCTACGCGTCGTGGTTTCGATTCGCTCGTCGTGTGTATACATCTCGCTGTAATATTGGACGCCGCGCTTTGCTTGTCCCCGTATATATTTCTCCGTCTCTGTTTTCGTCTGGCACCTGGCACCTGGAACATTCTCCACCCTGACCCCCTCTCCGCTCTGTTCTGCTCATCCCGTCTCGTCTTTTTCTTTTTTACTGTTCATCGTACTTTACTTTATATGTTCGGCGAGGGCGGTCTGCAAAAGAGGCGCCCCCTGGCTGACTGGCCGGTGTTGTGTGTTCGTTGCTGTTATACGTGGGTTGTTGCTGCTGTTGTTGTTGTTGTTGCTGCTGCTGCTGCTGCAGTCGCTGGTCAGTCGGATCGCCTCGTAGTTTTCTGGCTGTTTTGTTCTTCTCTTTACTTTACTTATGTTCTGCTGTAAGGTACTTAGAACCGGTGTTTGGCTGCTCGTATCATAGGGTATTCTATTGGACGTGGCGCGTGCCCACCCGCGTGAGAAGAAGGAAGAAGGAGATTAGATGGGAGATGGGATGGATGACGAGTGCTGCAGTTGCACGTGAAAACGGCGGTGCCCCCAACGGATCGACTTTCACGTTGCTCGCGCCCCGCCTTCCCTCGCCCATGCCCAACTGACCACCTGGGCACAAGCAACTTTCATTCAATCCCCACTCCATCCGTGCCCCGTGCTGCCTCCCGTGCCTCTGACCCTGCTGCTTCGCCTTTAAGCTCCCCCATCACAACACAACACAACCCACACCGTCCCCCGTCGACGGCCATCGCCATCGCCATCGTTCTTCCCCATCTCGTCAGCGCAGAAGATCACCCCGTTCGAGCGCAGCGCAGATTGGCTTTTCTTGCATATTCACACACACACGCACGCACGCACGCTCGCAGGCAGCCCGTTTGTTTACGGCATCTCCACTCCAGGGCGCAGCGCAGGGCGGGCGATATCGACTGACTGGCTGACTGGCTGACTGCGACTCGCTAGCTGATAGACCGAGCGACTGACTGATTAACTGAGTGACCGACCGACCGACCGACGTCGCGGATCGGGCCAACGCAGACCGCAATGCAGGCGCGCCAGCGGTCGATCGAGGACGAGGACGAGAGCGTCAGGATCGCGGTGAGGGCGCTCGGAGATATGCGCAGCGGCGGTGGCAGTGGAGGGGGCGGGGTGGAGCGTGAGCGCAGCGGGCAAGCGATGGGAGCGAGCTGTGCGTGGCCCTTTTCCATACATCCCATCCATCCCAACCCATTCCATTCCATTCCCCCTCCTTCCCCGTTTGATGGCCGCGGCCCTCGTCATAATGTCCGCTGCTGACGACTTTGCGCCCTGCGCTGGATGTCGGGCGCACACGCAGCTTTCCAGCCGACGCCCGCGCTCTCGATGGCGTCGACCTCGACGTCCCCGACGCTCGCCTCGCCCGTGCTTGAGCGCGCGGAGGCGCTCGATGCCGCGGCGGCCGCGGCGGACAGCGACTCGCCGCACTTCGTGTCGCGCATGTCGACGCTCCCGATCGTGAACACCGCGCTGCGAGCGTACGAGCAGAGCAAGGCGAGCTCGCGCGTCGTCAAGGTGAGCCCCTCCGATCCCTCTCTCCCGTGTCACCCCCATACCCATCGTCACCCGACGATGCTGATCCGCCTTTTCCTCTTTGTGCAGTACGGCGCGGAGATGATGGAGTCGTCCGTGAAGACCATTTCGCGGCCGGTGATGGACCGGCTGCCCGTCAATCAACTCGACGAGTTCGCGTGCAGGCAGTTGGACAGGGTGCGTGTCTCCGCTTTGCTCCTCCTTCGATTCCATTCGTTTGCTCACCTGTCGGGGTGTCTCCCGTTGCCTCTCGCGTCTTCTTGTCGGTTGGGTGGGTGGGACAGTTGGGGCGGTATCGGGGCCGCGCACCGTCGGCAGCGATGGATGAGCAGGACGGCCAGAATAGCGAGCGGGGGCGGGGGAGCTGGGAATCGGGGCTGCAGATACGGGACGTGTCGATGACGCGCGGGGATTTGGACGGGAAAAGCTACGGCTATGGTTATGGCTACGACGAGCGGGAGCAGAGCGCCGTTAGAGACGACGGGGTTGATCGTGCGTCTTTTCTTGTCCTGATGCCATCTCTGGCGGGCGTCTGATCGACGCGGACGCTTCGTGCAGGATCGCCGACGTTGAGGGTGCAGAGCCCGCGTGAGGACTCACAGGAGACGGACCAGCAGCAGCAACAACAACAACAGGTCGCGCAGCGCAGTCGATGGCAAGCTGTATTGCTTGAAGCTGGAGGAATCGGTGCGGCCGTGAGCGAAGAAAGTATGCGAAGGCTGAAGTACTGCCTGCAATGGCTGCAGGTCCGTCATCTCGCCTTGCGCCTTTTGAAACGCATCCTGACTGTCCTCCTGCAGTACGCAACGACACACATCGACGGACAGATCCTCATCCTACGCGACTTCATGGCCTCCCTGCAGCCCCCACCAGGCTCTCCGAACGCCATCAACCCCGACGCGCTCATCTCGCCCGAGCACATGCGCCAGCTCCAGAACGTCAAACACGACGTCGTCAACACCGTCCGGCAGGTGGTCAACATCGTGTCCCAGTACGCGGGCGGCGCGCTCCCCGAGCCTGCCCGCGCGCGGGTGCGCGGCTTCATATTGCACCTCCCGCAGGCGTGGGCGAGCGCCGCACGCAGGCAGGACGTGCCCACCGCCGCGGGCACCGCGGGGCGCGGGGGCCGGGGGACGCGCCGGAGTGGCAGGCGGGACCGGGGCGGCGAGGCGCCGTCGCGGCCGGCGTCGCCCTCGAGCGCGTCGAGCCCGCGGCATTCGCGACAGACCAGCAGCGCGGTAACTGGGGCGGCGGCAGGGGCAGGGACAGGGACAGGGGCAGCTGCGGCGCTGCCGCCGACGGCGGGGAGCGCAACGCAGGCTGCGCAGCGTATTTTGACGCTCGCGACGGAGAGCTTGGATATGATGCGCGGGGTGACGGGCGTGGTGAAGGATTCGCTGGACCGCGCGGACGCGTGGGTCGAGCGGCTGCGGGTGGTCGGGATTCAGCGGCAGGGCGTGGGCGCGGGTGCGGGTGCGGATACGGCAGGGGAGGGGGGGAGGGAGAGGCTGGCGCCGCCGTTTGATTTGATGCAGCATCGTGGGGGCGGCATCGCGAGCACGAGCACGAGCGTGACGTCGTCGCCTGTTGCGCACTCGACTGTGCTGCCGCCGCTGCGGTCGCCCGTCGCGGGAGCGGGGGGCTCGAGCCCGCTGTTGCATGTGTCTTCTGGGGACTCGTTTTTTGGAGAGCCTGAGGGGCTGGGGAAGCTTAGTCTCGGAGCCTCGGGCGCGGGTGCTGGAGTGGGAGTGGGGGCGGGGAGCAGGAGCGGGACGGTTACGCCGGCGCTGGGGAAGAAGGGGATGTTTGCGGAGGAGGGGGAGGGCGGGTACGTGGGCGGCGTGGGGAATGGGCATGGAGGTGGGGGGAGGGCGAACGGGGAGGGGGTGGAGGGGGTGGGGCAGAGGGCGGGCGGGGACGTGGAGGGGGATGGCGGGGACGTGGAGGAGGGTGGTGGGGGGACGGTGGAGATGGACGTGGACGGATAGGCACGGTTAGTGCACGGTCGGGAGTCGGGAGTCGGGAGGAGTCGGGAGGCGGGGTCGTCGGTCCTCGAGCTTAAGGTCTGTCGGTGTGGAATTCGATCTATTTATGTATGTTCATTTCACTTTCACTTTTTTTTTCTTTTTTCTTGTAATTGCTACTCGTTTCGTTTCGTTTCGTTTCGTTTCGTTTCGTTCTGCTTTGGTGTCCGCTGTCGACCGCTCACTGTCTTTGATTATACATCGTCTCCGCTCGCGCCTCGTCCCCCTTCTCTCTTTTCATCCGTGGACGCGCACTCACAACCCTCCTCCTTTCTTTCCTTCCTCCCTTCCTTCGCGATACGCCTCCGACGCCACGTCGATGTCGCAGCGGCTGTCGCGCCCAGGTTATACGCTCGCCTGTACTCGCTCGTTTTTGCGCGCCCTGATTTCGCTTCTCTGTCTCTGTCTCTGTCCATCTGTCTACCTGTCCATCTGTCCATCTGTCTTTCTTTCTTTCTTTTCTTTCTTTCGTTCTGTCTGTCTGCCCGTGTGTCTCTTCTTTCCGTCCTGTCTCGTCTCGTCTCGTATATATATATATGTGGGCACGCACGCACGTACGCTCGTACGTCCGTACGAAGATTGCGAGCTCCCATCCCCCGCTCACCGCCGTCGCCCGTGGTCAGTGACTGGCTGTACAACATTCTCGGATGCCTTGTCGGGACTGCGCGTACCCTTTCATGTACTCGTACGTGGGGAGGTTCGTTCGCGGTGTAATATGCGAATGCTGCGCTCGGTGTACAGTGCGCTCAGTGTACATATTATCGGAGATGGTGTGGGACTGCTCACTCGGCTCCTCTGCCTGGCTTGCATGCCAGTCCGACGGGGCGCGAGCACGCAGGCGTGCCAGCGCCGTGCGATGCTGGTCATCGTCTGACAGGAGCTGACAGGACGGAGCGTGTTCGGGCAGTGTTCGGGCCATGCTATTCGTATTCGGAGGTACTTAGGTGGGCTCGTGGTCGATACTGTAGGTCATCGCGTCTGAGAGTCGCTGATTGTCGTTGCGGGCTTTATTGCTGAGGCGAGGCAAAACGTGTTTTGGCCCGTTGCAACAGCCCGAGTCCTGACGCGCCGTGGCGCCGTGGCGTCGCCGCCGCGAAGGACAGCGGGGGTGTTGCTCGTCGGGGTCCGAGTCCGGGTCGGCATGTGATTTGATTGCCAGTGGGCATGACGCAGCGCGACTGGCTTTGAGTCTTTGCTTCCGATCCTCTGCGCCTCGTCGCGACAGCTTGCTCAATCGTCGCCTGCACTTGAATGGGCGGCGTCTGCGAGGTTCAGCGCTCAGCCTCTGTGCGTGCACAACCGTCGGAGGCCTCGACGACGTGTCGGTGCGCAATGGTATTATAATATTGCCAGCAGCGACCACGATGTTTATTAGCCCGATTCAGCTCCACCTCGGCTCGGCGTGCGCTAATTATGCATCGCGCTGAGTTCTCCCGTCCTCGCTAGAACCCCCGGACTCTATGCTGCCCCGTCATGTAATATATAAGACAGCTGCACGGTAGCCGTCGCTCTGCTCAGTTTCTCCTTTCTCGCACCACCCGGCAATCCAACACACCACAACACGCCTGCCTCGATCGACCGACCGTCGACAGGCTCCCCCCACTCCTTCATCCGCTACACACTCGTTTATACACTGACAAAATCGATTTCATTCGTATATACCATGCGTTACTCGGCCTCGCGCTCTGGCGCGGCTTTGCTCCTCGCTTTGCCTCTGCTCGCCGGTGCTGTGCCCCTCAGCGGCATGAATATTCCCATCCCAGCGGGCACGACCATCCCGCTGAATCGGCGCGCCTCGTTCTTGCTCGACGACGGGTCCGTCAACATCCCCGCCCTCGCGCGCCACCTGAACTTTGCTGCCGCGTGCGTCCGCCAGCGTGTATTTTATTCGAACGCGCGCTCACTGATGGCGCTTCGCATGCTTTTATCCCCGCAGGAAGTTCCAGCGCGGGTTCAACGCCTTCGAGCGCAACACGGGTGCCGCGCACCCGCTCGCCTTTTTGGAGGACCTCTTCGGCCTCGCGCGGCGCGGCGCGGGCGGCGTCGCGCTCGCCGACCAGGGCGAGATGCTTTGGACGGGGAAGATCGCGCTCGGGACGCCGCCGCAGGAGTTCACGATGGACTTCGACACGGGCAGCTCGGACCTGTTCGTGCCGGCGGCCGGGTGCGGCGGCAGCGCGGGCTGCGGCGGGCGCGCGGAGTACGACGCGGGGAAGAGCACGTCGGGGCGCGACCTCGGGAGAAACTTCACGCTGCGGTATGGGGACGGGAGCACGGTGAAGGGGAAGCAGTACGCGGAGAGCGTCGCGATCGCGGGTTTGTCTGTACGTGTTCCGCCTCCCCCGTTGTTGTCGTGCCGGCGGGTTCTCGACGCTCGTCGCGTGATCTGACGGTTTTGTTTTTGATCGGCGCGCGGCGCGCAGGCGGCGAATCAGACGATCGGCGCGGCGGACACGTATTCGGCGGGGTTCACGAGCGGGATGGACGGGCTCGTCGGGCTCGGGTTTAAGAGCATCTCGGTGTACAACGCGCCGCCGCTGCTCGACACGCTCGTCGCGCAGGGCGCGGTCGACGCGCCCGTGTTCGGGTTCAAGCTCGCGCAGGAGGGCTCCGAGCTGTTCATCGGCGGGACCAATAAGACGCTGTACGCGGGCGAGCCGACGTACGTGGACGTCACGCACGAGGTGTGTCTGCGTCTCGGTCTCCGGAACACGGTGCGCGAAGGACGCGGGAGCTAATGTGTGCTGGGTGTTGGTGTGTAGGGATACTGGCAGGTCGAGATGGACCAGTTGGCGGTGAACGGGACGCAGGCCGTCGGGAAGACGGCGGCGATCATCGATTCGGGCACGACGCTCCTCGTCGGGAACGAGCAGGACGTCGCCAATTTCTACAAGAACGTCACCGGCGCGAAGCCCGTCGACGGGCAGCAGGGCCTGTGGTCCGGTGCGTCTCCTCCCTTCTCCGTCTGATCTACGTTCCGTTTGAGCGGGTGCTGATGCGTTTTGCTTGTGGGTGCGCGCGGGTTGGGGCGACAGTGCCGTGTGACGCCGTGCCGCAGGTGAGCCTCACGTTTGGCGGGAAGAAGGTCGATATCAGGCCAGAGACGTTCACGCTGGGGCCTGTGTCGATGGGGTCGAGCGACTGTCTCGCGGGCATCGCGTCTACGACCAGCATGTGTGCGTGTTTGCTCTCTGATTGCCTGTCCGCGCGCTCATATCCTCGCTTGTCGAACTGTGAACCGTGGGGTCCGTGTACTGGTGCCACTTTGGCGCGGACGATCGCTGGTGGCTGACGCGCTGGTTTGGGGCTGACAGCGTTCTGGATCATCGGGGACGTGTTCATGCAGAACGTGTACACGATCTTCGACAAGGGTGAGAGCCGCGTCGGGTTTGCGGACCTCGCGTGAGGGCTTTGGGGGTTTGCGAGCATCGGAGGATGAGAAGAGAACAGAGGGGGGGGGGGGGGGCGCCAGGCGGGCGCGGGGACTTGTGCATTGCTACCGCGTCGTCGGTGGATGGAAGGCTCCGGAAAGACGTTCGATTTGTTGTTCTGTGTCGTCTGCGCTCTCACACTAACCCACATTCACGTACGCGGAACTTGCTCATTGCTAATGCGTGCGCCGCGCCTCGGCTACTTTACAGGCTTGCTTCGCTGTCATATATACTATATTATCATCGTATCCAATCACATCGCTGTTGCACTGCAGAGCGGGGTGGGCTCGAGGTAGGAGGGTCTCGTGAGCTGCATGGGCCTGGGCGAGACTGAAGTGAGCGAATGGGGGCTGCTGTTGCCAGCTTTGGCGTCGAGGAGATTGACTTTCGTTGATATCTTCGTCCACGAACAAAGTTTGCCGAACTTATGGATCGAGGCCTGAGAGGTTCATCAAGGGAGCGACGGCTCTCCTCCTGTTATCGAATGGAATCAGAAATCTTACTGGCGTCTTGTCTGATCTCGAGCGCGTCTACTTATGAGCAAATCGGCCGAGGGGGTGGCGGGTGCTGGGGCAAACGCCGGCGACATGCGCGTGGACGACACAAAGAAGCTGAACATCTGACCGCAGTTCACCCCATATTTTTAGAGCGGACGGACTCATATTTGGGACGATCAGCAGAGCACCCCGACGAAGGAGTGTTGCCCTGCCGGTGAGGCGCGACGCTGAGATGCTTGCTATAGATGATGGTGGCGTGTACCGAAAAGGCTAAGAAACACAGTTAATGACATGATTTATACTCCCTGCTACGTATCTAACACGCGCCGCCTGAACACTGCACAGCCCTGATGATGATTAGACGCCCCGACGACAACGAAGACGATGATGATGGATAAAGACGATGCCCGGAGAATGTGAGGCCGGGCACGACCGCTCAGAAGTTGCTCCCTTCCGGAGGCTGAGGCAGCTTGCGATTGTTGAACGATGCCATCTCCCTGCATTAGTACAGTCGAACGAACAGCGCATATCGTGTCAAAACGGGCATGAAATGATCGGGAGCCGGTGGGCACGCACCGGCGGATCTCGACGAGGACGGTCTCGATGCTGCTGGTGCTGGACCAGTGGGCGAGGATGGGGAGCTTGGAGGGATCGACCTTGCCGTCCGTTTGGTTGACGAAGGGGAGGTTGACGCGCGAGACGAACTGGACGAGGGGAGGCTGCTCGGGGTAGGTCGCGCCGCAGACGATCCTGAGGCTGTAGATGCGGTTCTCGTGCACCGTCTGCGCGCCACATACGCACAGGCCGAGCGATCGCGGTCAGCGGCGGGGACGTGGGGGCGGGCGAGGGGGGGGGGGGGACGTACGTGGCCGGGGCCGATGATGGTACCGTTCCACTGGCTCATGAGGATGTCGTCGCCGTCCTCGAGGCCGTAGGAGCACGAGCCGTCGCCGATGCCCTTCTCGCCCTTCTCGAGCTCTTCGAGCAGGCGGAAATTGCGTGGTACTGTCCGCGCATCGCACAGGATCAGCGCGCGCGCAGAGACAGTGTGTTAGAGACGGATTATACCCTTTGCCATCGGAGAGAGGAGGAGGCAGAGCAAGGAGATGGAGAGAGCAGCAGCAGCAGTGGCGCGGCCGAGTCAAGGACCAAGGAGAGCCCGACGCACTGCAGTGCATCCAGCAGGCCGGATCGGGCTCGGTCTTTCCACCGTCAGCCACCGCAGTCTCTCCGGCGACCGCACTGCCCTTCATCCATCGTCACACACACACACATCTCCCCGTATTCTCCACATAACTCTACCAGACACCCTTGATTTTGTTTTTCCTAGCACCGCCGGCGACGTCCATCACAAGCCGCGATGTTCAAGAGCGGCGCAAACCCCTACGATGATATCGTCGGTATGTCCGCAATCTCGCTCCCACTCTCGCCGACGCAATCTGAACGGCGCGCGCAGTCAAGACGACCGACGAAAACCTCACCAGCGAGAACTGGGAGCTCATCCTGAACCTCTGCGACAAGGTGCAGGACGAGGGCGAGCAGGGGTGCGTTCTCGATTGGGTTTTGGGCGTGGGGATGGGCACTCACATGCGGGATTTGGCCTCAGCGCTCGGAGCGTCATTGCTGCGATCCTCAAGCGGCTCGCACACCGCAATCCGAACGTCCAGCTCTACTCCCTCGCCCTCGCCGACTCGCTCTCGAAGAACTGCACCGTCGAACTCCATCGCGAGATCGCGTCGAGGGCATTCACCCAGGCCCTCGAGAAACTGATCACCGACCGGGTGCGCGTACACTCTCCCAGTATTGTACTCGAGATGCCAAGCAGCTGACCGCGCTTTGGCTTGCAGACGACACATGACAAGGTCAGGCGCAAAGCCCTGAGTCTTATAGCGATGTGGGTCTCCGAGTTTGAGAACGACCCGACGCTGGGCGTGATGGAAGACTGCTACAACAATCTCAAAGCAAAGAGTATGTATCGCACACCTCTTCGTCCCCTCACCTTTCTTGCTCATCGAACCGACCCATCGCAGACTACTCGTTCGAGGGCCCGCAAGAACCGCCGCCGCCTGACGTCAACGACGAAGTCCGCCGGCGCGAGGAAGAGGAGCTCCAGCGTGCCTTGGAGATCTCCGTTCAGGACAAGGGTGGCCGTGCAGCGTGGAACCAGTACTCCCTCGCCTCGTCTAGTGCACAGGCGTCCTCCAGCGGCGCCGGCAGCTCGAGCGACGGCTACCAGCCCGCCGCCGCTACCTCGTCCTCCGCTGCCGCGCGCCAAGGGAGCGTTGGCAGCGCGATTTACACGGGTGGCTACGTCCCCGGCCCCGTGCGCCAGGTGACTCCCCCGCAGGCGCAATCTCAAGCGCAAGTGAGCCTACCGACAGCCTCGGCGACGCCGGTCGCCCTGTCGGTGTCGCCGACTCCGTCGACGACGACGATAGTCACGCGGGTTCGTGCGTTGCACACGTTCGAGCCGACGGAGGCGGGCGAGCTTGCGTTCGAGAAGGGCGACGTCATCAAGGTCGTCGATCGTGGATACAAGGACTGGTGGCGAGGTCAGCTCAAAGGCCGAACTGGGATATTCCCCGTCAACTACGTCGTAAGCAACAGCCCCATCATTTCCCCCCGTGTCGTTTTTTTTCTCGCGGTAAATCCGCGAACAATCATCTAATCGTGTTTCTGTTTCACCAGGAACCGCTTCCCGAGCCATCGGCCGCGGAGTTGGCCGCAGAGGCACAGCAGGAGTTCGCGGTGTTCTCACAGGCAGCGAACGTCGACCGCCTGCTCACGATGCTCCGGTCGCTCGACCCCGCGAAGGACAACCTCGCGGACAACGAGGAGATTCAAGAGCTGTACCGCTCGAGCATGGCGCTGCGTCCCAAGATCGTCAAGCTGATCGACAAGTATAGTCAGAAGCGATGTGAGTCCTCTATGAGGGATCGGTTTCATTGCTGCCGTTTGCTGATGGGCTCTGTGCAGCTGATCTGGTGGCTATGAACGAGACGTTTGTCAAGGCGCGCACTATCTTCGACCGTATGATGGAAGAAAGCCTGGCTAGGCATTCTGGCTGTAAGCCGTCTCTCCTATCCGTCCCTCCACGATCTACTCACGTGGAGTCGTACTCCCCTCTGCTCCAGACTACGACCAGCGGCCGCCATACATGCAGCCCCAGCCCTCCTACCAGCCCCGGCCAGACTCACGCGGCCCACAGGCGCTGTATGCACGGATCCCCGAGCCCCAAGCGAACGGCTGGAACCCCGCCGTGTATGACCAGCCCGGATACAACGCCTACCCCGCCCCTGCGGCTGCGTACGCGCCTGGCCAGGAAGGCGGGTACCCGCCGACGCAAGGTCCTCAGTCCATGGGCCAGCCCCAGGCCCCGTATGGTGACCCGAGCCTCACCCCGGCGCCATATGGTGCTCCCCAGCAGCAGCAGCAGCAACAGCAGGCGGCTCCGGGAGGGTACCCTCAGCAGCCGTACCCCGCGCAGAACAGGATGTCGTATTTCCCGCAGCAGGCCGAGCACGCGCCGAGCCCCTACGGACCTTCACAGCAACCACAGCCCCTGGCACAAGCCCAGCCCCAGCCCCAGCCCCAGCAGCAGGTGGAGCCGCCACGCGAGGCCCAGGGCCCACCGTACACGTTCGATCCGAAAGCGACGTACCCGGATCCGAACGCGCAGGCGTGGGCGCAGTACTACGCGCAGGGCGGGACGGACCCCACGGGCGCGGTGTATTTCTTTGCGGTCCCTGGAATCACGGACAGGACGCCCGTCGACGCACAGTCTCCTCAGGCCCAGGCTCAGGCTCAGGTTCAGGGCCAACCGCAGAGCCAGAGTCAGCAGGACGCCGCCGCGGGGTACCAGCAGCCGTACGCTCAGGTCCAGCAGCAGTCGCCCGGGGCGGGCGTCGTCTCCTCGACGTCTGGCCTTGCGCATTCCCCGCAGAGCGCGCACCCGCAGACCGCGTTCGTCCAGGCGATCCAGCAACAGCAACAACAGCCTTCTCAACCGCCGCAAGCGCAGCTTCAGCACCAGCCCCAGGCGCAATCGCAACCGCAACCGCAACCGCAACCGCAACCGCAACTGCAGGACGGACCGCAGCGCCAGGCGTCTGCGAGCTCGCTCCCGAGCCCGGGGGCGTATGCGCACGAGCTGCCGACCCCCTACGGTGCCGCCGCCCCCGTCGGACCGCAGAGGCAGGGCTCGCTGGGCACGGCGTATGCGCCGCAGAGCCCTGGCGCCGCGGCGGGTGCCGGGCTTGGTCCTGGTGTCGGTCCAGCGGCAGAGTGGGCGAACCAGTATTACGGGCTGCAGAGCCAGTTCGCGGGGATGAGCGTGAGCGGGCAGGGACAGGGGGGCGAGCACGGTGGCCAGTCGCAGGCGCAGGTGCCGGCTCAGCCGCCGGTGGGCGCGTGAGCCGGGCCAGCGATGATGATTGAGGGGGGGGGGGGGGAGGGGGACGAGGGGAGACGGCGCGGTTTCTTGTGGCGTGCTTGCCATGTATACACGGGACGTTGAGAGTGGGGTGTCTGGCTCTGTAGTATTCGAGTCTTGTCCTCGAGGTTCTGTGCTCGGTCTATTTATGTACATCGTTTGCTAAGTGCTTTGAGAGGAGAGGAGAAGGACGGCTTGCGGTTTGCGAGGTCGGCGTCAACCATGGTGTCCGTGACGGTTCCCGGTATCGAGCGAGCGCGTAGTATGTACATGTCCGTCTCCACGTCGTACGCGGCGAAAAAGAAACATAAATAAGATCGGGGAAAGAAACACCCAGTCGCGAGCAATGCCTTTATGGACGCTATGTAAATAAATATCCACGGCTATCGCCCCCGCGTCGCTTTTTCCCCGCGCATGTCCGCCAGCAGCCCAAAAAGGCGCGCCTCGCCTCGCCCCACGCCTCGCCTCGCCTCGCCCCGCCTCACGCCTCCTTCAACCCCCGCCGGATCTCCTCCAAGCCCTCGTCATACGCCCAAAACGCGCCGTCGGCCTCTCCCCCTCCCTCTCCCTCCCGCTCTCCCTCCCGCTCTCCCTCCCGCTCTCCCTGTGCCTGCGCCGCGCCCTCGCCCGCAGGCGCGCCCTCGACGCTCCGCAGGTAGCGCGCCTTGGCCTCCTGCGCGTCGCGCGTCGCGCGCGCCTCCTCCGCGCTGCCCTTCCACACGGCGCGCTCGACGACGTGCCGCACGGCCGCGCGCAGCGCGAGGTGCGCGTGGCTCGCGGCGAGCGCGACGAGGAGCGCCTTGGCGAGCACGGCGCGCGCGGCGTCGGTCGGCGCGGGCGCGGGGATGCTTGCGCCTGCGTCGGGGACGTGCAAGGAGGTGGTGAGGGCGGGGGTGGAGGAGGCGGAGGAGAGGGCGGCGGCGGCGGCGGCGGCGGGACGGAAGAGGTAGACGAGGGCGGCGTTGGTGAGGGCGGCGAGCCAGGTGAGGAAGGAGAGGCAGGCGAGCCAGGGCCCGATGGTGTCGGCGCGGGCGGGGAGCGGGCGGCGGTGGTGCGTGACGATCTTGAACGCGTCCGCGCGGAGCTCGAGCGTGTTGTTCAGGTACGCGGTGACTGCGCGGCGGGGCGAGGGGGGGGGGGGCGCGCGTGGAGAGAAGAGGCGCGCGCGTCAGTTTGGTGGGTTTGGAGGTGTGGAGCGGGATGGAATGGAACGCGCGGGTGCAAGGGGGCGCTGTCACCGCCTGTCGCTTGGCCATCGAACGAGCCGCGGCGTGAGCTCCCCCTCCTCCTCACCGCCCCCCTCCCCCGCTCCGAAAAAAAAAACAGGACAAAAGAACCCCAGACCCCCCCAGCCCGAACCTCGAATCCCCCCCCAAAACCCCAAAAAACCAAAAAAAAAAGGCACAAAAACCAGCACTCACCCGGCGCGAGCGGCCAGATCGTCGACCACAGCGCGACGTACCCGAACTGCGTCACCATCTCCCCGTAGTCCTCGAACAGCCCGTACTCAGGCAACGCGACCTCGCGACGCACGCGCTCCAGGAACGCGCGCTCCGCCTTTGCCCGCTGCCCCTGCGCCGCCGCGCCCGCCACGCCCGCCACGCCCATCGCCGCGTCCTCGAACCCCACGCGCTTCTTCTTCGCCGGCGAGCCCCCCGCGCCGCCGATGCCACGGCGGCGCCGCGCGAGGAAGCGCGCGAGGAAGCGCGAGAGGAAGGGGAGGGCGAGCTCGGTGAAGGCGTTGAGCGCCTGGTTCGTGACCGTGAAGGCGAACATCTGGTTCTGGAGGCGCGCGGCGTTGAGCTTGGCGCGCCCCGCGGCGGGGCGGGGGTCGAAGAGGGGCGCGGGGGGCTTTTCGGGCGGCGGCTGTGCGGGCCGCGCGCGGTCCGCGGCGGCGGCGGTGGCGGCGGCGGGGGCGGCGGCGAGGATGCGGCGCTGGACGGCGTCCATGAGGGGCGCGCCGAAGGGGACGTAGACGAAGGCGGAGAGGGCGAGGCCGAGGTAGGCGACGACGGCGGAGAGGGCGAAGGTCTTGAGCGTGAGCGAGGCGGCGTGCGTCGAGGCGTGCGCGTGGTGCTCCCAGTCGGTGAGCGCGCGGGCGCGGGCGTGGTAGAGCGCGAGGAAGCGCGGGACGAGGGCGACGAAGAGGAGGGTCGGGACGAGGGACTGAGCGCGCGCGCGCGCGTGGGGTCAGCGTCCGGGGCGGGGCGGGGCGGGGCGGGGAGAGGGGGACGCACGACGTAGGGGTGGCCCGGGCCGGTGTAGAGCGCGGCGACAAAGGCCTCGAGGACGAAGATGGCGGTGAGGAGGGCGGCGAGGGCGCCCGCGAAGAGGAGGACGACGGGGACGCTCGCGAGGATGCGCAGCTCGCGCGTCCACCAGGGGATGGGCGCGCCCGCGGCGCGGGTGCGGCGCTCGACGCGGAAGGCGCCGCGGGTGCCCCAGCGCGTGGCGAGGACGCGCTCGCGGACGCGCCAGGACTCGACGAAGGCGACGGCCCAGAGGAGGAGGGCGGAGGAGTAGGCCGCGGAGTAGGGGCGGGCGAGGAGGTAGGTGGCGAGCCCGGCGGTTGCGGCGAGGGCGAGGGCGCGGGTGTAGGAGACGAGGAAGGCGAAGTAGAAGGCGACGGGGTCGCCGAACTGTCAGTGGCGGACGCGTGGGCGGGCGGGGGGATGGGTTACGAGGTGTGTGTGTGTGTGCGGGTGGGGAGAGAGACGGACCTGGTTGCGGATGGCGTCGAGGCGGTCGGGGCCGACGGCGTGGCGGGTGAGGGCGCGTATCCAGGCGTCGTTGAAGTCGGGGTCGTGGAGGGCCATGACGGACTCGACGCGGTCCCAGGCGTCGGGGGCGGCCGGGGCGACGCCGAGCCCGCCGTCTGCGGGTGGGGAGGTGAGGTACTCGTGCACGAGGCGGAGGCGCTCTGCGGGGGTGAGCGCGGCGGGGTCGAGGGCGGGGTCGGCGGCGGCGGGGAGGCCGTGGAGAAAGTCGGAGTGTCTGTTCGGCGGGGGGTTAGGGGCGGGGCGCGGGAGGGGAGAGGAAAGGGGGGTGGAATTACCGCTCGCGGCGGACGAGGCGGGTGAGCTGGGGCGCGGTGCAGGAGAGGAGGACGATCAGCTGGCCCTGGTGCTCGCCGCGGCGGCCGACGGCCTGGAGCCCGCCTGCGTGGAGGACGTCGAGGAGGCGGGAGTACTGCTGCTCTGCGAGGCGGGCGTCGTCGAGGGCGTGTTGTCTGGAGAGGGTGTGTTTGGAGGAGGCGCGGAAGACGACGACGAGGTCGACGGCGGGGGGCATGGCTGCCGGCGGGGTTGTGGACGGTGCTGTGGTCGTCGTCGGTGTCGGTGTCGGCTATCGATGGGCGTGCTGTGTGCTGTGGGTGCCGTGTGTGCTAGTGTGCGCTGCGTGCGTGCGGATGACGTCGGCGGGGCCAGGCACCCGGGGCAGCCGGCGGCGGCCGGAGACCGGAGGGCGCGGGTGGCGCGGGTTGGGTGTTGCCAAGGGATCTGCAGGCTCCCGGCCAGTCGGTGTTCGCGCTGGCGTCCAGCCCTCGCTGCTCTCCCAGTCCCAGCCCTGGCCTCCACTGGCACCGTCGTTTCCTGTCTTTACTCTCCAGCCGGTCTTTACCCTTCCGCCTTTCCTCCGCGTCCCAGTCCCGGTCGACTTGCACGCGCACGCGCACTCATACACGTACGTCGATGCCCCTCGTGCCCGGATCACCGATCCATTTCCCCTCTCCATATGGGCGCCCCGATGCTGTAAAACATTCACTGACCCCCTCGCGTTATTTTTCCATTCCAGATTCGTCTCGTCGCTCGCCCCACGTGTCGCTCCTTTGCACACACACCCTCTCCCTTTCCTCTCTCTCCTCCACCACCGTCCGTTCGTCCGTCCGTCCATCCCCCTCCACCTCGGTGCCCCGCCCCCCCCGCACGTGTCTGCCCCACCGCCCCCACATCCTCACGCCCAAAATCTGCCGCCTCAACGCGTACGATACACACCCAGTCGGTGAACCCCAAACCTTCGCGCTGAACCCATCCCTGATCTCCTCTCCAACCGCTCGCGCAGCACGACAGCACCGCGCGTCCCACCCTCGTCTCTTTCGTTTGGGCGAGAAGCCAGAACATGTGGGTCCCTTACGTCCCTTCGCGCACCCCTCCTTATTCTCGCTTTGCGTAGTCGTGTATCCGTTCATCCCGTAACGCGTACTGACTCACTCTCGTGACACACCCCCGGTATCTCCCTTGGCCTGCGCCCCGTATCCGTTCGCCGACGCTGCGATCCTCAGGCTCTGCTGAACCTCCTCATCTGCTACCGACCGCCCAGCCCCTCGCACTCGCACACGCGCACGCCCCGTACGTACCCCGCCGCTCGCATCCTCACGCCCCATCCCACCCTGACCTCGTCCCCCTTTAGCAGCTCCCCCCGCCCCGCCCAATCTAGCCTCCAAAACACACGCACGCACCCATGGCCTTCTTCTCCGCCCCAGAGCAAGAAGTCCTCGCACACAGGCTCGCCCGCAGCTCCTCCGTCGACCGGCTGCACGCGCGCTTCGCCTCCGCCTCCGCCTCCGCCTCCGCCTCCGCCACCGCGTCCACGTCCGCGTCCAACCCGCCTTCCCTCTCGAAAGCCTCCGCGCGGCGCGTGCCCCCGCCGCCGCTCCCGACGAACGCGCACGCGCACTCGACACCCACGCAGGCGGGCATGGCGCCGGACGAGAAACGCCAGAACCAGAACCAGAATCTGTATCAGAGCCAGAATACGTATGCCCTCCCGCGCTCGATGCAGGCCGGCGGGCTGCGCGGGTTCGGCGCCGCGGCGCTCGCGTCCACGTCCACCCTGACCACGCCAACGGCTGCGGGAACGCGGGCGGAGACGGGAACGAGGACGGACGCGGGCGGAGGCGCGTCTGCGTACGAGTTCGACCTGACCCCGTCGCCGACGCAGCCGCAGAGCGTGCGCGCGCACATGCAGATGCACGCGCACGCACAGGCGCACGCGCAGGCGAGGAGTGCGCACGGTCACGCGCACGCTCCTCGTGGGAGCGGGAGCGCGAGGCCGGGGACGTCGCCGGCTGCTGCGCCGTCGCCGTCGTCGTCGTCGTCGTCTGCGCGCGGGGAGCGCGAGGGACGGAAGAAGCATTCGCCGACGAAGGGGGAGCGCGGCGGCTCGCCGACGCCGGGGCCGTCCTCGTCCTCGTCGACGTCGGCGGCGGCGGCCAACACGACACCCTTCCCGACCCGCCGTGCGGACCTCGCCCATTCGCCCGCGGCGGGCACGATGCCGACGCCGGCGCCCTTCCCCCCGCGCGCGGGCTCGTATACGTACTCGTACTCCTACTCGTATTCGGGCTCCGCGTCCGCGTCCGGCTCAATCTCGGACTCGGGCGCCAAGGCCCCGCGGCGCGTCGCCGAGTCGCACTCGCAGCTGCACCAGCTGCACACGCACCTGTCCCCGCTCGACGCGGCCGCGCACGCGCGCCAGCACTCGCCGTCCTCGTCGCCGTCGCCGTCGCCGTCGCGTTCCCCGTCCCAGTCGCCGTCGCATCCCAGCTCGCGCACGCACTCGCACTCGCCGTCCCCGTCGCCCTCGCGCTCCCCTGCGCGCCGCTCGTCGCTCATCGGCCTCACGCATCCTTATCCGCACCAACAGCATCCACACCCGCATCCACATGCACACCCGCACCCTCGTCCGCACCCGCATCCTCCTCATCATCCACATCCACACGCCCCCCGCCTCGCCCCCGGCAACCTCTCCGACGGCGGCGGGAGCTCGGACCGCGAGCGCGCGCCGAGCCCGCTCGTCGCCGCGCGCCTGGACGTGAGGCGCCTGCTGAGCAAGCCCGCGCCGCCCGCGCCGCCGTCGCGCGCGTCGACGATGTCCGTTACCTCGGACTCGGATGCGCCGCCGCCGACCGCGACCGCGCCTGCGACCGCGAGGGAGGTCGTGGCGAGGATGGAGCTGGCGCGGGCGGAGAGCGCGCGGGCGGAGAAGGCGCGGGCGGAGAAGGCGCGGAGCAGGAGCAATCCGACGCAGCCGAGTAGGAGCTATATGCGCGCTGCGATGGGGGTCGACGAGCGGGGTGGACTCGCGGCGCCGGTGGCGGGTCCGGTCGTGGCGTCGCGTAGTGTCGCGAGCGAGCGCGAGACGCCTGTCGCGTCGTCGTCGAAGGCCGCGGAGCGCGAGCGGGAAAAGGAGAGGCCGCCGCAACAGCAGCAGCAGCAGCAGCCACCGCAGCAACAGCAACAGCCACCGCAGCCGGCTCCGCCGCGGCCGCGCAACGTCCTGCGCAAGCGCTCGATGAAGAGCCACGCGAGCAGCGCGACGTCCGCGCCGCGGAGCATGTCGGACGCGTCCTCGCGCCCGACCGCGGGCTCGCTGCGCGACCCCATCCCGACGCTCTACTTCCACTCGTTCGACATCCCGAAGGAGTACACCTCCCCCGCGGACGCTCGCCCCGGCGGCAGTGGCAGTGGCAGCGGCGTCGGCGGTAGCGGCAGCGGGGGTGGGGGCAGCGGGGCGAGCAGCCCGCGGCACTCGCCGTCTCCGCGCCCGTCGCCGTCGCCGACCCCGAAGCTGACGCCCGCGGGCGCGATCGCGCTCGCGTACAAGGAGCAGGGCGTGCGCCGCGCGAAGCTCGAGGCTGCCGCGAAGGGGCAGGACCAGCGCCCGGCGACGCAGCCGCTCCCTCCTCCCGCTCCCGCTCCCTCTGCTTCCCCTGCTCACTCTGCCCGACCCGTCCCTGCCGCTCGCGCGCTCACTCTGGACACTGTGCCGGCCGTTCCGCCGCTGCAGCCGCCCCGCGCGCCGCGGGACGCGTACCGCCATTCGTCGGCGCGGGTGACGGCGCAGGCGGACGTGTCTGCGGACGAGGGCGAGCCGACGGGGCCGTATTATACCGTGTTCGGGAGCACGACGGGGCGCGTCGTCGCCGTGGGGAGCGTCGAGGACACGGAGTGGGGCGAGGGCGAGCAGCGTGCGCCGCGCGCGGGAGCGGTCGCGAGCACCGTCGCGAGCACCGTCGTGACGCCCCAGAAGCCCACCCTCTCGCGCAAGGTCTCCACGCGCTTCAAAAAGGCGGCGGCGGCGACGGCGGCGACGGCGACGGCAGCGGTCGTCGTGGCCACCGCGGAGCCGGTCGATGAGGCGGCGTGGGGCCGGCCGAGCCTCCAGGAGCGCCGGTCGGTGACGCTGCCGACGCGCGAGCGGCAGAGCCTGCGGCTGTCGATCGACGACTACGTCGACGTGCAGGCGCCCGAGCTCGGGTATTCCGCGCTGTCGACGCCCTCGGCGCGGCTGGGCGACGCTGCGGGGAAGACCGAAAAGGAGGACGCGAGCCCGTCGTGGGGCGGCAGGGCGGGCGGGAAGGGGAAGGAGCGGCGGGACGACGAGTCGCCGTCGAGCGGGAAGATTTGGAAGCTCATGAAGCGGATCAGCACCGGCGGGCTGCGCGACCGGTATCATTCCGCGGGGAGCGCGTCGCCGTCGACGGCGGGGGCGGCAGCGCCGCCGCCGCCGCCGCCGGTGCCTGCGCTGCCGAAGGACCTGGGCGCGCGGCACCCCCCGACGTCGCGGACGACTTTCGAGGTGCACACGCCATCGCGCGATGTGCGCCACTCGCCCATGGTCGAGCGCTTCATGGAGTCGCGCATGTCGCTGTCTGGCGTGCGGCCAAACACGGCGCCGCACCGCCTGGGCTTGGGTCTGGGCCTGGGTATGGGCGTGCAGCGGCCGGGCACGGCGCAAAGCAGCAAGGTCGGCTCGGGCTCGGGCGGCCGTCCGAGCACGACGACGCGCTCGTCGTCGCCGCAGTCGTCGTCGGACAAGGCGTCGTCTGGGTTCTTCCGCGCGCAGAGCGTTCACTCGTCGTCCTCGTCGTTCGTCGAGGAGCAGATGCCGCCGGTGCCCAAGGTCGCGCACTATATCCTCCCGCCGAGCGAGCTGCACCGCTGGGACCACGACGAGGACGCCCGCCCGCCCTTGGTGCGGCCGGCGCGCGCGCTGTCGATGCCTGTGGAGGCCATGGACGACGCGCGGCCGTCGTTGCCCCTCCCGCCGCGCCGCGCACAGACCGCAAGGTCGCCCGCTTCCCCCGAGATCCCCCTGTTTTCCACCGCAGAGCCCATCAACCACTTTGGCCGGCGGTCCACGTCCACGTCCAGTCGCCACGACGAGCGTCCGCCGCTGCGGATCGTCCCCCCCGCGTCCCAGCCCTTCCCACACTCGGAGTTCGGCCTCGAATCGGCCGCCTCCTCCGTCGCTTCTTCCTCGCCCGCACTGCCCCCGCCACCCCGGCCCGCCCGCAGCGCCCGCCGCCCCCGCACGGCCACCTCCGTGGCCTCGACGCCGACGCCTTCGAGCACCGGCTCGCCCAACACGCCCTCGCTGTCGTACGTCTCCGAGACGGCGTCGCTCGGGGGCTCCGTGTACCGCAGCCGCGACTCCACCAGCGGGCACAGCACCGCGTCGACGGCCAAGGCGGCGGGCCCGCGCTCGCCTGTCGTCGGGAACCTGACCTTCCGCGAGCTGGACAGCTCGCCGCGGCAGGCGTGGACGGAGCAGGAGAAGGCGCGCATGTGGGACGACCTGCTGGAGCGCAGCGCGCGCGCGGGCGGGACGCTGCATCTCGGCGAGAGCGGGCTCGCATCGGACAATATCCGGTTCTCGGAGTATTCGGAACTTTGACATTGCGTTCTGGCGGGTCCCACCCCCCTTCCCCTCGCTGTTCTTTGTTTTATCTTTTTTTTTTTCTTTCCTTTTGAGCTGTCTGTTTGTGTCGTTTCTTATACTTGCTTTGGCCTTTGGTGCTTGGTACGTACGGTACGCCACGTTTACGATGCGATACGTCATGGAGATATTTCTGTGCTTGCCTGTTTGCTTGATTTGATCGCTTTTGACCGATACCCCTCCGTCATCACACGCACACGACGCCGACGACATTGTAGAGTCTTGCCTCGCCGCCCGCGCCAGGTTCCTGTTGATCACCGCTGCCCGATGCTTTACTATAGTAATAGTCTTGTGCTCTTTTCCTCCCGCTTCCTACCCCCATACACACAGCCCTCTCTATTCCTGACACGTCGAGCCACCGCTACTATTACACCCCCTCATTTACCTGTCCTCGTGTTCGGCCGTCGAACGATGATACGTTGTCCGGTCTCTGTGTAAAATACTGCTTTCTTATACCCTGCGAAGGTTGCCGATCGATACCCATTTCTCTCTCGCGCAGTCGGTGACTATATTTGAATGGCAGATCGCCGAGCGAGGTGCATTAGGGTACACTACTATACGCATTGGAACACAGATTGCGATTGAGTTCAGCCCCCCGATGCCACCTACGTCTTACGAGGAGCGCGAACGCCCATTACAGCTCCGCGGACTCGTCGAAGTTGAGAATCAGAGTCGCGAAAAACCTAATCATCTCCACGTAATCGTCGGCGCGTATATCTGGCAAGGGTGGGAAACACGTGAATGTGAACGTCGTTGAACGTCGGGCGGATGCGAGCGGGGAGCGGAGGCTTACGTTCGTTGACGGTGTGGATGCCGCTCGGCAGACTCGCCTGGCCGTCGCCCGCGTTCTTGTGGTTGTAGCGGATGATGTGGGGCGAGAGCTTCCAGTAATACCGGGTGTCTGCGCCGTGCCAAAATGACACGCCAGGGAAGAAGTGAGCACCCACCGCGCAGGTCGTGAGAAGGGGAAAAAGGCGGGGAGAGCGGTGGTGCCGACGTGCGCACGCACCTGTGTTTCCGGGGTTGTGGCCGGGGCTGACGACGATGTTATCACCGTGGATCCCCCGGTGCGCGTTGTACGTCGCCTTGATGCTGCCGCTCAGGATGCGGTACGGCACCGCGTCGGGGCCTGTGGGCGTGATGGGCGCGGGCTCGAGTGCGGTGTGCCATGGGTCCCGGAGCACGAGGGTCCCGCGCGTCGGGGCGCCCGTGTCCCTCGGCGAGACGTGCGTGCCAAAGGCGGTGTAGTTCAAGTTGAAGCGCTCCGCGAGGGGCTTGAGGATGTCGGTGTCGTGCTGGACGGTCTGCCCAACGGAGCTGCGAAACGGGGGCGCGGGTGTGAGGTGCGCACAGAGGGACAGAGAGATGCACACGTGGCCCATTACCTGCTGGTAGAGATGCGATGGTTGATGACTGCCCAAGCGTTCTCGGGAAGCGCATTCGTCTTGACGCCACCCTGCACGAGGTCAATCGCCTGCGACGTGCTCGCAAGCGCCTTGTACACGCTCGCTGCGAACGCCGGGTCGTCGAACACGATTCCCTCGAGCTCTCGCAGCGCGTGGTCGTCCGCGACCGACGCCTCGATCAGCGCGCGCAGACGAGGGGATATATCTTTCCCGTGCGCGCCGGCGCACTGCACGTTGGCGTAGATGGGCATGTCGCGCGAGAGGTGCACTTCGAATGGGTGTGCTTCAATTTCGACGATGAGGGCAGAAAGGATGCCGATGCTCTGGGTAGCGCATTTGCATGGATGGAAGGAGGGGGTGCTGGGGATGAGCGAACAAATAATGTTTGCAGAGGTCTTCTTACGGTGTGGGAGGGAGGGATGCTGGAGTGCCCTCCAGGCGTGGCAACCTCGATCATTGTATCGAGGTAGCCCTTTTCAGCGATGCCGGCTGTAGCGACGATAGTCCCGTGTCGCTCCCCAAATCCTCCTGAAAGTACTCATGAGGTAGTATTCTCAGTGCTAGAGCGCAAACTGACCGCCTTCATCGATGACCGCAGCGAATGCGTTCTCGCCGTATGTAGAAAGCAGATATTCAGCGAGCTTTCCGGCGCCCTACCGAACGCAAGCTCATGTCAACTTGACGAGCGCGTGTGGGGATATTGCTTACGTTCAATCCGTCAGACTCCTCGTCAAAGCCAAAAGCGAGGAGGATGGTACGGGTGGGCTGGAACTGCGTTTCCAGGAACGACTCGATGGTGGACCTTTCCGATGTCAGCTTAGAAGATGCACGGAAGACCATGGGCTTGGAACGTACATGATACTGATCAGTGCACTTTTGTCGTCGGAGCTTCCTCTGCCCCAAATGATTTCGCCTAGTGGATAACGAGGCTTTAGCTTGCAATATGACATTGAGCCTTGGACCGAGCGTACCATCGTAGAAACCAGAGTACGGCGGATGCTCCCAATCGCTCACAGTCGATGGATCGACCGGGACAACGTCTGCACATCACACCCGCAGTCAGTCGATTCGTCGATCAGAACGGCATTATCCTGCACCGACCTTGATGAGCAGTCAGCATCAACGGCTTTAGCGACTCGTCGGAGCCCTTCCAGGCGTATACCAGACCGTAGGTGTTCACTTTGGTGATCTGAAGCGTCGAATGCCTGTCATGGATCATAGCACTAGTATCAAATCGACGCGTTCTCATGGACGTCCCGCAGCACACTCACACCAGAGGAAAATTCTGCGACAAGTACGCGTGGAAGGGGCGGAACGCGTCCCAGCGTGGGTCGATGCCGACAGGGTCCATGTTGTCGTACGACTCGGTGCTGCGGCCGAGAGTCAGAGATGTGCTGGAGAACGGACACGATTCAAAAATGCGAGGCGAGATGCACGTACGGGACTTGTACGGCGCCAGACAGCCAGTCGATAGCTCTGTCCTTGAAGGCGCTGCTTCCAAACGTGTCCCCGAGGCTCGTCCATAACTCTGCGTGCTTCGTAGGGTACAGCGGCTCAACCTGGGGGCATATCTGCGCGTTGGCAGACTTCATGATGGTCGCTGCAGTCGTCGGCCGGAATCGCGAGCTCCAGTCGAACGCGAGTGGATGGAGGAGGAGCAGTGAACAGAGGACCAAGGCCGTGACACGGGTCCATTTGGAGGATGTGAGGTTTGATTTGGGATGCTGAGGAACGTGCGGGCCTGTGGATGGCAAGAGCGTGTCAGTCGTCCCTTTAAGTGACTTCGCGGAAGCCGACATGATACAGATTAGTGGTAGGATGGCGGGACGGTGAATCTGTGATGATCGTCGGTGGTCGTGTATTGCGCAAACCTCGAAGGCTGGACGGGGCCTGTGGGGGATTGCGTTCTGCTTTCGTTTCCGACTTATATCAAGCCGTTCGCATCGAGCACGATAAAGTGGTCGCCGGGATGATAAGATGCGAGAAAGCCGCGGCTATCTCCCTCAGCTGACATGCAAGACTGTGCCTCGCGAGTCGCCGTGGCGGCATATAAGCACCTTCTGTGACGTCATCAGGTTCAGACTGCCAGTTTTGCTGTTGGGATGTTGTATGTGGCGTTCTTGGCCACGAAGTCAGTTATATAGTGCAACAAGTCGTCGCAGAATGTAAGAAAATCATGACATATACTTGTGTTCATCACGTCCATATGCAAATCAAACCGAGTCAGACGGTAAACCTGATGTGTGACCTTGCAATCGGCGCTTCAACAGTGATCACTTTAACTTTGAGGCATCATGCATCATGCACCATGCCCCACTCATCACAGTGATGGGAAATAGGATAGATCGAAAGAGGAAAAACTAGACAGCTGGTGAAAAGCTAGCAGTGCATTTCAGGTAAGGGTAAAAGTATAATAAGGGTCTCTGATCGACTCACGAGGAGACGAAAGGTTAATCCGGGCGCCCACCACGACCATCGACGCACGCCGTACCAGTCCCGAAGTGAGCCTCACGCTGATGGTGGATGGAATGGCAGCGTGGTCGCCACGGGATCGGACGAGCGCGTTGTTTGCGGGTGTGTACGCGTCTGCCAAGTATAGTCATCTACCACGTCAGTCGGACCGCCCTGCACCCACACCACTCTCCACCCCAATCCCCCTATCCACACACAATGGGCAGTTCGCAAAGCAGCCTCGCCCTCGCTGTGGCCGTCGTCGGCGGTGGCGCTTTCGCTGCCAGCTACGTTCACCGCTCGCGCTCCGCACCACAGCAGCCCACGAACGCAGCCAGCGCACCCGCATCCGCACCTGCACCTGCACCTGCGTCTGCGCCTGTGCCTCCATCTGTCACCAAGGTAGAACCGGGCACGGGTGCCAGCACAGGTGCTGCGAAGAAAAAGAGCAGCAGCAGCAAAAGGAAGAAGCAGGCTTCCGCGCTCTCCGACGACGCCTCCTCAGCGCCGGCGGTAGCCGCGCTCAGTCCGCCTGCGATCGCTTACCCCGTCTCTGTGCCCGGCGCATTCGAGTCTGCGCCTCCCACCCCCGTCCCCGCGCCTCCGGCGCCATTGAAAGGCAAGAAGACGAAGAAGCGAAAGAAGGGGTCGAAGACAGCGGCCGACGCGTCGACCGCGAGGCCCGGCGACGCGGACGACGAGTCAAAGCCTGCGGGACAGGCCTCTGGGGCGGACTCAGAGTCGGAGGCGTCCGAGGTCCCGCCATCTGCCCCTCCCGCTCTACTCGCGCCCAAGGCCAAGCCGAAGGCCGCGCGGCCGCAGCCGCGCATCTCGCCCTCTGTAGTGGCAGCCGTCGCTGAACCGGCTGAGGAGCGGTGGACTCGCGTCGAGTCCAGGCGGAAGGTCAGGAGCGAGCGCCCGGTGACGGCAGACTCGACGGCGTCAACGGGCGCTGGTGGGGACAAGCCCGCGACGGGCGACGTCGGTACTAGTGATGCAGGCGTCACCACCTCGGTCACCGGAAACTCGTCACCTGTGACAGACCGCACGACAGAGGACGAATTTCTGAGGTCTGCCATCGACGAGTTGAGTGTTGCTCTCGCATCATGCTTCATGTGTTTGTATGACTGTTTTGCTTACACCGTTCGTGTGTAGGACATCCGCGACCCCCGTGCCTGTGAAGTTGCCGCCGGGTGAGATGCCGGGGACAGGATATTCGTGGGACGGTTATGAGGGCGTGCAGGTGGAGAACGACGTGTCAGGGGAGGACGATAGCGGATGGGGCGTCGTGCGCAGCAAAGGCCGCTCAAGTGAGCGCCCCCTCCACAGTTCCCCCTCCCACTTACTCACTCGCTTTGATCTCTCTAGAAGTCAATTCAGGCTCGGGATCGCAGGCACAGCCGGGCCGCAGCTCGATAGCGCCCGAGTCGATGACAAAAAAGCCGAGGCAGAACGCGGCGAAGCGGGATGCGCAGAAGCAGGCGAAGCTGGACGCGGAGGCGGAACGACTTGCGGTGCTCGCGAAACATAAGCGGGAGCTCGAGCGCGCAAAGATGGCAGAGCAGTTTGGGTCGGGAAAGAGCGCGAGTAAGGCATAGCGGGCGGGAGTTTGGAGCGTTCAAGGCAGTGAGACCTTCATAGGTAAGCCTTGTGGTAATGGTGTGGTGGTGCACTTGCGCCTCTATCGCTTTTATTGTTTTTATTTCTCTTCTGCGTTTCCAGCAGTTTTTGGGGTTGTTTGTTGCTTTGGAATCGCCTCGTGGATCATCTGTCTTCGGAATCGAAAGAAGTGTTTGTCGGACATCACCAACACAATCACAGACACAAAAGGGATCTCGACGTGCGGGTCCACGCCAAGTTGCTGCTATGCATGCGTGTATCAGATTTTTGGCAGTCGCTGTAAGAACTCGTAACAACAGTTCCGGTTCCGTTCCGAACTCAGTACCGGGCAGATGGCATTGGGAATCGAACCAGCATCGAACTGGCCATCATACCGAATCGGTCCGCGATCGTTGTTGTTCTTGCGGAAGCGCCAGCGCTCAATTGATTCGGTATCAAAACTGCATCAAACTACCGCTCAGATGTCTTTGTCCGTCTCCTCTGCTCTGGGGTACCATAATATTAATAGAATGCCCGAGGGGCTGTCTCATCTTGACCGTCGTTTACCACGTTGAACGCTGAACGCACCGTCGTTGCGGACTATTCTCATCCAAGATGTCCAACTCTCCAGAAGAAGCCCGTTACGAGCTCCTTCTCACAGGTTCGTCTCATCTCATTAGTAACATAGCCTTTTCTTCTGCCAGTCGCTCACGCGATTTTCTCAGCTGTTTCTATCACGACTGATGGATTAGGATCCTCACGGGTTTCTAGAAAGCTGGAATTGACCGTGGATGGTCTGACTCGTACATGCATTTCTCAAGCATCCATGCTTAGCTGGGAAGTGCAGTGGAAGGTGCATCCAAGTGTGTAAGTAACAAATATAAAAGACCTCGACTTGCATTCATCACCTCGTTCGCAGCACCATCAGCTCAGCATCGTCTATTACAGTCCAGCCATATCAATCCCGAATGATATTTCCAGTCGCCCGTCGGAGAAAAAGGTTGCAGCCTGCCATCATCCTGGGTGATGCGATTTCTCGAGCATGTGCGCTTGAACCTGGGGATACACACAGTATGATTCGGCTATGATTCAGCATCATGCTTGTCGTTAACCATTACTCAGAGTACCACGAGCAAGGTTCAAGATATCGCGTCAAGCTTGGCTTGACTTCGAAACGGGTCTTGAAGGTATACTGAGTCATCGTCTTCCATCTCTTCGCCAATCATGACTGGATACAGACAGAAGAGCGAGCTCAAAGCGGTGCCTCCGACGATTTGCTGTCAGATGCAGCTATAGAGGGCGCATTACATCGTTTTCCAGAGCCGCTTTCATCATCCTCGTATTTCAAGCGGTCATCCCAGATCCTCCTCGAAGAACTGATCCCGGCCGTTGGAAAAGAGAGTTGGGTAGGGTCATATATCTTAGGTTCCTCACTTCTGTCTGACACTCGATCACAGGTCTTTCAAGACGTGGATACAACAACCACCGCGTTAAACAGTGCTTATGAGGTGCTCGTAGCAACTAGCTCAAGTCCCACGTGTTCTTATTTTTTTCTGCATACAGACTCTATCAAAGGCGAAAAATGCTGACGAGGACATACAAGCTCTCGGCGAATTGGTCTGCGATCTACTATCGTACATTGCAAATCCAAAATTTTATCCTCTTCTACAACCAGAATACGAGACGATAGACAAGATAATACGCATCATTACATCCGCTGCTATGTTCGCCGAAGATGTAGCCAAAGGTGACGCTCTGAACTTACTTCCCGATGCAGATTCCAACGAACCGTCTTTTCACGGTTTCATGTTCTGCAGATAACGAGAGAGCGATTGAAAATCGTCAAGATCTGTTTGCGGATTTTAAACGCTTACTCAGAAAACTCAAACGAAATTTCACTGAACGCAAGGGTACATCATACTTCGATGAACCATATCGAAGGACACAATACGAGACAAACGACGACGTTCCAGCGATGAGCTTGACGAGTGCGCAGGTTTTGAATTCGCCTGTAACGTTGTGTATCGACTCATTATCCTATTCCAGTCGACGAGGACGATCGACTTTCCAGCGCACTATACCCCCACGATGCTAGGGCCGAATTTGCCAAAGTTTTCTTCTTGGAAGGGACTCGAAGAGAGATCCTGGAAGACGTGTCAGAGTGGCTGAATGATACTGAAGCGCCGAATGTCCTTTGGCTCATTGGCGGTCCAGGATCAGGAAAGACAGCAATCGCAGGAAACATCATTGCCGAACTCGATCAGCAGCAGCGGTGTGGAGGCTCCTTCGTCGTGAACTCTGCTAATGGCTTCCCCCACTACATCTGGCGCTCTGTAGCCTTCGACCTCGTCTCATTCAATCCAGTGCTGAAGACTGCAATTCATTTCAATCTGGTCGACGAGACCGGGCCCAAAGTCGACACCAGCGAAGTTCTTCCTAGCTTTGACGGGCTGATAGTCGACCCACTGACGAAAAGCATCGACCAATTAACAAAACACCCGGTCATTCTTTTGGACGGTATTGACCACTGTGACCGCCGCACCTACCCTGATGACTGGACTGCTTTTCTGGATACCATCGGACGCTGGTCTGAATTGACACCCAAGGTTAAACTCATCGTGACAAGCCGAGGCGATGAAGAGATCGCGCGAGCATTCAAGGATCAGAGTATCAAACGGCTCGAGCTGCCCACGGGAGTAAACGTCGACGATACAACCAACAGTGACGTCCGTCGCTACCTGGAGCACAGGTTCAGGGAAATCCGGAGAGTGAATCAGCTACCGCCAACTTGGCCGCGTCCTGACCAAATTCGTAAAATTGAGGCGCACTCCGCTGGACTCTTCACTTGGGCTCAGGCTGCAATGGATTCCATTCAATCAAACTCCGATGACTATGATAAACAATTGTCGTCCGTGGTGTCTGCGGGCCTTCGGCACAGATATGACAGCGTCGACATGCTCTATCAACAGGTCTTGTCGAGATCATTCCCTAACAGCGACCAACCTATAGATGGCTTCCATAGAACGATAGGTGCTCTCGCTTTGGAGAAAGCCCCTTTGACTCTCGAAGATTTCCAAGAACTCTTCGAGGATGGATATCACTCACTGTCCTCCAGCGCAGTACATCTAAAACTAAGCTCCATGATCTCCATCGACGAGCATAAAGGCGTCTCTCTCCGACATCATTCTTTCGCAGAATACTTGATGGATCGTAAACGGTGCACCAAACAGCACTTCTTCATTGATCGCATACGTGCCAACACAAACGTCACCATCGCTTGTCTCAAGCTGATGCTTCACGAGAGAAATGGACTGAGGTTCAATATCTGCGGTTTGAAATCATCGCACTTGGCCAACAAGGATGTACCAAACATCGAAGACCTTGTCTCAAAACACATCCCTTCCAGCCTATCGTACGCTTGCAGATACTGGGCTGATCACCTTCGCGACCTTCACGACATGTCTGAGAGACGAGATGTTGAACTCGTGAATCTCCTCAGAATATTTTTACGAACTCGGTTTCTGTTCTGGCTAGAAGTTCTGAGCCTAGTGAACGCAGTAGAGTCTGCTGCACGGGCCCTTCTGTTTACAGCTGAATGGCTGGAGGTCAATATTTCATGTTCTTATCAACTGTTGCAAACAAGTTCTCATACTTCGAAACAGACATCTGACAAGGAGTTGGCATCCTTCGCAAAGGATGCCAGTCGATTCGTTCTAATATCTCGAGATCCAATTCGAGAAAGTGCTCCTCATATCTACCTGTCAGCTTTGGCTTTCGCACCCAGCGATTCGCGAGTATCAAAACAATACCGGCCTCAGTTCCAAGGGCTGCTCGATGTCAAAGGTCGTCAGTCGGATCATTCGCCGGCCCTACGTCTTGCCTGGTGGTCGCATGATCAAAATGGAGTCCTGGCAGTTGCAATCTCCGCGGACAGCAAACGGATTTATTCGGGACAGGCCGACGGTTCTGTGCGTGTCTGGGATTCTACAACAGGGGATTGTATTCGGACTATGGGCGACGATTCTGACTCGATTGTCTCAATAGACATCTCCTCAAGTGGAAAGCGTCTCGTCTCTGGCTGCAGGGACGGCTCTGTTCGAGTATGGGAGGTCGATTCCGGCATCCTTTTGTACGGCCCAATGGAAGAAAGTTCAGATGCCTTGCTCTCCGTGGCCATCTCGTCTGACGGTTCAAGGGTGGCTGCAGGGTCTACTGACTCCAATGTCCACCTCTGGACATTGGAAGCCGCACATACTACCTACAAGATCTTGGAAGGCCACACCGACTATGTGCGATCCGTTGCGTTCTCTCCTGACGGGAGGAAGATAGCTACTGCTTCAGATGATAGATCCATCCGGATGTGGAGCACTGAAACTGGCCGTATTATCCTCGAACCTTTCACTGGTCATACGGACTATGTTCGTGCTGTCGCATGGTCACCAGATGGTAGGCTGGTGGCGTCTGGATCTGATGACTATTCAGTCAGGATGTGGGATCCACTGACTGGGAATCCAGTCGGGCAGCCTATGACTGCTCATACAGGCTACGTCGTCTCAGTCGCGTTCGATAGCGAGAGCAACCGCATTCTCTCAGGCTCGATGGATTGTACTATTCGGCTCTGGGATATAGAGACATGCCAAGGGGCCTGCGAACCATTGCTTGGGCATACAGGCACTGTTAATTGCGTCGCAATGTCGAAGGCGATTGCTGTCTCTGCTTCCGATGACACCTCTATCAGGATGTGGAACCTCGATGCTCTACGGCGCTCCGTTGATATCCCGCGGACATTTTATTCTATTCAATCCCTCAAAGACAGTGGGCTGATCGTTGGCATTGATGGAGACACCATCTGGACCTGGCAGATGGATGGTGAAACTATCTCCAAAATGTCGTTATTAAAAGAGGAAAAACGCAGTGTCTCCACTGCCGTCTTATCTTCCGATGGGATTCTTGCCGCTACTGGAGAAACTGACAAATTGGTTCGGATTTGGGCGGTGGAAAGCGGACGGTGCAACTGGACTTTGAAAGGCCACACAGAAGCAATCCACGCTCTCGCCTTCTCCTTGGACACCAGTAAACTCGCCTCTGGGTCAGAAGACCAGACGATACGTGTATGGAATGCGTATACGGGCGAGTGCTTATGTGGTCCTCTTCAGGGCCATACAGGTCCCGTACGAACCTTGGCCTTCTCTCCAGGTGGTAGCCGTATAGTATCAGGCTCGGACGACCGCACAGTCCGTCTATGGGATATCAAGACTGGTACGAACATCTTTGAACCGTTAGAGAAGCACCATGCGATAGTGCGTTCTGTTGTCTTCTCCTCAGACGGCAAGTATGTCGCGACGACTGCGGAAGACAACAACATCATCATCTGGGACGTCGAGGATACTCTCATCTTATCACGTACCATACCATTGGCCACTGCATGGGATGTACGTGGATCTGCCGTCGCGTTCTCGCCGGACGGGAAACGTCTGGCCTGCGGCAACACTGAGAAGACTATCAGGGTTTTGGACATGGATACTTCGACGTTCGTGTGCGGACCCTTGAAAGGCCATCAAGGACCTATCACTTGTGTCGTGTTCTCAACGACAGACCCTTCCCAAGTCATCTCAGGTTCTGATGACGGGACTTTACGGGTGTGGGACACGGCACTCCCAAGTACGCAGCCCAATATATCTCTCAAACACGACGACTGGGTTCGTTCTGTGTCACTCAGTTTTCCTGACGGGAAGTATGTTGCGTCTGCCGGAGACGGCAACTCGATCCGTATTCGGGACAGTGCAACGGAGCTGGACCTTTTTCCATCGCTCCACTGGCCAGGAGGGTTCCACAGCGTTCTTTCCTTCGCCCCATTTGGCGAACGCATCGCCACTGGCTCTGATGATTGCAATATCAGCATGTGGAACGCGTATACGGGAGAATTTATGTTCAATTTTCCTATGGAACACGAAGACCATGTTCGCTGCATTGCATTCTCATCCGATGGTCAATACATAGTGTCTGGCTCCGATGACGAGACCGTCAGAATTTGGAATACTCGTTCACCGCCGGACGAATCTTTGTGTCAAACCTTCCAAGGACGTGGGGGTTGGGTTTATTCTGTCGCATTCTCTCCAGATGGAGAGCACATCGCATCGGGCTCGGCGGACGGCAAGATCCGCATCTGGAACGTGCACAGCGCTCACGAGCAACCGAGACTGCTTGAAGGTCCTGAAGGTCCTGTTCACTCAGTGCTTTTCTGCCCTAATGGTGATGGACGTCGTCTTGTCTCTGGCTCGCATGACATGGCTATCCGAATATGGGATGTAGAGGCAGATGAACCCATAAACACGCTTACAGGGCATCATGGCCCTGTCCTCACTCTCGCAATATCTGTCGATGGGACCAAACTTTTTTCCGGCTCACAGGATGCAAGCATCAGAATTTGGGACCTAGAATCAGGTGCTCCTTTGTCTGTTCCAATACGTGGACATACAGACCGAGTCTTGTCTATCGCGTTGTCGCATGACGGGCGACGTCTAGCATCGGGCTCTGCAGATAACACAGCCGCGATTTGGGGCATAGATACTCACGATCAACTGTTATGGCCACAGAGCTTTACGCGCCACGTGCGAGGAATGGAGCTATGTGCTTTGGACAGTGAAGGGTTTTATACGGATGACTCGGTGGTAGAGGACGGTTGGGTGCAAGGCCCTCAATCTGAGATGTTGTTCTGGGTGCCTGCCACATGTAGGGCCGGATTATGGTCCCCTCGAACAGTGGGTGTGTTAGGGGCGGTGGAGACTGCGATCGACTTTTCGCGGTTTGTGCATGGTGCGGCCTGGGAGCAATGCAGAGCGGAGACTCCGGCGATCTCGACGCAACCAATTCCAGTTGCTTAGGTGACGGTAAGCACGATTCATTCCCTTGAGCATCAGTCGTCCTGATCCCTTGTCCATCAAAGGACAGTGTGTTCCTTCACTGCTATATACTACTTATATAAAACGTAATCTTCGCCAGGAGTATGCAATAACAGAATATATATATATCACAGGACACTATCAAACGAGTAGATTGCAAAAGTACACTGTTGAGATCTAAAAGACTCATGCTATCAACATTGATATCTAGCCGACTGGGTGTTCAGCTAATGCAGCGGTGTGAGGGAAATGAGCAGTCGACAGGGCCACAATATCCGTTTTTGCGATCATACCAGTCAGCTCACCGGCTTGGGTGAACATGATGTGCCGCAGATTCTGCACAGGCAAACAAGTAATCAGAGAGGACTATCGGCGGAGGGTAGCATCACACACCAATTTGCGGAACATGCTCACAACGAGCTCGAGAGGGAGGTCTTTCCGCAGCTGTAAGACATCCTCAAGTAGCGCAGACAAATCGAGCATGTCTGCAGAAGGAGAAGTACGTTGAGAGAAACTGCACTTGCGGTCCAATTCTGCGCCCCCCGCAACTAATGGCTCTTCATAAGAGGTATGAGAGGGCGTTCAGGGATGCCATCAGAATAAACGGACCGATATATGCTTTCAACTTTTCCCTTGCCACGAATCCAAGCAGCTTTTTGTTCCCCACAGCGGGGAAGCCTTGATATTCCCATATTTTGACTAGCTGGCCTATGGATGAGATCTGAGCGTCGCTTCAATCGCAGGCATCAAAGAACGCACTCAGCTCGCCGAGAGAGACCTCCCCACTCTGCACAACGACTAAGTTTTTAGCTGGAACCATCAGCTGCCCGGCCACTTCTCCCTTGTCATGGTACTCGACGGGTGCGAGCCATGGGTACCGCCGCATAGCGATCCAGATAGAATATATGCCCTCTTTTCCGAAGGCATCTGCGACCCATTTTGAAACCATGACGGCTATCATGATGGGCAGGACGTGTGAGAGTGCGCCTGTCAGCTACAGAAGCCATACATACATTCATATTATGGATATGAATCAATGGATAAACTGCAAGTAGTTTTTGCTTACCTCGAAAAGTATGACGACCAGAGATACTTGTTTTTCAGGGGTCAGCATAGAATGAAAAGAGAGAAAACGCTTGAGAAGACCAACTCGTCATTCGCGTAACGCCCCCGAGCATGGCTGAAGCACCGATAACTGCGTAGAAACCTGGCGATACACAGCGCACAGATGGATCTGGGGGACAAGCTGAAAATATCCACGCCTTCGGATATGCTCGGTGTAGACCTTGGCTATCCAAGAAAGATTAGGTGAGATTGTATTTAAGGAAGGAGAATTGAATGATCCGCACGTCATTAGACCAACCGCACGGCCGAGAGAGGCACCAATTGCGATCGTAGGAAGAAAGATACCTGCTGGCACCTGGAACGACCCCTTTGAGCATCCACTTCTCTTTGAAAGGCAGGACAGGACCTATTTCTGTCAGCTTACCATCATACCAAACGTCCACGCAGTGAATCCAATTTTGGTCATAGCGGTGAGGGTGAGAAGGAAGATATTTTCCCACATCGCACTCGGGCTTATCGCAGGTCATATTTAGGGCATATAGGAGGGCGACAAGAGATCAACGCGTACTTGCACAGCCCGTGGAAATCGCCGCGGGTGGGATCACACTCCTGGAAGAGGTTGGCGACTAGTTCTGAAGACTGTACTCTGGAGTCGAATTTGCATCTGATCTGCAGATGCAAAGGGAGTCCTTACCTGAGAAAGACGACCTAGTTGATTGGGACGCTATCAATGTGGGCATTCATGAACAGATGGTTCGCCTTACCAGGTAGCTGACGGCCGCAGTGATAGCCGTGACACCTACAACTTCGAGTATTGGCATCTGGTGAAGAATACTATGACGCCGATAAACGGCCGCTGCTACGTTAAGCTTGATAAGAAGGGCACCAAGGACTCCCTAAGAATCATAGGATATAAGGATTAGCTTTAGGTACCATGATAAGAGACGACGCACGCCTATCACACCGAGGAAAAGCCACGGAATCTGGAACGCTGCTATTCATATGGCGATGGCACCGAAAGAGTAGACGCTAGCATACCAGCTCGAACGCGCGCCACGTGTCTCCTCCATTGGTAACCTTTGACGTTTGCAAACGTGTCGGTGTACAACCTTTCGATGATCAGAGAGCATGACGGACCTGGAACAACACCAGCTTTTTCGTCCCGAATGGGTCGACGTACTGTAGTGCCACGGCGGCTATGACGGAGGTCACGAAGCCGCGCCACATCACGTCTGACTCGTTCGCAAACGTGTCCAGCTCTGTGCCAAACACAAAGCCAATGATAAACATCATCGCGAGGATGTTGAACGTGAGCGTCCAGAAGAGGTCATACGACTGACCTTCGAGGCCGAAAAGGACACCGCCGAGCGGGCTCCCGAATGCGACAGATACGCCAGCGGCCGCGGCCGCAGCCAGCAATTTCCGTTTGTGAGCTGAGACAGTGTTAAATCTGCTCACAAAAATCAATAGTAGTATGTGAAGAACCTTCGTTGTCGCGGAATTGTTTGAATAATCGAGAGAGAAGAAACGCCATGCAGCAGGAAACATGAACCAGAGGTCCCTATAGCCATAGATGAATTAGTGTATCCATCTCCTTTCTTGCCTGCATACCTCTTTCCCAAGAGAGAGTCCTGAGGCAACGGAGAGCGCAAGACCCAATGCTTTGATGAGGAGAGTCCACGAGCTTAAGAAAGAGTCTAGGACATAGCCGCCTAGAATCTGCCGGGTTTTTGAGTATTTGCTTTGTAAGTAGAAAGGGATGTGCAACCAACTGCTTTGATTTCTGGAACTGATAAAGGATAGACAGTCGGACATAGGCAAGTTGTGCAGGTTCATGAGACTTACTACCGGTATGAAATGCGCTGAGAGATGTGAGCGATGGCTCGAGAGTTCATATCACCAGAGATAGCTAGACTCACTAGGGAGCGTAAGTCACGACAAGCAAAGCTGAGCTTGCAGCAAACGCGACCTAGGCGTTGGCTTGCTCATCAGCACCTTTGATATCAATGCTTGACAGGAATAACTCACCGACAGGGCAATATACACTAGGGATTGGAGTGAAGACTGGCCCAGTATCGATTCTACGCCAAGATACTGACTCCAAGACTGCCATTCATGACAAACTTCTCCGGCTATACAAATGTGGAAGTGAAGATAGTCGCGCCATTGTGAGTATGATATGATACATACGATCAAGACCACTACAGCAAGCGACAGAGTTATAGAATATCCCTTCCGCACATCGGCCCTCTTTAAGATCTCCAAGCCTGTCGAAAGCAAGCTTCACATAATCCCACAACTAGCAGATCTTGAGGCTGCTCACCATTTCACCAACATATCCAACCACCCGCCGGCGACACCCACCCCGATACCCGTAGCCACGATCACAAACCACATCTTTGCTGCCTCCAATAAAGGCGCGAGGATCCCCCTGAGGCCGTCCTTTGAGTGAATTTCCTTCGCGCGCTCGCGCTCCGCAGACTCTTCCTGCCACCAGTCGATGACGTTCCCGTCTCGATAGTGTGTGCGCATGCGGTGTCTGTGAGGACTGCGCGACCAGACGTTCGCGTTGTCAAGAAGCTCATATTCTTCGCCGTCTAGATTTTCTCGCATCGCATGAGTAGTGGGTTGTCGTTGGGATGGTCGAGGTGATTCCGTCGCGTCCTGGAGGCCGCGTCGTTGAGCGCAAGGGGCACGTCGTCGCACGAGCCGATCCATTGGTAGTCCTAGACTGAGATTAAGGTTAGGGTATGTGGGCCAGAATCGCGCATTTTGTCGGCGTTTCGGTGAAGATTCGATCGCTAAAGGTTATAAACGTAACATTGTTGTTCTATAAATGAGAAAGATAGTAAAAGAACAACAAGAGTAAAGACTGATGATGATCAGTGTCATGACTGGGTTCTCTCGCGGTGCTCATTGCATCTCATTGCATGACAATGCCGGCGGACAATGATCAGGATATCAAATCGGATATGAAGAGAAGATCGGCCATGGCCGGAAGCTCCGCAACGTCTCGCTTGAGGGGATAGTGAGGACGACGACGGGAGAGGGCCGAGGACTGACCGAGATCGGCGCACGCTCGATGGTGGATGCCAGCTGACGTAAAAAACCAGTTTTTGGGGCTGGGGCAGTTTCCCCAGAGGCGAGTGAACGTGCTCATCGCAAGCCGAAGTGGGTTTCCGTCCACGCCTCTTCCGTTCGCCTCAAACCACTTCTTTCTTCCTCCCTCCCACCATCTCTCAACGACATGTCTGTGTATGATCACGCCAAAGTCGCCCATTTCATCGGTATGCACATCCTGAGCTCCGTTCGGCCGAACCTGCACTCAGCGACTCTCCCGTAGGCGGTAACTCTGTAGACAAGGCTGTTGCTGGTCGTGTTCTTGATTTTGTCAAGGCGAATGGCGGCCACACCGTCATCACAAACGTAAGCCAAATCGATATACGCGTGTGATCATCTGTATGCTCACGCGTCTGCTGCATACTCGCGCGTCAGGTTCTCATCGCGAACAATGGTCTTGTCGTCTCCGATCCTCTCGAGAGGATTTCGATCTAACACTGCGTTCATTTAGGTATTGCTGCCGTCAAGGAAATCCGCTCTATCCGACAATGGAGTTACGAGACATTTGGCGATGAGCGCGTCGTCGAGTTCACGGTCATGGCCACCCCAGAGGACCTCAAGGTCAACGCGGAGTACATCCGCATGGCTGATCGCTATGTAGAGGTCCCAGGAGGAAGCAACAATAACAACTATGCCAATGTTGACCTCATTGTCGACGTCGCCGAGCGTCTAGGCGTCCATGCGGTCTGGGCCGGCTGGGGACACGCTTCTGAGAATCCCCGTTTACCTGAGAGCCTCGCCGCTAGCAAGAATAGAATCGTCTTTATTGGTCCTCCTGGGAGCGCGATGCGCAGTCTAGGAGACAAGATTTCGAGCACGATCGTTGCACAGAGCGCGGAGGTGCCGACTATGGCCTGGTCCGGCACGGGCATAACGGAAACGACCCTTTCGGACGCGGGGTGGGTGACTGTCCCGGACAAGGCATACCAGGATGCGTGTGTAACGAATGTGGAGGAGGGCTTGGTCAAGGCTGAGGAGATTGGCTGGCCTGTCATGATCAAGGCGAGTGAAGGCGGAGGGGGGAAGGGTATCCGGAAGGTAGACAGACCCGAGGACTTCAAGAATGCATATCACGCAGTTGTTGGTGAAATACCAGGTGTGTATATGCTCTCTGCTAAGGCATTTCTGGCAACTAAAATGCGTTTATAGGTTCCCCGATTTTCATTATGAAGCTTGCTGGTCAGGCCCGACACTTAGAGGTGCAGCTATTGGCCGATCAGTATGGAAATGCCATCTCCCTTTTTGGGCGTGACTGCTCGGTACAACGGCGGCACCAAAAAATCATCGAAGAAGCCCCCGTCACCATCGCGAAGCCTGAGACTTTCGAGGAAATGGAACGTGCAGCGGTCCGTTTGGCCAAGCTTGTTGGATACGTCAGTGCTGGGACGGTTGAATGTATGCGCATCTATTCTCACCACCGGTTATGATCGCGATGATTGATTTCTTTTACTAAGATCTCTACAGCCAGTCCGACGATGTCTTCTACTTCCTTGAGCTGAACCCACGCCTCCAAGTTGAACATCCCACGACCGAGATGGTCTCTGGCGTGAATTTGCCTGCCGCTCAACTCTTGATCGCCATGGGTATACCCTTGCACCGGATCAAGACCATCCGCCAGCTGTACGGAGTGGCACCGAACGGGTCCTCCGAAATTGACTTTGACATGGTCAAGCCCGAATCGAATCAGCTTCAGCGTAAGCCGCGCCCGAAGGGGCATGTCGTCGCCGTGCGCATCACCGCGGAGAACCCCGACGCGGGCTTCAAGCCGTCATCGGGCTCTCTCCAGGAGCTCAACTTCCGCTCAAGTACGAATGTCTGGGGCTACTTCTCCGTTGGTAGTGCCGGTGGGTTGCACGAGTTCGCGGATTCGCAATTCGGACATATCTTCGCGTACGGTCAGGACCGGTCAGAGAGCAGGAAGAACATGGTTGTCGCGCTTAAGGAGCTGAGCATCCGGGGTGACTTCAGGACGACGGTCGAATATCTCATCAAGCTCTTGGAAATGCAAGCGTTCGAGGAGAACACGTTCACGACTGGGTGGCTCGACTCGCTAATTAGTGACAAGTTGACGGCGGAGCGCCCTGATGCGACCTTGGCTGTGATTTGCGGCGCCGTGACGAAGGCACACTTGGCTTCAGAGGCGTGCTGGACAGAGTACAAGCGGATCTTGGACAAGGGCCAGGTCCCGTCGCGCGACACTCTCAAGACCGTCTTTGGCGTCGACTTTATTTACGAAAACATCCGCTACTCCTTCACGGCGACCCGTTCATCTCGTACCGCTTGGACGCTTTTCGTAAATGGTGGTCGTACCATGGTCGGCGCTCGCCCTCTTGCTGACGGCGGATTACTCGTTTTGCTGAATGACAAGAGCCACTCGATCTACTGGCGGGAGGAGGTTGGATCACTTCGTCTCATGATTGACTCAAAAACGTGCCTCGTCGAGCAGGAGAATGACCCCACGCAGCTTCGCAGTCCAAGTCCGGGTAAGCTTGTTCGCTTCCTAGTTGACAGCGGCGATCACGTCAATGCTGGAGAGCCGTACGCAGAGATTGAGGTCATGAAGATGTATATGCCTCTCGTTGCTGCGGAGGACGGTATCGTCAATTTTGTCAAACAGCCCGGCGTCACGTTGGTGCCCGGCGATATCCTCGGGATCCTCACCTTGGACGATCCTGCCCGCGTCAAGCATGCAAAGCCGTTTGACGGTCTCATTCCTCCCATGGGCCTGCCTGGTGTCACCGGGACCAAACCACATCAGCGCTTGCATCATTATATCGATATCCTCAACAACATCCTGGACGGGTTCGACAACCAGGCGATCATGCCGTCGACCTTCAAAGACCTGGTTGAGGTCCTCCATGACCCCGAGCTTCCGTACTCGGAGGCATCTGCCATTCTTTCGTCCCTCTCAGGCCGCATGCCTGCGAAACTCGAAGATAGCATTCGTTCCGCGATCGATTCCGCGAAGTCGAAGGGCGACGGACACGAGTTCCCCGCGGCGCGGTTGAAGAAGCTGCTTGAGCACTACGTTCAGGACAACGTCCGGCCGCAGGAGCGCGCGATGTTCCGCACGCAACTGGGAGCGCTGATCGACGTCGTCGACCGGTTCTTGGGAGGCCTGCGCGGGCACGAAGTACACGTGATTGCGAATTTGCTCGAGCGGTACGTCGAGACGGAGAAGCTGTTTGGAGGAAGCATCGAGGCGCGCGTGTTGGCTTTGCGGGATCAGTACAAAGATGACCTTGAGCAGGTCGCGTCGCTCGTGCTGAGTCACATCAAGGCGCAGAGTAAGGCGAAGCTGGTTTTGGCAATTCTAGACTATGTCAAGTCGGATGGGCTGCCAGTGTCGAATACGGAGAGTAGGCTTTACCAGATGGCGCAAGGCTTGGCGGCCCTGGAGGCTCGGTAGGTTTTTTTTATCTGTCTTTCAGGGTGTTTCATTCTGAATCGTTTCTAATTTCATTATTGGCGGGTGGTAGTTCTTCGACACAGGTGTCTCTCAAGGCGCGCGAGGTGTTGATCGCGGGTCAGATGCCTTCGTACGAGGAACGTTTGGTGCAGATGGAGGCCGTCCTGAAGAATAGCGTTAGTAACACGTACTATGGGGAGCAAGGTTTCGGTAACCACAGGTATTTCGTTTGACATGATCTCTGTGATTATCTTTACTTAAATGTTTTTAGGACGCCTTCTGCCGACGTGCTCAAGGAGCTCAGTGACTCGCGATACACGGTGTTCGATGTCCTGCCTTCTTTCTTCACAAACGAAGATCCTTCCGTAACGCTTGGTGAGTTCAAGCGGTTCAGAACATGTGGTGGCTTACTGATATCATTATAGCGGCCCTGGAGGTATACGTGCGGCGTGCGTACAGAGCCTATAACTTGTTGTCTATCGACTATGAGGAAGGAGATGGATCCGACGACGGTGACGCACCCAGTGTTGTCACCTGGCGATTCAACCTCGGTCAGTCGCATTCACCGCCTCAGACCCCGCGCATTGAGAGATTCGGGTAAGTGATGTCAAGCCTTCTTTTTTTCCCTCTGTCTGAGCTTCTCGGATAGCGAAAGCCGGCGTCAAGGCTCTGTGAGCGATCTCACTTACATGATCAGTCGCAACCGGTCACAGCCCGTTCGCTCTGGTGCGATCGCGTCTTTCGCCAACCTCGAAGCTCTCTCGCGAGGACTTGAGCATGTTGTATCTCTCCTCCCCGCTTTCGACACTGCCGAGTACGATCAACGCTACGGCGGCAATGCTCAGCCACCAAACGTTCTTAACCTGGCGCTTCGTATCTTCGATGTAGCCGACGACATGTCGGAAGCTGATTGGTGCGAGAAGATCGACTCGTTCATCAATAGCCGCAGGTCAACGCTCGCCGCGAGAGGTGTTCGCCGTGTGTCCATCATCATCTGTCGTCCCGGTCAATATCCTTGGTACTACACCCTGCGCGAAATGGAGGGCTCGTGGCGTGAAGAACAGGCTCTCCGTAATATCGAGCCTGCTCTTGCGTTCCAGCTCGAGCTCAGTCGCCTGTCGAACTACAACCTCACTCCTTGCTTCGCCGCGAGCAAGCAGATCCACATCTACCACGGCGTGGCGCGAGAGAATCAGCTCGATCACCGCTTCTTCATTCGGGCTCTCATCCGCCCTGGTCGGCTTCGGGATCACATGAACACGGCGCAATACCTCATCTCTGAGACTGATCGCCGTGTCACTAGTATCCTCGACGCTTTGGAGGTCGTCAGCGTCAAGTACCGTAACGCCGATTGCAACCACATCTTCATGAATTTTGTGTACAACCTTCCAGTCACTTACGAGGATGTGCTAACGGCTATTACTGGATTCATCGAGCGTCATGGAAAGAGGCTCTGGCGCTTGCACGTTACCAGCTCCGAGATCCGTATCGCGCTCGAGGACAGTGAAGGGAACGTAACACCTATCCGTTGTATCATCGAGAATGTCTCAGGCTTCATCGTCAACTACCATGGCTACCAGGAGATCACGACTGACAAGGGTACCACTATCCTCAAGTCGATCGGTGACAAGGGTCCTCTTCATTTGCAGCCCGTCCACCAGCCTTACCCGACCAAAGAGTCGTTGCAGCCTAAACGTTACCAAGCTCATCTCATCGGCACCACATATGTCTACGATTTTCCTGACCTTTTTTCGAAGGCATTGCAGAATGTCTGGGTCAAGGCGCGCACCATCAACCCATCGCTCTCTGCGCCGAAGGTATATCTTGAGTCGAAGGAGCTTGTCTTGGACGAGAATGATCAACTGGTAGAAGTTGATAGGGCTCCCGGGAACAATACGTTCGGTATGGTCGGATGGGTATTCACGATGAGGACTCCGGAGTATCCTGCTGGCCGGAAGGCGGTTGTGATCGCCAATGATATCACGTTCAAGATTGGCTCGTTTGGCCCTCAAGAGGATCAATACTTCTATTTCGCCACCCAATATGCTCGTGAACAGGGCTTGCCCCGCATTTACCTCTCTGCCAACTCCGGTGCTCGCATCGGTCTGGCGGAGGAGGCTATGGGTTTATTCTCCGTTGCTTGGAACCAGCAGAATCAGCCAGAGAAGGGGATCAGTTATTTGTATCTCACGCCTGAGAACTGGTTGAAACTCCAGGAAAAGGGTACCGGCTCTGTGCTCACAGAGGAGATCGAAGAAGCAGGAGAGCGCCGGCACAAGATCACAGATATCATCGGCCTGCAAGACGGTCTGGGTGTCGAGTGCTTGAAGGGCTCTGGTCTCATTGCTGGAGAGACATCTCGGGCATACGACGACATCTTCACCATCACTCTTGTTACTGCGCGATCTGTTGGTATTGGCGCATATCTTGTGCGCCTCGGAGAACGTGCGGTGCAGGTCGAAGGACAGCCCATCATCCTCACTGGTGCCCCAGCACTCAACAAGGTGCTCGGCCGCGAAGTCTACACCTCCAATTTACAACTCGGCGGGACGCAGATTATGCACAAGAACGGTATCTCTCACCTTACAGCAAGCAGTGACCTGGAGGGCGCCACCCACATTCTTGAGTGGATTTCGTACGTTCCTGAAGCAAAAGGCGAGAAGCTTCCCATCACCGAATCGGCCGACCCATGGGATCGTGAGATCGCTTATGTTCCCCCTAAGGGTCCTTATGATCCTCGTTGGTTCATCGAGGGCAAGACGGACGAGGCGTCTTCGGAATGGCTTAGCGGCTTCTTCGATAAGGGCTCGTTCCAGGAAACGCTGAGTGGGTGGGCTCAAACTGTTGTTATAGGTCGTGCACGTCTGGGCGGTATTCCGATGGGTGTAATTGCTGTCGAGACGAGAACTATAGAGCGCGTCATTCCCGCAGACCCCGCAAACCCTGCGTCGTTCGAACAACGCATCATGGAGGCAGGCCAAGTTTGGTACCCAAACTCGGCATACAAAACTGCGCAGGCGATCTTCGACTTCAATCGGGAAGGCTTGCCGCTCATTATCTTCGCGAACTGGCGTGGATTCTCCGGTGGGCAGCAGGACATGTACGACGAGGTACTGAAGCAGGGGTCAAAGATCGTTGATGGTTTGTCCGCGTACAAACAGCCGGTGTTCGTCTACATTGTACCGAACGGCGAGCTGCGTGGCGGTGCCTGGGTCGTGCTTGATCCCTCGATCAACGCAGAGGGGCAGATGGAGATGTATGCGGATGTGGAAGCGCGCGCTGGCGTTCTCGAGCCTGAGGGCATCATTGAAATCAAGATGCGCAGGGACAAGATCGTCGGGTTAATGGACCGTCTGGATTCGCAGTATGCACAGTTGAAGAAGGACAGCAAGGATCCCTCTAAAACACCAGAGGAGATCGCTGCGACCGTCGATCAGCTTGAAAAGCGCGAGACACTGCTACAGCCAACGTATAAGCAGATCGCCCTCTTGTATGCTGACCTTCACGAGTGAGTTTTCATTCTTTGTCGCATCTACCAGCCGATGTTTATAGGATGATCCCACAGCCGGACTGGTCGTATGGAGGCCAAGGGATGTGCGAGGCCTGCTGTGTGGAAGGAGGCTCGTCGGTACTTCTACTGGGCCACCCGCGCGCGCATCGCGCGTTCATCTTCCCTCGCTCGACTCGCCGCCGCCAGTCCCAAATCCACACTAGAGTACCGGGAACGGCTACTCAACTCCCTCGCCCAAATTGACGAAACCGCCGACAACCAGACAATTGCCAAGGCACTCGAGGCCTTGGACCTTAATATCACGCTCATGCAACTGAGGAGTGAGCACTTCGCTCGCAGGGTACTCGAAGCAACCCAGGAGGATCGTAAAGTGGCGTTGGACGGCCTCCTCCATCTCTTCGATAGATTGTCTGAAGATGAGAAGTCTTCTCTTCTGTCCGCGCTTAACTCAACCCGATCGCCTGGTACGTCGTCTTGATGTTATGGGTGAGACATTGGCCCGATCCTCATCGCGGTACATGCTTTACAGGCCCTCCGTCCTACACAAGCGCCTCGTCGTGAAAATTAATGAGCTGGATGACCGCGTCATGGATTTCCATTCTTCTTTTCTTTGCAATTGTATCAATATAACATAGAATGTCTCTGTCGTCCAGTCGTATTGCATGTCTGTTGTGATGATTCTTACGTCCCTTTACTGTATGATTTCCAATATAACAACTATCGTTGCATCATTAAATTGTGAAGGAGTGAACAACCCCCAAATGCAAATGCATACTTATGACTTGTTTGTGCTCCCAGTCCTTAGCAAAAAGTAGCTTGAGTCTTGACAGTCCATATGATATGTCCGTAAACAATGCAGTTACAGCTGTTTGTGGCCGGTCTGACCGTGTGACACATCAGGTCTATTCTTTTGCAAGCTCTATTTCTTCTCGAGGTATTGTTCCCACCATTCCTCGAACCCAGTCGTTGCGAGGCCTCCTTCAACTCCAATTTCCTCTGTTTCTCGTACGTATAGCTGTGTGTCTCGTGGACGCGGCGTCGCTCCTAATATGATGATACCGACGATTAAAGTGGCTGGAGATGGGGACATGCGCCCTTACCTGCGGGTGGTTCGGACTCGGGTACGATGTGCTTATGCGGAAGGTGGAGGATACGCGCAAAGATGAGGCAGATTTCGTACTTCGTGAACGGTTCGGGCGCAGAGTAATGCAGGATTGGAGGAATAGGTTTCGAGCGCGGCAGGGCTGTGTGAGATGAGTTATAAAAGCAAATATCCATGAACGAGAGGCTGCGTAGGGAGATTAAGTCCAGACGGGCCGACGAAAACGCACCGGTCAGTCGCACGAGGAAGTTGGCTATATCGATGACGTTGGTGGGGTAGCGAGTCTGGTAGTGATCCATCTTGTAGATCTTGCCGGACTGATCCTGAATCACGTCAAGTAAAATATTAACCGCGGAGTCCGTGTTTGATGGTGTCGGCCCGTATCTGCGAAGTAAGAGAGAGAAGAAAGGGATTTGAGGGAGCAGTTAGTTTGAATGACCGACAACATGCAGATGATGGCAATAGGGGTCAGAACAAGACACGATTGTGATGTGGAGTTACGCAGCATATACGGATCGCACTTCGAGGACTCGTGAAGGACTTTAAAAAGAAGGCGTACAGAACAGGCACACGGAGAATGACCGCGTGCGCTCCTTCAATTCCAAGGACAGCCAGCTCGCCATCGCGTTTGGATGTGCCGTAGAGCTGAAGAGGGTTTGTACGTGCGGAAGGCACGTATGGTGGGGACGATCCATCGAATACATAGTCTATAAGGGGCGTTGTGTTGTAACTCGCAATTGACATCAGTGGCGGTGGTGTGACAACTGACCAGTAGAGATGTAGATGAGGGTGAATCCGAGTTCCTTCGATAGCTGAGCAAGGTGCCCTGGAACGGCAACGTTGAGCTGAACCGATCGATTAATTCTTGTTGGTGAATTGAGTGAAACATGTCTACTTTGCGCGTTCCCTCTGGATCCTAGCGGCGACAGGGTTCGGCAGTTTCAGCTCTTGTATAAATGACTGAGAAGTCTCGAGTACCTTTTCTGCGACATCTGGCTTGCGCTCTGCGGCACAGTGTATGATCCCTGTCAAGGATTACTTGTTGGTGCTGGTACGCCACTCACTTAGTTGATTCGACTCAGGAAGAGGCGCTCACAGTGGGGCCTTACATCTCGTACGAAATCCTCAACCTTGCTGTGATCAAGTAGATCAAGCGATCGCAGCTTGCCACCTGCACGAGTGTTGGCAAGACCAAAGACATCGTGTTCCTCTAGTGCGTTAGTAAAAGCATCATAAACAGCACTTCCTAGAACCCCCGATGCCCCTGACCATATATTTGATATGCTGTGAGATCTTCGGCCAGACCATTATTGTGTAGTCTGATTTTACCTGTTACGATGATCTTCATGGTGTGCAGTGGATACGGCTGAAGACGAGTTGACAATGCCGACGTCATGTGGGGAGCATACAAGGTCACGTGGGAAAGGGACGGCGCAAGATCTAATTCCTTTTTAGTCTATGAGAGGTCTCAGTCTCATCCCCGACGTCAGCTTGCTTTTCATCCCTCCTTGTTCGCTGCAACAGCTATCCTCATTTCACCCTACTTAAATCCCCCGTAAATATTTGTGTTTGTAGGACAAGATGCCTCCACAACCCGGAATGTTTGCGATCCCCTACGCCTCGGCTCACAAAGTTCGCGCCAGCAATAATTTAGAAGTCCATAACGGCATCCCTGACATGAATATGGCATATCACCATCATTCCCATCACCACCCAAACCAACTATCTTCCTCTACCATGATTGCTGGACCTAGCTCACGAGTACATGGTATGTAGACAGTCAAGCAATAACGTCCATTCAGCGCTAACGAAAGCGTTCCGCATGTCTGAGCAGGAGCCACAGTAGACGATTCGAGGCGGGAGAAGCGGAGGAAGGAGATTGCGGGGCGGCTTGGAAGAGAAATGACTAGAGAAGAGTCCGTTGTTCCCGATCTTCTCCGCGCTCACCGCCTCATCTCTCCGCCCATCCTAGCATGCGGCACTACACCGAAGCCATATCAACACTGCATAGTACAGCCCTTCAACTCGCAGCGCAGCCCGAGAAGCTCCCTGCCTATCAACTACGTCTATATTCACTCTCTTTAGAACGCTCTGCTTTACTGGCTCAAGCTGCCGTTGAAGAGAAATACGCGTTAGACACTGCGCAGGCAGCGTACGAGTTTGAGCGGGAGAGAATTGAGGAAGAATGGAAACGTGGAAGGAATCGAATACGCGAGAGGATGCTCGAAGGTGTCGAAGACAGGAGACGCCGCGCTCGAGATGACAAGGACGCGGACGGTGTCGTCGGTGGCGGTGCGTTTGTTTTGAAGTGTTTCACCCCTTCAACTCAGTCTTCTATCTATCATCACAGAGACGTCGTTGGACTCACAATCGCGTCCAATTGTTACGCGAAAGTTGCGCAACAAGCTGGGCACCTCGCCGCCACCCACGCCCCAATCCACCAACGCTAATGGCTCATTAGGCTCAATCTCCATGATCGCAGGACTGCTCCCCAATCCTCACTCACTATCCGTGGACGAGTTGCCTTCGCCCTTTCCTCTTTCACTCACATCGGCCATTCTTACTAACGCGCCCAGTGGCGGCAGCGGGAGCAATGGCCGTCGGCGTGCGAAGGGAGGCGGCTCCCAGCCTCAAGCGGCAGGTAAATCCGAGGCAGGGCTAGTCAGCTGCAAAGAGTCAGAACTCGAGAGCGATCTCGGAGAGATCAGGAGAGGCAACAGGAGGCGGAGGACAACGACTGCTGTCTTATCGAAAACATGATCCTTTTCCAAATTCTGTATAATGTTTCTTGCTTTCTCGTAATATTTCCTCCACGCTGTATTCCAAATTGATATACCTCAAATTGCGCGTTGTAATAGGTTGTAATTTGCGTTGTAGTCTGCGTCGAACTTCTGACTTTGAGGCTATGAGAAAATGATGAATTGAATATACCTAGCTCACGTGAACTTTGTATCTGACTTGTCTAGGTGTCTGTGGACTTCCCCTGTAGCCAGTTGTAGCCAGCCTAGAATCGTACATGTCTTCAGAAACAAATTCCAAATTATCGACTCGTGTTTATCCTCCCCTTTATAAAGCCTCTGGCGATGTACCTTCCGATAGGCTCGCCTTCTTCCATATACTAGGACGTCTGAAGGCATATATGAAACCTGTCTGTTCATGTATGATCGTAGCTGAGGAACGGCGCTCCACAGACTCAAAAAAGAACAGGATGGGTCGATAACAAGGTCCTTTCTCTGATCTTATTCTTTCATTTCCTGACCGACGCACTGATACCAGATTCCCAATCCCGAAAGGTGCCACTCGTGTCTGCCACTCCCTTTTCAAACTCTGATCATGGTGATGCGCGCTTGCCAGCATATCAGATCATATGTACAGGATGGCCGTCCTCGCGATGTGCTGCTCTGATACGTCCTTGGACATTGGAAAGTGAGTGTACTCATCTCATTGGTTCTGCGCAGGCTTGACGATCAGGCCTCAATTGACTTGTCTGGTCTCAAAGATGCGTCATGCTTGCTATCGTGCATGATCTTGCGGAAGCACAAGGTGAGTTTGGAGAGTACTCCTTGCATCGTGTGGTCTTAGACACGTCAATAACACAGTCGGCGACATTGCCCCTCGCGAGGGCATCCCGAAAGCAGAGAAGCGCCGACTAGAAGCTGTGCGTCTCTGTTTGTACATATAGTTGATGCAGCGATAATTTTATTTCAACAGGAAGCGATGCATAATTTCGTACATGAGATGTTGCACGATAGCCCTGCGGCGCAGAAGATTCATTCGCTCTGGCAGGCATGATTGGACCCTTTTCTCTCCATTTCCTCTCGCTCAGAAAGCCCCTTCAGGAATACGAAGACCAATCGACCGACGAGGCGCGCTTCGTGAAAGGTACGTCACTACGTACCATCATCGGTTCTGCTCAGGGTATATATCCCCTCTAGACCTCGATCGTTTCGAAATGGCTACCCAAGGTATGCAAGCCCTGCTATAGGCTGTCTGACTGAAAACTTGACATGGTGCTCTATAGCCTTGGAGTATGAACGTACACACGGAAACGGACACAGGGTGCTGCAACCGTTCTTCGATAGTAGTTTGCCGTTCATACGCCACCCTGAGGTGAGGGCTTGGGGCGCAGATTTGGCAGCAGCGAGGGAGCGATCATCCAATCCCGACGAGGGCACATTCTAGATGCACAATTCAACGTCTTGCACTTCGTGTTCACTCCGTGTTTCCGCGCTGAGCCGCGCAGGGCCTGTTTTGGACGGTGCAGTCACTCAAAAGTATCAAATAGTAATGTTGACTACATGAAGAGGGAGTTGAAGTTTAGCTCGACAAGACAATGGCGTGCTCGAGGTAATGAATGACGACGGAGGACCACCTATTTTCTCAAGCCATGCATGCTTCTTGTTTGCACGGAAGCATCGCCTTGATACATGATCATAAGATGGTGTTTGCATCTTTCGACAAATCATCAGGCTTCAGGGCTAGATGTCAGCACCGCAAGGAAAACTCTAGCCATATGTTGTCAACTTTGCATTGATGTTTCTCGAAGCCATTCCAACATTTGACAGGGTCTAGGTGCTTCAAAGCGAGCCAGAGCACGGTTGACACACAATGAAGTGATCATAACTGGACGGGAGTATTGCTCTGATGTATTGTTGATGGAGAATTTCAGGGATAGCTTACTTGCGACTCTAGATCGAAAGCAAGCTTCGCACCTCGAGTTCAGACGCTAAAAGTAGATGGGACATGTTGAAATGGGAATAATGATATGGCAGGTCAGGGAGGTGGGTCAATATAGTCAATTCCAAAGCCAAAGAATACATCCGTACTCGAGGTTACGCTAGTTTGAGCTTTTCTCCTGAGTTTCTGATGTTTTAACACCGTATTTCGCGGGGTCCGTTCCGTGATGGGGGTGATTCACCAGATTAAACCTGCATAAGTTATCAGCATCATCGCGGAAGAGAGTTTCAGTTCAATTTGACTTACATGGGGAAGGATTCTGGAACACCCTGATCAACACTGAGAGTGCAATACAATAGGCATGAAAGACTTACGGAATTTGAGTTGCGAGAACGCAGAATTTCTATATGCTGCACCCTGTACCCATTCAGGCTGCAGAGACTCGCCGTACAGAGGTAGCCCATCCCGAGCGCGCTGCGACAACTCAGCGAAATCCCTCTCTTCCTCCGCTTTATTCTCGGTCCAGCCCCAGAAGCGGACTATATACCCCACAAGACGCGTCAATGGTATCACTTTCGCGACGAACGTGAAAGACTTACAACTCGATCGCTGGTATGACAGCAAGAAGCCGCCGATGAACCCGAGGACGCCCCCGAGACGGAGAGGTAGTCTCATCTTTGCCCTACTGTGGTCCGCCATTTCTAAGCGTTCCTCAACTGCTTCGTACCTTGTTTTGCATGAGTAAGGTGAAACTTACCCCAGAAGTAGAGAGCGGCAGGGAAAGCACCAGTCGCGCCGGCCCAGACAGCATAGTCGGACGGGCGCATGTAGCGCATTACGCGCGAGAAGTGGGGATCGGCATCGATAAGAGGGTAAGGTGTTTCCACGACTTTGTTTGGCATCGTGAGGGACGTCTACCAAGGAGGACGGAATGTCCGGACAATGCTACGGCCAATGATGTTGAACGCATAGTATCCGGCAGAAGTCGTGAGGCAAGCACGCTTTAGGGCAGGCCCAGGGTGGCTGCCCTAAACAGACCTGAGGCGGTGGCGTTGAGTGAGACTGCCGACTTGCCTGCCCCAATCTATAGTCCTTGTATTCTCCTTGGACTTTCTCCCTCTCCCTCCAACAATATCATATCAATTCTTTCTGCTGACGCGCAGAATGAGCGCCTCCAGAAGAACCGACCGTCGCACGACGCGAAATCATCTGTCGTCTCCATATAAGCGTCCACAAAGCCCTCCAAAGAAATCGGTACGTGGTCGTCCACAGCCGCACCCATGAGCAGCTGGTAACTAACACTCTTCGCGCTTTGTGCAGGGATGGAGTCTGTCTGGTCTGTTTGGCTTTTTGAACCCATTACGTTCACGAAACGCGGTGGAACCATCAGAAGGGGAGGAATTCGAGAGTACTTCCGAAGATGGTTATGCATCAGAGGCTCCGGCCTCTCCGCATGCTCCACCGCCCATTGCTGTTCAAAACCTCTCAGAACGTGGTCATGAGGTAGGTGCTCACCCAGTGCCTACTCAAACAATTACCGCAAATGCTAAGCTTTCTCTAGCTCGCACAGCAGCAGCGAGCTCATGAAGCATACTCCTCAAGTTTACCTACGAATAGGTCGGAGTCGGCTGTGCATGCGTCGCAAAGTCAATTCGCTATGGAGAACGCCATCGATCTAACATCTCCTCCCCGCGCGGATCGTCATATATCCAGCCTTCAAACTGCGAAGTCTCCAGTGGAGAACCTCGAGAAAGTGAAACGATATCTCCAGGACAGAGAAGACGGACGCGGTCTTCATCAAGTGGAGGTTATCGGATTAGTGTCTCTTTTGCAGGGCAGCGTACAAGGTACCTTCGTTCTTCCCTTACCACAGCAATTGAGGTTGATCAAATGCGTTGCAGACATGGATAAGGATGAGCCGTTCCGCTTTTCATCGAGTCCAACCCCCGACCGTGGAGATACACCATTTAGAATGGGCTCTCCTGGACCTTCTACTACAAATCCACAGACGTCGCGAAAAACATTAGCAAAGAATCCTAATGGTGTATATAGGTGGCAAGGAGCAGGTAGTGCACGACCACGCAATCGGTATCAATCCCCTGCATTCGGGCCTCCACGGATGACACCTTCAAAGATCACACTTTCTGCCCCTCAAACACCACCTAAAACAGACGCGAAACGAAGGCGCGTGGGCCCAGATGCGTCTTCGCCACAACGTGTTCAAGCACCTGCGCCATCCCCACCTCCTGCACCGTTGCCACGTGCCCAACCTACGGCAGGGCCATCCACATTCCCCGTCTCCAACAGCAGCTCTAGCGGTATGCCACCTGCCAATGGGTCTGCAAATGGAGCGGCAGCAGCAAAGTCCAACAACCCGTCAACTCCACGCCTCCGCATGGTTGTCCCACCCAAACCCACAACCCCTGCCGTCCCTTCACCCCTCAGACAGGCCTGGGGCCATAGCGATCTGCCTCCTTTGCCTCCAGCACACCAGAAACAGCCAACACGAGCAGCAACTCTCATGGAGGAACTCATCAAGGAAGCTGCCCCGCAAAAGAAACTAGACGTAGCGAACCCTTACCAGGAGGGGAGCCCTGTGCGGCCGCCAGCGAAGAAGTCCAGGAAGAAGAGGAAGACATCTGAAGAGAGGAAGCAGAAGGAGAAAGAAAAGGAGGAGATGGAGAAAGAGAAGGCGTTTGAGAAATTGAGTCCACAAAGGATGGTAGAGGCTACGGTCCCAAAGGTTCGTTGTCACCCTCCCCCATACACTACTCTGTGCTAATTTGGCCGCAAAATAGGGAATGAAGCGTGCACGCCCACCACCTGACCTGGTGAAGACCGCCTCTCCACCGAAAGCCAACGGAATTAATCAATTTGTGGAGCCTCGTCGCAGCACACGTCTCACGAAGTCTACCGGGAAAGTTATATCTAATGGTGCCAATGAGATTTCCAAGGACAAAGCTACCGCTCCCGTCATCGAGGAGGTGCCAGACGAAGAGGACGAACGCCCATTCCCCAAGAGGCAGAAGCAATATGCAGTCACAATCGAGGAGGTCGAGGATGTTGATATGCCGCAGCCTGCTACGCGGACGTCCGAGATCATCGAACCTATGGACACATCAAGTCCCAGTTCTGCCTTCACTCCACAACCTGCACCCGTTCCCAAACCTGGCCCCCCCTCAAACTCGAATTCTCACGCTCTTTTTGGGGCGAAACCTGCGTTTGGATTGAAGTCGTCTGCGCCGAAGGAGCCCTCGAAGTTGCGGTTTGGGTTCGCCGCAGAGACGGAAGAAAAGCCTGCTGAAGTGAAGGTTTCTGCCCCTATCGCCGTGTCCGTTCCACCATCGAAGGCATCCTCATTCCTTTCGACAGCCCAAACCACGGTACCTAAGCCTGCTCCTACTGCGAAACCTTCAATCCCTGCTCCTGCCTCTCCGGCATCCTTCACTTTGAAGGGCCCCGCTCCTATTCCTGTGTCTGCATTCACGCCTCCTCCTGCCCCAAAACTTTCGCACTCAGCTCTCCCTACCCCTGAGTTCTCTGCACAGCCTACAACATCGACTTCCATGGTGAAACCGAAGGTAGACCCCAAAGATACCGCCAGAGCACTCCGCGGCTCAGCCCTGCCCTCGTTTTCATTCATCATACCGACCCAGATCTCACAGAAGCACAACAAAGAACGTGATGCAGCCAAGGCTATTGGACCGACCTCGCTGCCCGCATTCAAATTTTCTTGGGATGCCAAAGATAGGGATGCTGTGGCGTCATCTGGTGCGATCGCATCCATAGGCGCCCCTTTCAACTGGGCGGCGGCTGGAATGAAGGCGCCCGTGAAGGTCGGCGGAACTTGGACGTGCTCACTCTGTCAGCTGAGCAATCCGGATAGTGCGCAGGATTGTAGTGTTTGCGAAACGAAACGACCATCTACTGCACCGACTCCGGCGAGCGGCGGGTTTAATTGGGCAGCTGCGGGCATGAAGGCACCCACAAAAGCTGGTGGTACTTGGATATGCTCATTGTGCAATTTGAGCAATCCCAGCAGCGCCATTGAGTGCACGGTCTGTGAAGCCAAGCGGCCATGATATATGCCTGAGTCCTTACGACAGGACGAGCGGGTGGTGGAGTCGCAATCTCGTGTTTTTATCTAGATCGCTTTTGGTTCGGTATAGAATAGTCGGGTGACGCAGTGCCACCTTTCCCTATTCCCCGTTGTGTCCATACTCGCGCTTTCGTCTGGAATGTCTCTCTGCATTGTTGTCGGTTTCTCTTGTCTTTGTACGGTCAACTCTATCCCATCTGATTGCATAGTTTACAGTGGCGTTGCATAAATACATACTTCTCCAGACTTCCGTCTGGTTCCTCAGTCTGCCCCTGCTCGATGCGTACAAAGAATGTAAGTACAGAGAAACGGGGACTTTTAAACCCTGATACAAAAAAACATGCTGGGAAATCAGTCGCGACTGCACTACTATGATCACGACTGTGAAAAGTCCAGCTTGCGTGCAATGTTTCGGCCAATATCGTCCTTACTGAGTTTCCGCTTGAGCCTTCCTGGGGCTGCAGCTTTGACCTTGGGCCCATCGCCCGTGAAATCGACGTTGCCGTCGACTTCCTCGAGGGCTTTTTGCGAGCCGAAGGGAACAGACCTTGGGAGCTTGGAAGGGTGTGAGGGGTAGGGGAGGGCAAAGAAATAGGGATGGCTCAGGGCCTAGAAAGTCGATGTAAGTGGAATGAAGTCGGAGGGAGAGGAAAGAGGCATACGTCTTTGGCGCTGATCCGCTTGCGCGGCTCGTAGATGAGACATTTGCTGAGGAGGTTGAGTGTGTCGGCACTCGCAGCGGTGAAGAGTTCGCGAAGGGGCGCGCGAGGAAACTGGCCAACGGGGACGTAGTCTGGCAGTTTGGTATGGCCCTATTCAGAGGAGGCAACTCGTGAGATGGGGCAGACCATCAGAGATGTGCATAGAGATGATCCGTACAGGCCAGTCTTCTTCTGTGGGTGTCCCGAGGGCGCGGAAGATAGTCTTCAGCTGGTCCATGTCGCTTTCGCCGGGGAGGTATGGTGTCCGGAGCATCAACTCAGCAAAAATGCACCCGACAGACCAGATATCAACAGCTGTACTGTAGTAACGACAGCCAAAGAGCAGTTCTGGTGGACGGTACCATCTGCGCTCGATAAATGGCCGAAATCGTAGGATTATATGTAGCAACGCATACCGTGTGATGACCTGGCAGGTCATTTTATACCCTGGATCGGCGAAGTCTCGCGCAAGACCAAAATCGGCTATCTTGAGTTGTCCGTCGGAGGCAATAAGCAAGTTATTTGGCTTCAAGTCCTGTAAAGTGGCTTAGTTGCACACGATAAGAGGACAAGAGGCGATCGTACACGATGCAAGACAAAATTACGATGACAAAATTCAAGGCCCCGGAAGGTCATAGCCATCCAGCTCTTAATATCAGCTGGCAGGAAAACAAGAGAGCGATTTTTGATTATCATCTCGAGGTCGGTGTCAAGAAACTCAAGGACGAGATTTAGGTTGGCTTTCGAAGAGAACACATCGAGGAGCTGAGCACCAACATTCAGTGATATGCCCCGTGAAGTCAAATAACCGATGAGAATACCTCAATGACATTTTGGTGATGCAACTCTCGCAGATACTTTACTTCACGAACGGCGGACATGTCAAGCCCATCCTTAAGCTGCCCGACTTTGATCTTCTTTATAGCCACTTTGCGACCGGTAGCAGCTTCGCGGCCTAATATCACCACGAGTTCAGAAAGCTATGAAGGTCATATGCCGTCGCTGGAAATGCAAACCTCGGTAAACAACAGCGTATGTTCCCTCACCAACTTTCTGGTCTTTCGTCCTTAGAAAGTCTCAGAATTTTACCATGGATAGGCGTGAAAGAACGCACCATCGCTTCTGCCGTGCTAGGTTCGCCTTCTCTACAGCGTCCATAAGATGAATATGCACAAGACCGCGTCCTGTGGCCACGGTTTTGTATTGCAAATAGATGAAACCGCCGGCCGTGGTGGCCCGCTGAATCGACAATTCCCAGGGCGCTTGACTACCAGAGCGTCCTCCAGTAATATAAGTTCTATCGAGTGTAAGTTCAAGGTGAAATACTGCACTCGACGATGAGAGCTCAAAGCACCAGAGTCACTGCTCTGATGGGTCAATCATGCTTTCGCGCGACGGCAGGTAACGGCCAACCCTGGCCCGCTAGAAATTCCCACGGCCATCTTGGGTGCGCCATCTGGCCCATCTCAGCCTGAGACCTTCGGCGATTGACTCCTTCGACTCCTTCCCTCCGTATTCCTCATGGCGCTAAGACTCAAACATTCTCCATCGCCAGCTCCCTTTTCATTTGACAATCTACCATCTACGCCGCCATCGCTATCCCCTTCAACGACAGTGTCCAACCTCCCATCTCCACCAACGTCATGGCTCTCTGCCCGGGACATGAAGGTTTTTGGTGCTGACCCACTTCGAAGTCTCAATGAGATAGGTCTCGTGAAATGCAAGGAATGCGGAAAGCCCGTCTTGAGAAGTGCTGCCGCAGAACATGCTGGTGAGTGCTGGCAACGCGCACATTGAATCTAAGTCCCATTGATCATCCTTGGCAGAGCACTGCAGGACTATTCGCCTCGGTAAAGGAGCGAAGGGAAAGGCGGACGATAGCGGTGAGTTGCCTGCTCTCCAATTGCGCCCTCAGTCCCTTAATTGCCTGCTAGTAAAGGGCAAGAAACGCAAAGCAGATGATGTAGATCCCGCGGACCCAGATGGTCCGAAGTCCAAAAAGGCGAAGCCTGCGACAAAGGTGACCAAGGGCCGCTTCAAAGGCCCGGTCGACCTCGATCGGCAATGCGGCGTCATCAATGATAAGGGCCTCCCATGTTCTCGTTCGCTCACATGCAAGTCCCACTCCATGGGGTCCAAACGGGCGCTTGCGGGCCGATCGAAAGCATACGATGAGCTCCTCCTTGAGTGGCGGCGCGCGAATGATCCAGGCTTCGTTGAGCCCGTGAAACGCGAGAGCAAGAAGGAGCGCAAGGAGAAGAAAGACAGGGAGAAGAGGGAGCGGAAGCAGAAGGAGTTGGAGGAGTTGGCGAAAAAGAACGGGATTGATTTGAGTCAGCCGGGGGCGGAGGCCCGGTTAGAGCAAATAAAGGCGACTACGAAAAAGAAGAAGACCACAACAGCCATTGCGACCACGGCGGCTGGCGGAACGGGAGCAGGGGTCACTGCGAGTGCACGAGTGGCAGCGGTCGAGGAAGATCCGGCGTTGGAGAGTTTGGCGGAGGTGGACTCGGAAAGCGAACTAGACTCCATGGTGAAGAGTGTGCGGGTAGCCCAGGAACGAGGTGTACTGGGTGTGCCGTTAGCTGTTCCTTGCGACGCGGGAAGCTGGTTCGTGGTGCGGAGGGAAAGGCTGAGGAACTGTCGGGATCTTTTTGCAGGTGCGTTGATGAAGGGAGGGGTCTCTAGCGTTGCTGCCGCTGGGGCTGCAGCGAGGCTGGGAACGGGGGGCACATAAAATCACGAACAAATGCTCTTTTTTCATCAAGACCTTGAGACGGCTCACCATCGGACACGGACCCTCTCCCGGACAGTTTGCATTACGGTTCCGATTGCGGTCGTGCTGCACTCATCCGCGTTTCTCAAGACCATACTATCGCCATTTCTCTTCGGCTCGAACACAGTGTTTCTGCTCCGACCTAGACCCCCTCTCAGGTGTAATCCATGTATTTTTAGGGACTGTAACGATACATCTTCTTTTCGCTTTGTTGTCTCGGTCGTACGTGGTTCGTTCATGTTCGCAAGGAGTAACTCGCTTTCTTGGTCCATTAAGACCACCACGATGTCCGTGAGTCCGCGGTCTGCAGTTGCAATGACGCAGCCTTTGATACGATGGCATTGGGCCACGAATTTTCTGCAGGGTTCTTGCAACCAACGAATGGGGCATCCTAGATCATCCTTCTCGTCCTCAACACACGATGCGAAAAATACAGGCATCAAAGACATCTGCTCGATCGCTGATACTCGGCTTGGTTTTGAATCCCAAGAAAGAAACGGGTTGACCTGATATGGTAACCTAGATATCTGCTGCATGTAGCCATGACGTCAGGATGAAGGTATATAAAGTAGCAGGACGCGACGCGTTTCCCCGCACCGAGCATTTCCCCTTTCCCCGCCATGCCAAAGGGAAACAAATCTTCCGTGACGAAACAGTTGAAAAATGGCCTCGCTCATCCAGGCACCCTCGTGATGCCTCTGATCTCGACCGGCTCGTCGACTGGCTCATCGCCAACCTCTGCGAAGACGTTGAAGACGCCTGCTGACGAGGGGATCGCTTTCTTCGAATCGGATGCTCAGAAGGGAGAACCTCCTATCAGGGTGTATGAGTTAGCGTTAGAGGCAGATGGCGGGCCGAGCAAGGAAATAGCGGCGAGTGCTATTTCGAACTGAGTCTATATATGCGCACTCAACGAGGTTCTCTAGTACATTCGTCTTCCTCCCGCTAATACCCCATATATTCTGCGTGTCTCGCTCGAGGCTGGCACCCCAGCATCTAGAAATGGCGTTTTCAAGACCAACTTTCCTCTTGATGGAGGCAAGTTCGAACGCAATAAGTTCTCTGAGCGCAGGCGAGTTCCCAGATTCCAGTAATTGACATACCTTGTCTAATCATGATCAACCGCACTCCAGACTTCCGAATAACTTCTCGAAACCTATTGAGGTCGACCTCCCCATCTCACATGCCGGCGCTTTTGCCTACTGGGTCGAATACGACGGTTCCAAACCGGGGTCTCGCATCAAGGGACGTGAGGGTTATTTCAACATAGATCCAATTCTTCACACCAAAGCGCGCGCACCCATACTATCTCCAGATTTGAAGGCCCTTCCCCCTTCGCAAGGCGGCGCATCCCTTCGGGACGAGGACATAAGTCTTCCATTATCCGCCGTCTCCATATTGAGCACTGTCTCCAAGTGGATGGGTCCTGTATCGAGGTGGCCGGATTTCTTTGCAGAAGCTAGAGATCGTGGTTATAACATGATACACTGGACGCCGCTTCAGGAGCGTGGTCAGAGTGATTCCCCATACTCGATCAAGGATCAGCTACGGTACGAGCCGAGCATGTTTGACGACGGGACGAGAGGGGGTGAGGATGGAGGTGTCGCCAACATGGATTCGATTCTGAAGTCAGCAAAGGAGGAATATGGTCTGCTCAGCTTGACCGATGTCGTACTCAACCATACGGCTGATAATAGCGCCTGGTTGGAGAAGCATCCTGAAGCTGGTATGTTGTGACACCTGGGGTGCATTCATTCGTGCTCAGTTTTCAATCAGGCTATAGCCCTTCCAACTTTCCTCATCTAACTCCCGCACTCGAACTCGATGACGCTATCATTGAATTCTCTGGGACGCTCGAGTCGAAGGGCCTGCCCACCGAAATGCGTTCAAGCGCTGACATCGATGCTGTGGTAAATGGCCTCCGCGACTACCTGAAACGGTTGGACTTCTGGCAATATTATGTCCTCGACGTACAGCAGGAGAAGGATGCAATAGGAAAGGCCTTAGCTGCGGGCAGTGCAACGGCATGGGCTGGTCCCGATATCCGTGGCAAATCACCTAGTGAAATTGCGCAGATCGTTCGGGCGTACGACGACGGGGGCTCGATTCAGGGACTCGGGAAGTATGCAAGACGATTCGGCGTGCACATAGATGGCGCCGTAGCGCTTGGAATTTTACAGGCTGCCAGTGGTGATGTGTCTGCCGATTCTTGGGGCAAGGTCGTGGATATCCTGAACGTTCCCTTGTATGAGGAATGGGCAAACGATACCAAGATTGCGCTGGACAACATACGCAACCGGTTGGAGTATACCAGGCTTGATGAGCATGGACCCAAGATGGGGCGCATCTCCAAGAAGTGAGTTTCCACGTTCAAGAAGTCGCTGTATACTTATCACTTCACAGGTCTCCCATTGCTGAGCCGTACTTCGCGCGGATTCGCGGTGCAGAGAAGGAACCCCTCAAGTACTCTTTGGCTGTGAATGGTTGGCAATGGGCTGCTGATCCCCTGTCAAATTTCGCGCTCCTACCTTCGAAGGCTTATTTCCAGCGCACAGTCATCGCGTGGGGTGACTGCGTCAAGCTCAATTACGGCTCAACACCTGGAGATTCGCCCTACCTTTGGGATCATATGTCGAAATACGTTACTTCCCTTGCTCGTGCGTTTGCAGGTTTCCGTTTAGATAACTGCCATTCGACCCCCTTGCATGTCGGCACATTTCTTCTCGATCGTGCCCGAGAAGTAAACCCGGATCTTTATGTCGTTGCTGAGCTTTTCACAGGAAATGAGGACATGGACACCATTTTCGTCAGTCGTTTGGGAATCAACAGCCTCATACGGGAGGCGGGAAATGCGGGTGATCCGAAGGAGTTTTCGCGTATCATCTGGAGAGACGGATTGGGAAAGCCGATCGGATCTATGGACAGCGCGTGTCTCACCAGGCCAGGGTTTGTTGCCTCGCCTACATTGTCTGGGAAGGGTCCTATCAGGCCCTGTGTCGTCGTTCCGCTGAGCGGGTCGCTACCGCACGCGCTTTTGTACGATCAGACCCATGACAATGAGTCTACGACGACGAAGCGATCGGCGGAGGACACGCTTTCGACAGCTGGGATCGTGGCATTCGCATGGTGCGGTACTGGTAGTGTGAAAGGCTTCGATGAGGTGTACCCGAAGTTGTTGGAGCTGGTTACGGAGAAGAGGCTGTACGAGTTGGTGGGGCTTGGAGCAGAAGGACAAGGTTTCGGCGGGAGCGGAATCGCGGCGGCGAAACGGCTGCTCAACAACCTGCATCGCGAGATGGTGTTTGGTCGATATGAGGAGGGGCATGTGCATCAGGAAAATGATGTGAGGGCCACTTCCGTTTGGTACGAACCTAGTCTGATTCTTCCTTGCGCAGTACATTGTCGTGCACAGAGTACAGCCGAGCACACAGAAAGGCTACATCCTTGTCGCCCACACCGCTTTCTCCCACACGGCAGGAACGAAAGACCGTGGATCCAGTAAGTAACTTGTTCTCGCTGCGCTATGGCACTGACCTCGATATCATCAAGTTGAACCTGTCCGTCTTCGTCGCTCCAAGGCAAAGTATGTTTTTGGCGCGAGTGTAGAATTCTCTCAGCAAAGTCTTCCAACTAACTCTGGTACCCTTGGCGGTATCCCATCAAAGCTCATTCTCCTCCCCGCACCATCTCTCTCAGAAGGCGCTGATGATGAAGGACCATATACCGATATCATTGTTCCCAACAACTTCCCCCCCGGAAGTATCATGGTTCTCGAGACGCAGCTTCAAGGTCTTAATACCACTCTGGACGCCTTTTGTGTTTCTGGTGCCGACAAGGCGTTCGGAGATCTTGACTTGGTTGATTTAAATGTCGTCTTGTTTAGGACTGAAGGCGAAGAGCTCGATGCAACCAACGGCGAGGTCGGTGGATACGATGTTTCCGGCCTTGGTAAACTAAAATACTGCGGTCTCGAGGGATGGATGCACCCTATGAGGCACATAATAAAGTATAACGATCTGGGTCACCCGCTTTGCCAACATCTGAGACAGGGTGCGTGGGCGTTGGACTACGTCTCTTCACGCCTTTTCAAACAGGCGTCGTATCTTCCCCGTCTTACGAAACCCGCCGAGTGGTTCAAGGAACGTTTTGACATCGTCAAGACAAGCGTTCCGCCGCACCTGAGGCCGAAATATTTTGCCATGATCATATCAGATGCGCACAAGGCGGCGCGGCGTGCTGCCATTGAACAGTGCTCGGACTTCGTTTCCTCTGGACATTCCTTCACTCAGGACCTGGCCCTCGTCGCGGTACAAATGCATGGTCGAGTGCAGTCCGCTTCGCTTGATCCTGGGAAACCGACTCCGTCTTTGGCCGCTGGCTTACCGCACTTTTCTTCTGGGTGGGCAAGGTGCTGGGGCCGTGATGTATTCATCTCGTTGAGGGGTCTGTTTTTGACGACGGGGAATTTCGAGGATGCAAAGAAGCATATCTTGGCCTTTGCTTCGACATTAAAGCATGGTTTGATTCCGAACTTGCTTGACTCGGTCAGGAATCCCAGGTAAACCAATTCTCGGTCGCTCATTCACATTCATCTGATACGGGACCCGCCTTGACAATAGATACAATTCCCGTGACTCGCCTTGGTGGATGCTTCAAAATATCCAAGACTACGTCACGAAGGCGCCTGACGGTTTAGCTTTACTGGCTGAGCCAGTGAAGCGACGTTTTCCGAAGGATGACACCTGGGTGCCCTGGGACGATCCTCGAGCGTATGCAGAGACGAGCACAGTAGCGGAGATCATCCAAGAAGTTCTCCAGCGGCACGCCAGTGGTATTTCGTTCCGTGAGTACAACGCCGGCCCAAACCTTGATATGCAGATGCGGGAAGAAGGGTTTAACATTGAGATCCGAGTCGACTGGAATACTGGCTTGGTGCTTGGCGGCAACGAATTCAATTGTGGAACCTGGATGGACAAGATGGGGGAATCTGAGAAGGCTGGGAATAAGGGTTTGCCAGGGACGCCAAGAGATGGAGCGCCAGTGGAAATAACAGGACTGGTGAAGAGTACGTTGAGGTGGTTGGATGAACTATCAGGCCAAGGTCATTTTCCTTTCCAAGGTGTAGAAGCCATCAGTGAGCTGTTTGATCTCGCTCCGGTACTAATCTGTTCTTATTGATCTTTGTTTTCAGTCGGTAGCGGGCGGCGTCTGGTGTCATTCAAGGAGTGGGGATCACTGATACAAGAGTCCTTCGAAAAGTGCTATTACGTTCCATTGGGTAAGTGCTTTCTATGAGGGACAATTCGGCATCTGATATTCGGACATAGATCCTGTCAATGACAATTCATACTATATAACCCCTTCTCTCGTCAACCGTCGTGGGATATATAAGGACGTCTTCGGCTCTGGAGTGGGCCGTGAATGGTCCGACTATCAGTTCAGACCGAACTTCGCCGTAGCGATGACCGTGGCGCCTGAGCTATTCGTTCCTGAGCATGCCATGACAGCACTGAAGCTGGCGGATGATGTGTTGCGAGGTCCATTAGGCATGAAGACACTCGACCCGAACGATCTGCAATACCGGCCATTTTACGACAATTCGAACGATTCTAGCGACGTCGCCACCGCCAAAGGCCGGAATTACCACCAGGTAAAAAGATAATTGCTACAATCGATTGCTTCTATTGAGACGTTGATCCGATTTCAGGGTCCAGAGTGGGGGTGGCCTCTTGGTTTCTTTTTGCGAGCCTATATTCACTTCGACATCAAAGTCGGCGCAGGCAATCCCGTAAGTGGCTATCTTTAATCCGTTTCCACGACGTATATGGACGATTCATAGGACTCTACCGTCACCCTTCACCACATCCACGGCATATTACGTCCATCTCGAGCCCACATTCGCAAGGATCCATGGGCAGGATTACCTGAACTTACCAACAAGGACGGTGCATTTTGCCATGATTCTTGCCCCACTCAGGCGTGGTCGGCCAGCACGATGCTCGACTGTTTGGAAGATGTGCATAAAATGTCGGCTGCGAGATGAATCCTGCATATGAGAGGGTGAAAAGGGGTGTAAAGCTTAGGCATGTAACAGTAAATTGACTCAGCACGCGGATCTCGGTTTCGATAGAATTAGACATGTACGTCCAGGATTCCTGTCGCGATATTGATTTGTATTCGTTACACACCGATCTAAGGATGAGCGCATGAGCCATGTCCTTGTTCAGATCTTCAGACCCGTTCTTTTGGGAATCAGAGTGAAGTTTTAGATCCGGACTGCGAATCTGAGCTCCTTTCGGATTTGGATGATCTGACATTCTGACAAATAAGCAGTCACAACATTTGAATACCAATCTAGCATGAAAACCGGTCCAGCCCTGGATCCAAGATTGAATTTGAGGTTGCGTGGCGTTATTTACCTCTGTGTAAAGGTGTATAAGCACTTAACTCAGCCACCAAAATATCGACCAAGACACTGATGGTGGCCTCGAGGATCCGAATCACAAATTCCTCACATGTCGTTCTTCGGGTTTGAACAAAACGACGTCTTAGAAAACGAGAAAAACAGCTTCTTACAAGGCAAGCAGGACCAGGAGGAGCTTGCCGTCTATACTTGGGGAGAGGAAAGCTATGATGGTCTCGGAGACGTCTTGCAAGAGGGTGGGGATGAGCTCAATGACGAGACGTTTGGGGGGACGGGTGAAGTCGGTGAGTTGTAGCATCCCCCCTGCGCAACGATGGGCACAAGCTGACTTTTATCATCTGGCTATCAGGCAAAGACTTCGACTTCACGCAACAAGCGCTCCCTTTAGATGATCGTCATAGGCCAACACCGCTGCCTCATGGAAATGTCAAAGAGGCAGGTTTTCATAGCACCTACCCACAGGGGCATCATGAGTCACAGGGAATATCTGCCGCGCAGAGTCAATCTTGTATGATAGTCACAGACTTCATCCCTGTGCTTGTCTTACATCTTTCTCCTTGTCCGCCGTAGTCCCTCAAGCACATGCGCTCTGGGATGAGAAATCGCCATTCTCAGTACTTCCTCGGATGAATGGCACAGCCCGCACACCCGTCGATCACCATCGCGCGACTTCATCATCAAGGCTATCGCAATACTCCAATGGATCGATTCCGTCCAATGGCCAGCCACACGCTTCCTCTCCATCTCCGTCTATTGCTCAGTCTATCTCCCATGGTATCACACGCTCTGGTGTTCGAACATTGGAGGAAATCGAGGCAGAGATGCGCGCGGCTGCGCAGAAATCTCGGACGCAGGCTGCCGTCACACAGCGACAACAGCTCCTGCAGGAACAGCAGCAACAGCAACAGCAATACTATCAGCAGCAGCAGCGCTCGGCGCCTCCTAGAATGCACCCGCAGTCTCAATCGCCTCGTTTCCATCAGCAGCAGCAACATCAGCAACTCATCTTACAGCAGCAGCGCGAGCAACTCATTCGGGAGCAGCAGCTACGGGAGCGTCACCGCGAACAACAGATACGAGAGCGACAGCTCCAAGAGGCCCAAATGCAAGAGCAACTACGAATAGAGGAGCTCGAGAGACAGTTACGTGCTCAGCACATATCCGATCTACAACAGCAGCATCTTTTGCAGAACCAGTATATTCACCAGCGGCAGAATTCTGATCAGTTAACAGAGCTACAAGTAGTCCAGCAACTCAACCAGCGCAGACAGCGCTCTCCGGCGTTGATCGATCCGCATTTGCAGAATACCTACCAGGGCCAACAAATGTTGCCACAAAATATTCAGCTCCAACAGCGCCTTTTATCTGAGCTTGCTCAGGCAGAGTTCATGCAGAGTATGCAGGGGGCTACTCAAGAAGAGCATATTGCGTTACAACAAGAGGCCATGCGTAGAATTGTGGAGACCGAAAAGATGGAGGAGAAAAGGAGGAGAAAGGCTGCTAAGATTGCTCATATGGTGCGTTGATCTGTGAACGTCTGAATAGAATCCAGGTCATGATTCCAGCATACGTAGTCTCGGTACAATGACCTCATGACTCAATCCGACAAGGACTTCATAACTCGTATACAAGTTTCTCAGCTCGTCACTCAAGACCCGTACGCGGAGGATTTCTACGCGCAAGTATACAGTGCTGTCATTCGTTCTCGCATGGGCCTCGAGACTGATGAACGCGTGCTCAAATTCGGTTCTGGTGGTGGTGTGGGCCTCGGGATAGCTCAGAAAGGCGCTGGGCGAAGGCCTAACGCTATGCAAAAAATGGAGCAACAGGTGGAGAGAATCGTGACCAATGCGCGCTTAAGGGAGAAGGAAAAGGGCATGCATTGTACGTGCCGTCTTTTTGAATTGCTCGTGTCCATCATCTTACTGACCTATCGTACAGCTGCGCACAGTCTGCAGGGTGCACTGGGTAAAACGTCAGGAAGGAGTTACAAGGCCGCACCACGCCAGCTCCTCCAAGTCGACTCGGCGAACGGAACGACTAGCCCTGCTATGAGCCACGCTCATATCTCCAAAGAAGATGCTATTCGTCAAGGTGGTGAAGGTGCCGCAAAAGAGGCAGCGAAGCTAGGAGCTGAAGCACTTGGCGGCGCCGCAGATGTAAGTTTGGACTTATCTGAAGCCTTATGCACGACTGCATACGCTTACACGCTTCGTCTTTCAGCCGGAGGGCATCGTACAAAAGGAACCCCTGACATCAAGAGAGACGCTGTATATCCTTGAGCACCTCTACGACGTAGTGCTGAGCATAGAGCAAATGCGGCGTGACGAGCCGCCTGCGGATTCAGATGACCTCGAACAAGTTGGGATCTGGTACGCTTATATCCTCTTTTGTCGTACGTATCGACATCTTACATCAGTAAAGGAATGCACAGTACAGGGAGCTCGTACAACAGCTGTATGACGAGCTGAGGATTATGGAGCCACTCGAGACGAGGTATGTTCGGTTACGCTAATGCTACATCCACCATTCATAAATACTTTACAGCGTCCCTCATCCGTTCATCTCGCTCTTGACGCCAGTGAAGGGCAAGAGGCTTCTCTCCAGGATCACGCGTCAATTTAACGACCAGCAAATGATGACCCTCGTCACACTTCTGGTTGCATGTTTCTCTCAGCTGGACGTCATTATACATTCATCACTTCTCGATAATCCAACGGAAAGCCGAGACCGGTTAGACATGGAGAAGCAAACTCAGGCTTTCCTCTCTAGCGTGGTGGAGAGCATTTTGCCAGTCGTGGCGAAGACAGAATTACGCCTGATCAGCGGATGGCTCGGGCTGCTATTTGAGAGAAGTGACATTGTAGCCGTCTCTCAAACAAGCGTGAGTCTCTAACCAATCTCGACAATCGACATCCTAATTTTGATATCCAACAGCCTGGAATTGCATTTTTGACTATGTTGATGGGTCGAGTAGAAATCATCAAGCAGAGCTTGATCTCGCAGCCAGAGCTTCCAGGACATCCCACGCCTGATGAAGCCCATCAATGGTCTGCTATACATCTTATTATGTTTTTCATGAACAGATTTGTTGATCATTCGTGTCATAGGCAACTCATATTCGATCATCTATTCCAGACTCTTCTTCCAAACTTATTATACCTCTTCCCGTCCACCCGCTTAGCTGTCACCACGGAATCGCTCCCGCCGATCGAATCAATGCCTGACCTCCACCCTGATGCTCTCGATCAAGCTGTCTGGCAGTTCCTCGGCGCCCTTGCAGAGCAATCCTCTAGCGAGCAGCAACAGGCACTGGTCACAGTGCTCCGCGAAAAAATCCTCGACAATATCACGAGTCTCCGCGAGGGCTGGTTCGCAAACGAGGACGAACGGCTCTCGAAAGTCAATAATGTGAATATGTTTTTGCATCCCCTTGGTCTAGATATATCACAGGTGAACGTATAGTGTCCTTTGTACATGGAGTGTGTTGTTTTTCCATGGTGCTGTCACTCTGTCGTCTTGCTTTGGTGTGGTTGGGATCGTAAATTGTGGGTACAGTAATTATTGCATGTTGCATGAAGATCTACTTCCGTCTAGTACGATACCAAGGTACATGTACAATAAACCAAGAATAAATCATCGACGACAAAAGTACAACTCGACCATGAAACTCATGGTTCCGAACAAAGAAGGTCGTGAGCGGGGTCGTCTGAGGGTGATGATAAGCAGTCAAATAATGAAGATCGCTTGTCCCTGCCCCTCCGTTGTATCTCATCTCCAGAAACCAAAAGGCCATGTAAATCCAATACAGGCAGAGCTGACCACGCTGGAAGCTGGCCATCTGGAAGCCGCAAAAGCATTGTTTCCGGCGAGAAAGATACATTACTGTCGGGAAGCTGCATGAGGGGAAGACTGAACAAAGATTTCTTTTTGTTGTACATATCCCGCGGCATATTTTTCACGTGAGAACCGACTTCAAGATGGTTCGTCGAGAGCGAGGTGAATTCGGCGTAGTTAGGGTATAGCATCACATAGCCACGAAGATAGACGAGCTCGATGAAGTACTTTTTCCAAGAATGCGTCCATTTGTTCGACCGCACGTCTGGAACGATGCTATCCTTCAGAGAGAATGGAAAGACGGGGGGCTGTGACAGTCGGGCGGACAGGTAGGCATGAAATTGGCGCCAGTGTTCAGGGAAGTAGAGTGCGCCCCAACTGCAAGGGATTTGCGAGAGATAAGGAGTGCTAGAGTGTGAGATTCCAGACGAAGTAAATAATTGGCGCGCGTTGAATGGTCGACGGCCTTCGGGTCTTAGTTCGACACTCTTTTGTTGATACAAGCTGATTCCAAACAGGAAGGGTACTTTGTTGGTCTCCTGTCCATAGCTGAGAAAGAACATTAATTTGAGCAACATGTGAACAGAAAAAAATCGAACCAGTAGCGAAGAAGTGACATCTTCAACCAAGCATAGAACAGAGGCGATACCTCTACGTCATCTTCGAGCAAAAGGCCATACGTATCGTTTGACAGAGGATACCAAGACTCCACGACAGCTGGAAGCAGACCACCACGGACAACCCGATGATGCAGAAAAACGGCGCCATGGTTCCACTGAATGTTTTGGACAAGCTGAAGTGTCCTCTTGTCGGCAGTCTGCTCTGCATTGACGCGCAAGGTTAGTTTGTCGCCGAAATAACGAGCTCTGCTCAGCGAGGTCAACAAGCGAGACAGCGAGTCAGGCCTATCGTTTGTGATGATACTGATGTCAATTTTTGGAGTATGCCAGTCTTCACGGGAACCAAGAGGCTGTCAACCTAACCTAGACAGTGATCCGAAGGGGGTATAGACGCACTTTTCCATTCCTGAATAGTGAGCGTGCCCATCCAGTCACAATAGAGAAGGTCCAGTCGAGGAATCTGGATAAGTTTAATTTCAGTGTTCTCGCGTCCGAAATTTTGAGATAGATGATCGGTGAAAGAATCTTGCTCAGCTAGCGCTATTAGCACGTCAGGTGAGTTGTGTAGATTCTTAAGCCAGGATGTAAGTTTGAGGGCAATCGATACGTCTCTCGGTCGCTGTATCTGGTAATACAAGTTACAATCGCCGTTGACAAGAGTTTTATCATCCAAGATATTGTCCATGCCATGATTTTTATCGGCACCCGATTGGCGTTCTTGTGCTCCGTAGAGAAGAATGTGCAAACGATGTCCTTCAGATACAAGTCGACAAGCGGGCGAAGAGAAGGCCTGTAGATCATCTAGAGTTGGGAGCAGGAGACCAAACGTCCCGCGAGATGTTGTTGTCGTATCGTTTTCAAGCAATTGCTGGCGCAGAAGGTTTTCGTCAAGTACGTTCTGTTTCACAGGGACAGGAGGCGATTCGTCCTGTATCGGCTGAGAGTCTTGACACCAGGTATCGATCACCAGAGGATCTTCAGAAGCTAATACGACAGCTCCCACCATGTCCTGTCGGCGAAGCAAATGTTCACCGAACCCACGCCAATCTTGGAGTTGGGGACGGTGATGCCCTTCGTCTGGAAGCAAGAGCTTGGAGGGGAAGACGAATGGAGGCACAAGGAAAGACGCTGTCTGTGGATTATGGGACGGGACTAGACAAATAGACTGGGGGGAGCCATATCCTCTGATCCCGAAGGGAAATGACACGTTGAGAGGATTCAGTATCTTCCTACGAGCACCGCTGTCAGCTACCTCCATCCACTCGAAGTCGTCCATGATCAAGATAAACTCGCTTGTCGCCTGCGAGGTCGCCCGAGCAAGTACCTCGATTTCACCAACTCCCCGTTGCCAAGGTTGTAGAATGACTTCGACCCGAGAGTCCCCCAGAGTTACAGATACGACATCGTGCAGGATCCGACGAACGACTGAGAATATCCCCTCTGGGCATACGACGATAATCTCGCTGAGATGAACGGATCCTTTGTGAAGGGCCAGGAGTTTAGATTCCAGGTCAGGTATGGCACTAGCAGTTACAGGAAGCACTACAGTCAAGGAGCTGTGCTGGATAGGCCCGGCGGGATGCAATTCTTCCAAGAAGGACGGCACTGTAGCAAGATTAGGGTTGCTAGTTGGCGGAGGTTTCATAGCTGAATCGAGATATACGGGATGCGAGCAACCGGGGAGATCGCATGACAAGGTCACGGCGGTAGAGGGGCTCAGGAAGGAGAAGCCCCAAGTGTAGAGCTTGTAGAGAACTACGAGATAGAAAACACAGACTGACGGTAGAATAACAGATTTGGCGAAAGAATAGACAACGCGTGAAGCAGCCTGCTTCCTGTTATACCTCAGCCCTGCCTTGCGCGTCGCAGAGTGAGACATGGTGGCTACCGAGGGCTGTGGTTAGAAGGCAGAAAGGTTTTAGTGGATTCAACGAACAGTCGCAACCAACGCGTCTGAGAATACCTCCACGTGACCGCGGTTTCTACTTTCACTGGATTCCAAGTAGTATCAGAGGAGCTCGCAAGTGCAATATTGAGTACGCAAAGTATTCAAAGGCACGCCGAATAGCAATCAACCTTCTTACGCGTCAACGTTAATTTCCAGTGCAGTGAGAGTATCACCGGCGCGAGATTTCTTCCATGAGATCTAAGACATCATGCATCATGCCGTATCCATTGCAATCAACTCCAAGTCGTCAAAATTTACCGCTGGCTGTTCAGCTTCCAACATGGCCGAAAGAAGTGTGTCGATATCGGGAGTAACAACGAATCGCCGACTGACCTCTCCAAGCACGTTAATGTTTTTCTTCGCTGGGTCAATGTGCACGGCTTGCTGGAGGAACGAAGGCTGCGTTGCGGCCGAAACCTACGGTAACATAATAATAAAAAACGCATATAACTGTGAGCACGGAAACACGCACATCCATAACGATGCCGTCCGCTAAACGCATCTTGACTGCTCCGCTGCGATGAATCTCCAGCTGGCCTATCACGCCGTCTACAGGTACGGGTCCCTGCTCCGCTTCCGCATTTTCTGTGGCCGCAGGTTTAACGTCCTCAGCAAATGTCACTTTCTTAGCATCGCCTTCGGGAGCTTTTTGTTTTTCTGCGCGTACCGGCGCATTTTTAGAAAGAAATGTCGGGAATGGTGTTGGAAATTGGAAGAAGTAAAGACGTTCGTGTCGCGTGTCAGGATCCTATGGGAGCAAGTGAGAATATGCTAGAAAGAAAATCAATAAGGCGCACATCGAATTCATCATGTTTGGTTGTGAAATCATCAATGAGATCCTCCATCTCTTCCTCATCTTCGCTCTCACTCAGGTCAATGGCGTTTGCAAGATTGACATCTCCAGCAGCCTCGGTTAAGGGAGTTCCGTCTTCTACCTCCATCGCATTTTCCTTGTCTGCAATTGTACAGCCACCGGAAATGAGCTTTGGGAACATATAAGCGGGCAGAATAACAATACACACCTTTGCCTTTGTTCAGATCGAGCTTGACATCGACGTCCTCTCGTTTAACCTTATCTGTCTTCTTCGTTTTCCGCCTCTCTCTCTCCTTTCTCAGACTCTCAGGCGCCATCCAATCCATGGTTCGCACATTCTCCATATCCACGATCTCTACACCTTCGTCGGGGTCGGAATATACTTCAACATCATCGTCGTCCTCTGTCTTCACGGTGTTGTCTTCCCTGGCCTTCTCCTTCTTGAGAGCTGGGGCAGCAGAACGCGTGAGTCCTGCACCTAGCGCCGAAGTGCCGCCTGGTCCGAGGGGAACGATGGGAGTGAATGCAGCACGGGGAGCAGTGCGTCGCGCCGATGTGCCCGCGAGCGCTGGACCCATAGCAAACGGGCCGCTAGCCGTCATTTCTTGTATGGGACGCGGAGGAGCCGCCCCGCGCCCAGCTCCTCTTCCACCTTCTCCCCTTCCTCGTCCTCTTCCGCGCCCTCTTCCACGATCAAGTGTAGAAGCAGGTGCAGCGGCCATAGGTTCCTAGTCAACGACACGCCCCACCCAACGTATATGAGTCCTGCGCTGCATGCAAGCGCCGGATGCACACGCACCTGTTTCACTTCACTGGTTTCTGCCTCAGCGATCGAGTGCAAGAGGGCGGCCAGCGAAGACGTACTCTTTCTTGCGTCTGACGGGCAGTGTGGGCACGAACTTCATTTTTTGTGTCCCTGCGCGCGTTGTGTCGGTGGGTTTCTTCGCTAGGCTGGCGACGCCTTTGGGAGGCCCAGATGAGCCCGATGCATTCATGTTTCCTTCAGACATGATCGCTAGCTTAGGCGTGAATACAGATCTCCCGTTTCTGGATTCGTGTGAGACTACGAAGCGTTGAGTACGATGAGAGAGAAGAGAAACGCAGGCGCTGTTGATTCAGTGCCCAAGGATGAGGCAGAAAAGGGAATGCTTGCAAACACGTGCAACCTCGGGCAACCTTTTTCGTCGCAGAACGCTCAACGCTCAAAGGAGGTAGAAATCAACGATCTACAAAACCCTCAAAAGCTCCAACATGTCCGAACCAGAGCACTTTCGCACCACTTACAACGATGTTCATAATCTCATCAAGAACGCTGCGCCCAAGATCGCAGAGTTCAAGCCTGATTTGTTCATCGCCATCGGTACATCGAGCCCTTTCCCTCCTCTTTCGATACTCATCTTCACTTCCAGGTGGAGGGTCAGTGAACGCGATCCGCTGTGTGTGAGACTCATAGTTTGATTTCCCATACAGAGGATTTTTCCCTGCACGCGTCTTGGTGAGCATCAACCCATCTGTGATCTCAGTTTTGCATCCCACTAATATGCCCCCTTTCCTGTTCATGGTAGCGTACGTTCTTGAAAAACCCTGATACTCAGAGAAACATTCCGATCTATGCCATCGGGCTTTCGCTTTACGAATCGCTGCCCGGAACTACCGCGGAGCAGATCGGCAACGAAGTCATCAGGACGCAATGGCTGTGAGTCTGTTGCCCGTCCGTCAATAGATACTCTCCGAAGTTTACGACTAAATTTACGCTGTGCAGCGGCCCAGAGTCAGGCAGGGTTTTGCTTGGTCGGCGCGCGTTGATCATCGTAAGTGCTTAGATACTCATCTTGATACCGTAATGCTGATGAACCCTGGCATCGATGTAGGACGAGATCGATGACTCTCGCAAGACTCTCCAGTGGGTTGCCTTCTCGCCTGGACGGCTGCGTCGATTATATCGCGTTCAACGCTCATAATCAACCTTCCGGCTCAGGTACGCAATTGAAGAGCTGAAAAAGGATGTTGAGCGCGAACTACTCACCCTGCCCGAGCCCGAACGTGAAGCCGCGCGCACCCAATTCGCAGTCTTCGTAGTCCACAACAAGCTCAAGCCCAAGCTCGGCGCGATTCCTGACGACGTGCCGTGCGTTCTCGTCTCCCTTCCCCTGTTCCCATCCACACGTCCACCGTCTTTTGCGTGTATGCTTTGTCACACCACGATTAACCCACTTTTCCACGATGACAGATACTACGCCGGCGACGAGGTGGATGACCTATGGTAAGCTTTGTGATTGTATGATCATGTGAAGATATCACTTTATCTGATTACCGACTTTTAGGCTCGATTATCCATGGGAGGCCAGGTAAGCCCTTCCGTTCTCAAGCCCGCGCAGCTTGGCATGAACTCACAATGCTCTAGCGACATCGAGGAACACGATAAGCTTGCCAAGGCGCAAAAGCAGTGACCCACATAGATCGAGAGGGAGGACGCGAACAAGAAGATATACTGAAGTGCTGCATACAAGTGTGATAATGATAGAGCTTTAAAAATGTGGGAGTAGCATTGCCGAAATACCCTGTTGGATCTCAGACATTGGAAATGAGGTTTTCCGCAACCGAAAGGGACACTGTTCGTGGGGCACGATACACTATAAATATGCCTACATGCCTACACCGTGAAAATCAGGTCGTTCAACGTTCCGTCGGCCTCGCTGCACAGACACCTATCACTAAGCCTCTCCATAGCTCCACCATCTCAAACGCCAACGACTAGCTCGGAACTCGAGTCAGGATCAAATCAGCTACGCCCTGCTGCGCCGGCCTGCAAACGTTCGTCTCCGATTTGACCATTGGGATATCGGTGCTCGCGTCGGAAAGCTCAAAGGGCGGCCCACTGTCTGCCGTTTCAAGCAGTGTAGTCCAGCGCTCAGCAAGAGCTGAGTGCATAAATCAAGGAGAAAACCCAAGAAAGTGCCCTGAAGGCCCCCGGAGAGCGCGCGCATCGCCGCGACCAAGTCAAAGTCGCCGTCGTTTTCGTCCACCGCGTCCACCCGTCGCCCACATTCTTCCCTCTCCCCCACTCAGTCCGCCCCACGACCTCTTCCTATACTCGCTAAATCCTCCCGCAAAAAAGCGTTAATCATGACTGAAGAGGTTGATTACGAGGCTCTCTCGCCCAACGCCGGTCTAGGTGTACGTTCTACGTTCTGGACTCTCACCGGTCGAGCGTTTCTTTGACACATGTTATGCCTTAGGTCAACATGGTGGCTGGTGCTCTCGTGCGTTATCTTTCACCCATCATCTGCTCGGAGTGTGTTTCTACACTGTCTGCGTTCGACGGAACGGTTCATATATGACATTTCTTCGTGGTCTGCAAAGCAAAATGGTAGAGTGATTCTAGGAGCTGACGCACATGTACTCTTCAGGCTGGGATCACAGAGCACTCGGTCATGTTTCCTGTGGATAGCATCAAGGTGAGTCCCCATGTTTCTCTTGCATAGCTTTAGTATCTCATTTGCGCTGTGATCTGTGTGACTAGACGCGCATGCAAGTTTTTGCTGCATCACCCGCCGCAGTGTACACGGGTATCGGGAATGCTTTCAGTCGTATATCATCGACAGAAGGCGTGCGCGCGCTGTGGCGAGGTGTGTCCTCAGTTATCTTGGGCGCGGGGCCTGCACACGCAGTCCATTTTGGGATGTACGAGGCTGTGAAGGATTTCACGGGTGGGAACCGAGAGGACAACCCAAATCAATGGCTTTCAACATGTATGTTCTCAATCTTGTCTCAGCACACCCCATGAGAGAGACACACGGTCCGAGTAGCTGACATTGCGATTCAGCTCTCGCAGGTGCTTCGGCAACCATTGCAAGCGACGCTTTGATGAACCCCTTCGATGGTTTGTGAAGCTAACTCATACAAGCCAAAATTTATCTGAATGGTTTCACACCGGTAGTTATTAAACAACGAATGCAAGTTCACCAGTCAGAGTTTCGTTCTATGTTCACCTGCGCCTCGACAGTCTTTCGTAATGAAGGCCTCTCGGCCTTCTACGTCTCATACCCCACAACTCTCACCATGACCGTCCCTTTCACCGCTGCGCAGTTCACAGTCTACGAGCAAGTGAAGCAGATGATGAACCCCTCGGGTGAATACTCCCCCGGGTCACATATTGTCGCAGGCGGTATTGCTGGCGCAGTCGCGGCGGGTTTGACGACACCACTCGATGTCGCTAAGACATTGTTGCAGACGAGAGGAACGTCCACGGACGCGGAAATCCGGCATTGTAAGGGCATGATGGATGCATTCAGGATCATATGGCAGAGGGATGGCGTACGAGGTTTTGGGCGAGGGCTGACGCCCCGAGTGGTGACGCATATGCCGAGTAACGCGTTATGCTGGTTGTCGTATGAATTTTTCAGTGCGTATCCATTCGTGATCATTGTGATCCATCTGTTCATGATTCCTTTGTCCCCGCATACACCTTACAGAATCGATCATACGTGACTGATCACTCATTCGAAACGTCGAGTGCACGCCCGTCATGACTTTCGGAAAATGTGGACTACCAGGGTCGCTCTTGTCGGCGTGCCCTCTTTCTGCGCTATCTCGTCGATTTATCTATTGGCTTTCTTTGGCATGTTACAGGACCTATGTTTAATTGATGCCGTCCTGCGGTATCCCTATAGATGCCCGTGATGAGTATGACATCCTACAGTCATGAGAAAAACGGAGTGGCGGATCTTTCGGCAGTTCCAACGCTACGGTCGCCTCACTCAGATACTCCACCGAAGTGGAGAAGATGCTGAGCAATCATACTATCTGAAAAATCTTTGGAGAGCTTTGGAGCGCACGCCCATCGACACCACCAGATGTGTTCATGAAGATTCCCCACATCCATCATGAAATTTGTGTTTCCAATTTTTGTGCAATAGAACTCAAACAGCCTTCGATGAGTTCGAGACGTCGTCAGGACGAGAAGACTGTGTGTATTAGGCAGGCGATTATCGTACTTTCGGTGTGGTGGCTCAAGCGCTCATGATGTATCTGCATCCAGACGCAGCAGCGCTCCTGTTTTCAAGCAGTCGTCCTACCTCTTTTCCGGGATCGCTCTCCCTGCTCTCCCTCGTGTCCGTTAGCACTCTTTTCCTTCCTCTGCGCCACAACCTTTTGCACCACAGTCTGCCAGATAACGTCGTTCACTTCTTTGGCACGGTCGAGCTGCCCACGAAGACGTAAAACCTCGTCCTCGAGCTCTGCCACGCGAGATTGTAACGATACAGTAGGCGCGTCATCGGATACTGGTTGCACAAAGACAGCATAATCACGGAGGAGTTCCTCGGAAGAATATGTAGTCACTGATTCCAGCGTTGGCTGAGTATAGATGTCAGCTTTCATCAGCCATCCTAGAACAAAGGTGATGACAGACCTTATTCTGGACAGGCAGGAGCATCGTGACCTCGTGTGCCTCTCTTGCTTTCGCTTCGCGCATCCGTTGGAAGGGCATGACAGGTCGAACGGGCATTTCGCCGCCCTTCTCACCACCAACGCTCAGGCTCAGGCTGACGTGCCCCACCAAGTCTGGCGGTTTGATCATCGTGTCCAAGTATGTGATACCGAAGCCGCCGTGTGTCGTGATACTGCGGAGGAGCTGGCGGGAAGGAATGTCGTAGATATTGATGAGGCCCGTTGAGGTGCCGACCAGGAGCAAAGACGTCGTGAGTGAGATCTTGAGAGTTGTCACCGGTTCTCTATCAAAGGACTTCATTTTAGACGACGTGGGTTGAGGCAAAGAGGTATGATGAGGTACCCAATACTGATCAAACGCTTTTTAGCCTCTCGAGGATCTTGATCTCCAATTCTAATGATATCGCTGACTCCAGCCCCACCGACCGCCTCTGTGATTCTTCCGCCTGTCTTGTCTTCGCGCACGCTGAACAAGTTGACTTGGTGTATCGAACCATCCGTAGATGCTGCGAAAAATAGCCGTTCGGTGACGTCCCACGCAATGCATGCGATGGCATGAGGGAAATGGAACGTGGTGAGGAGCGTCTTTGACGACAAGTCCCAAAGCTAGCGCGACATGCCATTAGGGCACTGCGAGTACCGCAAGATGAACAAACAACGAACCTTGACGGAATGGTCCACTGATGCTGTGAGGAGACGGCACGACGGGAAGCTGCCGACACCGCAAACAATATCGGTAATGGGTAGTGTATGGTCGGAAAGTTGAGTGTATGACGTTGGCAGTTCGCTTTGAAGGTCATCGTCAACTAGTCTGGCATCAAGTTTGAGTTTCATACCGATACGGTGATAGGTTGGATTGACCTCGACACTGACCAAACGCTCACGCCGGAGTCCTCACTGCCCGAAAACAACGCGGTGCCGTCATGTGAAAAGCGGAGGACAGATATCTGCCGATAGTGAGCTTCCCATGAATTAAAAAGAATTCCGGAGGCGATCTACTGAGGGTATACGGGGGAGATGTAAGCATGGTATGTATGGAGACGATGAAAACATGAACGAGCCTCCCATAGATAGATCCGACCCTGTGCGGTGCCTCCAGCGCAGAACGTCCCTTGATTATCGACTGAGATACATGACAAGCGTTCTGGAAGTACGATTTTGAGGGCTATTTGATCCTATTTAACAAACGCGGTATATGAGAATCTTCCGGCACGAAAAAAGGCAAGAACCATACTTTTTGAAAGCTATACATGTTCAGGATCGTTTTGTCTGGCTGAGCTGCGAGTATGAATCCGCCTTGACCATCTCTTGTGTTGACTACTGCGGTGCAGTGAGACGCAGAGCTTGTTTGTTTAAAGGAGGCGAGAGAACTGCCCGTCTGAATATCGTGAAAAGTGACGGCCCCGGATCCCGCTGTGCTCGTCGATGACGCAGATCCACAGATAATGACTTCTTGAAGCTGCATGATGCGCCAAAGGGAAATCGAGAGGAACTGTAGCTTTAGCCTTGAAGGCAGTTGTTTGCTGAGTGCGGTGAGAAGATTGGGACAACGACAAAATCTCCGATGTATGTGGCTACTCCGAGTGCTGTTTCCTTTCACGGCAACTCAAGCGAATTTATCCACAAAGTTATAAGTATGTAGAGTACAAAATATACACGAAGTGGAGATCTACACCACTGTCTAAATAGATGTTGCCACGTTCTTAAAAAGGCAGGAAACGAGGGAAGCTATTATACCTCATTAATACAAAGTGATGGGAAAAGCATAAAGGCCTTGACCTTGCGCGATCAAGTAACACATTCAGAGTTGGAAGCATCAGACACTCCCAAACCTTGGACAAAGTCATACCAAATCTGCACCTGGCTTTGTTCGCCCTGCAGCGGAACGCCGCCGGCCCCTATGAATCCAGGCTGTCCACCCGCGGAAGGGTGCATACGCACGCCCTCCATTTGCGTATGTTGGTGGTCAGACGCATATGCATATGTCTGTGGCGCGTACTGTGGCTGCTGCGTCTGAGGCACGGAGGGCATTTCATACGACAGATAGCCTTGACCGGATGTCATGGGCACGTATACGCTCTGATCCATCACAGGTCCTTGATTGACAATGGATGTCTCCTGCGACATGGATGGAAGCGAATGCGGTGGTATGGGTGGTGGCGCATAGCTAGCTTCCAACGCCCCCTCTTGAACCTGAGGATCGCGGGCAAATGATGTCATGTCGTAGCTTTGTCGTCCTGTTGCTTGACCCATCGACATCAATTGAACCTGCTGCTGCTGCCCAGTATCCACGGAGTCATAATATCCGGCCCATGATGTATAGCCATTCCCGAGATTAGCATTTACGTAGTCTCTGCTAACCGTTTGTTGCATAGGTGCAGGCACGCGTGCCGGCGGAGGAATTGGTGGGTGGTGGATGTGATCCATGGTAGGCACATCCCGGGGGCCATTATGGACTGCATTGGACAAATTAGGCTGGCTTGCAGGCGATGCCGCAGAGCTTGAGTTTGGACTGGTGGAGGGCGATCGATTAATGACGCTCTTCCTCCCTTTCAGCACCTCGAGTTCATCTGGTTGATCTGAGGTACCCTGAGTGCGCGCCGACGGTGTTGGGTCGCCGAGACGAAGCTTCGCGTGATATTCGTTGAAAACTCGGTGAGCGCGTTCTTGAAGTTTATCAAGCGTAGCCTGGAGAAACCATCTTCATCAAAAACTATGATAAATCGAAACAAACAATGCACGTACCAGAGTAAGTGGCGGACGGCACAATTTTGATCCCTCATCGTAGAACGTGCGCGCAGAATCTATATCCGTCAATGCGCTCTGAGCAAGGGTGCATCCTGGGCTTTCAATGACAATCGCCCCTAGAACAACCTGATGTCACACATCAGCACGGCCAATAGAAGATGGGAAAATGGAGGCCACATACACATGCCGAGAAAACGCCTGACCAAAAGAACCATACACGACCAGTCATCTTCGGATACGCTGTATAGCAACTGCGCAGAGCAGAGATCAGGCGACAAGAACTACGGTAGGCAGCCATGACTGATGCAGAGAAACGGTGACCAAGTGGGTCTTTCGGCAATTCACGCATGGCTTGCGCAAGATAGCTTCGGTGAATGTACAGTAGATCTTCATGAGGGTGATGAATAATAGAAGAAGAGATAGAGTAGATAGTTTGTGGCTCACTTGACTCCCTCTCACATAAGATGCAAAACTGTTGCATTGCACGTGATGGATCTGCATTCCATCCACGACCAGGCTCGGCACTTTCGCTCGGAGACTGGAGATGAGGTGGTACTGGAAACGTCCGAATGCGCTTGTCAAGCTCGAGCAGGGATGCATAATTTGATCCATGTATGGCAAAGGCACGCTGAACAGATGCAGACAGTATCACAGCGCCGTAGCGAGCCTTCCAGCTATGCACTAAAAGGACCATGCAAAAATAAGTCATTCAAGGACTCAGATCACTTGTTGTAAAGCGCCTAATCGAACATGCTTACAACTCATTTCCACTTCGCCGTTGGGCTTAACATAGGGATCGATATCATCGGGGAAGCGACAGTCGGTGTGGCCCAGATTAAGCGCCGGCGGTCGGCCACTAACAACGCTCTGCAGCGGAGGTCAGTAAGAACTGTGGGCCTTCGCTTGTATTTATACTCACAGACCATGCATCCCAGTGATAAAGCTCCCAGAACATGACCCGCCGTCTCTGAACTTCTTCCTTGTCAAGGTTCCAGCCTGAGCTGTCGCGCTCTGCGAAGAATGAGTATCTGATTCAACGCGAATAGGCAATCACGTACGAAGGCCAATCTGTCAACAGACCATACGTTCAATATAAATGAGGAGTCATCCGGTGAACACACGCACAACGAGAGCTACCCTCGCGGCCAGACCAGATAACAGCCACCTCATCTCGTTGTTTGAACGGTCAGTCAGGTAGACGAAAAAGCACATGGAGAACATAGCCTGGACAGATGCCGTTGTCGCCTCCTGAGAGATCGAATCCAGCGAATATGCAGCATATGCGAGAGCACTATACTGTTCGGCCATGATCGAGGCAGACGGATGGTCATCATAGAATATGCCTGTCGCGAGTACCATGAAAAACAGAGAGATCCGGTGGGAATGCACGGAAGCGAGAGAAATATCGTTGTTCCCCACGCCGTATATTGGGTCCAGGATGGTGCGCTTTAAGTCAGCCCTGGGCACGACATTGTACCTAGAGAACCGAGGGCAAGTTGATTCATCAAGGTCGGGTTCAATGGGTGAAGACGCACATCCATGCAGCGTGGGTGTAGTACAGCTCGGCGACCTGCTCTGCCCGTTCCCTTGGCGGTATAAAGTTTGTAAACTCGTATTTGGTATAAGGGCATTCGCGAAGGCCGAATGGAAAGGAGTGGACGAGCTCGAGGATCTCATACGGCAAACCCAGATATTTGGGGTCCCGAATTTTCCTTGTGGGTTGATCATAATCCTGCTTGAATTTTAGGTGTTTTGGGGGTTATCATGTCAATGTCCAGCTCGACTTACTGAGATCAAATTTTGCAAGTACTGAGCCCGGATTAGTTAGCTTCATCTGCCCTGCGACATGAGATGAACATACCTCCGAACCCGCTGTTTCGCCATAATACCGTGCTCTCCCATCCAAGCCGATAGAGAGGGAACCAATATCCACTGTAACATTCTCAAGGTCTGATTCAAATTTTGATTCCAGATCACTGATTTCTTTGAACGGATCCTGGCCTCCTGCATCCCGCAAGAGTGGATGAGGCGCTGAATTGTCCGCTTGAGCTTCAGACAGTGCCTGCTCCAATACTTTGATCCGCGCCGTCATCGTCTTCACTTGTTCCGTGAGCTGCTGGGCATGAGCCATCAGGACTCTTTTGCCGAAGTCAGAATGAGCCAGATATACGGAGACATGTAATGGCTCACTTATTGCCTTTCGTAGCTGCCAGAGTGCCTGAAGATATGGTCAAGAAAAGAGGTATGTCTAGAGAAGGAAATGGACTGACCATCCGGACAGATTGCGGCGCATCCTCTTCGAATGCATGACTGGCAAGGGAAGGACCTAAAGTCATGAAACAATTTTTGTCAGTGACACGGTGTTTCATCTTGTCAATGACTCCATGGAAGAGAACAAGGCGTAAGTGACAAATGACATACCTATCGCACTTTAACTTCGACCTAGTGACGAGCGTTTATGACGCAAGCAGAGATCAGTTTCCGAGTCGGAGGAACACCGATGAGATACTTTTGGAAGTGACGAACCTTCTGCATTCAGCGCATGACAAGCCAGACTTCCGGTCTCTAGATGCGGCGGAATAGTCGCTTTTGCGTGCATCCGGCATAGGAAGCCTAGCGGGATCGCCAAGAGTAGGGATGTTCATAGCGCGCTATGTTTCTGAATATGGTGACGGATTGCAAGGAGGTGCTCGAGCGATTGTAATACGCCTGAAATCCACACAGAATAATGAAGATAAACAACGGAAGTTTTAGAGGAAGGAAGAAGGATAGGGGTGGGAGCGTGCTCTATTTCGGGGAAAATGGCCCAATGTGAGGAAGAGCGGACGATATAAAACCGTGAGCAGAGCTGAGTTGGAGGTACCAACTACTCACAGAGAATACGCAGTGATACTCAGAAGCCTTTGAAGGACGTCAAGGCCCAAGGGGGCATCGCAAGGAGCTGAGCAAGAAGTTGAAACGTTAGCAGGAGCACGACGGGACAAATTCAATATGCCACCGATCACCTAGTCTCGAGATCCGTTCGCGGTCCGAAATTCCCTTTTTTGCGTCCGCCAGACCGGCCGCTGCGGACTTCGTCCAGTAGCAGTGCGGGGTCAACGGTTCCGATTGCAAAGTATATGGTGAAAGGACCTCAAAGAACCTGAAGGGGAGCATTGACCGATTTGTCCATTTGAGTAATAAAAATCATAAGGCTACACAATAACATTATTGGAACAAGCTACAACTGCCTCCGATCGACCAAAACGTATGTACGATGTCGAGATACATGTACCTGAGCTACTGTGAATTCCGTGTTTAAACAAAATATTGAGCTGCCATGTACCGCTCATCCAATAACGCATGAGCCTCCGAGCCTGCCTCTCTGCCCGACGAGCATACTATTGTGCATACTCCCCATCAATACCTCATTTCGCATCTTCAGATCATCCACCTCTTTCTCTATACTCGACCGCTTCAATCGTTCTTCCTGTCTGAGCGCTCCGAGCAGAGGCAGCATCCGCGCGACTTCTTCCCAAACATCACACTGCTCTTGGACCGTTTCCTCGTAAGCCTCGTCTAGAAGCATGTCGCTGTTCCACGTAAGACCGGACTCAAGAGCAGGCTCCCGACTTGCGAAGAGGCGGGAGAGGTATAGCGCAACGACAACAGTATCTTCCTCCCCGTCGATGGGTGAAACGCCGACGTTGAGGACCTCCAGTGATGGAAAGTGGATGTCTCCTGCAAATGGTATATAGCCAATCGCTGCATCGATGTAGACACCGAGCTTTCGCAGTTTTGGGAAGTGCTGCGCGAACCTGTTTAGCGAACTAATGCTGAGAGTCGGGACGTCTAGCTTAAATGGCTCCGGATTGATCTGAAGGGTCTCTAGAGAAGGGAGGAAAGTCCCAAGCTGAACGACATCGCTTTCGGACATAGGGATGGGGAAGTTGTTTCGAATTTCAAACGTAGCCAACTTCGTTAGGCCAAGGATGGGGCGGAAGTGGTCGAAGGTTATCTGTGGAAAGGTAGCCGGCTGGTCCCAGCGAGGAATCACAATATCCAGATACAAATGCTCCATGTTGGGATATGACTCGACCAGTGCGGATAAGAAGCCGTGAACAGTGGACGGATCCTCGAGTTGTACGGAGCCTACGAAGAGACATGTAAGTCTCGGAAGTCGAGCGCCATCCACCAGAAACCGCTGCGCATCTTTGAGGCTCATGCTCAAAGACAGATCCCAGAGAGCTGGGAAATATCCTTCCTTCACTTGAATTTTGAAGGACGGGGCGCGCTCCTTCCCATAGTAGTCACTAGCGCCACCCAAGGAATCAAACTCGATGGTCTCCAATTCTTGCAATTGAGCCAGTTCCTCGAATATCGCAGGTATGAGAAAGCGTCTGGGTAATGTGATTTTTTTCAACCTTGGGAATCCACGAAGTAAATTCGACATATCGGGTACAGGGACATGAAGTGGACATTGAAGGGTCAACGTCGTGAGCAATGGCATGCGTCCAGTTATATCCGACAGGTGAGTAGAGATGCTATATTCCTGTGTTGAGTGGATGCGAGCTTCGAAATATCGAATCTTTTCATGCATAAACAGAGTGTGATAGCGCTGGACAGAGGGAGTCTTGACGAGCCAAATCAACGAGTTCAGGTTGGGAAGGATGTGAAGCGATGTACGAGTGCGAGCAATGTCGTCAAATACCGATTGGTCTAATTGAATGGACTTTAATCCATCATTAGCCGCATAATCGAGCCGCCGTACTCGACGTGCATAAGGGATAAATTTCGCCCAATCCGCCTGAGTAGGCGTCCTTGCGAAAATCTGTAACATGAAGCCTCAGCAGAGCTATGATAGATTAAAATCCCACGTACGTACGAAAGTCGTGGGGTGGACCGCAGTTTTCTGAAGGGGAGCGAGTAAGTGGAAGAGATGGGGCAGATTGTCGACTTCGCGCCATATGTTGTCGAGTGCAATACCTGTCCACTGTTTACAGACAAGACTGTTATTGATGTTGGATTGTCTATCTTGGAAGGTGAAGATTATGTCCAATAATTCTGGGATTGCAAGCACACGGTGAACAGCGGCTTCAAAGGGCATCGATTGGCTGGTTCTGGGTTCTGCGGTGGTTGCGTTGAAGATTGGAAACAAGGGTTGCGCTTGTAACAGGACGCTCACTAGCGATCAGAGGTCGGTTAGATTGTCAGAGGGGAGCGTTGATTCTGGCAGACATGAGACAAGGACAAGTGGCCACAGTGTGGTGGCTTATGAGAAAATAGAATACAATTTGAGCTTGAAGACGATCTCAGATATGTAGTACAAGTATCTACCATTATTTCAAAGCTCACGTACCGTAATCCACCAGCTTCAACTAGCGTCAGGGTTCAGAGATCGGCCCTCAAGATAGACACACACAAGAAGGCATTATAGAGTAGCAACTTGATACAAACTACATGCACATGCTCGACCCGTATCTTATGCGTAGCTCAATGTTCAGGACGCACTCGCAATCAGCAACAAGCCAATAACCCCCGACATAGACACCGTGCAATTACCCATGTGGAGCTCACACAGAAAGATCGGGAAGCAGTCAACATCGTGATGAAGGTGGACGACAATCATATATTCAAGTGAAGTATAACATGATCGAAGCCCCTGGCGTGGATCCGACAGGACAGGTCTACTTGAGGTATGCTGCAGGTACCTAGGACGTGGATTTGTTAATAAAAGGCTTGTGAAGGACAATGAATGACGATAGAGAAAAAAATCAGTCAAAACAGACGCGACCACCAAAGCAGTCCGCCCGAAGGTAGCTGAGATAAGTGTCTGCAACGTGGGGTTCGCTCCCACTAAAGCCAAATGCCTCAAACATCACGAGAGATGGAATGGAGGAACCGTTGACACTCACCTAAAATATCCTCTTCAGAAACAAATAGCCAGTAGATGGTGGGACACCAACATAAAAAAATGCTGTGAGCCTTATATAGCAGCCTTGCTGGCCTAACACCGACAAACACCGACCCAGCTCACGCCACCCGCCGTTGCGAGCTTTAGCCGCTCGGCATGTCTACTCCTTACCACGATGCTGCAGCCTCGTCTAGTTCTTCATCGCAAGCCATGAACTCTCAGCAACAATCACAGCCTCAGTTTCAGCCAGGTCAATACGCGTATCCTCTTGTGGCAGGACAAGCTCCACAGATTCAGCATCAGTCTTCGAACGCGCAACAGGCCTTGCCACAGTCGCGCTTTACAGCAGAGCAGGCACGCAAGGATAGAACGCTCGCTGAATTCATGTTGATGCTAGATGATTATGAACCTCTGGTGAGTGAACTGCCACAGTTGAACAAGATGGATGATGCAAGGATTGCGCCTATGTTGAACGGAAGCCAACGGGAGCTAACATTTGTGTACTAGATACCGGATGAAGTGACTGATTATTATCTGCATCGCTCTGGGTTCGATTGTCAGGATGTCAGGCTGTATGTATTTGGAAATACCATCACTTGAATCGTCGACTCACCCCAGCGTGTGGGCCCCTGGCCTGCAGGAAACGGCTCCTGGCACTTGCCGCACAGAAGTTTGTGTCTGACATCGCTGCGGATGCGTATCAACATGCACGTATACGCACAAACGCAGCTGGCGGGCGCACACGCGCAAATCAGCCACCTGGGGCTGCAGCAAGGGTTCGTCTCAATCTCTTTCGCATCTTCTGTTGATAGCGCCATGCTGGCCGTCCAAATACCTCGAAACTGTATGACTGACTGAAATTTCATGGCGCTCCCAATACATTCAGGAGAAGGCTCGTACGACTTTGACCATGGAAGATTTGAGTGCTGCTCTTGCAGAGTATGGGATCAATTCGCGCAAGCCTGAGTTTTACATGTAGACATGTAATGTCCTGCGCCTTCTTTTGGACTTAATCGCTACTCTTCCGTGTGTACATAAGTCTCTTTGTTTCATTTCTGCAAGATGCTCTGTACAATGTCACTTGGAGGATCTGGCCCTACGCGGGCCTAAACAACAATCAACTTTTCAATCAGCATTTATGGCCAACAGTTGCTTATCAACAATGATATGTGATTTGAGTTATTGTAAGGCAAGGTAAGGCATAGACATAATAGATTCCAACTCGAGAACATAGAGATGGGTTTAGAAACGTCGCTTGATTACTACACGCATCGCTCCAACATGAACTATGCCTAGATCACCTTCTCTACCCCTTCAGGGAGTATATACCTACCTTGGCGGCGTACCTGCAAGAAAGCTGTGTCATGAAGACTGATCTTACATCGCACGCTAGCAGACCCTACTTACCTCGTCAAAAATCTTCATGGCCAAGATTGTCTTCTCGTGTCCCCATATATTGCTCTCGAGCTTTCCATCTCGCACGCAGCGAGCTACGTCATCGGCTTGGAAATGCCAACCCCCGCCTTCGAATGATACGCGCACCGTCTCCTCTCGCTGTACGATTCCACTGCCGGGATTGTCGAAATACTGGACAGTGTATGACTTTGGACAATAAATCGGCGCTGGAATTAATATGTTACCATTGTGAAATCGAATGATCGCCCCTGGGCTTATTGCTGGGAGATTGATGGAGCAGGACAATGAAGCCTGAGCTTGTATTGCAGGGAAGTCAAGAATAAAGGAAGACGTGCGGTCTACTCCTGTGATCGGTGTTTTGACAATCGACGCTGTGACGGTTGGTTGTTCGCGATTGTTAGCGGTCTGTTCAAATAGAGCAATAATAGCCTGCTAGGGGTGAGCTTATTGATATCAAAGTTAGCTGACAAAAGGGCATACCCAGACGAGAGGATATGGACCGCTAAGTGTAATGTCAAAAGTGTCTCTCGTCCACAATCTATAGAAGCCTACAGGTCTAGGAGAGCACCTCCGCCCAATTGTGGGTCCAAAATACGATGATGCGGTGATATATCTATAGAAGTTAATATATGAATAGCTCATCATGAATGATTCAGCGATCGATTAGAAGGACGAACTCTCAATGTCGAAATCTCCCGACAAATCTGCGTGCACCATGACTGGATTTCCCAAGGTGCCTTCTTCTATGATACGCCTCACAGATCGTGCAACTGGCTGAAAGCGTGTCCACATGGCCTCCATTAGAAAAACACCGTGTTCGCGAGCAAGGGAGAGCAGGGCCTTCAGTTCCGCAGAGTTCGTCGTCGCAGGTTTCTCTACAAGAACATGTTTGTTTGCTTTGATCGCGTCACAAGCGTTGACGTAGTGGTATGTGTGAGGTGTGCCTGTATACAAGCCGACGATTGAGCATGGGACACACAAATATGTCTAGAGGTCGTACCGACGTAGATTGCGTCCACATCCTAGGCATAACCATGTCAGATCAGATGAGAGCAAAATTCAAAGGCACACTTACTTTGTCTGCATATACATCTGCATAATTGCCGTATGCTTTGATGGTCTTATCACCTCCCGCAACATTGTCAATGAACCCTTGGGCACTCTCCGCTGAGCGCGACCCGACAGCGACCACCTTGTGGATAACATCATGCACATCTCGTCTACATAATGAACAACACGCGATAAATCAGACGGTATTAATCCATGAAGGCTGCGACTCACGTCTTCGGGTCAACCAGCATGTCCTGCGAGACAAATGTGGCCAAGTGTATCAAGTAAGACGCGTGAGTTGAAAGCTGCATCTTACCTTTACGAATGCGGTTGCAATGTTTCCTGTGGAGATTATTCCCCAGCGGAAAACAAGAGGTTGTTCTAAAACCATTGGGTTGAGGCCTTGAGGTGTACGGTGATGGTGGTAGATCGTGGAACTACAGCAAGAACATTTCAATTGAATGACGGTTTAGAGCCCGGCCCGCAGATACCGCCAATATGACATCATAGCATTTATCCAAAGGCTGCCCACCATTAGCTTCAATCAGAATCGCCTGAACGCTCTCTTTGCTATTGCCTTTCTGTCCTTCGGTACTTCAGTGCTTATGTGGTAAGGAACTAAGTAACGATGTGTCGATTAACATGGAGCGAAGTAGTGATGTGCATATATGACATACATAATGGCAAGATCGGGAACAGTCCTCTGACAAAAAGGTGCCAGAATTTCAAGTTGTGGAAACGCAAACCAAGACGCAAAAGCAATGTACGACTGGTAATTCAGCGTGGTTTGACAAGGCGAAAATGAGGCTGCCAGCTGACTTTCGTGACATGTTCAAGCGGAAGCAGGATAAGATCGTTGTGCTGTATGGTATGGGGAGACCACGTACAACAAAACTCTAGTAAGCTTGAGATTCACCTTATAGTCATACACGACTGGCGTTTGCAAATACGATGCCCTGGGAATGAGAGTGCCGTAAAACTAAAGCTGCTCTCTTCCGTCGAATTGCAGGATAATTGAAGCTCTGCATAAGATGACTCTCGCTATTTTCGAGGCTTGCGCACAGAACTGTAACTGTGAATGGAAAGATCGATCCAGTAGATTCGAAAGCACGAAACAGACATCGAAAAGAATCCATAGCTCACCCGCTCGCAAAAGAAACGATGGAAGGCAATCTGCTAGTGTGATATATAAATGATAAAATCCAAAGTGAACTGACCGCGCTGGATACGAAAATGCACAACGTACAGAATAATATGTGAAACAAGCATACTGAAGGGCGGAGAAGGCAAAACGTTGTACATCACCCCCACGTTTGTAACGATTGGTCCACGGCACTCCTCTCACGAAGCAGTGCAAGAAGCTGCCATGATGGCTCACTAGGTTCCCGGCGGTCACTCGTGAGAACTTCATCGTCTCGAGGATCATTATCACCAAGGGCAAGGCGCATAGCTGCACCAGAGCGGTTTGGCAGAACAGCGGGGGCTACGGTGAACAAAGTATCAAAAGCTGAAGTTGATAAACGACTGCCAGTAGAATGTGGAGCGGAGGGGTGAATGGAAGTGATAGCATGCGACGCAGTGCTGAGAGCAAGAGCTTGAGTGATGAGCTGTTTCAATTTCATCTAAAACAATGTCAGGAAAACATGAATACAAATAGCAGCTAATTGAAGTACCTCAAATGCAAGCGCCATTAATGACGAAACGTTCCTGGAGGGCGCACTGAGGTTGTGTTGCGCGCATATTAGGTTAATTCTGTCAGTGACATGTTGTAGCGTGAATCCTCTCGCGGATGAGGCAAGATGAAGAGCTGGTCGACTACCAGGTGGATCTGTACGGCAACATTCAATTGTCGACATTGTCATGAGTTCGCGAGCCCATCCAAAACTCACCGCCACGTTCTGGTAGTAATTGCACGCCGCGCTCACAGGCGATCTCATCACTCTCCAGTCGAGACTTTCGCTCATAAGTCAAAGCAACAGGTTCAAAGCTGCGGATGCGTTCACGCTCACGCTTTCCAACACCGACCGTCCAGCGTTTAAGCCGAGCAGAACGAAGCGTCGTAGGGTCGTCCGGACCTTGGTATGGCAACAAGCGTCGGCGTTTACGTGGTGGACCCTTCGGTGCGTCTGGCGGTGGAGTGAATGGCATGAGGGGGGCGGAGGGATCAAATATGGAGATGATGAGTGCATTGTGCAGTTGGACTACAGAACAATAAAAGGTAAGAAGGTCGTGAAAGGCTGCATGAAAGAGTTGGTAGGTTGGTACCGAGTTGCGATGTGTCTACACATTGTCTTATTTCCTCGTCGAATTCGGTTCTTGAAATTGTCGCGGATAAAAAAGCCTGCAAGGTTGACCAATACCTAGGTGCTTTAGAGCCAAGTCCAGCGCTGATTTTGGCTTTAATGGTTGCCGTTGATTCCAAGGACATCGTCGATTGAACACAAACCCATTGTAAGCTGCGCTGACGCCAGGCAACTGCGCCACAGCACGTGCCCAGTGGATGACAAGTGACGGCCTTGGCTTAGGCCCCTGCGGGCCTGCGCATCTCCTCCATGGCCTGAGTCGTCATGGATCGTCCAAGCACCTCGAAACCCAGAGGCCTCTGCCTTTACTTCAACACCCCTCGTGGCTGCTTTAGAGGCTCTCAATGCAAGTTCCTACATGGCGCGGACGAGAAGCTTACGCCTCATGACAAGCACAAGACATGCAAATGGTTCGCAGCTGGTTGGTTCAAGACCTCACAATCCTTTGAGATCAAGACCCCAATTAAATTCTCTTGCAGGATACTGCAAGCGGGGCGCTGATTGTTGGTTCAGACATGTACTGGCTCCGCCGTCCGAGGAGCCACTACCAGCGCTCTCAGAAGATACCTGTGGAATCTGCCTCGAGAAACCCGTCACGTTTGGTCTGTTGAGTGCGTGAATAACTACTTCTTTCAGTGAGTGGTTCACTTAACAGACTCATTACAGGCAATTGTAGCCATGTATTTTGTGTCGATGTGCGTGGCGATGTCTTCTCCAGCACCACAAACCCCTCACCCTCTACAGTGTATCCGTGGCTGGCGTCTTCGTGAGAACAAAAGCGAGGATATACGATTCTCACGGGTCAATAAAAAGTGCCCATACTGCCGCAGCGACTCCAAAATGATCGTCCCTTCGAGCCACTTCTATCCTGATGATCATCCAGGCAAAGCTGCCGTGATAAAGTCATATAAAGCCAGTATGGCTCTTGTTAAGTGCAAGTAGGTGCCTCGATTAAATCTTCTCATTGGTCCAATAACATGGTGGTGTATTGCAGGTATTTCGAGGAAAGTCCTGAGGAAGAAAAGTTCTGCCCATTCGGTCACGATTGTCTGTATAAACATGAGAATGCCGATGGCACGCCGCACGTATTTCCCCGCGGTGTTGACTTCTATATGACTGTGAGCCAATCTCCAAGCCTCGTACTGACTAGGTAGGCTCACGCCAATCCGATGGCTGTAGCGGTGGAAATCAAGAAGATCCGGGTCGTATCGTCAATCTGCTCATGATGATCACGATACCCTGTTCACCTTGGATCGACTCATGCGTTCTGGTGGTATGGACATATTCTTTAGTTATGAGAATGTCTATCTCGATGCCGAGAGGCCCTCAGTGTTAATTGAAAACGATGCTGAAGTGGGAGATTTTCGGCTTTTCGAAGCAGATACCAACACACCCGATGACAATGGGGAAGGAGCAGGCGAGCTCAGTCTGGTATGTTACCTTTAATCTGCTAACACGTCTCGTAGCTGCTCACGAGATCAAATTTTGGAACGATCCCAAACCCGTTTTAGACAGATCACGATTTAGATGAGCCTCGACATCTCTCAGACGCCACCGGAACCACTCTCGATGCACAGGCTCCCAATTTACCTTCTATGGTGCTAGCAGCAGATGATGGCTCTATCACGTTCACTTTCAATCGCTTTCGTCCCTACGACCTTCTATACCCCCCACGTCCCGCATCAGCCAGCGGCATGTCTTCAGCACCAGTACTGGGAGCTACGACCGATACTCCCGCTGCTGACGCCGAGGGTGCAGTCAATGAGGATCCATCCCTCGTGCCGAACACAGTGTCCCTGCCTGCCGATTTTGTGGCCGATGTTTTCGAAGATCATACCATATGGGATCTTCCGCGCACAATCTCTGATATCGACGGCACTGCAGAACGCAATGACGAAGTCCCTGATGATGCTCATCTGACACTGCACAAGGACGAAGGCGCTTCGGACCTGACTCCACCTGTGCCCCTTGATGACATAGCGCCTGACCATGGTGTCTCTGCGGGGGAGGATTCATCCATGATAGTTGCCGTTGCTCAGGAAGAAGCAACGGAGGGTGCTTTGCTCCACATAATTTCCACTCCGGAACGCTCGTCGGAGAGCGATCCTGATCCGTCACCGTTTCCAGAGGTTGAGCAAGATGCCGAACCCCCATTCATGACTGATGGCCGGGGAAGAGTTGTGTGGAGTCATGCAAATGCGAAACAGGGGGCGCCAACCACCACAGGTCGATCGAGACGACGAACGGAGGCTACGGATCGCATCGATGTCGGAGAGCGAGAGGTAGTACAAGGATCCAAGTGAAGATCACGAACCGCCGTTAGGAGGTGTCGTGGGATGTAAAGGTTCAATGTTCGAGGGTTAGGCATGGACGGCCTGGAACGTGTATATACGCATGGCTATGGTGTATTAGGTTGGCTCGTACAATTGTACAACATCATTGAAAAGAACGAGGTTTGCATGTCATCCAGCAGCTTCTTTTGATTTGATATATGGGATATGGCATCCAGTGAGGCTATTAACATGGCAAATGATCCGGTGACAACACTGATCAACTGAGACTGGTGAGCTGACCGCATCAGACGAATATGGTGATATGGGAAACAAGTCAAAACCCAGACCGTAGATTCTCAGCCGTCCGTCTCGAAAAAAAATGACGTCGGCTAAAGACAACCAGACATACCATTCTGCATCAACTTGTACACACGGGGGTATGAGCCCCTACTATGAGCCCCACATAACATAATATGGCCTAAAACATCAACTGAGTTCAGTTAGAAGACCCAAGGATGATGCGAGACACCTTGTGTCTTGCACACGGTGACTAATTTGCAAGACCCGTCTTTCGGGAGACCTCGACACTTATAGGGTAATCTTGACGACACTCTAACACTACTCAAACGAGCTCAAGCGTACCGATTTCAAACGAATGCCGATCAAATCAAGAAGTTCCTGAGAAATGATGGACGGTTCGGTTCGTTGGCTGCACACACATCCAGTGGCTTTTCAACAGCGGCGACTGTTGCAGTGTAGCCAGTACCAACCAATGGCGCGCGAGCGAATCGAGTAAGGCCGAGCGAACTATTCACCGTACATCCAAAGACCCATGGGATCAGTCGCGACATGAGGCAGAGATGACGCTCGCCAAATAACCCCATAATGACCTGTATTCAGAAAGTGCTGAGAGCTGCTGTAGAGCGCTAGAAGTCAGGTCGATCGAAAAGCGACACCACAAGCAGTGTTGATTTGCCCGTGGCAGGTGAGGCCCGGAATGCAAAAACGCCACCCCAAAGCTGTCTTTGAGTCCATTCAACGCGTGAAGTTCGAGGGTAGACACGGCCGCTGGAAAGTCACAGAGTGTCTTCGGTCGCAGGTCAGCCTGATTTAGCCCAGACACTCAACCGCCCCACGCGACCGGTTCGACCTCGGAGAACTTGTCAGGCACTCGGAGGTAAGTATCTCAAATGACTTAGCTGTTGGAACTTGGCTATTCGAGACCCAAATCCGGAAGGTCGCCAACCTTCATCAAGCGCCGGCTGACCGTCCTCATCGGGCAACTGATCAAGCGATGCGAGTTTCCTCAAGTAGTATCCGTCCTTGTCCGGAGACCAGCAAGACCTACCACGAAAGGAAAACGACACCGCTTAAGCACTTAAGCGCCGCATAGGGTGTGCGGCGGCGTAGTGGGCCAAGTCTGTGCAATGGAGGTTGGGGCTCTGGAGTCCAAGCGCCGACGCGCCAACACCTTTGAAGCGCCCTGAATAGATTATTTAGGAGAACTGCTTACCGTTACATATCGCTATAGAATGTTCCAAATTCGGGACATGGTAGCTGGATGTCGAGCAATACGGCATTTAGTTAGAAGGCCATGACCGACGAGGTCGGCTCAGTATACTTCGGGTAATCGGGACAGAGTAGGTGATCTATAAATTCAGTCAATAGAGTTGAATGACTGTCACTCGTGCGATACAGGTGGTCAAGAAAGGAGATATAGAATTGGACGTACATTTTTTATGAAGATTATATCTCGCCTTCAAGGCACAGGAAGGCCGACCAGTAATTGGTATGCGAACTAGGCGGTGCCAAGCTCGGAGTTCCTCTATTCGTGGAAGATAATCGCATCGCACAACAGGAAAGATGGCGAGATCATCCGCCATACACTGAATGAGCAACACACACGCCCACATGCATCCGCATACCCCTAATCAGTGCCCGCCCTTCACAAGATAACTGTTAACAGCAGTTGTGAGGGCGGGAGGAGCTTCCGTGCTGCGTAGCAAATACTTCAATGCAGAAGGTCAGAACAGGGTCCAAGGTACGCCAGCGACGAATGAAACCAATCCCTGGCTTAGGATCGTTGGCATGAAGGATTTCTAGACCCACAACGCGACCTCCTTGTATGCGCAGGATCAATCGCATCGGGAATGGGAGTATAATTAAAAGAAGGCCTCCGGCCTTGTCATCACGCATGAAACCTGTGCGTAAGCGGTGCAACCTGCTAAAATTCAACAAGTTCAGAACGAGGGGCCGTTGTAGTCGATTGCGTGCCGCTGCTAATTCTGTATCGGCGGAGGGAAACATTTCCACCTCCAGGATAAACGAGTTCGTGGATTGCCCCATGGATTGGTCGTATAGTTGACAAGTTCCTCTTTCGAGGACGCGATGATGCATGTGCTTTCCTAATTCCTGATATAGGTTAGATTTTTTTTCCGCATCACGACAGGCAGTGAAGACACACTCGTCTGAGAAACCCGCCCGCCGCCCCGGGTGAGGTACAAGGTTCAAGTACGATCGCAAAAATAAGTACCGAACTTGCCATAGGGTCATGAGCATCTGATAATAACTTGTCAAGCTGCGTCATCGATTCAACAGAGGAAAGGAGGGCCCTCACCCAACTACGTATCACACAAACACTAGTACCTGGAGCAACAGTAAATGGACCACAGGAGAGCCTGCGTCACACGCAGTCGGCATTACGAATTCTGTCGCGACTATCCATTTGCTGGTATGATCAGGACCTGAAAGGCGGCCCGTTTGAGGACTACGATGACCTATGGTGGGCCTTGTGGAGATAGCGCGTGCGGGGAGAGGATTTGAAAACTTCATTAGCCTCCGAGATGCGCTGAGCTCGCGGATCCGATAACGTAGGTCGGCCGCAGTCAATAGATTTCTCAACAGAAATACTGAGACACGTCGCTGCGCCGCATCCAGGGAGAAACAGTTGGAGGAGCAGCGGAGTAAGACTGGCGTTCAATGAGCTCCATCGGAAAGTGTCCTGGTGGCTCCTATCGCCCGCCGTAAGTTGGAGGCGTGTGCAAGCGCAGCATACGAAATCACTGGCTCCCATCTGTCATGTACCGGATATCTGCGGGAGCATCACGTCATGACATTGGGACCTTCGAAATCACTACATACCCAAAGCAAGATCGGCATCATCCATAAGTCGGGACGCGCCCGTTTCGCATCGCTGAGAGGAGCTGGCGCGCGCTGGATCAAAGTCAACGGCATGGTCTAGAGCCTCTCGCGAAACGGAGATGAGGGCGGCGCAAGGTGTGTCTGCGAAAGAGTACGTTAGCAAGCGTTCTGGATTGGGCAGAATGGAAGGCGGAGAGGAACCAGCTGTATAGTGCAGCGCTTACAGCAATATGGCCTGGTGCGTCCGGCTCGCACCTGCTCGCGGCACAAAAATACATGGAGGGAAGGGCCCGTAGGGCCCCAATTTCCACGGTATGTGTGTGCCCTAGCGTTTGTCCCTCTATGGACATATCACGGAGTGTTTCGGGCAGACGATGACCTACGTATATCTGATCAAACGAGGCTCTCAGCGATGGAGCGCCCGTGGGGTTGAGGCTGAGGGCGTAACGCATCGTAGCGCGCTCTCGTGGGACGACGGCAGGCGCTTGGTGCCAGGCACCGTACGGCGCAGCACGTGACTCGGACTCGTACTCACTGCCAAAGCAAACCACTCCTGTCCACTCCCAAACGAGCCGCACGGCCTCCCCGAAGAACATTCTACAGGACGCTATCTTCATCGCCCACCGAACCGCGCGCTTATACATCTGTATAGCGCGTGTCTGACATGTCTACACGCCATGACACGCGCACTGTGCGTGGGTTGGACAGATACCGAGATCGAAGACACTGCCCCAACAGCGCCAACTATGGAAGATCCGCGGCGCAAGCAGCTGAGATCTCGCGGGTGTCGGTTTGGAAAAGACGATTTGCTTCCGAGATGGATGGTCCGCCTAAACAGTCCAAGCCGTGAATTGCCGGCGGAGTCGAGAGGCGATCTCAGCCGATGTGATAAGATAACCAGGAAGGAACAAAGTCAGAGTTGCAGCCGTGTTACAGCTGTATGGCAGCCGCTGAGAACCAGCACTAAGCGCTTGGGCCATCCAGATTAACGGAGCCACAGCCCCTGAGAGTCGCACGCCGATGGGAGCGATAATGTTGCAGCACAGAGCTGTGGCTGTGTGAATTCGGGGAAACTTGCTGTACCTGCGTCGAGCAAGGAGCGCTGTCCTCGGACACTAGCTGTGCTCAGTGTTTCCACCGATATGGCACATAGCAAGTCATGCGCCGCGGCGGGCAAGTACGAATTCCCACTGAGATCGATTAGTCTGAACATGGCCGAGATGCCGCAGCCTCGCTGACCCTCGATGCTTCAAGCTTCAAGCTTTCAGGCCCCAGGCCAAGATTCAAGATAAAGTGGAGCTTCGGATTCATATGACCCAGGGAATACATTCGCTAGTTTCTGGGTATGCTACACTGCTTGTGCGGATTCGTGGTGCTAGATAGTTTCGAGTTAGCGCAAAGGGTGGAAAGCTTGAGGAGCTTGAGACATGATAGAAGAGTGAACAATAATCGAAACAGAGAACGCGAAGGGATTGTATGTTAGTAGTCAAGCAAGGCAAAGCAAGATCGGACGGAGGGGATATCAAAAAGAAAAACAAAGAATTTGCAGGATATCCGAGATGTCGTGAGTGTGCGAGATAAGCAAGATGAGAGAAGTAGGAAAGAAAGAGAACATGAATACTACTCGTCGGTCGGTCGGTCAAGGGCGTGGCCGTGGCCGGAGGAGCTGAAGCTGAGCTTGCCAGCTTCCCTTTGATACATGGTCCAGCCGCACGAGGACCAGATCATTGAGCTCAATAGCGCGAGAGCCGCCGACCTTCCATGCGACGTCGCCATCCTCTTCCATTGCACGGTCCTTGTGCTCCTTTAGTATCGCCGAGATCATTTAGTAACCGCGCCCACATCGGAGATAGCCGTGCTTACCTGAATGAAGCGAAGTACCGACTTGGCCACGTTCTTCGCCAATTTGGCGCGGGTGATGGGGCCAGGCGGGTTCCTGAAATCCCGCGTGGGGATTTGCCGACTCCACGGTGGGTAGCCGGGCCACTGAGTACCATCGACGTCAGCGCGTGACAGACAAACAATAATAAGAACATACATTAATCCGAACAGAAATAGAAGGGCCACGGTCGACAAACATCTGATCGTCACGTCCCACCAGGCGGGCGAAGCGGTTATGCATCGCATCGACGAGGGGTATACCCTCCTCCTCCGGTTTCAGCATGAAGAAAGGAATGGGTTCTTCAAGCTGAACCTCTTCGACGTAACGCCGCCTATCAGATGAGGTGTGAGGCTTGTACCGCTTCTGCGGTACCATTGGGCCACGGTGCCCGGAGGTCACGGGCACTGGGTTAGAGTAGGCGCGGTCCCGTGGGCGCTGCGCAGCATTGTGAGTCACATCAACATAGATGTGCTCGACGACATACCTCAGGCGTAGACCAAGCCGAGGACGGCACCATTGTAGGGTGTGCGGTCATCGGGGAAGACTGCAATGAGCTTTGAGGATAGGGACTATACATGGGGCCTGCCGGGGTAGGTGGCGAATGGAAAGAATGGCTTGGGGAGGGTGTGTAGCCGGGCGCTGAAGGTGAAATACGACCAGGCGTATTCTGCATGGGGGACTGAGATGGCAATAATCCACTCATGTACGGACTAGCGACGCTAGTATTAATGTTGATTTGGGGTACCGACAGAAGAGGAGTAGGTTTGGCCTCGTGAAATGGGAACGGGGGGTAATTGTCTTCAATGTTGCTCATGGCAGTGCCGGGACCATCGAATAATTCTTCGAGCAACGACGGACCAGACCATTGCTGTGGAGAACAAGAGTCATCAATGCCAGAGAGAGCAGTGGCGTAGGCAGTGACACGCACATGCTCGGGACCTATTTGGCCATACAGGCCAGTGTATGGGTCCTGTGGTGGATTATGGTGAGGAAGCGGAGCTTTGAGCAGGTGGCGAGCAGCCTACCTCTGGAGCTCCTGCGAAGAGCAAAGACTGCGAGGAGTCGGGCAGGGGTCCGGTATAGAAAGGCTGGGAGTCGTTCATGCCGTAGTGGTTGTGGGTGAAGGGGCCTGTGCGATCGTTGAGGTCTGCTGCGGAGAGACTATGGGGCTGCGGGTGAGAGAGGCCAAGAGGGAGAGAACGCGACGCGTACCCTTGGGTGGAGGACATCGCGTTTAAGAGGGGAAGAGGGGAGGGAGGAAGATGCAGTGAAGTGAGGCTGTTGATGTGTTTTATAAGCCCGGGGTCATGAGCTGAGGATAGATATTTTCTGCATCTGTCGCCGAAGGGTTGTTGCGCCCCCGATAGGAGGGAGCCAAGAACCGGGCCATTTGGGGATTTCAGAGACTTTTGAGCCGCGCGCTGCATGGCGTGTTCCGTCCCCGATGCGTTGGGCTGCCTATTGGCATTTGTTTTCGCCCCGTCAGCAAGGGCAACACGAGTTCGCCTTATTACGCAGTCGTCCTTCTTTAGGTGCAGGTCCTGCGCTCCATCGACCATCTCGGGTGACGGATGGTGCTGACCTTTACTACGAGCGCCCACAGATGGCGAGGCGATGCTCAGAAGATTCGAGGAGAAAAACGCGCGCACACCGGGCGTAAGATGCCATCGATGACAAGCGATAAGTGCAATGAGATGAACGAGAATAAGTGATGAGATGTGAACCTTCTGCCATAGGTAAGTTACATGTCCGTTGGACGGCGGAGACACAACTTCTCTCGGAACAGACAGCTGTACGCTTGCTGAGTCAGCCACGTGGCCGATAGACTGGTGTTCGCCCGGGGACTCTGCAGGTTGCCACTCTCGCTTGTGCGAAACATGTCTTCCCTTGCCGGCGCCCTAGCATCCCCCGTCATCGACATCAAACCTCTCCTCACAGATAACGATGTCCCTGAATCTATCTCCCAGTCCAATCTCACTCAAGATGTCGATATGAAACCTGCAGAACCCGAGGACGAAACAGCCGACGCACACGAAGACGAGGGAATGGGCGACTTATTTGGTGAGGAGCGGGACATCGATTTTGTAAAGCACGAACAGTACGGATACATATCGAACTCCCTTGACCATCTCATAACCCTTGACCACAAGGGAACTGAGCGCGCCGAGTGCGCTTGACACGAAATCACCCACCCCGATATCCCCACCTCCGCCTGACGGCCTTTCGGCCTTGGATAGGAAGCAAAGACAGGCATTGGAGTATGAGGAAGAAGAGGAGCCAAATCCAGTCGTGCACCTGGAGGCCTCCGTCACCATTCCCAATATTCCTGTCCCCCAGAGTTCAGACAGCCAGGTGCGGGCAGTGCTTGTATATGTTTCCCTCGGGTTTTGATTGGTAGCATGCATTTCTCCCTGGATCTATCTAGCATTGGGTCATTCGCACGCCCAACTTTGTCAAGGTGGATTCCAAACCTTTCCACCCTGATACATACATCGGCCCAGAGCAGGAGGACGAAGACCTCCGGTACGGTACTGCTGCACACGACCGCGATATGGGGATCAAGCTTCGCGTCGAAAACACTGTACGTTGGCGCTGGGTCAAGGATGAACGTGGCCAAGACGTGAGTGGTTTTCGCCGGAACCACCATCCTCCGACCGGTCACTCAGTTTAATGATACCCTAATAGCGGAGGCAGTCCAACGCTCGTATCGTGCGATGGTCCGACGGCAGCCTGAGCTTGCGTCTCGGCAAGGAATATTTTGACATGAGCCAAGTCATAGATACGTCAGGTTCGGCCCCGCGACATGCCCTCGGCATAGCTCCGTCATCCTCTCAGACTCTGTCTACCCCCACCCCCACACTCATACCTACGCCGCCCTCACAACCCACAAAATCCCAGGGTCTCACGTACCTCGTCGCGCAACACAAGCGCGCCGAGATCCTCCAGGCGGAGGCCCTCATCACGGGCTACATGACCCTTCGGCCGACCGACATGCAGTCCGAGACGCACCGGCTGCTCGTGCGTGCGGTCGGCCAAAAGCACAACAAGGTCGCGCGCTTGCGCATGGCGCCAGACCCACATACGGACCCAGAGCGCGAGAAACAGGAGCTCATGCGCCAGGCAGCAAAAAAACCTCGCCGGGTGCGAGGCGAGGACGAGCTATTTGGCGGGAGCGCCGGGCGAAGACGCCGTGGGGCCAGCATGGGTACGAGGCGGCGCTCTGGTGACGACATGTGGAGCGACGACGAGGACGAGGCTGAGTTCGACGGGTCCGAAGAGGGCGATGAGGACGGTGCCGCCGGCGGAAGCCGGCCGGGAAAGCGGCGACGGCCTCAGGAGACCGAGGGACGACGTGGGGGCGAATACCAGACGGATGACTTTTTGGTTGCGGACTCAGACGAGGAGGGTCACGGGTCAGACGAGGGGGCACACGGGCGACGAAGAAGGCGACACAAGAATGGCGAAGAGGAGGACCCGCTGGACAAGTTGGAAAACAAAATCAGTCAACAAGCGGCGGCGGAACGCCGACGCCGACGGGACGAGGGGCCGGCCGACGATGGTGCTGTGGAAGGCGGGAAGGATGCTGTGGAGGACGACGAGGGGGGACGCGACGAGGAGATGGACGTCGAGAGCGAGGAGGACGAGGAGTTCCGTGTGCGCCGAGCAGGCGGTGGGACTCGGAAACGACGAATCGACCTGGACGAGGAGGACGAGTGAAGGGTTGAGCGTGGATACTCATTACGGGTCCGCAGTTGACCGTGTACGCTAGCTTGCTGAACGCGCACAAATCTTCCCATGTGCGTGGCATTGGCTTTAGATGTCTTGAGCGATTCTGCTCGCGGATTAATGACGATTCATGTCATTCCTGATTGAAGCTATGCATTCATATCTGATACATCAGGAGTCGTTTCATCTTTCATTGTAAGTAGTGGGCTGACGTTAATTTTCTATGTGGATGGGCGATCCATCAAATTTGTTCCAACAGACACAGCATCTGGCTAAAGAGCAAAAGCGTGGGCCAGACCAGAAGTCATACAACAGCTGCACTAAAGCCCCCAAAAGGGAGCCACGCCCCGCCTTACCGCCGAACAGCGCCGGGCGTGTCGTGCAACACACCGTCCGCGTCCCATGTGCCCATGGGCCGAATCGCGTCGACGACGGCCTGGTTATCCGGGTTTTCGTGTAGCAGGTTGCGCAGTGCGAAGATTGCGTGTTCCCGCAGGTCTGCGGAGAGTTTGTGAACGTCAGCACGAGCGCCATCGGAGATGCATCAGGACGCGATCGGCCACCCGATCCGAAAGGGAGTCGAGGGTGCGAAGCTGCAGAGGGTCGTCGCAATGCAACGAGCGCCTCGTGACTGCGCCACGGTATATGAATTGAATGTAGTATATAGTGATGAAGAGACTTCTCAGGCTGGGAAACATGGGAACGGGGCCCGGAGAAGATACGAGGGCAGAGCGGTCAGGACTCGACTCGTCCTAAGTCGGCATGGAATGGAGCCAGGGAGCCACCAAGCCAAAACCAGTACCTCAAACACGACCGAGAAAGCACAGAGAAAACGGGGAGGACAAGGACGTACAAGGATTACGTCTGTCTATCACGCACAGGTTCATGACTACTGTGATACCGTCACACGCCCGCACGCGATCCTGCACGGCGCGGTGGTTGTGGCAGAGGATCGCAAGCAAGCGCACGAGGTCGCGCTTCAGGTATGCGAATCCTGTCGGATCTGCTGCGGTGTCGTACCTATCTGCGGGCAGCGGAGAGGTATCCCGTGGTGGGCGTTGAGCGCTGAGAGCGGGCGAGGGAGCGGGCGACGGATTGCTGTCGGCGAAGGTGATGCGAGGCAGGAAGGCGTCCAGCAGCCGGAGATCCTCTGTGCAGTGCAGGGGACACGTGCGAACATTCATCAGAGACCGTGGCCGGTGGGCAGAGCCGTGTGCGAGGACGACAGAGGAAGACGCACGACATCAGCATGTGAGCGTCGCATACGACGCGCAGCAAGCAAAAAAGGTAGGAGAGGATTGGAGAGAAACGCATCAGATCTCGGGGCATCATGCGGCGTTTGGAACGGCAGCGCGAACGGCAACGGCGCGAGACGGCAGGCGGGTAATGATGGACGTCGGAGGGAGGATTGAGCGCTCACCGATCAGAATCTCGATGAAGCCAACGCGGCGTCTCTCCTCTCTCTGTCTCCTTTCGTCGGGCGCTCGCGCCTCTACGGGAGTTTGACAACCCACGAGATACGATTTGGGTGACGGCAAAGACGCTTCGGGCGATGTCGACTCGTCATTACCGTCTTGCCTGAGATCTTCCGCGCGCGCCTCGGCGTGCAACAGGAGCGCAGTCAGGCACTGGGCAACAAGCACCAGGGCTGCACACACTCCAGGGAGGCGCATGTCAAGCTCGCCAGAGAGATGAGATCCTGCGCTTGCCATAACCTCCGCACTTGGATCTGTATCTGGGTCCCGCCCTACCGCCGCCTCCGACGAGCCCAGTGCTCGCTGGATCGCGGACTGTGCGTAGGCGGAGAGAGTAAAGAAGCGCGAGGCGAGGAAGTCCAAGACATCGCTATCCGTGTCCACGTCGGGCCGAATATTCAGTTCGTTTGCTGAGGAGGCAGGGGGAGCAGAAACGGGGGCATGCTGCAAATGGGCGTCTAGCAGTTTGAGAAGCGTCGTCTGCGAGGGGGTGATTGGCTCGTCAGGCCTAATTCATGGATCGCAATGGAGGCCGAGGACCGAGAACCCAAGAGAAAAAGACAGTCAGCAAGCGAGCGTAAATAGCGAGCGAAGGTGCAAAACAAGCAAGGAGGATGAGTAAAGGGTATGCATGTGTGTAAGGGTCCCGTAGAAAAGAGACGATCAGGAGGAGATCTTGGCCAGGGGGTCGAAGCGAGAAGGTTCTTTCGGGAAGGTAAATGACGTGAGCTATTGAATGAGGCTGCGATGAGAGGAGTGGGGTCCCTAGGAGATCTCTGTCCGATCCGGAGACCAATACAACAACACTCGTATGCATTCCAGCCAAGGGCTAGGGGAAGAAATTTTCAAGGGACCTGCCTACGTACGCAATGCATGGAAACCAGGATCAGGGTGTAAGACACGCCTAGCAGGGTTGCGAGATGAAGATGACGACGACAAAATAAAATGTAGAGTTATGGTCAAAAAGGCAACAGAACGAGCGCACATACATTGCCATATTGCTATACAGTTGCGCCACCAACCCGCGCTGAGGGAACAGGCCCTCAAAAACGGCATATCTAGAAGGGGTGCGTCAGCCTTTTTCCTTCCTCAGCAGATCAGGCAAGATATAAAAAAAATAGGCGGAAAATCTCGCCGCCAATCCATGCAGGTCAGCCTCTTGTGACTGGTCTATTTATTTAAGTTCCACGCTATAACACTCGAAGAAAAAATGTCAATCGAATACTGAGGCTCGACCCAATAAGGACTAGGGGTGGAATAAACAGATAATCGAAAGGAGATACGGATGAGCACGAGGGTACACCTACCCGATGTCGAACGCCGCCGCCCCAGGGCTGCCTTCAGAGCTCTCTAAGAACCCGTCGAGCCGATCCAGCAATGCGATACATACACTGAATCCCGCAGGCGTCGTGGCTAGCGCCAGGCTATTGTCCCAAAAAGGCAACACAGAACCGTGTTTGTTGATTGGGAGAAAATTGTATCAGCAAGCAAAAGTTGCGCCTAATCAGCAGACAGGCGGACGAATGGCATAAGAAACTCACGCGCGTTCGGGGCTCCCGCGCGTGCAGTTGAGCACAAGCACTGAGGTGGCGGAGACGGTGGCGGCATCTGGAGACGCGAGAAGACGGCTTCAGTTCGCGCGCATGACGCCGAAAAAATGTAGACGAAAAGAGAATAACCGCGCGTTTGTGATGACGTGCCAAAAATGCCACCAACGGTGCCCAAAACGAAAGAGACGCGGGATTTCAGTGCGGTGCCAGTTGGATCAGATATGCAAGCAGGCGTACATGAGGATAGCTTGTTCGGCAGGCAGCGCCATGTAGGTGGCCCAAACGTGTGAGAGGAGCGGCGGATTAGAGGTGACGAGATTTGAAAGGGTCTGAGAGAGGACGCGCGTGGTTGGATAAACTACGCGTGGCAACCAAAAAGTGACATTGAACCGAAGGAAGGTTTGACATCCCGATAGCGTAAGAAAGAGCGGGGGTGCGTGGTTCGCAGTACGCACACGAGGCATCGCTGGCACGGGTCCAGGAAGTATAGTACCGGATAAGGGTGCGGATATGTGGTTCGACAGGACTAGTGGGAGAAAAATCGAGATTAAATTATAATATAAGGTCTAAAACGAGACTTAAAGCATGGAAGATGATGATAGACTGACATGTCTATGATTGTGTGCACATGCGCATACACAAGTCCGACAATGGGGGCATGTGGGCGTGGGTAAGATATTTACATCCGATTTGGACCGGATGTATCATGCAAGTGTACAAAGAGGGATGCGGACACGGAGGCGAACGGAGCCGTTCGATAGGCTGTGGCTAGGCAGAGATGTGGAATGGAATCACGGAGCCACTTACAATGCGCTGCTTTGATTGCTAGGGACGTCCGCGACCAGATTGCGCGTAAACTTGGCCAAGCTGAGCGTGAGGGCGATGAACGGCTCTTCTTCGTCAGTATGTACATTAGAGTCAACGCTGTCACCATGGATTTCGGCCGAGGTGGCGGCGGAAAGAGTGATCGCGTGTTCTTCGGGATGTTCGGTCGTGTTGGCTAAGTGATGCCATATAGAAAGTAGTTCGGGCCAGACAGACGGTTCAGCGGTCCCTATCCTGACACTACAGTCCTCAAGCCATGCGTATATGGACACGGAAAGACATGCCGAAAGACGGTCAGAGCGATACAAAGGTCGAGATGAAACAGAAAAAAAGGAGAAAGCGGGCAGAACGTAAGGGTAAGAAGGGCGGAATCGAAGCTAAGGCACATACCGAGCTTCTCTGTCTGCGATGAGGGTGCGCGCAGCAGAGTCCAACCTGGCAGATAGAGGGGGGTACGACGAGGGGCGACGCGAGTCAAAAGCAGTTAAGGCGGCCAGGAGCAGGCGGTGTTGATCATCGGATTCGTTCCTGAGCTCAGACATGGCTGCGTTGTGGAGACTAGCGACCCTGAGGGCGGTGATGGTAACAGTGCGGAGCAGCGAGCGAACACTGCCGCAGATTTTCTGGAGAACGAGTTGACAGAGGAGATCGGTGTGATCAGCGAAACTGGGGAGAGCCAGAGGGCACGTGAGCCCTCCTGCACGCGGTGCGGTCTCTGAGTCTCAATATAGTCTGTGCTCCACCTAACCGCCACCCCTCGCTGCACATGCCCGACACCTTTGCCGACCTCACCGTCTCTCTCGAGCCCCAGCTCCTCGACGTTCTACAACCCCTCCATCCTCGTCTGCCAACCGAGCTCGCATCCACACTTCAGCCCTATATCTCTCCTCCTTCATCATCCACCTCAAATGCTAACACACCCACCATACCCTACGCCCATCTTCTTTCGCTTTCTAAATGGACACGCACCTCGCCCGGTCTTCGCGCCTTGAAAACTTCGCCCGCACTCGACCCATCCTCCTACACAATGCTTGCTCTCTTAGCAGGCACGCGCACCTCCCCCGATCGACGCTTCCCTGCCCCTTCTCCGTCTCACGCGTCGCACAACGACCCCGCGCGCGAGGCGAAGAAGGAGATGGGAGATAAGCGTGCCATCGTTGCGGTCGTAAATGGGATGCTCAGCGTACTGGGTGCGGGTGCGGCAGCCTTTGTCGCAGCGCAGCGGACAGGGTGGAGAGATGAATGGGTATGTCGCCTCCGCTCGCGCTCAATTTGATATTTCTCTCGCGTCCGACTCATTTGATCCGCCCTTCGTCATCTTGGCTATCGGTGGTCATCCCGATCATTCCACATCTCGCTTTATATTCCTTTCATATCCTTTTGTCCCTCGCCAATGCAGCATGCGTGACCTGTCTCATGTCTCCCTCCTTTTGTACTGTAGAAAATTCTCGTCGCGTTTCTCGCCGCCGCCGCCGTCGCCTTCTCGGAGGTCGCGCTCTTTATCATCCACGACTCACGACGCTCCACGACGACATCACGCTCGCACAGCATGATCCGTGCTCCTTCTTACCTCACCACTACGATCAAAGATGATGCCGCATTGACTCTTCTGATGACTCCAACCAGTCATGCCGACATGACTGGGACTCATGGCGCACGACAGAGTCCGAGCCCCCCTACTCGGCGCGCGCAGCACGAGGACACAATCAAGAACGAGAGCAACCACACCGACCCTGACATTGGCACCGACAGCTCCGGCGAAAACAGCGCAGGGCCCTTGGCCCCGTTCTTGTCGCCATCTCCGTTCTCACCCGCATCTCCGTCTTCGGTCATCTCTGCTTCCGCGCTGGCAAGCGGAGAGGCGCTGCGCCAGCGCGCAGGGGCTCGGGCCAGCCAGGGCCGCGGACGGGGCTGACGGCTGACTTGTCATACAGGTGTTGGGGTTCTGAGGGGTTCTGGCGGTTGGTGCGCCTGCCGTGATCGGAGTCGGGAAAAGACTCGGCAGATGGAGCGAGCCTCGAGTCGGAGGTCGGAAGCCGTATGCACATTGGACGTACTTATTGGATGGAATGGAGTCGTCTGAGGTCATTGTCAACGTGATCGACTGATTTTCGGCAGGAGGGTAATGTGGGGGCGGGGGTGGTGAGGGTTAAGGCGGTCAAGCCGTGGGTGTATGTTGACCGAGCCCGATCGAGGCGCGATGACTGACACCAACGCCTACAAAGTCATAAACTTACTATGCACAGTCGATCTCGGCGTGATCGACACCTTGCTCTTGGGAGATTTGACCAGGACGGCCTAGTCATTTCTCAGTCGATCTGCGCAACCGTGCTCGAGTTACTTTCGGAGAGATGTCGGGAGCGACGGGCCGGTTCCGAACAGGTGTTAGCAGGTTCGCGGCTTGCAGATTATATTGATCTTGAAAATTCGCTCTCGAGCCCCTTTGGGCTGTCTGGACCATTGAGGGCAAGTGTTTCAGCCACTAGGATGGCCGTTCACGTCCGCGTTTGATTCTTCTTTTCGCAGCGGTCTCACATCGAGCGTTGATTTCAGTACTTTTGATCCTGCAATGGCGCAGCTAACTCCAGACGTATGGACACCCACACGGGTTCCGCCTGTGGGCGGCACCACCGTCTATTTTCATAGAACGGATCTCGGGACGATTCATGCGCAGCTTCGGCGACCACGGCCATCCACCCTATCGTGACTTTGTCTTCCATACCCAAATATCCTGCCGCACCAATCAATTTCGATTCCTAACGGCATCCACAGTGCTACAATGGGCTCGCCCCCGTGCAGGTTTTTGCCCGCAGGACATATCCAGCTGCCTCAAAGCCATTTTGGTTCATTCGATATGCGACGCTTGAATTCTGACACGTCCAGGGGGGGTTGCTTGTATCCACTGTGACGGACGGCACCGCCGTACACAGGTTTCCTCGTTTACTTACGACTCCCCCGTCGCTCGTCTCCGTAACGTGCACCCAGGCCAGGTGTAGTGCTGCGAAATCAATCGAGGAGTGACGATCGACTTTCTGGCTTTACAGCCATCTCCACGGTGCCCAATTTTGCATTTGTGCCCGTGGTCGCATCTGCGTTCATCGTTTCACGTCGTTCGCAAGCCTCCAAGATGGTCCAGCGCTCAGGCCCTCCCTCGACTGCCTAGTGCTATGCTTGGGCTTCGCCAGGTCGCCAATACATGCAATGCTCGTAGTGGTTTCTGATGTGAGGGGTGGGGGCTTCTTCGTCGCTTTCTGATGCACGCGCGACCGGGTTTGAATGCTTGGATGCATGGCCTCGCTTGCGTGGGCTCCAGTTTGGCGTCCTCGAGTTGGGTCCGGACACGTACACTCGATTCATTATAGTCACCAACAGGTGATGCAGACAGTGAACGAACATCAGCTGTGCATAACAGCGTGTCAACATCGCGCCTTGATCCGATGTAGGTGGCCGCAGGACCCTTCGTGGTCGTCTGGTCGTCGATCCTATCAACGGTCACACTCAATTACCCGTCGGTCCGCGGCGCCAGAGTGGAACGCCCGCCCGCTGTTGTGGGTCTGCCTTCTGATGCTATTGTGTCTGTCATTGCATGGGTTCGGGGGAGGCCGAGCCGAGAGTGCACATATCTTTTGATGGGATCAGACTCGGCGCTGGCCTGTTCGCTCGGCACTTGCCCTGATCACAACCTGTCGGATAGTGTCGTTAGGCGCCATTAAATGATTCCACCATCCATCCTATCCACCCTATTGAACGAGCTTGCCATGGCAAGCGGTCTGTGGTACGGCTTCATTTCCGGGTGGCAGCTCTTCCAATCCGTGTTCAATATCTCCAAATGCCGAACAGGATCGGTGGGGTATGTGTATGTACGCCTCTCGTCACTTCCGAGTTTCGTGATTCAGAGACAGACTTTTACTATGCGTCGCTCGCCTGGCCGTATCACCCAAACAATGCATGTCTGCTGTGATCGTACACTCTGGGACGCGTATCTTACTAGGTAGCCTTCCTCGACCACAACGAATTATGATCTGACTTACTTCACTGAAAAATCTGGTCTCCACAAGGGCCTATACTTATTCTCCGAAGCGACAGATACGTTATTCCAGTGCGCTCCACGGCTCTCAGTTCCCTCTGGCCTTTTCGTTATAAACGTGTTGTGTGTGCTTTTCGTAGACCGCACTCGGCCCGGGTCCGCCCGTTTTCTCTACCCCTCTGCTACCATCAGAACAGCATGGAGGTTAATTTTGTCTTCATTTTGACTCCCCGTCCTGGTGGAGATCTCCAGCCACTTTTTCAAATAGCTAGCTGTCAGGAAATCGAAAACATGCCGCATACGTATCGTTCACGACATGCTCCAATTGACAAGCTCTTTGTACTCGTGCCGCCCGCAAGCATAGCACTTTCAAGCTCAGACGTCGTAGCTGGCATCAGAACCAGTACACGCATAACGCAACAGAGGGGCAACGTTCCAAATAGGCATCTTGAACGCCGTTGTGACACGGCTGTGATGCCAACGAGCCAACGAGCTACACAGGATAAGGGGCAACGTAACCGTGTCTGGGATGTTCTGATTTTCTGATGGCGATCCACCGTGCAGACTTACCTTTCTTAAGGCCACCTTACGAGCGGCGAATACAGTGATGTTGCAAGGCGGTGGTTCGCCATCCATTCGATCAGATAGCGGGTGGTCTCGCGCGGCCCCTCGCCAATTTTTGGATGGCAAGCCGAGTTAACACACCCTCGGAGTGCAATGTCGAATTCATGATCCAGCATTGCTTCCCATTGAATGATCTGATCTTCCTATTTCCCTATCAGAAAGATCGTAAATTCGTCTGACGGGATTGAAGGTTGCAGGCTATGAGTGAGTAGTGTTCTCCGTTCATGTTCAAGTTTCGGCCGGCTCTCATGAGGGAGCAACATTGGCCATTGGGAGCGGCGAAAAATGAGGTTACTTTGCATGCGATGGATTTTACGAGTAAAATCTCGATATGTTCCAAGAGTGTCAAAAAGTGGCCGAGTGGATGACTGTTCGATAAGAGGAACTAAGGGCGGTTCTGTATTCGACGCAGCTTTGAGGAATCTGAGTTGCGCTGTGCGAATTTCGAAAACGATCGTCTAGGCTCGGACACAGCCGGCTAATCCAAATTTCGCTGCTCCGACAAGGTATAGAGCCGGCTCGGCTTTCCCAGCCGTGACGACTCCGACGAAAACGCGCCGTGGCTTTTCAAAGCCCGCTTGGCCTAAGTACGAGGCTAACGATCGTCCACAGAGGCGTGGGACACGCCGATCAGGACAAAGCTGGACAAAGGCCACACAGTGGCACATCCTCGGCGTTTCGTATAAAGTCCAGACGGCCGCAAATAGATCTCATTCTCTTTCTCTTGATAATCTCTCATCCAGTGGTTGATATACTAGCTCGATGTCGCGCTCGCCCTCTCCGATTGTTGTCGATTCGCCGACATCGGCAGCCCCGACAATCAACCCGCCCGAGATCAGTGTGTTCACGCCTCCCAAGACGACGACGTCTCTGGTGAACAACGATTCTTATTACCTTGAGCTCGCCAACAAGCCGATGGCTAATCGCTTCGTGGGTCCTATGCCCGTCGATGAGTTTCTGAACACATTCTTGCCCCCACCTGCTGATCTGCCGCCTTCGCCATGCGCGCCAACGGACAGAATCTTCGACGACATGTTCATCCTGAGCGGGGAACCACATGTCCTCTTTGTACGCTGCGCCTGGCGTTTTTTATCCACCGTGAATACTGATCCTACGGACCTTGCTACTTCTAGATCGATGTGCTGCGAAAACACGGTCTCTGTCCTAACCTTGTCCTCACTGATACCAATCACGAACGCGATCGCCACTATCGATCCACGCCCGGCCCCCACATCTCTTTATATAAAGCGGATGCGCCACCCACGATCCCCTCCCTCCAGCCTGCCGTAGGCCCACTCCGCTGGGCCGACATCGAGCTCGGCGTACAGTTCTTCCCCACCGCGCGCGACCCGTTCTCCGACGCGCCCGGCACCCACTTCGAGGCCGCCGCTGAGCCCATCGCGCACGCCCGTGGGCGGCTAATCGCAGAGGCCCTCGCGGCGCTCGCGCTCGCGTTCCGCACCGCGTTCTTCTCTGTCTGCGTGCTCGATGCGCACGCGCGCCTGCTGCGCTGGGACAACGCGGGCTGCGTCGTGTCCGCCAAGTTCGACTTTGTGCGCGCCGCGCGGCCGCTGGTCGAGTTTTTCTGGCGATTCGCGCACGCGTCCGGCGCCGCGCGTGGGCGCGACCCGAGCGTCATACCACTCTCCGTTTCCGAGGCTGTTGCCGCCGCCGACCGCCTGCGCGTGCATCCGAGTCTGTGCGTCGAGCTTCGGGTCATGGTACCCAGGAAGAACGTTAAGGGGAAGGGGAAGGCGGGCGACAAGGTCAAGACGACGGTCCGTCGGCTCGCGGGCGTGCTGCCGCAGTCACTGAACTTCACGCCGTGGACCGGCACCGCCACGCGCAGGTGTCCGGCGGTGGACCTGGCGAGCGGCGAGGTCGTGTGGGTGAAAGACACGTGGATGATCGACACCGATCTCGTCCCCGGGATTCCGCAGTTGTACGAGCTCATGCGCGCGCCGTGGCGCGATGAAAACGCGAAGGCGAAGACCCCGTTCGTGCCGTGGTACGAGCGCGGGTACGACGTGCTGAGCGGGGAACTTGTCCAGCGGTCGCGCTCGAACGAGTTCCTCGCCGCTCCGTGGGCTGACACGGCGCGCGAGAGCGGCGACCGCAAGATCACCGCGCAGCGCCACCGGCGCGAGATTCTCAGGTACGACCTGCGGCCGCTGTCGCACTTCAACTCCACAAAGGAGATGACCAGCGCTTTCCTCGACTCCATCAAAGGTGAGTCAGACGCATGTATGCATGATCTGTGGACCGTGTGTGCTGATCTGCGGGCGCGCCGCGCCGCCGTTCGCTTCGTCCAGCGCACCAAGCTTATTACTTCAAGGGGGTCCTGCATGGGGACATCAATCCGGCGAACATGCCGATGACAAGAGACGGCAAAGGCCTGCTGTTCGATCTGGACGACGGGAATGCGATCTCGAGCAAGCCAATCCGTGCGGATCCCGAGCTGGAGCCGAAGGTCCCAGACGAAGAGGACGTGCTCATGATGCTCGCGTCCATGGGCATAATCGACATGGGTGATTGAGGCGCAGAAAGCGCTCCGAAGACTGACTGTAGATCTGTTGCTCTGTTGCCGTCAGTGTGTTGTTGGTCAACCTCGTTGTCGCTTTCGTGTGTACCCTCTCTATGTACTGTCGCTGTCCGTGTATGTGTTATGCTTGGAATGTATGTGTGCTTTCTTGTTACTCCCCGCGCGGCCTTGGTGGCGCTACCGACTAGCTAGGGCCATGACGCGACGACGTGTTGAACGTAATGTGACAGGAAGTTCGAGCCCTCGACGGTTATCGCTATGCATGCTGTTAGTCCAACGCCCAGGATGTTCATTTGCGAAGGTGGCGGTTAAAAAAAATCTCGTCGAACGCACAGCAGTGCCTATTATATCGGGGATTATTCTATCCCGAACCCCTGTGAGAGTTCGCGGTACGAGATGTATCGGCGCGACATAAGCATGCCGCCATGCGCCCACCACGTCGTCTCGCACCGCAACACCTTATCCTCGCGGGCAACGCCAACGGAGCCGCGGCACAGCAAGTACATAGATGTCGGCGTCAAATTCGCTAGCGATAAATCTCGAGGGCGCGCATCAGGAGCGAGAGGTACCACCCGGTGAGGCCCCACACTTCGAGCCCGCCGCGCCCTGCGCCGATTTCGTCCGGCAAGTCCGCGCCTCCTGCCCCTGCCCCTGCCTCTGCTTCTGTCGCCGTCTCTGCCGCCGCCGCGGCGCTTTCGACGGCCTCGGCCGCGTCACGCCCCGGGCCCGCGGGCCCGACGCCGAACCGCCTGACGAGGTCCGCGACGCCGACGGCCCAGTACGGTTGGCCGCCGCGGAAGAGGTGCGCGCGGAGGCGGGAGGGGGCGGTCATCGCCGTGAACGGGAGGTGAAACGCGTGGGCGACTTCTGGAGAAGACACGCGGAGGGTGGAGAGCGGGAGCGAGGGGAGGAAGGCCGTGTCTGGGAGGTTTGTAGTGGCGGAGACATCGTCGGGTTTCACGGTGGGTGTGAAGGTGGGGGATGCGTGGACGAAGCCCTGTGATGATGGGGGAGAAGGGTTGATCAGGGGTGATTTTCCGGTGTTAAGGGAACGATCAGTCGGGGCTCGTTTGAACGTGATCGTATCATCCTATCAACGTCGCCGACTGTATGAACAACGTCGTCGACCGCAACATTCCATCAACGCCCAAGACCCAGAGCAATCGACGGACACCAATTTTGTCACCGCGCGGCGGCGATCAGAAGAAAACTTAGGCGCAGGAAAAAGACGCACGACGAAGGGCCAGACGCGAAGGCCGCCGAGGGAGAGTTGTGGGGGGCCGACTTGGCCGAGGACCTCGATCTGGTCGGGGGGGATGCCGACTTCTTCATGGGTCTCACGGAGTGCGGCGGCGAGGAAGGAAGAGTCGGTCTGAGAGCGGTTCGTGAGTGAAGGGCAGAGATGTGGAGAGGCGTGCACGCACTGGATCGACGCGTCCGCCGGGGAAGCTGATGGCGGGTGCATGTGATGAACACGACAGGGGCTGCGGAGGAGGAGAGCGCGCACCTCACCTGACCTCGCCGGCGTGTATGCGGAGCTTTCCGCGGACCTCTAAGAGGATGCCCGGCTGGCCCGCGACGTTGCAGAGGGGGATGAGGACGGCGGCGTGTGCCTCTGCGGGGTCGGCAGGCGGTGGGGTGTAGGCAGCGATGGCGGTGCGGATGGAGGCGAGAGAGGCGCGGGTGAGCGGGGTGGAAAGAGAAAGGAATGGGGAAAGGGGGGAGGGATGGGGGAGGACGCGGGGAGAGGCCATGGCTTGTAGCACGTGCACGGTCGCACTCGTTCTCTCTCGGCCGCGGGCTTTCAATTTCTCATGCTGGTACGCTCCAGCCAGCCCATTGTTCAACACCGCACCACCAGGTGTCTGCCGTGTTTTCTGATCAGGAGTATCCGTTCCATCGGGCACGCGTCGTGGCAAATGCTCTGATTGGCAGAAGCAGCAAGGTCTCGAAGCGGGCGCTGCGCTGCGTTCTCGGAGGAAACCGCCATCGTCTGCCCCTCTGTGCCCCTGCCACTGTCTCCACTAATTTTGGTATATGGGCACGAGGGCACGACCCTGAGCCGTCTTGACAATTTGGCTCACGACTACACGATGCGCGTCTGTTCCATTGCCAATTCACGTTTCCGGTATTTTAGTATGCGAATCTACCAGAAGTTGCCTCGCTTGTTGACTAAGGTTGTAGGCTCATCTCGTAAGACACGCCTATCATCATTTCTACGTGCCTCGGGGCCTATTTGACGTTGACCCACAGGTGTACATTCAAGAAGCATGCACTCGAGTAGCACCGGCCATGGGCGTCGACAAAAACGTCCACAAGTTCCGCCAGATGATCCTTCACTATCACATATCAAATAAAGGGGCTCTTGAACAAGGGTAGCAGCTTATGCGTCAATTCCATGCCACTGGCCTTTCTCGAAATGATATTTTCGACGCGATGCGCTTGCTGCATGAGTCAGATAGCATCCGTCACCTTTCAGGATCGGTATTATGTGTAACCTCGAACGAATCCACTTGTGGCGCTCGTCCATCGCAACATGCATTAATTCATCATCGCCATCCTAATATCATCCCAACAGCAGCTACAGCTGGATGTTCCGGTGTTTCCGGCGCGGGTCTTCTAGAGGGTATAAAACCCCTATTGGCACAGAATGGGCATTCGCTACCGACGACTTGATGTCCCTTCAATCACGCCTGGTAAGCGAATCCCGCCGTTCACATTATGTGAGGTTTAGTCTTGACCCCCGCTTAGACCACCGAGCAAATTCGCTATAGTCTTGAGTATCAGTACTTGGGACACATGTTTGCGCTCGACTTCGCGGTACGACTTGTCCAGCATCTCGGCCAAAATGCCTATCTCGATATGTGGGTGAACCCCAACTATGGACGGGTCGTAGAACAGCATCCCTTCATCGCATACCAGGGGCAAGGGAGAGAGGAGCTGGCTATGTCAAATCTTCAGTCACCTTGCTACTGGAACAGGGATATTGGTGTGCGCCTCGCGGATCAATTCTTCGTGCAGGACTTGAGCGTTGTCCCGAATGTGGACTCACCGTCGCCACTCTACAGCAGAAAGACCGTGAAGTTATGGGTAAGGACTACTTCTCGCCCTCAACATCTGATATGCTCATTTTTTGGTGGGGATGTCGTTTATCAGATCTCGTGCCACAGCCTCGCGAGTCAAAAGTTCCAACTGCAATTGTGGTCTGGGAACAAACCCATAAACCTGAGGGCGCTGATAAAGCACATCAGAATTCGTGTCGGGAAGTATCTCACCGATAGCCACTCGGCCCAAGTCAGTTAGCTCTTATATGCAGTCGTATGGAAGGTGCTAAAAAGGCCTTATTTCTCATCTTGAATCGCCATTTGCAGGCGCCCAACACGCCGGACATAACTAGCACACTCATCATCGACGATCTCGTGCTCCTGGGCTTCTGCTTCGTTTCGCACGGCACCATTATGCCTATTCTCCAGCATGTGCATCATTCCTAAATTGTTGTAGGATGTTCGTCCAAACCGGTCCCTGCTCTGTTCTCCCCTCTTCTCCTTGTTGCCTATGACCTGCGTTTTGAAATTTCTCCGCGAATGTAGTAAATAACACTTTTGTCAAAGCCAAGTACGTCGTCCACGGTTGGTGTTGAGGATCTCGAGATCCTCGATGCGCATCGGATGCATTGTCGACTATTCCCTACTGCAGAACTCGGAGCCGGTCCGTATTCACAGTCAACTGAAGTGTATGCTAGATGATGATGCGTCGTCAAAATCGAGTTGACCGTCGTCAAGCAATGATCTAAACAGATCGCACGAGTGTGCGACAGGGACGGCGGTGTCGAGCTCGTCATACACGACAGCCGGATAATCATCATTCTCAATGCCCACCGTAGGTACGACAAAGCGCGGTAGCAGATAAGACACTCACATCCACTCCGGAAATGATATCTCCGTCGGTCTTCATGTCCGAATGAGTGACGAGATTCAATCTTCTGCATGTTTCTCGTTAAGAACTACAATGGTTAGCCGGGTCCCCAGACGGAAGATCGCCATCGCCACTTGAATCGATGGAGTAGAAGTTGTGGGCCGGAGACGTAGTTTCAGGAAACGTCGATGTCAACGCTTGGAAGCGCTTAAAGCCTCTTACATTGTGCGACGCGAGAACGGTAAGCGAGTATGATTGGGATGAAGAAAAGTAAAGGAATGGAGCGAGCGCTGGGTTGCCGCGGCTGCCGAGGGCCCCCAGACTCACCATCGTGATCGGGATCTGAGATCATTCACGCTCTCGTCGTCGCCGTCGCCGTCCTCAAAGGCCATGTTCAGCACTCAGTGAATGCATCATGCGAACATACCACGTCCGCATCGTCGTACAACAGCCAGCCCCAACACACGACAGCTTCCTCCCGAAAAGTCTCTGGCAGCCACTCCCCGCACATCCCCATCCACGCTCACGCACAAGCGCACACAAGCTTCCCGTGCAGACGAGCTCGAGTCTGCCGCCGAAGGACTACAGATTTGGACAGATCAGAATCGAGTGGGTCGATTTTGAAAGCAGTATGATCACTGGCAAGGACAGGGCGCAGCAGGCCCGTGGTATGTCTCTTCGCGCCCCCATTTCGCCCTACAGCGCTTCAAATCAAACCCGTGCACTCTCGGTGTGTCACAACTATAGGTACAGCGACGGCAACCTTCGCACCACACCCTCACACAAAATCCGGCGCAACAAACCTCCCAGACGGCGTCGTGCACGTTTTTCGTGACACCGGCAGCGCACAGACCGTCAATTCCCCTCGTACAGACACGGATCCAGAAGGCTCTGCTGGAACTTCCTCATCAGATGCAAGCCGCATCGTGCTCGACAACGCCGATACGGATGGCGTCATGCTCGCCGTCCTCGCCGTCCCCGCCTGGATGGCCCCGTCTGACTTCCTCGCTTTTGTCGCTCCCGCAGCAGGAGGCCTCGCTCATCTGAGGATGATCCGGTGCGTTTATTTCGTCTCTTCTTATCATCTTTGCTCTACTTCCACACATTATTGGGCTATGAGTTTGGGTCGTAAGATTAGCAATGGACTGATACAACGATGTGTCCGTACAGGGATTCCGCACCCAACCGGTCCCTCGTCTTGATGAAGTTTCGCAAGATCGAGGATGCGGTCGAGTTTGCAGAGGCATACAATGGCAAGCCGTTCAACTCGATGGAGGCGAGTCCTGTTCCCGCCTTCCTTCCCCCCCTTCTCACTCTCATACATCATTCAATATGCTTAAATGTGTGCATGTCATAGCCTGAAATTTGCCATGTTGTACACGTCTCTTCCGTAAGCATCAGCACCGAGGATGCGCTCTCGCTCGCGATCACGCGCCTCGGCGCCGCGCAGGCGCCTGTGCATGAGCTTCCGACGTGTCCCGTGTGCTTGGAACGCATGGACTCGGCCGTCACGGGCCTTGTGACCGTGCCGTGCTCACACACATTCCATTGTATGTGTCTCAGCAAGTGGGGAGACAGCCGGTGAGCGTACATACAATGATAAACGAATAAAAATATCAGCCTTTAACGGGCAGATAGGTGTCCCGTATGCCGCTACTCCCAGAACCTCCGCACCTCCCACCCCTCCACCTCGGCCACCTCAGCCACTCCACTCCCATTTACCACTCCAGGACGACTCTCGACGTGTGCCTCCTGTTCCTCGACGACAAACCTTTGGATTTGCCTCGTCTGCGGCAATATCGGCTGCGGGCGCTACGGCCGTGCCCACGCGGCGGCGCACTACGACGCGACGACGCACCTGTACGCGCTCGAACTCGAGACGCAGCGCGTGTGGGACTACGCCGGCGACGGGTACGTGCACCGGCTGATCCAGAACAAAGCCGACGGGAAGCTCGTCGAGCTCCCGAGCGCTAGCATGGCGGCGGGCGCGGCGGTGCGCGCGAACGGGAGCGGCGGTGGCGGGCCGAGCGCGGCGGATTCGCTGAGCGCAGAGAAGATCGAGGCGATCGGCATCGAGTACTCGTACCTCCTCAGCTCGCAACTCGACTCGCAGCGTGCGCACTTCGAGTCACAAGCTGGCGACCTCCGCGCGCAGCTCGACGCGCTTCGGCTCAGCGCAGAGCACGAGCGCGAACTACACAAGCAGCAGGAGAGAGAGCAGGCCCGCGCGCTCAAGGCGGAAAAAAGCGAGGCGGCAGGGCGTGCGGCTGAGTACGCGCGCGAGGCGGCACGGCTCGCGCGCCGCGCCGAGAAGGCGTCGGAGCTCGTGACGCGGCTCGCGCGGGACCTCGAAGCGGAGCGCGCGGTGAGCGCCGGGCTACTGCGGAACCTCGAGGCGACGCGCTCGCGAGCGGAGACGGCGGAGCGTGGGCAGGCGGCGCTGGAGGTGCGTGTGGGAGAGCTGGAGGAGCAGGTGCGGGACGTGATGTTCTTTCTCGAGGCGCGCGACAAGATTGAGGAGGGCGTGGGGGTGGTTGGGGAGGCGAAGGGCGGGTCGGTGGGGATAGCACCGACGGCACCGTCCGGCACAGTAGCAGGCGGAGGACAAGATGGAAGTGGCGGGCAGGGGAGAAGGAAGAAGAAGAATGGAAAGAAGTAACTCGAGAGCAAGCTCGTCCCCAGATCTTTTCCGTTGTGTGTCATGTGTACCCTCTATATCCCACTGTACTATCTAACAACTTATCGTCTCACGAAATGGACACTTGATTTGTATTTCTGTAGTCGAAAGCGGTGATCGCGCATGCACTCAGAATTTCACATTGTCCGACATGGCATTAGACGAGATAGTAGATTTGATAGATACAGATGCCCGATCCCCCTCCCTTCCAAAGGCCAATTACCCCAACCAACTGGTCCGCTGCTTACAGACCCTCGAAGAAACTCAAATCCTGCGCCGACAGTCCTCCAGCCCCCTTCGGCTGCGATGCGATGGCAGAAGATTTCGGCGGGCTCGCACTCATCAAAAACGCTAGGGGCGTTGACTCAGGCGACCACCTGGGTTCGCGCTGCGTTGGCGCAGCCGCAGCCGTTGTTCCCGTCGTCGTTGATACCGGCACAGGAGGTGGGGGTAGATGTGGTACGAAGACAGCCGCGGGTGCTGGGGTTGGTGGAAAGAAGGATACCGGGCCCGACCCTGGAGGTCGCAGTAAAGGCGCAGGAGCCAAGGAAGGTGGTAATGGAGGCGCAGGAGCAGGTGTCGGCATCAGAGGCGCTGTCTTCTCCATTTGGCCCATCACCGGCATGGAAGGTGGTGGCGGCGGCGACGTCCCCAGCTGGCCGCCCACATTTAGCCCACCGAAAAGGTCCATGTCGTCGCCAAGCAGGTCCCTGCTCATGGCGCTGAAGCTTGCGGGTGGGGGCGGCGGCGGGATTGCCTCGGGCGAAGGCGACAACGGTGCTGGCCAACGCCCTGGTCGTGCGGCAGCACGCTCGACAAGGTTGAGCGTATGCAGGTGTTCCGCGGCATGGGAACCCATGCGGCGGTGGGCGAGGGAGCTTGTGGGCGTCGTTGCTGTTGGCGAGCGTGAAGGAGAGGATGGAGATTTCGGGGGCGGCTTAAGGAGAGGCGCAAGGGTGGGCTTCGTTATCGGGAAGAACGTAGGGGGTGGGTCGAAGAGAGACACAGACTTATTCGGCGGCTTTGGTGGGCTGGGGGAGCGGATGGGAGAGGAGACAAAGGAGCTAAAATCGTCGAAGTCGTCGAGCAGCTGTGGCTTGTGAGATGCCGTGGTCTTGAGTACAGTAGAGATGCGGGGGAAGATGGAAAGTGCGCCTTGAGGCTGAGGCTGGGGCTGGATGAAAGACTGGCGATCAGAGGCGGCGGAAGCGAAACTGGTATCGTGAAATGATGATGAGACGGGCGGCTGATTGGGAAATGATGAGTGGAAGTCGGAGAAATCGTCGTCGTCGTCAAAAGCCTCAGCTACTGATGGCACATTGTTCACCGCAGAAGGAATGTGCTTGGACGAAAGAGGTGATATCAGTGCTGGAACATCAGATGATGGAAGCGGTCTGTTGGTAGGGGGCGGTGGGGGAAAGAAAGCTGGGGTCTGTGCACGCGAGCTGACAAGGGACGAGCTCGCGACGCTTGGTGGGGGAGGGATGATTCCTGATGCCAACATCCGTGATGATGTTGTCAACGGAGCTGTGGGTAGGGCAGAGGGCATAGGTTTGGCGTCTGCCGGCGATGACAATACAGACGACAACGATGAATGGCTGTTCGTCCGACTAGTGCGGTGTGTGGATGGCCTCGAGGCATGGCTATGAGGAGAGGTGGGCATCAGCGCCGGGCTCGTGGACCTCGATGAAGGGGTCAACGGGGCCAAAGTAGGAGCAAGGGGAGGAGGCAGCGTGGAAGCGGAAGTGGATGCGACAGGAGATAGGCTCTTAGCATGGAAGCTTGGGGAGCGTACACGGATAGATGTTGAGTCGCCGCCTGGATGCTGGGTCGTGCCTAGCCCGGTCGCTTTTGACGGAAGAGCCCTCATTACTGACGATGCAGACGGCGGAGGAGGTAAAGGGGCCGGCAGCTTCCCTCCAATGGGCTTGCTCGCGAGCATGCTGGCCAGACCTCTCAACTGAGGGTCTTTCTCACCATCGGCATCATCGGCATCATTTGCGCTCGGGACCAGATCCGTCAAAAATTCGAGGTCATCTGTGGACAGCGCGAGAGAATTCCGTGGTGACGAAGTGGAGGGTACGCGAGACCTAGAGAAGCGGTTGAAGAAGCGAGAGACTGCTGACGGGGCTTGAGAAGAATCACTCGAGGGCGATGTCAACGGCTCAAACGCTGGGAGACCCGAATCGGAATAGGATGTCATGGGGGTGCTCATCGGAGGGGTCTGACCAGAGGTCGCGAGTGTTGTTGAGCCAGCTGCAGCGGTTGGAAGGCTGTGTGCAAGCGAAGACGAAGAAGCGATGGGAGAAGCTCCCTTGCTCGCCACGGATGTGGAGGACTTGATGCTGTCCATGCTCGACCGCGCCGTGGGCACAGTCCCATCGATCTTTGCCGTTATCTCTTGCACCGGAGAAGCGACTTTCAAAGCCTCTCGCGTACTCGACGCTCGTCTATTCCACAAGCTTGCCAACAAACCGCTTCCGCTCTTCCTGCCTTTCTCCTCTACCTTCTCTTCATTATCTTTTTCCAAAATTCTCCAACCAGCTGGTACTTCGTCTTCAACGACTTCTACCCGGGATTTTACAGACAACTCCCATGCCGTCGACCCTTTCGCAGCCAAAAAGTTTGACATAGGACTGCTCTTCGTGAGGAGGATGTTTCGTGAGAGCTTTATAGAGTTTACCATCGCCTTTCCTGTGAAACTTTGCGTAAATGGCTTCAATGGTGGCAATGTCATGTCAGGACAGTAGCGGGTCATAAGAGCATCGCTAGAGGGATTTCGTTAAACTCAACTAACTTCAACCTGGTGAGTAAAAGGCTCTTACAGGCCGTCCACGGCGTCCATGCCGGCGTGCAACCTTTTCTGCCACTCCTGATCTTCTTCCAAGTTTTCAGGCTCAGGCCAAACTTCTTTCGAGACCTCCTCCACCTGCTGAAGGATGTTCGCAAGTAATTCGGGAGGCTAGAGAGTAATTACATCATGAATGTTGCTAGCTTGCGTATGCCTTGTATCAATCAAGCTTACCACCCTGCGGTCCATTGCCTCCTTTTCTCTCTTAGCAGCTTCCCATTCATCTACAGCCTCCTGCTCGCCCGTGGTAGATGTGGACGTTTGCGGTTCTGCCCACGCTGAGGCCCATGTATTAGCCCCGTCGACATCGACTTTGAAGCTTTCAGAAGGAGTGCTCCACGCATCAGTGTCCTTTGCTGCGAGCGCCGTTTCAAATCCGCCAAAACCATCTGGGGTAGAGGGAGTAGATAGCATAGGAGATGATGGCTGAGGTATAACGCCTTGAGACTCTTCCTCGATAGTACTTGGAGATGAAGGGCGTTCGTCATGAGCAGAAGATGTTGGAGACGCTGGCGATGACTGTGATTCATCCGATACCCTTGCGGTTGATGATCGAGAGGGTTCTGAAGGTTCTGGAGAGCGTGACTTTCCAATGGCGAAGCTGCTATACGGGTTCGCAGGGGACCAGCCAGGGGAGGTGGCCCCTTGCGACCAGAGCGATGCAGGGTGTTCTGAGGGCTCGTCCCAGTTTATTCCAGTGCCTGTAGCCCAGGATGGCATAGCAATATCAGCTTCATCATCGTCAAGCTGTGACCTTGGTTTAGTGGTCCAAAGAGAATTAGCAGTCTGTGAGCTACGGGAGGAATCAGCAGTGTCGCTCCATGCATTGCCCCAGACGTCTTCCATGTTCAGCTGCGTGTTCGGAGAGCGAGGGACATAGGAAAGTGAATGGCGAAGGCTAACGGACGACGTTCGGGCGAGTGTTACGGCGTCGAGCGAGGGAACGGCCTGGGAGTGTCGTGTGGCGCGCACGTGGCAAATCCCGGCATTCCCTCTGTGGAGGTTACAACTCGGGCTTTCATGCCCTCGTCATTGGTATTCACCTGCGAATCCTCGCCATGGACTCACGAAGTAGCATCACAGACTGGAATGAAGATGACGTGCAGCTCTTTTTGTCTGGCCTTGGCTACTCACAATACGAGAGCCAAATTCGAGGCAAGTCTCTCATCGACCTTATTGTCTTGCTCCTTCCCAATCCCATCATCCGTCCTCTTTAGAACACAATATTTCCGGGGATGTCTTGTGCATAGTAGATGCCGAAAGTCTCAAGGAGATTGGGATAGCAACAGTGGGCCAACGTCTTGCGATTCTCAAAGCAATATACCTCGCCAAACTCGCTCACAACGTACCAATCGAACCGGGCCAATACGTTCCACCATGTACATCACTCTTCCTAGCAGCCTAATGCCTACTGACATCGTATCTTCCTCTAAGCCGAAGCCGAGGAACGGGCGGAGAGCCTCAGTGTTGATAGACTGTATGATCTTATTCGGGAACAAGGTGTGTCTTCTGCTTATCTTATTCACGCCTGAACTGAACATCTCTGGCTTCAAAGATGAACGACTTCGATTGTTGGAAGTCGACAATCAACGACTTTTTCAGACTGTGCACAGCACGTTAGAGGACTTGAATAGCCTGAGGTCGTCTCAAAGCAGTCGGGTGCGTTCTTATGTCTACGCCTTTCCTCTTGTATAGAATGCGTATCTTCAGGCGGAAGAAAGCCCTGTCGCTAGGCAGTCCTCTTTCAAATGGGCTCAATATGTCAAATCCACTGGCTCGCCGACAAAACCCGAAATTGTAGAATCTCCTCATGCATCACCACACCGCCTCGAGCATGATACGTCCTATAACCGACTTCTAAATCCCCCAATGCAATCTACCTCACAACTCAAACCGAATGGTATCCACTCTTCACCGAATCCCAATGGGAACTCTGTCGCCCCTCCTAAACCCATTCGGCAGGAAAGCTCTGATAATCTCAAGAGTTTCAAAGTTAGCCTGGAAGACCCTGCATGGAAAGTTTTACCCGCAGCGCTACGGAAGTACAAGATCAACAACGACGATTGGCAGAATTACGCCATGTTCATCTGCTATGGGCCTCCAAGTGAGTGGCATATCGTCCCCTTTGCGTATATCTAGTACCCGGAACATGTTGCCATTCAGACACACGTCCAGCTTGTGTTTTTTTTCACTTCTCTTGTCCTTGCCATCATCTGCATTCGACATACATGTTTTGTCGCACGCGCATGCATGCTGATCCATCCGTGTATCTAGGTAGTCGCATTGAGCGATGTCTCAGCTACGATGAGAAGCCGTTATTGCTTTTCCAGAAACTCAAAGACGCACAGAAAAACCCGGTATTCATGTTGAAACATATCAAGGATATACGTTCGCCTATCGCTGTTGCGCAGCAGAAGCAGGCTGCGCGAAAGGCATCGTCAAGCGACCCCGCCGCCGCCGCCGCCGCCAAGAAATTAGGCCCCGGTCATGCCCGAACGCTATCGCGTCCACCACGACTGCATGTACAGTCAGAGACTGCGCTAGGTAATTCCACAGGTGCTGGCGGGCATCCCGGTTCTCCGGAAGTCATGTCTCCTGCAATTGATAACCGGGAGCGAGAGGATCTTTCCGTGGATAGATTAGGTTTGACTCCCGAAAGAAAGGTGGTGCCAGGGGACAGAGCAGGGGAAGCGCCGAAGTCGGCGGTGCCGCTGACAGCAGTGACAGCGGCCTCGACGCCAGAGGAGTCAAGCGCAGGGGGCACTCCCGCGAGGGAAGTTCCTGTCACTTCAGATATATCGTACGCAGTGGCGATCTACCCGTACATGGCCGAGCAAGAGGACGAGTTCGATGTGGTTGTGTAAGTGGTCTTCGATGATGGCTGATGATACGAATCTTACTCTTTCTACCAGCGGAGACACATTTGTTATCATTTCTCGAGCCCGTGGTTGGTGGGTTGTGCAGCGTGACCCGACCGGCTCTGGTATCGTCGATTCAGATACGTCGAAGCAGGGTTGGGTTCCTGCTGGCTGTCTTTTGGAGACGAAGATTCCAGTAGCCGTCGCTATTGCTGAAGCACATGCAATATCTCCAGGATCACGACCACCAACACCGGACTCCAATCACAAGACTCCTATCTTGCCATTGAATATAGTGTCGACCAGCTTCCCTGGATACGCGTTGATGGATTATAAGAAGAAAGGCGAAGAGGAGTTGGACCTCCTGAAAGATGACAGCTTAAGAGTCTTCAAGCGGTACAACCATTGGTCATATGTCAGTCTGAAAATTATGTTGTCTATATCGAGGCTGAGACCAGTCCCATCAATAGGCAGTGAAAGAAGACGGAGGAGATCGTGGCTGGGTCCCGGTGAGTCTGCACTGATGGCATTCATCTAAATTTTGTTCAACTTCTTCTCATCACACATCACAGTCATGGTATATCGGCAAGGTCTCCTCTTCTGGAGCAACCCCGGCCACACCCGGTGTTACTGCTGTTCCCAATCTCAACTCCTCAGTCACTCTCGATGCGAACGACACACGGCTGTATTCTGGTGATCCCTCCATCAGTGGACCACAGCCCCAAGTATCGCCCATGTCTTCTGCATTCCCGCCTCAGGCTAGAGCTACGACAGTCATCTGAAATCCCAGGGTTAAAGCGAACACGCACCACCGTTCCTTGCTATTACAGCTCCTCTATACTTCCCATATCAGGCGAACATCACCTCCCATCCTCCTTCATTACTGTTACATATTTCCAGCTCTCGAAGTTTTCAGCAGCTCGTTTTTCTCATATTTAGTTATGACAGGCCATTCATTGTTGTTCCGTGTACCTTTGCACTAAAGTATCCCATCTATCTTTCGCTCTTCGCCTTTTGGTTCTCGTTGCTTATACCATGCGTTCACTCACGACATCTGATGTACATTACTTAGCATTTCGTTCAATATTTTCGGCCCGTGGCGGTCTAATGAAATCCGTCCGACCAAGGCGGCCTCTGATTGGCTGTTGGTCCCATGTGGCGCGGAAACAAAGCTGCCGTGTTACTAATGCATCAACTTGGATGATGTTCCAACAGTGTCCCAAACCGCTTCGGCGTGCTATGGTCTCCCTCTCTGCTCAGTTGTTACTTAGTTCAATCCGATATCCAGCAGCCGCGACAGTTGTTTGACGGCACCACCGGTGCCTACAGCTATCTTTCGAGTCATTCTGGCATTCACGTGCATGTTGCGACAGGCCGTGCCGTCCTACCGAGCAGGAAACGTCTCTTTTTCCGTGCAGAAAGGAATCAAACACTGGCAATGGCGGTATTGGTACATCCCATTCCCATCTCTGGTATGTCATGACGTCGGCATATGAAGGTTATCACTAGACTTCCAGCTGGATCATTGGCTACAACTGCTGGGGCGCCCATTTGCGCCTCTGCAGCCGGCGATCGGGTGGGCGGCTCGACCCGATCTCGGCTCTGTTTCAATCCCACCTCTTCTCCAGGTGTACTGACACTGTACTGACCGTATTCTTGGTCTTTCCAAGTTCCAACTGCTGCTTCTCAAATGTCAAAATCCTCGTGGACATCTTGATCGCGCTGTGTTTCATCATCATCTACTGGACACCGCTGTCCAGCTGTGGTTGTCGAGACCGGTTGCATCTCTGACTCCATCTCGAACCTCTTTGTTTGTGGTAGCTGTAAGGTGACAACTGAAGGGGTGTATCGTCGGCATGGACTTGTTGTAATGATGCCATGACGCGATGACTATGTCGGCCAAACAAGCTGCTGGATCTGGCTCGATCGGTGCCCTCCATGTGGACCTGGCAGGTCCAAGCCTGCTCCTGTCACATTTCTAGTAGTCACCGACTGCCTGGGTACGGTTTCAGCTACCAAAGTCTGGGTGTTCTGCTCTTCACTGCCGCTTTGGCTACGACCGACTGCGCTCCCTGCCGTCCTCTGGCGCGAACAGCTTTCGCTCGTTTTGCAACATGCATGGCAATCCCGAGCACAACACATGTAGGATGGTATGGACCGGGGACGGCAGTCTGTATCACGACTACTATCAGTGTTGGCTCTCGCTAGGTATTTGAGGGGGGGCTTTCTTCTGCCGATGCATCCAAATCACCCACTCGTCAATAGTACCTTTTGAACATGTACGCGAACGCACATCAATCATGGAACATGAACATGCAGGTACGTGTGTACAACCCGCCCACGAGCCTCCTGTCATTATGTTGATAACTTCATTGACAGCGAGAGCCAGTTCGGGAGCCACCACGGCCAGACCTCCTTATGGATGGCTACATTTCGCACACCTTTCAGTCTCAAAGCGCGGATCGGCACTTTCACAATGTTCTGAAGGCCTCAATAAACCAATTGTATATACAACACGATAGATTCGAGGGCTGCTTTTTCATCACCTTCGGCCCTGGAAGCCCGTCAATGGTCCTTGATTACTCCGTTGACTTAAGGCGAGGAAGCATAGTACCCCAACAACTTTGGATCCCCCACAGCCAAACCGATCAGCGCCAGCATGTCGACGACGCATGGCTTGGACCACCGACATTTTTTACTCGACAAGATAGTCCTATTGGCGTGCGTCTGGTAGATGCTACAGCCGGGTCCTTCAACACTCTCAACGGCGCAACCGAACCAGCCAGACTGGGCAACAAATCCACAATACATATCAGGATGAATGTGCGTCGCTTGTGACCGGTGGATCTCGAGACCGCATTGTTGACTGCGAGCTCGCTCGATGCAGTGGCCAGGATATCCCACCTATGATTGGAAACGTCAATTCCAGGCGAAAGATGAGACCGCGTCGAAGAACCCAATCACCTTAGGGAGGCTTATACGCCACGTGGGTCGTTCGGTGGATGCTTTCATTCAGGTAAGTTCGTCCTAGATATTGTCGTCCAGCTTTCTGATTATCGCGACAAACATCAGGAAGCCAGTAGGCACCATTGTACGTCTCCGCAATGGAGGTTTGGGCCGGGGGGACTCTCGCGCGACGACATCACCCTCATTGGTATCGTACACGTATCGGCGGGCAGCATCATGCCGATCCTCCAGATCAATCGATCCATCGTCGATCCTTCATTGCCCCAACAACTCCAAATCTGATGATGCCCGCTGTCCTGATAATCTGCAGACATTGCCTGTTCGTTTCGGTATTCTGATTGTTCCTGCATGTTTTCTTGTTAGCTTCCGAACCACATCTACTACATCCTGCATCTGATTGTCAGTACTTTTTCGCGCAATCGTAATAGTTTCACCACGATACCAATTTGTTTACCCGATGTTTTTCACGAGTGGAGGAGGATAGCAGGAGGACCCATCTGGACAAACTGCAGTTCGGCAGTAAATTACCTTTCAGGCCAATTTCGTCAGACATGGTTGGCGCGGAGACAGACAAAATACATTCCGCGAGCCACCGAGCGATCGCCGTGTTCCTAGGATTTCCAAGTTCAGCGTCCCTCTGCATCTTCTTCAAACCTCAAATCAATGATAAGCTAGTGTGGAGCATCAAGAACAACGCCAGACCTGTGCTCTCCGTTGGGCGTAAGTTATACCGTAGCTGGAGTAAGTCAGAGGTTCGCTGGAACTGCAGCATGCGAAGGCTGACGGTTCGCAGCAGGAAAGCACTGATCCACTCTCCAGCTGGAAGATGGGTGTATATGAAGCAATCTCGCGCGCCTCCCTGTCGCTAGAGGACTGCAATGCGGTGAATCCTTTTTTTCAATCAATAAAGCGATGCCCAATTCCACGTCTTTCGACACTAGGGAAGGCTTCGACAGGCCCCCAAATATTGTACTATGATCTCGCTAGAATCACCAAGGCGGTGCGCCGTCCCACGTCCTTCAGGGTCGCCCGCCCTAAGACACTCGTATCGATGCTCGTTGCTCATGTGAACCCGCCTGCAGACAACGCTCCGCCGACTACGACAGCCCATGGATGAGGCTCACTCGTCCAATCGGACATGCTGTAGTGCGCAAATGAAGCCCGAAACCGCGCACAGGCCGTCGGGGTATGGGGAATGGAACATGCAGCGCCGGACGCGCGGTGGAATTTTTTCCAGCTACAGAGCCTGTCTCAAACGTCTTGCGTCCGCCAAATTAACGAGCACCGAGTTCGAGGTTCACGAGACAAACACCGCAGGTGCGTCGGTTCGAAGGGGTCGCAGCTGCTCTTGAATGGTGGTGGCGGAGCAATCCAAGTTAGTGGACGACGACAACGTCTGCGCGACGTCCGAGATGGTAACTTTGGGAACATCATGCAGCAGTCAACCGTGTAGGATCGATCAGGACAGGCCAGGCTCACTTTAGGCGCGGTGATTGTGCAGTAACGCCACGATATGTAGCGCCGTGGACTGAGCGTTGGCCTCACGCGGAAGATCCCAAGCATGCTCTGCAGAAGCTGGGAGCAAGGCTGCGGAAGTGATTTATTACGAGAGGATGCCAATGAAGGAAGACCATTTTGATTTTCCCTACAAGGTCAAAGTAGCCGCGAGCAGCACAGTCTCCGTGTCTAAACTCAAGAAATGAATTTGCAGACAGCGAGGGGGACAGGCAAAGGTGGTGTATTGATGGCTAAGCGCGCAATCAGCCACAAGCGTCAATGAGTAAACAACGATTAATCCTTTGCCAGTTGTACAAGTGCATCGAATTAGGCCGGTCAGTGGCACTGAGATAGTGAAACCTCCCTCAATGTCCGACGTCCGAAAGTCTAGACAGTTGGTTCCACGGTCCCTGCATAGGTCGGAATGCGCGTACGGATCCCACTGCAACTTAGGGAGAACACGGAACAAAGATGGCACCATCCCTGGCCATCATGGTTTGATGGTTTGGAGGGGGCGAGAGTCTCTGTGTGGATCAGGTGTTGCACGAAATTCGGAATTCGGGCATTAGGCGCTGAGTGGTATATTTGGGGAGACTTTCGCACGAAAGAGACTCGTCGGGGGGATTCGGGGGGAAGGCACGGGGTTGTGGAGGCCCGCCTACAGTAAGATACGCTGAGGAAAGGGTAGGATATGATAGGATTGTGCCGACGGATGGCGGACGAGGTGGATCAGAGGGGCTGTACGGGTGCCGTGAAGGGCTGCTGGACAGCGTGAGTCGGAGGGAAAGCAAGACGCGATGGTTGCGTTGAGTTTGCAAATCGCTGGCGTTGAGTGCCGGATATGGGCACGGACAAGCAGCTGCAAACGGATGAGGTGCTCGCGACAATTCCGAATACCCTGCGTTATATATTCAATGTCCACAGCCCTTTGTCCGCAATTTTGTCTTCCGACGCTCGGTCACAGGTACACTCGTCTTCGACCCTCACCGCTCCCTCCTCACTGACCTTGAATTTATTTCTCGCCAGTTTTCTGCCATGTCGGTCACCCCATCCATCGCGGCAGTCGCACGGGTCGCATACCTTGCCTCCGACGTCGTCGTTGACTCGCAGTCCGCTTTTTCCAACTACTGGAAAGCCTCGCCGCGAAGCACACGGGGTGCTTCGTTGATCTCCATCCCACGCGCGGCCGACCCTGCATCAATCCTTCTCCGGGATCACGCAGCCTCTTTGCTCGCCTACACATCCTCTACCTCTCAGGCTTTGACCCGCCTCCTCCCCCACCTCGCAGAGCTCTCCTCGCTCCCCCTTGTCTTGCATCTCGCTACGGATAACGACCTATCCGACGCCGCCATTCTCCGCTCTGCGGTCCCGTACTTCCTTCACTCCTCTACCGCCCAGCAAGCCCATGACAATGCGCTGCTCGCTTCTCGTCTTGCGCGCTCCGAGAGGAAAGCAGTCGTTCACGTTTTCCACGTCGGAAGCCAGAACGAGACGGTGGAGGAGGTCGCAGAGGATCAGGTTCAGCCGTTTCTCATTGCAGAGAAGCGCTCCCCTTCTAGGGCCAATGGCCATGCCCACAGTCCCAGCATGTCCAGCCTTTCCTCTCCTCTTGCACACTCTTCCGCAGATCCTGCGACAGCCGACCTGCTCAAGGCTTACGAGTCCGCCGCATTGTCCACTCTCGCCTTGGTCCGCCGGACGCAGCGTCCGACCGTTCAGCATGGGAGTTCAGAGCCTCACACTGTCATCTTCATCCTCGGACGCGCAAACTTCGACTTTACAGTTGAAGGCGTCTCGTTCGTGGACATCTCTCTCGTCACCCCGTTCCCCTCCTCGCGCATCGCGAGCTCCATCCCCTCGTCCGCAAAACGGGTCATCGTGCTCGAGCAAATCGCCAAGTGGTCCATGAAGTGGACGCCCATCTTCCTCGAGATCATCAGCTCCCTTCAACATCACGATCCCGAGACACGGCCCGTCGTGCACAGTGCGACTCTCGGCGACGCGAGTTCCATTCAGTCTGACGACATTCTGAGCCTCGTCGAGAGCGCACAGACATTGTCCCCTTCAGAGCGCCTCATGCTCGGCCCCTCCGCCATCTCGGAATCTGCCCCTCTCGCAACGCCGCAGGTCCCAAAACACGAATCATCCTACACCAAAATCCTCTCCCACCTTTTCGGCGACCGGATGGAGATCTCCAACTCCCCCGCCCTCGTGTCATCCCAGGGAGAAATGGCCACGAGCCCCGAATTTGCTCTGGGCCGCATTCGCGGAGAGCTCGAGCAGCGCTCCGATCTCATACGTGCCGTTCAGGATCTCCTGCAGACTGGTGACGTCGAGCCCGAGCTCCACGCGCTCCTGAGCCAGTGGACCCTCGCAAAAGACGACGGTGTGAAGAGCCGGCAGCTCGGCATTGAAATCGTCGAAGCCCTCGAGACTGCATCCGTCGCGCACAAGGCTGCGGATCGCATCCTCGCCCTTCGAGCCCACTTTCCGGCGCTGTCGAGGTGGATCATCGGGTCCGACGCGTGGTCGTACGATCTGGGCTCCTCTGGCCTGCACCATGCCATCGCCTCAGGGCTCAATATCAACATCCTCATCCTCGACACCCTGCCGTATTCCTCGCGGAACTCTGGAGACCCTCACCGTCGCAAGCACGATGTCGGGCTGTACGCGATGAACCACGGCGATGCCTACGTTGCCAGCGTCGCCGTGTACTCGTCCTATGCGCAGGTTCTCCAATCCCTCATGGAGGCGGACAAATTCAATGGGCCCAGCGTCGTCCTCGCCTACCTACCCTATACGAGTGAAGATTCCGCGGCGCTTGATCTGTTGAAGGAGACGAAGCTGGCCGTGGACTCTGGCTATTGGCCCCTGTACCGCTGGGACCCGAGCAAGGAGGCGCAGGGCAAGGAGCCGTTTTCTCTCGACTCTGATGCCATCAAGAACGACCTACAGGCGTTCCTCGACCGCCAGAACCACCTCTCGCAGCTCGTGCGGTCGAAGCCCCAGCTGGCGTCGGAGCTGGTCAGTAGCTTGGGCGAGAGCGTGAAGGAGGCGAGGAAGAGGAAGGCGCAGCAGGCGTATGCGGAGCTGCTCGACGGCATCGACGCGCCACCGTTGCTGGTTCTGTACGCGTCCGACGGGGGCGCGGCGGAGAAGAAGGCGAAGAGGCTGGCGCGCCGTGCCCAGGCGCGGGGGCTGTCCGTCACGATACACTTCCTGGACTCGATGAGCTTGGAGGGTCTTGCACAGGAGGAGCACGTCGTGTTCGTCACGTCCACCGCCGGTCAGGGCGAGCCCCCGCAGAACGCGAGGAACTTCTTCAAGGCTGTAAACGCCGCGGTAGCGAAAGGCGAGAAGGTACTCCCGAACCTCAAGTTCTCCGTGTTCGCCATGGGCGACAGCCACTACTGGCCACGGGCCGAGGATGCGCACTACTACAACAAGCCTGGGAAGGACCTGGACGCGCGACTCGCGCAGCTCGGGGGCGAGCGCATCGCGGATCCGGGCCTCGGTGACGACCAGGACGCGGACGGCTCGGAGACCGGCTACAAGGTCTGGGAGCCGCTGCTGTGGAAGGCGCTCGGCGTCGACTCGATCGAGGTGACGGAGGCCGAGTCGGAGCCGATCACGAATGAGCACATCAAGATCGCGTCGCAGTACCTGCGCGGGACAATCGCGGAGGGCCTGGAGGACACGACGACGGGCGCGCTCGCCCCGAGCGACACGCAGCTCACCAAGTTCCACGGCATATACCAGCAGGACGACCGCGACATCCGCGACGAGCGGCAGGCGCAGGGCGTCGAGCCCGCGTATTCGTTTATGATCCGCGTGCGCATGCCCGGCGGCGTGTGCTCGCCGCAGCAGTGGCTCGCGATGGACCAGATTTCGGACGAGCATGGGTGCGGGAACTTTAAGCTCACGACGCGCCAGACGTTCCAGTTCCACGGGGTCATCAAGCGGCACCTGAAGCCTTCGATCCAGGACATCAATAGGGCGCTCTTGGACACTCTGGCGGCGTGCGGAGACGTCAATCGGTATTTGGTTTTCTCTGGCAGTTGATTGTTTGAGTCTAGTGGTTGACTGACGCGATTTTTTAAATCCCCGTTAGTAACGTCCTTGTGTCTTGCATACCGACCTACAACAAGTTGCACGCTCAGGTGTACGAATTTGCGAAGAACGTCAGCGAGCGCCTCCTCCCGAGGACCTCGGCATACCACGAGATCTGGCTCGACAAGAAGCTTGTGGCTGGCGAGGCTTTGCAGGACTTTGAGCCCCTCTATGGCGAATTCTATCTTCCTCGGAAGGTGCGTCCCCGTCCCTTGTGTAAATCTCGTCAACCTGTCTGACACCTGTATCTCAGTTCAAAGTGGCGATCGCGGTTCCTCCGACGAACGACGTCGATGTCTTTGCAAATGATGTTGGGTTCATCGCCATCATGGGCGAAGACGGCGAACTTGCCGGATTTAATGTCACTGCCGGCGGAGGTATGGGTGTCACCCATGGTAACAAGAAGACGTATCCGCGAACCGGTTCGGTCCTTGGCTTCTGCACGCCTGAGCAGGGTGCGGAGGTGGCTGAGAAGATCATGATCGTGCAAAGAGACAACGGCAATCGTGCCGAGTAAGTTGACGCTCTCTGATCGCTTTTGAGGTTCTCTGACGTCGTGTGTCCTCGCTGCGTAGCCGGAAGAACGCCCGCTTGAAGTACACCATCGACCGGATGGGCCTGGAGACGTTCCAGGCAGAGGTTGAGAAACTGCTTGGGTACCACCTCCAGCCCGCCCGTCCGTTCTCGTTCGACCGCAACACGGACGACTTTGGATGGAAGACCGGCGAGGACGGCAAGCACCACTTCACGTGCTTCATCGAGAACGGGCGCATCCAGGACGAGCCGGACCGCGACTTCAAGACGGCGCTGAGGGAGATCGCGAAGGTCCACAAGGGCCGCTTCCGGCTGACGGCCAATCAGCATCTGATCATCACCGAGGTCGCGACGGAGGACTTGCCCGAGATCAAGCGGCTGCTCGCGCTGTATAAGCTGGATAACGTGAATTTCTCTGCGCTGCGGCTGTCATCCTCGGCTTGCGTTGCGTTCCCTACATGCGGTAAGTGACGGCCACGAGACCCAAGTTGGTGTGCGTGCTCAATTGATGTGACCGCCCAGGGCTTGCCATGGCCGAATCGGAACGGGTGCGTTGATCCCTTTGGCGTTGACATTTGGGGGTAACTGACTGGGGATACCGCATATATACAGTATCTCCCTCTTCTCGTCGACAAGGTCGAGAAGATTTGCGAGGAAAATGGCCTTCGCAACGACTCGATCGTCATGCGCATGACAGGGTGCCCGAACGGCTGTGCCCGACCTTATATTGCTGGTTCGTGATCACCGCCGGCGATCGGTGGCCTCATGTGAGCTGACGCGCGCTGCAGAGATTGCATTCGTAGGCAAGGCGCCCGGGACGTACCTCATGCTGCTCGGGGGAGGCTTTTATGGGCAGCGCCTGAACAAGATCTACAGAGGTTCGTCCGCGTGTTGCAGCAAGCGTTCGTTCGAGTGCGAATTCCTGACCATCGTTTTCTTTCGTGAAACACAGAGAGCGTGACGGAGCCCGAGATCCTCGCCATCCTCGAGCCGATGATCAAGCGCTACGCGCTCGAACGGGAGGACGGCGAGCGCTTTGGCGATTTCGTCATCCGCGCGGGGTACATCGCACCGACGACCTCTGGGGCTGCGTGGTACGATCGTATGGGCGGCGAGGCGCCACACCGGGAGATCGCTCTCGCCGCGTAGTAGTAGTGTTCAGGTGGAGGGGTTTTTTTATCGCTGGGACTGGGAGACTCTACATCTAACGCTGTGCATTTGTAATCGTAATTTGTTCCATAACGCATGTTTATTCAGTCATATTCACAAGGCAAGCGTCTGTTTGAGAGCGCTTTCAGAGCTTGGGCTGTTCGCCGTTGGGTGATTCTGGGCGAAGAATGCCACTTCGCACAGGTCTGCAAGATGACGTACCGGTAGGAGGGTTTTTTTCCCTTGATCGCTGTCTCCGAAAATCAAAGAAAGTGTAGATGGGCTCAGTTGGCTTTCGCTGTGGGCGGCTGGCTAGCCAGTGCAAACATATGCTTGAGGCTAGGTGTATTGTTGATGGGCAGGTGCCCAACGTCGGATAACAATCCCTTATTTATGCTTAGATCTTAGCGAAAAGTGAATTTCAAAGTCGGGGCTGCACAGCAGCGGCAGACTCTCCGGAGGGGCGGCCTGCAGTGAAGGAATGAGCGATCAGAATTTGATTATACACGCTGCAGACACATTGTCCCGGAACGATCGGTTCCTCGTCATGCACTCTTACTTGTTGCCTCTGCGATCACCTCCTTCAGCACCGCGATGATGCGTTCGACGTCGCCACGCTCCGCGTTCGCGACCGTGGTGCCCATATGGCTGTAGCGAGGAAGAAAGTTAGCCTGGAGAGTGCAATATTAGGAGATGAGCGCCTGTGACTTACCCTATGCGGAAGTAGTTATCTAGTGGGAGGTGAAACGGGGTGGGTTGGTGAACGGTAGGCGAGCAGAGCGGGGTGGAAAGCAAACCTTTTTCCGCGCCTAGGCCACCTGCAATAACGACACCCTTCTTGAGGAAGAGGGGTAGTAGCTCTGATGACTTCACGCCCGGAGGACACCACAGCTTTCCCCTCGTGTCAGCCACAAATTCTCTACATGACGGAGAATTGTCTCAAGCTTACCGCTGTCATACCATTCGCAGCTATTGAGGGGTCAGCAGCGAGTTGCTTCAGACCGAGCTCTTTAGCCGCCGCCTTGAGGCGATTGCTAGCGTCCGCGTGGAGCTTGAAGCGCTCCTCGAGGGATGACGAACCCTTGACGATCTGTGTCAGGGATTGGTTGAACGCAAAGATGAGGTTGACTGGGGGGGTGGCGAAGTAGGCGGCTGATCCTTTCTCGTACGCTGTCATGATGGGAAGCCATCTTGTGCACGTTAGTGACGATCAAGTGAGTCGAAAAAAAATCATTTACCTCTTCCAGCTCGCATAGTACGAAGAGACAGGTGTCGATCGCGCTGCAGCTACCTACGCTCGGGTCTTTTTGTGAGATCAAAGTGATGTGACGCGTTGGCATTGCTCACCTGCAGTGCTTTCTGGCTGGCAACGACGACGCTGAGACCGGGGGGTGCACCAAGGCCTTTCTGGCTGGCAGATACGACTACATCGATGCTCCAGTCATCCATGCGAATCTCCTCGCTCGCCACGGCGCAAACAGCATCCAAAATCACGAGCGTATCTGGTGACACTCTCCTCACAACCTCAGCAACCGCCTTCGGATTCGACAGAACAGCTGGCGTAGAGAACGTTAAACAAATCGATATGAGTATAGCAAAGGTGAAAATAGACGTGCCTGTCGATGTGTCTACGTGGGTAATCGTGACAATCTTATACTTCTTGGCCTGCAACGCCTTTTCGACCTCTTTGAGGCTGACAGTGGTACCTAATTCGGCCTTAATTTGATCGACATTGGCGCCATATGTTCGGAGGCTACACGGAGCAATATCAGCAGACTATCGGGGCGCGAGTCGGTCTCTATACACACCAATCAGCGAAGCTTTCGCCAAAGTAGCCCGTGTTGAGCACTAGAGCATTCTCACCAGCCTCCACGAGATTCGAAGAAACCTAAGAATAAATGCGGGGCCCGACATGAGTTTCGGGAGAAGAGGACGATAGTAACAAGGTTGTTTACGCCAGCCTACCTGGTCCCAGCCCAAGGTTCCCGATCCTGAGATGAGGAATGGCTGTGCATCCTTGGAGTAGACGACCTCCCTGATCTTACGTTGGACGAAGTGAGCACGCGGATCAAGTAGTGCGCACCTTGTCATGCGTAAGCTGTCACCAAAGGCGGACACGAATTCCGCGGACATATGGGAGACGGAGGGGTGGGCGTTTGCGAAGAGGACCTGACCATGAAGCGAACAAGCAGGAATGAGGGTGCATTCGTCGTACGCGTTGTGAGAGACGGATGGAAGAGTGTACCTCATCCGTAACTTCGACGGGGCCAGGGATTCTGGAGATGATCATGGCTCAATATGCGGGGCGTTCATCATCGCGATGAGTAGGACTCACAATAGCAGCCTTTTGACGCAAAATCCCAAGTCATCCCTGTCAGCGTCAAACCCTCCAATGTATCCAATGTACTCACTTGTGCGGGGCCTAACGCGATGAGACAGAAATATTATCTGATCAGGACAACTCCGCCGGTTCACTGGGAGCCTTCGCCGTACTGAGACGCACCTGGTGGAAGCTTTGTGCTGACATGGTGCGTTTTGAGAAGAGATTGAACGCGCTGGGGGTAAATGGAGGGTTGTTGGTATGCGCGGGAGGAAAGATGGACACGAGTGCCCTGCGGATGAATGCTCGGGATAACATAAGTAACGGCACGCCGCGTCCCGCTGGTGACCACGCCGACACTCACCAAACATTCTTGGATCGGTCTCAGGATAAAGGTGGAGCGATAGCGGACTGGCACACACACTACTTCATTCTTATGGTTTTCGTATTTACGACGAGAATTTCACGTTGGCCGCCGTTGCAGAGCTAGAGCCGGAGAGCCGTGGCGGAAGTAACGGAACAGACGCTTGAGCGCCTGGGCTTTATCATCCCGCTGGCAGTCCTGAGACGCACGTTTGCTGCGACAAAATCAAGTCCGCACAGTGCGCGGATCATTATACAGCGCGAATCAAGGTATAGGGGTATACTGGGAGCCAGCTGTGATCGGTTCACAGCGTTGAACCAAATTCCATGTACGCAAACCAGAAAGATCCTCTCACATAGTATGACATTGATGATTACCGACCGGTAAGGGGACGAGAGGAATCCCCGTCCAAAGCACCATTCGTCTGCCCCCCACCGATCAAACCAGCTGTCGTCTTCTGCATGTCATTCCACTCTGCCTCCCGAGGAATCGCCAAATCCCCGACATCGTACACATAAAGCCTGCCATCGCTGCCACCCATGATGGCCCTCCGGCCGTCTTTGCGGTCCCATTGCAGCTTGTTAATAGAATGCCCTGGACTCACAGCCGTAGACACGACAGGAACCTTCGCAAAACGCCGAACCCTATTTAGCATGTGCACACGATGCAGGAATAGAAGAGAAGATACGGACCTCCGTGTCGATGTTCAGGTTCCACAGGTCGAACTTGCCTGATCCATCGACGGACGCAAACAGTGCAGGGTGTGCAGGATGCCATTTCACGTCGTACACGTAGTCATCTGCCTCTTCAAACGAGTAGATCGGCGCAACATTATGTGCCGTCGTCGATGTCTTCGCCAGCGACCTGGCTCTCCACAGCTTGATGGTCCAGTCGACAGAACAGGTCAGGAACAGGTCGGAGAAATCCACAGGCCCGATGGTGGGATGAAAGTGCAGTCCCATGACGGGACCTGAATGGCCACGGTAAACGTCATACTGATTAAGCCCCGCCTTTGCGCCCGCGCGGTCATAACGGTTCGCCTGGTAGATGTTGCCTTCCTCCGTGCCTACCCAAAAGGTTGTCGTCTCATTGTCTGGGAAGTCCAGCGTCGTGATCGATACCTCATTGGTTTTATTGTGGCCTGCATGAACGAGCTCAAGTGTTTCCTAATGTTTTTTTTTGAGACACGAACTGCACCAAGAGTGGGGGGCTATGAACTCACCTGTGGCTGCGCTAGCATGTCCACCAGCCAGCTACATACCATGCCATCTGTGCTGCTGGTAATCAAGTTGTGCGCATTCTGTGTTCCAACCATCTGCATCGCATACACCGGATGTGTATGTCCGGCTGCGGACAGCGGCGTCTTCAGAACCGGCAGATGTTTCGATCGTGTGTCCCACAGTAATATCTGGCCCGAGTAAGTCCCGCCAAAGACAAGGTTTGAATGGAACGGTGAGAACGTCACGGAGAGGACATCGGACTACAAATAGGTGTCAGTTACTAATCTTCAACAGGCGACGTGAGTAATTGCCTGTGAGTGGAAGACAAATTCTGGTCGTTCGAGGAGGTGCAGATTCCATACAGCGACGATACCGTCTGGTTCGTTCAGCGCAGCAGGGTTTTTGTTGTATGATGCCACGCTAAGCTCGGGGAACTGACATACGAGGTCAACGATACCGTAGTGAGTGTAGGGATATCATGGGTACCTTTGGAGACCAGTCCACATCCGTTATGGATCTGTTCTTGCACTGTTGCTCGTCCCAGAAAGCGCATACTTGCTTGACACGCTTCCCTTCGGAGTCGTCCCTGAATGGTCAAACCTTGTCAAATGTCTTGCGCGCTAGTGTTCATAGAAGGATGATACTCACGCTCCTGTCTCTGCGCCTGAGGTATAGTCGCGAATATAGTCATAATTATCGTTCAGAGCTCGTTGCACAATCTTAGATGACTGCTCAACGAAATCCAAAAACTCAGGTGCGGTGAAGATGCTCGTCCTTTCCTCCTCAGTCAGCTCTGAATAAATTGCTCAGTAACAGAAGATAACAAACGCAAACTGCTGGTTGCTGAAGACACTCACCCCGAAGCGCTTTCTCAATCTCATTGTCAAGCTGAACGCTCTCCTCTTCGAGCTCCTTCTCCCTTGCTCGTTCAGCGTCTAATAAGTCACGCTCGTGAAAGATTCGCTCCCGGATCTCTTCCTCGTCAGGTCGCTGTGCAGGTTCCTCAAAATAAGTTGTCTGGATCTCTTTGTTATACGTAACACGCTCCTGATTGTACACGCTGTATGAGCTGGTTCTGCACGAAGTCAATAGTAGGGCGTACCCGTTGGGGTAATTCAAACAATTCCTGCTCTACGTCGATCAAGTCCGGAATCAAACGCGGCGTCATGGTCCTTCAAGGATATTCACATCTATGGTGGTTATCCAGAGAACAGGTACGCACCGGTCAAGTATATTGTCAGTCCCGGAGTTCATCAATGTGGTACCCATGCTCAGCAGGTCAGAGGCAGCATCGCTCTGACGACTGACTCTTCCAGATGGATTTAGGCCCGAAGGGCCAGGGAGATTGATTGCATGCCCCAAGGACGGTGTGCCGGGCACGGAGGGAGAAGGGGTCATGTCTGGTGTGCGGAACGAAGACGAGCCATCGCCAACGAGTTGGTTCACAAGTTGGTCGACGTCCCTGCGTGCAGCAGAAGGAATATTTGCCTCAATTCCCGGTGGGGAGTCAGGTTGACGATGAAAGAGGGTGGTATGTTGAGCTCACTGTATCAGAAATTCGCCTCTCCGCTTGTCGGTCCTGCCGCGCCTTGCGAAGCTCGGCGAGCTTAGCACGCTTCGCCTCAATCTCTGCCCTTCTCTGATTCACTGACATTGCTCCGGGCGCGTGTTGGATTGTATATAAATCGAGTCGTCTCCGAGGCGGTCAAGGAACGGAGCAGTCGAGCAAGACGGGTCGCTACCAGAGCGGCCACGTGCGATCGCGCTGTTGACGCGCTGTTTGGCAGAACCTCCTTTCACTGTACCTTCAATCCGAGTCATCTCATTTGTTTCCCCATCTCCTCGCCCTTTTATCTCGTTCATATAAGCAATATTTCATTCGTGCATGGCTTCATCATCCAATCGCGGACGCAACAGTGCGGGTGCAAGGAAAGCCGCCGGCAAACGCGAGGAAAATAACCGAATCTACGCGTACCCTATCCCGCTTGTGCTCGATGCCCCGGAGAGCAATGCAGTCTCATCGGTCTTGGGCCTGTTCGGCATATCAGCATCGCGCATTGTCAATCCTCACTGCGAAGGTATATTTGATCCCACGACACGCTCCGTGTGGGTCACGAATGCCAAGGATTCCATGATCTTGTGGAGGCGCGGCTTTTTTGGAAAGGGTAATTTGTCACGGAGCGAGCCTAGTTGGCTCGCACGAAAAATCAACACCCGCAATGCTGCTGGAAAATGTATGTCTATGTTCATCAAATGATAGCAAATGATAGTTGATGAATGAAGTCTGACACCTCAGACATGACGTCGGAAGAGGTCACTGCCAAACGGAGAGCCGAGAGAAAACAGTTCAAGTTAGATCGAGCACGAGCCATTGCTGCTGCTGCTGCGGAGGCAGAGGCCGCGTTTGCGGAAGGCCGCATTATCCCAGCCGAAGAAACGAAAGCGTCCATCCCATCTGCCGCAACGTGGAAACCGTCCACTGTCCATGCTGGAACCGTGAGTTTACCGGAGACACCACCGGAACAGGATGAAGATGATGCTGCGGAGCTTCTTGAGGATTTGGAGCACCTGCAGCTCACCCTACCGGAGGCGTTTTTCCTGATCTGGGCGCTCGATTGCTTGACTGTCCTTGATCCAAAATCAGTGAGCATGATTCGCACGTCGCTGCACAAGTGCTGATCGTTGTCCGCAGCTGGAACCTATGACCCTTCCAGACATCTGGCTGGCGTTTCAATCTGCCCATTTACCGACCTATGCCACGCTTCCCTCGCCCCTTACGCTTCCCCCGCGCGCCGATAACCCCTTCCTCATCAACTATGTCTTCCATCATCATTACCGCTCTCTCGGGTGGGTTGTCAAGAATGGAATCAAATTTTGTGTAGATTATCTCTTGTACAAACGGGGACCTGTATTCCACCACGCAGAGTACGTTTCTTGATGCCTCCACTCTTTGATCCGATTTCACGTGCGGTCCCACCAGATTCGCCTTGGTCCTCATACCGGTGTACGAGGATCCAGACGATGCAAAGACGTCGCCTTTCGATCTCCAGAATGTAGCACCGTTCAGTTGGCAATGGCTGAGTACTATAAATCGTGTCAACTCCCAAGTGCAAAAAGTAATGTTACGTGCTATATTTGCCGGTAGCTGTGCTGATACCATGCCTCTGCCAGACACTTATATTGTCTTATGTGACAATCCCGGCCTTGTCAAGGCTTGGGCCCCATATGCTTCAATCCCCCGCGTATCTGACACAATACTCAATTCGAGAGATTGCCGTACGGCGCTTCATACCCGCCAGAATGCGGGATTAAACGTCGGTGGGGTGATTCGCAGACTAGGATATCTCGTGCAACTCATCTTGCTGTGTGCGCTCAGGGTTCGGTGACGGCGCATACCGAATTCGCATTGGGCTTCCAAGTGGGAGAAAAAGGAGGTGATGCACGAGACGATAGGATCAAGGGTGATCCATGTGAGGGATCTGAGTTACCTCGGGGGAGTACATAAGATCACGTTGTTGAACCCAAGTTTTGTATTCCCATACGGCTCCCACGGCATTGGATCAAGCCTGTCGTCTTCTGTTGTCTTACTTATGAGAGGTTGGTCCGGGCCCCAGTTAGTTGCCCCGCAACGACCCATCTTCAGCAGCTTCTAAGTTCCATTTTTTGCCCAGGGGGTCCCCAAATTGCTAATTGCCGTGCTTCAAGTTCCCATATCCTCCCACTCTCTCTCTGATTATCCATCACCTTTCCTTCTTCTCGACTAGTATCACGTACTTATGCCAGAAAATGACCCTTTCGCCTCCACCTACATATCCTCCAAGCATCTCTTCTCTTTAAATCAATCGTCCAATATCCCCCAGGGCTCCTCTTCAGCACGTCCCTTGTCGTGGTACCCATCCCACTACTCGCAGAATATGGCTGATCGTACTTGGAAAGGCGGAGCGCGCGTCGAGAAACAGCCAGGCACTGAGAAGGACGCCTTATACAGCCACACTCAAGGCCATTTTGACGATGTTCTTGACCTCTCCCCCTCCATACCTCACTCCCTCAGCAACAGCATGCTATCTGTCGACGTGCCTGCGTCTCAAGCACGCCGTCACCCGCATTCCGACTCTTCACCATCCTCAGCGAGTCCCTCGTCGGCGCTCAGCGGCTTCGGCGCTTCATTGCCTTCTGCCATCGCTGGGGCTCATAACGCAGCGTCTCGTTCTCGTAGGCCGCGCAAAGAGAAGCCGCACATTGCACTTGCGCCTGACCAGCCCCCAACGACGCAGGGGAAGCCAAGGACCCGCGTTTTCGTAGCATGTGTCCAGTGGTACGTGCTCTGCCAGGCTCTGTCTTCACAACACCCGAAACATGCTGATCATCACGTGTGGCGCTCTAGTCGTGGGCGCAAGATACGTTGCGATGGGGCGAAGCCCATCTGCTTCAATTGCATGCAGAGGACAAACCCAGATAGCGAATGTAACTACGACCCTGCCCCGAAGCGTCGGGGACCTGACAAGGTTCAAGGTGCCCGCACGCGCTCCGCTAGATCAAAGGACGATTATGGAGAGCCAGTCAAACGTAGGCGCCGTAGAACGACGAACTCTTCCGACGTACCGGCGGAGTCTTCGAAGGCAGGGGATCATGGTCCACAAGCTGCTCTCCCTTCGATCATGGCAAGAAGCTTTCCCGAAATCCATGATCGCCAGTCAGATTCGACTTCTTATAGTCCCCCCAATCTAATCTCGCTCCCGAGAATCAATCCTAGCTTGTTAGGGCATTCAGGAAGCAATGTACGCTACACATCAGATACGTCGTTCGATCAAGGGCCACTCACCCCAATTGCACCCGGACGCGCGGCTGTACGTTCAACCTCTCAAGTCATTTCACACTCTTCGTTGACATCACAGCTGTTGCCGTAGACCTCTTCGCATCAACAACTCGAAGCATCGCGCGGCTTTGATATCATCATGCCTCATATTTTTATTACGAACACGGGTCCGATAGCCCATAACCTATCTGCTGACGGTATACCGGATGATGAGCAAACAGAGTACAATGTGATCGCGGAACCTTCGCTCCAATTCACCCGTAAGGTCTGGTGGGATCATCTGGTGACCCTCTACACCTCGTTCTTGCACGGAACAGCTGCTCAGACTCATACTCGCGCCCAGCGCGACGTGGGAGCACAGCGAATTGTCAATGACCTGCGCTTTCTCTTCCGGACCTCTAGCTACTGGTTCTCGTTCATCAACGTTCCCCGATTTTACAACAACTTCCTGAATCCCACAAAAAGGAGCGTAATGCAGCCCAGTTTGGTACTCGCATCACTCGCGGTGTCGATATACCTTCAGAGCTCAGAACTAGGAATGGGTCAAGAAGGCAGAAGAATGGCGCTCAAGCTGAGGGATGAAGCTCAGGGCATGCTGCAAGCCAGTTTGAATGCTCGGTGGGTCGACGAGTCACTGGCGCAGGCAGCCTGGGTCAGTACTCGTTGTTCTGCCTTAGGAAGGGTAGCTCTAACTTTGGACTTCTCTTCTTAATAGATCCTTGCGTTCTTCGAAGTCTGCGCTCACCCTGATCATCTTCTACAGCGCGTAGATTCTGCCCTAGCTGTGATGGACTCGGTAATCAGAACGCTTTCGCTGACTTACTTGGATCTCGATAACCCTCAGGCATCTGCGTATGCCCGGCACGCGGTCCCAGCTATTCCCTGGCAGTATCAGGCGTCGCAAGCTTCTGATCAAAAGTATCCCGCCAGCAACCTTGGACCCATCCAACAACCCCTCGCGACACAGTGGTCTTCCACCGCCAATCAGTCTGTATTTTCGCAAAGCCACAATCCCGGCACTTACTCAAAAGGCTGTACGTGCGACTCTCTATCACTTGGCCAGCAGTGGCCCGAAGCGCATGAACAGACTCCCTTGTGGTTGTATACGCCTGCCTGGAATAGGGAATGGACTGAGTGGGAGGTCAAAAAGGAGGAATGTAGAAGGCTTGCCTGGAGCGCTATGACGCTCGCCGCAGGTTACAGCGCTTACACTGCAGCGATAGGATTCAAGCAGCCAGAGTTATTCGTGATCGATCCGGCGAACGTGCGTGCAGTCTACGGCCCTGGTGTCCAGCTGATCTTGTACTAACATAGATTTGCCAGTATACTCTCCTCTTCCCAGGTGAAGCGCTGTTACTCTCCCAGTCCTACCTGGTCAACAACACGGGAAAAGAGACTGTGTGGGCACTGTATCTCCGTGCGATGTTGTTATGGCACAGCTGCTTGAGTTTGCGGACGGACACGTCGATCAGCGAGGCGGATAAGGCTGACTTTGCAATCCGCGCCTGGCTTGAGACTGAGGCAATCGAGGAGGCGCTGAACAAGCACGTCTGTGGGGTGGAGCGTTCGTCCATGTACTCTGGGAGAGAGTATCTCTTCAAGTGCGCTTTTTATCCTCGAGCGTTTGTTCTCGAAATGATCTCGGATGCTGATATCGATGAATGACACACCCACAGCACCCGCATGTGCATTTCATTCGAGTTCCGCCGTTTCATTCCTCATGCGTAAGTCGCAGTCACAGTCTAACTCGGATGGTTCAACCGCATTTCTCCATTCACTCATCTTCGTGTGTTAAATTGGCAGGCTGACAGGGCCCAGCCGCGAGAAGTCTATTGAATGGTGTAAGTGCTTGTTCCATCAAACGAATTGCACCCGCGTCGGCATTAATGAAGTATCAACCGTCTGCTTGTGGTGTATCTAGTGCGCGAACAGGAACGCAGGGCCAAAGCTGTGATGCAAGGCATGCACGCTGTCACGGGCAACATCAAGCATAATCTCTCTCAGCGGCCTTGGTTCGTCTGGTGGTTCATGGGCCAGGTATCCCGGTTCGTTGCTCGTCTTATGTTTTTGGGCGCTCCAAGACTGATCTCACGTCATCATAGTGCGCTTACCCTCTGGTCATTCGACAGTTCGTTAGTCTTCGCGCTCGATGTGTGCAAAGCCTTTCTAGAACCCATAGACTTTCTCACGTCCATATATCCTTGTCAAGGTGCGTATGTATCTGCATCGTAATTCTAGATTACTGACTTCCTCGTTTCGTCGTGCCACTAGAACAACGCAAGCGCTATGACGATCTCCTTGAACGCGTCAGGCGAAGTTGTTTATTGGCAGGTGTTTCCCCTCCAGCCCATAATTACAACATTCATTCCATTCCTTTCTAACCGACATCAATCTTGGACTTATCCCTCCGGACCTATCCTTGTACTTTATCTGTATCGTTATCGTCTACCACTGCACCTTTCTTGTCCTCTGCATAATTCGAGTGTACTGTACATACATGCCATCGTTATCACGGACTAGAACGCTATCACTACTCCTGTATCGAGCTTTCTGTCGCTGCTTTGCATCTTGGACTTTGGGTATCGCCTTCTTGTTGCTTACTCTCGCGTTTCACAATACAGGTCATTTTTGGCACCCGATGATACCGCAATGATCATGCAATAAATACGCGAAAAAAGAGGACAGCGAAAGCGAATAGATCGATGGTCACGACAGATGAGAAGTAGTACAAGACCTATATTCTTCCTTTTATTTCGACCTTGCGGTATTTCTCTTCAAATGCCTGTCCGAGTTCCCCCGATGCCGCCTTGCAATCAAGTACTTTCTCAGCATCAGAGCTGTTCGGATTGACGAAAAGAGCAGCGCGGTGTTGCATGAGGAATTCTCGGGTCTGTGCGTACGTGTCGAATGCCAATTCTTGGTGGATGAAGGTGATCGGCAATCGTTGGTATCTAGGTAGCGAAAATAGATAGATAGCGAGAGTATAGTGTTGGTATCAAGCGATCAGCAGTAGTTGATGAGGGACTCACGCCCGAGTCATGACGAGCAACGCTCGTATCCTCTCCCTGTCAATAAAATGATCCATGATATATGCACCCATGTTCGGCGCATCGATGTACAGCTCGAAAAGTGCGTGGTAATTGCCCATCGAGACCGCACGCTGAACCGCAAGCGCGTGTCGCACGGCGGCATCCGATTTCTGTTTGGGCGTTAGCTGACCTACGTAAAGGTTTAATTCTGTGATGGCCCCCGTATTCTGATGTCAGTTGGCATGAATAGGGCAGTGAGGTGAGAAACAGACCGCTTCTATTGCGTCCATGCAAAAGCATGAGGATGCGATAGGCAGTGAATTCCTCGATTTTGCCAGGAATCCCGATTTCATATAACGTCTTCAGTGAGGCCTGACATTGATTGTATTCTACCATATCACCCTGGTTCCATGCTGAGTGAACGAGTAACTCGACTGGATGCCACGACTGAATGCGACTTACAACTTCAAGTGCCATCCGAGCGTGGATCTCATACACTGCCACAGTGAATTCATTTTTTATTCGCTGAACCTGTGGATTTGACTGGATCATGCTGTTTCATCAGAGAAAACAGAGGAACGCACGGTGAGATCTTGTCGTAGACTCTTGAATTGGCTGCAAATCCAGTTATAATTATTCTTCTCTCTCCATCGTTTTTTGAGTTCCGTAAGAGTCTGCTGAAGAATGGGATAGGGCCGGATCTGTTCTGGTTTAGGATCCTGCCACAGGCATTCAACTCAACATCCGACCATGCACACATTCTTAGCTTACTGAAGTCAATCGCAAATAATCTTTGAATGTTTCTTTGGATGTCCCGACAATAGTGTGTCGATCCCAGTTCGGCACATTCTGCCCCACACATGAATTCCAATGAAAAGTAGATCTATGAAGGTAGTGCAGGCGAGACTCACAGGATCCGCCTCAGGATCGTCCAAGTTTGCAAACGGCGATGCAGACCGTGAATGCATGGGGGCGTTGAAAAGATGAGCGGTATTATGGTTAGCCTTGAGAGACGCCTGACCGCCACCAGTACGCGACTTCTGTTGCTCAATCTCATGCTCCCGTTTGAAACGCTCTGCTCGGCGATTCAGAGCAACCCGGTCATTGAGATCCAGCGCGTTCGTGGTTGCCGATTTGCTGATTTGAGACTTCTTTTGCTTCTTGCTGTTTGCTGACGGGGACGCATGTCTGGATAGCTCGCAGAGTAATGTGTAATCACAGATTGAGCGTAATGAGACCATCACGCACATTTTCCGCTTGAGGCTGCCGGATGCTGGGAATGGTTTCGGAAGCAAACTTGTAGAGATGGGAGCGTGAAAAGTACCATTGACCCAAATGACAAAGGAGCACACCTTTGTAGCTGTACACCAGCCCAGTCGGTAGTCCACAGAGTCTTTGAGCTGTAAGCGTCAGATATTACCTGTCGTAGCTCTGTTTGCGCCTCTTCCCTGTTTGAATCTGTCATTTGTCCTAGACACGAAGCAACCCATTCCCTGCGATGCGGCTGGTGTCAGAACGCAGTGACCTAACCGAACCAAATCGCACAAACTTCAGTGGTGGCGGCCAAGACTCAGCAGCAGTAGACATGTTAGAGATATGACTGTGTTAGACGAGTACTGAAGACGCTGGCCTATAGGTGTAATGCGTAGATAGCAGTGGACGGAGGGCAGGGAGGATGACTGGTAGGAGGGTCAATGAGTCCGACGTTGCTCTATCGGTGCAATGGCTCGTGGGAAAATTATATGAGCACCACAAATTTAGCGCTACGGACCCACAAGGCACCTCAACATTAACATTTCGAACCAAGTCAATAGGGCAAAATGTTGATGTTGTGATGAAAAGGCTGCAATAGCGAGTCTCCTCATTCACATTGGATCAATGGCTATGAGGCCGAAATAGACATGAACCGTTCATTTCTGTTGAAAAAGAATATTACAGAGACACTGGTAGGTAAGGCCCTGTTTAATATAGAGAAAGCACACGGTTGTCGTATCTCTAGTGGCCCTTATCTACCGGCGGGCTGTAAACTATGAGGCGAGTAATAGACTGTGAGCACATCAGCCAAAATATAGGCACGGGTTCCACGCACAGATCTTCCTGGACTTGATGACCGACCACTTGAAGCGCTTGACATACAAGCTGATGGCGGTGAGGGCAGAGAACAAGATGACAGCCTTGAGACCCATCTTCTTTCGCTCATCGTGCTCAGGCTCTGCAGCCCAGTTCAAGAAGGTTGTAACATCCTTGGCTAACTGCGAGGTGGTTGCGGGTGTGCCTATGATGAGATGGATTCTAGCCCAAGGAACTTCGCGCTAAATGTGAAAAAGACATACCATCGTCATACTCGACGAGGCCGTCGAAGATCACACGAGGCATAGAGATGGCACCGCCGGGGAAATAAGGGTTGTAGTTCATGCCCTCACGAATTTCAACACCAGCAGGGGCGTCGACGTAACCCGTCAGCAGGGAGAAGAGGTAGTCCTGCGGGTAAGACTGGGATGAGCTTCTCGACATATGGCCAACGAAAGGAAGAAAAGTCACCGCGCCGCCATGACGAGCCTTCACGATCAAAGAAAGGTCAGGAGGAAGAGCACCACCGTTAGAAGCACGGGCGGCCTCCTCGTTGGGGTAAGGAGCGGGCATGTAGTCCGAAAGCTTTCCGGGCCTCTGGAACATCTCGCCCTGGTCGTTCGGGCCGTCCGTGTACTCGACCTCCTCGGCCAAGGCCCTCGCTTCATCGGCAGTATGGGACACACCGACGAGGTTGCGCCAAGCGATGCGGTCAAGGGAGTGACATGCCGCGCAGACTTCGCGATAAACCTGATAGCCTCTCCGAATACTACGACGCGTGGGATTGAAGGGGGAAGAGGTATAAACACAATGAGCGGATTGTTAAGGCGTGACAGGTCAAGAAAATGTTACCTGGCATGGTCGAAGGTGTTAAGCAAGCCCTTGTGCGACCACGGGTAGGCGGGCGGGTGAAGGCCATCCTCGGCGGGAGAAGAAGCGTGCACTTCACCAATGAAGGGAAGGCTGCCGTAAAGATGAGTGTACCATGCTATCGAGCCAGCGGTGAGCAATGTTGCCGAGGCGAGGGTTGCACGGGAGTTGATGAAGGACTTTTGATAAATTCATCAGCATGCTGAGTATGCTTGTTACAGGAGTAAATCAGGCTCACCTGAGCAGCATTCGAAGACGCAGCACCGGAGGACGCGAACCGGACCTGCTGCTGGCAATAGAGAGAATTTAGCAACAGGACGTTGGCCATAGGCTCCTTGGAGTAAAACGACATGCTCACAGTGCCAGAGCGCGTCGCCGTTCGCAGAGACGCCGAGCGAGCGGCCGCGAATGTCGCAGAGTTGTTGAGAGCAGCCGCAGGCAGCCTCGACAGCATTTTGGATGGGAGAGTTGGGAGGAAAGGATGTCACGCACTTTGTGACAACAGCTTGCGGGTAGATACGGAACCGTCCCCCCTAAGCGAATCATATTCCGTCCATTTTGGCGTCAAGGCTCGAAGTACTCAACCGTACGACTAGGCTCTTCTTCCTTCGCTCTCACTTGACTTGTATCCTCTTCGTATCTTGGAACGAACCTTGTTGGCACAATCATCTTGGGCCGCGCATACCAGTCGGGCCGGTCTGAACGAGTGTCCATTGTCATCAATGTCACTCACTGTGGACATGTACGACATGTCCAGCCAGTCGAAGTTTTCATTCTGGAATCGAGTACAGTACACAAAGGCACCGGTGGGGCTATATAACTTCCATCGTTCAAAGCGGCGTCTTTCATACGAAAACGCGACTACTTCTAGCCTCAGCGGACCCTGCCTTAGATAATTCTTGTGAATACTCGCAATGCGGTGCCATCAAGCTGGCTTCTCGTGCGCGACTAGGACAACAAATATGCGGAACTAGAGCGGCGAAGGTAGACTCGAGAAGAAAAGGAAGACTCGCATGGACTCGGAGAATGCCCTCGTTGACCGATATGACTGATCCACTGGACCATAACGAGACCTGTGACTGATTCTCCGAGGGTAGATCAACCCGGCGGCTCAAATCGCACGAGGACGGAGGACGTCAAAAAAATCACAAAAAACATTATCATATCATGCCGTAGCCGTTACAAGTCAGTGGCCGGACATCCACAGACACGGGGTGTAACTGGATGTGAAGAGCGTGGAAACCGTTAAAAAGGGAAGAGTACAGTCAAATATATATTAGAAACGTGGATCAATCAGAAGAGACGGCGTCCCGATGGGTTCGGCGAAAAATGTGAGATGAGAGGGTGAGACGCCTAGAACAGACAGTCGCATAGTTCTGACAGGATATATCCTTGTAAGCACAATACGGCGAGGCAAGAATGCTCGACACGCACCTTCCGCACAGCAACACAAACAGACACCCGCCAAGCACGCTGTGCACGTTCCACCACCCGATGACTGCTGCGGGGCAGGTTGCTGACTGGAAAACGAACAATGCCACCATTTCGAACTCGATTAATATCATGTGTGTAGTAACTATATAGAAGGCGTACACGTAGACTGTCTGTGGTGGGGGCTGGGGCTGGTAACCTGGCTGACCGCCATACCCCTGATAGGACTGCGGCGGCTGTTGAGGATAGTAACCCTGTCCTTGAGGTGGACCTGCGGCAATAGGAGAAAAAATTCAATCGGTCTGTCAAGGTCGCCGCATAGAACGTAGGATCACTACCTTGTGGTGGGTAATACTGTTGCTGCTGCTGCTGGCCGCCAGCGTAATAATCTTTGTTGGACATGATGTGGGACGAGAGGAGGGATGGTTTAACGAGGGATCTGACGACGGAGCTGACCCGCCGCACGGCCGAGGCCTTATATACGGCCGGCCCGGAGCCTACCCATTTGGAAAGTTCACTGTGCGATGCCACTGCGATGTCTCATTCGATTGCCCGGCCATGTGGCATCCCGCTGTTTTGTTTTGGCCACTGCCACTAGCCACTGCCTCATTGCTGCTGCGGTTGGGCTATGCGAAGACATAACACAGCATTTTCGCTCCTTCTAAGTCCTCGTGCCAGGGAAGTTCCAAGGAACAATCGTGAGCACCTCGTATTGTTGATGACCTACAAAACCTCCACTGAGGGCCAGAGGCCCGAGCTAACCCGAGCTGGCCTGAGATGCATTAGCAAAGTGCTCCAAAGAAACCGAAGCTACCAGAGCTCGATGATCAGATCTCTAGAGTTGTACTGTATAGCTCGTAACCCACAATGCTGTTATGAGGGTTGTCATCGATTATTTTTAGACAATGAGCGGCGTAATCGTAGGTCGGTCTGAGGTAACCATCACACATCCGTCCCTTGCAACCGCCATTCTGCTTGCCCATGTTCAGCAGATGCGTGAAGAATGATGTATGTAGAAGGTATACTCTGTTTGTGAGCGCCGCTGAAGATTGCGAAGCCTCAACGCAGGATGGTCCTTTGCTCATCATCATGTAAGCTCTCTTAACTGGTCCATCCGCGTGCGCCTACGTGACAGATGCTAGCCAAGCTTCCATGATTCCACAGTGACTCCATCGCATGGTCGTCAGTCAGGTTTTGGCAAACAAACCTCTTGTTGAAACTTGCAATCTTTCTTGTAGAGCTTTGCTGAACGCTCATCCCGTCACGGATCCAGCAATGCTTTAAAGAAAATCATTTCACTGATTGTCATTTGTGCGAACAAATGTTGTACTCATCAACATAGAAACCAGGCAGCGACTTTTGGACTTTCCCGGGCTCCCGCGGTAGCCGAATAATCTGGAGCTGCGCCTTGTTGGTGTTCCCTTGTATTGAATAAAGTATCGAACCGAGCCAGGTGTTACCTGGATGAGAAGCGCTTCTGCCTAACAACTGCAGTCAGAGCTATAGATGGGGACCCAACCTTCTAAATCAAGTATAGAACCGAGTAGTATCAAGATGGCATGTAACTCACACTTTTTTGATCAGATAAAAAATACAAATCCCAAGATGACAGCCGTAGCTGATTGAGAGTCAAAATTTGCCGAGCCATAGCATACACAAGAGCCAGGAAGCGAGATATACAAGATGCGGAAATTCACGGCCGCCTCGCTGAGCGGTCTACTCGCAAAAAAATTCCGTATGTGCGGAAATAATGAAGATAATCGATATATGGAGCGCGCGTGTCATTTTCTGTGAAGCAGAGTCAATAAGCAGTCGCGCTTGTCATACGAAAGAGCAAGAGGCAAGGAACTTAGAAGGGGCTCGCGGGGTGCCGTGAAGATCTAGAAGCAAAGGCATACATTCGAGCTCCTTGTTGTATGAAAAACTCCGTCAACTGGGTTTGGCCTACAATTCAAGAACGCTCATCAGAACGATGTCGAAAATGAACCGCCGGTTGACTTACGAGGCGCAACATAATTCAGGAGAGGCCGAATCTCGAATGGCCCCGTCCATGCCTCAGTCAAAACAGTCCCGCTCTCCCCGACGCGAATCATACCAGTCGCGTCCGTGCTACAAGGAGTACTCTGAGTGCGCAAGTACACAAATACGATCACCCTTGTGGGGTTGGACGGACCTCGATAACCGCATCAGAGTCACCTGCAAGGAATACCGCCCACGCTGGCGCACGCTAACATCTGGGAAAAGAAAATACACCCCCGCACGGCCTTGCAGATTGCGCATGTTGTGGGGTGAAGATACAAGATTTCCATAAAGTAATCTGTTTGGAGGGAAATGTCCGTTTTGCGGTAACTCAAGTGGTCCCGAGCCATCAGCGCCATGGAGCGACAAGTGAGAAATCATGAATGGCAGATCAGGCTCGCTTTTGAGTCGAGGAATCAGATGCCCATCCATGACCACTTGGTCTGCAAACAGATGTTCACTCACTTCTCTACTATGTTCCCTCGAAAGTCCCGGATGATCAGCTGCACGATTAGAGGCGGCGATAACGGAAGACGAGATAGCGCAGCTGAGCCAAATTCGGCCGACATCTCTGGCTGCTGTATAATCTCTAGGTGATATGTCCTAAACAAGAGAACGAAGGGTCAGGGTGTCAATACGAGTATAGACGGACAGGGTTGACCTGGCATCGCCCTCGGAGCCATATGGGCTGGGTGACTCTTCAAGCGCGACGTCCGGCAAGATGTACTGAGAAAAAGATGCGTCGAACGTGCGTGATTGTTGTCGTTCCCAGGACGAGCCACTACTGGAAGAATTAGAGTAATATTGTGGGAGAGCGGTACTTCTGGAAGAGTGTGGCCGATTACTTGTCGTGAGGAAGACGACAGAGGTGGAGTCCCTCACTAGAGAGTATTGAGGTTGGAAGTCCCGAATGGCGTGAATGGTAGACAGTCGTCTTTCAGAGGACTCTCCGATTCTCGCGCAGATACGAACGCCCTGCTCGCATCCGTGCTGATGTCGAGTGCGAAGGAAGAAGTTGAGATGTTTCCGGAAGTTTGAGATCAGATCAGATGCCCAAGCGGAGTTCGCCGTCAGCCTCCGCAGCCAGTCAAGCGTCTACACGACCAATTTAACCACACACACTGAGTAAGGCTTCGAGGATATAAAGAGGATCTTGGGTCGTACGGGTTTAATGCTTGACGGTGGGCGCTCGGCTATGTTCGCATCACGAGACAGTACGTGGCCAGAAGCCTTTTCCAAATAGAGGAAATCCTCAAACGAGCTGTTAGCGAGAACCGTCGCTCGCAGAAGGGCAGCGAGCATCGTGAGCGAGGACGCTGGAAGAAACCAATTAATTTGGCATGAGGGTGATGGTGATGCACAGGACGTCGCTCGAACGAGACGCTTCAGCCCTGTGTCATTATATACATGGGCCTCATTGGAAGCACAGTACAGGAAAGACTTAATGCAGAAATTGATACCCGGTACAGCTGCAAATCTGACCGAAGGGTAGGTTCGTGATGGAAAAAGCCGTGGGCGCCTTGTGCGCGTTCGTGAACCCCACGGCGGGACCTGGGTAAGCATCAAAACTGTATTCCTTCACTTACGGAACTTTCACGGCGAATGCGAATGATCGAGATAAAATAGCTGGAAGAATCGCGATTGAGGGGGGAAGGCTCTAGAGGTTACAATGGGTATATTACTCAAATGCGCCTCTTCGCGTAACTCCATGCGCCCGCCAATCCAGATACCAAAGTGGCGGCGGCCAAGGCAGGCTTTACACCAGCTGATCAAAAGGAGAGAAATGAGGTTAGAGGATGTGCATTTTTCCAGAAAGTAAGCCCTTACCGGAGGATTTGTAGAGCGCACCCGTCAGGGCACCCGCTGCCATGCTTCCTAATGTGTCATGTTTTCCCCGCACACCATCGATGGTGGAGTTAATCCCGTTATATGCCAATGCTGGATGACAGATGGTCAATGGAGAACAAAAAGAGATAGCTAATGGGGTAGTGAGCCGACCTAACACGCCGGCTGAATTGCCCAAGAATGTCCCTCTTCGTGTGACGGCGTTAAGAACGCTGTTGATTCGCAGCCTCGTATTAGAAACCGCCAACGGGCGGCGTGCACCCTCACGCACTCCCCATGCACCTCCGAGGGCCAGACCTAGGGAATGGGGGTGAGCATGTGATGGTCAAAGACAATAAGATGGGAAGATAAGGTGAGATCCATGGAGTTCATAAGGGGGCGACATAGGGCAGAATTGGATAAACAGTGACAGAGATGGGAAGGACAGCTATGACCGTACCTCCGAGATACATAGTCCCTGTGCCGTAGCACAGATCATCGCTCCATCCTCTTGATGGTATTGCGGTTCCTGAACCGGGCAAGTCGTTGGTCTTATCGTCGTCTAACATAAGATAGTCAAGCTGATCTCCCAGACCAGCCAGCGGGTGCAACTTTGCCGGGTCATATGCACCCATGAGGACATCAGACGCGGACATAGACTCGGGGAGAGGGGCTGAGCTTTCGGAACGAGAGAATGACGCATTGCGGAGGTATTCGGTGGGATCCTGAGAGGAAGACGGTTGACTGTTTGATCCTGGAGATGACATTATGAGCTAATAGATTGAAGTGGAACGGAAGCGCGAAAGGAGAATGGAGCGTGGTCGTCGTCGGACACGATGACTGGCAAGACACGAAGGTGGGAGACCAAAATTTTAGAGCGGCGCGATGATCGGGATACAAATGTGGGGTGGCCGATCACCCGGGGAAAGGGAAGAGTGTGGCGCTGGCGGATTGCCGCAGCCTTGCGCAAACAATAAGCTCTCGACAATTTATCCTTCGCTCAAGTCAAATATGTCCCTTGCTTCTTGCTCGCGCAGCCTCACCCTCGCGCGAAGGCCGCTGCTGGCGGCGGCGGGCTCTACCATCTCTCCGAGCCTTCCTTCCTGTCTTAGGTTGCTGCACTCCCTGAGGCCCACGACTCGATTCTCCAACCGGTCCCAGCAGTATGCGTCACGCCCTCCATCCAATCTCCCGGCACGTTCTGATTCTTCATACCCTCCGATGTCAAAGCGTAAGTGATTGCGGTATGGAAGCTCGAGATGTGTCAAGGTCCCAATTGTCTTTCTACCGCAGGCTGGGCAACTTCCACAACTCCGCACTCTACTGCCACTGACCCTGCCGAAGCCGAGGCCCTCCAGTGCTTAGAGCAAGGCACCCAGAAACTGGAAGAGGGTGATGTGAAGGGGGCGCTCGAGCTCTATAAACGCAGTGTGGAGATCAAACGTAATGCTAGCTCCCTGTTCAATCTGGGCGTCACTCACTATCATCTCAGTAAGTTTCCTCCAAAATTTCTCTCGTTGATGTGCGCACCTTCACGGGCGTCATAGAGGAATTCAATGAAGCCATCGAGGCTTGGAAAGAGTCTATAGAGCTTCAACCGTCCAGTCCGGATGCCCACACCAGTAAGTCTACTTGACATCCCCCTATATCGTTGTCGTAATATGTGTCTGCACAGATTTGGCCAGTGCCTACATCATATCTCCCCTCTCCCGGCCCGATCTTGCTCTACACCACCTCCGGTACTTGCAATGCCTATACGAACTATCTTCGTCTCTGATGAAAGTCACGCTTCAGTGTAGCTGTGTCACTGGCACCTGAGGATGGCGAGATTGCGTTTAATCTGGCCGCCGTCTTGGAAGCCTGTGCGCCACCCCTTTCGTCCTATTGTTCTGGCTCATCATCCTTGACGATCATGCTGCAGGTGGGCGTCTGGAAGAAGCCTTGGAGTACTACAAGCGCAGCAAAGACTTCGGCGTTGACCGTGCGGCCATGCACATTCGTAACGTGAGTGACTCGTCTCTTTTCGGTTCAGTCGTGCAAACGCAACATTCATACGCATCTAACATCGGCTTCCGATAGGTCGGTGCGAAAATTTTGGGTCAGAAGCTCAAAGCAGAGGAAGAAGCGAGGAAGTCTAGTTCCAACTCTTCTCAATGACGTGCTTCATTCCCGCTCAATCGTTAGTAGATGTCTTGCTATTGTCTTGCACCTCCTTCGCAGAAGTCATCAAATTGCATCATGACCATTTGTGTACATATTCCATAATGCGTGTACTCATGGTAGGTAGTGAGATGAGAGACGGAGTTGGAGCGCCCCACTAACGCGCCTATACCCTACCATTCCGTCCATCTCACCGCCAAAGCGAATCAGCATGAATGCACAAACCGCCGACCACATATTCCGCTCTCGTCGCGACAAGGATGCATCGGAAGAGGATTCGCCATACGACGCATTCGACCAGCGCCCACGGTGTTATTCCGCCTGTAAGCGGCAGACCCTTTCGAGTGTGAGCGGACTCTACGCGGGCCCATTTGTCCACCGGCCTGAACCATTCTCTGCGTGATTTCCCACTCCCCCACGCCCACGAATGTCAAGTTCCCTACGTTCCCGCCAACTAACTTGGGAATGCGATGTGACCCCGCGGTTGTATTGTCTGTATCCCGAGGCAAACCCGTAGTTGGAAACCATGCCGCGCCCAAGATCCCCTCTTTGAGTTGTCCAAGGCAAAGTGCTTGAGGGTACCACTCCGCGATCGCGAGATGATCCTCCTGTCCAGCCCCCACGTCCTAGATCCCGAACAGGGTTTCTGGTGCCGTCGCGGAAGGCTGATCCAGCGCGAGATGAACTCGGTGAGGCCGAGAAATCCGGCGGTGGAGATGTCTGTACGCGATGGAGGATGTCTAGAATGTCCCCGCGGGTGTACATTGACGACAAGTGATCCGACGGTTTGACTTTGAGGATCCGATCGAACCCTTCGTGCGTCGAGGGGTCCTCGAAGGTTGACGCAAAGCGCGCTAACACTCGACGACCAGTGTCTACATCCTTTATGGTAGGATGATCCTCTCCTTGAATAGATAGCACAATCATGAGAGGGTGCCTCTAATTTGGATGAACGGGAAACCATACGTTTCTCAATTCTGGCTGCGCATACCTGGGCGCAAAAATGAGATGACAGATTCAAGAACAAAAGCTTGTTGTCTCACGTCAAAAGGAGTATCAAAGAATAAGACCCAAGTGGCAGTACCTGGGAATTCGTATGCTATATTGACCCAATGGCATCTTTGGCTGCGAGTATTCAACGCTTCAGCATAGTTACGATAGACGAGGGTCTGTCGTCGTGAAGCACTCACGATGCGTCAACATTTGTCCTATCGATGCATACCGATAGGCCCTCGTGAAGACTTCTCCTTGCTAAGTTCTCGACGCTCCGTCGGTCGCCTAGCTCATCCTGGCTGCATCTAATAAATCGCGGGAAATGACGCTGCAGTGCTTCTGCGAACGAAGACTGTGACAGGACGGGTCATCTCAATAGGAAAGCCAAAAAAAGACCACGATAAAAAAGGAAACGCACCTTGCCTGAGCCTATGAGTCCTACCAATATCAAAACGACTTTATGGTTCAGGCTCAGGTCTAGCTCAGGCTCTTGGATGCTCTCAACGGATTCGTGCATTCTTAGATCATCGACAGTGACCAGCTTACTACTGCTGAGACATACTGAATTAGCGCTAGATCTAATCCGGGCACATGTTTGCCACACGGACCAATGTGTGTTTTTTGACCCAAACCAAGCCATTTTCGGAAGAGCTGACGCTCATGACGCTCGGGAGTGCTCGGGCAGGCCTCGGGAAGCCCACCTAAATGTTTCCCCGTCAAAACCCCAAAAATTAAGCCAAAAAAAGATCAACTTTTGGCATAGAAAAAGAGATTAATTCCATTAAGGGTTGTCACAAATGTCACAAAATGTCACAAAGTTGAGCATAGGATGATGAACATTCCAAAAATATACCCCTACCTATAACAAATTGGGTCGGGATGAACACCGAATAATGGCTAAAAAGGATTAAAACCTGGGAAGGTTTGGGTTTTTTTTGGCCATTTCCTCCTCAAAAATACCAAAAACGGGGAAGGAAATGGCCCAATTCTGCCCTCAAAAAGATTAACTCCCGGGGAAACGCTTCCCGGAGCCTGCTCGGGCCCATCAAGTCCGCCACCGCGCGGCGCGCAAAGGTGCCTGTCATACGAGGCGTGCGTCGGCGTAGGATATCCGGAGAACGTGTCGTAATAGGTTGAAGGAGGGCCGCCAACGATACTGTCTTTGGGAGACTAGCCCTGAGTCGGTAAGAATGGTCGACAGGGCACAAGAAGTGTACAGTTCGATGTTCGAAGCGGGGAACCGAGAGGCTTAGAGAACTGCGATCCTGTACAATCGTTGCCTTGCGCGAATGCGTGGGGTGATGAGGTCCCTGCTGTTCTAGGCCAAACGACGAAGATGAACACCGAGCAGGGATAATCGGATTCTACGCGTGTGCGGGGGTGCTGCGAGAGTACCAGTAGTCTACTAGTCTCCAAGCAGTATATCTTCAAACTGCAAGATAGTCGTTCTCCTTGGAATGCGCAAGAAGAGACTTGCACAATCAGGCTGGACTCCGTCCGATAGACGGACGACTCGACTCGACTAAGTATGTGCCTACAGCGTGCACCCTAAAGAGACGCTCTTCGCACGACCCTCGCCCCTTGGCAAGAAGGCACCACCAGATAAACCTGTATAGAGAATTTTGATTGCGCACAAACTACCTAAGCGCGCCCGAGTACAGAAAATTACCGCATGGCCATGGGCACCTGCCCCGTTCGACGCGTAGTGACAAGTGGGTCCAGGCGGACAGACAAACGTCCCCCAAATACGAGGAAGAGCAAATGGAGACAAGAGAGAGGGACGAGACGAGGGGGGTCTGATATATGTATAGAGTCATAGACGCGAAGTACAGTACAACGCGAAGGACTAACTCGCTTCGGCGTGGTTTGTATGCTACGTGGGACTAGGGGAGTGGATCGAGAATGGGAGTGGGTTCGTTAAAACAAGCAGGCGATTGGGATGGGAGGGATATGGATGCAAGAGATGAAGGAACAAAAAAAAAAGGAAACAGCACACACTTCGGGTGGGGCGACATTATCATGATTGAGTGGGATGGAATGGGATGGGATGGGATGGGATGAGAAGGAAGGAAGGAAGGAAGAGCGTTCGCACGCGTGCGACTTTTTCCGGACGGCCCAGATACAGATGGCAACAAAGAGAAAGAGAGAGAGAAAAAAGAGACAGACCAGGACCCTATTTCAAAACATTGGCGACTGGGGAACGACGAACGACAGCACGAGCCCGGACGACCAGACCCGCATAGATGCGATGCGATGCAACCACGACTCGGACGAACGATCAACGACCACCGCCCGCATTACCGCCCCCCACCCCGACCCCTCATAAGCTCAAAGGCGGCACCGAACCACCAAAAAAGCCCGCGCGCTGCACGCTCCCCGCCGCGCGGCCCTTCGCGTTCGGATGGTGCCCGTGGTGGTGATAATGCTGCTGCTGATGCCGCCGCCCGCCCGCCGCGGCGCCCATCAGGCTCTTCTTCTTCAGCATCTTCTCCTTGCGCGTGCTCTTGCGCGGGCGCGCGGGCGGCGGCGTGTACCCCCCGTTCTGGCCATTGCCGTTGCCGCTCCCGTTGCCGGTCCCCGTTGGCGTGCGGTCGCCGTCGCGATCGCGCACGGGCAGGATCACGGGCGAGATGACGACGTCCATACGGCGCTTGCCGCGCCTCCGCGCGCCCTTGACCTTCGCGGCGGGCGACCCAGAGCCGGAGCCGGACCCCGCGCCCGCGCCCTTGTCCTGCCAGAGCATGCCGCTGAACGGGCTGCTCCGGATGATCCCGCCGTACGCCGCGAGCTCGCTCCCGCTCTCGGCGAGCCCGGCCTCGCGCGTGCGGCGGAACGTGCCCATCGGGATGCGATCCCAGCGGCTGAGGTTCTGCAAGTGCCGCGTGCCGTCGTCCTCGGCGGTGCTGGCCTCTCCGTCGGCGAACGCGCTGGACGGGAGGGAGTCGAGGTACTGAGGATCGAACGGATCGGAGTCGAGCATGGACGCGTCGAGGACGTCGTCGAGGTCGATGGGCGCGCCGAGGGGGAGATCGGAGGTGTGGGACGTGGGATCGTCGGAGAGGGGGAGGTGGCCAAAGGGCGAGGGGGAGGAGGTGAACTGGGGCACGTGGGACAGCGAGGAGAGGGACAGGGAGCGGTCACGGCTCTGCGCAGGCCAGGTGTTATTAATAAAGCATATAAACAGACGGATCGAGCTGAATACGCACCCCACTCATGCTACGTCCAGACCACGACACCGATGGGTTGCGCCTGCGATGCCTGGGGAAGGGGCTCGGCACAGGACACCGCGAGCCATCGACGACCGCCCTCCGGAGGGTATCGCTCTTGTCCGTGGCGAACGTGCCCATCATCGGCGGGCGCGGCGCGCCCCGCTCCAGCTGAGGGCTGAGCGTCAAGCTCGCGACATCGCTCACGGGCAGCGCGTCGTCATCGGCGTCATCGTCTTCGCTGACGTCCATGAACACCCGCCCGGCGAGGATGTCCGCGGGCTTGGGCGAGTCGCGATGGTCGAGATAAGCGGCAGAACGGGGGCGCGGGCCGGGGCTCATCGTGGACATCGGATCGATGGCGCAGGGCGTGGTCGGCGGGCGGAAGAGGCGCATCGCGCGGGCAGTGGGCAGGCCGCGCTCGTCGACGAGTTCTTCGTCCGTGGTCTCGCCGTCGCTGTCGACCTCCAAGCCGTCCTCTTCGTCTTCGCCATCGGCAGTGCCGTCCACGTCGGACATCTGTACGTCCGTGTCTTCGTCGTCGCCGTCGCTGGTGCCGGCGTCGAGGAGCTGCGCGGCGTTGGCCTCAAAGTCGAAATCGAGCAGGCCCTGGCCGTCCTTGAGCCCGTTGGTGAAGATCATCGAACCATCCCAACCTTCGGTGACGTCAAAGACGGTCTGGGCGGCGAGGGCCATGGCATTGAACGCGAGGACGTCGTCATCGTCTTCGTCGACGGTCTCGTCGCCGTCATCATCGCGTGCTTCGACGCCATCGGCGCCCGAGTCGGAATCTGTCAAGCCTGCGAAGAAGAGTTCCGCGTCGAAACTGGATTCCTCATCCTCGGACCAGCCGGTAGCGATCCCGGCGTACGTGATGCTCGCCGCGTCGTCCTCGCCATCCACCTCTGCGTCATCGTCCTCGTTATCTTCCTCATCGGCATCCTCCTCCTCCTCCTCCTCTGCGTCATCGTCCTCGGTCTCGTCGTCGCTGCTATCGACGTCCATCTCGTCGCCGCTGAGACCGACGCTCTTCTTCCGGGGGCGAATTTCCCAGTTTGTCCGGCGCTCTTTCCGTTTGGGCGCTCCGTCGCCGAGCAGTTCCCTTTTCACACGGGCCTTGTCGTATCCGTGAGACTGGTGGTGCTCCTCGTCGCGAATGAAGGACTCCTCCTCGTCCTGGATGGACGAGTCCGTGGAGAAGTCGGAGGAGTCCGAGTCGCCGTCGGAGCTCGAGCTGTCGCTGGAGGACGACTCGGCGGAGACGAAGGTGGGAAATTGGACGGACTGGGCGTCGTCCGCGCCATTCGCGTCCTCGTGCGGGTCGCCTCGCTGATGGAGAGATGGGGTCGGGAACGCGTCCTTGCGGATCGCGGGGGACGGGCCGGTGCCAGCCGGGTAGTACTCGTCGTCGCTGGCGGCCGCGCGCCTGGCGGGCTTCCCGATCGTGTCTTTGTGCTTGGATTTTTTTGGGGGCGGTTTGGGTTTGGGAGTGGCGGGGGCTTTCGGGGGACGGCCGCGGCGCTTTGGGGGCTGGGCGGGGGCATCGGTGTGCCGGGCTGCGTTGGGTTTCTTTGTGGATGAGGATGCGAGGCGGGCGCGGGCTAGGACGTTGGGGGGGACCGTGAGTTTTATTTTGAGGGGGGCGAAGGAGGAGGAGAGGGCGGAGGGGGCGGTTGTGGGTAGGGAGGTGGTGGTGGTGGTGGTGGTGGAGGAGGAGGAGGAGGAGATGATGGATGGGCGAGGGGGAGGGGCGGGGTGAGAGATGATGGAGTTGCAGGTGCACTCGCCCTCGCAGACGGGGCAGATGTCGTCGTCGTCGTCCTGGAGGGAGGCGAGGCCTAGGGTATAGGCGTGAGGATGCGACATTGGCGGGGTCTGTTTGTTTTGATGATAATCTGGACGGGGGGGAAGCGAGCGCGTGAGTGGTCGGCTCTTGTTTTGTAGTGAGGGGGAAAGGGCGAGCGCGGGAGCGTTCCTCGAGGCCGGGGGATCGAGGGGGGGACGTGACAGAAAATAACAAATGGTGGTCTGCCTCGAGGGGCCGCTCGAGTGATGGCGCACGACTCGAGCAGACCACCGGGCGACGGCCCCGAGCGAGCCGCGATGGGGGGAGCAGAAGAGACGCACCGAAAGACATGTTCTGGGGCGAGTGTGACGGCAAATGGACATGGGGGATGCAGCTTGGACGACGGACTCGGAGGGCAGACCTGAGCGAAACCCAACCCAGCCCGCCCGGTCTCCCACACCCTCCTGACCCTAACCCCACACCCGCCTTCTTTTTCGAGCCCAGCGCGTTCTCGCTCCTCGCAGCTCTCCTCCTCCTCCCCACATGTCCCGTCTCCGTACGCGCCTTCCCACTCTCTTCCCCCCGACATATTCCCCTTTGACCGTCCCCTCACACAGGCCTCTCCCTCGCACAGCAAATAGCACAGCTCGACGAGCCTGCGCCCCTCGGTACGTCCCCCACCGCTCCCCTCTTTCTCCACACCTCATCCCCGTGACCAAAGACGTCGACCCCGAGGACGACGTCCGCGCTTCCCCTGACCCACAAGACGCGTCTGCAGATCCCAGGGAGCACTACCTCGATGTCGGGTCAGTCCCTCTTTGCGCTCTCCCTTTCCCCGAGGTTCCGTCGCCGCTCACACGCCACCTCCCTCGCCCAGTCCGTCCACGCTCCGCAAGCTGCAGGATAGCATCGCGGACCCAAAATACGTCGGCGTAAAGACCTCACGCAAGCAGTTGCTCGAGTGGAGCCAGTCCGAGGGTGAGGACGAGGAAGGCCCCGCGTCGCAGGACGAGAGCGCATCCGAGGACGAGCCTGCGCCCATGCGCGACGCGGCAGGCATGGACACGGACGAAGACGCGACCGACGGGGACGACGTCCCAGAAGACAGCGCGGAAGAGCACGCGTCCCCGCCGTTGAAAAGACAAGCCGTGCAGGAGCCCCCAGAAGATCTCTCTTCGACACTCCGCCAAAAGCGCGACGAGGACCGTCGAAAGGGCAAGGCAGTCGCCAGACAGCTTGTGCGTCACCCAGGCGGCGTGTGCCTTTTATGCGCGCGAGCATCGATGTTTTCATTTTAATCAACACAACAGGGCCTTTGGGACGCGCTTCTCGACGCACGCATCCGTTTACAAAAGTTCGTCGTCGGCGCGAACAAGCTCCCCTCCGTACGTCCACCGGCAAAAACTCTCCCATTCGCACTCCGCTAAACATACCCATCACGCAACCCGTCTCCCCAGCATTCCCAGATCCCAGATATCACAGCCCACCCCCGCTGCCTCGCGGCGCAGCACGCGCTGCTGGCCGAAGCGACGCAGCTCTCCGAAGAACTCTTCGCCTTTCGCGAGGTCAGCCCCTATCTTACCGTCATGCCGCAGTCCAGGCGCGCTCACGGGCCTCCCCCCCATTACGTCGCAGGGCTTGATGGCGCAAGACGGCGTGCGCCCGCGGAAACGGCGCAGGCTGCACGAGGGCGCGATCGATGTCGATGATCTCGATTACGACGCGGTGCTCCGCGACGCGAGCGAGTCGCAGGCCGCGTACGAACACGCGTAGGTCTTGTGCTCATCCGCCCCCTCTTTTCTCTTCGCGCCTTCTGCGGCTCCCACATGCGCTCATGCGATTCGGCCGCGATTCTAGGCTGCACCCCCACCTGACGCAGACGCTCGCCAAGTGGTCCGCCAAAATCGCCGCGGTCGCGCCCGGGACGCTGCTCGCGCCGTCGCGCACGGCGTTCAGCGCGCGCGGCACGCAGGGCGTGAAGAGCGTCGCCGCGCAGGTCGACGAGGCGCTCTCGGCGGACGGGGAGAAGCTCCTCGCGCGCACGCGGGTGCGGCGGGGCGCCGCTGCCGCCGCACATAGTGGGGGCGAGCCCGAGGAGGACGTGTTCGACGACACGGACTTTTACCAGCAGCTCCTGCGGAGCGTGATCGACGCGCGGGAGGGCGCGGGCACGGGCGCGGCCGACTGGATGGTGCTGCAGAAGCAGAAGAAGGCGCGGAAGGCGGTGGACACCAAGGCCAGCAAGGGCCGGAAACTGCGGTGGGTGTCCCTTCCCTCTCTCGCGCGGGTTTCTGGGCAACGGTGCTGATGCAGACGCAGGTACGAGGTGCACGAGAAGATGCAGAATTTCATGGTGCCGGTTCCGCTGGCGGGGGGCGGGTGGCACGAAGCGCAGATCGACGAACTGTTTGCGTCGCTGCTCGGGAAGGGGTTCGGCGACGGCGGGGGCGCACCGGCTGTAGAGCCGGGCACCGGGGCGGAGATGCTGAAAGGGTTCAGGGTGTTTGGATAGTTTGCGACGTGTCCATGTTATTTTTTTGTGTTTTTTTTGTGTTTTTTTATCTTTTGGGAGAAGCGCAGTTGCGGTGGCCACGGGTCCCGAAAAGGCAAGGGTGCGTCACTGCAGACTCGCCCGACGACGCTCGGCTGCTGCACTCCGCCGCCTCTCCCTCCGTCGTCGCCGTCCGCATCGTGTCGGCCGTCTCCTGCGAATACATCGCTTCTCCCACCTTCGATTAACGCTCGATACCCAATGGATCCCTACGAAGACGAGAACCCGTTCTCCTCGGATCCCCCGCTCTCGTCCGCCTCCTCGACGTCCCATGTAGACGTCTCCGCCCCGCCCACCCCGCCCTCCCACCCCGCCCGCATCCCCTCCTCCCCGACCGCCCTCAGCCCCCACTCGCCCACCGCCCGCCCGCCCTTCCCGTCCGTCGGCTCCGGCGTGTCGCGCCCCTCGACGTACAAGAGCGACTTCTGCTGCGTGCGCGACCAGTGGCTGCACTCGGGCGACGACGTCGAGATCCTGGTGCGTCCCTCCACCCCCCCTTCCAATCTGTGCCGTTTCGCAACGGCGGTGCCCGCGCGGGACTGAGGACGTTGTTGTGGCTGTCGTTGTCGTCATCGGGACATTGCAGATCATCGACGCTCAGAAGACGTCTGAGAACGCGACGTCGCCGTACATCACCTATGTCATCCGCACAGGGGTGAGCCTTGCGAATCTGTTCGCACTATCAACCCTGCGTGCTGATCCCCCCCCCCCTCCACGTTGTCGCCCGCGGCCGCCCACAGAACGCGGAGGCGCGGCACAGGTACTCAGAGTTCGAGTCGCTCCGGCTCAGCCTGACCAAGCTCTACCCGACGCTCATCATCCCGCCCATCCCGTCGAAGCAGACCCTCGGCGACTACGCGATCAAGCAGGCAAAGGCCCGCGAGGACGCCGCGCTCATCGCCCGCCGCCGCCGCATGCTCCAGACCTTCCTCAACCGCCTCGCCCGCCACCCCATCATCTCCAACGAGCACGTCTTCCACCGCTTCCTCGACGGCGAGGTCTCGTGGGTGCGCCTCCTCCTCCTCCTCTTCTTCTTCTTCCTCCCCGCCTAGCCCCCGCGTCTCGCATGTCTGACCTCGCGCGCCGCCGCGCCGCCTCGTGATCCCCGCAGACCGAGGTCCTGCACTCGCCGCCCCTCTCGCAGATCCCGAAGAACATCCTCAAGGCCCCCGCGCACAGCCCCACGGACCCAAACGCGTCGCCCGCGTACCAGGCGCTGCCGAACCCGTCCGCCGCGCACCCGCTGCGGCGCCCCGACCAGCGCTTCCTCGACTCGGAGGTCTTCACGAACAAGTTCGCGGCGCACATGGGGGGCCCGATGGAGAAGGTCACGCGCAGGACGATGAAGCGCTGGTCAGGTCCGTCTGTCTATTTCTATTTCCATCTGTTTCGTTTCTATCTTCGTACTCGCCTGTCTATTCTTGAATGGGCCTTCTCTCGCGACGCGAGCGGGGAGCCGCAAGGTCTGGGCTTGTTGCTGACGGCGTGTGGTTGGTTGGCAGAGCACGCGCAGGACCATATGGACCTCGGCGCGGCATGGAACGGCTTCAGTCTGAACGAGACGGGCGAGCTCGCTGGCGCGATCGAGAAGACGGGGCAAGCCATCGACGCGACGTACATGTCGACGACGCGCCTCGTGAGTCCTCTCTCCTCTCCTCTCCCCTCTGCATCTCGCGCTGTCCACCGACGCACGCACGCACGCACGCACAGCTGCAGGAGATCGAGCAGAACTGGCAGGAGCCGCTGCACGAGTACTCGCAGTTCGCGGCGATCATCAAGAAGCTGCTCGTCTACCGGCACCAGAAGCACGTCCAGCTCGAGATGACGCAGGACGCGCTCGAGGCGCGCCGCGAGGCGCTCACGGAGCTCGAGAAGAGCGAGCGGGAGGCGCGGCGGCTCGACGAGGCGCTCGGGCGCGGGCGCACGCGGGGACCGAGCGCCGCCGGAGCTGGGGCCGGGGCCGCCGCGCGTGCAGGGGCGGAGGGCGACGCGGGGGCGGGGGTGAGGGCGGGCGAGGGCGAGGGCCAGGAGGGCGCGGAGGAGCAGCAGGAGCAGGAGCCTGGGTCTGCGTTTCTGCCGCCGCATCCGGGGCCGAACCCGACGCGGAGGCGAGCGCCGGGGATGGGCCTGCTGAGCGCGTTGAGCTACACGCTGCATGGGATGATGGACGCGGATCCGGAGACGGCGCGGCGGAACGGGATCAGCAAGACGCGGGAGACGATTTCGCAGGTGCGTCTTTGGCGCGAACGTGTGCGGCGGCGTGCTGACTCTGCTCGTGGGTGCGTCGATGGGCGCGAGACAGCTGGAGGACGCGCTGCACCTGTCTGCGCAGGACCTCAAGTACGCGAGCTCGACGATCCAGGCGGACCTGGACCGGTTCCAGCGGCAGAAGGTGGCGGACCTGCGCGAGATGGCGATCAGCATGGCGCGCGCGCACCGCGACTGGTGCAAGCAGAACCTGGAGGCGTGGGAGGACGCGAAGAGGGAGATCGCGCGCATCCCGGACCACCCGAATCGCGCGCCGCCCACCGAGCAGGCGCAGGTGGGCAGCCCGGTGCCGGGGGCGGGCGCTGCGGGCGCGGGTGCGAGTGCTGGTGTGGGTGTGGGTGGGTCGGCGGCGAGGAGGGATTCGACGGCTACTATTAATGGGCGGTGAATGGGGCAGTTGGGCCGATACACATATCACACGCGGCGCGGCGGGCTGCTCTTGCTTTCCTCTCCTCCTTACATTTTTTTTGCTTTTATTTCTTCGTTGTATTCTTCTCCATCTTTGAGTTTTCGATGAATGTGGAGTTTAATGCCTCGGCGCGCACGGGGGCGAGTTGCCTGGCCAGCGGTCGTTGGTCTCACGAAAAGGGGCGCCCACGACTTTGAGAAATCAGACCACCAGCGAGTCTGCCGCGTATATACGCCGTGGACTCCGAGCGACCTCCACCTCTAACTAACTACCCAACTGCGCCATGTCTTCAGCCTGGTCGCCGCTCTCCATCCCAGACTCCCCCGCGGAGCCGTTCACCGACTACTCGCGCTGGCGGCTGCGCGACACGACCGACGGGCGCCATGTGTGGGACTACCTCCGCTCGGACGCGGAGTGCGCCGCGCGACCCCAGACCGACGCGGACAAGTACTGGCTCGGGATTCCTCTGGTGCGCACATCATCGCCACCTCTCTCTCTCTCGCGCGCGCGCGTGTCTTATATGCATGCGGGGCGCAGGACTGCCCGCGGCTGCCTCCGCCCGCGTCCCCGCTCGACGCGGCGCGCAACGGGTACACGTTCTACAAGCACCTGCAGGCCTCGGACGGGCACTGGGCGGGCGAGTACGGCGGGCCGATGTTCCTGCTCCCGGGGCTCGTCATCGGGTCGTACGTGACGGGCATGGCGTTCCTGCGCGAGGAGCGCCTCGAGATGGTGCGCTACGTGCTGAGCCGCGCGCACCCGGACGACGGGGGATGGGGCCTGTGCGTACTCCTAATTCGTGCTCCCGCTTTCTTTTGGGGTGCGCAGCGCGCTGACGCCGCGCGCGCTAGACACGTCGAGGGGCACTCGACGGTGTTCGGGACGGCGATGAACTACGTCGCGCTGCGCCTACTCGGGGTCGCGGCGGAGCATCCGGCCATGGTCAAGGCGCGCGCGACGCTGCACAAGCTCGGTGCGTACGCGTCGCTGTTGCTGTTGTTCCGAGTATCGCGCGCCTGACGCGTGCAGCAGGCGGGGCCGCCGCGTCTCCGTCGTGGGGCAAGCTCTGGCTGTCCGTGCTGAACGTGTACGACTGGGACGGCAACAACCCGATCCCCTCGGAACTCTGGTGCGTCCGGCGTGTGGGGAGACGCGGCGCGGTGGACGCTGACCTCGCGCGCGCAGGCTGCTGCCGAAGTGGGTCCCGTTCCACCCGTCGCGGTGGTGGATCCACGTCCGCACGGTGTACGTGCCCATGAGCTACCTGTACGGCGTCCGGTTCAAGGCTGAGGAAGACGACCTCATCCGGTCGTTGCGCCAGGTGCGTGCGCGTGCCCCACACACGTCCTATGTCACGACTATGTTTTGTTTTTGCGTTTGCAGGAGATCTATACGCAGCCGTTCGAGACGATCGACTGGCCTGCGCAGCGCAACAATGTTTCGGCGGCGGACATGTATGCGCCCCACAGTGGCCTGTTCGATTTTATTAATGTCATCCTGGGCATGTACGAGCAGTGCGCGGTGCCCCCCGTGCGCCACGCGGGGCTCGCGGCCGCGTACAACCTCATCGTGCTCGAGGACGAGAACACGGGGTACCAGACGCTCGGGCCCGTGTCCAAGATGATGAACCTCGTCGCGCGTTTCCACGCGGAGGGCGCGGACAGCGCCGCGGTGCGGCTGCACGACGAGAAGCGGCGCGACTTCATGTGGGTCGGCGCGGAGGGCATGATGATGTGCGGGACGAACGGGAGCCAGCTGTGGGACATCGGGTTCGTCACGCAGGCGCTCGTCGAGACGGGCCTGGCGCGCGAGGAGGCGAACCGCGAGAGCCTGGTGCGCGCGCTCGCGTGGCTCGAGCAGTGCCAGATCACGGAGGACCCGAGACATTTCGCGACGAGCAATCGTCATCGCACGAAGGGCGCGTGGCCGTTCAGCACGAAGGAGCAGGGATACACGGTCAGCGACTGTACGGGCGAGGGCCTCAAGTCTGTGATCTACTTGCAGAACCACTTGGAGTGCGTGCGGCGTTGTGCTTTCTATTTTGTCGCGCTAGGCTCATTTGCTGTGCTCGCGCGCTTCGACAGCTTCACGCCGACGCTCGTATCGGAGAGACGGATATTCGATGCCGTCGATACGCTGCTCACCATGCAGAACCCTAGTGGCGGATTCGCCAGTTACGAGCTTATCCGGGGTCCAAGTTGGCTGGAGATGCTCAATGCCGCAGAAGTGTTCGGTCGGGCGCGATATCTCATCTCATGCCTTTGGCCCGTGCTCATCGTTTCGCTTTCTCGCCAGGCAACATCATGATCGAGTACGCATATCCCGAATGCACCACGTCCGTCATCACCTCGCTCTCCATCTTCCGCAAAGAGTGGCCTAGCTATCGGGCTGCTGAGATCGAGTGCGTGGTATTTTTGTTTGCTCCCTTTGTACTTTCCCCGATGTCTGCTGGTTCTGGCGCTCTTGCGCCCTCAGATCGACGATCAAGGGTGCTATTGGGTACTTGCATCGCGCGCAGAAGCCCGAGGGCGGCTGGTTCGGCTCGTGGGGCATCTGCTTCACGTACGCGACGATGTTCGCGCTCGAGAGCCTCTCCCTTGTCGGGGAGACCTACGAGACGAGCGCACATGCCCGGCGGGCGTGCGATTTTCTGATCGGGAAGCAGCGCGCGGACGGCGGGTGGGGCGAGTCTTACAAGGTACGCCGACCCTGCCCCGACGAGGATCGACACTGACCGCTATTCTGGGACAGACGTGCGAGACGGGGGTGTGGGTGGACCATAAGGACACGCAGGTCGTGGGGACCTGCTGGGCCGCGATGGCGCTGATGTATGCCAAGTACCCCGATCCCGCGCCCATCGCGAACGCGGTGAGGCTCGTCATGTCGCGGCAACTGCCCGTTCGTGTGATCTCCCGCTTCGGTGCTGCCCGGTGCTTGCTGACGGTGGTTGCAGGATGGCTCGTGGCCGCAAGAGGCGATCGAGGGGGTGTTCAACAAGAGCTGCGCGATCTCGTACCCTAATTTCAAGTTCGCGTTCACGGTGTGGATGCTCGGGAAGGCGCAGAAGTACCTCGAGGAGCGGCAGGCGCTGGCACTGGTAGCGGTGGGAGCGTAGACGAAGGTAGTTGATGATCGTTGTTCACTCGGGCTGACCGCATTTTCTATTCTGACGGTTTTAATTCGCGGAGATGGAGACGCGACCCGTATGTAGTGCTCATGGTCGTTGCGTTTCGTCGTCCATTCGGTCATCTATCTAAAAGTGTCGCATACATGCAGGTGATTAGCCCGCATGCTAATCGCAACTGCCCTCAACGATGCTTTTCACATGGCTTTCAGGCGCTCAGCCATCTTGTCTGCCCACTCATCTCCTTCGCCAGATGAAAGCGCCCACGTGGTGCTGATGTGGTTATGGCCGTCGAGGACGATTCGCTTTACCTTCGTCCAGCCTCCCTTACCGCCACCAACAATCGCCAACCTCTCCTCGAGCGCGGCCCTAAAGTCAAAACCGCTCTGCGTTATCGCGACAGTCTCGTGTTCACCCTCGACGCAGATGATCTCTGGGAGGTATCTGACACGATCGTCGGACGTGCTCGCCAACAGGCCGAGCGGCTCTTTATTCTTGGTCGCCTCGACGGGGCCGTATAACTGATCGAGCACAGGCAGCCTCTGCGGCAGGGTGGCGTTGAAATGGAACGGAGTGCCCACCAGCACGGCGGCCTTGATCCGTGGCAGGAGCGTGTGCGTCTCGTCGAGCTGCGGCGCGAGGAGGACCGTCGAGGCGAGCACCCCGCCGGCAGAGTGGCCCACGAGGAAGATGCGGTCCGCGTCGGGGTTTCCGCCAATGACGGACGTGTTTTGGACGACCCAGGCGAGGGCGTCGCGCACGTCCTCCGCGGGGGCGGGGTACCTGACGGTCGGGACGAGCCGGTAGTCGGGGACGACGGTGAGGAAGCCACGCGAGGCGAAGAAGGCGCCGACATTTGGGTAGGCGAGCGAGAGCGGCTCTGGGTGCACGCGCGCGCCGGTGGTGAAACCGCCGCCGTAGACGAAGACGAGGATCGGTGCCTTCTTCGGCGGCGACGCTTGCATCGAGGGGTAGTAAACGTCCAGCTGCGGATGAGGTGCGCGTTTACGATTCGAGTGATGCAGATAGAAAGGTCAGGTGTCGTACTTGCTGACGATCATCTGAGCCGTACTCGAAGGTCCGGCGTGGGACGGCTTCGATGCTCGCTCTGTTTATCTCAAAGAGCTTCGCAAAGGCAGTCTGGGCTGCGTGACGACCGCCTCAGGCTTCTCGTCGAGGCCAGTGATCGTTACGACTCACTGTTTTCGATGAGGGAGGCGAACGGAATGTCGGCGCTGAAAGAGGCAATCGCTTCCATGGTGTTGATGGTGCGTGTAAACTGTGGGACACTGGTGTTCGTCAGCTAATTCAACTGCAGGCATCCTTTTATATGCGAAGCATGGGATCTTTCTACGCGTTCTGGGCATGGATCCTGCCTGCAACCGACTACGACTGAGATTCTTGGAAGTTTGTAAACACAGGTCTGATTGACCATCTGAAGATGGTTTCCTCAGCCGCCCGACGTTACATGAGTCATGATTGATTGCGCGTCCGCCGTATGATATGAAACACGACGGTCTTCATCGCACGCATTGATCATCGATGAACGGTGTTCCGCTTTTGTCTGCAGCAGTTATACCTTAATGCAGAAGAATGAGTAGATAATTTGGAAAAAGTTACAGATGGTTGGATCGGTGGCCCGCCGAATCGCACCCACCGTTTGATATCTCATCAAGGCGACCGTTTTCAGTCTATTTTCGTAATTTCGATATTTGTGAGAACAAGAACCAAGGTTCAAATTTTCAAAAGGTTCAATCGCGACAGGGGCGTACATCACTACCATTATGATGTCATCAGCAGACGAACTCGTATCTTTTTCGTTCTCAACAGTTCTCAACCCATTCGCATCGATTGTGTTAGCCCACCTCTCTCTGTTTAGCGCCTTGTTTCCTTCTCTCCAGCCTCAGTCGTCGTTGATGGTCAAACGTGTCCACTCTCAATCTACAGACTCGCGGAATCAAAAGTAAAAACCGACACCAACGGCGACACAAGACACTGTATTATCTTCTGCTGTCACTAACCCATCTACCCTGCGAGACGCGACCCTCGCGCCTCGGGTCCCTCTCAATACCCGTGACAATGGTCAATATTTGGGAGCTTCGGATCCCGCTCCTCCATCACTGCAAACGATGGACGAACCGATGGATGTCGACAAACTTTTTTTCAAAAGGCTGCAGCCATGCAGCCCGACCGTTGGCGAAATCAGACAAACCGGACGGTCCTTATAGATACCTTGTTGTCTTTCGTGCAAAACACTCACCTGAACGTGGGCGACCGAGCAGAAGTCGTTGGACGCGCGCTTCTCACGGAAGCATACGATCGCGCGATCATTGCAGAGCACCCAGCTCTCGAATGGGACGCTACTCACCCGCGTTACCACTTTTCCGTGTATGGTTGCTCGAACACGGTATACAAGGGGATTCTAGAGGAAGAGAATCGCAAATACGCTGCTCTGCTTTCTTCTGGGAACACGTTTCACGACCACGGACGCCAGACCGAGGAACAGTTGGCTGAAGTCTGGCGAATGAAGCCATCTTGGTCGGCCGCTATGGGATCGTACCATTGGGTCGAGGGAGCCGACATCATTTCGAACGTTCTTGACGAAGGAGATGGGGTTGCCATTTCACAATACCCGGGATACGAGGACGAGAATTCAGGTTATGATGTTCGATTGTCATCAATTGTTTTTTTTTGTCGACAAACCAAATCATAGATGTGTAGTACTACTTAGCGCATATCGAATGTATAATATGTATAGTGTCCTATCGCGCTTGATGTTTAGCGAGGCGATGTACTTGGCGATGTGGACTCGCGCTTGTCACGTGGAGGCCCGAAAGATTCGAGCACAAGTCAAAAAGTACTCGTTTGGTCTCTTTTTTTCTCAGCCCATTCGCATCGATTGTGTTAGGTGGCCCATACCTCTCAGTTCAGCGTCTGGTTTCCTTCTCTCCAACGTCAGTCGTCGTCGATGGTTAAGCGTGTCTGCTCTCAGTCTACAGATACACGGAATCAAAAGCAAATACCGACACCAATGGCGACACAGGACAGTGTATCATCTTCTGCTGTTCCTAACCCATCTACCTCTCGAGACGCGAACCTCGTGCGTCAGATCCCTCTCAATACCCGTGACAATAGTCAATATTTGGAAGCTTGGGAGCACGCTCCTATATCGCCACAACCGATGGATGTTGACAGTCCTTCTATAACAAAGCCATCTCGCTCGCCGCCGCCGCCGCAATCATCCAGTCTCCGCAAAGTCCTCAACCCTCCTTTTTTGTTAGAGCACTTTCACATGGATTTACTCTTGTTGAGGTTTTTCCCGGAATATTCTAGGACTGGCCCCCCACCAGAATTCCAACGTATAGCCTATATTCTCGTCCTTACTTGCCTAGAACTAGACAGAGAGAGATTCAAAAAGGCCGATGACTTTGATGACCTTTTGCAATCATTTCCCGTGCTGGACTCGATCAGCAAGGATTGTTGGCGAGAGGGCTCTTTTCGAGCCCTTCGAGAACTAGGTAGACTACAGCATCGTCCATACTCACCAATTTTCTCATGACCATTTTGCAGAAATATTCTGGCCTGATCCTGACAAACTTTTCAAGCGCGAAGTATCTTGTGAGTAGCATGCCGTACTTGTATAAGCCCTTCCAGACTTTTCTTGGCGAACTTTTACAGTGCGAGGTGCGTATTGACTCGTTTGGGATTCAATATTCTGAACTTCATCTGGGTAGCTTTTGAGCAAGCGTGGAACGCGCCTTATGAATCGGATCATCACGAATTTCTTTTCGATACTGTCAAGGAGATAAGGTCTGATTCATTTGCCGGGTACTCAAACAGTGCATCCGTCATTCAAAGCTCTGGATCTGGCAAATCACGAATGGTGGACGAGATGGCGTCATTGATCTTTACCCTACCTTTCAACTTGCGAGCGGCGCGGGATGTGTATGGTGAGCAGCTCATCAGTGCACATTCGCCACGACAACTAGCTCACATACTTGATGCCTTCACACTACAGGACTGGCGTGGCCTCCCCCAGATGATGCCGTTCGAGATTACTTGTCTGTCAGAGAACCCGAATTTTATGAGCAACACATGCGCTACATTGCCTTCTTTATCAATCTCTTCGGGACGGTTCGCGAGCGGTTGATACTCCTTCGCCAGGAGGGTCGTATCGGGGAAGATTTAGCTAAAGACTGGAAGACATATCTGTCTGCAATGCCCCAACGGACGGAGCTGTACAATACGGTGGTTGCCCGTAAAACAATAGTAAGTACCTCCCCCGTCTCCACAGTTCAATTGACTCAATTTACAATACAAGGACGAGATCAAACAGCACGCTTTTGAAATCTCGAGTCCGGGCGTTGAAATCAAGGGTCCATTTAACCAGTGGCGATCGCTTTCTAATCTGGCCTTGGTAGAGCTTCGTAAATTACTCCAAGTTCTCGACGAATCTTCGCATTGGAACAAGAATCAGTCATTTTCTCGAAAGGATACAGCTGACATCACGCTTGTGATCTATTTTGACGACGCCGACGACCTTGCTAGTGAAAACCCGGACCACAGTCGAGGGACGTTGTACGATATATTGCAGTCGGTTTGCAATTGTTTCATAGGCATGCCCTTCTTCGCCATATTTCTATCGACGGCATCCCACATTTCCTCATTTGCTCGACCGACGGGAAATGTCAGCAGTTCACGATTCGTCTACATCGAAAGCGAAAACCCGCGAGCGCCAGTAAACGAAACCCCATTTGATATCGCCCCAAACTTCGATGTCGGGTCCAGGGACCTTGGGGTTCGAGATGTGTCCCAAGTCTCTTTCATGGCGAACTTTGGCCGACCGTTGTGAGTTCTACTTTATCTGTAGTCTCGTTGAGAATCACCCAGTAATTCTGTTCTGCAGATGGTGGGCGATGCTACACGGGTCTAGTCGATTTGATGAGCTCGGCGCGCTCGGATTTGACCTTTTGGACTTAGCACGTCGCAAGTTAATCGGAGACCGAGACCCCAATGAAACAGCATTGCCCAATACTATCGCGGCACTGGCTGTTGTGGATGTGCGCCTCTGCCTCGACCACGACTCATGCCGTGCGCAGACCCGGGATGTTCTCGACGAAATGACGAGGAAGCATATGCGTATCTTGTATTCCATGCCACAACATCGCGAATATTATCAATCCGGTTACCCTAGTGAACCGATATTGGCTGAGGTGAGTCGGTGGCGTGCTAATGTTAAATGTTTATCTCATTGTCGTGTTTTCAAGGCTGCAGCCATGCAGCTCGACCATTGGCGAAATCAGACAAACCGGACGGTCCTTATAGATACCTTGTTGTCTTTCGTGCAAAACACTCACCTGAATGTGGGCGACCGAGCAGAAGTCGTTGGACGCGCGCTTCTTACAGAAGCATACGATCGCGCGATCATAGCAGAGCATCCAGCTCTATCTGAAGCTCGGTTCAGTCAAGGATGTCTACTGACATCGTTCATCAGAGAACTTTTGACTGAAGAGGCCGCTCTTGCAGTTCTCGAGAGTCAACCTGATAACGTCCCGGACGGTGCCACCTTTGGCAATGCATTCAAAGATGCAAGGGTCAGGTTCACGCACTTCACCAAGCTAGACGACGAGGAGAGTTTGATCACAGCTATGTTATTCGTGGCCTTCATCCGCGGCATGGCCTTCGTCGCTAGCTCTGATGAGGCTTTCATTGACGTCGTCATCCCGGTATCCTTGAGAGACGAGAAGCTTGGTGAGTCCGTCATGACCGGAATTCTCATCCAGTTCAAACGCTGGGGCCATGCAAGGACCGCGGCGAAAGTCGAGATCGATGCTGAACGACTTGGCTTCTTCCCATCCACACACGAATCTCATCCGCGCCCCTACTGTGCTCTCATAATGCAGCTGAAAGTGCACCCCCCGAAGGGTGTTATTCCCGGAGGACAGGAAAAGGGCGTACTAGGGGAGCAAAGAGCCGAACCATCGACTCCTCGAGAGAATGCTCCGGGGCTTGTTTCGAAGGTCAAGCGGCGATTGGAGAGCTTACGGTCGACCGAACGGGACGCTACTCACCCGCGTTACCACTTTTCCGTGTATGGTTGCTCGAACACGGTATACAAGGGGATTCTAGAGGAAGAGAATCGCAAATACGCTGCTCTGCTTTCTTCTGGGAACACGTTTCACGACCACGGACGCCAGACCGAGGAACAGTTGGCTGAAGTCTGGCGAATGAAGCCATCTTGGTCGGCTGCTATGGGATCGTACCATTGGGTCGAGGGAGCCGACATCATTTCGAACGTTCTTGACGAAGGAGATGGGGTTGTCATTTCGCAATACCCGGGATACGAGGGCGAGAATTCAGGTTAAGATATTTGATTGTCATCAATTGTTTCTTTCTGTCGACAAACTGTCAAATCGTAGATGTGTGTGTAGTACTATCGCATATCGAGTGTTTGTAGTTGATTTGTGTATAATATGTATAGTGTCCTACCGCGCTCGATGTTTAGCGAGGCGATGTACTTGGCAATGTGGACTCGCGCTCGTCACGTGGAGGCCCGAAAATGAGTTCTACTACTAGAAGCCTGGACCTACATCGACCTACATGATGTACGAGTAACCTGAGGACTTCCTCGATTGCAATCACAATCGATTGTCTGATCAACATCCATGCCCACGACGTGCTGCCACTGACTCTTATAAGGTGAAACTCTCTTTGCCTGCTCCGGAGGAACACCATGCACCGGGCCAGCATGCAGCCCACGACGCCCACGGAGTCCGTAGATGCTGTCGCCGTCGGTCCCTCCGATGCGCCTTCTCAGCATGGGACGTTTGCTCTTGAAAATTCTTCCCAAGATGACCTGTCTGTGGCCCTCTCGTCGCCAAGCTTATCGCGAAATCAGCTACCTTTTCTTCCCACATACCCTGGCGCTCAATTTGAAGCCACGCGCATCTCTGCCATGGACAACCTCGTGGAAACATATCTCTCGTCCCTAGAGACCCCCTTGGACAACAAGCCTCCCTTTCCACACGACATAGTCCACGTCGTGATCTTGACATGCTCAGAACTATTGACGCAGCAATCACAGATATACGCCTCCTCAAATGACATGATACCTCTTATCGAATTGTACCCTGAGCTGATCGATATCAGCCGCGATTGTTGGGAGAGGAAGTCTTATCAAGCCCTTCGAGAACTCGGTTGGGAATCTCGTCGCCTGCGTCCGCATATTATTCAACCATGAATTACTAGAACTGTTCTGGCCAAAGGCTGTCAAGCAGGCTGGCAGAAACCTCTTTCAACGTCGCATACCAAATCCACCATCCGAACCTGAAGTCATTCGTACGTCATGTAATACTGTCACTATTACTTCTCCTGATATCTTTTTCAGAGCAAGGCACGTTGTCGCTCTGTCTCTGATACATGCGCCCGGACTCATTTTCTTGATGTAGCCGTTGAGCTCGCGTGGACGGCACCATACACATCAGATTACCATGAGATCCTGCTCAGGTCGATCAAGGAAATGATGGAATATGGAGAGCAAAATGATTACTCAAACACTGTTGCTATTTTACAAAGTTCAGGATCCGGGAAATCACGAATGGTAGATGAGATGGCATCCATAATCTTTACCATTCCATTCAACTTGCGTGAAGATCGGGATAATCATGGTGAGTCATTGATGACTCGGGATGTATGCCTCGCTAATGTTGCCCGCGCAGGATTGGCGTGGCCGCCTCCGGACAAAGCTGTGCGGGATATACTGAAACACGCGGCAGTCGATTATGCAGCACAGCGCCTCATCTATTTCGAGTTTTTCACTGAGCTTTTTGCTCTTGTCAAGATTGAATTGGATGAGCTCCGCCGGACGGGTGAGACAGAAGACTTGGTCATCGCCTGGAAGAAACATCTATTACAACCCTCTGTGCGATCGCAATTCTACGAGAAATTGAGCGAGAATATGAAATCGAAGGCAAGCATCACCTCTGTTCAATTATCACTTCAGGTATAAACGATCTATCAGCGGCCGACAGTAGTCCTCGATAAGAAAACCCCTCTTATCGATAACAAGAATACACACAGTCCCAAGAGCGCAGCAAGCGCTGCGGCTGTAAACGCACTTCGCGAGTTGCTTCTCACCCTCACCCGATCCACTACAGAAACTACGACAAGTACAGTCAAGCTTGTCATCTATTTTGATGAGTCACACGTTCTTACCGAGGGGCCTACGTTGAAGGACGAACAGAAGGACAAGGAATATGACAAGACGCAATATGACACCCTCCTCTCGGTGTTCAATAGCTTCAAGGCGTTTCCTATCTTTGCCATCTTTTTATCTACTACATCTCGAATTTCCTACTTTGCTCCCCCGAAGTCAGAAGCCAAATCCTCACGCGCATACAACAGTAATTATTTGCAAGCCCCAGTGTCGGAGACTCCGTTTGATATTACTCCTGGGTTAGAGATTGTGCCTGGGACACTCAGCGTCCAAGATGTGTCAAAAGTTTCATTTATGACGCAATTCGGAAGGCCCTTGTACGCTTTTTCTCCCTTTGCGGGTGTCACGAGTGTTACTAAAGAGCTTGCAGGTGGTGGACAATGCTGAGAGCGATGAACCCGACGGACCCTGATCAGGTTAATCAATATGAGCGCATACTCATCCTCTTAGCACGGAGCAAGTTGTCCGGCCAACCAAATCCCAATGTTGAGGCAAGACCTTCCGATACCGCTGCGTTGGCCATTGCAGATGTCCGTCTTTGTTTCGATTATGAACCAACTCGACCGAAGAACGAGAACATTGTTAACGATCTTGTGGCAAGCCACATGCGCACTGTATTTTCAATGCCCTCACACCGTGAATACTTCCGATCGGGGTATCCCAGCGAGCCGATCTTGGCAGAGGTGAGCCTCTACGCATCACAGCTGTTCGTTCAGCTAGTGAATCTCCTTTCTTGTTTTCGCCAAGGCAGCAGCCGAGCAGCTCGATTATTGGCGATCCAACGTGAAGGAAACCTTTCTCATTGACACCCTGGAACACCACATGAAGAATGGTCTTCTGAATACGGGTGAGCGAGGGGAAGTTGTGGCGCGCGCGCTGCTCACAGAAGCTTACGATCGCGCGGTCAAAAGAGAAGACCCAGAAAAATTTGGGCGATTCAGTCGAGGCTGTTCCCTCATTTCGTTTATCGAGGAGCTATTTGAACCCGGTGCTGCTCAAGCCATACTTGACAGTTACCCCGATAACATCCCGAGGGACACTGAGGACCTCAACAGGCAGAAGTTCAGAACGGTATTCCAAAAAGCCAAGGTCCGCTTCACCCACTTTGTCAAGGTAGATGACGTGAACGGTATTACCACGGGGACGTTGTTTCCAGCTTTCGTCCGTGGCATGGCATTTATTGCCAAGACAGGACAGACTATCATTGACCTTGGGATTCCGGTGTTGTTTGTGGATGATAAACTTGGTGAAACGGCCATGACGGCCATCCTCATCCAAGTGAAGCGACGCATAAAGGCCGGAACTGTTGTGGCACTTGATATCAGGGCGGAGAATATTGGTTTGTTCGTTACGGAGGCCTCACGCCGGCCATACTGTACCCTCGTGATGGAGCTCGGCGTACAGCCAGGCTTAGACAAGACCATCGGTAACAACGGCAAGGGCGAGGATATGGGAAAGGGCAAAGCACGTGGGAAAGGCAGAGGCAAGGGACGAGCGCGTCCATCCACTTCCCCGAAGATCGTTGCACAGAATGCCTATGCTGCTAAGACTCCTTCCAAAGTCCAAGTCAAAGATTACGGGATCTCGCGCTCTACCACACGGGCAGCCTCCGAAAACGCGACGAACAACCACCCGCGGTACAGCATCTTCGTGTACGGCTGTTCGAGCACAGTGTACAAGGGAATCAGCCATGGCGACAAACACAAATATGCCTTGCTACTCGCAACCCGAGACATGTTTCACGAGCACGCTCGCCAGCGCAAAGAAGCGCTGCTCAAAGTCTGGCAGCTGAAGCCCGCCTGGTCAGTGCGTCACAATTGCTATCATTGGGTCAAGGGGATGAATGTGGGCACGGCGACTGCTGACACCGAGGAGGACGATGAGGATAGGGTCGTCGTTTCGGAATACGACGGAGGCGAGGGTCACCTCCCCGCATGATAAAACGCGACGAGTACCTGAATATACCGTGTTTCCCGTCGCCAAATTTGTTTTAGTATCTTTCGATGAATCGTCTACCATGTTTTCCCCATGCAATGCATAGTTTTGAACCTGGTCGCTGCTACAAGATGCTCTTCCCCCTCAAATGAATTCGGGGCTTATGCGGACCATCCGTTCTTATAAGTGACGGGGTCACGTCGCGCTGCCCACAATCTGCGATCAATAATACTTCGATAATACCAATCAGCCACGATGAGCAGCTGGATTAAAAATGCCAAGGGCCCCGAGCTCAGGTACAGTGACACAACAACGGAGGGTATCAACGACTTGTGGCTCGTTAGCACGCAGGTGGTGGAAGTAAAATAGGACCGGAACCAGGCCTGAGAAGACCGAGTCCACATTCCTAGGAAAGAACAATCGCGCCGCATCGGGCACTGGACACGGAGGAGGGTAGGTAAGAGGACAAGGGACGGAGAGCAGGACATCCCGCAGAATCCAGCTCTGGACGCCACCGCGTGCGCCAACGCCCACCATCAACGGACAGAAAAGAACAGAAGGTTTGGCACCGGCGCCGATTAACCAGACAAAGGGAAAACAGACGACCCACATGTTTATGATAGAAGAGGTAGGGGAGAAGAGGGGAGTAAATAGTTAGGGGCAGTGGACAACGCGAACACAGAGGGGAACACAGGATACACAGAATTTGTACGGTTGGAGGAGACTGCGATGCAGACACGAGATTTCAATACAGTCAAATTCGTCGCATCGTCGACCGGGACGGCGCGTGGATGTTAGCACACGTGGGGGCCGGCGAGCACGCTTAGATCCCTCCGTACGCGTCTTCTTCATCGTAGATGGTGTAGACCGTGTCTGGCCTCTTCTGCGCGTGCCCTTGCGCTTGTCCCTCAGCTTTGGGCTCGCGGCGCGGAGCCTCCGCCGGTTCAGCCTGCACAGGGGCCGAGGTGGCGAGGGGGCTGGCCCTGTTGAGCACCGCTACAGGCGGCGGCGTGCGGACGTCGCCAAACTCGGTGCGGAACGGCGACGGGGAGCCGTGCGCGCTGACAGGGAGCGAAAAGTCGACCGAGACGGGAGAGAACGCGCGATTCTGCACGAGGATCTCGGGAAGGATGGGCGGGTTGGAGTCAATCCTGCTGTGGTGATGCACGGCGGCGGGCGGAGCAGGGAATTCGAGCTCCTGCGCGTCGGCTTCCATGTCTGCATCAGAGACATAGGATGGGATGTTCATGGTGTTGTTCGCAGACCTCGGGGTTGCTTGACCGGCGGCGTACATACCAGGATCTGCGAAAGGCGATTCGGGGTTGGCAGTCTCTGCAGGCACCGGAGCCGAGAGATAGTGTGCGAATCCTGCTTGATGGACAGCCATGTTCGCTGTGTCGATGCTGGCGGCGGAGGGAGGGGCATCAAAGTCAGTGGTAACGGCGGTGCCAGGGGTGGGCAAATCCTTCTCCTCATTGATCGCGCCGAGGTTGAGCGGAGGGGGAGTAGGAGCACCGAGTTTGCGTGAGATCTCCGCGTACTGGGCAGCCTGGAATGGCGTTACACTGGAACGGCTCAAGTCGACGTAATGCGGGTCCTCAGTTTCCCAAGTCGATGGATTAGGAGTCATCGAGGACATGGGACTGAATGGTCCGCTGCCCATCGAGTTCTGGCGCGTGACATAAGCGGAGGAAGGTTGCCTGGTCAGCGCGCTTTGCGGGGGAGTCAGGTCGTTGTATGGAGAACCAGGACCGTAGTGAGCAGGCACGCTCGTGACAGGAGAGCCCATAGGCGAGTCGTAAGGCGTTATGAAGGGGTTCGCAGAGTGAGCCGTGATGGGGGACATCACGTCGCCGGGGGCAAATGACTGGAAGCTAGCGTGTTCAGTAGGACCAGGACCATAGCCACCGTACATGTTCTCTGGAGGGCCTCTCATACCCTCAGGACCATAATTGGAATAGTTCCCGAATGTGGGCTGACGATGCAACATGGCAGGAGATGCGTTTGTCATCTTACGCTCAATCATAGTCGGAGGACGAGGAGAGTTCGCGCCACCAGCACCGCGATTGAATGTCATAGCGCGACTCATGGGAGGAGGCATGTCGTCATTGAGCATGGTCGAATGGCGACGAACGTCCTCTGCATTCCACGCTTCATCGCTCTCTTCGTTGTTGCGACATTTCCTCTGAAGATAAAGTTTAGCCGAGTGCCGTCGTCCTGACCGTGGTTTTTACACACCAAGAAATACACGATTGCAGCGAGTATACCGATAGCACCAACGATAGCGGCCGCGACTCCACCAATGATGATACCCGAGCTGGTAGTGGAAGATGCAACGGCCGTGGACGACGCAGTTGAGGCAGCGGACGATATCGTGACCGCGGAGCCGCTGATGGTTTGGATGATGAACTCTGTCGACTGACCGAGCGCGCTGGCTGGTTTCGCCGTAGTGGCCGCCTAATCATACTGACGTGTGAACAACTCTAAAAATAGGACAAGGAAGAGAAAAAACGGACAGCGGCACGGGACGAAGACGAGGTCTGTGCGACAACGACAGGTTGGGTGCTAGCAGGAGTGCTCGAGGTGACCGCGGCAACGGAGGAGGTTGCAGAGGCGGTGGGGGTAGTGACCACTGTAGCAGCGGAGGTGCTGGTGAGCGACAGAGTAGGAGAGGGAGAGGTGGTAGAGATGATGGTCTGGGTGACTTGGGCAGGTGTGTCGGCTGAGATAGTTAATGTAAACGAAGAGAAAAAGGAAACAAAAAGTAAGATAACAGACAGGTAGATGCCTGGACAGAGACAGAAGCACTGGTCGTAACGGGGTCTGTGGTAGCTGCTTGCTGTGAAGCTGTGGACGAAAGTGCGGCGGCAGGATCTGTAAAAACGGCAGTGGGTGAAAACCTGGGGTTGAGCGAGGGGTTGAGGGGGGATTTTTTGTGAAGTTGACGGTGGAGAACGCGTCTCCTGTATGCGGATTCTTCTGACATGGGATATGCAAAGGGCGTGAAAGGAGGGGTGGGAAAAAGAGCGAGGTTTAAAGAATGAACGGTGTGCAGAACAACGTCGCAGAGGAGAAACGGAGAGCTGAGCACTTGCTCGACGGCGGCAGTGTCGTTTGAACTGGCACAGGCAGAGCAGAGGACCGTGCCTGTGTGACACACCCGTGACGACTCGTGACACAGCCATCACAGGCCATCACGACGCCGAATCTTGCAGCGATGTGCGAGGCTGTCCATGATCGCGTTCAGGCCCCGGTCTATATCAACTGGCGACCTGCTCGTCCCGAAGCCAATCTGTCCACCCTATCCTCACCGACATATGTAAACTCACATGCCCCCTTGGGCGTCAACCTTCTGTCTGTTGCAATGACGACGGATGCATGCCCTATTTCCCGATCATGGCCTATTTGTCGAGCCAGCTCTTCTCTCCATCGGTTCACACTGCATGCTGACCCCCTCCAGCCCTCGCCACCCATCCCTCCTTCTCTTTGCCTTCGTCGTCTGGCTCGGCCTTACCAGTGAAGCAGTCCACGCGCAGGTTGTCGTGACCATCGAGAACACCAATCCCCAGATCTCTTACTTCCCATCTGTCTGCAACGTCACAGGCGATCAGACACGTTCCGCTGCTTGCGACGGTCAATGGTGCGTTTGATGTGCTGATCTTCTGGCCGAATCCTCGAGTTGATCCGACGGTGCTCCGTCTACCCCAGGCAAATCCTCCCTCTGGCAGGCGCCTCCAGCGGCTCTGTCACGTCTACGTACGGCCCTTCTCCAGCGACAGATAACATCATCCCACAGCTCTTCCTCGTCCTACGCGGAACGTCCTTTGTCTTGCGCACGTCAACCAGCTCTAATGCAACCGTCAACGTCACTCTCACTGCCAATCCTTCACGACTTGATATCAGCACCATAGTAGACTCCTCGCTCGGCAGCGTATCTGCGGTCGACTTGCCTGTTAACGAAGACCTGACTGTAGCTCTCACGTATATACCCAGACCTGATGGTGCAGTGACACGTTTCGACATCGATTCCATCACAGTCACCGCAGCTGATAGCAAGTGAGTACTCAATCCTCAACTGCCCCCATTGCCTCCATTTGAGCCTTTCATCAGCTCTACCAGCCTTTCCTCGACGCCATCGCCGACTTCAAGCGTCCTCCCGTCCTTCGTCATACCCACATCGACCACTACGCCAGCCCCTACCAACCGTAGCGCGTCCCTTGCGCAGCCGAAAGGTACCATCATCGCTGAATCTCTCGCTGGGTTCTTCGGCCTCATTCTCATCATTGTGGGTATCGTATCTTTCATACGCTGGAGAAGAGGTCGGTGGAAACGGGATCCAGAGGGCATAGAAATGGAAGTTCGGAACAGGAAGGGGAAGGGACGAGCTGAACCAGAAACAGCATGAATGAAAACAGACGCGTTCGTTCGCGGTAATGCATAACGGCCCAATGACCATGATGACCATGACTATGTATGGTATTGTAAATGTTATAGTTCGAGTACGGTATTGCGGGTGCACCTATTTAATCGCTTCTCTTCTATGATTGAACCCTGGGACTGATTCTCCTGCGTTTGGCAAAATTTGAACGAAGGTGCGTTTGACAATCTCAGGTTCTCAAGGGCTTTTCACACCTGTTGCCAAAGCACCGTGAAATGAGATTGCATGCAGGGTTCCGAGTCGTTGGTTCAAGGTTACTTGTGGCACGTGAAAGCGTGTTATAGACGCGTCGCGATTGGTGACTCATTGCACTTTGACTCAAAGGCTCCACCAGTCTCAGGACATGCCGCTCAAAGAATCCGAACGCATCTCGTCCGCGCAACAGACTTTAGATAGTGGGTATGCATGACACCACGTGCGCACGCAGGCTCACTCACATCCGCGCAACGCAGCCCTGTACGAGATATCGCAGCTGCTCAACACGAAGCTGGACAAGGAGACGCTCGCGACGTGCGTGGGCATGATAGAAAGCGGCGTGAACCCTGAGGCTCTGGCGGTCAGCATTCGCTCTTACCGGCGATCGTGTGCGTGTACCAGCGGACAGAGCTGATGATGCGATGTGCCTGCCACAGGCCGTTATACAGGAGCTTCGAAGGGAGAACGGCGCGCTGGGCGCTCAGTCGACCGCGAACGGGCGCCACAGCTCGATGCGATAGTGCATGCTTTGGCTGTGCTTGTCTTTGGCACGGATGGCTTTGAGGTGACCTACAGAGCTGCTGCGATCGCTAGCTAAGCCGTGCTGGTCGGTACCTTTTACCTCTCAGCACTCCAGAGCACTCTTTGAATTCACCACAGATCAAATGTATTGTGTTCTATATGGATTTCATGGTTCGATCGATCGGAGGTGTTCATCCGTTCTGTTCTTTCGTCATGCACCGATCTTCAAATTTTTACGCCGGGCACTAACCATGCAGGATGCAGATTGACCATGTTTACGATGTGCATTTGACTTTTGAACGCCCGGGCAATCGTGCAGCAGGTTTTATTTCTATTTGCAAGGATCATCTAGACCGGTGCAGTGAAAGTGACACTCAAGAGCCTTTATTCTCAGCCGATTCCCTGTGTTCTATTCTCCTCGGTTTGCAGCATGAGGCAATATCCGTGATAAGCTGCTCTCAGAATATATGGATGTCTGTGGTGTCCTTGAGAATTTATAGACTTCCCCTCTACCAAAGCTTTCACCCTTGCCCTATGGTATCTCTGAGTATGTTATGCAAACTGTGTTCCTCTAATTTTCCGAGCGGTGATGCGCAAAAGCCTCCTATGTAAAGAGGTTCTAAGGAAGTTGCGAGTTGGAACTTCGTTCGACAGAACGCTAGCGTTTTAGGTTGATGGCGGTCGTGAGGTTGCTGAGAACCCGACGACCTATTTATCGACAGCGAAACAAAGGCTAACTTGAAACGAGCGGGACGGACAAGGAGCCTGTGGCCAAGCCAGGTGGCCACATTTGGCCGTCGGCATGGATGTGATTTGTGACGTGACTTTGGTGACCGTCACCATGTGTTGTGTGCAGGACATGATTTGCTCCGTTGCCCTAAATTTGCGACACCGTCGACTGTACATACAGTCCCTTTCCCTCTTCTCTCTCTCTTTTTTCTGCTCGTATGGCAGACCCTCCTCCTGCACATCAGCAACCCATTTCACCCATCTCTCGATTGCTTCACAACCTCGGAATGACGCGCGATGACTTGACGCGACACAGTGATCAGATGCGCCAGTTCCTCACCACCGAGAACGTCAACTCTCTGCGTGCGTTCGTCCAGGAACACTCGAGCTCAGAGTCACCATCCTCCGCTCACCTCAAACTCCCTCAACTCCGCACGAAATCGCGCTCCCTCTCACTCGTTGACGCGTCTGCGCCTCCTCGCGACACCCCTCCTCCTGTGACACCGATCAAAACAGAGCCCGTCGAACCCTCCACCTCTCTTCGTCGCTATGATAGCATGGAGGCCGTTATAGAGCGACACAACAGGCGTAGCCGGAAAGAGAAGCGGTATAGGAGAGAAAGAGAGACTAGTCCCGCACCGCCTCCGTCGCCATCTCGTTCCGTGTCGAGGGCAAGTTCGTCGGTTCGCGGACACGCTTCTCGACGCGTCCTCAGCCCTGAATATACTCTTCCTGTCTATAATACCGTGTCACAAGTGCGTTTTGCACGCGTAATCTTTCAAACATGCTATTTGATCTGATCTACGTGTCTAGGATTCCCTCCCTCCTCCTGTCACTCCCCAAACGCGGAGATACTACAGGGACATCACTCTATATCAGACTGTATCCTCCAAACACTCTTCTCGTCAGGTAAACTCGGCTGCTGAGAATGTGGATGTATTGACCTTATTGCCAACTGCAGGGTGTATATATACCACGTGCCGAGTCACCCTCACCATCCCGCTCGCGGAGGAGCAGCGTGGCCTCATCTTCTTTCAGCATCCCTGCCGAAGAGGTGTGTATATATCTTGTTGCCTCCCGACATCTCTAAACTATGGTTAGCCTCAGAAATATTCGTCTCGTCCTCCCACGACCCCTCGCCGCAGCTATTACCGCGACTCGCTAGCTTCATCGTCGCCGGTGATGTCGACACCTTCATCGAGTCCCTCCCGCCACATTGTCAATATTGTGTCGTCACCAGGTCCCATGGGCCCCGCGCCTAACGAGGATGACTACGATGACCTCCCCTTCACACTCCCGCCTGGACCATACTCCTCGGAGAAACCCGACTTACCCTACGCCGCCCTCATAGGTCAAGCGATCCTCTCATCCCCGAATCACCGTTTGACTCTACAAGAAATTTACGACTGGATCACAATTGTCTATCCACATTTCAAGCGAAACGAACAGACGTGGATGAACTCCATTCGACACGTCTTGAGCACGACGATCGTGTTCCGCAAGGTGCAGCGGGATCGTGCTGAAGGTCGTACCCTTTGGGCCATCTGGGATCGCGACCTCGAGTGCTTCGCAAACGGTGGGTTCCGTAAAGAGCGTTGCGCTGAGATGCAAGAACAGAAAGCGCGGTATGCGACCAAAAAGCGCACTGCAGACGACTCACTTCCGCGCAAGGCGAAACGGACGAAAAAATCCGTGAAACAAGAACCTCAAGCAGAAGTTGCGCCTGCCGAGCCTGCCGAATTGCCCATACCGGTGCCTCAGATGGGCGTTCCTCTGTCAGCCATTCCCGGCATGTCTTTTGCGCCTTTGTTTCCTCCTCGCTCTGGTGTACACCAGCCGTATTATGCTCCGTTCTCATACCCCCCTCCCCCTCTTCACCATGGGCACGCTCTGCCCGTAGGTGTGATCTTTCCAACTCTGCCTCCCGAAACTGCCTACCATCGTGTCACGGCGGAAGAGGCAGCGGCTGCTATGGGTGCGCCTTCAGCTCGCCCGTCGACGTCGGCTTCTAGCTCTTCGCATCCCCAGCAGGCTAATCCGTTTGTCGTCGAAAAAGCACCGTCTCCTCCGACGCCCCTACCAATTTCCTCATCCTCATCGATGTCCATTCCTGGACTCACGCCGAACTGCAGCTCGTCCAGTCCACCTGATGCAGGGGATGACGTCGGTCGACTTGGTAGTAGACAGGGCGCCAATTCCCAGGAGTTAGACCTCGATTTAAGTGCTTATATAGTCGATCCAGATCTCGACGAGACACCTTTGGACGCTCTTGCGCCGGGCATCACGCTTTTGAATGACGCCGGTAAGGAAGTGGTAGCAGGGAAGAAGAAAGAGAAGGCGGCGAAGGTCCAAGGAAAATTGCGCAAGGGTAAGGAAAAGGCGAAAGTCAAGGATTATACTCCGCCCAAGGTGAGACTTTGTTTTTTTTCGGATATCTCTGTATGCGCAAGCTGGTAACCTTTCTATTTTCTAGAAGCCAGCCCTTCCTCCCCATCCGGAATCGCCAACATTAGCACGTCAGACTTGCTCACGACCTGCGAAGGTCGCTCGTCCGCCTGCGTCTGCATTCCCTCCATCCAGCGCCTTTGAGGAACCTCACACTTTCGAGGCCCTCGTCACTAATCTGCGACGGCCAATGACACCTCCACGGAAGTCATCCGCCGGTACAAATCAACTCTCCGCGATGCGCACGCCACTTTCCCACCGCGGTGTGCATATGAGCCCATCACCTAGCCTCGTACACTACAAGTCTAATTTAAACCCTCCACCGCACATCTCCCCTGTGTACGCGGAGGGCAACACACTTCCAGTGTTCGGTGATGACCACTTACGGACGCCATCCCGCCGAAGGACCAGCTCTTCATCCGCCCGTGCACAATCGTCCTATACACAGCTAACACCCTTTGCCCCAACAACACCGCGAAAGCTCTCCTTCCCGAGCCTTATGCAAGACTCACCTTTTCGCACGCCTGGGCGAGGCATCTTCGACCCACACGATCCGTCGGCTTTGCTTGACGAGGAACTCGCCAGGCTCGGGACCCAAAACGCCGGGTTTGGGTTGCAGGAAAGCCCGGCTGGCCTAGGGTTGTTCACGCGTGGTAAAGGGATGCTATACGAGAGCCCCGACGCATCCAGTCCTGGTAGATGGAGTCGGCCGTGGTAGGTGAGACGATGGTTCGGTTTTTTATGCTTCCTCCGCTTTACGCCTTTGTCGTCGTGTTGTCCTTGTCTCTATCATTCCATTATCGCTTTGTTCTAAGCGCGACTTGTGCCTGCTCCTGGAAGCTTAGTTCCCTAGATTCTGTGTCGCGTCCGTCATGACCTCGGACAGCCCACATCGCGGAAATGTTTTCCCGACGGACGTCTCTCGCGTGTTCGTCGCCGCGCGTTGGTTGTACTTCATACATATACCCGACAATTTTTGTCTACTGTTTGGCCGCTGTACCACGCCTCCTGTTGTACAGTATGTTTGTATCATCATGACATCACGACCTCTTGACGACTCCAAACTGTACTCAGCTGACAAGCGATTCCATTGTTTTTGTATTACTCTTGTTATATGTTTTGGCATTCGCAATATATGGATATGTTTTCTGCTCAAGCAGACTTGTACTGACGTCACAGGAGGGTCACTCGATGGTCACTGGTGTCACGTCGTATCTCGTCACAAGCTTGACCGTATGTACCTTCGAAAGTCAAGGTCCTTGCGGTGAGGTTCACGTCAATATGGTCTACCATAATTTGAAAGGTGTGCTCTCCGACCTTCACTTCCCCTGATTCTGATTGATCATTGTCTCAGCTCTCATCAAGGGCATCCGAGCATGTAAGGTCAGCGCGCTCCAACAACATCTCGCTGTTGCTCGCTCATATCATGGGGCGTAGACCGTAGCCGACGAGCGTGCTCTCATCCAGCAAGAGTCTGCTGCCATCCGCGCGTCGTTCAGGGAAGAAGATTCGTACGCGAGACACAACAATGTCGCCAAACTGCTCTACATACACATGCTAGGCTCTCCCGCGCACTTTGGCCAGATCGAGTGCCTCAAGCTCGTCGCAAGCCCGAGATTCAGCGACAAGCGGTTGGGATATTTGGGTATCATGTTGCTGCTGGATGAGAGCCAGGAGGTGCTGACGTTGGTCACGAACTCCCTGAAAAAGTGCGTCTTCTCGCAGTTCGATCGCCTTCAAAAACTAAAGCCAGGGAATAGTGATATGAATCATTCCAACATGTACGCGGTCGGCCTGGCTTTGTGCACCTTCGCAAACATCGCTTCTGAAGAGATGTCACGAGATCTTGCAAATGAGATTGAGAAACTTCTTGGCTCCAGCAACACCTACATCCGGAAGAAGGTCAGTTCTCGCGTTCTGTTCTATCATGTCAGCTGGAGCTTTGTTCTTCCTCCCAGGCCGCGCTCTGCGCTCTACGAGTGATCAAGAAGGTGCCAGACCTCACTGATCACTTCATCACAAAAGCCAAAAACCTGCTAGCTGACCGAAACCATGGTGTCCTGCTCACTGCCATCACTCTCGTCGTCGAAATGGTTCAAGCAGATCCGAGCTGTTTAGATGAATTCAGAAATGTGAGTCCTGCGATGCCGCAGATCATGCTAGCTCTTAAGTCCGGATATCCAGGCTGTTCCGCTTCTTGTACGGCATCTCAAGTCGCTAGTCACTACGGGATACAGCCCAGAGCACGATGTTTCGGGCATCACAGATCCTTTTCTTCAAGTCAAAATCCTTCGTCTGCTTCGATTACTGGGAAGAGGTGACGTGCAAGCGAGTGAGGCGATGAACGACATCTTGGCTCAGGTGCGTAATTTTATGTTCGGTAGAATATGAACAATTTACGGCTATCTGAATTTACGTAGGTAGCAACAAATACTGACTCCACGAAGAACGTCGGCAACTCCATTCTGTACGAGACGGTTCTCACTGTGCTTGAGATCGAAGCAGATAGTGGACTGCGTGTCATGGCCATCAACATCCTCGGAAAGTTCTTGAGCAACCGAGACAACAACATTAGGTATATTCCAGCGTACACTAGCATCTCTGCTTTCTAAATTGTTCTTCCATGCTACATAGATATGTTGCGCTCAATACCCTCAATAAGGTGGTGTCAATGGACACTAATGCTGTTCAACGGCATCGTAACACAATCCTCGATTGTTTACGAGACGGTGACATCTCGATTCGGCGACGGGCTCTCGAGCTGTCCTATGCACTTATCAACGAGCAGAACGTTCGGATCCTCACACGGGAACTATTGGCATTCTTGGAGGTCGCGGATAACGAGTTCAAGTTAGGAATGACAACACAGATCAGTTTGGCCGCGGAACGGTTCGCGCCAAACAAGAGGTGGCACATCGATACAGTACTGCGCGTGTTAAAACTAGTCAGTCTCAACTTTTTCGTCACATACAGTGATGAGCGCACTCACACTCCACCCAGGCAGGAAATTATGTCCGAGAGGAGATCCTGTCCGCATTTATTCGGCTCGTGGCGCATACGCCCGAACTGCAAGCGTATACTGCGTCAAAACTTTATTCCGCTCTCCGTTCTGATATCTCGCAAGAGTCTCTTTCATTGGCCGCCACCTGGATCATTGGTGAATACAGCGATGTCCTCATAGAGACCGGTCTCATCGATGACGAGAAACCGAAAGCGGTCAGTTCTTTGCATTTTCTCTTGCACTCGTTATTGTCTGATGCTTGTGCAGGTCACCGACGTAGAGATCATAGACCTCATTGTCTCTATTCTTGATTCGCCCTACGCAAACTACCTTACACGCCAGTTCGTCTTTGCATCGATCACGAAGATCTCGGCGCGGCCGACCACCAGCACCACACAGCAGGACCGAATTGCGTCGATCCTCGCTGCGTATACGACGAATCCCGAGCTCGAATTACAGCAAAGAGCAGTTGAGTTTGCTAGCTTGTTCACTCTAGGTGACGTCCGGGTAGGCGTTCTTGAGAGAATGCCCGCGCCAGAGTTGAAGGCGACTGTTTCAGGTGTTGGTAAGCAGCCTCTTGTGTCGGCTTTCTTCGGTCTTATTGAGATGCGTTACATCACAGTCAGCGAGAACAAGCCCGTCGGGTCAACGCAGACAGGTAAAGATGTAGGCAGTCCATCAAGCTGCCATCTGTATTCTTGTATTCATCGTCTGTTAGGTTGACCTGATCGGTGATGAAATTCCCTCTGGTGCAACGACAGGGACGAGCAAGACGCCAGCCATCGCCCAGAGCGACCATGACTTGTTGATGGACATCTTTGGTGGATCATCTGACACCACGCCTGCACAACCGTCCGCGCCAACAGTGTCACAGAAAAGTACTGTTGATGACATTTTGGGTCTCTTCGGCTCGACATCCTCGACACCCACTCCCGCTCCTGCACTAACACCGCCTGCCGCCAGCCTCTTTGCTTCATCGCCATCGCCCGCTCCACCGCCTCAACCTACGGCACCGAAGCTGCAATCGTATATTGCGTACGACAAGAACGAGCTCCATGTGACACTCACACCACAAACCTCGCCCCAACGACCAGGTGTCGTAAACGTGCTGGCACGCTTCCAAGTGAAGGGAGCGAATATGGCCACGGGGCTCAATTTCCAAGTCGCTGTACCAAGAGTAAGCCTTTTCTCACATTTGACCTGTGCGAAGCGACGGCTAAATTTCATCCCTCTCATGCAGACACAGCAACTTCAGATGTTACCGATGTCGCAACCAGACATCAAACCTGGTACAACAGAAACACAGCAAATGAGGATCACGGCGCCTCCTGGGGTATGTACACCCTTTCTCAGAATCAATTGGTCTCCTCGTCTTAACATGATCTGTCGAACGCAGAGCGCTGTCCGATTGCGCATACGGATATCGTACACTCTAGCTGGTCATGCGGTCCAAGACCAAGTGGACTTTTCAGGATTCCCACCATCACTCACAGGAGGCGGTTCGTAGTGGCTACGCTGTTCAGTCTCTGGCACATATTATCAGATATCCGTGGACGTAATGTACTGGCGTGCACTCGTACATCTGTTGTGAACTGAGAGTTGGTGGACATCAAAGGTTCCCACGGGTTGGGGGCCAAACATACGTACAGTGAGCGGCTGAATTTGCAATTGAATGCGACGATGAGCAACACCGCGTTCCGCGACTCGAGCATCGTTATCCTCGAGACTGGCACCACTTTCGTCCGCGCTGGCCTCGGTATTCATGATCTGCTTCATGCACCTAGCATCGTACAGCCTTCACTCATGCCGTGGTTGCTAAAGCTCACCCAGTCGCTTTACAGGAGATCCAAGCTCGCGTGGGCATCCGTAGCGGGGCGGTCCCCGACTCGCAAAACACGAATCAGGCGAACGGCCGCCTCGCTGCAAAGTTGAACGACCCGCTTGATCTCCAGCCATCGGCTTCCACGAGTCGCGCCGCGTCGACCATGCCCCAGCCCCAGCCCGTGTTGACTGCAAGAGTGACGGACTATCTCGTCGGGCCTCAACTCGACGACGCCCTCAGTGCAGGACAGGACCTCGTAGTGTCTTGGCCATTCGCAGATGGCGAGATCAGTGATTGGACTCAGGCAGAAGCGCTATGGTAAGTATGCTACATCTCAGCGTCCTTCGCAGACTTACATCCTAGAATCATATAGGAAACACGTCCTCTTCACCAGCCTCCAACTACGCCGCGTCCAGAACGAGTCCCCCATCCTCCTTTCCATATTTCCAGGGCTCTCCCGCGACGCGTATGAACGCACCTGCCAGATCTTCTTCGAGCGTTTCAATGTCGCCGCATTCAGCATCCTCGAACGCCCCATGGCGCAACTCTACGCAACCAATACACTGAGCGGCGTCGTCGTCGACATCGGAGATACTCACACGGACATCACGCCCGTCTATGATGGCTTCCCTCTGCACGCCGCGCGCACGACCGTCTGCCTCGGCGCACACGACTGCGAGCTCTTCGTCGCGCACCTCTTCCGCACCAACACCTCCGTCATGTCCACGCTCTCACCTCCCGACGCGCCGCTGGACCCGAGTGCGCTGGACGACGCGCTCCGCGCGCTCGCGCGCCAGGTGTGGCGGGACGGACTAGTCAAAGTGCCCTTGGATGGCGACGCCGCGCGCGAGATTGAGGATGAGGGCGTGACGGATATCGCTGCGGTGCTTGTCGCGGGCAAAGAAAAAGCCGTGATCGAGAGCGGTATGAAGAAGCGTCTCAATGCCAAAGCCACGGCGGCCGAGCAGGCGCGCGCAAAGGAGATCGAGGCGCTCGACCTCGTCACGGTTGAGTTCCGCGGAAAGGAGGTCACGCTGGGGAAGGAGCGGCATCGGCTCTGTGAGCCCCTGTTCGACCCTGGTTTGTTAAAGGCGCTGGGAGGGGGTTACAACAAGGACGGGGCCAGGGGACTCTTCATGCCGTTGCAAAATGCAGTGGGGCATGCTGTTGGATTGACAGAGGTCGATCAGCGGCAATACGTGTGGGCGGGTCTGTTCGTGACGGGGGACCTTACAGGCTACGTCAAAGGTAGGCTCTCAATTGTTACCCTTAAGCTCGTCACCCATCTTTGTATGTTAGGCATTGGCCCTGCGCTGCAGTCACGCCTCTCATCGTACATCTTGAGCAACCCTGATCAACAAAACGAGGTCCAGCCACGGTCCATTCGCCTTGCCAAAGTGCCCGAATATTTTGCAGAATTCAGAGAAAAGGGCGACGGTTTGGCTGCATTTCTGGGGTCCACTATCGTTGCCAAAATCACGTTCCACGACACCAACAGTAAAAACTTTGTCTTCAAAGCAGACTATACGGAGCGTGGACCAAAGACTATTCTCGAGATGTCTCCGTCATTGTTGTAATACATTTTTGATGTCGAAGATTCCGATTGCTCAGACTAATTCACGGCTTGACCAACTCTCGGTGATTGTCTATGAGCCGTTGGTATCTTATAGTACCATATAGGGTGACAGCAACGAGACTGTCATGGTGGTGCCTAATCATAAAATGGTAATGTGTAGCATACAAACACCTCGCATCCTTAACCCCAATCTTTTATGCGGTAGCCTCGGCCACGCTGAGGAGATCACTGTCACCAGGGTCGGAGATGGTCATGACACTGCACGGGCGACTGTCAATATCTGAAAAAGAAAAAAGGAGCATTTTACTCACCCGACACGGAAAAGCTTGCCGGCAGCGGTACCGAGAGCGACGTTGGTGCCAGCAAAATGGTGCACCGTTGTCTTCGAGAGCATGGCATAGTACTCGATCTCGGACTTGCGCAGAGGAGGGCAGTTGCCAGCAATCAATATGAGCTTGGCTGCACCACCCAGATCACATAGAGTACCAAGGCGTCGAGAGGAGAGGAGGAAGATCAAACGAATAGGTCAGCTCAGGGACCTTCTCAGCCTCACGCTCCAGTCCCGCGAGAGAGTCGAGTGGAAACCAACGCACCTTTGCTATTGCGCATCTGCTTGAGGGCAGACTTGTACCCAAGGGTGTACTTGCCGGACTTCACGACGAGCGCGAGGCGGGCAGCGATGGACTCGGTCGACTTGGAAGCCTTGGATTTTTTGGTGGGGGCCATCGCAGTACGTGTCGGGGTTGGTGACGGTGGTAGTGGTGGGTTCTTGAGGGCGTTGAAGGGCTATCGATTTTTGGGCATAGATCTGTTGGGACCTGCGTTTAGGTTTCGGCATTTGCCTTACAGTTTCCTCAAGTTCGGACTCCGAACAGCTCCATCAGAACCCTTCAGAACCCCAGGCACTCCCTGGCACTCCTCCTTGTATTGTAACAGCTTGTAACTTAGCCAGCCCTCGACAGAATTCCCAGTTCAACGTCGATAGTTTGTATATTCACAGGTGGTCGGCGAAGGAGTGTTTACAACTTTCCGCGTATAGTCACAGTGCTCCTCGCAGCTGCAGGCTAGCACGAGCAGCATGATCTGGTAATATTATATTGGCTTTAGCCCATCTGACCGGCGCCAAGTTGGTGCCCACTCCATCTCGCAATATTTCATGCGCCCCTCTCATCCTCTCTCCCCGACTTCCGCGTGATTCCTTCGCGGCGCGGCGTCGCGACATTCGCCGTAGCTACTATAAAGACAGCTCGCTGCAGCCCCCTAAAAATGTCTGCAGCCCACCCCCCGAAATGACAGCAACCCGTGAATCGTATGAGCCTTCGCATCCCGGCCTTTTCTCTATCGAGTTCAAGGAGGGTGAATACAGTTCCGCTCTTTTTGCCGACAAAGTGAGCAGTAGCGCACCAGCTCTTGCCGGTCAAGCAAAGGACTTTGATCTCACACTGACGGCAGGATTTCGCCGAGGGCCAAGTGTTGGCGTTCCTCGAAGGTCTGACGAAAGGACCCAAAGCATATTCATCTGTGCAGTGCGGGCCCAACAGCGACGACCACATTGAACTCAATTCTGACCTCCTTTACGGTATAAAGTCTAATTTTACTCTTGTCAACAGAAATGATAGATCTTGCTTCGCTCAGTGAACCATTCTTGCGAGCCTAATGTCGCCTTTGATTTGTCGTCTACAAACATGACTGAATGGCAGGTTCGCGCACTGAAGCCTATCCGCTCCGGAGAACCGCGTGAGTGATATCGGCGAGATCATGATTTTTCGCACACAATGTTCATGGTATCTCTATATCTTAGTCTCGTTCTTTTATCCGAGCACTGAATGGGACATGGGCCAGCCATTCGAGTGTATCTGCGGCACGTCGGTTCGTCCAGGCCGTCTCTATAACTCCTTTCATATCTAATCAAGGGGACCCTACGTTGTAGTCGTGCCTAGGACAAATCCAAGGCGCTGCATATCTCTCTAAAGAAGACTTACTTGCCAGGAAGTTCGTCAGTCCTTGGATATTGGCGCTCGCGGCCGAGCGGGATGCTTCGTTGGTCGCAACCCACCAAACAGGCCCGGGAGGGCTATCGGCACAATCTTCGCAGAGATGCGTCTCTTGTGGTTTCGGATTCACTGCCCGCGGCGACAAGAACCTCTGCGGCTGTCGCCCGAACTGAGATCTAATTTGGAGTGATCATAGAAGTCAAATATCGTTATTCTTAGCGTTGTATGGCCTTTTCTTTGATGTCAGTACTGATTCTGATGATTGTTCACAACTCTACAGCTATATACATTTGCTGTTCTACTCAAGAATATGATACATGACCAGTACTAGCTTTAGCTCAAAGGCAGTCAATTTCATGTCTCTGTGATTGACAGAAAGTCAAGAAGTCTTATGCACTCGCAGTCAACCCGCGGAATTCTGGGGTGCAATGCTCATATAGCAGGAAAATGATCAAACAAATCATCGCACCTTGGGTGAGGAAGAGAATGACCACTGCTTGCTCACCTTGCGTCTACATCGGGTTAATTCGACGATGGCTCGAGTGTATGAACCATGTATGACTATGACCCGGTCTACGCTTTGACATTGTGTCCTTGACCTTAGTTGAAGTGCATTTGCAGATTTGATTCGATGATTCCCCAGCACACAGTGAATCGGTACCCCAGTCCTATGGGGAAAAAGCTACTAATACAGCGCTGCATGTTCTAGTCATTCAAGCGAAGCTCAATTACGCCATATACATGATCCATTTTTCTCACATTGAGGTCAGTCATCGAATGGTCCTCCTCCGGTTCCCTTTGCGTATTGAGCGATCCGTCAAGCTCTCATAAAAGTCTAGTTCGGTGGGGGTAGACGCCAAGATTGAAACCATGCCGCACTTACAGCTATCTCGTGGCCTTAGCTGGCCTTGGTATGACAAACTGTTTCGACTTGGGGCTGGTGCAGGCATCTGCTTTGATCTGGTCTCTCTGGGCACAGTGAAGGGGGTCCACTCGAGATCTACAACTTTGATGTATAAAGTGCAGAGCGTGCAGCGGAAGATCTGTGGACATTCGTACGTACACTTCTCAACTTGTGGTTGAGCCATCACTTATGCCACATTTGCCTTATAATTTGTGCTTGTAGGTGCAAATTTGGCTGCCTCGGGAGCGTCGGTTCGGGACCCAAGCGATCAGGCCACTCGGTAAGGAATGTTTGCGCCCGTATCGTGGATTTGCTGGGTCAAGCTGTCTTTGACATATATTTGCGGTCGCCGCCTGTAAAACAGGATGCGCATTGAAATTAGAGGAAATGAGAGTACCAGCCTTACGAAGGCAATCGTCCTCTGCATGGGATTTGCTGCCGATGGACGTGTTGTGTCGATTAAGTGGCTCTAGCGACAAGCCTGCGGCCTCTGAGAGGATTAGTCCTGCGCAATGATTGACACCACAGAAGAGCTGCTGTTCGGTTACAACCCGACGGGGTTCAGTCCTGGCATGGCACTACGGAGCATTGTTCAGTTCGTAACTCTTGCATGCAGTGCGGTAGCATTGTCTCATTATTTATCTTGTCAATGCAAGGTCTTTTGAAAACAACGGGAAAAAGCTGTGTGGGCGTCTAATGATCCGATGAGAGAGAAACAGCGCGCTAGCAAGCAGACCCGATCAACGAGGACGTAGCGACCGGACAGCTTCGTCCCGTGCGAGGCCGGTGAGACAGAGCCTGTGAGTGTGCAGGAAGGCACAGCAGGGGTGGTAATACACGTCGACGAGGATGCGCGGGTGGCGTGCGTGCATTTATTGATGAGCGTTCCATATCGTTGCGTACGTAGAGGGATCTGGTGCATCTATTGGCTCCGTGTTAGAAGCTGTTGGGACGTCCTCTCTGGAGGAAAGCATGCTGCTCCCCGTAGGCGCCCAGATTTGGCCATGCATGAGTGTCGAGTTGGTACTTTGTCAATGGTGTTCTGCTATGTGACTGTTTGTGTCGAGAACCACGTCTGTTGAGCACCTTTTCAATCACGATACCTGTGTCGGGGCGCAGAGGTCCGAGGAGATGAAGACGCACGTGCCTGTGCCGTGCGGAGAGGACAGAATGGCCGCTGAGTAGCACGCGTTAGGTAAGTAACTTTCCAAATATAGACGAGTGCTATTACGTGCAGTGCCCGCCACCGCGCCGCTGGACGTTCTTGGCTGACTGCACCTGTGCCGTGCTCATCCTGTTCTCTTCCCTCCCCTCGTCGTCGTCGTCGTCTCGCTCGCTCGACTCTCTGTTGTTTGCCTTATTTCTTGCTTTGCGAGGCTTCCACCGCTCTTTCATCTCCTTTCCTCTACCATAAATATCTGTTTATTCCATAAAGCTACTTCCACCCGCTCACGATATACTTAACGACATACGACCCCGCAGACGGCGACACTAGCCATGGCACAGCCCGTATTTGAGGAGCATCCTTTGGAGAACTACCTTCGCCGTGCGTCCGACTTCATACCGCTCTCTTCCCATTCGTCTCGCCTTTCTCAACGTAATTTCGCTCACGCAGAGTCCGGTGAAGGCGTCGAGGCTATGCCTGGCGGCATGTCTGATATACAAGTTCACGACGAAGTCACTCTTGATGACGGCGACGATCCGGGAGAGGACATCATGTACATGTTACCCCCGCAAGTCGTCCAATGCTTGGAGGTGCGCATCTCCATACCTACACCCCACACTGCACCGGGACCTGTCCGTGCGGCGTTACGCCACACTCTCCTCGGCCCTATGGCCTAGCGCGTCTTCTTTAGCCTCACAAGCTTTCCGAAGGACGTGGAGCGGACAATGACCCAAAGACGCTGCAGGGTTTCCAAAGCCTGCTTTCCGTAAATTGTGACTGACCGCATAATTCCCCCAGCTTGTACAGACCCTTCTCTCGTCCAGAAAGCTCGCAGCATCAGGACGCGAGTTTGCAGAGCGTTTCAAATATCTAGTCATATCCTCTTCCCTCCTCTCTTCGTCCTTGTCATCACCACCGTCTTCCAGACGACGTTCTTTTGAGCCACAAATACCCGGAGAAATAATCAGTCTCAACGACCCAGACTCGGATCGTCGACTCTACGACTCCGAGCCATCTAATGAGGGCCTCAGACCGTCAAGAAGTGGACATTCCCCATCGCAACCCTCTCCCCCCTCTCCGGAATCGTATCTCTCCGCGATCCTGCTCTGTCTCTCTACGTTATCTCTATTTTCGGGATCTTTTCTTCTCGCTATCTTGTTTGCAACTACATTATATTATTTTCGCACCCAGAACCTGGACATGGCGCATAAGCCTGACCAAATGACGCCTGTAAGTGAACATTCATATTTGTTTGACGTCGCTTCTGACCCGAGTGTCTCCAGACCCTGAACACGTTAGATGAGCTGACTGCTGCTAGTCATGTTTGGGACTCAGCAGTCCATGAAGCCATCTCAGTGTTAGAAAAGGACGAGCGAAGGTTAGCGCTGACGTTGATATATGAACTAGACATCTGACCGAACAACCAGCGTATTTTATGGTCCCACCAGTCCATCGTCTCCCTCTGCGTCCATCCGTGTCGCTCTCCATTCCTCCCTCCATACAACGCAGACGCAGAGTGACAATGTTCGTCAACTCCTCGCTGCACTGACCTCCCCAGTCGAGTTCTCTCAACTCTCCGAGATGTATGCGCCGCCTTCGCCTATCAAGGCTGCCCTCACCCTCAACACGAACGATCGGCCTCTATCTTTCCCTCCGAGGCAGCGAACTATCTCCGCGCCTTCGGACAAGCGAATGACATGGAATGGCTCTTACGCAGCCCTTGCTTCGCATGGCAGTCCGACCAAACAGGTGTTGAGAAAAAGAGAAAACAGAAGGTCTGATTTGTCGGCCTTGTTGAACCCGTCAGGATCCCACACGTCGAGCATGAGTGCCCCGACAAGCCCAAATACCCTTGAGGGTGTTCAGGAAGAGGATGGCTTCCGTGACTACGATGAAGAGTCTCCCGTTCCTCCGGAAGAGCGAGGCGAATTTGGCATGACTGCCTTGGGCATCCAACGGCGGCGGCGGAGAGCAGGGCGCCAGAGCCTCGGCCTTCTTCCTTCACCGAGCCATACTGCCCCTCCGACACTCCGTGTAACATCCAACACGCCGTCGATTTCATCATCCACGCGCTTCACAACCATGCAGAAGACACGACATCCGCTCTCGCTTTCCGCGCTCCATCACGCTCTGCAGGGCGCGCTCGCGTCGAAACGTTACGCGGCCTCGCACCTCCTCGCGCTTCGCTTTGACGAGCAGGATGATGACTCATATTGGGATGACGTGCGCGCCGTGATGGCCCTTCTGACCAGCACGTTGGCCGATGCGTCCGCGCGCCTGATCGAGGCACTCGACTTGGCCGAGCAACAGCGTCTGCGGGACGAGAACCCCAGCCCGCTGCTGGGCGAGACTTCAGAGCCGAATTCTCCGACCGCGTTATCACCGCCGCGGCTGCGCAACAGGATGTCGCGCATCGAGACCGCGCGCTCGTTCGCGCCTATGCCGAGCCAGTTATCGCGATTCGCGATCCACGTAGACGCGATCTCGGAGGCGCTGCACGACGCACACGGGTATCTGGAGCATTGCGTTGCCGCTTTACGAGAAGGAAGAGGAACTTCGTTGTTGGACGGCGATATATTCCAGGGAGCGCCGCTCGCTCATCCGGAGTCGCTGCAAGATTCTCCCGTACTAAAAGCTTACGAGCGGCTGAGGCGTGAGCTCGGGATCGCGCTCAGGGAGTGTGAGCGGGGGCGGGAAAAGCTGCTCGACATCGTCTCGCCCCCAAGGGTACCCGAGGACGGCGACGGGCCCGAGGACGTCGACGGGGAGGAAGAGGACGTACCGCTTCTCGGGCCCGATGGCGGGAGCGATGACTCGGATAAGACGGATTCGCTCAGGGTGTCTCATCACAGGATGAACCCATCACTCGATGCTGTCATAGTGCACAGGGGCGGGCTCACGCAGGACGACGCGACGATGCATCTCTTGCTGTCGGCATCGACGGAGCAGCTCCCGCCGCCGGGCATTGAGCAGGTATTCGAGGCGGACACTGGCCTCTCGCCGTCCTTCACGCGCGAGCGGTCGAAGCTGACGCGTGAGGAGCGGATCCGGATCGCAAAAGCCCGCCGTGAGCGCAGCAGTCTCGGGAGCAGCAACACTAGCGGAGGCGGAGCGGGGCTCGGGATCGGATCCTCGTCGGACGAGGAAGGGCGAGACAGGCCCTCGTCGGACTTGGAGCTGCGGCGGGAGCGCTGGGGCCCCGGTGGGGACGTCGTGCAGGAGTTGAAGGATGTGATCTGGAAAGTAGGGGAGAAGCGCCGGCGGATGACAGAGTCACGATCGGGAGGCGGCGCGGAGACGGCGCAAATGGTGTTCGCCGCGCCTGCACCGCCTGTCGTGGAGCAGCCGGAGGAAACAAATGAGAATCTGGCATCATGACGACCGAGGCGAGGCGACCCGCTTCGTCGGCCCCTCCGCCTGCGTCACGACCTCGAGCAGCGCGCGTTTCGCTCGCATGACACCTCTTCGACACCTCCCTCCCTCCTTCTCGTAGATTGTGCCCAACTTTCTGTCGCGGCATCTGCGTCATACGTACCGTACATAACCACTATATCGCACTGATATACTGCAGGTGCAGGGTTCTTCCGCTCGTTAGAATATCGCACATTGTACCTATGCTCATTGTTTACTCTTTGTTCGATCTGAATCCAGCGGGCATGGTTGTGGAATAATTGGCATTCGGTATGACACCCACGCAAGGGGATGTCGCGCTTGGCGAGCCATTCGCGACGGTGATTTTGTGTGGCCAAGCTTAGGACGGAAGGGAGTAGGAAAACATACCATGTTTGATTGGTCATGTACCGTACACTACCTAGCTTCATGGTAAAGTAGTCTGCTAGTCTGTATCCGAAGGACAAATCAATAGTATAGAACCCTGAAAAATGAGATCGGGGAAAAAGGACGAACGAGACATGGACCTCAAAGCCCCCCTTATTCTCATCTTGGCGGAAGGCAAGCGAGCCGAACCTAACAGGCGGGCACCAAGTTTGCATCGAGATGTCATTGCACACCAGTACACAGGATAACGAAAAGAGACGAGCAGCGCTAAGCGTAGATAACAGGACAGGACGGGACTGACTACTATGTAGAGAAGCGGGGGCTAAAGAAAAACAACGGCCAAAGAAAAAAAGGGAGGGGTGGGATTAGCAACCTTACGCAGCATTGCAACAGGGGGGGAGGGAAAGGAGATTAAGCCAAATACTGAGACATCTAGGCAAAGAAAAAGGCTAGGAAAAATATCATGGCTAGAAAATACGATCTTCGCCCACCGCCCGGAGAAAAGATAAATAAATACAGCTTGATCCAAAAAGCAGCTTGAAATACACGTTAACAAGAGTGAAATATCGAGGATGGAAAAGAAGAAAGCGAGATGGACATGTGGAGGACAAGTATCGGCATAGCGGAAGAAGCACTGAGCAGCGAGCGACGAGCTAGCCCAGACTTGTATCAAGAAAGGAAACAGTCCAGGGCCAGAAGAAATGACGTGGAAAGCGAGAAAGGGTCGAGCGTGCGTACCAGGAAGCAACCTGACCGTGAGGCCTGACAATCCATAACCGTCCTCTGATCCACCAACATTTCAAACCTAAGCCAGGCGAACATACTCTACCCTAAACCCTCACTTCATGGGCTCCAGCGTCTCATCATTGTTGATCCAAAAGTCCAAACCATCAAAAGAGTCCCCAAATCCTGGCGCGTCGAGATCCTCAAAGGTGCCCATCCCCATTGATTGAAGAAAGTCAGATGGGTTGAACGACATCGGGTCTGTCACTGTGCTCGTCGACCGAGGAGGATTGAGCCCTGACGCACTGCTGAGGATGGCAGACGGTGAGGGTGCAGACAAAGTGGAAGGTCCCGACATGGTCGGGGCCCCAGATGCGGGCGTCGTCGGCATATTCGGGGTATGAGACTGGCCCTGCTGTTGCGCCGGAGGCCCATTGTTTTGCTGTCCAGGAGGCCCCTGTCCAGGCCCATTCTGCGGCTGCGGCTGCTGTGGCTGTTGCTGGTGCTGTTGCTGATGTTGCTGATGTTGCTGCTGGTCAGGTGAAGGTCCATTCATCCCTGCATTGTCGCTTCCCTCCGCTTTGATATTAGTTTGCGGCGGTTTCGGTCCGCCCGGAGGAGGGTGCATCCCACCCATCGTCTTTGGCTGTCCTATACGATTGTGCGGCCCAGGCTGAGGCTGTCCAGCTGGGCCTCGCATCATGTGAGCTTGCGCATCATTCGCGGCTGGTGACCCTCCGTTCGGAGGCCCAGGCATCAAAGGAGCCATCGGTCCTTGCGACATGCTTTTCTGATGAAGATTCGCCATCGTCGCGCGGTACTGTCTTTCATTTTGAAACGGAGGGGCTTGCTGCTATGGGAAAAGGCATGAGTACTCCCATTAGACTGGGTGAGCAAGAGCTGACCTGCTGCATCTGGGGTGTCATCATGTTAGGCGGCGGCGGGTGGCCCATCATGGGACTCATCGATGCCAACTGCATCGGAGTCATTCCCTGGCCCATACTCATGTTGATTCCAGGTTGATTTCCCATGTGCATTCCTGGCTGGAAATTCATCGCGGAACGAACCATCCCATTCGTTGTGATCCCTGGATGCCCTTGAGTGCCGGGCGAGGGGAATGACCCCATAGGGGCCATTGGAGGCTCATGAGGGTTTGGCGTTCGTCGAACACGTTTCCGGTCCGGGGGGGAAGTGTCACTTCGCGGGAGCGTCTCGTGCTGCATTCACCGTCAGACCAACAGGAATCTGGGAAGCACTATCTTGACGTACCTCCTCACTGGGAGAAGTGCTATTACGTTTGGTAGGACGCGGAGGTTGTTGAGACATTGGCTGTTGCTGATTGCGCTGAGGATGCTGGGGAGGCATGTTCGTGGATGGCCCTGCAATTGCGTTCGGCGCCACTTGCCCAACAACAGCCCGACGACGACGACCCACGCCAGCCATGATCCGTTGCTGAAATCTCTTTTAGTGAAATCTAATGAAGATGCCAAAGTATATCCACCTTGTCTTCAGAAGTAAAAGTTCTCTCATCCTTGTCACCCAAGCCTACCTCAAGCTTGACGGATGCGAGAAGATCGGGTGGCATGCGGGCTATCTCCTGCGCAATCTGTATGTCGAGCTGGCGTGGATCTTGTACAGGCGGTTGACGTGGTGCCATAGACGGACTCGGGGTTGGATTCATCTGCATATGGGATGGCGTCCCCTGCCGACTTGGCGGTCGGCCGAGTTGTTGAAAAGGCTGTGTCGGAGTAGGATGCGCAGATCCCATCTGGGATGGATTGCCGATCTGTTGAGGCCCAGGTGGAAGCATGGCACGCCCAGGATGGTTCATCTGCGGAGATGGACCCAGCTGGGCCATCGGGCCAGACTGCTGTTGTCCCGCCATGGGTGGAGCCTGTGGCGAGTGCGCCATGGTAGGAGACGGGAATGGCGCACTGTTGGGGCCACGATGTTGTGGAACCATCTGTCGCTGACCTGGACCCTGCGGGCCCGGATGAGAAAAATTCTGCGGTGGCCCACCAGGATGTGAACCAGGAAGACCCTGTGGAACAGGAATTCCATTGGGCTGAGGGCCAGCGCCATGCGGCATACCGTAGGCAGGTTGGGCGCCTGCGGGAGCAGGTGGTGGGCCCGCAGGCCCTACACCGTTCGAGAGCGGACCACCAGGCGGTAGGACTGCCTGCCTTGGAGGGATGCCGTTTGTGAAACGACCAGGTGGAGGTGGATTAGGGACACCCTGACGCTGTGCGGCTTGAGCCTGGCGTTGTGCGGCCTGGTTCTATCACGAGAGATCTGGGCTCCGAAACTCGGCAAACTTGAAGAGACAAAGAGACTCACCTGCGTATACACTAAGCCATCATCGGACCCCGTTCCGTTGTTTTTTGCTTGGAATAATACCCAGAAAACACTCCACCACCTGCGCAAAGTGCAAGTGAGCAAGTAGAAAGCGGAGCTCCGTAGGATAGGAAGCATACTCGAAAAGGAGGCCCTGCTTGGCATTTATCGGAGGTTGTGACTCTACTGGAATCTCTGCCTCATTGACGAGCTCTCGTGCGGTCTTGACGAATCCGCGCTTGTTACAATAGTCATAAATGTAAATGTTGAACCTGCATGGCACAAGAGTGTGTGTAAGGTCGAGAAAGAAGCTGAGAAAAAGGTGACAGACATGCGATCGCCCTCCCAGAGCGAATTGGACGGGGGAGACGACTCGGATGGGGTGGGTGCTGAGGGTCCAGAGGGAGGTCCGGACGCCATTGGGTAGAGTGATGACAGGTTCGATGATGTTGGGGGGAACGGGCTCGAAGGGAGTTTGTTCAAGACGGGGGCAGAGGACGAGGAGAGGAAGGAGGCCGGGAAAGAGATGGACACTAAGATAGTTTAGGGAGCGTGAGCGTCTCCGTGGGCGCGCCTGGACAGAATAAGGCAAACCAAAGATAGTACCCGATTGGCTTTGTGCAAGACGGACGGTGGGGAGAACAAAAAGAAAGACAAGGAGTGTGCCGTCGAGGACGATGGGGGCGATGAACGCGACGATGTCGACGACGACGTGGGGCGTCGTGTCTGGCGCCGTGCTCGGTGGCGTCCCCTTCTTCCACGCCGGCGGAACGAAGAGCGGAGTCGGTCGGAACCCAATTTTCATTTACAGCTGTATCCGCCGTTTGCCGCGCCACGGCAACGTCACGGGCCCATCTACACGAGACTACAGGGCAGCTGGGCGCGACTACATACACCGCCCGCGCCCATGTTAACGCTAGTGTCGCCGTACAACCGCAATCTGGAAATCCCACCCGCCCACGATGTACTTCACTTCCAGCAACCGCTTCACCTCTCGCCACCCCGCCCGAAGTCCCTCCGCCTCCCCGACGTCCGTCGCAACATAAATAAAATCCGCGGGCGAGATCAGCGACCTGAGCAGCGATCCCATTAGAAACGCGATCAGCGCGATCACTAGCACACTCGACAGCGGGAATGACAATCGATCCCTCCGACTCTCCTCCCTTACCGCCATCCGCCGGTCTTCCCGGAATTCTTTTTCGTTTCCCACTCCCCGAGAAGCCGCGGACGCTTCTGGACCAGCCGTCGGTGATTGTGCTGTGCTCGTCGTCGATGCAGAAGGTGATCCCGTTCCCGATGGCGATGTGAATCGCGACAGTGGGTTTTGATACGAGTTGAAGAAGCCCAACAACCCTCCCGTCGCAGATGTAGGCGGAGCTGTTTCGGTGGGAGCAGTGCTTGGAATTTTATTCTGTCCCACGCCGTCGTTAGAACGGCTCCGGAAAGCAACGAATGAACTCACAGGTCCTGTTGGTTCCTGGATGCTCTCAGGCGACACACTGCCATCTTCGGCCTCCTTTGATTCTGGACTCGTCTGACTCGGCTCGCTTTGCGATGACGGGTATAGAAGATGCTCCGAGATGGCTAGAGGGGCCTGTAGTTGTCTAGGTAGCTCGTCTTCTCCATTAGAATGCCTGGAAGAACGCCGATGTCAGAATGGAAATATTGTTTGCATGAGAAAGACAGCTAGAGAGTGAAAGTCTGACCGTGTCAAAACAGTCAACCTTGCTACTCTATCATCCTGCAATTCCTCTCTACCTAAACTCGTTAACGATTCCTTCTCTCCTTCAACATTGACGATCGTGCCATCCACCTTGACGACAACTCCTGCTTTCGCCTTTCGCCTGCCCACGCTGTTTTTCGCATTGATAGCAGCGCCAGGCCGGATTTCCACATCTACAACCGCGCCCTTCTCTTGCAGGTCGACTAACCACTGTGGCTTCGGCGGCGGACTCCGAGTCTCCCCTGTTAGAGGGTCTTGAAGCGTCGAAATTTGATGTTGCGCAGTGGGGAGCATCAGTCTGAGTAGATGACGCGGTGGGCTGTCGACCGTGAGCCCAGAGGAATGCATCGGTGAAGGGGGGATGGTGTGCACCGTATATGTCAGCGGGAGGACACTGTCTGCGTCTTTATCCGCATCCTTAATGTCTTGTGCCGCGCTCAGTCCTCGAATATCAGTAAGCGAGATAGGTTTACTAGTATCATGAATCCTGGACCGGAGCTGGACGTCGTAGCCCTCATCGTAAAGCTTAGAATCCACAATGATCTCCGCAACAAGGAGATCAGTGTGCTGCCGGACCTCTCCGCGAAGCGTGAATGCAGATGAAGAAACCTTCAAGGCCGCCTCGCCGGCTGCAGTTCGGATCGTGGTAGACGATACTCTCCGATGCTTTGGCGTCGTCGTGGACCCAGAGGGTACAGACAATGACAAGCTGTGCGCCCGCGACGTGAATGGTGTGCTGATAGGCTCCGAAGAAGAAGAATCCGAAGACGGGGTCGTGGTCGGCTTTGGAGTTGTCTGCTGAGATAGTGAATCTGACGATTCAGCGGGCGATGCGGGTTTAGGTGAAGGGGAAGCTGCGCGGACGGGAGAGGGAACAGGAAGAGTAAGCAGTAGCGAGCTCCTGTAAATCCTCTCTTCCGGCATAAACCAAGTTTGGACCAGCGACCGATTTTCATCACGTCTTCTCAGCGTCCAGGCGTTGGTTCCTTGCTGTTCTTCGTATCCCTTGTCCGTGAGCACTACGCCCACCCCAGGCAAACGTGTGAACGGCAAAGGCGCAATGCTTTTGACGTAGGCTTCTACAGAGACGATCGCTTTCGCCAAGGCAGTGTTGTTCATGGCGTTGACGGCAGCCGGGACAGAGCCTGCGTAGTCTGCGGCGACGACGCGGGTACACCTTGTGGAAGGTATCGCATAGTTTTCCGGCGTGTAGGGGTCTAGAGTCTCAAGAATCCACCCGTCCACGAACATCCGTCCAATAGGCAGATTATACGGATTGTACTTCGCGGATGCGAATCCCACGGCAGACGCGGGACTGAATGATGCAGAGGCCACGAGAATCGCTGTTCGGCCTTCATCTGCGTCTTGCGAGCCCTTGGACCGCGCAACGAGGGATGCGACATAGAATCCGCGATCGCGAAACGGAAATCCGCCTTTCTGCACCACAAATGCAGTGTGACATTCGCCGCCAAACGTTTCCAAGATTTGTGCGCCGCCAAACTTGTCGTCCCACCGTCTCCTACACTCGTAGGTCGCAACTACCGCCGCAATCTCCTCCGCTGAGACGCCTTCAATCACTTTCTCGCCTTTATACACTGGTATGGTCGGCGAGAGAGACGGTTCAGCTTTCCGGTGGATTGGAAACCCCTTGCCGCTGACGATGGTCCATTCGGAGGTAGATGTAGGCGATGATGAACGAGAGTGGAGTTGTTGAAGGTATGAAAGAGCTTGGAGAGCATAATCCATGGGTGGTTTAGGGAGCATAGGGTCAGATGATGCGTTCGATGCAGGAGAGATGGCCGCGACAGCTTGCTCCGTCGTGGCTACTGCCTGTTCCATTGCAAACGAAAAATATCTTGCCAATGGACTGGGAAACTTGGGGGCCGAGGCAGTCCATATTGATGAAGACGTGGACATCGGCGAGGCCTTCTGCTCAGAGGTGCCATCCGACATTCCTAGGGCCTTTGCGTTCTCCTCATTTTCGCCACTCCATTCAGCCTTTCGTCGTCGTATAACGCCAAGTACAGGAGGCTGATCCAGTGGGATACGCGCAGGCTTGACCCTTTTCTGTTTACTCAGTGACTTGAGTTCAGACTCGGGAAGATCCTCCACGTCCAGTGTGACTCGTGCGCCATTTACCATCACAACGCCTCGTTCTCGCCCCGGGCCCTTGCGCACAATAGTCATAAGACGTTCGTCGCTTGCGAGCACGGCATCATGGGTGATAGTAAGCCACAAACCACCCCCACCAGAGGACAATCGATGTCTGCGAAGACACGAGATGGACTGTGGTGGCGGATCGACAACGATGTCCAAAGAAGAGGCCCATGTATCGATATCGCACCTCAGCTCGCACTCGATAATCGGCATCGACGTTGCCGATCCCGTATCTGCTATCGCATCAGAACTTGAGACGGAGCTCTGTTCTCCAGCTTGTACAGCCCTTCGACGAGAGGCCTCGTACTCGATCCTAAAGCTCCCTCGTTCATGGTCATAGCGGATTTGATTCGCTTTGGCGCCAGACAACCTTGTGAGTGCGGGGGGCCCACCACACTTGATTGCGAACTCGCCAACTCCGGCCAAAGCTGTGATCATCTGCTGTGGAATTGAGGCTTTACCAGACCACCCCTTCGGATCTGACTGCTCGAGCAACGTGAGCAGCGTTGTTGTCGGCGATAGCGCCTCGATGGCAAACCCTTGAAGGTCGACTTGTGTACGTATAGTCGTGGGTTCAACGGGCGGGATATTCGGAAAGAGGTTTGGTTCGTCAGCGGAGAATGCGAAGACGTGAACCGTACTGGGAGACTTATAGACTGTTTTCAGCAGAACAGAGTCCCGCGCACTACGGGTTGCATGAGTATGCATTGCGATGGGAAGAGAGTAAGGGGCTTACTTTGCTGGCCAGGCCAGTCTCGTCTTGATGTGCCATAGCTCGGTTAGTTCGTTTACATCCTCGAGAAGGACTGCATCCTCAAGCCCCTTGTCCCAATACGTATAAGCGCCTGGTGATGTGATCGCAGCATATAGATCCCAGAGGCCAACGCCAACAAAGGTCGCCTCTGCTCTGTATACAACGAGCGTAGGATCAATGGAGTCTAATTGAGTGACAGAAACACCTCGGGCTTCCGTGGCTGACCAATACGATTATTTCGTTCACTTTGTTTGAAGATATCAAGATGGTAACTCACTTCTTTTCCACTTAGCTTCCGGCTCCTGCAAAAGGGAGGAAAAGTATATGTAGTTACGCCGTATGCGACTGAGTATGGATTTCTCCGCCGCCGCCGATCGCTCAGTAAGAGCACGCACGAGGTGCGGTTGCACCGGAGTCTTCGAACCGCTCGAAATTGTGCTTGTACCAGTGGTTGTTGAAGACAGTGATTGAAAACTGAGTTCAGCCGTGCTCGAGGCATCCTGTAGCATCTGTTGTGACATGAAGTAAGACGAGGGATTCCGGTCTTCAATCTCTTCGATTGGCTGAGGTATCCCGTTTAAACGCAATCCGCCAGACGGACCCGAGCGTTCGATGGCGACACGGACTTTGAGGAGAGAGTGGTCATCGAGTAAAGCTGCGTGGTTAATACGGAACAGAACGTCTTCGAAGTCGGAGGCGAGCCCCTTTGAGGAGGAAGGCACTGAGCCGTTGCGCAACACATGAGCAGACCACGGGAGGCTGGCGAGAGCTTCAGAAGATGCCCTCGTCGTGAGTTGGATGTCCCATCCTTCAGACAGCGGGATGGAGAATTCGACGCTTCTTGTCAGGCGTCGATACTCTCTTAAAGCATGGAGCTCGTCGAGACCTCGAGATGTCTCAGGCGGATATCCAGGATGATCATCATCTTCAGGGATGATTGTGTAGTCCAATGTCAGTGCTTCACGGTCAACTTCGAAACGGACACGTTCGATCGTAACTCCGTTCCCATAGCCGGTAAGTAGGGGTACACGTGTACCGCGTTTGATCACTGTCTTGAATAGGCCCAGCACCATGGATGCAAGCTGTTGAAACATGCTGGAAGAAGAGCTAAAGTTCCATGCAGCCCTGAGATCATGTTGCCAGAAACAAGTGATACGTAGTCGGCCTGAAGTGGCTTTCTTGGGTGATGAATCGTCAGGTTGCGACGAAGATGGAGAAGTAGATGCAGAAGATGGTGGTGTTGATGATGATGGTACATATTGGATACACCAGGCAAACACTGACACATATAGGTTAACATATCAAACATATCCTTGCGCGGTACACTTACATTTGACATTAGAACGAACATATGGCGGAGAGGGTCTAAGATATGCTGGCTCATCGATCGAACGGGGGAGAGACGTTGATATATCTATCACAGTAGTTGCATCATTAAAAGTGCGGGATATCGTAACGGCATCCCTAGGACTACGCACAATTCAGGAGAGACCTCAGATGAGCGATGTGGGAGCTTACTTTGCCGGCCATCCCAATGTGAAGTTCGTCTTCGCTATTCTTGTTGTTGGGTCGAACATTTCGACGAGAGAGGCTGCCTCAACCGCAGGATCCCACTCTTTCCTTAGCTCCGGCGTAGCCAAGACAGATTTCCACGTTTCGAGAGAAACAGGTTCGTCACCTGTGGGTACGTCAAGTACAACGCGGCAGACAGGGTCCTCAGTCTTGCTAGCCTTGCGATGTATCACTACATCTGCCAGATCTGGTATGGTAGAACGAGCCTTCCCCTTGACCTTATTGGACGAGATATCACTAGGTGTCGGGATACGTTTCCACTCAGGCGCCGAGGAGGATGTGAGTAGGCGTCTGAAATTAGTTTGTGCATCATTGAGGGCTCCATACCATGACTCACGTAGACTGCGGAAAAGTCAAGATGAATTCATGAGATATCGACGTGCGTACACACCTAGTGCCGTCCGACATGAGGAAGATGAACAAGAGTCCCAGAGGAATGATGTGGGCGCGTTGTGGAATCACGAGGGCCAGACACGTGAACGTCACAGCGCATTTACGGAGATTCGCCGTAAAAGCGGACACAAACACCGTACGGAACAAAGTTTATGCAGAAAAAGAATAAAAATGGAACTTTGCACGATCCTGACTACCAGCGGCAGGATCATTTGATGCAGACCGAGTCAGAGTCACTCAATGGCATTCATTTTTGGGCATCGCCTGGCTCACTAAGAGACCACAGTCCAGAACGCATCCACAGGCGAACAATATGTCGCATCAAGATCCAGGTCGCGTTCTGAGCATTCAGTCTCATGTCTCCTTTGGCTATGTCGGAGGAAAGGCTGCTGTATTTCCTCTCCAGCTCCTAGGTTATGATGTCGATGTATGACTTTTCATCTTTGGATCTGGGTTTCGTCCTCTAGATGATTCTTAACCGGCCAGTAGGTGATCAACACGGTGAACTTCTCTAATCATTCCGGTAGGTCTCTCTTTTGAACTTCATTTTCAGTCCGTGCTAAGACCAGCCAGGTTATCGTCGACTTGGAGGAAGCAAAGCGCAAGCAGATGATATAACCGCTTTGCTTGAAGCTATGGAACAAAATGGGTTCCTACGCCCCTCTCGATTGCTGACAGGTACTTTCCTATTATCACTTCAAGTATGCTTCCTGATCTACGAATGTTGCTCCAGGCTACGTACCAGGAGCAGCGGCCTTGTCAGTGGTAGCAGATTTGGCTGTCAAGCTACGCAAGCAGAATCCAGAACTTATCTATCTCCTAGATCGTGAGTTACTCCTTGCACGGCATACTTATGTACTGACCTATTTCTATCATGAAGCTGTCATCGGGGATGCAGGGCGGATGTATGTGGCACCAGACGTGATACCTATATACCGAACGCTACTGCCACATTCCACTATCATCACGCCTAATTGGTTTGAAGTAGAGTGAGCGCCATATTCCTACCATTCCGCCCATCTTTGTCTCACCATTCCTTCCGTCTCTTCTAGAGTCCTGACAGACATTAAGATTGAGGACACTGCATCACTTCACAACGCACTCACTATACTACACAAGACATACGCCGTCCCAAACGTCATCATCAGTTCTATACCACTCCAACTGTGGCTCATTGATATCCTTCCTGCACACATCCACCCACTCGTCCACGAAGATGCTCTTACACCCGAATTCCTCCTTTGCATCACGTCCTCTTACAAAGGCGAAGGAACCCATACACCCTCCACCCCAAATATATCCACAGTGCATGCAGGCTATGTACCGTTAATTCCAGGCTACTTCTCTGGCGTCGGCGACCTGTTCTCTGCACTCGTCCTCGCTCATTTCTCGCCCACTCCATCCCCACCATTCCATTCAAATAGTTCTTCGAAATTCCCAACACCCCTCGCACACGCCACGTCTCTCGCACTTACGAAAACCCACGCGATACTACAGCGCACGTACGAGTACTCCTCCTCGCTCCCGGAGGAAGAACGCCTTGAAACAGATGAGGAACTCGACGCTCAAGATCCAGAGAGACGCATACGTCGAATGAAAGGGCGAGAGTTGAGACTGATTCAAGGGCAGGACATCCTGAAGGGGGATGCGTTGAAAAATTTGAGGGCCATGGAGGAATGGGTCAACTTCTGGGGATGATTTCGTGGTCAAATCTTACTGGGCGCCGGTCTTTTAGCAGCGGAACTTTTGGAAAAATCAACTTGCGAACATTGTGTCAGAAGTCATTTACAACGTACACTGCGACGTCTACAACAGCTTTTGAATGAGTCCCGCGCTCAGCTCGTTCTAATATGCTACGCTCTTCCATAGAGCACTACATTTCATAGAGTGGGATATCAGGCATGAATCACAAGTTCACGATATACAGTTGATTTAATTCTCCCCTCGCCCAAGTTTATCCAAGGCTCGCACACCTTGCTCGTACCACTCTTCTCTCGAAATCCAAAACTCTTCTCGTCCCTTCATGATATCAGCTAACACTGCGCCACCGAGGAAGACCATGTGCTTCCGACGTGGAGGATCTTCAATACGGATCTTGAATTTCTAGAAACCACAAATACGATGGTGAGACCTTCATTGACCGTAACGGAAGTGCACGATACGGAACGTACATTGAGTCGTGTTGGGTCGCCATTCAATACCCTCGTCAGATACAACTGCTTCATCTCCTTCTCCAGACGACTGGGGAGACCAGGATACATGCTCGAACCGCCGGAAAGGACAACATGCTTGTATAGCTCGGTACGAACGTCGACAGCAGCATTTTGAATCGTCTGGAACAGCATCTCTGCCACACCCGGCTGTTCAATGTCAACTAAATGAGGCTGGAACATGCATTCCGGTGCTTCAAAGCGCTCGGACCCGAGTTTGATTGTGCGACCGTCAGGAAGCTGTAGAAAAATTGATTGCCTGCCAATGGATATTTATCAAAGCTTACGGTATAGCTTTCGACGAGTGTAGTTGTCTCTTCCGAGAGCCTTGTATCCATGTCAAGGTCATAACTTGGATATGGATCGGCATGAGTTGCAACAAAGAGGCAAATCACTCACCTAACATAACAAAACTTCTCTTTGATCTCTCTGACGGTTTCGAAATCGGCGGTTCGATTGAAGGCATATCCTCTCATGAGGAGGAGCTTGATCAAGTATCGAGTCACATCCCGACCGGCAATATCCAAGCGCGCGGTGAGATGTGGTAGTGCAAATCCGTCGTATACGGGGACGATATGAGTTACACCGTCTCCAGAATCCACTACCACGCCCGTGTTAAGACCTGATGATGATGTTAGAGTGGAATGATAATTAGACAGTAGCAGACGCACCTTGAGCGTAAAGCGTCAACACAGCCTGAATGGCCACATATACTCCTTGGAAACCATACTCCTCGAACATAACTTGACACATTCTCTGCCGATTGACTTTCGGGTTCATCGGTGGTTCCGTGAGCAAGACTTTCCGCCCTGCGGGATCTATATGTAGCTTCTCATTGAAGGTGTAATCCCAAAGATGCTTCATGTCCTCCCAATTGCGAATAATGCCATGTTCCATGGGCTGTGTCATTTGCAGATAGTTTCGCAGCTCTGCAGCTTCGTCGCCGACCATGATGTCCTTGATCACGGCATCCCCGACGCGTTCTTCCGCGCGCAGGATCGGGCGGCCGATGATAGATGGAAACACTGGGTCGAATCGATAGGGTGAGGCATTTTGCATTAAATGTGTATAGAGTGGTTGGCGTAGGTGTTATATGAACGCACCATGCTCGGGGAAGTTAGAGCCTGCATACCCCACTTTGACGAACTACGAGACCTTCGGTTTGAGGGACCATTGAAGCAGATGGACTAGTACTTACACCTGTACCATTATCAACTACTAAGGGAATGGACGGGTCCATGTGTACGTCGAGATGGATGACTGAAAGATAGCTAGGTGTTAAAGTAAATGTGGAACAAGTAGAGCGATATTCCCGAGATCAGCGTGGAGAAGTGATCGGGGTCCCACCAAGCATTGACCCGCGATCTACATTAGTTAACATCTCTCTTGCACTATCAACGCATGCACAGCGGTCTTTCGATAATCATCTCGCGCTCTCTCGACCTCAACTTTCCAGCGATAGTTAAGACTTGTCTTATGATTCCTGTATACTTTTTGTAAACCCTCTTCAACACTCCTGACCAGACTTCGACGGCGTGGTTGAAAAAGCATCACCCTCAGAACGCAGTTTGACATGCTGACTACCTCACCTATGACAAGCTCAATGTTCTATCTTATTGACTGGGACTCAACGTAGAACACAGCGGTTTAACCAACATCTCCTGGTAAGAGGCACTACCTCTGCTAACCACAACAATCGAAAGGCACCATGCTAGTTGTCGGTATCCATCTCCGTCTACGAACATGAGCTCCACTCTGTATACCGTCGACGGTGACTCGAAGGAGACCATGGTGGACCTCCCGCCCTCTTTGAGAGAGGTATCCGTTCAATCAAGGCCATCTCTGTCGCATAGCCGCGAGGCACGTTGAATAGAGCGGGGGACTTAAAATTATGATCGCGAGAGCACAATAATATGATCATCCACAGTCCACCTTTCGACATAGAGAGTAAGTAGTGCTAACTGTAAACCTAGTGGGTTGGACGGGAGGCACGTTATTGATTGGCTCGGACGAGTCACTCACTTACAATTACTAGCTGCAATGTGATCCGCGAAGAGACTGCGATGAAGATCCACGACGCATGCTTCAAGTCACAGAAATCCTTAGTCTTGTGTACAGCACAAGGATGGCCTCAGGTGAGAGAGTCGCTTGAGCTTGACAGTATTCATAGGCCGAGACGAACAAAAGATTGCGGTGTGGAGAACTGTGATGCATACGTATGTATATTGCGATTCCAAATTTATACTTGTGTAGGTCTATCCTAAAAGCTGAACGCTGTTTAGGTTGTCTTGTCGAGTGCTATAGTTGCAAGTGTACATCAGAAGATCCTCGAGCGAAGTTCGTTGCCTGTCAATAAAAATAAGCGTGCGCTCGCTCTAGGATCGTTTGACTCATATCGATTTACAGTGCCTTCAGGTCCCTGGGCTGCTGGGCTGATTGTGCATCAATGCCAACTCACCCTAAAGTCATTGGATAGATGGTCCGTGCGCACCGTGATCATATAAAAGCCTCTCCTCCACAACATGGTTTTCTCATACTTACCTTGAAGGCATAAGCCCCCTCACGGACATGGGCTTGTGGGCTATGGGGACTTTCCATAGTACGGCGACCCTGTCCCCAGAGAGTCTCCATGATTTGTATGTGCCTTTGTGTGCATGCACTTTCTCAATATTTTGCTCGTCCCACCTCGGCCACTCTGGCTGGGTGGGCTTCTGTTTTGTTACCGCTAAGCTCTAACCCTAACCCTAGCTTATCAGTATAAGTATTAATATATTTCTCAAATCAGTATCATCTACCCATATATGGGAGCTAAGTCTAGGTAATCAAAATATAGGCAAGATACAGCTGATATTTACTGAAAAAGATGATTCTAGCCAATGACATGCCATTTATGATTGGCTGAAAACTTTGATTGATGCTTTGCAAAACCTAGTCAATTGTTGATCATTCCCCTCTATCCGGACGATAGTCAACAAAGCCAGTAGGAAACTTACAATCTGGATCTTGTAGATTACTCGTAGACTGCAACTAGCAAATCACAAAAGCAAGATGATAAATTCCAGCATGTCAAAATCACAGGACCAACAGATATGACCCGCGATACAACGAACTCGTCCCTATGAGAATGAAATCACAGTAGCAAGCTGCAAGCCCTCAAAGAATGAAATGATCTGCCCAGTGGCGCAACACACCCTCTCCCTGCCTGTGGAATTTAAAGCTCTGCACGTCCCTTGATATGATTGTGGCATGCGAGTTGCGCATCGGGTCGAGGAAAACACGTTCCTTCTTGAGTTGCGGAATGGCATTGAGCGATGCGATCATCTTGTATTGCCTTTCGGTCAGATGAGGCTCTGCCGCTAATTTCGCTTTCGTTGCACTGTCCCTCCTTACGCTGTCGCGTTCGTGGCTGTTTTCGAAGGGGGGTGAGGGATCTGATGCCGCTGGGGATTCATCTCTGTAGGACGAGGAGCTGTCGATGAAGTCTACAACAACATCTTCCATCTGCCGTTCGAGCTCGCCGACGACTTGAGCCAGCCGACCGCTCGCTGACGTATCTTTCTCGAGGAGCATGATGCGTTTGCGGGATGATCGCGCCGAAAGAGCGAGGCGGACGAGAAGGAGGATGAAGAACATGGGAATAAGGATTGGTAGTGCAATGAAGACGAGCTATTTTTGAGATTGTTCGTCTCTGTCAGGCTTGAAGATGAGGATCAAATCTGAGATGACATACGATATTCAAAGGGAATCTGCGTTGAAGGAAAGGGGGAAGCGCAAGACGGGGGAGATGGTTCTTAAACCATTGCCAGGTGAATATGCGTGGCTTGGGGGGCGAGGAAGGCGGGGTATCTGGAAGTGTCCACGACTTGACGATGGGGGAATATTTCTCATCAAATTCACTGAAGAAAAAGATTAGAGCCATGAAGAGAGCACGAAGGTGTAGAATTACATCTGCAGACCAGTGGTCTTGTGGTCATAGAACGGGTCCTCGGGTTCTATCGCAGCGGTGATATAAGGTACTGTTAGATCGTTGACTCTACAAGAGCCATTAACAAGCTTCGCAAGATACAGGAGACAAGGCCGCTCACGTATTCGCATATATTCGAATGTGGGGGAAAAGTGAAAGGCCTTGATAGAAAGGTCGTTCTGACAACGCAGCTGAGACGTCGTTCAAAACATATTATTCACGTAGGAGACCTACTGGGGTCAGCCATAACTTCTAGGAGCGGCCTTCCCCTCTCCGAAAACACGTCTACACCGTAGAATTGTTCACCGGTCCGAGACAACAACGTGGGACCGAGAGTGGATGATAGTCGGGACCAAAATGAGGTATATCGCAAGAGGCCGATGTGAGGGGTAGCGACAGTATTGAAGTTGATGGGAGTTATCGTCTTAAACAGGTCACGCTGGTAGAGAATACTGCGGGACTTGTTGGCGCACGTTTGAGAAAGGCGGACGAACTGAAGGCTTACCCCACGACGTATCGAGAGAGGAGACCTCCAAGACTGTAGCCCGTGATTGAAAAGTGAGTGACTTTCTTCCCTTCGCCCTCGATCTTCTCTATTTCGTCAAAAATCTAGCTTCCATAGAGTGAGTTTCGCATATTATGCATATCTGAGGGTCATGCATACCTCTTGCGCAACTCGCTCGCCTCCCCAATCAATTCCGTCGTATGTGTGCGCATCCTTGTTGGCTTCTGCCAGTAGCACGTGTAACCTGGAGCTCACGTCGTTTGACTTTCCTTTGACTTCTTGTATAATGCGATACATTTCAGCAAGATGTGTGGGATTTCCCCACATTCCATGGATAAGGACCAGGAGGTGAACTTCAGAACCGGAGATAGCCATTGAATGAAAGGAGCAGACGAAGGGCTACAAGTGGTTTCTGGAACTCAGCACCCTGCACGCTCTACGTGGAATAACCAGTCTAGAAGAAAGAAAGAGTGGTGAAAAGAGAAGGAATGATGTCCAGCGGCGTGCACTTGGGCAGTGCTTGGGCACACCGGGAGTCGGCAGCATGACGCGTCACCAAGCATTTCCGATGTTTCCGTAAGCCTGCTTACTGCCCGATGGGTTTCTCCGCGGCAGTGACTTGCTGGTGTCACGACCATGGGGAAAAATGGGATAGACGAACTGTAGACGAACTGTAGACGAGCAACCTACGGGAATCCTACGGGAGATGACGTTGCAAGACACATGTAGCATTTTGAGAACATTGCAATTAGAAAGGCATCGATCACATCAACTGATCATTGCTTCTCGATAGCTAGCTCTAAAATCATGAATGTCATTAGTGGCAATGGGTGCCAGTAACGAGAGAAACTATTGAGACAGTAAAGCAGAATAATCGTCAGTGGGTTGAGAAGAGTCCGTGATTAGTGGCTCCGTATAAGCAGCGATAATGTCCCGTTAAGTATTCAAAAGTAGTCCATAGATGCTATGAAGGCCATACAGCACCCAAAAGATTGGTGGGTGATGAATCGATGAATGCCGATACAATGAAAGTCTTGTTGCGCATGAGAATCATGGGTCAGCAGGGAGAATATAACGTCAACCCCATTGGGTATCGAGTACGTACGGAATCAGAAAACATAATCATTATACACCAGACGATGAGGATCGGCGTGCTCTCTGGATTGAATTTCTATTGCACATTCTTGATATAGAGGCTCCGACGGCGAGCGTTCATGAGAACAAAGTCTTCAGGTAACATAGATGTCCGCTCAGGTGCACGCATGGCACGGGTGACGCGCTTCCAGATATTGACGATTCGTCGTTCTAAGAGCTTTGTACAAGCTCGAGGCCTTTGATAGTTGAACACAATTAAGACGGAGAAGTCAAATTTTCACCAATTAACAAACGGATCGTGTCAACGTACCGAAAACTCTCCTCGTGAATTGGCAACATGAATGAGTCAATGATAGGAGCGCGACGAACGATTCGGCCATCCATTATGATACAACTGTGGTGATAATAGAGTCGTAAAGAAGGCGTCTCAAACGGCCAGTAGACTTGATGTAAAAGATACAGGTTGGGAGATGGCGGGGAGCGAGGAGACCTGGTGGCACGACGGTGTTTATATAGTTACGGCGGTCGGACGCTCAAAAATGGAGGACAATGGATTCGCAAAGACAACATCCTGCAGCGCCTCGTTGCATTGTGGTATCAAAGCGGCCAAAAACAAGACGTTGTTTATGCATATGCATATGGTAACGGCTGGTTCAAGCGAGTTCCCACGGTGATCCAGAAGGTGGTGGCACATAATCCATATCTATTTAACGTCAACCGTCTGTGTTCGCATAACCCAATCACTGTCACTATTGTACCTATACTCAAGGTCAGCTGTGAGGAACATTCACTGCTCTGGCCTTTTTCATACACTGTCATAGTCACCAGACGACGCGATTTTGTACAATCGCCACAGAGAGCAGGCCATCACAGACAGAATGCCGCAACTTCACGGCTACAGTGTCACGATCACTTCGCATGGAAGGGAGGTCGAGCACTATGATGTTAAGCTGGAAAATCCAGACACAGTGAGCTGCTATATAGTGAGCGAGTCCGGAATGGTGAGCTCGCCCCTTACATGTTGAACTATTCAACTCAACGAGCCACGAACACCACCATGTACGGCGGCACTCCGTACCAATTCAAGGAGTTTACTGTTCAGTATACTGACTTGCAGGGCAGGCGGACGATGAAGGTCGATGTATTCATCGATGGACGTATGCTTGCGAGCAAGTCTGCAGAGCCAGGAAAGACTCTCTCGATCTGGGGGTCGCGCACGTCGAAGACCACGCGCTCGACGTTCAGGTTCTCGGAAATAACTCTCGTAGGTTCGTCCTCACAGACACCTAGTCTACGCTCTGCGAGCCACATCCACTACTTACATATTCGATACTGAAGATGATGACGATGCGGACGGACTGGTGACGCCACCAAGCATTGGGTCCATCGAAGTGAAGCTATATCGCGCCAGGATCGAGAAATGTAGAATTTCCAGCCGGTCTCATTATCGTCGTTCGGATCCCCCCCAAACGGGGCCTGTATCCGAGAAGAGCAAGAAAGGAGGGTGGCACCAGGTGTCGTAAGTCCAACTTTGTCAGAGTATCGAGCCCTATGCCTATGGACGCTCAGCAAAGGTTCGCTTCAGTTTGGGACGCGACCGTCGATCAGAATGGCAGCCTTCTCCCACCAGGGCTATTCGCTTGGACCCAATAGACGCTCCATACGCAATCTTCCGGTTTAACTATCGACCTAGAGGTATGATCCAGCTTTCATCGTTCAACGAATGGGACCAAGACCGCGTCTTGCAGCGATGCTTCAAGCGGAAAACATAATCCCTCCATTGGGCATGTTGACCAAGCTGAACGTTGAAGCGCTGCAAGCCCCAGTTTGCAAGCGGTCACCCTCGCCGCATATTGCTCGAAATTTGAGTCGAACGCTCACGGCGGAAGCGGGACCGAGCACTCACCATGTTGAACCTGTGAGCACTTACCTGACTGCCCATGACACAGTTTCGCTCCAGTACAAACTTCATGACGATTTGCAGAACAATGTCATCGTTATTTCTAGCGACGAGGAAGACCTATCGTCTCCTAAAGCTGAATGCAGCTCTCCTATTCATTTAGGTCTGGCCGCAGGAGAAATCGTTGATCTGACAATTGACTGAACACCCTTCTCTATTCGCTGATTGTTTATCGCTTGTTGTCACCTTTGCTTTTTTGTTTGCTCTGTGTCACTTACTGGTTCATAACCTCCGCCGTCACCGATCTTTATGTTCTTATTATTGGTTAGTACCAACGCCTCATAATAATCTATATGAATCTATCAAATTCTGATTGATGGTTCGTCCGAGAGAAGCGATAATTCACAGAAGCGAAGCGTCTATACACTGTCTCATACAACTATGCGCCAAAACAGGGAAGTCAATTATCCACGCCCTTGCGAAACCTCCACGAACATCACAATACTTATGCGCCATTTGGCTGCCCAGCGATGCTAATAGCTTCAGTGCCTCCTGGCACAGGCCGCTTCAGTACGCCGGAAATTTGTCGCGCAAGCTGCGTCGAGTCTCCATTGAGCGCCAGATCGAGGAACCACTCCTTGCCGATATAATTTCTCAGCCTGAGATGACAGCGATGATCAGCCACTACTGTTTTATTTGACACAATTAGAGAGCGATGCTGACCCGTCTGGCAACAGCACGACAACGTTGCGACCTTGCGAATTCGCCACGGCCTTTCCCTCCTCCGTCTTCAACCATTCAAGAGCGCCCACGAGAGCACTCCCGCTGCTTCCGCCGACCAATAGTCCTTCTTTCCGCATGAGCAACTTAACGGCAGCAAATGCGTCCGCGTCCGATGTCTTGACCCACGTGTCGATGAGGCCGGGCTCGCGGGAGAGCACGTCCGGCACGAAATCGTATCCAATGCCTTCGACGATATAGGACGCACCGTCGTCAGGATTATTGAGCGAGGCGGGGAGGGCCAAAATGGAGCCTTTCTGTTTTGTCGGGCTTGAGATGATGGGAAAGGAAGATGTGGGAAGGAGACGCACGGGATCTACACCGACAATGATGCAGGCAGAGTTGTGGGTCTTCTTGAGTGCACGGGCTACACCCGAAACGGTGCCACCTGTTCCGGCTCCACCTACGAAGACATCTACCTTGCCTGAAGAAGGGTGTGTCGATGTTGATGGTGTCGATGTTACGGCTTCAATTATTTCTGGCCCCGTTGTCAGCTCGTGTGCCAGTGGATTGTTCACCTTGAGACACGAACGACATAACAAGATAAGTATGAATTGGATAGAATCTGTGAGATAAACGTACATTGCGATATTGGTCGAGGATGATCCCGCCTGGAATTTCCTTCTCCAGACGCTTGGCTACACCTTTGCAAGACCGTTAGGGAATTCAGCCACGAGAGGTCTTGTGCATCGAGTATGGGCTCTACCTATATGGCTTTCTGGGTCATCCCAGGCTGCCTCTGTCGGCGTGCGCACGACCTCGGCGCCGAGCGCGCGCAGGGCAGCCTCTTTCTCCTGTACGCAGAGCGAAGCTCATTGATCGGGACGATGAGGAAAAGCAGACAATATAACGCACAAGCGACATCTTCTGAGGCATCGTAATAATCACCGAATATCCCTTATCTGTAGTATTCAGTATTTGTTCTTCGTCGAAGGCGGTGGAGGGGTTACCTTGATCGCACAGGCCATTGCAAGACCAATCCCTGGAACAATGGGCTGAGATACTGACCATCAAAGATATATGGAAAGTGGGATCACCTGTATTGCCTGATGTTGGCTCAATGACGACGCTTCGCCCAGGGATAAGCTTGCCCTCTGTCTCTGCCGCCTCGACCATTCGCTTCGCGATCCTGTCCTTCACAGAACCACCCGCAGAGGTGTACTCCACCTTGCCCACTGTTCAACCGCAGCGAGTAAGTAGACATGTAAGTTTTTGCGCATCGAGGAGACAAAGTAAGATACACACAGAGGTTACATTTGAGGCCTGCATGATCTGCGATCCTGTCGAGACGGATGAGCGGGGTGTTGCCGACGGCATCGAGTGCAGAGTTGAGGATGGTCTTTGGAGGAGACATGATGGTTTGGGAGGATGGTGGTAAGTGAAGAGATTGGGCCAAGCTGAATTTTTCGAGGAGAGATGAGGAGAGATGACGCGATGAGCCGGATCTTAGCCCTGCGAATCGAGATCCCCAAGGTCCGCGGCGCTGCTGCACACAATCAATTTGGCCAACGACACATCGGAACACATGAACTGTTCAGTTTAAAAGAGTTGAAACGGGTTGTCATTGACGCTGCCAAAAATTACATTGGATATATACTTGTACAACTCCGAATGAAATGGACCCAAGGGATCTTTGAAGGAAAACCAAGTCATGGTGCATGCGAACATGAGATCATACCATTCCACCCACAGACCGGGCGATAGCTTTCTGTCTGTCGGCCAACGCTCGGGGAACGGGAGCTACGCCGTAGCCTTGACAATATTCAGCACATTGTTGTGCATTGAGATCGCAGATGCTTTTCGAGTCAATGAGCGCCGGCAACCCCTGACAAACCGGCGCCAGTCAGATTTTCATCATCGGGAATCTATGAACAGAACCCACACGGTCTTCAACAGGATCGGAACCATCGTTGAATGGTATTGTGTGATAGTCTTGTCCAACTCCGGTACGACCTTGTCGATTGAGGACCTAACACCACTTACATGGGTATGGTTCCATGAATCGTCTGTAGCGAGACGTACCCTCAAAGAGGTCTGATGTACACGAGTAAGTCTGTGATCCATGTTCGCGACTTTACTTTCCAGAGTCGTCAATTAAGTGACAGGATTACCGACTCCGGTGAAAAGACCTGCGATCTGTTGATTCAAAGGTTGTAAAGCGACTTGCAGAGCACCCTGCAAGGTCTGTCCAGCCAAAGGGAGAGCTGCGAGAATGTTATCATTGAAAACTGCCCCGCATATACTTGCCTTGCTGTATAGACAAAGACCACGCACCATCTCCCTCAGAGATGTGTGCCGCCATGACACGGTGTAGGTAGACTTTAGCACGAACCACATCATCCTGAGAGGTCTCAGCTTTCATAGATCCTGTATGGTATGGTAAGAGCTTACGGTCAAACACATAGAAGAAAGTAAAAGCTTACAATACTGAAATTTACTCTATCGCGGTAGGTCAAGGCAGATTTCACATCCTCGAGTGTAGGTTTATCTTGAATTCGATGAGGTGAAGGAATACCTGTGGGTATAGGATAGGGAAGAGCTATGGGTGTCATTGTTTGAAAGAGACCGCGAAGTAGAGAGAGTGGAAGAACTGAGTCGTCGATGACTTCATGGTCACGGTCAACTTGAACTTGCCCGCCTGCATGTGATACCTATCGAAAGCGCGCTAGCGCATAAGCACACCACTCGTGAAGCGGAGACACGCTCCCTCTGTTGATTTGACTGTTACAAGAGACAACGTCAACTTTGCGAGATGCGACCAGGTCAGTCTCAGCATATGTAATTTGAACCGACATGGGCAATGGGCATGGTCTGCTGCATGGAGTACAGTTTAGCACGAGCTACGTCAATTCGAGAGGCGGTCCAGGGATCGCCTTATCTTGTAAGGTGACGGTAGAGCGCAAGAAGCATGTCCAGTTTACATTTGGCATAACCACACGCTGGCTGTGGATCTGTCACGGGATTCGATAACCCTCTTTTGCGTGTTCGGGTGCCGGATGGTCTTGTGCTGATCAAGGGAGGTGATCACCTTCCTTGATCAAAGCTCTGTTAACGTCAGTAGCAGGTACTTCTGAAGACGGTAGTTTGAGGTTCGATGTCAAACCTGCGCATGACATGTTACGAGGAGTTTAGATCGTTCAGATATGACTAGGGATAAACTCACATGGACACAAAACTCCTATCACATCTCGTCGAGTCATTCAGTGTGCCGGCGTTGAATGGCTGAAAATATTTTCGAAACGACACATCTCACGGAGTCCGGGGCATACAAAGAGACGAGGTCGGTGATATAGATACATGAATCGTCGTCAAAGTGAGCGTGCCGGCTCAACGCGATCCCTTTAGTACCTCCGTGAGCAATGGCCAAGGGGTTCCCATCCATGTCGCCAACTCGGTGTGATCCCTGTAAGAGTTGTCCGTATTCGGGTGAATCAGGACGCTGCGGGCAGACGAGCCTGTGAGCTTGACTGTCCAGAGGGCGAAGAGAGAGTCACGAACGAGCACGGTCCACGGTTGACAGCTAGCCACGAAAAGAGCGTTCCAGTCTGGTGTGGGTCGAACGTGTTTACCTCAAACATGGCTGTCGGGTGTGGTCCTGTCATGCATCTCGCCATCAGAAGCAAGCTCGAGGAGCGTATGAGACGCGATCTAGACTTACCGACTGGCTTCTCCCAGAACTTGTAGATACGCAGCTGGAATTCGACGGCTGAAGTTGCGATACGACTCGTTTCAAAGATGTCGAGGCCACATACCTCTGGGAACTCTCGTCTGATACGCTCATGCAGCTCGCGCGCGTACTTCTGCTGGGATTCGACATTCTGCATATAATATACTTGCACAGATATTTTTATCAGGACATGTACCCACAGGGCATGATACCGACATACTGTGAAAATCAAACCCATTGTTCGATGGATCAATAGGTTCAGGGAACTTGTCGTACGCAGCCGATTTAGAAGCCGGCGGGTTGTACAGTGACAGCCCGTCGGAATTCAGCGTCGTGGGCAGAGGCTCCGCACTCTCATAACCTGAGAGGGGTGATCGGTATGAAGACATGGCTAGCAAGGAGGGGAATTCTCGATTGCCGTGGATAAGGTCTCCTCTTTATACGCAATCCTTACCCAGGAACTCAACATTGCCTATAGTTAGTCATGAGGATTACGGGGAGGGGCTACGTGCTTATCAAGTGGGCTGGAGGCATCGAAGAAAAGTCTGACTAAATGGTAGAAAAAGTCAGCATTCAAGGAGTTCCGAAGTGTTAGTTTTGACAGGTCAACAGCGTGTAAAATTCGTTGGAATACGATTGTAAAGGGCAGATCGAGGTGTATGATCAGACCATCAGGAGAGGTTTGTTGTAGGTTTGTCCACACTTTGTCCACTCGGCACTATGCGAGATCGAGGTTTCTCCCGCCTCGGCGTCTTCCGCCTTCTCGCACTATGCCGATGCAGTTGTGGGACCTGACCTGACATTGACCTGACACTCCTTCCGCCCACCATCTCCTGAGCGTTGCGCTCAGTGATGCGGCTTGAGCCTCGCCGCATTGCACCACGGCATGGTTTAACCATCTTTCACTTCATCATCGATTGTCAACAGCAGTGTTGTGCTCCTTGGGCTTCGTCATGTACTGACACCAGAACGAGCGACGTCACTACGCCTGACACTGTTGGCCAACTACATCAATTCCACTCACCTCTGCGAGAACGCGTAAAGCATCTCCGAAGGATTCTGGAGACGATTGCCATCTGCAATCATAGTCGCGGCGGTTTGCATGCGTGTACAGTGGTTGGCTTGGCACACCCAGCGATGACAAGATCAACCATATGACCGGATTGTCGCAGGGCCTGTATGCACTTCCTATGATATTTCTAGGCTCCTTGTTCTTTCTGCATCTGTCATTCCGTACGGTAAGGCACTCATCATACTGTTCTACCTCGACTTACATATTCGCATGCATCAATATAGACTGCTTGAAGTAGCATCTCTATCATGCAGTGACCCCATACTCTTATCGTTCGCTATCTTGCTCGCCATCTTGCTCGCCATCTTGCTTGCCATCTTGCCCGCTTTCTTGCTCGCTTTCTGTCTTTGCCGACTCCCGTCTCAGTCATTATTGCTCGTTCAACGCCCAACTTTGAACTCACCGCTACATCGGCCGCCTCTATGATGTTGCTTGTATTCTGCCACGAAGGGTGTCTCATTTGCTGGCCGTTGTTCACACACGTGATATACTGCGCATTTCTGGTCGATGAGCGCTTGTGCCTTGTCAACGCGTGCGCTCGCTCCATCGCTGCCGTATATATCTTTCCGATGGCTGCCTACAATCGCTTCAGTCTCTCTATGGATCTTATACATCTCGGAGGTTTAGCCATTACGGTCATTTTATGGGCCCTGCCCCGCAACCGGATCGGCGCGGTGAAGATAGCCGTTGGAAGAGACGTATGCGGATTTGGAGACGAGCATAGAACTTGGGATCAACCGACCGGACTTGGAGAATCAATTCGAGGGGTAAGCCTGCATACACAAAATCTTTTCTGCTCTTCGTATAGCTCGGGAGTCTCACCGCGGAACATGTGATTTGGTCGTTTCCATTTGGCAGCATTCGACAAGACTACGTCGACGCGTATAGACGCGCGCATCTGACAGGGACACTCTTCGAGGAGATTATTCAAATGTGCCTTGGATTAAGCTGTCGTGTGCAGTGTGTCCAATGGAGGGCCCAGCGGCTGAGGAAGGACATCATGGTTCGTTCCCCTAGTATCATATCTCATGTCGGTCGCTTCATTCTGCAGTGTTTATAGTTGGCTATCGGTGACCATATGCAAGCTTCGCTTGCTCAAGGGAGTGGAGCACATGTCGAACCCGTCGACAGTGTCATATCCAGTGAGCCTTGTCTCACTCTCTTCCTCGTGAGCTATGTCTTGAAATAGGCAATTTCAGGTTGAACGCGTCTTTGGAACTTTTCTATGCGCACGCTCGCCTCGCTATCGCTAATGCTACATACTTTGTCGACTCACAGAACGTTTGTACTTTGCTCTCATTGCTATGTTTGTAGAGCTCAGGCCCCCTGTCATTTTTACACACAATTTTATGCGGCATGGATATTAGCTTCGCACCGCCATAGAAGTCATCATGAGAGGGATACCATATCGATCTAGGGGTTCATATTCCGTGCACAGACAATGGATATGGACACCCCGAGATGAGTCTTCAATTTCACCACAATTCGTGAAATAACCCGAATGAAGCGCCGCCCCCGCATCACTGGTCCATCTCTCTCTTGGATATTCAAAGGTGTCCCATTGTCCAGCTTTTCCACCTGGTGTACTTACTATTTCGGTTGGCCTGCCTAACACTGGCGCCATCAAGTACGAGCCTGCAACGGAAGCAGTGCACAAGCTTTTACTGTGTTCTGCGGTGTCTAGGTTGGCCTTACGCCGTTCAGGAATTGGACTGCCAGAGTGGGACGCTAGTAATTCAATCCGCATAACAGAGCATGTGCCGACCGCTTCATGGCGTGCACAGCGGTATGGCCTGCGATCGTCTCAATCATCATCACATTCGAGATCTCCAAAGCTATTGATAAAAATGGGAATGAAGGGTGCCAACCGCAAGTTTATCGACGGTATCATCATGTTTGTCCTGTTTCCATCAGTCCCTCCTCGCTCCGTCAGTTCGATACTGAGTTATCTTTGGATCGGATGTTCAGTCCCGTTCCAGTGTGAAATCGAGTAGGTCTTGTTCAGCGGAGTCATTAGTTCGGACCGCCTCGGCATGAAGTTCGCGCAACACAAAGAATCTGCGACGAAGAATCTGGTCTGAAACTCATTTATTGAAGGCGAGAGGTTGGTAGTATTGAAACAATTCGAATTGATACTATGTCGTCAGTAATTTAGTTTCTGTTTACCATCTGTCTCGAAATCAGTCATCCTCTTCCTTTTAAAGGCACGTCTCAATCCGGAGAGCTTTATCCTAACGTTTTCGATATGAAGTTGCGCTCGATGTCTACACTTGAAACAGGCATAATAAGTAGGGGTACGGCATACTAAATCATCACTGCGCCCACCCTAAGAACCCTAAGACTGCGTTCAGACCATGATATATGTTCTTCACGTTCAAAGGCCAATATGGCTCTTGAATGAGAGGCTCAGGCTCAAAGCCTCGTTCGCCAGAGCCGTAGCGGTGCACTGATCACCCGAATATAGTTCATCGACTCTGTAAGACATCATGAGTGAGTACTACTAGCCCCCAGAACCGTTCCTCTAGTGACGAAATTCGCGAATCCCAACCGAGAATCCATATCGTCGATTGACCTTCCCGGAGTTCGTTAATCAGCCGCATGGCGAGCGATCATAAAGGACAGACCATTTCTTCATCTCGCTTGCCCATGTAATCTCACGGGTCTCTGGAGCCCGAATCGAAGCTGAGAAAATTCCAAAGGCAAGAGACAATAGTGTTTCCAATATTATCTGTTGGAGCATAAGATGCCGTTGCAAGGGATGATATAAAAGTGGACTGACGTCGAAGGGCAGTAAATCCTCTGGCCTTCCCAACGCCTTTAGATGTGACAAGTCTATAAAAACATGCGTTCACTGTGATAAACATTCAATTTTGGGAAAGCCAGCTAGCACATACGTTCATACGTAGAAAACGCCGCTACAGTGGTATTGAGGGGAAGGTTAGCTGGTGTCTGACGACAACGTTAGCCTTGAGAGATCCATACCGTGCAGAAGTAATGCGATTGAAAATGATAGCAACACATTTCCGAGAAGCTGTTTTGCCATCTCCGCTGTTCACCTCTCAAGAACTACAGCCAGCGCAAGCCTCGCTGCCTCGAGGATCTGGCTGGGAGATGATGAGGGGTTATGACGTAAGTCGCTAGTCGCTGGGTACCCAGATGCTGTTCGAACCGGTTCGAACCGGTGAACCGAGCACGTGGAGCGAAAAGACTTCCAGCCGTGACACACTGAAGCCCACATCTGTTGCACAACCACGACTTACAGCCAGACGGAACCTGACACTCTCTTTTCCCCTACAATCCTCTTATTCGAAGTTGTGATCTGTAACGGCATAGCGTTGACATTGAAAGCGTTGCTTATAGCCGCCGCAATGGCATCTTCAGTTTTTTACAAGTTCAATTCTCAGAGAGACGAGTCTCGGGTGACCTTCAATGGTACAGGCATCTCAGTCTTTGATCTCAAGAAAGAAATTATTCTCGCAAGTGGTCTCAGTAAGGCCACAGATTTTGACCTGTGTATTTTTGATTCATCATCAGGCGAGGGTGCGCACACTACATCTTGCTTCTGGTACGACCTTCAATGACGTCCCAATCACCCCCACGTACAGAGTTCAGAGACGACTCCCATATCATCCCACGTTCCACATCTGTGATCGCCAAGCGCCGTCCCGCAGCGCGTAATGGGAAGGGCAATGTTGCTGTCTATCTCGCTGGCGCTGCTCCTGAAACTACAGGGAAATCTGGTAACTCTTCCAATAATGCATCCTCGTGGCATAAAGGCTCTATGTCGAGGCGGTTTGATGGCAAGGAAGAACCTCCCAAACCACTACCCAAACCAGCTACTGTGCGTCTGGAAAACTCCCTCGCAAGTCTCCCCTGATCTCATCTTGTAGGAAAAGGTGCCTCTCACATCTATCGCGAAGGGTGACGAATCCGCCGCCATGGCTGCTATGTTTCAAGCCCAGTCAGCTGTCTGGGAGGAGACCCAGGAAAAAATGTCACAGTTGGTGTCGCCTCTGCGCGGTTTTCTCGTGTCTCGTAGAATAGTCTTCTCTAATGAACCATTTGCTTTACTTTCTGTGTTGGCTGGTTCGCTGCCGCGTTGAACAGCGCCACTCGTATTTACACTAATACTCGTGGAACGGGTTTCAATCGCGGTGGGAAGCCTTTTACGCCTCATCACCAGCATCACCAACAATCGGACCGTCCTCTGCCTCCTAGTTATGTGTGTTATCGATGTGGACAGAAAGGTTCGTGGCGGGCGTGTTTCATATACGCATGTCCTAATCCCCTGTCAGGCCATTGGATTCAGGATTGCCCGACAAATAGTGACCGAGAATTCGATAACAAACCTCGTATCAAGCGTACGACGGGCATCCCTCGTAGTTTCTTAAAAGCTGTAGACAACCCTGCGGGGAGTCAAATCGGCTCAGGAATCATGGTTACCCCTGAGGGAGGATATGTTGTTGCACAGCCCGACTCGTGAGTAACAAGTCTTCGAATTGCGTCAGGTCCTCACATATCCAATGGCAGAGCATCGTGGCAAAAGCAGGTCACCCGTCCCAAGGGCCTCACAGAATCAGATATTCGCGAACGGCCCTCTAAAGACCCATCCATTGTCTGCTCAGTTGACAACAGAATCTTTCGCGATGCCGTCAAGACCCCTTGCTGTAGTACATCATATTGCGAAGAGTGTATCCAGACGCATCTATTGGAGAAAGATTTTCTTTGTCCGAAGTGTGGCACGAAGATCGCGTCGCTTGATAAGCTCGCGGTAGACAAGCCGACAAGGGCGAAGGTTCTCGACTATATTGACAAAGAGATTGAGTCGAGTAAAGAGGAGGAGAGTCAAACGAACGGTAATTCTACGCCTGTTCCGATAACAAGCCAGGTATATTTCCAGCTCAATTGCCTAGCGATGTAGTCTCACGCCGACGCTTTGCACACAGACACCCGCATCTGACGCCGCGAACAGCAACCCCCAGCTTTCTGATGAACAACAACAAGAGGCCGAGTTCTATCAGAACCAGCCCTCTCTCTCAGCCGACATCGCGATGTCCCAAATGATCGTCGACAGCATCCCGCAACTGCAAGCGCAAATCCACCAGATCTCACAAATGCTCCAAAATCCAACGCTCCCCAACCACGTGCGACAACAGACGGAGATGCAACATCACCAGCTCCAGATCCAGCTCTCTCAGGCGCAGACGATCGCGGCAGCCTTTGCCATGCAGATGAGCACGCAGATGCCCATGCAAGTGCCCATGCAAGTGCCCATGCCCATGCCCATGCCCATGCAGGTGCCGCCTGGCCCAAAGAGCGATTTTCGCGGGGGCAACCCCAATGCCAGCGGTAGCGGTAATGGGGTGAGTAACGTGGGCAATGGTGTTGTGGGGAATCCCGGAAACGGCATGTGGACCAATCCTTTCTCGAATCAGCAGCCTGCAGGACATGATTCTGCGTACCAGCGACTGCCGCTCAACAATCGCCGACGGAACGTGAAGCGTGACCGGCCCTTGGACTTTTTGGAGATGGGCCAAGAGGCCGAAAGAGAAGGAAAAATTGCGAGATATTGGGAGTGAGGTCATCGCTGTAACAGGTTCGGTAAGTATGGTGCGGGTATTCGGACGACCGGAAGATGTTCCTGCATGCCATATCATGCTCGTGGATCTGACCCGGAGGGAGTTACTTTCTTGTTTACTTTTATAACAATTGTGTGTATATTTCGCCACTTCAGAAGAATATATTTTCATTGAAATTGGAAGCTACGATCACAGACTCTGCCAGCAAGCAGGATTCGTGAAATTAGACGGCAGTGGTGATACCGGTGATTGAGCCATTTGAGACATGCCCCGACGGCACTTTCTTTAACAGCTGCTGCTGAAAATTCTCTCGGGAAGCAATCAACTGAATGGAAGCCGGTGAGGTTAGTATACGCAGATAAAAAATGCACAAAAACCGACGCTCGCAGCGCACCTCTTTCTGTCGCAAGATCATTCCATCTAGGAAAATTTCCAACGAAATCTTGAAGTCCTCGATCCGCTCCTGCTCGAACCGTGCGACCTCCGATTTGACGAGCTTCGATACGTGATCGAATGCCTGCTTAGCGTCGAGAGCCCGTCGTTCGGCCTGCACGCAAAGCCAGTCAATATTGTATTCCAGCAGCATACGAGAGACGTACATCTGCGATTTGGCTGAGCGAATGACCGAGGCGCTCTGATGGGATGCGCCCTTGCGCACGATTGCGTTCATGATTGAGTTTGACCCTGCGCAGGTCATTATCGGCATTCTGCCATGCGTGATACGTCCGCACACGTGAGCTGAACGCCATCTGCTCGTCAAAAAAGCGTCAGCCTCGACTGTAGCATCAGAAAGGAATTGGCAAAATACGCACTCGAACAGAGTTTATCAATCTTGCGTACTCATCAGCAGTTCCGAGAAGCGTGACGACGTCCTGCTTGGCCTGCTCTGCCTCTATCTCTCGTGCTTTCTTCTCTACCTCCGCGAGTGCGGCCAAAGAACTCGATAGAGACTGCCCAAGGTCTGAAGCGGCAAGATCACTGACGGTTTGTGCAAATTCGCCTTCGGCTGCAGCCAGTTCTATGTCAAAACAATCACGAGAAGGACCCGTGATGAGTTAAGAGGAGACAGGCGCGAAAGGGCACACTGCACCTGATCGGTGCTTGGAAACCATCTCGATGGCTTTCACAAGCGCACGGAGCTGGACCTCGAGCGTGTCAAGATAAGCCTTTTGTCTATCAAACCACTATATTGTTTATGAGGATATATATCACTGCAGTCATATGGTAAGTGTACCGACCTCGTCCGTCTCGACAAACCGAGGCCCAGCAATTGACTGACCAATGGTAGCCATCAAGCCGCCGCGCTCTTGCTGTTGTTCTGCCTTCCGGTGCTTGATCTACAAATGTATTCTACTGTATCAGGTGCACCCCTTTCAAGTGTTACGAGCACTCACGTCCAACGAAAAAGTGTCACTTTCCAAGAAGAGCTTCAAGTCCGCGTCCTTTCCGAGCACAGGGTGGTTTGCTATCTTTGCGATGCAATTCTCCAGAGCCTGCCTCCGCTGGGCGACGAATTGGTCGTCAAATCTACCGAAAGGGTTCTTCTCTGGTACTGGGGGAACGACGACTCCAGGGTTGTTGAGCGATAGCGTCTCGTAGAGCCATAGGAAATCAGAGTATCGACGAAGGACGGAGAAGGTGGATTTCGAGAACAGAGGAGATGTGGTCTATCCGAATACATGCATCGACTGAGCAACCGGCGGATGCGGCTAACTAAGGACTTACGCGTGTATGTACGGTGTACATTGTGTACCCTCGAATAGGATCGCCTACCTTTTGTGGGTCATCGACGGAGATAATAAACTCAGGCTGCAACCCTCCTTTCTTCGATGGCTCTGGTGGTATCAGCGACGTCTATGATGATAGTAACGTAAGTATTACAGATTGCTGACGTCGCGCAGTCACTGACCGGGTCGCTCGTAACAGGCCTTGGCCTTAAGGGTTTGTCGTCATCGTCATCGTCCTCGTCATCTTGTTCTTGCGCTACTTTCCTCGCGGGTGAGCTAACAAATGCGCTCTGTGATCCATCCCACCCATTGAAGCTCTCACCGCCAAGGGCGAGACTCGTGAACGAGCGATCAAAGGAACTTTGTGGCTGCTCAAGCGGTGATACAACAGCGCGCGGGGGATCCGTCTTGGGCGTGGACTGAGAGAAAGAGCTCGAGTGGTAGGAAGTTTGACGTTGGGGCAAGCGGGCAGAGGTAGGAGGTGAAAAGGAGGTCGGGGAAGCAAAAGTAGGAGAAGCGACGTTCACTGAGGGAGTGGTGGGTGACTTCGGCGATGGGGGGGATGCAGAGCTCGAGCTCGAGCTGGACGTCGTAATGGGCGGGGGGCGCGCGTGCTCAGCGTGCTCAGCATGATCGATGCTTTCGCGGAAACCAGAGGACGACGGAGTCGGCGGCTCGTTCTCGATGCTCTCGCGGAAGCCAGAGGTCCGAGGAGACGTGATGAGCGACGCTTGCTCCTGCTCCTCGTCAGATAAATTCGCGTTCGCTAAGTCTAGCGGGTCGGCAGGAACATCTACCGGCGAAGATGCACGAACTTCGTGCGAGTTTGTGGTCGGTGTGATCGATTCTTCTTGCTCAAATGGCTCGAACGTGGATGTGGATGAGCCGAATTCTTGCGCTGGGAGATCTGAGGACCGCAGGTAGCTAGTCCACGGGTCTGGCGAATGCGAACGCGGTTTCGCGAACGGGTCCTCGAAGGGATTCTCCTCCAATGCCCTCAGGGAGGACTGTTTCAAGAGGTCGTCAAAGCCGTCCATGTCGTGTCGAGGAACAAATGACAGCCTATAGGTTTGGTATGGACTACTTCAAGTCATCACGCTGACACGACTTGGAGCTCGTTACATTTCGGTCACACAACGGATATAGCTACAAACTTGAAAACAATCGCATTGGCTTTTCCTAGATGGAAAATTCGTATGTCCTAGGTGGAGAAACGGTCGCTTTGAATGCGTCTCAGCTAATTACTGTAGCAGATGTTATGCAGTATGACACCTATCAGGTAACAGGCATGTAAATTATTTAATATTTCATCTCACTGTGTAAGTAGTTGTCGTCAGTAGTTGACAACGTTGACTAGTACTGTAAGTGGTGGCTGCTACAAACCAAGGTTGTTAGCCCATTTCCTCTTCTTCTCATCTACCATGTCGACTCAACCATCAGCTTCACAAGCCTCTTGGGCTGTGGTAACACATCCCATGGCGCCGCCCGATCCCAATTCTTCGATGTCTTCGATACTTCTCGCCTCCCTGACGCATCTGCAATCACTCTCCCTCACTTTGTTCCAGTCCCTCTCTCCCCCACAGACGAAGCCACCACCTCCGCCATTGCTTGGTACAAGTGCGCTCATAGATGCGGATGCAGCTCTTGCATCGGCTCTACAGCTTGCTCGTGCACATCAGGTGCGTCAACGACGCATTGAGACACTCAAAAGCGAGGTGTTAGAGCTGGAGGGGCGCTGGCGTGACGTCGTGCAAGCCCTAGAGGACGGGAGACGGGAGCTAGAAGCTATCGTCACCGAGGGTGATACGCGAATTGGGGAGATTCATCGCGCACGGGAGGGTGCGTTCTTCCATTTCCAGCTCTATCCGATTTTACTTGGGTATTTTCCTTGTATTGACTTGCGATGCTGACACTGATGTCTATGTTTGCACCCCTACGCACATGCATGCAGCTGCCATCCCGTACCCTGAGCTGTTAGCCTACGCGCAGAGCTTAAGTGCCTTCACATCCGCACCACCAAATATGCCCGAAACCGCGCCTCCAGGACTGCCGCAGGCTCCACCACCACTCTTCTTCCCTCCATTTCCGAACGAAGAGAAGATGCGCCGTGGACACCTCAACGCTGAAGCTCCCCTCGGCGTCCCGGGCGAGACGCACTCCGTCGGACGCCGTACGTCCTCTCGCTGTCCCCCTTCTCCACTGACTTGTGGCCATCGCTGACTGCTCGTGTTCTTCTTGAATTCGCAGCACCGTCGCCGTCATCTCCTACAGATCAGCTTGCGCACGCGCACGCAAATCCGTACCGCCCGCACGACTCGCGTCCGCCGGTCGAGATATTCGATCTCGATCTCGACCTGAACCCCGACCTATAACCCCAGCTTCACGCACGGACACGAATTTCTGCCATCCAGCTGCGCGTCTTTGCAGTATCTTTGTTGAACGATTGATGCACGGGTACCGCAAAGCCAGTTCCGTTGTGATGCCACGCAATTCCGTTTGCGTTGTAGCCCTTTGCCGAGCCTGTTCTCCGCGCGTGCATGTACACGTATATCCGGCCTCGATGATTTGTGGCCCTGACGGAAATACGGTCGTGTCTGTCAGCATGCCCTGTGTTGATTTATCCCGGGCAGGGTGGGGTACAAGAAGTTCCCTACGAGTATCCCATATGCACACATCTTCGATGCCTCGAATTACTACGCGCAGCACAATAGATCTTGCTGCAGCCTAGTCTCCACAGCTGACCTTACAGAAGACAGTCGTTCTGACTTGGTTGACATCAATGGGATCTGTATTTTTGCTTTCGCTCGCTCATCGAAATTGGAAGTGACGGCAAGCCATATTCCAACAACGTATCAGAGATAGAGATTCGAAGTCCAACGACATCCTGTAATAACTACTTAGGCACGCTTTGTCTCGTGAGGGGGACCATAAACGGCGATTTATACCTTCCCTTCGCAATACACCGCACAGTCAGTCACTCAGCCATCGCGATGCAAATATGAATAACACCTGCGGTGCCGGTAGTGTTGTCAGCAGTAGTTTGGCAGCTGGGAAGAACGTCATCCACGATCATGGGTTCAGGCATTGGTTCGTATGTCGAGTTTCGTAGATTTTACGCGTGACGACGATTGGTGCATCCATCAATTATTAGGATAGAGCATATCAGGTGGACAATGATGTTGCCTCGGTTACGAGAGTGGTGATTACTATTTCATGATGCTGCAGAGGCACGCTGAAATAATGCTCAAGTTCCTGCGATGATGGAAACCATCTGTGACCTCATCACTCTAATAGCCGACAAGGCCATTTTGTCTGTCATAGTCATTGACGTTAGTCCAAGCGAGGGTACGATAATAGAATCACGCACAACTTGAGGCGGGTTGGCGAAGAGCGAACCAATGATGTGACTGAAAGGTGAGGCGACAAGTCTTTGTAGACCAACCGCCTTCTGTTGAGTTAAGTACTAGAGGCAGTCAAGGCCGTTCGAGCCAGTTCTAGGCGGACCTACGCGCCCAAGGCCTAGACACATCTTCAAGTCATCAGGCAAGGAATGGATAATGAGAAAATCGCTCCAGGTGCGTTGGATAGTGCGACAATCGACATTTGCAAATTATCAGTTATGAACACTCTTCATGCCTCTAACTGCCTGCGACGCTCCAGCTTGAGGTAGTACTCCTCATGACGTTGCACTATTCGAAGAATCAGAACCGACGATACAAGAGATAGTGCAAAGGCATTTTGCGGAAAGATGGTGTCTACTGCTCACCATGCTTCAGATGAACGCCATACCTGTTTCAGGAGGCGTCAGCCTCGTTCAACGACACAAATTGGAAGAAAGAGTGCTCACCAGAAAGCGTAACCGAACGAGACACCGAGGCCCATGGCGACGGTGAGGTCGAGCCAGAAGCGCTTTCTGAGCTTGCCAGTGATAGGAGCGATGGGCATTGTGATGGATGGTTGTTTTGGAGCAGGAGAGAGTCGGAATCGGGCGTCTAACAGGGTTGCAAGCAGGGCACAAACAAGTACAAATCGAGGCTGCTCGAGGCTGCTGCATGCGTCGCTTCGCTTCGCGCCACACCTTTGTCCTCAGCCATCCCACTAACACCCACATTACACCGTTTGGCCTGCTCAAGCAAGTCGCTCTGAGCAGTTAGAATATTCAGTTTAAGTCCCATTTGGCTAAGCGGTCACCTCAGAACTTCATCAACCACATCAAGATTCTCCCACTCCCAGCTCATCCAATACATCTATGGATCCTGACGCGTCTGGCGGCTGGCGATTTGCACAATGTTTTGGAGACAAGGGAGAGGTAGAAGACATCACAGAAGGTACGATCTTCTACGCTGCTCGGCGTTGTCGTATTACCCCGCACCTTGTGTCGCGCCTCGCCCGGCGTTCGTACGCTTATCAAGCACTTATATTGCTTAATCTTCATCCTAGCCGACATCATCTCCACTGTCGAATTCGACTCGACAGGTAACTATCTCGCAACAGGCGACAAGGGTGGGCGGGTAGTGCTGTTCGAGCGAAATGACATGGTGCGTACTCCTCGTGTCAGATCTCACCTGCAACCCCCAAGATGACCAATCCTGCCCCTCCGCCTGTCAATCGCTCGGTCCATTGCTCGATATATTTCATCCGTGGGTCTGCAGAAAAAAGGATGCGAGTACAAGTTCTACACCGAGTTCCAGTCACATGAACCAGAATTCGACTACCTCAAGTCGCTGGAAATCGAGGAGAAGATCAACAAGATCAGATGGTGCAAACGCCAGAATTCTGCCCACTTTTTGCTTTCAACCAACGGTCAGCCTTTGTTCTGTATTTGCCGTTCACTCGATCTCATTCACTACACAACCCCTTATATTTCCATGACCTCACCATCTTTCCCGGTTTGGCGCGTACCGGACATCTTCATCAGACAAAACCATCAAGCTTTGGAAAGTCTTCGAGAAGTCGTTGCGGGTAGTATCAGAATCGAACTTGACAGATGGCCAGCGGTCGCTACCACCACCATCGTTGAAACAGCATCTGCGGTTACCCCGTATGGCGCATCAAGACAACATCATCGCTGCCGTTCCCCGCAAAGTATACTCCAATGCACACGCCTACCACATCCATTCCATTGCTGTCAATTCCGACCAGGAAACATATGTATCGGCAGATGACCTGAGAATAAACCTCTGGAATTTGAATATTTCTGACCGGAGCTTTAGTGCGTAGTTTTCGTTCGTTATGGCTAGATGATAAGTGGCTTATTAGCGCCATTTCTATCTGCAGATATCGTGGACATCAAACCCGTCAATATGGAGGAGTTGACGGAGGTCATTACTGCCGCCGAGTTTCATCCAACACAATGCAATGTGTTCATGTATTCCAGCTCGAAAAGCAACATCAAGCTTGCGGACATGCGTGACTCCGCACTCTGCGACCGCCACGCCAAGCGTGAGTTTAAACCTACTATGCATTCCGTTTTACAGCGATAGCTAAAGCGAAGGCACTGACAGTGTTTGAGGAGGAGGAGGATCCCGCAAACCGGTCATTCTTCTCGGAGATCATCTCATCCATCTCGGATGTCAAGTTCAGTCGGGATGGTCGGTATATCCTTTCGCGAGACTATCTCAATCTGAAAATTTGGGATGTCAACATGGAGTCACGACCGGTGAAGACCATCCCGATCCACGACCATCTTCGGGGGAAACTCTGCGATCTATACGAGAATGATTGCATCTTTGACAAGTTTGAGTGTACGTGGAGTGGGGATGATAAGTGCGTTTCAACGTCTCGTCACCAGAGCATCGAAAGCTGACGTGGTGGCATCTAGACACGTCCTGACGGGCTCCTACCACAACTACCTGCGTATATTCGACGTGGAGACATTAAACGACGTTGTACTCCAGGCGGATAAATCCGCGTTCAAGGCGAAGAAGATTGGTGGGCCGCTACCGGGAAATAACAAGCTAGGGCAGAAGAATGGCATGCGTCCAGGGTTGAAGGATGCAATGCAGTTGGAGACGCTTGATTTCAACAAGAAGATTCTACACGCAAGCTGGCACCCACGGGAGAATACAATTGCAGTACGTTGTTGAACCGTCCCCCTCGCTCCCTCCACACAATTTTTTATACTGACATCGTCATCTAGATCGCGGCAACGAACAACTTGTTCTTGTACAGTGCGGCATGATTGCTTTCAGGGCTGCCCGCCATCTGTCCTCCATATATCACACTCCTTCGGCCTCTTCACTCAATGTACTCCACGCATCGCAGGACGACAACACCTGCGTCTCATCTTATATATTACCATTCGCCGTTCGTGTCATGATCAACTTCAGCAGGGGCGATCGCTACTGCGTGCAACCGGGTGACGACTAGAGTTCAAGACGGGAAATCGGGACATTTATGGAGGAAGGCGTTACAGACCGAACGCTTGCTGTTTCTTGTGTTATGTTTTCTTTTTTGGCATTCTTTCATCCTTTCCCTCGCTTCGATACTGCACAGCCTTGCTATTATTTCTCAATCGACAGCCTTGTTCATGATTTATATATCGATCCCCACCCTTTCACACCTTCTTTCCTGCATGCTGTTCATCTTTTTTGTCGTCCTTACGCCTCTCCTCTCTGTCGTTCCCATTCTCGTCTCGTTCTTCGTCGTGGCCCGTTGTTCCTACTCTCGGTCGCCCACTCTCTCGTTGCCGCCATATACGTACTCATCCATCCTTACCCAACCTTCCTTAGGACTTGTCAAGCACGCAGAAGAGAAAAGAGAAGAGAGCACGTAGAGGATATACATTCTGTGCAACGTCTGCGGCGGTGCACAGGGAGAAGTAATGAAATAAATGGGTTTTGTATTATATTTTCCTGATGTGTCGCACGTCGTAGACATGAACATGGAGTTCAGCAGTCGCTCCATCAATGAGGCTGGCTGTAGCACTAGCATGTACTCACTACTGGTTGTATTCAAGCGTTTCAAAGCAGTCGGTAATCCGTGATTTATACTAGCGAATGTCAACAATAAGTACAGGACTATTAATGCGAATAGATGAAGAGAAAAAAAATGTGTGCCCTAACCAAAACGTCTGCCAAGTGGGAAAATCGTGGATAGACGATCTGCTGTCAGGGTAAGAAAAAAAATCGGGTCAATCTCGCCGCGTAGTTTAACGCGAAGGCAGGAGGTAAGCTGCACAGGGCGTAGATAAACACGGCGTCAGAGTACACACATGACAAAACTTTCTAGCATGTCAAAATGGAGGAGCAAATACGATGGATTAATGGCTCTGATCGCTGAAGACGTCGAGGAGGTCAAGCAAAGAAGAGGGCTCTCAACCTGGTACTTATACCACGCGTTATTTTGACATGTTTGGATTTGGGAACATAGCGGCGCCGCTAACCATCAACCTCGACGGCGTTTCCGCTCTATACACGTACTTGCGACGATATGTCCGCACGAAATATCGCAGCAGGGCATGCCCTACCCCCCAACCCAGAATGGCTGGATTTTGACCGGACAGACGGCAACGAAAGCCAGTTGCCGACGAATACGCAGGAGGTAGTGGATAGCGATGGGCAAGTGAACTACATGAAACCTGTCCTCATGGGAGATGGCCCCAACATCCACTGGAGAACCCAGGTTGCGTCGAAGGTCGCGGAGAAAATGGGATTGCCTAGTGTGTAGTCTGCAGTTTGGTACAGACGGACATGCTCAAGCTGACGTCTCAATCCAGCTGGTAAAAACTACGTTTTGAGGAATTGGCCAGCAGGCTATGCAATGTTTGACCATCATAAGGGCAAGAAAAGTGCTCCTCGGCATGACTTGTATCTCTTTGGTTCGCGGACGTTTTCGTATTTCTAATCCAATGCCTCGCTCATACGTATGATAGGTAGCGTTCACGCCAGACGCTTCCGATCCATTCCCGAATTTGTCCCTCATGCGCTATGGCTCATGACCGACCCCTTTCTCGATCGAGCTAACTGTGAATGCAAATACTGTGCAAAACAGCCTCAGCGAGTCATCAGTGAAAATCTAGGCTTCAGAGCTCCTCGCCCGTCATCACCCTCAGCGGCGACCGCAACAGCATCCCGTCGTTCAGTCAGGGAGCAACGTCCACGCGCGCCGCGCGAATATCAGAAACCGTATACAGCCGTCCGTCGGATACCGAAGCCTATCAAACCAACTGGGCCCACTCAGGTGATTGTGCACGAGCGGCACAACGACCTCCAGGCCCTATCCGAAGAGTTGGATATGGGATATCGTAAATGGTTTAGGGAAGGAGAGGTCATTTGGTGTGCGCTCGACCCTCCCATCCAGGGACCTGAGGTGACCATCACGTTCTGGCCGGGAATAGTGGAGGAGTCGACTATCAAGTCGGAGATTATTCCTCGTGCTGGGTCGCCTGTGACGAACCCTACCGACATTGATGCGGATCCGGACGCGGAGGCCGACGCAGATCCGGACTTCGTTATGGCGAACGGCACACCGCATTCGTCTCTCATACAAGAATCAGAGAGGCTCCCTCCGTGGACAGTCCGTCAAAGGAGCCTGTACAAGGTCAAGCTACTTGGCATCCTGCACCATTACGTCGTCCGAGAAGAAGACGCCCTTCCGTACCAGGCTTACGCACCCTCAGCGCAGCTGATCTCGGCCATGCAGGATGTCCCCATAGAAAGATTGACTCTTAACGAGGAGAAGATCGCTGCATTTAATCCTTGCCCCATGCCTGCGCAGGACACAAATGTCGACATTCAATCATCCATAGCCCAATTCGAGGAGGCGGCAGCACCTTACTCAATTGCTGTGGAAATCGCTGCCGGCATTGCGAGCTTTTGGAATCCAACGGACGAGTGGGATTATAAGATGACCATTCCGCCACCATCTCCTCCACGGCCACCCTCGGGCGCTACGTTGCACTCCCTTCTGACTAGCGCAACACTGGGCGGCGGCGCCTCTGGATCTTCGGTGCCTGGCACCCTACCAGCGAGCGAGCAGATGCTCAGTTCTCGCATGATGAGTCAAGCTCCTCCAGCTTCGACGTTCACTCAGACGCGATTCCAAGGTCTCTGGTGGGGCGTTGAGCGCATCTGGGTCGATGAACTCGTGCGACTCAAAGCCGCACGCCGACAGGTTGCCCCAACTGGCGCACCTAACATCTATCCTGCCTCAGGTCCCTCTCAGGAGACCCTCAAAGAAATGATAGAAGAGCTAGGACAAGTGGAAGGCAGCGCTGCCCACGCTCAGATGGGAGCGATGGATCGTGGGCTGTTCATGAAAATCGAGGGCATCTTTACGGTGGACGTCCCAAAAGAGGATGGACCGGGAGCGAAGAAAGAGTGCAGAGTGTGCGGGATGCTATATGAACTCGCAGATGAGAAATGGGAGGAGACGGACGCGACGCCCGTCCCAGAAGTAAATGGGAAGGGTCAGGAGGTCCAGTCAAACCCCGTTCCGAATCCAAGCTACCAGGATAGTCTTACATCGGCTGGCTTCAACCCAGCGGACCCCCCGAGTACGCCAATCAAGCAGACCCAGTCTGTGGAACTTGATGCAGGGGCACCGTTTATGTCTACCCCATCGCCCATGAAGCATGCCCCGCTACCCAGCCCAGACACTGCCGTCCCAATAAGCCAGACCATGTCTTCCACACTCACGGCAATCGCCTCCCAACCCGAAATATCCCAAGCATCCTCCTCCGCTCTGCCTCCCCCTCAGGTTCCACCACTATCACTTTCCCGCCTTGCCTCGTCGGAGTCTGCGAATGCTGCGCTCTCCGGGCCTGGCGGCGCATCGGCAGAATACGCCCTCCCGAAGCCGCCGCACGGCTTCAAGTTCCGGCCCATCCTCCACCCTGGCCACGAGGTCGTCATCTCCGTCACGCTCATCTCCGGGCGGTACTACCCCGGCCTGATCGCTCACCCGCTCCTGCGCCCACTTGCGCGTGACCTGCAGCGCAACGCGCGCGAGCAGTACTCTGAGGAAACGACGAACCTACTCTCGCTTGAGGGCCTGTGTCCCGGGTTCTATAACGCGGTGGACCCGACGCGATGGAAAGCGAGTCGGATCGCGATGGTGAAGGAGGCGGACCGCGAGAACAAAGCTGCGATCTGGAGGAATTGGGATATGAAGCTGAGGGAGAAGGATGCGAAAATCAAGGGGGAGGGGGTGGGTGATTTGGACGTAGAAATGAGTAATCAGCCGCTGGGGGCGTCGGCCACGGCTGCAGGCTCTGCTGCAGAGGCGGGACCGTCGACGGACCCAGGGCCATCGACTTTTGTGAGCGCCGGCGCTGTCGCCGTCGCCTAATCCATGTACGATGGTTGTCAGTGCAAGTTTGTCTTTTTAGATCATCCACTCTATTGTATTCTAATTCGAGTTTTGACGTCGATATCAAGTTCTTGGTCCTATGTGGTTCTCTGCGTAATCTTTATCTTGGCCCATGGTGAACCATGCGAGTATAGACTTTTTCGAACCGCTCCTTCGGGGTTCAAGCGAACATTGAAGTTCCGGATATAGTACGTGGTATGTAAAGCAGCGACTGGCTACATACACAGTCAAAGGTAACATGTCGCTCATCGCAAACGGGTATATGCAGAGCCGAGTATGACGCCTAATCAGAGATACATGCAAGTCATGCATAGAGATAGCGCCGATGCAGGCAATAAAGCCCCAAAGAATCACACTGGTCAATTCTAGGCAGGCATGTATTCATGATGTGCATTGGCACCAACGCCTTGTATGGGTGGTGTCGATACGAGAACAGGCTGGACAGCTAACAGAGTCGCACGTTTCTCCGATGCAGCCTTCGATCGTAAGCCGTCATCGCCCGTTCGCCCGCGGGGGTGAAATAGAGAGATAGGAATGTTGATGATCATGAGTCCAAGTATGAGCCGGAAGCCGCGGAAGGAGACCCGAAGAGGATGGCAGATGAACAACCTGCTGTGCAGGATAACGGGGAGACACCATGACCAGATAACCCTTGCCTTGTGATTGTTGTCGAGCGTCCGAGACGGGGGTCCAGAAGGTGCGGGGTAATAACATTGATCATTGACCACAGCATTCGACGTCAGTGGCGCAGGAAAGGCGGCTCTGGACCTACCTGAGGGCTCGCGGAGGTCGTCGAGACCTTTGAGCGGCATCGCTGCGGATGGAAGAGCACGGAGGGCAGTCAAGCGCTGACAGGGACCCACAGCGGCATGACTCCCGATAGACACGCCTGGAAGGCCCGTTGACAGGGACAAGCATGCGTGGCTTGGTTTCAGTCAATCAAGACACGACCAGGCGATTCTAGCACGCTGGCCCTGCACATTCGCGCCCGGGGTAGAACGCGTTCCGAATCACGCCGAAATGTGCATGCACTGAGGCATGTATGGAACCCTGCAGTCGTCAATGCGCCTGGCGTGCCCAATATGCATAAAAGGGGTCAATGGGCGGTCAGTGGCCTTCCAGGGTCGACGAGAGCGTACACAACTTACCACCTTCATTTTTGTCCTTTCTTCTCTACTTCCCATGCCATCCTCCGAGCCGACCTCAGGCTCTGACCGGTTTCATGTCAAGGGCCTCGCGAGAAGGATCAAAAAGCGGTTTGGCCAGGCAAAGGCCCACCTCGCCGCCAGACATCCGGCACAGGCCGGTTCGAACCGAGAGGGTGCCAGGGGTCCGCTTTCCCCGGTCCTCGAACACATCGCGCTCTCGTTGTCCCTCACACACATCTCCATCCCCGTCGCCATTCCTTTCCATTCCTCCTCCTCTCGCACGCGTACCACGAGCAGCAGTACGGTTTCGACTCAGTCAACCACTCGCTCCAAAGTTCGCGATATCTTTTCTAGCACACCAAGCTCTATCTCAGAGGCGCCGGAGGAGGATTCTGTGTCGCAATCAGAGTCTGAGAGAATAATGTCGGAGGACAGCATGTCTTTGACCCCTCCGTCTGGACTGCTTGCAGATACCCAGAGGGATACGGCAGATTACGAAGAACAGATCGGTGAGACCGTTGTAGAGGCTGACCGAGATGGAAGAGCAGAGTCCGCCAAGGAGCCCGACGATAGCCCCGAGCCTGTCGTCGAGTCTGAGTCTCCCTCCGCGTCCTCTTCTGAAGACAATGAGCCCTCAGAGGTTACATCGTCCATTCCTACCGAGCCACCAGTATCGAACGAGATGCTCATCTCCAGTCCAGATCCTCAGACCATCGAGCTCGAAGGACTCGACCCTTTCCTCGTCGATGACCCTGACAACCCAGTGTCTGACTCGGAGCCTCCCACCGCTCGCCCTCCTCCCCAGCAACCAGCACCTTCCGCCGAGTCTCACTCGATTCCATCTGCTGAGGAGATCCCTCTCACCGTTCAGGCACCCTCGGTGTCGGACGCAGCCTCTCCCCGACTTAATCTTAACAAGCCGGTCCCCATCCCTCCCCCTTCGCCATCCGACACGGAATCATCCGAGTCAGACGCACCTGTGATCTATCTTCCACAGCTGGTTCTGCCGACGATGTTCCTCCCCATTCCGAATGTACGCCTTTGCTTCCATCTCATGTGGTGGTACTCGCCACGCTCCACGATATATTATTGACTGTATGGTATCTATTGGTGACCCCCGCTGTTGTATGTACGCTAGACGGACCCGTTGACTACGCTCTTGGTGAAATACATTCCGAACCCTGAAATGCGGCCCAAGAGAGACCTGACCGGCGAGTGGGCCAAGACAGACTTCAACACGCTTGTCGTGAGTTACCAAGAGTTCTGTGTGAAGGCTGCCTGAAAACGATGATGTCCTTGGTCTAGATGACGAACAGCTGGAGAGCACTTGCTCGACAGGCTCGGGATCGCCTTGTGCAGACCGACCCGGAGGATCTGAATCTAGTACTCAGCGTAAGAAGCGCCCCCCTACCCACGAAACTGTCCGCCGTTGACGTCGCCAATATTCACCTTCAGCTGTGGTACCTCCGAGTCTCTTCGCTTGCCCGTCTACGGCTCTTCAACCAGACCTCGGCCGAGATCACCAACCTGTTCACCGGCCTCGCTGCTGCACCCCCCGCCGCACGGACGCACGTCTTCGAGAACATCTTGCCGTTTGAGCTCGAGGTCCTCCGCGCTCGCGTCAAATACTGGTCAGGCGACCCATTGGGGTACCTCGACGCCCTCGGGGCGTTGCTGCGCAAGTGCAAGCGCAAGGCGCGTGCGGCGCGTGGAGAGCGCGGGGCTGGCGACCGGCAGATGTGGATGGAGCGAGGCGCGCGCGTGAGCCTCATCGTCGCGTCGCAGTTCATCGAGATGAAGGTAATCACTGTGTTCACGGACACGTCTCGAATCCCCATGTCTCGTTCGCTTTATTGATCGAGCGTGGTGCAGGACTTTGCGGCCGCGACGAAGCTGCTGCAGCCGCTGCTGGACCAGCCGGTGCAGACGCAAGAGGTCCGGTCCGCCATCGCGCGCATATATCTCCAGGCAGGCCATGTTTCTGCGGCCGAGCGGCATTTCGCGGTCATCGAGGCAGATCCCGACGTCCCGCAGACGACGAAGGACATGAACAGCGCGATCCTCACCGCGGCCCGGGGGGATTGGGCGAGCGCCAGCGCTCTGCTGGGGGGTCTGGTCGGCGATGACGCGGAGAACTTCGCTGTGAGCTGCCGTTCGATTTGTAGACCGCTGAGACGCACTCTGACGCCGGGTAGGCCGTGAACAACTTGGCCGTCGCGCTGCTCAACCAAGGAAAGCTGAAGGAGGTAAGGCGTTGGCTACTCCCACGTCGACTCGAGTTGATCTTCCTTCAAGGGCATCGAAGTCCTCGAAACTGCGCTCCAGGCCTCGCCGTCAACACTCGCCATGGCAGAACCCTTCCTGTTCAATCTTTGTATGCCGATCCAATACCGGGATTTGATTGACATGCTGATTGGCTTCACAGCGACGCTCTACGAGCTTCGTTCTGCTATTGCGGCAGACAAGAAACGCGATCTACTCATCGAGGTGGCAAAATGGGGTGGGGACGGGTTGAGGACCACGTGTCTCAAGATGCCGTCTGGTTGAATGTCAGACCCCCTATGCTTTGGGCAGATTGCAGCTTGCTGCTTGATGAATGTAAGGATCGTGTGTGTAAATCCATACTACACGCTACTGACCTGCCTTCCGATTACCATGGAAGATCCCATTGAGTGCACTAGCAGCGAGGTGAGATATCGACTCAAAGAAAAGGGCCCAAACAGCCATGCCTGTCTACATCCATGTATTGTAAGTAATCGTCTAGAAAAGATGAACAAATAAACAAAAGAAGGATAAATAGCATATTCTAATATGACCGTGTGTAGTCGCCTCCGTCCTCCATCCATCGTGCATTATATCATACAGATTATCACAACTGAGAAAAGGCATATATACGTGACCCACTGAATGTACTTCCATTGTCTCTTCTGCTCGTCGACGATACTCAGTATGCAACGTATGCCACACAGAGCAGTGGAAAGCCGGCATACAGCCCGACCCAGAAGACGACGTTGCCCATGAGCTTGTTGCGTTTGATCGCGGGCAGGCGGCCGATTGCGATGAGCGGGACCTGAAACAACTGCATCGTGAACAGGTACATCCTAGGATCCGTCGTGTCAGTCTCGAGCCGTGCGCGCGTGGAGTCTTTTGTCCGCAAGAAAGTGCGGGCTCACCGGATCTTCTGCGTAACGACGGCCATGACCAGCTCGTGCACGGCCGCACTGAGCAGGAACGTGAGGAACATGGCCGAGAAGCGGGAGACGCGGTACGAGCTGATCGTCGAAGCGTAGACATGTCGCAGGAGGAAGGAATGCACGGGCTTGTTCCATTTACGGGAGAATTCGTCCCAGGATGTCGAGTTCCACTATGAATAAGAGCGATAGATCGTGTTAAGCCCGCAATTTGAAAGTGAATGAAAACGGTATGTACCCAGTCTTCATAAAATTGCCGGTCAGCGAAACTGTGGGTGGGTGGTTAGCAGCACAGCGATGACAGATGCAGGACGCAACTGACTATGAAAGCTCGGCAAATCCGTTACAGATGCATTCTGTTCGAAGAAATCACGTTCAGACACGGACTGCACAGGGTGTACTATAGCAGACGAACCGAAAATAATGTAGAAAAGTAAGAGATACGCCACCATGAACGGCAGCGCCAAGTCCAACAGGCTTTTCGCAAAAGACTGGTCCGGCGAGGGCGTCAGAGGGAGAATGAAGGTCTCTGTGATCGTGTACAGCAACGCAAACGTCCCGAACGTCGCTGTTGTCTTCTCGAACACGTACAAAGGCCGAATCCTACGTGACACAAGATTCGAATGCACTTCCACATGCGGTATTCAGGGAGCACACGTACCGGTTGGTCCTGGGATACTCGAGCTCGTAGACTAGTGACGGGATGAGCTGATACACCGCGAAGTTCTTCAGTGTAATGTTATTCGGCCATCGGACCTTATTTGGCCCCGAGCTGACGAGTTCCGCGTCCAATTCAGACCAATCTCTCGCCAGGGCCGCAATACTCTCGTCCGGATGGTCGACCAGCGTGTGCGGCTTATAGCCTCCATCTACCCAACCCATTGCTTCCTGCCGAGATCCGTTCGTTTCATCCTCAGACCCGCTTTTCAGCCGCCTGCGTAGCTCATTAGCGGTTTTCGCGTCGATGTAAGACTTGTGCGTCGCGTCGGGGATCGAGGCCGGTGTGCCGACGGAGGGAGAGCCGAATTCGCTGTCGCTCGCGATCGCGTCGAGTTCTGCGCGTCGCACTGTCGCATCGGCCACGGCCTTATCCCAGCCGCCGGCGGCGGAAGTTGCGGCGTAAAGCTGGCTGAAGAGTTCTTCGCACTGGGAAGAGACAAATTGGAGGTACCCATTGACGGACATGTACGAATGCATTTTCATGATCATTACCTATTGGATTGAAGGCGTGTTATTTGAGTTAGATCTTGAAGAAAGGTCAGACCGAACACATACGAGGGTGTGAAGGGTCAAAAATCCCGATTGTACCCAAGGCCATTGACTATCATACACATCGGTTTGAATGTACCGACACTGATTTTGACGGCAGCTTACCGGTTGAACGTCCACTTGACCGCGATGAATAGTGTGAGTGTTTGGAACGCGTGTTGCAACACTACTCCCGTCCAGTAATATCGAATCCATCCTCTGCTGACCGCTTTGGCAAACGGGACGCAGAGCGCTGTGCTCAAAACAAGAACGGCGTCACTGAGCGCGAGAGTCAGCGCGTCTCGCGAGATCATAGTCGCGAACGCGAAGTTGAGGGGCTTCCCGCTGGCCTCAATAGATCGAACGTAGGTCCGCACGGTAAATATGAACAAGGAGATCCAAAAGAGTGTGAAGAATCCCTGCAACGCACATATTCGCGTCAACCCATCAGGATTATCGTGAGACAGTGACGTACGCGAAATTCATTAGTGCTCGACGACTCGTTGCCAATGTCGAAATGCGATGTCCGAGGGACGAACTGCACGGCAGCCTTGAGCTTCTTAGAATATCCGGACCGATACGGTTTGGATATGTAGAGCGTGCCGCCCTGCGTCTGGATGGCTCCGTTTGCCGCGGTGCTATTCGGCGACGCGTCCTTGTCTTTCAGCGCCAGCTTGAGCGCGTTTATTTCCGCGATTTTGGTCAGTGAGGCGCCGCTGTCCGCTCCTCCACGTCAGATGGCCCGATTCGGGTAACAGAGATGGGCGAGCTGGCGAACCTGGACATGATGTAGCGAAATGCAAAATAATGGCGGAAGGAGGGAGGGGGTTAGGAAAGAGAAGAAAGGATGGGTGAGTGAGTGATCTGACGAGCCTGCGCTGGTGTTTAAATGTCGAGGTCACCGAGCACTGACGGTGACGCGCTGACGGAGACTGCAAGGAGCACTCGGAGCAGTTCGGTTCCACTTGGTCATCACAAATCCATAATTCCCCCCCGGATGGATCTCACAACTCTCTGCTGACCTCCACACCTCCTATTTCTCAGTCACGGACGCCCGCTGATCAAAAATCCTTTGCGCCATTTCCAAAGTTGTGCATCCTCTCGCGGAACAGAAACATTAAAACCCGGTTGAACCGGTTTGTCTAATGCGGTCACGTGGACAGGCGCCGATACAATCCTCGAAAAGGAAATACACGGAAATACACGCTTTCTCATGGATCAGGTTCGTCACGATGCTTTCCCTCAGCGTGGAATTCATCTAACGACCTCGCGATGTTAGGAATCTTTTCGCCAGCTATTGCAGACCCCAAGGCCAGGAGCATCTTCTCGGACGCCTACAGCATACAAGTCTTATGGCTCACTCCTCGCAGGCAAGGCAGGATCATCGAAGCCGTATGTTTTGCCACCTCGCGTGCATACACATTTGATCCTGACTGTGACTTTCTGCATGGTTGATCACGAAGTGCCACTGTCTCTGCGTCTGAGCCTGCTTTCAAGCCGCGAAAGCTGAAAAAGCAATCCGAGAAATACCGCAATCGAGCGGAAGAGCGCAGAGCAGGTGCTGACCACGACTATTCTCAGGTGAGCAAAGCATCCGCCTCCGTACCTGACACTCATTCATTCTTCATATAAGATCGAAGCTGTGCTCGAAGATTTTGAACGGCAAAATGCAGATAAGGAAGACCGCGCTGCGGTAAGCTCGAGCAAGCATGTTCTGATAATACTTTCCTCATCCTAACCCTCAGGTTGAAGCGCAAAGGTCGTATTTGGGGGGTGACTCAGATCACTCCATCCTTGTCAAAGGTCTCGACTTCGCACTTCTCGAACAAAACAAAGCGCGCCTTGCGTCCGCCTCGTCCAAACTAGATGATCAGCTACTCGAAGAGGCTTTCAAGGAAACCGCAGTTGCATCTACTTCTAGTGAATCCTTGAATCCGACATCGAAGAAGCGCTCGCGCACGGACATCTTGCGGGAGCTGAAGGAAAAACGCGGTAGCATGGAGGGCGTCGCGCCAGCGAAGGCGCAGGAGGAGAGTATAGCGAGTGCTAATGTGAGCGCCAAGTTCAGACCGATAGGGTTCAAGCCCATTGGCCCGCCGGCGGAGGAGAAGGCGAAGAAGAAGAAGAAAGTCAAGGCACAGGATGGGGATGGAGCCGAGAGGAAGAAGAAGAGGCGCAAGGTCGAGAAAGGGGAGAGTCAGAAGGGAGAGATGGGTCCACCAGCCGTTCCTATAAAGGACTCTCCATCTGCCGCCAATGCACCCTCAAGTACAACAACGGCTCCGACCGTGCAAAAACCTGACATGGAACCGGAGTCAATAGACGAAGATCTTGATATATTTGCGGGGGCCGGCGAGTACGAGGGTATCGATCTCGGGGACGATGATGACGACGACGGTGACGACAACAACAACAACGGAGGTGAGGGTCGGCATAGAGAGGCTTCTCCAGCGGACGAAGGACTATCCACTGCAACATCGGGTCGAAAGTGGTTCGACGATGCGCCCCAGTCTGAGCAGCCGAAATCGTCCACGGAGACAGCAACACAAGCCACGGTCAATTCCCCTCCACCACCACCAGACCTCGAAGAAGGCGAGGAAGAAACGCCGATGCGTCTTGTGCCTTTGGCATCTTCTGCGGTACCTTCTATTAGCGATCTACTGGCGATGGACGAAGCAGCTGAGAAGGAAACGAAGCGGAAGGCTAGGAAGGAGAAGAAGAAGGGCAAAGGAGGAGGGGACAAGCTGGACAGGGACTACCAAAGGTGGGTGCGCATTTCTGAGATCTGGGTCCAGTCTGGTGACCGATGCGTATTCGTCTTCCCTAGATTGAAAAGTTACGAGGCGAAAAAGGCAGCCAGTTAGGATGGGTATTTGACATCATAATGGGTATTTGTATCTTTGTATTGGAGATTGACTCTTAGATCTCGATAGATCTCCCTTGATGTCGATCTTTGAATCGCGATTCTGAACAAGTGGTCACCGATTTTCGAGATTCATTGTTTGAGAGGCTGATCGTCGTGAGCAGATTCCGGACACTCGAATGCGTTTGTTTGACCGCCCGTCGGAGCCGGTACTCCAGTCATCCGGAGAAATCGTCATTTCAACAGTAGGGTGTCAAGGCTATAGAAAACAGGTCGGTGACGAGATCTCTTCAAGATGCATCGGGGTGAGCCCCGGATTATGGATGGACCAACGAAAGGACCAAAAGGCAGAAAGCATCTGTTAAGTCACTCATTCTAATGATAGTGCCAGATAACCCTTACTCTCTCCAGAGTCCGATAAATTATCTAATTTTAGGTTCAGAAGGTCCGAATCCCAGGAACATATCAGACTAGCTCCCAGCTCCCTGAAGGCTTTCTTGGCCGAGAAATCGCGTATTCTGCCCCTCATTTGTCACTATGCTATGCGTCGGGAGCACACAGGAGCGTGCGAGGCCAAGGAATTTGATTGAATGTCTCGCGATCAACAAAACTCGAATTTCTTAGCGTCCCAGACGCTGTTTGACTCAAACTTTGACTGGGATGCTCCTCTACGACTTTGCGGGTTGGGGTACGACAGTGTTGGGGGCTTTGCATGACCCCAGCTTTGGATATCTGCGCTAAACGAGTTTACGCCCAGTGCGTAGCCTGTTTTCCTATATATACTCGCGTCCACATGTCGCTCGCTGCCCTTATTTCACTCGCGCCCACTTGTAACCACCTCCATCCCAAGCTACCATGCCCAGGCAATCAACCCGCCTCTCTGCACGTGTGAAGCTCGAGGTATAGTCGGGAGCTATTGAACCCGATGTCTGAGAGGTGTCTCAGCCCGTTGGCCAGAGCCCCAAAGGCCAGGCTGCAATGCCCGCGGGCGCCCCTCTGGCAAGGACCAGGTCGAGGGTAGTTGGAGCCCCTGGGAGCACCGTCGTTGATAAGAGGGCCTCTAGCCGTGCCGCCCTAGCAATCAAGCTGGCGAAATTAGGTCACAAACCACCTGCTACGGACTCATCGACCTGGCCTGCGAGTGAGTTGGGCGAGGCAACAGTATGCGACTTCTCTAGTATCAGCAGGAGCACCAGGCGCTCATCATCTACGACACGTCGTAGATCTGCAAGAGTTATGTCAAGAAGTTTTACAGGGTAGGCCGCCGGAGCAGCTCGTCGACCCGTAGACTGACGTCCATACTTCAGCTTCACGATAAGGGCCTGAAGGATCTTGAATACAAAATCGTACCCCACCCGAATCCTCAAAAGGAGACTTGGAAGGACATGCACCTCTTCCAAGCCAGTGACATAGAGCGGAGAGCGTGGCAAAAACATGAAGGGCCAGCGCGCTTCGATTGATAGTAAGCAACCTTCGCTGTGTAGATCCACCTCGTCGGATACCCCGTGCTGACCGCCGACGTTGATCGTTCGGTCGCCGATAGCATAAGCACCTTGGAGGCGAAGCATTGTGTGGCCCGTCCCGGAATGCCGTTCAACCAGATCCGGTGGATCACGTACAGAACCTGCGCCACGTGCGGTGAAAGAACGTACCGCAAATCCGATTTTTTTGGCAAGGGGTGCTGGTCTTGTTATAAGTGAGCACTGAGTCGTTGTTCCGATCTCTCCTATCAACAACAAATCTGCCGCACAGGTCCACCATCTATAATAACGCAGAAGTTGACGAGGCTGCAAGTCCCGACCAGTACTGACTTCGACCAATTTGCTCGAGTGTGTACAATCGACATACGTCTCGTCTCTGTACGCTGCATTTGTATAATCATTTATGTCGCCCTTTGGGTGCCGTGCCGAACTGGACTTCGCCCCCGCCGGTCTGACCTGAGGTCCGAAAGCAAAACTGATCATATCGGGGGAGCTCGTCGACCGGCAAATAACGATAAAACTGCATACGGAACCGTGCTGCATAGACTGAATCATGAAGGGGTCGTGAACACAGCCGGGTGTGTCTAGCTCATGCGAAAAAGCGAACGACTGGACAAGCCAACGAACCGGCGCATGTTATCCAACGCAAAAAAAAACACGACCCTGTCCAGACATCCGTCCGTCCATCCTTCCGTCGTAACTTACAATAACATCCACACTGGCGGCACAAGATTTGTCTCGAGCGCGAGACAGGCTTACAGACCGGCCTGCCGATCCAGCATGTACATCTGCAAGTCCCTCCAGCCTGAGACAGAAACCATCGTTAGTTGATTAAATCACGAGCGCACGGCCGATCGCCGATCCCCGAACACGCGGTAGCACTCACCTCCGCCGACCCGGACCATGACCTTCTTCTTCGCCACCTCCCCCTTGCGCGTCATCGTCGTCAGCCGGCACGTGACGATCTTACGGGCCAGCGCTGTCGAGAACGCGTACTGCGCGCGGATCTCCTCGCCCTCCTTCGGGACCGCCCTGAGTGGCGGGTCGACGCGCTCGATCAGCAGCCCATGCGCGACCGAGTTGACGATGCGCGCGACCTCCGCATCGAGCGGGTCCTTCGCGCTCGCGGGCGTGTAGTGGTTGGGGTTACCTTCCATCGACGGCGTTGCCGCTCCCGCGCGCGACCCCGCGCGCGAAGGTGAGCGCGTGGAGGACCCATCGCGGAAGCTCGATGGCGGCAGCTTTGAGTGCGGGCGAATGGTCTTGATGTTATAGCCTGACCCTGAGATCGACCCCGACCCCGGGCTGTGCGAGGGGCTCTGGTAGAAGGGGATCTGCTGCACACGCGCGCGCAGCATCGCTTCTGGCGTCTGCGCGCGAGTCGCTGCTGACCTGAAGGAGGACGAGTTGGACTCCACGGTCGGGGCCTCGGATGGATAGTCCGACATCGCGGAGGCGGGGCGGGAGGGCGAGGAGAATTGGAATATCGGAGCAGGGATCATGGAGCGGCTCGGGGGACGGGGCCCGGGGAGACGCGTACCGCCAGGGGTTTCGGAGCGGGCGGGGAGAGGCGAGATGCCGCCGGATGTGGAGAATGTGGGCGAAAAAGCGCGCTGCATGATGGTCGTGGGATTCTCGTCGTCCTCATCGCGCCAGCCTGCTTCAGACTGAGAGCGCCAATGCCCTCCCTTGGCGCTGGAAGGGGCTGGGATGTGAGACGGTGTCTTTGGACGTGAGCGAGGTGTGGCGCTTGTGTTGGTGGACAGTGCAAAAGTGGGGGTATGAGACCGCGACGGGGGTCTTACGAAGGCAGATGCCGAGCCGGATTGGTGTGTCCTAGAGGGCGGGCGATGGAAAGGCAGATGGGTGCTCGAAGAAGGCGCCGTTGAAATGGAAGATGTCACAGGGGACCACGGGCGTGACGATGCCATAGAACTCCGCGATGCGCTACGCTGGTAAGGCGAGGAATTGCTTGAGAGTGGAGGAAGGTCTGGTCGTCCGTAGATACTCGCTGTGGAAGGACGACTTGATCTAGGTGGACGCTCCTCTGGCTCGATGCGTGTGGAACTGTTCCACGGCTGCTTACCGAGACCTCTCCCTTTGACAGTAGAGTTCAAATCGGCGCGGTTCGGCGCGGGTGACGTGTCCGGGGTCATAGACTGTGCGTACTTGTGGCGCGGACGTTCGGGCGTGACGGGCGTTGGGGGCTGACTGCCACGCATGGCGAATAGGGACTGACGATGGCGAAGCGTGGCGACGGGTTCGGAAGAGGGGGCGCGGGATGGGACCTTGTGGGGAACGGGAGTGACAGGGGGCGCGGTGGTTTTGGAACTACTGGTGAATTTCCGGGCAAATTTACGCAGAGGAGAGATTGAACGCGAGAGCGTGCTGGCCGTGCTCAGCGTCCTGTTCTTTTTCCCACCTGATCCCGAGCCACTGGGGGGCGTGAGGAACCCGTTGCGGGTGCGAGACTTGGAGGTTGGACCGGAGGTAGTAGAACCACTCTCGCTCAGCGCCATCTCCTCGCCGACCAGGATCTTGCGCACGTTCTCCATCTCCGTGTCGGTCCGAGAGATGCGCTCGCGCAGATTCTTCCATCGCTGAGTGGACTCGGCGTGGCGCCGCAGACACTCACCGTTCTTCGTCACGCGGTCCTGCACGCCCTTGTCTATGATCGAAAGCACCTTCGTGGTGGCGGGCATGTAATGTCTATATGATATGATGAGAAGAAGAAGGCTGTTAGGTGGGATAGAAGCGCACTTCTTTTTAGCTTCGAACGAGCCCAAGAGGGACTGATATACGTCATAACTCAGCGGAGACTTCTCAGAGCGCACGGATCCAGAGGACTGCATGGACGACGACTGCAACAGCGACTCGTCTGGGCCATATTTATGAACCTGCCAAATGAACTCCTGTTGTCGCGGACATTGAGCGGAGCATCAGACGTGCAACGCAGAGCGACGCACCTGACATCGATTCACGGCTTTCTCCAGGCTCGTCATCATCCCGTCCGCCTGATCCGTCACCGTCCGAAATACGGTCAGCCACTTGTCCTCCTTGAGCTCCTCCCGAAGAACGTCGCTCTCTTCCTGTACGCTCTCCCATTCTGCGATGAACGCAGTATGTTTGCGCAGGAGCGCCGCGCTCTCGCTCGAATCGCCGCCGCGCGCCTTGAGGGTGGCGTTCTTGGCGTCTTGTAAGTATGGTTCGAGAGAGTCGTTGACGGACTTGACGCCCTTGGCAACAGACTCGAGACGTGCGTCGAGAGTCATGAGGGACTGATCGATTACGCTCGTGGCGTTCGCGAGCTCGCCGGAGGACTGGGATTTATGCCGGAGCTCCTGTATTTCTGCATGGGACACGAGGTGAGGGTGTCGTCTGACCCTTGATAAACTTGCACACACCGAAAATGCGCGTCTGGATATCCGATATGCTATAGGAAAGTTCTGTGATGTGTGTGGAGATAGCCAACAGTTGGAGGTCCCTGATAAAAGATAGACGAAGTTGAGCAGAGAAAAATGCAGAGAGAAACTCTAGCGCATACTCGTGGCTCCTGTGGCCCCCATTTCTGACGGAGAGTGCAGAGAACTTAGCAGTGATTGTGATGTCTTCTAACCTCGTTGGAGTGCAGAATGTGTTCGGTCGAATTCGACGCGCAGCGGGAAAGCCGAGAGAGACGACGCACCTTTGTCATTCCGATCTACCGAAACGTTCGAGGACGAGGCGGAGGAAGAGCTGTCGGAAGAAAACGAGCCTGCGGAAAGCGGGGAAGGCGGAAGGTCGGCATTGAGAATGGTACTACGGAGACTATGTTGGGAGGCAGAATGTAGACTAGAGGTACGAGAGGTGGAAAGGCTGAGCAGAGACATGATTAAGGATGGAAGAGAGGCTGATAAGAGTGGTTGGAGCGGGCGGTTGGAAAGGTGGATGGGACGGGTGCTGAATGAGAGGATCCGTCGCGTGGAGGATGAGTGAGTTGCCTGCTGATGAACGGGGTATAAAGGACAGAACCCAGACGAACACGACGGATCCTCTGTGCTCGAAGGGGCGGTGTGAGACGATGCTCGTCAACGTGTGGAACGGCGGGGACAGTGCTCGTGATGGACGCGGACGCGGAGGCAAACGGTGGTGGCTGACGCTGAACGACGAGCCCGCTCTCTTTTCTATTTTCAAGTTGTCTTGGTAATCCTTCTCTGCATCCTCTCTTTCTTTTGGGCTTGTCCGCCGACCCTTTTCACTTGAAGAATACGAACACAGGAATGGTCGACGTTCACACGTGCGTCGTCGAAGCACTCGACGCTGTGACAGATGTCGACGCCGTGTCTTCGTGTCCTATAAAGCCACTCGTTTTGTTTCGTCTCGTCAACACCTGCCCTCGATCTATCGTGACGCAGGCCACAATAGGCTACGACAACCATGGTCAACCTTGGTGTCGCCGCGCTATTTCACCTCATTGCTTGGATCACCCGGACAACTTCGACCACGTCTTCGCCGGGCTTCGGCATCGGGGTCTACAACTCTTCGCAGACTCCTCCCGATCTGCCTTGGGATACCTACAACTACTGCAATGCTCCTCATGTCAATGCAGAGCACTACTCTACCCCCGCGTCGCCCGACGGGTCCGAACTAGTGTATCTCAACGTCATCATGCGCCATCACAAAGTGCGTCCACTTCGGATCTAGGACTTGGCTCTTTCACACGTCTTCACAATGCGCGTGATGGCAAACACAGCGGACACCAGATAATCTGTACCCTAATGAGTACGAGCTGAATCCGTCGTCTGGCTGGAACTGTTCCAACTTCCTTCAATTCAACTACGGGGGCGGGGGCGCCCACGTCTTCCATAACTTCGTCACGCCTCCCACGCATCCGTTTCTATCTCAGATATGGAATGGAACGTGTGATGAGGGTCAGCTCACCGAAGCAGGCCTGCAAGACGCGATTCGCCACGGAAAGGTATCTGCGTCTATCAACCGAATCTGCATATCCTTCATGTTGATGTTCCGCTGCTATCTGCAGGACTTTTGGGGAGTCTATCACGATAAAGTAGGATTTCTACAGATGGTCGACGAGCGCGACATATACGTTCGCACGTCGGTCGCGGATCGGACGTTCCAAGTGGCCAGCGGCTTCTTGTTCGGCATGGACCCTGCAACAGTCCACAAGTCCTGGCCCGTCTTCACCGAGCCCTCCGTCGTGCGTGCATTTATCTCCACTCGTATACCTTGCCCATCCCTTGCTCAGCTCCGTCCCGCCTCCGTCTTCCCAGATTGACTCTTTGGTGCCAAACTATGCGTGCCCGGGTGCAGACGCCATCCGCGACGCCTACCAGTCGGTCCCGGCCTGGACCGATCACCTCCAGCACAATGCGGGCCTCAAGGCGCGGCTCGACGCGACGCTGGGCACCGCAGGCCTCGCCGCTTGGGCATCCTGGTGTGCGCCTCTTTTCTTCTTCCTCTGGTGCGCCCCACGTCCGCGCGATGCGAGCCCACATGCCTGTTTTATTGGCCCGTAGATGACCACTTCTTCGACACGTTCACGTCCCGGACGTGTCACGGCCATCCGCTGCCGTGTAATGCTACGGGGGCGTGCGTCTCGGAGGCCGATGCCAGCCGCGTCCATGCGATCGGCGACTTTGAGTACAAGTGCGTCTACTAAAATACAAGCGAATGACATGGCGTCATCGAACATGCGCTCACACGGGTGCGGCACGGCACTCGCAGCTACATATGGAACGCGGCCGAAAACGCTACAGCGTACACCCAGCTCACGTTCGGTAAGTACGCATACAATACAACACGCCCCACACCGTGCTTCTGCATGGCCACTCGAAAAATCACAACACGAGTAAACACGCTCACGCTCACGCTCGTCCCATCCTGTCCTCCCACCACTCGCTAGGCGTGATGTTCGGCGAGCTCGCGCGCAACTTTGCCTCCTTCCGGTCGGGCACCGAGACGCGCAAACTGCGGCTCTACGTTGGGCACGATGGGTCCCTCATCCGTCTCGCCGCGGGCCTCGGACTAGGCGCCGCGTCGCCGCTGCGGTGGCCCGCGCTGGGCTCGGAAATCGTCATGGAGGTGCGCACCGCCTCGATGCAAATTTGCACGCTCATCATGCTCCGCGCATGCTTCTTTTTTCAACTTTTGCCGTGCCTTGATGCTCACGTCGTCCAGGTGTGGAAGACCCCGGAGCAGCAGTATTTTGTGCGCGTGTTGCATGAGGGCACACCCGTGCAGGCTCTGCGGTGGTCCCCCTTGGATGATTTCATAGAGCTTCTGCAGGCTCAGGTTCCTGACGATATCTTCGAAAGATGCACACAGAGCTCAAGCTAGAGAAGCGTTGTAGTTGTATGTATGTTGCGAAATCTTTCCATGCCTTGTATCTTTTGAGAGCCCAGTATCCAAGTGGCCAGAATAACGTCTCACGTGTCCATATAGCTTGACCGGACCGTGAGGTGCATGATTGAAGACTGCAAATTCTACACATCTCGCGAGGGCCCTGCTTCGTCGACATCCTCCTTTTCGTTGTTGACGTCAGTGTCCCCGTTCACGAAAGTGGTATCCCGCGCTCCTTCAACGTCAGCCTGAGACGGCGCGCCCCTCCTCGGAGCCCGTATGACACGCTGCTTCAAGTCGTAGTTCTTCAGAAACAGCGCTGGAGGGTCGCCAGCGTGCGTGAGCGACCCAGCGGCGGGGCGAAATGCGGGGGACGCACCCATGACAAAGCAGACGACCAACAGGGGCGTATCGACGATCCATATGGTGGACAGGCTCTTCGTGTATGCGTGCACCACCTGCCGGCGCAGGCTGTCTGGCTGTCGATCAAGGCTAGTTAGAGCATACGCTCCGCGGCAGAGCGCTGTGTATCCCACCTGGATGTCTTTCAGCCGCCGCACGCTGTCGGCCAGCGCGTCGGCGCCAGTGGAGATGCCCAGGTCGAAATCGGGGAGCTTCGAGATGCGTTTTTGGAGTTCCTATCCAATCTCATAAGCAGGGGACGAGTGCGCACGCAGACGGGGCGATGCCGTACCGTCGTCCAGATAGCCTGCCCGATCGACACGCCGATCGTAGAGCCAAGGGGCCTTGAGGTTCACGATGTGAGGTGAGATGCGCGTCCAGCAACGTGTCGTCTGGTCTTACCGGACAAAAAGCAGCGCAGAGGTGCTGGTGGCCATGTCTCGTAGCGGCATAGCGGCTTGCATACCGATGATCGGCACCTGCCACAGACCGCCCAAACCAAGCCCTGAAAGTAAAGGGAATATTTCTTGCCTCGCACTGCATGGTTCTATATGATAAGCGTCCATGCTGAGCACACGATGGCGACGTACAGCGACGAGGTATCGTCTAGCAGTATCATCAAGCCGTATCCCAAAGCCATCACCAGCTGTATAGAAAAAGTTCCGTCGTATGAGATGTCGAGCGAGAAGCAACCGACTGCTCACGAAGGATAGCCACATCACGATCCTGTAGTCTCCCAGAGGTCCGACGGCAAAGCCAGAGGCCGCGGACGAGAACGAAGCGCTGAGGGTGAACGTCAGCATCCTACAATACACGCATCTGAGCATCTCCCTGCAAAGCCAATCAACGCTGGAGCATACTGAAGACCAGCCTTGGTGGCTGAGGCTCCCAGCACCTGAAAATACACAGGCAGGTAGAACGTCCCTGAGAACAGGACGTGAGAACACCGCAGCTAAAAGTCATGCCATATGACCTCACCGGAGAAGAATGTCAGTGAGTGCAAAAAGCTGATTATTAGGAGTATCGCCGTCGTCCTCGTCTAAAACATTGTTAGCCGACCATGCGGTATCCAAGCAGTCTATGATTTACTTTAAATATGCGAGGGGGGACGATGGGCGATCGTGTCGTCCACATTTCCCAGAGCGTGGCCACAACGACAAGTGAACAGCCGACCACGAGAAGTGCAATAGTCGACGGAGAGCTCCCTACACCATAGTAATCAGCGTTAGATGTGCCGAAGTCGAAGTGGGGGTATATGGACCCACAGCTGATCTCGCTTTGGTTGAATCCAAGGAGGAGACAGACAATAGCAGCAATGAGCAGGAAAAGCCCAACAAAGTCAAATTCCCTGACGTGTTCACGGAAGGGTTTACCATGATGTGGATTCAGATGAAGGGTGAAGAACAAAAGCGCGAGGGCGACCCCTCCAGTCGGTCTGCACGTTTCAGCTTAGGGGATGGATCCGACAGAACGTGTATGGGCGTACAAGTTTACCCAGAAGCACCTGAGGTGAACATCATAAGATCAGAGTAGGACCAAGAACGAGATCAATCGACGTGCCATCGCCACGAAACGTGATCAGTGAATGCCTGAAGGCCGCATCAGAGTTTCGTTGCATGATACAAGCCTGGAGCTTACACCGCCGACGAGTGGGCCGATGATGCTGCACGATCTGTCAGGACGACTGATAGTAGGCGTCAATTTGACACGCACGACGCAATACCCCAGACCGTTTCTAGGTACCCGCCGTATTTTCCTCGTCTGCACAGATATTGATACAAGAAGTGCGCAGAGTGATGCGGCGCTCACTCTTCCAACGTGATTATATCTCCCATGACGATTTGAACCATCTGAAAGATGCCTGGAACTGTATTAAACGCTGTAAACTCCGGGGCCGAGAGCAACATGTCTCACCGCCCCCACCAATGCCTTGGATAGCGCGTGCCACGATCAGCCAGGTCATGTTCTGGGCCGCACCACACAGAGCGGACCCGATCTGCGATGCATCGTCGTCATCCATCAAGGTCCAGCAAACCGAACTCCGAAACGCCCAGGAGGCCTTACGAGAAAGATGACGATGACAGGGTAGATGACCAGCTTGCGTCCCACGATGTCCGCTAGCTTTCCGTAGAGCGGACCCAGAGCTGCTGATGCGAGCAAATAGGCGCTGAAAAATGCGAGGTCAGAAATTAGCAGCGCGACATGGGATGACGAGTGTAGCGGTCACCTGCCAGCCCATGAATAGTTGTTTCCTCCATTCAGGTCAGCCACTATCGTGGGGAGGGCCGTTGCGACGCTGGGGCAGTATCAGTATCTCGGACCCACATCGAGGGAAAGGTGACTGGCAAACATCGTCTGATCTAAAGCCGCCTGCGCATCGGAAGTATGATAATCAAAACAAATCGGGCGTGCTGCCGCCATGACGCACCAGAAACGTAGTTAGCATGAAGGAGATGAAGACAAGCGGGAGATTGTTATGTGGCAGAACGAGATGTTCTCCGGTCCTCCAGGATTTCCCCGCGTCATGGGGAACAGGCAGGTCCTCTTCGCCAGCCGTTGTATGCAGACCAGGTGGAGGGTGTATTGACTTGGACTCAACTGACATGTTAGGCGATGTAGTTTGGGGCCGAATATGCACAATGAGAGGCGCCCGCGCTAAGACCGCACTGCTTTATACTGAGGGCACAATCACGTCTGAGTAAACGCTCGCACTCATCCAGATGATGGAGCCGCTGGGAGAGCCTGCCAGTAGTCTGCCGTAGTCTCCTCTGCAGACTGATAAACAGTCGATGACGAATCGATTGGGTGGGTCTCTCCTACATATATACAAGTCTGCCGCGGCGAAGACCGAATATCGGCAGCCCTAACCCCCGTCTGGGGTTCTGCGGGCGAGCGATCGAGTTCTTGACTCGTTCGCTCGAGCTCTGCTTCAATGTCTGCACTCATCGCATCGGACCTTTCAGGTCTCACCCTCGTATCCAAAGGGAAGGTACGCGACATCTACGCGACGTCGTCGCCGGATCACCTCCTCTTCGTGGCCAGCGACCGGATATCCGCATACGATGTCATCCTGAACAACGTGCGTTCTCCGGGCTCCTTCCCCCCGAACGAAGTACAACAGCTTTGCTCATCGCGCCCTCGCGCGCGTCTGCAGGGCATCCCGGACAAGGGAAAATTGCTCACGCAGATATCTCTGTTCTGGTTCGGCCGTCTGAGAGAGACGATCCCGCACCACGTCGTGACTGCGAATATCGACGAGATGCCCGAGGAGGTGCGGAAGTATAAGGATCAGCTCGAGGGGCGGACGATGCTGGTCAAGAAGGCGAAGGTCGTGCCGTTGGAGGCCATCGTTCGCGGTTATATCACGGGTGCGTGCATGATATGCTCCTTCTACCTCAAGAACTCCGTTCATGTACGTTCGTGCGTCCAGGATCCGCGTGGTCCGAGTATCAAAAATCTGGGACCGTGCATGGTCTCCCCCTTCCCGCCGGGCTCAAGGAATCAGAGAAGCTGCCCGCCCCTCTCTTCACGCCGTCCACCAAAGCCGATCAAGGCGAGCACGACGAGAACATCTCGCCAGACCAAGGTATTCTGCTATCCCACACACGCTCACAGCCATCACCCAGACGGAGACTGACGCCAGCCCATATCTCCAGCCGCCAAACTCGTCGGACAGGAGCTGTGCGACAGGATCTCGGCCGTCGCGATCCAGCTGTATACCGAGGCCGCCCGCTACGCGCTCTCCCGCGGGCTCATCCTCGCCGACACGAAGTTCGAATTCGGGCTCGTCCCTTCGCCGACCGGCGCCCGGGACGAACTCATCCTCATCGACGAGGCCCTCACGCCCGACTCTTCCCGCTACTGGCCCGCCTCTGGCTACGCGCCGGGCGGTCCGCAGCCCAGCTTCGACAAGCAGTACCTGCGCGACTGGTTGAAGGAACAGGGGTTCAAGAAAGGTTTGGAGGCCGGTAAAGACGGCCAGGGGTGGACCATGAGCGAGGGGGTCGTGCGGGGAACGAGGGAGAGATATGTCGAGGCCAGGGAAAAGCTCGGGGCATGACATTCTGGGGAGGAGCGAAGCGACCAAATGACTGTAGCACAAAACCTATGTAGAACGCGACAAATCTTATCATTATTTCTGATCCAGCTGCAGGGGTTGTCACGTGCTCGCAATCCTCTCAACTTCCGACCACTTCACCCTCTGGAAGTCTGCGATGGCAGACCCTACGGATACGAACGAGACGATCATCACGCCAGCTCAGGCAGAAGCCGCCGAGTCCGTAGACAAAATCCCATGCGGAATGTGCGCCCCTTTTCTCTGCCCTCCGCGGCCCCGCTCACGCGGCGCGCGCGCACACCACAGCTGCAGGCGGCAGTTCTCGCGGTACACCTGCCCCAAGTGCAACATCACATACTGCTCCCTAACGTGCTTCCGATCCGAGGTACCCCTCTCCCCTTCATCTCCCCCGCAACCCCACGATGCTCACCCGTCCCATCCCGTCCCGCCTCGCCCCATCCCGCCCCCATCCCATCCCGCTTTGTCCGCAGTCCCACTCTCGGTGCTCCGAGCCGTTCTATCGCGCAGAGCTCGAGACCGACATCCGCGCCGAGCCCTCAAAGTCGGCAGAGGAGCGCGCGCGCATGATGGAGCTCCTGCGCCGGTTCGAGGCGGACGCCCTCGACGACCCGTTCGCAGACTCGCCCGACGAGCCCGACTCGGATCCCGCCGAAGCAGCCGACGGCGACGATCTAGAGCGCAGGCTCGCGGGGATGGACCTCGGTGCGTCGCCCGCCCTGCTTTCCCGCAAGCCCAGCCCACCCCGCCGCTCACGCGCACAAACATCCCGGCGCAGACGGCGCGTCGTACGAACAGCTCTGGGCCGTCCTGACCCCATCCGAGCGCACCAAATTCCTCACGGCCGTGCGCGACCCCTCCTCCGAGCTCGCGCAGCAGCTCCTCGCGCGCCAAGCGCTCGCAGAGGAGCCCCTCGAGCCGTGGTGGCTCGCCGGCGCCCCGCCCGGGCCCACACACCCGCCCAACCCGCCGTCCCTCCAGCTCGCGCACCGCCCGCCCCCAAAATACGCCCCGCGGCCCGCGCTCGTCCCGCTGCCCGCCTCCCTGGCCCGCCCGCCCCCGCGCGCCGAGCAGCGCGACTTCCCGCTCGCGTACAACCTCGTCGCGATCCTGTAAGCCGCGCCTCCGCGCCTCCCCCGCCTCGTTATCCCTACCCCTGCCTTATCCCGTATCCGAGCCTCTAGCATCGCGTACGCATACGCCACGCGCCACCTCGCCGCCTCCCCGCTGTCGAGCCTAGAGGCGCCCGCGGACGCGCGCGCGCTGATGGGGCGCGCGGTGCCGTTTCTGGTCGACAGGCGGGCGACGACGCGGTTCGCGTCGCTCGCGGGCGTCGTCACGGACGTGTGGTCGCGGCTCGGCCAGGTGCGCCCTTTCTTCCGCCCAGAGCGCATTGGGGGCGCTTTTGTGGGGGTTTTTTTTTTGTTTTCTGACTGGGTGGGTGGGCGAGAGCAGGGTACGATGACGCCGTCGGCTTTCTCTCTCTTGCTCCGCGACGCCGCGACGCTGCTCGCTCCGCGGCGCGTCTCTGTCGTCGGGTTCATCAACGACGACGACGACGATGACGACGACGGCGACGGCGGAGCTCCCGCGCGGGAGGACCCACCGGCCGATCCGCCCGCGTCGCCTGCATCGCGCGCGCTCTCGGATCTGCATGCGCTCTTCCGGCCCGCGCACCCCAGCGTCGCCGCGAAGGTGCTGTTCTACGCCGCGCAGGTCCAGGGCGCGCCCCCGCCGGTGCTGGCGGCGCTCGCGGCCGAGGTGGGGGCCAAGGCGAGGAGGGTGGAGGCGGAGAGCCTTGTGGGGGCGGGGGTTGCTGCGGGGGCGGGGGCGACGCTGGGGAGGCCAGGGAGCGGAGATGGGGGTCGGCCGAAGAAGGCGGTGGTGACGCTGGTTGATTCGTGATCTCCGACTGCTCAGTCCACTGTATGCGAGCACATGCACGTCCACTACTGCAGATCGACGGCAGATTCACTCTTATTGGTGTTATTGGCACGTCGTGATCCTCCGACCACACAAAACAATCGACGGCGTGGATCACGGTGACTTAGTGGCGTCTGATGCGCGCTCGCTCGTGAGGGTAAGGACATGCAGTCGATGCGCGGTTCTATCCACTCGTATCCACCCGTCATGGGCATCGTCAGTGTGTCGTCGCCGACGATTCTCGCTCTGTCACGGGAGACGCGTCGATCGCAGGAGCGACGTGGGGCCCGCTCCTCTTGCAACGCTGATGGAGGATGCTGTACACGGCTTGCATTGGAACACTCGTTCGAGAGCGCGCCGCGACGCGATGAGGGAAGGTTGCTGTGAATCCCCCAGCGCTGACGACGTCACGCATATGGAAGGACCCAGGCCTCTGTACAGTACGTTCACACCCAGCGGTGATTGTGGGCCATCTCTGTCGGTCGGCACCTTGCCCACGACAGGCAAACGTGCGCACCGATCAGAACCGGGAGGTGCGGTCTGCATGCGCGTCGTCAAAGCAATGCGAATGGTCTGGGCAACGCGATGTCCACGGTCACGAGCAGGACGTGGAAGTGGGGCCTCGGACCCGCCGTGCTGGTCGCGGTGGCGCCACATCCGCGCGGCGCGGCTGGCCTTCAAGGCTCTGGCTCGGCGGCGCAGTCCCAGCCGCTGAAATCCCACCCACGGGCGCGCGCCGGGCATGACCGCATGCGCACTGCGCACGAGGGCGGACCGGGTGGGCACGCCTTCCTCTTTGAACGGGCGCGTCCAAGTTTTTGAAGTATTAGGGTGCCGTTCGGGGATTGCCAGCGCCATCGATGCGAATACGCAGGCGGCGCGGGGAGATCCGAGGTGTTTTGATTGAGTGGACACGTCGTGGGCGGTTCGGAGATCTAGAACGACAGCTGGGGGACTGTGCATGGCCCGCGCGGCAGCTAGGGCTTGTTTCTAGGCAGGTGGAGGGTAGCCGTGCGAGGAGGTTGGAACGAATCAGCAGGGAGCGAAGAGAGGGGCACGGGGCGTTGGGGGCGCATCTAGCCATCGACTTGGGCGCTGCGCTGGAGTGGGACGTAAACGGGCGAACGGGCGACGATAGGAACAACACGGAGCGGCTGCGGTGCGACGCGTGGGGAAACACCAGCAAACAGCCTGGGCGCTGGTGCAGTCGGTCGCGTGCCCCAAAAGGGGGATTAGTCTGCTGGGGTCTCTGGAAGTGCAGGCCTGCTCGCCGATCTGGTTTATATTCTCCAGCGACGACGATGCAGCCCTCCCGCTGTTCCCCTCCGCCAGCATGCCTTCCGTCCAGCAACCCTCCCCCGCGCCTGCGTCGCCCGCGTCCAACGTCCAGGCCCGCAAGGGCTCCATGTGTGCCAGCGACCCCTGGGGCGTCCACACAGAGCTCAACATGAACCCGTCCCGCGCAACCTCCTGCAGGCTCACCATCGTCCGCGTCAACCCGCCCTCGATCCAGCTCGACGACGCCCCGCCCTCGCCCCAGCACCGCCGCCACTTCGGCTTCGGCCACCACCGCCGCCACGGCAGCAGCTCTTCCGTCGGCCCCAACCCGTCCATCGGCCCCGCGGTCAAGCCCGACGTCGCCAGGCTCAGCTTCGCCTCTGCCACCTTCGCCGCGCCCGGCTCGCCCACCGCAACGGGCAACTCCAGCCCCTCCTCCCGCCCCACCAGCCCCACCCTCGCCCGCCCGCGCTCCCCGACAGGCAGCGGCACACACCGCCACGCCGCCTCCTCCATCTCAAAACCGCGCCTCTCCCCCGACCAGCTCGTCCACCTCGCACACCAGTCATGCAACCCCCGCTCCGCCGCGCCCTCGCCCGCCCACTCCCCGCACTCCCCGCACTCCCCCGGTCACCCGCCCGCAGCCCCAGCGTACACCAGCCCCGCGTCCTTCACCGCCCTCGCGGACGACGTCTACCTCCCCTTCATCGACCGCGCCCAAGAGGTCTCCGCCCTCTTCGCCGGGCCCCCCTCCGCGAAGCTCCTCACCCTCCTCTCCCAGATATTCCCCACCCCGCAAAACGAAGACCCGCCCACGTCCACGCTCTTCCACCTCGATCCCCGCGAATGGACGTTCGCCCAGCTCGAGCACTGGCTCAAGCGCGTCGACCGGGACCTCGTCTCCGATCCCGTGTGGATACTGTGCGCCCGGCGCTGCGTCCTCGCCCACAGCGAACTCGTCTGGGAACGCTTGAAGGGCGCCCTAGGCTCGCCTCCCGAGCTCGACCCCGAGGACTTTGAGGAATACGACCCCACGCTGCTGCCGTACATGTTGTCCAACATGCAGCATCTCCAGGCGGACGACGCGACCCCCGCCGGGCTCCTCAGCGAGGGCATGGTCGGGTCCCTCTCCCCCGAGCAGGACTCGGTCGCGAGAGCCCTCTCGGAGCACCGCGCCGCCCACGCCCACGACCACGACGAGCGACCCGACCCGCCGCCGGGCTTCCTGCGCTCGCCCTATAACGAGCCGAGCGAGCTCTCCATCGAACCCGTCTTTGCGCCCACCTCGCCCCCGGCCGAGCACGAGCACCCGCCCACGCGCGCCGGCGCGCACCGCATGCAGGACATCTCCGAGGAGGTGCGCGAGAGCGAGGAGGATGCCGCGGAGGACGCCGCCGCCGCCGCCGCTGCTGCTGCTGCGCCCGCGCCGCCCGCGACGAAGGAGGTCATGCAGGGCATCCGCATCTCCACCGCGCCGGCGTCGCCTGGCTTGTTCGCGTCGGGATCCTCGCCCAACGCGCGCCCGCGCTCGTTCTCCCCCCTGCCCCCCGCCGCGTCCCCGTCCGCGTCCCCGCCCACGCATCAGGCGGCCCCGGACCCCGTCTCGGACCCCGTCTCGGTGGGCGCGATGGCGGAGCACAACGCGTACGCGCCCGCGGCGGACAGCAGGGACCGCGACCGCGATCGCGATCGGGACCGGGACAGTAATAGGGACCGGGACAGCGTGCACGAGGGCTCCGTCGGGCGGCACCACCACTACTACGCCTCGTCGACGACGAGCAGCGATATCCCGTACGACGTCGTCGGCGAGCGGGGCCCCGGCAACCCCCTCTTCCCGCAGAGCTTCGCGCGGCTCGCACTGGGGCCGACGCTCAGCGCCAAGTGAGCACACCCTCCCTCTCCCTCCCCTTTCTCCCCCTCCTCTACCCCCTCCCCTCGATCCCGTTCGTCTAAGCGGCGGCTGACCGCGCTCGTGTTTGTTTCCGCGCTCGCGTTTGTGCCCGCGCCTCGCGCATGCACAGCAACCCGCAGCTGCGCTCGCCGAGCGCGCCGCCGCCGCCGGCGTTCTCGAACCCGCACGCGATACGGATGGGCGTGCGCGGGCGGCGGGCGGTGCCGAGCTGGGCGGAGAGCTGGGACCCGCTGAAGCACGAGTATGCGGTTACGCTTGCGAGCGGGAGCAGTGTCGGCGGGCCGTAGCGTCGCGGGTGGCGGGTGGCGGGTGGCGGGTGGCGGGTGGCGGGTGGCGGGTGGGAGGGCTTGTGTGGATTGGATTTGGATTCGGATTGGATTTGGATTTGGGGACTCTGGCTCGCTTTTGTTTTTCGTTTTTGGTTTTTTCTCGGTCGGTCGGTCGGTCGGTCGGTCCGTGGAGGATGCGGCGGGATCTTTGTTGCGCTTGGTCGCTGTCTCTGTTGTCGTATCACGCGATTTCTGCATTCGCCGCTCTGCCGCGCCCTCGTGGCGTCTGCTATACCAGCTCATCTCGCAACGCAACTACATAGCAGGGGGACACACGACGGTCGTTCCGGTGAGGAGCGTGCAAACGTATACATGCGAACGGCGGGCGGACATCGAGGGGGCGCGTAAAACTAAGACTGCGGCGGACATGGATGAAGCGAAGGAGAGCGATTCTGATAGCTGTTGGCGTGAACGCTTTGGCTGGGCTGCGATGCGAGCGCCGCGCTGCGCCGAGCCGGCCGCGATCGATCGTGGAGAGAAGGATGTGAGGGGTTAGTACGTATGTGGAGAGCAGGTGACGTGCTGCGGGGGCATCAAAAACCAACAGGGCAGACCAAAAAAAAGTGCAACGAAAGATCATGATGCGGCAAAAGAAACTAGGGGTAGCGCACAGCAACGGCGGACGTAAAAACACAGAGACACGAAGATGCAAAGATACACGGGCACGGGGGCACGGGGGCACGAGGGCCGCAGAGTGCGCGCGATCAGAACGGGGCGTCGGGCGCGGCGCCGCCGTAGCGCGGCGGGAGCTGGTCGTCGGCGATGAGCGGGCGGAGCTCCTTGCCGATGGCGTGCGCGCCGCTCCCGGCGACCTTCATCTTCGCGAGGGTCGCGGCGGAGAGCAGGGGCTTGAAGAGCCAGAAGATCCACGTGAGGAAGCCGGGGACGTTCACGAAGAACTTGTGGGCCTGCGGCGCGGGGTGCGGGGGCGCGAGGGCGCGAGGGGCCAAGGCGTGTGTCAGCCGGCGTGTGGGGAGGGGGAGGAGGGAGGGCGTGGGTGCGTACGAGGAACTCGGGGTAGTGGTTCTGGAATATGCTGCTGGCTTCGGCGGCTGCGGCTTTGGAGTTCGCGGTGCGGCTGTTCCAGCCGACGCCCTCGTAGTCTGAGCGCGGGCGCGCGCACGCGTGCGATGAGGTCGGTCGGTCGGTCGGTGTGGTTCTCGGCTATGGGCTTTATAACGCGAGACGTACCGTGCACTTGTACCATCTGGTCGACGGTCTCGAGGTCCATGAGTGCGATGCCGCGCTCCATGAGCGCGATGCGCCACCTGTGGGCGACGGTGGTCAAAGAGCCGTCATTGTCGAAGCCAAGTCAAACGACGAGCGGGGCACATACCGGAGGAAGCGCTGCACGTCGCCGAACACGGCGTCCAGGTCCTTGTTCGCGCCGTAAAAGTTGTACCTGAGGGAGCGTGAGCGCGGGCACGCACGGCGCGGTGCGTTGTCGCACGTACGTGACGGGTCTGCCCTGCTTGTCCTTCCCGTAGATATAGCCGAGCTTCCCAAACACGTCCGCGGGGAACGTCTCCCGGACGGCCTCCTCGACGTTGAACTCGTCGCGCCAGCGGAGGGTCGCGACCATCATCGTCTTCGCCTCGGCGACGTTCAGGTTCCTAGTGGAGAGTGCGTGTTTCGGCGGCGGTGAGCTGGGGGCTGCGCGCGCGCGCTGCGAGGAGAGGGGGAGGAGGAGGGGGAGGGGACGCGCCTCGCACGGAGCCATTTCATGAGGACGACGCTCGCGCGCGCGTCGGGCTTGCCGCTGGGGTCGAGCGTGGCGCCCCAGATGGTGACCGGCGTCGTCTTTGCGTCCGGGTTGGCGTCGTACGCGCTCGCGAATATCTCGGGGAGGTGCGTCTGCGGCGGTCATGAGCATAGTGTGGCCGAGGCAGCGACGGCAACGCCGGGGGGACAGGGGCACGCACGCGGAACTCCTTGAGGGCTGCCCATTCGCTCGCTGTGAACTTCTGGGTCAGCGGGCTCTGGGGCTCTTCTTCGGCCTTGTTCTCTGCGACGAGGAGCGTCGTGTCGTCGGTGGTGGTGCCATCCGTGGTGGGTTGTGTGGGGACGGGCGCGGTCTCTGTGGTAGACATGGTGGTCGTCGGTGAAGGTGGTCGAAGGGCAGAAGCGGCCCTGAGAGCATCTGGCCTTGTCTGATAAGATCCGACGTGCGCAGGTGACTGATATCATGGGAAGATATAGGCCATAATTTGAACCAATTCATTACTTGGACGCGAGTTCGAATCCCGCCGTGTCCTCTTTTTCAATGCCGGTGCCATGGGCGTGGGAAGCGACCTTGAGGCACGCGCCGAGCTTGCCTCGGAAGCCCTCACTGCGTCGGCAACCCACAAGCCATCACCTCGCACTGCGTCGAGACACCATGAGCTTCAAGAAAAGGTGCGCATATCTCCACACATCGTTTCTGCACTGTCGGCTCTAAACGTGGCTTCGCAGTAAACTCGACCTCCTCGTCCGCGTGCGCTACCAAAACCCCCTCCCTGCACCCCCATGTCCTCCAAAGCTCCTCGACATCCCGACGAACCCCATCCGCTACACGCGCCCCGAGTTTCTAGATGCCCTCGCGAACGACACACCGCTCCCCATGATTGTCGACGCCGAGTGCGGGATGCCGCTTGACCTTGGCAAGTGGGAAGCCCTGTGGGAGGACGGCGCAGACGACTCAGGTGCGCGCGCGATCCCCTCGTCCTGTGTAATCCGCGCTCACAACGCCGCGACCTTTCTGCGGATGCCGCCTCCTGCGATACGCGCGCGCGCGCATGACCTCAGCACTCAACCCCGACAAGAACAACCTGCCGCTGCTCGACCCAAAGGACCAGTTCCTCCTGAGCGACCCTTCCAGCTCCGGCGGGTTCGGGAACGGCGAGTTCTCCCGCACGGGATCGGGCGCGTCGACGCCTCTCCCCGCACACGTCTCCTGGCTGCGCAAAACGGAATACATCAGCCGCGAGGGCTCGTCGTCCGGCCCCCGCGCAACGGCGATGGAAATGTGCGTCGCGATCCTTCTCTCCCTGCCCAGACCCGTCGCTCACGCGCCCGCCGCGGATAGACGCAGCAACCACGACACGCCGGACGTCTCCCGGGACGCGCAGCTGCGCTCCGTCGAGCTCTCCTTCGCAGCCGCCAACGATAACTTTGACCTCGCGGCGCTCCGGCACCCGACGAAGCCCCACCTCACCGCCGAGTCCTCGTACGAGATCCTCCCCGACGCGGACATCTGGGCGAACGCGTACGATCTGTTCAGGTTCAGCGAGCGCCCCGGGGACCGCCCACCCGACGTGCGTTCTCGTTTCCTTGCTGCTGCGCGTCGTATGTTCACGCTCGCGGGTGCAGGTCGAGGACCCCCGCCTCAACTGTGCGATCATGCGGCCGATGGAGTCTGACGGGGACCATTTCCTCGCGTACTACCTCACCAAAGAAGACGAGGCGGTCGAGCAGTTCCAGAACGCGCGCCGCGCGGCCGGCATCGACGTCACCGAAAACGAGGACGAGGCAAGCGCTCACGACGTCCCCACGTTTCATTTCATGCTCATGACTCGCGCCTCGCTCGATCTCTTCAGGCGACCGACTTTCACTTCGTGCGGGACTACGAGGTCGTCAAGGTCGAACAGGACGTCCCGAACGAGTTCTTGCTCGTGTTCGACGAGGGCAACATCAAGGTTGAGGTGCAGTCCACGGCCGGGGCCGCGACCGCGAACGGGCGCGCGCGCGAGCTCCGTGGGCGGGGCGCGTACTACAAGAACATCGAACGCAAGATGGTGCTGAAAAAGAAGCGGACGGAGGTGCGTGGTGTGCTGTCCCTCGTTGCGCCCCTGCCTTGGCCTTGCTGAGCGCCGCCCGCACGGACAGCCGACCGAGCGCTTCCGCGACAAGTGGGCGCTCGTGCGCGTCGCACACACGCCGCCGAGCCGCGAGGAGGCGGAGGAGCGCGCGGAGGCGCTGGCGGAGGTCGTCGACCCGCTGTACCTCCTGCAACGCGACGCGGACGCGGACGGAGAGGAGGATCTCGGGCCCTCCGTTTCTGTGCCGCCGCCGGCGGTGGAGAACGGGATGAGCGGCCACAGCACGGCTATCAAGGTGGACGTGTGACGGACACTGGACAGGCTGCGCGTCGCGCGACGTTGCTCTGGATTATTTATGCGTGCTTTCTTAGTTGAGATGCTGTGCTACTGCGCGATTTTACATAGGGTGAGCTGCGGCACCCATGCATGCAGAAACAAGTGTAGATAGAGCTACAAGTCGACGCCGCGCCCGCCCACGCGAGCCTGCCACTCACTATCTCGGTACAGAGTTTGCAACAAAACAACAAAGAGCAGATTGAAACCACCCGACGGCGCCCCCTTTCGGCTCGTCGCCGAGATATGACGGACATCATGATGCGAGGGGCGTGCGGTCGACGGCTGAATTGCGGAAGGAAGATTTATCCTGCATCGAGTCTGTGTGGACGAGGGCGCGAGAGGCGTTCGTGACGGCACGCGACGCGAAAGTGAGAGCGCGACGCACCGTTGTTCGTTTTGTATTCCATGACCGTCGCCAGAGGCAGGCTGAGCACACGACGGATCATCTCCCTGCAGCCGCATGTGATGAGCGAGGCCCACGACAGACCGACGGCCTCAACGGGCTCAACGCACCTGGTCCGCTCCCGCACTTTTACATCGCTATCGCGGGTCCACACGCTCACGATATCCTCGCTCTGCCTCACGCTGATCGTACACCCACAGATATCTGGCCACTCCTCGTCCTTCACGTCCTTGCCCTCCTTCGCGTCCTTCGGCCCGCTCCGCCAGCTCTCTGCCTCGTCCGCCTTGCTGCTGCCGGCCGCACCGCCGCCCCCGCCCCCGCCGGCGGCCTCCTCCGGGGCGGCGCAGTCGGCGAACTGGTCGCCGACGATGGCGAGCACGAGGTCCTCCCAGACGCGGTCCGCGACGCCCTTGCGGAGGCGGAGGATCCACTTGCCGCCGGGGAGGTTGAGCGGGTCCTCCCAGACGGGCCGGCGGACGCCGGAGTGGAAGAGCAGGTAGTCGGTGGTGGGCAGCAGAGCGGACGGCGGGTGCAGGTGGGTCCAGAGCGACCAGAAGGACTCGACCTGGGGCGCGCGGGCGGTCAGCTGTGGGTCAGCGCGCGGGCGGGGGGGAGGCAAGAGTCAGCGAGTGGCACGCACGGAGTGGAAGGCGGAGATCTTTTTGATGCCCTCTTCGTAGTTCGTGATCTTGTTCCCGGGCGCGCGCTGCTGCCTGAACCAGAACACCCAGCTGGGTCGTCGACGCGCGGGGGAGGGAGGGAGGGAGGGAGGGAGTGAGCGCGGAGGACCTCGGTGGAGAAGGAGAAGGGGCAGACACACGTATTGCGGAGTGGGTGGACGGAGGGCGCACCGGGCGAGCCGGCTGGCCCTGGGCTCTTTTCCTTGGCGGACAGCCGGTCGTCGGTGAGCGATGTGGAGAAGTGTCGGGAGGGTATCCGCGGGCGGGGCGAGGCGGCAGGCATGGTCGAGGGGGCGGCGGTGGCGGCGGTGGCCTGGCCGTCTTTGTTGGGGGGGAAGCGGGGCTGGGGCGAATGGTTTGAGAAGTAGCCTGCCATAAGAAAAAGGGAGCAATGGTTATAAGTTAGGAGGAGGTATCTCGTCACAGCGTCGACAGTGAAGCAACAAATAAATTCCACCCCTCAGCGGACCCCGGAACTCCAGCCGCTCTCTCGACCTCTTAAACTTACGCTGCGAGTTTTGTGGCATGAAAACCAGGACTGCGAGCGCCGGCTACATCGACAATGTCGCCGGAAAATCGCTCGCGGCGTGTACATCCAAGAAGCTCACGACAGACAGCCAGGATGGAACGGCGCAGGCTATGAACTCGCATCCCATTCTGGTGGGACACACCGGTCTATTTTCACATCTGACAGCTGCCTGGTATACGATGCTGCGTATTTATCCATAGCACAGCACACGAGGAACTAGGGACCCTTCACGGTAGATCACAAGGACATACACATAATTGATGTGACAACGTAGGAGATGGCGATGCGTGTGGTATTCCATATGGGCAACGCGAATATATTGTGCACTCACGCGAAAGTGTGCCGACATCGACCTGCAGGCGAACTGCCAGAGTAGACGCTTTGCATTGTGAATGAAAGAGAAAGACGGGAAGTGGAAGGGTATGCATTACAGACGGGACTCAGATGCGGATCGCCTCTGTATTGGTTATTGGTCCAGCCAAGATCTGGGCTTCGCGAGAGTTGCCAGGAGCTGCCCTCAATCTCGAGCAACGATGATTATATCTCGGACTTGCTTATTTGAAGGTGTTGGTCGACGGGCGCTGCGCACACATAGCCTGAAATTCTGTCTGGTTGAGTGGCGGAGTGATTCCACAGTCACCTCAACGTCTGAGAGAGTCCTGAAAGTCTGGAACGTCGGAGGAAAGCAACTGTGGGCGGAGGATGAGGTGGACTGGGTGACAAGAGCCGGCGGAGGGACGACGGAGGGGACCCGAAAAACCCCGTGCCGATGTGAGAGCGCAACATCACAAGCTGGTCCGCTCACTCCTCCCCCTCCACCACCTCTACTCCACCACCCTCCATATTCCTTCTAATCCCCTTTGCTACATGCGACTCTAATGAAGCTCACCCTGCGTCAACAATGGAGGCTCCGCCCTCTCTCCTCTTTCCTCGGTTTCCTCGACCTCAAAACTGGCGTCATCGTCGCCCTACTCTTTGCGGTGCGGATCCTGTTCGACGGCTTCCTCATTACCGCGGTGTTGATAGATGCCGATGATTTATGAACCCCGTAGCTTCTGAACAAAGTCGCTGGCGTGTATGGCTTGATCGCCATGTTGACGGGCGCGGGCGGCTCGGCGGCTCAGCTTAGCCAGTACATCTACTCTGTTTTCGGTCTCGTAGCACTTGCATGGGGCCTCAAGGCCGTGGAAGAGGTAAAACAACTCTTGATTTGTCTCTCCACCCGACTTCTTGCTCACATCTTCGTTTCATTCGGACCACACGCGCAGGAGGATCCTAAACGCACGCTCTACTTTGCCCACTTCTTCTTCGCGGACCACGTCTTGTCCACGGCGTGGACAATCTTCTTTGCTGTCCATTGGTGGGTATACACACCGCACGATGGCCGCCGCTTTGCCAACTCTCCTGCCCAGCAAGCCCTCATTGACGGCTACATCGGTCATCACCTGAACATGACCGAAGCCCAGCGCGTCGCCGCTGCGGAAGATATCTGGGGCAGGGAGAAGGGCATCGCCGCTACCATCATCGTTCTAGGCTGGCTTTCCAAGGTGCGTTCCCGTGCCTATATCACCATCCCCTGTTCGCCGGCTTCCCACAACAAAACATGACATCTCTCACATCACACACCCAAACATAGTTCTTCTTCGCCGCCCTCATCTATTCCTTCGCACACCACCTCCGCAGGGGAACGTACCGCTCGCTCCCGCTTTCCCGCCCAACGGCAGCCCTGTCCTCCACATACACCGCCGCACGCGCCGAACCCGACGACGACTCCTTCGAAGAGGCCGCCGACGACTTCTACTCGCCCAAGACCGCCACCACGCCCCTCCCCCTCCACACCCACCACCACCCCGCCAGCCCACATCACCCGCAAAACGTCACCCGCCGCCCCGGCTCGGCCGGCAGCTTCGCCGACTTCGTGAGTGCGCCGCCCCCGCCGCGGCGCACGCGTGGGAGCCTGCTCGGCCGCGGCATCGGCGGCGCGGCGGCGGGGAGCAGCGGCGCGAGCGGCAGTGGGAGTGGGGGGAGCGCCGGGGAGGAGGCGGACGACGAGGTGCTGTTTGACGAGGAGGAGGCGGGGTCGGCGTCGGGGCGGAGCGGGTCTGGGGAGAGGGATCGGGCACCGCTGATGGATGGGCAGGCGCAGGGGACGGCGCGGGGAGGGATCGGTGCGGGGAAGAGCCGGATGCGGGGGTGAGGAGGTTGTTCATGAGCTCGCCTGGCAGAGAGGCGCGGTCGCGTGAGTTGCGTGTTCATTTTTAATTTTCCCATCCTTTGACTGCACTGCGGGAGTCTTGCGAGACGAGATGTAAATTGGGATCGTGGCTGGTAAAGTGCGTATGCATGTTTTAAAGTAAGCTGTGCTTGTGTCTACGTATACTCTGCGAGCAGTGCGGTGCAGTGGAGGACAGGGGGTGTGATGGACTCGTGATATTGCTGGGGCGTTCATCTATACATTCATTGCAATCACCATCCTTCGTGAGTAGAAGATCGTAGCTGTCCGACTTGCGTGTGTGCGTGTGTGTGTTCACTGCACGGCCGTCTCGGGGTGCCCCTTCTCGACGTCCTGGACATCGCCGCGCGCGGTGTTCTTTTCTTCTTGGTAGACTTGGTCCGCACTGACGATGGTGACCGACCCACTCGCCAGTGCCGCTGCCCTGCCCGTGCCGAGGCCGCGCTCGGCCAAGGTGATGCTCGTGGTATTGTCCGGGGGCGGCACAGACGCAGATTCTCCGGTCGCAGCCGCCGCGGCGCGTGCGCGCCTGCGAGCGATGGGGTTGAGTATCGCGGCGGCGATGAGGACGAGGCCGTCCATGAGCTGTGGAGACGGGCGACGCGCGCGGATTGCACGGGGGAGCCACGCACGTTCAGACGAGGCGCGCGGCGGAGAACGGGGCACGGGCACGCACGATGACGACGGAATACGTGACGCTCGCGATGACGTCGAATTTGGGCTTGAAGGCGAGCGAGAGGTCGGAGAAGACGCCGCCGAGGAGGTCGACGAACATGAAGGTGACGGAGATGCCGATCACGGCGCGGTGCTTGTGGATCTCGTAGTACTGTGGGCTGCGTCCTCGGCGTGAGCGACGTAAGGCAACGTAAGGCAAGGCAGAGCGGCGGCCACCGCGGGCGGGGACGTACATGAGGGCGAGGGCGATCATGATGGAGCTCAAGACGCCAAAGAACTGCACGCCGCGTTCGCCAGACTCCGCGCCGTTGTGGTATGCCGGCTGGGTCATATGGAACATCGAGCGTGTCAGGAGCTGTGAAAAAAGAACAGGGGGGAGGAGAGAGCGTACGCGGATGGCGTAGACGAAGCCGACTTGCATGCTCGCGCTGATGATCAGTATTCCGAGGATCATGAGGTAGCAACGGCGTGCAGAGTAGCCGCCATTATAATACATGCACTGTCAAGTTCAAAGATCGTGAAAATTTGGATTTCCAGAGGTTTGTGGTAGTCGACAAACCTGGCCCCATGACAATAGGGAGAAGAAGCCGAAGAGCTGGGGCTGGAGAATGAGCGGGATGTTCAGGTCTTGAACGATGACGTATATTCCCAGGGGGATAGACGAAAGGGACCATATAAGGCTGTGGGGGAAGACGAGGATAGACATGAGTCAAAAATAATAATTACTTTATTTTGAACACTGACACAAGCCAATGCGACAGACCCTCTGTCGACTTTGTACGCCAGCTCTTCCACAGCTGTGGAATGAGCTGTGCAGTCCAGCATACTGTGCCTAAACCGGAGCAAGTTAGTGAGCATCTCGACAACGCGACATAAGGGCACACACCCAGCGTGCCCAGGACATTCTCCGCGACGCGATTGGTAGGCATGTCGAAGCGACGCGTTAATTAGACAAGTATCTCTAGTAAAGTATTCTGAGCTTCGACGCCTGTGAGTCTTCTAACGGCAGGGAACTCCGCGCGGGGTCGAGAACGGAGAGAACGACTGTCAAACCAAAGCAGCCCGCAGAATTAGATCGCGCGAGACATCTATAGGGTGAGTCGGGGCTATAAGAGGGTCAGGGGAGTGATCACAGAAGACGAGAAGCAAATTGTGGCGATCGGACGAGAGCAGTGTTCGCCCACATTTTTTACCTCACAAGCCTGCGATGGAGTCACGCAATGCCATCGGCTGCCGTATAGAGGTCCGTCGGATGGTCTGTGACTACGGTGTTCGGCGCTCCTCCGCCGCGGCCAGCCTCCGGAGGTCCTGCGGGTCGGCATCCCGGCAACCTTCACCGGCCTCCGGCAACCGATCAAGCAACTTGCGCCGAAACACCACCGTGTGGGGAAGCGTCACATTCAGACGTTGGCACAACTCGAACGCTGCGCAGAAGCGAATGGGAAAGCTAACTGTGAGTAGTGAGATTGCAATCAAAAAGCAAGGCGTGTTCCACGAGGTAGCCGGGAAACGATGATACTATACACGATACATATGACACCACGCATGCCATAACACAGGATGGCATCAGAGCCGCACGTAAAGGTATACAACGCGGATTTCCGATCGTCCGCGCACACACGGCACTGAGACTCTACGGAGTCATTTAAGAACGCAGGTTGTATATCGTCCTGCCGTAGTAGGCGCCTGTGGCGGCTGACGTGACTGTCAGCAGCGCTGGGACGGGGCCCTTGGCGAAGCGCGGGAGTGAAGAGAGCAGAAGGACGGCCGAGGCGCCTGCGTTCAAGGGTCAGTTGTAGCCCGCAGATTGCTTCAAGGAGGAAGGAATAGGAGAGATGACGAACCCAGCGCTGTCTCGAGCCCGTTCGCGGTATGTTTACGGATGCTGTCCCCGCTGTAAAGGTACAACACGCCTACACTGAGCAGGACGTCAGAGACGTCGTCCGGATCATGTGTTCGCATGTTACACACCCCACACCAGCTACGATAGACGGGATTGAACGCGTCCGGACGTAGCCAGTGACACCACCGACGATGCATAGGGTGCCCATCACAAGTGCGGGGTAAGCAGACTGAACATCACCGATCGATTATCATTAGCCCCCTTGTCGACTGACCCCTCAAAATTGCACCCACCATCTCTTGATATTTGGTGAGTAGATTTGGGGATCGTCTGAGGGTGTGGTGGGAGGTAAAGGGAAAAAGGACACGTATTCCTGCGCAGAAATAGACGGTGTTCACACAGGCGGGACAAGTCTCGGCAGCCCTGGGTCTGGGGAAACCACGTGGAAACGCTGACATTTACCGCCGGGCCGCGGCCTCAGCGCGAATTTCAAAGATCCAACCCTATTTTCATTCTTACGTCAAAACTGCTTCATACTTCAACTAAGAGCACCTTCGTGAGCATGGTTTCCGACGTGTTACCCCAGAAGAACGAGGAGTACGGGACGAAGGAATATTGGTGAGCGTGAATGGCCTCTCAGAAATTTTTATGCTCAATTTTTTTGTTTCCCCAGGGATCAGCGTTACACACAGTGAGCTGCCTCGACCTCGTTTGGCTTTATTTCGAGACCGAGGCCCAACAAACGCCTCCAAGGGAACCCGAAGATGCCTCGTTTGATTGGTTCAAGAGATACGAGGATGTCGCTGGCCTCTTACGGGATGCGATCCCTGACAAGAACGTCCGGATCTTGATGCTCGGATGCGGAAATTCCACTCTGTCTGAGGACGTCGGTATCGGGTCTACCCACTTGTGTTTTGCACGGCACTGAGCTCGGTAATATGGATCGGCCTTGCAGATGTATGACGATGGGTACAAGAATATCGTGAATATCGATGTATCTGCGCGTCTCTGTCTTGTTTTCGCGTGGTTCTCATCCGCCCTTCGCAGTATTCCGACGTCGTGATCGAGCAGATGCGGAGCAGGCATCGCAGTACGCGACCAGGGATGGAATGTAAGCTCTTCTCAAACCTGAGGCTAGCGCCGGGATTTAAATGATCGCACGTAGGGCATGAGATGGACATCCGAGACTTGAAATTCGACGACGCGTCCTTCGACGTTGCCATCGACAAAGGTGCGATTCCGGTGTAGATTTGACATTGTAGCGTACATGTTGAAAAGTGTTCGCTCACCAGGGACCATGGATGCTATGATGACAGCAAAAGGAGACGTTTGGGTACGGCCGATTAATGACCAGCATGCGTCCGACGCTGATATCCCCACAGGATCCTCCTCAACAAGTCATCGATGACTGCACGAAGGAGGTCGACGAAGTTCTTCGGTAAGAAAGGGAATTTCATTTTGACTAGGCGTGTCGCCGCTTACGACCACTCTTCGCAGTGTTCTTAGAAAGGACAAGGGCCTTTTCTTATACCTCACATTTGGCCAACCGCATTTCCGTCGCCAGTTCCTCACAAGGGAGGGTACGACCTTAGAGATAAAGCGGATAGGAGAAGCGTTCCACTATTATTTTTATATCGTCAAGACTTGATCTTCAGCGCAACGAATATAAAATATACACCACAGCAAGGCACGCTCGGACTGGGGTAGACAGACGGGCGCGCGAGGTCCTAAGAAATAGAATATTCAGAACAAGAACTTGACATTCTTATAGAAATCCAGCAGCGGGTTCTCCCCGTTCCTCAGCCTCGTTTTGCTCAAGTCCGCGTACGTCTCTAGGAACTCCGCGTGCGTGAACACACTCGACTTGCGCTCCCCGACCGGTAACCCACTCGCGCTCGCCATGCCGTCCACTGGCGGCCGCCTGTTCCGCGGCTGGTACGACGAGAAGAAGCCTGACCCGGACGCGAGCGAGGACGCGCTAGTCGCGAGCGGCGAGAGCCGCGTGTCCACCACGGGCGCCGAGTCGGTGGGGTTAAGCGGCTGCGCGAGGACGTGCTCGTACATGTCCCGGAGGCGCTCGAAGTGCGTCGGGAAGAATATGTCAAAGTACCCCTGGCGCACGAACAGCGTGCTGCACGGGATCGTAGTGTTTTTGTACCGCGTCTGCACGACGGGTGCGTTCACGCCGGGGATCGTGTCCGGCAGCGCATTGAAGTCGGAGAGGAGGAGGCGGTGATGCGGGAAGTGTGTGCGCAGGGTGCGCAGGAGGCTGAGGAGTCGCGTGGGGATGTATTCGGGCATGGAGAGGTTCGGCGCAAAGGGGAGATTGGTGTAGATGGAGCGCACGGTGTTGGATTTGAGGAGCGAGGGGAGGGGCGGAGGATGGCCGAGGCGGCGCCGGAGGGAGAGGAAGGATGAGATGAGGGGATCGGTGACCCGTGTGTAGTAGATCCCAAAGTCGCCCGAGTCGTCAATAGTGATGAGGGCTTGGTATGGCTCGAGCGTGCGGTAGTCGTAGCGGATCATATCATGTGCAAAGTTGTCCTTGACGAACCAGAGGGGTGAGATTGCAGTGCGGAGGGGTTTCAGAGAGTACTCACGACAACTTCCATCGCGAGGAAAAAGCAAGGCGACGGTTCCCGCTTATTCCAGTGGAAGATGCTCTTGTTTGTTATGCTAACACACGGGTGCTCGGGCAAAAGTGTTTCTTCCTGCACTTTTGCTAGCCGCCCACTGATCTCGACAATGTTGTACCGTGTCCGCTCGTAGACTTCCGGATACTGTTCCCGAATATAGTTCAGGATGTCGAGAGCGAGCGTCCCATTCCCAGCACCGATCTCGTATACCACGAGATCCTCGTAAGGGAAGTATTTGAGGAGATATTCCGAGACGATGCATTGAGCAATGGCCTGGCCATAGTACGGCTACTGGTGAATAATCATGAAGAGTTAGCTTTCTCCGTGATCCTTCACTTTGCGTTGACACAACAGAAATGACCTTAAAGAGCTCTGTAGGTGTGTGCCAAATCTGCTTCCCAGGACCTCCGTGCTCATCAACATCATAAGCTGCATACCTCCTCGCAATTTCGTCCTGAAACTGCGCCTCGTCCCGCATGGTGTTAAACTCGATGGGATTTTGTTCTGTCGACGTGAGGATGGTCGCTTGTTTTGGGAAGTAGCCGTAGTGGGGATTATAGAGCGAGTCCTCGATGAAGTCGCGGACGAGCATTTTCACTCGCGTCGGCGGGGACGTGGCACGCTCGAGATCGTTCGCGGTGACGCGCGCATAGCTGGCATGTTCGGGGTCTGGCTGCTCCTCGAAGAATATGTCGGGATTGTAGTTTATTTTCTCCTTCTCCTTGAGTTTGTGCTTCTCGGGGCGGTTGCGGGAGGAGAGAGGTGGTGCGCTTGTGAAGAATCGCGCAACGAGGTTCTGAGCATGGGGAAGGCGGAAGTGACGGGCGAGGTGATGTCGTGCGCAGGCTCGGTGAAGCATGCAGCTCATGAAGCGCACAGCTTGGACTCAGAGCACGGCCTGCAGGTCCTCGTCGGTGAAGCCGTCGCGTATGTAAGCAGCATCGCTTGATTAGATCTTGGACGAGCACTTCGACGTGAAGCACACCCGCACCTTCTCTCTGATACGCTCATGGAGACTGCACAGAGGCTCATAAGGACTTGGGTCGCGTCGCCACGAGAAAATGAGATCGACGACACTGCTTCAGGTGCGTGCAGGAGTCGCTTACACCTGACTCGACCGTTCGATCTAGCGGATTGTCCACAGGCATCGCTGCCGGCGACATCCAGCTTCTCCATATAGTGAAGGCCTTGGGGGAATACTTGACCTCCGAGGATGGTGACCTACGGAACAAGGGTACGGAACTCGCTCATTGTACATCCCCCGCGCGCACTGAAATAGGGTGAAAGGTGTGGATTTTCTGGCATCTGTTGTTGGCCGTTATCCACGAGAGAAAATAAATCGCCAGGCCGGTATGTCTACGGAATGCTCTTTTCTTTGAGTGACTAGGTGACCGTTCCCAAAGTTAAAGTCCTCATCGGATTCTTCAAGTCCAAGCTCGAGGACACTGAGACTATCATACCCGCTCTGAAAGGCATTCTGAACCTGACACCCCTTCCCTCTTTCATATCTGAGGATGCAGTCGAGATCGCCGAGGCGTAAGTGTTTCATTTGAAGATAGCGTCCTGACAATTCAGGTTTCGATCGTAGTCTTTTCGCCCATGTGAAAATGCAAGCCCTCGTCCAGGTCCAACGATATGTTGTTTTCTCCATATTCGACTCACTCATAGCGCTTCATCGTGATGGTCAGCCCCTGTGACCCGCCATCTAATCTTCGTGTCTGATCTTTTTCTCAGCTTTGAAGAGTATGGGAAAGGGTTTCATTAAACGGTATGCTGTTCTGGCTGATGGGGAGAAGGATCCTCGAAATCTCCTAGTCGCGTTCGCGATCGCTCGAGTTATCTTGATCGAATTTGACATCACGGAAACCGTTGAGGTACGCCTTGGAGTCCCAATCAGTCAAATGCGTAGACATAACTCAAGACCGTTTGCAGGATATGTTCAACGTCACGTTCTGTTATTTCCCCATTACATTCCGCCCTCCCCCCGACGATCCATATGGTATTACCGCTGATGATCTCAAAAAGGCACTCCAGTCAGTCACACCGAGACTGTAGAATGCAGAATACGCAATTCATGCATGATCCTTCAGCTTGAGCCTCAGTGCTACTCCTGCTTTTGGGCCTCCTGGCATCCCATTATTTCTTGAGAAGCTGAACGCTGGCACCCCTCTCACAAAGGTTTGCCCTTCAATATTTCTTTCGGCATCTCTCGAGGTCTGACATTCGAGGTAACTTAGCGCGACACCCTCCAAACCATGGCCATATGCATCCCCGTTTACGGTTCTATCCAGGCACGTACGTCGGCGCGAAAGCTTTGGAGCTCTCTCAAGCTCGAGATCTTCCAACCCACGGACCCTATCACGGAAGAGGAAGCCCTCAAGACGATGCAAGTTCTGATCAAGACGATTTATGCGGACGACAGCGAGAACAAGGACTCTGACGAAGACATCGCCGGCCTTGCGAAAGAAGCATGCGAGGAGTGTATACAGATCCTACGGGAGCCTGAGAAGAGTCAGGCTAAGCCTGCAATCAAAGTGCTTTGCGCGTTCATGTCCACGACTCGTTCGTCTGCCCTTCTCGTCTCACATCTTCGTGACCGAGTTGATCAACGGCACTTTTTGCATAGCTTCTGTCTCCAGATACACACTCTCGCAGACCGTCCCACATCTGATCAAGCTCTTCTACAATCCAGATGAACTCCCAAATCGCGGCCCCGTGCTCTCCCTCTTGTCTTCACTTATATCTGCGGCCCGCGATTCCACCGTGAAAAGTTCATCGACTCCCGATGAGCCTGGGGAGGTTCCTTTATCGCCGTTCAAAGACGAGGTGCTAGGTGCACTCACAGTGGGCCTGAAAGCGCCATCATCTGCGCAGCCCGCGATAGAGGGCCTTCTGGCGATGGTGACCACCCCTGCACTTCTGGAAGACGAAGAGATCGGTTTCGTCGTGCAAAATGTGAACGATGTACTCGTTAGCGACCGTGGTGACGTCTCCGACATCAGGTATCTTCTCTTCAGCCGATTCCCTCTGCCGTTCGACGCTGGCTGACACGTCAGTTCTTTCTCAGCGATGCCGCCTTGAACCTCCTCACAACCATCTCGACTCTCGCGCCAAGCCATATTTCTCAGACAACGCTCCCGCTGCTATTTTCTTTACTGACTGACACCGCACCTCCACGCTCGGACGGCCAAGCACGCACGCGTCTGTGGGCCACCTTGTCCTCACTCACCCAGCTCTGCGTACAGCCAGAGCTATTCGAGACCCTGGTCATCCGTCTCTCCACGAAGCTCGACCTGCTCTGCGCACCTCCCACCGGCGGCCCTGACCCGTCTGTCGACGTCGATGCTGACTTTGAGCCAACGGCCGCCTATGCCCACGCCGTCCTGACGACGCTCGCGAACGTGCTCTCGAAGAAGGTCGACCGGGGAGACGTGGACGTTCCGAAATATGTCGACCAGTTGGTTCCGCGCCTGTTCAACCTGTTCATCTACTCCGCATCGTCTTCGCAGAAGGGACTCGTCGCGACCGACACACGGCTTGTGACCGTGGCAGGGCGGATTGTGAACCTGGTGGTTCAGACGCTGTCGGTGCAGTGAGTGCATCATGGGTTCTTTGGTCAAGCAAAAGCGTTGATCGTTCTTTGTCCAAAGGAAACAGGAAACATTCACTGCTGCGTTGGTCGGTGGGTATCTCAAGGGCGATGTAAAGGCTATCGCGAACGGGTATCAGAAGATCCCTGCGGACGTCGAGTTCCTCCCCTTTCATGTAGGTCGACCATCTGCTCTTCGGCTTCTGAGAGATGAACATTTATATAGAACAGCGCCGCACCTTTCCAAAAGAATCTGGTCGTTCTGTTGTCGCAAGCCCTCATTGCACTGCACAAAGAGGTAATTTTACCATCGTTAATCGCGGATGCACGTCTAAGGGTCGAGGCATTAGGTACATATCCCTGTGGAAGACCAAGGAGCCTTTTTGGATATGCTGATCCAATGGAGCATATATCACTCTGACAATTCGATAGCGAGGGAGAGCGCCTGGCACATCATCGCCGCTGTTGTCAACAAACGAGAAGCCGGTGAATCAGGCCGTCTCATATGATCAATCGCATGGCTAATCGACGACGCAGACCTCGCGCCCTTCCTCTCTTCCAAACTCGAGTTATTCTGGCCATCCGAGATCTTGACAAACAGCGGCGGAGCAGACGCCCGACGTCTCGCCATCCGTGCATGGGTTTGGGTACATGCACCTGTCTCGCATAGAAACTTCATCCTTTCCAGCGTCTGACATCTGTGCCGCGTCTGTAGATCGCGAAGGGGCTCCTCGTCCGCAATCACCCTCAGGTCATGTCGTTCGTCGATCGCCTCTTTGGCCTGTTCGAAGACGAGGAGGTCAGCTGGGACGCCGCCAGAGCCGTCGGTCAGATCGTGGCTGCAGATCCCGTCCTCACGAAGAAGAACCATGCTGTGATCAGGGTGAGAACGTCTCCCACGGCCGTCTTTCCTGCAGGCCTGATCCACGCGTCGTAGATCCTGTACGCACAAAAATACGCGAATGCCATCCTCCCCCGGATCATATCTGGTGCCAAGTCCCATGACGGTAAGTCTCCCCCTTGCATGACGAGGACAGACGACGGGTACACGGTTGCCCACGTTCCAGATCCGCAAAAACAAACCGCCCACCTCGTCGCGCTCACCTCGCTCATCAAGTCCGTCCCAAAATCAACCTACGCCCACGAAATGCGCACGGTCAGCCGCGCCCCCGCCTCCCTCTCCCGACTTACCCCACCAGCTGACCCGCGCCCAGCTCATGCCGCTGCTGCTCCGCGGGCTGGACCTCCCCGACACCGACATCCGCGCCAACGTGATCGACACGCTGCTCGCCGCCGCGCACGCGGACGTCGACGCGGACGCGAAGCACGCGAAGGAGGGCAGCGTCGTCGCGGAGCACGCGGCGAGCCTGACGGCGACGATGCTGCGGAACACGCTCGCGGCCAGCATGCCCAGCGCGGTGCGTGCCTCCGCTTCTCTCCACGCGCCTGAATGTACCCGGGGACGACGCTGATGGCATCGTCGCCTGCCCGCTCCGCCCCCCCGCCCCCCCTTGCAGAAGGTGCGCATCGCCGCGCTGCGTTATCTCGCCGTCCTTCCCAAGGTCGTGCGCTACGACGTGCTGCATCCGCACAGAGCGGCAGTGCTGCGAGACCTGGCGCGCGCGCTGGACGACCCGAAGAGAGCCGTGCGGAAGGAGGCGGTGGACGCGCGGTACGTCCTGCTTTCGCACCCCGTCGGAGCGCCGTCGTGCTGATTCGGAGGCTCTGTCTCTGTTCGCAGGACGAATTGGTGCGGAACTCGCCTTTTGTGTGTTTGACGTTTATGAACTCCCTCCCTAGGTTCACTTACAGCGGCTGATGTGTCTCGGTCGACAAGTCGACCGCGCGACGCGGGCTGAAAGATGTGTTGTAAGAGTACCGTTAGAATTATATCTTTATTGTCCTTAAAAACCACGCGGACCTCGAATCTCGAAGAGACCGGGTGATTGACAGCAGTGCGCGCTACATGAGTACTGCTACTACAGCCGACGCGAGACCGGAGCCCCTCCGGCACCATCACAAGACGCGCGCGCGCGGGGCACGCGCATAAGTTCTGTCCATCGCGACGCCCTGAACCAGAAAACACAAACGAACAGAAGACGAAGACACACAGAGACATGCGCAACGCACAGAACCCGGCACGGCACGGCGCGGCGCGGCGGCGCCTCCGGCTAGGCCAGACCGGGCGTCTGTGCGCGCTCGCCGCGGTCGATGTCGAACTCGACCGTCCGGACGACGTTGATCTCGAGCTGCGGACAAACGCGGGGGTTCTCAGGCCGGGCGGTCTCGCGCAACGCGCAACGCGCAACGCGGGATGGGGGATGGGGGATGGGGGGCGGAAGCGGGAGCGCGACGGACCTTTGTCGTTTTCTCGGCGTCCTCGTCGTCGAGGCCGGGCTTGGTGGTCTGACGCGTGCATGTCGGGGCCAAAGTCAGCGGCCAGGAGCGCGCGCGCGCGCAAGAGAGAGAGAGAGAGAGAGGGGGGGGGGGGACATGGAATACGGACCATGCGCGAGCCGCGGCGGTGCATGCTGAACGAGTTCGTGAGCGCGCCGGGCGTGGAGTGGATGCAGTCCGGCATCAGCTGCGGGTTCTCGCTGATCGAGCGGCGGCTGTTGAGCCTGGTATAAACACAACACGAACGACGGGCGCGCGCGCGCAGGGGCAAAGGCAAAGTCAGGGTCGGAGCTCTGGGCGAGACGGGGCGGGACGGGGCGGGTTTTACGCACGATGCGAGGAGAGAGTTGGCGTATACTGGACGGGGCGGGATGGGGGGGTCAGCGCGGGTGCGAGGGACGGTGCGTGGATGGAGGGAGCGAGCGAGGGGGCGGGGGGAAACGTTACGCACGTTTGCTGATGGCGAAGTGCAGCCCGAACCAGATGAGGTTCCCGGGCATGGTCACCCACTGCGGGAGCCCTCTATGCATGAGCGGGGCACAGCGCGCGCCGAGGCGGAAAAAAGGGAGCGAGAGCGACGCACGCAGATCATAGACGCGATGGCCGCGACGCTAGAGCACGCAAGTCGTCATCTATCGTTTATCGTCTCAGGAGCAGGACCAGAGACACCGTGCTCACCAAGTAAGCGCCCCGGTGTTGAGCGTGTAGATCATGATCGTGTTGATCACGCGGTCCATACTGCCGTCCAGACGACCCGACCGTAAGCGTGGATCGAAGGATCGAAAAGTCGCGTCGTAAAGACCTGCCTTTTGAAGCCCGTGCGGCTGACCTGGAGGTAGAGGCACATGGAGGACGCGATGAGGATGTCGATGGCCGAGGAGAGCGACAGGCCGAGGGTCAGCACCCACTGTGTGCATGCGACGTCGACCAGGACCGCGGTCAGCACACAACACGGCACGGCACGGCACGCATAGGTACGCACGCCGATTTGGACCGTGAAGCCTCCGAAGCTCTTGATGTGGGCCCTAGGAAAGGAAGCAAAGAGGCTTCAGACCGAGCGAGCGGGGGAGGCAAAGTGGGGGAAACGGCGTCACATTTTCACGGTGCTGACTGCGATGTCGAGACGTCCTCAGCGATTTTAGTGGCAGTGGAGACGCGCGCGCGCGAGAGAGAGAAACGCACCGAACGCGGCAGCTGAGCACACGCGAAGCCGTTTATCCATCCATCTCAGCGCTACGTCCAAACCCGCGCGAAAAAAGGACCCACGCACCGAGGCGCATAAACGCCAGCAAGACCTTCAAAAAACCAACCCCGCCGACGAGTCGCAGTCAAAGTCAATCGCGGGCCATCGGGGCGGCCATCGGGGGCACGTACCAGCGGACACGTCAGGTACCAGTTGCCTTTGCTGACTGCGCGCGCGGCCGTCGTCGGTAAGCGCGATGCGGTCTATCACGCAAAGTGGCGCGTACTTACGCCGGAATACCCGCGACGAGAAGAAGCTGAGAGTCGTGGGTCAGTACGTGCAGGTGAGGAGGGGGCGTGTGCGGGGATGACGCACATGTGGACCACGAATGTGATGATCGCCTTGCTTCGTGCGTCAGAGACAGAACAGCGTCCGCGGGACCGCGACGTACCGTAAGAGCCACCGTGCACTTTCAAGCGAACAAGTAGTAAGCGCGACGCCGACAAAGAAATCTGCCGTCCCCGACTCTACGCACCGCGACGCTGCTATGAACCGGACGCCTAGTGAGCACGGGAGTGTGAAAGAGTGATCGCGAGCACCAACGTGGGGATGTAGTCTGCGATGTCCGGGCGTCCAAAGTTGAGGACGACGTAGTCCCAGCTCGCGGTGCACACGAGCGAGGTGTGGATCGCGTCTAGGATCCTGCGAGGCGTCGATGAGCGGGAGCCCCATCACGCTACGTTGTGATGGAAGGTTGCGTACCAGACGAGGACGACCTGGGTGGCGACGTCGGACGCGCGGTCAGTCGTAAGAGCGAGGAAGAGAGGCGTGGGGGCTGCAGACCATCATCTTGATCTGCTGGCTGTCCTGGGGGTACGTCCCGAGGTACATGACGAACTGGACCATAGCGATGCAAGAGAGGCTGCGGCAAACGGTCAAGGTCAACGCACAGTCTCGAGCATAGCCACGGGGCGAGCGCGAAAACGAACCCGACAGAGGCGAGGCAGCCGACGAAGATAGCACCCAAGGTCGAGCGAACGTCCATGGCTACGCGGGTCCATGGAGGAGGGCCGCGCGAGGATTATAAGGGGGAGCGGGCTCGGGGACTTTGTGCGACGGCCACGAACGGGCTGTCAACGGTGGGACATGAGGATCGGACGAGAGGTCGAATCCGGGTGTCAGCCAGCGGTGGGCTCAGAGCGTGGGGTGGTGCACGGCGCGGTGGTTTAGTGGGCTGTAGAAGGGAACCCCGTCGCCGCCGCGGGTCTCGTGCGGGAGAGCAGGCTGCGCTCAGGATGGTTTGGTGCGTCCGCTGTTGAGAGAAGCGGCTCGCGGCGACAATTTCGCCTTTGCGGGAACGGCGAGTGAATGGATGCACGAGGCGGATCCTCCACCAGCGTATCTCCGCGCGCCTCTCGCATGCGCCTTCCCTGATGTGTATACTACGAGTGCGCCGCAGAGATCCTGTCGCTCGACGAGGAACGTCTGCGCGGTCGGGAGCTCGGCACATGGCGAGGGAACGTCGCGCTGGCGTATGTGGCAGCAGGCGATGTGTACGATGGGATGCGCCTGGAGAATCCAGTGCGGGGAGCGCGAGCCGCGACGCAGGCTGAGAGGCGGTCCGCACGGGATCATGTCCGCGGTGTCGGTGCAGCGGCTTCCCAAAGGAGGCCTGTTGCCACGCTGCGGTACGCGTCTGTGCTGACCGACTCACCCGTCGCTCTGCCACCACCCACCACAGCGAGTCCACAGCGTCCGCCGCGATGCCCTCCTACGACGGCGCAGACACAGGCCCGTCCTCGCGATTCCTCTCCGCCTCCACCTCCTCCGCCCCCCGCCGCTCCCCCTCGCGCCAGAGCCTCTCCCTCAGCCGCAACAGGTCCGCCACCTCCCTCCGCGCAGCCGCCTCCCTCGCACAGTCCATCGGCCAAATCGACGACGACGGCCCCTCCGCCCGCCACTCCCTCGCACACGAGCTCGCCGTCGCCCTCCTCCCCGAGCCCAGCGCTGGCTCAAAGATCCTCGCGGAGGAGTTCGGCATCGAGTACGACGAGGGCGCAGAGGGCATCGACCCCGGCGCTCCCACATCCACGTCCGCATCCGCATCCGCATCCGCATCCGCATCCATGTCCACGTCCACGTCCGCATCTCCATCCGCACCCGACCCCGCGCCCGGCGCCCCACAGCCCGACGCCCCCCCGTCGTTCGAGCTCGCCGCCGCGCACTCCCCCGCGTCCTTCGCCGCGCACTCCCCCGCCGCAGACACAGATCCCGCCTTTGCCTCCCCAGCGCGCGCCCCCCGCCACCGCCGCCGCCCCTCGCACGACGCGATGGCCATCCTCTCCCAAGATCTCGAATCCACCGAAAAGTTCCTCTCCCACCTCCGGCGGCTCGACGCCGACCCCGCGCCCCCCGCCGCCCACACTCCCACCTCCGCGGGCTCGCAGCAGCCCGCGCTCGAGCGCCTCGCGTCGGACGTCATCCGCAAGATCGAGGAGACCGCGCGCGACCGCGAGGGCCAGGTCCGCGAGCTCCTCGAGTGCGAGCGCGAGTTCCGCAAGATCGCGGGCGAGGTCGGCGGCGGCGATGCGCTCGCCGCGCTCGATGCCCTCGAGGACCTCGAAGACCTCATGGACCGCCCGCCCACCGCCTCCGCCTCCGCCTCCGCGCCCGTACCGGCGGAGAGCACCCGCGCGCTCGACACGCTCGCGGAGGAGGCGATCAACGCCTCTGGAGACTGGGAAGTCGACCCGGACCAGCACATGCGCGAGGACGCCGCCGACGCCGACGACGACGACGGCGACGGCGACTCGGACGGCTCGGGCGGCTCGGGCGGCTCCTCCGACGGCGACGGCGACGCGTACGGCAGCGGCAGCGGCACCGCCTCTCCCTCCGCCTCGCCGCTGCTCAAGGACGCCTTCAGCCCGCTCCCGCCCCCACCGCCTCTCAGCGGCCCGCCCACGCCCGCCAAGACGATCCCGCAGCTCGCGCACCTGCGCACGGCGACGGCCTCGCTCGTCGCCTCGCTCGCCGTCATCTCGGAGCACGCGCAGGTGAACGGCGCGGCGACGACCGAGGCGGGGCGCAAGATCCGCGCGCTGAAGAACAAGCTCGGCGGGTGGCGCACGGAGTGGGACAGCGCGGAGCGGAGCCGCGTGCGCATCGAGCGGTGGGAGGCTGGCCTTGCGGACGCGGGGGAGCCGGGGAGCGTGCCGGGGACGCCGGTGAAGGCGGTCAGGAGGGTCGACGGGAGGAAGCTCGTCGAGGAGCATCTGCGCGCGTTTGAGCGCGCGCTGACCGAGGCGAACGTCAAGACGCAGGCGATCATGGCCCCCGCGTAGGGCCGCGCACGCGTATATATATATATCAATATATACCCCCTCTCTACTTAGATAGAGGATCGCGAGGGGTGCCCACCGGCGGCGGCGGCTGGCTTGTGTGGGCACTTGGATGGCTTGGATTATGGCGTGCCCGGAGGATCTACTTGCGTACCTTCATGGAGTACAGAATGGCAGAGAATTGTATCGTGCTCCATGACGACCTCGGTGGCAGATTTACACACACGGAGATTCTACACGGCGAGAAATAAGATAGCAGCAAGCAAGCAACACTACGACGACGCCCGACCCTGTCCCGCCGAATACCCTCCGCGCGCCCGCGGCCCTTGTTCACGTCTTGGGCGCGTGCTTCGGCACCGTCTGGTTGTAAAAGTGGCCCATGACGGCCTCGGTGTGCGTGATGGTCATATTGAACAGCGGGTGCGTCGCGTTCTGCACACGACCCGCGGCCCCGTCAGTCGGTCAGGAACGCGTGCAGCAGGGCGACGCGAGACGCGGACGTACGACTTTGTTGGACGCGAGCCCGACGATCTTCGACGTCCCCTCCTCTTCCGTCCAGCAGAGGCACGCCGCAAACACGGCCCTGCGGAACTCGTCTTCGGGGGTGCCGGCGCCTGTACGACGAACGCGCGTGAGCATCGCACACGTAGAAAGCGGCGGATCGGCCCCGGCCTTTCAGGTTCGGGCGACCGACCTTCGGCGCTCGTGCTCGTCCACGAGTCATGGAGCTCCGCTTTGCGGGCCGCGGAGGGGAAGACGCGGTGCTGCGCGGCGGAGAGCCCGGCGAGGCAGTACAGCGTGTGGTACGCGTCCGAGTTCCTAGAGAGCGCGCGGCCGATCAGAGATCCTGCTTCGCGGACGTCTCTCGATCCCCCCGAGAGGCGGCACACGTACTTTGGGGGCTTGTCGCGGAGTCCGCCGGCGGGATGTTGGCCCGCGAGCAGGACGTACTCCTGCAGCGCCTTGCGGTTGAACATGGAATCTGCCGCACGCGATGAGAGTCGACTCCGCACAGCGCCGGACAGGGGGCACGAAGCACGCACCGTCGACGTCGTCCCACGCCTCGTCGCCCGCATCCTGGTGCGGCGACTGCTGCTGCTGCTGCTGCTGCTGCTGCGCCTCGCCGGCAGGGTGCCCGTACCCCGACACGCCGAGCGCCTCGAGCAGCGCAAACGCGCCGCCGACCCACCACGAATAGCACCCGTCCACGAGCTTGTTCGTGCGCCCCCTGAACCCGCCGAGCTCCATCGCGCCGCCCTGCATGCCCACGAGCCACCGCAGGAGGCGCTTCTCGTCGATGCGCGGGCGCTCCGCCGCCGGCGCCGCGGGCAGGAGGGGCTCCAGCAGGACCCACGCCGCGAGCGCGCAGGACGTGTAGCCGCCGTGCGCCTCGCCGAGGTTCGGGCGCGGGGACGGGAGGCACGCCGCGGGCGCAGACGCGGACGCGGGCGGCGCGGGCGGCGCGGCGGGGAAGTACGGGTGCGAGGCGGACGCGAAGCCGCCCTCGTAGGTCTGGCAGGACGCGATGAAGGCGGCGGTGCCGGCGACGAGCTCCGGGGTGAGGACGTTCAGGAGACAGGCGACGACGAGCAGGCAGTATATGCCTCTGCGGCGTGCGTTCCAAGGTGAGATGGGGCGAGGATGTAGCGGGACGGGCGCGCGCACGCACCTGGTGTCGACCTCGCCGTCGTGGCTAACGAGGAAGGAGCCGTCTGGCTGCTTGAGGGAGAGGAACCAGCTGTAGATCTTTTCGCTTGGGAGGGGGGCCCGGGCTCAGCAACAGAGCTGGGGCAAGAGGGAAGAGGGGACCTACCGGTCGATCTGATCCCAGCCGCCGCCGGGCCCGGGGCGACCGACGATGGCGAGGGCGCAGACGGACGCGTAGGTGGGCAGCAGGTGCGCCGCCTGCCCCGGACCGCCGCCGAACCCGCCCCCGGGGTGCTGCCACGCCATGATGGTGTCGACCGCCCTGCACACACGCGCGTTCCAGTTCCAGCTGCCCGCCCACGAATGCGCGCGCGCACACAAACGCACGCAAGAGAGAAAGCAGCTGCACGCACCTCTGTTTCGTGTCGGGGTCCATCCCGACCTGCAGCACGCTGAACCCCTGGAGCGTCCAGAACAGGAGCCACGGCTGGCTCGCGTCGTAGTGCACGTAGCGCGCGGGGAAGCCCTGGCGGAGATTGCGCAGCAGGAAATGCAGATGCTCGTTCTTCCTCAGCAGCGGCGGCCCGCTGCTGCGCAGGCCGGTCGAGTGGATGATCTCCTCTGTTTCCTCCTGCAGATCGGAGGTGGCGGTGCGGAAGTGGTCGACGGGGGTGGGACGTGGAGCCTTGTAAGAAGACATGATGGCCGCGGGTACGATGCGATGGCCGCGCTTGAGCGCTTGAGCGATCCTAGATCACACGCAAATGTTTATCCCGATTAGAGCGCAAGTGGCATGAGACACCGCCGTTGTTCGCCAGCTCAGCTCTCTTTGTCGCGGTCGTTGATGCCATTGCACCCGATAGACCCCATTCCAAGGTTAGGATCAACCTCCCAGCTCTCTGACCAGCCCTGCGAGAGGCCAATTCCAATATAGACACACTACAAAACACAGATAGGTCTGACCCAGTGGTTGGACATGAAGCCAACGAAGCTCAGGAGGGCCCCTCTGCCGCTTCCGCAACCACACACTCTAGGCAACGCGCGGTAGGTGTTTGACGCTCAGCTCTGCAGGGTCGGCAAGCGGAGCAGGATGCTCCCAGCCATAACGTGGTTCATTGCATTCGACGACAACGAAGCGATCACCCCATACGACAGACCCCTTCTACCTGAGGTAGGTTGCCTACCACATCTTACAACGCTATCGCTAGTAGCAGGCTAATGACCATCTGTGCTGTTCATCCCAGTACGTGTCATCCCCGTCCCTGACTCAGGGTACAGATGGCCAACAGAGACTGAATCGATGATGACATAGTATCGATCGATCCAACACAACATCTTGCCTTTGATAAATAGGTCACAGACCAGGACTCGTCATTGTGTGGCATGAACTTCACGCCGAGGCCGTCCGAATTAACGACACCGCCGAAGTAGACCTAGGCTCGATCCTACACTTGAACGGAGCCGGATACCTAATCCAAAGATAGCTTAGTATCAAGGGTACGGGGGTGTCTCGATCGCAAGGAGGCACTGGTGAAGAAAGGACAAAGTACCCACATGATGAGACCGTCGATAAACTCGCCAGCTGGCACGATTTCATTCCCATCTTCGTCGACAGCTTTGGAAATATCAAATGTGGAGAGAATCGAGACGATCGCAAGCCATACTGCGGCGTGCGCCATGAAGCGGCCGGGGCAGACACGCCGTCCGAAACCGAACGCAGCATCAGGGTAGTCAGATGTGGCACCACCGCCGGTATCAAGGAAGCGCTCGGGCTTGAAAGCATCAGGGTCAGGAAACATAGTTTCGTCGTGGAGGATGGCCCTGAGTGTGTCATCGGGATACGCATGAGCTGATGAAAACGAAAGGGAAAAGTTTGAATCGCACCAGCAATTTCCAAGAACCACAGAGCCTGCGGGGATCAAGTAGCCTTTGTAAATGTCATCGGACAGCACGCTGTGCGGAACACCTTTGTGGTGGGTGTGGGGGTTCACAAGACGGACATTCGGACGTGGAAGACATATATGGCGATGCTCACCGAGAGGAGCGATGGGCGCCCATCGCAGGACCTCCTTTACCACAGCACCAACATACGGGAGCAAACTCTCGTCAGAATGCTTTGGCAAACGACCGTGCCCGATGATGGCATCGATCTCTGCGTGCGCCTTCTGCTGCACTTCAGGGTAGAGCACCATGAGTAGAATGAATGTGTTTATGGTCGAGGGGGTCTGATTGTAGAACCATCAGATCGCAACTCTTCGAAGTAATAGACATGCATACCGTACCCGCCCCTCCTACCAAAAACAGTGAACGTCAAAGCGCGCGTGTGAAATGTCATGAAACACAGACTTACCAAGGTACATGGATGCTATCGCTTTCTTCGCTACATCTTCATCATAAGGGGACCCATCCTCGCCACCGTTCTGAAGTAGGGACGACGCGACTGACTCTTTGGCCGAGCCGCTGGCCTGTAATATGTGGATTAGTTTATAACAGACTACAACGGAGAACATGGGGCTTACGATGGCTTCTTTGACGGCACGAAATGGCATCTCGACAGTTAGTGCGCATTGGGAAGACCATTTCTTCGCTTCTCTTTTGATGGACATGCCAGGGAGATATTCAGGCAGGCGCGCCACTGCATATGTGCCGTGTATGTCAAGAAAAGACCGCAGAAAAAAATAAAAGGAGGCAGTACATATCGGGAATGTGTCGAAGACACGCGCCCTCTGTGTGGCGCCGACTGTCATGGCTTTAATGGCCTTCTCGACAATATTGATGTACGGGTCGTTGCGAGGTTGCGCTTCAATCCCATACGCTATTTCAAGGATGGTCCTCCCGGCCATGCTACGGAGAGGGTTCTACGTGAGATGTGTTATTATATGGCATGCCTACGTACTGCCTTAGATGTGCGACAAAGTCCTGCGGGGTGTCTAGAAGACGCTGCAAGAGCTCAAGAGTTGCTTTCGCCTCGATTTGGTGGTACTGTTCAGACGCTGCGGGGCTGAAATAACGATGGAGCACTTTCCGATGACGCCGCAGTTCCTGACCATAGGGAGCAAACCCAAATGCCCAGTCAAGTTTGAGCCTTACGAAGTCGCCGCACATACATACAACGTAAGCGATGATGCAGAACAATGAAAAAGGAGCTTACATCTGCTTCATGGCTACAAATGCTGGTCTAGGGTTCAATGTTGAGCATATTTAGAAAACCACGAACGTTACTTGCATAATAATCATCTGCGAACCTGTCGGAATACAGAGATGATCGTTTCTCGAAGAGTTCCCTTGCTGCTTTCGCAGAATTCAAGATGATTAGGTGTGTTCCCAGTGTGTCCACGTGTATGACATCTGAGCCTATGGCCGCAATATTGTGTTATGGCCGTCAGCGGGCCGTCAGTCCACGATTACGCGAAGAAGATACTTACGGTACTCTTTCGACCACTGTTGGTATGTGAACCATGCATGGTCCTTAGGGAGATCAAGCATGTTCCCGATGATGGGGAGCCGCTTTGGGCCAGGTGGAAAAGGGTGAGTCGGTTTGGTCCACCAGTACAAGAGGGCTAGAAACCCCACGAGCCCTACAACAACTACGAGCATGCTGTGATCAGGGCTCGTCGATGTCATGGTTGCAAATTGAGAGTGAGGAGCTTCCTATGCGCTGCCTCCTCCTTTATAGCCGACTAACGCTATGGCTGATACGTGCTAATGTAAGTCCGGTCCGGAAAAGGGGAGAAAAGGCATCGGCTGCCTTCTTCCTCGATGAATAGCTCTACTGATTTCCTGATTTTGTTGAGTACGCATAGCCACGCCATACTCGAGAGCTGACATCTCTTGCCTTGAATAACCAAGATCACGAACAATGGCGGACTGAAGATGCTGATACGGCAAAGGGACTTCCAGATCAGACGGGGAACACCTCACATGGAAAGAGCTTCACTCACTTCTCATTCTCGTGGAATGCAGAGCCTTGAAATTTTTTTGTGAGTTGCAACTTGTGGACCTGGGTCCGATTGCAGCGCGATGCGGAGTCGAACAGTCAGTGGAGAAGCCAAATAAACTTTGGATGGATTGCGCGTAGAGTCCTAGCTATTACTAAGAGCGCTATAGAGGACCCTGAGTTGTGTGGGGCTCCGCAGGCAACAGTAAAGCGGGATGCAAAGGGTCATCGAGACCATTTCCACATAAGAGGACTGAAGTGAAGCGTTCCGGTATAAGTGTGTGAGATACATCAACAGCTCTTCGCTCACCAAGAACCCCAATGACTCTACCGCATGCAAACAAAGGTGCCAGATCGAGCGCCAACATGCGCTATACTTACGATTATTCGTACATCCGTTCCGATTTTCAATGATCCCATCATGCTAGTTTAGAAAATACTTCGGATATCGCTAGCTCGCTGTCCATTGTCGTAGCCTATGGCTAGATTCGTTCCCGCTGTCTCATCATTGCGCCAGAAAGGTCCTTTGACGTGCATCTGTGGGGTTTCAAGAGCTTTTGAACGCTATGGACTGGACGAGGATGGAATTTGTCGTCATAGAGGAAAGTTTCATAAGGTGTAGAGAAGTTTGTAGGACATATATGCAAGACCCGCGATCAGTCACCAGTCAAACCTTTCAGCACGCATGACGGTTGTGGAAATAGCGCAGGTCTGGGGCCTCAGGGGACGAACGACGACATTCAATTATAGCTAGCGGAACCCCTGGCACCTGGCCGTCTTCGTTGTTTTTTTTGCCTTACACTGTTTGACGAGTTGAATTACTGGTACATGCTCTACAAAACACACGAAGCTACTGAATCTTCATATCGAGGCTGTCTGAATCAGTGTCTCCGCCGCATGGGACCTGGGCTTAATACTACATTTGAACGGAACCGGATGCCTGATCCAAAAGATCAACAATCAAAACCCCGTTTAATCGAAGAGAGGCTGCATAAATGCTCACGTTATAGGGCCGCTCAAGTACTCGCCTGTCGGCACGATTTCGTTTCCGCTCTCATCGACAGCTTTTGATATCTCGAACGTCGCAAGGATAGACGTGATTGCGAGCCATGTTGACGCGCGCGCCATGAAGCGGCCAGGACACACCCGCCGCCCGAATCCGAATGCCGCATCAGGGAAGTTAGTCGTGGCAGTGTTGTCAGGACCGAGGAAGCGCTCGGGCTTGAAAACGTGGGGATCGGGATATACAGATTCATCGTGGAGGATGGCCCTGTATCGGAAGCGGATAAGCTTAGGTTGAATTGATGGATCAAGGAAGCGGGTCGCACCAGCAATTGCCGAGGACTATTGAACCTGCGGGAATGAAATAGCCTTCGTAAATGTCATCGGACATCACGCTATGAGGGATGGCTGTATGATAGATTCGACATATTAATATTGTTCTGTATGAATTTCACAACACTTACCGAGGGGTGCGATAGGCGACCACCTCAGAATCTCCTTCACCACAGCGCCGACATACGGGAGCAGGTCTTCGTCAGAATGGATCGGTAGGCGATCGTGGCCAATGATGGCGTCGATCTCTGCGTGCGCCCTTCTTTGAATTTCCGGATACAGTACCATGGTCAGCATGAATGTTGTGATGGCCGAAAGAGTCTGTTTCAGATATTATCAGAGGTGGATGAGGGCAATGTAGATATGTGTGTACCGTATCTGCACCCCCTGTGAAACGGGAGAATCACCCATGCATTGAGTATGAATGATGTATACTGCAGAGTACTGTAGTCACCGAAGAGCATTGCTGCAGGTACTCTCTTTGCGATATCCTCATCCCAAGGTGATTTCTCGTCTTTGCTATCACGAAGCAGAGAGGAAGTGACTGACTCTATGGCTGTGCCATTGGCCTAAGGCAGCAAGAAACAGTCACGCATCAGGTCACTGCGGCGTGTACAATACTCACAACGGCTTCTTTCACGGCACGAAATGGCGCCTCTGCGACCTGTATGCATGAGGGAATCCAACCCTTTGCTTCTCTCTTGAGTGACATGCCGGGAAGCCAGTCAGGCAGGCGTGTCACTACAAATTTGACATGAGAATGTGAGAATGCTTGTTGTAAATGCGGGGAGAGTACAGTACATATAGGGAACGTCTCGAAGACGTTAGCTCTCGGGGAGCTGCCGAATGTCATGGCGTCCAATGCCTTCTCAACAGTCTTGATGTAATAGTCATTCTGAGGTTGAACTTCGATCCCATACGCTATCTCGAGTATGGTCCTTCCTGCCATGCTAGTTCGACATGCTTAGTGAACGGCGCATCAACTATGACTAGTCGTCGCACACTCACTGTCTGATATGGTCAATGAAATCCTGTGGCGTATGCAAAAGACGTTGTAGAAGGTCGAGAGTCGCCCTCGCCTCGATAGGGTGAAACTGCTCAGATGCTACGGGTTGGAAGTGTTGATGGAATGCCTTCCGTAGACGCCGCCAGTCTGCGCCGTATGACGTGAATCCCATCGCCCACTTCATTTTTAAGCTTGAAAGCCGGCCCGTGTAAGTGTTGAGAAAGATAGACGAATGGGGCAAAGTGGCAAGAACGCGCTCACATCTCTTTCATAGTTACAAATGCTGGCCTATGATAACGGCAAGCGATCAGAAACTTTGACACTGTTCTCGTACAGTTGATCGCATCAATGATTGTCGACGCACCTGTCGGAGTATATGGACGACCGTTTTTCGAAGATCTCGTTCGCTGCCTTCGCAGAGTTTACGACGATCAGGTGGGTTCCCAGCGCATCCACATGAATAACGTCTGAATCTATGAATGATACGTCGCCATCAGTGAACACATTTCAACGAGAGCATAGATACAGGTGCAGCCTAGGATCATGCAAAGGCAGGAGCTCACCATACTCTTTCGACCACTTCTGATATGTAATCCACGCGAAGTCTTTGGGTATGTCAAATACATTGCCGATAACTGGGAGGCGCTTTGGTCCAGGGGGAAGACGGTTTGACGGCGTGGTCCACCACCTATATAGAAGGGCTGAAAAACTTGTGAATCCTAACACCAATACGAGGGTACTGGGGGAAGGGTTCGTTGATATCATGGCAGAGCAAAATTAGATGCAGTCGAGATACTATGCATCCTCCACCCCGCTTTATATAACAGCCAACGAAGTGCTGTGAAAAATCGGGACATGTGTATGCAATTGAAACCCGAGAGCCCGTAGTCTCCGTGGCTGACCAATACAGAGGATTGCAGCCGTTCTGTGTTAAGGTCTGCTTCTACAGGGTCTTGCATAATTTTTGAGAGAGCCGCGCCAGAAAAAAAACGGGTTCCTAACTGTTCCTGAGCGCTTCGCTCCCAATATAGGAGAAAAGCACCAGACCTCCCTATGTGACCCGCTTGTGACATTCTCTCAGACAAGATCAGACGCGCAAAACTACATCATCCTACAGTCGATCGAGCTACCTGTCTGCAGTCAACATGGAATTGCGGCAAAAAGCAGAGAAGCTCCTCGTGCTTGCTTCTTCGGATCTGCATCATGTCGTCGAGGACGAATCAACATCTGCACTATTGAGCAGTTTTGTGCTCTCCCTCGCTTTCTCGGGTGCACTTGCAGCATATCACGGTATGCAATATGAGCTGATTTTTCCATATGTTACTCTGACAATGAGCTGATCTTCTGTTTCTCCATCAGCTTTTTGCGACAGTCGGATGGTGGTCAGATCTTGGTAGCTCTGGACAGTGTGCACAGGTGAGTCTCGACTGCACTAGCTCCTCAAAAAATATCTCTGACGACAGGGCTATTTCTTCTGGCCAAAGGCTATGGGCACACTCCATACGGTCAAATCTGCGAAGATTCTCTGAAGAGAATGGGTTTTCGCATATAAAAACATCAAGGTTGGGTACGTGCTCTTGGGCAAAACCTCGCGCTCCTTTTCAACGTCCTTATCCTCTGCTTTTTTCGTCCATGGCCGGACAATCTTCTGGCAGCCATCCTCCCCGCCACCTTGTTGATTTATTTGTTCCTCAGCAGCAACCAGCCCCCGATCCTGAGGACATCCGCCCTGCATCTGATGCTTGGCTTCGCAATCCAGCATGGACAGGTGCATTTTATTCCTTTGATTCTGCTCTACCCATCTAAATGTTTGTGATGTGCTAAAGATGGTGGGACCGACCCCGTTCAGCGCTATTTCTCTGAAGCAGAAATGCAAGCTACTATCCGTGCTCACTGGCCACGTGTAATGGCACTTCATGAGGATGTGCGACAATTTAATGCATTCCTGTATAATCCTATACTTATTATTTCAATTCAGGATCGTTTAAAAGCTCTCGAAAATGGCTGCGCAATCCCACAGCTTCCAAAGGTCATTGCTGACCTTCTCCGGCCTCATCCTCCCCACCGCGCTCAGACCCCTGTTTTCGCAATCAATGCTCATGCTGCTATTCGTCATGAGAACGCCAACGATGCAGCCAGAGCAGCAGCACCTAGCGGTAAGCCAAGCAATACTGAGAACGAAGTCCGCGGTTCGTGTGCCGTCATTATTCTATCGTAGTGCTCATACTAATTAATCTTCCTCTGTTCCTCTATAGATATATTTACCATCAACGTTGTTCTTCATAAGGCTGTCCTTGAGAAGGTTGCAACACGCAGTGGGCAGAAGTTGGTAGAGAAGGTGAAACCATTCTCCGAGAACATCCGCTCGGAGTTCACAGGGGCCTGGTCGAGGCACGACTTTTTCCACAAGATTGTCTACAAGGCTCATGGCATTGTTGGTCAGTATGGTATTGGTGATCCTTGTGGTCCTTGTGCCAAGGCCTGGCACACCGGTTTTTCGTGCGTCGACTATTGTTACCCTATGCACCTTATAAATAATATTGACTGCAAAATTACAGAAAAAGTACTTCCTTCAACATTGCCAGTAATGAAGGCTTTGTCGCTTTTCAGGATTCAGTCCTCAACAAACGAGGTGTCTGCAATATCTACGTAGACATTGAGGCTTCCGAGCTCCAGGGTTTCCGCATCAATCCTAACGATGTACGTTTTCTCCAGGACTCAATGTGCTTTCTGTTTCTTTGCCTAACATATTCCATAACAGGTGGAAAACCCACTCCATGCTGCTCTCGATAGTCCTGATATTGAGCTCACCGACGGCACTCTTGTATGTTCCTTTTTTCTCGATATCCTTCTTGTTGGCTAATCATGTGACTGTTGCCAACTCATCAGGTTCCCCATGTCGCTATCTATTCTGCAAAAGATCAAGCAAACGGCGCAATAATCCTTGAGCTTCAAAAACGTTGGGAGGGTTGTCCTCAACACAAAGACGAGAATGGCAAGGCCGCTGTCTGCTACAGGTTTGGTAATGTCCATGTACCACTGAATATGCGACGCTTATCACTATGGTCTGACGCTATCGTATGTCCTATTCTTTATACTTTATACTCTCTCTAATGAATACCAGCATGCCGACAAGGCCACAAAAGAGCAGCCACCTGATCTGCCCGAGTTTGGTGGCCTTCCTGAGCCCAAACCCCGTGGACGCACAGGTCCACACCCCGCTATCGAGACTACCCCATCTGTGCCTGCCGCATCATCTGATCTTACCAGCATCACACCGCTATTGATGACGGTCATTGTAAAGCAGGCCATGGATATGATCTCCGCTTCCGGAAGTCACCGCCAGCATTCTGCTTCACCGTCACGTCGCCGTCGCTCTGCATCTCCGCGCTCCTCGCCACCTCCATCTTCACCTATCCCTTCAAATGATAGCGAGCTTCATGAGTTCCTCTTAGCCCTCCTTGCTAAGAAGGGTATAGATTTCACATCCTTTGAGGAGGCTCTTGCCGCCGAAGAATACAGTCCTGGCATCCTTGCGGCTGTCCCTGTCCAGGAGCTGTGCGAGCTTACTCGTTCTCCGAAAGGGCGTGTGATGAAGATGCAGCAGTTTTCGATCTCGTGGTCTGCAAAGATAGAGAAGAGGGTTGGGAGACGTCATCATACATGATTGGTATCCGAGTTGTAATTACACTCCCCACTCATCTATACCTGTGTGCATCGCGCTATGAGTATCCACAATGATCAATCCATCCGAGTGCATCCTCCTCTGTCACCGAAGCAATTGCACGCTGGATTAACCACCTTCGAGCTTCTGGCCGAACAGCCTCATCTTCGTGACGACGAAGCCATGCTTTCATGGCACTGAAAGCATGCTCTATTGGGTTCATATCGGGTGAATAAGGTGGGAGATAGATTAACTGTGCACCTAGCACAAATGAGCTTCAATGTACATGTCTGACAGTCCATGTGTAACTGAGACGCACCGCATTCAACTTCAATAACCTGCCGAATCTCCTCATCATGGTGAATTGAACAGTTGTCCATGATGACGACGCTCCGTGGTCCAAATGGATTAAGGAGTGGTGCCTAACGAGGTAAATTCTTGTTAGTCTCTACTGTATACTTTTATTTGATGCAGGTGCAACGTACAAGATGTGTGCGAAGGTATTTGATAAACCGCTCTTTTGTGACACTCCCCTCAAAGATGTCAAGAGCGATGATGCCTTCGATGGTCAGTGCAGGCAAGATTGAGTACCTTTGGCCACGAATAAAGGTATCCCTCCTCACACACGCACGCCCGAGCTCAGCCCATCCTCGAAGACGCTGATTTGTCAAGTCATCAACACTTGACTCATCCAACCACACAATATTTTCCTTTGCTATCCTCCCATGCTTCCCTTTCCATATAGCCCTGACCAACTCATCACGCTCTGCCGCTGTCTTCGAGATTTGCTTGATTGTGATCTCCATCTGAGCGAGAGTCCTCGAAATAGTAGAAGTAGAGACCCATACATTTTTGGTGTCGAGGAGGTGTTGTTGAATTTCATCGAGGTAGGCAGCTGGGTTCCTTTCAATGAAAGCCTTGATACTGTCCTTGTCTGATTGATCAAGTATTTGGCGAGCACCCCGGGTGCGTGCATTTGGGTTGATGATGAGACCAAACTCGCGCTCTAACTGAAGGATTCTATAAACAGAGCTTTTGGAACACCTAGCGCGATGTGCAATCTCCGAGACAGTAAGCTGATCATTGTAGTGCCAGTCAATAATGAGTTCTCGAACTGGATGAGGAAGGGGTGGAGGCATGGTGAGATCAAGTACTGTAAAGAGGCGAGCGTGCGATATGCTCAGAGTGGGAGCCCCAAGCCCTGAGGCCTGAGGGCGTGACAGGGCTTTGCCGATCATCCCGACCTGCAGTGCTCAATTAGGCAAGTCTTGGCTCAGGAACCCGATTTTTCTCTGATGCAACTCTCTCAAAAATTATGCAAGACCCTGTAAATGATGAATCCCATCAGCAAACTCATAACTAGTCCCAGCCAGCCCCAGAGCCCCAGATGCTCCTAGATGCTTAGGTCATCTGGGGATATCTGGCTAGATGTCTGTGTATGCCCAGATCTGGACAGATAAGGTGCTCTATCAAGAAGCTGACTAGGAGGACATTTTTGGAAGGCTGTGTATGTAATGCCAGTGCTGCTTCAGAGTTTTTCGATGCAGCCTTAGATAAGAGCTAAGAAGAAAATCCCCTAGTAATGTATCAGACTGTCACTGGTATTATCTGTTAGATATCAGCTTGTTAGTAGTATTGGGATACTTTCCTGCATCATAGCTTTCAAATGATGTGTTATATGCCATAATTCTTCCATGAATGGGTGCTAAAAATGCGAAAATAGATGACACCTCACTGAGTTTAGGCATTCCAAGATTATTACTAAGTCTCACAAAGCTCAATATATACTGGTTGTTGATATAGTATATTATGGCTATATAGTGGAGTGGATAATTCTTATCTTAACATTGCTTTCAGCTGGTGGATGATTCAAGAGGTTCTGGGTTCAATTCCTGTCTGGTGCAGATTAATTTTTGCAGTTGTTCTATTGACGACAATTATCTAATCATTTCCATATGTGGTGCATCTGGACATAGCTGTCCAGACACCGGTGTGTCTGTCTAATCGGGCACTTGCTAAAGGCATCTGGGGGCCTAGGAGTCTGGTCAATTTAAGCTGGGATAGTATAGTGGCAGGCCGTGCAGTATGTAGTAAGGCAATTTGTGATGGGTTCATGGGTTCAAATCCCACACATGTACTTCTTTACTACTTTTTTGTGCTCGTGTTTCAGATCTCTAAGCTGTCAGCTAAAATGGAACTTTGTGCTCTTGAAGTGGCATGCACACATCCAACAAAAATCCTGCACACAATGTCAGACAGCAAAGTCATTGACCTCGATACTACTCACTCAGAAGCTCTACACAATGTTCATATTCACATTCCTTTGGAACCCCCCAAAATACTGCCGGATTGTCATCTCTTGATTGCAGATCCCCTCAATGTCAACTTGCCCACACAATCTTCAGCCCTTATTCTCCTGAAACCGACATCCTTGCACGTGCTCTATGTGTTTGATTCTGATGGCCAATGGCTTAATAAACGCTTTCTGGCCTTTCTGAGCATCAAAACAGACCTGAACTATGTGATCCGGACAATTTTGAGGGCTTACAAGGCCAGATCTGGTTAATCCGGACAATTTTGAGGGCTTACAGGGCTGGATCTGGCTAATCCAGCCAAAAAATGTGGTTTTGGAGGCCTGGCAGTTCAATCCAAACATTTTGACTCAAAATTTGGCTAGGCCTGGTTTTTTCCAGACAAATTTTGCCGATTTTGGGACTTTCTATCCATACATTTTGGCCGGCTTTTAAGAAATTTCCACCCGGCCTCCCCCCCTCTTTTTAGGGGTCCTGTATTATGGAGCAGGACCAGGTCTGTTTATGAAAGGAGTAGTCATGTCAGCACAAGGTATCCGGGGTCTTTGGCACTCCATGACCATAATTGTTGCAAAAACTCATTTTACATTATCATACCTTATAAGCATTACAAGGCTATAATAAATTGGTCACGTGAGAAAGCATTATTAAATAAGAGTCCTTATTCCAATTCCAATGCAACAGTATTGCAATGACTCACTCTGAATTGTAGTGTCATCACAACATGACTATAACATTATTCTACCAAACTAATTGGTCATTACAATACTGTCATAAGCTCATTATAAAAGTGCTGCTATAGAGTTATAAGCCATTACAATAACATTATTATATAGTCATAATGGCATTACAATAGTATGACAAGTAATAGGAAATAATTATCAGAAGCTGTGAGGTGGCTGCATACTACTAGGAATCACTTACTTTGACTACTGATTATTACTGATACTCACTAATCTGTAGTGATCATTACTACTGGTACTTACTAGTCATCACTAATTCATACTGACCATTACTTCTAACTAATATTAGTATAATTACAATTAATATATTACTATGACCAAGATTTGAATGCACAATCTCTTGTAGAAGGATCATTTTGTAATGCAGCACATAAACACTTAGCCAGCTAAGCTTTTCTATATAGGAATGTCTATACTATTCATAGATATATTTGGTGGTTGGCATGCATAGATTCCCCCTCCTGAAATGGACTTGTTACTGTCCTCCTAAGTGCTATAAAATATATCTTGCATAGCCAAGAAGGGCTACAATATATACTTATCAATACTAGTGAGTGTGATATTCAGTATGGCAACATGCATGCTAATCTTGTCATAGTCCATCACCTCATCTATCTTGAAGGGTTTGCATATGTTGGAGGCAGGAGTGTATGTGTGTATGATAGGGAGCATATATGAGTATAGGTAATAGTCAGGCATGGATGAGAATGATATACTAAGGCAAAGTATGTATGTGTAAAGATGTGGCACATTCTATATTATTTCAGCACATTACTCTCCTTCATATATGCCTACACTATTACCTTGTAGCTCTTTTGCTGACTTTCTAGCTGCCTTTACAAAGGACATAGAAAGAAAGAAATATGCATTGATGCCCCAGCCACTTTGTTGGCAGCTTAGCAGCTGCCATAAGAGACTATGAAGACCTGGGTACCTTGGCCTTGCACACAAGATCATTGAAGTTGTTATTGTTAGCCAATGCCTGCTATTGGTCATTACAGAACACAACATGCAGGTTGGGCTTAGGAATGTGCTACATGCAGCCTTGCAGACCTTGTCTATTAGTGCAGTGGTTAATACTGTCTTGTGCAGCACATAATTATCACCACTATTGATATTACAATTTTTAGCACTATTCATATTGTTCATTGCCTTGTTATACAGAACATGCTCAAACTTGGTATTTTCCTCTAGCTATTAGGCTGTGGAAAAGACAGTCATATTGGTATGTGGTGCCAGAATGATATATTTGCCTGCCATATAGGAAATATGTGTACTAAGTATATTAAGATCACCTCCAACAATTTTGTGCTTATTTATATATAGGCATGCCATACATATACCCTTGTCCCCACCCTCTACCTCACCAGTGGCTATTTGGAAAACCCCTCTCTCTTATTGGATCTTGATTATTTATAATCATGTTTTTGATCAAATTTGCAAATTCAGATAGCATTGTCTATACTAGTAGAGTCCCATTGAATATTACACTCAATCATAGTTTTACACATTCTCAGTCCAAATTGTATAAGTGCCATAATTTGTTTTTATCCTATATAAAGTGTATTGTTTATTTTCTATTGGTTTATTATCTTCTTAGCTGGTGTTTAAACTAAATCCTGAAAGACCTGACTTTTTGGGTATTTATTGACCTATTTATTTATAAGAGAGAGTAAAGATAAATGTTGAATAAAATCAGAGATATTAAGGTTGCCTATATTATGTCTGCTTATTTTGATTACCAAGTTCATATATTAGACCTTATGGCTCAGTGGCTTAGAGCATCTGTTCCGAGTGCTTGTATACATGAGGTTGTTGGTTTAACTCTGGCAAGTGGCAAGTTTGTTATAAGGTATATTCTGTGTTTAGGTATTTAACTTGTATTCTAATAGACATGACTCTATAAGAAGGCTATGAGAATTATGATGCTTGATTTATTATTATTTTTCCAAAATTTCAAGCTATAATCAATTCTAATAATTCCTAATTTAGGAAAATTATGTCTAATTAGAACAGGTTTAGAAGGGGGGTAAGTGAATAATCTCTAATCCTTATTATTCTTAATTATCCATAAATAGAACTAATTAGAGCATAATATAAGAAAGTAATTTCCCAGATGTACCCTCATATCCTATTTTGTCTATGGTTATATGGAATAGAGTTTGTTGAACACTTCTTTGGACTTGCCTGTACTATGCTTCTCAACTTCACATTCTCACAGTTCCTTGCTCTCATCAAGCATGTCATGCTTTGTTAGTCTATCTCGCCCTTAGGTCAGTTTAATCAATAAAAGAAGTGTGCACACACCTGGTCTGGATACATTTTTGACTTTGACAACTCTCCTCTTACCCCAATGGAATTGTCACAGGCATGCATCCAGATCACAAAAGAAGACATTGACAAGCTCCTGGTGCTAGGGCAGACAGAGGCTACAAGGATCACAAAGGACATGCTTCACATGTCTGTACCCTCTGCCCTATTTAAGCTATCTCCTCTCAGTGGCCCACCATGTGCTAGTATTCAGCATTGTGGGAAAACTAATGACAAATTTGTAGGAGAAGAGTTGGATATCATTATGGGCAAAGGTACTGAGGACAAGCTTGAACCTAACAAGGTTTTAGATGATCCGGCACTAGTAGAGATGGATGAGTCAATTGCCTAGGCCTCTGCCAATGCTATGCAAGAATCAGTGTTGCAAGATGCCTGCGATGAGCTCACAAAGACAGTCAAGGGTCTTCCAACACCAGAAACCTCTCCTGCTCCATCCTTTTTCCTTCAATTTGCAGCGGCAGCACTTGATGTTGTAACTTCAAGTGGAATCCTTTGTCAAAGCAAGCTACCAATATCTCAGATGTTGATGACTCACCAATCCCATCAGTCCATTGATACGCTAGTGATGCCTCTGAGTGTGAAACATACCCAAGAAACACCCCTACAAGCGCAGGTAGGCAGGAGCTGGTTCCAGTGTGCAAGGAACTATAAGCTGTGGAACAACTAACAAGGGAGCGTACTGAAAGTGTTCGGAGTGTAGCAAACAAACAACTCCAAAATTGAAATATTCGGTTGGTTGGTTGGTTGGGCAGT